ATCTGGATCTAAAGATGTTGGGAATAATGAAGTACTGTTTACAGTACCTGTAGAATCAGCACTAATCACAACAACACCGGAATCAGTGGCAACATATCCATTACTATCAGTGGTAGTGAAAGTAGTAGTGTATGTGGTATCTGGATCTAAAGATGTTGGGAATAATGAAGTACTGTTTACAGTACCTGTAGAATCAGCACTAATCACAACAATACCGGAATCAGTGGCAACATATCCATTACTATCAGTGGTAGTGAAAGTAGTAGTGTATGTGGTATCTGGATCTAAAGATGTTGGGAATAATGATGTGCTTGTTTTTGTAGTAGCAGTTCCACCACTTACCACAACAATTCCAGAATCAGTTGCAACATATCCATTGGTATCTGTCGTTGTGAAAATAGTAGTATACGTGGTATCTGGATCGGTAGATGTTGGAAATAATGACGTGCTTGTTTTTGTAGTAGCAGTTCCACCGCTCACCACAACAATTGCAGAATCAGTAGCAATAAACCCGTTTGTATCGGTTGTAGTGAAGGTGGTTGTGTATGTAGTATCTGGATCGGAAGATGTCGGGTATAATGAAGTGGAGGTATATATTTTACTATTTGAATATCCAGTTACCACAATATATCCTGAATCTGTTGCTACATATCCATTTGAGTCAGTAGTAGTGAAAGTTGTAGAATAAGATGTGAATGGATCAGATACTGATGGATACCAAGAAGTACTACTTGCGACTGTACCACCCGAATTTATGGATTCATATACTATACCTGAATTTGTCTCAACGAATCCGTCAGTTAGCGTTGTCACAACTGATGTAGTATATGATGTTGAATTATAATCTCCTGGAATAGGTGGTACAGCAGAAGGACAGGGTTGACAATTTGCTGGCAAACCTGGGTTTGGAACTGGACCTGAATAGGTTACAGCTCCATTGATTGCAGTTGAAAGGCCTTTTGGGTTGTTTGTAACTTTGCTGAATAATGAAGAATTGTACCCTAATCCAATATTAAAATATTGGATTTCTGCACTTGAAAAATATAATTCCAAAATACCGGTAGTTGCATCATACAGAAAACTATAAACAGAAACATCCAATTCGATAAAATTACCGTTACCGAACCCTGCAACATTAAAAGTTCTTGTAGAACTTGCAGCAACTACTCTTAAGGCTGACGAAGAGTCACCTAAGTAGAACTGTTGAGTAGATGAAATCGCTTCAGCACTGGTTGATAAATAAATGGCAGAACCATCTAATTCCGTTATACATCCAGTGCCATAAATTGCTGAGGATTGTTGAAATAAACCATTGATAATACAAATCTGTCCATTATTAGTAATAGGAGAACCAAATCCTACATTGGTGGTAGAACTAGCTGAAGCATTGAAAACCATTAAGCCAGTATTATACCATGACAGTGAACCAGTAACTGACATACTTGGAACACCTGAAGTAGAATCAGCAACCATATATAATTGACCTGTATTGTTAAAACTTGTCCCTGATAGGGTAAAGATAGGAGCATTTATTGAGCTAAATGAATTAAAAATGATTAAACCAGCATTGGTAATAGAAGCAGCTGAAGCTGCTGTGACAGTCAACCCAAGATTAGCATTGGTACTTGAGATGAAGAAACCTGCATCTGGTGCCACACTTAGAACACCATCAATATCAGTATCTTCACTATTAAGAATAGACCAATAAGCATTTGTATCAATATAAACATTTTCCACTGTTACAGAACCATCGGTGATAGTAGGAACACTGATTTCAGTTCCTAGAATGACGGTGAATAGTAGTAAGAAGATGGTCTTACTTAATGTACTTAGTTTAAACATGATTTAAAGCTATTTGTTATGATAAACCATCAAGTTTTGGGTTTTCGATGGGACAGGAGATTTCTAGGATTTGAATAGGTTATATAGATCATAATAAAGTTTAGTAAATCATTTTGATAAACCATTTAAAACATTTTTAATATCCTTAGATACCCTGAAAGTATTCGACCCTACCATTAAAAAAGAAATTACCGTAAAAACAAACAAAATAAGTTAGCTCCATAGTTAAAAAATTAACCATAAAAAATAAATCTAAGCTTCATGCTGCCCAGTTCTTAATGCATAAATCAACTGGAATTTGATACATGGAAACTATAATATGTTCTACCATGTTAATTTGAAGATCTACTGGCTTGAAGTATTATTATGGTGTGATGATTGTCTCTATACCAAAAAAGAGAATGAAAGATATTAAAAAATAACTACTGGCTACATGCAGGCAGGCAGTCCTCATAAAAAAAATTAAAAAATATATAACAAAAAAAAAGAAAGTAAAGAATTAAATACCGGCCCTATCAAATAGTGCAGCCTGAGCTTACCAAGATGAGGGGTCCAGTTTAAAATCTCATTTTTTTGGGTGTAGATGAGATTTAAAAAGCTAAGGCGGTTTGGTTTTTTAATTTCAATCCCTTAAATGTATATGTAAACCAGAGCGCAAAGATTGCAACAAACAAATAAATAAATAAAACAAACTCTACTTACTGTACTGCGTGTGCTCATCATCATGTGTCATTCATCTTCATAAAGAATGGTATAACTTATTGGACTCCTATTAATGTCAGATGCTTCTTACACCTATAGCTATACATTAGATGAGAGGTGAACCACATCTCAAAATTAACGATGATCATTATTTGTTTCTTTTTCGAATGCTGTCGAAGATTTACGAAAGCCTCTTCTCAATTTTTGGTAGTTTTATTTTTTAGTTTCGTTATCGGAATGAGTACGCGTAAACTATGCATGTTCCAGAATTGGTTTTGTATGAAATTTTGTGGACATGATCATCCGATTGGAAAAAAATATCCACCATTTAAACGAAATTAAATACTACTAATATGAAATAGTAAGCACTATTTTAACCCCTCGCTTAAGGTTAGGCAATGTATTCTGCTTTGACTAGAGATGCTCATTGCTCATAATGGTGCTGATATTGTTGGTGATGATACTGCTGCTGATACTGTTGTTGATGCTGCCGCTACTGCCTTACTCTTTTTTTTACCTCCCCTGCTTCATCTAAGGTTACGATTCTTGTTCATTCATGTCTGATTTAACTATTAACTTTGAATAATATTTCATTTTACAAATCCGTAAGCACTAAAAAATCCTTCCCGGTTAATTTTGTAAAGAACAATAGCTCTGTCATAAAATATTAATTATTTTAAACCAATTAAAATAGGACTAAGAAATAAAAATAAATAAAAAATAATTTCCATAGAAAGATAATATTTTAAAAATAAAATGAAATTTCCTCTGTTAATTCTTGTTCTATTCTATCTGTGAGCAAATTTAACGAAGTCTTCTTTTAAATAAGTATAATTATTTTTAAGTTGAAGATTGACATTTTTAGTATATGGAAGTATAATAATTGGGATATAAGTCATTCATATTTAATGCGTAATTTAATATATATTTAGCTTTGTAATTGTTGTTTTGTATGAAATGCTCTGCATGAAGTATTCCATTTAATTTTGATTCCTTCCTTTGTGCTCGTATATCGATCTGTGTTCGAAGTGTTTGTTGGTGAGTTGATCTGTTTCCGAAATACGTGCCGTCGTTAACTAATGTGAGACCATATTTTCGTAGTTGTCGATCGATTTCGCCTCATCTAGTCGAAATAAAGGTGCGGCTATAGCAAATGAAATTTGGTTACAGATGGTCTCTTATACAAGTTCACATATGATATATATATATGTAAGATAGCACCCTTTTAATTTATATTATCTGAATAAAGTTTTGCGGAAACATAATCTTTGTAATTTCAGGTCTTAAGATATTTGATCTCTACTACAAGAGGAAATACTACCTAATTCTATATTTGATCTCTATTTGAGAATATGATTATGATATTACCATAACAATATAAGTCAATAGTTCCTATAAACGGAATATAAAGAAGTTTGAAAAATAGTTACGAAATTTTAAGCCTGTAGTACTGAAGTATCGTCGTTAGAAAATAATGTGCCATTGAGATTTCATTTTTCTGATACCCTGGACAAATAAGTACAATCGATCATAATGTTTGAACGAATAAAATGGTTTAGTTCTTGCATAAAAATTGAAATCAACGCAAAATTCGGTAATTCATATAGAACTTTCGTAAACTTCAACGATTTTATCCCCTATTCCCTTCTCTATTTCATTGCTGGGGATTATGTTTCCGCCAAACTTCGTCTAGTGCGATTTATTACTAACCAAATAATATTTTGGTTGGCACTTGCCTGAGTTTACGATACGCATTTGAGGTTTCATTTATTTATATAAATATATATATCTGTAGATCCCTCCAATCATATGATACTTTCGTCTCCCTTTGCCATCGTGTTAATGTGGGCAATTGGCTACAGATTGATCTCGAATCTATAAGAAACTAGAACTCGTTAAACGAACCCTTGAAGTTTAATATTCTTGAAGTTTAATATTTTTTTTTCTAATGAGTAGCATTTATTATGTATCTAAAATGTAGACTTAGTATCTAAAGAAAAGATTTGTAAGAAATGAGTTTGATAGAGAAACTATATAAGGAAAACTCTATTTATTTGCAGACATAGGGTAAAACTCCTGCAGGAGTTATTAGGAGACAGCTAATATTTTCGCAATAAATTATCCAAATATTTTTTTCCCCTATTAGTTATTCTTCTCTGTATGCTCATAATCCTCAGATTTTTTTTTTTTAAGTTTAACTTTTTCAACGGTTTTCCTCCACCATTTTTTTTTTCTTTTTTTTCTTCGTATATTAAAGCCATTAAATTGTATTGTAAAAATTTGGGTAGTAAATAATTCATTCATTTCTTTGTCAATTATCTAAGCTCCTGCTTTAACCAAATGATGTTTTGCAACCTGGAGAAGAATTAAGAATTAAACAGTAAATGGCCGAAGCTGACACGCCACTCGGTGTTTATTACCTTGACGTACTTTTTAAATTACAAATCAAATCTCTTTAACACCGCGATGTCACTAATGCCGCCAGCGTTGAAATTTACTATGATAAAGCAATATGATAATTGATTCAACCACAGTTCAGAGTATAAAAGGATGAAGATTCAGAGATATTAAATCCCATATTTCTAACTATATCATCAACAAATTACATAAAAAATGACTGCCTCTCCAACAACTGTCTTCATTTCTGGTGCTACTGGATTCATTGCTCAACACATTATTACTCAACTTCTTACCAAAGGTTACTCGGTTGTCGGTTCAGTAAGATCAACTGAAAAAGGTGAAAGCTTAGTTAAAATTTTCAATAATCCAAAATTCACTTTTGAAGTTGTTAAAGTTCTTGAAAAGGAAGGTGCTTTTGATGAAGCTTTAAAGAAACATTCTGAAGTTACTGTATTTTTACACTCCGCTTCTCCAGTTACTTTCAATGCTGAAGATAATGAAAGAGATATTTTAATTCCTGCTATTGAAGGTACTAAATATGTTCTTAAGTCTATCAAAGAACATGCTCCTCAAATCACTAGAGTTGTCTACACAAGTTCTGTGGTTGCTACTGGTACTCCACAAGAAATTAGTGATCCAAACTTTAATGGTGGTGAAACTACTTGGGGTAGTCTTACTTACGATCAATCCAAAGAAAACGGATTTGCTGCTTATTTCGGATCCAAAACTTTTGCTGAAAAGGCTGCCTGGAATTTTGTTGAAACTGAAAAGCCAAATTTCACTCTTTCAACTGTTAACCCAGTTTATGTTTTTGGTCCTCAAAATTATCATAATGGAGAAAAAGAATTAAATGCTTCTGCTCAAATGGTTGGTAATATCTTAAAATTGAAACCGGATGATGCTCTTCCTCAACTTACAGGTACTTTTATTGATGTTAGAGATGTTGCAAAAGCCCATATTCTTGCGTTTGAAACTGAAAAGGCCCAAGGTAAAAGATTTGTTCTTTCCAATAGTCGTTTTGATGCTGAAGAATTAGTAGAAGTTATTACCAAGAACATCCCAGAACTTAAGCAAAAGCTTCCAGCTGCTAAATCTACTGGTGATAGAGCCACCGGAAGAAGTTTATTAGATGATTCTAATGCTAGATCTATCTTAGCCATTGATTATATTTCTCTTGAACAATCTGTCACTGAATCTATTAAACAGATTTTAGGAAATTAGATGAGGTTGAGCTTTATTATTTTATGATTCTTCTATTCTTATAGATATTATAGATTTCTTATAGATCTTAATACATAGTTCAAAGAGCTTACAGAACGATAATAGTGTAGAGAAAAGCGTTAGTAATAAATGTTTTAGGTTGCATTCTCAAGGCTGCTAAAAAAGGGTAAAAATAACTCCGTTGCCCTCCAGACAAAAAATATTTTTGATTCGCTCTTTATTATACAAAAAAAAAGTCTAAATTAATTCATTTCATCATATATTGAAATACACAAATAGATTAACAAGATTATCGACCAACATGGTGTAATCGTAAGGAAGGAATTGAAATCAATTTTTACCGACCCTGAGTTGTCTTAATCCAACTATGTGGGTGATGATCACAACTCCTGCTCCAAATACCACCACTAACCCACACATCAATCCCGCTGATCCATTAAATTTAAGATTATCGAACATATATGGGAAGTAAAATGGGCCACAGAAAGCAAATATTTGTCTAACAAAAGTAACAAATAAACCAATATCCGTGGCTTTTTTGGGATCACTGTCAATTGCAAAAGTAATTAAGATTGTCATACATATGTTATTTCCACATGCTGCTATAGCGGCTCCAATGATTGGTGCTATAATCCAATGACCAGGAGTAGCCTTATTTAAATAAACTCCCCAAATAACTAAACCAATAACCACAAAAATGAAGCCATTATAAGAAACCCATAACCTGTCGACGATAACTCTTTCACCTCCTCTTCTAGCAATAGATTTTTTCATCCACCAATCTGAAAGAGGACCTGCTAAAAATTCACCTATAGTAGAACCAATTATAAGAGCAATAAATTGATAGGATATCTGTTGAGCATCCAAGTTGAACAAAATACCCATTGCTTGTGGTAATTCAACAATAAGAACAATGTTGGCATAACAAAACACCACTGATATTGCCAATGTTGTCATCATAACGTTAAAGTGCCAGAACAATTTGAATGGTCTTAAGAATAATGCAAAAGATAATTCTTGATCAGGATTTCTATTAAGTCTCAATACCTTACTTAAGATCCAATTTGTTTGTTGAGGCTTATCATGATGTCTAACATATACAGTTTCGTCGGCAATGTACCATAATATACTTTGAACAAAGTTCATAATAGCAAATACAAAATAGATCCATTTAGTTCCCGCATGCTGTTGGATAAAACCACAGAAGAAAGGTCCAGCAGTAGTACCAAGGACAAGACCAACTGACCACCAACCGTTTTTCTTACCTCTTTCGTGTGCAAATGATAAGTCACCAACAACACAACTACCTGCAGCGTAACATGTAGAAATAAAACATGCTACTAAGACTCTAGTTGCCATTTGTTGCCCATAAGTTTTTGCAAAACCACCACCAATATTTAAAGCACAACATAACAAAGAAGCTATACTTAAAAATCCATTTCTACCGTAAGCGTTCATAATAGGAAGCCAGATGAGTGGCATACCACCCAAAACGGCAATTTGAGCAGAAGTTAGATAGGCTGCAGTTGGGGTTGAAATATTATAAGCAGCTGCCATAGGTTCAAAAGCAGGTGTCAATCCACCAGCCATAAAAGTCGAACTAAAAGTCTGAAAGGCTAATAAAAGAATTTCTGAATTCTTTTTCCAATCTGGCCAATTTAAAGGGTCTGCTGGATCACTTGAAGGAAGTGGATCCAAAAACACGGTTCCATGTCTTTCTATAAGATAAGCCTCATGTTCAGGACCCAACTCAATCTCAGCTGGACTGTTAGCAGTGGAATCTTCAATATGATCGTGTGATCCTTTTTCAAAATCACTTGGTAAAGGCATAATTATTAGGTGATTTAATTACAATAAATTCTAACATTCAAAAAGGTCTTATTGTCTATCTATATTTATAAATAACGAAATCGAATGCAAAATATTTCTCAACCAGAAGAACTAATATTGATGGGTATTGTAGGTATGAGGAGTATTAGCCCAAAATTACTCGTATTGTATATCAAATTAAGATAATAATTGAAATCAAGGATTCTTATAATTTAAGTGGTAATTAGTTGGAAAGAAATAATCCGGCTTAAATCAATTGGCATACCCCACTTAGGCTTTTGCATTATAAAATAAATATTGGGAGGGTTGTCAAGAATGTAATATGTCAAGCACGATATTAAACGTATGCCTCAAGATATACTCATTTATTACCAAGAGTCAACAAAGCTTGATAAAAAGCTGGAGTATTGGAAAAAGGTATAACCGCACTAAAATCTTCTGTTTGACCAAAAATTATTTTTAACTGCCCCACAAGACAACCCCACACTCTCTCGTAATATTTTATCTAGCTCTAATTATAGTTGGTTCTGATTGCTGGAAGACATTAATTGTAATCCGGTATTGCTCGTGTATGCGTTTTTTAAACCTTATGGCTAATGTGGATAGTCATTTACTTGAAAATAATACATCGGGGTTAGTCGCTCAATACAAAATTGAGATCTCTCAATGTTCTGATTTAGATTATAACGAAACTACTCTTAAGTTGCAAAAGGTGAGGTTGTTGCCGTATCCTTTGGCAGTTAAATTGAAATACTCCTGATTCAGATTGCAGCAACTAAAGCTAAAAATAAGCAAATAAAGACCTTATATTGGCTGTAAATCTCTAACTAGTTAGTTACCAGAAATTGGGAAAACATATAATATTACCGCATCTTCGGAATGTTTGAATATCATGACGGCAATTTTGTCTCTCAATGATAATTAAGAAATGACGTTAAACCCAGACACAGAAAGAAATGATATCCTTTCGGGTCTATCACTTTTGAGTCTTAGTTGCGTTCAAATCATTTGTCATACATTCATTTAAATTAATAATATCTTACAATATTTTAATCTCTTAAAGTTTAATTAGTTTCATAATGGGCTTTGCGTTTTGGTGTAAGATTCTCGGAATAGACTTTTTGCGGCTCAAGCTCAAAACAAAAGGTACCCCTCCAAGATCTTTGCTTTGTGAAAAACAAACCTGCACTTAACTGAAAACCCAAATCAAGTATTAATATATAACAAGAGCAACTGCTAGAAGTAATCAAAAATGCTGCATAGGAGATTGTTCTTACAACAGTATCGAAGGATGACTGCCGCTGCTGCTGTTAGAATAAATATCCCCTTGATAATTGGTGGTGAAGAGATCAAGACAACCAACCAATACCCAGTAAATTCACACATAGATCCCAATGCAGTGATTCATAACTTTTCAACATTTAATATTAAAGATAGTTCATTATTGGACATGTTATATACTTCAGCTAAGACAGGGTTTGAGGAATGGTCAACTACGCCATATGATAAGAAGATCAAAATATTTCAGAAGGCGATTGCTTTATTAAATGAAAGAAAACTGCAATTATTCGATTCTCACCTGGACATAGGAGGCCCTGCTTGGTTTGCTGGATTTAATGTTGATGGTGCAATTGGACAAATTGAAGAATATATTAGTCATTTATCAAATCCTATTGGGGTTGTTCCACAAAGTTTAGATACTGAACTAGCCTTAACTATTAAACAACCGATTGGTCCTGTATTAGCTATTGCTCCATGGAATGCACCAGTTATATTAGCTTCTAGAAGTATTGTTGCACCATTGGCTGCAGGATGTTCAGTTATTCATAAAACTTCTGAAAAATCTCCATTAGCTTCGTATTTATTCGTGAAATGTTTTCATGATGCCGGTTTGCCAAAGGATGCTTTACAATTGGTACATGTTTCTCCACAAGATAATCCTCAATTTTTAGAACAAGTGTTAAGCTCTGGTGTGATTAAAAAGTTAAACTTTACTGGCTCTACTGCTGTCGGAAAGAAGATTGCGGCAGCTGCAGCAAGTCATTTGGTTCCTTGCCTTCTAGAACTCGGTGGTAAAAATTATTCCTTAGTCAGAAAAGATGCTGATCTTTCAAAAGCAGTTCCTAATATTATCTGGAGTAGTTGGTCTCATAAGGGTCAGATCTGTATGAGTACAGAGAAAGTTTACGTTCACGAAGATATATATGATACATTTAAGGGTGAAGTTTTAAAGCTTAGTTCTGAAATTTCCAAAGATTCTGATTATGCTATTCCACAAAGAGATTTAGTATTTACTAAGAAAATCATTGACTTGGTAGACGATGCTGTTGACAAAGGGGCTCAAGTTTTGTTCGGAGATTATAATAAAGATGAATATTTAAAAAACAATTCAATATCGCCATTAATCATAGAAGGCGTCACTGAAGAAATGCTTTTAGATACCACAGAAAGTTTTGGTCCTATCTTCACTATTCATAAATACAGCGACGAAGATAAATTAATCAAACAATTGAATGATTCACCATATGGTTTGAAAGCTTCCATTTGGTCTCAAGATATAATGAAAGCATTATCTATTGCCAAAAGAATTGAGATTGGAGGAATCCACATTAATCATTCCACGGTTCACGATGAAGCAACTATTCCTCACGGAGGTGTCAAGAGTAGTGGACATGGTAGATTCAATAGTTCATGGGGTATTGATGAGTTCTCTATACTTAAATCTATTACAATTAATTAAGAAAATTGGTTTGACATATATAACGTATTACATAAAATATATAGTAGCATTATTGATCTATGAGTGGAGCATCATACTTAACAGATTTATAGTCCCAATAAAAAGTTAATTCGTTAGATAAACCTTGCTTAAGCAGACATTGTTGTTCAAAGTTTAAACCAGCTAATCTATCTGTAATATAATTATTGTAGTCCGAATATTTACACGAGAATCCTGGACCCTGTAAACAATTCGATATAGGCATGACGGAATCATTTATAATATATCTCACATAAGATTCATTATCGTTACATTTGAATTTCTCAACATAAATTCTTGCCCCTTGAGGTAACATTTCGGCTGCACTGTATGGATTTGGAAATGGAATTCTATCTACTGGAAGTTCTTGTTGTGGATCAATTATACCTAAACAACTTAAATACATTTCCATATCTGTATCATGAGTAAATGATATCCAAATTTTGTTTTCTGAATTATTATCCTGTAATAGTTTCAAAGTTGCTTTAATCATTTCTGATCCGACTACTCTAGATTGTGAATTTCCTGGTCCTGTGGTATAATAGTTTCCTAAATCAGTTGAATAGGAACTCCTTATAAACTCTTCGTTTGTGAATAGATTACAAAATGGAGATGACCCTTTGACATTGATTTCAAATGCACACCAAAAGAACAATGAATTAACTTCGGAAGGAGTTAAATCCAAACCAGGATTATCTGTCTGGAATCTGGAGAGAATATCATTAAGAAATGATCTATCATATTGATTGAGTTTCAGTCTATTGATCTCACTATCTAAACTTGAACATGCATATCTTGGAGTCAATGAATTTAAACCCATATCACCATCTTCACTAATGACAACGAAATCAATATCGTCTTCATTATAATCATCACCTAAGAAACCCTTCATAAACGCTTCTGAAGTCTTATAACATCTTTGTGAATTGGTCGTAAATACTGGCATACGTGAATTTGAATTATACAAGGACCCATACTTAGTTCTAAACGTAGACCCATGTCTCAATTCGTCTCTTATACCATCAAATGGACTATTTGCATTGAATGGGGAAGTTTCCTTTTCATAATTGTTAGGATCAGTCACGAAGTATTGATATTCATTTAAAAACTCTAGATCACCTTTGAATTGATTTGGATAGTCTTGAAATTTTTTGAATATTTTTTCAAATTGAACTCCATCACCTTTCGATGGATATCTTTCTCCATGTCTTGATAGCAAGTGAACTTGCTCAACTTCACATTTATGCGGTATTTCTGTTGATATTCCAAATCCTGGTCGTTGTATGTATGGGGCAGATCCACCTAAATATTTCACCACATTATATTGTTCTTTAGCAGCTTGCTGAGGAGTCGCGACAGTGTTGAAGAAGGAGTTGTCTACTAGTAGTAACCCATGATTAAATAGCTTTAGTAGTGATACCATTGATTGGTGTGTGATGCTTATCTATAGCATTTGATATTTGGCAAAGGACCGTATCAAGCTCTTTTATGTTTGATCCAAGTATCGCGAGTTTTTTTTGTTTGGTAAAACACGTGTGGATAGTTGCAAAAAAAAAAATGAACTAACATTTTTATAGATTTAAAGAGCTTATTATCAGGTCATTTTGGAGCATATGTTACGTAACCAGTGGTAGAGAATGCTACCCGATGTTGAAACTTTATATATAGGAAAGGAAGTGATTAGCGAACTACATTTAAGCGATAATTAAAATAAAATGTTTGAATGAATTATAATGGTAAAAAATTGTATTAACTAATATAATCAAGAATTGAATATATATATGTGTGTATGAGCATATAACTAATAATAAATAATAGAATGATAATGACAAATGCAAAAATAATTAGCTTGATGTTGTGTTGAGATATTTAATCTATAATTATTTTGATCTATATTCCTCTTTTGGAGAGAATAAAATTTTGATATGTTTTTCTTTATGATGAATTAATTCTAAGAATCCCTTTTCAACTCCATCTTCTAAATGGATTTTGGAAGTGATTAATAATTTAGTTTCGTCAACTGGAATTAAACCTTTTTCTAAAGCGTCAATAACTTCTTCAAAATCTTCTTTAACAAAACAAATGGATCCAGTGACCATTTTTTCAGAAAGGGTTAATTCCATTGGGAAATGATCGACTGCCTTATGAGCCCAAACTGCAACGTTGGTTGCAACACCTCTAATGTTTAAAGCTCTAACACTGGTTTGATAAGTAGCTGGAACCCCTGAACAATCATATGAGAAATTAAAACCATAACCACCTGGTGATAAAGCTTTTAATTCTTTAATATTTTCTTCGATTGATTTCCCACTTGGATCATGAACGGTTACACCTAATCTTTCAGCTAATTGTCTTCTTGCTAAAGCCGGTTCACTAAGAACGATTTTCCCAACGTTATTACCTTTTAATGCAAAAATAGTGGTCAAACCAATTGGACCACCACCTAAAATTAATGCCGAAGAATCTTTTCTAAAATTAGAAACACGAACTGCATGCCAACTAACGGCAATGGGTTGAATCAAAGCAGCCACATCCATTGGAATAATTGATTCATCGAATTTAACCGCTTTTGTAGCGGCAGTTACTAAGAATTCAGAACAACCACCATTATCGAACCCTAAACCTTGTAACCCTAAATAAGCACAAGCATTATAATGACCTTCAAGACAACTGGCACATTTTTTTTTATTAAAGTTTGGAGAATCAGGGAATCTATATCTATCGAAGCAAGTCCCAGTAACTTCAACTACGACTTTATCACCCTTCTTTAAAGTTGTAACATTTGAACCAACGTCAAAAATTTCTCCACTAATCTCGTGACCCATACATTGAGGGTAAGGTAAATCTGAAATTTCATTTCTGGTATCTTTTTCACTAAAGAATATTGGACCATCAGTAAATTCTTTTAAATCTGAACCACAAATTCCACAATAGTGAACTTTAATTTTAACGTCATCTGGTCTTGAAATTTGAGGTTCTTTGAAATCATCATGATAACGGACATCTCCTCTATCGTGATAAACTATAGCTTTCATTGGAATTGATTATGAGTGTATAGTAGTAGTAGTAATAATAATAATAGTTTGTAAATAATAGTAATAAAGATTATTGAATTGGAATAATAATAATAGTACTATTTAAGTAAGTATAATATAATGTATTAATGTAATGTATAATATAATAAGTATGGAGAACCAAAAGGAAAAAAAAAGAAAGAAGAACCTTAAAAGAATATATGAATAAAAGACAAAGGACAATTGCTTGACCTTATATACCAATGACCAAAGTGTTGATGACTAGAGGGTAATTAAGATGAATATGCATAGAAATGAAGTAACAAAATATTTGAAGTTGTTGATGATTTATTTTTTTCCGTATTGGGACTTACAATGACTTCTATAAATTGGGGTACGTGTGGAATGATCAAAAAAATTAATGTTTAATTATAGGTTAAATCAGAGTTAAATTTTAAGGGTCATGGGTAAGTTCTAAATAGTAAAGGTAAATATAGAAGATGTTGTTTGTTGGCTAATCTTTAATAAACGTTTAATGTCTTCTTTGATATTTGATCTACAATTGTGTTTAGATACTGGTTGCTCATAACCAATTAGAGTGAATGAACTTAACCTTAACCTTATATCTATTCATAACTATATCTATCAACTATTAGAAGATGAATGAACCCCTCCTGCCCCCTATTCCATTCCCCAGAATCCACGTTGATACAATACACACTATAATATAATATGAGATGATAATGTATAATCTGATCTGTTACATTATCAAGCCAAATTTATGATCATTCTATTTAAACCTCCAAGCCTCAACGGAAACTATCCTCGGCTGATTCCACTTTTTTTTTCTTTCTCTGCGTGCCGGATTTATATCAGCAATTTTTCCATTTGATGATACCATACTATACTACCCCAGACAATACATCATCATTAACTTTAATTGACTAACTTTAATCTTGAGGCTTATAGGTGTTAAAAAATATTTATGATTTATATCATACCTAAACTTTTAAGGATGATTGATTTTCCGATTATGGATGATTTATTTACTATTTACTCCTAAAAATATCATTGATCTCTTCATATTATATTATTGACGTATCTTTCCTTGCATATTCTTAATTGTTCTATTTTTATCTAAACTCGGATTTTCTTTACCGATCCTTGTTCGTATATCCCTCTTCCCCACCTTTTACACCGCTGTTTGCATTAATAAACTGGAACGTAGTATCTATATTTTAGTCTATAATTTGCTTTGGTAGTTGACTTATTTATATTTAGTAGTGGTAGCATCACCTGTCTCACTACCAAAAGTCTTCACTAGAAAAACCTTACCCTAAATCGGGGATTTCACGGTGAGTAAATATGACTAGTATGACTAACCTTACACTTTTTTTAAATGATGTATATATATATATTATTATTAGACAGTTCTATTTACAAGTCAATAAATCGATTGTTTTTAACAATCCAAATGTACTCTTCCTTATTCATCTAATGATAATACACTCTTTTGAGATGGTAAATCACTAGTAGCAAACTCTTGTTTAGCTTTCTCTATTAATTCTTGTTCTTGAGCTTTGGTAATTGGTTTAACAGTTTGATTAGGTGGAACAAATTTGAATTTCCCAAATCCAAATTCTCTATCAGTCATCTTACTTAATACATATAATTGGGATCTAACATATACCAATAATGCTTCAATATGTCTAATATCAACATTTGGATTACCATTAAATACATTTCTCCATAATGCTGATGCTAAAGTAATATCATCAGTCACCAACCCTTCATCATATGTTAACACTGATCCTAATAATTGTGTATGATAATCTTTTAAATAACCTTCAATAATACGATTTGAATTAATCTTTAATTCTTGAGCCATTCTTAATTCTAAATCTCTAAATAATCTATCCACTAATTTTTGTTGATAATCTTTCCCATATTTAAATGGTAAAGCTCTCATTCTAACTGATAAAATCCAATAATGTAAAATACTAATTTGAAATTGTTGATTGAATGATTGAGGTAATTTTAAAGTTTCATAATAAAACTTAGCAGTATCACTAAGTGGTTCATCAGGATAATATAATCCTTGCCTTTTACATTCACCGAAATATACTGAACCTGCCACTGGACCTGATCTTGATTTATCCATATCAATTTGAAAAAGTTTAATCACTTGTTGACCTATGGATTGTTTCCAGCCTGACATCTTATAAGTTGGATCATTTTCAATCGAGTTATCCGACAAGAATGGACCCTTCAGACTGGCTTGACGAGGATTGGTCTTTAAATCTTGTTTTATATTAGGTAATGTTGAATCAGCTGCTAATTGACTTGGTGATTCAACCTCTTCGGGTTTTTTATATTTATCTAAAATGCTATTTTTACTTTCAAATTGAGCAACTTTGGTGGTAGATATGCGTCTTCTTATTATTATGCTCGGACTAGATACAACGAGTCTTCGACTGCTTCTACTCAACATGGTTGGACTATGATTATGGATATTTGGATATGGTAATGATTATATATATTATCAACAGGTGCAAACTCATTGGCGAACTTTTTTTTGATGTGCTTTTTTTTTATTGAAATTTGAAGTCATGGTCTACATCATTACCGCAATAATTAATATAATATAAGATCGATATTAACTATTTAAAGCTTATACTATTCTAAATTTTTAAATCTTTAATAGCTTGGGGAATAACTTTGATCTCTTCTACTTCGTGATAAACATTAGTCTCACCATGCTTGTTAAAAGTGTTATACCCCCAGTTATTATTATTATGGAAAAGAGCTCTATTATATGGGGTTAATTCATATCCATTTTTCAATTTACTAACTAAATCAGGATTCGAAGTATAAAATCTTGCAAATCCAACCAAAGTTCTATCATCAGCGGTATCATGCATAAGAGAAGTGAATTCTGGTGCATCATAAGTATAATTACCTGCTTTAATGACTTTACCTTTCCAAACTGCATAAACGAAATCGTTTGATCCAGTCTGATCTTCAACTGCAACATCGTAAGCACCACTGGTCCTTGGCTCAACAACAGAAACATAGGCAATTTCTTTACCTGCATCAGCTCTCTTTTGTAGTTGATGTAATAAATAAGAATGCGTTGTAATTGGGTGAACTTCATCTTTATGAGCTAACATTCCTTGAAAAGTTCCCCACGGAGAAATTCTAATACCAATTTTATCAGCCCCAATAACAGAAGATAAATGATCAACTAATTCTAAGAGAAGTCTAGCTCTATTTTCAATTGAACCTCCATATTCATCAGTTCTTTTATTAGTTACCGGTTGTGAAAATTGATCTAATAAATAGCCATGAGCAAAATGAAGTTCAATATAATCAAATCCAGCTTCCATTGATCTTTTGGCAGCTTTAGTGAAAGTATTATAAATTAAATCCTTAACTTCTTCAGTTGATAAAGCTCTAAGGATAACACCAGCATCTTTTGCTTCCTTTTCAAAATGATCATTTTCAAAAATTGCAGAAGGAGCAACAATATCAAATCCTTTTTCTTTGGCAATTTTAGCAGCAGCAACTCTACCTAAGTTCCAATATTGATTAGAAATAAAAGATCCATTGGCATGAACTGTATCAACAATAGTCTTCCAAGCCTTGACATGTTCATCAGTGAAAATACCAGGAACATTTCTATATGCCGAGTCTTGAGGAGATATAAATGTACCTTCTGAAATAATTAAAGAACCAGGATATTGAGATCTGTCAGTATAATATTTCAATTCTAAGTCAGATGGAGTATGATCATCTAAAGCTCTAAATCTTGAAGTTGGAGCATAGACGATCCTATGAGATAATTCGTTCTTACCAATTTTAATGGATTTAAATACATTTGTATCCTTTAATGGTACACCTTGAATAACAGTCATAATATATTCTTTGTTTAATGTTAGCTTTAATATCTGATATTTCTTACGTCAATCTAACTGTCTATTTATACTTTGGTTGTAAAACTTTAGCATCAGTCATCAGGTGGAATCATTTTTAACAGCCACAACGCATATTAATAATAATAAATCACCGGAAAAATACCAAATAACTCCATTGAGATTACAACGGATAGATCAAAAAAAAAATTTCAATAATATAAGATTGATAACATCCGTTAGAGCTCGGTGTTACGATGTTTGAATATCTTCTCGATGTTAAGCAGTATCAGAACTACTTGAAACCGAGTTAATTTCTACAATAAAATCTCATTTCAGTCGTACATTTGTAATAAACAAGCCTATTTACATCTAATTTCTATTGTACATTTATTTGTAATCACTTAACACATGGAAATTTTCCAACCAAAATCATTGCAAATATCTAACCAATCAATGCATATATTTCCATTCTTATTTCTTGACCAAGATTCTTTAACTACATCCCAAATTCTCCTCACATTTCCAACATGATATTTTTCATAAACTTTTAAAAATTTACTATTCAAATTTTGTCTATCAAAAGTATTACAACACGATATACCACAGATTAATAATGACATGTTTAATGAACTGACCAAATTGGTTTCGACCAACTCATTTATAATGGTTTGAGCTTTAATTAAATAATTTTGAATTTCACTTGATATAGGTTGGGTTTGCTTTATGTATAAGAATAAGTACATTTTACAAGTGATTCGGTATAATTCGAATAACTTTAAGTGATTGGCTTGATCTTCATATGATAATTGATTTAATTGATTTTGATTAGGTTGACAAAAATCTATCTTATTATCTAATTCTGTAATTTTTTCATTAATTCTCTTGAAATAACTTAATCGAAGATTATTTATGGCATCAGGATTTGAATTATGAGATTCATTTAATAAATGATTTAAATTGATTCGTTCTTCTTTTAATGCCACATAAGTATTCATGATTTCCCCTAATAATAAATAAATCGATTGTATACATCCTTGATAAGGATCAATACCATAATTATCTAATTCTAATATCTTATTAAACTTGAATAAATCATTATAATGGGTCATAGAACAAATGGTACCATTCTTTAAAGTTTCACTTGACATTATATCATGAAATTGGAAATTTGATACTAAAAATTTACAATCATTTGAAAAAGTGAAATCATTTAAAAATTTAGATAATCCACCATAATCTTTGAATAATTTAACACATTTTTGAAGATATTCATGCCAATGTTTAGTATCTCCGGCACATACTTGAATACCAATTAAGATTAGATAATAAGCTAACTTTACGAAGGAATCAAATTTATCATTGGTAGACGTGGCTTCAACTAAGGCATTCCCTCGTTCGATGTACTTATTCATTTGAACATATTTATCAGTATCATTAAGATTATTATCAAATAAAGCACCCCAAGCTGCTAACCCATTCAGAATACTTTCATTAGTAATAGCTAAGGTGAAAAATGTCTTTAAGAAATAATTTGATGATTGAGGACTTATTGATATTAATGGAGCAACCTTACTTTCAAAGAAATCCAAATGATTTAATCCATTATCATCTAGGAAAAGATTAAATGTGGATGAAAGATTGATATATAATGGCATTGGATCTTCTTCATCTGTAATATCATTCGTAGTGATTAATTCTGTAGATGAAGATGTTGTAGTTAGTAAATCTACTCCATTAATGGATTGGTTGTTATTAATTGATTCAAGCAAATCATTGATATCCAATGAAGATGTGAAACTGGATGATTTAGTTATAGTTTGAGTAGTTGATGGCTGTGGTTTCCTTACTTTTTTGGTTACAATTTTATTATTATTATAAAATAACATTGACCATTCACATTTAATACCTCTTTTATCACAATAAGTACAAGTGGGATGGATTTCATCACATTTTCTTTTCCTTTGTTTACAAGTCAAACAACCAGTTTTAGATCGGGATTTCTGATTACCACCATGATTATTATGATCTTGACTGTCTGTAATAATATTCTTAGGTGATACTATTATGTCTGAGATGGATAAACTTTGGATATCGGTTGGAGTGGTTGAGGTTACTGAATTGAAAGAATTCAAATCTAGTGTGGCGTACATATCCTTAGACTGTGACTATATGGTTATCATTTGATTGATTGATCTGATGATGCCCAATATGATATGATATCCCAATTGTATGAGTCAAATTTTTGACATGCAGTTAATTTTTCTGATACCTTTTATAAAAAATGTCAGATTTAAAGTCAAGTCGCAAAAAATTAAAAAGTGTCTGATTTTGTGATTTACCCCTCCCCCAAAAAAATTAAATGTCTTTTGTTGTTAAATTCTATTTATTTTTACAAACTATAAAAATTTTAACGTCTTTTTTAAGAACAGCACAATTTATCAAAGGGTAGAAGCGTCTATTTAGATTTAGTTTCATTTATACCGATTGGCAAAACATTGAATGCCGTGTCTGGTTGCCATCTTTGGAAGTGATATATAACTCGATTGATCATCATGTCTATTTCATTGTCACCTTTAAGGTCTGAATTTGATGGAAGTAGTCGTACTCCGGATGACTCGTCATTTGAAAATAACACAATAATGACTCAAGGTACAACTACAACTACCACTACAAATTCATCTACAAACACAAATACTCCCATAATACACCATGACGTCAATGTCTCAGTTCCCATCAAATCCAATGTGAAGGTAAAATCAAGTACAACCAACACAACGAAACAAAAGTCTAATCGACTTAAATATTCAAGACCTTGTGATGCTTGTTCATTAAGGAAAGTGAAATGTGATTTAAAGAGTCCTAACTGTAGTCGATGTATCGAACATGGACTACCATGTACCAACAATAGAGTTAGAAAGAAGTGTGGTCCTAAAAAGATTCATCTGAAAACAAGAGAAAGTATCTTACAATTAGCATCCTCTAATTCTCGTAAGAATACTGAAACCACATCAAACAATCATAATTTATTACTTCAATCAAACTCCAATAATAATGCATTTGTACCCTTAATATCAATTGAAAAGATTCTTCCCTGTCTACAAGTATATCAAACTTGGTATTATGGGGTATGGCCAGTAGTATCGGTATCATATTTAATGTCTAAACTTATTAATAATTCAAGTTCCACTACCAAATTCTATCGAGATAAATCAAATACTGATTCTATTTCAGTTTATGCTTTAAGTTGTGCATTATCAGCAACCATTGTTCGACAAGCTTTTTTCTTATCATCACAATCACCATTAATTAATCTCCCTAATGATGTCAATCATGAAGATTTCGCTAATGAGGCTATTCGATCCTTAGAATTCTACAATTACAGATTAAATCCAAGTCCTGATAGTTTATTAACATCGTTTTTCTTATATGGTTATTATATAAACATCAAAGGATCAACTAAATCAGCTATAAGTTATTTACGAGAAGCAATATCAACGGCTCAAATTCTTGGATTACAAAATTCAAGTACATATATTAATAAATCAACGGCTGAAATTCATCGATTAAGAAAAATTTATTATTTATTATTGGTTACTGAAAGATTCATATGTATTGAAGATCATATGCCTGTTATTTTAGAACCATCAATTCCATTCCCATCTTTAAATGATGAAGAATATTCAACTTTATTAACTGGATTTACTGAATTAGTTAAAATTTTTGCTATACCAGATAAGAATTTCTTTGATAAATTTTTATTATTACAAATGAATGAAAATAATGATATTGATATGATAAAGATCTTACCCACTCGAAATTGGATTATAAATATTCAACATCAATTAAATTCGATTCCAATCTTACAAGAAACTTTAGATATTCAAAAATTAAATATCTTAATCAGTAAATATTGGATGAAAGCCTTAACGTGGAATATCTGTAAGAAGAATAATTTATTATTAGATGGAGATATACCTAACCAGAATGAATGCTTGTCGATCGTATTCCCCTTTCATATTGCCAAGGGGTTTTTGAATGAAACAAAAGGATTACCATTATTTTCATTTGAATCAAATGGTCCAGGGGTATGCATTAAATTATTAGAAATTGCTAATAGTTTAGTAGATGCTATTAATTTAAGTAAGAATTACGAAGGATTTCAATATTTAGCTCAAGTATTTGCTTTAATTTCAACTTTAAAGAATGATGTCACTTTACCGATTCATTTATATAATAAAATCGAAAGTATTTTAATTTCCCATTCTTTAAAAGTTCCATTTCTGCCCTTCACACCAATCTTACTGGATCAATCCCAATCTCTTCAACCTCAACCATTACAATCCCAAATTACTCCATCATCATTCCCTGGTGAAAGTTATATCTCGGAATTACCCGACGATTATCATATAAATGAAGATGATTCAACCAAAATCAATGGAGAATTATCGAAATCAGGTTTCTCTCCCTTTTCAACTCATCTAAACTTAACATTCACTGTCCCCAGTCAGACCAATCTTATGGAATTACAATCAAAATCAAATAAAGATATTGCAGCCATATTTGATTTCAATAATCCATCTCCTATAAATCCCAATAATAACAATAATAATAATAATTCAAATATGAATGGAACAGCAGCTATAACTACAACTACCACTACCACTACTAGCACTACAGTATCGGCAAATATAGCACATGCTGCATTTAATGAACTTTATGAATTATACAAGCCAAGTGATAATTAAAACCTCATAAAATTTAAAAATTGTGAATGAATGCGAATTAGATAATTTTATAAAATACAATACAATAAAATATTAAAAATAAATATATTTTCCAATAATTGTAAACACTAAATAATCTAGTTAAAAAATTTTAATTTAATTAGTTGAATTGAAAATGAATGAATGGATGAATGGATGGATGTAAACAAAATAATGATAAATATATAAATCCATCTATTTTTATGCCATGAATGAAATTTTTACATACATAAATATATATATATATATATATATTAAACCTTAATTCTAATCATCTTCATCAAGATCAGTTTCCAAATCACACATTGTACGACAATTTGGACAATAAAATTGAGGATAACTTTTTATTATTATAGGTCTAATACATTTATAATGCCATGAATGAGAACAAGGACTTATAAATAAGGCTTGACAAGGTTCAATTTTCATTAAACAAATAGCACATTCAGCTAAATCATTACCACTTTTTGAATTTGGTAATGGTAAGGAATTTGAATTTGTTGTATCATTATTAATAATATTTTCATCATTTATTTCATTTGTGGAATGTAAATTTTTTAATTTTTTATGCATTTCTAAATTAAATTGATTAACTTTTCTTTGCCAACTTTTATTAAATTCACATCTCATTTTAACACATCTATAAACTTCTTCTGTACCTCCACGATAATCCATACCTAATTGAATTATATCACCATCAATTAATGGCATTAAAGTTGATTCTTGAGATGCAGGAGATAATCTAATATGATTTAAAAATGTTCCAGAAGAAGATTTACAATCTTTTAAAAACCATTGACCATCTTCATTACATTGAAATAAAGCATGAGTTCTTGATACCACTTTACTTTTGAATACAATTGGAGCTGAAGAACCTTGAGGAGCATGAGCAGCTGATTTATTTTTTTCAGTATATCTTCCAATTGAAATTCCCGATTTTGGCTTAATTTTTCTTATAATGGGAGAAAAATATAATCCTGATGATGAAGATGAATGATCAATTAATGGAGTTAATCTTACCGAAAAGAAGCCATCTTTATCCATTCCATTTGTTTTTTCATCATCTAAAACCGAATCAGTACTAGTAGTTTGAGCATTATTATTATTATTATTATTATTAGTAGTAGTATCAGATGATGAAGATGCAGTAGGAGGAAGGATAGATGTATGATTAGTGGTAATTTCCAAAGCATGATCATTATTATCTTCATCCTCATCTTCTTCTTCTTCATTGATGATATTAGTATTAAGAATAGATGAAGAATTAGGAGGATTTGATTCATTATGATTATTATTTATAAGAGTGACATTATTTAAAGTATCATCATGACTATAAGCAGTTGGAGGAAGTACTTGTTGTTGTTGTTGTTGTTGTTCTTGATCACTTGAAGTTGAAGAAGAGGACATATTTGAATCATTTTCAGGAATTGGATTATTACTATCTAAAGTATTTTGTCTACTTGAACGATGACGTTGAGGATAAGTTGTCATAGCTTCATCATGTAAAGTTGTGGAAGCATAATTACTTAAATTTGCAATGGTTGGACTATTTGACATAAATACTTCTGGACTTGGAGAAGTTGAAGGTTGAGATTGTTGAGAAGTGGTGGTGGTAGTGGTGGTAGTCGAATTAGTATTTGGACGAATGGAACCAGTGATTGAATTTAATAAATTTAAACCAAATGAAGGTTTTCTATTAACTGGAAGTTGATTTGGACTATCAGGATTACTATTAGTGGCACTATTTGGATCTGAAATGTTTAAGTTTGATAAACTTAAAGATGAATCATTATTATTATTATTATTATTATTATTATTATTATTATTATTAATGGAAGAAGTAGCAGTATTATTAGTGGTGGGTAAGGCAGGAGGAGGTAAGAATGAAGAATCATGTTGATCATGATCAGTTATAGGAGATGAAGGCATACTAGGAGGAGAATTTAATAGTGGCGGTGATGAATGTTTGGTATTTGTAGATTTCGATGATAAAGTTCTAAGGGTTGGACTTAATAAATCATGAGATATAGTGGAGGTGGTGGTGGTAGTCGCAGTAGTAGTATTACCTGCTGAAGTGGTGGTGGTGGATGAAGTATTGATTAAGCCATGAGGGGGTTGATTAGTGGTTGCTGTAGTGGTTGTTGAACTTTCAGGCATAATGTGATAAATTTTCTTAATGTAGATGTATCAGGGCGGTAGAAATTATTTGTGAAATTAGAGAGATAAGGTGAGGCAAGGAGGGAGGGAGGGATGCAATAAAGACAATTCTACTGGAAGGAATTAAAGGGTGAGGTATTGACCGTATGCTAGAATGATGATATACTACTGCTTAAAGGGGGTCTAAAAGTTTAAGCAGTTTTCAAAGATGGATTGGAATGGAATGGAATGGATTAAGAATTAGAAATATGTTTAATGATGAATGATGATGATGAATTTCTTCTTGACGTTTTGAGTAAAAACAGTTTTTTTTTTTTTTTGGTTTTTGATTTTTGATTTTTGGGATTTTTTGGTTTTTGGTTTTGTCCCTTTGTTTATTAGTGAGAAGTGCTTAATTTAAGATTATTATTAATCGTTTCTTTTTTAAGAAAAAGGATCTATTATCTATCGATGAATATGTAATCAAGTTAAGTCAAGTCAAGTCAGTCTGTTACAAAGACAATCGATGAGGATATACGATCTAGGCATAGATAATACAGAACTTACTAATAATAATCAAAAGATTAATTACTAAATTTGAATAAAATAAACGATAAATAATAATAATAATAATAATAATAAACGATTATTATTAGTAACAGTTTACGTTAGGGAGAATAAAGTATAACTAGCAAGAGGAAGAGGAAATCAAAAACTGAAATTACGCTAAAGTAGTGGTAAACTCTCTCTCTCTCTCTCTAATAAAAGTTTTACGTAATTTAATTTATTTTAGTGAGAGCGTGTGGGTATGACTGACTGACTGACTGACTGAATGACTGTGGGGTGGGGAGATCCATCCATAGTTAACTCTGTCAGTCTGTCTGTCTGTCTTTCACTAATTACTATTAATTATGGTTACTCATACCACCACTACATTTATATCATCTGATACTTTTATTTTACATTTCTTGATTCTATTATATTCTATTCTATTATATTATATCATCATCTACTCTCCTCTACTCTCCTCTCCTCTCTTCTCTTCTAATCCAGTCTATTGTAGTTTTTGATAAATCAAAAAGTTTAAAATAAAATAAAAAAAAAAAAAATAAAAAAAAGAAATTTTAAAAATTGTGGTGGGACTGAACTGAACTGAACTGAACTGAACTGAATTGGTGTGAGTGGAAATTTAAATTTAAATTTAAACCAGCTTTATTTACTGGTTAATTCTTTACTATTAAAATTTCATCTATTATTACTATTAGTTATACTAATTATTACCATGTACATCCATGTCTGATGGATCATAGTTATTACCTTTTAAATATTACTTGGTATTACTTCTAATAAGATGTACATAAATTGACATCATTTTTAGTCCCTACAATCTATCTATCTATCTATTTATCTATTTATTTTATCTGTATAGGAGATCTTTTTTTTTATTTTTTATTTTGGCTTGGGGTCGTGTGATTGTGTTCAAATTATACCCTCCCATATTAAATCTCTTATCTATATCTACTACCTACTATAGATATTATCTAATATTACAATAGAACCCCTTATAATACTATAATTCTACTATTTACAATTCACTCGCTTAACTACATTACATTATACTAAAAAAAAATCCATTTTATTAAAAAACCTTTTTGAAAACTACTCCCTCCCTTATCACTCAATTAATCTAATTAATAATTCCTGTAATTGTTCTCTACCTCGTTCATTCTCCCATATAAAATGACTACTATTCTCTGCTATAACCCATTCCATCGATTTACTACTTAATGAACTAATCTCTCGTTGCCATTTCCCCCAATTTAATGAATTTTTAATCATACCATCAGATGTTATCGTCCCAATCGGGATATCCTTTAAATCACATACTTTAACTTCATTATATGATAAGATACTAGATGTAATTTGTTCTTGTAATCGAGCTCGCAAATATATCGGTTGATAATACATATCTCTTCCATAAATTCGATTATTACTTGATCCATATTTAAATGGATGTAAAATTAAATGAAAATTTGAAATTAATCCTAATGGTGATAAGATATTTTGAATCCATAATTTAAATCCTTCTCTATTACTCATTAATTCAAGAATATGATTAAATATATTCGATTTTTCTGTTCTTCGATTAATCCCACTATAAGGATATTTCTTTAATAAATCTTCATGCCAACTATCAACAAATAAAATAGAATGGATTTTATCATGATTCCTCGAGGCAAAGATTCGACTGTATAATCCTCCAATATCAAATCCCACTAAAGCATATGGACCTTCAATCCCTTGTTTATCCAACGCTTCCATCAAATAATCATTAATAATCCCCATCGAACTAGGTGAAGGACTACTCAGTGAAAATCCATACCCAGGTCTATCCCAAATACAATATCGTTCAACCTTATGTAAATGATATAATTCTTCAATCCATTCTTGAAATTCTTCACTTGAAGTCAATTGACCATGATTAACTAATACGATTGGTTGTGATGATGAATTTGAATTTTCCACATCTCCATAACAACTTAAATGAAGTTGTACTTGATCATCATTCACATTAATTAATTCTCCCCATGGATTTTCAAAACTATCAAATGCCGATATCGATAATGTAACACTTAAATTCCATACTAATAAAAATATCAATATTTTAAACGTTGATTTAATCACAATGATTATCATTTCCCAGAGAGTTTTCCGATTTTCAATTCGTCCCGTATACCTTATTTCTTGATATTGTTTATAATTCTCAGTAAGATAATTAAAATAGGCATTAACGAAGAAATTAATAATCGTCCAAATCATCACACTTAATCCGAAGTAACCCCATCTCAGTCGTAATTTATCAAGTACAATCATAATTAAAAAATCAAATCCTAATAACCCAGTAATGATATACCCTAATACTCTTTCGAAATAAACTGGGACGGCAAACCAACTATGTGTGATCCAATTCGATAATATACTCACCAAAATCAAATCTATTGTGAAACTTGATTGACCTAAGCTATAAAATCCAGGTATGGTGATGAATAAATCACTTACCAAAATCAAAATCATTAATAAAACATTAATCACTAAGAATACATTAATGATCAATTTTAAGATTTGCACTTGCCGTAAATTCAAGGGTGAAACTTTAGGATCATCAGGATCAAGATATTGATGATTATGATTGTTTAATAATGGATCTCGTTCATCTTGTTCATCTAATTCATGTTGGTTTTCTAAATCGGATGTTGGTGGACTGGTTGGAATGGGTGGTTGTACTTGAAGTGGTTCACCAAGTATTCGAGCATGATCATGAGGATGACTGTCTTCCGTAGTTTTACTTCCTGTAGACATGATGATGTTGTAATTGTTGTTCTCTTCTTCCATAGGAAACAGCTAGAAGAGAAATCTGTTCGTATATATATATACTTTTAAGGTTGCTTTTGTGGAAATTTATCCTGTGTATATTGAATTTACATCACTTAAATTTTAATTTGGTTGCTAAATGACTAACTATATCCAATTTCACATTTCCTACATCGTTTCCATTTCAGATTTCTTTATTGATTATATCGTAGGTCATTCAGTATCGGATAATTGGTCATATGGCTATTCACTTTGAATTTCACTTTGTAGGCCTCAATTTTTACTATACCCCATATTTTAATGAGCCTCACCTTTTTTTGGTCTACCATTTACTAGGTAAACTTCCTCTAAATACCTCCTTTAATCATTATTAACTTATATTATAAACGATAAGAGTCAACCTTAATCTTATCCTGATGATACCCTCTATTCATATATCCATTCTCATGTATATTTAATAGATACTGGTTGATTTACTATGATAGAAACAATTTTCCTGTACATAAGCCCAGCTATCAAAACGCCATCGTCAAAATTAGAAATTCTATATAAACAGTAATAAGATAACATACAAGTTATCAATTCCCAAACATCCTCATAAATGGCCATATAACAAGAAGCTCTTCAAGATGAGTACAGAAATCATATCAATACCACAAGTCTCCGATCATAATGGTATAATCTATTATCAAATCTTGGTGAAATTACCTTTACGATCAATTAATATCCAACATCGGTATTCTGATTTTGAAGATTTAGTAGAGAAATTATGTGATAGTCTTGGGATTAATAGTAATGATTTCCCATATCCATTACCTTCTAAAAGAATCAATTGGTTTAAAAATAAAACAGAAGCGATTATTAATGAACGGAAATTGGAATTATCAAAATTCTTAAATTTAATCATTAGAGATTCAACTTTACAAAATAATAAACAACTTCATGAATTCTTACAATTACCGATAAATTTCAAATTTAATAGTAATTTATTCAAATCCACTAATAATACTTCAAAATCAACCTCCACCATTGCCAATGATGAATCATTATTATCGATAGATTATAAACAAATTGATGAAAATACATGGTTGGAAATATTCAGAATCTTAAATAAATCAATCTTACATCTCATTCAAACTTTACAATCGAATACTTCCATCAGTGATAAATTACATACTAAGGATAAGATTAATCGATTATATCAACCTGCTATTAAAAATTTATCGAATTCATTAAGTAATCTCATTTCAGTCTTAAAAAATGATGAATATTTAAGAAGAAAACTACTTATAAAGGAATTGGATGAGAGTTTATATGCTTTAGTTGAGATTTGTAATGCCAATAAAAACTCCAAACGTGAAGTGTCCTCATCAGCATCATCTTCATCAACTATTACTACTTCTCCAGTAGGTGGATTCTCAAGAAGAGTATTCGGAAGTAATCCACAAGAAACAAAAGAAACGATTGGAGTCAATAATCAAGATTTATTACAACAACAGGTTCAAATCCATAAACAACAAGATCAAGAAGTTGAACAATTAAGAAAATTAGTCGTTCGTCAAAGACTAATTGCTGAAACTATTAATAATGAAGTGGCAGAACAGAATTATTTGTTAGATCAATTTAATAGTGAAGTGGAAGATACCAAGGGGAAACTTAGATCAGCTAGAAAACAAGCTAGGAATATTTTATAGAGTAGATTAAATAAAGAAATTAATATACACACAATCTGAAAATACAATGGTAAATCTAAATGTTTATTAAAATTAAAATATCTATCTTTTAAATCAATCTTTAACTTATTAAATAATTGAATATTCTTGGGTATTTCAACATATGAATTCAAATTATCATCGATATCATTATTAATATCAATATCAATAGGAGTTATTTCTTCCACTTGTTTAATAACATCAACTGAATTTAATACTCTTTCATTAAATGATCCTGGTAATATATCTTTAATTTTCCAAAATCCTCCCACATTATTAAGAAAATTAGCTACTCCAAGTCTTCGAGGAGGATAAGCTCTACCACAATTTTCTAAATCAAATATACTGGGGAAATATTGGGAGTAAAACCATACCGCTACAGCAGTTCCAATAATTGAACCTCCAATAACATCTCTTAAAAAATGACGATTATCACTGATTCTCGTACATGAAACAAAACAAGCTATCATAATTGGGAAAATAGCTAATATAACTTTAAATGATATTCCACGTTTATCAAAAACTTGCAACTTACCGGCAATATTTAAACTTGAGATAACCATACCACAAAATACGGTTGACAGATGACCACTTGGGAATGATCTAAATCCTTCTTGAATTAAATTGATATTGGGATTAGAACATATGGTCACAGTAGCCAATTGTAATGGAGGTTCAGTGGTAAGATTTGGTTGACATCGGGATAATAAATCAGGTCTTGGCAATCCACAAATATTCTTTAAAATAACAGTAAACATTAATTGAATCGCCATACCACCACATAAACACATTAATCCAATATATATATCCCAAAACTGTCTTGATTTTGATAAAGTATGATTATTTATTAATGAACATACAATAAACTGAATGATGGGAATACCCACAGCTATTAATATCAATGGTACTAAAGGAACAGCAGTTTCATCTTCTGGTTTATAACTGTACATTAAGCTGATATCATTAATCAGAAACTCATGGTAGCGTGGAGGAGCAGTGGTACCAAATATGATGAATGTGAGGAGGATAGAAATATATATCAACCAATCAAGGATATAAGAAAAGAATGTTAAGCCTGATATATTATGATTTCTTAATCTTATTGACCAATCTGGTAGGTCTGTATGAATCATTATATATAATAGATGAAGTAAAATCAGAGTTACCGCTGACTTTATAAGTTTATATATGGCCGCAAAATTTAAACAGAGAGAAAGTACCTACTTTTGAAATAAATCCGGGGTAACAGAAAAGGAAAATTAAACATCTACAACAAAAAAAACTGCTTCTTCATACAAAAAATTTTCAACATCAACTACTTCTTCTTTCAATAACAATACATTGAAACACATGTTTACCTGACTAAATGAGTATGTTTTTTTTAACTAATGAATTATATCATTGAAATATTCAAGTAATTTTTGTGGTTTTCTGTTTAGAAGATGATAAGACTTCGCCTAAATCGATATTTTATGAGAAGACAAAAAAGTTTACACCAAGATCTACGCTGAAATTAATAGAAATAATCACGTTTAAGAAATTATTTGAATATATTAAAATGATAGTCTAATATCTTTTTGGAATATTTTTATACTAACTAACTAATTAGCGAAAATGTTAGGATGTTTTTCTTTTAAAACTTTACCCCAAGCCTTTATACCTTCTTCTAAATCTTCTTCTGGAAGATAACTAAGTGAAAGTCTAACACTTGTTTTTCCCCAACCTCTTGTATCACCAGCAACTTCGAAGTTATCTCCTCCTGCAAGTATTACCCCTTGTTGGGATAATTCCTTAACGATTGCATTATGATCTTGTTCACCAGGAATTTCAACCCATAAGAAATATCCACCATCACCACCAAAGACTTTGGTTGATGAGGGAAGATATGTAGCAATACTTTTCTTTATAACATTTGCTCTTGATTTATAAACCTTTTTAAATTGCTCAATGATAGTATCTAACTCTCCACTAGTAATCAAATAATTAACCACTAAAGAAGCCAATTGTCCCGGAGTACCTCCTGATCTATTTGCACCAGTAATGGCCAATTGTTCTGATAATTTTGGGGTGGTCAGTTCTTGCCAACCAACTCTTAAACCAGGAGCAATAATTTTGGAAAATGTACCATTGGAAATACTATTACCATAAGTATTTGAACTTGGTAATGAATCACGATCAATATGAACCAATCTTGGAATAGGATATTTATTATCAGTATAATCTAAGAATTCATATACATCATCACTTATGATTAATAAATCGTATTTTCTGGCGATTTCAATTAATTTAGTTCTTGTCTTTTCTGAATAACTAAGGCCACCTGGATTTGAAAAAGTTGGAACAATATAAATGACAAATCTGTATAATTTTCTATCTCCTCTAACTGGATCTTTTATGACATTGATTTCTTTATGTTCAGTTGTTTCTAATCCTTTACTATAAAATATCAACTTTTCTTCTAAAGTTTTAAGATCAATTTCATATTCATCCCCCGGAGTTTCATCAATAGCAGTTAATTTGCCTTCGAACCCATTATCGAGGAAACTACTGGTGATTAAATAATACGTAGGCGTAACAATGAATGCTTGTTTGGTAATTGATGAAGAATCAGTAACTGATGTAAGAATGTTTGCAACTCCATATGATGCACCAGCCGTTAAATTAAGATTATCAGGATTAGTATTTGACCTGCCGAATCTCTTATCGGTCCATTCGGCAATAGTTTTCCTAACTTCGAAATTCCCAGGATCGGTACCATATTGTAAAGGATGTTGATTAAGTGGATCTGTTTCATAGGCTAAATAATCACTATCTAATAAGACATGATTATAAGCCTTAGCGATCTTCTCAGCAGGAAGTAAAGATCTAGTAGGGTGACCTCTAAAGAAGTTAATTGGCATTATAGATCAATTGGTTTTCACTAGTAGGAATATATATGAACTAATCTTAAATGCAATTGAATAATTTGAAAAGCCGGTAATTGTGGATATTAGAGTTTTATTATCAACTTTTTCAAAAAACTCAGTCACGTGAACACTGAAATGATAAAAAATATCAATATATATGACATATATTGGATCATTGGTTAAAGATATGAAAATAAGGTCATCAGTAACGTACCAGTAGAAAGATTTTCATTACCATTAATTTCTATAAATTATCATTCCCAACTTCCAATATAGTCTTATCTTCATAATTATAATAATTGCAGTAATAAATACTACATACCTGCATACAAGTATCATGAAAATGTTGATTTTTTTTTTTGACAGTCGAACCAATAAAAAAACAATAAAAAGTTATTATGTATGAGAAATTTACCAATATCATCTAAGTTAACTACACCATATACAATGCCATCTGCATCAGGATTATTGTTTGCTACATTCCTAGGCTCTGCCACTAGAAGATTACAAGTCCAACTTGTGGGTAAAACCTATCCAAGAGGATGGGATAGAGTTCCCGGTTATATATTATCATCAGGATTATTCATAGGTGGATATCTTGTGTTTGATAGTTATATTCAAAGTAATAGAAAGTTATTGGACAGAAGATTGGCTATTTTACGTGAACAAAGAGCTGTCAAGGATGTGTTTTATGAATTTGAAGAAGAACCAGATCATAGACAAACTGCTGATAAGAGTGGTAGATTCTTTAGATTATTTGATAAATTTGGTGCTCCATACAAATAAATCATCAAAAGTCAACACCAAGCTTGATTCTTATTCCCCATCCCATTTAATGCCAATTCCATTGCATTTCATTTTGCATCTTGTATACTAGTATTCGTTCATATGGAAGGAAGGTTTACAAAATATACATATTATATTATTATAAAAGATTTTATTTCACAAGTTCTTTTTTACTTTTACATTTTACTTTCATTTATTTATTTTTAATGATTAGTTTTATACAGTTAGTTATGTTAATATTAAACTTTTTTTCCAATTTATATAAGCATTGGATTTGTAGAAATGTCTGAATGTTATTAATCAATTTCTTCAACTTCTTTATTTTTATTGAAATTTCCATCTTCAACCTCACTTTCTTCTTCTTCTTCATCATCATCTCCACTATTATTACCAGCATCACTATCGAATTCTTCAGCCACATCACTATCATCATCATCCTCTTCTTCTCCTTCTTGAAAGTCACCATCTTCTTCATCACTGTCTACTTCCTCTTCTCCATTTATTTCAGTAATTTGACCTTGATCGTTATTATTGGTATTATTACCTTTATTATCCTTTTCTTTTAAATTGGCATCAAAAGAATTATCATTAATATTTTGAGATTTTATAAAATCATCAATGATTTGAAAGAAATTTTGATCAATCATACTAAATTCCACAATTCTTTCTTCTCCTTTATTATTAACTATAGTAAATAATAAACTAAAAGTTAATCTTGTTATATTTGTATAAGATGAATCTTTAATTTTTGAAATTTCAAATAATAATATTGGTTTTTTGAATCCAAAGATAATATAAGGATGATTAAATTCATTAGTATTTAATAATAATAATACCCCATCTTTAGCACCTTTATGACAATCAACCATAATTAAAGTATTGGAAATATTATTATTGGATAAAGCAAGAGCATTATCATTATTTAAAGTGAATTGATTATTAAAAATATGAGTTCCAGGTAAATAATTAATTAAATTAATTCCACATAATTTGAATTGACGTTTAAAATAATCAATAATATTTTCATGAATTGGATGTAATGATAAATTATTATTTTCATTATAATTTATAAATTGATTTTCAATATTAGTAGGTAATTTACCTAATTTAATCATTTGTTTTTTAATTAAATCAAGATTAATTTGACAAATTATTGGATCTTTATTTTCATCATTAGTCCAAAAACATAATGAAACAATATTTTTTTTAGTTGGATTAGTTGAATTACCTAAAATTGGTACTATAATACATAATTTAATGAAAGTTGATAAATTTATAAGGGAAATTTCCGGAATTTGATTTGAAGGATTAACAATGGATAATACTGGAGTTGCTTCACCATTTCTTTCAATTAAATGAAAGATTAGGTTCATTTTCTTTCTAATGGGTGATTGGAATGAAACTTGAGATATTTCAAAGATTATGGTTTCAGGAATTAAAGGTTCTGTAATTGAAATTTGACCATCAATGATAGTTGATGGGTCAGTGGAAGAAGATTGAGATTGATTATTACCATTGTTATCATTGTTAAGATCAATGGTTTCTATTTTTCTTTTCTTATGGTAATCATCATGATCATTATTACTGTTGTTATTATTATTGGTTTGTTGATTAATTCCAGAGCAATGAAGATATAATTGAGTGAAAACATCGGTGGTTTCAGGATATTTTGATAATACTGAATAGATTTGAACTTGAAGATCCTTCGGTAACGACAGGATCCATGAACTATCACTCGCCATTATGATGAAGATAATGTTGTTGTTGTTGAATGAAATGGTTAATGAATTAAATTAAACAATTAATTAATTGGATTGAATCAAAAGTCAAGTCTGGAAAATGTAAATTTATGTAAACAGCGTTTAACAATTTTATTTTTTTTTTCTGATCCCAATCCTGATCTTTGGCGTTAGTAAACTAACTAATAGTTTACTGTAACTATTACTGTTTAAAGTTCTAAATTTTTTTACGTTAAAATCAAAATAAAATTGTCCCTAAATTGAGCCATGAAAAGCTTAACTCATTTAGGAAATCATTCCACGTTACGTTAACTTATTCTCGTCAAAGTTTTCTCTCTGATCGCGCCGTCGCTCAATTAATTTCATTAACTACTTTTCTCACTAAATTTTAAGCGCAACAACCTAAGAAAAATAATTGAGATTTGGGGGCAGGCAGGGAGGGAGGGAGGGAGAGAGGAGTAGAAAAGTTTGAGGAGGGACTACCTCAGTAAATTAAAGGAAAAAAAATAGGCACACGGTACGTCAAATTATATTAATTATAACCTAACCCAATCCAACCCAACCACTTGTAATAATCCAACCCAAGAGGGGAACCGAAACAAGCCTCCGTTTACGAATACCCCATGATACTATGTGTCATTACTACTAATCTATGATGACAGATCAATTACAATTCCAATTCCAATTACAAAATTCAAATATAGTTGAATTATTACCATCAATTTTACATAATCTATTTTATAAACAAACAAAATTAGATAATTTTACCCGTTATTTACAATCAAAATATGATTTTGAATCGCAATATTTATTAACCAAATTAAAGGATGTTAATGAATCAAGTTATAATCAATTGAATGATAATGATAATAATAATAATACCTTAGTTAAATTAGATAATGATAAAACCCTTTTATTGGGGTATTTATTTGGTAATGTGTTTATTGATGCCATGAATATTGTTAATGAAGATTCATCAATTGAAATAAAAATACTTAAACGTGGAAATGATATAAATTCTAATGATATCGTTGAACAATTCATGAAAGATCAACACTTTAATCATCCATTATTCTTTTATGTGAATCAATTATCATCACCAAATTCAACCATATCAAGTAAATCACAAAAATTAGCTCAATCACTTAGAGAAGAGTTACTTGAATTAGAATATAAACAATACTTACATGATTTAGAGATTGATCGATTTGGTAGTGAAGAAATTGAACAAAAAAATATTATGAGACAATCTCAAATCAATCAAGAATTGAAATCAATTTATAGTAGTAATACAAATCAAAATCATAGTAATAATGATCAAACTGATGATAAGCATATCAATCAATCTAATATGTTCAATCCTGATAAGAATTATGTTGATTTGAAAAATTGGTATTGTGATTGTCAACAGTATCAACAATGTTATAATAATGACGGTCAAATAATTACTAGTACTAAATTGATTGCAAAATTTAATAGTTCAGATCAATCGAATCCAATCATCAATGTATTAAGACAGATTCCATCCCATCTATTAGACCCCTTACCTATGTGTAGTCATCTCCTATCTGTCTTAATCTTGATTACCAATTACAACCATCTCAAACATAAATCATCTATAAATAATTCATCTACTTGTCTATAGTGTATATATATAATCTACTATAGCTGAGTCATAAATTATGTAATCTTTAATTTATTTGTTCTTAATTTTCCATAAAGTTCTTTTTCTCTCTTTGCCTGAAAATTTAAATTCAAAACTTAAATAAAAAAAAATAAAAAGTTTACCAAAAAGTTATCCAATCCAACCAACGCCAAAACAGATCATTAACAGCATTCTTCCTTGCCATCAACCCTAATCATTCCAAGGGTGTTATCTTATAAGGCTGTCTCCATTCATCATTCATTTGTTCTGCATCTTTTAATTGTTCATTTATTTTTATATCTATCATATTAGTCATTTACAACCCACCTCCTTCTCACTCACCCCAAAAACCCTCACCACCCGCCTGTTGTATTTCCTATCTTAACCACAAGATCCAATCGACAATCTATCCTTCCCAGTTTTGAATTCATAAGAAACTCATACAGATATATCATCATTATCGTCTCATTTCATCTCATCCATCATTCCTAACTACATCAGTATTATTAGGTATTACTACTACACCTTAATTTTAACTGTGTCAACTGTCTAATCTTTTTCGGTTTCCCTTACTACATACATAGTACATTTTTTATCTACTCGTTGACTTTCAAAAAAAATTTTAATTTAATTTTTAATTTTTTATTTTTTATTTTTTTTTCAAGGAGCGATTCGAATCACAAGGAAATTTATTACGCTTGTCAACCAATAACTTGTTAAAACTTATCTTCATTTCGATCATTACTAGAAGAAGATAGGAAAACTTTAAAAAACCTTAAAAAAGATTCATTAATCAAAATCACTTTTTCATGTTCTATTAATATTCATCATTTATCTATATGTCTGCATCTTCAACGTCATCTACATCTAACTCCGGGCCAAGTCGTTTCCGTAGTGATGCTGCTAGTTTCTTACCTAGTAATCCATACCCCTTCCAAGCTCCACCACCTCCTCAACAACAACAACAACAGCAACAAGCTCCACAACAGCAACAACAGCTGCCTCATCAAATTCAACAGCAGCAGCTTCTTCAACAACAGCAACAACAACTTCAGCATCAACAATATTTACAACAGCAGCAACAACAGCAGCAGCAACAAATGTATATGCAATATGGTAATCCTCAATACCCCATGATGGTGAATTATCCACCTTACTATGTACAATCATATCAAGATATGTATTATCAACAACCACAGTTTGTTTTACCTCCACCTCAACAAGTTCCTTATACTCCCATTCATCTAAATAATAATAATAATAATACCTATAACCCAAGACCAAAGAATAATAAAAGGAATATGTATAATAATGGTAACAATAACAACTATAATAATAATAATAATAATAATCATACCTTTAACAATAATAATAGTCATACCAATAGCAATAATCAACTAAATGGACATGTAAATCATTCAAATCCAACTTCAAACTTTAGTTCGCAAGTTTCAAGTCCAAATGGTTTTGCTAATATAAATCCTTCAATAATACCGGATTCAATGACTCCAGCTTCAAGTATGTCTGAATCATCTCCTGTATCTACTTCAACTTCAGCTGATAATAGTCATATACTTCCTCCTCCAACTCCAACTAATATTTCTTCAATCCCAACTGACAAATCAGCTTCTTCTGCCACTTTAACCAATACTAGTAGTATCGCTTCTAATACACCTCCAACTACTGCTACATCTATATCAGAAAAATCAAAATTGATAGAAAGTTCAGAATCGAAAAAATCAACTATTGAAGAAAAATCATCTCAACCTCAACCTCAAATCTCATTCCCTATTTATTTTAATACTAAAGATGAAATCTTTAAACAAAATCAAGCATCAATCATAAAACATAGGCAAGATTTGTCTACTGAAAAATATAATAGATTAGCAAAATATAACCTTTCCAACGTTGATAAATTAATTATAATAACTAATTCGTTAAAAATTATAGACTATAATGCTAAATCTACTACTATTCATACTGGAAGGCCATCAGATCCATCTGTTATTCCAACTGCTGTTAAAATGGTTACTCCATCTACTTCTCAAGTTTCTAAAACTGAAACTGGGAAGGATCTCTTATCAGCTACATTATCATCTACAACAACTCCTACCGTACCGGCCACCACTACCACTAACTGGGCTTCAGTTTTACAGTCTTCAGCTCCAATTGTAAATAAAAAGATTGTAAAACATATCAGAAATAAATCATCTATAAGTAGTTCAACTTCATCATCATTATTACCATCGAATCCATCAACTCCAATTCAACCAAGTAAAAGTTCATCATTAAATATCCCTAATAATTTCAATATCAATAATGAATCATCTCAACCTTTGGGTGTTTTATTATTAAGGGTTATGTATGATACTAATTATTCCCTTTTTTCTGATAGATTATCATTATTTAATATTACAACTAAAGGATTAACTAATACCGGTAATATTTGTTATATGAATTCAATTTTACAAATTTTAATATATTGTGAACCATTTAATAGATTATTTAAATTAATTGAAGATAAATCAATTGGAAATTTAAGTAAAACTTCTCCAACTCCATTATTAGATGCTACTATTAAATTTATTAATGAATTTGTTGATTTACCATCAAGTCAAAATGGTTCAAGAAGTAATACCGCCACACCAACTCCTAAATCAGATGTTAAAAAGAGTGATGAAAGTCCAAAAGCTATATCACCGGAAACTTTTTATATGAATTTAATTAATCATAAGAAATTTTCTCATTTGAAATGGGGTCAACAAGAAGATGCTGAAGAATTTTTAGGATATTATTTAGATGGTTTAAATGAAGAATTTGTTGATGCCATTAAAAAATTAAATACTCCAAATATTGATTCATTAATTCAAAATTTTTCAAATAATTGTGATGATGTGGAAAAAGTTTCTCAATTTAAATATAATGTTAAAACTACAGTTAATTTAATTAAAAATGAAAAGAAATCAAAATCAAATGGAAACAATGGTATTGCCACTACTACTACTAATACTGCTTCTAGTATTGCTAATGGAATTGTTGGTACCACTACGGCAACTACTGTTCCTTTGCAACAACATAATAATAATAGTAACGATAATAATAATAATGATAATGATGATGACGAAGATGATGAAGAAGATGAAGATGCTAATGACCATTATAACGAAGATAATAATGATGAAGATGATGATGGATGGAATGAAGTTGGATCAAATAATAAATCCATCAGTATTAATAAAGCGGTTGAAGTTGAACCTTCACCGATTAATTTAATATTTGGAGGACAATTTAAATCAGTTTTAACCATTCCAAAATCACCAAATTCAAATCAATTCAAAAAATCTATTACGTTTGATCCATTCCAAAATCTTCAATTAGATATTAGTGAAGCTAATTCTATTGAAGATGCATTTAATCATTTAAATGATATTGAAAAGATAAGTTTTAAAGCTTCTAAACAAGATAAAGAAATTCAAATCAAAAAACAAACATTTATTGATAAATTACCTCAAGTATTAATCATTCATCTTAAACGATTTTCGTTTTTAAAAGAGAAAGATGTTGGTATTGAAAAATTAAGAAAAAGAGTTGATTATAATCATGATTTAAATATTCCAACTAATATCTTATCTAATAAAGGGTTAAGTGAAGAAATGGGAAATATTTATAGATTGATTGGGGTGGTATATCATCATGGTAGTAGTGCTGAAGGTGGTCATTATACTTGTGATGTGTTAAAGAAATCCAATACTATAACCAATAAAGTTGAATGGGTTAGAATCGATGATACCTTAATCAAAACTATAAGTGAAGATGAAGTATTGGGAGGACCTGAAGAAAATATTAAGAATGCTTATATTTTATTATATGAAAGAAAGTAGAACAGGTCATTAAAGAAAGAAAGATGAATTATTATATAGTATTATTAGTTATTAGAATGAGAGATCATTCATTACATTATTTCATAATGATTGTTTATCCCCAGTATCAGAACAATCAAGGATCAAAAATTTTACAAATCAAAAAACCAACCCTTAATATATAGTTAATTTATAACTTTTATTTAATCTAAAACATCTGTATAAGTATCTATTCTATAAACACAAAGAATTAAATACTATTATTAAAATAAAGTAGATCCAGCTACTATTAATGTATGTAAAAATAAACCTCCCAAACCCATTTTCCCGTTTCTAAAAAAAATCAAACCAAGCAATAAATAACCAATTAACATTTTGAAATGAAGAATTCAATCAAACTATATTTCCATTCCAAAATGATAATGCTAAAAGGTTTTGAAATTCTTCTTCATTGAAAACATTATGATCATCTTGTTCAAGAATTTCTTCACCTTCATCGGCAATGATTTCATTCTGGAGTTGATGATCAATCAATTGGTTTTCCTGTTGTTGTTGTTGTTGTTGTTGTTGATCAACTGCTCCTTGTCCTTCACCATCATAAATAAACTCAGAAACAACATTATTGGCTTGAGTGATAGTTAGGGTGACGGTGGTACCGGTTAAAACAGCAAACTCTCTAGCTTTATTGGTTAATCCTGGGATTCTTCTTCTATAGATGATTCTTCTTTGACCTTCATCCATCTCATAAACAATTTATATAGCTCTTCTTGTCATTAGTTGATAGTTTCTATGATTGTGGTTGAAAAAATCCAAACAAAGAAAGAAAGAAAGAAATAAAGAAATAAATAATCATTCCATTGAATCGAGGAATCTGGGGTATTTATACGGGATCAATGATTAATTTTCTCTTTTGCTCATTAGCATCGGACAAAAACCGATCAAACTATGATTTAAAAAATAATGTTTATCAGCATTTTCGGACAAATTCAGTTACAGCACAACTTACATGACCATATAAAACTCCATACTAATAGTCCGAGGGAATTGCCACAATTTGTTCTACTATGAATAACTGCGATTCTATATACTAAATAACAACCAATTAGCATCCCCACACCGTATTACAATATTGTAAAAGGGTACAGTCGAGCAATTCTTCGATTCAGAGATTGAAAATGGAATGAGCTTTGATCAACTTACAGGCTTATCACTTACAAAATTGATTTAATTAATAAATATATATTTACTGTTTATATGTGAAAATAATAATATCCTTAACATAGTATTAAGTAATTGTGTTAACTTTAAAAATGGGTATATTAACTTAAATGTTTCGCCTCTTAACTAACCTTTTGTCGCATCTCGTCTTTATGTCGAAAATCAGATGCAGGGGTTTACGACATAAATCAAAACAAAAATTGACAAAATCAAAATTTTTCAGTCCAAATCGAAAAGGGAAGGTGGGGTGAGTGGGAGCGATTATGCAGTCTCAATGTTATGATTATAATTTTTCTGTTACCACATGAAAAAAAAAAAAAAAAAATATTCAGTTACCCCCGGAATTGGATCGAAAAATATATGTAGAGCTCCGTTTAACGCTTGCTTTAAGTTGTCTTTTTTTTTCTTGGTACTGTACAATTAATTTCATTGGTCGTTACCAGCAACAAAAAGTTTATTTTTATTATATCTTTCCCTGATTTAGTTGAATTGAATCCCTAAATAGAAATGTGTGGATTATGTTAATGTCGCACCTTTATAATAAGGAATAATAAAAGGGTAGTTTATAAAACTAAACTTGATTCAGAGACTCAACAAATAGTGTAATTACATCTCTATACAAAGAAGTTGGCTATGCAAATCCATATTAGTTGATACATTTGCACCTGACTACAGTAAGGGTTTTAACTTTAGACTTGTTGTGTAGATAAATCTAACTCAGAACAATCCTTTCGATAGCTTATTCATGTCGTTTGACGTTTTCTCATCGGTTTATAACATCTAAAGACTCCTCTATATGTTCTCAAGTAGTGATCATCAATTCGAAATTACGTTCCAATTGGTTACTTGATTTATTTTAAAACTTATATATAAGCATCATTGAATGAACATAGCGTTCCACAGTAAAACCCCAGCATCATTGAAGATAAATAGTGCCAGTACTTTCAATGTAATGAGAGTCATATTAAAAAACTGTTCCTGAGGGGAGCAGCTCTAATATTTCTTCCAATTCCAGGTACTGCAGGTGCGACATCGTAATATTTTTATTCCTACTACAATCAGATAGTGGGTATAAAGATGAGGAGGGATTAAACATGTTTAATGTGCAATACTTTTTCTTAAATTTCAAACATTCGGTCACATCGCTTTAAACTCATCGTTGTTGTATATCTATTACAATCTATTAGTAATCTAAGATTGGATTCAATTCATTTCATTTTGAACTTTTTAATTCTTGTGAGTGCCTTAAATCAAGGGAAGGTTTTATTCTTGTAAATCTTCGTCCCAGCTTATCAAAACATTGTTGTAAGGTTGAAGTTGATAAGTCAAATATAGTATATATAACCTCTCATTGTTCTCTATCAAAATTTAGCTGGCTTGATTTAAATGAGCATTGTTTATCTCAAATAGGAATGTAAATAGATTACATCTAGAGAAGAAAAATATAAACAAGACGTCCCATTGTATAGAATTTGGAGAGGTTTATTGTTGTTACCCAAGGTGAATTAAAAATGGGTTGAATTAGGGGACTTTTTAGCTCAATTGATGTGTTAGAATTCCATTTCATCTGATTTCTTGTTCTTTTTAGTGAAAGATAATATTATTATTATTTTATTATTTAATCTTCTTGTGACTTACGATAGTTAGTAAATTATTTTTTTGTCTCCCTCCCTACCCTTAAAACAATTTGATTCGCTAATAGATAATATTATTCTGGAGTATGACACATTCAATGGGATAGTTACTAGGTCAAGTGATGATTGTAGTGATAGTAATATATATGTCCAATTGAATAAGATCTGTTTCGTCTTGTTCTAACTAATGTAAAGAAGCATCTGATAACAAATACTGAAAAAAATATTAATCAATGAATTACACACTGATTTGATAGGGTTCAGCACCACAACGTGGCGGAGCAAAAGGGGAGGAGGAATCTGTAATGGATCAGTTTCTAGTTATAAACCAGCTCCTATTCACCGTGGTCATTATACTAAGGTCTTACTTGCTTAACATTCCTATCCAGGGAAACAAACTGTATAAAATATCCACACACAACAAAATTATTATTTTTAATTTTCCCGCAAATTTCTACTGATTATTTTCTTCGTAGTTAACCACTAATTATTTACTGAGTCGGAAATCTTTTACTGTGGGAAAATACCGACCAAAACAAAACTTTGTCGTCAAGAATAAAAAAATAATTTGTAAAAATTTGCATAGTCATAATAATACCAAATTAATCCATCTTATTGGTGTTTTAAATATATGACTTGTATCAACTCTATTCAACTTGTTTTTAAACATGGTTAAGTTGTATTAAACTTTATCTATAACTGTTATCATCTTCGTGATTGATCAAATTATTCTTGTCGTCTTGCCCCTGTAAAAATATAAGCTCACAAAAATCTGTCAAGTTTGCTTTTCTTTTTTGACTTTTCGCTTCGAAATTTAATCTTGACTGTTTTGTTTTCGTAATTTTTTTGAGTGTCTCGAGGAACTCAAACGCTACTTAACTACAACAATAACTTAAGATAATAATCGAATACACATCATATATTTAAAACACTATACATAATAAATCAAGCAAATAAACAAAAGATGATAATAAAGACAAGTTGGAACAAAAAATTGAATGGGAGACTGAAATGATCAGACACAAACAGTTCACTAGTAAACCAAAAATCATACCATATCAAAACAAATCGTGCAAATTTATATAAATATTAGTTGATATGATAGTTGTTTAAGCAATTGAATGCATCACAATGATGTCATCTTCAACCAAAGACCTTTTAAACACCAACAACAAAATCAATAATAAAACAATATTAATCGACTTAATCCAATATGATCAAGTGTATATATACAAAAACAAATTTTTTTCAAAGATTTTTCTTTTTCAACAGAGTTATGTGTATTTGATTATTAACTCTAAAAATGACTTATTAAATTAAAACAAAAAGCTAGAAACAGTAAAAAGTATATTTTAACCCCTAATTAAATAAAAGTAAGTAATTAATTAACATTATGATTCAATTATAATATTAATTTACTTATCCCAAAATTTATTTTCATTATTTTATTTAAATGTCAAATTTAGAATAAAGCAGCAGCAACAGCGGCAATACCAGCAACGGCACCAACGGCAGCTTTAGCAGCACCGGCTTCAGCAGTGGTAACTTCTGGAGCAGAGGTGGCTGGAGCAGAGGTGGATTCAGCAGCTTCAGTGGTAACATAGGTGGTTGGGATAGTACATGGACCAGTGATGGTTAAAGTGGTAGCTTCAGTGACAGTGATGGTCTTGTTGTTGATAACTAAAGAAGTAGCATAAGGACAGTAGGTGGTGAAGTCGGTGACAACAACATCGGTGGTGACAGTAACGTTACCAGCGGAAACGGCAGCGACTAAAGCAGCTGGGACAATGACTTTTGAGAATTGCATGTTTGATTAATATAAAGCGAGTGACTAATTAGGTTTGAACTAAAGAAAGAAAAGAAAGAAGAAAACAAGAAAAAACTGAAAAGAAGAAAAGTTATACTTAAAAATTTCTGTTAAAAGGGAAAAGTCATTAGATATTTATATCTCAAACCAAATAACCCAAGAGCCAAAAAAACAAAAAAATTTGCCATTTCATTTCCATATCCAAATTTTCTCAATGCCCATAATTATTATTATTTTAGCCTTTTCTCCCATCTTTCTTTACCAGTTTAGGGGTGTTAATAGAAAAATTTTTATTATTTGTAATTAATTAATATTTTTTAGCATTGGTTACAGAAACGACCGGAATTCGAATGTGTGTTTAAACTTTCGAGGATGATAAAAATATTGACAACAGTCTGCTTTAGGAAGTGGCCCTTCCGAATAGGGAAGTGACTTGCATGAATTCTAAATTTAGAAACTTTATTCCCGCTTTAATTTCTTTTTTGAGTCGTCTAGAACGTGATTTTCAGCACGTGAGTTTGTTTTGATTTTAACTATGAGTAGAAATTATTTCATTTACGTTGATTTGATTTGTTTATATGTTACGATATGTTTATTATGATTATGATTAAATTATTATTTGTTTATATTTCGGTACGTTTATCATTGTTATGATTCATTATTACTATTATTTTAGTAATAAGACAACAAACAACTCCAGAATTCGGTTAATAATAGGAGAATTACTTGCTTTGAATTATTATACTTTTGAATGGTAGATCTATTTAGGTTAACAGTCTTAAGAAACAAACAAATTAATCATCAACAGTATAGAATAAACGTAACTTGGGTTGTAATTATACTAATTAACTTTAACTAATTCGTAATCATTAAGGAAGCTAAATTGTTTGCTTGGCAACCGTCTATTCTGTCATCAAAAATTCAAGCTTTTAAACCAATCTGGTGAGCCCATACTATTGAAATAGATTCAATATTGTAGTTATCAAAGTGTTTTCTATTTTACAATGTTTATCAGATGTAAACTATGTCATTAAATCAAATTTTGTAAAAATTGCTGCAATTGGATATTTTTTAGAAGTTCAGAATGAAATTTAGCAAATATTTTATGACAATTTAAAAATTTTTTAAAACCCTGAACAGATTATTATTGGCAGCTTACATTTGACACTTATTTGTTTTGATTTCGTTTATCCTACCTCGAATTAATAGAATATATAAATAGCGATGTTTCCATCGAGGTGATACAACTGCTGTTTGATCGTATCAAATACATATTTGATAAAACGTAAATCACACCCTGTCTTTGTTTATATTTGATGTGGAGTACTATTCTACTAATTGATTTAAGCATCCATCCTTAACTACTCAGCTAAACGATTCAACCTAAGTGACAACGATCATAACTAAATAAACATCATTCAAAACAACTGATACTGGAATCTGAGACGACTACAGATTTGAGCCATACATTCCGTATTAGGCCACATTTCCGTTATCTTTTTTTTTTTCTTGTCGCTGAGCCATGCCTTACAATGGCTGTATATTTCACTAAACATTAAATCTTCATAGTTAACTATCACCGCCAAATTCCGAATCTAATAAGGAGTAGTTTTTAGAGTTGTTGGTTGTACCGTAGTGTAATTAAAGTCAGATAGGGTGTATGATTCTGACTAATTGTACATGAAATCGGTCATTGATTTTTCAGAATCTTTATAGATAACGGGTTATCGGTTTAATCTATCTGCTTTAAACCCTTATTTATATAGTTATCAGGTTCTTACTTTATCCTACGCCAACCCAATAGTTAGGTTTCTCCATCACTATCAATATGAGTAGTACAGAAGCTGCTCTTGAACTTGGTTCGGATGTTATACCCCAGAAACGTTTATTAAGTTTCTTATTTTCAAAGAAGAATATCCCTGCACCTGAAAATCATGAAAGGAAACCTTATCCCTTTAAAGATGCTAATATCATCAATAGAGCCTTCTTTTATTGGGTCACCCCTATTATGAATGTGGGTTACAACAGAACCTTACAACCTAATGATTTATACTATTTAACTGATGATTTAAAGATTGAATATCATACTGAATTATACAAAGAAAATTTGGCAGCAGAAATTAATTATAGTCAAATTAAACATATTCAAAAAAAATGTAGAGAAAGAGGTGAAACTGTATCAACTACGTCTGTTTCAAAAGAAGATGATTTAAAGGATTTCAAATTATCTGCTTTCAATTTATTAATGGCTTTAGCTTTAACATTCAAAAAATCGATCTTTTATGGATTCTTATTTGCCATTGTAAGTGTAACTACCATGGCCGCTCAACCATTCTTAACTAAAAACTTAATTACATTCGTGGAAGATAAATTACTTCGTCCATCGGTTAACTTGGGTCAGGGTATTGGTTATGCTATTGGGGTTAGTATTATGGCCTTAATGACAGGTACAAGTATTGCCTATTATCAATATTATATTCAAATGTGTGGAGCTCTTCTTAGATCAGTATTAATTAGTTTAATGCTTCAAAAATCATTTGTTCTTGCTCCAAAAGGTAGACATAAATTCCCAACTTCTAAGATTACTTCATTAATGAGTACCGATTTATCTAGAATTGAGAGAGCTTTCATTTATTTCCCACTTTTTGCATCATTACCAATTCCTATTGTTCTTAGTATCGCTTTATTAGTTGTCAATGTTGGGGTAGCTGGTGTTATTGGGGTAGTTGTTTTCATCTTATTTCTAGGAGCTATTTCATTATCGACTAAACAATTATATAAATATAGAACCCTTGTATCAGGTTTAACTGACGAAAGAATTAGAATCATTAGAGAAATCATTAACAATTTGAAAATTATAAAGTTTTATTCATGGGAAATTCCTTATTTGTCAAATATTATAAAAGCAAGATCAAAAGAAGTAGCAGTTATTTTGAAGATTCAAAGTTTAAGAAATGTGATTGATGCAGTTTCAAGTGGATTGACAGGTATCACTGCGATGATAACTTTCTTAGTGCTTTATGGATTAGAAGGTTCCACAAGAAATGCAGCTTCTATGTTCTCATCAATCACTTCGTTTGATGTATTGTCATTTGTTATTTATTTTATCCCATTAGGTTTATCAACTACTGCTGATCTGTGGAATGGTTTAAAGAGAATTGCTGAATATTTGTCAGCTGAAGAAATTGAACCAACAGAAAGTTATGTTGTCTCCAACGATGTAAATAAATCCACTGCTATTGATATTATGAATGCATCATTTAGTTGGGACAAGTTTGAAGATGATGACGAAGATATGGCAGTTAAAGAAGAATCAGAAAATGCTGAAAAACCCGAAGCTAACTTCCCTGGTTTATTAGAAATAAATTTATCAGTTAAAAAAGGTGAATTTATAGTCATTACAGGTTCAATTGGTAGTGGGAAAACATCATTATTAAGTGCAATTGCTAACATTATGAAGATCGATGAAGGTAAAGTTGAAATTAATGGTACGTTAATAAATTGTGCTGCTCCATGGATTCATAATGCTACTATCAAAGATAATATTTTATTTGGATCTAATTTTGAAAAGGAAAAATATGATAATGTGGTTTATGCATGTGCTCTACAAACTGATATTGATATTTTGGAAGCAGGAGATTTAACTGAAGTTGGTGAAAAGGGTATAACTCTTTCAGGAGGTCAAAAAGCTAGAATTAATTTAGCTAGAGCAGTTTATGCAGATGAAGATATTATCTTATTGGATGATGTTTTAAGTGCTGTTGATGCTAGAGTAGGCAAACATGTTGTTAATCATTGTATGTTAGGTTTACTTAAAGATAAGACGAGATTATTAGCAACTCATCAATTATCATTAATCGGATCTGCCGATCGTATTATTTATTTAAATGGAGATGGGTCAATTGATGTTGGAACTATGGAAGAATTAGGTGATACAAATTCAGGATTCAAAAGATTAATGACTCATAGTTCAAGTGATAAAGAAGAAGTCGAAGAAACTGTTCCTTCTAAACCAGTTTTCGAAGAAGCTGACATTGCAGATGAATTAATTCCAAAATTCACAAAAGAAACCTTTCAAGAATCTTCATCCAACGTTACAAGACGTAGAAAAGTTAAAACTGATGAAGCAGAAGAAGATAGTGAAGAAGTGTTTAGAGATGTTACAGTTGGAAAGGATGCTTCAAAAGGTAAGATCACTCAAAAGGAAGAAAGAGCCGTTAATCGTATTAAGAATGAAGTCTACTATAATTTCATTAAATATGGTTCAGGTAAATTATCACCATACGTTACAATCCCATTAATGATTCTTTTATTAACTCTTTCAACATTTTCATCAATTTTTTCCAACACTTGGTTATCATTCTGGATTTCTAAGAAATTCGATGATCGGTCAAATTCATTCTATATTGGCTTTTATGTCTTATTCAATATTTTAAATGTGGTTTTCCTTACTACTTTATTTGTAATACTAGCCAACATCACTACTAACTCATCCAAGAATTTAATTTTAATGGCTATTAAACGTGTCTTACATTCTCCAATGTCATATTTAGACGTCACACCAATGGGTAGAATTATCAATAGATTTACTAAGGATACTGATACTTTAGATAATGAAATTGTGGAAAATATGAAACTATTATTAGTAACCACCGGTGGTGTAGTAGGTATTTTAATTCTTTTGATTATTTATTTACCTTGGTTTGCTATTGCTATGCCATTGATTGGAGGGTTATTTGTTGCTATTGCTCTGTATTATCAAGCATCATGTCGTGAAATAAAAAGATTAGAAGCCATTCAAAGATCATTTGTATATGATAATTTTAATGAAACATTAACCGGTATGGGTACGATTAAAGCATATAAGGCAGAAAATTTCTTCCTTGAAAGAAGTAATCAATATATGAATACGATGAATGAAGCATCATTTTTAGTGTTTGCTACTCAAAGATGGTTAGCAGTTCATTTAGAAATTTTAGCTGATTTTGTTATTTTAATCACTGCCTTACTATGTGTTGCACGAGTATTTTCAATTTCTTCTGCCACAGCTGGTTTATTAATCTCATATTCATTACAAATTGGTAGTGCTTTAGCTCAAGTTCTTCGAAATTTCGTTCAATTTGAAAATGATATGAATTCAACTGAAAGAGTTTGTCATTATGCTTTGAAATTAGATCAAGAGGCTCCTTATACTATTCAAGAAACCAAACCATCATCATCATGGCCTCAAACAGGGGCTATTAAATTCGACAATGTTAGTATGAATTATAGACCTGGTTTACCATTAGTTTTAAAAGGCTTAACTTTTGATGTATCTTCTAAACAAAAAATTGGTATTTGTGGTAGAACCGGAGCAGGTAAATCATCAATCATGACTGTTTTATATAGAATTTGTGAATTAGAAGGAGGAAAGATTACCATTGATGGTATTGATATCTCAACTCTTGGATTAAACGAATTAAGAACGAAATTATCCATCATTCCTCAAGATCCAGTGTTATTTAATGGTACCATTAGAAATAATTTAGATCCATTTGGAGAACACGATGATATTAAACTATTTGATGCAATTAGAAGATCAGGATTAATGACGATGGAAGAATTTAAAGATATTGAAAAGCAAAAGGGTAATGGTAGTACGGATTCTGAAAAATTACATAAATTCCATTTAGATCAATTTGTCGAAGATGAAGGAGCTAATTTTTCATTAGGTGAAAGACAATTGATTGCATTTGCCAGAGCATTGGTTAGAGAAACTAAGATTTTAATCTTAGATGAAGCTACATCACTGGTTGATTATGAAACTGATAGTAAGATTCAAAAGACTATTGCAACTGAATTTAAAGATTGCACTATTTTATGTATTGCTCATAGATTGAAGACGATTATCAATTATGATAAGATTCTCACCTTGGATAGAGGAGAAATCAAGGAGTTTGATACTCCTTGGATGTTGTTTAATTCAGATAATGGTATATTTAAACAAATGTGTGAAAAGTCACAAATTGTTGCGGGGGATTTTTTAAATAGAGATTAGGTTTATTTCTTAGTTTAGTCTATTATTTTTTTATGATTAGCCATACTTTTGGCGATTAGTTTTAGGTTTTTACAGTTATGATTATCAATTAGAGATATATATACATATACATTTGCAGTATATTTGTTACGATGAAGTTAAATAGTTCCTATATGCAGTATTTTGCAGTCCAATCAGGCACCAGCCATGACCAAAAAAAAAGAAACGTTATCGTGTGTTCTAGAACAAGAGGCTTGCGTCATTTGACATATCGCATTCCCGGTTTAACTACTATATATACATATGGGATGGAGGATGAAATTTTTCACCGATGATAGCAAGTTTATTTACATATGAAATAGTTAAAAATTTTTTTATGAAATCAACATACATTAATTATTAAGATTATCTATTAAAAAGAAACTAACAAAACTAGTTTGTTTGTTTATGGGACCAACAATAATATACAACACAAGTTAAAAAAAAAAGGTCTTATTTTTTTTTAAATTTCTATAAAAGTTAAACGTTTTAAACAGCAAATCATGACAATATCCATTACTAAGAAAGATTAGAGAATCTCTTACCAACATTCGTAACCACCATCAACAACCAAGTTATGACCAGTAGTGTATGATGAAGCAGCTTCAGATGCTAAGAATAAGATTGAACCGACAAATTCTTTTGGTTCAGCCATTCTTTTCATTGGGATTTTAGATTCCCAAGCTTCTTTCATTTCAGTATGACCAGAAATAACATTTCTTGTTAAAGGAGTTAAAATATAACCTGGAGATAAAGTATTAACTCTAATATTATATTTAGCCCATTCACAAGCTAAAGATCTTGCTAAATGAATAACACCAGCTTTTGACATATTATACATAGCTTGAGGTTGAGGATCATTAACAATGGTACCTGACATTGAACCAATTAAAATAATAGAACCTTTCATACTATTTTGAATTAAAGGTCTAGCAAATGATTGAGATACATAAAATGATCCTAAACCATTAACTTTCATTAAATTTTCGGCATTTAAAGCAGGATATTCTTCAGCAGGATAATTTTCACAATACCCAGCAGTATTAATCAAGATTGAAGCGATTTTTCCATGATGTTCATTAATGGAAGTAAAAGTAACTTCAACAGCTTCAGCATCACCAATATTACATGACCAAGCACTAACTTGACCAATAGCTGATTCATGTTCCCCTTTAAGAGTTTCCTCACCCCATTTCAACACATCCTTGGCAGCAGCAACTGTTCTTTCTAAATTGACATCAATCAAGGCCACATCAGCCCCTTGAGCCACTAAAGCTCTTGAAATAACTGAAGCCAAACCACCAGAACCACCGGTCAAGATGGCTAATCTTCCGTCTAATCTAAAGCTTGGGACGACGTTATTGTATGAGAAATCCATTATTGATATATATGATAATTGTAAGTAAACTATTGAATACGAATAAATCAAGAAGAAGCAACTTTTTAGGATAAAAATAAATAAATGGATGATTATTTATATTTATTTATATACCCCAGATTGAACCTGATTATAAACAGACAAAAAAAAATAACGATGGCCGCCTTTGCGCTGAGAAAAAAGAAACGACGATAAAATTTTTTGTTTGGTGTTTTCGGAGCATCAATCGGTTAAATCACAAATTTTAGTGACTATAAATATAAATCTCACTAACTGAAATTGGAACCCACGCTATTTCTTCTTTTCTTACCACTAAAAAATTGTTTGATTTTACCGATATTTATTCAACCAATATATTATAATTACTGTTTATTACAAAGGTGGCTAAGATCTTACTTCTATGGTTCTTCCTTATTTATTCCGAATGGTCTAGCTTGTCGATTAGTTGTAGTTGTAATTGTGATCACCTTTGATTTATACTTGCCTTATTCTTTAAACACGATCAACAAAAGTTTCCCCTAATTATTTTTGTGTGGGTGAGAGAGAGAGAGACTCCCCCAAACTTATTTTTTTTTTTTGTTTCCTTCTCTGTGTGGGATATTTTCTTGCTCCATCTGGGGGGGTGTTTCAATTCAAATCAATTCAGAGAAGTCAAACAAATCTATTATTAATTGTAATGGCTGTAATGGGAAAGTATAACTAGATCAAAAGTGACCATTACAGATTTAACTTCACGGAATTAAAACCTTATAAGTTATATCAGTCTAATTTCAATCATAACCGTTATACTGTTCTTCCCTTACTTTTCTAATTTGGGTTGTATTTTTTTTTTCTTTCTTTATTTCTTTCGTCTTCCCAATCTTTTCTTTTTTTGCAATCTTCCACATCCAAACTTTTATCTTTGTTTTGACCCTGATTACAATAAAACCGCCTTTTATTTCTAAAAATACATCTATCTTACATATATTAAATCTTTATCGTATGCTATATGGTCATTGTAGTTAATAATAATAATCTTATTATCTATAAAATTTAAATTATGCACTAGCATATTATTATCTAATCTGTTATCTCATAGTCTCTTATAACCCCACCTTTTCATTTTCTTCATTAATCTTTCTTAATCTTTCTATATTTTTTTCATCTCTCTTTGCTTGTTCAATTTCCATTCTTTCATTAGCCCAATTTCTTAATTTTTCTCCATACATTAAACAAAATATTGGAAATGGTAATCCTAACGCTAATCCAATAAATGCACACAATGAATTCCCCCATCCATAATCTAATCTATCATACATTTGATTAGCAAATAGTGGGAATGCAAATCCAAATAATGATCGGAAAACAGCGGCTGCAGCCACTGAACTTGCTGCAAATCGATTATTCATATCAATTAAATAATTTTGAATGGTTTGGAAAACAGCAATGAATGAAAATGCAAATATAGCTGATCCAATGGCTGGCATAATCCAATGTAATCGATATTGAGCTGACCATCCATACCAAATTAATCCTACTGGAATTCCAACCCCTGAAAAACATAAACATGGTAATCTAAACTCAGGTTTTGCAATCCCATTATTCTTAGCAATTAATCGATGATAAACTTTATCAATGGTAAAGGTCCAAAATGCTGTCCCAATTAAATATCCAATCGCCATAGGTAAATACATTAATCCACTTATACCAATCAGAAATCCATAATCATCACGATAAACTCGAGGAAATGTAACAATCATAAGATACATAAATCCATAAACAAAGGCCATAAATGATCCTAACCCAATAACCATAGGATGAGTAAATAATAATTTAACAGGTCTACTTATAGTAACGACAAGTTTCCCCCATTGAGTTTCACCATCAGCAATTTCAAAAATAGTATGTAAATGTTCATTACCACTTTCTTTTCTTAATACATCTGCTTTCATTTTTAATAATCTTGGCGAATAAGTTTCTCTAAAGAAAATCGACCCTAATAATGCTACTGTTCCATTAAATATAGCTAACACATAAAATACCCAATGCCATGATTTTCGAGTGATTATAAAACTTGATATAACAGGTGATATAACAGGTCCTAAAGTGGGACAAATGGAATAACATGCCATAGCAGCTTGTCTATCATTGTCATTGAATAAATCAGCCAACGTACCGGCTCCCACATTCAACGCCGCACATCCTCCTAATCCACCTAAAAATCGAAATACACATAATTCAGTGGTATTTCTGGCAAATCCACATGCTAAATTGAATATGAAAATAATCCAAATTGATATATTTAAAACTGGTCTTCTTCCATATTTATCACTTTCTGAAATAGGAGCAATTAATAATGGTCCTATAGCCCAAGCTAATACCATGATTGAAACTGAGAATGATTGAATAAATACAGTTTTCATACCAAATGCTTCTCCAATTTCATCCATAGCAGGAGATAACATTGATGATGACATGGGGGATACTAATGTATATAATGAAACAATTAATAATTGGAAACTTTTTTGCTTTTTTGACCAATTACGAGGATAATCTGGATCATCTAATCCATCCCAAGTAACTAATTCAGGATCAATAGCAGTGAATTCATCACCGAAATCTTTAGTGGGGACCGCAATATCAGGGATTTTTTCATATGTAAATCGTTTACTTTCATCACTGGATGTTGCCACTTCATCAATTTCTTCTTTATCATAATATTTATCATCAACTCTTCTATAAGTGGCACTTTGAACTCTTTGAGCTAATTCATTTAAAATTGTAGTTCTGGTGGCTGTTCTTTTAACTCTTATACTTTCATCATCCATATCTCCATAGATATCTTTGACAGTATAAGTAGTAGTTTGTCTTAAAAGGTCACCACCTAATGAATTGGTATCCATAGATGAAGTTCTTGATAATGATTTTCGAAATGAATTTAAAGCTTGACCACCTAATGATGCTGAACTTGAATATGATCGAGCATTCTTCATTCCACTTGATCTTCGTCTAAATCTTCGATGACTACTTCCTTCTATAGGACCATTTTCATCTTCATCATCTTCTTCAAATACCGGTATTGGTTCTGGTTCTCTAGCTTTACTTTTACTAATACTTGAAGTTGAACTTATCAGGGTTGCTATGGAATTATTCAGTACAGTAGGTTCCAAATCATCTTCTACAATTGCTTCTTCATCCGTTATGATATGATGATTATCTGGTGGCGAATCACTTGAACTTGAAGCCATTGAAGTATGAGAATTCGGACTTGAGTCCTTCTCTCCTGATTCTTTTGACATGGTTCGATATTAAATATACTGCAAAATCTGATAAAATGGTATTATACACAACCTTAATGATGAGTTTTATAATAATAGATTAAGATATATTTAGTATATCATATATAGATGAATGTAATAATTGGAATAAGTTATAAGTTTATGAAGGATAATTATAAAGATTGATGCCTTTTTAAAATTGATTTGTTTTGCAATGAGGTGTTTTTCTGATTTATGTTATTTTTTAACGCTGTCTCTTTTGCCCGTAAAAAATATAAATTTCCTTATCTCTAAAATGATTGTTTTCAGTACATAAGAAGACCAAACTATGGCGTATACATTGAACTTTGAAAAGAAACGTTTTCAATAATTATTGGTTAAATTGTCATCTGGTCAACTCAACTGATTCATTTATACATTATATACATTTGTCATAGATTTACCTTATATATATATATCAACTTAATTTTATATTAATTTTGGGGGATAGTTATCTCATGATCCCTCGGAAAAGTATTTAGACTAAAACCTTTTTTAAACTGTAATAGTACTGCGTCATGGATGCTATCACTTATACATTGCGGCATGGATGTCTTATGTAAGCCATTTATATATATATCAAATAATTAAGTAGATAAACCCTAGGTTAATTTACCTTCAAGCTCATAAATCATTCATATGAATTAGTCACTTCGAACACTTAAACTGCATAAGCTGACAATAATGAGGTAAGAGTCACTGTTTCACCCTTGAATATAATAAGCTAATAATCTTCGTAATACGATACCCGTTAAAATTATCATGATAAATTCATATCTATATATAGCTTCTAAATTTTAAATCCATTTTGAGCAAATATGCATTCTTTATTACTATTATTCTCCGCTTAAAATTAGATTTGAACAATATATAACAAATGAAATTGAATATTTAATGTGGTTTATTAAACGGTGAAAATGGCGGCATTCCAAATTAAGCAACTTTATCCGGCAACTCAAAAAATATCAAAACTTTGGTGTGAACATATAAATAAATGGTTAATTATCGTTTCTTTCTTATCTGATTTCCATATTATAGCATTTAGACCAACTAACTACATTACAATGGTTACTGTTTCTCTTAGACCAATTGAAGCAAAAGATAAAGAAGAATGGATCAATTTATGGACTGGTAAAGGGGGTTATATTGAATTTTATAAATCATTAGATAAAATTACTCCACAAATTACTGATGTTACCTTTGATAGATTTTTAGATCCTAAAGAACCAGTGTATGCAGTGGTTGCGGTTGACGATGAAACTGGTAAATTAGTTGGGTTTGCTCATTATTTAACTCATAGAAATACTTGGACTATTCATGATTCCTTATATTTAAATGATCTTTTCGTTACTAGTGATGTTAGATTAGGTGGAATTGGTAGAAAATTAATTGAATATGTTTATGGTGAAGCAGATAAATTCAAATGTGAAAAGACTTATTGGTCAACCCAATTTGAAAATCATAGAGCTCAATTATTATATACTAAAGTTGGTGTTAAGAGTGGATTCTTACTTTATCGTAGACCTTAAATATACAATATATATCATTATGACTATCATTATGATTATTCCTGCATACAGCAACAAGCAAAATAAATGTAAACAAAACAGAAAAAAGAAAGTGTGACGACAAGAGGCAATCAATATCATCAATAAGGGGGTTATAACTATAGATTACGATTATCCCATTGATCTGATTGAATCAGTTGATAAGTGATGAATTTTATCAGGAAGTTTATAGGAACTTCAACTACTGATGAAGTAGCTCTGATTCCTTCCGGTAGACTTTATTTAACTCGATCTCCACAATCTCCTAAGGGTGAAATTGAATGCTTGTATAATGATGCATTTGCTTCAATTAGACAAACCACTAGGCCTTATTTATATCAATTATGTATCACCAGAGTATATCAAGAAGGTGAAGTTGACGCTCATGGTTTGAGTGGGTTTGATGATTCGGATGATGATGACGATGATGATCATGATGCTCCTCATTCAATTGCTGATACTTCAGGTTCAGCTCATTCCAAAGATGAATGGGCTTTTACTATCCTTGAAGATTTAAAATTCCATACTTATGATAAAACTGATGGTACTAAAGCTATAGTTTGGACTGATTTAAATGGAGATATTGGTGATAAATTTGAATTCATTATTGATGAAGATATTAAACATAAAGATATTGATAGTTTTATGTTTGCTCTTTATAAATGTTTATATGAACTGAAATATCATAAAAGTTCATTAGCCATTCAAGATATGCAACAATTGAAAGAATTCGTTTATAATCCCAAATCCGAGATTTTAGCATTTGGTGATTTGAAATCACCAAATTTACTTCAATATGATTCTGAAGATGATTCTGAAGATGACGATGAAGAAGATGAAGAGGAAGAAGACGACGATGAAGAAGATGATGACGACGACGACGATGAAGATGAATTCATGGATGCTAATTTAGAACATACTTTACCTTCAAGTTTCCCTAGATCTACTTCACCTGCAGTTGAACCTCGTGGTGAAACCATATATCAAAATGATTCTTTTGATTTATTCTTGTTTGATTCTGTTTCAGGAACTTTCAAACCTCAAATTTCTAAACCTGATGTGGAATTAAAATTAATATCGTTAGGAAATTGGGAATATACTTTATATGTGCATAGTAAGACTGATGCATCAACTACTCATTTCAATGCATCCATTAATAAAAGTATGAATCCAACTTTCAATTATGAACATCTTTCATTTATTTTCAATTTCTATTCTGTGCTTGATAATTCTGAAATATCGGCTTTCTCATGGTTATTGAAATTTGAAAGTTATCAAGAATTAACAGTTTTCCAAAAAGTTTTCTTATCTTCAATGTATGAAACTTTAAATAAATCTAAATGGAGTAAGACTGATCCAACTGATCAAGAATATGTAACAGATGCTTTTTCCAAGATGAAAGTTGATGATGAATTTGATGACGAAGAAGAAGAAGATGAAGAAGAACCAGAACCAGTAAAGAAAAATATTAAAGCTGGTAAGAAAAAGGCCACCCTTTTTGTTGATGATGATGATGAATTTGGTGATGATGAAGAAGAAAAAGGTCATTCTGAATTCAAAAGCCATAAAGAAAAGAATAGCAATTTATCTGTTGGTTATGCTAATAATCGAACTTATGTAGCTAGAGGTGATAAATTAGGAGTATTTAATAGTTATAATGACGGTCTTTCATTTCAAACCACTATAGCAGATTTAAAAGATTTAAAGGGTAAGAAATTTAATCCTGAAAAAATGATGTTACATCAACAAGATCAATTTATGGTCTTAGCTAATAATCAATATGATAAATCTTTATTTAAAATGGATTTAAATAGAGGGAAGATTGTTGAAGAATGGGAAATTGATGAAAATAATCCAATTGTATCATTTGGTCCAAATTCGAAATTTGCTCAATTAACCAATGAACAAACTTTAACTGGTATAAGTGAAAATGGATTATTTAAGGTTGATCCCAGATTAGCTGGATTAAAATTGGTTAATGATAATACTTATAAAGCTTATAAAACTACTAATAATAAATTCCTGACATTTGCCACCACAGAACAAGGATACTTGGCTGTTGGTTCAGGAAAGGGTGATATTAGATTATATGATAGATTAGGAGTTAATGCTAAGAGTGCTCTTCCATCATTAGGTGAAAGTATTCTTGGTATAGATGTTTCTAAAGATGGTAGATGGTTATTGGCTACATGTGAATTTTATTTATTATTGGTTGATACTAAAATATCATCAGGTCAAAAGAATGAAGGTAGTTTGGGTTTTACTAAATATTTTGATAAAGATAAAAAACCTATTCCAAGAAGATTAACGATTAAAACTGAACATGCTGCTTTTATAACTGCTGAAGCCAATGGTAAACCACCAAGTTTCACTCAAGCTCGTTTTAATACTGGTTTAAATTCAAAGGAAACCAGTATTGTTACATCATCAGGACCATATATAATATCGTGGTCATTAAGAAAAGTATTAGCTGGATCTGAAGAACCATATACGATTAAGAAATATCAACAAACCATTATTGCTGATAATTTCAAATTTGGATCCAGTTCTGATGTTATTATTGCTTTACAAGATGATGTTGCCATGACCAATAAACAAAAATTAAGTCAAGCAGGAAAGATTTTAAAGAGGAAATCACCCAAGAATTCAATTGTGAAAACTTATGATTGAATTTGTATTTATATAGTAAAGTTTGTAGAGAATAAATATATAGCAACTCATTTAATTAATATATACATTTTTTCATTAGACGTAACATAACATTAATATTATCATTAACAGACATATAGATGAACCCTTTCTCATCTACGTAAGCCAAACGATCGTTTCATTTCATCAAACCAAATGATTCTAAATGCATTAAACTTATGAAATCCAGTAGGTTTATACGTTTGAAAGTCAATATTTCGCACTTTTGGTATAGTATCAGGATGAGGATTATACGGTATTCTATTTATTCTAGCATATATCTTCCGCACCCAATTATTAAACGCTGGTGAATCTATAAGTTTTTGATATAGTAAATCCTGAAGGTTTCTTGGTGGCGGCCTCATCTTATTGATTTGAGTTGATTGTTATTATCTATTATGTATTATGTAATAGATCTTAACTTTTTAGTGGTTTTCAATAATCGGTTTGGTCGTTTAAAATTTAAATTTGTGATGATAAATGGCCGGCGCCTGCATATAACGCCCAACTTGACCACAAATCTTAATCAGGACAATTTGTAAACATTTCTAGAACAGATATACTCTAAAATTTTCTAAACAATTGATATATATAGAACAACATCTGTTTACCATTTATCAACATCATCATCAACCACAACATATCCTTACAGGTATACCAGGGTCGTTATCTAGCTTCGTTATAGACGGTGTATTGAGAACTCCAGATTACTCCTTGTTCGATATAGAGATAATACGTTTGTTGTCTAGGTAAACTCCTCCTTTTTATCTGAAATTTTCATATCATCATATCATATACCCTTTCAATCCCCCATTATGGAAGTAGATAGCTCCTTTGACAATTCATCCATACAGAATGTTCTAGAAAATGATGATTATAAAGTGGACTTATCTAATTTGATTAATGATATATTACCCATACCAACACCAAATGATGTTCAAATTAAGCAAGATTTAGAAAGTTCACATAGCCCTCCTAAGAAGTTAAGACATCTCAATGATTTTTTAAGTAGTAACAACAACAACAACAAAGCCCATACATTTGATTTCAATACTGTACTAAGACCTAACTTAAAAGAAACCAATCAAATAACTAATGAATTATTCCAAGTTACAAATCAATTAAGAAGATCAACAGATCATCAATCAACCATCATGTCAGATTTTAATAATAATTCTCAAGACGACACTTATGATGAAATATTCTTTTCTAATAAAAGACTTAATAATGATAAAGTTGAAAAACTTGTGGATAATTTATTTCTGAAACATGGTGGTTCAATATCAACTCCAGAAACTTTTGATTTTGAATTAGATGATCAATTAAGAACAAGATTTTTTAAAGGGAGATTTAATAAGAATCAATTTAGTATTGAATCTAATGATGAATTAGATGTTCAATTAAGTAATTTTCTTTCTCGTTCAACTTCACCATCGATACCAATCAATAAAAAAAATGATAATAAAGAAAATATATCTCCATCACCAGATCCTTTAAAATCAGTACATAAGAAAGCAGCCAATTCTATTAAGAAATCTCATAAGACATTCTTTAGACCACCCCCACCAAATGAAAAGAATCAACATAGACAATCTATTCCTGTATTAAAACCAATTTCAAATCTTTCTAATACTGATAATAATAAACGAACTGATATTAGCTTTTTAGATGAGAATAATTGGTCAAGTGGGAAAAGAATCTGTTCACCAAAGCATAGAAGACATTTAACTCCTCGTAAACCGTCAATAAAATATAGTGATATCAATAACAATATATTTCTTGTTGAATCACTGACTGGTTTAGTGAATGATGCTACTAGATTTGGAACTGAATTAAATTCATCAAATTGTGAAGATTTCCCCTTACCTGAAGATGCTAATGAAATCGTTCAAATTCCTACTAATGAAGATCCTAAAACTAAGAAACAAAAATTGGCCATTATAAAAGTTATTCCCAAACTTGTTATTTCAGAACCTAAACAAGGAGGAGCAAATGATAATGATAATTTAAAAGGATTTTATAATGAATCAGAGTATAAGAGATATAATGGGAATAACGTAAGTCTAGTCGTCCATTCTGAAGATTCAGGCGTGGAAGTAGTAAGTCAATCCCTTCCTTCGTTCAATATTCATAATGATTTTGCAGCATCTTCCTCTTCTTCTTCAACTAATAATACTAAAAGAAGAAAAGTACGATGGGCTGAAAAACTAGAATGGTGAAAACCCGATTCAACCAACCAACCAACTAATTGTATTTAATTGTAACTTTAATTTTAATAACGTTTTATGTTTTAATAGACAATGCTTTTCATGATAAATATGGTAATTGCAGCATGTATGTGTGTGTTGTATACGATGAACTCGCACTACCTTTTCTGTCGTTTCTTTTTTTTTTTTTGACGTGGAGGAGGAGGAAGTCGACGCCGCGTATTTCTGTATTTATTTATATCTGGAAATTTAATTTTAGAGATTTCAAAATAGATTGAAACGGTGTTCATTTATTAGTTTCAATTGAATCTATACTTCCTATCGCTCAACCCCAGATCTATATATATACTATATCCAACATGTCTACATTCTTCGATGAAATGAAAAAGAACTTCACTGAAGTTCCAGTGGTTGACGATAAAATAGACACTGCCTCATTCTTAGAAGCTTCTGAATCATTAGTTAAATTATTCGATTTACTTGGTTCTTCAGCCTTTGCTGTGGTTCAAAAGGATATGACTGGTAACATCACTAAGATCCGTGCTAACTTATTAGCTGATCCAGTAGGTTCTGCCACTTTACAAGATTTAGTTTTATCTGAAGCTAAAGGTAAATCTAAAACTGCTACTCAAGGTTTATTATGGTTATCAAGAGGTTTACAGTTCACTGCTCAATCCATTAGAGAAACTGTTGATAACCCAAGTTACGAATTAACTAAAACTTTCACCGATGCTTATGGTAAAACTTTATCTCAATATCATAATTTCCTTATTAAACCAGTGTTTAAATTAGCTATGAGTGCTTGTCCTTATAGAAAGGATTTCTTTGAAAAATTAGGAGCTGATCAAGCTAAAGTTAATCAACAAATATTAGAATGGTTAGAAGCTTTAGAAAAAATCGTTAAATCCATCTTTGAATTCTTTGCTTCTGGTAATTACGGTAAAGGTTTATAAGTTTTTGATTTAAAAAAAATTTTACTCATTTCTCACAATTTTAAATACACATATCCTTTAGACTTATATTAATAACATTTTTCTCTATAAAAAGTAATCAAAATGAACTACTCTCTGGTCTAATTATCCTCTCCAATCTTCTTTGTTTCTTGCATTAATTCATATAATTGACCAATTTGTTCGGGTGACATTTTTTCTAATTCTTGTTTAGTCAATCTACCTTCAGTCCATGATCCAACTTCCATGGCTTTTAAATAATCTTGCCATTGAGTTAAAAACCCTACTATATGCAATGGATTATCAATCTTTTGATGATTTCGAAATTCTTGTTTAACATATGAATCACCTAATGTTCTGATTTCAACCGGTAAATAACGAATATGAGCTCTTAAAATAGATTTATAAAGTGTTAATGGAGGTAATAATGGTGCAACATCCCTCTCAGGACGACGTGGACGAACCAATCTAACCAAACTTTGTTTCATCCTTAATTAATCAGTTATTAGATCTATCACTAATTGATGTTTAACGAAAATTTAATTGGCAAAATTATTTACACACTATAAAAAATAAAAATAATTATTGCACGTGATGTTGCACATGACTAATTTTTAATTATTTTCTCCACATACTTTCTACACAAATATCAGAAGTTTGACAGATTGACTTTGTTCATGAGCTATGTTAACACCAACTATAACCAAAGACTTTATTGGTTTCGAATTTGTCTCAATTCAGTTCAAGGCGAGTTATTGAATTGCAGATATAGAACAAAGGCTTCTACTTTGGGTATAAAGACTTTGGAGGAGACGCTTTATTACGCAACGAAAATCAGTATGAGCATGACGACGCTTCATTAATTACATTTTCAAAGCCATTGCACTAAGTGTAATTATGAAATTGGTAGTTGGTTTGTTGTTTATTTTGATGTTATGATCGCCTATGTTGTTGTTTACTGGCGCCATAAAGATAGCTTCCTAAAATAGAGTTGCAAGAAAATTATCTGGTCCTGCACAAAAAATATTTCATGAACACTTCCTAATTAGGAAATTTTTCTTATGAATTGCATTTATATCAAATAATTCTAACAATAACTAAAAAATTCCTAAAATTGTCAAAAAGGTTTTGAAGTGTTTATAGCACATATGTAGTGAATCTCATGGTAAGAAGGTTTAAAAGTGGATTGGTATCCAGCCCTCCTGTGAAATTGACGTTTCGATCTTTTTCTTTCATCATATCCATAATTTACGTTCATTTCTGGTGCTAATATCTCTAATTTATTCAAACAAAAAGATGAGGTTAACGTCACTAATATCACTTGCTGTTGGATTCACTGCAACACTTGTGAATTCAGCACCAACTGGTGGTTCACTGGCATTAGTGGAACAATCAGTCAATCCATTCAATATGGACGATGCATTACTTCAATTAAATTCAGAAGATGTTAAGAATAAAGATATAATCATATCAGATATAATACAACTGTTAAGTCAATCACATTTACTTGGAGAACTTTTAAATAAAGTTTCTGATGATTCTGAAGCTAATCATAATATTACCAATTACTTTACTAATTCTATAATGGCCAAAGAATTAGATAGTTCCACCATAGTTTCTGCCTTAGGTTATTCAGGTTTATTACAAGATTTTTTTCAATATAGTTTAGAAGATGAAGAATTAAAATCCCATGCCTTTGCTTGTGCACAAGAGTTAAATCTGAAAGGTGAACTCTTTAGTGATGAAACCACTCAAGCTGAGAATCAATATGAAACCATTAAAGTAATCAGTAAGAGAGATACAGACATTGTTGATAAGATTGTTGACTCCATTAAAAATTCAACTACTTTTGCATCTACTTTGAATTATGTTTTAAATAATACTTTCTTAGAAGAAAATGGTAAAGAAGTATTAACAGCAGTGTTGAAAAAAGTTCCCAAAGAAAAGATATTTACTGCTATTACTCAATCAGGTCTTGCTAAAGACGTCATAAGTAAAGTTCAAGAATCTTCTACATTAAAATCAATATTTTCTGAAGTCCTTGGTTTTCAATTATTTTCAAAAAGAGCATCAGTAGATGCTGATGTTAGTGCTGGTGTTGATGTCTCCTTTTCAGTAGATACAAGTTTACCTGTTATTTCAGCCCCTATTGCATCTAGTGATTTCCCTATTGTCGTTCCAATAACAACTGCAGCTCCATTAGCCGATCCTATTGAATCTGTGTTAGACATTGCTTCTTCAGCTCCTACCGAAACTACTCCTGCTACTACATCAACATCAGGTGGGTTGATTGAAGGTCTTCTTGGAGATGTTTTGGGTGATGGTTCAAAAACAACATCTTCTCCTGCTACTACATCAACCTCAGGTGGGTTGATTGAAGGTCTTCTTGGAGATGTTTTGGGCGATGGTTCAAAAACGACTTCTACTCCAACCGCTGCAGTTACAGTTACGCCAGCAGCTACAAGTACAGCTAAAGGAATTGTTGCTGATATTTTGAGTGATCTTTTAGGTGGAGGTTCAAAAAGCACTACTCCAGTAGTTACTCTTGCAGCAACTACAGCTGGCACTGCTTCCACATCTACTTCCAGTGGTAGTTCTTTGATTGATATCATTGAAGGTCTTTTCTCAAAATCCAATTCTACAAGTTCAACAACTCCAAGTTCATCTACTACTACATCTACCGTTAGTGGAAGCGATTTAATTGATGAACTTCTTAAGGCAGTTGAAAGTGCTTTCAGTGACTTATTTAGTAAAGCTGGCGGTGGTTCAGGCTTATTAGCTGATATATTCAGTGTGGTTGGTTCTGTATTTACTGAATTACTTGACCATTTTAAAACTACAAGTTCCACAACTGGATCTGGAGGAAGTTTATTAGATGATGTGATTAGTACTGGTGAAGGCCTTTTATCAGAATTATTCCTGCATTTGAAATCTAGTAATTCGACTTTGTCCTCGGGAGGAAGTATTCTTGATGATATACTTCATGCTGGAGAAGGATTACTTTCTGAAATTTTTGATAAAAACTCAACAAGTACATCTTCAACAGGAGGGAGCTTTTTGGACGATATTGTTCATATTGGAGAAGGATTATTTTCTGATTTAGTTGGTCACTTTGAAGGTAATTCCACCAGCGGAGGTTCATTATTAGATGATGCTCTTCATTTTGGAGAAGGTTTATTCACTGATTTACTCGATCATTTACTGGGTGTCGATTCTACTTTAAGTCCAGGTACTGGTACAAGTTTATTAGATGATGTAGAGAAAATAGCTGGAGGCCTCTTCGATGATGTGATTAGTTACCTTAAGGGAAATAGTGGTACTATATTCTCAGAGATACTTAGTATAGGAAAGAGTTTATTCAGCAGTATATTAGGTTCACTTGCAGGTGGTTCTAATGGTAGTATATGGGATGATATACTTACCATTGGAAAGAATCTTTTCGCAAAGGTATTCCCTTATGTTACAAATTATTTGAAAGAAAATGGAAGCTCTATATTCCACGACTTACTTGCCATAGGTGGTGGATTAGTTGCTGATTTACTTGATCATATAAAATCTGGTGGATCTGGACTTTTGAGTGATATCCTTGGTTTTGCTAAAAGCCTTTTCAGTTCACTTTTCAGTGGTAGTGGTAGTTCCAGTTCAAGTAGTAGTTCAAGCGGAGGAAGTTTACTTGACTGGATTGGTAGTTCTATAATAAATGCCTTAGGAGGTTCTTCATCAGGCTCATCAAGTTCAACTTCAGGCACTAGTTCCAGTTCAGGATCAGGTTCAGGAAGCCTTTTTGGATCTACAAGTAGTTCCAAACCCTGTTGTTGTGGAACCACAAGAAAAGCAAAAAGAGATATCAAGAGTATACTCAGAAGAAATGTAAGAGCTTCTCTTAGATCGATACATAAAAGAAAAGCTGAAGAATTCACAAAGTTAAGATATATCGAATTCATTGACTCATTATAGTTTAGAAGTCAATCTGCATAGTTGCAAATTTATACCTATAGTTAATAAAAAAACTCTATTTAACAAAAAATAATGTACTAATATCTTTTTTGGAGAAAATCAAAACAATTGTAGAAAGAGTAGTCATATTTTCTAGATTAAAAGTTAGTTGTCGTCATTTTGAAATTTAAACCTAAATGTTTTTATGTACTTCTCCTCACTCGTAACCAAGAACTTATTCTCCGTCAACAAGGTGCTACCCTTTTTCATGTGAGTTTTCATCTAGACGGATTCGTAACCATTCAAATTTTATCTTACACATAATTGCCTTCAACTTCCCTTTTTACTTCTTGTTACGTTGATCTGTGTATTCACTGTATAATTCAGTGAGGTATATTCATTGGACCATCAACTGGTTATGGTGGACCGCTATTCCAAACCACCAAAGTTGTGCCATTTGGTTTCATGAACTCTGCTGTGCCTCACTCTATAATTTTTCTTGTCGTCTCACTTGACTTTTTCGCACCCTGTCAAAAAGATGAGAATTTCCTAATTAGGCAATGCCATATAATTTTATTTTATTACTTAATTGGGAAGGCTAAGAGTCTATTGTCGCACATAATTTACCTAATTAAGATGTTAATTCAAAGGTATAATTAACTAAAATTTTACCAATATGGATACCTTAAAAATTGCCAATTCAGGGTTTTGTACCAACTTATATCAAATTCATATAGTTCTTCATATATATGTAGTTTAATACCCTTGCCATAATGTTGTTCCAACAACAACCCTTTTCTCTACTTATTATCAAGCATTCTTTCGTTTTACCTACCCAATATCCATCAATTTGAATACCCTAATGTTATTATAATTACAACAGGAGAGAGAAAAATATAATGAGGATATCTACAGTATTCAATTCGATATTGTTGTCAGCAGCAATTGCTAACGCTCTTGTAGAGAATAATATTAATGAATCAAAACCTATAAAACAAAAAAGATCATTTTTGAGTGCATTGTTTGGAGGAAGTACTACATCATCATCATCAACTCCAGCAGTAGCAGATGCCGTTGTCCAAGCAGCTGCCGCCGCTCCAGTATCATCAGTAGTTGCAGCTCCAGCTGCCGCCGCTTCCCCAATAGTCGCTGCCGTTTCATCAGCAGTTGCAGACCCAGCAGCATTGCCTGTCACATCAGGAACAACCACAGAAAGCACAGCTTCAGTAATACCTGTTGCAGATCCACTTGCTGCTGATACCACAACAAATCCATTAGCAGTTCCAACCACAACAGCCATACCCACACAAACTTCAACCACAGATGATTTGCTAGGATTGTTCGGAGGTTATGCAATCTCATCATCATCATCAAGTAGAACTAATTCAAGTAGTTCATCATCATCATCTTCATCTATACTTTCATCAACTACACCACTAGTACTTTTCCCAACAACAACTTCCACACCAACTACTTCAACACAAGATGCATTAAACCTTTTTGGTTTACTCGATGAAACTACTAGCTCTTCAAGTTCAAGTTTAAGTTCAAGCTCCATTGCAATTTATAGTCCAAGTTCTTCAAGTACTAGTTCTTCATCATCAACAACATCAACCAAAGCAGCCTTCAATCTTTTTGGTTTATTCGATGCAGCAACTACTGCCAGCGTAAGCTCAGACCCTGTTTCATCTTCAGTTGCATCTTCAACTTCAAGTGTTTTAGCTTCGTCAACATCAAGTTCTTTAGCAGAAGAAGACCCTTTAAATATATTATTCGGTTTAGGTTCTAGTAGTTCATCATCATTACCTGCAAGTTCAAGTTCAAGTTCATCTATCCAGAGTTCATCAAGTTCAGATGATAACATTCTCGGATTATTTGGAATTGCTACCCCAACATCTTCTATTGCTTCTAGTTCTACTACATCATCTTCTAGTATAGCTCCATCATCAACATCAACAACATCAGGTGGACTTATAGCTAACTTCTTTGGTCTCTTTGACGCTGCAACCACCACTTCAAGTACGACCCCAAGCTCATCTACTGCTTCATCTGTTAGCTCATCAGCAGTACCAACTATTATCAATTTTGCAGCTCCTGTGGCTGCTGCTATTAGCAGTGATGATGATGAAGAATGTGAAACTGAAACCGATGGTGACGATCCAACTTTAAGTTTACCAAGTTTACCCACCATTAGTTTACCGGGATTACCAACTATCAGTTTACCAGGATTAAGTGATCCAACTAGTTCAAATTCAAGTTCAAGTTCAAGTGACGATGATGACGATTGTGAAACTGAAACCGATGGCGACGATCCAACTTTAAGTTTACCAAGTTTACCCACCATTAGTTTACCGGGATTACCAACTATCAGTTTACCAGGATTAAGTGATCCAACTAGTTCAAATTCAAGTTCAAGTTCAAGTGACGATGATGACGATTGTGAAACTGAAACCGATGGCGACGATCCAACTTTAAGTTTACCAGGTTTACCAACTATCAGTTTACCAGATTTACCTAGTGTCAGTTTATCAGATTTAAGTGATCCAACAAGTTCAAGTGACGACGATGATGACTGCGAAACTGAAACTGAGAGTGATGATCCAACTTTAAGTTTACCAGGTTTACCTACCATTAGTTTACCGGGATTACCAACTATCAGTTTACCAGGATTAAGTGATCCAACTAGTTTAAGTTCAAGCCCAAGTACAAGTACAAGTTCAAGTGATGACGATGACGATTGTGAAACAGAGGACGGTGATCCAACTGAATCCAATGATAATGATCCAACCGAAAGTACTTCAGGACCAACTATTAGCTTACCAAACATTAGTTTACCAGATTTAGGTGGTAACCCAAGTAGCTCATCTTCTGATGATGACGAAGACTGTGAAACTGAAACTGATGGTGATGATACTACTACAGGAATAACAATTAGTATTCCTACTAGCTTATTTGGTGAGACAAGTGATAATGTAATCAATACTTCTTCCAATGATCCAAGTGACCCAACTGAATCCAGTGATCCAAGTGAATCAGGAGATGACGACGACTGCGAAACTGAAACAGATCCTAGTGATCCTACTAGTCCTACTTCTGGATTAATCGGTATTTCGATTGCCACTTCATCTGGAACCACTTCCTCTGTTGATGATTCATCTATTACTGTTGGTCCTTCAAGTGTTGATTCAAGTTCTAGCATCGATGCTACTTCGTATATTGAGTCAGAGTCGGATGATGATGATTGTGAAACTGAAACTGATGGTGAAACTGATGGTGAATCCACAAGCGTCGGTGTGACTGTGAGTGTTGGTGGAACCAGTGCTATCACTTCTGGTGTTTCAATTCCATCTTCATTCACCATTGGTAACTTTTCTGCTACTATTGGTTCATCAACGAGCACCTCTGCATCATCTATTGCAACAAGCAGCGATGATGACGATGATGATTGTGAAACAGAAACAGAAACAGAAACGGAAGGCGAAACTACAATTGTAACACAATCTCAAGGCTTTACCTATACTATCACTTCAAATGGTACGACTCTTATTGTCACCAATTCTTTCACAAATGTCAATTCTGGAACAACCACTGTTATTGATAGTGATACTGAACTTGATTGTGAAACCGAAACTGAAACTGAAGAAGAATCTGGATCAGGTATCATAATTACAAATACTGTTAGTGCCACTGTTACCAATCTTAACACGGTTACAACCACTGATGTTGATACAGAAACAGACGATGAAGAAGATTGTGAAACTGAAGTTGTTACAGTTTCAACTGAAGAAAGTACCATAGTTAATGCACTTACAACTATCACCACAACTATCTTGCACACTTCGACTTATGTTGTCGGAGATGTTGTCGATCCTGAAACTACTATTGTTGTAACTATGACAAATACCATTGCAGGTGAAAGTTCCTCAGATTATGATTCAGATGAAGATTATGAAGAATATTGTGATACTGAAGTCGTTCTTGAAACAACCGGGACTGTCATTGTGACAGTCACTAATACATATGAATCGACCGAAACTGATTCTTGGTTATACGATTCTGATGACGATGAAGATAATTGTGAAACCACTATCTATAACGTGGTTACTAATACTCTTGTTGCCCAAGATACTACAATAGTTGAAATTGTCACCAACACAGTTGCTGCTGAAGATTCATCAGCAACTGAAAGTGCTGGAGGATATGTTTGCCCAGACTATTATGATACTGATGATGATGACGATGACGATGATTCTTGTGACGCTACTTGTCCATGTGCTGACGATGGTATTATTTATAGTAATTCTGGCTCTGGAAGTGGATCTAGTAGTTCTGGATCTAATGTTGGTTCTGGTTCTGGATCTAGTTCTGGAAGCGGATCTGGATCTGGAAGTAGCTCTGGAAGTAGTTCAATTTCTGGTTCTAATGATGATGACGACGACGAGGACGATGACAATACTTGTACCGAAGATGGTTCCGGTTCAGATGAAGATGACGACGTTGAAACATTTGCAACTGTTAAAACAGCAACAGTAGCTTCAGTCTCTACTTATGAATCAGTTGAAACATTCGTTACCACAATAACATCAGCCGGTAAACCAGTTGCTAGTACATCTGTTCGTACAGTCACATCACTTGAAACTATACTCAGTACTTATTTAACAGTTGGAGATGTCACTTCTACTTTAACTTACGCTACTACTGCTGTAACTACCAGCGATGATTATGAATGTGAGACAGATGATGATGATTATACAACTGCACTGATTATATCTTTCTCAACTAGTGCCAAATATTATAATTCAAGTAGCATTGCTACTAGTACATCTACTGCTGCTGGTGGAATTCTTGGTTTCCTTAAAAATCTTGAAGTAAACATCACTGCTCCAACATCATTCACTATCTTACCAACTGAAACTTCAACTCCATTAATTGAATCTCAAAGTGATAGTGGTAGTAAAATGGTTCAAACTAGTGGATTATTCATGATGTTAGCATCCATTTTAACTATCCTCTTTACTTGAAGGATTTAATAACAATAAATTGAAGTATAATTCATTTTAAAAAAATCAAAAACTAATAAAGTTGCCGGAAAATTGATATATTATAAAAAATTCATTACCTAAATGGTGATGACACAGTCCAAATACAATAAAGTATATTAATCAACTTTATGAAAAAAGTTCAAAACAATTAATAGAGGAGGTGCAATGTATCAACCTCTATACATTATCATATCCTAACGTTACCCCTTTCTTCTTTTTCTTCATTATTTATAGCTTCTTATTCTTTGGGGAAGGAGTTTATTTTAAACTCGTTCTTTTAGAATTTCATTCTTTCATATTTGCTTTAGTTTCTTACTAATTTCAATTTCTATTTATAAACTAAAATTTTAATACCACAAAATTTACATATTTAAACATATCAATTGTAGTTTATAAAGTTGTAGTATTGATGGTCTAAGTAGTTGTAGTTGGCTAATTTGATTTGGTTGTAAATTTAGTTTGTGATCTCCTTTTTAAGGGTACGCAACCAAAAAAAAGTATCATCAGAAAGTTGTAATCACAAATAAAATTATATATAGAACAAATCAGTCATAGCAATCAGTACAACAACTACAACAAGGTAATAACCAAGTGATCCATCTATTATTTGAACTTCAATAGAACAAGATACCCCCCACACAGAAATAATAGGAAACGATGGTGCAGGTGGATCGTCAAACGTTATTATTCTTTATAATAATGTTTATATTTTTATCCTTGCCTAGTGGTCATGATCAACCCCACTCAACAAAGGAAAGAGAGACATTAGTAACGTTTCAACAGCAGTTGTTGGATGGTCAAGATGAATTGGCATTGTCGAATTATACTAGTGGATATGGAAATCTAACTGGATTCCATTTATCTTATCAAGATTTACTTGATGGCAAAACTGAGCAAGATTGGCCAATTCATAAATATGGACCTGATAATCTCTGGATAGAAGACGAGAAAGATTCCTTGTTGCCCAATAAGGTCAGTAATAAGGTTAAAGAGTTTTGGGGAATTGATAAAGTTGAGAAAGAAGATGGAGGAAGAGCTTATTTATTAAATATATCAGGGAGGGCTAATGGTGAATTTGAACAATTGAAATTAACCAAATTACAACTATTTGATTTGAAATTACCTCAATATTTAAAGGATTATTATGATAGTTCAATGCAATTAGGTGATGTTACCAGTGGATATAATGGAAATGAAGGAGAAGGTGAAGGTGAAAGTGGAGAAAATAAAGACAAAGAAAATGAAAAAGAAAATAAAGACAATAATAAGAATACAGATGATGATATAATATCTAAGATCGGAAACATTACTAAGTCCACTGGGAAGATATCAATCAATGTTAAAAGTTATGGTTATAATTTCCAAAATCCAGAATTTACTAAATTTATCGTTAATAAAACCACAGATACAGTTGATGATGCTATGGTTGTTCATTTAAAATTAAATTTAAAAGATTATGAAGAAATTGAAGATCATGAATTTGAAACTAAGGGAGTTTATTTTCAAAAGACAGGATCATTAATCACGATTACTCGTTCAGCTAAATTCTTAGGTAATCATGGATTAAGTCATTTAACTTTGAATGAATCAAATTTCAATAAATCAAGAATCTTAATGGGTCAATTATTAAATACCAGTGATATTCGTCATGATTTTTCAATGGATGACATGAATGGATATATTATCAAGAGTCAAGAACAATGTGAAATGATTTCATATTTCCAATTTGAAAAGACTGATTATAATTGGGATCAATTACGTTTAATCGATGAAGAGTTAATGAATCCTAATGGTAAGCCTATTCCTCATGATTTACCTCCTCTTTCTATCAAAGATTATTTAATCTATTCACCAGATTGTGGAATTGTATTAACTAAAAAACCAGATATACCGTTTGTTGGGTTAAAAGTCGAAGTTTTAAATAAAAAATTACGTTATTTATTAATGGGAATTTTATTATTAGTGATTATTCAATTATTATTATTCTTAAGACAAATTAAACAAGCTAGAACTCCAGGTCAATTAAGTACTATAGCAAGTAAGACATTATTTATTATTGGATTTCAAGATTCATTAATTGCTTTAATGTTTTTATTAATTTCAACACTAGTAGAGGATTTATATTTATTATTAGCCTGTGTTGCAGTGATATCATTTATAATGTGCGGTATCTTTGAATTAAGATTTATGGTTAGTGTATTAAGTACACAAGTTAATGAACGTGGAACCACTTGGTGGGAGATTTTAAGAGGTGGTTCTAGAAATGAAGGTGAAACTACAACAACCACTACTACCACCACAACTAATGATACGGGACCTATATTACCAATCGCAAATACCCCTGCTCCAGTTACACCTGTTGCTCCCGGACCTACAGTTGCACCAGGATGGGAAGAAGCATCATTTTCAAATAGTATATTTGCGGGAGGATTTTCATTAACTATTATAGCTACATTTTTATTATTAAATTCCTTAGTATGGAGAATTCAATATCGTAGGATATTTGAATATGTGGGATTAATTGGATTAAATTCATATTGGATTCCACAATTTTTAAGAAACACATTAAAGAATAAACGGAAATCATTTACATGGGAATTTATATTTGGTACTAGTATAATTCGATTATTACCAATTTATTATTTTAATTTAGTTAAAAGTAATCCATTAAGACATCATTATGATCCTATATTAGTGATTATCATCACAATTTGGATGATTATTCAATTAACGTTATTAATATTACAATATCAATTAGGAGCCAGATTTTGGGTTAATGAGAAATGGTTACCAAAAGCTTATGATTATCAAAGAATTATTCATTTTAAAGATTTGGAAACTGGATTTTCAAGTGAAATTTTGAATAGTTTAAGTAATAATATTTCCAATAATGATGTTGAAGAAATTATTGAAAGTCAATGTACATGTCCAATCTGTATGAATGAAATTACATTACCGATTATAAATGATATGTATGATAAAGATGGAACCAATGAAAATGAATTAAAAAAGATGAAAAAGGATTATATGATTACGCCATGTTATCATATATTCCATAGTGATTGTTTAGAAAATTGGATGAAATATAAATTACAATGTCCAGTATGTCGGGAGAGTTTACCGCCGATATAGGATTTATGACCGGGTTTATAGGTAATATATAATAATAATAATATATAGAAATAAAGGTTTATGATACGAAGTACGAAGTACGAATTAGAGATCTGCCATATATGTAGATGTGGATGAATGAATAGATGAATAGATTAATAGATGTTTAATTCATGTTTGATGTAAGTTTCAACTTTTGTGTAGGATGAAAAATATTTTTTTGCACTCATTATCGTAAGGCACCACTAACCTCCACCAGCACAAAGCTACCATCCACCACCACCACTAAAAGTTCGTAAAAATATTTAGTTTTTAAATATTACATTGTGTTTCATTGTTTCAATTTTTAAATAATAATATAAAGTAGACGTACATATCGATTTAATGAATGTGGAGAATGGATAGCCGGGGTTAAATTAGAGATATTATTAAAATTGAAATAAAACATCATATCATTTCGGTATTATTATTATTAAAATTTTAGGTAGTTATAACAACATATAACAAAGGGGTAGGTGTTATGTATGTATGTACGATACATGTGACTTGCTGTTTAAAAGGATATTTTAAGCTGATAGTATATAAATTATGCATTAAAATAAGATGATAATGGAGGAGGCTAATTTATCCGCTTATTTCCTTATACCTCCCTGAGGAGTTTAGAACTATATAGGTTAAAATAAGGATAGAATGATAGATAGTAGGTAGGAAGGTAATAGAAGTTTATTAGGAAGTGGTTAAGTTAGTAGATATCACTGTATAATAGTTAGTGGATCAAGGAAGAATAATAATTTAACTGATTGTGAATTACACCCTAGCCGACCCTTATACAGTGATCATCAAATTAGAAACCATATGGAAGGAATAAAAGAATGATAGAATGAATAAAGGTTTTGATCAAATTATTATTATTAGGTATTGACGGAGGTCTAAACGAAAATAGTAATTAACAGTTAGTCAGTCATTCTCTATAATAAAGTTTAAAGTAAAGTTTGAAATAAAATAAGAATTTTAGGGAGGAGATTATTTAGGGGGGAATTTACCGAAGGAAAGATTAGGGAAGGTACAGTTTCCGGTAGGATAATTTAAGAGATTAAAAGTAAAAGGTATACAAACTATTTACAACGTTTCTTAATACCATTAATAGTAAATTAATTAATCATAGTAACTGTGTAAATGTAAGTATAAGTGTGCTATGGGGGCCAGTGCTCATATATTGATTAATAAGAACTTATAAGTGAAAAATCGATTATCGCAATAAATAATTGTAACAATCATCCTTGATATCCGAGGCAGAACCTGACTTTTAATAACAATGAATGAATCAAAAGTAAAGTAAGTAATGTATGAATACCTGCATTAAAAGTAAAGTAAAAAAATTCGATCGATCGTTTTTTTTTTATTTTGCCTTTATCGTTTACAGATAATTTATTTTAGTCTATGCTGATTTACTGGGCTAATATTTGTTAGTTTTGATGCTTATGATATTTTTTTTTACATTATTTTGATTGGAGAGTTTGAACTGGTATGAATATCTATTTGTAAAGTTATAGTATTAGAAATCACCGTTAAAATTGGTTAAACCAAATTAGGTTAAGTTAAAGTAAGTTCCCAGAGTTAATCAAGAATTGCTTATAGATTGTTTGGGGTTGTGGAGATTGATCGTGTTATACACAGGAAACACACACACACACAGTAAATTTAAATTTATTTTTTTATCGATACAGTTTCAAAAAAATCAGCTCATTTTTTTTTTTTCTAATTAAAAATTTTAAATTGTTTTTTTTCCAGTGACTTAAAGGGTAAAGAGAGAATGTAGCGGTAAAGTAAAAATTTAAATTACTGAGAGAGAAAGACAGAGAGAGAGAGAATTTAATGTAAGTAGAAAGAAACTGTAACATAACACAGGCTAATTTATATTCCTTATCCTAGATTGTCCTTCGATCCATGACTATTTAGTGAAATTTAAGGTAAAAATAAAAATAAAAATAATAATTAAATACATAAATAAAAAAAAAACTTCTTGAGCAAAATATATCTCTACAATTTACTATTACCATTCTTATTATTGGCTCGGGTAACTATAGTTTTATATAAGTACAAGGTCATATCCTTTTGTAATCTATTTGATTCTGATATATATATATTATTCTTATAATTATTCTGTTGTACCCAGTACAAGTTATTACTATATATCATTGCTTAGATTTTGCATTCAATATATTTATTTATTTGTTGTTCACTTGAATCCCCCCTGGAAATTTAATTTAGTGAACAAATTCTCAAATTTACTGAGACTTTCCCCAAAAGAAAAAAAAAAAAAAGACTGATTGATTTACATTTTCATTTTCATTCAGACAGACAAAAAAGGAAATAAGCTAAAATCAGAAAAAAAAAGTCGTGTCTGATAAAATAACAATTTTTTTTTAATCAGACCATTTTTTTTATTTTTGTCATTTTTGTGAGAGGTTTAATTTACCAGACAGTTTTATAAAAATAAGAAAAAAGAAACTTTTATTTACAACCAAAAATCATCATCCAAATAATCAAAAATTTTCATCATTTCAATTTTAAAATTTATCAATTTCTTTTTCCAATTATAGGTTAGCTAACGGTTATCCCTTAATCAAATCAATCAACACTCAGACCAGACCAGATCAGACCAGACCAAATATAATCCAAATCTATACCGTTCCTTCCCCCCTCCAGTCTAATCTATCCTTTATCTATCCCTAGACTTTAGTTCATTATCTCCCATCATACAGTAAACTTTATTTACCCTCATACACCCTGGGATCGCCACCCAAATTCGACAGCTCAACAACTACAACTCATATAGTACAATCTATCATTTATTCAAGCCCCTAATAACTTATAACTAATATCTTATATCATATAATATCTCAAGATGAATGACTTTGATGCTGGTCGTTTCTTTGACTTTGAAAATGCTGACGACTTTTTAGAAAGTATATCTGGCTCTATTAACTCCAATAATAATAGTGTCAACAACAACAATAATAATAATAATAATGGTAATCCATCAGCCTTCCTTATGGATCAATCCATTAGTGGTGGACTCTTAGCTCCTGCCACAACTACCAATAACAATAATGCATTCCCTTCTGCTTTAGTGGGTGATGAACCCTTAAACAGATATTATTCCAATAATTCAGATAATACTTCTATAGAATGGAGTGATAGCAACAATAATAATATCATTAATAATGGTGCCACCATCAATAATAATAATATTCCAATTATCAATAACCTTCCCATCAATCAAGATTATACTAATCCAAATATTGATGCTACTATTGCTACCAATAATAATAACAATACCATGTATGATGACGTGTTAACTAATCAACAAGCTTTATCTGATTTAAGATCATTATCAACCACAAGTTATTCTCAAGATGATGGTATAACTCCTCCCAATGTTAATTCATCTATAAGTTCAGTTCATACATCTCCTGAACCAACTAAAGTTAAAGTTGAATCAACCACTTCAGAAGAAGAATATGATTATAGTGAAAGTGATGATCAAAAATCTTTAACTAAATCATCATCTAAAAAGAATTCTAAAAAATCTTCAAAAGTTACAAAACCAAAAGCTAAAGATAAATCTTCTCATAATATGATTGAAAAGAAATATAGAACTAATATTAATTCTAAAATTTTAACTCTTAGAGATGCAGTTCCATCTTTAAGAATTACAGTTGGTAAAGGTGATATATCAATTTCTGATTTAGAAGGTTTAACACCTGCTTCAAAATTAAATAAAGCTAGTGTTTTAACAAAAGCTACTGAATATATTAAACATTTAGAAGGTAAAAATGAAATCTTATTACAACAAAATTTACAATTACAACGATTAATTCAAGATGCTAATTTACGTCCTCAACAACAACAACATCAACAACAGCAATTACCTCCTCCTCCTCAACACCAACCATCTCAACAACAAGTACAACAAATGCAACAACAACATCATCAACAACAACAACAACAACAGCAGCAGCAACAACCACAACCACAATTGGGATTCTATGCTCCAAATGATCAATCATTCTATGCTGCTACTCCTTTACAACCATCTTACTCATCTAGTAATGGATTCATTTTCACTGGTACTCAACAACAATTTAGTCCACCACCACCTCAACAACAGCAACAACAACCTAATAAATTCTTATTAGGAGGTATGGCTACTGTTATGGGTACTTCATTATTTGCTGGAACTGGTGCCAATGATTTTAAAGGATTAAGTGCTTTACCATTTGCTCATTTGTTACCATATGCTTTAACTCATCCATCTCCAATAGTTTTACAATTATGGAGTTTATTCAAAGTATTATTATTCATGGGATCTTTAGCTTCATTAATCATACCCATGATTAATAAATCTGCTAAAAAAGGTGAAAATCAAAAAGTTCAAGTTGAAAATGATCAACAAAATTTGATTGTTAGTTGGTTTTTAATTAGTTTTGGATTCCAATTACCTATTGAATTAAGTGATCAACAACGTGATCAAATCTTGTATAGATTAATTCATGGCTCAAGTTATGGACAATTAATTCAAGATTATTTATTATTATCCATTAGTCAAATTAATTTTGAAAATTGTTTATTAAATTTAATTATTGGGAAATTTTTAATTTTAAAATATCCAAGATTAGAAACTTTATTAAATCGTAATTTATCTATTAAGGGATCATTAATTTTAAATTTAGATTATAAAGGATCTAATAAATCCATTCAAAAATTAAATCAATTAATTAAGAATTTTGATGGATTATCAATTTTAGGATCTGAAACTTTAATTTTAAGATTAATTAATTTAATTAATGGTGAACAAATTAATTTTGAAATATTTGATGGACAAAATCATGTTAAATATGTTGAAATCTTTCAAGATAATATTAATAATTATTATGGTATAATATTTAATTGGAGAATTTTAGAAATTATTCATCAATTAAATTTAAATTATTTATATGATGTTATTGATGAAGAAAATAATGATAATAATCAACAAGAAATTTTACAAGATTTAATTAAAATTGAACAAATTTTATCTAAAGAAGATGGTAGAATTTATCATTATTTTAAATTATTTAAAACCATTTTAAATGCTAATGATTGTCCATATTTATTAAAGGATTTAAATGAACAAGTTGAGAAATATTTAACTAATTTTAGAGTAATGATGGAAGGTCAAGAATTAACTGATCATGAAATATTTGATGATGAAGAAGGTGATAATGAAGAAGAAGAAAATCAAGAAACTGAAGAAACTGATGCTGATCAACCAGTTAAAATTAAATTTAAACCAAGTTTAAAATCTCAAAAATCATTAATTACTTCATTAAATTTAGTTAATGAAGAACAATTTATTATTTTAACTAGTTCATTGGTATTATATTATTATAATAATAATGAAGTTAGTAAAGCTATTAAATTATTAAATTATTTAAAATTATCATCAAATGATAATAAATTAACTTGTTTAAGTTTTACATCAATTATAAGTCTTTTACAATCATTAATTCCAGGTAAGATTGAAGATAATGATATTTTAGATAATTTAATTAAACTTTCAAGAGAATGGTTAAATGAAACTAAATTTATGGAATTTGAATTAAGAAGTGATGTTAGTAAATTTATTATTGATAAAGCTATAATTTTAAATGGTATTGAATCAAATTTATCTGATAATGAATAGATTTGATCCTTTATAAAAAAATATAACAATAATAAGTTTTAATAATGTCAATTAGTTTTATTCCATCCTTAGCATCATATCATACCATATCATATCATATTATATCACCTTATCTTCCCCTTTATGTTATAGTCATTAGGATTTTTCCTAATTTTTCAATTCATTGGTTTATTTCTATTATTACTACTTTGCTGCTTATTTTACTATTACTATTTCTATTTTGCTATTTGCCGTGAGTAATTACTTATTATTATTATTATTATTATTATTATTATTATTATTTATGTTTTTATATTTTATTATATGAATTTACTTTTACCATTGTTGTTAGTAGTTACGGCCGATATTTTTTAATCTAATTGTGATTTAGTTAAACCATTTCAAGCTCATCGTAGTTGTTATAAAATATATCCGTATACCCCAATGAAATTGATTATATAAAAATTTCAGTTAAAGTTTTCATTTTTTTCCCATTATCCGTTTTGTTTTTCCGTAGTTGGATTAACCTAAAAAAATAATTTTCAAGTTCCAGCCGCACCCTCGGAACAAAATCTCCATCCTCGCATACATAATATAATAATATCAAAAACAATGGTGAAATTCATAATTATAATTGAATTGAACTGAATTGTCATTCATGTATTGTTACATCCATAGCCCTACCATCCCGATCATCATATCCATCCCCTCCTATTCCCTCGAAAGTTTCGTAATTGAAATTTGTCCAGTATCATTACGTGAAAATATTTTTTTATTTGTATAGTTAAGTCTGATTTCGGATTAGTTTTTCCATGGGATGGATGAAAGGAGTTTAGCGCGTAACCACTTTTTTTATGAATAGAAAGTTTAACCCTATTCAAGATATGTAATTACAAGTGTAATGATATGAATATGGAATTGTGACATATCAACTACTACTACTACTACATAAACTGAACATTGAATGAAATCAATAAAAAATATTATTTGGAATAATAATATTTAATAAGAAATAGGTGAAACACTTGGAGAGACAAGAAAATCCGTTAATCATAATGATTTTTTTGGTGACGAAATGAATGACTGACTATCAACAAGAACTTAGCTGTATACACAAGGTAGTAATTTTTGAAAATATATATCACATATATTATATTACATATGATCTGTTGTCTGTTGCCTGATGATGACTATTAGTTGATGTCAGATTTCGTACATAAAAATAGAATCATTATTACTTTGAAATAGAACAAATTGTAATTATACTCACTCTCCCACATTTTCTTCCCTCTAAAATTTAAAGTTTGATGTGCGTATTTATTCATGTAAAGGAAATTGTTCGGCAACCTCATGTCCTGAGTATACATAGTTAATTAGGTTGTTTCATTTCACCCTGCACCACAACTCTATCTTATCAAGATTCGCCTGTCTATTCTATACTTAATGCTTAATTGGTTATTAAGAACATATCAAAAACTTCGGAAGTCTTCTAAACTCCAGGGAAACCTGAACTTATTTTTTCTTATTTTGTAATCACTAAATTTATCTTCTCACTATTATTTTTTAACAACGACAAAGTGACGAAACATCAACACTAAAAAATAATCACCAAAATAAAAAAAAAAGAGATTTAGTTTGGTGAATTAAAACAAAAAAAAAGAAAAGAAATTAAATTAATAATTAAAAATTAAAAATTAAAAAAAAAAAAAAAATAACGGATCACTTTGACCATACAAAAATGTCGTACATCTGAACCAGTAGGGATGACGCACTACACAGCCAAAAGGTGTCGGCATCCTATGCCTACGTATCTTTCCCGAGTTGCCGGCCACCGGTACACCTCAACCTAATTACAATTCATTACCATGATGCTCACATTAAATTACCCTTTTTAAAAATTATTATTAAATATCCAATTATCTAAATATCCAATTATCTAAATAACCAAAAATAAAAAAATGTATCGGTTATTCTCTATGCATGTTCGGATGCTCTAACCCATAAGTTCTCACAAGACCAATTTTTTTTTTTCGTTTTTACAGTTTTTCTTCTTCTCCTTTTCACAGGTTCCTTTTTCAAACAAGCAAATTTTAAGCTTTTATAATATATTAGCTAATTATTCTTTTCATTTTATTTTTATTTTTGTACTTAGCGGTTGCCCAGATTATGATTATCATCATTTGAAAATGAAATAAAAATGCACTGTAAAGTACTTCCTCTTTAGGAGAAAGTTTCCCGTTGGTTATGGTTTCGTTGTTCATTCTTATTTTAGGCTTATTTTATTTTTGAGGTTGGACCTTTATTGATGGAATTTCATAACCATTTATAGATCTGACTTGCAACATTTCGGTTTAGAGTTGTTATGAAGCATAAAACCTGAAAATATCGATTGACCTCGAAGTAATAGTCCATATATTTATGGAGTTTGACCGGGGTAAGCCTTGATCCATTAATCCCGTACTTTCAATTAAATTTGCAAGGGAAGGGTGTATAATTAAAATCAATGCAAAGACAAAAGCAAAAAAAAAACCTACTTGACATATTCTTTTAGTTACGAACGAGCAAGTCTAAGAGAGGCGAAAGCAGAATAGCAGATCATTACCAAAAGCTTAAAGTTTCGAATTGTGCTGATCCATGTTGTAGTTTGTAATTACAGCCAAATAAAGTTTTTTCTTTTTTAAAATGATTTTCCCTTTCCCATTTTCAATTTCAATTTCCAAGGCCATTTCCGGTGTTACAATCTTTATAAAATAATAAAAGAATCCATAATTGTCGCTTATATGTTTCTCAATTGAGAAGTCAACCAACCTACCAACCATGCATTGTATGTATGATTTCCATGTTGCGTAAAATTATTTAATGTCTCCATACCCAAGTTTCATTTCTTAATTTTATAATTACAAATTAACATGTGGATTTGAATTGAAAATTTTTTTTTTGTTTATTTTTTACACATTAATAATAAACGGATTTATCTCATTCAATACCTTCGGTACATGCACCCGATATTTTTTTTTTTGAATTATTTTTTTTGTATTGATTTTATTTATTTTTTTTTGTTCATAATTTCCTAATTTTGATTTTGTATTTTGTTTCCTGCATTGTTATTATTGACTTTATTTATTTACTTTATTTCATTTTAAATTATACATTATAGCATGTTTTTAATAGATTAAAAATTGGACTTGGACTTCTCAACTTGTTACAAATCACCATTTAAGCCTAGACCTGGACCTAGGACTTGAGGGACATTTTCACTTAATTCAATTGCATGAAAATTAAATGTATACTTGATTATTTTATGTATGTATGTTTTGCATTTCCTTTGTTTTATGCTCTGTTGTCTTACATGGTGAGGTAAGGATATCTGTTTAACCGAACTAGCAGTATATGCAAACCATCTAAGTTCCCATTGATTTAAGGTTATACTCGCTATTAACCGTATAATAAAGATAGGGAGGAGAGGGGGAGGGGGAGGTTATTATCAAAGATGGTGGTGGTGGTGGAAACTCAATATTAATAAAGAACCCCATACTTTTTTAGTTCAGTCCCTGTTTTGGACAGTAGTTAAAATCGAACAAGGTTAACGATGTCGAACAATACGGATAAGAAAAAAAAAAAAAATAAATAAAGAAAAAAATAAATAATAAAAACAAAAATAAAGTTGCTTGCTTTTTGCTTTCTTGTTGCTAATATAAACTTTGTTAGTCTATAGAGAGAACTGCTTCCGTTCCTCAATAGGCAATATAGTTAACTGTATACAAGATTTGATTATTATGGATATTTGAGAATGTTCTATTGTAAATTAAGATTTATTTTTCTTTAAATTGATTTGCTATAAGTTGGGGAATACCAGTAAAAGATTCACGATTAATAATATTAATTAAATTAATTAATTAATTAATCATAATAATAAAAATCGTACATTTTATATAATTTAAATTTTATCAGGTGGTTTTTAAATTTACAGGTTAGCTAAACGTTGAAGATAATTCCGTTCAGAGTTTAACTGTAAAAAAGCATCAATATAATAATAATTTTATAATAACTAATTTCAATTCGAGGTTTAATTTGAATTTGAAATTACATTTGGATATTCTCATCTAAAACAAAGCCTTTAATCCACAGAATAATACAATGTACATATTCAATTGAACAATAATCGATGGATATAGATTACCACCAGAAAATATTGCCTCCACGATTATTTATTTATTCTTATTATTATTATTATTATTAGTAATATTAATTGTCATACATACCTGGTTTATGGCCTTATTCGGTCAATACATTTTAAATGCACCTTTTGAATAACAAAATAATTCACTCACTCACATAACTGATGTACAGTTTGAAACCGTCAAAATATAAGTTCGTAAACTAAAAAACCGTCGTTCCTGAACAAAGTAATAAAATAAATTATTTTACATATAACGATAAATATCGTAACGTGTAAAAATTGATGGTGGATAAATGTTGCCGACGATATTTGGTAAAATAAAGTCATTTTAAAAATTATCGCTCCAGAAGTTCCCTAAAATCGGAAACCGGTAAAAGGCTCCGCGCCTATTTTCCATATCTCTAATCAGCAAAAACCTACCAAACAAAAAAAATAATAAAAATAACGTTGTATATAACACCCTTATTTCAATTATAGTTTTAGTAATGAAAGGGAAAGTGGAAATAGAAGTAAGGTAATAGGCGGCTCAGTAATATTTGGGTTCAAATACAATTTTAAACTTTGTTCTATTTCTTTTCTTCCTTTTTTTAAAAATGTTATTTTATATTGTCGAAACAAGGTTATTATCAATTTAAGTTTAGTTTCGTTACGTTACGGTTCGTTTCTTTTCTCCACTTCTCCCATGATGGAAGGGCATTATATAATTGATCCACTTTAATTTAGAGTTAGAATATAATTGTAGATCTTTAATTGTAGATGATGAATAAATCAATGATAATCATTCATGATGATGATGATGATGATTAAAATTCAGAGGATACATTTGCGAATCACCCACCATTTTTTAAGGTTTTGATTCGCCTTTGTGATATAATGCGGATATCAATATTTTATATGCATGGGGAAAATGAATCACAAATATAAACTCAATGATATTACTACGAGAAATAACAAAAAATGTCTCCCTTTTTTTTTTTTTTTTTTCTTCGGCTCCCAGATGCAAAAAAAATAAAATCATAAAAAATATTTATTTTTTAGGTTAAATTTTTTTTTATTTTATTTTTTTTTTTTTTTTTTTTTTTTTAAGGCTAACGTAATATCTTATGATGATCAAAAATAAAAAATAATGTTAATTTTAACACTATAATCATCCAGACCTACATACATTAATAATTTCTTTTTAGCGGATATTTCTCGACTTTCCAAAAAGGACTTATTCATTTCATTCATTATTAATTATAATTCAATGTCTAGATTGTTTTCAATCGCCCTTCATTATTATTTTTTTATGATGGAGGGATGATTGACATCTTGTTATGGTATTGCTTATTTGCCCCAATATTTTTATCCAATTGCAGAAAGAATGAAAGGAGGAGAAGACACATGAGATAAGTTTAGATAGAACAAATTGTTGAATATTCATGCATATCTCTATTGTGATGTATCCTGTTCATGTCATGCTTATTTATTATCCTTAAATGGCTTTGCTTTATGGGATTTGTCTCCATCTTTATTTTGACATTGAGTCTAATTTAAAATTTTAAAATTGATTTTTAATTTTAAATTTTTAGATTAATTTTAATTTTATTTTATTTTTATTTTTCTTTATTTATTTCTTTATTTATTTCTTTATTTTTCATTTTCATTTATATGTATATATATATACATCATAATATCTTGTCATTTAAAAACAGATAATTTTTCTATATATCATTATTATTTTTTTTTAAAATATAATTCTTTGATTATTAATTTTCATATTCTAGAATTGAAATTGCTTTTTAAATATATCTTAGAGGTATATCGTCATCGTCATCAACCTTCAACCTTCATACTTGTCACCACCCATTCATATACTAAAATTGACCTTTTTGCATTTACCACACCTTACCCCAAAATCACAATACTAATTATCTGATGAATATTTATATTTAGTGACATCAATCATTAATTACACCACGATCGTCAAATTTAAATTATTTCACTTCCTTAATTCTTTATTCAATCATCATCATTCATAAAAAGGAAAGTACCTTACCATTTTCTTATTGGTAAATCATTTTATTACTTGGCTTTTTCATTTTACTTCCATTTCCAATTCTATTCCTTCTTTTCTTTTCTTTTGTTTTTAAATCTCGCTATAATTACGTATATGCATAATTCACTACCTATCAACCTTGCATCAAGTTCACTTTATCGTTGAATCTCCCAGATCATAATTACAAAGTTACAAGCTATATCCTATATATATATATCTATTTGGAAGCCCGACAAAGTTAATCTTTTTTTTATCCTATTTTTTAAATTTGCATGTTGCAAAAAAAACGAGCACACTATTTTTTTTGGCCTTAAAAATTTATCACCCAACCTCAATATATCTAAGGTTGATTATCAATTCCCAACTATTATATCCTTTTACTTCATATATCTTGGTCAGAATCTCATATTTCAGTCATTACTTCATTCATTAACTCATTCATAACTCAGTTCGGTTCCTTATAACTATCTCATCATAAACATATATATTCATCATCATGTCTGATTCAGAAGATAGTTCTATTGATACTAATGAGTATTCTATACAAGATTATTATAAATTGATAAGACCGCTTTGGGCAGCTAAGAATGTTAATGCTAGTTACTTGAATAATCATAAATTACTTCGTACCCTTGTTGATTTCTCCTTAACTCATTCATTATTCTTAAAAAATTTACAAAAACGTGAATTAGATCTTGGTGATATAATACCTACTAAAATCAATTATTTAAACTCATTAGTGATAAGGACTCCAAACCATAACAATTTAAACAATCAACAGAACCCTTATCAATACTATGGATGTTTCAGAAATAAATTTGTTGAATTCTGTCCTCATTTAGCTATCTCAGCTTATTTATTCACCAGATTTCATATTCCTGATGATTATGGATCATTAGAATTCATATTTAATGAAAATCATAAATTAAATCTTCAAGATGTTAAATTATTAAAGGGAAACAACAAATTATCTGCCATATCATATAGTCAACAACATAAATCATCTATAAATGCCCTTGGATTAAGTGGTTTAAATTATAAAGATATCAATTTAAATAAATTATTATCAACTCAGGAGTTTGAAATTAACGATAAATTGGTTTCACTTGATATTGAACAATTACCACATCGTTTAATGTTACAATTAGCTGGGAACTTTACAAGTTTTAATGATTATGTGATACCTAGAAATAATTTAGAACCACCTCAAGAATTATTAGATCAAATATTCCCATTTATAAATACTATAGATCCAATTCTGGATAGTTCGTCCATGTTAAGAATCAAACATTTATTAACCATATTAAGACGAAGTTTGGTTCAAGATATGGTTATCATCAAGAGAAAGTATCCAAATAATCCAATATCGAAACATCCATTATTTAATAGTGAAGCATTTAATAAATTCAGTTTAGAAATGGAAAAAAATGATCTTATTGAAAAATCAGCTATTTTTGAATCATTTGATGAAAATGATTTAGATATTAATATGGATGATATGAGTGATAATTATGAAAGTATGATAAATAATCCAAATCTTGATTTATCTAAAATTGTTGAAATTCAAAATAATAAAATTAAAAATTTACAAGATCAATTAAATAATATTTACGGAGATCAAAAGAATGTATTTGAAAATTTCAACTCCTTTGTTGAACTTCAAAATGATGTATTTCAAAGGCAAAGTGAACATTTACAAAAGATTCAAAATTCAATTAATGGTTTATTAGTGTTGTTTTCTACTAGAAATAAGAATTTAATTCCATTGGCTCAACAAAGTTTAAGTGAAACTTCAGAATTTATAAATTCGATTTCAAGTGCTAATGTGAATCAAGGGTTGAATAATACTTTGGAATTATTATCTAAATTAAGTTCAACCAATGCATCTCAAGTCATAACCATTAATAATACTAATCCAGTGTTTAATGCTCTTCAACCAAGTAGTAAATCATCATCATCTCAACTGCCTTTACCGCAACATTCTATAGCTCATCAACAGCCACTTCCTCCTCATCAACAATTACCCCAACAACCTCTTCAATACCTGCCTCAAGGTCAACATGTTCAACATCATCAACATGAACATCATCATCAACATCCTCAACAACTTCATCCTCAACAACCATCGTCATCATCTTCTTCATCTTCATTATCACAACAAGTCCAACAAATTCCACAACCATTACAACCTCAAGCTCCACTTACTCCACAACAATTAGAAAGACAGCTTATTTTAAATAGAAGATTATCAAGACAAGCTACTACTCTATTTGAAATGTGGGATGATTTCAAAGGGTTAGAGCAAGCCTTAAAAGATCATGAAATTACAGTTACAGAATGGTTAAAAGTTCATGGAAGTTCTGAAAGACAATTTAGACATACTAGATTAAAAATCATTAAATTCATTGAAGATGAATCAGCCAGAAGAAACTGTAGTGTTGAAATCATTAAAGAGAAATTACATAACAAAATGAGAAATAGATTAAGACCTTGGACTTTAGATGAAGTTCAAAGAATGTTAACTTCAGGTAAGAGAATTAATCTTAATGATTAGAGTCTATTTGGTTTCTTGTCAAAGCTTCTATCTAATTTTTTATGTATGAAAACTCTTTACAAAAATGTATCATATCCCACCCCCCCTAATTATTAATGGAGTATAGATAATCTTACCTATACTCCTTAATAGTTGCTTATTTATTATTTTCTTCTACTTATTCTTTTTACTTTTACATTTACATTTACTTTTACTTACAACCTGTATTAATTATCTTTTCCATAGTTATCATATTATTTATTATTTATTGGGGTCCAGTCATTCATATATAACATACATATCAAAATATAAATTTTTTTATTACTTAAACAACCTTTAAACTATCCCTTCCTTCCCCTACCTCCCCATTTCTTCCCTCTTAAAATGCTTTGGTTGTGAGAATATTTTTCTCCGCTAATTCTTCTCCCTTTTGTCTCCCCGGACTTTGAATGTTGAACTCCGTCAACAGCCGGTCGTGTACCATGCCTCAAATTATCTCTATGACTAATATGGGGAAGCCATATCTATCTATATATATATATATATAATTGGGTATTGCAAAAGTCAGTAAACTTTATAATTTATGGCTTATTTTTTGGTACTATAGAAGATTCATCCTATGTAATAAGATGTCGTTATTGGCCGAACATAATGCTTTGGAGTTGGAAGATCGTGCTTCATTGATCTTACCTCGAGAACTGAATAAAAGTCAAGATATTATAAGTGAAGAACATATTTCAATTGATTCTTTGACTTTAATTCAAAATATCATCGCTAATAAGGATGGTATTTATGTAGTGGTATCAGGATTTCTTTGTAATTTCATGGTATTCGGAGTGGGGTTTTCTTACGGTGTGTTCCAAGAATTTTATAAATCTCAAGATGGTCCTTTAAGTCATTGTTCTGATTTCCAAGTGGCTATGGTTGGTACGTTTGGTACTGCCTTAACTTATACTTGTGGGATATTTAATAAAACTTTATTAACTTATCTTAAGCCAAGAACTCTTATGCTTATTGGTTCAATTTTAATGTCAGCTGGTTTAATATTAGCAGGGTTTTGTACTGAATTATATCAATTTATCTTGACTCAAGGTTTGATTTACGGTGTCGGTTCTAGTTTTGTATATTTACCTCCCGTCGTATGTGCCCCAATGTTTTTTAATAAACATAGAGCCATTGCTATGGGTTTATTATTTAGTGGTACTGGGTTTGGAGGTTTGGCTATTGCTCCTTTGACTCGTTATTTGGTATCTGAAATTGGATTCAGATGGTGTTTAAGAACTCTTGGATTGATTAATCTTGCTTTAACCATTTTAGCCAGTACTCTAGTAAGAGAACCTCCAGTTGGTACTTTCAAATCTAATAATAAATTGTTTAATATTAATCAATTAGGTTCTTGGAAAGTTTGCTTACAATTAGCAGGATCTTTATTACAAGCTGCGGGTTATTTAATTCCATTGATTTATATGTCATCCTATGCTCAAACTTTAGGATTTACAAGAGGTCAAGGTGCGTTATTCATTGGTCTTAATAACGCCATTAATGCCGTATTCAAAGTTATATTTGGATTTGGGGGTGATGAAATCGGTCGTCTTAATATGATTATCATTTGTAATTTATTAAGTGCTGTAACTGTTTTTGGATTATGGTATGTGGAATCAAAGAGCGCTTACATTGGGTTTATTGTATTATATGGAGTCTTCTCAGGTGCTATCATTAGTTTATTACCCACTTGCTTGTTAGAATTGTTTGGGGCTGCAAATTATCAATCCTTAAGTAGTATAATGTACTTCTGCAGAGGAGTTGGAAATTTCTTAGGTTCACCTTTAGCTGGTCTAATGATTGTTAACAGTGGAGTTAAAGCAAGTGATTATAAACTTCCTATTATCTATAATGGAGTTCTATTAGTTGCAAGTACAGCTTGCTTAGCCGGGGTTTGGGGTATAGCATATACAGAAAAGAGACAAAAGACTTGGAAAATTTAAATTGTGTATAAAAACTCTATATAATTTTTTCATTTATAACATAGAATATACAAATAAAAAATTGAAAAATAATAAGAATAAGAATAGAAAAAAAAATAAAGAACCTGCTTTCATTTAGGGGTTTGAAAATTCCTTCAAAATATTTTATAAATCTATATCTTTGAATGCAAAAGGTTCATATGGATAACCTTCACCTTCGAAAAACTTGGACATTGCTTCCACCCAATGTAATCTTAAAGAATGTAACATCGCAGAAGTACCTTCCATAAGAACTAAAATACAAACCGTTAAAGTAAACCATAACGCAAACAATACCACAGTCATAAAAATACCAAAATTACCAGTTTGACCAAATGCATTACTGATGGTCATACTCCAAAGCACAGACGATAATTGGGCATGAGCTAATGATAAGGCCCATAATCTTAAATAAGAAGCAGTATGACTAACACAATTCAAACAGAATTCAATCGTATGAATGACTTGATGAATGACAATATCACCAAAATCAAATGAACCAGCTTCATCTCCATGGGAAGTTGAATTATGATGTAATGGTTCGATATCATTTGGAAAGTTAAATTCTTCGTTTAAATCATCTACTTCATCATCGAGTGGATCATGATTTAATTCTACATCCAAATCAAAAGCAGTTTCTTCTTCATGAAGTTGAAGGGAATGATTAACTTGGGAATTCAAATCTCTATAACCTAATTGGATTGCTCTTTCATTTTGTCTTTTCAAAGTTAATGGCTTGTATACTAATAACCATGGTACACAAACAAGAGCAATTAACACAAGTACGATTTGAACGAATTTTTGACCGGGATATAATTGTTCTTCAATATTACCTGGAGAAAGGAACATATTAATCAACATGTTAAGTAAACCAGGAGGTTGTCTTCCAGTGCCTAACCAATCAACTGACCATTTATAAACAATGGTCAATGCCAAATAACCAAAAATACTTTGCATGAATAAAAATCCGGGAATGAAATTACCAATGATATCAACTCTTGATTTGAAATATCTATAATTTACTAAACTGAAAAACAACGAGTAGTTCATATGGACAAACCCCATTAAGACAGATAATTTCATCTTATAAGAATTTGTGAATAATAAATTATTTTCAGATCCATGCCATGCCCAATCTAAACCAATAGGGTATACATGACCTGGTTTTCTGGTGGCGGTAAGACTAATTGGTCCATCGGCGGGGTCATAATCGGCAGGGAAGTTCCATTCCCAAGCGGAACTGAAAAGAGTCATGGATTTGGAGAATATATCATTATACATCAAACCAGTATACATGGAGAAAGCACCCATTAACAATACGATATATCTTCCATTGAATGCCATTTCGAAAATTTCATCTTTATTTCTCAATGAACCAAATGCAACCTCATTTTTGATTAAATATAACGCAATTAAGAATACGATGAAACCATGACCTAAATCACCAAACATAATGGCAAACATGAATGGGAAAGTGATAATAGTAGCCAAACCTGGATTTACTTCTTGATAAGTTGCAATACCATAAGCATCGATAATCAGTTGGAAAGCAGCATTGAATTTAGTTGTCTTATGGTATGTTGGAGGAGTCCTATTGGTAGACAATTCATTAACAACGGCAATTAAAGTACCAAACTCATCATCATCATCGAGACTGGAGATTTCATGGTCTGTGTCATCAATTGCAAATAACGGAGAAGCAGTGGAAGCAGGTGTAGTGGGTGGAGCAGAAGCTGATTCATCATTTAAAAGTATTGATTCTTGCGATGCTGAAGAAGAACCACCATGACGAGATTTTTCTCTCACCAAATGACGTAACGTTTGTCTGATGCTATCGAATTCAGATACTGGAATCCAACCTTCACCAACTAAACATCTTCTGGTACTATCTTCATCGAATTTATTTAAAGTTTGATATATTAATTTTTCTCTTTGAGTAATATAACAAAAATCAGGATAAGCTTCTTGAACCACTAATAATTCTGTAATCAAATGGCTTTTAGTATTTTCAACCACACTATTAAAATCATTAATCTTCAAATTAAGATCTTCCATAGTAGCAAATCTTTGCAGTTCATTTCCTCCAACGTTATCATAAATGATACCATCCAAGGATTGGATAATTTTTCTTACTCTTGCTTTTAAAAAGTCACCATGAATATAGATAATAAACGCATTTTTATCGATTAATTCAGCATCTTTACCATTATAATTAGATAATGGTTCATCGATTTGACTATCATAAAAGTATAAGTTACCTCTTAAAGTTCTCCATAAGATCTTTCTTAATAAGGGGATTTTATCTCTGGCTAATGTACCTGAGATAGAGTTGAATCCTGATTCTGATAAATCCACAGTTTCTTGTCCTAATTCCAAACTATTGTTTCTATTGTTTAATAAGGCGACATCATCATCATCAGTTTCATTACCTTGTCTTTGACCTTGGAAACTATCATCAAATCCACGTACACTTGATCTATGAAATTCTGATAAGGCTGTTAGCACATATCTATTCTCTATTAACTTTAATTTTTGTTGATATAAGGAAGTGAAAGAGTTATCAAGATGTTTAATTCTTTCATAAAAATCCTTGATCTTGGCTTTAATTTCATCCATTTCCGATGATCCAGGAAGGGGATTCAAATCAGCTTTAAGATTAACGAATATATCACTTTTAATAGTTTCATATTTTTCCATACTTGAATGTAGAAAATGAAGTTGACTTTCTAATGTATCGATACTTCTTAATTCAGTGACAAAAGTTCTTTGAAATGGAGTTAATTTTGAATTCAAATCTCTGAAATGAACAGTTCCAAGGTTTCCCAATGTACAAACCACATCACGAGCCAATTCTATGGTAACATAGAATTGAACTAAAGTCATAGGAGCTGATCTGAAAATAGCCTCATTATGGCTAGGCTCCACATTTTGAGATAGCAGTATAGGTTGCAGCATATTCTTTAATAAATGGAATGATGAAATAAATCAAACAATGCAACCGTTGATTGAAGCTATAATAATACAATTGACTATGTAAGTCGGTTAAACCCAGTTATGATATGGGATCAAATAGTGTAACGAAGAGGAATTGAAGATCGATTTGAACTAAAAATTCAGAATTACGTGGGAGTTTTTTTGGTAGATTGATTTTTACACGTTACAAGAAATTATTTACAGTTTATAGCCTCCTTTTTTAGCTGCACCGGAATTTGATTTAACCAATTGAATTATGGAAGCTTTATGGTAAGGTTTAGTAGTAATTAGGAGTATGTACGCATGAGATAGATCGATTGTATCATATATGTATGTATTAGTTAATCGAATTGATTTCTTGCTTGAAGAAAGAGCTATTATCGGTTGAGTAGTAGTACAATGTGATACATAACTCTTTTATGACAGTATAATTACTATAGAAATCATATAGTATAACCAGTTAGATCCACCATCACTGTGTAGTCCTATACTCTCCCTCACTACTTCAACTACTGTAAAACCATCAACATGTGTAACCATTGAACTGTGTGTGTGTGTGAATTGACTTTAAAAATGGTGGAGGAGCCGCGATTATCACATAATGGAAAAATACGAGAAATTATATTTTGAGTAACACGTAATTGAATAATTGCCATCAAATAGAATCGAATCAAATTGATCAATTATCATGGCAAGGTTATCAATCAAGGTTCTACTACTAATAACCAGTAGTTTGGTAAACTTGTGTTTTGCTAAATCTGGGAAAGACCTTTATTTTGAGGCCCAAAACGTCTTATTCTCCATGAATAAGACTCAAAATATAGTCCAAGTATATGATGATTCAACTATATTTGGAAGCTTGGACATTCCTCAGTACGATATGGAATTAAAGGATTACGTCAATGCAAAACCTAATCAAACTCCTGATATAATACGAGATAAGGTGATACCTTTATTGGAAGAATCAGCCAAATTGAATTATTATGGAGCTTTTATTCAATTAGCTGACTTTTATCTAATGGGGTATCATTCCATTGAAACTAATTACTTAAAGGCAAAAGAGTATTATGAAAGAGCAGTTGAAATTTCTAGTGATGGACATTCTTATTTCATGCTTGGATTCATCTATTCAAGTGGACTTTTTGGAGAAGTTGAAATTGATCAAGCAAAGGCAACATTATATTTCCAAACTGGAATGGAAAATGGTGACATCGATTCAATGATTGCCCTTGCTTATCGAAATGCATATGGGATTGGAACTCCAACCAATTGTGATTTGTCATTGGTATATTACTCAAAGGTGGCACAATTAGGTATGGATTACTTACAAAAGACAAACTACACTGTGGATGTGGATGATTCAGTATATAATGTTAAACTAGTGGATTTCAATGGCGGTATCTACGGAGACAAATTAAGTGAATCAGTCAAATCAGTGGTTTCAAAAGAAAGAATATATGCCGAAAATCGAAGAGCATTTGAAGAATTCAATATAGATGGTAATGAATATGAATTCGTTTCTAGTTATTACAATGCATTGAGGTATTATGATGGAGATTATTTTATCCAAAAAGATTATCCTAAAGCAACTAAATATTTACAACAATGTGTGGATCTTGGTGAACAAATGTATGGAAGTAACAAATATAAACATATAAATACCATGGATAGATTCTATTTGAGTCGATGTCAAGCTATGTTGGGACATATATATCTTACGGGTCAAGGGGTAGTAAAAGACGTGGTAAAGGCTAATTCATTACTCACTACTTCATTGCTAGTTCAGGAAATAAGTGATGCTCTTAATGATCTTGGATACATTAAAGAAAATCAATTACTTGGTACTCCCGATGAAAAAGCTGAAGTCAAAGCAACTGAATTATATACCAAAGCAGTGAAACTTGGATCAAATGAAGCAAGATTAAATCTTGCTAAACTTCTCACATCAATGAGTCCAGATGGAGAGCCATTGAGAGGTGAATACGCAAAAGGCATTTATTTCAATGTCAGAAGAGCCGTATATAATGGTAATAGGGAATCATTATTTTACTTGGGTGATTATCTTCAATCTGGATTGGCACAAAAAGTCGATCTGGATAAGCTTCATGATTGTCAAAGCATGGTATTCTACTATAAAATGTTTGTAGAGAGAATGGAAAGTCACTTCTTCCCTCATTTAAAGTATGGGTTTGATGAATTAGCTAAGGGTAACTATAAGAATTCATTACTTGCATATCTGATAGCAGCTGAGCAAGGTCTTGAATATTCCCAGATTTCAGCTTCTTACTTATTATATCAAATGCAACCTTTATGGTCATTAAAACCTGTAAAAACTTTTGATGCGGAAAGAGTAGAATCATCAATAAGGTATCTTGAAAGAGCTTCCCGTCAAAAGAATACCGATGCAACCATACTTCTTGGTGATTTATATATGAATGGAATTGAAAACGGAATTTTGGAAAAGGATTATACAAAAGCATTTGCATATTTTAAAAAGGCAAGCAATGATCATTCTTCTCATGGTGCTTATAAATTGGGTCACATGTATGAATATGGATTGGGTCCTCAGGACAACCTGGTGGATTACTTCATGGCCAAAAGGTTTTACGATTTAAGTATTCAATATCAAGATGCAAATAAAAGATCTAGAACACTGAATAAAACAGCTATAAATTGGGCTCTCCTTAGATTGAGAATGAAATATTTATTCAACAGGAAGAAATTTAAGAGTGAAAATAGTGAAGTAGAAAAACTGGGTTGGTTGGATTCATTTAGAAAGATAAGAGGTGGTTCTCGTTCAAATGAAGTAGATAAGGCAAATGAAAGAGCAAGAGCCCACCACGAGGGTGGATTATATGACGGCGATGATTATGAAGAATTTGATATTCTTGATTACGTGGTGGTTTTCTTGACGTTTGCGTTTTTTCTCTCATTTTTCATTCAGAATGTGATTCGTCGTATTAGAAGAGCTGGTGATCAACCTAATGAAAATAATGAAGAAAATCAAGAGGGCAATAATCAAGACTTACGTGGTCAATTCAATATTAGAGGCGTTAATTTTGAATTCCACTTTTTTGCATTATAAGTGTATATATGTACATTATTCTATAATCGTTATCTTACGTAGTCATGTCTAAATAAATATCTTTAATAATTGGACTATTCGACAAAAGCTGTGATGGAAATAAATTCTTCTTTTGTGATTCTCTTTGACCAGAATTGGGAAAACTATAAAGTTTAGCAGCATCAGCTGGTAATTCGTAAATCCAACCTTTACTAGATAATAAGTCCATAAAAGTTTTAATTGTTTCTGCATTTGAAAGTGTTGATTTTGAACCTAAAAGGATTAATTTAGATTTAGCTCTGGTTATGGCAACATTGACCCTACGCCAATCTCTAACCAAATCACCTGCCTTGTTTTCAGCGTTGGAACGAACAAACGAAAGTATAATGCAATCTTTATCTCGACCTTGGAACCGATCGGCTGTAAGAATTTCAACCTCTTCATGTCCGTGCAATATTCTGTTAAGTAATCTTAATTGTCCTGTATTAAAAGTCATAACACCTATTCGACTCTCTTCAACCCCGCAGGCAAGTAATGCTTCCACTGTTTGTCTGACTAGTTCTGCCTCCATCTTATTTTCCACATATTCACCGAATGTTCTCTCTAAAGCTGGTATTTTGTCGTGATCTAAGAAAAGAACCTTACAATTAGGATCTAATATTTTATTTATCCAAGTATCATTTGGTGGTATAGGAGAATTCGAATATTTAATCAAATTCAGAGCGTTGGGAATCTCTAAGTACTGCTTTGCTGTAGCTTCGGAGCCACACTTCAATCTGTTATTGTAAACCAAAATATTTGAAAGCTGCATGATTTCATCACACATTCTGTATTGGTAAGTTAATTCAACGAGGGCTTTAGGATATTTCTCAGCCAAACTTTTAAACAATGATTGAGATAATCCCTTCTTGACGTTGGGATCAGGATGAAGCACCAATGGAGGAAGTTGGTAGTGATCACCTACCAATACAAATTTGTCAGCGAATCTTAACGGACCAAGACTCATTGGCATTGAAGCTTGTGAAGCTTCGTCTATAATACAGTAATCGAATCTATCACGCAAATTGAACGTCACATCATTCACACCTAAACACGTTGCAGCCACAACGTAGGGTTCCAAGTAAACCTTTTGAAAATCTTCATATGTTGAAATCAGTTTATCGAAAAAACTAGGTACCTTATGTCTTATTTTAGAATGAACTCGAGAAGGATGACCAAGTCTTAGAAAATCAACTCCTAGCTCTTGAATTTTGAGTAGAATGTTATCAACAGCTGAATTTGTATATGCGGATAAGAATACTGTCTTCTTGTTTTCCACCAATATCTTGATAAGTTGAGCAATAACTGTCGTCTTCCCAGTACCTGGCATCCCTAAAATAAGTGAGAAATCATTTGCAGTCAAGACACTTTCAAATGCTTTTAACTGATCCGGATTATACTTATCTTCTGATAATGTATAAGGAATGCCAACTTTCAGAAATGTAGGTTCTGCATTCTCAATTATTGCTTTCCTGATACGTTTATCTCCATCCGCTAAGAATAAGTTTAAGATATTATACTTTGCAAGTCCTAGACCATAGAATAGTTCATCCTTGTCTATTCTAAATGTCTTTAAAGATTTGCTATCTATGTTTTGTTTGGAGTGTAAAACCCCATGAACAATTTGGTTATTCGAAGCGTCAAAGTTCTTAAGTTTGAAATCTGATGTAATTAATCTTCTCGGAGTTGTAATAACAATCTTATTATGACTGATCAGACTTATATCTCCTGGGGCAATGGAAAATATACCATTACTTTCATCGCTTATAATCACACGATCTGACTTCATTAAGTGGGAGTTTAAAATACTAGGGTTTGAAGACGATCTCTCAAAAGTATAACGAAATTGTTTTTGTAAAGAAGAAGTATCATTTGTTTCAGTGATGTGAAAGCCTCCAACTGCCATCCCTTCCCTTTCTTCCCTCTGCTTGGAAGTTAACATCCAAATATGTTTGGTCAAATGCTTTTGCATAGACTCCTCTTGAGTAATAATATCAATCCAATAAGAAAAAAATTCGTTATAGCCGGATTTTTCTTTTAATCCACCAATGATTTCTTCGTATTCTTCAGGCTTGATACCACTAGTTTCGGCAGTTCCATTTTCTGCAAGCTGGTGTATAGTCATACACTCTGGTTTGATCTCACACCAGTTGCATTCAGAATTCTTTTGTAACGCAGGTAACTCAGTGACACCGTCTTTAAAATATTGCACCACTGTATTTCGTAAATGGATTAAAGACTTTAAATCATTCACACTTATATCACACTTTTTGGTGAGTTGTTCTTTCGTATAAACTAATAAGAATGAAGATATATCCATTTCATATTTATCTTTAAATAAGAAAGAATACAAGGAAGCCTGAGCATAATGACTTATATGTTCTCTTCCAGTTTTGATTTCCATTGGTATTAAGAAAGTTCCATCAGTATTCTTATTTTGAAGTCTGGCTTCTAAGGTCACATCAGCTTTTCCTTTTAAACCAAACGCTGGAGACCAAATATTCTCTTCAATATCTAATGCTTCTGATGCAGAAAACAAGATTTGGGCATTTCCAGGGACAGATTCTATAGATCCTTCATTTGTAAGATATTTTTTCTTATAGTATTTCTTAAACCAACTCTCCAAGTATGGAAGATGTAGATCAATATCTTTTCTGACATCTTCAACTTTTGGACCGATGCTGAAAATTGACAATAAATACAATTCAATATAATGATCTCTTAATTCACCTAAATGCTTAAGATCCCAATTCTCACTAAATATGCAATCTTGAAAAATCAGATGAATAATGTCACCAACTATTATGGGTATGGAAGTTCCACCTGGGAATTTAAAACGATTCATTAATACTGATTTTCGAGGACAACTTATTTGCTTAGAAACGGTCGTTGCAGGCAAAAGGATATCTGGATGCCATATCAACAAGTTATGCTTATCATCAATTATGTGTGGCGATTCTTTTTCAGTAAGATAAACATGTACAATATCTCCAATTTTATAATTTAGCTCTGCAGAATCACCTCCTAATTCAAGGTCCACGATATTGTTTTCGATATCAATTACACGCAAAGATTTTCTTGATGGAGAAGAATTTATGACTGCAGGTTCGTTTATTACTTGGTATCTCTTCAAATCACGTTTGGAATAAGATACTTGAAGTTCGTTATTAACCTTAGATTTTGTAAAGGATCCCTTTTCCATTTGAAGTTCTTCAAATCTCTTTATTCCATCTTGAAACGATTTTGAATATTTTGCTGTCTCACTTGTCAAAAGCTTTGATTCAGGTTTGGATATTATTTGCATTAACTCGGAATCATCATCTGTAAAGGGATCATCGGAATCGTCCTTTTCAACAACCGAAGTAGTTATCTCATTTAAGATTTCTTCTTTATGTACTGGTTGCTTAGTGGTTGCTGCAATAATTTCTGAATCATCATCGGAAAATGGATCATCTGAAGTAGGACTACTTGGAAATGAACCATGAATATCTTTGACTATTAAAGACAGTTGCACTGGTATAGGCAGATCTGTTGGATTTGAATCCTCAAATTTATCGATCCAATTATTTAAAGTATTCCTACTAGTATTAAGACTGGAATTTGATGTCTGCTTGGTTTTTAGTATCTCCTTTGATGCATTTATTATATCAAACCCACTTGATTTTGCTCTTAATAATGATGGAGGTTTCCTATGTGGGAGATCTTGTTTCTCGAGAATATGAGCATCAGATATATCTGAAAAGGATCTATTGAATCCAGGAGTTTGAGACAATACGTTATGAAGGCCAGTTCCATATTTTGATAAAACTGAATTGGTTTGCTCGTTTATTGGACTATCAACTTCATCATGACTATTGGTACCTTCTAACTCTATTGATCCATTATCTTTAATTTGGTTTGATTCAGATAAATTCTTTAAGGGCGATGATTGCATTTCTTTAGATTTTGTTTGATCATATCGCCTAGGACTTACTCGCCACTTTATACCATCAAAACTATCATCTGAACTTTGATTATCTCGTATTATAATTTCCACATTTTCATTATTTGATGTATGATTTTCTTTCGAGGGTGACTTGGCTGGTTGTACTGGTTGAATTGTAGAATTGATTATATTGCTATCGATGGAATCTAATATATTCTGACTCTGAACATGATGTTTGGCTTTGGTATTTGATGGTTGGTTGGATGAATTTGAAGCGCCATTAGTTAATTTATTGACAGGTTGAAAGAAATATTTGGTTTTAGAGCTCCTCTTAGTAACTTTGATGACCTCATTTTCCGCCTGTCGCTTCTTTCCATTATTAGATATATCCAGAGACTTCGGTATCTCACTTTCATGCATTATATCGTTATTTATTGATCATAGATTCGATCTTAATCTACTATTTGATTCACGTAAATACAGAAATTTTAAATATTTGATTTGAGGTTTCGCGTCTGATTAAGAATTTTTTTGAATAATCGCCATTTGGTAGCTCTCGCGCACATGACTGGTCACATGACTGCATCTCTGCTTCTTTTTTTTTTCTTTAGCTCTTCAGAGAAGAAAAATTTTATAAAAAAAAATCTCATCGTTAAACTAAAATAAATTTTCAGATTGTACCCTAGAAAGTATAAGACATAAGTATTGTTTATATTGGTATCTTTTCATCTGTCAGTCAGTCTTGTTTGTTGTTTGAATTCTACTTTTGACTATTTCGTTGTATTATATTCATAAGATTAAGGTGTGTTCATAGAAATCTGTTCGAAGAAGTAAACATTTCATCAATCATATACATTTCTCCAATAAATACATAAATTCATTCATAATGGCTTATATTTTAACAGAAACCTCTGCTGGTTATGCTTTATTGAAGGCTTCCGACAAGAAGATTCATAAATCATCCAGTTTAATTGAAGATTTAAACTCTGCTGAAAAAGTTGCTCAACAATTTAAAATTCATAGATTTGAAAAATTTCAATCAGCTGCCAATGCTTTAGAAGAAGCTAATGCTATTATCGAAGGTAGAGTTTCTGATAACTTAAAGAAATTCTTAGATGATGTCAAATCAGATAAAAAAGCTACTTTAATCGTTTCCGAAACCAAATTAGGTAATGCCATCAATAAATTAGGTTTAAATTTCTCCGTTGTTTCTGATGCTGCTTCATTAGATTTACATAGAGCCATTAGAGAATTTTTACCAGAATTATTACCAGGTTTAGATGATTCAATCTTAAAACAAATGTCTCTTGGTTTAGCTCATTCCATTGGTCGTCATAAATTAAAATTTTCTGCTGATAAAGTTGATACTATGATTGTTCAAGCTATTGCCTTATTAGATGATTTAGATAAAGAATTAAACACATATGCCATGAGATGTAAAGAATGGTATGGATGGCATTTCCCTGAATTAGCTAAGATGATCACTGATTCAGTTGCTTATGCTAATATCATTTTAACTATGGGTGTTAGATCCAATGCTGCTGAAACTGATTTATCTGAAATCCTTCCAGAAGAAATTGAAGAACAAGTTAAATCCGCTGCTGAAGTTTCTATGGGTACTGAAATCACTGCTGATGATTTAGATAACATCAAAGCTTTAGCTGAACAAATTGTTGATTTTGCTGCTTATAGAGAACAATTATCCAATTATTTATCATCAAGAATGAAATCTATTGCTCCAAATTTGACTGCTTTAGTTGGTGAATTAGTTGGTGCTAGATTAATTGCTCATGCTGGTTCTTTAACTTCTTTAGCTAAAGCCCCTGCTTCAACTATTCAAATCTTAGGTGCTGAAAAAGCCCTTTTCAGAGCTTTAAAAACTAAACATGATACACCAAAATATGGTTTATTATATCATGCTTCCTTAGTTGGTCAAGCTACCGGTAAAAATAAAGGTAAGATAGCTAGAGTGTTAGCTGCTAAAGCTGCTGTTGCTTTAAGATATGATTCTTTGGCTGAAGAAAGAGATGACTCTGGTGATTTTGGTTTACAAGTTAGAGCTAAAGTTGAATCAAGATTATCTGCTCTTGAAGGTAGAGATTTAAGAACAACATCTAAAGTTGTTAGAGAACAAAAGAAAATAGAAATAACTGAAGCTCGTGCTTATAATGCTGATGCTGATGCTGCTCCTGTTGCTTCTGTTGATTCCGATGATGAATCCGATACTGAAGAAATTGAAACTAAAAAGGAAAAGAAATCTAAGAAAGAAAAGAAGGATAAAAAAGATAAGAAAGATAAAAAGAGAAAGAGAGATGAAGAAGAAGTAGAAGAAGAAACCTCTAAAAAATCAAAGAAAGAAAAGAAGGAAAAGAAGGATAAGAAAGAAAAAAAAGAAAAGAAGGAAAAGAAGGAAAAGAAAGAAAAGAAATAAGTTAGATTCTTTAATAGAACCTAATAGTTGCATATTTCTCTAGCATCAGCATCAAAGCGGTCATTCATATTTCATAATTTATATATTTTTACAATTTTGTTCCATAGTTACGTCTTTAGTTAGTTTTTTTTGTGTACAATAAACTATATTCACCCATACGAAAAATCATATATAGTATTTAAAAAAAATCAGTCTAAATCATCAGGCATCTGAATATCATGATCCGTTGTATCTTCACTATTAGGTGGATCTTGATTATTACTAGTATTGTTAGTATTATTATTGAGAGTTGAAGCATCAACTTCTCTACCATTTATGAAAACTCTTCTAGATTCAGGACCTCCTTGCATCAGTGATATCATACTTTCAACTCCACCCTGTAATGCTCCACCAATTATTTCTCCAAGAGTTCTATTGGTGGTTTGACCAGATTGACTGTTTGCATTACCAGCATTTTCGAAAATACTACCAAAATTATTTAATAAACCTCTAATATCTTCGAGAGGAGGTGTTGCTCCAAGACCTCTAGCGGTAGTATCAACACCAGCATTTGAACCTGAATCACCACCGTTAACTTGATCATTACCAAGTGGATTATTAGAATTATTGATATTGGTATGATTATTACTGGTAGTATTATTAGTAGCATTAGCATTTCTTCTTGGAGCATTAGATACGGTGACAGTTTCCATACCACCTGAAGCTAACATATTTTGAGCAATTTCTCGAGTAAGTATATTTGGTCTACTTCTATTTGAAATATCAGCAGAATTTCTTAAATTACTATCACGTAATTGTGGATAATAAACAAAATAATCCCGATCTGATTCAAGACATTCAGCTCTAAGGTTTGCAAGAATTCTCTTTACTTCACCTACTGCAGTTTTAATTTCAGTAAATGATTCATTTTGTTGATAAGCTCTCTTTTCGGTTAATCCAATAGATTGACATAATCTATGAATAAATTGAGGTAAAATATGTCTCATTTTAATAGATTTATACTTGATTAATTCTTCTTTATCAAGTCTTGTAACCCCTTCAGGTTGTAATTCACCAATTGCCGATTTCAAAGCCATTAAATATGATTTTAATGCTACTAATCCATTACCCATGTATAAATGACAATAACCTAATTGAGTCCAAGCAGGAGTAAAACTTTTATCCAATTGAACTGCATTATCCAAATCATTAATAGCTTCTGGGAAACAATTTAATCCAATAAAAGCAATAGCTCTATTAAGATATAATTGTGGAATAGAATTAGTGACTGGAAATCTTGAAAGATCTAAAGCATTTGTATATACTTTAATGGCTTGAGCATAAGCCAGATTATTCATCAAATTATTACCTTGTTCTCTTAATCTATTAATTAACTCGTAATCGGGTTCTGATTCATATAGATTAGGCACCTTAAGTTCTAAATGGGACTTTAGAAGTTCAACAAACAGTTTATAAGCTTGACCAATATTAATTCCACATCCATCATTCACAGTAAGGAAACGAATCAATATTTTAACAACAGGAGTAATAGTAGCACTGAAAGTAACGTCAGATGCATTACTTAGCATCTCTGTTAAATATAATCCTGACAAATAAGATAAAACATCATTATCCTTAAACTTTGAATCACCCATATAAATTTGATTAATAGATAGAACCTTTTTTAAGATACAATAAAACTTTTCAGTTAATTCATCTTCACGTTTGAAATGTTTGAATCTATCATCCCAATTCGAGTTTTCAATACCTTTAATGATATCTTTAGTAAAGAATTTAGTTGGGATGTCGAAAGAGTCAAGTCTGGAATCTAAAAGAACAACCTCATAATTAATCAACAATGACTGTGATGGCTTTATATTCTTATCATCTAGTTCTTTATCCTTATAATAACTTATAATTTCATCCATCCCAAATTGAACCACCATTTGAATTTGGTTCCGTATTTCTTTGGCGGCAATGTTATCATCTGATGATCCCATAGTTATTTGGCGTTCCAACTCATTCTCAATATAACTAAGGTGGCCCTTGATAGCCAAAGCAAACGCATAGCTGTGTGCTCGATCAAATGAACTCATATTATCCAATAAATATGAGTTATTCTTTTCGGACTATTTAATGTGAAAAGTGATATTTGGTTCCATATTTATGACATTTATTTTCGGCTTAATTCATTATTTTTTCTATGGCTAAAATTAGATAATTTCAATTTGGTCGGAGCAATTGTACTATGCAAAAAACAACGACTATTTACGGATTATTTAAAGAAAACCATCCAATGTCCGATAGGGAATCAGTATTGCCCCAGGAACTCTTATCAGTTGAAAGTTGCAACTCATCTACTCGAATAAGAGCATTTTTACGTCTTTCTAGAATCGCCACCGATGATACTATTAGACAACATTTAAATTCGATTAAAACTAATAAAGAGTGTGATGAATACTTTCAAAAGAAGATAGTCCCTCAATGGAAGGCTAGGACAGATGTCATAGAGTTTTGTCTGAATTATGTCACACGATTACGTCTTGAAACAGAACAAGAAATTGAAAGACGGGGTCATCCAAATGAAATTGCGAACACAGATTTTAACTTAAGGCAAGATCCATACGCTTTAAAGAATTATAAACAAAAGATTGATGATCAATTTGCTCAGTGTGATAGAATCCAATTATGGGTTAATAATGAATCATCAATTGAATCCATAATTAGAGAAGAAACGGCCTACGTGTTCAATGATAAATGCTATTTTAAGGATTGGTATCGAGCCTACCTTGATAGTGCAAGAAAATAATTAAAAAAAAAAATTCTAAATTTAGACAGATTTTAGAATCTGATAAATATCGGTAAGATAAACCTCAAAAAATAGATTGAAATTATGAATTGAAATGAAATCTACTTGTATATATTGGTTTATGTAAATGTATATAAATGATACTAAATAACCATGCAAAATTATGTTTTATTTTTAAAGTGAATCTGTAATTCATCAATTTCATTTATGAGCAGCAGCAGCGGCAGCGTATGCAAATTTACTAATCTGTTGTTGTTTAGGTGAATTGATTCTACTATTTGAAGATGCTGATGATGATCCACCAAATGTAGGTTGTATTGCCTTCTTCACTTTTGTAGAACTTGTAGCTGTAGAAGGTTTAACCTTTTTGGAGGTGGTAGGTTTACTTGGTTGAGGTTGTTGTTTTGGAGATTGCGTACCGGAATCTTTACTCTCTTTTGAAATCATCTCTTTAGCCATTAATAAACAATCTATCCACCCATAATTTCTACCCAATTTAACCACATCATTATTTTTATCAACCACTTGAATTGGATCAGTTAATGCTAATCGATCCAAATCACTCATTCGTTTTAAAAATATCAAATCACCTCCTTCTTTAATTAATTCTAAGATTAAATATCCAAATACATCTTCAATTTCAGAACTCAGTTGTCCATCTTCATCAATAGCCACCGTTTCAAATTCATAATCATACATCAGATAATCTGCTCCTTGATTAGCTTTAAGATCAACTAACATCACATTTAATGTACGATCAATAAAAAATACTCTAGCCGCATTAGTGATAACCGTAACTACTGGAACCGCATTTTTCTCTAAAATATACAGATTCTTAGTAACTAATTGATCAATTAAAACATCATCCAATGCCACTGAAAGATTTCTATTTAATACTTTATTGGTTAATTGCAGTTTGAATAAAGTATCAAGTTTTAAAATCTTCTCATTAGGACCCAACAAGCCTGATATTTCTCTTAATTTGATTGAATTGGATGGTCTTTCCTTAGTAGTTGATGCAATAGGTTTGGCTAATTTGTTAACTTTCGTATTTTCTTTTTCTTTTGCAACCGCTGCAGATGATTTTGTAGCAACTGGTTTTGGTTGACTTGGTGAGGATTTGAAATTACTTCCAGCTGCTGCAGCTGCAGCTACACTTGGATTCCTAACAGGGGTCGCAGGTTTTGCCTTTGCAACTGGGACAGGTGATGCCTTTTTAACCGGTGCTGGGGTTTGTGGAACAGCAGATTTAGGACCTGGTGCTTGTGGAACCACTGATTTAGGTACTGCTGTTTGTTGTTGTTGTTGAGGTGTTACAGATTTAGTAGTAACTGGAGAATTGGATGATGATCCATTTGATGATGACGTACCATTTGCAATACCAGCAAACGCTGTATTGGCACGTAAATTAGTATATTGAGATTTCCCAGGTGATTCTGGACTTGGTGATGCTTTAGTATATGAATTTGCATTCCCATTACCGTTCGTTTCAACTTTATTATTTGCCACTTGAGCTGTAGGAGAAGTATTATTCAGATATTGTCTTGGAGATGCATTTTGTGTTAATGGACCTCGATTACCAGTATAATTAGGATTAACATTTCCAGGTAACATTCTTGAGGTATTGTTCAATTTGGGAGGAGGGGCATTTGATACTAATGGTTGTGCAATTGGCATAGGCATGGGTGATGGTTGTAAAAAGTTCTTTTTCATTTTGGTAGCTGGTTGATAAGACTTTTTCGCCAATGAAGGAACGAAATTGAAATCTGATTGTTGGATTTGAGAATGCAATTGTTGATAAGAACTTGATTTATTGACATTTCTACCTGATTTAATTAATGGTGAATATGGTACTGAAGGATTTGAATTTGATGATGATGATGGTAATGGTACATATGGTTCAAATCTTGGAACTTTACGATACCAAATATAATTCACATCATCCCACGGTACACCATTAAACCAATTATCTGACATTATTTGAGGAATAGTTAGTCTACCGGCTGGATCAGCTACTAACATTTTCTTTACTAATTGTATAACATCAGGAGGATAAGCGATATTTGTAGGAAAATTATAATCGACATTAATGATTTTTTCAAAGGTTAAATATTCAGTTTCACCTTTAAAAGCTGGGACCCCATTAAAGAATTGAAATAATATACAACCAATAGCCCATACATCACTTTCAAATCCACAAATATTATGCTTTAATAATTCAGGAGATACGTATTCAGCCGTACCTACAAAGGACCCTTTTCTATCTTGATTTGAAGGAGTTGGATCTCTTGTACTACCACCATTGATTGAATTATAATCGATAGCTTCATCATTTGGATCATCATTTGATCCAAGTAATTTAGCAGCACCAAAATCAGTAATTTTCAAACTAAAATCATGTGCCACTAAGATATTTTCTGGTTTTAAATCTCTATGAATAACTCCTTTCAGATGAATAAATCTTACCGCATCAACAATTTGACACATATAAAACTTCAGTACTGCTTCTGATAATGATCCAAACTTTCGTATGATCGATAATAATTCTCCATATTCGGCAAAATCTAATACAAAGAATAAACTTGCTTCGTCTTGGAATGTATAATATAATTGAACTATACCAGGATGTTGTAAACCTAATCGATGTAAAGTAGTCTTTTCGATATTGACGTATTTGATTTTATCTTCTTTAACTATATATTGTTTGGAAAGAACCTTAATGGCGAAAGTCTTACCATTATGAATATCGACGGCAGAATAAACACTTGAATATGAACCCTCTCCTATTTTCTGACCAAATTGATAATCACGAACCGATCGTTTCAACACTTGCTGCTGTTGTTGTTGTTGTTGTTGAAGCTGTTGTGACTGTGGGTCTATAACCTCATACTGGTTTAAAGGGGGAGTAGTTGTGTTGGACATGCTGCCATTTAAATGATGTAATGTTGAATTTGAAAGCGTTAATGAAATTCACTCCTCCACTTTTTTTTTTGATAGTAGTTTTCTATAACTTATATTCGTCAAACTCTGAATGAATTGTCCAAGGATGATTTGGCCAAATGCAAGGGTTGAGGGGTATATGGTATGAATCAATGAAATCAATAACAATTGACTTTTAAAGAGAAAGCTCTAATACTGGCTGTAATTATTGTTGATCCTAAGGGCTTTTTGGGTTGGTAATTTGTTCTTTGTTGTATATTTTGTGCGTTGTTATTGTTTTACCCTCCATAGAATTTTCTTAATTATTGCGGACTGGATGTTTTGACCATTGATTTTGCGGTCACTAATCAATTTTATTAATCTGGGCTTAAAATAGTTAGGTCTTAAGTTAATTGATAGTTATATAGTAGATTGAATAGTATGTTATAAGAGTGAATTAAGAAAGTGTAATTGAGAGTGATAGGTTAAATAGTGCTAAAGCTTGTAATTATCAGAGTGATATTGTTTTTATCTGGATGATAAGTATGGGGAAGGAGCACAAGATATTTCAATAGGCTAATTCTATCTTCTATCTAGAAAATACATTGTAAAGCTCCATGTCATCTTATGATCATTTGTACCTGTACAAATACTATCTACATCACCTAATATATAACAATCAATGAATGCAAAATTGTATAAATAACAACGGTATTTGATGGTGTTTCCCAATTAGGCAAGTCACAAAAAATTTTTCGCTATCAGTCACTATACAAAAAAGATTGTAACAAACCACAAATACCGATCAAAATCTAGATGATACCATCGTAAAGTGATATTTCAACCATACATATATAGATGAGATATTAGTGAGACATATCTGGCATGAAGATACTGCGATTTGCTCTCCGAAGTCATCAATTTCTACCTCCAGTGGTACCGTTTCGTTATCATGGTTTAAATATAGTAAGAAATATTCATAATTCTAGATTCAATAGTAAAGATCATTTACAACAAATATTCGATAATCAAAAGTATTTCAATAACTTCACTAAGAACTTGGATCATAGTGATAAATCATTACCCTCGTTGTTTACTTCCCAACGTACTGGTTTATTTAAGAATGATAATTTATCAACTCCAGATGGTTTAATTGATTTTTCAAAAGCATCATTGGCAGAAGCTAAACAACTTGTAACCAAGATGTTACAAGAAGTGAAACAAAATGAATCAGGAAGACTTAATTATATCAAACGATTGGATCAATTATCTGATATTTTATGTCGAGTGATTGATGTAGCTGAATTCATCAGAGTTGCTCATCCAAGTGAAAAATGGATCGATGCAGCTCAACAAACTCATGAAATTATGTTTGAATATATGAATCAGTTGAATACCAATGTCGATTTGTATATTCATTTAAGAGATATTTTAGAAGATGCTGCCATCGTTAAGAAATTATCTAATGAAGAGATTCAAGTGGGAGATTATTTAAAACAAGATTTTGAAAGATCAGGTATTCATATGGATCCTAAAACAAGAGATAATTTCGTAGCTATAACTCAAGAGATATCCAAATTAGGATCACAGTTCAGTAATGGGATTCATCAACTTAATTCATATTGGTGTGAAGTCACTAAATTAGAATTTGAATCGATAAAAAATACAGAATTAAAACGAGAAATCTCTGGTCATCAAAGTGGATTGAAAAAGGATTCAAATGTAGTGTTGATCCCTCTTGCAGGTCATATCCCATATACCATCTTAACTGATTGTGATACAGAATCAGTAAGAAGAAAAGTTTGGATTGCCTTACATAATTCTACATCCACTCAAATTCAAACATTAAATGAAATTCTTAAATCTCGTGCATTATTAGCATCAATGTTAGGGTATAAATCATTTTCTCATTATCAATTAGAACATAAAATGGCTAAGAATCCTGAAAATGTATTAACTTTCCTTAAAAATTTACAAACTTCATTAAAGCATAATGGGGTAATAGAAGAGATTAGAAGCTTGTATAAACATAAACAATCAGATTCAGAAGATAAGATCCCCTCTGATGAAGTATTATTAAAAAATATCAAACCATGGGATCGGGATTATTTATTAGCCAAATTTCATAATGGTAAAGAAAACTCCTTACAGAATATAAATGAATATTTTTCAGTCGGTACTATCATAGCCGGATTAAGTACATTATTTAAATCGATTTATAATGTCGAATTCATTCCTGAATCAACTTTAAAAGGTGAAACATGGGATCAAAGCCAAGTACGGAAATTAAAAGTATTTGATTTAACTAATAATAAAATCTTAGGATATCTTTATTTAGATTTTTGGTCCCCTAAAGTTTTACCATCTCACTTTACAATCGTATGTCTGAGAAAAATAAGTCAAGATACAGAAGATACTACTAAGATCAAGACCTTAGTTCAATTGGATGAAAAGGATGAATATCAATTACCGGTTATCTCATTAATTTGTAATTTCCAAAGACCAACTTCATCATCATCATTTGGAAGATTTGCCGGTATTGAACGTCAAAATCCAACGTTATTATCATTAGATCAAGTTGATACTATTTTCCATGAAATGGGTCATGCTATGCATTCAATGATTGGTAGAACTGATCTTCATAATTTATCAGGGACAAGATGTGCCACTGATTTTGTTGAATTACCATCAGTATTAATGGAATCATTCAGTAATGATCCTCGAGTACTTTGTAAAATCGGTAATCATTATCAAACGGGTGAATCGTTACCTGAATCATTATTAAAGGAACATCAACAAAATAGAGTTATATTAGGAGATTGTGAAACTTATATGCAATCTAAAATGGCAATGTTGGATCAAGTTTTACATGATGATACTATAGTAAGAACTTTACCTGATAGTTTTTATAATTATGATTCTACACCAGTTTATCACGATTTAGAACGTCAATTATCGGTATTTACTGATGATGCATCTACATGGCATGGGAAATTTCCTCATTTATTTTCATATGGAGCAGTTTATTATTCATATTTATTGGATAGAGCTATAGCAGAAAAGATTTGGAAGGGGTTATTTGCTAAAGATCCCTGGAATAAGAATGCAGGTGAGAAATATAAGAATAGTATATTGAAGTGGGGAGGGACAAGAGATCCATGGGTTTGTTTAGCAGATGCGTTGGATGATGAGGAGTTAAGTAAAGGAGATTCCAAAGCTATGGAGATTATAGGACTGGATGCATTATCTGCATAAAATATATAAGAAAATTAAAACAAAAAGCCTTGTACATAGAAATTTTTAAGTATATTAGATAATAAATTAATGAAAAATATAATTTGTAAGAAGATGTGTTAAATAAATATTGGGTGGGTAAATGTAATAAAATAAAACTGGTTAATGCCTCGTGTGATGAGGAGGAGGAGGAGGAGAGATATCAAACTTCTCCGCGATTCTAGTAAATATGAAAAGTGGAGTCAATCAACATGATGTAAGAGACAGACAGTTGACACTATCTTGACAGTTTGATTGAATAAGGTCAACAAAACTATTTTTGACTCCGGGTCGATTCAAATCAACAATTCGTATAGTTCCAACTGAAATGAAATAGTTGACACATTGTTAAATGATAAAAAATTTTCATACAAAGAAAAGTTTAAATTTAAAACCAAGAGGCGAAATTGGTCAGGAGAGAGAAGTTAGGGAAACAGGGAGGGGCAGTGACGAGAATGCAATAATTAAGTAATTAAGCAGCAGCAACAGCAGCTAGCAGCTAGCAGGTTGAAGGGAAACTTGGCGGTAACGGAGAGAACCTCCACCTGACTAACTATGGTACCTGCACACAGTATGAGAAATTTTGCCTTTTAGTTCAGTCGCATATTTTCTTAATTTAGAGTACCCGACCTCAACCCAAACGGCGATATACACTTAAACCTTAAACCAACCAGTGATTGTCTAACCAAAATTTTATTGATCTTAGGTTGTACCGATTCTTTTTAAGGTGTTCAGTACGGTTAGATGCTCCTATTGTTTTAATCCACAGTCATTAATGATGACTCTGTATATCGAACCACAAATAAATATTTATTTATGGTCATGAATCAGGCACCAACTTAATGGATGGCTTATATTAATTTGGACTATGAATAATGTATTCAAAGTCCAACTACGTAATTTTAGTGCCCGTTAATTAACCAAAGAATTAATTATGCTTCCTCTTTCTAATTACAGCAATTCAGGGAAGAATAATCCGGTGATGGAATGACTGAAAAAGAAAAAAAGAAAAAGAAATTTTTGCTCTTTCCGCTTTTGTGGATATTTTGCGCTTAGTTACTTTTTGCTGTTAAATCCAAATGTTAAAAATGCCTTAAAGGTTGCAGTTAAAAAAGGGTTAGTTTAAAATGCCTTATTTGAACTAACCATTATTTAATTATTGTAGTTTAACTTTCCCCAATAAGATGACCTATTCTATACGTCTAATTATAGATAAGAAACTCTGGTCAATCATTGACTAACCTGTTAGATGCACTCAAATTCCGTTTACAGAAATTACCCATGTATAAAAAAATTCAGATGAGTTATTTGCTAATTTTAAGAGGGGATTCTTATTCCTTCAGCCTTTAATATCTTCGGTTATTTCACATCACACAACAATACTCTTTCATGCTTAAACATAACATTTTTTGATCTGCCTACTACTATTCTTTCTAGTAATCTTTATTTATATATATAGAGTTATCATCATCTCTTATTTTTTTATATTTATCCAGTCTAACCTTTTTTTCTGTTTATCATCTTTTTTGATCTTTTATATTTTCTTTATCAGTTACTTATCATTATCATCATCATGGAAACTAAAAAAGATATAGAGTTAAATCCAATAGTATCGGAATTAAAAGATGCTTCAGTTGAACAATCTGATAGTAATTCTTCAAATTCAATGCCTCCAACTGAATTAAAAGGTTGGGCTAAATTTAGAGATGGGTTCAGAAGGCAAACTTTTGATGATGTGGAAGCTGGGAAACAATTATCAAAAAGTATCAGTAAACGTCATTTGATTTTAATGGCCCTTGTAACCGGTGTTGGTACTGGTCTTTTAGTGGGGTCTGGACGTGTGTTACATAATGCTGGTCCTTTATTCCTTATTCTTGGTTATGCCATTGTTGGTTCTTTCTTATATCCAACTCTTCAAGCTGCCGGTGAAATGGCGGTTAATTATAGTGATTTATCTGGTGGTTATAATAATTATCCTCGTAAATTTATCGATGAATCATTAGCTTTTGCAATCACTTGGAATTATTGTATTCAATGGCTTTCTGTTATTGCTATTGAATTGGTTACTGCTGCCATGACCATTCAATATTGGACTGAAGCAGTTAATCCTGATGTTTGGGTTGCTATCATTTTAGTCGTTATTGTTGTCATTAACTTTTTCGGTGCCAGAGGTTATGGTGAAGGTGAATTTGTTTTGGGTTCTTGTAAACTTTTAATGATTACTGGATTCATTATTATGGGTATAGTTATTAATGTTGGTGGTGGTCCAGAAAAACAATTTATTGGGGGTAAATATTGGCATAATCCTGGTTTCTATACCAGTTTCAAAGGTCTTTGTTCAGTTTTCGTTACTGGTGCCTTTTCTTTAGGTCAATCTGAATTCGTTGCCTTATCTGCTGCTGAACAAAAGAATCCAAGAAAGTCTATTCCAAATGCTTGTAAATTAATCTTTTGGAGAATTGTTATTTTATTCTTGGGTTCTTTAACCATTGTTGGTTTGTTAGTTCCTTATAATTCCGATAGACTTATGGGTTCTCACGGTGGTGGTTCTCATGCATCTCCATTTGTATTAGCTGCTGAACTTCATGGTGTATCAATTTGTGCTTCTATCATTAATGCTGTTATTCTTCTTTCTGTTACTTCAGTTGCATCTTCATCATTATATTCTGCATCAAGAACCTTACAATCATTAGCTGAACAACATTTTGCTCCATCATATTTCAATTATATTGATAAAACCGGTAGACCATTAAGAGCATTGATCATTTGTACTATTATCGGTTTATTCTCATTTATTGCTGCATTCAATCAACAAGAAACTGTTTTCAACTGGTTATTATCTATTTCTGGTCTTTCCCAAATTTTCACTTGGTTTGGTATTTGTATGTCCCACATTAGATTCAGAGCTGCATTAAAATATAATAACGTTTCCTTAGATTCATTAGGTTATGTTTCTTCAACTGGTATCATTGGTTCATGGTATGCCATTGTTTGGTATATTCTTGTTTTAATCGGACAATTCTGGTTAGCTTTATTCCCTATTGGAAGTGATATTCCAAATGTATCCAATTTCTTCCAAAATTATCTTGGTGCTATCGTTTTACTTTTATTCTATTTTGGTCATAAGATTTATGCTAAAAATTGGAAAATTTACATTAGAGTTGAAGATATGGATATTCATACCAATAGAACTATATTCGATGAAGAAGTTCTTAATTTGGAAAAGCAAGAAGAAGCGCAAAGAAGAAAACATTACTCCTTTATTAAAAAGATTGCTATTTTCTTATTTGCTTAGATAAATAAACTAGACTACTTTTATTTTTGGTTTAACGTTTGGTTATTTAGTTCTTTTCTTAACAGTTGTATATGTATTTTATGATTATTCTTTTCCTGTTCACTTTTTTATTTGACATGCATGCCATTACCTTATATATTCATTGGCTTTTTGTTGTTTCTTTTATATTTATGATAATGTAATGAACATTATGAATCCCATTTAATTAATTTTTAATATTTTAAAAACATTTGTAGTCATTTTGCATCAAAAACTGAGTAAAAGATATTGACTTTTAGAAACTGCCTTGATTTTCGTGAATATCTCGTTGAAAAGTAACATCATCTGATCTGATCTACGTTCCAACCTCACAGTTAACACAAGCCATCTTCAAAGATCTACAGAAGCCATCGTTTCAACATTTGATAATGACCATCAAACTTCTGTATGTAGTAAAAAAAAAATTGCGACCAAAAATGAAAATTAGTTTAAAAAATATTTATTAGCCAATATTTGCGAATGATCAATTTGATGTTACTTCAATAAACCAAAAGTCAATGACTATACAAGTCAGATACTTGAGTTCGATTAAGAACTCGTCTATATTGCTAAGACCTCAATTGGATATCACTAGTATATTAGCCAATCATGAACAATTTAAAAATTCAATCATTAGAAGAAAATTACCTCCTTCAACCCTTGATGATCTTCAATTCATTATAGAAAATCGTCCTAAACAACTCGAATTAACAAGCAAGATAAGTTTATTACGAGGAGAAAGATCGAAATTAGGAGCACAGATTCAAAAGGAGAAAAGATCAAGCTTAATCCAAAGATTGAGTGAAATTAAATCAGAGTTAAAACCATTGGAATCGATAGCTAAATCATTAACAGAAGAGATATATTACAAGTCGGAATCCTTACCTAACCTCTTACATGATTCAGTTCCTGAAAATCCAGATGAAAATATCATAACTGACTTTATCCATTGTGAATCAGAAGCTCATGCCGAATCTTTAAAACCAAAAACCACATATGATCATAAAGAAATTGCTGAAAAGCTTAATATTGTTGAATTCGATGTCGCTTCAAGAATTTCTGGGTCTTCATGGTATTATTTGATCGGTGATGGTGCTTTGTTAGAGCAGGCTCTAATTCAATATAGTTTATCAAAAGCGAGAAAGAGAGGTTATAAAATGGTTATCCCTCCATCTATAGTAAGAAGTGAAATCATTAATGCATGTGGGTTTAAACCACAAGATCAAAATAATGAAAAACAAGTTTACGTATTAGAAGATGAAGATAGGTCTCTTACTGGTACAGCAGAAATCCCATTAGGTGCTTTACATTCTTCAACTGTATTCCCTGCCGCCACAAGTTTCCCCATTAAATATGTTGGTGTTTCTCGTTCTTATCGTGCAGAAGCTGGCGCAAGTGGGAAAGATACCAAAGGGTTATATAGAGTACATGAATTTACCAAAGTGGAGTTATTCCATTTCACTGAAGAAGCTAATAGTGATGTTGAATTAGAAGAAATTAAACAATTTCAAATGGAAATCATTAACGAACTTGGTCTTTCAGCTAAAGTAATGAATATGGCTACTTCTGATTTAGGAGCTCCAGCCATGAAAAAATATGATATCGAAGCTTGGATGCCTGGTAGAGGTAATTGGGGTGAACTCACAAGTAGTTCAAATTGTGGTGATTATCAAGCTAGAAGACTTGGAATCAGAATGCATTCTAAAGATCAGAAAGTATCTCATGTAACCACTCTTAATGGAACTTGCATGGCAGTTCCAAGAGTCATAGTGGCTATAATCGAACAGTTCTATGATCCTCAAACTGAATCAATTACAATTCCAGAGGTATTAAGACCTTACATGGATGACAAATCTGTCATAACAAAAAATTAAATAGACGTTCATTAATCTTGTATATAACATAGCATTACATTAAAACTCTTCTTCAGCTGAATTATTTAAACTAGCTGTTGGTATAATAGATGATAATGGTGTACTAAGAATTCTCTTTTTTGGAGTTTCATCAAACCCATTTCCAATGGAATTTATGGTCGATAAGTGTAATTGACGTACTTTAGTTAAGCGAGATTGTGACAGAGTTGGAGGTACCATGATTTCCTTGGATGCTTCTACTAATCTATTATAATCTTCTTGAAGCTTTTGAAATTCATTAAACTTTTTGGAATAATCCTGTACCATTTGATCATATTTTGTTTCTAAATTTAAAACTTTTGATTCTAATTCTTGCTTTTTCGTATTTGTACCTATTATACTAACCAATTCTGAAATTAATTGATCTTGTTTATGAAATCTTTTCTCTAATTCAATAATATAATCTTCTTCCAGATTTTGAACGTTATTAAGTTTACCAATGATATCATCTCTTAATTGTTGAATAATGGCAAAAGGATCTTCTTTATCCCCAAAACTTTCCATAATACCTTCCAAAAGGGTTTGAGAGTGTTTATCAAGAGATACACAATCTAACTCGGCCACAATAGGATCCACTATTTGTCTTACAATATCTCTTTCAGGAAGATTATTTTCTATAAATTCCAATTTGGTTAATATATCTTCTTGGCCCACACTTTTTGGTTGACTATTTGAAACGTTCTTAGTAATGGTTTCCACTGATTTATTAAGAGCTTCAGAGATTCTTAATACAATCGACTCTTTGACTCTTTCTGCAATCTCATTAGATGTGATCAGTTGTTGTTTTATTAATTCTTCATGATTTTTCAAACCTTCAATCAGAGAATTAGCTTTATCCAATCTTGATATAACTGATTCAATATCATTCTTAGTAGCATTTCCTTCAGTTATCACTTCATCAGAATATTGAGCAATATTCTCTAATAATTTATTCAAATTCAGATTATTATTTCTCAGTCTATCAACCAATTGAGTCAAATCCACATTAGCTTGTTTCGTTTGAACTTCAAGATTGTATAACTGATCCAGGATGATGTTATGGGAGTTGTGTATATGATCAAAATGTTCATCTATGTTATCACTTTGTAAGAAGTTCAATTTACCAACACTCGAATTGGGATATTTATTTGGTGAGATTGGTTTAAGCACCTTTTTGCCCGATGAAAATGGGAATGAACCATTTCCACTTGTTTTGGTGGGCGTAGATGGAGAGTTTTCCTTATTATCAATCATCGTAGTCATTGTTGCTCTTAAACCCTTTGGTGTATACGACTTATCTCTTCCTTTCAAGAGCTGTATTTGTTTTTGTTTATGATCTGTAATTTTTTGGTATAGAAATGTAAACAACAGGACTGCACATAATATGCACCAAAATTATAAACACACTATTTACTTTCGCTACTTAAAACCCAAACTTACTTTTAAAGGCTGACGAATACATTGACTTCTTTTGATCATCAATGGTTTCAGTCATTGCTTCACTTGCAGTATTTGCATAACTATTAAACCCTTCTTCAACTTGTTCTAAACCATTTCTAATACTTCTCATAAATCCTTGAGTACCTAAACCTGCTCCTGCTGGAGCAGTACCTTTTCTGATTGGTTCCTTATAACCTCTTTCACTGACGGTTTGTTTAGCATAAGCTCCGTAAACTTGATTAGGATTGGCTTCTGGACTGATATTATGTGCCAATCTACTTTCTTCAAATTTTGATTCTTTTCTATTTGGACCTGCAATCAATGAAGCTAAATCTTGAGGAGTTACATAACCAGTTTGACCTTTAGCCCACAGTAAAGCACCAGCAGTAGGACGAGGTGGGATTATGGCATTTTCATTAAATAAGATATCAGTTTCCATAGTATCATTTTTCTTTTTATCCAGACGATGAATGTAAAGATTGTAAAATTCTGATTGACATACTCTAATAAATAATTCACCATCATTTAATAAATCTGCATCACCTGAATTGGCTCTTGCAAGTGATTCTTGTATCTTTTTGAATACGTCTCCTGGAAGTTGAGTATCACCCAATTCTGTTAAAGCTGGCAATGAACAGAAACGAACAAATCCTGATTTGGTAACCACACAAAGTACAACTCCTTGATTATTAAAATTAACTAGACCAGAACATAAACATGTATCTTCAATCACTCTATGAGAAAGTTTCACTTTTGGTAACTTCAAAACTCTGATACTACTACTTGATGTAGTGATTACATATCCTGGAATTATAAAACCTTGACTCAATTTATTAAATCTATCAAGTGATGCAATTGCCAGCTGACCATCAACTGAACTAATTGGAATGATTTGATCAAGTTTAGAATTATCCTCAGCATTAGCCCCATGTTTATAATTGAGTCCAATTGATTTATCGGTGAACACAACATCATACCCTCCATTACCTAAGGGAACAATCTTAAATATCAAAAGATTACCACCATTGTTTGTACCGGCATACAACAAAATAGAAGAATAACCTTCTTGACCATATTGTTGAATGGCAAATTCAAAAGTTGTAATATAACAAGATGTAGTTTGACTAATTAAAAGATCATTCACATTAGCATTGAAAATGATAGCAGGTCCTCTTGAAACATCTGTAACCACTAATTTTCCAGATTTAAATCCAATGGCTGCAAACCCAATATCATTATGTTTAAGTGCAGTTATTGGTTCTCGGGTTTCAAGTTGAACTATTCCTACAGGAAGGAAATTGGATGATTGAGCGAACGAACTCAGAATACGATTACTTAAACTTATAATTTTAGCATCACCATTTGAATGAAGGAGATCACAATTGGAATAATCTTTAGAACTAAAACTACCTTGAGAACTAATTCCACTAACTTTTCCAAATTTACAAAGCACAACATCACCATTAGCTAATCCAACTACCAATTCTCTACTTCCAAAAGCACAGGATACAAGAATAGCCTTTGTACTACGTGGATCTCCAAAATCAAATAAAGTATCTTTTAAACTGATTTGCACAATTTGTTCCGATTCTTGATGCTCACCTCGTGATACATCAAATAATCTCACCAATCCTCTTTCATGACCTGTTATTAAGATACTTCTATAATCTGGATCAAGCCCTATAGGACGAGGTACATTTCGACGAGGAGCAGCTTGACCGCCTCGAAGTAATTGTTTGGTTCTTGCCGTTGATCCAGTAGAAACTCTGGTTGACATAATACTATACCATTCGACTCTCTTAACTGATTGAATTCTGGAAAATATAACGGGTGGATGCACCGATGCAAGTGATGGTGGGATTAATAATCCACCAAGATCTAAACCTCCTTGAGAACCACCTACTGATGAGAATTCAATAATGTAGATAGCTTTGATATTCGTAATAAGCATTAAATGAGTAGGATCGTGATTTTCATTGAAATATGGTTGGTTTTCAGATGCTAATGGGAAAATACTGGTAATAAATTCTTCAGCATTTGAACTTCTATCATTGAAAGTAATTGGAATTACTCTTTGACCAGATTGCGGGTTGGCATAAAATTGGCCTTGTTTCTCATGAGAAGTTAATGAATAGGTGAAGGTAACACCAAAATCAAGAACATGTAATGTATTGGCATCACCACCACTTATGACTAATTGAGTATATTCAGGATCACTTCCACATAACCACCTAACTGATGTAATAGGAGAGAAATCATCCTTTAATTTTATAGGAGTTCCAGGTAAATGTAAATTTATGTCAAAGATATTTCTAGCTTCTAATAACGTTCCAGTGGTAGTATCCCAAAACACAAGAGAATTATCCTTATGAACAGTTACTAAATGTAAACCATTTGGATGGAATTGGGCATCAATTAATTCAGGTGTTACTTCCTTTGGAGACAGAAATAAATTCTTTTTCCCTCCGGTTTCAATGAATAGAGCTGATTCAAATCCTCTTGCTTGTTTCGGTAAAGTATAAACAAAGCTATTTTTGATTTGTCCAGTAGCAATTGAATATAATATAATTGAATGAGAATAAGTTACCAAGATAGTTCCTATATCTCTTGGATGCCATTTAATAGATACAACATGGGATAATTTCACTTTTGGTAAGATTTTCTTTTGTAAATTATCAATTCTATATGGGGTAATATTTAATCTATCAACATCATAAATCATTACACCTCCATTAGAGAGACCAAGTAATAACCAATCCAAGGCTGGATCAGTTTCAACGGCAGTAATGGCACCATGAGTACTATATTTACCTAGAATTTGCTTTGATTTCAACGATAACACCATAACAGATCCAACAGCCGATGACACTACTACAAGGTATACACCTTTAACAAATTTTAAATGAGTGATTGGACTGGTAGAATTAAATTCGATCACCACTTCAACATTTTGTTGACCGAAAACTCTGACTTCATTATTAGTGGTTGAAACTGCAAGTAATGATTGTACTGGATCAAAAGCAACGGCTAAGATAGAATTCTTAGGAAGACCAGCTTGAGCCACTGTAAATAATTTCAAATGTTTTGCATTAATATCACTTGGTGACAAGTCCTTTGCGCCAGAAGTTTTAATGACATTTGAAACCAGACTCAATGATAAAGGGGCTTTCGAACTCTTTATCTTAGAAAACATAATGATCTGTCTCTAGAGTAATCACAAATGAAACTAGTTGATATGGAATGGAATTGAATCGAATCGTTTAACCAAGACTTTTAAATGAATGTGCAAATTCAACTTTAGCAGGTGTATCTAAATACACCAAATGTCCTGTATATAATCACACCTTATACGAAACCAAAAAACGACGCTACCATAAATCCAAACGTCCTGTATATAGCACTCTCCATTTTTTTTTTTTTTGTAAACACGTATTTAACAAATTTCATAAATTCAAATTTAAAGGCTACACCTGTTGATATCATTATAACGATCAACTTGAATATGGTATGTATATTTGAAATACGATTGTATATGGTCAATGTCATTGAAGTCATCATTACTAACCAGTCAATCTAGTCCTTTGATCAACTTGTCGGAGTTGGAATGCTTGGAGTAGCTATAGCAGTATTCACTTACTATACTACATGGGTTTTCGTATTACCCTTTGTTGATGAATCCAATATCATCAATTCATTCTTCTTACCTCGTGATTACGCCATCAAATTACCATTATTGTTATTATTACTTGCTGGATTGGCCGTGGGTACTTTTATTGGAAATGTATTGATTAAAAAGGCTCAAAAGGAAAAATTAAAGAAAAGTAAGAAATCTGATTAGAAGCTTAAGTTCGTATTAGATATCCTCATTGAATATCTTTTTCATTTCTATTGTAAATTAGAATATGTATTAACTATGATTATTAGGACGAAACAGTGAGTCAAACACAGCAGCACCCCTTTTAAACCAGTGATTATAGCTCATTATTATTATATAAATAAACAAAACATAACAAATATACGGATCAAATTTTATACATATCACATTATAATGTACTTTTTATTGATATTATTGAAACCTATGTAAACTCTATGAACGAATTATGAAATCTCCTGTCTTGGTAGTATATTTCACCCCTTTATAAGGTTTAACTGTATCTCCCAAACCCTTTGCACTAACTATTTTTAAACTATCAACTTTTATCCCACTTGGAAGACTTCCCTTATGTGAATAAGACATTTTTAAATAAAGTGGCTTTATCGATTTTAAGGGAGTGTTGGTATCAACATCTATGAGATCAGGCTGTAAATCTTTATGTGATGATTCTTCAAAAGCTTCTATTGATTTATCAATTGAATGTGTTATTATAGATCCACGAAGGAAAGGTTGAATACCTTTTGAAAGAGTACGTAAATTCCATTCTGCTTTTCCTTTACTTTTATATGAAAAATCTCCATGAGTAACTCTATTAGTCTTGATGTTCACAATATAATCATCTCTTCCAATACCATCATTACTTTCATCATCATTTGCTTCGGGAGATTCATTATCTTGACAAACTATATCAATGACAAGATGTTCAATTTTTGAAACTGATTTAGAATCCTTTATGAATAATTTGATTTCAAATTCATTTTTATTAGGTCCTAATCCTGATTGAAAATCAACTTCTATAAGTCCTAACATACTCAATTTAGATTTAACATCACTGAAAGATTCTAAATCAATTTCATACTTCATAATAGTTGATTTCCCATCGGGTGGAATAAATGAAAGAGTTCCAGGATTACCTAACCATTTATCTAATTTAATACATTCATGAAAACTAGGAACTTTTAAATTCAATCCTGCTGTAGATAAGACTAATTGTAAAAGTGGAATCCCCGTTAAATGAGATACGAAATTGATTTTCCCACTAATACTACCCACAATTGGAATCAATTGAGTGGCCAGAGATTTTAATGATGAAGTGGAATAGAATGCTGAATCGAAATGAGTAGCTGAATTACTGGAAAGTAAAGATTGAGTATTAGTACCTTGTCCCACTAATTTAGCAGTGGGTTTTAAAATTACGTTAATCCTTTCAATCACATCCACATACATTTCATTATTAGTATATCTTACATTTGATCTTCTCCAAGGTATACTATTCAATGAACTTTCATTATTATTGTTGTTATTAAAGGAAGCTGGAGGTTCAAATGATGATGATTTCTGTGAATTTCCTAATGAACTTAACGATTTATTAGTGGCTGCTGCTAAATCATTACCTGTACTTAGAATCTTTGATAATAAACTTTTAAATGATATTAAATCTCGTAATTTATTAAAATCAGTTACATTTGGCATTCTATTATCAATCATTTCATTAATTAATAATGTCAACGTATCGTTATTAGCATCAATCTTAGTTAAAGCCAATGGAGTACCAAAATAATCACTCATTACTTCAATTAATCGTTGAATAAAGGTATATGGGATAATAGGATTGAGGGATGTTGATGATGAACATAACACATATATTATAAGACTCGAAGTCCTTTCAAATGACACGAAGTAATCTTCATTCACTTCAATGAACGATAAGTTGGCATCATTTGATTTTGATTTTGATTTTGTTGATGAAGATTCTGAATCCTTCTTCTTTGTCCTGATGATATTAATCAATGATTTGAAACTGGGGGACGATAGGTTTATCAAGTACTCATATACCAATGTATCATTGCTATCTGATATATACACAGCCTCAAACATTTGTTTATCAATGGAGGGTATCAATGGGTTGGTTCTATATAAATCTAACGTTGTCAATATCTGATTTTTCTCAATTCATAATTTTCAAACATCGTTCGCACTTCCAATTTAAATACTTACTATCTACAACTTTCAAATGTTAAACACATAAGACATATTATTAATAAAGGGGGAATTAATTAAATGTAGAAAGGGGGAGGGGGTTAAAGGGGAATATATATAGTATAAAAAAGCGTTATATAAAAAAGGGAGGGGGAACGGGAGGAAGTTGGGAGTTATTGAGTTTTTTCTATAGAGATTTCTGTGACATATCAAATCAGTAAGATCATGGGTTTAGACAAATGAATATGGGTCCAATTATACTCATTGTAGGAGTCTAAAGATCTAGTTGATTGATATGGTTCACAGCGAGTCGAGCCAGTTATTAAAATTCAACAAGATTAATATTGCCATGGGAATGGAATATGAATCATCATTGTAGAATAATTTGAAAAAATAATAAAAAAAAAGTTTGAGAAGTAAAATAGAAAGAATAGATATTCGATAGTGATAATGATATATGGTATATTGGTATGATTTGAATTGATTGTAAGTATAAGATTGAGTTAATTCAAGAATAAAAAGGATAAGGTTAAATATTTCAATACTATTTTAACCAAAAGCTGTTTTCATTCACGACACACACACATTTCTTCATGACTCGATATACTTTAAATCGACAAAAAACCATCATAATAAATCATAACACATTAATCAAAGCAAAATAATAATAATAATAAAAAGGATAAGAGGAATAGATTAATCTAAATCTATTTGGAGACTTCACCACCAGATGATGAACCTTCTTCAGCTTGAGTGATTTCATCTTCATCATCTTCATCTTCAATATCAAGAGCTAAATCTCTAGCAACTCTATGTTCGACATCTTTGATTTCAGCCATACCATAAACGGCAATAGCAGCAATACCACAAATACCAGCGATACAAGAGAAGACTAAAGCAACAATACCTTTAGCAGTGAAACCAGGTGGTAATGGTTTATGTTGAACTGGTTCACCAGTTAAATCAAGTAAATTAACAGAATTACCAGCAGCATTACCAGATATGGAGATATTATTCTTTTGACAACTGTTAATGTAATCAGGAGTTAAGGCTTGATTTGGATCAGCTTGAATACCCATTGGATCTTCAACGAATTGAACAGCTAAACCTTGATCTAAATGCCATTCAATATGACAATGGAAGAACCAAACACCTGGATTATCAGCAACAAATCTTAATACCATATAAGATTGAGGGTAAACATAAGCAGTATCTCTCATCATTGGATATTCTGGCCATTCAGCATGATCAGAATTATTAAAACTAACAAGATCAGTAAATGATTCTGGATGTCTTTCGATAAGTTGGAAAATATGACCATGTAAATGGAAAGGATGTTTACCTGAATCTTGATTATTAACAACAATATCAATAATATCACCCTTTTGTAAAACAAAAGAATTAGTATTAGTACCATAAACAAGTTCATTAGTAGCAAATTCACCAGAAGTTAAAGCAGTAATTAAAGTTGGGACTGTTGGAGGAGTATAAGTAATATTATTGAAGAAAGCATAATTGATACCATTACCTAAATTATCCATAACCACATCAATAGTAACGACATAATCAGGATCAGGGAAAAGAGTTTGATTACTTAATGGTCTTAAAAAGAAATCATCAAAATCAGCATCCCAATCATCTATATAGTATTGACCTGGTAATTCAGCACTATCATCATAAACAATCCAATTAGTGGAGTTAACAATTAAATCAGCAGGGATATAATCTAATAAAGTTTGATCCATTGAATTCATAAAGGCATAATTTTGAGAAGTATCAGATTTAGTAGTAATTAAAACAGAATAACGTTGAGCAACCGCGATATAAATTAAATCAGTTGCATTCTTTTCAACCATAACACCATCAACTTCAACAATTTCGAATTCATGACCTTCCATATAAAGATATTGAGAAACAAATCTACCGACATTAACAATATGAACTAAATAAGTAGTATCTGGTTGAACATGCCAAGTAACATTTCTAGTTTCATTGAATAAAGAACTATCAGGAATTGGTTCAGCTCCAGCTGGATTATATCTATTTAAGAATCTTGGATTTAAATAATCTGAATTATGATGATAATTATCAGTGACACTTAAAAATACTTCTTCATCATAATCATAAGGATAATCTTCAGTATCATCGATATAAAAGATACCTCTCATACCATCACCATATTGACCAGAAGTATGGGAATGATACCAATAAGTACCATGTTGAGTTAAAGTGAAATTATATAACATAGTTTCACCAGGAGGGATAGGACATTGAGTAACGAATGGAGGACCATCCATTTGAGATGAACCATTTTGGAACATACCATGGAAATGTAAAGTAGTATTAGCATCAGTGAAACCATTGATTAAATAAAGATTGATAGTATCACCTTTTTTAGCTCTTAAAATAGGTAATGGCCAAGTACCATTCCAACCAATCATTGGTTTTTCAAGGAAACCATCAGGATTAGCATTAACCCAACCGGTTTCAAACCACCAAGTATGAGTTTCAGCTGCAACGAAGGATACGATACAGGAAAATAAAAATAAGGATAAAGTTGATAATTTCATTTTTTAAAAGGAGAATTATATAACAGGGAAAATTAAGTGGTTGTGGGAGGGGGTGGATGGTTGTAGATTAGACAATATTAAAGTTGCTAAATTTAAATTACTGGACTTGGACTGTGGGGGGTTGGACTAAGGAATAAAAGATAATTAACACAAGGTGTATAACTAACTGATATGATATGAATTGAGCAAATTAAGATATATCAAATTGGTATACTTAATCTGTCAAAGAGACAATCTTTTTTTGAATTCTTTCTAAGACAAGAAAAATAAAAAAAATAAGACAAAAAAGATATGTCAATTAAATGAATGAATGATAATTGACTACTTTAACTAAAGTTACTTCAGAACCTATGGTTAAAACTTGAGAATATCAAACACAAACTATTGAAAGATGTCAAATCTATAAATTAGGTAAAAAAAACAACTCAAGGAGAGACGAATTGAGTTAAATTTATATCTCCCTTTAAATTAAAATCTAAAAAGGTCAGAAGGGAAATTTTTTATTCTTTTAGAATTTTTAAATTTTTTGTCGGACCCGGTTGTCAAAAAAAAAAAAAACAATTTATGCAGACATTTTTTTGATTTTTGTTACTGCTGCTGCTGCTGCTGCTGCTGGATGGATGTCCATCCATTCCACTACACCCCATATTCAATTAATTTCAATTCAATCAATCAAATTTTTACTAAGAAAAAAAAATAACGTTCGATTCAATGTAGACGTATAATATGTTTTCTTAATCATTAGCCGTACCTGAATAGTGATTAGCAATCGGCATTCATGACTAGATTCTGCTATTATCGATCCATTTTTTGTTGTTTCTAAATAATCGATTTGATATTATCTACAACCTCACTGTAATATAAGCGGTATTTAATATCAATTCTCACATATAAAAACAGACAATTATTGAAATTTAGGTTACCATTTTTAAATTATTTTTTGACTTTTTTTATTATTTTTGTCTGTTTATCGAATTGATCAATCAGATAAAAATAAAGCCATAAATCAAAAAATTTGAGTTTTGAGTTTGTTCGGTCTCGTTTTTGTCAATTTAACCAATTCTATCCAATTAAAATCGAGTAACCCTTTTATATACTTTCCCTTAATTATTGAATGTACAAACGAATAGTTTATTTGTATTAATCAAATGATTTATTAGATTAATTACCTAATAATTTAATTGACTAATTAATTACGTATGAACTATTATTGACGTTAGATTTTAACGTACTGATTATCTACGAAATTCAATGTAGGTATCTTTTCTTTTTCCAATCTAAAAAACAAACAAGAGCCCTATACATCAGAGATGATATATGGTTTGATCATTGTTATACATGTATATAATCTGCATGAATAAGTTATTCTATCTAACTAATTAATTAATTAATAGTTTGTCAATTTTTTTTTCTTCTTTTCTTTTACTGTTTGTCTAAAATTGAAATCTAATCAATCAGAGGTGATCAAATCTTTAAATTGACCGGTAATATATCTATAATATAAACTATTGTTTATTTGAGAAGTGGTATAACGCCATTCTAACCGCTTTTTTTTTGTTTTCCTTTTTTATGCTTGTACGTATTAATGAATATCCGTTTAAACTAATTGTATGGTTCCACCAGACAAGAAAAATATATAATACTTACCCGATATCTTTAAATTCTAATTTATATTAGATTGATATAATTTAATCGTCGTTCAAAGTATCTGATTATCCTTCGAATGGCTTTACTTTCGATATAGACATTTTTTTGCTTACTGCCAAAACGAAACAGAAAAAAATGCTTTAAAAAAAATTTAAGCTTCATGTATTTAACGTATGAGTTTAGATCAGCCTATTTTTCGGCCACCACTCCCTTACATTAGTTATATTAGCCTTAATATACTTAATTGACTCTAGAATTATAGTTTGCCATCTTTTAATAAATTGGTTATGGTCCATTCCAGTCAGTTTCCCCTTTCATTATCTCCCTTCTCCCCTTCCTGCCTCCCTCCCTCCTTCATTTTCACCCTTTTCTTGTCGCATTTTTTTATTTTATTTTTATGAACTTTTATCAGATGGAATTTATTTTTTGTCTGTTTTTTTTTCTTTGTTGAGTCCAATTCCATTTTAAATTTTTCAGACATTTTTTGTCTCAGATGAAAAATTTTTTTATCTTTTTCATCAGTGCATAAAAAATTCAATTTTTATTCATTTATTCATTTATTAATTTATTCCCACAGTATATTGAACTCAATAATTTTTTTACTATTGATTAATTTTAAATTAGTAAAATGTTTATAAACTTATTTCTAATATCGAATTACAATGGCGTACGTTTAAATTTGTTTTAAAAGCCCTTAATATGGAATTGATCTTCAGCTTCCTATATAAATCTCTACATCTCCTGGTTTTGTCATATGTATCATCATATATCATAGGAGGTCATTACATATCGCTTCTCTTCACCTTGTATGTCTCATTCTTCGTGCTTCTAAATCCTATTAGTTTGATTATAATATAATTTACAGTGATTTTACTTTTTATTCATATCTAGGACCGAAATATCTCATACCACCGGATTAGATTGTTTCGTATCATTGGCCGGAACTTTTCATACTGATTAAAATATTTGTTCATACTTTTTCTTTATTTTCATAACAATGTGAAAATTTAGTTAATACGATTGATCACAGTTTATAATTACTGAATCTTATAATTAAAGAGCGCTTCTGATTACATGTAAATTACATCAGAACTGACCGAAAGCAGTGAACATAAAAAAGTTCTATGTGATTAGGTCATGTTAAGGAAATAAATAATGAACTTCAAGCAGAAAAATCAGCTAATGAATATGTAGATGAGCTAAGGGATAGGTTCAATTTGGAACTGGATCAGATGTCTGTAGAATGTGAGATATCCCCCTTGGAGAATTGTTTTAGTTATAGTGATTTTAAAAGAATAAACGGATCTCCTGATATGGAAGTTGACCAACTCTATGAAGATGACCAGGAGCATGAAATAGAAATTGATACAATTTCTAGCGATATGTGTAATACTGGAAGAGGTTCCTACAAATATTACTCTGAGACAGTAAGAGAGAGATTCTGGCATATGGTTATAGAAGAAGGTTGCTCAGACTATAAAGCGGACAGAGTGAATGATATCAGCTTGAAAACTGCTTACACGTGGAAAAGAAATTGGAACATACAAGTGGTTATGAATCTAAACGGTATTTATGAAACACCAAAGAAGCGTGGACGTAAACCGTTACTTTCCGAAGAACATAGGGAATACTTAAAAAGGCTGATTGAAGAAGATGCCACTATAACCGTTGATTTCATGCTAGAAAGTCTTAGAATTGCTTTTGACAATGTAAAAGCTAGTGTTTCTACAATATATAAGTTTATAACTAAAATATGTAAATTCAGTCTTAATCGTATGCATATCCTATACCACCTATGCTCCATGCCTCAGACTTAGACCAAGATAAACAACACGGACCTTGATTTCCAGTTGAACAAATGTTTCTAGAATTTTCCATTTTAGTACGACCAGAATAATTATACAAGTAGTAGGCAAATCCCGCACAAGCAGAAGAAACTAGAGCATTTGATGACTTGCATTTAAATCCCCAACGCTTTGTTATCCATCTCTCCACTTCATCGTTACCAAATAGTTGCACAGCTTCCTTTCTTAAGCTTTGCTTTAGTTTCCCAATATCTAAATCTTGAATCACTGATAACTCGTCCAAATAGTCTAACCAGTCCAAAAACTGATTTATCTTTGTTGGCCAAGGATAGCCATATAGAGCCTGTATCCATATAATAATATCTTTTTCAATATTTCCACTGGATATGTAATTTGCCAACAGATTAAGTTCGTCTGCATTTTCATTTGATAAACCTAGATAAGTTATGCAATGCTTGCTCTCATCTCCCATAGTTAAATCAATACCCACCATACGTGTGCTGTTGAAACAAATATCTAATTCATGCATCTGAATTACATCTTGATTAGGGAAATCACGTACTTGAATATTATCAGGAGCATCATGTTCATCTAAGAAAGTCTGATTCCAAGTGATGACGCCATCGGCCCCAAAGATTCTAGGGTCAGGCAAGTCTTTAAGTAGTTCTTCATAGTTAATTGCTAAGGCACCATGAAATAAGGTGATAATAATTAACAATATTAATTGTTTCATCTTATCGGTTTAGAGATTATTGAGTTTGTATTTCTAATAATTCTGAGCACTTTGAATACAATGAGGATTTAGAGCTGTATTTATCATCATTTTCAAATTCCAATGTGTATTTGCTCTTCGGAAAGCAAACAAGATTAGGTCGTACGACTATTTACCCCATAATAACGCCGATGAAGCAACCTGTAAATCTTTACTAAATCGCAAATAAAAACTCCAAAGCATCGGCCCACGAAAATTCATGAAGCATATACAGTGTTTCCCAAACCTATGTCATACCTCTCAGCGCTCGTGTAAATTAGCAAAGTTGTTTACGATCAAAAAAGACTACCACAGCTAGGTCAATTGTATTCGAGCTCAACAAATTTATAAATACTCAGCAGCAGATGACGCCCGACACAAGTTTGTTAGGCATTCCCATAGTTAATTCCTAATGAAGTTTAAATTTTCCACTGTTGAACCATTCTTCTCGCTCTAATTCGCTCTTTATATCACATGACACGTCGCGTGACTTTCCAACATCCATCCTGTATATACCAACTAATAAAAGATTTGGTCCTACTCACCCATTCTTTTTTTTTTTTTTTGACCCCATGGTATGCCAATACAATACAATTCACAACACGTTATTTTAAAAAAAAATTCAATGTGATTAAAATTAATTGTTGATGTTTGTTTCTTTCTCTTAGTTATTTATTTATATCTTACTATCTACTTATATGCTTTAATTCAATAAATTGTTCAAGTCACTTTCAACAAGACTAATATCTTAACGTTGAAAGAAGTTCATTTTCCATTCCTTTAACTATTAGTTTGTTTTGTGTGCATCAGTTCCTGTAATCCCCACTCGTGTTTCTTTTTTTTGCATCTATCTAATCCCATCCCATCCCAAACCATCCTAACTATGACTGCTAAACTTTTAATTAGTAGACGATTAATTTCTTCATCAAATGTGAATTCGGATTCAAATACAACTTTCGATGTTAGTAGTCTTTTAAATCAAATTAATTTCATTCGTAATAGACAACATCAAAAAAAATCATCATCATCACATCAATTACCATCATCAATAATAGCCACAGGGTCAAAGAAAATATCAAAATTCAAAAGATCAACTCATCCAACTTCAGTACCCTTAGTCAAATTACTCTTCACTGCTGGTTTCTTCCCTTTATCAATCAAAGAATCATTAGATGATTATGCCTTTCGTAAACAACCTTTGAAATTCCAACAAGAATTATTAAATTTATTACCCTTCTATCCTAATCCTGATACCAATGGTAAAACGTCATCCATCGTACAAACCGTTATTGACGACAAAGGGAATTTCATCAATGAGTTTGTCGTATATCCACCGGGGAAATCAGAAGCAGACAGTCATACTATGAATCATATCGTGTTAGTTCATGGATATGGAGGTGGTTTAGGATTCTTTTTAAAGAATTTCGATGGACTTTCAAATTTAGATAATTGGTGTGTTCATGGAATAGATTTATTAGGTTATGGATGTTCATCTCGACCACCTTTCAAATTAAAAGAAGAATCCTTAGATCATGTTGAAGATTTCTTTCATGAATCATTCGAAATATGGTTAAATAAACGAGGATTATCAAATTTGGCTCCTAATGCCAAATTACTCGTGGTAGGTCATTCAATGGGGGCTTATTTAATGGCTACATATGGAATCAGAAATAATCCCAATTTTTGTGATCGTTTATTAATGTTATCCCCAGGAGCAATCATCAAACATCGAAAACCAGTATCCGTACCTAAATATTTTGAAAAATTATGGGAACAAAACATCTCCCCTTTCACATTAGTACGACAATTAGGTCCATTTGGATCTAAGATAGTTAGTGGTTGGTCATCACGTAGATTTGCCAATCTTTCTCCAGAAGAAAATAAATGCTTACATCGATATGCGTATGGGATTTTCCTGAGTCCTGGTTCAGGAGAATATATGTTGAATTATTTATTAGCCCCTGGTGCTAATGCAAGACATCCATTGATTGAAAGAGGTATCCATAAATTAAAATGTAAAGTAAGTTGGTGGTATGGATCAGAAGATTGGATGGATATTAAAGGAGGACAATTATGTTCGGAAATTATTAATAATTATGCCAAAGATTCTGAAAAGAGTCGAGTGTTTGAATTTGAAGATTCAGGTCATCATCTTTATTTGGAAAATACCGATAAATTTCATACTAAAATGCTTGAAGAAATGAAATCAATGGAAAGTGAAGTGAAAGAAGATAAGCATATCTGATTGGGAAGAAGGAAGTTGTTAAAACTTATATATCAAAAAAACAGTGAATTAAAATAAAAAAGTAAATCAAAAAAAGTACTAAACTAGGTTATTTATTAAAAAAATACACATATCTATTAAACTTTTCTCATTGTAATGGCTCATTTTCAGGTCCTTCAAATGATACAATTAATTTCAACGACATAGGTAAATTCGGATCAGTAACTAATATTTCATCACCTGGTTTAATTAATGTATTCAATTTCTTTGATAAATTAGGTTTAGTAATTGATTCTAAATGAGGGGGATTTCTTAAATATAAATAGGTAGATCCCGTAGTTAATGATGGTTGCTTGATTTGAACTTCTTTATTCTCTGTTATTTCATCTATAAATTGTTGTAAACTCCACCAATTTTGAGCCATAATTGATATACCAACTATTCCACATACAGGACATGTTTTCCTCTTTGATAATTCAAATGTAAATGTAAATATAGAATCATCTCCTGAATATGTCATATAATTATTCAAGATAGGATTCAGATTGGTAATTAATTTAAATGCTTCATTACAACATGATGCCGCAATAACGGCATTTGTAGAGGCAATAGCAGGTATAATATTCTTTACTACTCCTAAGGTTAACAGTTTAGTAACTCCATCAATTCCAAATGCATTGGCTCTTGATAATGCTGATGTATACATCCATTCCACATCTTCAGGATTATCAGCATCAAATTTTTGACCTGGAAATACTTGAGGCCATCTTATCACACTGGCCCATTCAATACAATGCTCAGGTAATCTGGGAGTATTCGCTATAGTACATACGGGATAAGTGGTTCTAGGAGATATCAAATCCAATGAACATTCATAACATGATGAAATAGTAGGTAGTATAACTCTTGATTGACCTCTTAATCCTTCTGTACCTCCATCGATTAACGGTATTATATCTGAAGTTTCCAGTATCGACACTAAAGTGGCATTTATCCATCTTCTAGCTTCAACACTATCCAATCCACATACAACCACGCTAAATTGTTTATAATACTCTATATCTTTATCTTGAATCTTTCCAAAATATGGAGTGATATGTAGATTAGGATCATTTAAACGTTGAGTAACGAATTTAGCAGCAACTTCAGCTTTTGATTTCCCCACATCTTTCGACCCGAAAAGGAATTGACGATTCAAATTAGAGATATCAATCGTATCCATATCAATCACATGTATGTCTTTGAATCCTGTTAATGCTAAATTCTTTAATATTTCACAGCCTAACCCTCCAGCTCCAATGACAAGGATCTTAGATGTGATTAAGGCATTCAATGCATCTTTGGAGTTATACTCATCTGGGATCTCATTGTATGGACCAATTGTATCCAAGAGAGGTCGTATGGAGAGTAAATCTATTGAATCACTCATCATTGATGAAGTGTATAAGTGTTTGATTACTATGCTTAAATCATTTTGTGATTTCAAATTCATTTTTGATTTACACCGCGCTGTTGGCCATACAAAATTACACCATACAAAATATTTACTGCGAAAAACATATACTGAAACTATCTACATTATTTATTACATTCCATCATTTATGATCCATTCTCTTTATCTTCACTGGTGGATGTCAGTGATTCTGTTGAAGTTCTAGAATAATGATAGTTAGTAATCGTTATTATGAAGTAATAGTAAAAATAGTTAAATGATACTTACTCTTTATGGAGTCTCTTTGAAGGTGGTCTTTGAATTGGAGGCATTCCTATTCTTTTCCCAAGTGAATTTCCAGATTCATTCGATATAGGATTTAATGCTGATGTAGTTGGTTGGGAATTTCTGGAAATTGTAGCTGTGGGTGCGTTGTTCACTTCTGCTCTTTTAACGGGGGCTGATTTGGTTGGATCAATTGTTCGTCTCATATTAGGAGATACAAATTTGTGATTAAATTGAGGAATATTAGATGCATTTTCTGGTGTCTGTTGTAATAAATCAGCTCCTCGTGCACTAACGAAAAGTGGGAATTCCATTCCAACTTTTGGAACATTGGGTGTTATGGCATTTGTCTTATTTATACTTTGATTTGATTGATTGATACTATTTGCAGTAGTGTTGGCATCTTTTTCAGCACTATTCAGTTTGTCATTTTGGTCTCCTACGAATACTAAATCTTCTTCGCCAATATCATCACTGAATAAGAAGGAATCTTCAAGATCTTGAGCTTCTTGAGTTGATGGGTGATATACATTGGATTGCTTTTTTGTTGCTGTAGTGTTGACATTATTATTTGCATATTGATTGCTATTGATAGGAGTTGATACTGCTGTATTTTGAACTGGAATTGATGGTGGTGGTTGTCTATTATTAGCTTGATTTGGAGCCAGTATTACTCTAGGGGCTGCTCCATTGGAACCATTTTGGATTGGATTATTTTGTTGAACTGGTTTTTCAAGTAAATGAGTAGATGGAATATCTCTATTCTTATGTCTTTCCATAAACATTGGATCTCTATGAAAATCAGAGGTTTCAAAAGTAGTCTTTATCTTCTCTATATTTTGCATTTGCTTTATAATAGTTTTATCATAAAGACAATTCCCCAATAAACTTCCAAAACATCTTAAACATCTTTTAATTCCATCTGTGAAAGCTTCCTTTCTACATTTTTCAAATGCCATGGCTTTACTCTTAGCATTCTCTATATAACCATAACCAAAATCTTCATGATAAGTTCCATCCTTTATAGTGACCCTAATAACCACTGAAAGTCCCATAGAATATCGACCTGAATTACCATGAGTATCTAAGAAATCAACTTGTTGACTAACCAATTCTGAATTCCAACCATTGAATCCAAACACTTCATTGGCTAAATTCAAGGCTCTCCAACCTTCAATATATGATACATTAGTACCACCTCCACCAGGTCTGAAGCTGACATATTCAGGTCCAAGTACTTTATCCAATATACCTTGGATTCTAGTTTGTTCTTCTTGGGTGTATGATTGTTTTTGGAACTGTCTTACAGGAGCCAGTGGATTTGGTCTGAATCTATTATCTCTTTGAGGCATTGGAATAGGACCTGGTCCCTGTTGCTGTTGCTGTGGTCGTTGTTGGGGTTGTTGTGGTTGATTTTGATTTTGATTTTGATTTGGCGGTGGTGGGACGCGATTGTTATTGATATTATTGTTATTCATGGCTGCTAGAATGTATGTATACACGTGAATAGTTCAGTTGATTGAGTTCAGATATTGGCCACTTCGCCTACTCTATAAGTAAGTCGATATATGCAATATATAACGTTTAAATATGTTGACTAGATCAATTGATGAATCTTTAAGTATTTTGACTGCATTTTTTTATTTACCTTTTTCAGATTCACAATTTTTTGAGAGAGAGCGTATCGCGTATACTGAAAAAGTAATGATTATAATTACTATTATTTGATACTAAGATAGACAACAAACAATAAGAAGTAATGGTCAGATGTTGATTATGGTATTGAAAAGCCAATGAATTCCGCAACACCGTCTATACTAAAGAATAAAGTAGAAGAAAGTCCTGTTGATTTTGAACGATTTGAAAGAGAACTGCCTAAAAGAAAACTGCAACCGATAAACATATTCAATCCATCAAAGATAGCACATCATGAAGTGATAAAATCAGACGATAGCATAGTGGTAAAGATAAGATTACCCCCAGAAGTATTATTAGAAATCAATTATAAGAAATTGAGAAGAAAACCACCATCAGTCATAAGAGCAAACGCTGCCAAACGAGAGAAACAAATATTTCACTATAATAGTACATTAAAAGAAGAAAGAGCCGTACGACGTGCTATGAGAATGGAACAATCACTGTCGTCATTATCATCTACTGAAGTACCTAGTAGTCCCATCAGACTGAATGATACAGCACAGGAGCTACAATTAACTACATCACCTAAGAAAAAAGTGAATTTCAATTTGTTTAAAGGATAGTATTAATATTATTATACAATCTATAAATTTCTAGTATACAATGGGATAGGAGATGAAATGGAGTCAAACTGCCTTATGATAGATGTATGGTGTTTTTTTATATGAACTTATGTATCATGACTTGAGATTAAAGTGATATTATCACCTTTCAATAGTATTCTACCCAATACTTCCTTAGAACCATCCTTAGTTGATACTTCAACTGCATCATCAATCACTATATTCATAAACTCATCAAACCCTCTGATTTTACCTTGTATTCTCAGTTGTGTTTGTTCATATAACCAGATGGTGACAGGTGATTGTTGTTGTAAATATTTGAATATTAGATTGATAGGTGGAAGCACCGCTTTCTTATTACTTTTATTCACGGATGACATCTCTTATGATGTATGTATTATATATAAATAGGATTAAATATGGTTTGTATTAATAGATAGATAGATAATAAAAGTTGATATTTGATAACTAACAAATTTTCATTTCAGATTTTTTTCCTTCCCTCTTCCTCAAAATGAATGCGCGTACAAATTTGGTTTATTTACATTTTCAAACAAACCTCTATTGAAGATAGTTATACTACAAGATTATCATTACTATCACCAGATATGGAGGTAATGGAAGAAGATTTGAAGCCGTTTTTCGTTAAATGGCTTCAAGAAGAAGCTATCAATGCTACCAAACGAGGTTCAAAACTTGCGTTGTTATATAATAGAGCCTTGGATCAATTGAAAAGATGTACGACTCCATTAACGTGTCCTAAAGATTTACTTCAAATTCGATATTTTGGAGATAAAACGGTGGATAACTTAGTCAGTCGATTAAAGAAACATTGTGAAGCCAATAAATTAGAAGTTCCACCTGGGTTTGCTCAAAGTTCCAAAGAATCAGTGGGTAAATCTCGAAGTAATGAATTATTACAAGCTAGACCCGATTCAATTACGGAACCACGTACTAAGAAAGCAAGAGTTCAAAAACCATATGTTCCCAAACATCGATCAGGGGGGTATGGGATTATGCTTGCGTTATATATTCGTGATAAGGAAAGAGTTGGATTAAATAAAGAAGAAATTATAAGGATTGCAACTCCTTATTGTGATAAATCATTTACATCAAATCCAAGTGTTAGTGATTTTTATTCAGCTTGGAATTCAATTAAAGTCTTATTTAAACATGATTTAGTAAGTAGTACTGGTCATTCACCAAAGATATATTATTTAACGGATACAGGTCTTGAATTAGCCAAACAATTAACTATAACAGAAGGTATTCAATCATCACCTATTAGACAAGAAGCTGAAGTATCATTTGATAATGAAGTTAGAGTTACTCCTGATTCTAGTTTTAATAGATGGACTAAATCATTACAAGAATTATATAAGTCTCCAGCTGTCTATAAGAAGAAATCACCTTTACAATTAATTCATGAGTTTGATTTAGCTAATGGGAGAAAATTTCCACCAACCACATCTATACTGAAAAGTCCTATTCAACCCATTCAACATATTGATAGTTCGTCATCACCTATCAAAGCACATACCATTGCTTTTCCTAAACCTAAAAGTTCTGTACCAATATCTTTATCGTCATCATCTCAAATTCAACGACCTCCAAGTTCACCATTAAAGGAACTTTCATCAAATATTGTACCTCTGTCCCCCGAAAAACCAATCCCTTTACCACCAGCACCTGTAAATACAAACACATCAGCAACTACAGAGAAACGTCCTTCTACATTAATTCATGATTCCGCTAATAGAATCTATGCTGGCATAAATTACGAAGTTTGGAAAAAAGATGAATTTGAAGTTATTTTAATCGTTGATACCAGAGAAATACGATCTCAACAAGAACGTGATTTCTTTTATTCTAGATTAACTAATTTAGGGATCAAGAATGAAGTTAGAGCTTTACCTCTTGGTGATGTTTTATGGATTGCTCGTCATAAAAAGTCTAATAAAGAAGTTGTATTAAATCATATATGTGAAAGAAAAAGATTGGATGATTTAGCATCATCGATTAAAGATGGAAGATTTCAAGAACAAAAGAATAGACTAAAGAAATCAGCTATGAAATATTGTTATTATTTAGTGGAAGAAAGTAATTTAACTTCATTTGTTCAACCTATGGGAGATGCTATTCAAACTGCTATTTCGATGACAATTACAATTTCGAATTTCTGTTTAAAGAGATTTAAGGATATTGATGAAACCATAGCGTTCTTATCTATAAATACAAGAGTGATTAAAGAACAAATCGATTCAAACGATACACGTTTAATGATATTACGCCCTAAAACGATTGAAAATCAAGTTCAATATAGTGAAATGATAAATCAATTCCGGGATAAATTTGAACAAAACGGTAGATCAACAAATTATGAATGTGTCCATTCTTATCCCATTTTCCAACTGGCGATGGGTAAAACTGGAATGATGACGGTTAAAGAAATGTTTATAATGATGTTGATGACGATAAAGGGTCTTTCGTTAGAGAAAGCCATTGTTATACAAAATGAATTCCCTACTCCAAATCTGTTATTACAATATTATCATACATCAGGTGAATATCTTACTGAAGCGCTGAGAAAGGAATTATTAATGAAACGATTTGAAAATCAAATAGGGAATAAAAAGATCGGAAAAGTTCTTCTGGAGAAGATTTATGATATTTGGGGTGCTTCAGCTCCTTAGCGCTATATATATATAACTTCTACAACCATGGTTTGAATGTAATATACGTAACTTATGACTATTAATAAAATCTCTAGAATTAGAAAATACCTTCTAAATAGATATGATATAAGTTAGTAACTTATTATAGAGAAAAGACTTTAAAATAATGAAATTGTATTAAACGCTGAAGTTGTTGCAAAACGTATATTTATACTTCTTTTTGAGAGGTCGTGTGCCAATTTCAAATCTACAATTTTTTTTTGAATTTTTTTTTTTTCAATTTGACCTGAACAGATAAATTTTCAATTTTGATAAAAACTATAGTGTATAAGTATTACTTTAAGACCAAGAACATTGAATTAACCATGGGTAAAGGAGTACTTAAGTACGGTGGTAAATCAGGTATTTTGCCTAAGATACGTCCTGTGTTCAAACATAATCCTATTAGATCCAAGACACCTAGTGAAATACAACAAGAATCGCAAATTGAACAAGGTTATGCTAAGGATGTACCATTACCTCAAAATAAAGGGAATAGAAGAAATTTGACATTCCATCGTGTTCAACCTCCTAAGGAAATCATAACTGTTGAGCAAAGAATTAAAAATACTATTGAAAATAGAATACCACAAAATATTGATGAAAGTAAATTAAATAATGATGAAAAATGGGTATTAAAAAGAGATGAAATTCGTCGTGAATTCTTAAGAGAAGCATATTTAACTGAAGCTAAGAGATTAGAAAAGTTAGATAAACTTAAAGAAAATCAATTGAAAAAGCAAAAGGAAGCTGAACAAAATCATTTAAATAAACATCAAGAATCTGAAGCTGTTAAATTAACTATTCCAACCATTGAATCATATTTAAAAGGTCCAATCATGAGACAAAGAACTCCAGAAGAAACTTTAATCAAAAATGAACAAAGATTATTAAATAGAAAAACTAAAGAATTAGAAGAACAACTGAAAAAGGCTACTCAATTATTAGATTTATATCATTCAGCCTCAAATTTCATAACTACTGAAGAAGAATTAGAAGCTGCTATAACTGAAGCCTTTGAAGTAAGAGTCACTGATTATGATCGTAGTCTTGATCATGTTAAGAACAAACTTAATAGTACTGTTTCATTTGCTTATAATTCAGAATATAATAGAGGTTTGATTGAAGATAAAGCTTTAGGTGAATTGAATGGTAAACCTGGTTTGGAAACCGTTAAGGATGTCTTAAGTGGTGAAGCTGAAAAGATAAAACGTCAAGCTGAAATCGCTGCTAATGAAGCTACCTCAAGTCTTCCTCAACAATCATAAAATGGTTTTTAATCATTTTCTTCCGCATGTTAAATAAACTATATTATAATTGTACATAGAATAAATAAACACTCCTGTTTAAATATAAATCTGATTAATGTAGACTGCTCTTTACTTGTAAAGATAACTCGTTATACCATTCAAGTCCTAATAATCTAAGTAATTTAAACATTATAGTAATCTTTTTAACATCCATTTTCATCATTTTCAAATTTTCCAAATTTCGAATCATCACCAAAATCTGAGAAACAAACAAACAAAAAAAACATCACACCAAAATTTGATCTACCAACCCTTTTTTACAGCAACCAAGTTCAATTATACTTACAATTGATTGGAATTTCATCATTCCTAAACATCAAATGAGTGGTCTGATATCAACTGTGGGTAATTATCAATCCTACTTCAATAAAGTATTGAAAAAACGATTGAAGTATGTCAACAATATCGCTATCATTATCGCTGTTGTTTTTTCAATCACATTGAATATTCCATTTGGACAATTCTGGTGGAACTTGTTATATACTACGTTCAGAAGTCCGATAATATTCGTTAGTTTGTTCCTTATCAAACAATCAAGAACTAAGTTCTCTGTGGTGGAGTATACCAAACATAAAACGTTAAGTTCCCAAATTTACTATAGTATATTCTCCATTACATTCTTAAAGAATTCGTTGTTTTATATCTTATCATCTTACTTTGTGTTTTTCATCTATATTTTCCAATTACCATTCTGGTCCCAATACTATTTAGTATCGAAGGAATATCGTAAGAAACCTGAAATCAATGATGAATGGATTTTCTATTGGTATTTCCCATTGGTTTTATCTTTGCTTTATAGTGGTCAACATATCGTATTTCAAAGAAATAGACTTAATTTCCAATATGGAAGTTCAAATAAAATCAAACCGGATAATGTATTATTAGCTAAAGTACCTAAATTAATCGGTGGATCTATTGGATTAAACTTGATTATCACATTTTCATCACCTATAATTTATTGGATTTTAAAACCCATCATTTATAAATCAAACTTTTTAATCATCCTATTATTCGGATTGGATCCAACCATTCCTAAATTCAATCTTTCGTTCACGACGTTCTTAAGTATTTCATACCTTTCATATCATGTTATATTAGGATGGGAATTAATGAATCATGTATTCAATGTTTATTCAACTATTGGATGTCTTGATGGTAAGAAACCAATCAGTACCTATAGTTCTGATCCAATCAATACTTTATTATCAGGCTTGAGAAATGTGGATGTGAATTATCAATTAAGTCGTTTAACTGCTTTTCAAGAATTGGCATATATATCATCATCAGATGATGCTGAAGCGGTTAAATTAAGACAAGCAATCTATAATGCCAGATCAAGAAGAGGATTCATTTGGCCTGCAATCTTGGATGAATGTTCGTTAGTGATTAAAGAAACAACTGCATCCATAAATTATCGTTCAGCTTCCGATTTAAAAGTTTTAAAACAACATCAATTAACTATTAAAGAAGAATTAAAGAAATCTACAGGTTATTCAAAATCAAGTGATGATAGTGATATATTTGGAAATTCAATCTATGTCAGTAGTTCAGCTCCTTCTTCATCTGGTATCTCACCTGCCACCACTTCAACTGTCAAGCAATATATTCCAGATTCTTCTAAAAATCCAACTTCTTTGGAAGCAAAGATACTTGGAAGTAAAGCTTACAAAACATTTGAATCACAAGTTATTATACCATTAAAGGCATTCATTGTTTCTGTTTTAGATAATAATGCAGCTAAATCAACTAATAAATCTAAAAATCCCTTAATTTCAAATTTGAAACAATCAATTGAAAAATTAACCATCATCATAAACAAATATAATCAAAAGTTTTTATCAACTTATGTCGGAGTCTTATTCAGAATAACTTTGAAAAGAGATACTGAGACTAGAGTTATCAACGCCGTTAATTTCGGAAATGCAGTCATTGCTATCTCAAATTTATTAATTCATTCAATTGAAGATGATAAAAATGGTATTATTACTGATTCAAATATTTGTGAAATTTTAAATCTCCTTGAGAAACCAATCAGAGCTACTAATAATTATATTGAATTCTTACCAGCCTCAATCTATTTAACTGATTTCCAAAAACAACGAGAAAATAAAAAATTAATTAATAATCATTTAATTGGTGTCTTACATGATTTAGTCATGAGTGAATTCTTTCAAATTTGTGTTAAGTTCAATTATAAATTAAATGATTTGGTCTTAAATGCTAGAACTTATAAACTTGCAAAATGGGTCATTGATGTGGCCATTGCTGATCAACAACTGCAACAACAACATCAAAGAAGAAAATTAGTATAGAGTTCAAAAAGAACCCCCTATAATTTATGTAATATAGTTTAACCTCTTTCAATAAATATTGAATTTAGTCAGTCTACAAGGCATTTATGTAATCGCTAATTTTTGTGTATTTAAGTAAAGTTTTCTTATATTTTTTTTTATAGTTATTCAACTCTCTATCAATTTGGTAAAAAAGAACCCAAAACATGGATCATACAAGATCACTATTGTTGTTATCATTATTGCTGTTACTGCTATTGCTATTGTTGTTATTATTGTCTGAATTACTGGCACTTGGTAAATTATCCAATAATACTGGTTTTAACACTTGTTCATCGAATTTTGTAAACCATTTAGCATGTTCTTCAGCACTTAAGAAGGCTCCTAATACACCACCACTTGACTTAGGACCATCAAGTAAGGAATTAATACCTTGATTCTTGTTATTACTACCTCCAGTAGATGCACTTAACAAATCATCAACATCATCAGTATTAAATTCCTCATCATCGTCAGTATTATCCGCTATATTACTCTTTAAAGCATTATTCTTGATACTGTTACTGAAGTTACTACTATTGATATTGATATTACTATTGTTAACACTACCTTCATTGTCATCTAATAAGTTAGCATTACTGGATACACCATTATCTTTATATTTTGAATGTTGAGAAATCTTTGGTGATTTTGGATTAATATTATATGGATATCTTCTACTTCCTAAAATGTTTGGATTACTACCAATAGTAGTAGGTAAGTTTGAATTTGAAAAATTAGAACCTGAAAGTGGCAATCTTGGAGCTTCAATTTCAAATTCATCATCAGAGAATTCACTTGCATCTTCAACTCCAATCTTAATACCTAAAATTTCTAACATGGAAGCAGTAGTACCACCAAATAAAATAACAGTCAATACCACAACTACTAATACAGTAGCCAATAAAGTCCATTTTGCTTCACCCTGAATACCCATAGCTAAGGCAACACCAACAGCTCCTCTTAATCCAGCCCAAAAGATCATCATTTGATAACTATGACTAATTTCATCAGGAGGTAATTGAGTACTCATTAAGCCATTAGATCCATTTAATCTAGTATTGAACTTTTCTAATCTTGCACGATAAAGGAAATTTAATAAGTTTGATAATGGGAATACAGCAGACCATCTTGCAATACAAATTGAAATAAAGGTGATGATAATCAATAAAGGTTTAAATACTAATTCAACTTCAGTGAATAATGATAAACCTAAATAAATAAAAATGAAATTTTCTGATAATTGAGCTAATAATTGAAAGATATATTTAGTAGCAATTTGAGTTCTTCTTGACATATTATAGTAAGCATAATGTTTTAAAGTTATACCACAGAATAAAAGTGAGACAATACCTGACATATGAGCCCCATTAGAAAAGAAATATGATTCATAAGCAAATAATAATACCAAACAAGTTTCAATTTGAGGATATCTTCTAATATGAGAATGTTTTAAGATTAAAGCGACGAAAATACCGATTAAAATACCAATAATGGTTGAAATGGTAAAACTCATCAAGAATAATCCAATACCTTCAAAGAATGAAGAAAAGTGAACAGGATGGCCATGGAACTTTTGACAAGTTTCAAACATAACAATAGAAATAGCATCATTTAATAATGATTCACCAAAGATAATGGTATATAATTTTGGATCAACTTTATAAGCATTAAAGATAGATAAAATAGTAACAGGATCAGTGGCTGATAAGGTTGCACCAACGGCCAATGCATCAACGAATTCAAGACTTATACCATCCAATCCTAAGGCAGTCCATATATATAAGATTGTACCTAACACTAAAGCTGATAAGAAAGTACCTGGAATAGCAAAAGTTAAAATTGAACCTAAATTTCTAAAGAAATTAGCTTGATGTAATTCATAACCACTATTAAGAATGATTGGAGGTAATAAGATATTGAAGAAATAACCGGAATTGAATTTAACTGCATCTTGAATATAATGACCTGGACTTATTCTAATAATTAATCCAACACTCATACCATAAAAGATTGATAACACGGTTTCATGAACAGCTTTGATTCTTCGTTGTTGTAAGAAATAAGAAGACCATAAGGCACAACACAACAATGTTAATAAAATAAATAAGGCCCATGACGAAAAAATTTCATCTGCCACTGGATTATCTTCTATATCATCATCAGGAGTAGATACATCAGGTATATCAGCATCCGCGTCAGGATCATCAATATCTAGAGCTCTTTTTATAAGGTATTTGGCCGCTAATAAGGTCAAGCTTGTCATGATAGATAACTATGTGGATGTATTATAAAAGGGATATTGACAATTGAACTCTGTTAAATTTTCACTTTTTGATTGATAAGATAGGATATAATTGATTTGGAAAGAACAAAATGAAACACGATCAATCGAAGGAGAGAAGATCGTAAATGACAATAGTCTAAGTAATGATTACCTGTATGATGGGAAGGGGGAACTAATCTATGGATACCAATGATATTTCCATTTAAATACGAGATCAAGTTACAAAGATATGTGTTGGACTCTAAATCTGGATATGGTTGTGTGGCCAAAACAAAATTTAATTTTACCTGTTTGAGCAGTTTGTGTGCTGTTGTCAAAAAATGGATCTTTTTTTGGTGTTTTTGAGACAGACAATGTTATTTACCATAAATTTGATATTTGATAGTTATAGTAGATGGTACTGTTTGATAGACGTCTAATGTTGGTTTGAGATGTCTAGAATGATATGGTGAATGCTTGTTGATACAAATTTAGATTGATTGAATGATTTGATGTTCTTGAAAGCAAAATTCTCATCTGTTGCAAAAAGGAGTTTCGCCCTTAAAAGTACCATTATTAAAAGGTGGGTATTACATTAATCGATTATATTCATTCCATGTTTAATTAACCTATCTAGTAGATCATATGATACACTTCTAATTACGATTCAATTCCAATTACTGAGGTTCTTTATCAGTATTTGATTGGATTATCTTACCTTTACTAGCTATATTCGTCATATATTTCATAATATTTTTGATCACATGATCATTTCATTTTAATTTTAACTATTAAGTGGATGCAAATAAGCTCTAGAAATATAGTAAGACTATACAGCACATATGTCAATTCTATAACTGATTAATAACTTAGTCTAATTTAAGATCTTCACCCTTATTAAGAATATCATTCTTTGATGTGTTCATCTATGATTTTATGCAACTCGTCCATTGTTCTACACTTCGTATATTTGTGGACTTTTCCAACTTAAAAATCCATGTTGGTATAAGTAAGGTACATGGGCTTTGCATCTTTCGGTCCCATTAACAAGATCAATATCTGGTACCTTTGCCTGTAATCCCTTTTTGTCTTGTATTCTTAAAGCAATGTAAGCATTAATTTCGTGACAATAATCAAGAAACATAAATAGAAACATCATTCTGAATGTTTTAAAATCTTCTTCAACCGAATCTTTATTAGGACGACGTTTTAATAATGGATTATATATTTTAAGAACCATTTCAGTATTTTTATTGGGACCCGAACCTATATATTTAACAAGGTATACTTGGAAATGATAATTTCCTCGTTCGCTTTTAGATCCTCCTTTAATTGTCTTAATGATATTAAAATCCTTTTCATCGATAGACTCGGATGGGAAATACATGGCTTGAATGTAGAAACGATTGGCATTTATCACAGCATATACTTGTCTATGAAAAAATTCTTGATAAAGTAGATGTTTACAATCCCAATCAGCTAATGAAATCTTCCAGAAGTTCTCAAGCATTTGATATCTTAATTCATTAAATTTATCTATTTGATCATCTGTCTTTTCAATCCATGGTTTCAATTTTTTCATATTGGCAGTTGTGACATTAACATTAGTGAAATGATTATCTAAAATTATAGTCATTATTGCTGTTAAATTATGAGTTGTTCCATGTTTGTAGTAAGCTGCCTCTAAATCAGTTGGATATCTGAAATTTGAATCTGTTATATCCACATTTATATTTTGATCAAAATTCATATCAGTGACTTATAATACTATTATCGATTCAGTATCAATTATAAATGCCAAGTTGGATGAATATTGTAACATACGATAAAAAGTCACCATTAAAAGTTCTTCAAGCATGAAAGTATTCTTTCCATTTTCAATTAATTCTGAAATACCATTCAATGCAAGTTCTATAGGAATCTTATAATTGACTTCTTCTTTGGTGAATTTTAGAGAGCTTTCCTCATTTATATCACGATTATGGACATATTCCCTCTGTGGTATGTAGGAAAACTTGTACTTAATATGAAAAATTTCTTTTAATGGTTGCAAACAAAAATCTGCTAAACAAAACTTATCTTTGAGCTCGCTATGAAAACTACAAATAGAATATACGTATCTTTCGTCGATACCACTTTTCTCAAAATATTCTATATCCATTGTGAATTTTTTACTTAAATCAGGGAATATGGTTGCCAGGACATCTTTAATATTGAAATCTATTGTACAATATGTTTCCAAATACAGTCTAGTCATTGAAGGAGGTGACTTTTCTGGAGTAAACCATGGCATAGGTAACGGAGAAGAAAATGAAATTGAAACGACATAAATAGAATCTATTATTGGTTTAATTCTTTCAATTTCAATTTTACCTATATCTGAAAGGTGTTTTAAATAACTTTGGATATTATGATAAATTGAAAAACAAAAAGTACCAAGGTCGTGTAAAAATTCTTCAGATGAAAGGTAGTCTTTATCAAGCATCATTGAAGGGGGTCTCACTCTGGTTATGATGTGAAAACGACTTAAAATGAAATATAATTTCTGCTCATTTAATCTAACATAGTAACGGCTTTGTTTTAGCACTAGTTTCCATTCTGCTTCACAATCATCTTCATCAACAAAGAAATTATAGTTGTTTCCATCTTTTATCTTCTCAAGGATAAAGTCAACAGATCTGTGTATTCTCAATATATCACTAGATACTTTTATTGATGATGCCATTTGAATTAAGGATTGATAGGAAGAATAAAAAGTTGACAACTTTTAAATTCATGTGGCTGCTAAAATCATTTGGTAAATGCGGAGGCAACTACAATTTCGCACTACAATTTTCAATTTTACATTTTATTTTTATATTAATGATAATTATAAGTACAATTAAATCTCAAGGTTACTGATAACATATTTTAAATTATCTAATTCGTTTTCTTTAAGATAATTAAATAATCCGTTACCATAAAGAATGAATCTTTCTACTCTAGCCAAACCAAAATCAATGAAATAACACCTTCCATTCCCGAATATAAAATTTGATTCTTTGATATCTTCATGGATTATATCCTTATTATGAATGAACTCCAATGATGTTGTGGCTAGCTCTATAGCTTTTGATTTTGATTCTACTCTCTCAGGTTTAATATATTCTTGTAGGATGAAAAAACCAATTTGAGGAGCTTTCCATTTGAGAAATCCATATTGGTACATTTGTGGTACATAATTTGTCTCACTCTCTGAATCAAATCCAAAAGATGAAACATTAACTTCATCGGGTCCATTCTCATTTAATATCTTATAGCAGAAAACTTCAGTAGCAAACATAATAAGACAGTTGGATAATCTTTGTAGAAAGCTTGCCCTTGTACTTTCACTGAATCTATTTGAGGCCAAAACTGGATTATAAACTTTAAGTAACATTTCCTTATTTTGAAGAACTCCAGGACCAACATAATCAACTAAATATACTTGAGAATTAAAATTTCCTCTATCATTAATGGATCCACCTTGGATCGGTCTAATATTGATAAAATCAGTTTCAATTAAACTACCAGTTCTATAATTCAAAAAAAGATACATATGAGTAGAAATCATCTCGAATTCTTAATTTGGTTTCACAATTAACAAATGAATCAACTTTATCATCCCATTCATATTTAGCTTCATTGCCTAATAACCAAACATGTTCAACTAATTCATACCTCTTTTCATCATCTTTAGCAATTTGTTCATCTGATTTCTTTATTCTTTTAGTTAATGTTTCCATTTGTTTTTGGATAAGATCATTTACATTAGTGAAATGATTATTCAAAATTATGGCTAATATCGCCGTCAAACTATTAGTTGAACCATGTTGATAACAAGCTATTTCGAATTCAATTGAATGACTAGTTTTATTTAAATTGACTTCATCTTTATGATGTTCCTTACAATTGGTATTTGAAATAACATTTGATATGAAGATTGTGAAATTAATTGGTTCAATATTATAGGATCATTTTGGTATGCATTGAATATTCCATCAATTTTGGTTATTATTGGAACATTACAGTGCACTCCATCATGTTTAACCAAATTAAAAATATAATTGGGAGTAGATTTACTAATATCTAGGTGGTTATTTTTAATTGAAAAGTTATTAAACTTGGTTTTAAATAATACTTTCAATGTACGAAAACATATTTCAGATACATTATTATTTATATCATCATGATTAAGGGTCCTTTCCAAATCTATACCTCTAATAGAAGTTTCATTGATTATATTTAATTCAAATGTTTTACTCAAAGATGATAATAAATTCATCTTTAATACATAGTTCTATAAAATAATATTCTTCTAAAATTGGAATATCAACTTCTTCATTATAAATGATATCTAAATTAGTTGTTTGATAAGGTAATGGAAATGGAACTGAAAAAGTTAATGTAAACAGCCACCAATTCATCATAAAAATACTTTCCCTTGGACAATCATAAATTTGATGAATAATCAACCTATAACAGCCTTCTAAATCATCTATAAATTCGTCTGACGATAGATAATATTTATCAAAATCTAAACAAGAAGGTTTAACTCTGGAAATTATATGAAATCTAGTTAAGATGAAATTTAATTTTAATTTATTTATGGAAAATGTTGAATCCTTGGGAAATGAATCATATCTTTGGTTCCATTCTGCTTCACAATTATCTTCATCTATAAATAAGTTGGGGGTTTGGTTATTTTTAATCTTATTGGAAAGTAAAACAAGAGAAGATTGGATAGCTTCTTTATCAATATAAGGTTCTATGTCGATCTTTGTCATTATGACTTGTGCTAAGGGTTTAGTTTTAGAATTTAAAGATGGCTGCTAATTTCTGTTTAAAAATGGGAAACTTTATAATTATTGTTTATGCACGACCTTTTCATATCACATGATCAGAAGTCACACTCTCAATTTCATATTTCCTAATTAAGAAATGATCGATCTTTTCTTTAATGGTCGTGTCCTTCGAGTCAAAACAACAACAAATCACAAAAAAAAAAGAAATAAAAATAAATAAAAATAAAAATATAATTACACAAATTGAAAAGGGGTGAAATTCTATATAGTTAACAATTGAGGAACTGAAATCAAAAAGGGAAAAAAAGAAAAAGAAATTTAAACATTACACAAAACTTCGATCAATTTTTGTTTTGCTTTTTAAGCTGTGTGTGCACTGTGTGGGCTGGGAGGAGGAGGATGTCATAGTTAAAGCAAAATTTTCATGTTAAACCACAGACTGAGATAGACGTACATAGATAGATAGATCCACCATAGTTAAGATATATATAATATTGAATTGGTCTTGTTATTAATTATTCCATTTTATTTATATCATCACATCAACAACTTCAACTGTCAACAACTTCTATTTATATCACTTCAATTCAATTAAGTTCAATTACATTACACTTCCTTCCATTCACTCGTTCATTCATTACCTTCTATACACACCACTTTATATTAAAAGTAAAAGTTTAAAATTGATCAATTAATAAACTATTTTTGGTGATTTTCTTATTTGTTATTTGTTTATTAAACAATACTTCATTAACTTACCTTACAACTACCCGTTTCTTTTTGTTTAAAAAGTTATAATTATCATTCATATTCATATATCAACTTCTATATATACTGATTATTACTTCATCATAACTAACCATGTTGGGAACTAATCATAAAAATACTTCTATGGATAGCTTATCAAGTTATACTGATAGTAATCCATCTTCACCTTCTCAACCCATCAGAAATCAACCTCAATCTAATATACCTCAAAAGTTAAGACCAGGAATCTATAATTCATCTCAAGTTAATCCAAACTCTTCATCCACCAATTTATTCAAATTAACTCCCTTATTAAATCATAATGATTCTTCATCATCTTTACCCATGTATAATCCTCATCCCAAAAATAGAATCAATTTAAATAATTATCATATAAGTTCAAATACTTCTTTAACTCATTTACCTTTAACTCCTCCATTATCAAAACCTTCATCTCCTATAAGACTCCAATCATCATCAACCACAAACACTTCTGCATCTTCAACAGCATCGGTAATTTATCATAAATTAATTAATAATTTACCTCCTATTGATATTAAAATCACCATCTTAAGTTCATTATGGTATTTAACTTCAATCATATCTTCAAATTCAACAAAATCAATCTTAACTCAATTCCAATATCCTATAACTTTAACCGAATTTCAATTTTCTTTAAATGCATTATTTTGTATTATCTTATTAGGATTATTAAATTTAAATCCATCCTTAATAAAAGTATTCCCCATTGGAACCATCCCTACTAATTTATCCATTCCTCAATTTTTAACTCCAACCGCTAAAATCATTTCAACCACTTTACCAATGGGGGGATTCCAATTCATTGGTCATTTAACCAGTCATAAAGCTACTTCATTAATCCCCGTTTCCTTAGTTCATACTATAAAATCTTTAAGTCCTTTGGTTACCGTATTCATTTATCGATTTTTATTTTCAGTCACATATAAATCGGTAACTTATATCACTTTAATTCCCTTAATTATTGGAATTATGTTAACTTGTTATAAACCAGCATCATCAACATCAACTCCATTTTATTTCACTGGTCTTTTATTTGCATTCATTTCCATGATGATTTTCGTATCGCAAAATATATTCGCAAAGAATAGATTAACTATAAAGGAAACTTCTGCTTTACCTAATTTTAAAGATAAACAATCTCAAGATATCCCTCAATTTCCAACCTCATCATCATCATCATCATCATCATCGCAAAAGTCAAGTTTCTTAAATAATATGTTTGTCGATAATTCCAATGATGATAAGAAATTAGATAAATTAACTATTTTATTCTATTGTTCATCAATTGGATTTTTATTAACATTACCAGTATATTTAATCTCAGAATTGATTAATAACGATAAGATTTCTTTATTCAATTTATCAAATTCGATCTTTATCCTCATAATAATCAATGGATTTGCTCATTTCTTACAATCATTATTAGCATTTCAAATCTTGGGAATGTTAAGTCCCGTGAATTATTCCATTGCCAGTATCTTAAAGAGAATTGTTATTATTTTAATCTCATTCATTTGGGAAAATAAAATTAATGCAAAGAAATTCTCAAGTTTACAACAATTTGGATTATTATTAACGTTATTTGGATTATATTGTTATGATCGTTGGGGAGTTTCATCTCATAATACTCATTAGAATAAAATAGATAAAAAGTAAATATAAATAAAATTTTTGATTTTTGATTTTTTGTATTGAATAAATGTAGAATTATATATATAAATAAGATAAAGGTTAAAAGTTTTTTAATGACCTGCACCATCAGCATTTAATAAACGTTTAAAAATATCACCAAAGGCAACCATAAAAACAGTTTGCCAAACTCCTAATCCAATTCTGGGTGTAACACCTCTATATAATCCTTTTATACCATTATTTTTATAAATATATGAAAAAGCAGATCCTACACTTAATTTCTTAGGTCTATTTGGATCATCAGTTTTAGATTGCATTTCAACTCTAATAACTTCAATAGGTTGATTCCATGCTGATAATCCACCTCCAATCATTGAACTAGCAATCTTTTCTAAAGCAGATAATTTCTCATTTTCACTTTTATTTCGAAGTTTACGAATTCCTTCTTCTGCTAATCTAGAAAGACCAAATCTTGAACCCCAATTGGTCATTTGTCTAATTGCAACAGCATTAACCCCCTTATTAATCCCTCTTATACCTTCTTTGGCATAAATGGCTTTAAATACTTGCCAACTGGTTTGTTGAGCAACACCAGCAGTAGCTTGTTTATGTCTGGTGATTTCAACTGTTTTCATACAAGTACAGAACCCCATAGTAAGATAAGCTTGAGCTAACCCACCTAAAACACCTCCACCCATTCCACTAACGAAATTTGATGCTCCTAAAGCTTTAAATTGATATTCCCCTTCATTAGAAACGAATAATAATACTGCCCCTTTAGTAGAAGCTTCAATCCAAGCCCATGGAATTAAACCTTGATAAAATCCAAAAACACCACCTCTGGACCAAACTAATTTAATCGCTTGTACCATTGAAATTGATCTATTGGCAGCCATGGTGGTTTTAGTGACTTCTAATGGTTGACCTAAAGTAGTAACTTCAGCCATATTTAATCCTGCTCCTAATAAAATATTAGAGAAATTAACTGGTTTCTTTTCAAGTTTATTATCTGACATTATGAATGATTAATGAATTGATTAGATGAATTGAAGGAATTAAATTAAATTGAATTGAATTAAATCAGATCTGATATGAAATTTTGATGAGATGCGTGTTATATAGATTAGAAAACGATGTCGAACTCTTTGACGAAGATGAATTGAAATTGATTGGTTGGAATTGATTGTTTGATCTGGTCTAATCAACTATACTCTAATCGAATCGAATTGAATTGAATTGAAGTCTAAATCTAATTGAATTGGAAAATTTTAGGACTATTAACTCTATATATAACTTTTGTTCTATTTTGTCGTTCTCTCTCTTTTTTTTAGGGAATCAAAACTTTAATTTATTTTTGTTTGGAGATGCTCGGTAAATTTAGGAATGGGGAATTTAACTTGGGTATATCAAATCAAATTGGGTGTAATTATAAAGAACAACAACTAATTATATTTAGTGTTGTGGAATCTATTCACGACGTACATACGGCTATATCTATTTCTAATTATTTCTATCTAATATGTGGTTCAGTTATTTACCATATTCATAGCTCATTAGTGTTTTCTACTGATAAGCAATTTTAATCAATTTTCAATTCGCAACTTTGTTTCCCGCAAAGAAATCTGTCCCTTCCTTTAATTACTATACTCCAATTACTTCAATTGTATAATCATAACTAATATAATTGAATCATTAACTAGAAGTCATATAACTGTAGAACCTACCCCCAAATCATATCCCATCTTCTTCCCCTCTCCCCTCTTTTTCATATACATAAAATAGAACCATAATAGAAGTCAAAATTCAATTTCTCGCTTCCGATTCAGGTAATACACAAAAATAGAACATTTTATCAATCAATTAATGCTGTGGGTTCATGTTTTTTTTGCAACATTTGATTCTGATTTGATTTACCATGACTCGGGAAAAGTCGTAACAAATGTGTTATGATAATGTGTCTATGTATTTGTTTGTTTGTTTGTGGATGTCAATTTTATAAGCCTTATTCGATTGACATATTTATAGAGCATACATAGTTACCGATGATAAGTAGTGAATTACATACTGTCATAAGCATATATAATTTACTTTATCGATTCATCACTAAGGGCAATGCACACATCATCTCAACGTATAAATTAATCTGTCAAATCTTATAGAGATTCATCTCATCTCATAACATAACATAGAATATATCATGCTAAAATCTATTAACATAGCCTTTTTCTAAACTACTACTACTAAAAATCAATCACGTGATCATCTTATTACCCTTTTAGGATTAATCGTCTTCAAATCGTGTATCATTCACTCACTCACATCAAAATATAGAAAAAGAAATATAAATGATGTGCTTCATTTAGATTATTCAGTCTAACAAATTCAATATCCAACTATTCATTAATCAAAATCATATCATATACACTACTACAACATGGGTATTAGAAACGTATTCAAGAAGAAAGAACCAACTGAAGAAGAATTAATCGAAGGATTAACTCAAGCTGGGATAGCCACCAAAAGTCGTAATCCAACTCAAGGTAGACAAGAGAAATTTGGTGCTTTTAAACAATATGCTCAATATAAATCAGAAAACCAACCTACTTTGAAGCCCACTGCGAATCCTTATGCCAATATGAATGGTGTAGGAGGTGGTAATGGGAATGGTATGGGAGGTCAACCTCAACTGAATCCTTATGGTGTTAATGGTGGGGGTGCCGCACCTAATAATAATAATAATGTAGGTGGTAATCCTTATGGTGGACCCAGATCATCAAATTCATCAAATAGTCCTTATGCATCAAATGGTAATAATAGTCCATATGCCTCAAGCAATAATAATAATAGTCCATATGCATCCAATAATAGTAATAGCAGTCCATATGGTTCAAATAATAGCAGTAGTCCATATACATCTAATAATAGTAACAACAGTCCTTACACATCATCTAATATCACCAATCCATCATCATCAATTAATAATAATCCAAGTCCATATAATAGAACATCAGCAATTAATTCCAGAACTTCAACCCGACAACCAGCCCGTTCAACTCAACCAAGACAAAGTGGTAGTAATGATGTTGAATCGACATTAGATTTGAATGATATTCCCAGTATTAATATGTATGGGAGTAATAAAGCACCATTGGCTAAACGTCCGGTTAAGAGTGAAGCTGATGATTTAGATTTGAATGAAGAACCTGGATTAGAAGGTGATTATGAGGATGATGATCTTTATATTCCTGAAGAAGAACAAATCAATAGTGAAGATGAAGAAGTTGAGAATATTAAACAAGAGATTCGATTCACTAAACAAGAATCAGTTCAAAGTACTCGAAACACATTAAGAATGGCTCAAGAAGCAGATACTTCAGCTACTAATACGTTAGGAATGTTAGGATCTCAATCTGAACGATTATATAATGCTGAACAAAATTTAATGTTGATTGATACTCAGAATCAAATTTCAGGAGGGAAAGTACGTGAGATTGAACGATTAAATCGATCAATTTTCATTCCTGCTTATGGGAACCCTTTCAATAAAAAGGCGAGATTAAGACAACAAGAAGAAAAAATTAAATTAGATAAAGAGAAGGAACATTATTTACGTGAACAAGCTCGAAAAGGAATGTATGAAAGTGAACAACGATTAAAACTGGGTATTAATGAGAAATCTGAATTATATCAAAGTTATAAAGGAGAAAAAGCGTTAAAGGATGCTTCTAAACGATATCAATTTGAAAATGATAGTGAAGATGATGAATTAGAAATTGAATTAGATAATAATTTAAGTCAAATTGAACAATATAGTAAATTAATGAGAAGTAAAGCAATAAAGATGGGAGATGAAGTTGATAAACAAAATGCTAGATTGAAACAAATTGAAGAGGATGTTGATAAAGCCGATATTGATGTTCATTTGAATACAGCTAGAATTTCCAACATTCATTAGGGTTAATTAATAGTTATTAATATAATATAAGTTTTAATGTAATTTCCTAATAGGGTAATATTGTCATGTGACCATTTATCATGTGATCGGTTTAAAATTAAAAATTTATTTTTTTAAAAAGGGCTGTGTCGTTCCTAAAATCGGTAAAGTAATATTAAATTCCAGGAAGTGGAAGCGATCAATACGATAAACAAAGGAGGTATAAGAGAAAAGATATATACCTCGGTAAGATTATAGGATAAACTTGGTTGATCCAGACATACAAACCCCATTAGTCACTATGTATATAATATAGAGTAAGCATAGGGTATGACTAGACTAGACCAAATGAATAATTAATAAGTATAAGTAGTATAAGTAACAAGTAAAAGGAAAGACCTAAGACTATAAATAAAGAAAGAAAACAAAATTGTCTGATAAAATAGATGAGTTTAGACCAATTGAAATCAGTAGTAACAACGGAATAAGTCTTATGTAATGTGTTATACGACCTATATATGAAGAGATCTCATCATTATAATGAAGTCTAAATCAGGTAATTGTTGTTTCCTAATTTACCCAAAAATACCACAAACCAGAAAAAAAAAAAACGTTGGACAAAAGGATTTGAAAAGACTAAGAAATATTACATAGGGGGAAATGATGGAAATGGAAAGGAATGGAATGGAAAGGCTTTATTAATCGACTCACAAATGGGTAGAGTTATAAGAACAGTACGATATGAACAAACGATGTAGTACGTTATGAGTTAGTAGACCATTAGACTATTTAGTTGTTAAGTAGTATATAGTAAGTTAATAAAGTTTTAAGGCATTCCGATGAGAGAGACAGTGATAAATTAAACCATATTAGTTTTATCAAATAGATAACCTCAAACTCAAACTCAAACTCAAACTCAAACTCAAAAAAAAAATTAATTTAATTTTGTTCAAAAAAAGAAATAAAAAAAATTTTTCAAATCCCTTTTTCCATTTTCCATTTTCCATTTAACTCTGATTGAAACTGAAGTTAACTGGAGATATAGTACGTACTAACTAAATAGGGCAAATCAACTGAGGTTCAATTTAAATTATCTCTTCTCTCTTTATTTATTTATTTATTTATTTCTTATCCCTTGATTTTAATTTTATTTATAACTTCTTCTTCTTCTCTTCTACTCTCTTTATTAGAACAGATTGATCCTTTCGTTTGGTACTTCTATCAAATTCAATTCATCACTTCACTCCCTCACCTCACTCACCCTTACCATCCTTCTTTTTTTTTTTACAACCATTTCTTAACCTCACACGTTTGTTGTAAATCTTATTGTTGTATCTCTAAACCATTCCCATAGCATACTTCAATCCTTCCTTCCTATCCTATCTCATCTCATCACATCTCAATAGTATTCACCTGAGTCAAATCATATACATTGTTCATTTATTTTCCTTATCTGTTCACTGTCTGTCTGTCTGTCTCACTACTACTATTTATTAAACATCTTTAGATTATAGATTATAGCACTTTTGTTGATTTTTATTTACTTTGTTACTTTCTCCTTTCAAATTTATTCAATTCAATTTTAATTCAAATTTATTCCCTTAATTCAATTAATTTAACTAATCAGTCATGTCAAGTCAAACTACTTCATCTGGTTCTTCCACTGGATTTTCATCCTCAAATTCTCAATCAGTTCAAAAATCAGGTAATGTCGCTTCTTTCACCAATAAAGGTAATCAATCTGGTTTAACTGCCATCGATACTTATGGTAATGAATTCAAAGTCCCAGATTATTCCATTAAAGATATCTTAAAAGCCATCCCCCCTCATTGTTATGAAAGAAGATTAATTGAATCGTTTTATTACGTTTTCAGAGATATCTTTTGTATGGTTAGTCTTGGTTATGTTGCCAATACTTTTATTCCAATCATTTCAACCAACAATTATGTTAAATTCGCTCTTTGGGCTGGTTATGTTTGGATGCAAGGTCTTTTAGGTACTGGTATTTGGGTTTTAGCTCATGAATGTGGTCATCAAGCTTTTAGTGATTATGGTTGGGTTAATGATACTGTTGGATGGGTTTTACATTCTTATTTATTAGTACCATATTTCTCTTGGAAATATTCTCATTCAAAACATCATAAAGCTACTGGTCATTTAACTAGAGATATGGTTTTCGTTCCAAGAACTAAAGATCAATTCTTAAATGATAATCATGTTCATGATTTAGAAGATTTAATGGCTGATTCTCCCCTCTTTACTTTAAAGAATTTATTAGTTCAACAATTTGGTGGTTGGTTAGCTTATTTAGCTACTAATGTTACTGGTCAAGAATTCCCTGGTGTTTCTCAATTTAATACTAATCATTTTAATCCAAATTCTCTTCTTTTCGATAAAAAAGATTATTGGTTTATTGTTTTATCTGATATTGGAATTTTAATTCAATCTTTTATCCTTTATACTTGGTATCAAAAATTTGGTGGTTTTAATATCTTAGTCAATTATTTCTTACCTTACATTTTAGTTAATCATTGGTTAGTTTTCATTACTTTCTTACAACATTCTGATCCATCCATGCCTCATTATGAAGCTTTCCAATGGAATTTCGCTAGAGGTGCTGCTGCTACTATTGATCGTGAATTTGGTTTTGTGGGTCAATATATTTTCCATGATATTATTGAAACTCATGTTTTACATCATTATGTATCAAGAATTCCATTTTATAATGCAAGAGAAGCAAGTGAAGCCATTAAGAAAGTTATGGGTATTCATTATAAACATACTGATGAAAATATGTGGGTTTCTCTTTGGAAATCAGGTAGATGGTGTCAATATGTTGATGGTGATAATGGTGTTTTAATGTATAGAAATGTTAATGGATTCGGAGTTGATCCAATCAAAGAACAAAAACAAAAACAATCAAAGTAAATTCATTTTTACTATATTAATCCTTTATTACCTTTAAATTTTTTTATATATATTTTTAATGCTTTGTTTTTATTTAGACAACTAGTTTGCTTTTATATTATGCTATTTATCTAGTTTTAGTTTAGTCCATTCATATATACATAAACCTTTTAACATCATTACTTGTATTATTTCATACAAATGGTATACCTGATCTAATCACCCGATCTTTATAATTAATATAATTCAATTTATAAAATTTAATTAAATAAACTTCTTCAAATTGAATTCGTTGTTTAAAAAAACTCCATAATTTAATCATCCCTCCCATAAGAACGATATAATTCCCCAACATCAATTGTAAACCGACAAACCACCAAAAGAACCCGCCATATGATGGATGACGGACAATGGAATAGATCCCCCTTGTGACTAATACTTGACGATGAGATTCTTTTCGTTGAATGTAATGATTGAATGATTCTTGAGCAGTATACATGGCCAACCATCGAATGTATTGACCTCCGAATGCAATAATAAGTCCGAGGATGAATGTAATGTATGACGAATGAATGACGGGGAAGAAATATTGCATTGAACTATATTCAAAAAGGGATAAGATTATAACGATATACATATCACTATCTTCTAAAATGAATGAATCATCATCAACTTGACTATTATTGAATAAAACCGTACTGATGAATTCTAAACTATGAAACACACATAAGGCTAGGAAATAAACATTGATTCGAAAGTAGATCATCCGAGTATTAATGATCATAATGATGATATTGATGGTGAAGAAAATACCTAATAATAATGATTTAATCATTACCGTAAGTAAATTCACTCTGGAAGGATCATATTGAGCATATCGATTGAGATTAGTAACTATGTGATGATCTAATGGTGGTTCTGACCTAGCTCGTAGTACTTCTTCCACATCAATGTTCATGGTGTAGGTGTGTATCTCAAGTTGTTTAGATTATGATACGTACTGCTGTCTTGTATCATTTTTAGCAGCATTGATAATTTTTTTTTCAAGCCTCTCACAATTTTTGATCTATATATGTGGTTTAACATACTGAATGTGGGGATTACAAATTAATCAGACTATGACGAATTCAATATGATAACAACCTTATCTTACGATCCAAGTAAGAACTCATTGATTGAATTATTCCTAGTGTCATTCACATTGGGTGCTGGTTCAACCTTATTACTTATAAGTTCATTCCTATATCCAAGATACTTTCCATTAATAACATATTTGCTTCTGTTGATCATATATTTCATATTGGAATACGTTAATACTTATCTTTATCAATCACGAAACCAAATCTCATCAAGGTCGTTTCTTATCTATGGGAATAGAGGAAATTTTGAATTCTGGTGTTGTCAATTACTTACCATTCTTGAATTCATCATCAATTTAAAGAAAGTCAAAATAGGATTGATATTATCATGGTGGGTGATACTTCCCGTTAAGGTGATTGGAATGATGATGATTATTAGTGGATTATTCATACGATCTTTATCTATGAAGACTTGTGGTGAATCATTCTCTCATCTTATAAACACTGATAGTACAAACACTAATAATCAAAAGTTAATCACTCATGGGATTTATGGATACTTTCGTCATCCCAGTTATTTTGGATTTTGGTGTTTATCAATTGGAATACAATTATGGTTAATAAATCCAATAAATCTCCTTCTATCATTATTCATCCTACAATATTTCTTTACAATTCGTATACAAGTTGAAGAATATTTCTTAATTCATAATATTTTTGGGATGGATTATATAAATTATAAAAATAAAGTTAAACTTTGGATTCCATTTGTTAAAGATCCTTTAATTCAATTATAAATTCTTATTCATAAACTTCTTCTTGGTGAATGCTAACCAATGTTTACTTGGGATATTTTCATCATCTTTATAGATTCTAGTTAATAATCGATCAGCTAATTCTTGTCTAAATTGTTGTAAATAAGATCTTAATAAATCACTTTCACTTTTATTGGCTGGTCCTTGATATAATGAATTTAATGGGAATCCAATATCCCCAGGTAAACTAAAACTTTCTAACGATAAATTATTTAAAATTCTAACTGCTTCTTTATAATTGGTAGTTTTAGTTAATTTATTTAAACAATCACTTATAAATAATATTCCATAAATTAATAAACGATCAGAACTACTTTTAATTTCAAAGTTTTTAAAAAATGAATTGGCTCGGAATAAATCAAGAGTTTCTTCAATTATATCATATTCTTGATTTGGGGGATAAGCCGGACCTCTGAATTTAGTATGAATTGGTAATAATATTAAATTTCCAATCACTCTACTATCAGCTGCTTCATCACTTATAAATGTGGAGTTATATGCTGGCATGGTATATGGTATTTAGTATGATTGGAGATGGTGGAATGGTAAGTATAAAGGTATGTATGATCCAATTGATTGATGTGATTTAAGTTTGAATGGATCCAATGTTCTATAGTGTTGCCAAAAGTGTAGTTTACGGTAACAGGTTCTTTACTTCACTTTGGTCGTTCAAAATTAAAGGAGACCGAAATGTCGTATTCACGTGATTTGATGTCGTGGAGTTTAGTATAGCCCCTGTTGAAAGTTACGACATTACAACCTGTTCATAGTAAAAGTTACAGTAACCAATGTAGACCAAGAAGAAGTGCAAGTGCAAGAGATATTCCATAAAGGAAAGTAGAAGATCCACACAATATATATTATGTAAATCGTATGAAGAATATGATCCTACTAACTGGTTTGGTTCATAGCAGTATTACAGTTGTTTATATCAATTTTATACAGTAGTGTCTTCTAAGCACGTAATAAATCGACCAAGACACATTATATCTACTTATTCACAACTTGAAGGAGCATAACCTGTTATATACTTAACCACCCTTTTACCATTACCATTTACTACTACTATGTTGTCATAGTAATAAACTCATACTTTAAACTGTATATAAGTTTTTTGTAATCACATTGCCTAATTAGGAAATATGTAAACAAGCAACAACAACAGCCGCCGTCTAAAGAAAGAAAAAAAGATGAAGACTTTTTTGGGGCCAAAATAGGAAGTTTAATTACATTTTAATTTAAACAATATTCAATTTAAAGTGAAATTTCCATTTGTGGATGAATGAATGAATGGAAGTGTGATCTCATCATCAATGTTGAACCGATAATTAATAAGTTAAATCAATAAGTTTTAAAGTTTTCTGTCCATTGATTTTGACGACGACCAACTCATTTTATAATTGCAACTATCAACTTCACAACCCTTTAATCTGTTACCACCATCATCATCACCAATTCAGATCATCTCTTGATCAAATTCAAGTTCATTTCAATTCATTTCATAGACTTCTTCTTCATCGCATACTCACTCCTCAAAATTTTATGAATCAATCTAATGTCATCCTTATTCTTTGAATCTCCCACTTCAAAGAAAATTACTTCCATACCTGAACACCAATCTGATGATCATGAAAATGATATACTCCCTTTGAATCTAGATATTCTAAAGAATACTAATGGGAAAAAGAGAACTCACATTGATAATAACTCAAATCATAACCCCATAGTTGATCATCTTAGTTTACCTCCAACCTTATCACCAAGTAAAAGATTATATTTACATAGTATGAGTCCAAATGTATCTAATAAACATATTTATTTACAACCTTCCAAAACTTCAAGTTCAAAATCAAAAATTGGATCCATATCAAGCCCTAAAAGAGTTAGTTCAAATGGAAGTTCATTTGGAGTATCTACATCTGCATCTACATCCTCAGCATCATCAAATAATAATTTAGCATCATCAAATCATGTACCGGTAGCAATAAATACAGGTTCTTCAAGTTCATCAACTAGTACATCAACTACTTCTACCGCCCCTAAATCAAGATTTATAAGACCACCATTATTAAAACCACTTTCATTACCAAATCCAAGATCGCAATCTTCAATGTCATTATCAAGAAATTCCCTCTCTCCAACTAGAAAATTAAGAAGAACTAATTCATTAATAAGTCAAGGTGGTTCTTCATCATTATCTGATAATCAACAACAATCAGCTACAACTTCATCTGATAGATTTATTCCTTCTCGTCATAATTCAACTACAGGTAAATTACAATCAACCATCACAAATTTAAATCCAAATTCTTCACCACAAAGTCATATTAAAGCTCAAACTTCAAAGATTTATCAACATCATGTAGCTGAAGCTTGTGGAATTGAAATGAATTCAAGAATTTTAATGTATCAACCATTACCTCCTGAAAGAAAAAAACCAATTAATCTATTTAATCATATTTCGGGTAATAATTCAAATTTAAAATCTAAATTATTAACTAATAAATCAACTTTAAGACCTGCTATTGCATCAGCAAGAGCTAAAAAGATTCCTACTGCTCCTGAAAGAGTCCTTGATGCTCCTGGTTTTGTGGATGATTTCTATTTAAATCTTTTAGCATGGTCTCTGACTAATTTATTAGCTATTGGATTAGAAGATGCTGTTTATGTATGGAATGCTTCAACTGGTTCAGTAGGGATTTTATGTGAATTACCTGATAAATGTATGGTTACTTCTTTAAGATGGTCAGATGATGGATCTTATATCTCAATTGGTAAAGAAGATGGTTTAATTGAAATTTGGGATATTGAATCAAATACAAAATTAAGAACTTTAAATTGTGATAATCATCAAACAAGAATTGCTTCTCAATGTTGGAATAATCATATGTTAACTTCTGGTTCAAGAATTGGAAATATTTATCATTCAGATGTAAGGTTACCTCAACAAATAACTAGTAAATCTGAAAATGTTCATACTGCTGAAATTTGTGGTTTAGAATATAGATCAGATGGTATCCAATTTGCAAGTGGTGGAAATGATAATTTAGTTAGTATTTGGGATGTTAGACAAAGTCATTCTTCTACAAGTGGTCAACCTTTATTCACTAAAACAAATCATAAAGCTGCTGTTAAAGCATTATCTTGGTGTCCTTATCAACCTTCGTTATTAGCAACTGGAGGTGGATCATCTGATAAAACCATTAATTTCTGGAACACAACTACTGGTGCAAGAGTTAATACTATTGAAACTGGTTCACAAATAAGTTCATTAAATTGGGGTTATGCCAATGGAATTGGATTAGAAATAGTTGCTACTCATGGATTCCCTACTAATAATATTTCCCTTTATAATTATCCAACTTTACAAAAAACAGGTGAAATTATTGGAGCTCATGATTCAAGAATCTTAAATGGTTGTTTAAGTCCTGATAATTTAACTTTGGCAACTGTGGCAGGTGATGAAAATTTAAAATTTTGGTCATTGTTCGATATAGTTAAACATAGAACTTTAGGTTCAAATGATGGTAGAATTAATGATAATTATGATAATGAAGAAAGTGATTTAATTGGAAATGATGATACTAAGACCATCAGGAAAATGATGAGTTTCCGTTAATCAAAAAAACAAACATAGAGATAGAATACATACCGATTTCACTTCTTCTTAATTCTTATATCAATTTCATTGTCATCTTTTTTTTCAATTCCTCCAATCATACCACTGATTTTTAAATAAACCTCACCATTAGATATATCTCTATAGACTTTCAATAAAAATACAATAATAATTCTTAATATAATTCATTTCATATATTCAAGTAGTTAAACAAGCAGGTTTAAAATCTTTTTTTTTGATTTCATTAATAGGACCTTCTATTATTGTTTGTCTTAGCCCGTGGTGGACCTCTTGGAGAACGTTGTTGCTGATAGTTTGGACTGAGGCGGCTTGGTTGTGGAACGGGGCGACTTGATTGTGGTCTAGTTGAACTCAGACCGATTTGTTCCTCTAAATCAATATTATTGGTCCTTTCTTTCTCCGAAAAATGAAACAAATACAAATAAAGGATAAGCAAAACAATGAAAACTAATATAATAGTTCCAGTTAGGGATCCAAAAATAATACCAAATGTTTTCAATCTATGTTCAAGGGCTATGGTAGCATTAGTATTGTTTTTGGGCTCGGCGTATATATAGTTGATTATAACTGGTGGTGGACTCTGACTTTCTTTCCAAGCTTTCCATTTCTTCCATGAAGTCCATCCATCAACCCATGGATCATACATCCAAGTTTCATCTTCGGATAGACCACTATCAGTGCTATATTCATCATCTGAATATAGGTTCAGCGGAGAATGCAACATTGTTGAATATTCGATGATAATGGAAATAGAAATGTAAATATGATTTTAATTAATTTAACAAAAAGTAGATAGTTATATATTTCAATTTACAATTTTATCTTATATACTCTGAAACATACTTTGTTACATATATTCGTTTATCTCACGTCAGCTTTTTTGCAGTCATTCTTTCCTTTAATTTGTTTTATACCTTCTGAAAAACATTGCGCATCATAAAATTTGATTCATTATTTTATCGGTCTTCATTCCTTAATGGGGTCATAATCCCACCCAAGCGGTTCAAATTCCATATTAGATTCTATTATAAGCTGGAAGTGGTCCTTCCTGAGTCTGATAACTTGGCAATGAACTCATTTCAAATTGTTGTTCTATATCATTTGCCCTTTGTATTCTTTTAATCCTGGCCCTTTCCTTTCTCTTTGCCATATACTTCTTAAATCTATTTTTCACTTCTTTAAAACATTCATGCATTAGTAGAACAATGAAAAAAAGTAATATAACATCAAGGATCCCACCAAAAACTCCACCAGCAATAGCTCCTGCTTCTTTTCCATTGTAAGTACTGTTGGCTGGAAGTGTGACATTTACTATTGGTCTAAACTCTTGAGTTTCTTTCCAATTTTTCCATTTTTTCCATGAATTCCATCCATCAATCCAAGGATCATATTTCCATCTATCATCCTCTTCATCGTCCGGAAGAAGAACTTTACCACCTTTTATCATTATTAAATATGATATTAAATGATATATATTGCAATAGTTGAATTATTAAACAAAAAACAATCGAAGAAATTATTGATTTGTGTATTTATTATATATTCCATAGTTCAAATTTACTCATATAAAGTCCAGTTATTTATCTCACAGTTGGATTTTTGCAGTCATTATTTCCCTTGTTGTTATTGTTGTACTTTCTATAAATATTGTGAAAATCAATGCTCGGTTTTTATACCATAAATGGTTATTTCTTTATGAGCTGTTTAGTTATCTACGTCATTAATTTTTAAAAGTCTCTTCAAAGTTCTGACAAACTAAGCCTTCATTTATCCAAGCAGCTTATTCACTATTATATAACTGTTCTAATATGTTTGCTGATAATAAATAACTATCGAATCATGGTAAAAGAAAAAATCTTATATTAGCTATATATTTATTAATTAAAATACTGCGTAGCCCCAGTGATTTATTTTTTTTGCAATCATTGTTTCCTTTATTTTCGCTATACTTTCTCCCTGAGAAAAGTGTTTCACACAATACGGAATTGTTCAAGTTTTGCAATAAACTGGAAGTGGGACTTCAGGAGATGGCACTTCATGAGCATGGTATTGTGGAGTATATAAAGGAAGTATACTTGGATTCAGATTATTTGAATGTTGTAACTCTATATCGTTGTTTGTTTCACGAGTCTGCTTCTTCTTGTTTCTGCAACAAGAATAAATAGCAAATATTACTAGAAGTAAAAGAATGAAACCTATAATACTTCCAAAAACGATACCAAATATTTGTGCGGGTGTCAAAGTATTGCTGACATGATTGGGAGCCTTCGTTGTTGGTATTGTGAAGTTGGAAGCACTAATAGTAGGCATTACTGGGACTTTGTTTCCTTTAGTAATTTCTGTAACAGAATTGGTTTGTTCCACTGTGCTCCCATCTGGTAGACTACTATGTGTTGTATGTTGAACAGTGGAAGTATTCTGTTCCCATGAACCAGAATTTGGTTTGTGACGTTGATGGTGATCAACTATACCATGTAATAAGTAAAGTCCAGCCATTCCGGCTACAAGGTGACCTAGCATTCTTGAATGGATAAAAGTATATGACCTTGTGAAAAGAAAAAAAGCAGAAGTAATTTTATTGCTAAAAATATAATGGCTTTTATAAAAGAAATTATTTGAATAAACATTTCTTTTGCCATTGATATTTGGTTTATTCGGAGAAGGTCTAACTTTTTATGATTTCGTAGTCTTTCCTTCCTTTTTTTATTTATACTTACTTGCCGCAAAAACAAGACAAAATAATTTAGTTTTAATTAGAAATTGTACGAATCACTGCATACAGTTGTATGACGATTGGGATTAGTGGTTTAATAGTTATATATTTGAAAAGCTATACTGAAACATCGTATCTCGTAAAGTAATAGTATCGCTGCAGAAAAGGCATTCCTGTTGTCTCTTTTTTTGTGGTATTTTATAATATAATTAAAATGGTATAGCAACATTGAAAGTCAACGGGTATAAGCTGGAGGAGGTTCTTCTGGTGGGTTGAAATTGAATTGATTGGCATTATGGAGAGCAATATCATTTGCAACCGGTGCAGGTGTAATGGTAGGGTATTGTACGATAGCAGGCAGCTGAACTCTAGTTGTTGAATTACTATCGTTTATTGGACGGAGGGTTCCAACAACTATTGGAGATGTTCGATGTATAACAGTTGAATTATTATTTACTGTCTTAGTTGAATGTTTGCATCTTCTTTTGAAGCACATTCTTATGATAGTAAATAAAATAGTACTGACGATACTGATTATAATATAAACCGCTGAAGAAGTGGAGGTACTTCTTTTTGATATGGAAACCAATTGTTCATCAGTTGGGATATACATTGTTATAATTGATGGTTAAACTAATTAGATCAATGGTGAACTGTAATCATGTTTACAAGATAAATTGTGTCTTTATATAGAGAAACGATTGAACTGAATCAAAGGATTGCAAAAACGAGAACGCGGTATAAAGCGGTTAATAGTTATTTAAGGTTAAGGGGATGAACTGAGTCATTCAAGAGTATAGGTTTACTAATAGATTGTATAATTTCCAATTAAATGGTATGATATTTTTTATTTAAAAACTCCATATGGAGGTTAATCTAAAAAGATTATCTCCATAGACAGAGTAGATAAGTGTTGCTCTTGATATTTATGTTTTTGATGTCGGTAAAGAGAGAACGGTCAGCTATTTTTTTCTCTTTTGCGGCTAAATAAATCCATCCTTCGAAAGCCGTTTGATTTTAAGATTGATATGCGAACTTTATCTGTAGATGACCTAAATATGGTTTTATAGATATATTTATTAGATTGATATTCGCTAAAGGGAGTTCGGATCGAAGCTTATTATCCTCTAATGGAAATTGTCTACGTTATCTCTCTTTGTTCCATCCCCGTTCAACGTTTTATTTATGACATCATTAATAATTAAACATTATATTTCAATTATGAATATCAGTGTTCTAGTAACGATATATCCTTCTGTAAACGGTCTTAGGGTTTTACAATCTACTTTTAAATGATTCTTAAGGGTTTATGCTTGTAGTTCGTTTACATAAGGACCGCGGAACAAGTCAATCATTATCTTCAAGCCTTTTTAAATAAATGCTGAGTTATTTCTTTTCAATTATTACAATTGGTTCTCTATTCGGGTAAATATTGATATATTACTAATACTCTATTACATTATGATATTTAATTTTACATAATCATGATCTGGTATAATAAACAACTTACCTATGACAAAATCATAATCCCCCTTAATATTTTTGAGTGATCTTTAATTTAATCACTTAACAAAACTGCGTAAAAAATAATTTGTCCTTACATTATTGGAATCCAAATTTCATTGGCATTACTCTATTATGGCCTATATGTAGGTGGGGGAGAAACTGGCTGAGCTCGGTTGGATTGTTGGTTGGAGCTGGAGTTTGTATTTCTGGCATTATTGTTGTTATTGGCTCTGTTATTTGCATTTCTATTTCCATTATTATTGTTTCGATTTTCATCAACAGCATTATTTATATCGTCATCCGTAAAACAAACACCATGAACACAACAACTAAGAATCAAGTAACTAACAGCAACAAGAACAACTATGGTAATCCAACTAACACCACCACCACCTTGTCTTTTAGCTAGTTCAATAAGTTTTTCTTTAGGGATATACATTATGATAGCTGAAGAATGATTAGATAAATAAAAAGAAAAAAATATAAACAAAGTTAACAATAAAACACTTTAATAACATCTACTTGCACTGGTAAACTGTTATGCTTCCATGGAAATCCTGATCTTTACTTACTACTCTAATAATCTTATATTTTTGCTGCTAAATTTATTCTGCTTATGCTCGCTTCTACACAAAATCAGGAAGTTCCAAGGAAATGTCACATAATTTACAATTGGAATGGGTACATATCTTTTTTGCAATATTAAATAGGAGTGTCTTTCTTTCTATCTTTATTTGATGTATCAAATGGCTCTAAATTTGAATTTCTGATTCCTTCTGATATATATGTACATATTTCACAATTCAACAATTTGTACTTGTAAAATTTTTATCGCTAAAATAATTGTCCTCGCTTCTACGTCATAAGAAAATAAAATGAAATGACATATAATTATGTGGGGCATGTGGGCATATATACTAGTACAATATTAAAAGGGAGGAACCTTCTATTCTATCTAATCTATCAACTTGATCTAAATTTCATTGATTTTATAATACTGTTTGTTACATTGAGTGGCAGATTAAACGACTAGGTTGCATTTCGTTGATAAGCCGGAGGTGGTTCATCTGGTGGACTAAAGATAAATTGAGGAGTAACGGCTATGGGAATTGTAGTTTGAATAGGAATTGTAGGAGGTAGTGTAGTTTCAATGGGATTTGGAGGAAGTACTGGAGCAATTGCATTTAAAAATATTGGGGGAGGTCTTCTATTTCTTTGATCGATACGGTTTGCAATATTTGATGGAGCTTGTTTAATATATGACCGATGGGCCTTACTCTTCATGCTAACTATAACACATCCAATGAATACAATTGCAGCAACACCAAGTATCACCGGGATAAGAAATGTTGCAAACCCTCTTTTGGATATGTGAACAACTTGATCTTTAGGAATATACATAGCTTGTGGTAAGAGAATGACTATAAGATAAAATTGAAAAGTTTAACAATTTTTACATAACTTTATATAATTAATTGATCCTATAAGCGTGCCTTTAGAATATAGGGCAGTTGTCAACTTAATCTTCTCAATAAAATTGAATGCCAAGAAAGTTGGACTATTTTTTAATACGAATTACAATGTGAGGCTGTATATTTTTAAGGATTTAAATGATTCGCTTTTTTTTGTTTTTGTGTTGCAACTCGTATACATGATTATTATAGCCTGGAGTAAACTGCGTGTGACAGTCGTAAATCATGACGGGAAGTCAATTATGAGGTCGATAGATATGTTGGAACGATAATGAATTAATTTGATCATTTGAATTATAGCTGAACTGTTTGTTGTAGACTCGAGACTCTGTTGATTGACAGTCAAAGCTTTTTATTCAACAGACACTGAGATCATTCATTTTGATTTTATTGACAAATAGGTGTCAAATTTAGGGCACTGTAAGCATGTCAGTAGAAATTTAATAAATGATTGCTAGAACTGGCTTGTTTACCAATATATTCGACATTCAAAGTGATGTCCTTCAATTGTAGTCAACTGTTAATCTTTTCTGAATGACATATCAATAATTGAGAAAGCATGTTTCCTCTTCAGATGTGTCTACGTCCCTCTAATCGTCAAAATTTACTCTTAAAATAATTGCGCGTCCCTACGTCAAATAAAAAAATAGAATGTTTTGGGGAAAATGACATATAATTTACTATTGAATGGGAGCATATATACTATTACACTATTAAATGTGAGTAATTTTATTTTTATCTTTATCTTTACGTTAACTAAACATGATTTTGAATTTTATTGAATGTAACATTAAATGAGGGATTAAACACATCCTCTATTTCTATTCATTGGGCCTTTGATAAGCTGGAGGTGGTTCATTGGGTGGACTAAAAGCAAATTGAGGAGTACCGTCAACAGGGTTCGTAGCATCAATAGGATTTGTTGAATTTGCTGGAATTGATTCTGAGGGATATACTGGGAGTGGTACATCACCATTTGCTTCATCAATATCATCAAATGGTGGTGGTTTAAGACCTCTCCGTTTTGGTAAATGAAAAGCGTTGTATACAACACATCCAGTGAATATTGCTACTCCAATAACAAGTACTACCGGAATAACGACTTTGGCTACTGATCTTTTGGATATGTTAACAATTTGGTCTCTAGGAATATACATTTTTGATGTTGAGAGAAGAAATATATCATAAAAATTTGGAATAACTGATCATCTTTATATAAATTCATATAATTAAGCTGATTCTATGAATAAGGCTTAAAGAGATAAGCTATTCAAGCTTTGAAAGGAATTTGTATATCCAAGGAGTATTCTAACACACGCGAGGCTCTGATTTTTAAACAGATTTTAAATGATCCACTCTTATGTAATTCGTATTTCAGTGGGGAAATACTAACAAAATCAAATTATGACTTGTGACAATTTCTCCTTATAAACGACGGGAAGATAGATTATACCACCGACAATAGATATTGTCGGACCGACCGCTAATAGATGACACTTTATTTAGTTAAATCAGACAGCCGCATGGATCATATATCGAGAAATAAGTGACATCTTTTGCATATCTTAAATGAGGCGTTGACGCATTTTTAACCTTCGATTTTTACTGGCTTAATCGATAGATTTGAGACATTTAATGTAATTTTGATTTCAAAATTTTGAGCATTATCATATTTCCTCTGTTTAGAATCTATTTCTAATTTTGTAACTGTATGAAGTGATAACATTGGTACCTTTTCTTTTGCTTTACTGTTTAATGTATGAAATTGATATAAAAGCAGATATTAAATCAATACCCAAGAATGCGCTTCTAGAGCCTTTTGAGATGTACATATTTTACTGATGAGAGAATATCTACAAGACAAATTTCAATGCATTTAAGAACTTTGATAACCTTTTTATATGTAATATATTGGTTCTGATCATGAAAAGATTAATTATAAATTTAGGTCAGGAATATCTAGATTCAAAGTAGTATTGGGTTGCGAAGAAATGTTGTCACTAAAAATAAATGAATTAATTTAGACAATTATTATTCGTCAATTGATGTCTATTAATAGATTCGCTCGATTTAACCCTCTAGTTCAATATTTGATCAGTATTAACATGATTAGTTGTAGAGTTAAAATAATAAATACATAAAATTGATAGTCTACTTTGTAATTTTCTTCATTAATGTAATCAATATATAAATCAAATATCTGAATTATATTATCTTAATAACCCAGATGTTTATAAACTGGAGGTGGTGAACTAGGAGCATAAGACATATATTGAGCCTGGACTTCTCCGGAACCATTTGTGGTTGTTGTACTTGTGCTTGTACTTGTATTTGGGCTGGAACCATTTACAATTGTAGTAGTGGTTACTGTGGTGGTAGTGGTGGTAGTATTTCCAGTTTGTTCTTCAGTTTGTTCTTCGGTTTTGTGAGAACTAATTATACAAATGATGATAATTACAAATAATATTGGAATAAATAATAACCACGATTCTGAACTATCTTCACGTTTTGCTATATGGATAATATCATCTTTGGAAATATACATTTTATATGCTTTCGGTGACAACTATTATTTAATTTGAAGCTTATCAATGCCAGTGATTAAACCTTTACTATAATTAGAAATGAATTATAATGATATTTTGCTAGTAGTTGGACCTATTGTGTCAACTCGACTTGCTTTTGCTGCTAAAATTAATACTAGTTGCAACTTACTTCTTATAGTCTGAAGATGTAATAAGCAAATAGGAAGTATTAAATGAAGTAGAACAAAACAGGAGAGTTCAGAGACATTCTATATTAATTAAGTGAATAAGGGATTCAGATTATATTGAGGAACAATTGTGATATGCAAAGTCATTTATAAGGAAACAATTGAGGGAAAGTATAGGGAGACATATGAAATCATTTTTGGATATAATAGTGGTGTATATAAGATATATTTGTACTGTATATCGTTCGTATATTAATTACAATTAGACTGATTAAAGCAATTGATATATGTATAAGACTGGAGGTTACGCTACTTCAATATTTTATCGGTAGGTTATAAATATAAAATAATGCAATACAATCTGCTTTATACTTTAGTTAATTCAAACAATAAAAAAATCAATTATTCATAAACACATAACTCATCTTATTTCTCTTTCTTATGAACTGGTAGTGGTAAATTCGGGGCAACAGGTATAAATTGAGTAGAATTTGGTTCTGACGTCTTTGTAATTGTCATTATAGATTTGCTTGTCCCAGAAACATTTGTAATTGTTGTGGTAGTTGTTGTATTTGAAGTATCTGTAATTAAGGTACTATTGGAAGCGATGGTATTATTGGTACTATTGGTACTATTAGAAGTATTAATAGTATTTGCATCATTTGCAGTATTTATGGTGCTTGTAGAGTGTTGTGGATTTGCTTTGCTAGTGCTAGCACCAACGCACACACCAATTACAACAGCGGCAATTAATAATATGATGAGTAAAAATCCTCCTAGTGACAATCCATCCCTTTTTGATAATTGAACAATTTCATCTTGTGGGATATACATTGTTATTTTCTGTGTGTTACAATTACTATCACTCAACTGGAACTTTTTTATCAATTTCAATAATTATTTTATATTATCTAAATCTATGGATTGAGTCTTTCCTTTACTATAATTAAAATTAAATTATAATGATCTTTAAACATTAGAAGCAAACAAGGTTGATCAAGGTTGTTGTATAGTTAGTTAGTTATCTGAAGTGAAACAATTGAGGGAAAGTATAATACATGAAATAACTTATTCTTGCAAAGTATGGCCCATAAAATATATATTTGTTCTGAATATAATAAAACTAATTAATGTACTTAATAGATGTAGAATCATGTATTGAATTGTTAACTATATAATTAAACTATCAAAAAAAAATATAAAATAATAATCAAAACGCATTCGTTTGTTTAATCATCACAAAGGAAGCAAAATATATGTGAATAACTTATTTGTAAAATATGGTTTTCTATCATGCTCTAACCAGTAGCACTAACCGAAGCATAACCAATATCAATTCTATAACCTTTATTTCAGTCACCGTAATTTTATATCTTTATTTCATTCTAAATTCAGAACATTTACCATGTTCTTTTATAAGATGGTGGTGGAGCATTGGGTTCAGGATAGCTATAATGGACAGTTTCATCTGGCATTGGGCTATCTTCTTCATTGACATCATTCATTTCTAAATCTCCCACAAAGAAATTATTATGATTGGTAGTATTATAATTATGAGTATTATGAATCACTTGATTTGGACGTACTGGTTGTGGAGCTGCGACTGGTACTGAAACAGGTACCGAAACTATTAATGGTTTAGAAGGAGTTGGACTAGGACGGAATAAGTAACCTATACAACTTAAAATTGAAGCCCAAAGATAAAAAGTAAGGACAAATAAAAAGATTAAAAGGAATACCACCACTGGATAAGTCGCAAATGGAACATATCTCTTTGAGACGTTTAGTACTGTGTCTTTGGCGATATACATTAATGAAGATTGATGTATGTGTGTGTGTTTGTTGATGAGAGAAAGAAACTACATGAAGAGATTGTCTTGAAGAGAGATAGAGAAGGCTGTTTATATAGTTTTTAAATTAGATAATATGTGTATTAAAATTGCATCCAAATATAGATTTAAACTTGCAAAGCTCTATTATACCGCCTAAGAAAAGATTCGTAAAAAATTAAGAGATTTAACTACGTCAAAAAAAAAGAATGATTCAAATTTTATTTTTTGCGACTGGGGTTTTATTCCGTTAATTATCTATTTTCTAAAATAAGGATAATAACATCCACTGGCTGATGACTTGTAATAGCCTTACTAAAAATAATCAATTTAGTGTAGTGTTGTTGATGATTATTGAATGGTTATCGGTAGAAAGGATTGATAATTGATTACTTCTTTCATGACGTCAATTTAGTTGATTCTCAAATCATAATTAAGGATTACAAAAGAGCTCAATTGTAGTCATGATAAAGCATTTGATTTAAAGTTTATAAGATCAGATATGAATGACTCGTAAGGATCTTATTTACTAGTTAGATTCAAGAGAATGCCGCGGAACAATCAATTTTAGATTACTGTAATCAATGTATTCTTGAAATACGGTTAGAGACGGTTAATTTTATATGACTCTATTTTTAGTTTATATTTAAAAACGGTTAATGTAAATGAACGAGGCTTATGCTAATCATAATTTGCAACTACTTATCTCTTTGAATGAATAATTTCTAATTATGATCATTCGATGCCACATAGACTTATTCACAATATAGCTGATTAGAAATTTATTGAATATTAGAGGTTATACAGTTGCATTCAGTTATCACATGATGTAAATGTACTAATGAATATTGGTTTGTTACCTTACAAATTAAATGTTGAATGGATAGATTGTTGGTCAATGGTAAATAAATTATGATCGAATCTAATTATAACTATACTGAGTAACTCATGAACACTTAATATAAAGTCATGCCTAAAAATTACAGTATAATGTAGACTAGAGAATGACTAACTAAATTTTGGTGCTCCATCATCACTCACTCGCTACTTCCCCCTTACTCTTCCTCCTTATCGCGTCTCCCCCACTAAAAAAACTTCTATTTCTGACAGCGTAAAATTGAAAATGCTCAAAATTTTTAAAAGACCCAAAAAAAATCTGAAAGTGTGATAATAAAAATAAATCCTCCTTCCTCAAAACACAAACAAAAAATTAGATCATATCAGAAATCAACTTTAATACTATAAACTCAACATTCAAACCTCTGTTCATCATCACCATCGTCATCATAGACCAAGTTATATACATATAAAGCAATTGCCATTCACATCTATCAGTCAATTGAACTTTATTTCACTCCATTTAATAGATTTTCATTTCCTTCTCCTTCCGATATAATAAGCTCCCCCCCCCTCCCCACAAATACAAGCACAAACACACATACACAATGTCATTCATAACATCATATTTGCCTGTCTACACAGATGATATATTCTTACAATATAGACCATTTCCAGCTAATCCAACCAATTATTTCGAAGCTCATTGGCATGAAATCTTAGCTAGTTTCTTATTTTATACATCCTTTCAAGTTATTTCTCAACCCATTTCTGCCGCTTTGTTCGGTACAACTTATACATCATTATCAAAACGTACTAAAGTTAATTTCGATATTCATGTGGTATCTATGATTCAATGTTTTATCTCCATTTCAATCTTATTACCAATGTGGAATCATTCCTATTGGCAAAATAGAGTTGCTGATCCAACTAGTTCAATGTTAGGTTATACTCCTTATGGTGGATTTGTTGGTGCATTAACAGTAGGATACTTTCTTTGGGATCTTATGGTTTGTACTATTCATTTCAAATTATTTGGAGTTGGATTTTTATTTCATGGATTTGCAGCAGTATTTGTTTTTACTTGTACTTTATTACCATTTTGTATGCCTTGGATTCCTTGTTTTCTTTTATTTGAATTAAGTACTCCATTTGTTAATATCAATTGGTTTGCCTCAAAATTACCTGCTGGTACCTTCAATGAAACCTTTGTCATTATAAATGGGTTAGTATTAATGCTTACTTTTTTTTCAGTCCGTATTGCATGGGGATTTTATGGTATGATAATCTTAGCTTATGATATGTTTGTTATGTGGGATAAGATTCCTACATTTGCTGCTGTTTCAGTATTAACCTTGAATTTATCATTGGATTGCTTAAATATATTCTGGTTTTATAAAATGGTTGCCATTGCCAGAAAGAAATTTTCAGGTAAACAATCAACTAAACAAGCTGCTAAAGAAGTTGCAAATAAAATTGATTAGTTGGAGGTTATCAATTTATGTCATGGAATCATCATTCATGGTATGTGTTATTTAGAATCTTTAAATGGGATTATTATAATTCCATCTTATTATATATATATACTTATGCTTAAACATTTTGAATAGATAATTAGTATATCTTGTTACATTCTATCTTGTATCTATACCTAGACTTACTTAACAATGGAATTTCTGTCTACTACAGTTTAGTCGTGTGCTGTACACTTTTTTTTTATTTTTTTTATCCACGGTACACTTCCTCCAAAAAAAAGAGGATACCACTCTGTTAACACACACACTATCTATAAATATTTTAATTGTATCAATTCCCATCAATCCCATTCAATCAATCAATCAATCAAGTTTCTTCAATCATACCCTTTGATCTATTTGGAAATCATACGTAATATTTACCGTACTCATCCATCGATATCATCCTTACCCCAGTACATCCTCATCCTCCTCCCCTAGCTTTTGCCCTTCTCCCATCCACCGGTAAAGCTGCTTGATTTCAAACAAACACAACAAATAAATTTTAATTGTTTTTAAACGTTAGCGCCACTTTCATTTCTAGTTTGATATACATCCATACTTATAGTATCTTGTCTATAACTTTTATACTTAGTTCATTCATAGTTATATAAGTCATTTTCATCCATCCCAAATCTCATTCAATCAATTCATCAATCCATCTATATAATACAGCAAACATGAATAACGAATACGACTATTTATTTAAATTATTATTAATTGGTGATTCCGGTGTTGGTAAATCTTGTTTATTATTAAGATTTGCTGATGATAATTATACCCCTGATTATATTTCAACTATTGGTGTTGATTTTAAAATTAGAACGATTGATTTAGATGGTAAAACTATTAAATTACAAATTTGGGATACTGCTGGTCAAGAAAGATTTAGAACCATTACTTCATCATATTATCGTGGAGCTCATGGTATTATTATTGTTTATGATGTTACTGATCAAGAATCTTTTAATAATGTTAAACAATGGTTACAAGAAATTGATCGTTATGCAACAGGTGGTGTAATGAAATTATTAGTTGGTAATAAAGCTGATTTATCTGATAAAAAAATTGTTGATTATACTGCTGCTAAAGAATTTGCTGATGCTTTAGATATTCCATTTTTAGAAACTTCAGCTTTATCATCAACCAATGTTGAACAAGCATTTTATACCATGGCAAGACAAATTAAAGCTCAAATGACTAATAATAATAGTTCAAATAGTGCATATAATTCAGGTAAATCAAATGTTAATTTGAAAGGTCAATCATTACCACAAGATCAAAATAGTTCATGTTGTTAGATTCAAGTTAATTTTGATTTGATTTTATGATTTATACAACTTATGGTTATTCTTTCTATTACTAATTGTTGCTATTATATTTTTGTTGTTAATTATCTCCTTTCCCGCTTCCTCTTTTAATTTTCTTATATTTTATTTAAAGCTTAGTTGATTATATATATATATCATATTATATTATTACTACATGTACTCAAAACAAACGCTGGTTATCGAAAGGTTCTACAGTTTATTTTCTTTAAAATAATCATCACTTTTATAAAATCAAACTAACGAATGATATAAACAAAATATTGAACATAAACGAAATCATCAGCATCTCTTATAAATCTACCTTTACCAATGAAATCTTCAGTAAGGATCCATTTATATTTATCTTCAACTCCTTTAGAAAGCTTAAAAATTGGTTTACAAACTAATGAACAATCATCAAATTCAATATGTTTCTTTGTCCCTTGAATCACTTCAAAAGTGGCCTGTGCATGTTTAAGGAAACCATCATAATATATTAATACATCACTACCATTGGCAGTTTTACCATTCAAAGTACAATTTAATTGAGTGATTCCAAGTGGAACCTTTTCAATTAAATCATCAATTCCAGTAATACCAGGGACATCTAATTCTAAACCGTAATCATTCTTAACGGTTCTGATTTCTCCATTGATAATACGAGCTAAACTTAAACTATTAGATGGGACTGGTAAATCAGTAGATGAACCTGGAGGACTAAACTCACATTTGAAATTGAAACTGAAAACAGGGACTAATTTCGGAGTAGTTGGGGGTTTTGAAGGAAGAACATTAGGATCTAAAGCAGTGTTAGTAGAAACCATTGCAAAAGATGATGTAGTTGTTATAATTTGTCAATTGATGATATAATGAAATATTCAATTCAATTGAATGGAATGGAATGGATGAAATTGAATTACAAAAATTTTAAATTAGGAGGAATGTGGTACTATTTATACATTTTTGGGAACAACTCCTCTTGCGAAATATGGGGCATTGAAATTTGACGTTCGGAGTCAAGCGCATACATTCTTTTTTTAACTTCTGGTGATGAACAGTTTAATTAGTCCATATTATTATTATAACTACTGGGATTTATATAAAGAGTATATTGTAAAAGGTAATAAGTGTGTATTGTATAAATGATTGGATTTACATACATCAATTGATATCATTTCTATGGTGAATTGAATATTAATTTAGAGAGTGGTTAGTCAATTGGTTGATTGGTTCTTTCGGTATAAAAGTACTTCTTTTACAAAGAAGTCAAAGTTAAATATAAGTCTGGGGTAGTAACTTAAAACTTTATTAATAACATGAAAGAGGAATATTCACCAATTTCAAGTCTTCCACCAAAACTTGAGCTAAATTAATAATCGAAATCAAAATAATATCATGCATAAAACATTAATGAAATGGTTGGAGGACATAAACTTATCATGAGCTACTCCTATTGAAATAAACGAAACTCGTTTAGCTTTCCGATAAACAATATTGGACTTAACCGATACATCCACTACTATACATTAAATATTATAATTCATTGTACCTAATTTTGCAACATGTAATGTTGTAATCTACCGACGCTACATAGAACACACATCCCAAAATATTAAAAGTATCCCTTATCAATAAGTCACTCCAGGAAATAAGATCAATTCATCAATTTTGCTTATTAATTGGCATCAACGGCTTTATACCAACCCCAAATATTGACAGGTTTTAAAACCGCTATACGCGAAAACCAAGTAATGTTAGTTGATTGGTGATCATGTTTCCTAATTAGGAAGTCTACAGTTTTTTTGTCTCTTTTTGGTGGCAACAATCAAAAGTTGAGATTCGTTCGTGAGACACCACCATAAATCAATTTTCAACTTATCAATCAATCAATTCCTAGATTCAATTGTATTATAGAAATAGAAAGAGAATCATCACCATCATGTCTGATAAAATGGTTGATACAACCAGTATCAAGAAAGAAGAAAAAATTGAAGAACAATCAGATTCTACTGAATCAGTAGTTAGTGAAATTGAACAATCATTTTCATTAATTTCCAAAACTGCTTCAAGTTTTGATAATCGTTATATCTCCAAAGCATTTCGTGATTTGGGTCCTTTAAGGCGTAAATTAACCAAACTGATTTTAATCACCATCATTAATAAATTATATCCTTCCAAAATCAATACTAATAAGTCATATTTATTTGGTGTGTTAGATGTGGTTCAAGATGATAATGCTATGGTGATTGATCATCAAGAAGAAGATAATGAAGATACTCAACCTTCATCTATATTGATTCCTGAAGTTGAATTATATGTTCATCTTTTGATTCAAGTATTCCTTTTAGATCAAAATCAATTGGAATCATTAAACATTTTAAATTCAAATATTATTCAATTAATGAAATTATATAATAAACGATCATTAGATTTCATTCAAGCCAAGATATGGTTTTATATTGCAAGAACCAATGAATTACTTGAAGATTTATATTCAATTCGTCCTGAATTATTAGCAAGTTTAAGAACTGCTACTTTAAGACATGATACTGAAACAACTTCATCAATTATTACTTTATTATTAAGAAATTATTTATTAACTCATGATATTAATCAAGCATCTAATTTAGTGGAAAAGACAGTATTCCCAGCTAATGCTAGTAATGCTCTTGCTGCAAGATATTATTATTATTTAGCCAGAATTAGTGCTATTCAATTAGATTATTCAACTGCTCATGAATATGTAATTGCTGCCATTAGAAAAGCTCCTCAAACTCATTTAGCAAATGGATTCATTCAAAGTGCCACTAAATTAAGCATAATCATTGAATTATTAACTGGTGATATACCTGAATTAAAAACCTTTAAAAGAAATCAAATTGGAGGGAATTTTGAACCATATTTTTATGTTACAAGAGCTGTTAAATTAGGTGATTTAAATTTATTTAGTAAAGTTTTAAATGAATATGAAGCCTTATTTAAAAAAGATGATAATTTTACTTTAGTTTCAAGATTACGTCAAAATGTTATTAAAACTGGTATTAGAATCATATCATTATCTTATTCAAAAATCTCCTTAAAAGATATTTGTATTAAATTACATTTAGATTCCGAAGAATCAACCGAATACATAGTCTCTAAAGCCATTAGAGATGGGGTTATAGAAGCCACTATCAATCATCAAAAGGGATTCATGCAATCTAAAGAATTATTAGATATTTATTCAACAAAATTGCCTCAAACTGAATTTGATCAAAGAATTAATTTCTGTTTATCATTAAGAAATGATAGTGTAAAATCAATGAGATATCCAAGTGATAATGATAATAAAGCTGATCTCAATGGTAAGTCTCTTGACAAGGATGAAGAGTTTGATATATTGAAAGCCTTAGAAGATGGTGATTTAGATGATTTTATGGATTAATCTAGTCTATATAGTGTGAATCGTAAATACATTTTTAGTCGCATAATAAATAAAAAATCTGAACAAAATTTGAAAATTGAAATTGACTGCACAAACTTTAGGCAACCAAGCAACCATCAACGAATAACGACCAACAACGATGACATCAAGTGGTGGATTCCGAATAGACTTGGATCCAGACACTTATGGATCAGGATATAAAGATCCATTCATTCAAGATGAGTATGTATTTGATTTTGAAACGATTGAATTGATCAGTAGATAGAGTTGAAATACTAACATTTTACAGAGATAAACTATCATTAGCAGATTTAATACCAAGAATCTTGATTGAAAGGAACTCATTTCTAGATGTAACTGAGGCTAATTTACCAGAAGAAATAGCTAATGGTAATATTGAAGAACTATTGCAACCAGATGTTCAAATAACAGATGGTTCATTGGAACCTGAACAAGAAGATCCTAGTGAAACTTTCCAACAACAACGGATAAACTTACAAAAGAATATCAATTCAGCCTTGAATGAAACTTCTTTATCATTGGATTTCGTATCTTTATTGATATCTGCTGTCAAACCAAATTTAGCCAAAGCTACTATATCTCCTCATTTGCAAAAAAATGTACCTATTGGATCATTAAATTCAGATCGATTGATTCGTAAAGATGAAGATGAAGATGGTGAACCAAGTAGAACAAATGGTGATAAGAAGGATAATAATCATGGAGTAGGACAAGCATGGAAAGTTCAATCATTAAATAAAATCACCAGTTTGTTTAGAGAGGCAAGTATCAATTTAAATGAACAAGTTTTAAAAGAAAGAAGATATTGGAATATGATTAATTTGGTGCTTAGCAATGATGAAGCATTGTTTAAAACAAGAGACCCATATAATAATGCTCGTGCCATTGGTGTTAAATATGGTTATGGGGATTCAGGAGCAAGTTTCCGTGATAAAGGACTTGCAATTTTAAGAAAAGATACCACATCTGGAGAAGTTTCATTTCATCCTATATCGAATGTATCTAATAAAGTTTCTGAAAAGAATTTTAAATATATTCGAGTTAAAATCTTGAGTGAAATTGATGGAGATTTTATGTTAACAGGACAATCTATATTTGAAAATAATTTTAATAATAATTCAAATGCTCAAATCATTAATGATATTGAAAAGGCAAGATTTTTCTTATTTGAAGAAGATTTATTTTATCAATTAACCAGAGAAGCAAAGACTTTGATTAATTATAATGTATCGATTATATCTAATAAAATCATTATTGAAATTAATCATGAGATTATTGAAATTGAATCAGTATTCTATGATGAAAATAATGATGATGAATTAAACAATTATTATCAAAACATTAATTCATATTCATCCCTTAATAATAAAAAATGTCAATTAATTTTAATCTATTTGAAATTAATGTTATGTTGTTATTTCAAATATAATTTAAAATTAAAACAAAAAGTACCCACAGCATTAACCAAATTCAAACGTTCTAATACTCATCCATTGATATTAAGACCATTATTAGGAAACATAAGACATGAATTGAATTTAAACAATATGAAAGAAATCATTGCCAATCTTTGTAAGAAATTCGATAATGACATTGAATTTAAAATCAATAATATTGAAAAATTTGCTAATCTTAAACATAAATCAGCCAATCCATTTCAAAAATCAATTGAAAGACCACTTTCAGATGTTAATTTGATATTAAAGAATAAGAAGAATAATCAATATTTAAGAATTGATTTGGAATTAACTACCAATGAAATATTCGTTAATCTAATCATTAATTTAAATATCATAAGGTATAAGAATCATGATGATTTTTCAAGTAATTTGAATGGGGTTAATGTTTTACAAATCAGTTTCAATGATTTTAATGAGATTGAAGAATGCTTGGAATGGACTATTTTAAACTTTGTAAACTAGTGTATGTAACAACTATAAATATATATATATACAATTAAATCGAAAAATGAATAATCATGTATTTCATTGAGGATATCTATCATCAGTTGAAGATACTCTAACTTGATCATCATGAGCTTGACGAATAGCTTCAGCATTTTCTTCAATATATTGTTTAACACGATAATACTTTTCATCTCTCAAATTATTAAAGATAATGAAATTAAGCCAAATTTCAAAGAACGCGTAAGTAAATACAAATCCATTACTTATAGGTGAATCTTTAAAGAAATATGTATAACAAGCAATACCAAAGGCAATAGTTAATCTAACAGGAACCACTGATTCGAAATAATCCAAGTTGTTAGCAATCAAAGGAACGACATCAGTAACTGCCAATGAACCAAATGCAATGGCTAATACTCCTAATAATGGATTGTTTGGATCAATTCTAGCATGAGGTAACTCCATAGCTTGACCTAAAAGAATAACGAATCCCGACATGAAAATTAATTCAGAATCCTTAACAAGGAAGAAAGTTAAAGCAATAAGGAATACAATACGGACGTATAACAATGATTTGGCCGTAAAGAACTGCATGTTTGCCTTTTGTAGATGATGATAATGATGTTGTTGATGAAGAAGTAAATGAAGTAGTTATACGATATTTGGCGGACAGTTAAATTTTCAAAATTTCTTGGATCAAAAACTGTAAATTTTTGCAGGTTGAAGTGCTGCAAATAATTTCTGATTTACAACCACCAACTTCGTTGACATATTTACAACACTCTTCTTCTTCTACTTTCATCAAAAGCAGAATCAATCATTGTGATCAATCTATCTAGAGAATTAGTACTTTGAATATCAAATTCAAGTAACTAATAGTGGAGATTGATGGGACAAAACAGAAGATTCCGCTTTGCCCTAAGAGATATTCATTACGATTTAAAAGAAAAGAGTAAATTATCAAAGGAGAGTGATAACTATTTGAATCAATCAATTGAAGCTCCAGTTAGTGATACAGGAGTGAGATACTGGATTCGGAATTTGATTTCAAATCAAATTGCCAAGTTTAGTTTCCACTTGTCATCAAATTTTGATAAAGCATCTGAAAACTCCTCAACTTTTGATTCCTTATTGAAGTATGTAATTTAATCATTATCACAATCAATTAATAAATGTTACTAACTATTATAGAAATCTCTTTGAGTGGTATAAATTTTTAAGACCTGTTTTCTTCTTAGGTGCTAGAATTGCTCTGAGTAGAATTGTTTACATTCCAGTATGATTTACCGTTATGTCTTTCTATTTCTTTGACTTCTCTCATTACTAACTTCAAAATAGATTCTTGTTGTCCTTTTAGCTCCAGGAATTTTGATTGTTCTATTAGTTCTTTCAGCCATGTTTGGTGTGTCATCAGTTGCAATTGGTCTTTTCACAATTACATCAGTTGCTACTTTTGTTGGTTTCAGTAAGTATACTATCTTCTTCTCTACATTCCTGAATCGTTTACATACTAACATTCTACTCTCTAGCTTTTATTGTTGTTCCAGGTTTGATGTTGGCTGCTATCACTGGAGCATCTGCTTACTTGGTCTATACCATTACTGGTGCTAACCAATCAAACAATCCAAAGTTTGAAGTATTGCAACAAGAATTAACGGAAAAATTACGTGGTGCTACGAAAAAGAAATCCAACAATGGGATATATGAAGTTCTTGATCAGACTGGTGAAACTAATATTGGAAATGAAGATGATGAAGACAACTTGTCTGGTTCTGTTGTCCGTTCTTCCGATGTAGTTGATGATGAAGATGTATCCCCCAGTCCCTTAATTGCCTAATCATAATTAACTGGGAAGTAATAGTGAGTAAGAGAAATATAGTGTGCGAAAATAAAGTAAGAAATAAATTTTAAACGTGTACTGTAAAAATAATGTCTCTGAAAAATCGAGCAAAAATCGACCACGTCAATTTGAAAAGCTTATATTATAATAACTTACAACTACTTACAGTTTGACAGCCAACAATGAAGTTATCAATCGTAGCTGTGTTGTTTCAATTGTTGAACTTGGTACTTGGGTACTCAATTTCAAGTGGTTCAGTTTCAATTGGTCAACAATCAGTTGCCTTTGGTGAAGTTACTACTCAAGAAATTAAACAATTAACTGTTGACAGTGGAAAGGATAAAATCGTGGTTAAGTTAGGATTGAGTGAAAAATTAAAGAAAGCTCCTCAACAAGTGTTTGTTGAATTAGTTAGTGCTAAGAATGATGCTTTAGCTACTCATTTCGTTCCAACTTTCACTGATGATAAGCAATTTTTTATAACTATTCCAGTTGGTAAACTTCCTGAAGTATTAAAAGCTCAAGATAAATTATTATTAAATATCATTATTGCTGATGGTTCAAAGAAATTATATAAGAAATTAGTTGAAATCATTCCAACTTATGATTTTAAATCGGGTATTAATTATCAACCACAACCAAAGATTGGATATCAACCTGAAATTCATCATATTTTCAGAGAAGATCCAAAAACTGTGGGTGAAGGTATCCCAGTTTTCTTTACTGCTATGGCTCTTGTCCTTTTCACTGGCTTGCTTGTGTTGTGGAATGGTTTTATTGGTAAGGATTTATTTGGAACTTTAAAGAAAACTGCTCCAGGTCAATTAATCTTCAATATTGCATTTTTATTAAGTATATTAGGATTTGAATATAATTTTGCTCAATATTATTTAGGTCAATCTATCTTCACTACTTTATATGCTGGTTTCTTCCTTGGTTTATCAAGTATTTACTTTGGTGCTCGTGTTTTAAGACACTTGGCTCATGAAAGACGTATTGGAAGATCATAAATAATAAAATTAATGAAAAATATTAGCATGTAATGTTATATTATTATTATATTATTATTATATTATACTAGATACAGATCCACATATATACATATATGTACATATATAGGATTAATTAAATGTATTAGTTATCCATCGAAATCCCCAAAATCCACCTGTAAAGAATTTCTTATCCATAGAATTAGCAGCGACTATCTTACCTGTAATAAGTCCCATAGGTAATACTGAATATGATCGTGAATCAAGAGAATGGCATAAATTATCTCCTGTACACCATACATGACCATCCGGTACTACGATATATTTATTAAATCCATCATGTTGAACAATTTCTGTGGCATTATTAGTTAATTCTGATGAAGATGATGGATCAATCAATATCACATCCCCCGGCATTCCTGTTATACGTTTACAAACTCTATGGTCTGGATCACTTGGTTTCACCGCCACTATACAATCACCCATTTCTAACCCTCGTCCTAATCTATAACTTTTAAAGGCATGAACATAATCATGATTTCGTTGTAAAGTAGGTAACATTGATTCTCCTCTTGTTTCGGTGAATTCATAGACATATTCATGAAGTAAATGGGCAACACATCCTGCTCTTAATGTCCATGAAAGTGTAGACACTATGAACTTCAACGACTCTGGCAATGGCATTCAATTGTGTTGTAGTATGAAGATGTGGGGGAAACTTAGTCTGATTTGAAAAGTCCTCTGACCTGATTATAAAACAAAAATTTTTATAGCGTAAGTTTCGTGTGCGTGAAGCAATATCCACACTAAATTTTGTATGATTTGCAACTACAAACACTACAAGATATCAATATTTCCAATTAAAAATTACCGTTTATTAAATAATATACAAGTTTACAAACAGATTGATCTAGTAAACGAAACCTAAAATCTTTCCAGAAACGTGCTTTCTTCTGGCTTCTTCGTGATCCATAATACCAGCAGAGGTGGTTAAGATAATGTAACCAAATTGTCTAGCTGGTAATAAGTTATCAGTCCATCTTTCAATATCATTAATCTTGACATTGAATCTTGGGGAGATAACACCACACTTGTTTAATCTACCGTTTAATTGAACGACGATTTTACCTGATCTGTGATCATCAATGTATTCAAATTCACCAATGTAACCTATAAGTTTGTTAGTATAACTGTTATAATCAATGATTCAATAAAAAAGATAATATTTTATATGGAAAAGAAAAAACTCTAATGATTAGAGAAAAAGGAAGATGTAAAGGAAAAGTAAACGGTGAAGACAATCCTGTCTGCTATTGCAAAATATCAGCACCGTGTAAGAAGCATTTCCCGAGTTATTCTTCCGAATACTTAAAAGACAGAGAGGGACGGGTAACCGATCAGTCCATCCAGTTATCAATTCGGTGAAGAAGGTTTAGAAAAGGTAAAAGAATAAAAGTAGAGTTTCCATATAACCATATTATCATTGTAAAAAGCTATTATTAAAACATACCATGTTTTTGCATAACGGATAAGAATTTGATGATGACTTTGGATGATGGTCTAATCATAACTTGACGTTTACCAGTTTTTTCAGCATTGTTAATAGCGTTTAAAGCATCAGCTAAGACGGAAGATCTAGTCATTTTGGATATATATGCTATAAGGATAAAGTTAGTATTTTAAAAAGTTTCATAATCAAATAAACTAACCAAAAAGCCACATGAGTGTCTCTGTAAAATTCGAGATTCACGAGCCGATACTAAGGCAAGTACTCTTGGAAAAGAGTTTACCTAGTATTGAATCTAAGGTATCAAGCATCTCGATCATTTAAACTAAACGAAAACTGAACAATACATAATACCTTATACTAAGGTTCTTATGCTTTGTAACAATCCTTCAAGATAACTTGATTCTTAAATCCATATTTCCACGTATTTAGATTATGAAGCTTGAGATACACATATTAACCCTTTTGGTTATCAGAATGGAAACCAACGTACTTCTTAATGTGTTTGAATAATGAAAGCTAAAGAATAAACAAGAAGGAAAAGAAATTAACTAAACATTGTTAATTAAATGCCCTAATGAAAAATTTTTCATTCTCACAGATTTTGTCAATTTTCACTCATACTTTAAATTACGCTGAGTTTAAGTAAATATAGTCATATTCTATATCACGTGAGTGATTTTTTTGGCAGTATAAGCTAAATCAAATAGATTCTTTATAAAGATAGTTTAGTAAGAAATGAATCAATATCCATTAAAGTACAATAAGAATAAATATGAAAGATGTCAATCGATATACCGTCCAATAATGCAATAGATATATTGTCACGACAATTATTCACCAAGATTAAGCCAGTGTGTATTGAAATATCACAAGTTGCATTATTACCAACTCCAGCTTTTACTTCTCAAAAGCAGAGATTAATCAATCTTTTGATAACATTAAACAAGGCTTTAAAAGACAGTGAAGCTATATATGTGCTACCTAACAACTTGGCGGATTATATATTCTTCCCACTTTCAAATATATTGAAACAACCTCAATTAGATGATGGTATTACCCTTCATATTTTAGATGTACTATCATTTTTACTTGATAAATCATGGAGATTTAACTTTCAACCAAAATTAATAGATCAATTATATCCAGTCATCCTATATTTATCAGGTTCATCTTTGAGTAGTATGGCAGGAAGAACATTTGAATTCAAGAAGGCAGTCATAGATTGTCTTACTTCACTTATAAATTGTATTCCAGATTCATACTATTCTGATCCCCAAGCTTTGAATAGACTTCTGTTACTTGGTAATACTACTTCAGTTATTTTAGATACTTTAGAATCAGAAACTAATAAGAATGCGGTAGAAGATTTGAATTTAACCATTCAATTAATGACATTATTGTCGGAAATTATCAAGAATAAAATAACGTCAGAACAGACATCACAAATATTTCCCGGTATTATATCCAAGGTGGTTAATTTCTTTACTTTGAGTAAGAACTTACATTATTCAGTGATTATACAGTTATTGCAATTACTCCAAGACCTTATAGTTAAAGTCTTTACTGATGATGAGTTAAAGGTTGAATTATTGAATAATGAAGAAGTTACCAATTTAGAGAATATAACCCAAGAAAAAAGTGAAATAACGATTTCTGTTACTGGAAAACATACATTTCGTACTACTTCTTGGAGAAATGCAACTTCCAAACAATTGAAACTATCTTTGGTGACGCTTTTAAAGACATTAATATTATCTTCGGCCAATAAAACAAAATTTCAAACTAAACCTCAGTTAGTTTTGGCAGTTGAAAACTTTACAGAAGCCATATTGAAAACCTGCTTTATTTCGTTATTTGATATATTCTTGTCCTTGTCTATAGATATATATGCTTGGTTGGTGACATTAAGTCCTAAAGATGAAGAGATTTTACCACTACAGAGATTTTCAACTATATTTTCCAATATATGCATCAACAACACAAGTCATGGTAAGCTACTTTCCAGTGAGATTCAAAACAAATTATCAGACTTGATTAATACCAAGATAAGTATCCTTGTACTTTCATTCGATGAAGATAAAATCAGTCTGTATCTAATCTCGATGAAGCTCCATTTTGTTTTACTATTTGAAATTTCAAAAATTCTTCAACCAAATTTCGAACTTTATAGAACATACCAGATCAAATTTTTAAATCTATTACTGACAACCATCCTCGACAGAAGTCGCTCGAGTAAAAACCAAAAGCAAGATATCATAACTTCAAGCAACAAACTTGATAATGTTGTATTACCACCACATATTAATTCTAATAGTCTTGTTAAATTTAAAGGGGCTGAAGGACAAGTCAGAAACACAGCTTACGCATCAGATATGCAAATCATATCTTCTCAATGGAATAATCAGTCATCCATGCTTTTAAAAGAACCGGTTAAATATTTCGGAAAATTCTATTCAAAAATGATAGAAGATGATATAGTAAGCTTGATTGGACTTTTTGCAACTTTTAATTCCAAAATCATTGATTTCAGCCATTTGGACTTTTTGGAAGAGATATTAAACATTCCTGAATCGGAGATTTATGATAAGGCTTTAATTTTATGGGTTGCTAATAATTATACTTCTCAATTGTCTAGGGTTACCAAGAATAATAATCTTGCGGATGATCTTGATGAGTATTTGGTATTATCAGATGATGAAGATAATGTGAGTGATGAAAACACAGAGTCAATAAATGATTTGGAAGAATTATCATACCTTGTAATGAACAAATCTCAAGATTTACTAGGTATTCTTTCCAATGAAGAAATGGTTTCGTACAATATTAAGGATGATAATAAAATTGAATCTTCATATGCTATTGCGTTAGATACAATTGGTATACTTTCCAATAAACTTGATTTGGATTCCTTTCAGGCAGATTGTTTGATTGATTATTTATATCCTATGTTGGAAGCACTTACATTCCAATCAAGTCCGATAATTCAATCTCATGCTGCTGCAGCTATAACTAAAGTTCTTGAAAATTTTTACAATAACTCTTTTGAAGCATTAATTCTTGATAATCAAGATTATTTAATCGATAGTATTAGTTTAAGATTGAGAGTATCAAGTGATTTATCACCTACTTTACCAGGGATCCTTCTTATTATAATCAAAGTTACTGGATTAAAACTTCTTGAAACCAATCAATTAGCAGATATTTTAACAGAAATGTTCGTTATTATAGATGCTTATCATGGTTATTCGTTATTAGTGCAGGGATTTTTCATTATTTTTGAAGAATTAGTCAAACAGATAAAAGCCAAATATGTTGTCAATGGTATCAAAGAAGAAACTACAACAAAATTTTCATCTCAAAAACCATGGGGAATGACTAGCATGGAAGAGTTATTGGAATTAGTCAATGGAAGCTCAAAAATCGATACTGCAATCAAGTACAATAGTAACACAGAATACTTCCATAGGAAACCAGATACTCCATTTGGTGAGCAAGCAGGTGATTCGGATGATGATGAAGATGATGAAGAGCCAGAACAGCAACTAGAAGTTGAAAAACCATGGAAATCTCCAGTCCCTCGATCAATCTACTTTTTAGTTCAACGAATTTTCCAATATGGTATGTTGTTATTAACACATCAATCAAGTTCATTAAAGATTCAAATTATTGAAACTATGAAGTTGGTATTCCCTATATTAGCAACCGATTATAATTTGACCTTGCCTATCATTGCAGATCTTTGGAGTCTACTTATAGCTTTGATTAGTGGATCATCCAACTTATCAATATTTAATAATCCTGATATTGATCCTGCTATGGAAAGGTTAATTGCTCCATCGCTTGAATTTGCGATCGAGATTATCAATCAAGACTATAAGAGTAGGGATCTGTTTCTTGCCAAAAGATTTATTGAAGCTTGGGATTTCTTGCTAAGTAAAAGTAATGGATTTTCGAATAGGAGCCAAAATGAAAATAGTAAAAATGTTAAAGATTTGGTTTTGTTAAAGAGAACAATCAGTCCTAAACTTGCAAACTTGTATAGCAAATTCTTATTAACAGGTATCAGGAGTTATGAAAAATCAATATCGGATGTTACGAAATATAATATGATCACTACTTGTCGGGTATTTGGAATACCTAAGGATATAGAGTTAAGTAGAGATGTCAAAAATATTTTATGGGTACTTAATAGAAATTAGACATTCATGTATATATTAATATATTTATATTACAATTAAATTTTTTGTACATAGCGGAAAGTGAATCTCTTTCTAATCTATCATGATAACGTCATCATCTTCTTCTACTGGGCTTGCTGGAGCTGTATCGTCGTTTGTTACCAAGTCATGTATGACAGCCTTTTTAACTGGCGCCACAACGGGCTCTTTTGATGAGAAATTTAATGTTTGTTGACCTTTTGAAAGTACTTGCGTTGGCTTCTTCTTTTTCTTTGAAGAAACTTCGGTAGTAGTAGTGACTTCGTTTGTGACTTCCTCCTCAGGATCAATATTCTCGTCATTATCATTAGCTTCTGTGGTTGTGACGGCATTTTCATCAATCTCTATTAATTGATTGGTAATTAAGTCAGCCAATTTATAAGTTCTTGGAACAGTTTCACTTAAAAAGTTTAAAGAATCATGACTAACAACAGCAGATGCAAAGTCCTTATATTGAATTTTCTTTCTTTTATCCATTTTAGCTAATAAACTAGCTTGTTCTACGAAATATTGTATGAATAATTCTGTTGCTAAACCAGTAGCATAAACAGAACTTTGTGATGCAGCAGTATAATCAGGATCCATTTTGAATATTCTCTTTATTTTCGCCAATGGCAAAGACAATGATTGTTCTTGTTCTTGATCTTGTTCTTGATCTTGTCCTTCTTCTTCCATTGGTGTATCTTCTCGTGCTGGTGTACTGTTGGCGGAGACTGTATCTGGCGCTGGTGGTGTTGTACTTGGGGTTTCATGAACAGCACTTTCTTGTGAATTCTGGATATCACCAGACCCTTTAATTGGTGATGATGACATTGGTGAGTTGAATTATTATTGTATAAATTGAATACTTCGAATCAATTGATTTGAGTTTTAAATAATATCAAATATCGAAAAAAATAAATATAGTTCATATACGCATCCCCTCGTATCTACAATTTGTTCACGTGATATTGCCCGGAATACGAAAGTTCATACTCATTACATTTTTCTAATTTAAATACTATGTACAATATGTAAGACTATATTTACAGCCATAAAGGTATGTGCAAATGCTAATTGTTTAGTTGGAAATGCCAACTATTGATGATGGTAATGTCGTTTATTCTTGTTTTTGCTCTTGTGCAACCAATTGTTCGAAATTATCTTCAGCTTTTTCAACTTCTGGATTTATTATATGTTCGAAATATTGAGTCTTTTCTAAATCTAAATCATCATAATGTTCTCCATGTTCAACGAAATCTATTACTCTATTTAAAGCTAAGTCTGGATTTTTGAATCCATCAGCATATCCTGTAACTTTTTGATAAATTTGGGGTGAGTTTCCTGATACAAGAGCTTTTAATTCAGTGTTTGATAAATCTGGCACCACATAAGTTCTAACTTTTTGCCAGTTGATCATATAAGTGGCATTCTTATTCAATCTACCTATACCTGAAGAACGAGTACCTTTATAATAATGCTTGTTACCATGTTTGGTGGTAAGTGGGACCCTCTTTGAACCAGTCTTTTGGAAACCATACCATATTTGACCGTCTTTAAATGTTTGCCATGGTCTTTTCAAGTTGGCTAAAGCCGTTTGTTGGAAGTTAAGGACACTAGAAGCTTTCATCGTCGGTGTATCCCTATGATTCTATTGACCTTTACACCATATAATCTTGATATATTCCAATTTTTCATAATTTTTTTTTCTGTCTGTACTCAATATATTTTGAACCATTGTACACGACCGCAAACGAATATTTTTGTCTGTCTGGGCTGCGTGTGTCTAATTCAATTTTTGTCCGAGGGAGATAGTCCTTCATTTTTGGACTGAAACGATGGGAGGGACATTATGCAGGAGAACTTAGATTAGAGAGATGATAGAAACTACCAAAGGGACAATAGCAAGGTTTATATGACGTGAAATTTGAATAAAACATAAAGATTATATTATATTGAACTATGGTTATTATCTAATTTAGGTCATATATTCATCCAGTTATCATCTAAATAGTCAATCGTTTGTGGTTTAATAATAAAACAACATGTCAATTCCAGAACATCCATCTAATCTAGACGTTTTCCCAGCCCAACATGGATATGGAGAAATTAAAGTCAATACTCATACATTTAGTGATCAACCCACTGCATTTGTGAATCAAGAAAGTAAAGTAGGAGGTTTCATTGCTGATCATACTGATAAAGAACATCAAAAACAATATGCTAAGCAAATATTTGGTTTCTTGGTTAGAGCCTTGTGTAATTAAAAAGAGAGCAGGCTAAGATTACGCTGCACATGGTTATTAATGCAAAAGACTATAAATCATCCTACTTGGTAACATAAGTAAATAAAATGTTGTTATTATTTGTATAATTATATAATGTCAATTCATAATTTATGTTTTGTTAAAGAATCTTCTTGTCTTAATATTTCGTATAATAATCTAACAACTTCTCGGCACATACCATAACTTCCTTGATAACCACCACCACCTGCACCATAATTATGAATAAGCCAATCATTATCTTCATCGATTTCAACTCTAGCACCACTTTCTCTAAATGGTCTTAAACCAACATTGGTTCGAATTATATCAATTGAGGTTGGATTATTCTTATAATTAGGATCAATTAATTCAGGAACATATTTAATGGCTCTTTCAATGATACGTTTTGTTAATGCTTCATCTACTTTAGTATTAGCAAATTCTTGAAGAAAACACCCTCCAATAATACATCCACCTTCCTTTCTAGGCATTAAATAAAGCATTTCATTATTAAGGTTAGGGAATCCTTCAACACTAACTTCATTCTTAGCATGATTTCTTACATGTAAAACTTGACCACGAACTGGAAAATTTCTCTTTGTTTCTTTAAATCCTGAAATCGTATTAGCTAATAATCCAGTACAATTAATAACGAAATCAGCTTTTAAACCTGAAGAATGATAATGTCTTACCTCATTGATATTTTTAATTTTTGCAATCCTGTGCACTTTATTACCAATTGATAAATTTTCTTGCAATAAATAATTTAAATAGATTGGAACTGATATAATCACTCCTTTAAATTTATATCCAAAGGCAATTCCATCAGGTAATTCACTTTTATCTAATATTTTAAACTCGTGAACAAAATCTTTAAACCATGGTAAAAATGATACTGGATTTGACCCTTGTGATTTGAATTGAATATCAGTAACATAACTTATATTATCTTTAACCCAAATACCAGATTTAGGTTCATTTTCTGCAAGTTCAATTAACTTGTAATATCCAGGCTTATCAAAATTTTGTAATCTTAAGTCATCGGCATCAGCAAATGAATGCCAATTTGCTCCTGCAAATGGAGATGTATAATCAATATCGATATCTCCAGGTAAATGAGCCCCGACCACTGTTATATCATAATTCAGATCCCATTTTTTTAATAGTAAAGCACTGGTAAGTCCAATTACACCAGCCCCTAACACAACAATCTTCTTCTCTGTCGTCATCACTGCTTCTGATGGAAACTTGATTTATGCAATTGATCCACTCTTGCCGATATAGACGTAATTATAGTACTAAATATTTATTTGCATGATTCTTATCTAAATCGTTTATCTTTTGGCAAGTAGTCTACAGTTAACCGATTTGTGTCGCCAGCTTCCGAAACCAAAATTGATTTTTTTTACAGTTTGTGTGTCGGCAATAATTTCCGAATTTGTTTTGACATAATTTTGGGGGAGGGTAGGGTTGAAGCGCAAGCTTTTACTTTTAGAACTAAGCTAAATATTTATTGAGTTGCAAGCCTGGTTTATATATCTGTGTTAAATGAATAGGTTACTTTCAGCAAAAACCAAAGTGCATATATCCTTCAAACTCGGAAAGGTTTCCTAAAAGTTCATTTCATGTATTTGTGTTTATTGCATTTGCTCCTTTGTGTGGGACAAATCTATATTTTCTAGAAAAAGTTAAACCAGTTAAGGTGAACCAATAAAATTAGACGTAAGAAAAGAGAAGAAGCCCTTAATTAAGTTATTATTTAAGAAGAATATTATGGATTTAATGAAAAACTATAAAAGTGGGATCCAACTCTTTTTTTATTTTTGTTCGTATATTAGAACGAATTAATTTTGCTAAATGACTCTACTTATATGGAATTAAATAATAATGCAATGAAACTTTAAATCATATTGCAATACATATAAAATTAGGGTCAACCTTATGTAATATACAAGTTCCACATAACCATTAATTAAATCTGGATAACAAGCTACTCAAAATCATTTGATTAATTCGTAAATCTAATTAATTATTATGATTTCCTATTCGTATGCTTAAGTTAATCTATTTTTGTGCTTCATTCAATAATAAAAATAATAAATCAAATCAAATCAAACGCCCCGCTAGATTTAATTTTATAGTGAATCTTAAATCTTTGTAAGAAATTTCATTCTCGTAAAATACGCTTTTCAAAGGCGAACTAAAAATTAATCTGATAATTGCAGGCGTTAAAAAATAAATATTATTTTTGCTTTTTTTTTGATGCAAAATGGAAGAAAATGAAATTGATCCCTCCTTAGTGACAGCATAAGGCAAACCATTATACTGACGAACAATACAGATAATCTGATGAGCTAACATAGTGAACCCCTTGACCAGATTTGTAAACGATGGATTTATTTAGCTATAGTTTACTAACTCCTATATCAATAGACTCGGTTAATTTTTTTCATTGATTCTGGGATGTGGTAATATCAACTTTCCACGCTTATCTGTATTTAATTTATTTCATTTCCTGCTTTAATTATACCTGCATTGGTTTTATTTCAATTTCTGTTACTATTTTAGTTCTTCTTTCTCTTCTCTTCCTTTTCATTTTCATTACATCAATTATCGGGATTCAAATATGTTGGCGAAATTTGGTTTAACTTTGTTAGCAATTGCTGCTAAAATATCTGCTGATGATGTAACTACTGTGACTGAGATTAATTATGTGACAGTCCCTTGTATACAACAACAAGTCAATGATATATTTACTAATAATCCAACTGGTCTTACCACTGGTATTCCCATTGTCATTGTCTATGCTAATCCAGAACCAACTCCACAATCATCGACAATAACAACAACTGAAGAAATAACTATTACTGTGAGTACAACTGCTACAGATTATGAAACTGTAACAAGTTGCAGTGATGACGTATGTGTGGTTAAGACTACCACTAACTTGATTCCAACGGTATATACTACCGTTGAAACTACGGAATATACTATTGTTGAATGTAATTCAACCACTTCTGAAGTATTTGGCGAAGAATTACCAACAATTAAATCAGCTGCTGCTACCATTATAACTCCTTTCCATACACCAACAGGTCTTGCAACCACTGACACTGCCACGTCAACTTTATTACCTCTTAGTACTAAGATTAATCCTGTCAAACAAGGATCTGATCCTTCAAAAAGCTTATATGTTACTACCGTTTCAAGTAAATATACTTCGGCTTATACTTCTACTTCTACTTCTACTTCATCAAGTACTTCAGCTGTAATATTAACATCATCTGAACCGGTTGAACCTTCAAGTACTTCAAGTTCTTCATCTAGTGAAATAGTTGGTTCATCAACTACTTTAAGTTCTTCATCTAGTGAAATCATTAGTCCATCAGGTCCTAGTGCTGTTTTCTACAATGTTTCACTGGTTTTGACTTCATCATCTAGTTCTTTGTTATCAAGTAATTATATTGAATCATCTTTCTACAATGAAATCTCGAGCCCTTTAAGTGTAATTTCAAGTTCTTTAAGTTCTTCAAGTTCTTCATGTTCAACTTCAATTTTAAGTTCTTCAAGTTCAACTTCAACTTCAACTTCAACTTCAACTTCAACTTCAATCCAAGTCTCAAGCTCAACTTCAATCCAAGTCTCAAGTTCAACTTCAACTTCAACTTCAAGTGAAGTCTTAAGTTCATCAAGTTCAAGTTATTCGAGTTCTTCAAGTGAAGTCTCAAGTTCAAGTGAAGTCTCAAGTTCAAGTGAAGTCTCAAGTTCAAGTGAAGTCTCAAGTTCAAGTGAAGTCTCAAGTTCAAGTGAAGTCTCAAGTTCAAGTGAAGTCTCAAGTTCAAGTGAAGTCTCAAGTTCAAGTGAAGTCTTAAGTTCATCACGTTCGAGTTATTCGAGTTCTTCAAGTGAAGTTTCAAGTTCTCCAAGCTCTTCAAGTTCTTCAAGTTCTTCAAGTCCTTCAAGTCCTTCAAGTTCAACTTCAACTTCAACTTCAACTTTAACTTCAACTTTAACTTCAACTTCTTCAACTTCTTCAACTTCTTCAACTTCTTCAAGTGAAGTGTCAAGTTCTTCAAGTTCAAGCGAAGTCTCAAGTACATCAAGTTCAAGCGAACTCTCAAGTTCAAGCGAACTCTCAAGTTCAAGTGAAATCTCGAGTTCAAGTGAAGTCTCAAGTTCAAGTGAAGCATCAAGTTCAAGTGAAGTCCCAAGTTCAAGTGAAGTCCCAAGTTCAAGTGAAGTCCCAAGTTCAAGTGAAGTCTCAAGTTCAACTTCAACTTCAACTTCAACTTCAACTTCAAGTGAAGTCTTAAGTTCATCAAGTTCAAGTTATTCGAGTTCTTCAAGTGAAGTCTCAAGTTCAACTTCAACTTCAACTTCAAGTGAAGTCTTAAGTTCATCAAGTTCAAGTTATTCGAGTTCTTCAAGTGAAGTCTCAAGTTCAAGTGAAGTATCAAGTTCAAGTGAAGTCTCAAGCTCAAGTGTAGCCTCAAGTGAAGCCTCAAGCTCAAGTGAAATTTTGAGTTCTTCACGTCCTTCAAGTTCAAGCTTAATAACTACATCCACTACAACCACAACAACCACAACACCTCCTCAAGTAATCACTATTGTAATTAAGTAGAACGCAATATTTCGAACATCTAATCATTCTATTATTTTAAAGCTAAATCTGATTTTTTGAATCGGTCAGCATATCCAGTAGCTTTTTGATAAATATGTGGTGAGTTTTCCGAAACAAGAGCTTTTAATTCAGTATTTGATAAATAAGTTACCAAATAAGTCCTGACCTTTTGCCGTTGTGGAATTTTTATTCAATCTACATATACCTGAAGAACGGGTACATTTATATTAATGCTAGTTACCTTGTTTGGTGCTAATTGTAAACTATTCCGTATTTGACCATCTTTAAATGTTTGCCATGGTCTTTTCAAGTTAGCTATAGATGTGTGTTGGAAGTTAAGGACACTAGAAGTTAATTATTTTAGAACACATACTGAAGTATCTTTATTCAAGTTCAGGCTTGCTACATTCCTATTTAGTATATATATTTTCGAATACAATATCAAATCTCATAACTTATAAATTAAACCCAAAATAGTAATACAACTTAAATTACTTAACAACTGGTTGTTCGTGTATCTTATGATTCTGTTGACCTTTAAAACTATCCTTGATATATTCCAATATTTCATAATTTTTTTTCTGTTTATGAAATTAGACGAAGAAAAAGAAAAGTAGTCTTAATTAGGAGCTGAATGCCATGTTTTGAGAATGGGTTTTGAATTCTGGTATTTTTTAATAAGTGCGTTTTTATTATTTAGAAGTATAATATGGCTTTAAAGAAAAACTATGACAATTTCTAAAAGTGGAATCCAACTCTGGTTATATGTAAGTAAATAATAATGAACGGAAACTTTAAATTATATTTAAACACATATAAAATAAGGGTCAAACTTATGCAAACTAGAAATTCAACATAACTATCAGTTGCCTATCACAAATCAGAGTAACAAATGAATCAAATCCAGATATAAGAACTTACTCAAAATCGTATGCCTTATATGTTAATCGTTGCCTCTGTTTGATTCGCAAGTCTAATTAATGATTCGTATTATAAAATTCTATTCGTATGCTTATTATAATCTGGTTTTGTACTTCATTCAATAATAAAAACAATTTATAAATCAAAAAATCAAAACAAAACAAACGCCCCCCGCTAGATTTATAAAATAGATTATTTTATAGTAAATCTTTAAACTGTTTTTTTTGTGTGTATTGCTTGGGAAACTTCAACCTCGTAAAATGCCTTTTCCAAAGGCGAGCTAGACATAAACTGTAAAATGTACCTAAAAAATAATCTGAAAATGGCTGGCGTCAAAAAATAAATCTCAAGGCGCGGTAAACATTTTTTCGTTGTTTGTTTTCATTTTTTTCGAGGCATGTTGCAAAATGAGGAAATCCAGCCAAAAAAGATCGCTCCTGCCAGCTTAGACCAAACGAATATGCTGATGTACGTTAACAATACTAATGATCTGAAGTGGTGACATGGTACACCGCTGGTACCTATTTGTAAACAAAGGATTTAGTTAGTTATAATTTACTAACTCGTATGTCAATAGACTCGGTTAATTTTTTTTAATCCTGGTTGGAGGTGATACTAACTTTCCATGCTTCTCTGTATTTAATGTAGTTCATTTCCTGCTTTTTATTATACCTGTATTGTTTTAATTTCTGATACCCTTTTCTTCTTGTTCTTCATTACATCAATTATAATCAAGATTCAAATATGTTAGCTAAATTTGCTTTAACTTTGTTGGCAATTGCTGCTAAAATATCTGCTGACGATGTAACTACTGTGACTGAGACTAATTATGTGACAGTCCCTTGTATACAACAACAAGTCAATGATATATTTACTAATAATCCAACTGGTCTTACCACTGGTATTCCCATTGTCATTGTCTATGCTAATCCAGAACCAACTCCACAATCATCGACAATAACAACAACTGAAGAAATAACTATTACTGTGAGTACAACTGCTACAGATTGTGAAACTTTAACAAGTTGTAGTGACGATTTATGTGTAGTTAAAACTACTACTTACTTGATTCCAACAGTATATACTACCGTTGCAACTACTGAATATACTACTATTGAATGTGATTCATCCACTTCTGAAGTATTTGGTGAAGACTTGCCAACAATTAAATCAGCTCCTACTACCAGTATAACCCTTTTCCATGCAACAACAAGTCTTGCAACTACCTACACTGTTCCAACAACTTTATCACCTCTTAGTTCTAAGAGTGATCCTGTCAGACATGGATCTGCTCCTTCGAAAAGTTTATCTGTTACTATTGATCCAAGTAAATATACCACTGCTTATACCTATACGTACACTTCCACAATAACTTCATCAAGTTCTTCCAATACTTTAGGCTCTTCATCTAGTGAAATGGTTAGTTCGTCAAGCTCTAGTGCTGTTTACTACAATAGTTCACTGATTTTGAGTTCATCGTCTAGCTCTCTGTTATCAAGTAGTTCTATTGAATCATCTTCCTCCAGTGAAATTTCAAGCTCTTCAAGTTCTTCGAGTTCAAGTTTAAGTTCAAGTTCTTATGTCTCGGTCTGTGTGGCCCCAACAGCTTTATTCGAAGCCATCTCGACTGAAGCTCCACCATCAATATTCCCAAGAGAAGATTTACCACTTGAACTTCTAGAAGGAGTATCAAATAATGGAAAGCCATTTCAAACCAATAAATTTTACAACAACATTTTCTTAGGTGATCAAACCAGTCCAATTTATGCTAATCCTTATATTTTATTCTGGAAGACTATCGACTACTACGGGTTTGGGGTTTATCATACTAATACTAGTGCTAGAGTCTTCGGTTCTGTTGATACTAACAACGTTAATGTTGATTCTTACTTTTTCAATCCTGTTGGAAATGCAGAAATTATCTTCTCGGCTGAATCTTTCACTGCACAACAAGGATCAAATGTTTCTGTTAGTAATATGGAAGCAATGTCTGTTCTTGTGGAATTATCTGCTACCCCAGAAGATACTAGTAATGTTATTCAAATTCCTATTGTTCAAGGTATGGGTTTTACTACTGCTATTTACTATGGTACTTTAGTTCCTCAATTAAATACACTTATTGGTTTCCAAACTTTAGTTGAAGAAACTTCATCGGAATTAGGGGCTAATTTATCAAAGTATCGTGTAACTTTGTATAACGGTGTTGAATGGCTTATTTATGTTACCACTCCAGTTGCTACTGATTATCAACTTAATGTTGTAACTAATTTCGTCATCGAAGGTCTTAATATGGATGGTCTCGTTATCCAAGTAGCCATTGCACCTACAGATCCCGCCGCAGAGGCACTTCTTGATCTGTCAGCTGGTACTTATACTACTGACGCAACTGTTGGAGGTTCTGTCGATTGTGAACAAAATGCTACCTATCTGTTCGACTACGCTACTGCTGGCTCTTCTAAAGCTAATGTTCCAATCGTCTATGCTTTGCCACATCATATCCTGTCCTTATCTCCACAGACAGCAGGTAATGCTATGAATATGTACCTTTCATCATCTTCAGAAGGTCAAATGCAAGCTTTTTTTACTAATCAATTAATTTTACAAGAATCATTAGAAGTAGTCTCTACTATAGGATGGTTTCCATGGTCAACATATGGTATTCAATATGGTTTAACCCCTGAGAGACTTCAATTGATTGCTTCAGTTGCCAACCATGAATTATCAGTTGATATTGCTGGCACTGTTGCTGGTGCTGATTCAAATTATTATTCTGGAAAGATCCTTGATAAATATGCTTATATATTATTAGTTGTAAGCGAAGTTCTTCAAGATGCTAATGTTACTGCTCAACTTTTAGATGATTTGAAAACAGCTTTTCAACCATTCCTCGAAAATACTCAATTTGATCCATTGATGTACGATACAAGATATCTTGGAGTTACTGCCACTGCTAATAATGAGGGTGATACTGGTGCTGATTTTGGATCTGGTTACTATAATGATCATCATTTCCATTATGGTTACTTTGTACATGCAGCTGCTGTTGTTGGTTACATTGACCAACAAAACGGAGGTACATGGGCAGAAGATAATAAAGATTGGGTTAATTCATTAATCAGAGATGTTGCCAATCCATCCGCTGAAGATACTTATTTCCCGATTTCGAGAATGTTTGAATGGTATGGTGGTCATTCTTGGGCTGCGGGTTTATTCGAAAGTGGTGATGGTAAAAATGAAGAATCAAGTTCTGAAGATTTTAACTTTTCTTATGGTATGAAAATGTGGGCCAATGTCGTAGGTGATGAATCTATGGAAGCAAGAGCCAATTTAATGTTAGCTATCACTTCTAGAGCCATGAATGACTATTATTATTATCAAGATGATAACACTGTCGAACCTATTGAAATCATTCCAAATAAGGTTTCAGGTATTATCTTTGAAAATAAAATTGATTATACCACTTATTTCGGAAGTCCAGATACAAATCCAGAATATGTTCACGGTATTCATATGTTACCTATTACTCCAGTTTCATCATTTGTTAGACTACCAGTATTTGTTCAACAAGAATGGGAAGAACAAATTTCGACCTTCATTGATAATGTTGACAGTGGATGGACTGGAATCCTATATCTCAACCAAGGTCTATATGATCCCAACTCATCTTGGGGTTTCTTTTCTTCTGATAACTGGTCTGATACTTACTTAGACGATGGACAAAGTAGAACATGGAGTTTGACTTTTACTGGAGCCTTTGCTACTGTCATCCACAAGTAAAAGATCCTGTAATATATGTATATTAGATTTCTCTTTTTATCCCCTTATATACTAAAATAAAAATAGACGAATATTAGTTGATCCGATTTCAACTGTAAAATTAATCTTGCCTTATAGAGACTTGTCTGTCTCTTGCGATAGTAATTCAATTTTGGCTGCTATATTTTTAAGATTTTAACATCCGCGAATTTTCAACAAACAAAAAAATCATGATAGTTTGAAAATGGAGACGTTACCAAACTTTCAAATCAGATATACGACTTCTTCTTATTGTTCAAAGTTTATATAATGTTTTCATTTGCAAAGAAGTTGGTGGATAGATTAGATGGTTCAGCATCAGATTCTAAGGCTGCTGATTCATATTTTAAAAGTGCACTTCAATTGAATAATAATGGTTATGGTTTGAGAGTAGTTCAAGTTGTTCCACATTCAGTTGCCCATCAACATGGATTTGAAGCTTGGTTCGATTATATTGTTCGTATAAACAATCATGAGTTGCCTATGCTTAATCCATCCTTATCTACTTATAGTTATAATATCAATGAAGATGGTAGTATAAGTTATGGTGGTGGTGCAACTCAAGGTCAAGTTGGAGCCATCAATTATGATTTATTATTACAAGAAATCAAAACTATCTTCAATACTGAAAAACAACTTGTATTAGACGTGTGGAGTGCTAAAGGTGGTATTATAAGGCAAATTGTTTTACCACTTACAGATTTCAAAGAATCAACCAATGTTTATGATGAAAATACCATCAAATTATTCGATAATAATTTTTCAGCTTTAGGATTAACTCTCGAATCCCAACATTTAACTACATCAACATATGTATGGAGGATATTAACTACTCATCAAGGATCACCTGCTTTTTCATCTCAATTGATACCTCATTCTGATTATATTATTGGTTGTGATTCAGCATTTCCAAATGATACTGATGGAAAGGGTCTACTTGCTCAAGGTGGTGAAGCTTTACTTTCTAGAACTGTTGTCAATTATTACAATCAGCATTATTCATCAGCTCAAGAGGATAATGTTCCAATTACTTTATATGTTTATAATCATGATTATGATATATTAAGGCCAGTTACAGTTAATCTTACCAGATCTTGGGGTACTGGACAAAATAAAGGTATATTAGGATGTGATGTAGGATATGGTTTACTTCATAGAATCCCTGAAGTTATTGGTAAATTTGATAAAGTTTCCATAGTTGATGATTTATTATTTGAATCAAGTCAAACTTTTGGTTATGAAATACCTTCTTCAACCCCAACTCCTAATCCAATTGATTCAGAAAAAGTAGTAAATCCAATTGCTCCTCCTCCAATTTCAGCTTCCATACCACATCGTCCAGCTGCTGCTCCTAAGAAAAAGAAGCATGTTGTTGCTGCTGCTGATGCTCTTGGTGGTCTTAATGATTACATGAATGAGGAACTTGCTAAATCAAAAGAATTAGATACAAGTCTTCCAGCTTCTCTGGGTCATGGAACACCTCCACCACCACCACCACCTACAGCTTCAAAATAAGTAACGTAAATAGTATTATATATCAATAAAGACATTTTATATTATAAATCATAAAAGAAATTGAAAACTTATAACAATATTAAAAATAGTAAAAATATAAGCAGCCCACTGCCGGAATCGAACCGGCGATCGCTCCATTACGAGTGGAGCGCCTTACCACTTGGCCAAGCGGGCACTAAAATCACAAAATTTTGAAAAACTGCTTTTTTGTATTGATTTTATCACGTGTGTTAAATATCACGTGGTCGTTTTTCAAATTCAATCATAAATTGTCTGAAATTAGACTGTTTTGATGAAAGTTAAGATTAAACGGTAGACATAATATCATAATAACCTCCGAAAGACTTTTTAAATGATTCACTAAAAATTGAGCTACATAATTGAACAATTGTAAAGGTATCAATTTTGACATAAATTTGCTTAATTTCTTGGATATTTAAGAATTGATAAAGTATCGACCACTGTAATTGAATATTACAATTTAAAAATTTGATAATGTTATTATATGAAAGTTATTTATATACTTCAATTGCAATATTACACTATTAGAAACTTTTCTTTATATATCATTCATGGTTGTTAATTCAAAGTTGTTACAAGTGGTAGCGCACATTGTTGCAAACTTGACGATCTTGTTCCGTGATTAAGAATTAAGGTACAAACACGCCTTTTACATTTTTAGTTTTTACTGTGGATCAAAAATATTTACCATTTTTAAAATTAGTCAGAGTTTAAACAAAGATAACAATTTTAATTTACTTAGCATTTACGAATTTAGTTATTCATTTCTTGGACTTTATATATGTCTAAATCATTGCAAATTATTCCTATATCATGTCTGAACCAGTAAAGAAGCTCACGTTTAGAGAGCAGATGAAAGGATTTCCTGCTTGGCAAATATTTGTTATCAGTATTATTAGATTTGCTGAACCTGTTGCATTTACATCATTATTTCCTTATGTTTATTTCATGATTCGAGATTTTGGTATTGCCAAAAACAAGGCTGATATCGCTACTTATTCAGGGTATTTATCAGCTTCATTTGCATTTTTTCAATTTTTATGTTGTGTTCAATGGGGGAGAGCTTCTGATAGAGTAGGTAGAAAGAAGATTTTATTATTGGGGTTATTAGGTACTGCATCATCCATGGTTCTTTTTGGATTTTCTGCTAATTTTTATATAGCCATGCTTGCAAGATCAAGTATGGGAGTATTAAATGGGAATATTGCAGTGTTAAGAACTGCCATTGGAGAAATTGCAACTGAAAGAAGGCATCAAGCTATGGCATTTTCAACTTTACCATTACTTTGGAATATAGGTGCTGTGGTTGGACCTATGATTGGTGGTTCTAAATACTTAACCAGACCTAAGAATTCAGTTAGTTCAGATGCCATTTTCACTGGTGATGATAGTTCTTATGAAAAATTTATTACTAAATTTCCATACGCGTTATCAAATATAGTGGTTGCTTTATTCTTATTATTTAGTTTCCTGGTGGGAATCTTATTCTTAGAAGAATCACATCCAAGATTTAAAAATAAAAGAGATAGAGGACTTGAAATCGGTGATTCTATTAGAAGATTCTTTGGTTTTGATATACCACCAAGACCTTGGCAAAAGGCCAGTATCAAGAGTAGTAGTAAGAAATCAGTGGTTAGAAAGCCAAAGACTCCAAGTCCAGAAGCTCAACCTGAAGATCTTGCTATTGATAGTGATGATGAAATTACTCCATTTAATCAACCCCAACAATTATATGCATCTACCAATCAAGATAATGAAGAAGGAGTTGGAAGTGATACTGATTCGATTGAATCAATTAATGGTATTATGTCAAGACGTATGTCAGCTGCATTAGTTAGAAGATACTCTTCTAATCAACTTGGACCTGTTATCTCATCTAATTTCGAAACTGAATCCATCATAACAACTAATATCGAACAAGGATTCAATAAAGAAATATTCACCGCTCCTGTGGTTCAAACTATTATTGCCAATTTCTTAACTTCATTTCATAATATTGTTTATTCTGAATTCTTACCTGTTTTATTAGCTGGTGACTTATTAGTCGATGAAATTAAATTCCCTTTCACTTTGAAAGGTGGATTTGGGTTTGAATCAAGTACCATCGGTATGTTATTATCTACTACAGGATTAATAGGTGGATTGGGAATCTTGTTTATTTTCCCTATTATTGATAGAAATTTCAAGACTATTAATGCTTATAGAGCTTCTGCATTAATTTTCCCCTTCAGTTATGCAGTTTTACCGTATTTAGTATTCACATTACATGAATATAATCCAAATTTCCCTAAGGGATTAACCAAGAAATTGTTATATGTTTTATGTTGTTGTAATTCATTTTCAGGTTCTGTGGGATTTCCTAACATTTTAATCTTAATCCATAGATCATCTCCTGCCAAACATCGTGCTTTTATAAATGGTCTGGCTTTAAGTTTATCATCATTAGCAAGATTTATTGGACCAATTCTTTTTGGATATATTATGTCTACCACAGATAAGTATTCCATTGGTGAAGTTGCATGGTTTCTGCTTTCATTCTTATCAATATGTTGTGTTATCCAAGCTTTCTTTATGAAAGATTATGAAGAAGATTTAAAAGATGATGAGAATGATGCATGAATGAAATCTTTCTTTCTTTCCTCACTATATACTATTTTTTTGCATTAAGACAATATTTTTTGTTTTTTCTCTTTCATATAAATCGTAATCTCTCTTTTATTTTAAGTTAGCACATTATTTTAATATACTAATATCATACCCTATTTACCATATCAAACATAACATCTGAATGACATCAGACGACGTAGAGGTAGAGTCCGTACTAACATCGATGGGGATGTTCATCATTGATGAGAATTTATATCCCGTCTCTTGGAATCGACCATCAGAATATGATATCTTAGGAGGTGGAGGACCATATGCCATAGTTGGTGGTAGAATTGCAGCAGGTGAAAAGGAAGGAAAGAGAATAACTGGGATCATTGATAAAGGGAGAGACTTCCCTCAATCAGTAGGTGATCAATTGGATGCATGGGATACAGGCATAATCTACCGTGAAGATAACAATCGATTAACTACTCGAGGTCAAAATATTTATGATGAGAATGATATTCGAGATTTCAAATATAAGAATGATAAGAAACGAATTGAAGTGGATGATATTTTGAATTATGATAAATTGAAATCATCCAGAAGTTTCCATTTGATTTGTTCAATTGATAGATGTCATACTATTATTGATAAATTGAATCAACATTTAAATCATCAGCCAATATATATTTATGAACCATTACCTGATGATTGTAAACATGAAAACTTGATGAAATTAACTCAATTACTTCCAAAGATAGACATATTCACTCCTAATCTTGATGAAGCTTGTGAATTAGTGGGGATCAACAAGAAGGCCAATGAACTTATTGATAATCTGTATCTCAAAGACATAACTCAAAAGTTTAATCAGTACCTTAGATTAGCCAACTCAGGTACAGTGTTACGATGTGGTCCATTAGGATGTTTTATTGAAACCATAGATAAACAAACTTACAACCTCCCAGCATACCATCTTGATCAAACCAAAGTTATAGACGTGACAGGTGGTGGGAATTCATTCTGTGGAGGATTCGTAACTTCATATATTTTAACTCACGGTGATTGGTTGATGTCGGGGATTTTAGGAAATCTTGTGAGCGGATGTGTGATTGAAAGATTAGGTGCTCCTATTAAGGCCACTGATAAAGAAGAATGGAATGGGGTTAGTTTGAAAACTAGATTTGATAATTACGTTAATCAGAATCAAAAGTTACTTACACATTATAAGTTAGACAAGTCCAAACTTAATTGGATATGATAGAGTATAGGTAGAAAGTAATAAATATCTATTAATATGTAATCTTAATTAAAAGAGAACTAAATTTATATAGACTATGCAAAAATTAGGGGGGTATAAAATTAAAATTATGGTTTTTCTTCATTATTTGAAATGAATGTAGTGGCAGCCGAATCACCGGGAGATGTTCCCTCCTCAGAGCCGCTACTAATTTTGTTGGCATTATTGTTTTTATTGTCATTATGGTCATTAGTTGTGATTTGAGCTGTTATATCAGAAAGATCAACATTCTTCTCATTATCATTTTCATCGTCAATGTCTTCCGTCTTGTTGGTAGCGGTGATTTCCCCTTCCTCTTCTTGTTCTTCCACTTCATCATTTATAGCAATGATAGGACGACTATTTTGACTTGTATTAGGGGCATTATCTTCATGATATAATTTCCGTAAGATTTCTTTATCATCAGTCCAACTTCTAAGTCGTTTACCATAAATATATAAAGGTATAGCAAATAAACTTAAGAATAGTTGGACTGATCCATAAGTTAAGAATGCAGTTCTTTCCCCTCTTGAATGAATGAAATCATTATTAAATAACGAGAATATAAACCCCATTAAATTCTTTAAGAAATTGAATGAAACTAATGATTCTGCAGCAAACATTTTGTAAGAATCCACCGTGAAAGTAATGGCGGTAGTACTAGCCATCGAAGAACCAAATCCAACACATCCAAAGAATATGACAGGAGCAATCCATGCATCTTTATTTTGAGATGACCATCCGAATCCCATAAGACCGAAGGATATGAAAAATGTTGATGGGATAATCATTAATAATCTGAATTCAGGTTCATAAACTCCATGATTCTTCGATACTAAATATCTACTCAATCTATCACTTATCAAACCAGCTGACAATGATCCAAGAATCCCACCTACGAAAGGTGATACATAGAATAAACCAACTGTTTGTTGATCATAATCATACCCTGAACCCATGAAAATATCAGAAATAGTTTCAGAAATGACAATTAACCATACCACCGCAAAACAATATACGAATGATCCGAATAATACTGATGGATAGGTATATAAGAAGAATGGACGAAGACATACCATCCACCAACTATCAAGAGTATGTCTACCTGAATAAAGAGCCATATCTTTAATGAATGATCTACGAGGAGTATCTGAATTAATATGATTTGGGATGGTTTCATCGGGATTGTCTATTCCTACTGGATTGTGTTGATTAGTGATATTGGTGGTATTATAAATTGATGATGAAAGACTTTCAATATCCACCACATCAAATTGTGATGGCCTATGTAAGGCAAAAGCATTTGGACGTTCTTCAGGGGGATGATAAGTTTTAACTTTTCTAGCTGCTTCTGATTCTTCTTGAGATCTTTTATTAGGGGTTGGATTTCTATCCCAGAAAGTATCTGGGACAAATAAAAAGGTTAAGATTAGATTTATCCCTAAGAAAATACTTAAGATCCAAAATAACCAATGTCTATTTAAATTTTGAAAGATTAAACCTGATAATAATGGAATGATATTCTTACCACCTAATAATAACATGGTATAAATCCCAACTCTATAAGCTCTTTCATGAGCGAAATAAATTTCAGCAATAGTTGAACTTGGTAAACATTCAGTTGGAGATGCACCTAAACCGATTATAACTCTTGCACCCATTAAACTTCCGAATGAATTAGCATTTGCTGCCCATATTGATCCAACTAAAAATAAAGTAATTCCACCTAAATAAACTAAACGTTTACCATAAAGAACGGCAGTTGGAGATGCAAACACCGATCCAAATCCTAATGATAACATGAATCCACCAACCAAATAAGAAATTGTAGCCAAAGGACGATTAAACTCAACCACTAATGAATTCATACCTGCGGCTAAGATTGGAGTTTGACCACCTCCAATGAATGATTGGAAACCAATTAATAATAAACATAAATCTCTTTTCAAGATGGGCCAATTCAATGGATCATTCGGACTATCATGAGGCTGAGGATTTAAAATAATACCATTGATAGATCGTTTGATAGATAAGGATGAGTGTACAGATGATATTCCATCATCATTATCACTGACGTTGCCACTATTTATATTTTCTTCAGGATTAGCATCATCCATCATAATGATGGTACCAGTTACTTCACGTACATTAGGTTGTTGAATACCTAAATGAGACGGGAGCTTTGCCATGATACAAGTAGTATATGATGATATGATATGAGATGACTTCACAGATAAGTGATTTGATTGTATATGTTGTGATTTGAGAATGATCTACTGATATATATAAAGAAATTTAAGGTTGATTTTATATTACGTATTCACATCGCTTTGTTTTTGATTTCGGATTATCTTTTTTTTTTTGTTAGGCTTAGCTTTTGTGGTAAGTTGTCTTAATTAGGAAAGAGATGAACAGTTTAAATTTAGAATGATAATTGTATAGTAAACAAATAAATAAATAAACAATAACCAAGACAATTTCATGTTACAATGACATCGAAGACGATGACCATTACCCATGACCACCACGATCCATTTGTTATTTGTTTATGTATTTTTACTAGTCTTATGCTATCTTTTTACGCTGTTGCATAGTACTTCGTTACAAACCACGAAATGTTTTAGTCTGAGCAAGTTTTATATGTGGGGTAAGGTAAGACAAATGTATTATGACAATATTTAATGATTCAACTCCTTCGTACAGATTTTGTAACTTTGTCATTACACAGCATTATGCTTATCTCTACAAGTTGAGATATCTTACGTCATACTTGCTTGTTGTTGTTATTGTAGATTTGACACACTTCTGATCGTCGTGATTTACCGCGTCGGTAAAGGTTTGGTCGATTGAAATTTGTGTGTGGTGAAGGATTTATTTCATGTATAGTGGTTTAAATATAATTGATTATCACTTGTTTTTCTTATTTACAATTATAATTGTACTTAACACAACATAAATAGTACGATTATATTCATCGCTTATAGAAGAGTCAGCTCATACTATATATATAGTTTAGTTACCATACTAAACTTACGTCTACCCAATTCAGTAATTGTACGCGAAAGTTCACCGCCTGCCTAAATAAAGAATTACCAATTGATGCAAAAAAATAGGGAGTACTCTAACTTAAACTATCACCAGTTTAGGTAAGAAACGACATAGCAATGTCAATGAAGTAGCAACTATGGGGGGTCGCATCCATTAATCAAATCGCATCCATCCAACCTCACCCATCGCATAATTTCAAACCCCTCTGAAGTTCCAACCATAATAATGGATAATTAGCGGACCGCCCCACTAATTTAAGATAAACGCGACATGCGCTTAAAATCGTTGAAAAATTTCCTTATCAGTTTATCGGCTCACAGCATAATTTAGGGGGAGAGGCAAGTACATTATGATATAAACGACAGGGTAAGGCGGTATCAGGTAGCCGCTAACTATTAAAGTATATATTCATATAAATATGCAGACTCATCCCATTTTTTTCTAATTTATCGTTTGTTGAGTCAATTGAGTCATTTTGAATAACTAATATATATATTTGAACATGACTGTTGAAGATCAAAAATCATATGTTTTCCAAGCTAAAATCGATGAACAATTACCTAATGTGTTGAGTGGTAATGGGATTAAAATCCAAGTCGAGAAAGATGGTAAAGTAACTGAATTAATTGATGCCATGACTGGTGCTGCTGTTGGTGCTTTAGGATGGGGAGATCCTGAAGTTCATAAAATTATGAGTGAAGCTGCTACTGTTACCAGTTATTCCTATCCTGCTTATATTGGTAATAAACATGCTGAAGCTTTAGCTAAATTTTATATTGATAATTCTCCAAAAGGAGCCTTTGCTGGTGCTTTATGGTGTGGATCTGGATCTGAATCAAATGAAAATGCTTTAAAACTTGTTAGACAATATCATTTAGAAAAGGGTAATATTAAGAAAACTAAATTTATTTCAAGAACTACCTCATATCATGGATTTACAATTGGTGCTTTATCAATTTCTTCTAATACAAGAGCTAAGAATTTTAAAGATATTTTATTACCTGAATCTCAATGTTTAAAAATGCCAGTTTGTTATGAATATAGAAATAAAAAGAAAACTGAATCAACTGCTGAATATGTCCAAAGATTATTAGATAATTTAGAAGAAATGATTTTGGCTGAAGATCCAGATACTATTGCTGCTGTTATTGTTGAAACTTTACCTGGTTCATCATTAGGTACAGCTCCACCTCCAGCAGGATATTTACCAGGGATTAGAGCTTTATGTAATAAATATGATGTTTTATTCATGTTAGATGAAGTTATGTGTGGTACTGGTAGATGTAATCCAAATGGAGGATTAAATTGTTGGGAAAATTTCTTAACTGTTGAACAAGGTCCAGATATTCAAACTGTTGGAAAGACTTTAGGTTCAGGATATGTTTCAATTGCTGGGATTTTAATCTCACCAAAAGTTAGAAATACATTTTTAAAGGGTTCAGGTAAAGTGTTTGGAGCTCATACTTATTCCGGTCATGCTTTTAACTGTTTAGTAGCATTAAAAGTTCAAGAAAGAATTAAAGAATTAAAATTAACTTCAAATATTTTTAAAATGGGTAATCTTTTAGGTGAAAAATTAACTGAATCATTAAAGGATTCTCCATTAGTCGGTGATGTTAGAGGTATTGGTGGATTTTGGTCAGTTGAATTAGTTAAGAATAAAGATACCAAAGAATCATTCCCCTTACCATTAGATGTTTGTCATCATTTACAAGATATCTGTTTTGATAATGGATTAACTGTTATGGGTAATCAATGTTGTAATGTTGATTCAGGTGATCATGTATCATTAGCTCCATCCTTCATTATAACCGAAGAGAATGTCGAACAAATTGTTCAAATCTTTACTAAATCAGTTAATGATTTACAAAAGGAATTAATTGCTTCTGGAGATTTTTAGATACTTATCTCTTTATCTTACCCTTTTGTTACCTTATTTATATGTTTTTTTGTAGACCAATTATTAATGAATGAAATAGAATATTGAATATTTATTACAATACCAATGTAGTCTATACATACCACTAGTTATATCATACGGTCCCTTGACTGTAACGTTGTAAAGTAAAGATATCTAATCAAATCAAATCAGATATTTATAAATTTTTCACTTCAAACCATTTTTTCCTCTTTTAACAATTTATAAATTAGACGCGTTAAAAATTAAATCAATTTTTTTTTTTTGGTTGAGAAGTTGACCACACAGAAAATGAAATCTCCAAAAAGCAAAAAAATCTAAAGGAAGAAGGTTCTTTTTTATAGTTAATATATCATCAATCCTTTCCCCTATCATTGACTTCTTTGGTGTTCATCATGACTACAACTGAGCCAAGAGTCTATAGGGCGACCTATTCAAGCGTATGTTTTTTTAATCATTTGATGGGATATTGGATGAGATAGTGGCGGAAGTTCAAAGTTGGACCAATCCAATTAAAGGTGAGATCTCACTCCCCCCCTCCCTCACTAATCCCTTTCATTCTTGATCTCAACTGGTCCAATGGCCAGATCTGGATCTATTCAGAGTTAAACATCAATGTTATGACGCGTCATATGATACTAACTATCTTAATTATGATTATAGACTGAGGTATTTGAATGTAATATGAATGATTCCCCTATTATGAGGAGATGTAAAGATAATTGGGTTAATGCCACTCAAATTTTAAAATGTTGTAATTTCCCTAAAGCTAAAAGAACTAAGATTTTAGAAAAGGGCGTACAACAGGGTCAACATGAAAAAGTTCAAGGTGGATTTGGTAGATTTCAAGGAACTTGGATTCCATTGGAAGATGCTCAAAAATTAGCCCGAAATTATGGCGTAACTCAAGATGCTGCTCCAGTTTTATTTCTTGATTTTTCAGATCCAAACTTACATATTCCTGAAAAGGCAAAACCTTTACCTAAAGAGCCATCTCTGATTAAAAGGAAATATACTAAAAGACCAAAGAATCCTGATGAAGATCAATCTCCAAAGAAATATAAAACGGGTAAAAAAGCAGCTGCTCAGGCAGCAGCTGCTGCTGCCGCAGCAGTAACACCATCCATCAATGGAGGTATTCCATCTTCTCAAGGTTCTTTACCTCCTAATTCTCAAGATTCTTATGGTCTGATTTCAAGATCTAATTCTTATATTCCTTCAAGTCAATCTCAAAATGGTAATGGTATTCAATTACCACCAACATTTTCTCAAGCATCTCAACAACCACCAGTGTCAATGCCTATTAATGGATCTATGCCAATCAATTATAATACCTATAATACTCAGAATGAATATCAAAATCATCAATTACAATTACAACGTATACAGCAACAACAACAATATCAAATCCAACAACAACAGCAACAACAACAACAACAACTTCAATTACAACTACAACAACAGCAACAGCAACAACAACAAAAGTTTTATCAAACTGGAGTTCATCAACAAATGGTACGAACTTTCCAACAAAGTAAATCATTATCACAATCTACTAATGATACAAATTGGTCACAGGATGACAATTTGAATAATCATAATCATAAAGATAGTGATACATCAGTTACATCTAATGAAGATTCTAAAATTAATGATATTACTCAAAGTCCAAAATCATTATCAGAAGATAGTTATTCATCATTATTATTAAAATTCTTTAGTGAAGATAATTCGGAAATCCCTTATTTCCTTCATAATCCTCCCTTTGATTTTAATATTAATGAACCTATAGATGACGAAGGTCATACTCCCTTACATTGGGCTGCATCGATTGGGAATTATCAAATGATTCATTTATTACTTTCAAAAGGGGCAAGTCCACTTGTTGTAAATAATTTTGGTTTAAATCCATTATCTAAATTAATCTCATTTAATAATTGTTATGAATTAAAAAATTTCCCCAAAGTTTTAGATGATCTCGATTTATGTTTGATTAATACTGATATAAATGGTAGAACTCCCTTACATTATTTATGTCAATTTGTTAAAGTTAAAACCAAATATGAAAGTTTAAGATATTATTTAAACATTATTTTGAATAAATTATCCGATTTATCCAATCAAAGTTTAAATAAACAAGTTAATCTATTAAGAAATGTATTAGATCATCAAGATGTTAATGGTGATACTTGTTGTCATTTAGCTGCTAAATCAAATTCTCCTAAGATTTTAAAAACTTTATTACAATATGGTGCAAGAGATGATCTTGAAAATATTCATAAAGAAACTACAAGAACTTTAATAATGCAACATAATATAATTCCAAATTATGTTAGTATACCTCATAATCCACTTGCATTTAATTATTCTCCGCCATCAGGACCACCACCTCCTGTTCCTGTTCCAATTACTCATATTCAACAAAAACCTCAGCCTATACCTCAAACTCAACCAGCTCAACCACAACAGCCATATTTGGTGATGGCTACCCCAGTTCAACCACTGGTATCTACTTCTGAAACTCCTGATACCCAAAGAACCACCATTCAAGAATTAGATGAAGATGATGATGATCGTTCTGATAGAGTTGATAGAAGTCATCTTGATGCCTTAATTAAATCTGAAGATAATAAAGAAAATATATTCATGGAACATAATACCAATTCCAATTTCCATAAGAATATGTCAACTCCAAGAGCTCATGCTATGTCACCTCATTTACATCAACCATTAGCTGTTATATCCGAAAGAACAGTTGAAAGTACCCCTATAAGTAATGATACTAAGAAAAGTGCTTTCAATAGTAATATTAACAATAATCAATTCCATCATGCTCATCAACCAAACCCACCTAAATTAAATGATGATGGGGAAATCATTGAAAATGATGAAGATTCACAAGTTAAAGATGATAAATTACTGATGATTGATTTATCAACTATGATTTCTGGAATGATTAATGCTCTTTCTACATCTTATAAATCAGAAATAACGAAATTAGATACTGAAAAAGAACAATTACAAAAGAGTCTTAACGATAAAGAACATACCAATGAGCATACCTTTAATGTATTTGTTCAAATGTTATCTAAATCAGGAGTTGAACAATTTAATACTATTGAAGAGGGTGAAAAGCTTTTACTTAATGAAATAGCGAATTCAACTTCAAAAGTTGAAAAGCAACAAAGTGTTTTATTGAGACGATTAGAACGTGATCAAGCTTTTCATTTAGCCAGTTTAGTTGAAGAACAAGAATTGAAATATATGGATAAGGAAGGTAACAAGGATAATAATAGTACGGCTGATTCTGAGGATGTTGATTTAATAAATGAAGATAAAATCGATTATGCCTTAGAGCTTAGTCAATTACAAACTGAACGAGTTAAATTAATTCAAAAATTAGCTATTAATGTAACGAATTATGGGATCGATGAAAAAATGTATAAATATAGAAAATTAATTAGTCTGAGTTGTGGATTAAAAGTTGAAGATATCGATAGTTTGATCGATGGCATAGAGGAATCTTTAGTTGAAAATCTTTAGCTAAATTGATTTCTAGTATTTTTTATTTAGTTATAAAAATGTATAAATTTCATTGATAATGCACTTTTAAGTATGTAAAAATGTAGAAAATTGGTATCGCGACTTGGTACGAGCAAAAATCATTTTTTTGTGGTGATTTTTAAAATTTCAATTTACTGTAAACATCTTGAAGTAATATAATAAACATCAACCATTAAATCATGTCAAAGGCTTCATTCAAAAGACAAAAGGTAGTGGCCAACAAACCTTACGAGCCATTAATACCACCTACCAAATATGATCCTTCCCCTGCAACGTTGAAGAATTTCCCATCATCAATTGTCAATGGTGTAACTAGTGAGGGTGGATTGTTTTCATTAACTTTCAAAGCTGTTACAGCTGCTTCATACATAGAGAATGCCGATCTTATACGTAAATCCTTGTTTGATTCCAGTGATTTGGATCTTTCTCAAATAACAGATAAGGAATTTGAAGGTGAGAAGAAATTACAAACATTAAAGGAAGAAGTTTCTCAATTGAAGTCAGAGTCAACTTTAAAATCAAAGATAACGGAAGAATCCCCATTGAAAGATAAATTACAACAAGACTTAGAATCAGGAGAAAATCTTACAGCTATAGGGAAACAATTAATAGAAGATTATCATATTGCAAATCCAAATAAATCTCTTGTATTCAGTGTTAAGGCATATAATGATGTTTATGATTTGAAAATACCTGATTTAAAAGTTGATAAATTCGAAGATGTTAAAGATGTTGATCTTAAACCATATCAAAAGGAATCAACAGCAGTTGTTGAGACTGTCAGTGAACCAGTTGTTGAACCAGTAGTTGAGCCATCTGTCGAACAAGTTGCCGAACCAGTCATTGAAGCAGTTCATGCACCAGTTGCTGCATCTATTAGTGAGCCAACCGTCGAGCCAGTAGTTGAACCAATTGCCGAAACAGTTGTTGAAACAGTTGTTGAAACAATCATAGAGCCAGTTGTCGAACCAGTAGTGGTGCCAGTCGCAGCGCCATTTAATGAGCCAGTCGCTGAACCAGACACTCAAACATCAACCATACATCCAACTACAGAGCAGGAGACAACCATCACAGAAGCTACTGAATCTCAAGATATAGTCACTGAAGCACTTGCCGTTTCTCAAACTTTTAACGAATCATAAATAGAATGTATATTGTTTATAAATCTGTATTTTTATATATAAGAAAAAAAGTTACTCATAACATTGTAATATTTTCATGCATTGCCTCCAATAACAACACTTTTAATAGTCATATATTCATCCATACCATATTTTGAACCTTCTCTACCGAAACCGGATTCCTTGATTCCTCCAAATGGTAAAGCAGCTTCCGAAATAAGACCAGTATTAACACCCAACATACCAACGTTTATTTCTTCAGCGAATTTAAATAAGTTACTAATATCTTTGGTATAGAAATATCCTGCTAAACCAACAGAAGTATCATTGACAAATTGAATGAGTTCATCGTCATTCTTGTATTTGATCAATCCTGCAACTGGACCAAAGGTTTCCTCATTTGCAATATGCATATCTTGAGTCACTCCTCCAAGAACAGTTAATTCATGGAAATATTGTCCAATATCAGGACGAGCTTCACCACCAGTTAAAACAGTTGCCCCTTTAGAAACAGCATCCTTAACATGATCTTGTACCTTTTTTAAGGATCTTCCGTGAATTAATGGACCATGAGTAGTTTCTGGGTCTAAACCATTACCTAATTTAACTACTTTCTTAACTTTTGCAACAAAATTTTCCACAAATTCATCATAAACTGATTCATGAATATAAAATCTATTAGCACAAACACAAGTTTGACCACTTGATCTGAATTTAGCAGCAAATGCCCCTTCAACAGCTTTATCAATATCAGCATCTGCAAACACGATAAATGGTGCGTTCCCACCTAATTCAAAACTTAATTTTTTAAGAGTTGAAGAAGATTGATTCATCAATAATTTACCAACTCCAGTTGAACCAGTGAATGAAATTTTATTAATAAGTGGATGTTCACACATTAATTTCCCAATTTCAGGGGTACGGTCTGTAGGTAAGATATTAACTACACCTGGTGGGAAGCCTGCTTCTTGAATCAAATGAGCCAATGCTAATGATGCTAATGGAGTTTCAGGGGGTGGTTTAATAACAGCCGTACAACCAGCAGCAATGGCAGCTGCTAACTTTCTAGTGATCATAGCAAGGGGAAAATTCCATGGAGTTAAAATTCCACATACTCCGACAGGTTGTTTTATAGATAAGATTCTACTTCCTGGAATACCGGAAGGAATGATATCTCCATGAATTCTTGGAGCTTCTTCAGCAAACCATTGACAGAAAGATGCCCCATATTTAACTTCTCCTAAAGCATCAGCTAAAGGCTTACCATTTTCAAGTACAATTATCTTAGCTAAATCTTGTTGATTTTCAATAAGTAAATCATATAATTTACGGAGTAAATCTGATCTATATCTGGGAGTGGTCTTTTTAAAGTCCTTAAAAGCAGTAGTAGCAATTGTAACTGCATTATTGAAATCTTCACTAGTGGCAGATATCACTTCAGCTATCAATTCCCCATCATTACCTGCCAATGCTGGATTTTTCACTGTAAAAGTTTTGTTATCCCCACTTTTTTCCCATTTACCATTGACATATGATTTAGTCTGGAGTAAATCTTTATTATTGAATTGGGAAAGAATTGATTTTGACGAAACCATAGTGAATCGACGTATATTGGTTATAGAACCACGTAGAAGCATTTTGAATGAAAATTTGCTGTGGTTTAGTATATATATATGATTCAAGATAGTATTATGTATTTACCATTTGCTTTTTTTTCAGTACTGAGAACAATAACTATCACGGAATTCTGTGAGCAAGATAGAGAATGGGGGTACAAGGCGTATATATATACAATATAAATCGGATTCTATTGGACCATTTGTATTGGAAGTATCTATAGCTATATAAATCGTGATTGAACAATGAAACCGGCTTACACGGCAATTGATAGTTACGGTTTATGACTAAGGTGAAGTAGTTAGTTTCTTTATCTTTCTCTCTATAACTTTGTCAGGACTCAAAGCAGATTTACATCTTTTATCAATTTCTTTACTTTCTTCAGAAGTTGGCTTCTCTTGTTTGGAAATCCTTATACATTTTCTAATGGTTCTTACCAATATTTCATACTGGTTTCTTTCTGATTTTATTTGATCATCAATTTCATTATTATCATCATTAGTAGGTTCTTCATTTTCGTCTCCTATTTCTTCATGGTCATTATGAACTGCTGAAGTTGTTAAGAACTTCTTTTTTAAATATCTATCTGTTACTCTTCTATTAACATCATACATTGCTGCAAGTGCAATCTGAGGAGGTGTAAATAAGAAGGCTACATCACTTAGTATAGCATTTTCATTTAACCATATTTTTGCTTTATCATATAATGCACCTAAAGTATCGACTGACACATCATACATTAATGGAGATGGATGTAATAGAACAGCTTGAAAATCAAGAAAGAATCCATATAAGGGACGGAATGCATGATGAACTAATAAAGTGAATTTCAAACTTTGTAAGATTTTAAATTCTAAATCAAGAATATCAGATGGCTTTACATCTTTTAATCTCTGTACAAATGATTCAATGGATATAAAATAATTTTCCAGTTTAGCAGCTAAAAACACACTAGTATACATGATATTCTTAGGATGATATTCCATCATGGAATTGATAAGATAAAACTTTTTAAATAATGAAATGGCAGTTAATTTAACTTGAGTTGGCATTCTGAAATAATCAGTGGTTTGTACTATATTTTGACAATAGAATTGAATGAATTTTGATTCTTCTTCATAAGTTAATAGCGTTATTAAAGTTTGAGGATTCAATTCATCATCTTTATATCTTTCAAACAATTCTGGATTTTCACTTTTACTCTTATTAAATGCTTGATTAAATCTTTCTTGAGCAAGTAATTGACCTGTTTTATTTGCCTTTTGTTTAGCTTTGTCTAATGATTCTTGAGTAAATGACCATAATTCAAATTGAGTAGATCGCCTATAAAGATCATCATTGGATATAGTGACTCTCTTAGGAACTGGTTCCTCAACTTCCTTCTCTTGTTCCGTCATAGAGATAATAATGATGTTGTATCTGAAATAATATTCAAATTTGATTCAAGCATATCTGAAAACACGAAAAAAAAAGTTCACTTTAAAATTTGTATGTGACTGCATATAAAAGAGATGTAACGTAACAGAGTCCATTATTCTATAAGATCAGAAGGCATAACAACTATTACTATAGCTCTTATAACTGTAAGATAAAATAGATAACTGGAGGTTCTAATAGGATATAATACTACCCATTTTGGAATTACAAAGTCATTACTAATGTCACACGACTAGAATCGTAATTGACAGACATCTAAACTGAATGAAGAGGGGTTTTTACCGTTGATTATGTAAATTTAAATATAGAAATTAACATGAAGTAATCAAACAAATCAATTACGGCAATTGACAGATTTGAACTAACGTAATTGAAAATAGTATAACAATAGGGGTGTCATATTTTCAATTTAAGTCAAATTGAATCCATTTTAGGTAATGTTTATCGCAGCACGTAATTAGTTTTCCGTTTTTGCGATAAGGTACAATTATTGATAATGAAAAATTATCTTAGCCGCCCATTATTCGTAAGTTTCAAAGGAGCCATTGTCCTTTTTATCCCCCGAGGAATTTTTCACTATGGCATCCAATGGCATCTATGTCTATTGATATCCCTGATCTACCTATAAATAGTCTCTGATTTTCCCTTAATAGTTTGTAATCTACCTCTTGCTTGTAATCACTAACCCCATTTTCGCAGTACCTTTATCATAATGAAGTATTTATCATTATTTTATTTTACAACTTTAGCTGCTTCCCTTCGGATCAGTCCTGAAATCAAAAGATCTGTTCTGGAAGTATTAGCTGATGAACAAAATCTTAATGATACCACTTATAATTTCGTTCAAATTGATTCAGGTGAACTTTTCCCTATGTCATTATGTAAAGGTATAACCTTAGAAGAGGCTACTATTGATCAATTACAAGATTATTTATCGCAAGGTATTTTAACCAGTGTTGATTTATTACAATGTTATCTTGATAGATATTTCCAAATCAATGATTTCGTCAATGGAGTCCTTCAATTAAATCCGGATATGTTCGCTATTGCTACTCAATTGGATCAAGAAAGAAGTCAAGGTATAGTTCGTAGTCCCTTACATGGTATTCCATTTATGGTGAAAGATAATTATGGAACCAAAGATAAAATGCAAACCACTTGTGGTTCAAATGCTTTATTAGGATCAGTTGTCCCTCGTGATGCTCATGTGGTTCATAAATTAAGAGAAGCGGGTGCTTTATTATATGGCCATGCCACCCTTTCTGAATGGGCAGATATGAGATCAAATGATTATAGTGAGGGTTATTCTGCTACTGGGGGTCAAGCAAGATGTCCTTACAATTTAACTCTTAATGGTGGTGGTAGTTCAACTGGTTCAGCAGGTTCAGTAGCTTCAAATTTAATCATGTTTGCTATGGGTACTGAAACTGATGGTAGTATTATTAATCCAGCTGGAAATAATGCTTTAGTGGGATTAAAACCTACTATTGGATTAACTTCCAGAAATGGTGTTATTCCAGAATCAGAACATCAAGATACGACCGGTCCATTAGCTAGAACCGTCAGAGATGCTACTTATGTTTTACAACAAATTTACGGAGTTGATCCATTAGATAATTATACCTATGCTCAAATTGGTAATACACCAGAAGATGGAGATTATGTTAAATATGTATCTAATAAGACCGCTTTAAAAGGGGCGAGATTTGGTTTACCATGGGCTAAATTATGGTCTTTGGCTGATCCAGAACAAATTGATGGTTTGTTGACCACCATTAAAGCTATCGAAGATGCTGGAGCTACAGTTTATAATAATACTAATTTTCTTAATTTGGATGTTATTTCATCTGACGGTTGGAATTGGGATTTTGGACCTGTAAATGAATCAGAATATACTATCGTTAAAGTTGACTTTTATAATAACATTGCTACTTATCTTGAAGGATTAGAAAATACTAATATTAGAAGTTTACAAGATTTAGTTGATTATAATTATGCCAATGATGGTACTGAAGGTGGTAGTCCTGATGTGGTTCCTGCTTTTGCTTCAGGTCAAGATGGATTTTTAGCATCTTTAGAATGGGGTGGAGTTATGAATGAAACTTATTATCAAGCTATTGAATTCGTTCATAAAAGTTCAAGGGAAGAAGGTATTGATTATGCTTTAAATTATACTGATCCTACCACTGGTGAAAATTTCCAATTAGATGGTTTATTAGTTCCATCAGGACATAGTATAACTTATCAACAAGCTGCTAGAGCTGCATACCCGATGATCACTATTCCAGTGAATGAAACATCTGTAGGATTACCATACGGTATTGGTATTATGAATACAGCATGGTCTGAACCTCAATTAATTAAATATGGTTCAGCTATTGAAGATCTTATAAAGGGTAGAACCACCCCTACATTCAAAGATTATTTAGCTAAGAATATTCCTGTTATTTAAATATGCTATGTAGGAGGAGTAGTTGCGTTATTAACTACTTTGATTTAAAAAATATATATATATAATATTTATATAATTTGACGTTAATAAAAATTGGTAAATTGAAATTTAAAAATAACCAGTATCTTTTTTACCTTATAAGGGGGTAGATGACGAGGGGGGAAGTATTGAGGGGATTAAACTATAAGTCAAGGTTACCAACTGGTTGATCTTCATCTTCATCATCACTTGATAAACTACCTACATCACTAAGTTCATCGTCTTGATCATCTTCATCGTCTAATTCTTCATCTTGATCATCTTCCAATCTGACATTGGTGGCATACTGCCTTACAAATTGTTTAACCATTTCATTATATTTATTTTCATCCTTTTGCATAAGATTTGAAGCTTCAGTATTTAATGGATCACCCGGGTTGGCATATCTTAATAAATGAGGAAGGAAATTTTCAAAGATATTTAATAACCCAAACATAGGAGACCAAGTTTGATTAATCACATCAAGACATACTGAACCTGAGCCTTCATCGATATTAGGATGATAGATTTTATTACTGAATCCAATAGATGGAGATTTTATAGGGTATTGATCAGGTAATTCGACTCTTACTATCCAAGTACCCCCTTCATAAGGAGTATCAACAGGACCATGGAAAAGCACTTCAAACTTCTGGATAGAATCGTTTACCAACGTCACGTCATGGTCACTCATCATGAGTTCCATTACATCCTTCTCGATTCTTCTTTTTGGAGAACTCATCCTTTCTTACTAATAGGGGGGGCAGGGTGAGGGGTGAGAATGAGATAATGATTAGTAGTTACGCTTGCTTTTTAAATATGATAATAATAGGAATAACTTTTCTTAATGCAAATATAAGCTAATCAAATTGGTGATAATGGTAGCTATGTCTATAATTGTAGTATAATGGTAGAAAATAAGGTAAAAATCTGAATGGTTAAAATGAAATTGAAAATAGATCATAACTTCAACTCTTATCATCAAGTGACACTAAAAATAAATTTTGTAAGGTGATTGACTGACCCTCACTCACACTTTTTTTGTGTTATCCCAAAATTCGGATATCATCGTCATTACGGAGGTCGTCTCCACACTATTATTTATTATTAACATATATTAAAATTGATTAAGACTATATAGATGGTTTGGATGGATACATTTAATCATATCCTCCCATGGTTGGTTTATTCCCCTTTTTAATAATTTCAAAAATGAAATCTTGGTTCCAAATCACTTCATCATCTTCATAAATAAAGCTTTGACCTGAATATTGACCTCGAACTAAAAATCCACTGGGGACTTGATCATGAGGTAAAATTGCTTCATGAACATAATCTTCATCGATATTAACATCAGCATCGTCATGCATTGGTACTTTTCTATCTCTAACTGTGAATCCTCTTTTCTTAACGATCTGATGAAATGATGTCTTCTTCAATGGTCTCTTTTTCACTTTATATTTGATAGTGATATTATAATTGGCTCCTTCAGGAATAAGAAAATGAACTCGATTAGGTAATTGCTCGTCATCCCTACGATAAACTAATGGTGATTCTTCATGACCGTCAACATTAACTATGAATTGTTCTATATCAAGTAAGTCGCACGAAAATTCAGCTTGTCTTTCTTCAATTGATCTTTCTGACATGTTTGTGATTATTAAATATTGTTGGTTGGTACGACACCTTTATTCACATTCATCAGACAACAACACCACTATTTATATTATTCCATAAAAGAATAGCATAAATATCTATAAATAGGTAGATCAGACTTGATCTCCACCAAAATTTGACCATAGTACTAGTAGCCTTATTGTTTGTTGTGTCTATTTAGCAACTAAAATATTTCCCATCTTTTTGCATGTGAGAGTTAATTATAATATACTGTCGTATACTTTATACACGTAAATCATAAAAACAGATGATGCCTTATTGCGACTCATAAATGAATTTAATATATTGTAAACATTCATTTTGTTGGACTTATGGAATAATCTTTGATATTCTATTCGTTTAATTATACTATTTGTCCATATGTTCCATTTTCAATTTCATGTCTAACCTTTTCAACTATTTCTCGTTTATTATCATCCAATGATTTAATTTCATCTTCAGTTAAATGACTGACATCTTTTAAAAGTTGAACATGAGCAGGTGAAAGTTCATTTAAATCGGGTTGTCTTTTATTAAGAGTTAATTCAATTAATTCATTATTTGAAGTATTTGAAAGTAAAGTTAATTCAACTAATGCATGAGCTAATTGAGGAAATTTCTCTAATAATAATCGAGTTAAATTTGGATTCTCTTTACTCATCTTTTGAATTTCTCTTAATAATTGCATCCCTGATATTTGATCAATATTTGCCACTAAATTAGCAATTGTAGTTTGAACATTTTCATTGGGATGAATTTGAACTCCTAATGGTAAAATTGGTAATCGATCATTAGTAGCTTCTCCATCAGTTATAAATGAACATTTTAAAAATCTACCATTAGGCAAAGTCATATAATTCAAATTCCTTACTGCTGATGCTGCAGTTTCATTGTCTCCATAATTGATTATAGCGTACCCTTTTGATTTACCGGTCAATTCATCAAAGAGTAATTTCAAATCCAATACTGGTCCCACTGATTTGGCGATTTCCAACACCTGATCTTCAGTATAATCAAATGGAAACTTACCAATACTCACACTAGTGCTCTTACTATCCATTATATGACTTGATTAACTTATATTGATGATATTATACCCTTGTTGTCGATAAATGAAAATTATATACTTCAAGTTTGGCAGCACAACGAAAATTTGCTTAACATTTTTTTTTAACCAGTCCTGAGACCAAACTAAAAATAAAAAAAAAACAGCAAAAAAAAAAATTGTAATCAGAAGACCTTATCAATTTTTTAGTTATCTATCACATCTTTGAAAATGGACACCAAGGAGATCAAATCCGCCATCTCTAATCTTGAGAAGTCATCAGATGACGTGACAGTGTTGAAATTATTGAATATTTTGAATGATGGGGTAAAACCTTCTGAAAAGCTCTTGAGAGAGACTAAAGTTGGTGTCGCCGTTAATAAATTTAGATCACATAGTAATTCTGAAATAACGTCTCTTGTAAAGAAAATGATTAAGAACTGGAGAGAGTCAGTTCAAAATGAAAAGAATAGCAAGAAGAAACCAACTCCAACCACCGATGCAACCGTTAAAAGCTCATCTATTCCTTCTACCACCGATAAACCTAATAATGCTGCTGGTTCAACTGAAAGTAAATTTCATAAAGGTCCAAGAGATCCAAAGACTGATGGTGTTAAAACTTCCTTATATGAAAATCCTACTAGAAATGCATCTGTTAGTGCCTTATATACTGCATTGGCTATTGAACGTGATGATTCATCTTCTCATATATTAACAGTTGCAACTGAAATAGAGAGTGAAGTATTTAAGAGTCAATATCTGCAAGTTAATGATACTTATAGAAACAAATTAAGATCATTTACAATGAATCTTAGAAATAAGAAGAATCCAGAATTAAGAGATAGATTATTAACTAGAGCTATTTTGCCAAATCATTTTATTAAAATGAGTCCAAATGAAATGGCCCCTGAAGGTTTAAAGAAAGAAATTGAAAAAATGCATAAACAAAATTTATTTGATGCTCAAGGTGCTACAGAAAAGAGAGCTGTTACTGATAGATTTACATGTGGGAAATGTAAACATAAGAAAGTTAGTTATTATCAAATGCAAACTAGATCAGCAGATGAACCTTTAACTACTTTCTGTACTTGTGAAAATTGTGGTAATAGATGGAAATTCTCTTGAAGTTATTGTTGTTTTGTTGTTTATAGAATTTATACACTTTTACATATCTTTACTTCTATACTCATTCTACTCACCCCTTTCCAATGCTGTATTATATATCATATTATTATAATTATTTTTGTTATTGTAATTTACATATTTATTTTTATTGTACTTATATGTTCTATATATATAAAAAAAAAGCTTAAAGACTCTTGGTTAAAAATGAGATTAAATCAACTTTAGTAACGATTTGAACTGGTTTTAATTCTGCATCTGTAATAATGGCATTTGAATGAGTTTCAAAGAATTTATTTAATAAACTTAAAGTGGTATTTAAAGTTATTGGTTCATATTGTTTTTTAGCAAAACCTGATTCTTTAGTAATGGTGAATGATTTTTCAAAATCAGCTAATCTTCTAAAATCAATGATAATAGAACTAATTGAATTGGTTAATTGAACTTTCTTAGTTGATAATGATTTTAAAATCTTTGATAAAGTAATTATACCAATTAATTTTCCAGAATTGTTTAATACTGGTAATTGATCAAATGCATTGGCTTGTAATAATTCAAAAGTTTTTCCAACAGTATCAGAAGTAGTAACAGTAACAACTGGAGCCTTACCAGCAACTAAATCTTTAACAGTCTTAGTTTGTAAGATATCATCGGTCTTAGTAGCACTTGAAGATTCTTCAACTTCAAATCCATTAGTTTTCATCCATTCATCATCAGCGAATTTAGATAAATAAGATCTAATGGAATCAGGGAAAACAACAACGACAACGTCATCTTCAGTTAAATCTTTGGCAACTTGTAAAGCAGCTTGTAAAGCAGAACCGGATGATCCACCAACTAAGATACCTTCTTCTCTAATAATTCTTCTAGCTAATTTAAAAGAATCAGAATCATCAGTTTTAATCCAATCATCAACATATTTTCTATTTAAAACATCAGGAATGAAATCATAACCAATACCTTCAACTAAATAACCTTCAGTACTGGTATTTAAAGCTTCAGGTTGAGCTAAGATGGAACCTTTTGGATCAGCACCAGTAACTTTAATATGAGGATTTTTTTCTTTTAAATATCTTGAAATACCAGAAATAGTACCACCAGTACCAGCACCAGCAATAAGATGAGTAACTTTACCATTAGTTTGTTCCCAAATTTCAAACCCAGTACCATAATAATGAGCATTTGGATTAGCTTCATTTGAATATTGATCTAAAATAACTGAATTTGGAATTTCCTTTTCTAATTTCTTAGCAACTCCAATATGAGATTCAGGAGCATCCCAAGCAGCTTCAGTAGGAGTTCTAATAATTTCAGCTCCTAAAGCCTTTAATACAGACACTTTTTCATTAGACATCTTTTCTGGTAAAGTAATAATAGTTCTATAACCTCTAACAGCACCCACAAGAGCTAAACCAATACCAGTATTACCTGAAGTTGGTTCAATTAAAGTATAACCAGGTTTAATTCTACCTGTTTTTTCAGCTTCCAATACCATATTCTTAGCGATTCTATCTTTAATAGAACCCCCAGCATTGAATAATTCAACTTTAGCATAAACCTTGGCTTTGATGCCGTATGATTGAGGAATCTTATTTAATTTAATTAATGGCGTGTTACCAATGAGATCAAGAACATCATTGTATAAAGGAGGAGGAACAGCACTAGACATCTTTGATACTATCAGATTATAATCAATCGAAGCAAACAGCTACAGAACTAGAAAAGAACTGGAGATGATAATTCAAGAAATTTTTAAATTTAAATTTAACTTTTGAAATCGTTTTGGTGCAAAAGTTTTTTGTGGTTTCATAGTGAGAGAAGAGGTTATACGCCGTTTAAAAAAAAGGACACTGAAAATGTGTGGCTCTGAATGGGATGAGTTATATACAGTCCATGTCTAATTAATTATATAATTACTATTAAATATTAAGTATTTTACATTTAACCACATCAAGATCATCACCAGGTACACCCTTAGTGAAATCAAATACAGATAGGATTCCTTTCCTATCGACAGCAAAGATTTTCCCTCCATCAGGAGAAAATTTGATCGATGCAGCTTCGGTGAATCGTTCAGCATTGGAAACTTCACCTAATAATACAACCACATTCTTATTAGTGGCTAAACTTGTAGTAGAATTGAATCGTAATCCGGGGGTAGATACCAAGAATAATCGTCCTGATTTATCAAGGAAGACGATTCCATCACCTCTTGGAGACATGGCAAAACTATAGATTGATGATCCTATTTCAGGAAATTTAGTGACAGTTTCTGATGATTTAATTTCATCATCTTCACCTCCTACACTAGTTATACTAGTTTGACTATCTGATACAGATCGATTTCGATTGGAATCTATTAAGGCTCCATCCAATCTTACTATCATTGGAGGTCTACTCTTTAATGAACAGGACGATAAAATGATAGTATTAGAATGTAAACTACCAAATTGTACATCAGTTACTCCTTCATTAGTCATCATTAAATCATTGTCATTTTCTCTTTGTTCTTCATCTTCACCATCATTCTCACCTCCACGATGTCTTCGATTTGATTTATAACTTTGATCAGACCAAATTAATCTTGGCTTTCTATAATTTTCCGAAGAATCATTAGGTCCTCCTGTCATATTTCTCAATCTTATAATTAAATATCTTGATTCCCAAGCTGTACAACATAATAAATGAGTTGATGTAGCATTGAAATTTAATAATTTAATTGGATCACGATAAGGAATGGTAATGGTTATAGGCTCAACTGAATGTAAATATCCATCATCAGATGCATGCAATCGATGTAAAACGATAAAAGGTTGTTCTTTACTTGAAAGTCTTTCCTTAGCAGTTATAGCACACGCCAAAAGTTTATCATTAGGGGAGATTGATACACAACGTATAGGGAAATTAGTAACATATGTATAAATAGGTTGACCAAATGTATAAGGTGACATTCTATTAAGATTAAATAATCTCATTACACCTTTTGTACCGGAGATGAATAAATAATTTTTTGATAATTTACAATAAAGATGATCCCATTGTTGTAATCTCTTTTTTAAATCTGAATCATTAGAAGATTCAGAATTAAAATCATTTTTAATAACAATTTCTTTAATGGCAGAACTCGTCGATGGGAAAGTATTTAAATTATTAATATTTTCACCATATTCTCCTGTCAGTTTCCCACAACATATCATTTGCGGTTTGATTGATGCAGTATCAGTCTCACTCAAAGGGACAATATATTCATATAATTCCCATCTCTTCTCTGATATCAATACAAACCGGGTCACTTCATTACCCAATGCGAAATCGAAATAAGTATATATATCACTCCCTATAAATCGAGCTGATTTCTTCATGATTGAATTTGATTTAAATGATAAATTACTCATAGAAAACTTAAGTTGTTGAGTTGGGAATGTAGATGATTTACGATAGAATGGGAAGCATTTACTGAAGTTATATTCTTTTTCTTCACTTAAACCCTTTAATAAATTCTTTTCAAATTCTAAACTTTGATTCTTTAAACTATCTGTAGGATCAACTTTTAAATGAGGAGCATTATGACTAGGCAGGATTGAGGTGGAGTTTTGATACAGATTCAATGATGATGAACCTATTTCATGTTTTTCAGGATTGGTTGTACCATTACCTTTATTTCGAATACTTATAGGTTGAACTTTAGAATTATTTGGTGATGTAGATGGTGGTGGTTCAATATGAACATATTCTTCTTCTTTAGCAAACTTATAAAATAAACTTATTAAATCCATGGAATCTTGGGATTGGAATTGTGAGCCTTCATTAAAAGTATCGAGTGTACCAGCCTTAATACTCTTTTTAGAAGATGATCTCCTCCTTCTACTATTTGCCATAAGCAGAGGAGGAGCGGTGATGTTATTGTTTGAAGTTGTAGGTGTAGGAATTGACACAGCAGCCAATTGAGTATTCAACTGTTGGATAATCTTATATAGATCTCTTAAAGGTTTGATTTCAGAAAGGATTGATACATTTTCTTTACCACAATTTGGACAACTTGATCCTGTTCCAAACCAAGATTCAGATATTAAACAACCGCATGTTAACATAGATGTATCTGACACTATCACCAGTTGACCAGCAGGATCTCCTGGTAGCCTTAGCAACAGCTCCAAACTGGAGATCTTTATCTTATCCATGTGATTGTTATGTTGTCTATTATGTTCAAAGCTAAACAAGGAGTAAAAAGATCGGTTATCGGTATGATAAATTTGTTATCAATGGGAACGGCAAGTTAGACAGACAGACAGAAAAAAATAAATTTGTGTCAATTTTTTTTATTTAACCATAAGCGCAATTTTTATGTAAAAACAATTTAAAAACACTTTATATATGTATATATACATTACATATCCTAGATATATAGTATTGGAGAGGGGAGGTAAGGTCATCTATTTATCATCATCATTAGAAGTAAGATTGATGGAATTACCATTGTAAGTATCATCTTTCTTATCTCTTGAATCAGATGTTGTATGTTGTTCATCATGGATGGTTTGTACTCTACTAATGGTATGTAAACTTCCCAACTGAACAGGCGATGATGCTCTACTAGGGTAATTTGAAGGATTGGTAGATTCAATAGTACCAACTGTAGGTGATTCAAGCATAGGAGAGTGAGCTGGTGGGGGATCATGAAAATTTATTAATGAAGCAGATGAAGCTCTATTATCATCAATTGAAACAATATTAGGCCTGGAACCACTATTAATATCATTGGAATACCCAGAAGTATTACTTCTACTTCTTGAAGAACCATCTGGATTTTCAAAACTATTTTCATGAGAAAGTTCATGTTGATTATCAACACCATAATCGAAAAATGAATATAAAGCATGTCCAACTCTACCTATGGTTCCACCTATTCTACTTATTACACTATTGGAAGTCTTAGAATCAGGATAAGCCTTTGAATACTTATCATCATAAACAGGCTTTAAAATAAGGGCCGATCTTGGACAAAGTTCTAAATCTAATAATGATATAAATTCTTGTTCATCAGTATAAGTAATTCTTGGTAATACAGGACGATGGAAGACATAATTTGTTGGTTGAGGATATGATGAAGTGGCAAATGATGGCATTGAGTTTGAAGGAGGTATAATTTCGATTTCTTGATCTAACCAATTTCTCACATCATTTAAAGTTTGAGTATGTTTAAAATCATGCCTTATAGAATTACCATCAAATAATTTAATTGATAAAGTACATTCATCAGAATGAGTATGTTGAGTAGTTTGTGTACCGTTAGTAGTAGGTGATGAACTTTGATCTTTATATGAAGCCTGTTCTGCCGCTTTTTTGATTTCACGTTCTTTTTGATCAGCTTTTAAAAGAGCTCTTAAACGGCTTCTTTCTTCATTTTGTTTCTTTTTGGCCAAGGCCACTTTCTTTTTATGTTCTCTTAAACTCTCTTCTCTTTTAGGATCGAGTTTATGTTCTTGAGTTGTCAGTACGGGATGTTCTTCAGTTTCAACGCGTGTATTGGTGGCTTGACTATCAACTTGTTCAAGGGGGACGGGAGTCGAGGAAGATGATGGTTGATTATCAACCACGGGTGGGGAATTGGTTGATGGTGGTAAACTAGTATCATTTGGGGTGGTATTAACGATCTTATTTATTCTTTCATCAAAAGTATCGAGTTCCGCCTCAAAAGTTATCACATCTAATAATTTGCCCTTATCAACGATATAAAAGCTAGGAAGAATCAAATCAGAAAAGATTTGTTTGAAATATCCAAACTCAACTGTATCATCAATCAATTTAAGTAAGATGAAATGTGATTTTAATTGGTGTATATTCGATTCATTAATGAATTTATTTTCAAATTCAATCGATTCATTATCAGATTCGCCTTTAGATAACAACACAAATAAGGGTTTATTCTGGGAAGCAGTGGCCTGCACTGCCTGTTGTACCGAAGTGCCAAAGTTACTCTCTACCAATAGTGACATCTACTTTCCAGCCTTTGTCTAAACTAACACTTAACTTGATAAAATGATTAACTTATGGTCTAAAAAAGAACTTATTCATAATTATAGCAATTTTAGAAATTATAATTAAATTCCAAAAACAGACTAAAAAAATAAAAAAATGTGTGCTGTTTAATTTATTTTTCGTTTCTGTACTTTTCCACAGTGCGGGATTTCAAATGTTAAGCTTTTTGCCAGCTAGATCAAATAATCTTATCTACAAGAAGAAGAAGAAGAAGAAGGATAGTATGAGGCGGTTGTTTATTTAAAGGTTAGAACGTATTCTTAGGATCATATATATCAAGCATCGATTCAAGTTGTTGTAATCCAGTATGGGAATGGTCCTGTAATCTCTTCATATCATGTTCAAATTGATATTGTTGCAATGATTGATATTTGCCATGTAACGAATCATATTCAGTAGTAACGAATTCAGCATATTTATTAATCTCATTGATTTGTTGGGTTTGCTTATGGGATTGCAATTTCAAATATTTATTTTCAAATCGAAGTTGATTAAGTTCTCTCTCTAAGAAATTGATTGTATTCGAATACTTACCCATTTCTTTTTGTAATGAATTAGACGTTTCTGACTCAAACTCAAACTGTTGTAATCGAGCCGTCAATGATTCAACTTCGAGTTTTAATAAATCAATCGCATCTTGATCTAATTTCTTCATCTCTTCCCAATCAATTGGTATACTAGCTAATTTAATCTTATTAGCTCTGGCAGCTGTCTTGATTGATTTAACTTGATTGGCATAGTTTAGGGTTTGATAAGTTTCTTCAAAATCAATTGGTGAAACACAGAAGATCATATAACTTTTGGAATTACCCGCAAGATTCTCCTTTAATATATATGTCAATACTGAATCTCTATAAGGAACAACTCCATGATTGGTCTCTGATGAAAGGATGTTAATACAACGACCTAATACAGTTAAGGATTTATTGATTTGGGACCCTTCTTTTATTCTATCTTGTTGTCCGAAAACTTTAGTCTTGGATAATCTTTCTGATCCCGCAAGATCAACAAGTTTAATATTGGAAATCATTTCTTCTTCAGCTTCTCCAATCTCAGATTCAGAATCTTCAGATGATCCAAATTTAGTTTGTTTTAAAGTTATAGTAATAATAGCATGCGATCTCGAACTCTTATCATTCATAGAAGTAGCAGCTGTAGATCTAGCAAGATTACCATTCTCTAAATGTCTTGTAAAATCATCATAATTATGTAAAGTAGATTCCACTACATTTTCAATATAAGGACCCAGAACAGGATGTTCTCTAACTCTTAATTTCGGTTTATTACTGTTGCTCTTTCCAATATTATCCACATCAAGTAAATCCTTCACTTGTTCATTATATATTTCCACATATGACATTTTAACTTCACAATTAATCTTTTCCGATACCAATACTTCACGTTGACGCATAATATCTCTAACTATTCTAGGCACCAATCCTAATTCTTCAAGTTCAGGTTCTCCCATCATAGTATAAGTCTTACCTGAACTAGTTTGACCATAAGCTAACAAACAAACATTATATCCTTGAAATACATGATCAACCAATTGAGGACCAGTCTTTTGATAGAATTGTTTATTATCACAATAATGATCATCATGTCTATTATATGACCAGATGGTTTCATCAAAATAATACAGTTTATATTCTTCTCCTGGGGAATTTGATCGATTGAGAGTCTTATTCTTTTGTGAATGATAAGTGGAATCTTCTGGAATCCGTAGTATAACTCGTTTTGATTCTTCTGGTGGCATAGTAATTAAACTATCAATCACAGCTTGATCTTGATTGGCTTCCAATTCTCTTCGTAAAAGTGGCCTCACTCTCACCAATACCTTAATATTATTACCAGCCCCTGAATCAGAGCCATCATCACTTTCAATGCCCATGGTTGTTATCCGTTTAAGAAGTTGTTTCTATTGAAGTTGATTTGTTTTGATCTAAATCTGAAAATGTAAACAAACAAAATATATTTTTGCGGTGCTGCTGCAGCTATCGCTCCTCTTCTCACAAAATAAATTTTTGGTACTGAAAGATGTAGTGAAGAGGTTAGAGGTTTAAGCAGTGAAGAGACAACATGGAATCAAAGTCTAAGTTCCTAGTATTAAACCCATCACCAGAAGGGTTGGACAAAGTATTGGGAAAAGCAAATCTTCAGCAGAGTAAGAATGGTCCATTTGAAGCGGTGTTTTTACTTGGAGATGTGCTTAGTGAACTGATTGAAAAATTACCAACTACTAAATTATCTGTTCAAACATACTTTTCAGAAGGAGTAAATGGAAGAAGTAATGCTTTAGAACCATTTAATGGCGATTCAGTATTAAATGACGTTGATCAAAATTTAACTTTCTTGAATTCAAAAGTCAATATCTTCAAAATATCATCAGGATTCAATATCATGGTAGTATCTGGTAAGGCAGAACAAGACGAAGAAGAGGAAATCATGAATATAATCAGAGAGAATAAACTTCCTATAGATATACTATTAACTAATCATTGGCCATTATCTATAGCGAACCAACAGAAATTACATCTCGTGGGTAATAAGATCATAGATGTGATAGTTAAGGCTGTGAAGCCGAGATATCTTTTTGCAGTAGGTCACGATAAGGGCAAATTCTTCGAAAATAAGCCATTTGCATGGAGTTCTGGGGAAATTACGAGATTTATCAGCTTGGGAGAAGAAGGTTCAGGTGAGAGATGGTTTTACGCATTCTCAATTTCAAACAAGATTACTCCTGAAGATATACCATTACAAGAAAATCCATTTGAAGTAGTAGAAACACATCTTGTAACCAGCAAAAGACCAATTGAAGAGACAGACAAAGTAGTAGAAGTCAAGAAACCAAAGATTGTATCCCCAGATGAATGTTTCTTTTGTTTATCCAATCCTAAAACGGAAACTCATATGATCATATCCATTGGTACTCAAACATATTTAACAACCGCCAAGGGCCCATTAACAAGACCGAATCGATACTTACCCTTCTCAGGTCATATCATCATCATACCTATAGAACATATACCGACTATCAGACTGAAATATCCTAACGTGATCGAATCACCTATTTACCAAGAAGTAGAACAATATTATACAACTTTAGTGAAAACTTTTAGTAAACAAAATGACTTTTATAAATTGATTTCATTTGAAGTTAATAGACTTGCTAATGTTCATCAAGGTATTCAATTAATTCCAGTTCCAGGAAATTTACTTGAAAAATTCCCCAGGTCTCTTGAATCAAGAGTTACTATTAATAATGAAAAGCACGAGGGCCGTCAACCGCTTGAATTCAAGAAATTTACCGATAGTAAAGATCCTGCCTTAGTTGAAATTATAAATACTCTGGATCATATAATATTCACATTATTCATTAGTGAGAGCGAAAGAGAGATTTATATATGTGCATTGTCCGGCGGGGATAAATCAGTTGATTTTCAATTCCCAAGAAGAGTTATGGCTCATCTATTAAATTTACCAAGAAGAGTTTATTGGGATCAATGTAAACAATCAAAAGTTGAGGAATCAAAAGATTGTGAAGAATTCAAAAAATACTATCATGATTATGATTTTACTTTATAAATAGTCTATTAATACATAATTTTATATATACAGAATAATATTAAATTTTAAGGTTTTCCAAGTCTATATTACATTTTTCACACCCACAATCAAAGAACCACTCCTTTAATTCTTTTCTTCTAGCTTCGACATCTTCATCTAGAAACCTTCCATAATCAATACAGATTTCTTCTCCAGGGAGGATGTCTCGCTTAGTAACAAATTCCAACGTATTCTTTATTCTCTTTTTGATCAAGTTTGGATCACATGAATGATTGAAGTATGAAGCAGAGGGATAAACTCCAAAACCAAAGAACTCACGATCTTCAGTCGTTGATGATGTCTCGGACCATATTCCAAATGCATTAGTTAAATTCCGTCCAATGATTTCTCTTACTGCCTGAGGATTTATAAATGGTTGTAATTCAGGTAATGAGGTTGCTTTGATGAATTTATAAATATTGATATATGAATATATAAGATAAGGGAATTTAAGAACTTTTTCAAGTTCACTTGATTGTAATATATCAAATAATTCTATTTCACGTTGCTTTAATTCATTAGAAGAGTTCACTTCATGTAGGAAAGTATTGGTAGATTGAATATTTTCAGTTTGTACCTTATACATTTGAAATAAGACTCCCACTACGTACTTAATTTCCAAGTACTCACTATCATCGATTCTCGGTATCATGTTAGCTCTTTTTGAAGGTTTCATTGATTGCAAACTTTTCTCCCATTTTAACACGTCCTCCCATTCTTGGGATATTAATAAGCTGAGATCTTCATCTTTTAAAGGTTCTCTCTTCTCTACTTCTGGTTTATTCGATCCTGTCAACGCATGCTTTTCAATTAATAATAAACTCTCTTGATATACTTCATTTGTATCTTCCTCTATAAATTTTTGCTGACATATTTCTGAACAAAAGAATATTGAACATAAATCCTTTCCAAATTTTTTTGAAATCTTGAATTTTAAAATCTTTCCATCAAAATAATCATAACAATAATGACAACACTCCTTTTTGAAGGGCCGAACAATAGTCGAACTTATGGATTGATTGCAAGCTAGTATTAAGGTATCCTTTGGAATCGTTGTATATGCATAACATCCTCTACCTCCATATTTCGTTTTTTCAACTTTAAAAAATGGAGAAATTTTATTTAGTATGACTTCAGGATCTTGCTGATCCGGCTTTTGTATCGGGTTTGAATCAACTGAATCTTCTGATTCTGATACCAGACTCAGTTGTTCACTAGTTGTCATGTTGTTCTGATATGATTCTTTATCAGCCTTTGGTACCCGTGCCCTGTGCTAGTACATAATTTTATCTCTTCACACAAATCCATCTCGCGCAACTTGCAACAAAAACGGAAAAAAGAAATCATTTAAAGTTTTTACAGCCAATTTTAACAATGACAGGTATATAACCAACGATAGGATGTCCAATTCATTCAGAACAACTACAATAACAATATCGGTGATTCATTAAAAATTATCCGTAATATTAAAACTATACAAGAATAGATATACAATTTGTTTTGATTAGAATAACCAACCAATACATTTATCATAGAACCAAGCTTTATCGAATGTCTTACCTTCAGCTTGTTTAATGGCTTGCTTTTCAGCATCTTCAGCGGCATATCTTTCAGCTTCTTCGTCAATGACATCTTTGAAAGTTACTAAATCAACTTCCGAAGATGGGATAATTGAAGTTTTGAAATAAAATTTATAACCAAAATACATGATGAGGAATACTGGTAAAACAATATAACCAGTAATGAATGATTTATAAGTGAATGGTTTTCCAAGGAATACAGTAAAGTTCTTAAGGAAGATAACTAACACACAAACAGTCAAAGCGAAATATGAACCATAAGGTTGTAAAGGAGATTTATAGGCTAAATCTCTAGTTCTATCAATACCTTGAGCTTTACAAGCAGCCATAAATCTAATATGAATGACTAAAATACATGACCAAGCAATTAAACCAGTTAAACTGACCACGTTAACAAAATAAGTGAAGACTTGAGCGGCACTACTTGAAACTGTCATATATGCTAATAAAGTGAAAGCAAAATTTAAAGCAATACCGTAATATGGAACACCTCTTTTACTAGTCTTAGTGAAAATCTTTGGTGCGTAACCAGCAACGGCTAAAGAATAGACAGTTCTTGAACAAACGTACATATCAGAATTAGCAGCTGAAAGAACGAATAATAAGATACAGCCATTAATGACGTGATCTAAACCATTAATTCTAGCGTTTTTGATAGCAATAACGAAAGGAGATGCACTTGCTGAATTACCTGAGGCAGTTAATAATAATGGATCAGTAGCAGAAACACACATACCAAGGAATAAAATAGATAAGATGTAAAACACAAGAATACGGTAGAAAGTTAATTTAATAGCTTTTGGAATGGATCTTCTTGGATTTCTGGTTTCAGAAAATGTAATACCAACTAATTCAGTACCTAAATAAGCGAAAACAGCAGTAATTAAGACTGAAATGAATGACACAAATTTACCTAATGAACCTTCAATTAATAAATCTTTGGAAGAATCTTTATATTCTAAGAAAGCACCTGGATCTTTCCAGAATCTAAAACCTAATCTTTCATGAGTTGGACCACCACCTAAAGCAATAATAAACATAAGAATAATAACCCCTAAACATGTTATCACTTTTAAAGCAGATAAATAAAATTCAATTTCCCCGAAAAACCTAATACCTAAAAGATTAATAGCTAAGATAATAGCTAAAAAGATTGTAATCCAGACCCCTGGATTTAAAGTTTCTTTACTCACCCAATATTGCACTGTTAATGAACCTGCAACCAATTGATTAGCTGGTAAAATTAAATATTTAAATAAATAGACGTAACCACAAGCAAAGCCAAGAGCATCATCGACATATCTTTGAGCGTAATTAGCGAACCCATTCAATGGGACGAAAGTAGCAACTTCACCTAACCCACTCATAACCATAAAAACTACCATACCAATGAAGGCATAAGCTATAAAAATAGCCCCAGGCCCAGCTTGTTTTAAAGCAGACCCAGTACCAATAAGTAAACCAGTACCCAAAGCACCACCAATGGCAATCATAGTAGTATGACGGGAATCAAGACCTTTTCTAAGTTGATGACCTTCCTTTTGATTTATGCATGATGGATTTGATTTAGCCACGTAAAGATCATAATCTTCCGTATGTCTACTGATGACAGAAGCTAAATCATTTTCTGAAGAATTGCTTTTGCTATTACTGCTTTTTTCTAAGTCTATTCCAAATACCATGTTGAATTGTATGATTATAGGAAAGATATATTATGAAATATGATATATAAAGCCGTAAGAAGAAAATTCAATCAAAACTATAAAATTGTAAAACTAAGGGGAATGAAGAGGTATTTAAATAATAAATAAATAAATATAGATAACCCTTTTATTGATGGGGAAAATCGCAAAACTTTGGGATTTGAATCTAAACCATGATACGAAGGGAAAGAATAATAACAAGTCAAGCTAGTAAAAAAAATTAAGTACAAAATAAAATTATTTAGGTTAAGGTTGGGTATAACAATAACATTAATCAAAGAAGGGTAATCTACTCCGGTGAGAGAGAAACACGAGAGACAAGAAACACCATACATGATAAAAATATCTTGTGTAATTAAAAAAGTGAGATATCCGTATGACAATTCTATATGGCTTATTGTTTATATCAATGTCATCTCACATATAAATCAAAATTTCTTATTATTGCAAAAATTTTGGTATGGTCGCTTTTTTTGGTCTCAGCAGATAAAAATGAATTTGGGGCCAAGAAATTTTAGCTGCTTTTTTACCTCTTTAAAGTTTTGTGACCTTATAGCAATTGCCTATTAGAAATCTCGACCAAATCGCCGTAACATATAACAGTAAATAACGACGATAAGTGAAATTTTGATTCGACTTAAACTAATGATCAGCCATTAAACGAGTTATCAATATAAATTGGTAGAGATTTTAAGAAGTTAATAGGTGTCTTTCTTCTTTTTTTTTTTTTGGCTAGGGAGAGAACATGTTAAGTTTTATTTTATTTAGCGTAATTGTGTTCATTTTATTTTTTTGGGTATCAGCCGCCTGCTTGTTACCACAATTTTTTAAGCAACATCAGTGCAAGGAACTATTCCATACTTCCAACCCTGGCAATTGTGGCTATACCAGGACAAGAGCCTAGTGTTATTATCAATTTTACTTTACTTTCGCTATTCGTTATCATTATCACTTAAATAATTCTTATCTCTATTACCAAATGTCTCCAATGAATGATCACTAAAAACTCTTGGAACTGGTTAAAATAATAAAATTTGTAAGTCCTCATGAGCATTTTTTTCTTGTCAAATTTTAGTGAGCAAGTGATCATCTGGCGGGTTATTCGAGTTTTACAGACCCCCGGGAAGGTACTGCACAAATATTTATTATTACCATTTCTTCATTGTATTGCCTGCATTCATCGCCTTTCAAACTTGTTCCAAAATAGGCTGAATTTTCCCCTTAGTATAAGTCCTAAACCCCACCACTGCAAAGAAAACACCTTTCACAATTTTGTTTCACTATATTGCCTTATTATTAAAGCTATTGTTTCATATTTAATGTTTGATATAATTATTATATCTAAGGCAAATCCATGGTCTAAATAATATAATCATTAAGCGTTAAAGTTCATTCACTATATAAATCGCTGATCTTCTGTTGTTTTCTACATTAAAGTTATAACTTCAAGATAAAAAAATATAATTTGCTCTTAAGCTTGTCAGACAAAATCGTTTTATTTCATTCTTTATTTCATCATAGCAGAACCCTTATCTTTTACGATGTTATCTTTGACTAAAACCACCACCACAATCTCCTTATCAGTACTATCTCTATTTTAAAAATGCACTTATCCATTCATTGTTTAGAATAGATCAAGTGGTGTGGTGGTATAAAAACTCATATCTCATCTTTTCCTCCCTGTGTATCAAAGTTCCTGTCTGGAACAATTATTTTTATTTTTTTAGCGACAAACAAATTCTTTTTTTTTGAATTTCTTTTTCTTTTAAAAAATTATTTTTTTTTGCAATTTTTTGGGGTTACATTTTTCCATGCGGCGAAAACTTAATAAATGATTTGATTTTACAATTAGCAGGTTTAATAGACAACAAACTAACCCTTAACCATTACACAAGAGGTTACAAGACCATATGCCAATCATTTAGACTATTGGTATGCTTATTTTTATACTTTTCACTTATAATTATTATTCGTTTATTTAGAATTATGTGGGGTAAAAAATCAGTCAATCTATCTATATTTTGATTTAACTTTCGAACTCATCAGTAAAACTATAAATATTTTTCAATCTAATTGAAACAAAAATCTGCTATGGCATACCATATCTTAAATACTATACCGGTCTTTCTGACATGATTACTTTCGTATTCAAGTTCTATCACTTCTTCGTCATCAATTTCTTGTTTCCCAGTAGTTAAATCAACTTCGTCATCAGTTCTAATTTTAGTTCGTTTAAGCACTTTCCAGAACACATATAAACATATAAAGAACACAGGTGCAAAATAGGATGTGAAAAGATTTGCCACATTAAATTGACCTGGGAAAAAGATCCAGAACCCATTGAAGATCAATACAATCACATTAATAAAAAATCCAAAATAAGCTAATGGCATGATAAACTTGGTTGCTCTAAAATAAGGATATGAATCACTGTTAATATCAATGCCTTGAGCTTTTAACCCTCTTCTAAATTTAAAATATGACAACCACATACATATATAAGCACATAATAAACCAGTAGTTGCCAAATTAATAAACCAATTGAATACGACGGCCGTTGAATTTGAGATACTTAAAAAGGCTAAACATGAAATTAGTGAAGTTAGAACGACACAATAAATAGGACAACCATTTTTTAAACATCTTGAAAAAACTCTTGGTAAATAGCCTGCTAAGGCAGCACTATAGGCTGTTCTAGTGGAACCATAAAAAAATGCATTACCACATGAAAATACTGAACTCATAATTAATGCATTAACTAAGGAATCTAATCCATGTACACCAACTTCTTTAATACCAATAACCCAAGGAGATGCAGCGGCACCAACTGAACCATTAACTGCAGCAGCCAATAAAGTTGGATTTATAGATGAACATAAAGTATTCATAAAGAAAATACCACCAAAATAAAATAAATAAATTCTAATATAAGCTCTTCTAGATGCAAGGGCCACATTTTTACGAGGATTTCTCATTTCACCAGACACTAAAGCTAACAAATCCGGTCCACCACATGAAAAAGCAGCATAAATTAAAACATTCCACCATCCAAGAAATTTCCCAGTAGAACCTTTTACTAAATAAGCTCTAGCTAATCCTCCTTCTTTCCAATGTTGAAATCCATAAGCGTTATGTTGAGGATTACCTCCACACATTGATATTAATGCAAAAAGCATTAAACCAACAATTAATAATACTTTTAACATGGAACTGAAAAATTCAATTTCACCATACCAATTCACACCATAAATATTAAAAAAGAAGTAACAAACCAAGCATACCGTTATAAAAATCCCGGGATTATATTTATCACCAGTCCAAAATTTAACTGTGGATGAAAAAGCAGTAGCTTCTAAACAAATAAACATACATGATGCATATAAATAAATCAAAGTAACAGCAAATCCAAGAGCTGGATCGACAAATCTAGCTGAAAAATGTAGAAAGCTACCTTTAATAGGTAAATAAGAGCACATTTCTCCAATACATTGCATTAAAACCCAGATTACCAATACAGCCCAAAATATAAATCCAGTTAAAAGTGATAATGATCCTGAAGTCATTAATGGAGACGAAAGACCAATGAATAAACCAGATCCGATCGATTGTCCAATAATCATTAATGAAACATGTCTTGACGATAATTTTCTCTTGGTTTCTCCATATTTGGCTATATCTAATTTATCATTGAAATCCTTATATCCAGATGCTATAACATGATCTTCAATTGAACCTACTTGAGCAACATCTATAATTGATGAATCATATTTCTTATCTAACGACATGGTTAGTTATTATTGTGAATTGTAGATATTATTGTGTAAGTTTTGATAATGTGGTTTTATTGAAATAAATTGTCGTCTTTATATAAACTTTTCAAATTCTTATCAAGTAATTGATTACAATCAATGGTATAAAGAAATAAGCGGTCTACCCCAAAGGAGAATAAGTAAAGGATAAAAAGACCAAGAAGTGTCAATTCAACTCAAAATAATGAAAACGAAGATTTCTTCTTTGCGGGCCATAAATCGACCTAAACTATAAATGAGATCAGCTATCTATAATGAGCAAATATTAAACCTTATCGAAAACAATGAAAAAGCATTTTGACATAGGACAAATAATGAAAAATTGGATTTGAAAAACCTATTTCTTTTGAAAGTGAAATACTGCAAGTCCGGAATCCGCTTCCAGAATAGGGAAGTATTTTCTTATCGCTGAGAAAAATAAACTAAAAACAATAATAAGAAAAAAAAATATTTTTATGATAAAAGCCTTAACGGCTTGGAATGTTTGATAGAGTAAATCATTTAGTTGGATCAAAAGTGACACCTTTAAAGAGGAAAGTGCTCAATGTGTCACATCCGCTAAGATAGTGAATAGGTTGAATAGAAGGATATATCGTCACTAATTAGAATATTGGCGATGACTGTACTAAATGAACCTATGGGATTTCAGGAATTTAGTGTTAATATGTCGGCATTTGCCTCTTTTTGACTTTAAATTTTAGATTTGCAAGTAATAGAGGAGAAATGACAAGGAGTTTGTCAATTCGTGAGCTAACAAAAACAATTTACTTTAGTTATATGTCTACTATAGTTTGCTGTCCCCTGAATTTGTTGGTTTCGCTACACATACTAATTAATGTGTTATAAATAATTATAGGAATGTGTCTGTCTATCTATCTTAGTCAATTTTTATTTTTTGCGCATGCCATAAAAAAAAGTTATCTACGTAAATCGTTTTTAAGACCTCAATGATGTATGAACACACGACGTATAACTCATTGGTTAAACTGTCTAAGTTTTATCAGTTCTGAGGCTATTAATTAATGTGCTTTATAAAGCAGTGTGTAGTTTCCCTTTGTATATAAAAGTTGAACGTTCGTTTTAAGTTTCGCAACTTTACCATTTTGCGCTTATAAAACCATAATGACTAGATAGATTGCTGAAGGTTGTTAAAGCATATGAATCACTTTCAATGCTAATGCCTGAACTAATGACCTGAGCAGTATAATGTCAGCTCGAGACGAAACTTTTGGACAAGAATTATTATTATTGAATCTTAATTAAGGAATTGAGATAGATAATATTTACGATTGTCAAAATTGAAAAGATTTTTCCGTCCTCATATTGGAAGTGAATTCCGCGTTCATATAATTATCTTACTAAAAATCCGTTTAAGTATACATATTTATTCCACTAATTGAAATATTGAATTCCGCCTCCAATGGTTTTAGTACTATTTTTGGTTCAATGGCGGAATTACATCTTAGCAAAGATAAATTACAATTTCAGTGTTTATATTTGTGGGGATTGTTAATTTAATCTAAGAAAGTTAACTTAATTTTAAAAACTATATATCAATTCAACTTTAATTACCATTTTTCTTAATAGATTCAATACTTACACCAGCCATCAATTCACCTAAATCAGTTGAATATTCTAAGATTTTAAGTGGATCTTCAAAATTGGTAGTTGCATTAACAATGGCTTTAGCTAATTTTTCAGGATTTTTAGATTTAAAAATACCAGAACCAACAAATACACCATCACAACCTAATTGCATTAATAAAGCTGCATCAGCTGGAGTTGCAACACCACCAGCTGCGAAATTGACAACGGGTAATTTTTTCAATTCAATAACTTGTTTTAATAATGAAACAGGGATTCTTAATTCTTTAGCAAATGATTCAAGTTGAGCATCGGTTTTTAAATCATTAATGGCATATTGAATTTGAGATTTTATCTTTTTAATATGTTTAACAGCTTCTGAAACATCACCAGTACCAGCTTCACCTTTAGTTCTAATCATAGCAGCACCTTCATGAATTCTTCTTAAGGCTTCACCTAAATCTTTAGCACCACATACAAATGGGACTTTGAAATCAGTTTTGGTAATATGATCAGACCAATCAGCAGGAGTTAACACTTCACTTTCATCAATATAATCAATTTCTAAAGCTTCTAAAATTTGAGCTTCAACAGTATGACCAATTCTAACTTTTGCCATAACTGGGATTGAAACAGCTGCCATGATTTCTTTAATCATTTTTGGATCTGACATTCTACAAACATTACCAGAAGCTCTCATATCAGCAGGAATCTTTTCTAATGCCATTACAGCACAAGCTCCAGCTCTTTCAGCTATAATGGCTTGTTCAGCAGTAACGACATCCATTATAACCCCACCCTTTAACATTTGGGCTAACCCAGTTTTGATTTTGAAGTCTGACATGATAATATATATGTGTTTGTTGTATATTGATAATGTCTATTTCAAACAATTGAATATAAAGAATAAATATTATTACTTTTCAATTTGAAAAATTTCCAAATCGTATTTTTAAATCAGTATATAAAGGAACAAAAGAAAATTAGTGGTTAGTCATAAGCATAGGCTGAAAGTAGAAAGAAACGACGACGACGACGACGACATTATGAGAAACATATAAAAGATATATTTTATCCGGATGACGAATTCCTTGTTTTACTGGTAACTCTAATCCAAAATAATAATCAAAGCCTACAATTGTGATAATTCATTTTTGACTTCGAATGGGAATAGAAAATAAAAATATGGGGCAGACAGAAAAGAAAAGAGTCGCAGTTAAACTGTTATAGACGCCGACAATAATTGTTTTTTCTACTGGGCAAAAATTTGGTAGTGAGTGGTTGTAATAGGTGACGACTAGTTTAATTTAAAAAGTCTTGGAACTGTTGCTTATTTTTCATCAGTTTATTTAAGATTAACTATTTTTCACTGTATACGTATTAGATCCTCGATTAAAGTATATGGTTAAGTATTTATGAGTTAACTACGTTAATTATAATTAACGAGGACATTTAACTTGAATTATACAATTAGACCATGATTATGTCATAAAGAAAGAAAAAAACAGTGCACTAAAATGAATCATCATTGTCCCTTGTTATCCGCTAAGAACCGTAGTTTAATTTTTTTTAGTGGGGAATGTTTTATTGCTCACTGGGAACCAGTCCTGCTTTTACTGAGATCAACCAGAGTCAAAAACCAAACCAAAGAAAAAAGACAGTTACCACATAAAAGTGTCGGACACTTTACATCAGACATTTTTTATTTTTCAAATGACAATTCATCATGAGTAATATTAAGCGCTTATCTATTTACAAAAAAAGCATCGTCGTTTGAGTATTTAAAACTCCACAATTTCTTTTTCTTTCATTATATTCATTTATAAACCATTCATAATGACAATAACTAAGGAGATCGTAGTGGGAGCTCTTGCTTTACAAGGAGCATTCAAGGAACATTTAGATTATTTTCAAAAAGTAATCGAATTGCATCCTCAACAGTATAACCATTATAGCTTTAAATTCGTCGAAGTTAGAACAGAATCAGAATTAAATAATTGTCATGCATTAGTTATCCCAGGTGGAGAAAGTACGGCAATTTCTCTTATTGCTGAAAGAACTCATATGTTACAACCATTATTGGATTTTATAAAGGATGAATCTAAATCAGTATGGGGTACTTGTGCTGGATTAATCTTTTTAGCTAAACAATTGAAAAATGGGAAAGTAAATCAAAAATTATTAGGTGGTTTAAATGTTCAAGTTGTAAGAAATGCATTTGGTAGACAAGTTAATTCATTTGAATCAAAATTGGATTTTAGTTCTTTTATTAAAGATTGTAATGATTTCCCAGCTGTTTTCATTAGAGCTCCCGTCATAGATAAATTATTAACCGGCGATGTAAATGAAAAAGATGAAGAAGAAGATCCAAATATAATCAAATCATTAAATAACTATAATAATAAAGCATCACTTGAAGTATTATATACTTTAGATAATTTCGACAATAATAATAATCATTTAATCGTGGCAGTAAGACAAGGTAATAAATTAGGTACATCGTTTCATCCTGAATTAGCCACTGAAGATTATAGATTTCATAAATGGTTTATAGATGAATTTGTATTATCAAAGTAAATGTTAAATATGTATATATAAGTTTATAGATGCAAATAAATAAAATTGATCTCATATTTTTTGCGTACTTTTCTTATTTAGGAAAATCTTCCTTCTCAAAAATTTAATTTTTGTTAACAAAAGCGGTTTATCAAAAAATGATGATAAAAATTGAAAAAGGCAGCCAAAGGGTTTTATCAACTATAAATCAATCAATTGTATCATATACACCAATCAATACCATCAATATATCAAGCCAATCATCACAGGAATTGGTCAAATAAAAACTTCACCTTCTTCAATTGTAGATGACACAACCCATATAGACTTTAATATTAACAATCACATAAATCATGCAACATCCCCGAATATTCAATTCACAGTCGAATCCACGATCGAAGAACCAACCATCAACCAATCTAACCAATACGCAACAAGGATCACCCTCGATTCTGTCACCACCTGCTTCAATCATGAATCCACCTTTAAGTAGAGCTCAACAAATGAGTGCCAATCAAGCAAGCTTAACTATTGGATCATCTGCTTCAATCATTTCTGGAACTGGTTCAACTACTATTTCTTCACCTTCAAACTTTATGAATCGAAATATTGGAAGCACAATAACTATAGGAAGGAAGGATAATTCAAATCAACATGATATTCATAGAACTCCAAATCTTAGTATGCGAACAAGTTTACCTTTGAACCATTCAATATCAGCTTTAAATATAAATAGTGGAAATAATTCGGTAAAGGATGAACCAATAGTTGCCCAGAATAGAGATCCAATACAATTAACTGTATGGTTTCATGAACTTAGATCATCAGAAGAAGATGTTATCATCGACTCAAATGCTCTCCCTGGTGGAGTTAGAAATGGTCAACTTTATGAATTACAACTGTTGGAATCTGAAAGTTCAAAGAAATTATTATTCATCATTAATAATAGAAATTTAAGAGATAGACCTGAAGAAAGTACATCTACCAATAGCAATAATAACACTGGATCATCATTACTCAATCAACTTGATTCTCCCCAATTAGAACCAGTCAATTTAAAATCAAAATTACAGATCTCATTGATATCATCTTTACAAAGATTAATGGATTTACCTCCTAGAAGTTTAGTTCAAATCAAACAAATATTAGACCCTAAATTAGCTGAAGTCGATTCAGTTGAAATATTCATTAAAGATGTAAACTTATCTCGTGATTCAATGTGGAATTTCTCATCAACTTTAGTTAATACTTGTACATATGTTGATAAACGATTAATCTTTTTACAAAATCGTTGTGGGACAGTTAAAGCCATATATAAACGCGGTAAACGAATATTCTCAGGATATATCACTGAATCAACCAAGATTATATTCCGTTCAGAAAGTGCTAAATTAACTTTATTAGTTCAATTATCACGAGAAATGTGGGATTTTGAAGAGAATGGTGAAATCATCTTTCATAAACTTGTTAATAATTTATTTCCCAAGATTTTCAAACGTTGGAGAGATAAACAAACACATCATTCCATTACCATTGTATTATTTACAAGTGTTGATTTAACTGATATACCGTGGATGACATTAAATCAAGGTGAAAGACCGAACAACAGAAGAGATTATTATAGAGTAGTGGTTGATCAAGTTAATCTCACCCAATGGGATAAAATCATGGCTAATTTAAGATTAGAGTTTGCTAATTTTAAACGAGATATAATGTTAGAACAATCAGATAATCTGGGTTATATCTTAGAAGGTGAACCATTGCCTTCCGTCAAGGGGAATTTACTTGAAGCTATAAATTTAGCAACTTCCATGAGTTGTAGTAGGTTTGTTAATACTGATTTAAAACATTCTTTGAACCATTTAATGGTAGTTACACCGGGTACAGGATTATTTGATGTTGATTATCAACTCTTGGTTGAAACTTCTAAAAAGCTCTCAAGCATAGATAGTGGATTGGATATTATTTGTTTAAGTCAACCACCATTACATATTGTTCCATTATTTAGATATAATAAAAATGGAGCAATTGGTCATTGTGTACCAACCTGGTGTGATATTTCATTCTTTAAAGATTCAAATCGAATTTCAAATCAATGGATGCCAAGATGTAAGATTTATGAATTACAAATGATGGGAGTTATGGAAAATAATAGAAATGATGTTAGAATAGAAAGATTTCAAACTTCAACCACTGCTTCAAAGACATTATTAGAAATTATGGATGATTATGATAACAATGCATTCCAAAAGATAAATCGACAAAGGTTATTAGATAGTGATAATCTTTCCAATTTTGAAATTAAAAATAAATCAAAGATTGATAAGGTTAAAAAGCCACGAATCACTCCCTTAAAGAATGCTCAGGCAACATTATCGTTGATCTTTAATGCTAGGACCACGTTGTTGCCCACCACACAAGCTTCTTCTTCGACCATATCTTCAGCATTGGGTACAGTAACTCATACCAGTAATGAAACATCGGCTCTTTCTAAATTGTATACTATAAATAAGAACGTGGATGATAGAACTATAGCACCACCTTCAAGAAGTATTACCCCTATATCAGCTACAATTAGAAGCTTTGATAGTTTTGGTGGTTCCAAAGAATCAAAAGCCAGACCGATTATGATAGAGAAAGATAGTCATAGACATTCAACCACATCCTCCATTAAAAACAAACATCATAAACAACCGAAGAGACGTAGTCAAAGTAAAGGCTCAAATGGTAATTTAAGCTCTTCTCAAGAGTTAGAAAAGGCAACTGATTTATTCTGGACAGAAATTTCTAATCCATCAAAGGATTTAAATGCTGAAACTATTATTCATGCTAAAGTTAGTAGATGGTCCAATGTATTTCCAACTCAAGTTAAACGGAAAATCATTAAATGGAAATCATTTGGATCTCCAGCTGCTTTACCAATCACTACTCTTTTATTCCCTACTGCTAATCAGTTAGAAACGGAATATACTTTCCAAATTTACTCCGTCATGTTGAATGATGAGAATTATTTGGAATTAAGAACAACCCATGAATTAATGAGAGAAATGATTCAATTACGTTTATTACTTGGATTCCAGATTTGTTTTGGTGATGTGGTAAAGAAAGTTGAAGCAGAAAGAAAAACTGGGGGTAGTGCTGAAAGTTTAATCAAATACTTCCCTGCTCACGGTGATAGTCTTGGAGCTCGAATCTATATGAGTTTAGAGAATGAAATTCATCGAATTCATTGTGATTATAATGGAAATCTAAATGTTCAACTTTATAGACGTACTGAAAATACAGAAGAGAACAATAAAATCCATTTAGGTCCTAATAGAGTCACTCCATACTTCCCATTAATCAGAACAAGATACGTGGATGAGTATTCAAATGCTAGGATGGATTGTATCAATCTGAAACCACAAACTTATAATTGGAATCAATTTGATCAATTCTTGGCAGGATTTGAAGATGCCATGCCGGAATCAAATAAAGAATTCTTCAAGATGAAGTTCGTTATCATGCCCGCTCCTATTTCCAAGAATTCATTTTTTATAAGTAATGAAAGCCTTAGTGATGAAGAAATTCGGGTGGAAGGACTTCGTAAATTGATTGCTTTAATTGAAAAGGGTAGATATATTAAACGGGAAGACCAGATCAAGAAAAAGAAACAACAAGAACCGATACCGGAGGTTGTTTTCTATACCGGTAACTTATATGATTTCCTTAATGAAGAAGCTGAGAATCATGATATAACTGGAAATCAACCACCGTTAATGATTCCTGAAAATATGAGATTTAATAAGAGTATTAAGCTTTCTGATTTAGCCCAAGAATTACAAAGTCCAACTGGTTTGAAATTAGTAGATAGAACTTGGCATTTCAAACAACATTTGCATTGTTTCTTAGGAACTGAAATTGTATCTTGGTTATTAGAATGTTTTGAAGATATCGATACTAGAGAAGAAGCAACTGCTTATGGACAAAGTTTGATGAATAAGAAATTATTCAAGCATGTTGAACTGAGACATGGACTTTTAGATGGTTATTACTTTTATGAATTTGAAGATGAATTCATTGATAAAACTTATAAAGAATCTCAAACAGCAGGTTCAGGTTGGTTTGCTAAGAAAGTAATACCTACCCCTGCTGCTGTTCCAGAAAGAAACAATAGTGGTTCAAACACTCCAATACCAGGTACTCCAACCTATACTAGGAACAATTCCGATGCAGAATCTACTTCATCACCTAATGTTCCGGAAAATCTTGATTTAAGAGTTGTGACTTCTAGTAATTTGGTAGCGAATGAATCTTCTGAAGTTTCCTCTATGAGTGGATCTTTAACTCATGGTAAAAAGAGAAAGAAGTTTATTTTAAGTAAGTCTATCAAATTTAATGTTGATCCTTTGAATAAATCATATAGACCTGAAATTATTACGGTCCATTATGATAGGGTTCATAATCCTGAACATTGTTATCATATAAGATTACAATGGTTAAATGCATCTAGTAAATTTATTGATGAGACTATTACTACATGGTCAAGATTATGTGATAGACATGGTCTAAAATTGGTTGAAACTCCATGGAAGGAACTTTGTACCATTCCTCAAATAAATCCATTCCATTCATTTGTAGAAATGAAATTTGTGATAAATCCATGGTTAGATGATGAATTCATTGATCCAAGAATCATTAAGATTAATAAATTTTATTATCATTTCTATTTCTTAAAGAAATGTGAATTTTTATTAGATAATAGAGCTTCATTATTTTTCCAAAGAGAAAATATTGATATTTCATATAGTTGGGGTAAACCAACTTTCCAATATGCTCAATATATTCATAAAACAGGTAGTTATATTGTCGAATTAAGAGATAATGGAGATTTCTTTGTGGCTCCTAATAATATTCATGTGATTAGAAACAATACTAATTTAAGTAATTTACCAGATAATGATAAATCAAACAATTTAGATTCTCAAACCATCATGTTGAATTTCAGATCAGCGTGTCAAGATGTTGAGTTCTTAAAGTCTTTGTTTAGAGAAGCAAAAGAAGTTTGGAGAGAAGAATTCCTGGCCGAAGTATTACCAGCCGATCTTAATGAAATTTAAATAAACAGGGTCTTTATGTATTATTATATAAATATAAAAGTTGTATAAGTTATAGACGTTTTTTCTAATGATATAATTAATTGGCGATTCTCTCAGCAATCTTAATAGTATCGGCAAGAACACCATGAGCAGTAATTTCAGCACCGGCACCAGCACCTTGAATAATTAATGGATTAACGTATCTTTCAGTTTTAATGGAGACAACATTATCACTACCTTTTAAAGAAGCAAAAGGATGATCGAAAGCATACTTACCAATACCAACTGATACTTTATTAGATTTTAAATCAACTTGACCAACAAATCTTAAAACTTTACCTTCAGCAAAGGCTTCATCTTTAACTTTTTGAATATCATCATCATATAAAGGTAATTTTTCTAAGAATTCAGCTGCACTTTGAATACCTTCTAATTGTTTTGGAATTAAAGAATCAACTGGGAAAGAAGTTGGAGATTGAACTTCAAGACCTGAGATTCTAGCTAAGATAGTAACTTTTCTAGCTACATCTAACCCATTTAAATCATCTCTTGGATCAGGTTCAGTATAACCGAGTTTTTTAGCAACTTTAACCACATCTGAAAATTTAACATCTGATTTTTCAGTAGTGGAGAATTCATTAAAGATATAAGATAAAGTACCAGAAAAGATTCCTTCAATTTTTTCAACTTTATCACCAGTAGTGATTAAATCTCTTAATGGACCTATAAGAGGTAAAGCAGCACCCACAGTAGCTTCATGATAAACTAACCCAGCGTGAGGTAATTCAGCATTAGAGAAGATTTCCTTCCAAACTGATAAATCTGAGGAAAAGGCCTTTTTATTTGGAGTTGCAATCGAAATACCTTCTTTAATAAAAGTTGGATAATAATCAGCTATGGCAACACTTGAGGTATTATCAACTAAAATGGATGGTTTAGAACCAGCTTTTAAGAATTTAACTAATTCATCAAGGGATAATGTGGCTTGAGTAGCAGCAGTACTCCAATTCGATAAATCAACTGGTTCATATGATTTGGAATATAATGCTTCAGTTGAAGTCTTGGCTAAATATACCACATTGTATTTAATGGATGATTTTAAATTCTTCAATTGTCCAAGGAATGCACCTCCAACAACACCAGATCCAATGATGGCGACGTTAACTGACTTGGTCATCTTATATACTAGTTAATCTATGATTGATTTCATAAAATGTTGAAAAGTTTTGACTCATAAATCGCTGTCTTTTTTTTTTCAGTTGTGGAGTTTGCTTCTACACATTTTTTTGGTGATACCTGTACCGGAGAGATCAAAAAATTTTAAGTGCTGCAAATTAACATTAGCAAACTCTTTTTGCATTATCTATTTAAATCTATAAAATTAAAGATAATCCTATAATGAATGCCATGATGGTTATTATAAATGATATACTACCAGTCGTGGATACTGCGATACTAGCGGAAGGATCTGTATCAGTTCCATTGACTATATAAGTAAAATTATCCAATGGTTGGGGCATAAGATCAAATTCAACTAATCTTTGAAAATCCCATTCTATGGTAGTTTCTGTTTTAAAACACCAAAATATCCATCCATTACTATATCTATTATATTGATCGATTTGCATTTCTATAAATTTCCTCGTATTAACTTTTTGACGATCAGTCCATTTTGCATAATTATTAATTTGAGCACAACTACCAATTTTAGTCATATTATAAGGAGGTTGACCCGCATATCTTGAACCTAATCCAACCCCATTTAACCATGGTGTACAATCTGTTAAAGCTGCTGACCATTCACCAACTACTGCAGGATGACTGGTTAATTCATTATCTATGGATTGAGCATAATTTTTAATATTTTCTAAATGAACAGTTATATTTGAATCAACCACTGAACCAAAAACTTCATAATGATGATGATCAATAAGAATATTATAAAGTTCAATTCCAGTTTGATTACTTGCTTTAGTTTGATTTTGAAATTGACTTGAGTTGGTATATATTGATCCACTATCCATAAAATAATCATAATAACCAATTGGTTGAAATCCATCTTGAAATACAATGGTATTATTTAAAGTTTGAATTTCTCTTGCATCAACATAAGTTTGTTTATAAAATTGAAGTAATTTCGTCATATTTAATGAAGGAGTATAAGGTTCATTTACAACTTCAATACCAAGAATAGTATCATTATATTCAAGAGCATAATCACCGGTACCATATTTATCATAAATTTCATTTAAAACTTGATAAGTAACATTAAGATATTCTGTTTTATTAAACCAACCAGGATATCCAATATCTCTAAAGCCTGAATTATCAAACCCATTTTGAGATCCTGGTGTACCATGTAAATCAATCCAAACTTTTAAATCATTATTTTTTGCCCATTCTAAAGCTTTATCTAAATAATCTTGAGCTCCCATAACATAAGGATCATCATCTAATTTTTGAAATGCCCAATATCCAATTGGGATTCTTACCATATTTAATCCATATTGTTTAATCAATTCGAAATCAGTTTCATTATAAAATGTATCCCAATGTTGAGTTAATCTAATTAAAGCTTCATCTTCTCCAAGATATTGACAATAATGATATTCATCCACAGGTATATCAGCTGCCGTAGTATTTGAAGTTGAATTAAACGCTAAGAATAACGAAGGTGTGATATAAGGTTCCAATACTAACCATCCTCCCAAAGCTATACCTTTATATTGAAAATTATTTGAATTATATTGGGATTGAATAATCAGATTGTTGCTGTATATAGCCGCCCTTATACAATTGATATAAAACGATAATATAACCACTAAACGAAAGAATAGAAAGACCAAGTTCATATTATCTTCATCAATTATATCTGTTCAATTGATTTTAGAACATACAACTTCTAATAGCATCCAATAAACAAGTTGGTTGATTGATAGAATTAAGGTGTGTTGTCAAAAAATTGTTTTGATTTTGAGGTTGGTTAAAATTTTTTGGTACCTTAAAATTATTTATGCGAGCAATTTATATATAGTTAATAGTTATTTATATACTGAAAGTGGACGAATTGGATTCTAATTATATAGAAAGAAAGTGTATTAAATATTATGTACAATAAAAAGGGTTAAAAGGGCTTTTTTCAAATGATTTCAAAACGTGGAATGGTGATATTAATAGTAACAGTAGATATCATTAAACGTAACATGAGTGACAAATCTAATCTAAATCAGCTTCAGATGGTTTAGATTCTGGAACAGCAGAAGCAGAATCAGAGCCTAAGATATTGGCCACAGATGCTGGAGGATTAATAGAAATCATCATTACCACAAGTTCATAAACATCTTCTGGAACTGATCTTTGATAAATACCTAATATATCAGTAGGATTTGGATAAACAGCTAAAGCTTTATAGAAACAAAGAGCAGCTTCAATCTTGGTGGCTTCTTTAATGGCCAATTGTTCACCTAAAGCAACTTGTTGCATGAAGAAAGATTCCTTTTCTTCAATTTCAGTTGGTAATGGATTTGATGCTAAATCTTCTTCAAGAGCCTTTTTAACAGCATCAACTTTTAATTGTTTACCTTGTTCAGCTAATTGTTCTGATTTTTTCTTTTGAGCATTAGCCTTCTTCCTTAATGATTTTCTAAATTCAGCTGAATTTCTTCTTTGATAATCAAAATATACAGCATATCCGACAACTGCTGTAGCAATGACGGCGGTGATGGTGAAGGCTCTACTACTCATGACAACTTTTTTTTATAATTTCTTCTATGAATTCTATACTTGTGAATAAATGGATACAATCTTTTTGAATAGTTATACCACCACTTTAATTAAAAGAACCTTATTGAATTATAAAATGAATTATACTAGTTAATTATATAGCTATAGCTTTCAATAAGTTGTAACTCTCTTTTGATCCCGGTGAAAAAATTTCAACCCAAAAAAAAAATAGCAAAATAACATCATGTGATATTTGATCACATGAGAAGTCATGTTACTTTAATCATGTGATATATTATTCTCAATTAATTTGATTGGGCAAAAAGCCCAAAGCAAAAGAAAAATTATTATGTTTGTAAAAACCTACTATAGTGAAGGTTTTCAAGTTGATTTCAATACAAAGATAGATATTCATTGAGTAAAGATCATGTCTGAGCCAGTTGAAGTGACTGAGTCAGCAGTTTCATATCCTGATTCAACCCATAAATGGCCAACTCCATTCGTTAACTTAGCCAATGCCAGTGCTTATCCTCCTTGGAAACCAATAGATACAAAGAAAGAAACTCTTCAAATATTTAAATTTGGTTTCTATTCCACGGTTGGTGCTTATGCTTGGTTATATTTATGGAAAAGAACCACCTTCAAAATCGAATTACCTTTAACGGTAGTGGGTTTTTTCACTGTTACAACTGCTGCAAGAGGTATAGTTACAAATTTAAGAGAAACCAATGATGGTTGGAATACTTTCTGGGCTATTGGTGCAGGTAACTTGGCTTGTTTAACCGTTGGTTTCAAATCAATGCCACCTAAACATAAGATTCTATCTGGTTTCGGTGGAGCTGCTTTAGCTGCTTTACTTGATCATGCTCGTTGGGCTCAATCTCCAAGTTCTGCAGGTCAAGATTTTAAATTCTTAGAAGCTAATACTGATACTGAAGTTGAAAAACAACAATTTTGGGATGTTTGGAAGAGAAGACCTTTGTCACAAACTGTGGAAAGTTTAGGAGTTGGTCGTGGTATCTTTAAACCATGAGATCAATTACAAAATCATACCATACCATACATAAATTTATCATTCCTTCATCATCATCATAATGTTGTCCATGTCACCCATGTCCAATTTATTCATTCATACATTATTACTTTCTTCATTTTTACATTATTATACATATATAGCATTGAGTATTCTTTTTTTTTATTTGTTTATTATTAACATTATTTATATAAACTTCTACAAATAAATAAAAAATTTTAACAAATTACAATGAAACAGGATAAAACAAACAAAATCAAAATCTATGTACAGAAAAAACAGAATAAATGAATTGAATTGAATTGAAAATGAAACAGAACAGAATGAACTACTTTTAAACCATTTTATAAGGATAATCTAAAGCTTTATTTTTCTTTAATTTCCATAATTTCTTCTTTCTCTTTGTAACAATATGTTCAGCAAATACATCATCACAATATTTCTTTTTAAATTCTCTAATAAAAGTTGGATCCCATAATTCACTTGCAATACCTAAATCTTTACAACATCTCATTAAGGCATTACTCTTACATCCTTCCAAGGCAGTGGTGATTTTCTCTTCTCCTCCAAAATAATCTTGTTCACCTCTGGCCACACTAACTAATCTACCATGACAAATTAAAGCATATTCTCGACTGATTTGTTTTGGAGTCACAAGAGTTTCAGTACGTGGAGCTAAACCCCAACCTCCTGGTCCAAATGCTCGATTCAAAACTCGTCTATATTTAATTTCCGGTAAATAAATTAATCCATCAGGAGTAATTTCAACATCTTCAACAGGTAAGGGAGCTAATAACACATCGGCCACATCACGAGGGAATGGATTGGAACCTAATCCAAAGAATGAATCAGACCAATCGATAGGTCCATCGTTTGGATTAGCATTTGAAATTACGGTAGGACCATCATGTAAGGAAAGTGGAGATGAACTTGGTTCATCAATAGCATCAAATCCTTCATCTTCCATTAAACCAACATCTTCACTACCACTTGACTCTTTAGCTACTGATGTAGTTGATTTTGAATAGGATGGTCTGGATGTAGCTGTGGTAGTTCTAGGTTTGGCAGTAGTAGTGGCACCAACCTTAACGTATTTTGGAGACGCGACAGAAGCATAATAACGAGGTGATATCCTTAAAGAATTAATCACTTCAAACCTCTGTCTCGCTAATATATTGTTCATATATCTCAATGACATCCTGATTAATGTATTGTATGTATATGAGTTGTAGATATTCAAAGTTGTTACTGGTAATTCAAATTTAACTTATCACTTTATAATTTTTGCTTGTCCCTCCCCCTCGCGGCTGGTTTAAATTTTCGTTAAACATCGCTACCAGATATCTATATGAAAGAAGAGAGCAAGTTATCTACAAGCCAAAAGATAATTAAATGATATATATAATTACAATGCAACTAGGATAACAAGTGGGTGGGCCTATTAATATACATAATTTTGGGGGCTGGAGGCTGGGGGTATTAACTTTTTGATTTTCATGGCATTGCTTCTATAATTCCTGCAAGTTTTACTTTATCTGATTCTCCTAATTCTTCTTGCGGTTCTCCATCAGATTCTTCACCTTCGCTTTGCTGTTGGGTTTCTTCAATAGGTTGAGCTTGTTTTTGAGAATCAACTTCTTCAACAGACTCTGGTTCAGCTGGTTGTGCTTGGGGTGGAGGTGGTGAAACATGGATAACATCAATATCTTCATCCACATGTTCAGCTTTATATTTGGTTGATAAAAGTTCCTTATGTTTAAATCTATCAAAATATTCAAAATCATATAATGATTTTCTTAACGGCTTCCCCATTTTAAATTTTGATGTTAAATCATGATAAGCTTTATTATTAGTGAAATCTTGCAAGGAATATCTTAAACTATAATCTAACATTAATTGTTTTTCAATCTCATGGAAATTAGTTAATTTATGAGTTAAATAATATTCAATTAAAATTTGATCATTCCTTTCTAATAACTTTAACTTATCTTTAAGTTTTAATCTTCTGATTAATTTCGAAAATTCTTGAACTTTAACTTTACCCTTTTTATCAAGAATAACTTCTTGTTTTGTCTTTTTACTAAATAATGGTAACAAATATTTTTCATGAATCCATAATCTTAATATGGGGACATAATAATAACCTTGGTAATGGAAGGCAGTGGTACCATGAGAATATTCGTGATTCAACATAGCCATGATATCATTAGGAACATAAACTGGAACTCCACCAATCATAGAATATCTTAATGGATTTATTTTTTCGAATGTTGACCAATGTTTTCTTCTATCCATATATAATTCCACTGATTCACCTTTTAAATTCTTATGTCTTATATAACTATCATATTCAGGAGGGGGGATTTCATTGTTCTTACCAATACCTGTTATATCGATATAAGTACCAGTATCAATGTCAATAAATCGGGCATCAATATGATTATCTTTAACAGCTTGATCACGATGATGAATAAAACTTGAACAATCAATGAAAAATTTCCCAAATCCTTCATTGACATCTTCAATGACTAAAGTTTGATTATAGTTCTTCGATAATCGATTTAATTCACTCGTTGGCATTTGAATATCAATATCAACATCAAAAGGAAACATTAATCCATCCCAATACCAACTTAATAAAGGACCATGAGCAATCCAACTTATGATCGCTTTTTCAGCAGCAAACTTAAACCAATTTCTTAATAACCGATCTAATATAATTTGTTCTCTGATTTCCAATTGATTAGCAGTCCAACTTTCATCTTTGATGTATCTTAAAGCCCCATTGAAAAATCTCCATTCATAATGCCAACCTGCATCTTGATTATTTTTATTCTTCAATAATGTACTTAATTTATAATAGGTTGGTTCTTCGTCATTTGGAATCAGATTGGCATATTTCAACCCTTGATAATGATTTAATTCATGTCTAGTCAAGGAGTTTTCTTTCAAAATTTGATGATCGAATTTTAATTCATTGGTATAACTTAATTGTAATTTTTCTAATCTATCTTCGTATTCATCGATTTGTTGATCTATTTGTTCTTGTTTATAATTGAATGATTCATGATTTAAAAAGATCTCTCGACTTGAATTTGATGATGATTCATCTTTAATATATTTTCTCATACCATATATATCATCATTAGAATCTAATGGTCTTGGAGGGATGTTGTTGATCAATGAATTGAATTCATCTAAAGGATTTAAATGAATTTGATTTATATTCTCGATGTTATTGAAATCAATCTTCTTTCTTTTTAAATATTCTTTAAGCATATCAGTATGATGAATTCTCTTTGAATCGGGTAATATTTGTGCTTCATAAGTTCCTGATTTAGATAAGAATATAATATTTAAAGGATTATGTTGGAACACTAATAAATGAGCTTTACCTTGCATCATAACTTGTTCATGAGGTGCTTTATTCATAGGACTTGTCTTGACTAAGAATCCTGGTAACATTTCTTTAGGTAATGGTAATTTTGAAATTTCTTCATCACTAGCATCCATCAAGTTTTGACAGAAATGAGGATATTTGGTTGGTTTATTGATTTTGGATTGTAACCACGTACAATCTAATCTTTCATCATATGGCTTGGCTAATTCTGAATTTAACATGGTTAAGTCTACCCAATCTGACCAGCTGAAAGGTAATTGAACCAAATTATCATTTGATTTTAAATTTTGAGGGTTTTTAATTGATATTTGTGATCTTAAACTTTCTAAATATAATGATAAAGTAAATCTTGGATCATAAAATAATTGAGGACTATTTACCCAAGTGGTAGGATGATTTTCGGTAGGGGGCAAGAAATGATTTGGATCTATGATTACTTCATGATGGGTGTGAAGAGTATCAGCTAACCAGTAAGGATGGTTTGAGTCATTAATATCGTTATTGTCTATAGTTTTTGATATATTATTTAATAAGTAACTTATCTTTTGTAGTGGTGATGATAATTTATTATAATCGACATTATCAGGATAACTGACTTGATCATCAGTTTTATAGTTTATAGATGATGAATGGATGAGAGCTTTTATCCTCAACCTAGTTTCTTGGACTGAATAGACCCGTATAAAGTATAATACATTTATGATTAAAGCAAAAGCAAAAGCATATCTTATCAATCTATGATACCTTACCTTTTCTATCATGATAAATACAGGGTGTATATGTGAACAGTCGTCTTAAGTTATGCTTATCCTTAGATAGAAGATAACTTAATCGTCAAGATGAGATGCTTCAATGTTTATATGACTTTGATCTGCTCGGAAAGAATGGTAAAACTGGTTGTCAATGAACCAAATAATGAAAAAAAGTAAACTACCTATAACAACCCCCTTTAAAACTACCGGCAGTGTAACAAATGATATGATCTATGGAAGAATGGTTTAAATGCCTACCAACTTGACACTAGATCTCAGGTACGTTCAGATCTGTGCCTCTATACCAGTTTTGTACACAGAACTATAAAATTAGTGGTGGTTATAAAAATTTTATTATGGTTATTATATACCGGATTTGAAGTACAATTTCCGAACCGGTTACCGACTGTCGCTAATTTCATTATCTATGACATCACACATAGTGAAAATTTTTACTGCTAACAATGGCCAATCAATGGGAGCATATATGTAAGGACATTTGATTTTATTGAACTGATATGTATTCATATAAGTTAAGTAATACTTGTCATTATATATTCAGCATTAGAAGAGATGGTTAAAAAGTAAATGGTAATGGTAGTTGCAACTCCAAAGAGATTTGACAAAGTTTATATTATGCTTCCACAGTGACTTCATATCATTAGAAACTAATTAATTTGCATAAACACCCATATAATTACACTTTGTTCTTTTTGTACGGCTCGGTTCTGCGTTGCTCCGCCCGTTACGCCGTTCGCCCATTTATTATAACTTGGTTATATATTAACTATATGTATACTTACCCCTCCTTACAAGTATGTTAAACCGTATCGAACGTTCAGCTGATGCTGCTATGGAACTTGGTATATATAATGATATCCCCTGTCTCTTTAAATTTTTGTATGTAAAATGGTTTGTAGCCACAAAAGAGCAACACAGCAGAGCCGCAAAAAAATCAGATTGCAAACTGTAATCAACTTTTAATATGATGATGCCTTGGTCTATCAATATTCTCATAATTAAACAAAGCACGTCTTAATGGTGTTTGGAACTTGAAGTTCGATGTGAAGCGATGATATTCTTCATTGTTTGTTATCTCACTATTAGATTTTTGATCTTTAATTTGATCTATTCTGAAATTATCAGTATTAAAAGTAACCACATTAAATAAATAACTTAATTCTTGATGATGTAATTCTGTAACTTGTTTGGTTAAATAATATTCCAATAAGACGTTCTCGTCACTTTCTAATAACTTCAAGATCTTTTCATCATCAAAGTTATTCTTAAGATATTTGATAAACTTTTCAATATTAACATCTCCTTTATGATTTATTTGTTTGGCTAATGCTTTGGTCTTATACGTCTTATCTCCTTTTACTTTCTTAACTTTCTCATCCTTTTGATAAGTGAACTTTTTAGTTTCTTCTTTAGTAAATAATGGTAAAAGTTTATCCTTATGAATCCATAAATGTAAAGCATCAATATAGAAATATCCATCATATTCATAACTATCCATACCAACTTGATATTCATCTTCAAGGATATCAATTACTTTATTGGGGATATAAGTTGGTACACCACTAATCATAGAAAGTCTTAAGGGTATTAATTCATCATAAGAGTAGAAATGTAAATTACGACAATTATAAATCGGTAATTTATTCAATTCTTGTTTGGATAATTCTGGAGATTTTCCATCATTATTTTCGGGTTCAGGTTGAGGTTGAACTTGCTTCTGTTTAAATGCTTCTATTATATCATTATATTTTTTGGGTTTCTTTTCTTCACTGGTACTTACACCAGTAATATCTATGAAAGAACCTGTATCAATATCAATGAATCTGGCATCAATATGATTCTCCTTATATGATTTACCACGATGATGAATGAAATGAGAACAATCAATTAAATATTTCCCAAATCCTTCTGTAACATCTTCTACTATTAAAGTTTGATTATAATTTTTGGAAAATCGGATTAATTCTTGCATTGGCATTTGAATATCAATATCTTCATCAAAGGGGAACATTAATCCATCCCAATACCAACTTAATAATGGACCATGAGCAATCCAACTTACAATTCCCTTTTCATTAGCAAATCTAAACCAATTTCTTAGCATTCGATCAAGCAAAACTGTTTCACGGATAAGTAATTCTTGTTGATTCCAATCTTGTTTAAGATATCTTAAGGCACCATTAAAGAACTTCCATTCATAATGCCATCCTGCATCATGATCATTTTCTTCATTCCCAAAGTTTAGTCTTGCCATTCTGAAATAAGTTTCTTCTTTCTTAGGGACGAAATTAGTTGAATATTTTAATCCATCATAATAGATCTTTTCTTTCCGGGATAATTTTAATTTTTCAATTTCTTCAAGATCAAAGATTAATTCATTACTGGTTAAATCAAATAATTTATTTAATCTCTTTTCGTAAGCTTCAATTTGTTGGTTAACATCTTCAAAACCATATTGGAAAGCAGTTTCTGGAATATGTAGTTCTCGAGATACGGATGGATTAGTAGGATTCATTGCAGTTAACATTCCATATATATCCTCTTCGTGAACAATAACCTTAGGCTTAACCAGTTTCAATAAATCATTAAATTCTTCCACTGGATCCAAAGTTAATTTCGATTGTTGTTCAACATTATGAGATTGCAAAAAGTTATTATACATTTCACCATCAACTATTCTTTGTTTAGTTTCAGAAAGTTTAACTTCATAAACTCCTCCATTTTTATTTAAAAATATAAGATTTAAAGGATTTGCAGCATAAGTTAATAAATGAGATTTCCCTTCTAACATTCGAACTTCGTTTGAAGCTTTATTAGCAGGGGATTTCTTTATAGAAAATCCAGGTATGAATTTAGTAGATGGTAATTGCATTTCAGCAAGATCTTGTTGAGTAATGTCTTCATTATTAAGACAATAATTTGGGTCTCTAGCTGGTATATGATGGACTGCTTTCATATATTGACAATTCTTTCGATGTGATTCATCAGATTTAGTTAATTCTTCATTCAACATGGTTAAATCAACCCAATCACTCCAATGGAATGGTAATACTATCGAGTGTTGATCTTCTTGTGGTTGTTGATTCTGTACTTGAGATTGTCTTTTTATTTCATCAATGTAAACTGATAGAGTGAATCTTGGATCATAGAATAATGCAGGATTATCAATCCATTTATTTTGTAAGAAATCGTCAGGACTAATTTCTAATTGATAATCAGTTAATTGAGTATGAGCTAACCAATATTTTTCATTATTGGTGGCCACTTCATTAAGTTTGAATTTGATTTTATTCTCGGTATTTAAATCGGTATATTCCATACCAGTTGGTACATCATATAGTTTATGAGAAGCACCTATATCCTCGAGAAGATGGTTGTCATTCTTACCGGTAGTTTTGGGTATAAAATTAGAATTACTACTGGAAGTTTTTGATTTTGGTAAATATGCAGATGATGATGATGATGGTGGTTTATAAGGAGTATGATGAAAGAAAGATTTCCTTCGAACTTGATCTCTTTTAGACAATAGCATAGTGAAGACGAACACATTCATCAACGCTATGACTAGTATCGACACTTTTATATACCTTGAAGTGAAAGGGCGCGTGAATCGGAATCCCATAGTTGATGATTATATGTTTGAAATTAGGGGGTAATATAACACAAATGAATCAATAAATAACGATTAAATCAGATTCAATGTTTAATGGTAGTTGGAACTGATTCCAATAATGAAACGAAAAGGGTAGTTACTGTTGTTGATGAAATTTATTTACAACTTTGATGTCTTAGATAAAAAAAATAAAGCCTTGTCTTGGAAAGGACTGATCGGTTTTTTTTCTTCTGAACCCGTTAACGAATGTAGCGATATAACTGCAACCAGTTACACCTTATTATCTAATTGGTATCAACCTATAAGTTAACTATCAACAAATTGAATAAACCAAGTTTAGAATTTACAGTCGATCCAGGGGGAAAAGAGGAGGGAAAACCTAAAAAAACATCAAAAGTTAAGAAACAGAGTTTTGTGGTCGTGAGATCTAGAGACATAAATAAGAGTTTCGGTCGTGGAGTTGAGTTCCGGTCCCTGAAACGAAATTAAATATGCTTAATTAGGAAAGTTATCTCACGACTCTCGTACAAAATGCCCTACCATTTTTCGCTTTCTTTATTATCAGATAACAACCATCTAATTTAAGATTGATTGTTAATTATTAGGGTTATTTTAATATATCCTTTACTTCTTATCTTTTGATTTACGAATTTGTTGATAATTATTATTTTTATTTTATTCATTTTAACCGGTGATATATTACTTTACTCCACCTTCTCATTATTTTAGTATCTGATAAAGATGAACAAACTCCATGTGTAAATAAGGTCAAGCAAGGCTATGTTTTAGAGGCTTTTAAAAAATCAAAACAAGGCTAATTTTAACAACCAGAAAATATTTTTAGAAGTATACTTGATAACAAAATCAAATAAATATCACTATAAATAGACCAAAGAATGTAACTAATATTGACTAAAGAATGAAATTTGTTCAACCAAGGCTCTTTCTTTAGCATATTTAACTATCGGATCTGAAACATCGCCTCGATTAGCAAAACTATGACTTACCCCAGAGTATAAATTAATTTGAAATCGAGCTCCTAATTTAATTAATTCAGCTTCAGTTTGATGTCTTAATTCGACTGTAAAGATCGGATCAATTTCAGCGGCAGATATGATAATCGGTTTAGCAATGGCTTTAACTTCTTCAATTGATACAAATGATGGATGAGCTATAGCTCCCGCATCTAATGGACCATCTTTTGTTAAATTTTGAACAAGATATTTTGCTCCAAAACAATACCCAATAGCACCAAAGAATTTGGGTTTCAAATCCTTTTTAATCGAACTTAAGAATGGATCAACTATAGGAGCTGTAACTTCTGCACTATGTTTACTTAACCATTCTGATAAATCCCCCTTAATAGGATCATTTAAAATAATATCAGGAATTAAAACTTGATATTTATAATTAGATAATTCATCAGCAATTAATTTCCCATTAATATTATTATGACCCATAATATCAGTTAAAATGACAATAATACGATCATTACCATGCTCTTGTCCAACTTGATAAGTATCTAATCCAAATATAGTTTGATTTTTTCCTTTTGGTGTACCCTCGTGTAATGAACCCTTAGTACAACATTCACCTGGAGGATTTGAAGCCATTGTTTATGAATAGTTTGAATTATGATTTATTTACTTAATCAATTAACTTAACGTTCTATTGATATAAATTGAAAGTTACATACTTTTTATATAAATTTGCAATAAATTGAAGGGCAAATGAAGACCGTTCTCCTCATTGTCTGTGAAAAAATATATTCCATTTGTGGCTAAAAAGAACTTCGTAAATATTTGCACTATAAAAATCAAAAATCACGTGCATACAATCATGTGATACTGACAGTCTTGCACCGAGCGAGCATATTTTTTAAAATGTAAAGAAGCCTGGCTAGCTCAATGGCTAGAGCGTTTGACTTTTAAGAAGATCCTCGCATCAATACTTAAGAGGCATCAAAAGGCTGCGGGTTCGAGTCCCGCGTCGGGCTTTCTTTTCTTTTTTTTTCCATTTCCAATTTTTCATTAAATGACAACAATCATAATGATGTGTCCTAATTTTTGCATTAATTGAACTTATGATACAGAGTTAAACTACAATTGGATGATTGATTAAAGTAAATGTACATTTGATTTATAATAAAAACATATAATTAAAAACAATTGATATAATATAATAAGCTTCAACGTATTATCAAAATCTTTCAAACAAAACTGGTTTATCAAAAACCGTGTCATTATTAAAAGATATGAAATTTTTCCATCAATTGGGAATGAATTAAGCTATTGGTTGATATTTTAAAACATTAAACATCCCGAATGATGTAATAAAGGTTAAGTTTATCTCGTTAAAATGATATATAAAGCATGAATTATACCTGGAATATAACCTAAAATCGTTAAAATGATATTAAGGAAGAAAGCACCTGAACATCCAACTTTAAAGAAAACACCTAAAGGTGGTAAAATCACAGCAATTATAATTTCAATAATATCAGCACAAACAGCCATTGTAGTAGTAGTAATAAAGTAATTCGAATAAGTGAAATAAGATTTCTAAAGAGCTCTATAAGATTTTGTATGAAGCAACTGAAGTTTAAAAGAAAACTAAAACTAAGAAAAAACAGAAGAGATATATTTTAAACTAAAACAATTGTTTGAGGATAATGGTAACCTTTTATAGTAATCTGTGTAATTACTATTGTTGTTGTTTATTGTATGATTTACTAATGCTTAGATGAAATGAAATTTTAGCAATATATAAAAAAAAATAAATGACATCTCCTCCTCCTCCTCTCACCTCACTTCACATTCTCAATGTGTCACTAAGTGTCTGCCTTGCGACTATATTTTTCAAACGTTCCAGGTACATCTAATTAATGATGTAATTTCTTAATATAGAAGTAATTGGACCTGGCCCCCTTCTTTTCATATAATAGAATAATATATATGTTTCGAACAGCTTTGTTATGTATAAAACTACATAACTAAAATGTATCTACTTAAAGGAATAAACGGAGTTCGGTAAACCTCATCGCTCCCTCTCTCTCTCTCAGTGTGCACCTCCACACCCACTCCACACAGAGAGCAGAGCAACTTTTCTTTTTTTGCTTTTTTAATCTTATCAAAATTTCAAAATAAGCATCATCTGTTGATAGATTCAATCGTAAACTCTAAACCCTTTTAAGAGTTACATGTTATATATTATTAAACAAAGCAGTTTAATTCATGGTAGTAGAACTGATCATCTAAAAATCATTTGCCATAATGAATTATTATTAGTACTTAACATGGCGATATTCGGTTTTGTAAATAGTTATGAGGGGGTCTTAAAACAGACATGTGCTAACCTTCCTAATATGGTAAAAACGTAAAGTTTATATAGCAATCGTTGATCTACTATCATTCATTTTACATTCTCTTACGATAATAATTATTAAAAATAATTTGATTAAACTGACAGTTGCATATTATAATTCTTCATTATATACTTCATCAAATCAATTGAAGAGGTTGTCCCACTTCAAAATTGATTTCTTTTTAAAATCTATGTCGCATGAGTTTGTCGCATTAATTAGTTTTGTCGAAAATACATTTTCGACATACCCACATATACCCGTACTCTTAGTAAATTAAAGTACTAAATGAAAATTTTCCAGTTTTTTTTTTTTTTATCTATGATTCATCAAAAGTGAGAGAGAACACAATTTATGACAGTCAAAGGGTAGTAACCAATTAGTCCATTCTATAAACCCATCAATAACATCACAACATGTCTGATATCCAATTAGATATATTAAAGGCAGTTGATCTCAGTAATGGTGTTGTCGCCAATACTTTGAATGATTCCATCTTATCAAAATATGATGCTGCAACTTTACATTCAAATTTAACTTCATTATGGTCTAAAGATATGATTGTTTTCTCTAAGATTGAACTTGATCATTGGATTTTAACTGATGAAGCTAAAAGTTATATCACAAATGGTGCCACTCCAGAAATTCAAGTGGTTGATTTAGTCTTAAAATCATTAAGTAATTTAAGTATTTCTGATTTAAATTCAAATTTAGGTCCATCAATTGGTCCAGTTGGTCAAGGTAAAGCATTTAAAAATAAATGGTTAGGTAAAGATGGTGATAAATTAGTTGCCAAAGTTGATCAATTACCTCAAGATACTGTTTTAGATGAATTAAAACTTATTGAATCAACTGGTTCATTAGATGATAAAAAGGAATTAACTGAATTAAAAAAGAGAAAATTAATTAATTTAACTAAAATTATTGGTTATAAAATTGAAAAGGGAGTAAAATTCAGTTTAGAAATAGCTACTTTAGAAACTGATATAACTTCAGATATGATAACAAAAGATACTTGGAAAGATGCTCAATTTAAACCATATAATTTTAATTCTGAAGGGGTTTATCCATCATCAGGTGCTTTACATCCGTTAAATAAAGTTAGAGAAGAATTTAGACAAATTTTCTTCTCCATGGGTTTTACTGAAATGCCATCAAATCAATATGTTGAAACTGGTTTCTGGAATTTCGATACTTTATTCGTTCCTCAACAACATCCTGCTAGAGATTTACAAGATACTTTTTATTTAAAAGATCCAAAAGTAGCTAAAAAACCAGAAGATGAACAATATTGGAATAATATTAAACAAGTTCATCAAGATGGTAAATTTGGTTCTATTGGTTATAGATATCCTTGGAAAGCTGATGAATCATTAAGAATGGTTTTAAGAACTCATACTACTGCCATTTCTTCAAATATGTTATTTCAATTAGCCAAAGATCCAAAACCAACCAGATTATTTTCTATTGATAGAGTCTTTAGAAATGAAGCAGTCGATGCTACTCATTTAGCTGAATTCCATCAAATTGAAGGGGTTATTGCTGGTTATGATATCACTTTAGGTGATTTAATTGGTTTCATGGATGATTTCTTTGGTAAAATGGGAGTTGATAATTTAAGATTTAAATCAGCTTATAATCCATATACTGAACCATCTTTAGAAATCTTTGCTTATCATAAAGGGTTAGGTAAATGGGTTGAAATTGGTAATTCTGGTATGTTTAGACCAGAAATGTTGGAATCAATGGGTTTACCAAAGAATTTAAGAGTTTTAGGTTGGGGTCTTTCCTTAGAAAGACCAACTATGATCAAATATGGTGTTTCTAATATTAGAGAATTATTAGGTCATAAAGTTTCATTAGATTTTATTGAATCAAATCCTGCTGCTAGATTAGATGAAGATTTAGTTGGTTAATCAAATGAAAGATAAACCATAGAATGATATAGATATATCCCGCATATAGATACGTAACCCATAATATACAATGTAATAATGAAAATGTGTTGTTAAAATGTATTGTTAAGTAATTTGGTGATACCGCACCAGAAGCGTAGGGGAAGAAAAATTCAAAATCACGAAAATGGTAATCTCAACAGAAACGAAAAATTTCAGTGTTCGATAATTATCATAAGCAGTACACATTCAATTGTATACTACAATCGTTATTAAAACCATACAACGAATACCATGTCGGAGACAAAGGTAAAACAAGAAACTTCACCTGATATACCGGCTGATAAATCGAAGGATGATTCATCAAAGGCTACAGAATCACAATCAACGACAAAAACAACAACCACAAGTACAAATGATACATCAGCAACAGAATCAGAACCTAAATTCGAATGTAAGTGGTCAGAATGCACTTCTGAACCCTTCTTATCTTTATCCAGTTTGGTATCACATTTAAATTCAAATCATTTGAATGCTACTCATGTCACAAACTCAGCACCAGCAGTACGACACACTTGTCTTTGGGAATCCTGTCCAAGATATGGAATGGATCAACCTTCAAGGTTTGCCCTTATATCACATTGTAGAACTCACACAGGTGAAAAACCATATTTCTGTCCTGTTCCTGAATGTGAGAAACATTTTACCAGATCAGATGCATTAGCCAAGCATGTTAAAGCAGTTCATGATTTACATTCATTAAAGGATTCATTAAAGGAGTTCAATGAAAAGATTAGATCGAAAGAAATACTGCATTTGACTCATCCAATCAACGAAGAAGAGTTTCTTAAGTTGATTGAAGAAGATTATGATTTAAAAAATCCATGGTGGTTTTCAAATAGCTTTTTAAGTACTTTAAGGGGAATTTCTACACCAAGTAATGGTGAATCATTAGATGAACATATACATAAACGATTGAAATTGAAAACATTATATGATTTGCCATATGATTTCAAACAGCATAAAGTTGCTGTATTAAGATATAAGAAACATTTACAAGAAGCAAATAAGAAAGGTTCAAACGATGTATTGATAAACGATAAGGATGAAAATAATCAAGAATTGAATTTAATAGAAAAACTGCAAAAGCATGATAAGCTGAAAACTGAATTTGAAAATGCCGATCCTATTCATAATTCATTATCTACGGCTTCTAAAGAATTGAAAGGGACATATGAAAAAACCATTGGAGATGTGAATATAGATAACGTCAAAAAATTAGATGATTTAAAACAATTATACGAGAAATTAGCTAACAAGTTGCATACAGCCAATAAAATTAATGAAATTTTAAGTAAGAATTTATCACAAGAAATCAAACAAAAAAGAAAGTTATGGTTAATTAATCAGCATTTAATCGATTCAAACTTAGAAATCGGATTACCACCTGAAAGAACAGATGTACCCCAAAGAGTTATGAAAGATGAGATTGATGATGAGTTGTTACGTGAACCATAGGAAAAAGAATTGGTGGTGAAGTAGATCAAAAAGCAATTACATGAAATTTCTATAAAAGATTGAACTTGTCATCGTTACATTGAGACTGTATAGTTAAGGACCCACAATCTAATAAATAAAAACTTAATTCACTACCATAAATATATTGTATCAGTATTTGTAGAATGCTCCTTGGCGATAAATGTCATTAGCACGTCATAATCTTTGATTTTAACAATGTAACCTGTAACCACGATCCTCACTCGCTCGATTTCGATAATGAACTTCAAAAACGGAGGGTGGATGAGTCGATGTCCACGTATATGTATAGAGATAATGTCTATTTTTATACATAAAGAATTGCGCTGCTTAAATGCCGGTGATTATACACTATAGCTATTTTTTTCTATCGCAGTAATTTCCCAATTGGGAATAATTCAATCATTTTGTAACCCAATCTCTTCTTTACAATTGATATTGTTATGATCTTCATGGAAACAGATTGCTCATCGACGTTTGAAATGAAATGGATGATCACCCTTAACTATGTGCGTGGATGGCTGAAGTTAAGATAGTTGAGAAGTAAGTACATGGGTTGGAATCAAAACAGTTTATGTGGAGATGACGATAACCAAAATAAAGAAAATCCCACCGAGATTATTCCCTAATTTTTTGGAACTATACTTTGAAATTAGATTTATACTTTTAAGCAAGTGAATAAATCACTAACAGATACAATAGAACAAGGAAGGTTACACAACCGTCCATTAGTCTAACATTATTATGGTTAATTTCAATTTCAAGGGCCCATGATCGTGATAATATGGATTCGTTTAATCTCCACTTTTAAAATTAACTCTCAAAAGAGCTAACTGAAAAAAAAATATATGAGGGGAGAAAGGTTATTACAAAGTTTTTAGAAAGTAATTAAATAAGTTAAATTAACCATAATTCATATGATTATGACCATTATTGATATGAATTGGTCTGTTCAGGATTATTTTTTATATCGTAGTTGTTCTAGGTAACAAAAATTTTCAAAGTTTTCAAATTTAACTTTCATTGCTTTCAATTTTTTCTTCGATTTTAATGAAATGGAAATATGATCCTATACATCTGAAAAATGGAGATATGGCTTTTCGTAAGGCACCAATAGATTCATATCGAATAATTTAATGTAAACTGTAAAAATAATCAGTCGATAAGTCAAACGGAAGGAAGTGAGTTCAAGTACTCACAAGTAAGATTTTGTACGATATTTTTCAACCGTTAGCTTAAAATAGGGAGATTGAGAAACATAACAGGTGGGGGAACAGATAAAGAGGAGGATAGATGAGGAGCAGCACTAATCATAAATTGACGATTTACCGTTATAAATGTTTGAAAAGTTTGATCCACAGATATTAAATCCTAAAAAATAATTCTTATAATCCTTGAATTTTATGGCCACTTATGTAAAAGAAAAAGGAGTAAATGAAATTTCGGTAAAGAAAGCACAGTATAGTGTTAGTTAGTATCAAAAAACCTAGTACTCCTTTTTTTATTGTGGTGAAAAATTTCTGCACAGTAATAATTCTTTAATCATAATTTAACCCTTTTAAGAAAAAAACCACTAGCTAGAACATAGGATTAGTTATTGATTAATGGGACCTAGAAACACAGCTGTTTAATTATGGAATATATTTTTATAGTAATTATTATAATTATTCGTAATATCATTATTCTCGTCAATTGTAATTATCATTGCTAACCATATTGTAATTCTTAATGATAATTGTATTTTGACTTTCTTTTATTAACTAACCAAGAAGGTTTTGCGGTGGTATCCGAAATGGGGATGGAGTTGATATGTGACAATGAAATAGTACCATTACTATCCTCGTCAAATTCATATCCTTAGGGGGGTTTAACTGAAAAGGTCTTGACAATGTATTTTGTACCACTTTGAAAAAAAAAAATAAACCAAAAAAAAGAAAGACTTCGTTAACTTTTAACTTTTCACACTTTACCTCCCCAATTAGATACTATTATCCACATTAATTTTATATGTAATTTAGAATTTATTTAATTTTTTGCTAATTAAGCTAAATTGTAAATTTCTGTTAAAAAGGAAATCAAAATTTTGTAATCAGGTAATTATAAATAAGTCAATTTATCCCTAATTCAATTGTAATTGTATGATTCTTAACCTATTTTGTTAATTGTCTCTTAAGTTTCCTTTTTAACAATCCAATTGAGATACATATTAATCTGAGACATTCATTCATTTGACTGTCAATTATATGTATTTCTTATTAATTAAAAGTAGAAAGATACAACAGACATCATTAAACAAGAATATTACCACCTTACTGATTGAAGTGATAATCGGGATTTGAAAGAAATATCTTTGTTTTAGAATTATTTTTGCAATTGGTACATTCTAAGCTGTTTCTGTAATTCAGAGTTATTAATATGAATCTAGAAGAACTGTTGGCTTATATTGAATCATTTAATAAATTCAATGAAAATATTAGATTCCTTCATATTAATGATAACGATAATGATAATAATGACTATAACACAAAACTGTTGAATCCAAGAATGAAGCATTCTTTGAAGAAGCAAATGACATTAGCATCTCCATTGCAAGAATGTGAGGATTCATTTCCAGTTTTAGATGCTCAAATTGATCCCATTCAACAAGATCAACAACAGCAACAACATTCCCAAATTCTTATATTTAATGATGTTGAAGGTGGTGTTAACTACTTTTATGAAGATGAAGATAATGAACAACAAGAAAATCCTGAAATTGAAGATATTTCCCCTATTTCAATCGCTAGCTTAGATGGAAAGATTAGAAGGAAACGTCTGAATAGTGTACAACATTCGATCAATCATTCCAGAAATAATACCATAGAAAAATATAGAATAAGTAAATCATCCAATACATCCCCTACCATTAAGTTACCTCTTAAACCAGAAATCAAAATAGCAACAATTGAAAACTACGCTCAACATTTGGTCCATGAGAAAGGATCATCTTCTTCGAATAACGTTGGCAATCCGTTTTATAAACCAAAGTATAAGTCTACTACTTCCATTCCAAACATGGTGAACTACTCTCAATTGGCTGCCAACAATGAAGTGGCTGATTCTGAATCCTTGTCAAACACTAAGCGAGCTGACTCCTTAGTCGATCAATCATTCAAATTCAACTTCTAACTTGTCTACGGTTATGATCCATTGTGTTGTGTGTTGCCTTTTGATTATGTTGCAATTTTTATTTTTTCGTTTTTTTGGTTGTCTTATTTTGGTGATACTTTTTTTTTCTTTGCTGTGAGTTTTCTTCTTAACTATTTAAACTACTTATTTATTCTTTCCAACTATTCCATTATCATGCTTGATATTTCAGTTCTACATTAATGACACTTACGATAACTTTTTATGACACATTACCTTGTGTATATGATTGTGTATTTATATAGAAATTGTTTATTTTTCTTAAATAATGCATATATTTTCATACGTCTCCTATCAATGGTTTTAATGCCAAAGGTAATAACTCAGCAGCATCTCCTTTAAAACCCCAAGTATCTGCCACTTTACCTTGGAGAATATCATCTTCTATATCAGTATTGAATATGGCAACTTTACCTCCTTTTAATTTGATTCTATCTACATAACTATTGGCAGGATAAACGGTACCACTTGTTCCTATAACTAAGATTAAATCAACTGAATTTCCAGATTCAATAAAATTATCAATCTTAGTTAATAATTGTAATGGTAATGATTCACCAAACCATACGACACCAGGTCGTAACAATGTACCATCATCACATACTGGACATTGAGGTAATTCCTTCTCTGATAATTGTTTAACAGGTAAAAATTGAGGTGAAACATTTACATTTTCATCTATACCATCTATAGGTCGTTTTCGATTTTGTTTATCATATTCATATTCTGTATCTTGTAATGCTTTTGTTAAGGGATTTTTGAAATTATCATAATCAATGAAATTGCAGATGAATCCTGTACATTTTAGATTAAATAATGATCCATGTATTTCAAGTAATGTCTCTCGTTTATGATTACTTCGTGTCAGTAAGCCATCCACATTTTGTGTTATAGTGATATATTCAACTCCTTCTAATTGTGATAGTTTACTTAAGGCATAATGACCACGATTTGGTTTTGCTTTCAAAGCTCCATATCGTCTCCATGAATAAAACTGCCATACTAATCCAGGATCAATATAAAATGCATCCGGTGTAGCTAAATCAATCATATTAAAATTCTTCCATAAACCTTGTGATCCTTGATAGGTAGGTAATCCTGACGATACTGATAATCCAGCACCCACCAATGCAACTATCTTCTTAGACTTAACAAGATGCTCCTGAAACTCTAGCAATTGTTTACTCATATCCCCACCATTGACTTGACTTGATTTACGAAGATAATAATAATTAATATAAAAATGGTTTGTTGCTCTTTTTCACATTTGGGATTATTTTTTTTTTGTCTTTACTCCAGATTTATTTTGATCGTATAAAAAAAAAGAACATATACATTTTTTATAATACAAAACTACTATACAAAAAGAAAACATAAATCTATAGCTATAAATAGTTGTTTAGTCTTGGAAGTTCTAACTGGACTTTGCTTTTGCTGCTTGTTGTTTTAATTTGAACGCAGCATATTTGGCAGAATGGCCAAACTCTATAGCAGAGTTAGTTATGATTCTATTTCCACCAAGTGCAATTGGTGGAGCTCTGTAAAATACAACACCTGTGCTAACATTACCGTCTTTATCAACTTTTCTTCTCTTGTTTACAGTATCACTGATATCATTTAATTTGATATCATCTGATGAATATGAAAGCACACCACCTGCTAAAAGAGTGGAATATGTTGATGTAGAGGTATGATACGTAACACCAGCTGGTGCAGCCAAGGTGACAGCGGTTGGAGTTGGAACTCTTCCATATATCTGTTGATGTTGTTGTTGTTGCAATTGTTGTAATTGTTGTTCTTGTAATTGTTTGGCTTGCGATTCTTGGATTTGAACTTGTAACAGTTTATAAGTACCTGGAAGTTGTTGAGTTAAAATTACTGCTGGCTTTTCTTCAAAATGTGATACTGGTGGATCAGTTAATGAACTAGTATAAACAGTATGAGTAATACCACCTCCACCTTTTAATTGTGAGATTGGTGTGAATAAGAATGCTCTACGACCACTATTAATGTCATTTTGTTCAACAACAGGTACAACATTAGGACTGGTAGTATATTGACCTAAATCATCATCTTTAATAGGAGCTGTTATATAAACCAGACCTACCAATGGAGGAGAATTAGCTTGGCCTGGAGTAGCATCAGGTATAGCCATGCCTAAATAAGCATCCTTAGGTAATAATGCTCGAATAGGTGATTCATATTTGATTAATTTACGATTTTCATTCAATGGTATTATAGGTTGTTCTGGATTGTCTCTAACTTCATCTGGTAAACATGCTTTCCAAGTTCTGATACGATTAAAAACATGAGTAGATTCATTGTATCTAAATTCACAAATAAACCATGGGGCGGATTCAGGTATAACACCAGCAGGTAAATCACCCTTTTGATATCTAGTTAAAAATATAACGTAACATGGTCCAACAATTTCACTAACGATATGATCACGATATTGACCAGTTTTACATACTTCATTCATAAAGAATAATCTATCCACACCATGACAAGTTTGTTCTGGACGATAATACCAACAAGCATTAAAGTATCTTGTACCATCTTTAGTAGACCACATACGGAATACTTGACCAACAGTTGGTTTATCCGGATCAGCCGGATTGGAAATTAATACCCAATCACCAATCTTATAAGAATAACCATTTACTTCAATAGAATCTAATGGGAATCTAACTATACCGTCATTACCAGATGTACTTGATATAATTAAATCTTGATCACTCTTACTAATTTCTTGTTGAATAATAGTTTGAGCTTCTTTATTAAAGTTTTGAAAATCAATGAATTCTTCACTATAAGGATCCTGTTGATAATATAATTGAGCATTGGAAAACATGATATCTAAATCATGAATGAATTGTTCAACATTAGTATATTTTCTTGTTCTAACTTTAATTCTAATTTCATTCAAACTAATTGGGTTTGGAACTCGTTCATAATAATCAGAATTAGATTTCATATCAGGTAATCTTTCAAAATGTTGAGTTAATGATCTACCTTCATTATTTGGATCTCTTAATTTTTTAAAACTCTTTAAAATCAACTTTATTCTAGTTTCAAATGGTTTATCAATGATTGGTGGACGACCTCTTCTAATACCACTTTCGGCATTCTTAGGAGGTGGCGGAGACACAGCATGGCTTATATGAGATACTGGCATTGGTGGAGGAGGGGCATAGATTGGAGTACTTATATTTTGATGATTATTAATGGGGAAATATGGTTCGGATTGTGGTGTAAGACTTGTTTCCACCGTAAATTCTCGTTCAGGAGCCGATTCACTATACGTAATCTCATCCACAATGGCTTCATCTTTTCCATCTGGTAAATCACCTAAATGGGGATATGTTAAGTTTCTACTATTTGGGATAGCCTTATCTGATTTCAATTTAGGAAGTACCATTGTTAAGATATATTGCTTTAAAATTAATGCATGTTTGTAAACCTTTGATTCTCTCACATTATACAATCTAGCATTCCATGAAATGACAGCCAAATCATCAATAAACTGTTGAGCATTGTCATATTTAGCGTTCTTGATCTTTCTTCCCACTGCATGTAATGAAAGTGGATTCTTCACCACCTTATAATAATCAGTTCCAGTACGAAGTGGCAAGGTATGGAAAGTCACTGATATCAGCAGTCCATTATCATTGATGGTATAAAGCTTATCGTATAACGAGGTTAGCCTGGTTCCTAACTTCTTCTTTTCCCTATCTGACATCCTTCCGTTTGTCGTTTGACGATGATTGATTGCAAAACAACTTTCAAGTTTGATCACTTCCACGAAATTGTTTATGTTTTTTTTTCTTCCCTTCAATTCCCTCCAATTCAAAATTTTGATACTTTGAAATTTTTGAACGCGCAAGATTGCCAGACACGACTATTCTACTACAACTTTTTGAAGTAACAGGTAAACCAAATTGTGAATTCATTAATTTTTAGCATAGTAATAAGGTATAGAATTATATATGTTTATATATAGGGAAATAAATAGAAAACGGGTAACGTGAAGAAGAATGAAAAGTAAAAATGATACATTGGAAATGAAAATCTAAAGATTTTTATAGCTTTTGTTTTTGATGAATTTGTATGAGTTTGTGTATGAGTGAAATTGACTAACTTACTTAGGCAGCTGGGTTACCATAAATACCCCAATGTTGTTCAACATTTTGTGGACCAGGTTCTTTCCAATAATCATTATATAAGGTAAATGCAATAACTTGACTTGATAACACACTCATAATACTTTGAAGGGCAGATGTTTGATTTGGAATTGAAGGAACACCATCAGTACCAAAAGTATCACCTTGTGTGGGCCAACCAGTTTCAGTGATTAAAACTGATTTTCCATTATTACAAACACTTTCTAAATTAGCAATTTGGGCTTGTAACCAAGGACCAGAATTTCCTGGTTCAACCCCTCCATCCCAATATGGATGACAATTTACGGCAAGATAATCTGAATATTGACATAATGATGGATTGCTTACAACTGCAACTAATGTATCAACCGAAACGACATATCCAGTATATTGAGAAGCATTGGCTTGAAGCCAACTTCTAGCTGCAGCAACAGCAACTTGAATTTGAGCTGGAGTAGCTGTACCCGAGTTAACTTGTTCATTACCAATGGAAATTGTATGAACAATACTCCAACCTCTTGAAGTGGTACCAACAGATTGTTGAATAACCTCTAAACCACTAGTAACTGAAGCATCATCAATATCCCAAATACCTAAGAAAAGTTGTTGATGAGATTGTAATGCAGCTATAACATTTTGAATACCTGAACAATCAGTAGCATATAATCTAATAAGATCAAAATTACTTAATTGATCAATATCATAAGCAACTTGGGCAGCAGTTTTACAAGCATTAGCTTCAGTATATGGTGAATAAGTAATTCCTTTTGCTGATTGAGCTGCTTTGATACTAGGTGCATAAGCAGCATTACTACCAGTACCAGATGAAACAAGTGGATTTGAAGCAGAAACTGAAGATGTAACAGGTAAACTTGATTGGACACTTGAACCTGCAAGGCCTGCCGAGACACTTGGTGCAACCAATGGAGCTGCTGCTGCTGCTACAGAACTTGAACCAGAACCTGAAGAATCACCAAATAAGAAATCAAAAAGATTTTCACTACTGTAAGTTGATGTTGTTAATGTTGTTGGTGCATAAGTTGGAGATACTGCTGCAACTGGAGTTGAGACAACTGGAACAGCTGCTGCAGCTGGAGTGGAAACAGGAGTTGTAACAGCAGTTGTTGAGGTAGTATCATCATCGTCCAAAGTACCAAAGAATGCACTAAATGCTGATGAAATTGCTTTACCAACACTACTTAATAATCCACCAGAACTTGAAGTTGTCGTAGCAGGTGCTGCTGCTGCTGCTGTGGTTACGGCTGCTGGTGCCACTGCTGCTGGTGATACTACTGGTGCAGCTACTGCAGCGGCGACTGATATTGTTGGAACTGCGGCAGCAACTGGTGCTTGGGTAGTTGTTGGTACTGCTGCTGCTGCAGGGACGACTGGAGTGATTGCAACTGCTGCTGCTGTGGTTGCAGGACCTATTGCTGCAGGAGCTGGTGGTGGAACTGGAATTGCAGTTGTTGTTGGTAATGCTGCTGCGGTTGCTGGAGCTTGAACATTAATAGTTGAATATAAGGTGACGTAACCTCTCTTCTTTATCGGTGCTGGAGCTCCTGATACTATAATTCCAGTGAATATGAAAAGAAGTAAATAGTTCAAGATGTACATTTTAATAATGTTGAAGTATGATTTTAATTATTATTGATTTCAAGGAATGATGATATACTATTTTTTTTTAATTTTGAAAGATCCTGGGATGATGATGAACTTTTAAAAGACAAGTAGAAAGGAATGGAATGATTTTAGTGATATTTTCACACTTATATTGATAAACCGACAGCAGATAATTGATATTTATAATGGACAAGATAGAAAAAAAAGTGGTCGATATGGGTTTGAAGTAGTTTTCATGATATATATATGAGGACAGCTCGATATATCATAACTTTTGGAAGGTAAACCTCTAAGTATTTCAAAAATTTGTCTGGAGTTCATAAGAAATTCAATTAGATTTCCTAATTAGGCCACATTTTAGATTTGCAACTCTTGTGCTTGTGCACGACCGCAAAAATACTTTCCTAATCGGGTAATTATCTTTTTGTCATACAGTGAGATTTCTATGGAGTTAGATTAATGTATGTAAACCTGTTATTCTTATTTTGGAATAAACCAATGAAGCTTAACCGAAGCTCAGGTGGGGTTTCGATAGTTTAAAATACCAATTTAGTATATAATAGTTTGATATTCTGGGCTTAGATGAATTTCTTGCTATTAAATTGAAGAGCAAAAACTTAGTTTTACCACTTTAAGTGATTGGAACGAGGTTTCACTTGGTAGTTGGGAGGTAGAGTCTCAACCAAGATATAAGGCTTATAGTAAAATTGCTCTTATTCTTAGTAGGGCTATGTTGGTTTTGAATTTGCTTTTGACATATGTGGGAACTTCAATAAATATTGGGGTATGCATTTAGCTTAAAAAAGAAATTGTGATATGAACCTAAAAATTGACACTTAGTAAAGACCAATCATCGTCATCGTCATATGCGAGGTAGATCTAACTACTGCATGTGTCTAGTTGGAGTTCATATCCACATTATCTAACATACGGGTACTTGATCCATACAAAAACCCTTAAGCGGACTCAACAAAAAGTTTTTACGATAATATGTTACATATATTTTTTGCTTTTATAAATAGTTGATGTCTATGTATCGGGAACTAATATACAATAGATGAAACTTCCGAAATCATTCATCATTTGATTTTTTAACCGAAAAACTTATAGATCAAATAAAATATTCCTATCATAAATATTAAACTGAACCAAAACAACCATTTATCTTGTCTTGCTCTCTTTTCTATGCTTCTTATAGTTCCTTGACTGACACCCAAAGTAATCAAACTTTCTTCAAACTTGGCTTGCACTTTTCTTAAAGTTTCGTTTTGTTCAACTATATCTTCAAATGCTTGTTGACCCATTTCCAAAATATGATCCAATTGTTGAGTCCCTCTACCCAAGGATAAACGTTCATTGTATAATCCTTCTTGATATGATAATGTCTGTTGTTGTTGTTGTTGTTGGTTATTTGAATCATATGGATTTTCAGAATTATGATTACTATCACTGATATGAGTATGTCTTCTCCCTAATAATTCTTGTTTATTGTTTTCTTGAACAATTGAATCTCTTTGCAGCTTCAAACTATCAAACTTAGTAACAAACTCCAGTAAGTCTTGACTGAATTTCTCTATTCTACTTTCATGTTTGGCATTCGTGGTAGAATTTGGATCCTTGTCTATTAATTCTTTATATTCCTTGATAGTTTTTCTAAATGCAGTGATAGATGTGGTGATTGCTCCTTGTAAAGACAATGGAGAAGTGGATAAATTCTTCTCAAACTCTAATAAGTCTCTTGAGATCGTTTGAGTTTGTTTCAAACCATGATTATATATCGAATTCATTACCTTTGCTCTATGGTCTATAATCAACACGTCACCTTAATGATCAAAAAAGATTTTGTTTACGCTTAATGCTATACATTTTTTTTTCCCTTGACGTGTTAGGAGATTTGTTAATTTCACAATATACGCGGCAATGCATAGAAATTCGTATAATATAATATAACAAAGCTAAGCAGAGTAAATCAATGACCATTGAATGGTTATACTAGAACTACATAACTAAGGTTGCAATAAGGCTATTTAATTGTTTTCATAACACATGACATATATATAAATATTAAACATAAATGGTTGATTGTTTAACCAAAAAATCTAATGAATGCTAATAATAAAGCAAATGTACCAGATGAAACCCCAATTAACCATTGCATAACTTGAGTCTTTACTGATTTAATTTGCATTTGCATATTAGCAATCTCTTCATCAATTCTAGTATAAGTATCTTCGATTTTCAGTTCATGAATAGAACTTTCTTCTCTTATTCTTCCCTTTTCTAAATTCAAATCCAATCTTACACCTGCTTGATTCTTTGTAATTTCTTCTTTTAATCGATTCCTTAAATTAGTTAAATCAGTTCTTAATTTCTCTTGTTCTTTCTTTAAATCAGTTAATTCAGATTTATCCATAGTTTGAAGTTCTCCCTTTAATTTAGCAAAATCAACTTTTTGTTGATATGCAGTTGACGATAAAACTTCCTTAGTAACTAAATTCCTAGTTATAGAATATATCCCATCATTTATAGCTTTATTGACAATATTAACTGCAGTCTCTGCCTCTTGTTTAGTAAATCCTCCCTTTTGTTCTAATGATTGAACAAACTTTTTAGTATCGAATTTGGTTATGGACGTTAGACTTCTAATATGATTGTTATTATGTGATACAATACATTGATTTATCAATCTAGCTCTACCACTAGGTATTATAATACTTTTGAACATAGTGGTTTGGTAATTATGATGATGTGATTGGTTTGATAGTGATATTCAAAACTGTTTTGAACTTTTTTTGATTGCATTTACAACCAACCACAAAAAAAAAAAGTTTTTTGGAGGTCATTTCTACAAATCATTTACAATCCTATATCAATAGGTTGTTATCAACTAATCATTATCCATCATGATGTTGAATCGATTGATCATCAGATCAAATGGTATACTAAGAACAAATGCCGTTTGTTCATTAAGAGGTGGATTAATTGGGTATCGATCCTATTCCAACATAGAAGACTTCAATAAGAAGAAGACTCATTACACATATGGTGCTAATTTTGAAAGTCTAGAAGATTTAGAAAAGGAAATAAATCCTCAAGATCAATCGACCCAAAAGATACATCAAAAGATTCAAGATCAAATGGAACAAGAACAACAAGCCAAAATGACTTCATTTGTGAATAATCATCCAAAGTTAATTAACTTAGAACCAGGAAGTCCTCAATATAAAGAACAATTATATTTTGTTCAACTTGAATATGAAAAGTCTCAAAGGAAGCAACGTAAGAGATTTGAGTTCTATGAACGTTTGAGAGCCATGGGAGTTGGTATTCTTGCCCTTGTGGCTATAATTGGTACTCATTATGTGTATATGCATTATCCATATTTAAAAACGAAGGCTCTTGCTAATATTAATTATAAAATTGATGAAGATAAGGCTCCTGATTTAAGTGATCCAAATAAGAATACCAAAAATAATGAATATCTCATTAATAAATTAAATGAAGAATTAACTTCATTTACAGATTTAAAGAATTCAGAAGAAGTGGCAGGTTTATACGTATTTGGGCAATCAAATAATCAAAAATTACCTATGAGATTTGACTTTTTCAATCAAATGCTTATTAAAGATGTCAAACTCTTGAATGATTATTTAGTGGTGGTTAATGAAAAGGGACAAGTTTATGAATATTATAAGGGATTAAAAGTTCCAAAATTAATAAATTTACCATATAAAATCGATAAAGTTGAAGTGTCAAACAACGTGCTATACTTTAAAACCAATAAAGGTGAAATAATTTATATACCAAGAAGAGGAAGTAAACCAGATTCTGATTTCCAAGGTACTACAAGAAGAAATTGGATAGGAATATCTCAAGATCAAACATATGCTAAATTAAATATTGGTGAGTCAATTGATCAATTTTCAACTGGTGAAAATCATATTTTATTATTAGGTAAATCTGGTAAACTTTATATTGCCAATACATCTCAAAATCCTATTAATAAAGGACAATATGGTATACCTGATTATTCACCCTTTTCAAAAGATGTTAAAATACCCACAAATGAACCATTTGAAATGACTTTATTAAATAATGAAATCTATCAAGATAACCAAGGAAACAAATCATTAATATCAAGAAGATTTAAAACCATTGCTAGTGGTAAATATCATAATATTGTGGTTGATACATCAGGTAATGTTTGGACATGGGGGAAGAATAATTATGGAGAATGTGGTATTAATATGAATTATAATACAGACCTTCAACCTATTCCAAAGAAGATTTTACAACTTGATGATTATAAGAGAATTTGTCGTAATGCGTTACCAAGTATTGCTGGTGGATTAACAAGTGCTGATTTCAATGTTAAGAAAGTATTTGCATCTGATGATTCATCATATGTTCAACTTGAATATAATAATGACCAAGATATTTTATTAAGTTTTGGTAATGGATTAAAAGGTCAATTAGGTAATAATCGTTATTTACACGTTTGTTCATCACCACAGATTATTAAATCATTAATAAATTTAACTGAATTTAATGAGAGTTTAAATAAAGTTGAAACCATTGGGATTAAAGATGTGAATGTGGGGAATAATCATTTATTTATTACTTTGAATAACTCAGGTAAATTTAAAGATGTTTTAGTAGTTGGTGATAATGAATCTGGACAATTTGGTAATGGTAAAGTAGTTAGAAGTTCAAAACCAGTTCAAATTCCAAAATTAATTGAACCAAAAGATTTACTTGATAGTAAAAGTTCAAAAAATTCATCATCTAAATTATCCAAGAAAATAAATGATGCTAATAATAGTAGATTACAATTATTAGATGATCATAAATTAATTAATAATTCAATTATTGAACAAGTTATAGTTGCAGGAGAGAATGGTTCAGCTATATTTTATAAACGTAAATAGAGGACTTTTTATATATATAAATGGTTAAAAATGTACATATTTAATATTTTTTTAATTTAAAAACCGTTTTGTCGTATGTTAATTTCTTTAAAATTCTATAATTTATATCCCTAAGAAAGAAACCTAAGTCTTTATTAAAAAAGAGACAAATTTTAAATAAGATAAAATAACCTATAAAGTAAATTATTTATAAAAAAAACCTAATAAGTTTCTGGAGCGTCTAATTTAAAGATTTCAGTTAAGATTTTAATGGTATCAGCTGGAGAGTTAACGGCATGACCGATAGTTCTTGGATCAGAATAAATTTCATAATCATTACCACCTTTATAAGATTTATCACCAAAGAAATGAATATGTTCGAATTTTTCTTCTTCAACATGTTGTAAACAATAAGTTTTATCCCAACCGGTTGGGAAAACATCAAAAGAGATTTGACCACCAATTGAGTAAGTTAAACCATAATCAGCAAAGTTTTCTCTTAAAGCATTAACTAAAGTTTCTCTAATTTTATGAATTTTATCATAAGCTTCAAAATCATTTCTTTCTTGAGTTGAAGCATTTCTACCAACTGGTGAAACATTAATCATACCATTTCTGAATTCAATAAAAGTACCTCTTCTAATTGGAATATCAATTTCAGATAAATGTTTTAAAATAAATTTAACTAGTTTATTATATCTTTCATCACCAATATAATTAATGAATGATTGACTAGCTAATTCTTTACCTTTTTTATAAGCAGTTAAACCATTTTCAGAAAAACAATAATCAAAATCTTCTAAAACATTTGGACCTAATTGTTCAACTTGTTTACTTAAATCAGAACCACCAACGAAACCAACCACAACTTTTCTTCTTAATTTTTCTAAAGTTTGTTTCATTTCTTCAGAAATAGCTAATCTAGCTGGAGTTAAAGTACCATCAACATCGAATAAGACTAAAGTCTTTGGATCTTCTTTTTCAGGGAATGAAGTCATGTTTGAATTTGAAATTGTTTGAAACTATATATACTTTAAATCAATTGACTTAAGGTCAAAGAAGAAGAAACCAGAAGAAAGGAATTGAAACTGGAATTGAAATTGAATATATATATTAAAAAAAAGTTGGAAAAAGTTGGACAACACATTAAAATAACACGTACTGTATATAGGCGTACTCATTGTTATGGGCTATACGCGTGGCTGGATTTTTGATGTTTTAGTTTAACATTGGCATCACCCACACTGTCATTTCAGTATTATTAATTAGATCTGTAGTTGATGTATGTGTAGGTATAGGTGGATATAACATGTGTTATTTAACTTCATAGTGTTTTTGTTTTGCTGAAAAAAGGAATGATAATTCTCGAGGAGTCGTGATTATTATTTTGAACTATTAGCCTTGCTTATGAGGTACCTGTATCACTTGCATTTACGATGATTAAGTTATATCAAAGTTGTTCAACTGATAGGATCTGACATATCAGTGTTGAAATAACTGTAGAATTCAATCATATATAATACATAATCACTTTCATTTTAACGATGTTAAATTCACAGAAAAGTTGCAAAAAAACATCGCCAAAATGAGGCAAAAAAAAGTATTTAGGAAACAATCTGATGATAACCTTAAAACTATGATTTCATGACAATGTAGTAAAATTATTCCATTGTAAGCCATATTCCTTACAATACAGATAGTCTACACTAATCAACTACATTCTACAATTTTAATAAAAACTTTAAAGATGGGATTTCTCCATTAACTTATATAAAGGGATATATATATAATTATATATAGTATTCAAACTATTATTGAAACAAAACTTAATTAATAATTAAACATTAAATCAGATTGATTTAAGCTTCATATTGAAAGTTTGGGAATTGTTTCAAGTTTTCTTCTAAATTACCTTTTTTAGTTAAGAATTTAACATAAGCACCATCATCTTTAACTTCACCATTGTTCTTTTTGATAACATAATCGGCTCTATCTAATGGAGTGAAACCCCATTTTTTAGAAATAATGATTCTTTGTTGACCAGGGAACTTATATCTAGCTCTTCTTAAACCTTCAATAACAACATCTTTGTTGGAATCTTTAGTTCTAGCAGACATAATAATTTGACCAATAGAAACTCTGGCAGCTAAACCATGAGGTTTACCCCAAGCACCTCTCATACCTTGTTGTAATCTATCGGCACCGGCACATGACAACATCTTGTTAATACGTAAAACGTGGAAAGGATGAACTCTAACTCTTAAATGGAAAGAATCTCTACCAGAAACTTTGGTAATATATTTATTGGCACAAATACGAGCAGCTTCTAAAGCTTCAGATGATAATTGTTCTAATTCATTAGAAACTAAATGAATACATAATGGGAATTCATCAACAGGAGCCTTCTTTCTACCTAAATCATAGATTCTAATTTTAGCATCTGGAACAGCTCTATTATATCTGGATTTTGGATATGGCTTGTTCTTACAGTATCTGTAACATCTAGCTGGTCTTCTAGCCATTTTGTCTAAAGAATTAAGTTAGTAATTATGGTCTTGGATGAATAAAGAACAAAGTTTATGATTTTATTATGGAGATTGTTTTTTTTTTTTGATTATTAATAGATTTCCTCGAGATTTGAATATGGATGGAACTTATGGAATATTCAACTTATGATGATACTTGATTCGATTGATCGATAGGAATGGGTCACTCTCTTGACTATTTATATAATTTCTTACTTGCAGTTCTTTGGCCACCCAGTTTTTTAACAAATGATATAATGATTACAAATCAAAATTTCAATACAATAATTGATGATGATACAGTTTCACTTGGAACAATTCTCAAAAGATGATGATGAATGATACTAACAATCTGTCTCTATAATCGACTTCAACACTTGTTTCTCTAATACCAATATTAGTACATACCTAAGTTATCAGTTAGTTGATAGTAATTAAAAGAACTTATAGTTAAAATCTATGAGTCAAATTTTTTTTTTACCATTTTTTTCCCTTTGGTTCCTTCCTGAGGAAAAGTACTGCATATAGATAGTTAACTATGAAGCTTTACTTTAATTAGTAATATCCAAAACTTTCGTTACCCGCACAACAGAAAAAATGGGAATGGAAAATTTAAAAGATCCATACTGCAATACTCAAGTTGAATCACCTGATCAAATGTGACTGGTTTTTGAGAAGTCATGTGCCGATGGGCAGCTGACCAACGCAGCTGACAAATGTCAGGTGACTTACATTTTTGTTAGTACCATGCTTGAACTATTGCAGTAAGGATGTTATTGCTAGATCAAAAGAAGGGAAAGTAGAAGGAGGAAAAAAAAATTCTTAAAACTCATCTCTGAAATATATATATAGTTATAATATAGTTTATACAGTTTATAAAACAACAACAACCACACAACATGGGTAGATATAGTGTTAAAAGATATAAGACCAAGAGAAGAACTAGAGATATCGACTTAATCTATGATGATCTTTCATCCAAAGAAAGTATCGTTAAATTAAAGAATCAACCTATTGATGAAGATAAAACTGGGTTAGCCCAATATTATTGTATACCATGTGCTAAATACTTTGAAAATCAAATCACATTAGATAAACATACTAAAGCCAAGAAACATAAGAGAAGATTAAAGGACTTGAGTGTCAAACCATATACTAATTTAGAAGCTGAAGCTGCATCTGGAGTTAATATGAATAAATTTTTACAATCAGTTGAACAATATAAACAATTGGAACAATTAAAAAAGGAAAATAATAATGAATTCGATCAATTAATTAATCAAAAGAAAGATAATTTGGATGCCATAATAACAGGGGTACCATCTGAAGAATTCCAAAAGCAACAAGAAGAACAAGCTCATCAAAAAGTGATTGTTCAAGATTCTGAAATGGCTTAGTTCGGTTGATTTCTGCATTTAATTATTGTATATTAGCTTTTATTTTATTTCATTTCATTTTATTTCCTTCATTCGTTCCTTATTTATTTTACTTTACGTTATCCATATATATTTCATGATATGCATTAAGATCTCTATTTTTTTTTTGATTTGGCTTTTTATTTTTTATATTTTTTTCTTTTTGATAGATATAATAACTGACAATATAGTTTAATATGTCATGATGAATTAATAAATGTTAGTTTTACTTTTCAAAAGTTTATCTGTAGTTCGTATTAGATTGATAAATTTGCAATCACTAATTGAGGTTAATCTTAGATTTGTATTGATTTCCCGTTATGGCAACATTTCGCATTTTTATCTCTCTCTCTCTCCACTAAATAAAAATAAACACTGTCAATTCATCATCATCATCATCAGTAAGATATCAAATCATAACTAATCATAGTCTAGACATAGAGAGTGATACCAACAATGAGACTAAGGTTAAAATCAAAGACAGGGATTAAGACTATAGTGGTCGATGACCACTTATCATTTAAACAATTTATAAATGATGGTGAATACTTTAATGATTTGAAATCATCATCATCAGATGAGATTGTGGCGATTAAACGAGGATTCCCCCCTGTTTCCATATCTTTACATGATATAGCTGATAATGAAACCATCACTGATAAGGGAATTAAAGCTGGTGATCAACTTATTATAGAATTTGGTCGAGGTGTTACTGGTGGAAGTGATGGTGATGTTGTTAACAGTGAGAAATTGCCACAGACTGTTTCACCGCAACCATCCCTGATATCATCCATCCCAACTTCAGACAAAGCTAGTACCGCTAAAGAAGATGACATACCATCAGTATACATCCCTGATTTAAAGAAATACCTCATTTTAAGAAACATACCGGATGATAATTCATGTTTATTCAATTCGATATCATATGCATTAAGTGGATATGACTCTTATGAAACGATAAGTCCACCACTGGAATTAAGAAAAGTAATAGTTCAATATATTCAGAATGATCCTCTTTTATATAATGAAGTTATATTAGGACGACCAGTGGAAGAATATTGTCAATGGATATTAAAGAAGGATTCATGGGGTGGAGCTATTGAATTAGGGATATTGGCTAATTGGTTTAATATTAGAATTGATTGTTTAGATATCGAACTGGGGAAATTCATTCAATTCAAGAATGAAGATAGTGATATTCCGATTGATAAATTCATTATATTGATTTATAGTGGGATCCATTATGATTTATTAGCATTAAATCCAATAAAGAGTACTCTAAGTAAGGATAAAGCTGATGATATAACTCAATTTGAAATCAATCCTACTACTGAATCAATCATACTTGAACAAAGTTGTCAAACTTTATGTCATCTTTTACAAACTGAAAATTATGCTACAAATACTACCACATTTAGAGTTAGATGTCTTGATTGTTATAAGATATTAGTAGGAGAAATGGGAGCCACAAAACATGCCAATACTTATGGACATTTCCGATTTGGGGAAGTCAAATAAACTAGTTAGACCTTAAGCAGAATAAAATTGTAATATATGTTAACAGTAGTAGTTATGTTACACCTAATTGTAGTTATTTAGACTGCAAACAGTGGACGTGTACCATTCCCAAAAAACTGGACGTGCCAAAAAAAAAAAAAAGCAGAAAAAAAAGAAAAAGAAATTTGTCGTTGGAAAGCGCTGGTTAACTATGAGAGAGAGAGCGTAGTGAGTGACATAGCGGCGGTTTACGTCTTGATGTAAAAAAAGTCGATTTGGAAGAAACTATCAGAAGAAGAAGAAGAACAAGGACAATTAACCCTGACAATCTATTCAACACATTCCAATTATTAACTTAGATTGGAACTCATTGCTGTTCATCCCACCTGCTAGATTGTTAATTCATCCATCACATCACATCTCATCTCATCATCACTACTTTCTCAATCCATCATACTGATTTGTTGAGTTGTAAAAAAGGTTAAAGACAGTTCCAGATCAATTTATTTACAACCAGATCTTTCACCATATCCTAGTTTTTCTATTTTATATTCAGTTATAAAGTATCATCTTATCAAGAGCTCATTTGTCTACTTGAATCCTTCATCCACTTAGTTTGTTACCTAAACTAACTTTATTTATTCTAAAATGTCGAAAACTACCGAATTTTTTTGTATGTATCAAATATTTATATGCTTTTTGTATTAACGAAATGTGCCATTATTTACTAACTATCATTTATAGGCCGTTTACCCAAATCTATTGATTTAACTCAAGATTTAGACGATATCACTCCATTACCAAAAGCTAATGAAGAATGTCGTGCTGCATTATATTCTTCCAATGGGAAATATTTTGCTTATACTCAACCAAATGATGTTATAATATTAAATACCGAATCCAAAGCCAACGTTTTCTTTAAAATCGATTTAAAAGAAGTATTTGATATTTATTTTTCACCTCAAGGATCTTTCTTATGTTTATGGTGTAAACCAATTTTAACTGATAAAGAAAGTGGAATTTGGAATAATAATTTAAAGATTTTTAGTTTAAAAACAAAATCAATTATAATTGAATGGTCTCAAAAGAATCAAAGTGGTTGGAAACCTCAATTCACTGCTGATGAAAAAATCATTGCTAAAAGCTTTTCAAATAATAAAGAAATTCATTTTTATGCTATTGGTGAAGGTGATGCTACTATTAATGTTAATCAACCAACTTTTAAATATAAAGTTGAAGATTCCAAGATTCCTTATCAAAGTTTTCAAATTTCTCCTGGTTTAAATCCATCCGTAGCTATTTTTATTCCGGAAAAGAATGGTAAACCAGCTAATGTATTAATTTATAATATTCCAAATTTTCAACAACCAATTTGTTCTAAGAATTTCTTTAAAGCTGAAAGATGTCAATTAAAATGGAATTCATTAGGAACAGCTTTGTTAGCTTTAGCTTCAACTGATCATGATTCAACTAATAAATCTTATTATGGTGAAACTAATTTATATCTTTTAGGTATAGCTGGATCATATGATTCAAGAATTGATTTAAAACGTGAAGGTCCAATTCATGATATAACTTGGTCACCATCAGCTCGTGAATTTGCCGTTAGTTATGGTTATATGCCATCTGAAACTACATTTTTTGATTCAAGAGGTAATGCTATTCATTCTTTACCAACTGCTCCAAGAAATACTATTTTATATTCACCTCATGCCAGATTTGTATTAGTGGCAGGATTTGGAAATTTACAAGGTACAGTTGATGTTTATGATCGTCAAAATAAATTTTCAAAAGTTGTTACATTTGAAGCTGCTAATACATCAGTTTGTGAATGGTCACCATGTGGGAGATTTATTTTAACTGCTACAACAGCTCCAAGATTAAGAGTTGATAATGGATGTAAGATTTGGCATGCCAGTGGGAAATTAATTTATTTAAAAGAATATCAAGAATTATATCTGATTGGTTGGAAACCTCAAGATATAACTCAATTCCCTGCTTTAAAACAATTAGAACCTTGTCCACCAGCTCATGAATCAACTAATGAATATTTAGCTAAACGTGCTTTGGCAACTGCTACTGCTGCCACTAAACCAGCAGGTGCTTATCGTCCTCCACATGCTAGAAATTCAGCTGCATCTTCATCATCAACTTCATTATATCAAAAGGAATTATTACAAAAGGGTATATCACCAGTAAGTTCAACTGTTCCTATCCCACAACCTCAAAAGAATGGTATTAATCCTTCAAGTGGTAGAAGTAGAGTTGTACCTGGAGCTGCTCCAATTGAAGTTAAAGAAAGTAAAAGTGCTATTAAGAATAGAAAAAAGAGAGAAGCTAAGAAATTATCATCATCAACTTCAGGATCATCAATTGCATCTCAACTTGATGAATCCAATTCTCAAACTTCAACTGCCCCAACTACTCCAACTCCATCAACTCCAGTTGTTATTGAAGTTGCTAGTGTTGTTGGAGGAGTTATTTCATTAGAAGAAAAGAAAATTAGATCTTTATTAAAGAAATTAAGAGCGATTGAACAATTAAAAATGAAACAAGCTACTGGTGAAGCCTTAGAAGATACTCAAGTGAGTAAAATTAAGAAAGAAGATGATATTAGAAAAGAATTGAATGCATTAGGATGGAATGAATAGATAATTTGTTGTTTCGCTTTGTATTCTTAGTATTCTTTCTTTCTTTCTTTATTTCTAATTGGGTTTTGATCTTGTAATTCTAGTTTTCCCCCATTTTTTAGTTTAGTTTACTTATATATATATAGTTATACATTATGCATACTTTCATTTTTTTAGTATAGTTCTTTGACAGATATAGATTACATTTTTTTTTCTCACGGTACAATATAATAAACAAAAAGTATATAATCATATTAATAATTTCTATTTATTTGTAACGTTGTAGTAGTAGTGATTGTTATAAATCGGTATGATTATCAGTATGAAAGGATGTGTGGATGAGTAAAAGGGTACAAAATGTATCAAAACAGAATTACCTAATTAGGAACTGTAATTAATGAAACACACAAAGAGATGAAAAAAAAAAAAGAAATTTTAACCTTCTTGATCTATTCGATGAGTGTGTCAGTGTGTGTGAGTGAGTGAATGGATGGATGGAACAAACAAACAAACAGATACTTGCTGTTCCTTACTTATTAATTTCATGACAAGAAGTGTAGAGAATAGAAAAGAGGCAAATGATATGTTAAGACACCTCAAATTAGGATATACTATATATAATAATGTAAGGAGAGACATTTGGTATCCAAGTAGAGATTAGATACACCTGCACTGTGTGCAGGAAATAAACAATGAATAGGAAAAAAATGATATCGCGTTTTTAATGGTGGATAATATTCGGATCATCTGGGAAGGAAGACATTGATTGATTGTAATGGTTAGATTGATTGATTAATTAAGGTAGATTGATCCTATTACAGCAATTAACCATAAGATAGAGAAACAATTTAAAATAATAGAATGTGATGGAATAAAGTCATAGCAAACAAAAGCCTATAAACTTAAAAAACGTAAGCCAACAGTCAAGACCCTTATAATCAAATTGAGAAAGGTAAAGTATACGTAAGATTAGGTTGTCAAGTAATAAATTGTACTATACATATAATACGAATGTGATATTTATAGGAGAAGTAGAAGTAGAAGTAGAAGTAGAAGTAGAAGTAGAAGTAAATACACTATTTCATTTCATATCAATTTCAGATTCATATTGTAGAGTTCAATTAATTAATTAATTAATTACTATAAATAAACTTCACCAAATTTAATTTAATTTCTTTTTTTGGTTTGTTCATTTTCGCGTCAATTGTTTTTTTTTTTTTTTTTTTCGTGTTTTTTTTTTAGTGTTGTTCGACTAACAAATTTTATTGAGTTTGAACACGACTAAGTAAACTGATTTTTATATAGTACAAATCTAATAGTGACAATTTTATATATTCAAAACTTTTCCCTTCCATTAAATTTGATTTTCAATATTCTTTTATCCTTTTCCTTCCTTCCTTATCATTGATTTGTATCATTAATCATTCGTTTTTTTATATCTATAAATCTTATTCTTATCATTAGAAGACATCATTAATCAAGGTATGTATACTTTATCCATCAATCAATCCCAATTTAAAATGAATATCAATCAAAGTAGATAACGATTTAGAATCAGAGTAAAAAGGCAGCCAATGAATTTTTAAAGCGTGGGATCAAATCAAATCAAATCAAATCAATCAATCAATCAATCAGTTTAGTTTTTTCAATCAATCAATTAGAGAAATCATTACATTGTAATCTGTATCATGACCATCAAGATCAATCAAATATCATATACCACTACATATACACTATGATGTTGACGATGTTGTTGTTGTTGTTTGTATCAATGAGAGAGTCAGATGTGAAATACCGGTGTGCATATAATTTCCCACTCACTAAAATTTCTCCCAAAAATTTAAGGGGGCACAGAATTTTTGTCCCTATTGTTTGATCCGATCAAATCCTCCCTCCCTCTCTCCCACCACACACTTACACATCTTCTCATCCCATTCTATCCCGATAACTTACACATCATAAGTGTCATCATCATCAATATCATTATCATTATCAAGTTACTCATCATATATATAATAATACAATAGTTTTAAAATTCATCTCCCTACAAATTACCCTATAATCCCAACTAAGTAAATCAAAATCCATTTTAAGATTACATCAAAATTTTAATTCCCAGGCGATTATTGCTTCTTCGTTTTTCCCTTTAAGATTTATTTATTTTTGTGTGTCCAATTTTAGAAAACAACAACAAAAAAAAAAGAAATTTTGAATCCCACTTTGTCGCTCCTTAAAAATTCTGGCTGTGCTCTCTGTCTCTCTGTCTGTGTCGCACACTACTGATCTCACTAAAATCTCATCTATTGCTCCCTATCATATCAAATCATATCATCACAATCATAATAATCGTACAATCAATTATAGTCTTGGAGTATCCACTCACTTTAGTCAAACAATTAAGGTTCCCATCACTATCATCATCGATACCATAAGCAATAACTTATAATCTTCTTTTCTTTTCTTTTCTTTTCTTTTCTTTTTATTCTAATTCTATCTCCTATACCTTCTGATTCTACAACCTCCCTAATTTCACACTTTCTTTCTTTTTTTAGAACTGCTCCAATTTTATTTTTTATTACCCTTCCCAAATCGAATTATTCATTACTGAAATAGTCCAAAAAGTCAAATTTTTTTTCAGCTCGAGTTTTTTTAGTCCTGAAATATCACAAAATCAACCCAATTTTTTTTTTTTTTACAAAAGTCGGTGGGTGGTGGTGTTTTATAACAATCATACTCATTCCCTTTCCATTCATTAAAAAAGTTTCAGAAGTTATAATATATCATAAAATTTTGGTGAAACCTTTTTTTTTATTTCTTTCTTTCCTTTGTTCCTTCTTTGTTTCTTACTAACCAAACAGCTTTCTATTCTAACTCTTGAATCTTCCCTTTAAGAAAGAATAAGAACCTTGCTACATTGGATCAAAGTACAACAAAAAATATCCCTGATTTCCCTTACATTCGTTTAATAAAAAATAAAAATACTAAAAAAAATAAATAAAACCAAGACAAGACATTAACAATCGTTTAACGCTTATAGACTGATATTCATTTTATTTCATCTTATCTCATTTTCCAGTTTTACTAACTTTTAATTAAGATGTCGTATAACGATAACAATAATTATTATGATCCTAATCAACAAGCTGGAGGAGTTCCTCAAGGTCCTCCAGCTGATGGTTATTATCAACAACAACCTTATGATGATCCAAATCAACCTCAACAAGAGTATTATAATCCAAATGCTCAATACTATCAACAACCTTATGATATGGATGGTTATCAAGAAGGAGGACAATATGAAGTTCCAAATCAACAAATTCCTCAACAAGGTTATAATGATCAATTTTCTGAATTTAGTCAAACTCCAGGTACTCCAGGTTATGATCAATATGGTACTCAATATACTCCATCACAAATTAGTTATGGAGGTGATCCAAGATCTTCAGGTGCTTCAACTCCAATTTATGGAGGTCAAGGTCAAGGTTATGAATCTGCTCAATTTCAAATGGCTTCAAATTTACCTTATCCTGCTTGGTCTGCTGATCCTCAAGCTCCTGTTAAAGTTGAACATATTGAAGATATATTTATTGATTTAACTAATAAATTTGGGTTTCAAAGAGATTCCATGAGAAATATGTTTGATTATTTCATGACTCTTTTAGATTCAAGATCTTCTCGTATGACTCCTGCTCATGCTTTATTAAGTTTACATGCTGATTATATTGGTGGTGATAATGCTAATTATAGAAAATGGTTTTTCGCTTCTCAACAAGATTTAGATGATTCTATTGGGTTTGCTAATATGAAAATGGGTAAAGTTGGTAGAAAAGCTAGAAAAGCTTCTAAAAAATCTAAAAAAGTTAAAAAGGCTGTGGCTGAACTTGGTGATGATATTGATCCAGAAGCTTTAGCTAATGAATTAGAAGGTGATTTTTCTTTAGAAGCTGCTGAAATTAGATGGAAAGCTAAAATGAATGCTTTATCACCTGAAGAAAGAGTTCGTGATATTGCTCTTTATTTATTATTATGGGGTGAAGCTAATCAAGTTCGTTTTACTCCAGAAACTTTATGTTATATTTATAAAACTGCTTTTGATTATTTACAATCTCCAGCTTGTCAACAAAGAACTGAAGCTGTACCAGAAGGAGATTATTTACAAAGAGTTATTACTCCTTTATATAGATTCCTTAGATCTCAAGTTTATGAAATTTATGAAGGTAAATTCGTTAAACGTGAAAAAGATCATAATAATATCATTGGTTATGATGATGTTAATCAATTATTTTGGTATCCTGAAGGTATTTCAAGAATTATCTTTAATGATGGTTCAAGATTAGTTGATATTCCCAAAGAAGAACGTTATTTAAAATTAGGTGAAGTTGAATGGACGAATGTTTTCTTTAAAACTTATAAAGAAATTAGAACTTGGTTACATTTTGTTACTAATTTTAATAGAATTTGGATTATTCATGGTACTGTTTACTGGATGTATGTGTCTTATAATGCTCCAACTTTATATACTTTACATTATGAACAAACTGTTAATCAACAACCAACTGCTTCTTCAAGATGGGCTGCCGCTTCTATTGGTGGATCTTTAGCTACTTTAATTCAAATCTTTGCTACTTTATTCGAATGGATGTTCGTTCCAAGAGAATGGGCTGGTGCTCAACATTTATCTCGTCGTTTAGTATTTTTACTCCTTATCTTTCTCCTTAATGCCGCTCCTCCTGTCTATACCTTTTATTGGGCTGGTTTAGCTGCTGTTTCAAAATCAGCTTATATCGTTTCAATTGTTGGTTTCTTTATTGCTATTGCTACTTTGTTCTTCTTTGCTATTATGCCGTTAGGTGGTTTATTCACTTCTTACATGAATAAAAGATCAAGAAGATATTTAGCATCTCAAGCTTTTACCGCTAATTTTGTTAAATTAAAGGGTTTAGATATGTGGATGTCATATTTATTATGGCTTTGTGTTTTCATTGCTAAATTATCCGAATCTTATTTCTTTTTGATTTTATCCATTAGAGATCCAATTAGAATTTTATCAACTACTACCATGAGATGTGTTGGTGAAGTTTGGTTTGGAGTTAGATTATGTCAACATCAAGCTCAAATCGTTTTAGGTTTAATGTTCCTTGTTGATTTATTATTATTCTTCTTGGATACGTATATGTGGTATATTCTTTGTAACTGTATTTTCTCCATTGGTAGATCATTCTACTTGGGTATTTCTATTTTAACTCCATGGAGAAATATTTTTACCAGATTACCAAAGAGAATTTATTCTAAGATTTTAGCCACTACTGAAATGGAAGTTAAATATAAACCAAAGGTTTTAATTTCTCAAATTTGGAATGCTATTGTTATTTCCATGTACAGAGAACATTTATTAGCCATTGATCACGTTCAAAAATTATTATATCATCAAGTTCCATCTGAAGTTGAAGGTAAGAGAACTTTAAGAGCTCCAACTTTCTTCATTAGTCAAGATGATAATAATTTTGAAACTGAATTTTTCCCAAGTAACTCTGAAGCCGAAAGAAGAATCTCTTTCTTTGCTCAATCTTTAGCTACTCCAATCCCAGAACCATTACCTGTTGATAACATGCCAACTTTCACTGTTTTCACTCCTCATTATTCCGAAAAGATTTTATTATCCTTGAAAGAAATTATTAGAGAAGATGATGAACATTCCAAGGTTACTTTATTAGAATACTTGAAACAATTACATCCTGTTGAATGGGATTGTTTTGTTAAGGATACTAAGATTTTAGCTGAAGAAACTGCTGCTTATGAAAATGGTGGGGATTCTGAAAAGTTATCTGAAGATGGATTAAAATCTAAAATTGATGATTTACCATTCTACTGTGTTGGTTTCAAATCTTCTGCTCCAGAATATACTTTAAGAACTAGAATTTGGGCTTCTTTAAGATCCCAAACTTTATACCGTACTGTTTCCGGTTTTATGAATTACGCCAGAGCTATTAAATTATTATACAGAGTTGAAAACCCTGAATTAGTTCAATATTTTGGTGGTGACCCAGAAGGTTTAGAATTAGCTTTAGAAAAGATGGCAAGAAGAAAGTTCAGATTCTTAGTTTCTATGCAAAGAAAAACTAAATTTAAGGAAGATGAAAAGGAAAATGCTGAATTCTTATTACGTGCTTACCCAGATTTACAAATTGCTTATTTAGATGAAGAAGCTGCCTTAAATGAAGGTGAAGATGCTAGAATTTATTCTGCTGTTGTTGATGGTCATTGTGAAATGTTAGAAAATGGTGAACGTAAACCAAAATTCAGAGTTCAATTATCAGGTAATCCAATCTTAGGTGATGGTAAATCTGATAATCAAAATCATGCTGTTATTTTCCATAGAGGTGAATATATTCAATTAATTGATGCTAATCAAGATAATTATTTGGAAGAATGTTTAAAGATTAGATCTGTTTTAGCTGAATTTGAAGAATTAAACCTTGATTTCGTTAATCCTTATGAACCAGACTTGAAGAACAACCATAATAAAGATAAGAGGGACCCTGTTGCCTTCTTAGGTGCTAGAGAATATATTTTCTCTGAAAACTCTGGTGTTTTAGGTGATGTCGCTGCTGGTAAAGAACAAACTTTCGGTACTTTATTCGCCAGAACTTTAGCTCAAGTTGGTGGTAAGTTACATTATGGTCATCCTGATTTCTTAAATGCTACTTTTATGTTAACTAGAGGTGGTGTTTCCAAAGCTCAAAAAGGGTTACATTTGAATGAAGATATTTATGCTGGTATGACTGCTATGTTAAGAGGTGGTAAGATTAAGCATTGTGAATATTATCAATGTGGTAAAGGTAGAGATATGGGTTTTGGATCTATTTTAAATTTCACTACTAAGATTGGTGCCGGTATGGGAGAACAAATGTTATCAAGAGAATATTATTATTTATCTACTCAATTACCATTAGATCGTTTCTTGTCATTCTACTATGGTCATCCAGGTTTCCATATTAATAATTTATTCATTCAATTTTCTTTACAAGTTTTCATTTTAGTCTTGGCCAATTTAACGTCATTAGCTCATGAATCTATTATCTGTTTTTATAACAAGAATTCTCCAATTACTGATGTTTTATTCCCATTCGGTTGTTACAATTTAAGTCCAGCTGTTGATTGGGTTAGACGTTATACATTATCTATTTTCATTGTTTTCTTTATTTCTTTCATTCCATTAGTGGTTCAAGAATTAATTGAAAGAGGGGTTTGGAAAGCATTCCAAAGATTTATTCGTCATTTTGCTTCCATGTCTCCAATGTTTGAAGTTTTCGTTGCCCAAATTTATGCTTCATCAATTTATACTGATTTAACTGTTGGTGGTGCTAGATATATTTCAACTGGTAGAGGTTTTGCTACTTCAAGAATTCCATTCTCCATTTTATATTCCAGATTTGCTGATTCATCTATTTATATGGGTGCAAGATTAATGTTGATTTTATTATTTGGATCAGTTGCTAAATGGCAAGCTCCATTATTATGGTTCTGGGCTTCATTATCTTCATTAATGTTCTCACCATTTATTTTCAACCCTCATCAATTTGCTTGGGATGATTTCTTTGTTGATTATCGTGATTTCATAATCTGGTTATCCAGAGGTAATACTAAATGGTACAGAAATTCATGGATTGGTTATATCAGATTATCAAGATCTAGAATTACAGGTTTCAAACGTAAGTTGATTGGTAATAACGAAGCTGAACAAAACGCTGGTGATGCTTCAAGGGCTCACAGATCAAATGTTTTCTTTGCTGATTTCCTTCCATGTCTTTTCTATACTGCTGGTCTTTTTGTCGCCTTTACTTTTATTAATGCTCAAACTGGTGTTACTCAATATAGTTATGAAATCAATGGTTCATCTGATCCAATTGAAGTTAATTCTACCTTAAGAGTTGTTATTTGTGCCTTGGCTCCTGTTGTTATCAATATGGGTGTCTTAGGTTTCTGTTTCGCCTTGGGTTGTTGTGCAGGTCCAATGTTAGGATTATGTTGTAAGAAGACTGGTTCAGTTCTTGCTGGTGTTGCTCATGGTGTTTCTGTTATTATCAATTTAGTTTTCTTTATTGTTATGTGGGTCTTAGAAGGTTTTGTCTTTGCTAGAATGTTATTAGGTATTGCCACTATGATTTATATTCAAAGATTATTATTTAAATTCTTGACTTTAGCTTTCTTAACTAGAGAATTTAAGAATGATAGAGCCAATTCTGCTTTCTGGAATGGTAAATGGTATGGTACTGGTATGGGTTATATGGCTCTTACGCAACCAGCTCGTGAATTCTGTGCTAAGATTATTGAAATGTCACATTTTGCTGGTGATTTCGTATTGGCTCATATTATTTTATTCTGTCAATTACCAATTTTATGTATTCCATTAGTTGATAGATGGCATACAACCATGTTATTCTGGTTAAAACCATCCAGATTAATTAGACAACCAATTTTCACTGTTAAGAAGACCAAATTAAGAAAGAGAATTGTGAGAAGATATTGTACTTTATACTTTTTCATTTTAGTTGTCTTTGTTATTCTTATTGCTGCTCCAGCTGTTGCATCATCTCATGTTCCAAGTGATTTAGGTATGTCATTAGGTGCTCCATTCCAAGGATTATTCCAACCAAGACATGTTAGTAACAATGATACTGGTCCAAATAGACCATCTCATTACACTTGGTCATTCCAATCTACTCGTGGTGGATCTACCAAAGCTTACACCACCAAAGCATTTTAAGGATAATCAATTATTATTTTTGATTAGAAACTTTTGATACTTTTTTTTAAAAACTCACTCCACACACTCATTTTCATTGTTTGTATTTTGTACATTATTATATATACATCTATATCTTTTTTTATTATTATGTCTCTCACTTGTTTTTTCTACTATTATTATTATTAAAGATTAGTTTTTATTACAGTTATTCTTGAAATAAAGGTTTATTATATATCTATCTATCTATCTATCTATCTAACTAACCACTTGTATGACGAGTAGATTAAACATAATGATCGTCCCATACAAATGTTTAAAACACGGCGTGTTTTTGCGTTCAAATTTCTTTTTCTGTGAAGAACAACAAATCACACCGAAAAAAAAAAAATAAATTACGAGAGAGAGAGATACAAAAAACACGTACCCTCAAATTGAAATTGAGATTATCACCAGGAACTAGAATAGAACTCTTTCAATCGAAGTCACTGATAGTATACATCAAGAGACAATGGCAGTATTTATAAAGACACTGAATGTTCCTACATCCACTAGAGCTCTAGTTGGACTTTTATTGGCAGTTTCAGCCATTATTTTTGCCTTGAAATTCCAACAATTACGAGTCGCTATTCAACAAGGTATAAGTATTTCATTTGGAGAACTTTACGTACCATATCTACAATTGATTCCAAGATCTACTGTCTATTACCCTTGGGTTATTGTTACATCCATCTTTGCTGAAGTATCTATTCTTTCGTTTGGATTTTCCATCTTGGTTCTTTCTATTTCCACTAGATATGTAGAAAAGTTTTGGGGTTGGAAAGAAGTGGTTAAATTTGTTTTAATCATTGGATTTATTACTAATTTCATTACTGTTATCTTTGCTATCATTAGTAATATTGCTAGAAATGATGTGGAAGGAATGGATTTACCATTAGGAGGAGGTATTTCCTATTATTTTGGATTTTTAGTTGTTTTTAAGCAATTAATTCCTGAACATAATATTGTATTATTTCAAGGTTTAGTTAACGTTAGAGTTAAACATTTACCATTTGCATTATTATCATTGGTTATTGTTTGGTCACTTTTAATTTCTCGTTCATTATATCCTGCTATTCCATCATTAGGAAGTTTCATTACATCTTATACTTATTTAAGATTCTTCCAATCATTTTTAACTGATCCTTTATTACCAATTACCACTGCCAATGGAGATAATTCAAATTCTTCCTTAATAACTGGTGATGCTTCCGATACTTTCCAATTAGTTGAATTCTTCCCATCCATTACTAAACCTTATTTATCCATTGTATTTGATAGAATTTATGAAATTAGTGTATTATTAGGATTAATTACTCCTTTTAATGATGAATCAGTGGAACAAAGTAATCTCAGAGCTCAAAAGAGACAAGAACAAGCCAATCAATCACAAAAGAGTGTGGCCAACTCTGTAGCTGAAAGAAGAAGACAAGTAGCGTTACAAGTGATTGAAGATAGAATCAATAAGGAATCAACTGCTTAAGCTTTAAGGTGTTAAGGTTTTCCTGAAAATATCTTATTGTTTAGTTTCCATTCCATCCCATTCCATTCAATTCAAGATTGTACTTTATAGCCTATATTTATATGTATAAAACATCCCATTTCTTTATAAATATTTATTGTAGTTTTGATTGTTATGTTTAAGGACCATTCTTACACAAAATAAAAAATGTGTTGATACCAATTTTTTAGTGAGAGGAAAAAAAATGGAAAGCCAAAAATCTGGAACTGACCAGATGAACACATCCAGGAGTAATTACATAGTTAGATCCCATATCTTATTCAATTCATTCTACGGAAACATTATATACCCTTTATAGACATACTGGGCTAGTCATTCACCAAGATCAATTGTTACTTTGAAGTCAAGAGTAGGAGTTTGACCGTTAGACTGGCAGTATACACAAATCGATCGAATCAACTTAAATCACACACATATCATATCATTTTGAAACAGTATAATGTTTGGAGTATCAGGTGGACCTGAATTCAAACCTCGATATAACAAATCAAAGAATGGGTTCTTACCTCTTCCTGCCACTTTTAATAGAATTCGAACCTTTCCTCGAAAGAATTTCCTTGGATTAATAGTGGTTATAATATTCTTTTGGTTCTTTCTTAATCCATTTCATTTCATAGGTAGTTTGTTCACTGGAGGTGAATTCACTCATTATCCACCTCCATATCCATTAACAAGTACTCAAACCATAGTTACCAATTCAAAATATATATATCCTCCCATTGAACAAGCACCTTTATTAAGAGAATTAACGGTTCATAAATTAGTTAAAGAATCTAGAATTAGAGATGCAAATTTCCCTGAAATTGAAAAAAATGTTATCACTTCATTAAATGCTTTTGATGATCCTGATCCAATTGTTCAAAAACAAAAAGAAGCTGAAGAAAATGCTATTTCAAATTTATCAGTTGCTAAAAATACATTTAAAAATCATGATAAAGTTGTATTTAAACCAGGTAAAAATCAAAATTATCCTGATATTATTGTGGTCACTGCCGTTGATTTTGAAAAATATACTCTTGATGGTTTAACTAAAATCGTTCAAAATAGAGTTGATTATGCTCATAATCAAGGTTATGGTGTTTATATTAGATGGTATCAAGAATTTTTACCAATCTTAAATTCTCTTACTTATTTACAATTAAAAGAAAAAGCTAAATGGGTTAGAATTTATTGTTTACGTGCTGCTATGTTTTCATTTCCTGAAGCTAAATGGTTTTGGTATATTGATCAAGATGGTTTAATTATGGATTTATCAGTTGATTTAGAAGAATATATTTTAAATCGTGATTCTTTAGAACCTTTAATGTTAAGAGAACAAGCAATAATTCCTCCAAATGGGGCTATAAGAACTTATAAAAATGCCAAAGCTGAGAATATGAGATTAATTATAACTCAATCAGATTCAAAAGTTGAAACTCAATCTTTAATTGTAAAAAGTGATCCTATTGGTAAATCAATTTTAGAAATTTGGGGTAATCCTTTATTCCTTAATTATCCAAATTTCCCATATGGACCAGATTCTGCATTAACTCATATTTTACAATGGCATCCTTATGTATTAAGTAAAACTACTATTATAAAATCAAGACTTCTATCATCACGTCATGCGGAAAAGAATACTCCAGATAATGCAAAAACCAATACTCAAAATTACTTCGATGGTGATTTTATAGTTACTTGGGCTGATTGTGAATCTCCTGGTAGATGTGAAAAAGTCTTGGATAAATATCATCAAAAACTTAAAGATTCTCTGACTAAAGCAACTTAAATAGACAATTTTCTCTTTTCAAACATTCATTCATTAATTTCATATAGGTCTATATATATATAACATGTTTATTACTATTACATATGTAACACGATCATTGTATCCTATTAAAAGTCATTCAATGATAGATTCCCAAATGATTCAAGTAATCTAGAATCATCAATAATTGGCTCACCAACTTCCTTATCTTGTAATTTTATCTTTCTAGCCGATTCCCAGATTTTAAATATATTCTCCATTAATTTAATCGATTCATTACTATGAACATTCACAGTGGGGATAAGCTTATCAATATTAAAGAATATTGAAAAATAGGCCAATTCACGATATGATGAATGTTCACTATATGGTACTGAATAAATTCGATATAATGATTCATCAGGTTTACCCTTTTTAATCAGATTTGAAACTTGAGGTAATATATCATCTAAATATGAAAATGAAGGACAAGTTTGCATAACTTCCATTAATTGGGATAAGTTATTACAATTAGGATCGATATCGATTACTCCATCTTCGGGAACTTCTTCTTCTAAATTATCATATAATGAAAGATTATTCGAAGTATACATTGACAGGAAACTCCAACCCGTAGGTCTTAATCCAACACATCGTTCAAATGATTCAAAATAATGATTATGATTGAAATAATTGGTTAATTCACTTATAGATCCCACAATTCTCATAGGAACTAAATGAATCATACATTCGGACTCATTATCGATGGAACCTAAATCATGATCCAGTAATACCAGATTTAAATAATCATCCTCGTATGTTCTCAACACGGCTGATTTATTCTCTCGACTATTGATATTCAGAGCATATATTTGACAATTCAATCGTTTCAGAATGGCAATAGCTAATTTCTCCTTCCCTATCACATATGTTCCTACTAAAATCAAATATTTCTTCTTCTTAGTCTTAATACTGGCCTTTAAAAAATCAGTAATTCGAGATTGTTTAAGCGTTCCAAACCATGATGAATCATCTTGATGAATTAAACTATGAAATAAATCGGCCACTGTTTCACATACTAATTCTTGCTTAGGGAAATTATACTTTGGTGACATATAAGTGGTGTCAAGATAAACTCTATCTAAGGTGAGATCACCATTAATACTATATGGTTTCAAAATAGGATGATCTAGAATATCCATATTTACACGGAAATCCCCACAATGTAAAATTCTATAATATTTATCCGTTAGTGATATAGATTCAAATAGGAATATGGCAGCTCCTGGACAATGGTTGGCTGTTATGGGAGTAACGTAGATACCAGGACTAACATCATTAGATTCATAACCTCCCACATGAATATCTTTAACGAATGAATGGATTAAATATCGTTTATCTATTTCTAGTTCTTGAATAAATCTTTGATCTATACTAAAATACAATGTCAATAATTTTGATGTTATAGGAGTACAATAAATGATTTTTCTGTATTTGGAATCATCATCATAATCAGTATTATCTTTAAATACTCTTTCATAACTCCATTTTTTTGATATACCACCATAATGATCAGAATGGAAATGGGTTAAGAAGTATTTATCTATGATATCATCAGGAGAAAAGTTGAATGCATCAACTGAAACTTCATAGAATTTGTTATCATTGTCAATAGGGAATCTCATCCTCTTTAGTATAGGAATAGTTTTCTTTGCTTTTGAAGTTGGTATGGTAGTTGGTGGTTTTATGACTTTTTCTTGACCTGGTTCAAGTTTGGGTTTCGATATTGAATTGACATAACGTGTTTTTTCTTTATCTATTATCAGTTCTTCCTTTTTAACTTTTCTTTTCTTATTATTGTTAACCTTGATAGTTTCAATTTGAGATGGTGATGGATCTATAATCGTATCTACGCGTGTAAGACATGATTCAACATGTACTGATCTCGCGTCTATAGTGAATATGGATAGATTTGCAGAACATATGGGACATAGCACAGTTTCATCAACATATTCTTCAAACTTTAGACGTATCTTCTCATCTTTTATGACTATGTCTTCACCTTCAGATGTGAGATCAACTATAGTATCGATTCTTTCTATCAGAGTACTGGAAGCTTTAGTATATTCTAAGATTGATCGTTGTTTCTTAATAGGGGTATTTACCTCCACCGACTTTTGAGATGACCTAGACATTACCTCCTTTCAATACCACCTCCCAGACAAGTTATATGTAGCTCATCAGTTCAGACGTGATGATGATGATCTTGTACTTAGATATTGCCTCTACAGAGAGATTATTATTTTTGCGACCTGAAGCAAAAACAAAAAAAAAATAATTAGGCAGCCAAAAAATTGAAAGAAATTGGCAGCACTTGGTAATACAAACCATCATTATCACATTACAACACTAGAAATCCAATGGGACTACTATCAATCATCAAGAAACAGAAGATCAAAGACAATGAGATTAGAGTATTGATACTAGGGCTTGATAATTCTGGTAAAACCACCATTATTAAGAATATGTTACAAGAAGATATCAATACTATATCTCCTACTATGGGATTTCAAATCAATACATTAGTATATGGTGATCATACCTTGAATATATGGGATATTGGAGGTCAAACCACACTTCGAAGTTTCTGGGGGAACTATTTTGATAAGACCAATGTAGTGGTTTGGGTTGTGGATTGTGTTAGTTTAGAAAGATTGAATGAATCATATAATGAATTACGAGAAAAAGTGATATTACAAGATCGATTGACGGGAATTTATTTAACTATAGTTATTAATAAGATTGATCTTATTAGTAACAAGGAAGAATTATCCCATATCAAACAGACTGTAATAGAATTACTTGATTTAGAATCTCAAATACCTCAATCAGACAAATGGCATGTACAATTAGTTAGTGGTAAATCTGGTGAAGGATTAGACGAAGTCTTAGAATGGATAACGTCTCGAAGTTATTAGCATAAATTACATACATACATACATACAACCCTCTCTCATCGACTAATGTCTTAACGAATACGACGTTTAAATATATATATTCTTTCTAATTGTAACATCTTCAGACACACGATATATATTTAAGCTTAGCTATTTAACCAGCAATTTCTATATAAATTAATCTTTCTTAACCGGATATCCTAGAAATATATCTGATATGAAGGGTGTTTTACAATTTTACAGTTTACGCGCTTTTTTTTAATTTAAAACATTTAAGACGCGCTTTTAATTGAGAGCCATTTCCTAATTGAGCAAAATTGGTGCATATATGGACTCCTTTTTGCAGATCTAGTTCATCAATGGTCAATAAAGAAGATTTATAAATTATTTGCATCTTAGAAGTCAGGTTAACTTAAGCTTTGGTTTGTGTTAATGTGGTGGTTAGGTATATTTTGAATTTTTAATAGTCTGTCTTCCTACCTTCCTTTTCTCCTCATCTTTACTGTTCTTTTTCATTAATACCATTACATCTCTCCTTCCTCCTTTATTTCTGAATTCATTCATTCATAGTTGGTTCAGATGACGGTTGATATTCACCACCAACAACAGTATCCTCAACAGTATCATCATCCTTCAATGACTCCATCTGTGACAGTTTCAACTTCAGCTCCAAATATCGTGGCCGAAAGTATTCTTCTAGAATTACAATCAAGTGAAAATGAAGCTAATGAACATTTAATTGAAATATTGGGTCTTATTAAACCATCAAGATCTTCAGCTTCACTGATATCATCTATCGTTAGAGGTTTATTCACTAAGAATTCAAAATTATTAGCTTTGTTATTTGCCAAGTTACAAGGGATTAAGAATAGAGAAACCGATGTTAAGGAAGCTTATAAGTCATTTGTCAATGACTTTGTTCTTTGGATGGATAATGATGGAATAATCTTATTTGAAAAATATTCTAATCTCATTTCCATTGGGGATGAAAATATTAATCTTAATAAGAATGCATTCTCAAGACCAATCATAAATCTTAAGAATTACATAAATTTCATCGATAAAAGTGTTGGTATCTTAAGAAATCCATTCGTATTGGAAAAACTTCATAATGTGAAAGTTAGATTAGTAGACATTGTCAATTCCTTTGATAATACCAATAATACTAAAGAATTAAATGAATTCAGTTTTGATAATATTCAAATCTTTGGTTCTAACGTGAACAATGGCAAACAAAGAAAATCTTCCAAACATCAAGATAAAGTATCAAGTTTTTTTCATATTGATCAAATCGTTGATCGTACTTTCAATGAAGATATCTTTCTTTCAGGAGAAAACATTCCGGTGGAATTGGTGCTCTTAAACGTGACAAACAACCCATCTAATAGATTCAATGCTTTGGCTATAATATCAATCGATTGTAAAGTTAGATCACTTATGTATCCTCCTTTCAGAGTTAATGAACTTTCCATGTATTCCAAAGGTGATACAATCATCTTAAAATCAATTGACTTTTTAGTATCAGGTACTAATGATGCTAAGATAACATTAAAGTTCAAGAATAATGAAGTACTTGAAAGATGGACTCAACATTTATTAACTATATTCCCATTCCAAGAAGAAAATTCACCAGTATCAGATACATTCTTAATCTCATCAGAAGTAGAACCACCAAAAATGAGTGGTCTTGGTATTGATTATTTCTCCGATTCAGAAAGAAAGCAATCAATCGATTCTTCAAATAATGTTCATATGCCAAAACCTCAATTTAAGGAAGTTTATTCCCCTGATTCCATTTCAAGTGATGAATCACCAATTTCACAGTTAATTAAAAACTCAAAATCATCTGCCGTTGATGATTTTAAAGATATGGCTCCACCTCAATTTATAAATACCAGAAGAAAGTTCTCCAATTCATCCATTGGTTCATCTGTATCCATCGAATCATGTGGTTCACAACATAATGAAAGATCGTTACAAGTCATTAATAAAGCTTTATCCAATGGTTCTTCCAAATTCAAAGCCATTGAAGTAGAAGATGGTAACCATGTGAAAGAAATTAAAAGATCAACCCTCTCTCTTTCTTCTTCCGAAAGTGACTTTCAACAAAGACCAATATCATCTCATGCTGAAATTCAAGGTCTTGGTGCACCAAACTCATTCAAACTTGATCATAACATAAATGAAAGTAAGACATCAATTGTAGAGTATGCTCCAATGGTTGATAATAGATTTGCATCGGTTCCAAATTTATCAGAATCAAAACAAGACAACAAAATGTATCAATTATCGACTGGATCAGCAATTGATATTTCCAATTTTGGTAAAAATCATCAACCAAGCTTCTTATCGGATGATACATTGGTAAATAATGGGTCTTCAAATGGAAAAAAGAAATCTTTATTCAGCATTTTCAAAAAATCATCAAAACCAAAGGATAAATCAGTAGATGGTTTCCAAATGGTTGAACGACCAGCTCTTAATCTTTCTGATCATCAAATTAAAACTGTGGAAGAAAGTGTCGAACCAGTTCAACAGCCAAAGAAGAATGATATCAATAAAAAGAAGTTAGAAATCAACACTAATATAAAACCTGAAACAATCGAAGATGGTCCATATTCAGCCATGTCAGAAAACAACGACGAGTCAGTTGCAAAACCATCAACCATCCCAGCTGCCTTTGCATTGCCATCATCCACTTCAATGTATTTCTTCAAACCATTTGCCAATGCTTCAACCGCCAGTTTGACTCAATCCAATAATGATTCACAAACTAATCTCAATATTCCTGAAGAAGATTTGAAGATCCCACAAGATTTGAAAGATATTATTAATAATGATGAATCTATTGATTTCTACCTTAGTAATAATTCACCAAAGACCATGATTATTTCCAAATGGAAAGAAAAATATGGAAAATGGGAAATGATTACAACTAGTGAAAAGATCTTTGCTAAGATTGTGGTTAATTATATTCTTAATAAAAGTTGGTTGATATTTTTTAAAGAAGAGTATGATCAAACTTATGATGAAGAAATTGATAAACCAATACTTTTGTTAGATATTGTCAATAATCAAACTACCGCTAGACAATCAGCTTTAGATTTACAAATAAGTGCCATTAACTCTATTACATCAGAAAAGATGAATATAATGGTTAGATGTAAAAGTGGATCTTTAGCAGGTAGCATAAAGGAAAGTGTTGAAAATGTATTGGGTGTCTTAAATGGTAAAGGAAATGAATCATTAAGAAATTCAAAACAGACTTATTCCGATTCTACTATCACCTCGTCTATTATGGATAGTAGAGATAAACCAAGTAATTCTTCTACCTTGACAAGTTTAAATACTATCTCAAACTCACCTTATAATTCTAAGTCAGCAAAGGAAGTTAATGAACAAAAGTCAACTTCTTTAAGTTCAGAAAGGTTGACATCTCATACAGTTTTAAACAATCCTGAAAATTCAAGATTGATAGTGTTATATCTGATGACAGTAAGATTACAAAAGCAATTAGAGGCATATGAAAAGAAAAACATCCCATCATCTTGGAAGATCCTTTCTATGTACTCTTTAAGTATCTTTGTGATATCAGATAATTTCACCAATAAAAACTACTACAACTTGGTTCTTGAAAGTCATGAAAATCAAGGTTCAGATGAAGCATTCAATTGGCTCATTTCTGAAGATGATAAATATACCAAATTAGAGAGAATCGGAAGAGCTGGTTTATTAGTGAAAATGAGTGATTCTGATATCTTTATGATTGAATGTAGAGGAAAGAAGGAATTAAAGCAATTGTTTGAGAAATTTGCTTTATAGTTGGTATTGTTAGGAGGTTTGTTTGTCGTTATTTTGCTGTTTTTTCTTATTTGTACTTTTGTTAATTATCGTTTCTTGTAATATTATAGTGTATCCAAATTAATATAAAATTAATATAAAATTTTAAAACTAAAGTTCTTAGCGCTACCAAAACTTTTGCAGCACTGAAAAAAAATCAAAATAAATTGTTTAGAAAAATGATTATCAAAAAGTTATAACACTATTATTCATATAAACCACATAACAAAATGGGTAAAATCAACATCCATAGGATTTCATATATCTTTATATGGATAAGTTTTATATGTCCTATTTACTCAAAGCCAATTCCAGACTTAAATTCAAAATATCAAAGTTTGGCAGTCAACACGCCCAGTATTGAAGTAGTGGGAAATAAATTATTCAATTCAGCTTCAGGTCAACAGTTCTTTATAAAGGGGATTGCATATCAAAGAACTCCTCAACCAGGTGACACTTACAATGGTCCATTGGAACCATACATGGACCCGTTGGCTGATCCATTAAGTTGTATGAGAGATATTCAGTATTTCAAAGCATTAGGAGTTAATGCAGTTAGAGTTTATCAAATCAATCCAATACTTAACCATGATGAGTGTATGAATTCTCTTTCAGATGCTGGTATTTATGTGATTGCTGATTTATCGGAACCTCAAAACTCAATTATTAGAAATTATCCATCTTGGGATACTACACTTTATGATAGATATTCAAGTGTGATTGATTCATTAGTAAAGTATCCAAATACTTTAGCATTTATTGCTGGTAATGAAGTTGCAAATAGTTTAGAAACTTCTAATACAGCTCCTTTTATTAAAGCATCTATAAGAGATATGAAATCATATATTTCGAGTAAAAATTATAGAAAAATTCCTGTGGGTTATGCTTCAAATGATGATGCTGGAATTAGACAAGATTTATCTTATTATCTTACCTGTCATAACTCACCTTCCGATACTTCAAATGCAGAATTCATTGGTTTAAATATTTATGAATGGTGTGGATATTCTACTTATGCAACATCTGGTTATAGAGAATTAACTTACGAATTTATGAATTATTCAGTACCAGTGGTGATGACTGAGTATGGTTGTAATGCAGTTAGACCAAGACCATTTACTGAAGTTGAAGCTATATATGGTAGTACAATGACCCAGGTTTGGTCAGGTGGTGTTGCTTATGAATATTTTGAAGAAGTTAATAATTATGGAGTTGTTCAAGAAAATACTGATGGTTCTATTTCCCAATTAGAAGATTTCAGCTTTTTAGCAAACAGATTAAATTCAGTGAATCCAATTGGAGTAACAAAAGATAGTGTTAAAAATGATCCAATGACTTATTTTGAATGTAAACATCCTTCACCAGCCTTTATGGCATCCAAAACTCTTCCACCTACTCCTGATAAAGGTAAATGTGCTTGTATGCAAGAATCGCTTACCTGTATTGTTAATCCATATGTTACTGTTAATGAAGGAGCTTTATTCCTGCAAGTTTGTGGTCAAGTAGATTGTACTGAAATAATTAATGATGGATATACAGGAGTTTATGGTAAATTTTCAGATTGTACATCAACTCAAAAGTTGTCATATGTTATTAATAAGTATTATGATAATAATAATAGAAATCCTGAATCATGTAATTTTGCTGGTAATGCCTTATTACTCAAAAATAGTACTGGTAATGTGGAAAACTTAACTACTTCAGATGGAAGAAGATGTCAAGATTTAATTTATGGAACTCTGCTCAATATGACATTTGGAGGAATAGTGGTTAAAGAACCAATCTTTAAGAATAAAACGCATTTTCCTGAAAGTACCACTTTAGAAGAAGAAGATCAACAACATCACAATAATCGTAACCCCAGTGGAAGAAGAAATTATACCTATGGTGGATATGACACACTGGCAGCTGCAACAATTGTTGATCAGTTATCTCAATTTGTAGTTGGGGTTATGGCTTCTATTGCAGGAGCAGTATTAGTTCTATAGATTACAACCTACAATACAGTTTTAAAAATTTAAATAAATATTAAACGTAATCATTAAAATCGTTAGATATATTTAACTGCTTTTGTATGTTTAGATGTTTTGTTTTGTTTAAAACTTTGATATTTTAAAATATTGTAAGATTTTTTGGCTTTTTTGAATTGATTTGGAATAGAATGGATCAATTATCCTTTTTTGGACCCCATTTAAGACCTAAGAAACCTGAATTATTACTTATTGGAGGAACATAATTTTTATGTTGGAATTTAGGTTCAATAATATATATTCTTTTACCACCTTGAACTTCTAAAGCAATATAAGCGAATTCAGAACTCCAAAATGAAGTATCAATTTGTTCTAAAGTAACTCTACCATGTTTACCACTATCTGATTCGACATGGAAATGCATGACAAGACGATCTTTACCATCTTGACCTTTAGTTCTTATACTTTGAACCGGTCTATTTCTAACCCATCTATCACCTGCCACTTCACCATAAGCTTTTAATCTTTGACCCTTTTTGAAATTTAACATGGTTTGAGCTAATTCATTCTTTTCAACTAATTTCACGGCTTTATTGAAAGTTCGAGTATCACCTGAAGGTAAGAATAATTCAGATAATATTAAATAAACCACCAATAAAGCTATACAAGTGCCTCCTAAGACTATTAACGATGATAATGAAAATGTGAATGCTCTTGAGGCCTTATTAAGAATGACTTTACCCTTGGCGTTTTTATCATGGTTTGGTTTACCATCTTGTTTAGGTGGTGGAGGAGGAGGAGCTGTCTTGGTGGAGTATCTGTGGTTTATGGTAAGGGATGAATATGGTTTGAATTGAGGCTGGAGATTATTAGATTGGTATGCATTGATAAACCGGATTGATGATCTAGGAGAAAGGGTGGTTATAGATCTTAAGGCTAATATAGATTGAATGGGTAATTTGGAATGTAAAGGAGTATAAAAGGTTAACTTTGAAGTCAACCCAACTAACTTAACCAAACTCATAATGGTTGATGTTTGTGGAATGAATGTAAATTGATATTTATTATGTTCAAGTAAGTTGGTTATCTGTATTTTTAAACATTCGATGATTTTTTTCCATTTAGTATTTTTTTTATTTGTGGGTCAGTGAGGCACAAAAATTTTGCGGAGTTCAAAAATAATTTGCAATCGATTTTATTTGAAGATGGTTTAATTAGTTTTATTTGAAACTGATATTTTATCAAAGTAATCAAGTAAATAATGTAGAGTTTGAAGAATTATTGACTGGAGTATGAATTATGGATTCTATTTAAATTATACACTTGTTAGTTGACTGTCAACGGTAAATAGTAGTAATTTTAATCATGGTAAGGAATGTTACTCTATAGTTAATTCATACCACTTTTAAAGGTCAATTAGTCTTTCAACATCTCTAAATTCAACTTCAAGTTACTGACTTCAACCTTACTTAATAATTCACCCTAATAATTCATTTTCTTACATTGAACTGTAACTTATATAACAACTCCACCTTCATATTTTTACCACTCTTAGACAAATTTAAAGCAAAGGTATTTAAGATAAACGATATTACCCATATTTAATTAAATTAAAAAGTTATGCATTGATAAAATCAACCAACTTCACATGGTAGCGCCCCAAAAATTAACTATGAGAGTTTGCCTGTACACGACAAAGCTACGAAATTTTCGGTTTATGAACAAGCCCTTGTGGCCTAATTGGTTAAGGTGTTATCCTCCGGAGATAATGATTGCGGGTTCGAGTCCCGCCTCGGGCTTACTGTTCATTTTCTTAACATGTTTTTGCGATTATTGAATGAAATGATGAATTTTGTTTTTGCAATTCTTGTTAATCCTAATTTTTTTTTAGTTATAGTGTTGTTAATGAGTGGAGTGATCAGTTCAGTAGATAGTATCATCTTGCAATATATTTATAATAACATTATCTTGCTTTTTATTTTTGGTAAATGTATAGTATATCCAATTAGTTGACCTCATTTAGATATTACAACTGTTTGATTTACTATGATAAGAATAGATCACATGACTTCCTCTGCGGTTAGGGTTTCTGACCTGGTTTTAGTAACTAGTACACGACCACATACAAAATTTTTTTAAGTGAGAGAGGAATTTTTTTTTTCGTTGTTAAAGCTCAGTTGACAATACGCAGGCAGAGAGGGATTCTGAGTGGAACCAAACAATTTTCACTTTACAAAAAATTTTAATATTATAATATTTAACCAAATTCAAGTTATAGATTTTAATCTTTTTGTGATTTTGAATACTAGCATCGTTAAAAATGGCCAAAATCAGTCAAGGTAAATATCATATTCGTATCAGTTGAGTTATAAACTTGTTGAAAAGAATGAATGGAATAAATGGGAAATGTGGTTGAACTAGTGAAATGAAATTTTTATGAAATAGAAGAGAAGACATCAAAGACTAAGTCATTATTAGAGTCTATCAAGATTGAATTGTAGAATAATCATCATATTTGAAAAGACCGACCTTTAAAGTCATAGTTGAAGTGAAATACTCAACAGAATCATTCAAGTTAAAGTCATCACCAAAGAAAAGTCATACAGACATTGTTCCAACCACCACCAACAACCATAAGAAAAATCACATCCACTGCATCTAACCAATCATCATAATGGCATATCCCATAACTATCCCCAAACACTATTGAACTAACGAACCACCTGTTTTATTTCCAAATTCTATTAACATATATAATTCAACTAAACTAACTCATAAAAAGAATCTTTTTTATACTAACATAATACATCTTTCTAGACGTTTCATCTTCCCGTTCAAAAGCTAGAAAAGCTTACTTCACTGCTTCTTCTGCTGAAAGAAGACCTTTATTATCAGCTCCTTTATCCAAGGAATTAAGAGCTCAATATAACATTAAATCTTTACCAATTAGAAAAGAAGATCAAGTTACCGTTGTTAGAGGTTCTAAAAAAGGTTCTGAAGGTAAAATTAGTTCAGTTTATAGATTAAAATTTGCTGTTCAAGTTGAAAAATTACAAAAGGAAAAATCAAATGGTGCTTCTGTTCCAATTAATCTTCATCCATCTAAAGTTGTTATCACTAAATTACATTTAGATAAAGATAGAAAGGCTTTAATTGAAAGAAAAGGTGGTAAACTCGAATAAATCAATTAAATCAAAAAAATTCATTCCATTCACACTTCATTACAATATAAACCTAATCAATCAACCAACAACTAACTTCATAATTTTAATTATATACATATATATATATATTTAGGATAATAAACATATCCAAAACATTATTATACTCGATTTTAAGATGTACAAGAGATGAAACATGTTGCTAACCATGTGAATCTCCATCAGTCTCTATACTATATACGTTTACTATATAAAATGACCAAATTAAGTAGAGATTAGTACTGAAATTGTAGTAGTTAAAGTTTCCAGTAGTTAAGAAAAAAACGCTGTTAAGGGAGAGAGCGGGTGAGATTTGTATTTCCGGGGTATAGAACAAAAAATGTTAATTAAAATTGAACAACACAAATAGATTACACTATTGGTGATAACTCATTTGGTAGAACCACAACAACATATAAGGATTGACAAGGTAGTATCAAATCAAATCAAATCAATCATGTCAACCACATCAGCCATTGATTCAGACGATGAAGGAGGCGAACTCTTTAATGGTTTTGGTTCTGCTCCTATGTCAAGAAGTACATCTCAAAAACGTACTTCTAAACGATGGTCATTTCATAATAATACCAGACCAAACTTACAAGATATGCCATCAGCTGCATCCATAGCTCGAAGATTAAGTGATATAACTGGTGAAGATGGGGTTCATGAAGAAATGTCAGTATCAGTCTTGGGTGGAGGTCAACTTTATTCTACTGAATCAGGTCGGTTATTTCATGCTGGGAAAATCATCATTTCATTAGCTGGATTACCAGGGAGAGGTAAAACTCATTTATCAGTATCATTAACAAGATATTTAAGATGGTTAGGAGTTAAAACTCATCTGTTTCATCTTGGTAATTATAGAAGAGCAAGTGCTGAAGATGATATTACTCATGATTTATTTGTTCCATCTCCAAATAGTAAAAAAGCTAATGATATTCGAAATAAAATTGTTAATGAATGTTTAAGTGATATTTTAAATTTCTTTAAAAATGATAAAGGTCAAGTAGCAATTTATGATGCTGTAAATGCTTTACCAGAATATAGACTTGAATTACATCAAAGATTTAAAGAATTAAATATTCAAGTATTATTTATTGAAAGTTTGGTTACTGATGATTCAATTATTATGAAAAATATGGAAGAAGCTGCAAGATCATCCCCTGATTATTTATCTTGGGATTATCAAAAAGCATATAAAGATTATAGTGAAAGAATTAAAACTTTAACTCCTTATTATAAAGAAATGGGTGCAGAAAAAGAATCTGAATTATCATATATTAAATTCATAAATTTTGGAGAAAGAATTGAATTACATAATTCAAATTATGGTTATTTAATTAATAAAGTTGTATTTTATTTAATGAATTCTAGAATTAAACTGGGATCAGTATTTTTTGCTAGATGTTATAAAAATTCATTAGAATATACTCAAGATCCACCTTTAGATGAAGAAGGTTTAAAATATTCTCGAGATTTAGCCGCTACATTATTTGATCATTTAAAATCTCAAGGTAAACATTATATTAAAGAATTAGATGAAATAAAAGAACGATTAAGACCTTTAGCTCCTGCAAGAACTCTTTCAGTTGAAGAAAGACATCCTGCTGCTGGAGTTGATGGAGTTGATATTAATTCATTAGTAGTTTGGACATCAGTTAAACAAAGAACAGTTGAAACTACCAAATTCTTTGCTGAAAGAAATGTTAAAATAAGACATCGAATTCAATTATCTCAAAAAAATCCTGGTATAGTTGGAGGATTATCGGAAGAAGAAATTGAACAAAAATTCCCTAATGAATATGATCATTATCAAAGAGATCCTTATCATTATCGATTCTCGAGATCAGAATCTTATCATGATTTAGCCATAAAGATCGAACCTCTAATCTTAGAAATGGAAAGAATGAGTGGAGATATATTAATCATTGCTGATGATACGATTTTAAAAGTATTTTATGGCTATTTAATGTCTTGTTCATGTTATGATATTCCATATTTAAATTTCCTGACTGATGAAATCATAGAAGTTAAATTTAATGCATATTCAAATAGTGCCACTAGAATCCCAATCACTTCTCATGAAAAGTAGTAGTTGATTTGGGGTTAATTACTTTATTATCTATTTATTGACTATTATATATATATTATTATTACTTAAATTATCGAAAATTGTAGCACGTGACTTTTTTTTGCTTCCCTTCAAAAGATTGATTTGATGGGATCTTTCATCAGATATGGACCATCCATGAACTTACTTCAACAAACAATAAACGAGTTAAAGGGATTATAAAATAATGAGTTCACTTATACCGAAAGCTACATATTCAGCTCCTGATTTAGATGAATCAAAAATATTCACTCCTGGAGATGGAATTCATACTACTGATGGTCAAACTACTCAAATTTCAGATATAGTGATCAATGCTGGGGGTGAAGATAGAGATAAACCAACTGAAGCTAAGGATACTCCATTAGGTCATTTAAGAGCTGAATTGACTACTTTACAAGATCAAATCAATATCTTTCTTACCGAACGTATGAAACAAGAAAAGAATAAACAAAGTGAACAAGAAGAAGCTGATATTGAAAGACGTATATTGGATGATGGGGTTGATGAAGATGATAGTGATTGATTTTGGTAAAAAAGGGTGAATCATAGGAAGTAGCAATCTTACTACTACAGATATAGAAATAGAAATCATTACTGTTTATTTTATGAGTTATGATATTATGCATTATATATAAATATTAATCTAACAAAAGGATATTGTACATAAGTTTTGACATGAAAAGGTGAGTTCTATTGTATTTACTTACCTCTTATTACCTACTATTTGATTCATACTTTGAGCAGTTTTCTCTAACGTAGTCTCCAAGTAATTTCTCTTAATATTTAAACTCTTTTTAGATTCATTGAATTCTTTTTCATCATCAGCAAGACCACCTAAATAATCCTTAGCATCAATGGCCAAGAATGCCTTTCCAACTCCTTGCCATACGGTTTCATCATCACTACATTGTTTCTTTAATGATGCTCTGGTCTTTGATATTAAATGTAAATTGGTATCAACTCGATCTAATTGAAGATAACACATTTGTAATTCGGCTCTGGATTTATTTAATTGATTGTCCATCTCAATCAATAGCTTCTGTAACGCCTGTTGATCCATGGTTGTAGTATGTGTATATGTAGTACGTTTATGAGTATTGGATGTATAGAATTGATAGTAATTAGATTGATTGATTGATTGATCTTTTAAATTCTCAAGATTTTTGTCGATACCACAAAAAATGAAAAATTATAATTTTTCAAAATCATGTAAATAACCTATCAAATTGATCAAACAGATACACTACAACTTAATATGCTTAGGGTGGCTACTAGAAACTCTTCTAGAGTGATATTTCAACGTTCAGTGAATATAACCATCAGATTACAATCTAACTTTTTCAGCACTAGTATTATAAAATCAGCTAGAGAAGGTACTCTTAATTCATTTATTCCTGATGTTAAACCTTTAGGTCAAGATAATACTATAGAATCCAATGTTCCAAGTGAAACTAATCGATTATCTAGAACCTTAACTAAATTCTGGGAAAAAGTTCATGTTAAATATGATGATAAATTACATCAATATGATGTTCAATTAGATGGTAAGACTTTAAAAACTCCATTAGGATTTCCATTATCGTTACCGGAATCAAAGAGACATTTGGCTAATTTAATAGCTCATGAATGGGCCAATTTACCTGATTTGAAAGTTAAGACTCACTCCTTACCATTAACATCTATTGCTGCTCGTTCGATTGATTTAACCATGATAAATAATCAAGATTCAGTTAATAATGAAATGATTGCAAAAGTTGGAAATTTAGAGGATATAAAACTTAATTTATTAAGATATTTTGATACTGATACTTGTCTTATTTTCACTACTCATGATGAATATAAAGGTACCTTAAGAAAAAAGCAAGATGAATTATATTTACCATTAATTAAAGAATATGAAGATTTCTTTACCGTTTATGCTAAAAGAGAAGGTAATTTATTACCTTCTGATGATAGTAAGATTGAATTGGAATATTTGGATTGTATAACCGATGGATTAAGAGGTAATAAACAATCAATAACTACTCAAAATGTGGTATTACATTGGTTAAATAACTTACCAATCTATGATTTAATTGCATTGGAAAGAGCTATTTTAACTTCAAAATCATTTTTATGTGGTATAACTTTATTAAGGTCAAATGTAACGGATAAACATAATTTACAACACTTATATCAAGTCAATAGATCTAATCCTGATGATTATTATCATAAATCAATCGATGAAATCATAGAATTAGGTAATTTAGAAACCATTTATCAAACTGCTGAATGGGGTGAAGTTGAAGATACCCATGATGTTGATAAGGTGGATTGGATTAGAAATTTAACCAGTGCAGCCATCCTCTGTCATTAGATCTTATACATCCTCTTACTCTCTACACTCTACACTCTTGTACATATCATAATATACACTTACCATTTGATAGATAGATAGTATCACATACCATAGACGCGTTTGGATCTAAATTTCCTCTAACTAAAATCGATTGTGGGAGGAGGAAAAGGGAAAAAAATGTGAGAATTAAAAATGGCAGCAATTTGATGATAGTTTAACTTTACAACCCATATCTATTCCATCAATTCATCACTGTTATCATCCTCATCATATCCTTTTAAAGGAGCAGACGTTCGTCCCAAACAAACTATTCATCGCCCTTTCGGTTCATATATTCCCCTTTTTCTTTTTTCTTCTTGTATTATTATTGTTTCATTTGGTTTAATATTGTTGGTTACAATCTTGTGAGTTTTATCGTTTACAACTATCTATCTATCCATCTATATATATGTATCTACAATGGAATCACCACCCCTCACGTCAAGTCAGAATAATACCATTGACGAGAGTTCAGATCAAATCTTGGTTCCAGTGGTAGGACTCACTCCTAGGCGGGTCAAAGTTTATTTATTACAAGGTGAAGATTGGTTAGATAATGGAACAGGATATTGTGTTGGAGAAATCGATGAAACTTCTAAATCACCTTATTTCTTAGTACGGAATGAAAAGGATCCTCAAGATATCATCTTAAAATCATTCTTGGAAGGTTCAATTCAATATCAGCGACAACAAGAGACTTTAATTGTTTGGACTGATCTTAATGGTAAAGATCTTGCCTTATCATTTCAAGAAATTGAAGGATGTGCTGATCTATGTGAATTCATTATTAAAGTACAACAAGAACTGTATAGTCCTGATATATCATTATATTATGTCATACCGAGCCTTACTGAAGGTGAAGATATAACTGAATTAATCACAGGTCCAGTAATATATCCTATTGAACCAACTACTACAAATCTTGAATCAATATTAGAAAATCTAAATCAAAGTTCAAGTTATCAATTCAAACGATTTAAAATCCTGAAATATATCATTGATAATGATTATTTTTCAAAATTAGTTACAGCATTTGAAGAATCAGAATTATCAAAAAATCTAATTAATCTATATACATTAAGTGAAATCATTAAAACTTTAATCTTATATAATGAAACTACATTGATTGAAGATTTATTATCATCAGATGAAAAAATATTTGCCTTATCAGGTATACTTGAATATGATCCAGAATATCCCAATTTTAAAGCTTGTCATCGAGAGTTTTTAAAGAATAAATCATTTAAAACCATTATACCAGTTGATAAATTAAAAATATTCAAAAAGGATTTCCATCTAAACTATTTAAAAGATGTGGTATTAGCTCGATTTCTTGATGATCAAACATTTAACTTATTATCGTCTTTGATTTATATAAATCAAGTTGAAGTTATCAATTATCTTAAGGATGCCAGTATCTTGGAAACCTTATTTAAAATATATAATGAAGATGATGAAATAAATCTAAAACGTGATGGTGTGAGAATGTTACATCAATATGTCCTTATTGCAAAGGGCTTACAAACTTTCCAACGACTGGAGTTCTTTTCTATGTTAGTTAAAAGTGGACTATTCAAAATGATTAGTTTTGCTTTGAAAGATCTGGAAAATAGTATCAGAGTTCTAGGTACGGAATTGATTGTCATTATTATAGAACAAGATGTTTCGTTAGTGAATTCAGTTGATAATGAAGAAAATATTGATAATTCAGATCCACCAGCTGGAAATCATATCATTAATGAAGAAGAGAAATCAATTGTTGCTACAAATGATACAAAACGACTTAAATTAAAATTATCAGATGATATGACTTTAATTACTATATTAACTAAGTTATTAGTAGAAGATAAAAATCCCGGATTAAAAGTTCAAGCCTTTGAAGCATTAAGAATTTTATTAGATGCTAATATTGCAAGTAATAATGAACTTGATATCAATGATCCATCAAAATTACAACCCATTCCTTCATCATTACCACCACCAGCATCAACTAATCCCATTCACAATAATAATAATAATAATAATCACATACCAACTGACAACGATGATGAAGAAGAAAATACTAACGGAATCATTGAACCCGATGATTTTAAAGATATTAATATTAAGAATTATTTCAAAGCATTTTATTCTGAGGTTGCACCTAAATTATTTCATAATTTAATTGAATTAGCTTCAATGTCAGACGATGCTATTGATTCCAATGTTATAGAAAGTATCAGAAGTAATCAATTATTATATCAACATTTATGTGAATTAATTTCTTTCTGTACTAAAGAACATGAAAGCCATATATCACGACCATTTTTCCTTGAAAGTAATATTTTATTAGGACTTGGGAAATTAATAAAAATCAATGTTAAAACGATTTTAAAATTAAGTGCTATAAGATGTTTAAAAAGTTTAATCTTATTGAATGATAATTTTTATACTCGATATATTATTAATAATCAAATTTTACATTATTTTTTTGATTATTTTGAAAAGATTGCTGATCAAAATAATTTAGCTAATTCAACATGTTTAGATTTCATTGAATTAATTCTTAAAAATTGTGATGAATCAATAACTATTAAGAGACAAAATTATAAATTATTAGCCAGTTATATTTATAATGATTTTAAAGAATTTTGTGGAACAAAAATCAATCATGTTAGTACTGGAAGAGAATTAATTGATTTAGTTGAAAATGGATTTTATGATGATTGTAATTCATCAAGTATGGTTAATGGTACTGAAAATACTACTAAAAATGATGATATGAGTTTTGGATCTGATGAAGAATTTTTAAATAGTCATAATGCTTCAACTCCAATTAATGAAGAAGATAATGATATGATTGATCTGGAAGAAAGTGTGCTTGATAAACATACTCCAACTGATATATTTGAGCATACTGTTGTTAATGGAGAAAAGCGACCTCGAGAAGATGAAGAAGAGGATGATGAATCAGATTCTGAAGTTGAAGTAGATCAAGATCAAGAACAAGTTATCGGGAATGGCAAGTTCAAATCTGAAACTGAAGAGGTTATAACATCATCAGATGAAAGTTCAGACATTAATTCCCATAAAGGAAAGAATGGAGTAACGATCTTGACTACCACTCATAAAAATCATGATAATAATAATAATAATAACACTAGTAATGGTGGTGATGAAGTAGAAGTAAAGAAATCAAAGTCTAATGGAGTTCAAAAGAGATTTTCTTCAGCTAGTAAAAAGATTGCTTTAAGCTTAAGAAATAAAAACAATTGAATACGATAATAATAATATATAGTGTTTTTTTCAAATAGTTAGTATATAATAAAGACTTGATGAATATGAAGTAAATGAAAAATGATGTTTTCTTATGTTAAATTTAAGAAAGTTAATGTAAAGTAGTTTGCAACCGTCATGTCAAAATAAAAAAGAACGCCATACTCCGGAAATCGAAATCCTCGGTAATATACAAAATTGTCTGGAGAGACAGGGAAAAAAAATTGTGGGGTTTTATCAGCAGCCAAAGTTTTATGAATGAAGAATAATTAAATCATTCTTTCATTCAAATCAATTGCTTCTTCTGTATTATAAACAACAACAAGTATGAGTTTAGATCAAACATTCATAACGAATTCAAGTTGGAAACCAGATTTATTTAAGGGGAAAGTTGTGTTTGTTACTGGGGGAGCAGGAACCATTTGTCGAGTTCAAACAGAAGCATTAGTATTATTAGGAGCTAATGCTGCTATTGTAGGTAGAAATAAAGAAAAGACAGATGCTGCTGCTATAGAGATTTCTAAACTTAGAAAAGATGCTAAAGTGATATCATGTCCCAATACCGACGTAAGAAAAGTTCAATCTATAGTTGAAGCAGTTAATAAAACTATTAAAGAATTAGGTAGAATTGATTTTGTTATAGCAGGAGCAGCAGGGAATTTTTTGGCTGATTTCAATCATTTATCATCCAATGCATTTAAATCAGTTGTTGATATTGATTTATTAGGATCTTTTAATACTGTTAAAGCCACATTTGTTGAATTAAGAAAAAATAAAGGTGCTATATTATTTGTTAGTGCTACATTACATTATTATGGAGTTCCATTTCAAATCCATGTGGGAGCAGCTAAAGCTGGGGTTGATGCGTTATCCAATGCATTAGCGGTTGAATTGGGTCCTATTGGAATTAGAAGTAATGTGATTGCCCCTGGATTAGTAGATGGTACTGAAGGGATGGATCGATTACTTACCACCAGTAAATCAAATGCCCAAACTAAGATACCATTGCAAAGATTAGCTACTACAAGAGATATAGCAGAAGCCACTGTGTTTTTGTTTTCTCCTGCTGCATCATATATAACAGGTACCGTTCAAGTGGTTGATGGAGCAGCCTGGCATTTAGGGAGTACTAAAAAGGATGAATATCCAGTATTAATCAAACAAAAGAATGAAGAAACCGTTACCAAGTTATAGTCCAGATAGTATTACTTACTGATTGATTGATTGATCAGTCTTCTTACTCCATACATCTTGTAATGAATAGACATGAATCGTAATCATAATTTGTAGTTCAGTTCAGTTCAGTTCATTTTGGCTGTAAATAAATAAATAAAATTTAAAAAATGACGCGTTGTTCTTTCTTTCTGTTTGGAGTGTCACCCAAAATTAAAGTGAGATTTTTTTTCATGATGAAGCAGAACAGAAGAAAAAAAATGAGATCTTATCAGCACTACGACGAAAGCCTTTTACCAACCAAGATAAAGTTATCTTTTCAACCAATAGTATCAGGGCTGAATCGAATCTCTATTGGAAGTTAGCAAGACAGACAGATAGCAGCACCAACACCAACACCAACATTTGATTTCATCCTTACATTCCTTTGTTAAAAAGTTATAGATAGATATCCTCATTCATTTCATTTCATTCATTCATTCATTATGTCACTTGATCCAGAAACTCGTAGGAAACTTTTATTATTACAAAAGACAGGCGAAAATAAGAAATGTGCTGATTGCTCAGCTCCTAATCCTCAATGGGCTTCTCCAAAGTTTGGGATTTTCATTTGTTTGGAATGTGCTGGGATTCATAGAGGTTTAGGTGTTCATATTTCATTTGTAAGATCAATTACAATGGATCAATTTAAACCTGAAGAAACTTTAAGAATGGAAAAAGGGGGTAATCAAAAGATTAAAGAATATTTCATTAAAAATGGTGTTGATATAACTTTACCTGCTAAATTAAAATATGATAATTATGTTGCTGAAGATTATAAAGAATTATTAACGGCTGAAATTGAAGGTAAAGAATTTATTGCAAAAGATCATACTGGAAAGACTTTACCAACAGCTGCATCAATCCTTTCCAATCAATCATCTCATAACAATTCAACTTCAAATATAAATCAAGATCCAATTCAATCTCGTAGAAATACTCCAACTTTATCCAATGATCGATTAAAAAATGAAGCTTATTTCGCTGATTTAGGGAATAAAAATGAAACAAGATCAGAAAATTTACCTCCATCTCAAGGAGGGAAATATACCGGATTTGGTAATACTCCAGCTCCAACTACTGCCAATGGTAATTCTTCATTAAGTGGATTTACTTTAGATAAATTACAAACTGATCCATTAGGAACTTTTACTAAAGGTTGGGGATTATTTTCTTCATCAGTTGCCAAATCAGTTAATGAAGTTAATGAAAGTGTAATTAAACCAGGTATTTCTCAATTACAACAAAGTGAATTTGGTAATGAAGCCAAAAGAGCCATGGCTCAATTTGGCCAAAAAATGCAAGAAACTGGTAAATATGGTCAAGAAACGTTTACTACATTCACTGGTGATGTTCAAGATAAAGGTCTTAATAAAACTTTAGATCAAAATTTTGGAAAATTATTTGGAAATTTAAATATTGTTGGATCATCTCAACAAGATGAAGTTCCATCTGCATTTGGCCTTTCAAGACCTCAAGAAAAGACTAGTTTAGGTGGTTTCAGTGGTGGATCTACTGCTACTGCTGCTTCTAAAAAGCATGATGAGGAAGAAGATAAATGGGATGACTTTTAGATTGCTGAGTCTGATTCTCTTGTATAGTTACTTTTAATCTTTGTTTTTTTTTACTTTGTTTCTTTTACTTTTTATGTTTGTTATATTTAAATATTTTTGGTTTTGATGCATTCAAATTTTCTATATAAATATTTACTTCTACCTCCTTACTTCTTTCATACCTTCCTTGCAATTTTCTTTATTAATAATAAATATACACTTATAAATCTATGTTGTTTTTTTAATCATTTTTAATTCCTTTAACTTGATTTGATAATTTTACATATGTATTATATTCATCTTCAAAACTTTGATAACAATGAAAATAACTATCCTTGACATAGAAATAATGAACTATAGGCCAATTCAATACCCAATCCACTAATCCAATATCTCTTGCCATTGATGTCGCTATGAAATAAAATAATCCTAATGTAGATCCAAGAGTTACTCCCACAATAACTTGAGGAATAGTATGATATAAAAGATAAACTCTTGAAAATGGCACTAACAAACATCCCACAAATAAAACCACGGCCCCAACCCCCTTTTGAAATTTCGATAAATGTTTGATTTTAAATAAGATAATACAAATGAAATAAGCGGTAAAGAATCCCATGAATTGAGAATGAGCAGATGGCATACCATAAGTTAAACTATAAGATCCCGATGCAAAATCCTTATGAAACTCAGGTCGTGGTTGTTTCATAATCCGTTTCACAATCTTATTCAAGATCTCACCAATTAAATGACCTCCAACCACTATAACTGGTTCAATTTCTCGAGTTATTAAAAACCAGGCGGTATAAAATACCATCACATAAATAGGTAATAATGATAGATGAACTGATATATATGATATTATATCATTGGGATCGTATAACACATAGGTGTGATCGAACGGTATAGGGTCATACTCTGCACCACTAGGAATGAATGCTGACATATCTCTTCAATGACCTTAACGTTAGATCAATCGACTGTTCTATCTGCCTGGTCTGAGGTGGTCTTTCAAATTTAACCGCTAATTTGTTCAAACAGAAGATGAAAAAAAAAAAAAAGATTGAACGCGAAAAATTTCACGCTACAGATATTTAAAACTTTTGCAATCTAAATGATAATGATATGTGTATATTGACTTAAAATAGTAATAATAATATAGAGGATTATGGGGATGAATATGAGAGTGAGAAAGGGAGGATGAGAGGACATTATAGAGGACGTGAAAATAGAGACATGAGAGTTTTATGTATGTAAAAAGGATTCTAGAGATGTAGTAATGTATATACAGATATAGTATATATGAGAGTTATATATAAGAGATGAAATGATGAAGGGTGGGGGGAGGGAAATGACTTAGAGTATTAAAAATTAGAGTTAAGGGAGTTAGAGGAAAGTGGAATTCCAATACTAAAAAATATCAAACAACAACCATGGAATAAAAGTGGAAAATCAAACTAATAATAATAAATAAATAAAAATATGTGTGAGAGAATGAAATATAATAAGATATGAAAAACAAAAAAAAAACAGAGAGAAGAGAAGAGAAAAGATGCTGATTTGTATGTATGGAGATGAAGTTGATCATGGAAATTGATATAGTGTGATTAACCTTGAAGAGAGATTTGTCTCTTTTGTTGATCTCTAGCCCATCTGGCTGCTTCCTTGGTTTTATGATCAAAATTAGGATTAGATCTGGTCTTTTTAATAAGATCAGTCACCCAAGGTTGAGTATAAACATCTTTGAATTCACCATTTGGAAACATAGCAGCAATATCACCTAATAATCCAGTAGCTGATCGACAAACTGATTCAATGGTTAATAAAGTATAATCAACACTAATTCTTTGAATAAAGGAAAATATAGATCCAATATGAGGATATATGAATTGAGGTTCACCATTTAACCCTCCAACTATACCAACATAACAATCCAATACTGCTTCTTTAACACTAACCACATATTCTAAAGCTTCAATTGATCCATTTTCAGGTTCAAGTTGAGAAGCTAATTCACAAATTTGAATAACTAAACTGGTATAAACATTGAAATTATTTCCAATAGCAGCAGCAACATCTCCAAAACATGATAAGATTAATGGACGTAATTCTTTTCTAACTTCAGCATTATTTAAATTAGATCCTAAAATAGTCATTAATCCTTCTAAATATGGTACAATTTGAACTCCTAATGATTGAGCTAAATCTGCCACAATACCAATAGCAGCATTACAAATAGTTGAATCAGTATTTTGTAAAGCTTTACTTAAATATGGTAAAAATGCATCCATATATTTAACAAATTCACCTCCAATTGATCCTGCCACAGTAGCAATAGCAAATAAAATATCTTCTTCAATTAATGAATTTGCTTCTTGAGCAGCTAATAATTTTAAAAACATTGATAATAAACTATCAGAAACAGAAGTAACATCTTGACCTAATCTACCTATTATTTTAGTTAATAAGTTTAAGATATTACTTTGTAATTCTTCAAGATTACCTCTATCTTCATTAGAAGAAATTTGTGATTGCATAGATATAGTAGCTTCAAGTCTGGTTAAAGCATCATTAGCAATACTTTGAACAATAGGAATAGTATCATTGGCACTATAAGAAACAATAGTTGAAAGAGTTTCAAAAGCTGAAGTTCTTGAACTAAATTCATTATCTTCTCTATTAGTTAATTGCATTAATATTGGAACAATATTTGGATAATATTGAGACATAAAACTAGTTGCACTTTTATCAGAATCAACACATAATTGTTCCCAAATATTAATTAAAGTCCAACAACAATTAGTTGAAACTTTTGGATGATCTTGTAATCCACTAACTAATGCTTCTAAAAGTGTAGGTAATTGAGTATTAACATCAATTGAATCAATTAATAAATCAGTAATTCTACCTAAACACCAAGCCACAGTTTCTTTAACTTGTAAGGATGAATCACCAATTAATAATAAGATAGGTTCTAAAGCTTGAGCTACAACCGTTCTTAATTGATCATGTTCTGGGCCATCTAAAATAGAACCAAAAGCCATAACAGCAGCTTCTCTTTCTCTCCAATTTTCAGAACCAATATTGGCCGATACAAATTGTAAAGTTGGATCAGTAACATAATTTTGAACATTATTAGCAAATAAGGCTAAACAAGAACCAGCAGCCATAGCTACTGACCAATCATCATCTTCTGGATCTTCATGTTGTCTAGTTAATAAGGTTAATAAAGTTGGTAAAACATCTTGAAGAGCAACCAAAGCAAAATTAAAAGTAATTAAATCAGCTGAATTTGCGGCTTCAACTGAATCAAGACCAGCATCCTGTCTTGCCATTGCTGATTCAATTTCATCTTCACAAACAGTTGACCAAAATTCAACCGCCATACATGCTACTCTTTCATCATTACTTTGCATACCTGATACAGTCAAGCCATATAAAGCTTTTTCCATATAAAGAGACATATATCGATAATAAGTTGCCATTATTCTTGAAAGACAACCAAAAGCACTTGCTTGTAATTCGGGATCATCAGCTTGAGTAGCTTCACAAACCACTTGCATAATATAATTTCTTTCACCTTCATTTTCAAAATTATTTTTAATAAAAGCTAAAGAATTAACTAAAGCATTTAAAGCAGTTAATCTAACCACTTTAGGTTCTGAACTTTGAACCCCTTGAACAATAGCAATTAAAATCCCACTTGCTTGAGCAATGATAGCAGGATTAAGAGGATCAGCACTTTCACAAATATAACCAATAGCCAAATGACTTGCCTTTTTAACATTAGTTTTATTTTCAGCTTTAGTATTGTTTATTATAGTTGGAATTAATTCTGACCATTCATTTCTAGGTAATTCAATATCAGCAATAGCAGCTACTAATTGAGCAGCTGATGATGCTACTTTTTCATCTTCAGTTTCTAAAGCTTGAATGGCTTTTGATTTAATCCCTGATTTATAATCAACTGATAAATTAATCCAACGAGCTTGTTGAGCTAATTTTGTTTTGGTATCTTTAGAAGTTAATTGATTCTTTAAAAAAAGACCAGCTAACATTCTAACTTCAGTTTTAGCCTCTTCATTGATTAAAGCATCGATTAAAAGGGTGACAAAGTCTTCGAAATAGTTATTGGCAGCTTCATTTAATTGTAATTCTGCTTCTGTTCTTTTATTAGGATCACGATTGAACAAAGCATGTTCTAAAACTTCAAGAATATTCATTATGGATAGGAGAGGGGGTATGATGATATATGATTGTCTTGATACGATGAGGTAATGATCGATGAAGGGATATAAATAAATGAAATTAACAAATAAATAAAATAAAATAATATAAAAATCACTTTAATTAAGCAAGGAAAACGGACTCTTTTTTTAGAATTATACGTGATTAATCAATCAACAACTGAATAGATAAACGTGAGATAGATGTCTTGAGTGGATGGAGGAGTAGGTGTAATGATCGATATAGCAAAACGACGATATGATTCCTCCTTGTCTTGATGGATTTGTATCAGTTGGCTAGTAGTTAATCTAATATGGTCTATGATTCCCACAAAAGTTTGGTTGACAAGATGATATGGACTGGATCAGTTGAGTAAAACACTAAAACACGATTGGGATGTACGTGATGATTGGTGTGATCGTCGTGGGTGGTGTACGTCGTTGATGTTGCTGTCTTCGTCGTCGCCGTCGTAAGGTCTTCTTGTCCTGTTGTTCAAAAGTCTGTGAGAGAGAGATGAAATCAGATTTTGAGATTTTAATTTTAATTTTTTTTTCTTCTTTTGATTTCTGAGAAAAGAAAAAATTTAGCTGTTGACTTTGGGAGAGTGTGTATTTATCAAATTGATAATAATAGTCTATAAATTCCTATTTAGTAGCTGGATGGATGGGATAGATGGAAGTTTACCAATAGTAGGTATGAACATTATGGGTTATGTATGTCATTGAATGGGTTACTCTATACTGTCATATGTTAGTACCTTCATTCAATGGTCAATTACTTACGTTTAACTACAAGTTATCACCAATATGGATCACTGTTATCCTACATCAATATCTATAAAACTAATAAATCATCTCTTTTTAATAATATGATAGATTATATATTTACACATAGATATATAAAAGTCTTTCTTTCTTTCTTGATCAACTTCTTTGTTCCACATATGAATGAAGATCAGTCAATGTCTCATCTTTAGTAATGGTTGAATGTCTTGTAGTATCACCATCATTTTCACCATCATCATCATTGGTAGTTTCATTATTAGATTTCGGTTTTTCAACTGATTCTAGTCTTTTCATTAATGCTCTTTCTTTAAGTTTTAATTCAGCGGCTTTCTTTTCTAATAATGCTGCTCTATGAGCTAATTCTTTGGCACTAGCCATTTCCATTTCTTCAAGTTTTTGTTGTCTTTCTAAAATTCTTTCATGTCTTATAACATAAGGTACAGTTTCTGAAATTTGACGTAATTGATTACGTTGAGGGGCAATTGAAAGTCTTTTGAATTGTCCATTGGTTGGAATAAGATTTCTGGGTGGTGGTATATTATCTTTTCCATGATCAAATGATATGGTTGAAGTTGATGATGTAAAGGATCCATTATCTTTAGTTTTAGAAGTTCCATTAAAATCTTCATCATCATCATCATCATCTAATAATAAAGTATTTTTCTTTCTTGAAATTGAACTATTAGATGCAAGTGATTCATCATCGCCATTATGACTAGTACTATTGGTAATTGAACTTCCAAGAGTAGTATTAAGATTTGTAAGTTGAGCTAAATTAGATAATGATGGAACACTATTAGCTCCAAATTCATTATGATGTTCAACTGTATCATGGAATTCACTATCATCATATTCATCATCATTATGATTATTTGAACCACCATTATTATTACCTCCAGTAACTTTAGTTAATCTTTCAGTTCTATAAGTTTCATATAAGAAATCATGAGTTAAATCTTTAAAATCTTGTAAATGAGATCCTAATAATACTGATTTTAAAATAGGGAAATCACTATATTGAGTATCATTTATATCAATTAAACCCCAAGGTAATTGTCTACCTCTAATTAAATTAGTTTGACCATTGGTTGGATCTTTAACTTCAAATTCTTCTTCAGAAGTTATAATGGCAAATGGTTGTAAAGCAGCTAAATATTTACATTCTTGAATTAATTCATAATCTTCATCTTCATCAAATTCATGTAATATACTATCAAATTGAAAAATTGGCACATTGAATTTTTCAATATCAATTTTAATTTGAGTTTTAAAATGTTTTAATTCAGTTTCAGTGAATGTATCAGCTCTACCTATAACAGGGATAATATTAACATATTTTGATAATCTTTTCATACATTGAATATCAATCTCTCTTAATCCATGACCAGTTGGTGTTATGAAATATAATAAAGCATGAACTCTGGTATCTATGAATCTTGGATTTCTTTTAATTCTAGTTTCTTCAGCTAAAACCAAATCAAATTGTTGTTTTAAATAATTTTCAATTTCAAGAAAACATAATTCATTATTTAAATTTTCTCCAAACCCTGGAGTATCAATAATTGATAATAATAATTTTAAATTTTCATCATCAATTAATTCAACTTTTGTTTCAGTTAATGCAATACCAGGTTCTTCATTGGAAGTTCTAGCATTGAATTCTTGTCTAGTTAATATAGAAGTATTTGGTAAGGCAACTGATTTAGCAGATGTGAAAGTTAAAGTTTTAGTATCAGTATCACTAGCATTTTCAAAACGATGACTCAAGACTTTTTTATTTAAAAGACTATTAATAAAAGTAGTTTTACCATTACCCAGTTCACCAACCACCATAAAAGTGAATTTTACCCCTTTTTTGGCATCTTTTCTATAGTTGATCATAGGAGAGTTACTGATCATCGAAGGACTCTCGTAAGTATACAGTTGATCCATGATAAGTTATGATTTTTTGTAAATGTGTGTGTAATATATGATATATGATATATGATTATGAATTTTAATGCTCGTCAAAACTGTTAACGTGTAATGAAAGGTAATGAATGAGATGAAAGCCAACGGATGGATATGTATTTATATGAATCTACCTTCACAGCTGCAAGTTCAATCTATGGTTATATATCTGTTTCAATTCTAATTGATAACACCCTGTTTGCTAAACCTCCTTATTGTTTTCTTCTTTCAACGTTTGGGTTTCAGTGTTGATTCAGAATTGATTTTTGGGTTTATACTCATTTACAGAACAAGAAAAAATAAATCCTGAGTTGTATGCAGGATGACACGTTACAAGTCAGAATTGAGAGTAAAATGTCGGATAAGGAGAAAAGAAAGAGACATTACAGTTGATACGACATTGTCTGATAAATTGTTAAATAAAGGTAATCAGGCTATTTTCACTATAGGTAACTTTAGTGATACATGTTAAGGTGAAACTTTATCTTATAAGAAGACTTTGAAAGATTCAATTGATGGGATAGTTCAAGGTATACTTTATTAGATAACTCAAAAATGATTCGATCCACTTTTAAAACTCTATCAGCTAAAGCTGCTTCTCAATTAGATCAAGAATTAATGTCAACTGGAGCATTTTCTATAGATCAATTAATGGAATTGGCCGGTTTGGCTGTGGCTCAAGCTGTTTATAAACAATATCCTCCAACTTCAACTTCATCATCATCATCATCTCAAAAAGTATTGGTTTTAGTGGGTCCAGGTAATAATGGTGGGGATGGTCTTGTTGCTGCAAGACATTTAAAATTATGGGGTGGATATGATCCTATATTATATTATCCTAAAAAATCATCTAAAAATCAATTATATACTAATTTATTAACTCAATTAGTTGATTTAGAAGTTCCTGAAATATCAACCGTAGATGAAGTCAAACATCTACTTTCTGTATCAAATAATGTAAAATTAATCATTGATGCTTTATTTGGTTTCTCATTTAAACCTCCTATTAGAGAACCATTCCTTGAATTAATCACTTATTTGTCAGAAAATCATACTACTATCGTTCCAATAGTATCCATTGATATACCTTCTGGTTGGGATGTTGATAATGGTCCAGGTGAAATAGATATTAATCCGACAATGCTTATAAGTCTTACCGCTCCAAAACCGTGTGCTGCAAAATTCATCGAATCTTCTTCTCCTGATAAATCTCATTATCTTGGTGGAAGATTTATAAATCAAAAGATTGCTAAAAAATATGATATTGAAGATTTAATTCAAAAGTACAAAGACGATCAATTGATTGTAAAGTTATGATTTCTATTTATGACCTACCCATATATATCTATATCTATATCTATTTATATATATAATTTAATTTAATGTAATTTCATGCCCTATTTATTATCTAATCTAATAATGTCCTCCCCGTTTACCAAATCTATTCTCTCTTTCACTTGGAACTCGGGGTAAATTCTTACCATTAACGATTTCCTTCCTTTTTTCATTCATTACGAATTGATGAATATGACTCTTTATAACATCTTGTTTGCTGGAAACATTTCGAGGTTTAGGTTTAATCTCTAATTGACTGGTTTGATATCTTGCATTAGGAATAATTTGTTCACTCATGATTCTTCTTGGTTGAAAATCATCTTTTGGAAGTGGAGTAGGTATAGATGTTGATCCTGATGCTAATCGATGAACTTTCTTATGACCCATGGATGGAAATCGGGATAATTTATATTGCTTTGGTCCATCTAAACTATAACTGAATGGCCTTTGTCTAACATAAGCTTTGATTTCTGCTTTAGGATCGTCTTTGAATGAGACACTACTATGAATTGTAGGTTGAGAATTACTTATAGCTGGAGTCATGGTAGTTCCATACTTCTGTGGTCTTGATTTAGGAATTCGTAATTGGGGGGTATATATTGGTTTCTTAGGTAATTCCTTTTGTGGCATTGGAGGTGGAAATGAATCTATAATTGGAGTAGGAGGTGTATATGGAGTAGTGGAAGTATTATATGATATAGTTGGAGTAATGATAGGAACTGTATGAGGTGGTGGTGGAGGTGGGATTTCAAAATCTCCATTTCTAATATGAGATAAATCTGAAAATAAACTATCAACGAAACTCCCTATTTCATCATGACTTGAAAGACCAATATCAGATATTGGACTTGAATAAATATTGTCTAAATCAAAATTACGAGATAATATAGATGATTTATCAGATGTAACAGTTGGGGAAGAATATCCATGAACCACATCTAAAATACTCTTTGCTATGATACTTTCCGAATTTGATCCATGAGATAAATTTGAAGAATGGGATGAATAAATACTGCTTGCAGGATTGGAAAACACACTTGATTCATCACCTTCATCGTTTGTTCTCATAAATCTAGGTGGCTGTTTAAATTGAATAGAGTTTTCTTCTTCGATCTCACCTTCTTCAGATTCAGACTCAGAACCAGAGTCGTATGATTGTAATATCGAATTATAATTGTAATTTGGATATTCTTGTGCATATGGATTACTCATTGAAATAGATCTTCTTTCTTCTCTTCCAATTGGTTTAGGGGGAACTTGGGGTAATTCTTTAACTACATCAACGTGATTGGTTTGATTAACATTGATAATAGGCATACTGGTAACTCTTTTCTTATGTAATGATCTTGATCTCTTCTTTAAAAATTGTTTGATCTTCCCCGTTTGTCTATTAAACACAGGGATTTCTTCAGGAATATCACTTATATTATGATTTCCAGGTCTATAACTTTCCACAATATGAGCTAAATCGGATGCAAAAGTGATAGCTGGGATATCTGGAGGTAAGTCTGACGATTTCAACGTCTGTTTTGACGAATTATCATGTCTCATATTGATCTGTTAAACTAATTCCTTCTATGACTATAGCAATTTCTTCTATGTTCTTGTTTCGTTTATAATTTGTGGTATTTTCCATACATTATATAATTATCAATTATTGTTCTCTGCCATATTAAAAGCTAATTTTTTACAGTAATTGTGTTTTTTGCGGAGGTGCTGCTTTAGGAAAAAAAAATGGCTGGTAAATTAAAAAAAGGAATACGACGCTGGTAACAACCAAATCAGTTAAGGACAGGTTCACAACTCACCAGGAATATTACTTTTGCAATTTCAGAGGTGATGGAGTTGCATGGAGAGGATCATGGTTTGTTTTATGAAGTTAGGGAAAAGCTTTGGAATGGGTCGATTAATATAACGATTAGATTACACGTTGATGATACGGTAAAGGAATTTCTTCTATCAATTCATCGAAATTCATATTTTGCGTTATATTTCGAATCAATTGTGAGTTATTTCAAACTATTCATACCGTCGATATATAATAAGCCTGTATGGTTGGAATATGATGGTCAACCTATAAAATGGAATGTACCTGTGGGTGTACTCTATGATTACTTGTATCTACCATCAGTAATTATCGCACGAGCTAATGACACCACAACCACCCAAATTAAGAATTCATGGGTACTTGAGTTGAAATATGATAAATATCCCTCTGGAGAGATTATTCCTTTCATTTATCAAAACGATGACTTGTCTATAAATTATAAACGAATGCTTAATGAAGTGATTGTTAATCAATTAAAACAATCATGTTACGTTTTGAATTCAAGCTCAAAACCAATCATGGGATTAAGTGAATCAGATTCAAATCATTTATGGTATGGGATTGAAACTCATAATTGGATGACTTTCAATGCTATCAATTCAAAAATCATACCAACTTTCGATGCGTTTAGAATCCCTATCCGAATATATGTTTCTGGAGAAGTTACCGTAATTCAAAATCCTATTTCTCCAACTAAAGGTGATTCACCTACCACTCTTAATGATGTTCTTGACCATAATGTACCTCACCTTCAAGTTTCAACTAATTCCAATACTGTATACATCCATGGCATTGATGCCACGCCATTATTAAACGAATCTATTCTACAGGTTTGGAATACTTTCAAGCATTTAGATAACTTCTTGTATATTATAATAATAAAAGTTTAACTCAAGCTTGGAATACAGCTTGCAACCAATTTCTATACATCTTTAATTGTTTCTTTCTATTTACTAATAATCTTCTATCTGTAGCAATCTTTTCTTCTTTAAATCTTTCACCAAAAATTTCTCTTAATTCTTCTTCTGTAAAGAAATAAACTCTGGTACCATCACCTCTTATATAAAAGTTATCTTCTAGAAGTCTTTCTTTTTTGAATCTGACTTGAGCTAAATCATATCTTCCATAATCTCTGAATAATATCTTACCTCCTGGTTTCAAAACTTTTGCCAAATTATTTACAGCATGTTTCCACTCATCTGGATGTAACGCCAGGAAAACGAAAATCATAATGACGATATCTACACTATTTTCTTCTAAATCTTCCGGTATTATACCATCTGGATTAGCTAAATCCCATACGGATGAATATGCAACTCCCTTTTCATGATTTATGGTGAATTCTTCATTGGAACGAACTAAATCAACTGCAACTTTCAGATAATCACATCCAAAAATTTTAAGATTTGGATTCTTATTTTGACTTAAAACTGGGAAAAATGTATTACCTGCTCCACATCCTATTTCTAAAATAGTTGCCTTTTCACTATAATCTTCACTTGTAACTTCATATAACAGTGGGAACTCTATCTTCAACCAATTTCTATCTTTAAAAAAGTTTTCTTGATTATGTTTGTAGAATATATCCCAGTATTTAGCAGGGTTAGAATTATATAATTTTTTATCAAAATCTTTAACTGGATTATCATATTGTTTTGAAATCTTTTCTTGAGCATCTAATATCTGTTCTTCACCCCATTCTACACGGTCCCATGCATTGTGACTGAAGACATCATCATCCTTTTCTAACAATCTCTGCCCGAATGTGAACGGAGTATCTTTCCATACTCTACTATCTAAAGGTGGTTTTGATTCCTTGGTTGATACACTATCCTCTGACACACTTAAGTTCGCCACTGCAATCTCTATTGATTCTTCTATTGTCATTTTAGTTGATGTCTATACTCTGTTTTACCTCTACTCTAAATTACTGTAAAAAAAATTTTAGCAAAAAAAAAAAAGAAACGAAATGAGATCAAAAGAAATCTTAATGTACAGGAACATACAATTAACAGATAAGGCTGCTAAAAACTCCCATCGAGGTTTATTTTGGGTTGTTTTTAATATTATTATACATTATTAATCTAATTCCTAATTAAATCAAATAAAAATCATTATTTACGTACTTCTATATGTATTTATTCCATAAAATGTTTATCTCCATTTAACTCTATTAATCTTGCAGCAGCTTGTTCACTGGTTAAATCTCTTTGTGGTTCTCCTAACATTTCAAAACCAACACAGAATTTCTTAACCGTAGCTGATCTTAATAAAGGTGGATAGAAATGCATGTGGAACCATGAAGCGTTCTTTTCTTCTTCGGAACATTTTAATGGAGCTTGATGAATACCCATCGAATATGGGAATGAGGTATTGAAAAGATTATCATACTTGGTAGTTAATTTCTTTAAAATCGAGGCTAAATCAGTCTTGTGCTTTTCATTAAAATCAGCAGTGGATGTTAAATGCTCTTTGGACATCACTAAAGTTTCAAAGGGCCATAAAGCCCAATATGGAACCACAACAATGAAGGAATCATTTTCAAGAACAACTCTTTCTTTTTCTTCTAATTCAAGTTTAATATAATCACCAAGTAAATGAGAATGATACTTTCTATGATAGTTTCCCATGTTTTCTAATTCATGATCAACTTCAGTAGGCACGACATCCAAACACCAAGCTTGACCATGAGGATGGGGATTTGAACAACCCATAGCAAAACCTTTATTTTCAAAAATTTGTAAATATTTATATGGAGCATCACCACTTAAGGCTTCTGTTTGTAAATCATTATACAACTTTTGCCAAGTGTTAACTACCTTTACTAACTCTTTTATAGTCATTATAGGTATAGTTAAGTTATGGTTTGGACTGAAACATATAACGAAACATTTACCCTTAACACCTTCAGTTTTAAGTAATCTTCCCTTTAATGTATCACTTTCTTCTTCTTCAGTATAATCAGGTTGGTCTAACTTCACAGCTGGATAATCATTAGTGAATATAAAAGTAGAATCAAATTTAGGATTAACATCACCAGTAGCTCTGATATTTCCTGGACATAAATAACATTTAGGATCATAGTCTGGTAAATTCGTCTTCTTGACTTCTTCACGAGCACCTTGCCAAGGTCTTTTTGCTCGATGAGGAGAGCATAAGACGTAAGTATTGGTTAATGGGTTGTGACGACGATGTGAATGATTAGTAAAATCAAATTGTTGTGTCATTCTTATATATGTCGGAGACGATGTTATGGGATTTAGCAAATGTTCCATACCATTCATTTTGGAGTTTGTAACTGGGATTATGACTTCTTTTTATAGTAAATTATGGTATAAATTCAAAAATTCAAAAACTGACCGAACTTCTTTGGTTTTATCTGTTTTCATCAAAACTTCGAAATATTTTCTGTAACGTTGTAATATTTAAAGGTCGTGTGGAGTCGCATTTCGAATTTTTGTCCGATCTGCACCCCATAACTTCAAAAAATGTCTGAAATTTGGTATGAATTAACCCGACACTATGATCAGACAATGAAATGGTTTAACTTATTACATCCGTTTCAAACATGCTTTGGGGATGAGGTTATTCCGAATCTTAACTATTGACACATAACATCGATAACTAATTTGATTATGTATGGGGAAACGTATGTAACGTTGTAGTTTTTTTCGTCACGCAAATTAATTATAATCATCATCATAATCTTTTTGAAAGCATCTTATTTAAATACTTATTGATTCCGAAATTTTGTTTTCTTTAAGACAGTTTCCAGTATATTTATAATTTAACACAAACAAAAATCTTGAGTATGACAAAAGTTTATACTAAGTGTATCCTAGTTACCGGAGGTGCTGGTTTCATCGGTTCAAACTTTTTGAATCACTTTGTTAAGAACTATCCAAACTACTACTTCATTTGTATAGACAAGTTAAGTTATTCAAGTGATAACTCAACCAAGAATATTATTGATATCACAGATGCAGAGAATTTTAAATTCATAAAACTTGACTTGGCGGAATCGTATCTCGACTTATTTCAATTGTTGGTCACTGACTATGAAATCTATCAGATAACTGATATAATCAACTTTGCAGCCGAATCTTGTGTGGATAAATCATTCGAGTCACCATTGTATTTTACTAAGAACAATATTTTAAGTACCCAAAATTTATTGGAATGCTATAGATTGCTAAAGAAATCTCGGCCTGAAGTTAATATAAACTTTTTACATATATCGACTGATGAAGTATATGGAGATTCTGACATTGATGTCAATGAACAAGGCATTTTAAATCCTACAAATCCTTATTCTGCAAGTAAAGCTGCAGTCGACCTCATCATTAACTCGTATAGATATTCATACAAACTTCCAATTTGCATTATCAGACCGAACAATATTTACGGTCCATATCAATATCCTGAGAAAATTATATCGAGAACTTTGCACTGTTTAAAACATGGCAAAAAGATACCAATACATGGGAGTGGCTCGAACAAGAGGAGATATCTCCATGTAAAGGACTTCTTAAATGGGTTACAATTAATTTGGGAAAACGGTAATCTAGATGATTCATATAATATTGGAAATGATTTTGAAATCAGCAACTACGCTGTGATTAAATTGATTGGAGAATTATTTTTTGGGAATAAATCTGAAATTGATGATAAAGTGGTATTTGTGAATGATAGGGAATATAATGATTTACAATACTCCATCAACGATGACAAGATTAAACAGTTGGGCTGGAAGCCAGAAATAGACTTTAGAAGTGGGATAAAGGACTTAATAGATAATTATTATCCCTATTTATAATGTGTATATATTAAATGTATTATATAATTTCCTTAACTTTCATATCAAATAAACTACTCTTAATCGGCATATCCAATGAATAAAATGGATCTTTCATCACGTAATCAGAATAAACAATATATAAATGCTTGAAGACTTCATTGGCTTGATCATATTGCTTGCTAAGTTCTCCTCTATTTGTCAACTCTCGATTTATTTGTTGTAGATTGTGTACCACTGGATTTGGTGAAGTTACTAGGATAAACTTGATACCAGTTAATGTTTGAAATATGTAAAGGTTGAAAAGATCAGTCTCTATACTCTGTAAACCTGACTTGTTACTATTAGCATCTTGTACTTTACCTGTAGATAGTATCGCTGCATTTTTATTGCTATGGGATTCTGTTGGATTTGTTGTATCTCGTCCATTTAAAGCTGGTGTCAATCTTGAAGCAATAGCATGAACACCATGAAGCGTACCAGCTAGCACTAAATAATCATTAGCCGTCAATCGATTAAGACCAGGATTGACGTCATTTTGATATATGAGACCACCAGCCTTATTTAAAATATAAATTGAATAAACCTTCATCGTTATGCTGTGGTAAAAACAAAGATAATGCAATTGATATCATTAAATATTTTGATTTAGTTTTGATTTCTAAACTCTCAAAAATAATAAAAAAAAAAGTGCTTCCCCACCAGGAGTCGAACCTGGAATCTTCTGGTTCCAGAAGTGGATACTAAATCGTAGCCAGACGCCTTGACCATTGGGCCATGAGGAACGAAGCAACAACCGAAAAAGTTGTTGTGAAAACTATAAAGTGTCTATATCACATGACAATTAGCACGTTTATTTGCGGATTTTAACCTAATTTGGAAGTCATTCCGTGGAAAAAATGAAAAATTAGACTAAATTGGGAAACATATCTTCATCGATGGTGTTAATCTAGTCAAAAATTTACTAGTATTTGCCTATTTACTTATGAGGTAAACCTTGGAGTGAACTAATTGTTAACTCAGACAGTTATAATTTAGTCTCGCTGTACATAAACTCTTGGTTAATTCAATTAAACAAAGCATATATTACAAATTTCGCAAATATTTGCAGCAATTATTCTATTACTCTACTTAAATTATCAAATCATAAAGTATCTTTTATTATTAGCTATATAAATGTCTTTAAATTTTTTAAACCTTAGATAAGTCATATTGGATTATACTTCCGTATACTTCACCTTTCTTTAAAATAACTTGAGGAGCCCATTTTTCATTATGGATAGCATCGACAAATCTACCTGGTTCAACACAGAAACCACTTCTAGCAACGAATCCTTTAGTGTCGACACCAACACCGGTATAGAATTGATAAGTTGGTTCAGTAGTTGAGACAACAAACTTAGTATGAGATCTTGGATGAGTAGCTTCAAAGACTTTCTTTAATTCAAATTTTCTAGTATCAATGGCATCAGCATCATTATCAATCACAAAACAATAATCATAGAAAGTTGCTTCACTTAAAGTAATTGGTTTGTTGGCATCAACTCTATCATGCTTGACGACATTACCAGTTGGTAATAAAGTCTTGGCATCAACTTCTAAGTAATTATCGTAACTTAACTTAACAACAGTATCATCAGTAGTAGCATCACCTGAAAGATTGAAGTAAGAATGGTTGGTGATATTAATAATAGTAGCATCAACTTTATCATTGATTAATTGAGCTTCATATTCAATCTTAATAGATTTATTATCAATATAGTATCTAACAATGTTTTCAACATCACCTGGGAAGTTATTTTTTCCATCTGGATCAATTAATTTGTATTCAACAATAAAAACATCTTTTTCTTTCTTAACAATTGGACCTAAGAAATTTTCTTTATCATAACCAACAAGACCACCATGTAAAGTGTTGTTATTTTCATTCTTTGGTAAATGATAAGTCTTACCGTTTAATTCAAATTCAGCGTTGGCAATTCTATTAGCAACACGACCAACGGTTGTTCCAAAGAATGGATTTGATTTTAATAAGTAGTCATCACCATTATCATAAGCATTAACAATGTGATCACCATCAAAGTTAATATCTTGAATCAAAGCACCACGGTTAGCTAAGGAGACAGATAATTCACCATTAACAAATGTTTGTAATCTATTACCGTAGTTACCATCACTTTCGAAAGTCTTTGATGAATAACCTTCAACATTGAAACCATGAGGATTAGCAGTAGTCCATTTCCATAAATCTTCACAAGCTTGTTCAATGCCTAATTCGGCTTTCCAGCCTAATTCCTTATTGGCTCTAGCTGGGTTAGCAGTTAAATCAAGAACATCACCAGCTCTTCTACCGACAACTTCATAAGGTAATTTCTTACCAACAGCTTTACTGAACGCATTATAAACATCGAAGACAGTAGAACCTTTACCAGTACCTAAGTTCCATTCTCTATATAAACCACCTTCGTTAATTTTATGTAAATAGTCTAAGGCAGCAATATGACCCTTAGCTAAATCAACAACATGGATATAATCTCTAATCGGAGTTCCATCATGACTCTTGTAATCACTACCAAAGATTGATAATTTTTCTCTTCTACCAATAGCAACTTGAGCTAAGTAAGGTAATAAGTTATTTGGGATTCCAGAAGGATCTTCACCAATTAAACCTGATGGATGTGCCCCGATTGGATTGAAATATCTTAAAACTGCGACTTTCCATTTTTCGGATTCACTGGAATGAACATCTTTTAGGATGTTTTCGATAACAAATTTAGTATTACCATATGGATTAGTTGGATCCATTGGACATTCTTCTGGAATTGGAATATATCTATCATCACCAAATCTAGTAACATCACCATAAACAGTTGCAGAAGAACTGAAAACAATTGAGTTAACATCGTTTTCCTTTAAAACTTTTAATAAGTTGACAGTACCAGTAACATTATTGTCATAATAATCTAATGGGATCTTAGTTGATTCACCAACGGCCTTTAAAGCAGCGAAATGAATAACACCTTTGATCTTGTAAGCTTTGAACACTTTAGATAACTTTTCATAGTCTCTGATATCAACATTGAAGAAAGGAATTGATTGTTTGACGATAAATTCAACTCTGGCAATTGCTTCATAACTGGAGTTGACTAAATTGTCAACTACAACAACTTTATGACCATTGTTGATTAATTCGATAACGGTATGGGAACCAATATAACCAGCACCACCAGTGACGAGGATATATTCAGACATGATTATTTGATAGTAAGTTTATTTGAATCAGAAAGAAAGAAACAAGTTATGAATAATTTTTTTTTCAAATTTGGCCTGGGGTTAATTCAACACATATATAAATTACCTCCACTCCTATTTACGCTTCGAGCTGCTCTCCGGACTTGGCTTGGAAATTTATATGTAACGTTACAGAAAAAAATTGACATTTAGATTGGGGGACGACCCCAGATCGTGAGATACCGGGGAAACGTGTTTGCAGCTTCGTTTATTTCATCATCTCTAAAAAAATGTCTGATTATCAAAACATTGACAGAAGAGCTTTTAATCGTAATTATGTGTTCTTTGAAACGGAATAAAAGGTACATCAGGAGAGCCACCTTGGAAGAAAGGAAGAGAATAGTCTAACGATATTGTTAACGCTTGAAACTCTTTTTCAAGCTTGAAGTAACTTCGAAGTAGCTTCCTATTGAGCAGATTGCTTACAAACAACCACCAGATCTGTAGCAGAAGTAACGCCATTTTAACCTATATCATTTAATAATATCGAGTAACTATTGTAAATACCTCAAACATTGCTCATGATTGCTTGAATTATCCCTTAATGACTAACCAGCTTGCTCCAAAAGTCATTCAAAATGAATACCGATGAAATACCAGACATTTCGTTATACCGTTTGGGGAAATACCATAAGAAAGCCCTCAAACCATTACACTTTATAATGTTCGGTAAAACCAAAACTAAAAAGTTTATCCATCGAATTACACCCCATGTTTATATCTTATCATGCAGACATTTTTTAAAATTTTTTAAAAATGTTTAATTTTAATTTTTCCGGCGAAAAAAGAGTGTAACGTTACAGTATTTTGCAAGACTTCAAATTGACCGAACGAAAATTTAAAAATCTCCACATATATATATGAAAGAAAATAACAAACTACATTTCCATCCATTATTCTTTTCATATTTTGTTAGAAAAAGAGTCTTTTTGAAAGCTTGCTGTCTTCCGTTTATTCACTTATATATTTTTTCGAAAAGATGACGTCGTTAGTCCCCACGTTTAAGGATCTTTCATTTTCATCTAATCCTCAACTTCATGAATCTAGAATTATCAATTTAGTTAAAACGTTTAAATCGAATTTCAATGATGACCCTGAATTCATAAGCAGATCTCCCGGTAGAGTTAATTTAATGGGTGATCATATTGATTATAATTTTTTCCCGGTATTACCTATGGCTATTGATGTTGATGTTATTGGTGTTGGAAAATCATATTCTGATTCTCGTGATATTAAATTAATCAATACTGATGATTCATTTGAACCTGAAACATTTGAATTACCTGCCGATGGAAGTGTCATTGCTATCAATTCCGGTGATTCATTCTCTTGGGCTAGTTATTTCAAATGTGCTGTTATTGTCGCTCATAATTATATCTTAGATAATCATCCTGAATTATTGGACCATGGTAAGAAACCATTGAAAGGGTTGAAAGTTGCATTTAACGGTACAGTTCCAACTGGAGGTGGGTTAAGTTCATCAGCTGCATTCTGTGTAGCTTCAACATTAGCTGTTTTGGCTGCTAATGATGTTCCTCATATTTCCAAAAGTGATTTAACTAAAATCACAGTAGTTAGTGAACATTATGTTGGTGTTAATACTGGTGGTATGGATCAATGTGCTTCAATTTATGGTGAAGCCTCTAAAGCATTATTAGTTAAATTCAAACCTAAATTAATGGGAGTTCCATTTAAATTCCCATCTATTTCCAAGGATGAAGAATTAGCATTCTTAATCACTAATAGTTTACAAAAGAGTAATAAACATGAAACTGCTCCCATTCATTATAATTTAAGAGTGGTTGAAATGGGAATTGGAGCTGATTTATTAGCTCATAAATTTGGCCTTGACTTACCTAAGGATTCTAATATTAAAAGTGGAAGTTTAAGAGGATTTTTAGATTCTTATTATACTCAAATTTTACATGAACAACCATGGGATGGAAATGATGTTGAAGTTGGTATTGAAAGATTACAATATTTATTGACCTTGATTGAAAAAGATGATATATTTAATGATGAAGAAAAAATTGGATTTTCAGTTAAACATGCTAGTGAAAGATTAGAAATTTCAGAATCAAAATTTGAAGAAACTTATTTAACTAAAGTACCAGTTAGATTTGATAATTTAAAATTATATCAAAGAGTTAAACATGTTTATGCTGAAAGTTTAAAAGTTTTACAATGTTTAAAATTATTAGAAGAAACCAATTCATCGAATGATGGATTAAAATTCTTAAAAGGATTTGGAGAAATCATGAATGAATCTCAAATATCATTAGATTTATTAAACAATTCTTCAAATGCCAAATTAAATGAAATTTGTTCAATTGCTTTAGCTCATGGATCATATGGTTCTAGAATCACTGGTGCAGGTTGGGGAGGATCTATAGTTCATTTAACTACTACGAAAAAGTTACCTGGATTGGTTAAAGCTTTAACTGATAAGTATTATAAGGTTGAATTTCCTGAAATTACATCGGAGGAGTTAAGAGAAGCCATAGTTGATAGTAAACCTGCTTCTGGAAGTTGCTATATTGAAATCAATAAAGAATGGTTGTAATGAATTAATGAATGACATTGCATTTTATGAATTGCACATGAAAAGTTAGTTTTAATAAGAAAGTAAAGTAAAGTAAATAAAGAATGTTTGTACATTTATTATGTAAATAATTAAACGATAAATATACCTAAAGTAGAAGTGAAATGTAAACCATGAATGAAATTGACTAACTACTGCAATCGCCAACCAAAGGTGGTATATCGGGGATCACCAGTCGTTAGAATTATACGACGATAGTAAACTATAATTGAAGAGAAGAGGATAGACAGAAAGAAAGAGGTAGCTATGTCGGACTTGCATGTGAAAATGAATCAGTAAGTAAAGGTGTTAGAGTTTTTGAGTGGCTAGTTATGAATCAGGAGTTTATTCACGAATAGGACTTAGGAGATTGTTTTCGTACCTAAACCTTTTCACAACACAATGGAATGAATAAATGGTTTATAGATGTGCCTGGACTAGCCTGTCTCTTTCCCCCTCTTTTAGTGCCCCTCGTTATGTTGCGAAAATAAAAAATACAAACTAAAAATAAATTAAAATTAATTAAACATTAAATATTTAGGGTGACAAGTGTCACTAAGTAGTCTATGCCTAAACTGAAATTTAGGGAGAAAAATATTTGGGTGCATACCGAGAAAATACGCTAAGAAATGATGGCAAATTTTATTTTGATAGTGAGTGCGTGTCACTAAGAAAGGAAAACACCAAGTGTAGTAAGTTATTGCAAAAAATAGTTAACAAGAAGATTAAGAGAGGCCAAGATAAGAACAAAGGTGGGAAATATATGGGTAATCCAATGAGGAGAGAGTAATGGTGAATGTATTTAGTTTACTTAGCTTGTATATGACTTGAATTCAGTAGCATCTTAGATCATTTAAGGTGAAATCCCATATTCATTATCAGGTTTTAGCTAGCGGTATTTTTGTTGTTGTTAAATTTTACTGAGGTTCACTTGCATGTGAAAAGAAAGAAATGAATTTACTGAGACAGCAGCATCAGCAGCAGCGCAGCGTAAAAAAAAAAGGTTTCGAAAAAAAAACTTTTTTTTGGTTTTTGCCCTGATGGGAAGAGCTAAAGATAAAGTTTATGAAAAGAGAAAGTTAGCAACCAAAAAAAAAGTCAAAGTTAGGAATAAACTGTATAGATTAGTTACCTCCTTCTCTTGCATATCTGAGTGGGTTAGAATATCTGGATGAGGAAGGTAAAGTAAACTAAGGTAAAGAGAGGCGAAGGCTGAAATGAGTAACCATAATGATAATGATTAATTATTTCTTAATTAATAATAGTCATAATAATAAATTTTCAGTAAATGTAAAAATACATCATAAGGGACAATCTCTAATAATAAAGCAGGAGAAAAACCAGAAAAATATCGATGAGATCAACAATGGTATATATATTATTGACCATATACTATGGTACCAGCCTTGTTTAATGAATGATTAGGAATTATAATTACTTATTGAACTGAAATAGAGCCAAGAAGTTAAGCATTATCTCTGAAAGAAGGTCAGCTGACTGGAAAATTAATGATAAAACCAAAAAAAAGAAGGCGCGTAAATTGTCGATCTTTGTGAAAGAGGTCATGGAGATTAAAGTCCTTTCCGGATTCTAGCGAAAGCTTGACAAAACAAAAGGGTCGTGTAGATCTCTCATTATACCCAAAACCAAAAACAAAAATAAAAAAAATAAAAAAAAAAAAAGATTTTTATGAACTGATCTCAATTCAATTTTATCACACCATATGACTGACACATAAGTGTTTTAAGCTGGTGGGGGTTTTGATTAAAATATTTGTTGTTTATTTGTTTTTAATCATAATCATTTGATTGACTCGTCTTAATGCATAATATGAGACATCTTTAAAAAGAAGCCGAACTGTGTGCAGGAAGGGCGGTCGATATAGTTACACAATCATTATTACTATGAATAGTAACCTTCACTAATCACTTACGAGGTTAACTCTCTCCTCAATCGATTACTTCACTATTGATGTCACTATTAACCAGGCTATACCAACCGTATGATTTGAAACCTATTTGCGTTTCAAATATGATGTTTCAATTACTACGTATAATAATAATAATAATCAAAAGGATTGACGATGGTGTCAATCAAATAGTAATCAAAAGGTAGAAGTACAAGCACTGTGATTTCATCTATTCACCCTCATGACTTTATAAGATGGTTGATGATATTTTTTATGAACGAGTGAGATGGATTTATGTGCCATGTCATTTTTTTTTGTCTCTCCTAAGCTGTTTCTTCCCTAAAACTTCCATATTGCGCAGCCGCTTCCTCACTAAAAAAAAAAAAAAAAAAAAGAATTAATAAAAAATTAATAAAAATAAAATAAAAAAATAAAAAAAAAATAAAAAAAATAAAAAAAATAAAAAAAATAAAAAATAAAATCGTTTAATCATCATTACGTGCTTTTTTTTCTGGGTATGGCTATAATGTTTTTTACCACCAGGCTATTTCAGGAATCAGACCTTAAACAAATTATAAAAGCATGTGTATTTCCTACTTTGATTTCGATAATGTTTTATCTATATTCAATTCCTTATTTACTCCATCAGCATTCACAAAGCATTTATACTTGTATTACCAATCATACAATTACCAATTACGATAAACTACTACTATTATTATCACAACGACTACTACTATTTTAACTACTATACCTAGCATACTGCATATTATCATATCCTCACAAAAATGACATTAAATATTTTACCTTTACTAGACGCCACTACTACATCTATACCTCAATCATATGTATCTCCCAAACCAATACCTACCAATCCAAATCTGATTCTCTTAAATGGATTCATGATGAATGGAAACTTAAAATTTGTTAAGAAAATCGGTGCCGGTACTTATGGATTAATTTATCTTGTTCAAGATATAACTACTGGAAAACAATTTGCTGCAAAAATGTTATTAAAAGATCCTCCCTTAAAGCATGCCTCACCTAAAGATGCTGGCGAAAATAAAAAGTATATTCAAAGAAAGATCTTTGAATATTTTGCATCTCATCCAAGAGCTGTTGCTAATGAAATTGATTTAAATTTAATTAAAAATGATGGTTTACATTGTCCATTCTTAAGAGAAATCGCTTTACATTTAAAAGTTCATCAACATCCAAATATCATTACTATTCATAAAGTTTTAAATCTTGATAATTTAGCCATTATTATTCTTATGGATTATTTCGAACAAGGAGATTTATTTAATAATATCATTGATAATGAAATCTTTCAAAGACATCAACCTGAACATTTAAAACAATTATTAATGAAAAATGTTATGTTACAATTAATTGAAGCCATTGAATATTGTGATCAAAATGGTATTTATCATTGTGATTTAAAACCAGAAAATATCATGATTAATTATAATCCAAATTATAAAAGAAAATCTCTTAATTCCATTGTTGATTATAATGAAATTCATATTGTTTTAATTGATTTTGGTTTAGCTATGGATTCAAATTTAATTTGTTGTAATGCTTGTCGTGGTTCATCATTTTATATGGCTCCTGAAAGAACTACCAATTATAATACCAACAATGTCATCAGATCCTTAGTTGATATGAAACAATATCATTCTATTGAAATTAATAATACAACTGTTACTCCATCAAATTCAAAATTCTTCCCAACATTAGCAGGAGATATTTGGTCATTAGGAGTATTATTTATAAATATTTCATGTTCAAGAAATCCATGGCCAATTGCATCATTTAAAGATCAACAAAGTAATAATGATGTTTTCAAAAGTTATATTTTAAACAATAATAAAAACATTTTAAGTTCAATCTTACCAATCTCATCATCATATAATAGATTATTAGATAAAATTTTCCAATTAAATCCAAATGATAGAATTGCATTACCAAGTTTATATAAAGAAATCATCAAATGTGATTTCTTCAAAGATCATCATCAATCAAAATCAAAGAAAGAAGAACAAGTTAGTTCCAATCCTCAACTTAATACTCCTCCAGATACTCATACCACCAATTCATTCATCGATGTTGAAGAAGAAGAAGAAGAAGACGAAGATGAAGATGAAAGTGATTACAGTGACGAGGACATGGAAGATGAAGTCAAAGAATATCATTCCGCTCGTGAAGAATATACTTATGAGAAAAATAATAAAACCAACAATAACAATAACAATACTAAATCAAGTCCAAAACAAGTGTTTGCTATGGAAACTCCAGCAAATAGCGTGGAAGATTATGATAAAAAGAATTTCATTGTTACTTATCATTAGATGATTACGATTACGATTACGATTACGAATTACTACTACACTTTATGACACACATTACGACTATTACTTTTTGGGTATATTATTATTTTTCAATTCTTCATTCATTTGGTTTCAATAAAAATTAAAAGCAAAACTAAAAGCAAAAGCAAAAAGAACCAACAAGGTTTATGATCCTCTTTTTACTCCTATGATTTATGATTATCATGATTTATTTATTTTATGTCCTTTATTTCTTTCTCCTTTATACACATTCCGTTACTTTTTACATACATTATAGTTTCGAATTTTTCTTAGTAATGAACATTCACGAATTAGATATAGAACAAACTAATAACTCGTAATAAGAATCACTACTTCTTTATTACGTGCATGTAGATTGTAGTTAATGACGTCTTGTAATATTTGATAATCAGACATAATAGATGATGATATCAAGTCAAACTAAGATAATAAAGTGACGATATCAGCAGGGTCATCATGCTAATTTCCCAATTGGGAATTTTCGCGCTTTTTCAAAAAATAAAAAAAATAAAAAAAAAAGATTTTTAATTTTTTTTATTTTTTTTTTGTTTCAGTTCCGGAAAGCTCCTCGTAATCGTGTGATTTCCTGCTAACAACTTCCGAAACTATAACATGATGTCTCTTTTATTTTTATTATGACAATGATCCATCGAATGGTGTGTGATTCATCGAATGGTGTGTGGGAGGGAGAGAGTCATGGCGAGAAGGGTTGAGCCCATTAAAATGGATGCAAAAATCTATTTTGAACTTTATTTCAGATCCTTCACTTCCCTTTGACTCCCCCCCACCCATCTGTTATATTCTATTCCATCCTAGTCCCGAAATAATATTCTCTAATGGGTTTGTATATATTATTATTATTAATAATATATTAATCATAATATGTCAATAAGATGAATCATACATTTCAATAATGACTAAACTATTTATCCTATTTATCCTAGGTGTTCATTACGAACTAATTGATACTTTTCTTTTCTGCATTACACCTCGATCTTGAAACTTTTGAAGCGATGGATATATGTATCATATCTGGTTATTTCTATTATTAGCTTAACTATGGAAAAGCTTATCAATGACTTTATTTGATATGTAAGGAGTAAAGTACTTGTTGTCTCATAATCTTTGATATGATTATTATTAATTTATTATTAGAAGTCTTTTCTTTTTTTGGTTTTGGATAAAGTCTATTTTTTAAACAGTGATACACTAGTTGTTTATTTGTGCCAAGTATTGATGATGCTTATTTCTTTGTTGTCTATGTCCCCAGATCTACAGTTTTGGTTTCAAATCTAGTTCGTAGTTTAGTGCTACCATTATATTATTAATGAACATTAATTAATCGATGCTATTACTTGCAGAACGGGGTTATCATTGATACATTACCTAAACAGAAGAAAAGAAAAGATATATGCTCTTGTGTAGCATTATTATCTGTCATCTACCTTCTACTTTCCTTATTACATCCCGCATTTCATATTTCCCATCTACAACTATGTTATTATCTATAATCTAATCCCTATACTAGGTATCTACTAGTTAATTATAAAAGCTTCTATACGATTCCATGGATTATCATTTTTTTGAGGGGTCGTGTCCCATGACTGAAAAGTTGTTGATTTCCAAAAAAAAAAAATGTTAAGCAGGCCAAATTTAGAGATAATCGTAAATCAAATATATTTGTTAAAGGAAATTACAGCTTTTTTTCAATTTCTTTCAATTCAAGCTAGTCTTTCAATATATTAGATACCTAATTGATATAACAATCTATTGTTAGCATCATGTCTGATATAGTAGATAACCCGCTTATTCAAGGAGCCGAATTATTGGTTCCAAAATCTTGGTTTCTAAGACCATACGTGTGGCCATTTGCCATTATTTATCCAATATGTTTTCAAATCTATACTCAACATTATGATACTTATGTGGTGGGTCCAGAATGGACATTTGTATATCTGATTGCCATTCTTTCCCTTAATATGTTGTTCTGGTTAATGCCTCATTGGAATATTGAAATTGATTCAAAATTCAATTATAGTAAGGTTAATACTATCGATGAAGCAAGTTATATTAAAATTACTCCTGCTCCAAATTCAGGAGTTGGTGAAACTTGTAAAATCGTTCGTGAAACTTTCCATGATGGTGAAAAACAAACTAGTTTCTTATATCAAAAGAGAAGACATATTTATCATGATTCAATTGCAAAATTCTCTCCACCTCAATTTAAATTTGATGAATTACCAGAATTATCGTATTTTCAAAATTCAAAAGGTTTAAAAGGTGATTTGGAAAAATATTCAAGAAATTATGGTGATAATAAATTCGATATTCCAATCCCAACTTTCTTAGAATTATTTAAAGAACATGCCGTGGCTCCATTTTTCGTTTTTCAAATCTTTTGTGTTGCTCTTTGGTGTATGGATGAACAATGGTATTATTCATTATTCTCCTTATTCATGTTAGTATCATTTGAAATGACTACCGTGTTCCAAAGAAGAACTACTATGGCTGAATTCCAAACTATGGGTATTAAACCTTATGAAATTTATGTTTATAGAGATTTAAAATGGAAACAATTACAAACTACTGAATTATTACCAGGAGATTTAGTATCTGTTACTAGAACTCTGGAAGATAGTGCTTTACCATGTGATTTATTATTAATTGATGGTACTGCTATTGTTAACGAAGCTATGTTATCTGGTGAATCAACTCCATTATTAAAAGAATCTATCAAATTAAGACCTGCTGAAGAAAATTTACAACCAGAAGGATTTGATAAAAACTCAATTTTACATGGTGGTACTATGGCTTTACAAGTTAGTAAACCAGAAAATCCAATCATTGCTAATGCTCCAGATGGTGGTGCTTTAGCTTATGTTATTAAAACTGGGTTTGAAACTTCTCAAGGTTCATTGGTTCGTATGATGATTTTCTCAAGTGAAAGAGTTTCTGTTGGTAACAAAGAAGCTTTCTTATTTATCTTGTTCTTATTACAATTCGCTATTGCTGCTTCTTGGTACGTTTGGGTTGAAGGTACTAAAATGGGTAGAGTTCAAGCTAAATTAATCTTGGATTGTATTCTTATTATTACTTCTGTGGTTCCACCTGAATTACCAATGGAATTAACTATGGCTGTTAATTCATCGTTAACTGCTTTACAAAAATTCTATATTTATTGTACTGAACCATTTAGAATTCCATTGGCTGGTAGAATTGATGTTTGTTGTTTTGATAAAACTGGTACTTTAACTGCTGAAGATTTAGTATTTGAAGGTTTAGCTGGTTTCAAACTTGATGAAGTTCATCATTTATTTAAATGTGAAGAAGCTCCTGCTACTACTTCTTATATTTTAGGTTCTGCTCATGCTTTAGTTCAATTAGATGATGGTGAAGTTGTAGGTGATCCAATGGAACAAGCTACTTTAAGTGCTGCTCATTGGAAAGTTGGTAAAAATGATACTGTTGAAAGAGAAGTTGAAAATGGTAAAGTTGAAAAGATTAAAATCTTACGTCGTTTCCAATTTTCTTCAGCTTTAAAAAGATCCGCTGCTATTACTTCCCTTAATGTCCTTCCTGGTAAGAATTTTGTCGCTGTTAAAGGTGCTCCAGAAACTATTCGTACCATGGTTATTGATGCTCCTGAAAATTATGAAGAAATTTATAAATCATTTACTAGAGCTGGTTCTCGTGTTTTAGCTTTGGCTTATAAATATTTAGATGCTAATGTTGTTGTTAATAAAGTTAAAAGAGAAGAAGTTGAATCAAAATTACATTTTGGTGGGTTTATTGTTTTCCATTGTCCTTTGAAATCTGATGCTGTTGAAACTATTAAAATGTTAAATGAATCTTCTCATAGAAGTGTTATGATTACTGGTGATAATCCTTTAACTGCTTGTCATGTCGCTAAAGAAGTTGCTATTACTACTAAAGATGTTTTAATTTTAGATGCTCCTGAAGAACATCATCAAATTGGTGAAGAAGATAATTTAGTATGGAGAAATGTTGATGAAACCATTATTATTCCATATAAATCATCTGATGATATTGATCTTGGCTTATTTAAAAAATTCGATGTTTGTATTACTGGTTATGCTTTGAATTATTTAGCTGATCATCATCAAATTTTAGATTTATTAAAACATACTTGGGTTTATGCTAGAGTTTCTCCAAATCAAAAGGAATTCATTTTAACTTCCTTAAAAGAAGCTGGTTATAGTACTTTAATGTGTGGTGATGGTACCAATGATGTTGGTGCTTTGAAACAAGCTCATATTGGTATTGCTTTATTAAATGGTACTGAAGATGGTTTAAAGAAAATTGCTGAAAATAGAAGAAATGAACTTCTTCAAAAGACTTATAGTAAACAAGTTGAACTTATGGCTAAATGGGGTCAACCTCCTCCACCTGTTCCTATTACGATTGCTCATTTATATCCTCCTGGTCGTTCAAATCCAAAATATTTAGAAGCTTTACAAAAGAAAGGTACTACTATTACTCCAGAAATTAGAAAAGCTGTTCATGCCGCTAATCAAATCGACATTCCAATTAAAACTAAGTCTGGCTCTGGTAAAGGTGGTCCTGGTCTTGCTGATGCTTTATTAGGTGCTTTAGATGGTGAAATTGGTGAAGATGAAGCTCCAGTGTTAAAATTAGGTGATGCTTCAGTGGCTGCTCCATTTACTTCTAAATTAGCTAATGTTTCTGCTGTTACTAATATTATTCGTCAAGGTCGTTGTGCTTTAGTTTCAACTATTCAAATGTATAAGATTTTAGCTTTGAATTGTTTGATTTCTGCTTATTCTCTTTCTGTGTTATATTTAGCTGGTATTAAATTTGGTGATGCTCAAGCTACTGTTTCAGGTATTTTATTATCTGTTTGTTTCTTATCTATTTCAAGAGGTAAACCAATTGAAAAATTATCTAAGGAAAGACCTCAAGATGGTATTTTTAATAAATATATTATGGGATCAATTCTTGGACAATTTTTCATTCATATTGTTACTTTGATTTATATTACTCGTGAAATTTATATTTTAGAACCAAGAGAACCAAAAGTTGATTTAGAAAAGGAATTTTCTCCATCTTTATTAAACACTGCTATGTTCTTATTACAATTAGCTCAACAAGTTTCTACCTTTGCTGTTAATTATACTGGATTACCATTCAAGGAAAGTATTACTTCCAATAAAGGTATGTATTATGGTTTATTAGGTGTTGCTGGTTTAGCTCTTTCCGGATCTACTGAATTCATGCCAGAAATCAATGAAGCTATGCAATTCGTTCCAATGAGTTATGATTTCAAATTTAAATTAACCGGAAGTATTTTGGTTGATTTAAGTTTTACTTGGATTATCGAAGTTGTATTGAAATATTTCTTCATGAATTCTGCCCCTGCTGATATTGCCATCAGAGATGATGAAGAAGAAACAATTGAAGAAAAATCAACTTAAACAGTAAGCACACTTTTCCCATTTTGACTTTTAATAGAAGGGTATATTTATATATATATATTCTACACAATCTAATATATCGAAAGATTAAAACTTATATACATTAATAAACGAGTTCGTTATAAAATAATACATTATTGATTTATCAATTGTAAATCACTATTTCTATTTAAATTGGAAACTTTTAATACCGAAAGACCATTACGGTTGACGATAGAGAATTTATTCTTTGATAATTTTTGTTCCATAACGCGAAGAATATCCAATATTTCATCGATATCAAGAGGATAATCGGAACTGTCCTTGACCGTTTGACAAAGCTTGGAAACTGAGAATAATTTAAATGGTTCTGATTCTAGTTTCTCAGTAAATAATTGGAATATGACTTCATATATTGAAGCTGATTTCTGAGTCAAATAATTGTCATAATTTGATTGAGCATCTTCAAATGGATTCTTGATTTCATTACGAAGTTTTTCTTTTAATCTTATTCTTTCAATCAAGGTTAAACCATTATTGTTGAGTTGTTCTTTCAATGCATCCTTTTGTTTGAATTGGAACTTTGCTGCCTCATTCTTTAGTTCCTTTAATAAGTTTCTTTTAACGGGTGAGTTCGAATTTGATCGTGGAAGTTTAGACACTTTAGTAGGCAGTGGAGAACTGGTTGACGATGACCTTGTTGTCTTATCGTCAAGTTTATCATTGAAGTCTAAGATCTCTTTCATCGAAGTAATGGTCAACTCCTTCACTTCTTGGTTATTTTGTATCCATGAACCAATACTTTCATTAAATTGAATCTTCCTCTTATCCATCAAAGAATTTTTTGAACCTAATGGAAACGAAATATAAATGTTTGAACTGTCGAAAGGATTATTCCCAGCATCATAAATATGATAAAAACACGGATTAATCAGATATATCACTTGAATGTCTAGTATTTTAATCTTCATCTGAGCTAAACTTGAAGCTGAATCGAGGATCTCAGTAATTAATGGATCGGTAGAATGTGATGCATAATGAAGAGACAAAGCATTATCAATAGTGCTTGCTTTCTTCTGCAAGTCTGCAAATATGCCTCGTCGTATCACGGGATGTACTGGAAATGTTCTATGATTATTATTAACCATCTCTATCTATACTCCTCGAAGATACTTTTACTTCAAAATAGTTTAAACTTGATCTGGTTTATAAAATGACATTTTAAAAATTGACGCGTTTATACGATTTAAAAAAAAATTAGTTTGCATCCTTTTATGTGCAGTCTCGGACATATTTATGCGCTTATTGATCAGGGAGAGAGAGAGCAGAGATATCAATTTAGAGTTATAAAGAGAATTATAACTTCTTTCCCTTTTTACTATATTTATTGAATGAATGGAATCTAGCAAGAGAGAAGATCATCTAAAGAAGGGGTCTAATGTTTCCCCCTATGAATCTTTACTAGCTGGTTCCATTTCTGGAGCAGTAGCAAGGTACGTTTAATTTGTTTTTTGTATTGATCTGTTTTAAGAGCAATTTTACTGACAGAGATATAATTTAGAGGTGTAACAGCCCCATTAGATACCATAAAGATACGGCTTCAATTACAGAGGAAAACATATAAGGAAAGCATGGGAGTATTCACAGTAACTAAGAACCTTCTTAGGAATGAAGGCGTGGTGGCTCTTTGGAAAGGTAATGTACCAGCAGAGATTTTATATATATTGTATGGAGGAGTTCAATTTACTTCATATTCAATGTTGTCTACGGCTTTGAATGATTTCACTTCTAGTAAAAAAATAAGTCTAAGCTCTTCTAGTCATTCATTGGTGGTTGGATTTGGTGCTGGTATAGTGAGTACATTTTTCACATATCCTTTTGATTTACTAAGAACTCGTTTAGCAGCAAATTCAGATAAAAAGCTTTTATCAATGACATCAACATTCAAACAAATATTGAAAACCGATGGAATAATGGGTTGCTTTACAGGTATCAAACCTGCTACTTTGTCTGTAGCATCAACTACTGCAGTCATGTTTTGGTCATATGAGTTAGCTCGAGATTTTGCAAACAATTATCAAGGTATTCCCTTTGTAGAAGGAATTTGTGGTTTAGTTGCAGGAGCTACTTCAAAAGGTGTTACCTTTCCTTTAGACACGTTACGTAAGAGAACCCAAATGTATACTGTTATGTATGGTTCAAAACCGGTGAGTGCTGTTAAATTATTTGTATCTATATTAAGGAATGAAGGGTTATATGGTCTTTATAAAGGATTTGGTATTAGTTTACTAAAGACGGCGCCAACAAGTGCTGTTACATTATTCATGTATGAATACTCCCTTAACTATATAACATCATTCAATAAGAAATTTTCATAGAACTAATGTATGTATATATATTCTAGACACTTTTATACCTTTAATAAGTAGTCATCATCTTCTTCTTCACTACTATGAGCAGACATAGCATCATCTCTAAGACCCAGCAAATTATCAAAACTAAGTACCAATTTAACTAATGGATCATCTTCACCTTCAATGCCTCTAAATATTTCATCCTGATCATCGTTATAGTTTTTCGTGATCAGATCAGGCAGAATATACTCTCTATCATTATCATCTACATCAGAATCATAATGTCTATCTGTATTTTCCGATTCATTGGTGTGAGTTTGACTACCATTCGGGAATTTTATACTTGATATATCCCTTGAATGAGCATATAAAGATTGTGAATTTGCCAATAAATTCTGTACTCTAGACGGTACTTTGATTATAGGACTATTGACACGTTTGGCTTTTATTTCATTCTTTTTAGGTTCGGGAGGTATGACAATCGGCACAGGAACACTTTCTTCTTCAACTTCTTTCCTTAATTGGTTCTTTATATACATGGGAAGATTTTCTCCAAATAAAGAACCCCTTCGTAATTTCTTATCATTAGGCAAAGTTTGTTTGATTCGGTTTTGTTTATCAACATCATCATTTGAAGGTTGATCTATTATCACTTTAGGTGCTGAAGATGTACGAGAAGGCTTTCCATTTTGTCCCAGAAATCCAAATCCAAGCTTTTTCAGAACATTCCTAAGTCTATTGTTAATCAATGGATGTTGTATACCAGTCTCTTTTACTCCAATTTCTGCCTTGGTTACCGCGTTGACATATGTTGTACTTATCACAGCTGGCTTTATAAGATTTGAGTCTCTATTATTTCCTTCGAAAGTGTGTAGTAATGAATTCGGACCTGGATGCATTAAATCTAATGACATCCTTCTTTGAGTTTTAGTCATTTTCGGCATCTCTGATCTAACCTTTAAATCAATGGAGTTATTTACTACTACCACTGGCTTCGTATTCTTATTGACTTTTTCGACTTGATTATCAGGTATTGGGGGTGAAATTTCTAATTTGAAGGATTCCAAGTCGAGAGATGATATTATCCCCGCTACCTCTTTATAAAGGGGATTCTTTTTATCTTTCCAATCACTTGTTACTTGCCTTATATCGAATTCATTATTATGGAAGTAGTCATATCTTTGATCGTATAATTCATCAACTTTTAACTTAAGGAAATCAATATCTGGAAATTCGAGGATCCTCAGGAGATAAGTCCAATCTATTTTCTGATAGAATTGAGTCACGTCTATAACTGCATTGCTATACTCTTCGACGTATTTCGCTAGTCGTATATCTTTAGCTTTGGTCCACTCCAACTTTAAAGCCAGTTAGTATATATTGTTCTAGAAAATGAATAACAATCAAGACCTAAAAATAAATATTAACATACATTATGAACATCATCTTTATGTTCTAATTCATTCATCAACCTATCGGTTCCAATGATTGACATTACTTTGGATAAGATTAACATATACTTCACTTTAGGTTACTCTTACTGTTATCGTATTTTATCGCAAGACCATAGAAATAATATGCAGGACGCAAAAATTGAGAATTCATTTTTTTTACCAATTGCACCTTTAATTTACAATTATAGTTGAATTTAAACCATTAAATTGATTCAATTTATATCTATTATTTAAGGTTATATTGAAATTAAAAAAAGAATGGACGAGTCAGGAGTCGAACCCGAGACCTTTCGCATGCTAAGCGAACGCGCTACCAACTACGCCACACGCCCTGAGAAATTTACAGAGAAAATGGTCCCTAGCAGGATCGAACTGCTGATCTTGGCGTTATTAGCACCACGCCTTAACCAACTGGGCCAAGGGACCATTTCTTGACAAAAAATTCGCCCGGTTTGTGGTAGAGAAATCATGTCACATGATCGATCCGGCATATAAAAATTTTCTGATTATATGAAAAACTCATCTCGTTAAGTAGAAGTTGATTTAAAGAAGGTAGATGTATTATTGAATTCTAAGTTAACCAATAATGAAGCTTTTGGTATCGTCCGATGATAATGGACAAGTGAAAGAAGTCATATTCAATAGAGGAACTGATACTTCGAAGAAAGATGGTCAACAACCTATATCAATTAAGAATTTCTGTACCGAACCAAAGGTTATTTCTAAATCTCGTTTAATAAATTTTTCAGATAAATATCTTGTAGCTGCCAAATTAGGAGGTAGTTTGAATATTTATGAATTACCTGATGAAGAAATTGAAATGGAAGATGAAGAAAAGTACAAATTGTTACATCTGTATAATCTTGAAGTAGAGAAAGGTGATGTTCCAATTGCTTTAATTGCTAACGATGAGTTAGAAAGTATAATAGTTGCATATGAATCAAGTAAAGTGTTTATAATAAACTTAAGTAATGAAGACTTTAATGTTGATCCAATCTTAATAAATCTTGATATAAACAAACCAATAGCTGCCTTTGTTGAAAATCCTTATGAGCATGGTACTTTTGCATATGGTGGGAAAGAAGTTGATGTTAAAATCATTCGTTTGTTTGAAAAAAATGTTAATCATGAAATATTTTCCAAGAAAGATTATAAGAAAAGCTTCATTCCAAAAGAATTATTCAAAGCTAAGAATGCTAAAAATGATCATTTAGATTTAAGACCACAAATTTGGATAAGTCAAATATTATTTTTCAAAGATCAACCTACAAATGGCTACAAATTCATTACTGCTACCAGATACGGACAAATACGTTTATATGATACAACACATGGAAGAAGACCAATCAAAGATTTTAAATTATGCGACAAACCAATAATCACCTTATCATTTGTGAATGAAAACGAATCAGAAATAATAGTCACCGATACTCATAACTTAATTGCCAAACATTCCTTAACTTTGGTAGATGAAAACGCACATAAAACTATATCTGCATCTGCTGGTGTGATCATTAAGCCAGTTGCTAAACTTTTAGGTAAATTCTCTGAAGGAGGAAATACAGGTGCTACTTTTGGAGTTGCATCAAATGGAGAAATTTTAGTTACCGGTGGTTTAGACAGATATGTGAGAGTTTTCGATATTGAGTCTAGAGAACTCTTAGGAAAAGTATATCTTGGAGTAGAAATCTCATCCATCCTTATTGTAGATGATGAAGATGAAATTGAGGAAGCCGATATTGTCAATGAAGCACCAATAATTCAAAAGAGAAAGAGAAGAGATATTGCTACTGAAGCAAAAGAAGAAAGTGATGAAGAGGACTTATGGAATGAGTTAGAGATAAACGAGAAGAAGTCTACCAAAAAGCAAAAAACTGTATAATTATTTATAGATTATAATACATAACGAATTACTAATTGTTATTACTTACCTGAAGCATTTTGTGCAACGTTTTCTTCTTCGATTACTCTGTTGCCGGATCTGTTACTTGTATTTATCACACTCATGCATTTCCACTCATTTAGATAATTACATTTCCAAAGTCTGATATTACCATCATCTCCAGCTGATGATAGAATTGTACCCGTCAAATTCCAATTCACCTTCCATACTTCCAGCTTATGATCATTCAACTTAGCTAATGTCTCTATCTTCAACTCTCCACTTTGCAGCTCAGTTGCCTTGAAAATTCGTACATAACCATCTTTACAACCAGTCGCTATGAGATGATAATTTCTTCCCATAGATGGAGCCCAACTAACAGCTCTGATTAAACCATTATGTTCTGGAAGATTACATAATTTGATATATTTGCTTTTGGAGTTTGAATCTGTATCCATTTCTTCTTTGATGTCATTTGATTGATTATTTGATGGAGATGTACCATATATAAAACCCTGGTCCAAAGCAACCACTATAAACTTTTCCGTTTTTGAAAATTTTGCAGGACACCATTCAATACAGAAACTACTCTGTAAACTTTTAGCTGGCAATTGCATACTTAATATAGGTAATTCTGTAGTTAGTGCCCAATTCGTTAAATCGCTAGGTTCTAATGACTCATATATTCTGAATATACCATCCGATCCTACACATCCCAACTTTAAACCCATATGATTGGGAGCAAATGCAACGTCGTAAATTGGACCATATGATTCTATGGCCAAAGTAGCTAGTTTAATCCAACGTCTACCTGATCCATGTAATTCATCTGATTGTTCTTGCCATACCTTTACGGTACGATCATATGAGCAAGAAGCTAATATTTTAGAACTTGAGAATTCAGGATGAGCCCATGAAAGTTTGACTATCAGTGAATCATGGCCTTTCCACAGGTCATTCAATACCCAAGATGAATTGGAGGAGTCTAAGTCAAATACTTTAATATGTTGATCAGAAGAAGCTGTTGCTATATGTTTCCCATAAAAGTCATACTTAACATCATGTATCAATTCTTCGTGGCCAGTGACAAATGGCTTCATTTCAATTATATCTCAAATATATTCCTACCAACTGTTTGTATATAAGTTTGCAGCAAAAGCAATGGCCAGATTAGAAATTGACTTCGTCTTCTTAATTGTTTTTCCCAATTGATAGTCAAATAAAGAGAATTGTTATATGCAGTCATTTGGTGATACTTTCAATTAGCGGATTTTTTGTTTATCTAAATTTTTCAGCGCATTCTATTTATTTGCAACGTGTAGGTCACCACTACAGTACAAGATGTATCTGAGAATAATCAGGTTAAGTGTGTTGGTGGTTTCATTGTCACTAATAACAGTGAACAATCCACTTCAAACACTGATAGCGTTTGCTGGGATTGGATATGTCGTGACTTATACTTTAATACCTAGGTTGACTAAAAGCTTCATTAGAGTTGGTCTTAAAGGTAAGGATCTTTCTAAACCTCCACCAGTTTATGAAATTGCCGAATCAATGGGAGCAGTATCTGCAATCACATATTTGTTTTTGATGTTTGGACTTATCCCATTTATTTTCTTCAAGTATTTGGTATCTTTCACATCATTATCAAATGATGAAAGCATTTCAGATAATTATGCAACACAATATCAATCATTAGCTAATAATCGTTTATTTCCTCATAATAAGTTAGCTGAATACTTGAGTGCTGTTTTGTCTTTACAAAGTACTACCATGCTTGGTTTCCTTGATGATTTGTTTGATATTAAGTGGCGTCATAAGTTTTTCCTTCCAGCAGTGGCGTCCTTACCATTGTTAATTGTTTATTATGTTGATTTTAGTGTGACATCCGTTGTTGTACCAAAATTCATCACAAACATAGCTGGAGGAGAGGAATTATTGCAATTATTAAATCAATTGATCATAGTAGGGAATTACATTGTTAGCAAAGTATCCGGTTTAAGTTTTGGTACGCTTAACGACTATGTAGTAACAGAAGATTCTCCAAAACTTCTTGATTTAGGAGTATTTTACTATGGCTACTTAGCTTCTGTGTCTATTTTCACTCCAAACTCGATCAATATTTTGGCTGGTGTTAATGGTTTAGAAGTTGGTCAATCGGTCGTTCTTGGAATTATTTTCCTTGCTAACGATTTCTGTTATCTCTTCTCTTCAAATGTACCACAAGCTGCTTATGATTCACATTTGTTTTCAGTAATATTCATAATTCCATTCATGGGTGTTTCTTTAGCTTTATTACAATACAATTGGTTTCCTGCAAAAGTCTTTGTTGGTGATACTTATTGTTACTTTAGTGGTATGTTATTTGCTATTGTCGGTATTCTTGGACATTTTTCAAAAACACTTCTTTTGTTTCTTTTACCACAAATAGTTAACTTCATTTACTCGGTCCCACAGTTATTTGGAATAGTTCCATGTCCTCGTCATAGACTTCCGAAATTTAACATAAAAGATGGTTTAATGTATCCTAGTTATGGTCAATTACAAGAGTCAAATTCAGTTGGTAAGAATCTAGTAAAGTTTCTTGCTACTTTTGGTTTAATAAGTACTAGAAGAGATGAAAAAACTAATGAAATAACCGAATTTTCAAACATGACTATCATAAATTTAGTTTTGGTTTGGTTTGGTCCACTCCGTGAGGATACTTTATGTACTGTATTATTAGCTATTCAACTATTCGTTGGATTGTTTATGATAGGAATAAGGCATACAGTGGGACCTTGGTTATTTGGATACGATAATCTTAGTTGGGGAGTAAGTTGAATAGTTTATAGATCATAAATGTATTATATAACTATTTTCCTGCACATAAATATACAGCCTATTTTGGGACTTGTTGAAATTACCTAAAAGTAGGAACGAGATCATTTGAACAGTTGTAAATTATATCTCTTTAATATTAAATCAATTGATCTAATATCAAGCAAACAAATATGCCACCGCCACCCCCTCCTCCTCCACCGCCACCACCTCCAGTACTTGGTGGTAATTTACCTCCTGGTCCACCAGCGGTGATGCCAATGGGTAGAGACGCATTATTAGGAGACATCAGAAAAGGAGCTAGATTAAAGAAAGCTGTCACTGTTGATAAATCAAAACCCATGCTTGAAAGTAAACCTGGAGCTATTTCAGCTGGTCCACTGCATAATTCATCTTCAAGCAGCAGTTCTGCCCCTCCAATTCCTACAGGTGCTCCACAATTAGGTGATATATTTGCCGGAGGAATTCCAAAACTAAAGCACAGGGACAACAGATCTTCAATTGTCCCTCCTTCAGCTCCAAAGATTCCCATGCAAACAAATCCAAGCAGTAGTCGAGATAATGGAATACCTAATATCCCCAACTCTAGGCCCGCAAAAAGAAATAGTTTAACTTCAGCACCTCCACAACCTCCTGCTCCTTCAATCCCACCACCATTGCCATTTTCTGCACCACCTATTCCAGGATCATTACCACAATCTATACCAAAGCTACCACCAAGTAGACCAAGAAAATCTTCACATATGAAATCCAGTTCCATAAATTCTACAAATTCATTTGAAGCACCAGCAGCACCATCTGCTCCTCCTCCTCCTCCTTTACCAGCAGGACCACCACCAATACCAACTGGATTTCCTCCAAGCTTGCCAAATGCATCTGTTCCACCGCCTCCACCACCTCCACCAGCATTATTTGCTCCTCCTGCTCCATCGGCTCCTCCACCACCACCGATGCCACCAATTTTGTCCGGTGGTCCATCAATACCTAAGCCTTCATCTTCTAATCAGTCGCAGAACTCTTTACCTGCTGCACCTCTAGGGCAACTTCCATTCTTGGCTGAAATAAATGCCAAAAGAGATAATAAAAATGTGGTAGATTCTATTCCACAATCCAAGACCCCAAGTCACTCAGCTCCCCTGGTACCTTCGTCATTCCCACCGCCTCCACCACTGATTCCTAGAAGCTTGCCACCATCTATTCCAACTATACCTCCACCAAAAGATTCTACGAGTCTTCCACCAGCTCCTCCACCAGCTCCCCCTCCACCACCAGCATTTGCACCATCAGCGCCTGCTCCTCCTCCTCCTGCACCTCCACCACCGTCTTTTGCTCCACCTGCTCCAGCAGCTCCTCCACCTCCACCCTCATTTGCTTCTACAGCCCCTTCAAAGAGTACTTCATCTCCAAGTCCTGCAGCTGGAGGTTTACCTTTCCTTGCGCAGATAAATGCTAAAAGAAGTGATAGTTTCGTTGTTGAAGGATCTAATGGTCATTCTACAAGTGGTTCTAGTACGAAGACTAATTCAGCACCACAAGTACCGCATATCCTTCCACCTAAAAGAGAAACTTCGTTTAATCCACCAATTCCATCAGCCCCACCACCTATTCCGGCAATTTCCAATTCATATTCCAGTCAACCACCACCTCCACCAAGTGTCTTATCTCTTCCACCGCCTCCTCCTCCAGCACCGCCTTCTTCGCTTCCACCGCCTCCAACTGCCACTGCTCCTCACATCCCAAGCTCTCCAGCACCACCGCCTCCCCCACCACCACCATCTTCTTCATCTTCTATAAAGAGGCCACCACCCCCACCAGCTCCTCCTTCAAGTTCCTCTTCAGGAAGTCGTGTTTCTAGTTTAGATCACCAGCAAAATGCAGGACAATCATTAAGAAAAATTTCAGCAAGTGCATATACTATATCATCCTCTCAACAGAGAAATGGAAATCAAAATGGTGAAACTAGTAAAAAGATCGTCATCGAAGACTCAAGATTCAAGTTTGTGAATGCTGATGCCTTACCTAACCCAAGAAAATTTGGTGAAAAAGGAAACGCCTCCAAGTTATATCCAAGTGGAAGAGGTTCATCTGTGCCGTTAGATTTAAGTGCTTTCAGCTAAAATGTTGGGATATTAAAATGTCGTTTATATTACTAAAAAATCTATATGTACAAAATATTACGTTTTAAAATAAGATTCTATTGAATCACTCTATTTCGTTAGGTGACCATACTTGTAGAATATTATCGTAGAAAGAACAGGTCGCTATGGTATTTGTTTTCTCTGCCCAATCACCCCCATAACACATACTAGAGTGGTCTCCTTTGAAGTATCTTGAAACTTCAAATCCATTATCAGCAAGGGGATTTATTACTCTAGCACCGTCATACATGCAACACGCTAGTACTCGCTCATCGCCTTCAATTGGACTTGGGATCAATCTCCATACACCACCACCCAAATTTTCTTGCTTGAGTATTTTCGGTATGTATCCAGGTATTAATGATGGATTTGATTTGTCCATCAAACGAAGATCAAATATCCTAAGGTTATCATCATATGAACCAGACCATAATTGATGAGGATTAGCATTGTTCCATGAGGTTCCTGATGGTAAAATAGATACTACACCAGCATCATGATGACGAGAAGTGGTAGACCAAATCTTATCCATTGTTCTCAAATCATGGGCTATTAATTTCGCATCATCACCTCCAGTGTATACAACATTTGATAATTCTCCTAGTTCACCAAAATTACCTGTCCAACATTCTAATTCATGGGTAGTAAATAAAGTCTCGTTGGTCTTTGAGTATAAATCCACGATTGACAGTTCACCAGAAGTTGAAGTTGCTAATAGGATGTTTGGACTAGTAATTGAAAATACTATGGAAGTAACCAAATACTCACGTTCAAATATTTGCATTATTTCTTTTATTTCTAATGACTTATTTTCTTGGTCGTACTTCCAAACCATTATTTCACCAGTTGAATGTGCTGAAATAAGCATTGAATCATCTTGAGGGTTGAATTTAATGTCTAAAATGGCACTAGCGGTAGGTTCTTTGGAAATAAATGATAATTGACCATCGTCATTTTTATATATATCAAGAGATCCATGACGACTGCCATCATCTTCCAACTTGTAAGTACCCAAAATTAAGATTGTATTATCATTAGGCACATATCTCAAACAACATGGTGGCAATTCAGTCTTTGTAACACCTAGTCTTTTACTAATCAAAGTCTCTGACATATCATACCAACTACTTCATAAAGACATAGAGCATAATATCTCTTCTTCTCGATATTATCACAGTGAATAATTTTATATACAGGCGATGGAAAATATCGAGCAATTGATTTTCTGGAGATATTATTGAAAATCGTATATAATTGAGTCAACCTTCTTCTTAAACTACTTTATAAGTGTATTAGCAATATGGGTCTTTGGGCCAGATGGAATGCATTGCCAGTGACAGCTAGGTACTATGTTGGATTTTCATTTTTGATTTTCGCTGGTATTGGTGAATATGTTACATCCAGAGTTGATCAAGAAGTTGACAATAGAAAGAAGATATTGAAAGAACTTCAACAAGAATCAGAACAACAAAAGTAGAATACGGAAGTGTGTTGAGTCAAGACAAATATATCACCCAATAATACTCAAATTGAAGTCAGGGACTTCTACTCAATTAGAGTTGAGATCAATTTTAGAACTTGTACATAGCGGAATACATAATTAAATAAATTTCATTACTTTAAAATACAATTTATTAAAATCAAACAAACATAACTATAATTATTAAATAGAGAATCTAGCAATACAAAAACATAAAAAGCAGACTATGATTTTCTTCTAAATTGGAAAGCGCTCTTGACAAAATTAAGTCAAGAATCACTTAAGTAAACCTTTCTTAACATATTCTTTTCTAATAGAAGAAATGAATTCTAAGAATTTGGCAGGGTTGGAATCAATACCTCTAGTGTAAACGAATCTTGAAGCTAAATGAGTAGCAAATAAGGCTCTTAAATAAGCTTCTGGAACTCTGGTTAAAACACTATCAATACCAATAACACTTAATAATAATGGTGGTAAGGAATCAAGTAAAACGGCATTTCTGAAATCAATATCATCATTCCATAATTCCTTGGAATTGGCTAATTCATCACCTAATCTATTAATACTAACTGATAAGTTATCTGATAATTCGGTGAAGGAAGTACCAGTTTCTTCGTGTAATTTCCATAAAGCTTCGAATTCATCTTCAGCGTTAGCAACAACGACTCTTTGGACTTCTTTGACGTAATCTTGGTAGAATTTTGGTTTTTCATGAGTGGTGGAATCAACACACATGTTAGCTAAGAAACCATGATCATCGAAAGCTAAAGCGGCCAATACTTCTAATGAAGAAGAAGTAACACCACCTTTATTAGTTGAAGCATCTTTGAAAATAACAATACCAGCCTTTTCTAAAATAAGTTTGGCAGATTGAGTGATGAATAAATTAGCACCTTCAACGAAATATGGAACCACTGATTTACCAGTCTTTTCATCAATTAATTCTTGAACATTATGAGTATCAATAGCAGCTGGTCTACCACCACATGGGACAAACAAATCAACACCATCTGGGAATTGTTCCTTTAATTTCAAATGGAAAGTATTTCTGAAAGCAACCCCATTGTCAACAATTTGACCGTGAGGTAATTTAATATCAGCATCATCGACCAATACAACATAACCATCTTTAGATAATTTAGATTTATCGAAATGATCAATCATCTTTCTAGCCTTGGCTAATCTGATTAATTCATCTTTATCAAGACCATTTGGATCAGCAATAACACCGGAACCATCAACGATACCAACATAGTTTTCACCTCTTGATAATAAGATTTCATTACTACCAAGATCACCATCTGGACCACCAGTTTGGAATTTTCTGATTTTAGAATCATCAAGACCTAATTTTTCATAAATCTTATTAACATAAGCTCTAACTGATAAAGTGGTCATACCATATTCATCATGAGGAATACCACCGATTTGAGGACTTTTACCAGTTAAGAAAGATCTCCACCATGGAGCACCTCTATCTCTAGCATGTAAAGTAGCCCAATCAGTATAACCAGCAGTACCTTCGTCAGGACCAAGGAATAAAATTTCTGGTTTATTATATAAATCAACATAAGAATCCTTAACACCTGGAATATGTTGTTTTAATAATAAATCAATTAAAGAATCAACATATTTTTCAAAACAAGCTTGAGGTCTTTCTTGAGCAGCACCATGATCTAATAAAATGACACCTTTAGAACCACCTTCTGGAATATCTTTATTTTTTCTTTGTTGAGTATTGGCTAAATTATAATTTTCATCGAATAAGTTTCTTAAATTAACATTATAGGCATCTTCATTTCTTGATCTAACAATTCTAATACCACCTCTGGCAATATCTCTGAATCTGATATGGAAACCTCTGAAATCATTACCGACGACAAAGAACATACCGAATGGCTTTTCAGGATATTCTGAACTTGGTAAGAAAGATGGATCTAATCTGAAAGAAAGAGCAACTTTAGTTGAAGTATAAAAGTTAGTCTTTAAGATAGATTTATTGAACACGTATAAAGCTCTTAAAACAATGGCATGATGTTCGTTTTGAGAACATTCACGATTTAATAAATGTTCAAATTCTTCTTCAGTACCAACTGGGGTAATTTGAGAAAGTCTTTGATAAGATAAAGTCTTTTCCATTGATGAACGGATATAATGAACATCAGCAAATTGACGATATAATTTTCTAACAATATCAGATCTTGAATCGAAAACTTCTTGAATATAATTTTGAGTATAAGTTTCAGCTCTTAATCTTCTCTTTAAACTTCCTAAAACTTCAGCATGTTGAATTGATTTTGAAGGATCTAATAAAGAAGCTAATTTATTATATTCTGGACCTAATCTGTTTAAGAAATGAGTTACAAAGATAACCCCTGATTGAGCATAAACCGATTCTTGTAAGGATAATTCACCTTTAACAAATCTATGATGGAAGAAATTATGAGGAATACAATATAATAATGAAGCTTCCTTAATAACTTGATAAATGGATAAATCAACTGGAGATTTCTTTTGTTTTGAAGTAACATACATGGAAATGATAGTAATACCATTAGCAAATTGTTCAATATATTTACGAGTAGTTTGTAATTTATAATAATTGGCTAAATCACTTAAAGCAGAACTATATCTTGCTGAAGTTTTTTGTCTGAAACCAATAACCACTCTATATTCTTCGGAATCTTCAATTGGGAAATGTCTAATGACTGGACCAGTAGTAGTAATAACATTTTTAACGATATCAGAATATAATTGTTTAGTATTTGGAGAAGCAATTTTTAAAAAGGTACTATCACCAATTTTATTTAAATCAGTTTCATCTTTTGAAATATTTTCAAATTCATATTGATTTTTATAAACGAAATAACAGTTAAACCATTGATTTGAGATTTTATTATTCTTTTGATAAACCCCAGCTAATATTGGATCAGTTTTATAACTTAAAGGAGCACTGAAGAATTCAGCTCTATAACTGGAGGAAAGATTTGATGGATCAATATATTTATCATCGATTCTTTCTTCAAATCTATTTCTTGATTTGGTTGAAGCAGATGAACTAATGGCATTTGAAGTTTCAAAGAAAACAGCATGATCTTCAGCTTCTCTTTTATATTGAATCAAAGCATCATCTTTAGTTTCATCAAATTCATTGGAAAAAGCTTGAACTTTACAAGAATATAAAGAATGAATATGATTGGCGATACCATTGGCGGATTCTCTGGCAAAGAAAACATCATCAATTCCTAATGATTCATAAAACCATCTTGCTTCTGATTCAATTAATGATTCTGGAATAAACCCAGTACTATCCAATATATCCAAGACTTGTTCATATTGATCTTTTTTACCTGAGAATGGACTATTGATATAACCTGGTTTAACACTGACGACAGAAGAAGAATTAGAAACAGTTCTTTCTAATGACAAGTTTTGAATTTCTGGTTCAGACATGATTGTTGATGTTATCGATTCGATTATGATGATTCAATTGAATAACACGACTGATCGATGAAAGAAGTAACCGTTGATTAAAAATTGTTATCTGGTTGGATTTCAATTTTATATATGAATTTTGCCGTGTCTTTTCTGAATTAGCAGCAGCAGCAGCTCAGCTCCTATTTCTAAAAAAAAAAACAATAACAAAAACAACAAAAAATATTTGTTAGCAGTAATTAGCAGCAAGAAGTTGGGAGTGGAGTTGTAGTAATGACACCAATTTTTAAAATAGTAGCAATACCAAAACCAAAAATATGTTATTCACGTTGTAGGATGAATTCAATTCAATTAGAAAAGTATCTACAAATTCCCAATTATGGAGACAAGAATAGTTATATTTATAGTAATTTACAAGTGTTTTAATTCAGGCGGAGAGGTTATGACGGAGTTTTACGTACCAGACAATTTTTGTTGAATTATGGAGAATTAATAAATTTAAACCGCCATACAGTTCATTCATGACACATATACATCGATTGCCTTTTGGGGAACATATTTACAATTTTTAATGGTTATTAACGATGTTAATATGATGACCCCAATAGTGTTATATATTTCAGTTTAAAATAGCTCAATTCGTCCCCTCCTCCACAACTCGTTGATGGGTTAAGTGCCGTGTGGTCATCGCTCGCACATCCGACTCGGTATTGTACGTGTTCACGTGCACGATCTCCCGTATCTCGTATGTTCTATGCAGAATTTATTTTAATGGTTCTGTTCTCACTGCAAATTTTAGCGAGCACTTTTCAATTGCCATCACTCCCTTCGATAGCCGTCATTCATTTGATTTTTGACATGACATTTAAATTTTTAGTAACAGAATCCACAACATCCACTAAATAAATCACCAAGTTTTTGAAACGGCCCCAAACTGACTCGGGATAATCTATCACTAATTACATTGAAATTTATAGTATCCAAATTTTCACCTATTCTTATTCCATCTTTATTATCTTGTTTTCATTTACGGTTTCGATTGATCAACTATCCCATCCGACTTACGGGTTCCTACCATCCAAAAAAGAAATTTAAAAATTGTCCATTTATTTTTTTCTTCGCAAAAGTTAGGACCAGACAAAAATAAACTTAAAAAAATAAGACAAAAATAAAAATGCCGCTAAGGTTTACTGTAAAACTGAAAATTTTTGCCTCATCTAACTACAAGACGCCAGCCAGTTTTTGACATTTTTTTTTTCAACATTTTCTATTAAACTGTGGGGCTTTGCCCTTGTGTTTACTCCTATTTATTCCATGTTGGCGTTTACCATGCTAAGGTCTGTTATGTTATGCTATTTAAAGAAGTATTTCTTATTCTCCATTTGTCCATTGCATTTGATCATTTGATCATCTGCCCCTCACCTCCTGGTTAAATTTTTTCACTAAATTTCTTTTTTTACGGTACTTTTTTTTTTCAATGACTTTTTCCCCAGATTTTCTTTCCCATTTTGTCTGAAGAAATTTTTCAGTTTTGTAATTTTTACCAAACCTGGGCTAACTTGTATATTTGTGTAAATAGTAGTTGTAAGAGAGGGTTTAAACCTTATTTTGAGTAAACGTCCTTCATTTCGTTCACTTTCAAAAAGTGGGGTGTGGGTGGGACTCAGTTGGGGTTTGTCAATAAAATGTCAGATCTTCATCCCCCTCCGTATTGGGCCGTCAACTTTCTGATCTAGACCTCAACAGTTTATCTACTTGGACTAATATGGATTTTGTTTATTTTTGCAATTTGAAAAAATATTCATTATTCTATTGCCTTGAGGTTTTTAAAATGGAGGTGTAGACTCCACAACCAAAGCTAAAACTGAAACTAAAACTAAAACTAAAACCACCACCACCACCGCTTGCATAAACGGAAAGGTTGCAACTTTTATTAAATTTCTTTTTTTTTTTGTTTTCGATTATTTTTTTTCTTCTTACCTCGCATAGTCTAGACCATTTTTATAATTCTATAGTTGCAAATGTATTTTTTTTTGGTTTAATACTAAGTAAATGCTACAATATAAATTTGTTTTAAAGAAATAGTCTATATCATTAAAGTATAAATAAATAAATAATTAAAAGAATTTTAAACACAAGAGACGAAGTGAAGAAATAAAAGAAAAAACCATAATAAAATAAAAAGAATAACGAAGTGAAGAAATTGTAGTTTTAGATTAATATCCCTTAGAACATTAAAATTAAGAAAGTAATTAAAACGACAACAAAAGTTGGTGTAGATTTAATAGATGCAGAACCTTCATAAGTGAAGATTGGAGAGTTTGAAGCACTAGCTTCAGAAGAAGTAGATGCAGATGTAAATGATGATGTTGGATCAGAATCGACAATAGAAGCAGCTAATGATGAAGATGAACCTTGAGCAACAGTAGATAAGGTGGTTGAGGAGAATGTTGATGAAGAAACATTAGATGGATCTTCATTGTCACTGTTGGAACTCTTTGAACCATTGTTGGTTGAAGAAGTTTCAGTGGCAATGGATGAAGTGGTAGCTGAAATAGTTGATTCAGAAACAGATGGATCTAAAGAAACTGATGGATCTGAGGATTCACTTGAAGTAGTTGAATCATTGTTAGAAACACCAGCAGCAGAAGTAGAACTGTAAGTAACAGTAGATAAAGTTGTTGCAGATGAATATTCATTGGAACTGGTAGTTGGATCAACTAATGAAGTTGTAACATCAATCAATGAAGATGATGAAGTAGAAGTTGAATCAGCAACTGAACTAGAACTTGAATCTTCAACTGAGCTTGAACTAGATGAAGCTTCAGAAGATGAAGAACCTGAGGTGCTAGCAACAACGACTGAAGTTGATTCAGTAGAACTGGAAGATTCAATGACTGAACTGGTAGAAGATTCAAAGATACTGTAAGTATCACCGAGGGAAGTTGAAAATGATAAAGATGATGAACTACTTGGGACAGTGGCAAGTAAGGTGGAAACTGGATCAGAACTGGTTAAGGTTGAAGATTCATATGATCTGGATGAGTTAGAATAGTATGAATACACAATAGCACTGTGTGACAGACTTGAACTAGAAGCGACATAAGCAGAAATTAAACTTGATTCAGATGAAGTAACACTAGAACTAGATTCAATTGATGAAGTAATAGCGGAACTAGATTCGATTGAAGAAGCAACAGATGAACTGGATTCAGACGAAGAAGTAACAACAGATGAACTGGATTCAGATGAAGAAGCAACAGTAGAACTAGATTCAGATGAAGAGGCAACAGTAGAACTAGACTCAGTTGAAGAAGCAACAGATGAACTGGATTCAGATGAAGAAGTAACAACAGATGAACTAGATTCAGATGAAGAGGCAACAGTAGAACTGGACTCAGTTGAAGAAGCAACAGATGAACTGGATTCAGATGAAGAAGTAACAACAGATGAACTAGATTCAGTTGAAGAACTTGAACTGATTACTTCGCTGGATGATAAGACTGAAGAATCACTTGAAGAAGCGGTGGAAGCAGTTTCGGGATAAACTGAATCAGAAGCAGCCAATGAATAACTCGATGAAGAAGCAGATGATGTTTGATCACTAGAAGATCTAGTGTTGGAGACTGTTGAAGTTGAAACAGCGAAAGAAGATTGACTTGAAGTAACATCTGATTCAACACTCGAAGTAGCTGAAGTGGATGAACTATTAGATGAAATACTTGGTTCGTCAGCATAACTAATAATGGAAGTAGTGGTGTATAAACTACCTTCTGAATTAGTAGTAACAATAACCACACCGACATCGGTTGGATCAACACCATCAATAGTAGTTGGAATATAAACAGTGTAAGTAGTGTATGGATCAAATGAAGAACTTGAAACAGATGAAGAACTTTCTGGATTCTCGACAACTACAGTATTATTACCATATACTGAATCACTTTCGGTTACAGTGGTAGTAAAAGAACCAGTCCAAGATGTAGTAATCATTGTGGTTGGATTAACTGGAGTTTGAACAATAACAGTGTTGTCACCGTAAACTGAGTCAGTGACAGTAGTACTGGTAGTATAAGTACCGGTCCATGGAGTAGTGATAGTAGTAGTTGGGTTAACTGGAGTTTGAACAATAACAGTGTTGTCACCATATACTGGATCAGTGACAGTAGTACTGGTAGTATAAGTACCGGTCCATGGAGTAGTGATAGTAGTAGTTGGGTTAACTGGAGTTTGAACAATAACAGTGTTGTCACCGTAAACTGAGTCAGTGACAGTAGTACTGGTAGTATAAGTACCGGTCCATGGAGTAGTGATAGTAGTAGTTGGATTAACTGGAGTTTGAACAATAACAGTATTGTCACCATAAACGGAATCAGTAACAGTAGTGGTGGTGATGAATGATCCATCCCATGATGTGGTGATAGTAGTAGTTGGATTAACTGGAGTTTGAACAATAACAGTGTTGTCACCATATACTGGATCAGTGACAGTAGTACTGGTAGTATAAGTACCGGTCCATGGAGTAGTGATAGTAGTAGTTGGGTTAACTGGAGTTTGAACAATAACAGTGTTGTCACCGTAAACTGAGTCAGTGACAGTAGTACTGGTAATATAAGTACCGGTCCATGGAGTAGTGATAGTAGTAGTTGGATTAACTGGAGTTTGAACAATAACAGTATTGTCACCATAAACGGAATCAGTAACAGTAGTGGTGGTGATGAATGATCCATCCCATGATGTGGTGATAGTAGTAGTTGGATTAACTGGAGTTTGAACAATAACAGTGTTGTCACCATAAACGGAATCAGTAACAGTAGTGGTGGTGGTGAATGATCCATCCCATGATGTGGTGATAGTAGTAGTTGGATTAACTGGAGTTTGAACAATAACAGTATTGTCACCATAAACGGAATCAGTGACAGTAGTACTGGTAGTATAAGTACCGGTCCATGGAGTAGTGATAGTAGTAGTTGGGTTAACTGGAGTTTGAACAATAACAGTATTGTCACCATAAACTGAGTCAGTAACAGTAGTGGTGGTGGTGAATGATCCATCCCATGATGTGGTGATAGTAGTAGTTGGATTAACTGGAGTTTGAACAATAACAGTGTTGTCACCGTAAACTGAGTCAGTGACAGTAGTACTGGTAATATAAGTACCGGTCCATGGAGTAGTGATAGTAGTAGTTGGGTTAACTGGAGTTTGAACAATAACAGTGTTGTCACCGTAAACTGAGTCAGTGACAGTAGTACTGGTAGTATAAGTACCGGTCCATGGAGTAGTGATAGTAGTAGTTGGGTTAACTGGAGTTTGAACAATAACAGTATTGTCACCATAAACTGAGTCAGTAACAGTAGTGGTGGTGGTGAATGATCCATCCCATGATGTGGTGATAGTAGTAGTTGGATTAACTGGAGTTTGAACAATAACAGTGTTGTCACCGTAAACTGAGTCAGTGACAGTAGTACTGGTAGTATAAGTACCGGTCCATGGAGTAGTGATAGTAGTAGTTGGATTAACTGGAGTTTGAACAATAACAGTGTTGTCACCATAAACGGAATCAGTAACAGTAGTGGTGGTGGTGAATGATCCATCCCATGATGTGGTGATAGTAGTAGTTGGATTAACTGGAGTTTGAACAATAACAGTGTTGTCACCGTAAACTGAGTCAGTGACAGTAGTACTGGTAGTATAAGTACCGGTCCATGGAGTAGTGATAGTAGTAGTTGGGTTAACTGGAGTTTGAACAATAACAGTGTTGTCACCGTAAACTGAGTCAGTGACAGTAGTACTGGTAGTATAAGTACCGGTCCATGGAGTAGTGATAGTAGTAGTTGGGTTAACTGGAGTTTGAACAATAACAGTGTTGTCACCATAAACGGAATCAGTAACAGTAGTGGTGGTGGTGAATGATCCATCCCATGATGTGGTGATAGTAGTAGTTGGATTAACTGGAGTTTGAACAATAACAGTGTTGTCACCATAAACGGAATCAGTAACAGTAGTGGTGGTGGTGAATGATCCATCCCATGATGTGGTGATAGTAGTAGTTGGATTAACTGGAGTTTGAACAATAACAGTGTTGTCACCATATACTGGATCAGTGACAGTAGTACTGGTAGTATAAGTACCGGTCCATGGAGTAGTGATAGTAGTAGTTGGGTTAACTGGAGTTTGAACAATAACAGTGTTGTCACCGTAAACTGAGTCAGTGACAGTAGTACTGGTAGTATAAGTACCGGTCCATGGAGTAGTGATAGTAGTAGTTGGATTAACTGGAGTTTGAACAATAACAGTGTTGTCACCATAAACGGAATCAGTAACAGTAGTGGTGGTGGTGAATGATCCATCCCATGATGTGGTGATAGTAGTAGTTGGATTAACTGGAGTTTGAACAATAACAGTGTTGTCACCGTAAACTGAGTCAGTGACAGTAGTACTGGTAGTATAAGTACCGGTCCATGGAGTAGTGATAGTAGTAGTTGGGTTAACTGGAGTTTGAACAATAACAGTGTTGTCACCGTAAACTGAGTCAGTGACAGTAGTACTGGTAGTATAAGTACCGGTCCATGGAGTAGTGATAGTAGTAGTTGGGTTAACTGGAGTTTGAACAATAACAGTGTTGTCACCATAAACGGAATCAGTAACAGTAGTGGTGGTGGTGAATGATCCATCCCATGATGTGGTGATAGTAGTAGTTGGATTAACTGGAGTTTGAACAATAACAGTGTTGTCACCATAAACTGAGTCAGTAACAGTAGTGGTGGTGGTGAATGATCCATCCCATGATGTGGTGATAGTAGTAGTTGGGTTAACTGGAGTTTGAACAATAACAGTATTGTCACCATAAACGGAATCAGTAACAGTAGTGGTGGTGATGAATGATCCATCCCATGATGTGGTGATAGTAGTAGTTGGATTAACTGGAGTTTGAACAATAACAGTGTTGTCACCATAAACGGAATCAGTAACAGTAGTGGTGGTGGTGAATGATCCATCCCATGATGTGGTGATAGTAGTAGTTGGATTAACTGGAGTTTGAACAATAACAGTGTTGTCACCGTAAACTGAGTCAGTGACAGTAGTACTGGTAGTATAAGTACCGGTCCATGGAGTAGTGATAGTAGTAGTTGGATTAACTGGAGTTTGAACAATAACAGTGTTGTCACCGTAAACTGAGTCAGTGACAGTAGTACTGGTAGTATAAGTACCGGTCCATGGAGTAGTGATAGTAGTAGTTGGGTTAACTGGAGTTTGAACAATAACAGTGTTGTCACCATAAACGGAATCAGTAATAGTAGTGGTGGTGGTGAATGATCCATCCCATGATGTGGTGATAGTAGTAGTTGGGTTAACTGGAGTTTGAACAATAACAGTATTGTCACCATAAACGGAATCAGTAACAGTAGTGGTGGTGATGAATGATCCATCCCATGATGTGGTGATAGTAGTAGTTGGGTTAACTGGAGTTTGAACAATAACAGTATTGTCACCATAAACGGAATCAGTAACAGTAGTGGTGGTGATGAATGATCCATCCCATGATGTGGTGATAGTAGTAGTTGGATTAACTGGAGTTTGAACAATAACAGTGTTGTCACCGTAAACTGGATCAGTAACAGTAGTGGTGGTAGTATAAGTACCGGTCCATGGAGTAGTGATAGTAGTAGTTGGATTAACTGGAGTTTCAATGAGAACAATATCAATTTGATTTGGACCGTTGTAAATAGTCACTGTTTCATCAAATGTACCAGTCCATTGTGTGGTTTCGGTAGTAGTTGGGTTTGGTGGCATAAAAACAACAACACTATCAGTCAGAAAAGGACCATTTGTTATTGTGGTTGTTGATACCGCGGTGACACTTCCAAATTCGGTAGTCGTAATGGTCGGATTAAAAGGAATTTCTACAATGACTGTAGCAGTATTTCCTTCAGCAGCAGAAATAGTAGAAGTAGCTAATTCGGATCCAGTAGTGATAGTTGTAGTTATAGTTGGAATTGGAACTTGAACTTCAATGGTTATAGTATTACCAGCAGCAGTATTAAAAGGTAAAGTGGTAACTTGAGTAGTGGCACCAGCGTAAGTTGAAGTGGTGATAATAACCACATTACCGTTACCACTTACACCAGAATCTTCATAATTACCCCAAGAGATCGTGAGACCATTATTAGTAGAAGATCTGGATCCGACACAAGTGTAGGTATTTGTATAGGTTGCATCAACATCACCACCAGTTGGATTAAGTAAAGCATCAATATAAGGTCTGTAGCCTGCAGGAATATTTTTATAAGTAACAGTTAAACTACTAGTACTACAAGAAGTAGTAAATGATGGCATAGCATCAGCAGTTTCTGGCAAGTACCAAGCATTAAATGAATTACTCATGTAATTATGAAAGGAAGTACAATCAATTGCAGCGTTAGAAACTTCAATACCTAACGTACCTGAAGTATAACCAGTGGAACATTCACCAGCTTCAACAAAATGTAATTGTCTGCTAATTGAAGGAACAAGTCTATTTAAGAAAACAATGTCACTTGCAGAATATTGTGGAATTGGAGGACCAGCATCAAAAGTAGCGGTTGTATCAAGGTAGTTTTCACCATCCAAAAATGAGACAGTATTAACACCACTGGTGAAACATTGTGAATCTTGTAAATCGGATGCATAAGCTGAACCACCGACATTAAAAGTAAATGGAAAAGAAATTGTTCCAGTAGCATAAGTACTGGAAACAACATTGCTAGCTACAGTACATTGCAATTCTGAATAAGAAAGAATAATGTCACCTTCATTAAAGGTACAGGTAGCAAAGACTTCAGAGTTAACTTGAAGACTAATAGTGGTATCATCAGTAGTAAATTTGAATACACAAGGCATTGTTAAGGTGAAAGTATCACCGGCATTTACTAAGGAACCATCAATGATCCAAGACATAGTTGCGTCCCAACTTGGGTTTAAAGGATATGTTGCAGTATAATCGGCAGCATTTTCATATGTAAGTGAATTGAACTCAGTAAAAATACCAGACACCTGAGCACTTGAAGATAATTTAGCTAAAGCTAAGACAAATATAAATAGTATAAACATTGTTAGTGTTGTATGAAATTGATATGCAGATAATTAAACTAGAAAAGAATTTTATAAAAATTCATAAGCTAAGTGGGTACTTCGAATTATTTATATAAAATTAAAGGACTATACCTAGAAAGGTACCTTTTTGCCAATTGCAAAAGGTAATTCAAAAAAAAATTTCATCTAATTTATCACGATAATTATAAGTTTAATTAGGTTGAAAATATTACCAAATTAGCTTTGAAACAGGCAATCACTGCAAAATTTGTGATCCTAAACCAAAATATTTTTTTTGCTGCACTAATAAAACTTTTCACTTAACAAAATTTATGTAATGTATCAGCGCGGTCTCTATCCTCGCGATCTAATTACGTTCATGATCTGCGCGATGCTGCATGGATTGGCAAAATGGTAACTTTTCATTCTGGGGATGCAGTGAAAAATTAATCATCACTTTTCTCCTTCAACCACTAATTAAAGAGATCTACACATTAACTAACTAGAAAATATAAAGTAATTTTTAGTAACTATTTCCTCCGTGAATTACCAGGGGGGAATCGGAGGATAGTATTCGTTGTAATAATGTAGGCTGCTAACATTATACTTATTATCATGCAATCCATGTGAATAAAGTATCAACCGCAGCATCAAACATCATACAGTTATGGATGCAACAATATCTCCGATCATACGAAGTGTCAGAATAAAATTATTCTTAACTAAGATAAAAGATAGATTTATTGATTGGTAGACTTTTTAGTAATTAAAAGAAGCCAAAGGTTACTTCTCGATTAGGGCGGCGTAGAATTAGCGACTGCAAACTTGATGCCACAAAATAAATTATTTTTTGAAAATGAAAAGCTTTACGCTCTTTGGGTCGTATTTGTGAAACTTAAAACGCAAGAGAATTGGATCAAATAGGAAATTGACATACATAAGAGTGAAAAATAATATGCACCAACCTCCCCGAGTAGGTTTAGTATTGTAGACGAAGCTTCGTTTGCAAGAGATTTATAGTGGTTAAAATTGGTTTACTGTACTGAAAAATTCGCCTGGCCCCATCTAATGCAGACATGTTCTACTTCTATGCACTTGTTTATTAATGGTCATAGATAAGGAGATTAGAAACATTACTAATTTGACAAAATAAATAACCTTGCTAGGCCATATGTCAGAAAACAAAAGAAATAAATCAGACCATTTAGTCAACCGTTATTTTACTTTCGATGTCATCTTGACTTGAAACGAGCCGGTAGAGTAGCTAGCGAAAAAAATAACGTTTAAAAGGAAAGGTATCCATAACTATTATGAAATTGGGAGCCATATATATATTGGGCTTGCATTTACGCCCCACCGTAAAATCCGTACTCACAAAAAAAATTGAGTATATGTGCCTAACTTTTTATGTTAACAGATTACGCTATGACCCCACTTTTAACTAATTGAGGGTGAGGGGTTACTGATTTTAGCTCTCTCTTGTTAATAGTGCGACAGATTATACTGTTTATAATTATTCACTAAAAGTTAGTAGAGGTTAATTATATTTTCTAATTAGACTTAGTTATAGGCTGTTGCAGGACCAAACAATCTCTTAAAAAGAAGACAAATCCTAACCAAGCAAAGTCGTGGTTATGAAAATGAAAAGGAAATCAGAACAATGGTCGGCCCCTTAACTGTTACTAGAAACCTGAATAGAAGTTTCTAGGAATCGTAACCTCTACTCCTTGTTGTACCCTTTGTTGATGAAAAAAAGGTTCAGACTCCTGTTTCTGATTTTGGCGAGCGAAAGAGAAAGATGGAAAAGAAAAAATTTTCTCATTTACGATTTTGTGTACCTTCACTACGAGAGAACAGTAAAAGAGAATGCTTTTACGTATTTTCTTATATGCAAGCTAGCGATGGATTCTGGTCATGGAACGAACTTTTTAGATTCATATATATATATATATTTCAAAATACCAATTACAGAGAAGGCACTATAAACATAATTTCAATTCAAGGCTTTTTGCTATGGTTACGATACTATAATTCAAAAATTTTAAAGTTATTTTTGAATCTTATTTAAGCTTTTTAGTCAGATTAATTTTTTAAGGCGATGGTTAGCTTGTTTGACCTTTCATCTCTGCATGCGAAACAAACGTTAATTCTCATAATCATTTTTTTTGATTCAGTTAAGAACCTTACTTTCTGTTTGGTTTATTTAGTCTATATTCATATGCTTATCTCCAGTTCAAATTACAAAGTACTTTAGCTTGCTTCGCGTTTTGGAACTACTTTACGCTCTCCATACCGTAGAAGGACAGATTCGAAGTTTACTTGCATTTATTATGTCAATCAGTAGCACGAATATGCATGGAAACGCTAAGCAATGTACTTTCACGCTCGCCGATCCTTTTTGTGGTCATCCTAGGCTAAATTGAAAAGGAGGCATTTGGGCATATTTCCCTAATTGTTTCGGTTTCTCACTTTTTAGCCTAAATTATATTCTGATGCAATGGCTGTAGGCGGTTAACCTAGGTTATTCAAACTTTACGTAGAGCAAAAGCCTTCATGTTCGGATATGCAAATGTTTGCATCACATAATTTCATTGTAGGGCTCTTCCCGAAGGTTTTCCTTAAAGTCTCTTGCATGAAAGCTCATTTGTAGTAATAGTAGTAGTCATCTATTTATAAAACTATTAATAACTATAATTACTACAGTACACATTATCATTATGATTATTAGCAATAAGTCGTGATCACTTTTCATGCAGTAACTATTATTATAATAAAAAGTCTAATTATTGACAATCATATCAAATTAAACCATTATATTTGCCTAATGCTTGCATATGAGATCTCTCCCGGGCCAGGTTTTCCTAGTTATACCTTTTCAAACCTAATTTCATCTTTACAGAAACACATCTTTTTACAATTCTAGTCAATATCAGACCATTTTGAGTAATATGGATTTAACTTTGTTTGACCTTCTTGTACAATTATACTTTCTTAACCGTTATCCTACAGATGAAATATTCATAGCTCATATAATTACAGCAAGAAATTTCTAATTACCAAAATAAATTTAATTAACTCGTCAACCAACCAAATTACTATGATGAGATGAAAATAAATTATTTTATTAGCTTTAGCGAATAAATTTAATTTTAACGATTAGAATTGTTTTCTGTCACTTCAAATCAATATCCCGGCTAAATCCCCGTGTTAAACAGTTAAAAAATGTTACATCCTTGGGTATTTGAATAGAAATTTATTTGACAAATGGAAATGTGAACTTGTTTTAGCGAATAGAATTTTACTAGCGAACAAAACAGTTCTGTTCCGGTTAAGGATAAAAAGTCCCGGTAATTTCAAAAGATTCACTATGTAGACTCCTTTAAGTTAAATTGGTAAAAAATAATAATAATATTCTAATCTGGAAGCTCAATGGAAACGCAGAGATCTAATAAAAGAGTTTGGGGTATGCATTGATTTGTTTCCTTAAAGGAATATAATTGGCTGAAAGAGAAAAGATCTACCAATAAACTTAGGCTAGAATCAAATACATGCATCCCCTTGAAAACAACCAAATTGACTCCGATAAATAGCCAATAAAAGTATCAATAACAATCGACTCTTATTAAAAAATATTTATATTAAATTGATTATGTTACAATATAAGTTTATGTACCACAAACCCATGCATATCACACCAAATTAGTAATACTCTCTAAATAGCATTGAACATTTAGCCTACGATTGAAACGAGATGTAGGATACCAGCCTAAGGCGGAGTACAGCTTCCAAACTGTTCACGAATAGCCATATTAGTTAATTAATAAATTCAAACCCACATTCATAAGCAAAAGAAATTATTATTTAATTGATATTTTAAACCAAATTGGTAGTGATACTGGTTGCATCTGCAGTCAAACCAACGACAATCCAATAAGATTGGTTAGACGTTATGTAGTATACATAACAACAAATGTAACCATTGAGCATTAATCATAATAACCTATTCACTAGCACGATTAGCAACCAATTGATATTGTTAAATTAAACCAAATTGGTATTGACTCCGATTATATCTGCAGTTCTACCAACAATGATCGAATAGGATTAATAAAGATTCACTATTATGTATTCCAAACAAAATCGGGATGAATGTAACCAGGAGGTATTACTCGAATTCACCCCCTTGACAACACGATTATTCTTGAATTGATATTTTTATCTTTAACAAATTGGGAATGAAAATGATTGCATCTGCAGTTCTACCGACCATGGTGAAACGTTCCTAAAATAGTTTCACCATTATTTATTTCACAAAATAGGAGTATAAATGTATCAGATGATTATTAGTCATATCCACGAACTTCATAACCATGTAGTTCATATTTTTAAGGCAATCCAAATTGGTTATGAGATTGGATTGAATGCATCTGCAGCGGGTTTACCAACCATGATCAAACAACATTGATACAGATTCCCCATTATGGATTCTCCTAATTGCCTCAGCCAAAATTCTGGAAATATCCAAAACTTCAAAATTATCGGGACCTATAATCGATACATGTTCCAGTTGTGGGACAGAATTAGTTGTAATAACTTTGTCAATATCAGATTTTAAAACTCTATTAATTGCATCCCCACTGAAAACCGCATGTGTGACCAAAGCATAAACATATTTTGCTCCTTGATCCTTTAATAATTTAGCTGCTCTTGTAATAGTGTAGGAAGTATCCACTAAGTCATCAATTAAAACACATACTTTATCTTTAACATCTCCAACCAACATTGTTGTAGCCACCATATTAGTGGTGTTCATGCTAATAGAGTTCAAGAGATTGACTGAACTAGAAGAACTTGAAGCTGCCGTTGAAGGAGGATTCTTGGCGACTTTAGCTCTTCTCTCTTTATGAATTAAAGCGAATGAACAACCTAAAGAATCCGCGATTGAAGTTGCTCTTTTAGCACCACCACTATCAGGAGAAACAATGACACAATCTTGATAGTTTGGAATATAATCTTTGATATAATGCTTTAATAATGGTCTTGAATATAAATTATCAACTGGTATGTTGAAGAAACCTTGAAATTGAGGATCATGTAAATCCATAGTTATTAATCTATCAGCACCAGCCGTTGTCAACAAATTAGCAATTAATGTACCATTTTGAGCAACCCATTGCTTATATCCATTATCACTCTTACTAGAAACATCAACAGAAGTGATATTTGTGGAGGCTGAATTAGTCACCAACGATTTTGCAGTATAAGGTACTGGATGTCTTAAACTATTGTGAGTTGCCTTTTCTAATAATCCTTCACGAGATGAATTAGCACCTGTAGCGAATGAATCATTGAAGTAGCTACTACCTCTTGATAATGGTCTTGGGGTGCTTGGTGCACTTTCAAATGTATACAGCTCCTTTTTGGTTGATATAGAGGGAGCACCAGTTAAATTAGCAGCGTGGGGTGCGTCTGGTTGACGAGAATAAGGGAATAATGGTAACACAGCTGTAACTCTGGTTGCACTAGCAATCTTACAAGCAGATATCATGATCAATAATTCAATAAAGTTATCATTAACTTCACCGCAACCAGATTGAACAATGTACACATCTTTCTCTCTGACTGAATCTATGACTTCGATACTCGTTTCTCCATTAGAAAACTTCTTTGAAGAGACCCTTCCTTGATCTATAGTTAAGTTTCTGCAAATTTGTTTAGTAAGATGAGGGTGTGAAGAACCACCTAAAACGATCAAATCTCTCATTGTGCTTCAATTGACTTGTTGATCTATATGTATGAGCCTTTGAATCTCTGAATTGAATGATTGAATTATGGTTTAAATCGCATCGCTGAATTTTTTAATACCAAAAAAAAAATGAACTTTTTACACGTTTTTTTACTATAGAAAAATTTTGTTAGACACGATTGGTGGAGTAATAGGCGATTACAAGTGGTTAGATAAAGCATGTTTATCGATAATATACAATAGAATATGGTAATCTCTATAACGTAATATATAGTATAATTAAAAACGAACTTCATAAGATCCAGCTTGAGTACAGTATTTAACCCATTTGACCGTTTTATAATTTGCTTTCTCTTGAACTTTTAAGAATTTGACAGTTAAGCCTGAACTTGAAAACATTTCAATCTTAAAGTCAAGGGTTATTGGTGGCTTGACCCAATTGAATAAAGATGAAGATGAGCTTGGTAATTCTATTTCAGCTGTTAAGATATGTTCTTGTTCTCCAAAATATTTATTGAATTTCCAGATTATCAAATTATCTTCAAGACTTAACTTTGATTTTCCAGAAGAATTGGTAATATTCGAATTTATAACTCCACTTGGCACTGGGATCTTCAATACTAAATTGGTTGCTGGTAACTTTGATGAATATAATGATTTAACTCTGATTTTATAGTTTAATTTCAGATTTCCAATCTCTGTTATTTGAGGATACACTTGAAAAGGTAAGTTTATATTCAGACGACAGTGATAATTCATCAATTGGAATTCTCCATCCGGTGGTATAAAGTGAATGGATCTATCTTGATCGAATTTAGTTAATTCCACACATTGATGAAATTTACTATCTTCTAAAATAACACTATTACCATTGCTATCTTCATCGTATTTATCTTCATTAAAGGAATTCAATAATATACTGTTATCACCAAATCCGAATTTACAATTTGGCATACCTGTTAAATGAGTTTTCATATTGATTGTACCATCGATGTATGCCCTCAAGATTTGACCATCGGTGTTCATCAATATATTTAACTTCTCATCAACATTTAGGAATATTTCATTTCTTCTATATTTAATAGTGTCATCTCTCCAAGTCACTTTCAGTCTAGTTGAAACAGTAGGAATACTCAATGCTGATGATTTTCTTTTTGTAAGTGATGGTAATTTTAAATTGAATGTACTTTCAGGACTTGTGGTCACATTTTGTTTTAAATTGGCTAGATCTAAACTAGTTGGATATCCGAATTCAATCACTTCATCTAACAATTCATTGACCGTTACGAAATTATTGATTAATGCCTCGTCATTAAGCTTAAATGATGAATTTCCAAATAAGACCACTTTCAATAAACTTTCAAGTTTATAAAGAAATTCAAACACAACAGAACAATCTTGATTGGATCTAGTAACAGCACAAATCCACAATTTATTAGATTTGATATAAATGAACGAAGTTGAACCCAATGTCAACACTGGTGATTTGTTATAATTATTCGAAGTTGATGCTGATGATTTCGATTGGGAGTTGGTTAACGTAATAACTTGAATACGGAACACATCGGAAATATTCCTTTTCACTCCTTCTTTGTACAACTTCGACACTAGTATGTCTCCCTTGTTATCATATATGAACAATGCTGAGATCATGGTGTCTAACTCAATTGATAAACAACAATGGTTAGTCCGGCCCTTTATTTCCAACGATCAAAAAAAAAAAAGTATCGCGAAATTTTATGACGTGGATTGTTAAGAGATACTAAATATAGGTGTAATTTCATGTATAGACTAAATTGCGAAATAAGTACCCTATATAAAAGCTAATTTTGTAGGCCTTTTAATTCAATGGCTGTCTTTTTATTATGCTGGTTTTTTCTACGATGATTTGCTCTTGAAGCTTTATTTTGTTCATTTCTAGCATTCGTACGTTTGGAAGGAGTTGCATTACCAGGTTCTGGTGTTTGATTATTCTGTTGATTATTATTGTTATCATTATTGATATTGACCTTGATATTAGCGACTGGTTTATTTGGATTCTCAAAGAAGAATATATCATCCAAAATCTTGAATCGATGTGGAGATCTTAATAATACTTTATACCAACCTTCAATTTGTTCATCTGTCCATTTTGTACGTGTTTTAAGCTCTTGTCTCTCAGGTTTCCCTCTAGTTGCTTTATTGAACAATTGTTCTCCTTTTGCTTTAAGCTTACCGAATAAGAACAATTCATTACCATCAACTTTCAGTTGAGGTGCTGGAGTATTAGACCTGGATTCAATTCCAGTAGTGATCTCTTGATCATCATAAGTATCATCTGGTTCATCTTCATCTTCATCATACAACAATTTCAAAGAAGATATTAATAAATTATTCTTATCTAATTTCACCAGCTTACGTTGTTTCTTACCTACAATAACAGTCGTATCTGAAAAATCGAGTTTTGAAATTTTATCATCATCATATTTTGAACGATGAGTAATCGTATCAGTCGAAGGTTGCTTAGATGGTTTCTTTTTGATTGGTTCCTCTTTTTTATCAATAATCGATGGATCTTCCAACAATAAATTAGTCAATGCTTCCACATTCTGATCATGATCGATTAATAATGACTTAGCTCTTACTTGACTTAACTTTGGGAATAAATCAATAAGTGTGAAAATATCATCTTCATTGACATCAACATCAGCATTTGGATCTTCACTCTTGAACCTAATATTATTTAATAAGGGTAACTTTTGAGATAAGTTTGGGAAATAGTCTAAAATTTGATCGGAGATTAATATGGAACCAAACAATGGATTATTCTTTAAACTCTGTATGGAATTGATGGATAATTGATCTTTAACTAAAGTTGTTAATTGATTTATATTGATTGATAATATCGAAATAATCATTAAATCCTTCGATATATCTTTATAAATAGTTGAGAATAAATTTTCCAATAGCTTAATCCAATAAGAATTAACAAATGATGCAGTGAATGAATTGACATTATTTTTAGGTTTCACTCTTGATGACTTTATACCTTCAGTACTATCAATACTGAACTTTGTAACTTTAGTTAATTGAGGATCTAATAACATGATGAAAATTTCTTGATCAAGGTTTGAAAATTCATTATTTAAAATTTTAAAATGAAGATAATTTTGTAACTTTGAAATGATTGAATCATAATTTAATAAAGTTTTAACAACAGATCCATTGTTCTTGATGTATATCGATACGAAATTCCAAATCATTTCTCCATCATCATCTTTATCTTCAATAAATCTTAATATTCCAAATGACTTTAAAAATTGAAATATATAAGTTCTTAAAATTGAAGTATTTGTCTTAATATCAGGGTTAATAGCACCAAGGGAAAAGATTCGTGATGACTCTAATGAAGTCTCATGAAGATATACTTTCAAAAACCTAATCAATTGTTGAAATGATTTAAAGGTTAATATCTTAACATCATTCTGTAAAAGGTACTTGATTAACTTAATATATGCTTCCAAAAGATGAACCCAAATCACAGGATCTTTATCAATGAGCGACGATCGTAACTTGAACGGTGGATAATGTGGTATAGGTATGTATACCTGACTATTGATTGGCAGCTCCATTGAAGTATAACTGATCTAGTCTAATGATATAACTAAACTAAGCGTATAATTATGATTCATAATACAATTTAGTTTGTGCTACCAAAGAAAGAGATTTTTTTTCATTTTCCTGCACATTGCTTTTTACACAATCAGAGTTACAACTTGATATTTATATCTATTATAATATTCCCATCGTTATGCATTTATAATATATAATAGTAATAATAAAAACAATCAAAGTAAAAGATAAAACTAGAAATTAAAAAACTATCAAACATTAAAATGAGTTAAAGTTACACTGTGTCTATTTAAGACTCTCTTTCAAGTAATCCATCATTACTTGTACTTTGAAGCAATTGATCATTACTTGAACTTTGGAATAAGTGACCATCACTCTTACCTTGCTTTAATTCAATATCTTCAATGAATTCTTGATTTACTTTGGAAATGTCAACGTTATAATGAACGTGATCGACATAAGTATTACCTCTTGAATCAGTATGACTGATTTTATTAATTTCAGAGTAATCAGGACATAATTCAGGACCTTTTCTACCAATAACATACCATGGTAAATTAAAGATTTCTTCCATTGATTCCAAAGATCTACCAGCAACTTCTGGAAGGAAAAACCAACACCAAAATAATCCAATAACCATTATACCAACAAAGAAATAAAATACTCCATAATTAGTCATAGCAAGAATCATAACTGGTAAAGCTTTCGAATTACCATATTGATTAGCAAAATGTAAGACCATAACTAAAGATTGAGCGAAAGATCTGATTTTTAAGGGGAATAATTCTGAACCTAATAAATATTGAATATTATTCCAACCAAAAGTCCAACCAGTACCAGAAAGGAAAATAGCAGCAAGAGCACCTTTAGCAGCAGCCTTTTGAGATGAAGTTAAAACAGCTGTTGCATTTGAAGCTTCTGGAACAATGGTCATGAAAATTGCAAAATATAAAATAGTGAATAATTGTAAAGTAAGACCAATATAAAGAGCTTTTCTTCTACCGAGGAAATCAATAAAGAAGAAAGCTGAAATATAAGCTGAAACGAATTTGACAACTCCTAAAATAGCCGACATTTTTAATTGATCAGTTCCAACCACACCTGCAAAACTAAATAATTGAGATGCATAAATAGTAACAGCATTAGCACCAGACCATTGACCTAAGATTTGAGCCATGGCACAAAGAACAAAGAATCTATATCTTAAAGATTTAACCATGATAATATCTTTCAATTTACGGAAAACATTATAACCATGAGTAGCTTCTCTTTCAGCTAAGACTTGTTCATTAATATCACTAATTTCAGCCACAATATAAGGATGATCAGGAGGTAAATGTCTTAATTTTGATAATTTTTCCACTGCTTCCTCAGCTCTATTAACTTTTAATAACCATCTTGGAGATTCAATAAGAAATAAAAAGGAAAGAATAAATATTAAACCAGCTAATATAATCTTTAAACTTATAGTGATTCTCCATTGTCTATCTGAATCATTTGGAACAGTAAGAACACAACCATAATTAACAAAATAACCCAACATAATACCGAAATAAACGGCACCGGAAAAGATTGAAACACAAAGACCTCTAATTCTACTTGGAGCAATTTCTGACATACTTGGACCAATAGTTGTAGTTTGACCGATAGCTAACCCTTCAAGTAATCTACCAGCATATAATTGACCCACTGAAGATGAAGAGATTTGAATAGCAGCAGCCACAACCCATAAAATACAAACTGCTTGTAAAGCTCTAACTCTACCTAATTTATCAACGGTATACATAGCAAGAATACTTCCCCCGATAGAACCTAATTGAACCATAGAAGTGATATTTGATTTTAAATCAGCAAGTTGATTTGGAGTTTTTGTAGGATCATTAAGACCAAACCTAGTTTGAAATGAAGGTAAACTAATATTTCCTGAAATATTACCTTCATCGAACCCTCTTGCAGCACCACATAACCCATAAACAAATACGGCTAAATAAAGTGTCATATTATAAATTTCAGGAGGAGAATCATCATGACCAATTTGCCATTTAAATTTCTTCTTTTGTTGAGGTTGATGATAATTTTCTTGAATTTGAACAACCTTTTCTGGATCAGATACAATCGATTGATTATCCTTTTCCTTTTCTTTCTTTTCTAACATATTGATCGGTTACCGTTGATTAGATTTATCTGATAAGGGGGGAGTTTTTTAACCAAGAAAAAATAAAAAAAATGTTAGCGAAACAGCAAATGTGAATATGTCAAAAAAAAGGGTAGATGATATTCCTTTTGATAATAAGATAAGAAAAAAATAAAACAAGAATTGTATAAACCAAATCAAGAAAAATTTTAATTGGAAACTATAATTATATTTATATATGAAAAAATGATATAGAGATGGGATAAGATTTGAGATAAAAAGTTACTGCAAAAGATACTAACAACTACGTTTGTCATAAAACCACTTTTTAAAATCGTCATTAATGAATGTGGGGAACAAGGGAAAAGGACCGGTATAACTACAGTTTTTGAGACATAAAACTAACCTACCTCTGTCTATAATATACTATACTATGCTATACTATAGTGGATTATTCTTTCATTAGGGTTTAATTCCATTCCATGTTGTTTCTTTTTTTTTTTTTATGGCAACAGTTCCACAAACTCATTCACTCCGGGGACAAATACAAAATAAATTTTTTAACTGTAATAGGGAACAATTCAAAAGTGGGGGAAACTTTATTTGTTAATAGAGGCAAGAAAAAATTTGTTGAACTATTTTTTTTAAGCTTTTTGGAGTAAGATTTGAAAGGTTTGATATTTGAAGTGGAATGTGTTAAGCATGAAGGCGGAGAGTCAAGTCAAGTACATTGTCTGGTATTACACAGTTAATTGTAGTTGATTTCTGAGTTGTGGATAAACTACGGGCTTCTCCATCGGTTTTTCTTTTGCATATTCTGTTATACTTCCCCTAGTTATTGTAATAATTATAGTTTCAAATTTAGGTTGGGGTTAATTTGCACCAACCTTAAACCTGGAGGTGACTATATGAGATAGGTCATTTGTTAATTGTAATGATTTACTTCAGATCGATCAAACAGTAACAACCCTAATGAGTTGGTGCGATATAATAGAAGCTTACAAGTGGGGTAATTATAAGGTGAGGCTTTACACTAAAAATTTAATTCCTATTTTATCCTGAATTGCGCATGTCTTCATTTCAAGTGTTAACTATAGCCCTAATCATTTATCTCGTTTAGAATTCAAACAAACAATTTTGTAAATCAAATTTGATTAACAGTAGATGGATGGATAGATCACTAGTATAAGGGTTCTTACCCTCATCTGTTTATCGTTATGTTACAACGACTTTAAATGAAATTAATATAATAAGGTTCTCTAACGAAGTTTAAAGATGTTCGTTCTTTCAGATTATTTTATTAGAAATTAAATTAAAACAAAGTAGACTTTTCCTTGGCATATTCCATATAACTTTCTTGCTATAATTATCTATTGTCTCCTTTAAATTTTGAATAGTAATTCGACAATTGTTACTGGGTTAAATTCTGTCTCCCTAGCTTTTTTTTTTTTCTGTTGTCATTAGAGAGAAAGCTGCATCCCCCACCGGAGTGTATGTAGTACACAAAAGAAACAAAAAAAAAGCAATAAGTTTTTGCGTCCAATTTTGCGTTATAATTAAGTGATTGAAGAGGGCTTTTTAAAAAAAGTAAAACTTTATTTACTATTGATTTAGGTTAGGAACTTTGATTATAGTTTACCCATTTTAATATATATATATATGAATATATATACCCCACTTATATGCCCCACTAGTTCCGATTTAATCCCAATGGTTTATTCTTCCCCACTCTGCAGAACCCGGAACATTATATTTTGCAATAATGTTTTCTAAAAAGTGAAGTTTGGTCCAATAAGATAATGATATGGTTCGTTATATGACCTGCTTCAATGACCGTAAAAAGTCCGATATTATTTTTTTATATCTATGGAACGATAATATTTATGTAATTGTAATTTAAACTATTCAGAAGGGACGAACAAGAGTAATCAATTTAACGATAAGGTGGAACCTTTTACTCTATCTCATACTCTCTATCAGGTGAAAAAAATTCAACAAAAAAAAAGCAGTAGAAAACTTGTAAAGTGGAGATGAGGCAGTGTAGTACTCTACTTAATCGTTGCTTGAACTTTAAAGTTAGGGGTAAAACTGGAGTAAATATTCATATTTACTCGACTTCATCGAAATCATAATTGGATTTATCATATAATTAACCTTTGCCTTTTGATTAGCATTCCACTTACAGAAATCACAGTAGATTAGAATTCTTGTTTGATATGGAACCCCTCAAGATAACTACTCTACGTTTTCATTCATTTCTACATCGGTCAACAGATTAGATTTTACCCCACGTACGTATGTAGGTACTTACATCCATTGTTCTAAAAACTTCTCCCGATATTAACTCTCTCAAACTTTAGTTTTGAGGTTTTTTTAAATCGGGTTGGGAAATCAGTATAAAAGTTGCAAATAATACATATGTTTGTAGTAGATTTAAAAGAAAGTCCGAGACATGATGAGTTAAAATTAAAATTGCAGCCACCCCCCCTATCCCATATTAATTTGGTAATTGCTGGTTGTTTTTATTTCTTGTTGCTTCTCCTCTTTTCTATTTCAACTTGTAATATGAAAATATAACATTAACAAGTTGTAATAGGTCATAGTGATATCCTCTCTATTTGTAATTTTTATGATTTTACTCGTTTATGTCTTCATATCATATAATGGTTATGTCAAGATTCTGGTCATGTGATTAAACATGTGATATGTTTTTGGACAAAATAAAACTTCACGACAAAAGAGTTGTTCCTCCGTTCTTTCATTCCCCACGTGTGAAACTGTGTGAGTTTATTTATCTCACACGCGTATTAAATCAATTACTGCAATCAATTATCAAAAGTTGAAATTCAGTTTATACGAACCAGAGACGAAGAATAATTCTCGATGGATAAATGTATAAATAAAAAGGATCTAACTGTACACTTGCTTACTTAGTTAACACACGTTAGATATGTATGTATGTATTGTTTATAGTATTGAAAACGAATGTTTATTTATCGCGTTAAATTTTAAATTTGGCGATTTTATACAGTACATCTGCAATTAATTAACCCTTATAAATATCATCAAATACCATCACTATAAAGATGCTACTTATCATCACTTACAGTATCAAACATTAGTATAGTATAACTTTAATTAAACCAAGCAATGAAATAATGCAATGTTATGTTACGTACTGTGATTTTGCACCTGTTCCTCTTCGTTCCTCCCCCTCCTGTCAACATAAACAAAGATTTACTACTATAATTAGAAATCATATACATGAAATGATAACTAACTTTTTCTTGGTTATGTTAGTTAATATTATACTGTTAGCACATATTAACATAGTAAACTTAACCGATTTCATTGTCGTCTGTTTGTCTGTCTGTTTGTTTGTTTGTTTATTATGAAAAAAAACCTTATCATTGCTAATAAGGGGCTTGTAAATCTTAAAATATTCACCTCCATAAATTGATTCTATTTTAACCTTGTTTAAGCGATATTGATTTGACGTGTTGATCATTCCTCACTAATCATTCTAACTACTACTACCACTGCAAAATAATTAAGATATTAGTGGACAGATTTTATAAACTTAACGTTAATTTGCAGTTTTGTGTAGGCCATTAAAAAATAATTATCTCGCAAGGAGTGTGTGCAATCATAAATTTATCACCACCTCCCTCCCACCACCAACCCAACCCTATCTTAAAAACTGACGGTCAACCACCACATTCCTTTTGTAATCAATCTTCATATTCGTTTCAAGCATTCGTTCATCCTTATAGATTATCCTCATCCTTGCCATTGTTCTAACCATCCATCCATCTACAATGTTCCGGTTTGGTAGATCACCTTCTATATCAAAAAGACCCATCTTTACCACACGATATTTCTCAAGTTTCCCCTTATTAATATGTATTGTTATTATCATTATTTTAGTAATCAATTTGTTTATTACTAAACTTGACAATCAAAAAAGTCTAGGTTATCATGTCATAGGTAATAAAGACTATAAGAAAGAAATTGATAAGATGGAATCAATGGAATATACTCAAAGATTACTTTCTGAAATTAAATCTACCAAAGAAGAAGAATTAATTAAATCTTTAAAAGAAGATTTAGAAACTAAACATAAAGATCAATTATTAGTTGATATTAAAACTGAATTGAATAAGAAGTATAAAAATAAATTATTATCATCTTTAAAACAACAAATGAATGAACAATTTACTCAAGAATTCACTGATCAAGCTGAATTCACTTATTCAATCTTTGAATCATTACAAAAGAAATTTTATCGAGAAAATTATAAAACTTTAAAAGAATTCACGGTATTAACTTTATTCAAAGATTTAAATTTACCTGAAATTGAATTACCAGAGAATTTTAATGCCAAATTAAATGAAAAAATGTCTTCCATGTTAAATAAAAATTCATTTTATAAATATCTTATTCAAGATGTTTTATTAAAAAATATTAAATTTGATGATTTAGAAGCATTTAAAAAATCAACTTCATCAACTTTAAAACCTCAATTAATAAATTCAGGTGAAAGTTATACTAAACAAGATTTAAATGTGGTGAAAATCTCTGATAAGAATTTAGTGGCTTTTAAAACTTCATTTGAAAAAGTTTTAAAATCAATTAAACGATTAGCTAATCCTCCCTTACAATTTATAAATGATTCAGGAATTGTAATATTTTTTGATGATTATGATTCAAATACTTTAAATCAAAAAGTTTCGATGCTTTTATTACAAATTTTACAATTAAAAAATCTTGGAAGTTCATTACCAATTGAAATCATCTTTACGAAAAATTATTCATTTTTAAAACCATTAATTTCATTCTTTAATATTCATTTTAAAACTTCAATTTCAACGATTGTTATTGATGAAATTATAAATTTAAAAGATTTGGAATTACCAACTAATTTCCCTCATAAATTATTAAGTTTATTAGTATCATCATTTAATAATATTATATTTTTGGATATTGGTGTAGTACCAATAAAAAATGTCGATGCTTTATTATATAGTGAACCATATTTTTCTCATAAATTTTTAATTTGGCCTCATGAAAAATATCAAAGACAAATTTCACCTATATTTTGGGAAGATTTATTAGAAATTATCCCAGGTGAACAAATTAGAAGAGATGGAATAACCAATAAACAACAAAGTTTAAATGATCAAGATGAATCAAGTTATTATGATTTATCAAATTTACCTGATCAATTAAGTACTGATTCTTCATTTATGGTATTTTCAAAACAAGAACATTTTAAATCATTATTATTATCAATTTATTTCAATTTACTTGGAAATGATGTGGTTTATCCTTTACTTTATCAAGGTATATCCGGAGGTGATCGTGAAACGTTTATCCCTGCTTTGCATGTCTTAAATGAACGTTATTATCAAGTTAAACAAGAATCATTAATTCTACATAAATTTGATAGTGAAGAATTACCAATGGCAAATTTACAAACTGATCCAAGAGATGTAATTAATTATATGAAAAGTTGGAAACATTTCTTAATTCATAAAGCAAAATTAGATACAAGATTAAATCCATTTGAACAATCTGAATTTACCGAGAAATTAATTGAAGAATTTCATGAATATAAAAAGAAATTAATTGGTGAAGAATTTGAAGATAGTGATGGTGAAAAGAAAACTTTTTATGCAGAAACTCAATTCCCAAAACCTTCAGTATTAACTTTCAATTTCAGAAGTAATTATCAACCGTTATTAACTGAAGAACCTAAAAAATTATCAAGAGTAATTCAAGTCCCCGATGCTGAACTTCGTGCTCGTTTATTAGGTGGTGTAGGTGGAGCTGGTGGTAAAACATTAATCACATCTACATCAGGTTCAAAAATCGATTATGAATTAAGATTTCAATTCTTATTAACTTGGTTATATTGTGAAAGTAAATTACTGACCATAACGGCATTTTGGAATGATGAATCAATAAATCTTTCTCAAGAATCAATTTGTAAACATCATCTGTCCTTAGTTGAATTCTTAAAGGAAGATACAAAAGATCTTGATTATAATATTTTAAATTTCTTAAAGAAAGATTATGATAAAGTTGGTGGATTCAATGATAATGAAGAAACCATAGATAAAGTGATTGGAGATCTTGAAGAAGAAGCAGAAATGAAAAAGGAAGTTGTTGGAAAGGGAATTAAAGCTGAATTTGATATTAATGAAAAATCAATTCCAAAGAAGAAAGTTGCTAATGCTAATGCTAATGCTAATAAATTAGTAAAGAATGAAGCTGAGTTTATTGCAGCTCCAGCCAATCCATTAATAAAAAATAATCCATAATAATCCATAATTAGACTCATATATATATATACAACAATTTCTTTTCTTTTCTGGTTATATTCATATCTAACCCCCTCATACATAGTTCATGCTTTCATAATTTGTGTTTTATAATGTACATTAATAAACGAAATTGCAAAATTGCTGCAATTTTTCCTTGTAGGCAAAGAAAAAGAAAATACGAGCACTAAAAGTGAGCGTACAAAATTACTTGTCAAGTTTTCTTTTCTTGGAGATTTACCGCCTCGATTTTATCCTAGATGATCAAAAGTTATAAAGCAGGGATTTGTAAGAATTGATAGTATTTGAAATTTGTAACTATATTGATCAATTTATTATACTAGTTCTAAAAACGTTCATTTAATGAATTTATTGTGAAATATATTTTAGAAATTGTCAAGGAAGTTCACCAAATTTGACTGAACCTAAATTTATGAAAAATCATCAAAATTCAAAGATTTAACTAGATAAGTATATATTTTCATCTATTATAAATCAGATTCAAGAAGTTAAACTTCACTATAATAATAATTGATTAAGTTATAATCATTTTAAAAATTTTAAACGTGAAATTTATCACGTGAGTGTATGAGTTTATGGGAAATATCTCATATATTTTTTCAAGAAAACAAGCGCCGTGGCGCAGTGGAAGCGCGCAGGGCTCATAACTCTGATGTCCCTCGATCGAAACGAGGCGGCGCTAATTTCTTGTTTTCATTTTTTTTGAATTTCTTGATTTTTTTTGCAATTATAATTAAAACTTTCATTAACTACTTCTAATAATATATATATATCTATTTTCTGTATCAATTGTATATATAATAATGTTTTTGTGTTTAACGTTCATCCCAAAACTTTCTCAATAATTCACCGGCTGATCTATAATCAAGAATATCTTGTACGGTTAATACAGGATATTGTCTACCCTGATTTAATTTCTCTTGATTAATTTCACCCAATTTAACTAAACCAGAAAGATATTCTTGAGCATCAACGACACCAATAGTATGATAGGCTCTTGTTATTCCCTTTTCATTCAATCTATTCGTTATCCATTGTTTTTGGTCTGTTCTTGATGGTAAGGCAATCTTTCCTGAAAGATATCTTGAAACAGTAATAGCTTGATATTCAAATACCCTGAATGAAATCCCATCAATAGGAACTCCGACAAATGTGATCAAAGGTTCATTGATTAAAAACGTATGTTGATAGGCATGAGGGATGATTCTACCATCTTCGACAATTTGATTATTGGTTAATCGATTTAAAAATGGGAATGAAAATTCATATCCTGTAGCATAAATTATATGATCAGGATTGATTAATTCACTATCATCATCAAATAAAACTTTAAATCCAGAATTATCAGGTAAGATTACATATTCTTTAATGATTGGCTTGGTAATGATATTGGCCTTTTTGGATAATTTTTTGGTATTTTCAAGATTTCGAATCGATTGATATACTTCAATAGCTTCATCAGCAATAAATTTAGATAAATCAGCTCCTGAAGCTCTTGAACCAATAATTAATACTTTCTCATCTTTATATGGTTTTGGATCAAGATAAAATTTAGCATGTTGAATTACTTTTGGAAATTGTTCTTGTAAAATATTTAACCCCTTGACATATGGTATAAATGGAACATGATAATGACCGGTAGCGATAATAACAGAATCAAATTCTTCTTGATACCAAATATCTTGATCTTGATTTAAATTTGATCTAATGGTTAATCTAAATTTATAAGGGATTTGTTTATGTTCACTTGGAATACGTTCAACATCTTCAATAGTTGAATTTGTAAATAATTGAACTTTATCATTTGATAAATTTCTTGAAATATATTTATCAATATATTTTTGAACAATTAAACCATCAACATATTTTCTTTGTTCGGGATCTTCAACTCCAGGAACTTCCCAACGATTGGTATCACTATAAGTCATCATTTTTTCAATAATATTGGTTTTAATATTTGCATAACTTGGAGTTTCTTCAAATCTTTCTTGAGTAGTTTTATTGGTAATGATGAATTTTTCTGATTTTGATGAAGAAGATTTTGAATGGAAGGGATTAACTAATTGAGGATCAGTTACAATACTAGTTAAACCTGATTTTATAATTTGATTTGGAGTTTCAATAGTTTTTTCATCTAATGCCCAAACTCCACCTAAAACTTTTCTTCTTTCAAATAACGTGATTTTTGAAAAATTAGATGGTTTCTCTTTTAATAAACTATCCAAAGCTATAGCACCAGAAGCACCACCTCCAATAATAGCTATGGTTGATATTTGATCTGATGATAATTGAATAGGATCATCATAATTATCAAGATGTTCTAATGCAATAGATGGCATGGTTTTGATAAGATTAGTTTTTATGAAAAGAGAAGTTTTGATAATGAAGGGAAATAAAATTAATTATTCAAACTAATTAACTAACTTTTCATTATATATTTATAGTGGTTGAGGGTTGAATCATATTGTATTAATAATTGATAATCCCTTTTACACCACACAAAATTTCGCAATGGTTGGAGAAATAAAATTTAAAAGCGGAATCAAAAAAAAAGAAGAATTATTGCAGCCACAGTTTATTTTATTTTGCGAATGAACCGATCGTATCCAGTACTGATCTCGTTAACAAAGGGAGGATATAAATAGATAACTAGTAGGTTAAATTATAATTGAATGAACTGAGGGTTATGACTAATATAGTATATGAACTTATGCAATCAAGGGGGTGTTGTATGTATAGTACACAGTCTAGGTTAAACTTGATAAAATCAAATCGAAAGATAAGGTTGTTTGTCGCTAATACCACTTTTTCACTGTCCCCCAAATTAAGTAATTAAGTAATTGTGGTGGTTGCAGAATATAACTTAGTTTAAATAATAGTGGATGAAAGATCAGGAATAATAGGAATTAAATCCGAAATTGATAGTTTAAGGAAGTCAAAAGTCATATGACTTGATGGGTTTACATAACCATTTACAGGTTAACAAGCGCATACATTGTTAACAGAGTGAAATAAATTAATGTTAAATTAGATCAATGAATATTAATTTTAAGAATATATATTACTAACAAATATTACTCAGAATAGAAAGTTAGTATAGTTTATAATGATATAAATAAATTAATAATATAAAAATTTAATTGGGATAGTTTATTCAAATTGATGACATTTTTTGAACCGTTTACATGATGAAAAAAATAAGCAGCAAACCACCAAGTTTTCAGAGTGGAAACTTATTTTTCAGTTTAGATTGTACAGATGATTAACAGTTGCAGACAATATTGATAAAAACATATGGATATAGCTTAACTGTATCTATTCTTGCCAAGAGATTAGATGTCGTTGTTGTTGTTGTGTAAGTGAATGTGTGTAGATAAGCTTATTGTGTATGACTTTGTTGTAGATAAGAATGGTAGCTCTCTCTCATCTGTCAAAGTATGACAAAATACTGTCAATAATACCATAGTAAATCTTCTTTTAATAATGAACAGGATATGATACAACGTGTATTCTTCTTCTTAGTTCTACTTATATTTTGCAACCAACTCACAACAAACGTTAAATAACTAGTACTAGTAAATAGGAATAAACGTCCATACCTCAATAATAAATCTAATTTAAGTTAACTCCCACGTGCATACTAAATTAAATATACGACAGACAGTAAAAAGAAATAAATAGAAATAAATAGAAATAAATAGAAATTAACATGCAGTACCCAGCACCAGTAGTTAAAAATTAACTATGGCAAGGACTTTGACAGAAGTAAGATGATCATCATCAACATTGGAAAATTTAATTATTCAATTCTTATACTTTCTTCTTCCTCTTGTTCTTGTTCTTCATTGTATTGATAGATTCATAGATCATAGACAATCATTTACTAAGATACTCAATCATGGTTCAACAAAGAAAACTCGATCTTAATACTCCATTGGATAGTAATACTAACCCAACTTTAGAAAAAGTTCCTTTAACACCTGATTTAATCGAAGCTGCTTTGGTATTACATGGTGATTACTATAGTCAATCTCAAACCAATTTGAATAAATATATATTTTGGCATCCAATTCCATTATCCATCTATTCCATTGTGTTTCCTATTGTTATTTGTTATCAATTATGGGATTTTATCATTATTTCTGATTCAGTATTTGAATTTCTTAGTTTCTTTGGTAGAACTAAAGATATCTATTTTGGATTAATTGCAGTTTCCCCAGCTATTATTATTGTATTTGGTGTAATTGGTTTGATTGCTTATTTACTTTCCGATGATATTAAAACTGTTTGTGATAATTTACCAAGACAACAATATGCTAAACAAATCTTTGGCTTTGATATTAAATTATTTTCATGGTTAGATCCAACCGTAAATAAAGCTGAAGATGATATTGAATTATTAGAAAAGGGGAACAATACTCAATTTATAATTTATCGTGAATCCCCAATTGCAGTATGTTCATTAAATCCTGATTATGAACATTCCACCAAGGAACAATTTATCATAAATCTTACTGGATTACAAGTTAGAAGAGTTTTTCAAAAAGTTGATTTTGAAGATTTATTATTAGATTGGGCTATTACAAGATCAAGAGAATTATTTCAAATTTACGCTAGAGATCAAAAACTTAAAAATTATGAAGAAAATGTTAAAATCATTATAAATACAAAAGCATATGTGTTTAATAATAATCAATTAGAAATCTTATCTAAAAAGGGATTTGTGGAAACTTCTCAATCCATTGAATTAAATCCTTTTGTCCCAAGTAAATATAATACCATTACCACTTTTCTTCATACTAAGTTAAATATTGGAATTAAAACTTTATCATTAACCATTGTTCCAACTAAAGAAGATGAAGAATTAATCAAAGATTCAATTAAACCAGTTACAACTACCACTACTACTGGTAGAGCAAGCACTAGAAAGAGAAAGTAAACGAATTAAACATATTCTTTTGGATAATATTATAATACATTAAAAAAACATCATATATATAAGGGTGCATAATAAGAAAAAAAAAAAGTCAATCAATACTATATAGGTAAATTAATAATAAAAATGTAATAATTTATTCTTTTTGTAAAACTTCAATCTAATAAACCAGTAACTTTTGCTTTCTTTTTTTGTTTTTGAACTCTATAAATTATAAACACACACCATGACAATAATATAAAAAGGATTAAATAAACTCCATATTTAATCAGAGTTAATATATTATTAATGGAACGTTTTATAAAAGTTGCATCTTCATCACCATATTTTTCTAATCTTAATTTCCGTTCTCTTTCTTTAATTCTCTTTTCAGCATTTCTTAATCTTTGTAATGATCTTCTCTTTTGATTTATACTTGGACGATTCTTTCGATTATTATGTCTTGAACCATCATCTTTATCATCTAAACCTTTGGCATTTTTAACATCTTCTTGAATTTGTTTAACTTCATTTTCAAATTCATTTTGTTCTGATAATAAATTAGATAATTCTTCAATTGATCCCACAAATGATCCATCAGGTTTATATAAAGCAAAGATTTTATTTTCAAGTATATCAACATTTTCATATAATTGACCTGTTTCAGCGGTTAATCCAAGATATTTTACTGGGGGTAAAATAACATCAGTTAAGGTAACACAATTAGTCCAATCTTCATGAATACCATTATAATTAACATCAATAGATAAATAACCATCTTTAATATAAATAATTCTCATTTTAGTTTCTTTACCAGGAGGATTATAAATATTTTTGGTAGTACATCCTGCTAATCTTGTATCATATCCATCACTACCTTTATCATATTTTGTTTTACCATCACCTAACATAAGATTTATAAAGGGGAAATTACCTCGTTTACCATTTTTATAAGTATCAATCATAATACCTAAACCATTAAAGAAATTCTTAGCTCCAAATACTTCCCCAATTTCAGATTTTTGATCTAAAAACCAAATAGCTAAACCATCACCAATTAATCCAATTGCTTTTTCACCATGAATATGGAAAGTTAATTCCATTTCAAATGATTCCGCTTGAATAGGTAAATCAGCAAACATATTACCTGATTGATGAGGATTGGCACTAGTTAATCTAATATATTCATTATTTTTAACCATAGTATTACCATTTAAATCCCAATTTTTAATATGAAAACTTGAAGGTTCTAAATATGGAGTTGATAAACTTTGAGCGGTTAATTCTACTTTCTTTAATAAAGTGATTTCTTCATCTTTATTTTGTAAGATTGAATTCAATTCTTCAGGGGAATAAGAATCAGTTTCATCATTTGAAAATGTGATATAGGATGGAAATATATAAAATATCAATCCTAATCCTAATAAAAGAAGGATAAGTTGGAGAGGACGAGACCTTTTGATAGAGGTCAAGAGTCCCATGATACACAGACAGACACGATATTATCCTTTTAAGCCAAACGAATGGATATTATAGAAAAGAACAAGGTGAAACTATATTTATAAAGTTAATATTTAAAATCACAGAACTGAAAATTTCGACCACGTATATTATTTGATGCGAAAAAAGACGAAGGACAAAATCATGGAGAGAGACACTGATGAGAGAACAAACAATAGTTAAGGAAACCTTAGATCGGCATTTAAAGAATTTTACTGTAACAATATGACGTTTTATTTAATATAGGATGAAATTATGATCTACTAACTATTATTGGTCTTCGATGGCTGTGTTCAGTTCATTTCATTTCTCTACAACGTAACCATTCTGTTTTGTCATTAAAAAATTAAAATTCATTATTTCGAATAAATACCTATGTACATGTATCCACCTTCTATATATTACTCTAGAAAGGAAAAGTACTTGTTTACCTACCTTCCAAATACAACAGTTCTAGCAGCTTCCCAAAGAGTTTCCTTTCTCTCTCCCTTAATACTACTCAATAAACGATCATAATATATAGGATTACCCTTTGGCTTCAATAATTTATCATCTAATTTATAATAATTCTTATACTTATCATTAACCAAATCTCTTAATGAATCATATTGTAATCTTAAATCTTTTTCACTTATATCTATCACATTATTATGATCAAGATCTTTACTATTAAGATTTTGAAATCGTTGTAATTGAACTTCTTTAAATGACGAATAATAATTCAATCTATCCTTAGGCAACGTTCTTAATAATGATATTATCTTATCCGTCAATTCCTTCTTACTAGACATTATACCTGATTTCTATTGATTATATGTTTACTGTTTAAACCCTTTAATTCTAAATGGTCTATCTGTCTTCCGTTAAAATCGATGTTTAAAATTTTCGAATACAATTTTTTTTTTCTTTGACCAATACGACACTGTATACAGGAACAAATGCCATCACGTGCAAACGCATACAAGAACTCCGATACCCAAATTTTTATTTAAACCCAAATTTTACTAATATTTAAGTAAAGTGAAATCTCCTCTATTTCATCTTAATTTCTTTGTATTTACTAGTTGATAGGGTTAGAATTAATATCAATTGCATAGAAATCAGGATACTTTAAAAAAATATGACAACAGCTAAAGTTTGTACTCCAAGAGTTATATTTGTTCGTCATGGACAAACTGAATGGTCGAAATCAGGTCAACATACTTCAACTACTGATTTAGAATTAACTCCCTTTGGAGTTAAACAAATGAGAAATACCGGGAAACATTTGATTGGGAAATCTTCTTTCCAATTGATTAAACCAGGTGATATCACTCATATTATCGTTAGTCCAAGAACTAGAGCTCAACAAACAGTTCAATTATTAACTGAAGATTTAGATGATATTCAAAAAGCAAGAATACCCATTATAATAGATGAAGATATTAGAGAATGGGAATATGGAGATTATGAAGGTATGAAAACTAAAGAAATTAGAGATTTAAGAAAAAAAAGAGGGGTTGATGGTCCTGATCATGATTGGGATATTTGGGGTGATGGTTGTGAAAATGGTGAAGATTATAAACAAGTTACAGAAAGAGTTGATAGAGTTATTGAAAAAATTAAAGTTATCCATCGTAAATCAATTCGTGAAAATACTACAAGTGATATCTTAGTAGTTGCTCATGGTCATATTTTAAGATGTTTTGCAGCAAGATGGGTAAATAGAGAAATTAATTGTAATCCATCATTTATGGTGGATGCAGGTGGGGTTGGTGTATTAAGTTATCAACATCATAATTGTAATGAACCTGCTTTATTCTTAGCTGGTGCCTTTGTGGTACCGGTTGAAGAAGAAGGTGCCGACTTATAAGTCAATACAAAGACAGTGATTAATTATTTACCCTTTTTATATTACCTAATTAATGCTTTTATATAATTGTTTTATTTTTCTTTTCTATAAATGATTTAGTAAAAAGTGGTGGATGCAAAAGTTGGATTTAAATCAGCTTTTAATGATAATTTATTATATTTTTCAGCAATATCAATACATTGTAATAATTCATTCCAAAATTTATTCACATTAATATTCTGACCAATATAAATTCCATCTTCTGTATCTGATGATTCATCTTCATCAATTATAGATTCACCTTGATGGTCACCATCTGTTATCACTCTTAATTTCTTTCTAATGTATTGATAATTATAATCTTCATTCTCATTCTCCGTATCTAAGAATGGTAATATCGAAAATAATGCTACTGGATCATGAATTGGTGGTCCTTCAGTTATACCATACTTAATCTTATAAGATTCACTAAAGAAATTCAATATATTGTAAAAGATTTTCCTAAATTTTGAATTCTTAGAAGTTAAACTTTTATTAAAGATTTTATTTCGAATTTCCTTAGTAGCTATCACTTTATGAGTTAAATTCAATGGTGCTAAATTAATCTTTACCCCGGTTAAACTCAACACATTATCAGCAGCATCAGGATCAGCAAAAAAATTGAATTCAGCATATGGTGTCACATTCCCAATATTTAACCCTCCTCCCATGATTGATATTAAATTGACCTTTGAAGTTAATTCAGGGTATGTAGTGAATAATTTCGATACATTAGTTAAAGGACCTGTACAGATCAAACATAATTTATGGTTATAATTCAATATAGCTTGTTTCATAGCTTGTAAATAATTAACATCATAACATAATTGATTGATAGTATCTTTAGGGAATTTAACACCCCCGATCCCATTAGATCCATGTATTTGAGGAGCGAAATGTGATGGTTTAATCAATGGTGTTTCTGAACCTTGATATACTTTAATATGATAAACATTTAAAATATCTAATAATGCAAGTGTATTATGAGTTGTCATTGATAATGGGGCATTACCATGAACGGTTGATATTCCTATTAAATTGAAATTTTGATTGAAGGTAGATAAAAGTATAGCAAACACATCATCATTACCTGGATCACAATCTAGCCAAATTGGTATTTTCTCAGTAACTGTCATGGTTAGGAAATGGTTTAGTTGTATTTGCGCTTTGTTTGATTTTGATTTTGATTTTGCGTTTTGGCGGCTAAAGTTTTCTATAAGCGATATGAATAGTTATGTGATGGTTGAAAGTGGTAAAACCTTGTTAGATGCTAAAGCGAAAGTATCTATAACTTGAAAGTTATCGTCAGTTCAAATCCCAACAAACTTATATCATGGAATTATAATTCTTATTTATAATAGTTAATTATGCTTTTGTAATTCAATTTCTCGGGGAAATAAAATATTCTTGCAAAATTTGCCGTTTAGGGAAACACCCATACATCACCCTCCCCCACCACTACCACCACCACAGTCACTAAAAACAAATTATTTTTAGCGTCACTCACTAAAAGATTCCGCTAAAAAGAGTTATTTTTAGTGGAGACAGCATGCCCCTCATGCCCCACTAAAAATGTGTCATGACCATGATTTAGTGAGATAGACTGGTGATTTGATCATTTATTATTATTATTATTATTATTATTATAAGATTCATAATTTATATTAATACAGATAAATAATAATTAGACATACTGTACGGGACGGTAATAGACGGATAAAAATACATACATATATAACAGAGTTTCATAAATAAAAATTAAAGTTCTAGTATTGTGCTTTTGTTTTCTATGACTCCACTTTAACTACTTGAGGTTCAGTTATAGGAATCATAGCTTCAGGAGGAATGATTGATGATGGTTGTGGTGGTACGGGATTTACTGTTTCATTTAACGGTACTTTTTCTTCAACTTGTTCTGTAGTTTCACCTAATGATTCATTCTTTTGACCTTGGAAATTATCGATCACTTTTGAAGCTTCCATTCCAATTTTATCAATAACATCAACTGCCCAAATCACATCTAAATGAGAATAATCGGCGATTTTAAATATGAATAAATTCTCTCCTTCTTTTAAATTAGGTTCATAATGTCTTAAATGGGCAATTAATCTATCACCATCTACCATATCATCAGTTTCACCTGTAAATAATATCATGGGTGGGATTGTACAATTTTCATCGAACCAAGTTTCACAAAATGGTAAATAAGAATTCTCTTTTTTAGGTTCATTATTGATTTTGTAGTTATCTCCATTTTTATATGCTTTTTTCGATAATAATTGATTTGAAAAACTGGGTCCTATAAAGGAAGATAAGTACCATGCCATTAAATCTGACGAAATATAAACCACATTAAATAACATTAAACATTGCCAAACTTTTTTATCTTTATCCCAATGTTTTGAATTCCATCCAAATAAATAATTAAAGACATAATATGATAATAGGTAATAAATTTTATAAGTTGATAATATTGATCTTAAAGCATTTAAATATCGTATGAATGAACATGATCCAAAGATTAATAAATATGATACATGACTTAAAGAATATATGAATTTTAAGAACCCAGCTTTAAGAAAGATTTCACCAGGGAAACATGCTGGAGCGATAGGAATAAAGAATTCAATTAAATGATGATATTTATTTAAATTACCATTTTTTAATAATAAGAATGATTGACAACCACCTTGCAGATGCCCCACTAAGATTAATTTGGAATGATTTGGTTTATGAATCAATACATTTTCAATAGTAGATGGTAAATCATAATAAGCTAATGATCTTATATCCCAATTCCAAAATTGTTCATTATTGAATAAATTTTTAAAATATTTATGTTTTGGTTCAAAATATGATCGATTATTACCTAACCAAACATCATAACCCAATTCAACAAAATGAAAAGGTAAGGAGTTATAACCTGATGTGAAGAATGCTCCTGATGATGACATTAATCCATGTTGGAATAGTATAGGTTTTTTAAGATCTCTTTGAGCATTGGTTTCCTTTGGATTAATCAATCGATGTAAAGTTAATACATACCCATCTTCAGTCGTGATGGTATATTCTTCTAAATCAAGATTCAATTGTAAAGCATAATATCTTACATCATTAACAATTTTCATTGATTTTATATCAGGGTAAGCTTTTCTAGGTATATAACCATTTTTTGAATTAGCATTATAATCAACTACTTCATGTTTATAATGACCACGTAATTTTTCAAAAAAATGATGAAAGATTGAACCTGTAACCAAGATATTAACAAACAACATCGATCCAAAGAAGGATATGATGATAATGATATATTTTAGAACTGCATTATGTTTTTTAATTTTTTCATTGGGGGTTAATTCTTCATACATTTGATGAGAAGAAGATGATGAATGAATAGGTGGGGGAGGGTGATAAGAGAAAGTATATGAGTGGTAAAGAACGAGATCTAATGGAATTCACAGTGTCTAATGCATTGAACCAACACAATTGATGATGATTGAAGGTCGATGAAGATGGTTGTTGATTGTTGTTGCTATTTTTTAGTATTATTTTTTATGTTATTTTTAGTATGTGTGTTATTTTTTTTTCTTTTCTTCCTTTTACAGTATAGAAATAATTTACGAGACAGATCTTTACAGTTTTTAAAAATTGTCTGTTATCCGTTCCGTTTAAATTTTTTAGTTTCTTCTTGGCTTAATAATGTGAAGATGACGATCAACTATGATCCGATTAAGTTACCTTTATAGTTGTCGTATGGATTATATGAACCCATTAGGAATAAATTAAGTATTTACAATTCATATATCCAGTTTCTCCGATAAATTATGTCACAATAACATTAAACAATAACATTAATTCAGCATTCATTTTCTCTGTATTGTTTAATTGCTTTGAAAGAAGAAGAACATTTTTTGTGTACAGGACCACAAAACTAAAATCAAATCACATGACTTAAATTTTAGTAGTACTGTATGAGTTAATGCTATTTTGCAGCAATATACATTGTCTCTATTTGTAGGTCAATCAGGATAGAGTGGATAAAACTAGAACTAATATACAAGTCATAATTATGATGGTTAGTAGAATTTGCTTTTAATTGCATATCATTGCAAATTCAAAAGAATAATTAATATTTAGTATACCTTCTTCATCTTAAACCTAGGGTATTCTATTGAGACTATTGAAAATATCTAACATCAGCCTAACCAATGGTCAAGCAAGAGACTAATATGGATTGTCTAGAGAAAACTAATTCAAACAAGAATCAGGTGTACCATGATATCAACTTACAACCTAGAGATGGGATCATTGGAAGTAAAGATTACTTTTGTGATGAATGTACTCATAGTGTAATTAGTCAATTTATTATATTGATAACTTTATTTATATTGATTTCAAATATTTTCATCACTTTTATCGTCTTGTTATTTTATATCCTTATAAAAGCATGGGATTCCGTCCATATAAATTGAATTTATAGGTTAATTTAAACAGAGTTAAATATAAGTAGTCTTTTAAATATATTATAGTTTTGTAGATAAAATTCACAAGACCTCAAATGCTCTTATATGCATCTTCCTTAAGCTTCAATTCAAGTTTAATATATAATTGACTTTGAATTTCTTTATTCCAATCTAGAATTGTATAGCTTTAAACACAACACTATGCTTACAATGTGTTCTGATTCTACTAGAGATAGAAATCTTGGCTCTGAATTCATTATGTTGGATGTACAGAAAGCCGATGAAGAAAAATCTAACCAGGATTCATCTTCGATACAATCCAAATCAGAAAGTAAATCAACAATAAATGATTTAATCAAATTACTAAAAGCACTTCAAAACATTAAACTTGACATGTCATTAATTAAAACAAAGCTTAAGGTTTCTTCAAGGAATAAAAATAACTCAATTGATCATATTATTTGTCAAAATTGTCAAGTTAGAAATGATTCATTACTAGACATCCTTGCTGGTCTAATTTTGCTAGTTTTAATGAATATTGTCTTATTATTTCTTCAAAAGGTAGTTGTCGAATATATTTTTAAAAACAAGTAGGACTAGAGTTAAGAACTTGTCATAGTGACAGAACTTTATGGCGAATGGATGGGTTAATGAATTTTACTCGCACAAGCATGATATTACATATTAGTACCTCCTTTTCATATTACACTTAGTTGAATTTATTATAGTTTATCAAATAAATATGAATTCTTTTTCTTTCCTTGTAATCATTTTCTAATAGTTTTTATAAATTTACTTCATCTTAATGGAAAATGGGTAAAAACAACACATCAAATAGTTCAAAACTACCAATTGATTCTAAAATTAATATTGAGGAAGATCAAATCAAAATGACAATATCCAAACTCCAAGAAGAAATTCTTAACATAAGTAATGATCTTGATATGGTTAAAGATGAACTTAATAGTCATGATAATCCTATTATTAACTATAGTGCTTTTATTCCAAGATTTTGGGATCCATGGAACTTAATTGCATTAATGGCATTAATAATAGCATTGTTCTTCTTATATCCTACAGCTTTATTCAACCGTATTATTGTATTAGAAATTATTCTGGAATTGCATCGTTTGAATTGTCAGTATTTCATCCAGTGTAATTAGTTTGAGTGGTAGCGTTCACGAAAGTAAATGATTATTGAAAACACGATAAAGAATACAGAACACATTGAATGAATCACCAATATATGCATTGTTGCAAATAAGAAAGTGCTGAAATGCAAGTTTCAATGATGACGATAATGAATGCTAAATCAAATAACATACGCTTCACTGTAAATCTAAAGCTAATGAAGTGTCCAAACTTTATTACATTAATTTCTCATTATCACCTAAATCAACTAAATTGGTTTATTTTATATCTATCTTATATAGATCCAATGATTTGTAAACAAAATATAAAATTTATACTATTTATCAATGCCAGAAGATACTCAATACTGCTAACAGAATTTTTAAACAACTCTTCATTTATTTTGAGAATGAATTCATCTCTCTAACAAGGGAACTGAATTCCTGACATCCAAGAGGAAATTCTCTGAACAAGCAATAATTGAACCTATGATGTTCTTAAACATCATCTATAACCAAATTCTACTCTGTTGTTCCAATATTCCATAATATCATCAATACTAATACAGTGACGTCGGATGTGATGTTTGAACATCAACTAACTCGTGAGTGAAATAGAAAGATAAATAATGGTCACAAGAGTACATAATAAAACGATTCAGGAGTATTCGACGAACAGCAAATCTACTAGATATTAAAGCTGTGAATCATACAAAGAATCAAACTTCTTTGTAATAGTCACAACTAAATATCAGTGAAACCTCTTATAAATAATCAAAATAAACATAACTAAAAATGGTACAACCTTTAAAACCAAGTCTTTAATCTTTGAAGGGTCAGAAATTCTCTAAAGCATCTGTCAATAAGTAACAAGAAAGTTTGCGCCAGATACCTTCACCAGTAAAACCCAAAATTAATATAATACTAATTCATTTTCTCTTCAAACGTTCTTCTTCATTCAAAAAAGAATATGAAAAATCATAATAGGAATCTAAATAAATAGACTCAACCATCATAATTTCTCTCTCTTTCAAACAAATACAAAACAAAAGGGAAGGGAATTGTCGTGGTAAAACGCGAGACTTCATCATATTAGTATAAAAACTATGGAAGGTCATACAAAGATTTTAAAAAGAATCTTAAACTAAAATTAAAAATTTTCTTTAATCAATGGGTTGGTTAATTTTATAGTACTCTAAGAAAAAAAAAAAAATCCAAAAATCCGGGTAAATTAAAAAAGAGGAAAATCCTGCATATTATAGATAATATTTTGCCCTACCTCATCTAAAGAAATTTTTATTTAGCTGAATGGAATCAATTTGCAATCTATAATTTAACATCAATAATAGAAGGATTACAAACATGGCAGTGGTAAAAAGGAAGGCTGACAGTAAACTGCCAAAGGGTAAAAAGGTGACAAAACGTCAAGACACTTCAAAAGAGTCAAATGATAAATTGTTAACCATAGATTCAATCCAAAAGTATGGAAATGAAGTTATAGATTCATCAAAATATAATAATCTTGTCATATTATTAGAACAATATCAATTCCTTAATGATAAATTAGTTAATTCTAAAGATGTTGAAATTGAAAAATTAGGTCGTCAACTTTCATTAACCTTGTTCAAGAGTTTCCAACATTTATTAAAGAATGATAAATTAATCTTAAAGAAACATTTCGAAGATAATCTGAAGTTAATTATCAAATGGTTATTAAACAAGTATGATTCCTTTAAGGATATAATATTCAACTTGATTGAAATTAAGTTATCTTCTCATTTCCAATCTATTCAATTAGATTTATTAGAGATCAGTCTTAATTTAATCAAATTAGAAAGCAAATACTTAAAATCATCTTCTAATGACTTATATTTTCCAATCACAACTTATTCAAAGTTAATAAATAGTTTATTGTTGACTCAAAGTGGTGAAATCTTAACTGATGGATCAAATAATAGTTTCATAGTGTTAGAATTCTTAAAGTTCTTCACTACAAATTGGGATTTACAATTTTATTTCTTTAATAATTTATCAGAAACTTTACAAGAGTGGAAATCATCTAAGGATACTAATGAATTAAGATTAGTCTTTTCCAATTTCTTTACTATCATAAGGAACCCATTATTATATACCAATGATTTTACCCCTGAAGATTTATCAACTTGGATTGAATCAAAATTACCTTCCATAGCATATAAACCATCAACTTTCAAATCTCAATATCAAAAATCAATCTTATTAATCTTATCATATCCTTTATTAACATCACAATACAAATCTATATTATTAATCTTACATAAGAGAATCATTCCAAATATGGCTCAACCTCAAAATATAATGGATTTCTTAACTGATTGTTATAATATTAATGATGATTTAATTATCCCTATCTTAACTTTAAATTCATTATATGAGTTAATCAAAAAATATAATCTTGAATATCCTGAATTTTATACTAAATTATATTCATTATTAACTCCAGAATTATTATATACTCATTATAGATCCAGATTCTTTAGATTATGTGATCTTTTCCTTTCATCTACACATTTATCAGCTAATTTAGTTGCATCATTCATTAAAAAATTAGCCAGATTATCTATGGCTTCAACTGCATCTGGTAATGTTATCGTCATACCTTTCACATATAATTTATTAAAGAGACATCCTACATGTATGATCATGTTGCATAATACTGAAGTTGCTAATAGTGATAAAGAATATAAAGATCCTTTCAATAATAATGAGAAGGATCCTTTAAAGACTAATGCTATTGAATCATCACTTTGGGAATTAGAAGTTTTAATGTCCCATTATCATCCAAATATTGCCACTTTAGCCAAAATCTTTGGTGAACCATTCAGAAAACATTCTTATAATTTAGAAGATTTCTTAGATTGGAGTTATATCAGTTTATTAGATAATGAAAAGACAAGAAGATACAAGACTACAGTTGCATTAGAATTTGAAGAATTTTCCAACCTTTTCGAAATCGGTAAACAAGATGATTCTTCAAATGATGAAATAACAAACGTTTACGCTAAAGGTTGGACTTTATAAAACATAGAACTATTTATAAATAGATATAGCTTAATGAATTACATACATTTATCATTCTTTGTAGATTGCAACCATATATAGTTTACCTCTTTTCTAATTAAGCTCGGTCGTGTCCTCATTCCAAAAACATCAAAATTAATCCCAATTGGGAAAATTAATTGAACGCGTCTTTTTTCAATATCTTTTTTTTTGCCAACTCCTTCTTGTTGTAAAAATAAAAAAAAAGACGAATTGAAAACTTTCATTAAACCATAGTTTCCTTTACTTGAATTCAACAATTGATCAGATCAAAACAGTCATATACAACTATCAAGATGGATGAGTCACAATTCATTGATCAACCTGTTGATGCTATCTTTGGGGATAGAGTGAGAAGATTCCAAGAGTTCTTGGATAGAGTTGATTCTGATGGTTCAACTTATAGAACTGTCATTAAAGAAATGTTAAAGAAAAGCAAATATCGTTTAAGTGTAACCATTGATGACGTTAGAGACTTTGATAAAGAATTCTGGTTAGGATTATTAAACTCTCCTGCTGAATATTTACCAGCTTGTGAAAGAGCTTTAAGAGATACTGTTCTTACGATTTATGATCCTTCCGATCCAGAAATTGAAGAATACGACCCAAATCAACAATTTTATTTATCATTTAAAGGTTCATTTGGTGATCATCATGTCAGTGCAAGATCAATCAATTCCAATCATCTTTCTAAATTGATTTCTATTGAAGGTATTGTAACTAGAGCTTCCTTAGTTCGTCCAAAGATTATTAGATCTGTTCACTATGCTGAAGAAACAAGTAGATTCCATGCCAGAGAATATAGAGATCAAACCACATCTTTCGATCCAATTTCAACTCCAGCAGTATATCCAACTGAAGATGCTGATGGTCATAAATTATCCACCGAATATGGTTATTCAACTTATAGAGATCATCAAAAAATTTCAGTTCAAGAAATGCCAGAAACTGCTCCAGCAGGTCAATTACCAAGATCTGTAGATGTTATCTTAGATGATGATTTAGTCGATTTAACCAAACCTGGTGATCGTATTCAAATTGTTGGTGTTTATCGTGCCCTTGGTGGTGGTGCCAACAACAACTCCTCATTCAGAACTGTTATCTTAGCTAATTCTGTATATCCATTACATGCCAGATCTACTGGGGTTGCAGCTAATGAAAAATTAACTGATCAAGATATTAGAAATATTAATAAATTATCCAAGGAAAAGAAAATTTTTGAAATTTTAGCTACTTCATTAGCTCCTTCAATTTATGGTTTTGATTATATTAAAAAAGCAGTCTTATTAATGTTGTTAGGTGGGGTTGAAAAGAATTTAGATAATGGTACTCATTTAAGAGGGGATATTAATATTTTAATGGTTGGGGATCCATCTACTGCTAAATCTCAAATGTTAAGATTTGTTTTAAATACTGCTTCATTAGCCATTGCAACCACTGGTAGAGGTTCTTCAGGTGTTGGTTTAACTGCAGCTGTTACCACTGATAAAGAAACTGGTGAAAGAAGATTAGAAGCCGGTGCTATGGTTTTAGCTGATAGAGGGATTGTGTGTATTGATGAATTCGATAAAATGTCCGATATCGATCGTGTGGCTATTCATGAAGTTATGGAACAACAAACTGTTACTATTGCTAAAGCTGGTATTCACACTTCATTAAATGCTCGTTGTTCAGTTATTGCAGCTGCCAATCCAGTGTTTGGTCAATATGATGTTCATAAAGATCCTCATAAGAATATTGCCTTACCAGATTCATTATTATCACGTTTCGATTTATTATTCGTGGTTACTGATGATGTTCAACCAACAAGAGATAGAATTATTTCAGAACATGTTTTAAGAATGCATAGATTTATACCACCAGGTTTATTAGAAGGTGAACCAATTCGTGAAAAGTCAACCTTATCATTAGCAGTTGGTGATGAATTAGCTCTTGAACAAGAAGAAAAAGAACAACCGATTTTTGAAAAATTCAATTCATTATTACATACTGGTGTCAATGTATCAAGATCATCAAAGAAATCTCCAACTATTTTATCAATCCCATTCTTAAAGAAATATATCCAATATTCAAAGCAAAGAATAAAGCCAGTCTTAACTCAACGTGCTTCAGACTATATTGTATCTACTTACTCATCATTAAGAAATGATTTAATCGATAATAATCAAAGACATACTGCTCCAATCACTGCTAGAACTTTAGAAACTTTAATTCGTTTGTCTACTGCTCATGCCAAAGTTAGACTTTCCAAGACTATTGATATTAAGGATGCTAAAATTGCTGAAGAATTATTAAGATTCGCTTTATTCAAAGAAATTACAAGAAAATCAAAAGCTAAGAAACAAAAGACTGTTCTTGATTCAGAATCAGAACCAGAATCATCAGAAGATGAATCAGAGGATGAAGCACCAGTAAGACCAAGTACCACAAGAACCAGATTGAGAGCACAAGCTAGAGCTTCTGTCCAAGAAAGAACTCCATCACTTACCCCACCACCAACAGAAGATTACACAGGAAACGAAAACCAAGAAAATGAAGAAAATGTCGAACATGATCTTGATAACTTACGTATTTCTAATGATATTCAACCATTAGCTGAAACTACTGCTCATGGAAACGCTGGTTCTGATAGTGGTATAAACTCCGGTAGATATGCTGCGTTTGTTACTACTATGTCAAGAATTATCAGATCTCCATTATTTGATAATGAAGATAGTGCAGCTCCAGTCGAAAGTGTAGTTGAAGCTATTAATTCCGAATTACCACAAGAAGAAGTCTTCTCTGAAGCTGAAATCAGTGCTGCTTTAGAGCAAATGGTTCAAGAAAACAAGATTTTCTCTGGTGAAGGTAAGATTTACAAAATTTAAGTTTGATTTTGGGTTCGATAATGTTTCATGTAATATTAATATTGTATATTTTTTTTTAGTTCTTCCTAATATGTATACTTTTCTCTTCATAATTTGATATTTTAGATTGTTTATGTTAATAATAAATCAATGATTAATACAAGGTTGCAAATCTTTTTTGGAATCAAAGAATCTGATTTCTCGTATTGTTTTGTGCTCATTTTTGTGTGTATTTATTTTTTCAGTTTAGTTTTATAAATGTTTCAAAGATGCTTTGGATAAGTTAATTGACACAGATATGAATTGATTATGAGTAGGGAAGAAAATAATAAGAATAATAAGAGAGATCGAATAAAAGGAGAAGAAGATAACGAAAATGTGGAGATAAGTGATAATGATGAAATTGAAGGAGAAGATTCGACCCCCAGAGGTATAAAGCGTGAAATGAGTGATGATGATCTAAATGATTCAAAGAGAAGGCGAAGTGAATACGAAGAGAAAGGTTCACATACTGCTGTGATAGAGTCAATAGGTGAATATGTGCTGGATGATTCAAGAACCGAAGAAATAGTGGATGGAGAAAGAACAGATATAAAGGAGGAGTCAGAATCAATAAAAGATGACGAGAATGAAGTTGTACTGGATAATTCACAAACTGCAGAAGTTAGCCAAGTTAAACTGGAATCAGATCAAGAGTCAGAGTCAGATTCAGATTCAGATTCAGATTCATCTTCAGGTGAAGATGATGACAATATACTGGATAATTTAAAAACTGAGGAAGTTGCTGGGAATGAAACTAATGGAGATGAAGAAATAGTACCAGTAAAGGTCGAAGAGGAAGAAGGATGGAGTACAAACAAACGTAAAAAGAATAAGAAGTCACGAAATAGAAAAAACAAAAACGAAGCTGTTGATGGGGAAGAATTATTAATGCATACTTATCATACTTTACCAAGAAATTGTAAGAAATTCTGGGGTAGAAGGTATAAGTTATTTAGTAGATTTGATGATGGTATTTATATGACATCAGAATTATGGTATTCAGTTACTCCAGAATCAATTGCACAATTCAGTGCCAGTCTTATCAAATATCTTTTACCAGACTGTAACAATATACTAGATGTTTGTTGTGGTGGGGGTGGTAATACAATTCAATTCGCATATTTATTTGATAATGTTGGAGGTATAGATATCAAAGACATAAATGTTCAATGTACGGTTCATAATGCAGAAGTTTATGAGGTTGCAGATAGAATATGGACTCATGTTGGTGATTGGAATGAAATGAGTGCAGAGGGAGATGATGAATCAGTTTCAACGTCCTGGATTCCTGAACATTTAAGAAAACTGGAAGATATCGATACAACATTTGATATGATATTCTGCTCACCTCCATGGGGTGGTACATCATATAATAGAGGATCAAATGAATTCGACTTATATCAAATGGAACCATTTGCCATAGATAAACTTCTTGAACTGATGTTACAATATACTCAAAATATAGCATTATTTTTACCAAAGAGTCTGAATTTAGATCAATTGCGGGAAGTGACGAAGAGGTACTTTGGTACAGAAGCTTGTTGTCGAATCATATATATAAAGTCTTCAGGTTATAGAGTGGGGATATTAGCTATGTTTGGAAAGGATTTACCAACCAACTATATTGATTATGACGAATTTTTCAGAACTGAAATGGGATATGAGCCTGAAGTAGAAGGTAATAATAACGATGATTATAATGGTGCATATAGATATTCAGATTATGATGAGAATGAAAGACGATATTCGTCTGATTCATATGATTCATATAATGATGAAAATCCACAGTATGAAGGTAATAAAAGACAAGATGAAAGAGAAGAAGATCATTCGGATGCTTATTATTCAGATAATGGTGAATATCGCTCTCCATATCCAGAAGATATGGATCAACAACAAGGCGAACAAGGAGAATATTATTCTGATGAAGCGGGTACATATTATTCTGATGATAGAAGGTCATATGATTCGAATGAATATGATGATTATCCACAAAGTGGCGATGAGAAGGGTTCTTACCATGAAGGAGACGACAATCAACGGTATGATGAACAACATGATTATTATTCCGAAAGAGAAGGACAAGAGGAGACCAATGAGAATCAATGGGATTCAAGATCAAGATCTGGATCATATTCCTCAGGATATTATTCTGATAATAATGATAGAGTACAATCTGAAGGTGTAGAATATGCATCTCAGGAGAATAATCCTCCACAATCACAAGAATACGAACAGTATGACGATGAAGGGGAAATAGGATACGATCATCAACATTCTAGTGAGGACCTTAATCATAGTACTTATTCAAACGCCAATGCCAAACCAGACCCCGAACAAATACAACAAGAAGAAAATTATTCCGAGGAACAACAAAGTCCGTATCTGGATGACATAGATCAAGAACAACCACAATCTGATGAAATGGGAAATGATTCCGATCTTCAAGATCAATCTGATCAAGAACAAGGTTACTCTGATCAACCCAGTCCACAAAGTGTTCAATACGACTCATCTGTAGCTGATGATGACGATGGTGATGGTAATAATTCTGATTGATAATAGTTAATTGTATATATAATATATAATAATGATACCATAATATTATATACAGGAATCAAGAATTTGTCTGTTACTCCTCCTTCTCCCTCTAAAAAAAGTCTCCTTTTTAAAAAAATGTTTCGTTGTTTACATTTTGATGGTTCCTATCCGACATTTTGCAATCAAAGTGATGGATACATTAAGTGATAAGCATCATACATCATCAAAACTATCCACTTTAGCTTCCCGTACAATGTTATCAGGCTCACATCAATCCTCAAATAGAAATACCGACGATGGTAGTTTTGGTCATCATGCTGTTGAACGATTGGAGGATGCTCTACTGAAATTAGAAAATGAAAAAGTGAATGCTTTATCAGATGAAGTTGCTTATTTAAGACAATTGATAGAGTTTCAAAACAATAAGATCGAGAGATTGACTACTATTATCACTGATTATTTTGGTAATAAGAATCAAGAGTCTATTCTTAACTCATTACTGAATGTTCAAGATAATGTATTGGACCATGATCATGATCAAGTTAATGAAGTTCAAGAACAAGTTCGTAATCAAGTCGATCAACAAGTGTTATCATCCCATCAAGATATTGGTCAACTGGCTTTAGATGGTAATATGGATCCTCAATTACAACAAGTTGCCGCTGCTGCCGCAGCAGTACAAGCTCATGAACAAGCACAACAACAAGCGCATGTTGAACATCAAGAAAAGACTAAGAAACAACATAAACGTAAACATGATATAACATCTGATCAAGCTGGGAATAATTCTGATATTTCGAGATCATCAAGTAAGAGACCTAATATAGTGGTTGATTTCTTACAAAATCCCGCATCAGTTAAAGAAATATATGAAGAATTTACTAAAGGATTCCGAGGTCAACCACCATTGAAAGATATGGATGTAAAGTATGGAAAACATGAATGGAGAGGAGATTCAAGATCGAAAGAATCAAAGAGATTTCAAAGAAGAAAGAAGTTATGTGATGCCATTGATCGTGGAAGTATTAAATACGGTAAACAATCTGATGAAATCATCAGTTATATTGAAGAATTCAGAGGTGAAAAGTCTTTGACATGGGTTATGAATGGTAACTTACCTAGTGATTTACTTTCATGAAGAGTCAGACTTCAATTCTATCTGTTTACGTATTGTTGTTGCGTTTTTTTTTTAATAATTTTGATTTAGTGTTATAACTTTTTTGTATATTAGCTTACCGAGCCGGCTCCTATGACTGAACTAATTCGATCAATTCACCTGTTTTTTTCTTCATTACTTTTTCTAAAATCTATTCCACTATGTATAACTATGAATTACTTCAATCAAATACCATTATAATGTTTTAAAATTCATAATTGTTTGTAGTATACTGCTCGCACGTGAACTCATCACCATACTCCTTATGAATTACCTCATACTAAAATTTGTGAATGACCGCAAAACATGAGTGAGTGAGAGAAGAAAAAATTCTCGAATATTCGGCGGTTGCGATTTCCGGGTAAATTTAATTCAATGACAAAAAAAATTTCTCATATTAACCAAAAAAAAAAAGAAGTTAAACTGGCGACGAATTCGATTTTTCAACTTTCAACTTTCAATTACTTTGAATTAGATTTATATAGATTAAAACTTTCATTGTTAAGTCATTGATAGGAAAATGTTGTCTGCTAGAAATTCAGTTAAAAACGTCACTCGTGGTTTCCCAGCCTTTGCTCGTGCCAACTCAACTGCTGCCCCAGGTGGTCCAGTTATTGGTATTGATTTAGGTACCACTAATTCAGCTGTTGCCATCATGGAAGGTAAAGTTCCAAAAATTATTGAAAACTCTGAAGGTGGTAGAACTACTCCATCCATTGTTGCCTTCACCAAAGAAGGTGAAAGATTAGTTGGTATTCCAGCTAAACGTCAAGCTGTTGTCAATCCTGAAAATACTTTATTTGCTACCAAGAGATTAATCGGTCGTCGTTACGAAGATAAAGAAGTTCAAAGAGATATTAAACAAGTTCCTTACCACATTGTTAAACATGAAAATGGTGATGCTTGGATTGAAGCCAGAGGTGAAAAATACTCTCCACAACAAATTGGTGGTTTCATTTTAAATAAAATGAAAGAAACTGCTGAAGCCAATCTTGGTAAAACCGTTAAAAATGCCGTTGTTACTTGTCCAGCTTATTTCAATGATGCTCAAAGACAAGCTACCAAAGATGCCGGTAAGATTGTTGGGTTAAACGTTTTAAGAGTTGTTAACGAACCAACTGCTGCTGCTTTAGCTTATGGTTTAGAAAAGAATGATGGTGAAGTCGTTGCTGTCTTCGATTTAGGTGGTGGTACTTTCGATATCTCTATCTTAGATATCGGTGCCGGTGTTTTCGAAGTTAAATCTACCAATGGTGATACCCATTTAGGTGGTGAAGATTTCGATATTGCCGTCGTTAGAAACATTGTTGAAACTTTCAAAAAAGAATCTGGTATTGATTTAGAAAAAGATAGAATGGCCATTCAAAGAATCAGAGAAGCCGCTGAAAAAGCCAAGATTGAATTATCATCTACCGTTTCCACTGAAATTAACTTACCTTTCATCACTGCTGATGCTTCAGGTCCAAAACATATCAACCAAAAGATTTCAAGATCTCAATTTGAAAACTTAGTTGATCCATTAATCAAGAGAACCGTTGATCCATGTAAGAAAGCCTTAAAGGATGCCGGTTTAGCCACTTCTGATATCTCTGAAGTTATCTTAGTTGGTGGTATGTCAAGAATGCCAAAGGTTATTGAAACCGTTAAATCTATTTTCGGTAAAGAACCATCTAAAGCTGTTAACCCAGATGAAGCTGTTGCTATGGGTGCTGCCATTCAAGGTGGTATCTTAGCCGGTGAAGTTACTGATGTTGTCTTATTAGATGTTACTCCATTATCTTTAGGTATTGAAACTATGGGTGGTGTTTTTGCTAGATTAATCTCAAGAAATACTACTATTCCAGCCAAGAAATCTCAAATTTTCTCCACTGCTTCTGCTGGTCAAACTTCTGTTGAAATCAGAGTTTTCCAAGGTGAAAGAGAATTAACTAGAGATAACAAATTAATTGGTAACTTTACCTTATCTGGTATTCCACCAGCTCCAAAGGGTGTTCCACAAATTAAAGTTACCTTTGATATTGATACCGATGGTATTATCAAGGTTTCTGCCCGTGATAAGGCTTCTAACAAGGATGCTTCTATTACCGTTGCTGGTTCATCTGGTTTATCTGACGCTGAAATTGAAAAGATGGTCAATGATGCTGAAAAATTCGCTGAATCTGATAAAGCTAGAAGAGAAGCTATTGAAAACGCCAACAGAGCTGATCAATTATGTAATGATACTGAAAACTCATTAAACGAATTCAAAGATAAAGTTGAAACCGCCGATGCTGATAAAGTCAGAGAACAAATTGCTTCCTTAAGAGAAATTGTTCTTAAAGCTCAAGCTGGTGAAGAAGTTGACCCAGCTGAATTAAAGACCAAGACTGAAGAATTACAAAACGAATCCTTAAAAGTTTTTGAAAAATTATACAAGAACAACGAAGGAAGTAGTGAATCTTCATCTGAAGAACCAAAGAACTAAGTATGATTAAAATCATTTAAACTTTTTCTTATTTTTCATTTTAACTATGTCTTCAAAAAAGAAGATGAACATATCAAGGACAAAATTTTAACTTTTGTTCTTCACTAATATTGATTGAAGCTTACTTTTTCATATTGTATTTATTTGTTGTATATAATGGAGCTTCATTTTAGTTTAGTCCGTATACTTATCTTTATTTTTTTTACTTGTATATATAAATTTCTCATAATGAATGTTCCCCTTTTATTAATTATATCATTATAAATAGTCTATGTAGTTCTATAATCATTTAAATCATTTAGATTGTGTTGAAAGCCACTAGATCTCTTGATGGCTAATTGTGGTTGCATAGTTGGTTGCGTATGTATTCTTCTTTGATCAAGAACGTTAAGATTACCCTTTGTATTTCTCTTAGTTTGTGTTCCATATCTTTGAACAAGAACTTCAGATCTAACACTATCGATAACAGATGGTGGTTGATTAGTATTGGTTGATCCAGAATATACTGAATTGGATTGATACAGATCACTATCAGAATCATATTCTAACATATCACCTAAGATTGATCTTCTATTCAAGTAATGGTTCTTGAAATTTTCTTCTTCAGTTGTATTCATGTCTTCTTCAGATGCAATAGATTGTAATTCACTTGGTGTGTCCAGGATTGTAGAAGCTTTGACACTAGAGTATACTCCATATTCACTTTGAATAACTTCACTGACCGAACCTCGTTGAGTAGTTGCTTTTTCATCAGTGATTTCTTGTGGAAGATGTTGTTGCTGTTGTTCATTATCAGCCACATAATTATGATACAAACTTATCTCTTGTCTCAATAATATTCTCTTACTTATTACATTTCTTAAGTAGGTTCTCCATAAGTTAGGTACATCCATACCTTGGAATTTTGAATAATCCAAACTTTGTTCATTACTTAAATGTGGAGGTGGAAGTGGTGCAACACTTTCACTTTCACTTGCAGCATCTTCACCATCACCAACGTTTCTCATAAGCTGATTATCAATTTCATTTTGGAATTCAGGTAATTGAATCTTATCATCAGGAGGCAGGTACTCTGCTAATGGATTTCTTTGATATTGAATGGTTTGTGATCTAGGTAATAAATCATCTACGTACTGAGCCTGTTGTTCATCGATATATGCTGATAAATGACTTAATTTCCCATCTTGTGGATTTGGTTGTGGTTGATTTGAAATATAAACATTTTCAGATGGAGCTCCTGCTAAAAACTTCAATTTATCATCTAATGATTGTACTCTTTCAGCTTCATTACCATCACCTAAGTTTGGATTATTCAATGGTGCAGAGATTGATTTGATTCTATTGTTTGCAGTGATATTTCTAATACTAACGTTTCTTGGATTTTCTCTAAATTTTCTCTTTAAAGTCTTTGTCTTTTGTCTCTTCATTGAACTTGATCTACCGAATCTCTTTGTCGAAGCTTTGAAATTTTTGAACTTTATGAAATTTAACTTCTTTATTAACTTTGCAAATCTAAGCTTAAGTCTATAAAGTAGCCCACCTTCTTTTCTTTTTATTGCATTGTGTCTTGTTAATGTTGATGTGTTGGATAATGCTGCATAAAGTGCATCATCATCGAGATTGGTATTTGCTCTATTAAATCTTAATTTTGATTTTGGTTTAGACTTGGACTTGGATTTTCTTTTATGTAATTGTATATCACTTTGTTCAGGTCTGGTTGAGAAAATCGTGGCCTGTGATCCGTTATAGTGAGACTGTGAATCAGTGAAGTCCTTGGATAAGCTCACTGAAGTGATCGGTTTTAACTTGGAATTATTATTAAATGATTTTTGATATCCCACATCATCACTATTCACAGAAGGAGTTCCATCACTTAAGTTATCCAACCTTTGGGCAATATATGGAACTTGTTGATCTATGATAAATTGAGAAAATCTTTTTGGAACTTGATTAAATAAAGAATCATCATTTGATGGATACTTTTTGATATGCATATTATTTTCAGGTTCATTTTTAATAATGGTTGGTGCTCGACTTGAATTAGGTAACTTGTCTACTGAGTTGTCAGGTTGTTGTTTCTTAGGTGTTGATATATGTTGAGTATTGGGATATTTAGGACCTTCATCACTATTGAACCTGTTCAATAAACTGAATGTGTCCATGGAATTATTATTATGATTAGTGTTGTCAAATATCAAAGCATATGGAAATGAAATGGGATTCGAGGTGGTTGAGACAGATTCAACTTCTAGATTATGTAAAGTTTCAGAATTTGAACCTTGAGGAGGTTTGTCAATGGTTGTTTTACTCATGTTTAAACTCATGACTAAGCTTGAATCAGTATCAGATCCAGTGGTTGATCCTAGCAAGTGTTGTGAGGAATGTGAAGTATTATGAGGATACAACTGTGAGGCAATCGTAGATCGAGGAGGACTTGGTTTAAAAGGTGGAAGTGGAGGAGGTTGTGGTTTCACTGTCAACATACTTCGATGCTGATTTGGATATTTATTTATTAACATTTGTGGAATTAGATATGATCAATAGTTCGTTTCAGGAGTAGAGTTGTGTAAGGTAAAGTAACTTTTCAGAAGAATGTGAAATATAGATTTAAACAAATTCCAACTTGAAATCATGATATGAGGCTATATAATCTATTGCACAAAGTAATCGTGTTTGGATACCAAGCCTGATCCATTGATCTCAGGAGTATACACTGGGCTGGCTAGAAAAATCGCATTGTTCAAGATATTTTTTTGCAGCTTTTAACCAGCCATTTATTTTTGTTTTTCACGTTGCACCCTCAAATTTCTGCACTGAACCCTGTGAGAAATATATATCGAATTGACTACATATTATTACTACCATACTACAGTTTAATAAAGTTAAGATTTTATTTTTAGTATATTAAATGGAATTCAAATGATGATATAATGGTATATAAGCAATTTTTATAGCAATAAATGACACACTTACCTTTCATAGAATCGTTCGGATTCTAAAATAGTAAAAGGATTACGAAAGCGAAAAGCAAGTATATATAAAAAAAAACGATGAAAATGAATAAAAAACGTAAGGATAAAGCAATTTTTTTGATTTTTTGATTGTTAAAAAAGAAGTGAAACCGAATTATTGATAAAATTATACCTATTTAGCAGCAGCTAAACCAACAGCATCTTTCTTTAAATCGTAAATGGAATAATATCTTCTTAAGAAAGCATCACCAACAATAGCTAAATCACCAATTGGTTTTGGGAAATCCATTGGGGTGAAAACTGAAATACATGAACCACCAACTTCTAAGATATAGTCACTAGCAGCTAAAGTAAAGTTATAACCGGCAAAGTTTAAGGTTAAATCTGGTAAAGTTTCCTTCTTTTCACATTCAATTTGGTATTGACCAGACCAAGATTTAGTAGCACCAATCTTAGCATTAATGATTTCGGCTAATGAAGATGGTAAAGTAATTAATGAAGTACCAGTATCAATAGCAGCACCAGTGTTCTTTAATTCAGCAAATTCATCACCTAAACCAATACCTTCGAATGAAACTTCCCAATAAGCCTTTCTTCTAACTGGTAACCAAGTGATTTTACCAGTAAAAGCACTGGCATCATAACCACCAAAGGTGGCTAAACCACCATCATTTTCATCTTTTTCAGTATCACCTAAGTAGAAAGCAAATTGAGGGTAATCTAATAAACCTTGATTAATGGCATTATAAATTGGTGGAATAATCTTATTAACTGAAATAGTATCATAAGCTAAACCTAAAATACCATCGAATTTACCAAATGCAAATGCTAAACCTGGTTCAGAAGTAGCTTCAGCAAAATCTTGTTTTGGAATAACTAAATCACCAATCTTTAAAGTATCTTGAGAAACATAACCTTCCATAGAACCACTACCATATTGAATGGAGAATTCAGAACCATTAGCTTTATAAGTTGAAGATGAGTCATGATCATATTTAGCATGTAAGAAACAAGCCAAAGAGGAACAATCTTGAGATGGAACCCATAAGTTAGAAGAACCAGTATCTAAGATAACTTTAAAAGGTTGAGGAGGAGAACCTAATTCAATTTCAGTGAAATATTGAGCATTTAAATAATTGGTTAAAGGAACATCATGACCACTTTTTTGAACAAATGGAACTTGAGCTTCATTTGCAGGATTAGAACCACCTAAGATAACTTGATTGGTTGGATTACCGTTAGCAGCATTAAATAAATTCAAATACTTGTTGGATAAAGCATTAGTATATTCACTAAAAGTGTTTGCATCTAAAGTATCTTCTAGTGGAACTCTCTTTAATGAAGCTGAATGTTTACCGGCGTCAACTGGTAATGCAAGTAAAGCAGTGGCAATGGTAGTTAAAAGTGATAAGGAGAACTTCATGACTAATTAGGAATGATGTAAAGTATAAGTATGAGTAATGATTATATTATCGGTCTATCTAAGCTTTATCGTCTGAGAAGGCGGGGGGGGCAAGGGCGGATAAAGGATGGAGTAAAAGGAAATGAATAAAAAGGATATTCGATGAATTGATGCAATGATGGATTGTTTGGATAGAGGATAGTATTTATATGATTGACTCAAGTAACTAACTAGAGAAGAAGTAGAAATGAAGAAGAAGAAGATGGAAATAGTTGTAATTACAAAAGAGCAATTTGTGGTAACAAAGATTGTTCAGCCTTTTTTTTCACCTACACACTATCCTGATGAAGTCACCATAGTTAAAGGATACTCCTAAAATAGTGGCAATTTAATGAGATTTCTTGTATACAGGTCGAGGTTCTCAAAATGGATGACTTGTTTACTAATTAGGAAGTGAGTTTACAGGTTATCACTTTCCAGACAAAAAATATTTGATTTACTACTAGCAAGTTTTGCATGTTACCCAAGAATTCTTGAGCTGGGGATGTTCCAAATGTAGTAGATGAAATATGAATATGGTGGTGAGTTCAACTATGGCGATAAAAAACTGCAAAATTATGATATCAACAAATTATCGAGATATTTATGTATGAAGTCGAGTATTAGTTGCATAGAAACATATTGTAATGGTGCTTTATTTCAATAGCTTGTGATGTAATATAAGGTGAATGTTGTCTTGTGATGAGAATCTGGTCACGAGGACAAAATGTCGCACCTCTTCAATCAGTATGTCGCTAGTTGGATACAAAAATAAGCTTGTCGGGATTTCAACTTTATCGCTAAAGTTGCAATGATTGTCAATGGCGAGCTTCACTGCAACAATTCTTATTTTAGTAAAGATTAGAATCATTCAATCAATGTCACAATAACTGTTTCTAGTTTCTCATAAAATAAAACTGCAATATCCCGTGGAATTTATCGGTATATATAAATAGGTTGTGAATTGCGCTTCAATATAATTACCCGCTCTTTACTACTTCAACTACTCCACTTTTCTCTTTTAATACCATGCCTTCAAAATTAAGGCTTTCATCGTGACTTGATTCTCGGGAAATGCTGAATTTTCCACGATTATGATTTCATTTTTGAAAATACTCTGAGGGAACGGCTCCCCGAATATGTATCGTAAAATGCATTATGCACTTGGATGCCAAAGGGCCTTTGTCTAAGAATTTTGAAGTTGTGCAAATTGCGAAGATATTTACTGATTCTATCTTAACTGAGGATTTTGTGATATTTTTCAAACTCTAAACTTAGACCCCACTCAATTATTAGCTAACAAGATAAGTGAGATTTATACTATGTTCATGTATAATATTGTTATATATCGTAAGAGGAATCAAAACTTATGGTATGATAAATAAATTAACGATTAAATAAAAATTAACGGCTATATGATATTCATACATTAAAGTAAAATAAATATAGAAATTAACTATAGAAAAATTTTTGCAGCAAAAAGGCAAAGATAAACACAATAAAGAATTGAACTAGATGATCAACATCCAGTGGAATAATTGAAATTAAAAGTAAAACAACAAGAAGATCATGGGAAGTGACCAATTCTTGGACCAAAGTAACCATCTGGAGCAGTAGCTGGATCAACAACAAATTGACGACCATATCCAGCATCAATACCCGAAAATGAAACGATATTACCCCACCAGTTTATATCAACCTCCTTATACTGAACAGCAAAGAATTGGATAAGTCCAGAGAAAGCAATACCTGCATGAACACCAGAAATCAAAATATAATTATACTTCTGCCACCAAGCTGGATACCTATTCTTAGCATACCACATAAAACCAATGGATAAGTAAAGACTACCCCAATAATATGTTAAATTATAAGGAGCATAAATAAGGAATCCACCAATAACAAGTGTTGGTTCGAAGTACTTCGTAAGCTTTTTTGGCCCGAATTTTTTGAAAATAAGACATGGAATTGCTAACAAGAAACCAATTAGGAAACAATATTGCAAAATTGGATATAATCCGTTGAAGACTCTCTTTGGTCCAATGACACCCCACAAGATCGAAGCACTGTAAAATGTTCTTGCCCCTGGGCAAGTAAATTTTTGCGTGTTATGAGGATCACAATAATTCTTGATACTTGAAATAGCAAAATTAAGAACTCCTAATTGTACAAAAGATGTTATGAAAACCGAAATAATCTGTGCTCTGAATAAAGCTCTTGGAGGAATCTTAACATAATGAGCCATCTTTTGATCAGTAATATAATTTTGAGCTTGCCCATCAATATTATAACCAAATGCTTTGATGAAGTTCAAAGCTAAACCATTACCTGGAAGAGCGTAACCAACAATTAATTCGACTAAAACATTAAGACCAAAAGAGAAACCAGTTCTGGCATAGACAGCAGTGATTGGAATTAAAAATATGAAATTAATACCAAGGGCGAAGAAGAGACCCCAGACAGGTGTTTCAGCAGGATAGATCTCAACACAAATAATAGCTAAAACAAGTGAAATAATTAAAATAACTATGAATGCCCAATCAGGAACTTCTGGATAGGCTGTCATCATAGTGGTATGAGGATCAGTAAAGCCTTCAAAAGTAGACTTTCTGTAATTCACAATTCCAGAATATACACCTTTAAGGGCTTTCACAGTAGCTTTATAGTTTTTTCCAAGTTCATACACCACAGCGAAAGGGTAAATAGCAAAAAAAAGCACCATAAAGTACCAAATTGGCTGCACTATAGAATGGTGGACCAATTTGTTGATACTTTGCTTCGTCAAGTAATCCATTTTCATTCAAAATGGCTGTAACAGAATATGGCTCACCAGTATTGGTAAATAAACCATTTGAATTAAGTGGTAAATATCCAGTCCATTTATAATTTGACCAGTAAACAGCAACAATACAGAAAAACGCAATTCCGGCACCAACAAAGAAGTTGATTTGATTGTATAATGGCACTATCATACCAGAGTTATTATCAAATACATTCCAATCAAATGATGCAATTGGATTTAAACCCAAACCACTAATACTACCTGTAATCATAGCAAGATTGAAATTATCTGGGGCGATCCAGGTCATCCAATTAAAATATGAAATTGCTTGGAAAAGGTAGTTTGGAATCCAGAAATATATAAACATAGCTGCAAAACTGATAAAGAAAAAATAATATTTGGAAATAGTCCAACCGTTAATATTCTCTCTCTTTTCTGGTTGCATCAAAGCTTTGTTTAAAGCAATGGTAGGTAATAATGTAGGCCAAATGGCTTCTACTGGATATACTGCAAATTTTCTCATAACACCAGCTAAACCAAAACCTAAGAAATTGTTGGATAAAATTAATAATGTTTCATAACCAAAATCAACCCATGTATTATCATAAAATACAGACATTTTTTGAACATGGATATTATATGATACGTAACTAACACCCCCAGACACAGAATAAAACAAAGTAGCTAAAAACTGTTCCTTATGGGACCATGGGCCAGGATTTAAATCAACAGTATATTTCCAGACGGTAAATTTCCATTTTGGCAAGATCTTGGCTAATAAAATACCAGTTGGATAAAGAAGGATTTGAACAACAGAAGCAGGAAGAGAGATACTTGGTTGTCTTTCTGAAAAGAATTGATTTATAAAAGCACCAGCACAAGTCCAAATAATACCTGCAATATAGACTCTAACAGTTTCAACTGGAATAGAAGGATCATCGTATGGATCAGTAACAGATCTAACTTCAGGATAAGGGGAATGATAGGCAATCAAAGCTGCTTCTAATCTAGTTTGCAAATCCAAATCAACTATTTCATGATAATCACCATCATATTTTGTTTCTTGAATTGGGCTGTCAAATGAAGAAGTAGAAGCATCCTTTTTCTCTTCCTTAATCGAATAAGACAACTTTTCTTTAATATCAGTAGAAGGTAAACTTGAAGTACTTGCTAAAGAAACCAAATTCTCTAACAAATCCAAATCAGGTGTTGGAATGTTAATATCATCTTCATGTTCAATGAGTGCTTCTTTCAAGATTTGGATTGCTTCTTCAAAATTTAAAGCCTCAATTTTTTCAATCATAAACGTTGCTTGAATTGGCAAGTTTTCTAAAGATAACAAGTGATTGAAATGTAAACGTCTTAAAATAAACCATTTTTGGTCACTAGTCAAAGTCGTTCCCACATCTCCTATTGAAATAGGATTAGAGGCAATAGCTCTCAAATCAATTTCATGATCTTCAAGGGCCAAGTGACTTCCAACACTTGTAATACTAGTTATGGCATTAACTTTTTCCGAGTCAGTCATCTTGATATAACTTTTGAATGAACCAGTTTTGTTGTATTACTACAATAATAAAGTATGATCAACTAAAAGATGTGAAATTTTGTCCGTATTTAAATATTTTGACAATTGCAGCCACTTCTTCCATCCGACATGACAAAACTAAAGTTAGAGCCATTCAATGACAACATTCAATTATAATTTAAATTATTTTCTATGGAAAAGATAGCGATAGACAAGTTACATGATTTTAGATAAGGAGGTCCATAAATTGATTTACCACAGTAACCATACAGTTTGTATGATAATTTTTAAATTTTTAGCTGCAAGACAATAAAACGGAAGAGCGCCTTAAGAAAATAAAAAATAAAACTTTATTTTATTACGTCACATGTAATAGAAAAAGCCGACTGGTAACGAATTGCGTTTTTTTAAAGCCAGTTCCACACATACCAAAGTAATCCAAATTTATTATTTGGCTTAGGGTTCGAATTATTCTAACGCCTACCTGTCAGGGCATGATCTAAATTAGTCTGTTAATTTTCTTAGTCAATAGAATGTTTCGACGGTCAATGATAAATACCAAGTCTCAAGATAAATTGAAATTGACAGGAATGGACCTGACATTGAAATCGATAAATTATTCTTGTTTATGTTCATTAGCTTTTGTCAAATTTCTTGTCAGTCTATCTTTGAAAAATAAAAAAGTGTAATATTTTGTCAAAGAATTTGCCAAGCTTCAAAAATCTTTACCAAAACTCTTTCACTGTATCGGGGAAAAAGCTTTATGCATTAAATATACAATCGTTCCGTTCATAAATATAAAAATTCGGTTAAGGCCCCAAAATGTTTAATTAAATTAAATGGCAAATCCTATCCTCTTTCATATCAAATTTAAAGTTTCGCAATAATTTTATTTAGAGTAAATTTCGCCAAGAGTGAAACTTGGGTGTATAAATTCATTCCTGCCTAAGTGCCATACGGCTCAAATTTATGATTATATTCAATTGTGGTGTTTATGGTTATATACTTATCATCTTTTTAGGTTATGTGATATATCTTGAATGTAATCGTATCTTTATCTTCATCCACTGAAGTAAGAAATTATTTGCCAATTTAAGTAAGGGTGGAACACAAAACAGCAGCCGCGACCACAACTAAAAATGAATTGGTTCTTCAATTTTTATTTTGATAACCCCAAACTGGCTGAATGTAGAACCCCCAAATTTTTATCCAACTGATAACCGCCTCTTGCAAATTAAACGAGTGGAGCCATAATCAAAAAAGTTAAATCACCAGCTAATGGAAAGGCTCTTAACACTTTGCGGTTTGAGACTCTGCTGCGATAGTTGGTCTCTTATCTAACTACTTGATAACTCAAATCAATTTTGGGGTAGGAGAAGTCATAACTGGGTCAGAGTCAGAAAACTGATAAGTGTTCTTAACGTATCACAGTATCAATACCTAACATTTAACCATTCAAACCATTGTAGAACTGTAACACAAGTTCAATAATGGATGGTACGGATTCGAGAGGTTTACGACATAATTTTAGCTACAAGATCCATACCTCAATTACATCGTAATTTTCATCAAGTTCCCGAGGAACAATACCAAATGCAGAATGCTGTGAAAATATTCATTTTAATCAAATCTTAAGAGCTGAGTTCTGTTGTTTGCAAGCGCATACGTTGGTGTTTATATTTCAAATTCACTTCAGAGATGATCGGATTAGGATGGATAAGGTCTACAGTGGATAATTATTATCCTAACAAACCTATTAAATTCATTTCTAGACTGAAAAATCAAGATCAAACAGCGAATACATCCACCTTACCAGAAATTTTACAATCAGCGGTACCAGAATTATATCAAGATAACTACTTTTACATTAATCCATTATTATCAACTGGTCATTTTCAAACTGCATATACTGCCATCAATAATTTTGAGCATATAGATCATGTCCATTATAAGCGTCGAATCTTGCCCATTGAAAATAAAACTTACAGAGTTGAAGAAGATGATATCAAATATGATCGTTGGGAAGGAAGTTCAACTGTTGCCCTTGATTATGTTGTTCCAGAGTCATTAACAGATCCTGATCATTTGAATTTCAGACCTTCATCACAAACCCATGATTTACCTCCCAGAACAGAATATCTTGATCCAGCAAAAGAATTGGATTTGATTAAGGATGATTCGAAACCATTATTAATTGCTCTTCATGGATTATCAGGGGGATCCTACGAAGCTTACATCAGAGCAGTATTATATAAGATCACTTCTGCTCCATATGACTTTGATGCTGTTGTGTTGAATTCTCGAGGCTGTGCTAATCATACTATTACATCCCCTCAATTATATAATGGTTTATGGACAAATGATTTAAGATATCTTATAAACGAGCATATAAAACCAAAATTCCCAAATAAGAGAATCTATTTAATTGGATTTTCATTAGGAGGAGCTATTTTAGCTAACTACTTAGGCCAAGAAGGTTCAAATGTTTATCCTATGATCAAAGGTAGTTGTATAGTTGGTACCCCATGGGATTTCCCTGATAGTGCTATACACTTGAGAGAAAGTTTAATCGGTCATAATGTTTATTCACCTACCATGTGTCAGAATTTATTAAAGTTATTGAATACTCATTATGAAAATGAAGGATTCTTAAAACATGATAAATTCATTAATGATTATAAGATGGATCCAAGTAAGTTCAAAGCTGTTAAATACTTGAAAGATTTTGATGATTTATTTACTTCAAAATTATTTGGATTTAACAGTGCTGATGAATATTATCGTCATGCTTCTCCTGTACAACGATTATTAAAAGTTAGAGTCCCAACTGTTATTTTATCCTCAAAGGATGATCCAATCACAGGATTCAGAACTTTACCCATCAATGAAGTTAAATTAAATCCTTATACCACCTTAGTCACAACTACTACTGGTGGTCATCTTGGTTGGTTTACTGTATCTGGTAAAAGATGGTATCCGGAACCGATTGCGAAATTGTTACTGGAATTAGATCAAAACTGGCAAGTTGGAGAAGTTGAAGATGAATTAGATTTACCTGTTGATATAGATAAGTCTTGGAAACATGATAGATTGGTCTATGGCATGTTGTAAATAAAATTTATAGTTGTATTTAATAATATATTAATCATTTAATTCAAAAAAGGAATAGTTGTGGTATTGAAAAAAATGTACAGTGCAATCGCTCACTTAAATTTTGTGTACCACAAACGCAATCATAAAATACAAACCACTAGGGAGACCATAAAACCTTCTCCAAGCAACACAGCTAGTATCAGAATGACACAACAGATACGGCAAACAGATCAATCGAATGGTCCACAGACACAGGGAGTAGCAACCAATGGCGCACATAACCACAACCACAGCCACAACTCCAATGTCAATGCTAGAAAGAATCCAGTCTATACCCCATCATTGAAATGGGTTCAACAAATTAGAGCCTTACCATCCAAACCCAATGATAGTTTACAATTAGAGTTTGTCATCGATAATCTTGATAATTCAAGGAAGTTGATTGGGCATATTAATGATTTTACGAATAATGTGGAAGAGTTTACCGATATTGTGGATGAGAGAATTAATGGTGGATTATTGCAATTGAATCAGGTTAAGTTTGAATTGGATTGGTTACAATGAGTTTTGTTATATAGATGTATAATATGTATTAATAAATGTATAGGAATAAATATACCTAGTTTCTATCACCCAGAACTAAATATAGAAGAAAAACCCAAAAATTGTCATTAAAAGAACAAATCATAAGTGAAATAAAATATAGTAATAAAATGCAAAAAATGTATTGATTAATTATGAGGTTTTTGATAAGTCTTCATTATCATTGATTTTACCTTCATAATCATCATCATCAGTGATGATGAATTCTTGAAGTGAGATTGATTCTGAGCTATCAAGATTTTGGTATTTACCTGATTCAAGATCATTATTGTTATGTTTAGCTTCTGAATGATCATCTTTATCATCTGGTTTATATCTAATGATGATAAAAGCATTGGTAATGATTAATATTATACCCAATAAACTTAATACACCGGGTAAATGACCCCAAATGGTTAAATCCCAAATTAATGCGAAACACATATTTGTATAACTCATTAAAGAAGCCTTAGCAGCTTTAACTCTTTGAACACCAGCAGTTAAAGAGAATTGCATAAAGAAACCCGAAAATCCAATCAAACAGAATAAAAGCCATTGATAACCATTAGAAGGTAATACAAATTGTAAACCTGGAATGATTAAAATAGCAACAAATGAAATGATACAACAAGTTAATGCGAAATAACTTACTGATAATAATGGATGAGCTTGCTTACCAATTTTTCTAAGAACAATGTATACGGAAGAGGCACCACAAACACCGATTAAACCAACTGCAGTAGCTAATAATCTTTTTTCTGTTGATGATGATTCAATCGATTCATCGATAGAAGTTTCTGTATCTGATTCACTTCCAAAGATGAAATGTGGTTTAGCAATTAAAATAACTCCGCCTAATGAAACTATTGAACATATAGCTTCTAAAAGTGAATATTTTTCATGTAACATTGCCCATGCTAAGAATGCAGTAACCATTGGAATTAAGAATGTGATGGCAACTGCATCACTTAATGATAAATATTGTAATGAGAAATAAAGTCCAAACACTCCGAAGAATCCAACAAATCCTCTAAGAGCTAATAATTTTCTTAAATTTCTTGGACCAAATGGAGCATCAGGAACTGATTTGGTAATGTACATATATAACAAACAACAGATATAAGTGATGAACATTCTTACTAATAAGATCTGCAAAGGATGGATAGGAACATTGAAATCTTTATCGGTGACCAATAATTTACAAGTGGTTACCATAATGGAGTTGAAAAATTGAGATAAGATAAGTAAAGATATACCCACGTTTGGTGCGATATAACTGGTATAGATAGTATCTACAAAGATAAATCTAAGTTTACCTATGATGCTATTACCATTACTGGCATTATTGTTGGTGTTGTTGATGTTGGTATTATCATGAGGAAGATCAAAATCTAACGAATCGACTGAAGTTCGATTATCCGTCGGTGAAGATCGCAGAGGGGTAGTGGTAGTATTAGGATTTGACATCAAGTTTTAGTTTGGTTAGTTGATTAGAAAGTGAGTACTGTACTAGATCAATGATATCAATTAATGGACCAAATGAATAAAAGTGAATATATAAATAGTTAATTGTAATTATCAAATTGTGGAAAGAAATGATCAAATCAGGAATAATTTTTATGCTCCAGAGATTACTTCAAAATGTATGATGGCAGCAACAGCAGCAGCAGAACCCAAGAAAAAAGAAAAAAAGAAATTTCGAAACGGATAAGAAAAAAAAATTATATTACGCTTTGCCTCCTTTTCTATTATGGTAAAATTGATAGTCAATAACTATCTGAGTGAATTATGATTAGAGGGATAACAAAGTTTATAAAACACGTCTACATTGACAAGAACGTGTATTACTCCACTTCACGAAAAATATCTCTTAGTATCATAATAGACTTATGTTATCGTTATCAATATTCAAAAGTGGTATGAGGAGAGATAGAGGCTTATATACCGTAATTCGTAACGAAGTAGAAATTAACCAATAAATCTGCAACCCACCAAGTAGTTATATCACTAATTTATTGATATGGATGGTTGACGTAAAGCCTAAGTTTTTAGCTTAATATTTAGCGTAGTAGAAGAATCGGTGTATGGGGAAAAATATTTAGTTGCAAATCCCCCTGGAAAAAATGACGCAGAATTGAAAACATCGGTACTAAGTTATCACCAACTATCATTTATCACAATAGCCTCTATGTAGATCTTTTTTTTCATGTAGATAAACACATTTGAATGGTATTTGATATTAAGAATTGCGTTTAAGTGAATGTACATATTATAATCCATCAATTAAGAAATTGGCCGAACCTGCAGCCTAATGGAGTGCTTAATAACATGACAGAACAGAATGAAGTATTTGAGCGGGGGTAAACATTACACAATGAGCTATAAAAAGTATAAATGTGTTCTGACCAGAGTATTTTACCATATCCTTCATTCTTTTTAGTGCCGTGCGATTCACCTTCATAGATTCAAGCTTTTAACTATATGCAATGTAACTTTAAAAATACGATTCACATCCTTGTTGGATTAATCCATTGAGTGGTTCATTTTGTTCAGTTGTTCATGGTATAAACTTACTCTTCCTGAAAAGACATGTTACGATCCTCACAGACTTTAGAGAGAACCAATGCAACCAAGTATATCATTGATAAGAGATAATGAGTTTTAGTAATACTAGTATTTTAGTTGATCTGATTTCTTGGCAACTAGTTATTTGATTTCTGAACTATGCCGACCAACTTTTATTCAGGAGTTCATTTATCAGTGGTTGTCATCATAGGGACATTAATCACTATTACTTTTACTCAGAATAACTACAACTCAAACAAAACTATTATAAGCTAAACATGGAGAATTGAAATTAAAATGTTAACTATAAAACAATAATAAATTAATAAATAGAAGTAAAAGTAAAGTACATGAATGTCAGAAAGGGGAAAGGCGATCATTATCATAATATGACACAGCATGAATTTTTGGGTTTAGTTTGAACTAATAGACTAGTTCTAATAGCATATTCAAAGATATCATCCACCCCTTCACCTGTCAAAGCACTGCTTTCTAAATAAGTTTTAGCCCCAATCTGTTGAGCAACTTGAGCTCCTCTTTCAGTTTGAACGAAATTAATTTGATCTTTTAAATTTAATCTTAAATCTTTCTTTAACCCAATTAAAATATATGGAGTATTAGGACAATATTTTTTAACTTCTTCAATCCATTTTGTTCGAGCAGTTTCTAATGAATCTGGGGTATCTAAAGCAAATCCAATCAATACCACATGACTATTTCTATAACTTAAAGGTCGCAATCTTTCATATTCTTCTTGACCAGCTGTATCCCATAATGCAACTTGAACCATTTTACTATCGATTCGACAATCTGTGACATAATTTTCAAATACAGTAGGATGATATTCAGTGGGGAATTCTCCTAATGTAAATACATATAATAAGGATGTTTTACCAATGGCACCATCACCCACGATGATTAATTTTCGACTTACTACTGGTGATTCAGCAGTCATGGTTTTGTTGTGGCTGGGTTGCACTTGATGGTGATGCTGATTAGATGATGAGTTTTATTATATACAAAAATTGTTTTGGATGTGAACCTTTATTAATATGATGATGAGCTAGTTCTATTATATAAACAACTCAACGAACCATTGAACGATTCGTTATGTGTAAACTGTAATAATCTGAAAATATTATTGGTGACTCAATATATAAACATACGACTCAAACACACACACACAGCAATAGAAGTATTATATTCAGATCTTGCTGATTTGAATCTCTATATCTATTTCTTCAAATCCAAGATACACACATATAACCAAATATTTATACCGCAGTCGTATCTATCGTACATATAGATACTTCCACACAGACACACTTTCTTTTAATATCTCCTGTTTCACCAAGTTACCACTGCCTGCCCAAAATCTAAAAAAAATAGGCCAAAAAATAAATGTCTGAGTCAACCCAGCAAAAAAAAAAAAGTCATTAGTTTTTAAGCAGGGCTCAGCTAAAAATAAACTTTATTTACACTAAAAAGATGTTATGAGTTATGAGTTATTTTTGCTATTGTTTGAAATTGTTAGCAATAAATTTTATAAATCCTTTAATCTTAATAGTTGGATTCAGGTTTGATACGATTCAACACCATCACCATAAGAGCAAAATAGACATTTTGGAATGTTTTATAGTGCTTTTTCCTTCTTTTTTTGACACATTTTTCATCTCTGACCTGTATGGTTACGTTTTTGTCTGTCTGATTTATTTTTATTGTTCTCGGCTTAAAAATGTCTGTCAGATGGAATCTAGATTTAGCTTTCAATTAACTATGTATGTGTGAACATATATTATTATAACTTAGATATATAAGCAAGGATTAAATACAATATAAAAAAGAGATGTAATAGCAAAGAAGAAGAGAATTCATTAGTTCCAGAAACCACGACTAGTCTGAGTCTGAGAATTAACACCATTAAGATTACCAGTATTATTGGTAGGATTGATATTTCCATTTCCTGTTCCATTACCAGTACCCCAATCAGAACCATATGGATTCATGGTCATGTTAGTTGGATTATTAATTTGATTGAAACCGGGCAATTGAAAACTATTTCTAACACCATTTGTTAATCCTGGCGGTGGACTAGTAGTTGACATTTGATTCAATGGTGGAGATGGCAACGGTTTCACTTGAACATGAGTTACATTTCCAAAATCATCTCGAACAAAATCAAATTGATAATTTCTATTAACAATATTATTCGCATGTAAAGCATTCAAAAATTGACTAATAGATAAAGTTGTACTATTAATCAACAAACTTTTAACATTCAAATAAATATCATTAATGGAAGCAAATCCAAATTCTAATTTATTGGTAGTTTTTAATAGTTGAAAGTTTTCAAATGCCAACTTCTGAATCAATTCATTATCAAAAATAGTATTTGTAGCAGGAATAGAAGTAGTAGGTATAGTCGTAGCTCCATTATTACTCAACATTGAAGGAGTATTACCCCAAAAGCCATTCGTAGTAGTAGTAGTGGTGTTTGTAGGACCATTGACACTATTATTTAATGGATTCCAAATCGAATTATTTCTGGAAGTAGCTGAACTACTGTTATTGCTTGGAATCGAAACCCCAACATTTGTTGGTATAGAACCAGATAAATGACCAGTTAATAAACTATTAGTGGTAGTAGGACTAACCCAATTCTTATTAACTGCTGCTGTATTTGTAGCAGTATTAACTGAATTATTAATCACCTGAGGACCATTTATATTAAGATTCTCTACGCCTGCAGGGATAGCAAAATCATTGAACGGACTAAAAGTGTTAGCAGCACCAAACTGATTTGTATTTGAAAATTGTTGTCCAACAATACTACCACCAACATTACCTATATTACTGATGTTAGTGGTTGAATTGAGTCTAGATTTACTTCCCCAAGGAGATGGAGCACTAGATCCAAGACCAGAGCCATTATTACCATTCAAATTAATGTTATTTACATTACCAATTTGAGGCTGCGTAGCAAGTGGACCACCGACAGTTGTTGCAGATGAATATAAGAAACTATTACGAGTGATAGGTGATGTATTAGGATTCATTAATAAATTGGAGGTGGTGTTAGGTAATAAACTAACTGGAGAAGGTGACTGTGTTTTAAGAAAGGTAGAAGGATCTATTCCATTAGCATGGTATAATTGCTCTAATAATGGATTTCGAATTGGTGAAGTAGTTGCTGTTGTTGCAGTAATGAGATTAGCTTGTCTTACTCTTTCTTCTTCCTCTGACATTAATCTTTGTTGCTCTTCTTCTTGCTGTTTGATCAATAATTCTTGTTGTTCCTTTTCCCGAGATTCTTGTTCTATTCTTTCTTGTTCTTCCTTCCGTTTCAAAAGTATTTCCTCCTTTTTCTTATCCTCCTTCTGTTTCTTTTCTAGTTCTCTCATGATACGTTCTTCTTCCATTTTCTTCTTTCTTTCCTCTTTCAATTTCTTAGCCTCTTCTTCTTTCTTCTGCTGGGCCTCTACCTTTTTCCTATGTTCTTCTTCCTTTCTCAATTTTTCTTCAGCTTTCTTTCGTTTTTCTTCTTCACGTTTAAGTTTCAATTCTTCCTTTTTCTTCATCTGTTCAGCCTTTAATTTATCCTTTTTCTCTTTTAATTCTTCTTCCTTTGCCTTTTCTTCTTCTTCTTTCTTCTTACGCTCTTCTTCTTTAGCCAATTGCTGTTGCTTCTTCTTTTCTTTAGCCTTTTCCTTTTGCTTTAACTTCTTAAGGATACGTTCTTTCTTTAAATTTTCTTCCTCCTCTAATTCTTCGATCAATTTCTGGGTACGATCTTCAGATAATTTTTCCTTGTAAGCAGTCTTTAACCTCTCTTGAAATAACTTAATGACTTGAATCAAGAACAAACGACGAGCTTCTTGCATTTTTTCTTCTTCTGAAATTTCACTTTCAGTATCACTTGCACTTTCATCAAGTTCGTCACCATCTTCATCGTCGTATTCTTCATCATCTTCGTCATCTTCTTCTTCATCGTCATCTTCATCTTCAAGGTCAAACTCATCATCATAATCTTCGTCATCGACGTCGTTCCAAGCGGTGTTATCCTTATGGCTATGACTATGGCTATGACTATGACTATGACTATGACTATGAATACTATTTGGAGCAGGTTTAATATCATCTTTCAATAAATCTTCTCTGATAGCTTTGGATTCAGAAAGTGATTCCATCATATCAATAAATGAATGGCCATCGTTTTTCAACAAATCTTCCGCAAAATTAGATAAACCTTCAGTTAATTGATCGCTAAACTTATTAGCCAATAACTTTTGAGTTCCAGAATCGAGTGAGCCATTAGGTGATGAAATAGCAGTAATTGCTGTATTAGAAAATAATTTTCCCATATTTTGCAAAAATGCCATACCCTTTTCTAACTGAGCTTGATCAGTCTTATGTAAGTCTCGAATAATTTCTCTCAACGATCCTGCTTTTTCTAACAACTGTATTTGATTTAGATTGTTACCATTGTTGTTATTGCTATTATTCTCGATTATTGAATTTGAAGCTTGTTTCATTTTATCAAAATCAAGACTTTCTAAAGCTTCGAATAATTTTGGATCTAGAAGCTTATGAAATATTTGTTGTTCACTAGTTAATTCAGCTTGATTCTTCTTAGCATCTTCAATAAATTTCTCAATTTCGTGTCTTATATGCTCAGGAGTTTGAGTTTGAAGCTTTTGCTTGTCAACTATAGGTTCTATCTTTGGACGGGGTATTTCTTCAACCTTTTCATGAATTATTTGCTGTTGTTGAAGTTGAGGTTCAACTTTAGGTTGTACTTTAACATTAGATTCTTGTATGGTGTTATGTTGATGTTGATGTTCTTGTTGAAGTTGGTGGTTTTGGGTTTGTTTCATTCGATGTTGTCGTTTCTGTAGCTTATGCTCTTCTTCAAGCATATGGAAACCACCAAACAAAAGACCTGGTAATGCATTCAAATCATTAATATCTTTGATTTCATGGATGAAAGATATGATATCATCGAAGTGGGTGTCATAGATAGTTTCCAATTCATCTTCAATAATATTATTTCGTCTACCACAATATTTACAAGGACAATTATTTATATTATTATTGGAGTTAGATAAACCGGTTGACAATGAATTAGTAGGATTGTTAGATGATTGGGTATTATTACCATGAGTTGATTGATTTGCCAATGATCTTGCTTCACTCTTAAAAGTAGCTAGGATAGATTCTTTATCAATCTTAACCAACTTCTTCTTTTGATCTTCATCTAATGTTTCCCAAAACAATTTCAAACTCTCCTGTTCTTCAATACTTGAACTGTTCCATATATTGGCTGATGCAGGCTGATGATTATGATAATGCTGATTGTTAGCACCATGTGTAGATGAGGTTTCTGAATATTCATCGTCTAAACTTTCAACTATTACATCACCATTGGGACCCTGTTTAATCACTCTTGATTTTGGGTATTCTTCATTCGGATCATTAATGGTGGCCTGTACATTAGCTGTAGATAACTTAGATTTACTCTTACTCTTCTTCTTCTTCTTCTTCTTATTACCGTTATTTACAACTTCATTGGGAGGTGTATTTGTTGCGTTTGATTCAGATGATTTCTCATAATCAAAATGAATATCATTACCCAGTATATATCGTGATGCCGGTTCCATAATAACTATGTACTGCTGATGATGATGCCGATGATGTTTGAATCAATTTGTTATGTATCAGATAGATGGTGTTAATTTGGTTTTGTATTTGCGGTTCTTGTTGCTTTCTTCAAAAGTATAATTCAAGATATATGGTTAGAAATTCCTCACTTGATCCTAAATTATATGATATTATCCATCCAAATAACGTTTAACTTGATCTGTACAATGATTTTATTATTAATGGCAGCCTTTTTAACTGAATACTCTATATTGAGTTTACAGCAAAAAACAAAAAATTTTTTTTGTATGGTAGTAGTTAGACGTTTGGTTTTTGCACACACTTGGTTAAAATTATCACCATTTTCTTGGACTATATGTTGGTTATAGGTTCACGCTATTTATCCATTAGAATACACGTAAACATAGATGATACTTGCTCAATGGACTGCATGAACCAGTAATAAGACGGTTAGATGGTTCCTAACAGTGTTTGTTCCAAGTCCGACACCCCATCTTGCTTGACGAACTGCATATAACTCTATTTCCCGATTTGCCGACTAAAGCAGAAGATTAAAATGTATATTAATCAAGAGAGTCTTAGATAACTATATAAAAAAAAGGTATAATCGATGTCAGAAATCGATGTCAGTAGATATAGATCTACTCCATCATGATTTGTTTCAAAAGCTTACTTTTCAGCAAGTTTCTTTTTTAATTCTTGATTTTCAGTAACAACCGCTTCGACTAAAGTGGTCAATTTATCAATCTTTGAATATAATTCATAGAATTCCCATTTTATACCTAAACGACTAGCTTCTTCAACAGGTTTGATTGCTTTATTAATATCATCATCAAACTTTTTGTAATCAATTCTAAATTCTGGATCTTGATCTTCACCTTCTCTTTGAATTCTTAAATCTTGACTAACTTCTTGATTTCTTTCTTGGATAGTATCAAATTCAGTCGAGAATCCATCAGTTAAGTCCCATTCAGCATCATATTCATTAGCATCATCAGCTAATCCTTTATATCTGTTATATTCAATTCTGTTGGCATTAGCTAATTCATCCAGAGTAATATAAGCTAATAATGGAGCATAGATAATCAACATTATAAAATAATTTAAGGTCTTGAATGTGCTTCTTGGTAATATCCAACCTAAGGGAGTAATCAAAAACTCGATTAAATTAAAAGGTGGAACATAAAGATTTGCATCTGGAGCTCTGATATATCTTAATGTCTTTTGAGCAACTAAAGCAAAATATTCATCAGTTGCATTTTCAACAATAGCAGCATATGCAGTTGAATATAAAGCAATCAAAATATTCATCAAGATAACTGTTAAAACAAATGAGTATACGTAATAAAGAACAGATGCATACGGAGGAACTAATTTTTCAACATCTTCAAAGCTTGATTCACCAATAATAGCTTTGACTAATGAAATTAAAATACGAAGAGTTGCTTCACTTTTACCATCAGAAGCATCTAAACCAAGGAAACCTTGTAAAAATCCAATAATAACCACGAATAACAACACAAAGAAATAGATTGATTCTTTCATCATAGTTTTAATAACAACAATCATAGCCCCAACAAATTGTTGAGCATCTAAGAATAATAATAATCTTGACCACATGAATGGAGCAGCACAGGAAAGGATTCTAAATGCGATTTCATCATATCTTTCTTTACTTGGTGCTGTAGTGTTTACACTGGCAATTCTGAACCCAATGGAAGTGAAAATAATGGTATACATGACATCATTGAAGGCATTCCAAAAGCCTAAATAGTAATATCCAACATGATAGAATTTAACAAGTTCATCTAAAACTGAACCTAAAGTTACCAAAAAGAACAATACTTCTGGAATATCGAAATGATCAGTTGTATTTTGATGGCCATTTAAAATTATAGTAAATAAAATTAAATAACCGATACTAACAAGGATTTCTAAAATATTTTGGTATAAAGGAGTTTTAACTCTTTCTGGATCAAAATGAGTTCTAATTAAATGTGATGCAGCACCTTTATACATGACATAAGCATGTGGGTCGGTAGATGATTGAATAATCCAACCTCTCCAAAGCCATTTAATACAACGTTGATAACCAGCTGCACCAATGACAGTGGTACTGTGCATGTCAACAGCTAATTCTAAAGCACTAACTGGAGTAGCATCAATACCATTTAAATTGATGGAATATCTATGAGTTAATAATCCAAGAAAGAGATATTCATCATTATCACAGGAGTCAATCACTTTAGCGGCTAAAATCTCAGAAGTCTTGGCTCTGAGTAAGAACAATGCATTATCACTTAATTCAAATTCAGCTAATTGCCAATACCAGCCGCAGACTCGAAGTAAACAAAACACGAGGGTAGCACGATATTTATGTGACGTGGTACCTGTTTTACCATTACCTTTCCCACCAGCAGCTTCATATACTAAATCAATGATGTTGGCATTAAGAATAGGCGAGTTAGATGAAGTGATATCTTCTTCATCAAATACAATTGGAACAACTTTATCAATTAACTTCTTTAAATTCAAACAAATTCTTAAAGTTTGTCTTGGATTAGGACAAAAAGTGTCAAAGATAGGGGATTCACTATCATTAGTGCCCTCTGCTAACAATGGAGCACTTTGTTCCAAATCAAGAGTAGCGTCTGTCATGATATACCAGCAATTGAGTAGTCTAGATAAACAGTTTCGTTAATAAAGTTGTTATTTTAGGAGTGGATCTTGGTTGGAATTTCATAAATTTGACATATCATCTCCTTTTTTCCCTACGCGTAAATACGTCAGTGAGAATGTAATTTCATCTCCATTGTTTATTCCTTATTGGATATATTAACCATACAGGATTGGACACCTACATCTCCTTGTATCGTCAAAGATTAATAAGAAAATAATGGAAATGATATTTCTCTAAAGTTTGCGATGTAGACGTTTGAACTTGTCAATTGCTTGTTATATTGCTATTTAGCCTCTCGCTGAAGCCAAATTAGAAACGAACACAAAAATATTGTGTACCTTAAAAATGATAGGGCCCTCGAGACTCTTTTAGTTCGCCATCTTCCATCGACAAATGCTGAACTACAAGAGTTCATTTCCCATACGGCCAATTAAAAAAGAAGAAAGACAAATTGGAAAGAATATCTAAAATTTCTGTTAATGAATTAACGTTTAAGAATATGATAATTTTGGGCCATAAGCACATAATTAGGGTATATATTAAAAGGGAATCTCATTTTAGGTTATTAGTTGGTTGAACGTTATAACTATGTTGATTTTTAAAACCCACCAATTACAAGGGAGCTACGTTTAGCCGTAGCATATTTCTAGGTATAATTTCTTATCTTCTCTCCACACTAACCTTAAATATTTTAAAGTTTTGTGTAACAGTAGGCAAATAACACCACTGCAAAAATTCAAAAATTGCGCTTTTTTACAGTCAGGTTTGGAGATATATAACAACTAATGTTTCCATTTTATTAGTTCTATTCTTAAATTAATTTACCAGTCATAAAATGTTGAATGTAAGTAATATATTGCCAATACAGTTACAAACAATCTTTTACTAACATCCTAGTTTTTTAATCTTTTCCAGCCTGATTGGAAATCAGTTTCTATTGCTTTCCTCTCTGCAAAATTTATGTTTGAGTCGTATTTGAAATTGAGACAACATAATATATTATCCCGTACAGTGGCACCCAGTTCATCCAATGAAGAATTAGATCAAGAGAGCTTCGAAAAGAGACAAGAATATTCTCGTGTTAAGTCTAAATATAAGTTAATTGCAGATACTTTGAAGTATTTTAGAGATTTATTTATCATTCAATCAAACTTAAATTCCATTATTTGGACAGTTAGTGGTGGTATATTAACAAATTCAAATTTCTTACCACAAACTGAGCTAAGTCAGTCTTTAATATTTTGCACTGTTTCCAAAATATTATTATTTACCTGGAAGTTACCATTTGATCTCTATTACAACTTTGTTATCGAAGAAGAATTTAACTTCAATAAGAGCACAGTTCCTGATTTACTAATAAGTTCTTTTATTCAAGAATTTGTTCAATGGGTCATTGATTTAACTATTATTTCATCTTTTATTAAACTTATTCAATATTTTGGTAGAATTCCAATCTTTCATTTAACAGCAGTCGTATGGTTGGTTTTTACTATGGGCTTTGCTATATACCCAAGGATTATTTTGCCTCTATTGTTAAAGGTTAATCCATTACCAGAAGGCGAATTGAGAAGTAAAATTGAAAAATTGGCGGAAGATAAATCTTTTCGTCTTAACAAAATTTCAGCTATCGATGGTTCATCATCAACTGCTCATACTAATGCATTAGCAGCAGGCTCACCTTGGAGTGGAACCATTGCTATATATGATAATTTTTCAGATCATCTTTCAATCGATGAAGTTGTCTCCGTGGCAGCTCATGAATTAGGACATTTGAAATTATTCCACCTTGAACAACAAAGTATATACCTCAGTATTATAGTCGGTTCTAAGCTATTGTTCATCTCGAAATTCATTGAAAATAAAAGTTTATATGAACAATTCGGATTACCAGGAGGCACAACTCCTTTTTTAATTGGATACTTGATAGCTCAAGATATATATATTCCATTAGAAGTGCTTGGAACTTTTATTGATAATTATTTAAAAAGAAAAATTGAAACTGATGCTGATTATTATTCTGCAATTGATTGCGGATTCAAAGAAACAACAGCATCAGCATTATCCAAACATCTTAAAATGAACTTATCAACTGTTTCTCTGGATTGGCTTTATTCACTTTATTTCGAGACACATCCAAGTGCTATAACAAGATTAGAAGCACTTAATGTGGCCATAAGAAAGCATTCTTAGAATCGGCAACATAAGTAAATTATTTCTGTTAGAAACATTAACAGAAGTTTATAGAAATATTTAGAAATCCATAGTCTCAATCGAAAATAGCTAATCTTTATCAACAAAAGTTGACCATCGAAATATACTTGTAATACTAAAATATTTGAATGTTAAGTAGGAATGCGCTTTTGGAAATTGTGTCAACCTCTGTGGATGTCAATTCAATTGCCACATATATGTTATAATTCGAAAGCGATCATAGAAACAGTTCAGAATTGACTTATGGAGTAAAATTCCAGAGCCATGTTTTTGAAAGGCAATTGGATGTGATGTAACTAAGTAAAAGTATTTAAGGTTTATTTTAAATATCTTGGCAAGCTATAGTACAGTAATGGGAGTAAGATTCCACGCGCAAATTTGGTTCAGGTACGTAAGCCACTTCTCTCCTTGGCTCTATGGTGTATAGAAGAAGTTCTTATTTATTGTAAGTTTTCTATTACTTTATTAATTGTGATTTATCTACATTCAGTATTGAAATCAGTAGAATAGTTACCTTATCTATCGCTTCTTATTCTGGTTCTTGGGACTACTGTAGTTGCATTAAACTGATCACTTATTGCGAAGTGTATTGAAAACAACAGTTTATACGAACAATTTGGATTTGCAGAAGGGCTAACTCCTTTATTGATGGGGTATTTTATATCTCAGGATATCCTAATTCCAATTCTGTCGTTAACAACATTTCTTCATAATTACGTGAAAAGAAAACTAGAAACTGATGCAGATTATTATTCTGCAATTGAATGTGGAGTCAAAGAAACAACCAAATCAGGATTAAGTGCTCTCTTCAAAGAGAATTCTTCACCAGTAGCTAACTGATTGGCTTTAATCACTTTATTACAATATACATCCACCCTCGCAAGAAAGATTAGAAGCTATCCAAATAGCCATTGAAAAAAATACATAGAATTTATATTAGAAAATGTAAAATGTTTTGTATAAGTTTATTTATGTCGAAAATTAAGTCGAAAATCAAATCAGAATAAATGACAAAATAGGATGTACTTTGTGACATAACTTTAAAATTTCCAAAAACGACAGGCCAAAAAAATAATAAAAGTAAAAAGAAAAAAATAATTGAGATTTCTTGACTGACTTGTTGCATAGCTGGCTTTTACAATCAAATTAGGTTGTTTGATATACGATCATATAGTATGAGGATAGATAACTGAAATTTACTATTTCAAATGAGAGCAAGTGGTGATAGATGTTGTGGATAACTAGCTAAGTCTATTATTTATTTATTTACATAGAAATGGTAGATAACGTAGATGCTGAATAAGATGAAGACAAATTGCGCTTTAATGAATGATAAGAATTTGAAAATAAGCTACCGAAACAATTTACTGAAACATAAAACGTCATTTAATCAATAGAATTAGTTTATTGTAAATTTCTAACGAAAACAATTTACGTTCTAGCCTTTGCAGAAATAGGACATCCCTTACCATTGTTAAAAATTAACTCTTCATTGTTTGTGCGGGAAACAAGAGAGGGGACCCTAGCGACTATTACTATACAAATTTTCTTTTTCCCTCCTCTCTACCCTGTAGTTAATTTTGTGTCTTTTGCAAAAAAAATATTTGGAAACAGCGCTATCAAATAACTAAAAAGCATATGAAGAATTAATTAGTCAAAATTATTTTTTTGATAATTTTACTGGCTTTTTTTAATAACTAACTCCACTTATTTGAGATTATTTAGTTGATGTAAATAATACCAAATTTAACAACTCATAAAAACTATTAAATTTTTGATACGTTACTAAAACCTTTCATTTTTGAAAACGCTAAATATTAGCTGTGTGAATCCAACTTTAAAGAATCATACCACAAAATGAGTAGCAGGAGACGACAACAATCTTTCGTCAAAGAAACTAATAGTCATTTTAGTCAACCACATAATGAACTATTAGGATCTCCGTTCCATTCTCATTCAGATCGTTCGTCAAATTATTCTTCTAGTCCAAATCCTAATGATGTCAAATTAAACCATCTGCCTCGATTATCACTTCATAGTCCTAGAGTATCTAGATTCCCCTTATACAGAGAAGAACAAAAAGTTGAAAGATTACCAAGTCCGACGTTGGACTTTGTGGATACTGTAACTGATATCAATAATAACTTATCTAATGAAAATTTAAGCTTGGAAGATAAAGAATCTCAAGAAACTCAATATTCATTATTTCTTTCTCAACCATCCTCATTATCCATCCCACCTATTCGAAATGTAGATCAAGCATCACAACTATCGTCTCCATCATATATCTCAAATTCAACGAACAACTCATATAAATCTTCTGGTCAAACATATAATGGGAAAATTAGGACTCCACCAACAACATATCCAAAAACATTTTCATCTCCTAATAGCTCTGAAAGAAGTATATCTGATGAAAGTTATCATTCCATTCAGGAAAGTTTTAAAGTAACCAACGAAAGAATTGTCGCTGTTTCTCCAACCCAACCGCCTCGTATGATTGAAACTCCGTTAAAAGCTGTAGAATTTAGTCCAGCTGATACTATAGTTCCTAAAGCAACTCCAGAACTTAGTCCAGGCTTTAATTTAGCTACTATACAAGTTCCAAAACTTAGATCAGCTGCTCAAATATCTCATAATCAAAGTCCCCAACTTAGTTCAACTGTTAGTATAACTCCCAAACAAGTTCCACAACTTAGTCCAGCTATTAGTTACAGTCCTAGTCTTTCGGTAACACCATCTTCAAACACTTCCATAACTACACCAAAGTTTCTTCAAGAATTGCATCTAAGGAGAGTATCAAAAATAGATTTAGAAGACTCTCAGTATATCTTTCAAATTCAAATTCAAATGAAACTAGTCCAGTTGCAAGCAATGATGATTATTCTCCTTCAGTTAAAACATTATCTAGAAGAAATTCCCTTACATCATTAATAAGAAAGAAATCAATTACTTCATCAATAAAAAGTCCCGTCGTTGATGACATTCCCAAGACTTCGTATTATGAGACTGCAGCATTTGATATCGATAGTTATAATAATAATACTTATTCACTTTCATCACCATCCCCTGATAGTGACATCAGTTCCTCGCCTAAATTTTGGAAGTACCATGTTTTCCAGCAAGGTAAAGAGTTTTATGTGACAACTAATCCAACCATGAAACATGCCTATTGTTTACAAGGACCCAGTTATTTTATCGAAATCACCTATCCTGAAAAATATAAGAAACCTACAGCAAGTGGGGGATTCACATTAACTTTCAAATCACTTGAAGATATTGGAACTAATAAAGCACCAAGGATGGTAATTACTAAACGTGATGATCTTGAAGGTGGACATTATACTATTTCAATCCCCCTTCTTAATAAAGCTATAGTATCTCCTAATAAGAAATCGCCATTTGGACCAAGTATTTTCAATGGATTAGCATTACCTAAGCAAGTTGATAGTCAATTGTCTGATCAAGATCCTAATTTTATAAACTATGAATTAAAAGATATAATGAATGATAGATGGAATATAGGATCAATTCCAAAAATTGATAAATATAATTCTCATGCCCATAAATTTATCTATTTCCATCAGAACTATATTGAGAAATCAAATCATAATACTTATAACTTTGGCAATTCACCATCATCAGGATCTAAGATCCCACCAGTGATAGCTGTATTCAGACCTAACAGAAGAAGAGTCAACATCATAAATACCGTAAGTAGGGCCAAATTGAAATCAAAGATTGATAGTTTAATTAAACAACAACAAAATGTCCAAGCTCTTATTAGAGATCAAAATTCAAATGTTCATACTACCAATTATTATTCATGTGAAGACGGATTATACAATCGTAAGAATCCAACGGATGATCAACCAGACGATTCTAAATTAGGTTGGATTACAATATATGAAGATAATGAGTTATTGAGAGGAGGAAAGCAGAGAAAGGATTCGTTTGATTTAGTTCTAGGATTGTTATTAGCTGTAGCTTATGAGAATAGCTTGTCGTAGATTAGATTTAGATGCAATTAGACGCAATTATACAATAGACTGTGATTATCCTCTTTTTTGTTTGTGAGATTTGTTTTTCTGTAGTAAAAATTATGGCAGCCAAAGGTATATATGGTGACAACAACAGTAATCAATCAAATAATGATATCAAAACTATTGTTGATCATCTATTGCTTAGCAGTATTTGTTAATGCAGCCCCCAATCAATCAAGAATTTGCAATAGAGATATTCATATTCCATTTACAGGGTATAAGATTGAGAATCAGATTGATTTGAAGGGATTCTCAAATAATTACCATCTCATTTATTGTAATGATAATGTTTTAATATATGATTTAAATTTGAATAGTTCAATTCCATGGGCTCAATCTTTGAATTTCACTAATACTGTCAATAGTGGAAAGATGAATCGACTTGCATTGGCAAGAAGGAAATCGTTTGCATTGAGAAAAGTCCCTGTTTTCTTGCCTAATACATTAGTTGGAGGTTTGTTTTATGAAGATGATAAAGTTGCCAGAATCTCTAATACAGATGTCAATATATCAATCTTTCAACAACCTCTTAAATCGATTCCATTGGTGGCTGATAATTTATTAGATTATTGGCTAGAAGTGGATGTTAAACTTGATACCATTCTCCATATACCTGTTTTAAGTACACCAGGAATCGGGAGTAGAAGATATAATGCCGAGTTCATGAACTACAAGTATGATGAATGGTCAAAATATATATCTGCAAGTGAAAGTTATTCATTCGATTATGATTCAAGATTATGGGTTAGAAAATCTTTAGATAAAGCTTTGAAACTGATTGGCGCTTATTCCATACTTTTACCAAGATATTTACAAACAAAGTTTAATAATAGTTCAGAAGGTGGGGATGACAATGGAAGTTATATCCTTTGTAAATTAATATTCATTTCTAAACTTATTCCAAAATTTCTGTTTAGTCGTTTACTAGTTAAAGTTGATAAAATTTTAGGTAATAGTTAAAAAGAAGAGAAAAAAATATGGTAGCGTGTATTGTAAAGTATATAAACTTAATAGTTGGGCGCAAAAATATTTTTAAATTTAGATCTTCTTTCTTTTACTTTTTTACATCTCTACATTCATAACTACATTTACATTTGCAACCCATAATCGTTATGACTGCTGCTACTTCTAAAACTTACGGCAATGTTACTGCCACTGAAGAATATACTGAATTACCTGCTCAGGCATTACTCGCCCGTTTATCAAATCGTCCTGCCTTAGCCGCTTTCAATGGTTTATTATCATCTTTTCCAATGATTAAGGTCTTCTCTGGTAATGCTGTTCCTATTATGGTTCATAGAAATAAACAGAGACAAGAATTGTTAGAGAGCCAATTACTGAAGCTTTGAGCTGAAGCTCATCTATTCTTTTATTTTATTATTATCATTTTTATATTTCCCTTTTTCTTGATTATTATCTTTGATAATTTAATTCATTCTTCTTTTTAACGGTTTTTTTTTGTTATGACTTATGGTCTTATTTTATTATCTGTTTTCTTTTCTTGGTTTGGTTTATTAAATGCTGGTGTTATTTTGTTGTTTATGATACAAAGATAAGTTGAGTTATTTCCTTTCTTTATCTTACTTTTGTTTTTTTGGTGCTATCACCAATATCTTTTTATTGTTTTGTTTTAATTTATTCTCTAATATAAAATTTTTCTATTGTAAAGAATAATTCGTAGTAAATTCATAACAGTCATAATATTATATACATTAATTGAAATCGTCATTATATTTCGACTTGTTTTCTTCTTGTTGTTCTTGTTCCTCTCTTATCTTAGCTAACATTTCGTGAAATTTATCATCCTCTTCCAAGTCAGATAAATCATAAATTATATCGGCATCATCAACAGACTTGTTTGATACGATCGTTGTTTCCTTTTTAATAATAACAGGTGCTGGATCATTATTTTCGATCTGAATTATTTCTCTATCACTTACATTTTCCTCTCCACTGTTTGGTTCATCTGCACTGGACTCATTAAAGCTATGGTGTAAATATTGGAAGAATTTATTACTCAACGTAGCAATTCTAGGTAAAACTCTAAACTCAATTAGTTTACTCTCATTTGATTTCAATGCTGTTATTAATTTATCTTCTTTAACCTTAGGTTTGACAACTTTTGCAACATTCAAGTGCTTGATTGGAGTAGATACCTTCGCTAAATTACTATCTATAGGTGTAAGTGAACGTTTCATGCTCATATCAGGATTGGTTTTTCTTGTTAATCCCACTTTACGTCGTCTTGTAGTAGTGTTTAACATATTTGGATCTAGTTTCAATAAAGCAATCGGTATATTTTCATTTATCTTGATTGCATTAGGTTTAGTTTGAGCCTTTTTAGGAAATGATTTGGAAACATCTCTCTCTGATACGGACAATTTCTCCACGACTTCAACCAAGAGACGTTTAGTAGGGAGTTGGAACTGGTTTTTGACGCGTAAATACTTTTCATGTATTATAGAATTTGATTTGGATGGTATGAAATCGTTTGCAATTATATTATCATCTGAATTTGAAACTTCTAGTTTTCCATTTAATTCATAAAATCGTAGAACTCCATCGTTCCACTTTTTATCTTTTTGATTGATCCTATCGGAAAATAAGACCGAGTATTCATGTACTATAGAATGCTCTAGTGGATTAAATGACATGGTTAGCCATCTGAAGATCTATAATTGTTCGTGTTTACCACATTTGCATCTTTTTGTTTTTAATTTTTCCTCTAATTGAGATCTACACTAACTTCATTTTTCAACGTTAATAAAAATATCTATTCCTATGTGCGATAGTGTTATTTAAATATATATATACAGATAATTACAAGATTGTTATTTATGCTTTATAGAATGGGAAACCAACTGAACTTAAAAGTGTTCTTGCTTGATCATCAGTTCTGGCAGTGGTCTTAAAAGTAATATGGAGACCAGTTAAGTTAGGAAATAATTCTTGGAAAGCTTCAATTTCTGGAAAGTTTTTCACATCTTCTGGATCTAAACCAAATGTTATATTACCACTTCTATCACCTGAACTAAGTTTTATACCTTTGAAAGTTCTGATTCTTGGTAATACTAATTCTGATAAAGTGGTAATGAATTGGGACATATCAACACCAGTTAATTCAACTTTGGCACCACATGGTTTACCAGCTCTCATCTTCCATGGCAATATATTTGCTTTAGCGTAGATTTGCTTAGCCTTAACGTTGGTTATTTGTGAAAGAAGTAATCTACTTGAAATGTTTAAGTATGAATCTTCTAATGCATGTTTGTTGAATATTTGAACTACCACCAGTTCTAATTGAGGGATGTTCTTAAAATTGATTGGATTTATATCTCTAGTTTGACGAGTTGTTCCCACTGGTTTCTTTTGAGGACGATACATCTTATATGGAGAATCTTCACCCCAACTTCTCTTTTTATTACCGGAGATTTTTTGTGCATCATGTTTATAGAAATGTAACATCAAGTCTGATTGAATAGTATTGTGATAATGATCGAGTAATCTATCTTGATCTATTTCAGTTGGCTTGTAACCAACTGCTAGTATATCATCTTTTGGAACCAATAAACTTTGGTAATTGGGCTTTAAAGCTGCCTTTTCAATCTTAACCAAATGATGGACTGGTTTAACTGTTGAATATCCTGCTCTACTCAAACTCGAAGAGTTAGAGAAAGCACGAGTAAATGTCCTAGATACACTCATCTTTCCTCAATATTGTTAAGCCTATAGTATAGTGTATAGATTTAGTTCATGATATTTGAAGTCTGAAAAATTTAAAATTTTTAATTTGTGAGATCAGAATTAAATTTACCCGCACATATGTGTATAACTGAGTATCTCAAACTATAGTGTAAAAAAATCATATAGAGATAGTTAGACAGAAGATCTAGTAAACAGTAACCTTCTAAAGAATAAATTGGAGATAAGTAATGAGGTTCGGACTTCCAGCTGATTATGAGTTGGTGGTAGACACTCAACTTGCTCAATTGCCAGATAGCGTTGACAGAAATGACAATTTAGCACCACAGAGTTTAATAAATATTATAGACTCTATCCCTGTTCGAAATAAAGTACCTGACAAATTTAGAGATATGATTTCGTCAATAGACAGATATTCAAGAGAGAGTAGACTGAGGAAACTCAATGAGGTTAGTGAAAAAGTACTGGCATTCAACAATGACCTCCATAGTCATACCGCTTTAATACAAAATGTCATATCAGATCTTACTACTGAGTTCAACAATAAATTACAACTTCAAAATTCTGAAGTTCAAAAGATCATACATGAGGAAAAGGAGAGAATAAGACTATTGAAAGAGTTAGAAATCAAGAAGGAACAGGAGAGACTACGTAAAATTGAAGAAGAAAGGTTACGAAAACTTGAAGAAGAAAGAATAAGACAAGAAAAGGAAAGGCTACGAAAGGAAGAAGAAGAACGAGCCAGAAAACTAGCTGAAGAAAAGAAGAAAGCTTTGGAAGAAGAGAAACAAAAAGCACTAGAACTCGAGAAGAAGCAAAAAGAAGAACAGGCTAAACGAGTAAAGTTAGCTAAAGAAGAAGAGGAAAAGAAGAAATTACAGGCTGCTACCCTTGCAGATGCATCAAAAGTTGAAAATCAGTTCTTGAAGTATAAAGCAGATATCGCAAGTATCAAGAAAGATGTTGTAGGTAAGCTTGATGAAAACAAAGATTTAAAGAAGAGTGTCAATCAAATCAAGAGAAAAATAAATCCTAAATTCGGTCAATTATCTAATTCCAGAAGACAATTACAAAAGATCAGTCAAGAAGTCATTGAATTAGTAAAGTTAACTCAGCAATCACCATTGGCATACAAGTTTATATTAAATTTTATTGCAAAAGCTGTAGTAGATCAAGCAGAAACAGAAGTCATTGTCAAACCAACAGCTGCTTTGCCTTTAGCACACTTATCAAGAGCCTTGTTGCAAGCTTATCCAGAATTCGAATACTTTTTGAATGCCAGATTTGTTAAAAAATGTCCCTTTATTATAGGTTACTCGTGTTCAATTGATTCTGAACAAGGAAGAACGAGGATGGGTTGGAAAAGAAGAGACGGTAAGTGGGAAGATGAAGTGAAGTACGATGAAAGAGTATCGGGTATTTGTACTGTGTGGGCAGCTATGGCTAGATTGGATGGGTATGCTCCAGTCCAATTATACAGTGTTGAAGCATCCTGGACCTTTTTGGCTCGCTCCATTAACCTCAAACCCGAGTTAATAACTAATACTCAATTCTCCGTGGTAAGTAACTGGTGGGAAGCAGCTGCAAAACAATTCTTACCTAAGTTTGGGAAGCAAGGAGTCAAGATTATGACTGTTTTGGTGAGAGAATGGCCGTTGTCTGTGGCTAATAGAAAATATCCGGCAGCTGCCAGGCTTTTAATCTTCGGTGAAGATTGGATGGTTAATAATAAAATCGATGCATTAAAAGAAATGGAGCCATAATTTTTGTATAGTAGGTATTTAGTTATTTACATATATTATAAATATAAATTTAATTCTTACATTAACTATATAATTACACTTGTTTATTCATCATCACTATCTGAGTCTCCCGAGTCAGCATAATTTACTTCTTTCTTTTCACGATTACTCTTCCTTGATGGGGCTAAGCTCTCTAACTTTTCCTTTCTTTCCTTTCTAACTGTTTGATTGGATCTCTTAGTAACCTTAGCAATTTTGGTTCTCAGCTTGGAGTCTTTGCCTTCTTTTGACTTTGAGTCGTTGTCAATAAGCTTTCTCTTTCCACTGGATCCAAATAATTTCTTCTTTATAGGTCCACGTAATGCAACTTGAACCCTTTCTGAAATAAACACCCTAGTTATAACCTTTTGAACTTCAACAACACTTGACATTGGAGCATAAATATCAGTAGGAAGTTTGAGTTTCCCTGGCCATGTTTGAGTTGGCCAATTCTTTTGATCAGCGTATTCTTTGATTATGAACTGAGCTAATTCGGCAACACGATAGAGATTTATTGCTTCTTTTGGGATATCATCTCCATCATACGCATTGTAATCTATTGTTGCATCCCTGTGTTGTTTGGCACGACTAGCAAAATAATAAAGCAATGATATATTTTCTGATTTTGCAACCAACGATACGAAAAAAGTTATAAATTTTGTAGCATATGTGAAAGCTGCAATTTCCTTTTCTTCGTTTGTTGGGAGATCACTCGCTAACAACGAAAGGAATTGTTCATGATGAGCTAATATATGTATGATTCTCACAAGACATTTCTCAAACTTAATAGAACCTTTCGATTCTTGTCTTTTAAGCAATGAAAGTACCCACATAGTAGCACTGTTCTTAAGCTCGTTAGTTGGCTCTAATGCTGAAAAGAATATCACAGCAAGGAACTTTTCTGAAATTAATTCACTAGCAAGTTTCTTTTGTAAACTACTCATAAATCGAGATCTGACCTCTAAATTGGAGTCTGTAAGCAAAAATGTTAATCTTCTGATAGTATTAGAAGAAATCATTTCACTATAAATAGGATGTTGAGCCAACTTTAAGAGATATAAACTTGCAACCAAACGCAACTTCAGCTTGTAAAGCTCTGGTGTTGGATAGTTTTCTGAATTCTTGTTGACAATTTCTCCACCATTTCCTATAAATGACATCAATAATTTAAGGACTGGTTGTGCTGTGGTTAGAATCTCTTCCTTCTGTGAATCAATATCAATATCTTTATCCAAGCCTCGTAATCTGTTAACAAACAATCTCAAGGCAAGCAACTTTTCATACAAGGTAGAGTGTGATTTGTGCTTTGTGTCTAACACATCGTCAGCTAACCATGAGCCTTCATTCTTAATTGCATCTTCTTCAAGCACTCTATTTTTTAAGAATACTTCTTGAATAATCAAAGTCGTCAACTCACCTGCCTTGTCTTGGACTAGTATTGGCTCCACGAGGAACAATTCGGCCAACGCAGATAAATGAGTTGCGAAATTTTCATGCTTCAAATCTAATGGATACACCTTATCAAGAACCAGCGAGCAGTACAACTCCTTATCCTTACTTAAGCCCAAAATTTCTATACTATATTTGGCTTCTAGAGGAGTACCAGTACTTGCCAAGTTCTTCAATGTGTCAATAAAGCTTTCCTCTTGTGGGTAAATGTCAGGGAACTTTTTAATGAAGTGATATAAAGTTCGCAAACTATAAGCTTTACCACTTTCACCATCGTTATTTGTAATCAATTGAATTAAAGCGTTAAAATGATTTTTGAATACTTCGGGAACAGTTGTTGAAATTTCTTCAAGCAATTTGTTAGCTGTCACATTTAATGGATGATTTATATCTTTAGAATAATTAATTAATTCAACAATGTTGGATTTATTGTATAACAAAATCGACGATCTCATTAATAGTAATTTTATATTTGTCACCATATCACTAGTAGTAATATTATTTCTATCCCCATCTATTCTAATATTCTTAGAATCACTTAACTTTGAAAGAAGTTCTTTTATTGAGTTCCTTACTGTTTGGATATCGGAGTTTGGTGATATACAGACTTTTAATAAATGAAAAAATCTACCCTTATTCAATTTGTAAAATCTTTCAAGAACGGCGTAAGTATTTAAGCCTTCAGGGAATGAAACACAAATCCACTTTATGATCTTATCCAATTTACCCATAAGTACTGTTTTATCGTTATTCTTATCTTCACCTAAGTTTTCTTTGTCTTCTAAGGTACTAGATAATTGGTTGTATTTTTGACTCGTTTCGATAAAAGTCTCAATAACCTTGGAAACTTGCTGTTGTCTTCTATTCATAGCTAAGAAAGATTGCTTACCCTTATCATCCAAACTCTTATAAAGCAGAACAATTCTGTCAACTAATTTAACTGTATTGGTTTCATTAATAGGAATAAGTTTCTCAAACAAAATTAAATCCACAGAAGCCGTTATGTTCACATCATTAATGTAAACAAGGGATAATATCTGATTAGGTATACCTTCTGATATCAATAATTGCAATTCATTACTTTCATCTTCTTGGTGATTTCCAAAGTTAACGATCTTTCCAGAGTTAGTAGCACCGAGATATTTATCGTATAAGGAAGCCAATATTCTAATAGAAAGATTTCTGGTTTTCAATTGCTTTTCTCTGGTTAATTGGAATAAGGTTTGTAAAATGGTTTTATTACAAACTCTGTTGGTAAAATTCTCAAATGAGACTTTATCAATACATGCACAAGCAGATTCACGTACTTTTTCATCAGTATCTAATAAACATTTGTGCAAGCAACTTGTTAAAGCCGTATTCACTTCTGTAGTGAATGTTCCCGTAGAATTGAGAATGGCTGGAAGTTGACTGACCCACTTGTCTCTTACAGAAGGTGAAACATCAGTAGTTCTTTTTAACCAATTTGTCCAAGTTTCTCTATGTGTTATAACAAAATTCACGAATGAACTTGATTCTTTGGTATCGCTACCTAACATTTGACCAATAGTTTCAGTAGCCAACGATCTTATATTTTCATCATCTGTCTTCAACTCATCATCTATTAAACCCATGGCTGAACTTAAGAGACTGGGTATATGTTTCCATATTTGAACTGAAAGCTTATGGATCTTATTTAACTTTTCAGTAGAACTACTTATCAAGTCCGTCACACTTTCTGATTGTTTTGCATTATCATATAAGATTTCTGAGAAATATTGTGCAACTTGTCTCGATAATCTATCTATATTATTTTCACATATTTGAATTGAAAAATTTAATCCACTATTAGTAGTAATTGATTTTATACCACTTGATTCAACATCAGCAAAGAACTTATTTAAAATCATGACAAGGACCTTGGTTGGAATGGTTTCCGATTCAGCGATAACCTCTGAAAGTATATCACAAGCTAATGGTTCAAGCCTTGATGGTATATCTTTGGTTGATAAAGTATAAAAGGTTTCAAAAACTGATTCAATCAAGTCTTCTGAATTAGGCAAATCAGTAATTAATATAACTGATCTCACTTCAGCCAATCTCTTTAATATATAAGCCTGTTGTTGGAAATAAGGGTTTTCTTGTTCAGATAATCTTTTGAATTGTTTGAAAAATGATTTAAAAATATCAGTCAATTGAGCTGCAGTGAATGGGGCATTAGGAGCATTTATTCTTAAGATATCAGCTATGGCACAGCAAGTGAATGCTTGAACTCCAACATTAGTATGATATAAAAGTTTCTTATTTGTTAAGTCAGCCAGTAACTGTTGGAAACTTGATACATCTTTATCTTGATCAATTCCTGATAATTCATCACTTAAAACTTGTAATCTATTCAACAATTCCTTAGTTGCGATGGGATCTTTGGCTGTTGATATGATTGGCTTGTTGAATTGAAGGTCTGTCTTGGACAGCCTGCTGCTGGAACGAGCCATGTTTATTCACGGTTAAAATATGATATCTATATCAGTAATAAACCGTATTTATGTTTACAGACCGTTATATATTTTTGTTTAAGACGCGTTATTACTGAGTCTGCAAAACTGCAAATCTGAAATTGAAAAATGCAAAATTTCTGATTTACAGTTTTCAAATTGTTTACAGGTTTGTTTAACCATACAGTTCCATACTTTAATTTTTCAGCAAAGGATTTTAGAGCCATACGATACAAGCAAAGGTAGTTAACAAGGACAATGTCGACTACAACAGATTTAAAATATGAAGTAATTGATCACTTCAAAGTTAAAGAGATCATAAATACAAGACTCTTATTCAAATTACCATTATCATATGCCGATCCAAGCAATGAAACCAAGATATCAGTGGTTGTAAATGTGACCCAAAAGTTTGATGAAACCATTCATAAGGATACCGAATTGCTTAACACAAAGCTTGTCCTTCCGGAAACACCTAAGTTAATATCATATATTCAAGGTGGACCTGGTTTCCCATGTGGTGTTCCATTAACTAATTCTGGTTATACTAAAGTTTTAATTGATAAGGGGTATCAAATAGTGTATCTTGATCAAAGAGGTACTGGGTTAAGTACAGCTTTAGAAAGAAGAACATTTGAGCATTTGGTTCCTAAAAAGGATGGAGAAGATGAAGCTACCCATGTTCAAAGACAATTGGACTTTATCCTTAATTTCAGAGCCGATTCCATTGTGGAAGATTATGAAAGAGTTAGACGTAGTTTAATTGGTGATGAAAAATGGACCCTTCTAGGCCAATCGTATGGAGGTTTTACTAGTTTCACTTATGTGTCCAAATATCCAAATTCATTAAAGGAAGTGTTGGTTACTGGTGGAGTTCCTCCAATTAACTTTAACCCTGATGATGTATACCATGCTACTTATGAAAGAACTAAAGAAAGAAATATTCATTACTTTAACAAGTATCCTCAAGATAAGCAAAGAATGCAAAACATTTTAGGTTATTTACAAAATAATGATGTCAAATTACCTAATGGAGGTACATTATCCGTTGAAAGATTCCAACAATTAGGTTTATCGTTTGGAGGTACAGGAGGTACAGATAATGTTCATCAATTAGTTGTTAAATTTGACTATGATTTAAAATTATTCGGATTTCCTACTTTCCAAATTCTTAACACTATTCAAAATGAATATAGTTTCGACACCAATATCATCTATGCTTTATTCCAAGAATCGATTTATTGTGATGCAAACAATGTGAATTTGAAATCAAGTGATTGGAGTGCCGACAGATTAAGATACTTACCAGCCAATGATATTTTTGTTTACAATAGTAATAAGGAAGTGACTTATTTCACCGGTGAGATGGTTTACAAATCAATGTTTGAGGATTACGTTGAGCTTCAACCATTTAAGAAATTAGGCTATGCTTTACATGCTAATAAAAAATGGTCCAAGTTATACGATACTAAAGTCTTGCACGAAACAAAAGTCCCTATTGTAGCTGCAACGTATGTATATGATCAGTATGTTGACTTTGATCTTACTAGAAAAGTGAAAGAAAATGTATTTAAAGGTAATGGAAATCTTAAACAATTCATTACTAGTGAATTCTTCCATAATGGTGTCAGAGCAGGAGCTGAAAAAGTTCTTGGATCATTATTTGATCTTTTAGATTGTGAAATTGATTAGAAGAATACTTTATACATTATAAAGTATATATGTGTATATATGTATGTTATCTATGAAATTAAGAGAAATAATTACTTGGAATGAACCCTATTCTTTGATTAGTCTTGGAGATTGTAGATCCAATCAACCAATTGGTATTGGATTCATTATATAATGTATCGATTTGTTGGAAATCAAACACAACTTCAACTTGATCACCCTTTTTAAATGATAAGTCACCTGGCTCAACTCCATCATAATCATATAAGGCAGTTACTAACCGACGATCCTTTTGAGGTGTATTAGTGAGCTTTGTAAAGAATTCATTAATTTGTAATAATTTATAACTGACAGATGATGTTTTATTAAACACGACTGAATTGATGGCAGAAGTTGAATTATTAATGAAATCATTCTTGAGTGAACTGGTGATGGGAGCAAACTTGATATCATTCTTTGATGAATTATAAGCCTTACGTAAATTCTTATTAACTAAATCAGGAGCCAGATTATGTAATATGAAATCACTAGAAACAGACTCTACTGAAATATCTGATTTTATAGAAGACATATCATCAGCATCACCTTCATCATCATCGATTGATTCTTCGGAATAAGAGTTATTATAACTCACAGGGGTATATGGTGGAGGAACTGGGGCAGATGGTTTAATAGATTGGTGTAAGATTGGAGTAGGAGGAAGGATCTTTAAAGTTTCAGCTGTATTACTTCTTGGTGGTAAAGGAGGTAAATTAGGATTAACTATTGGTTTAGGAACTTTAACATCTACAGATGACACCAATTTTGATGGGAAATAAGTTTCTGATCTATACATATTTGAATCTTCAAATTTGATATAAGAAGTTAAAGGATCAGCTTCAAGAGTGTCATTAAAAGTACCATTGACATGATCTTTCAGTTTATGTTCATGTTTTCTTTCAGTCACTGTTTTTGACATTTTATTCCATATTTTATTTGACATTGTAGTTTTATCTTTATCTTCAATTTCAGTATCTAATAATTCTGGTTTCTTTTCGAATATAACCGTGATGAAAGATTCAATTTGAAGTCTAGTTGGAGTGATAGCTTTTTCCCATTCATCCTCTATAGTTTCAAAACTTTGAATATGATCTTCTTCACCTTCTCCTGCTTCAGATGATAAATAACCATGGAACATAGCAAAATATTTGATGGAATTTTTTATCTCTTCATAAGTAGTAATTTGTTGATGTAAGATAATCTGAGTGATAGTTTCAATGAATTCATCTAAAAAGGATATAACATGAGGCAAGATTGATTTCAATTTCTCATTCAACTTGTTGTACTCTGCATTTAAATCCTTTATATCTTTTTCATACTTCTTTAACTTTTCAGTTTCTTTATCGTCTAAAGGAGTATTCTTTTTGGATAATTTATTGATTTTCTTATCAGTTTCATGATATGCACGTTGTTTCTTATTTCTTTTTCTAATAAGTTTCAAAGTCTCAGTTAAGTACCCATTCATTTCACTAACTCTTAAATGAATCGATTCTGTATGTAATTCCCATGATCTTGATACTTTCCATTTAAGTCGTTCAATGGTTGATAAATAGTTAAATAATTCATGATTAACACTTTCTATAACAATATCCTTTTCTTTAGGATGAACCATAGGTATTACTTGAGTTGCTTGGAACTTATCAAAGTCATTATAATAATCTTCAATACCTTTAAAATGTAATGAATCCTTACCGATTAATGAAATAAACCGATGAACAATGGCTATATTCAACTTGAACAACCTGGAATAATGAGTTTTGAATTGACGACTAGTTTGATGATCAATATATTTAAGTCCTCCAATAGCCTTTTCAATATCATATTTATAATGTTTGATTAAATCGTCATCCACGTCATAATCCTTATGTTGGAATGTCAAAGTATCCTTCAAATTTGTACTATGATCCACTATAGATGTCCCGAATGAGACTATACCAGTTTTCAATTTGTTAACTGACATCTTGACATCAATCTACTGAATCAATTGACAATATAAAATGAGTTATAAATGGAATAAAAGTTCAAATATGATACTATTCGTTTAAATTGAAATGTGTCAAATTAGCTCATAGGTTTTAGTTTTTTTAGTGGTGGTCCCCTACCTTCCCTCCTCTCTCCGTCTTTTAAGGAAAGTACGGGAAAAAAATCACTTCGGTCAGCAGCCATGTATGGGGGCTAAGCAAAAATATCACTTTAAGTTTATGTTGTTTCTATAGTTGATATCGGAGTTCAGTGTACAATACCAGAGACTAACCTGTTTTGCTTCAGATATTATAATGGTAATTAGATATAGTACACAATGGTTTATAACAATCAGGTACCTGTTAATTGTTATCGGTTAACTTTCCCTGTAAGTTCGTATTACCGACTGACACCACTTTTGTGAGACAGATTTTAAGTCACGGGGAAGGTCACGGGGCTCGTTATATACAGAAATACACCATTCATAATTACTATCTTATTAGGTCAAATTTCAAAGTATATCAATATATATAGGGTATGATAAGATTCTTCTCTATGGCACATGTACATAAGTACTTTTATTAGAAATTCGCCTATAATAACTTTGCGCTTACACTCTATTTCAGAGGATCTCATAACCCCCTTAAAAATTCGGAGTGACATAATTTAATATCAATTATAAATAGTATGGTAAGTTAATTAACTAAAGATCTACTAATTCGATCTCACGACTTTATAGATAAAGTATAATGCCGATATAAAATAAAGGCTGAGATTAAGGAAAGGTTGTTGATTTAGTTTTACCGAATAACCATTATTACAATACCCTTGCTCTACTAAGAAAATATGTCTAGTTACCACTAAAAGAATAACAATGATGACCTATAATGATTGCTGCTCATTTCAAGTTAATCCTATTTTTAAATGTCCTATTCTTAAATTGCTGCAATTTTAGTCCGATGACTTAACTAAACATAAAGTGTGTGTATATAAAGCATGCCACTTTTTTTAATTTATGTTTAGGGGGAAGAGAGGAAGGAAGGTATATAAACTACGTTATATTTCTCCACTTTTCAAAAGTGTCGATTAATTCTTTTATTAAAAATAACTTATTAATAATAACCTTTTTCAATTATTTATAGATAAAGGATATATTATATCAAAAATTTTCAAAAGGAACTAAACTCAATTATGCCAAATCGTCAACCTCATAAATTGTTTTATAAAGGTAAAGACACTGATTTCGTAATTTTTGTTGAAGATCCTGACTTGCTTGCAAAATATAGGAAAAATGATACTACCATTCCTTTAATTGATCTCGTATCAATTTTTAAAATCTTTACCAATAGACTGGCTGGTGCCAATGGAGTATTGGATGAAGCTTCCAAATCAGAATTATCCAATGAATTTGGGTCTTCTCAAGTTGATTCAGCTATAAAGGCTATTTTATTACATGGATCTGATAAACAAGGAGCTGGTATGGCTAAAGCATTCAATAGTAAAAATGATTCAATGGGTGGTGGTGCTTCAGGTAATTGAAATCTTACAATTGATTTTATATATTTTACATAAAAATTAAATACTATTTAATCCTCTTTTGAGTAGATGATTTCCAAAATTCATATAAGTTACTTGACAGTTTAAAATTCAGTTTAATTGAATGTTTAAATCTTGTAGATGATTGACTAAAACTCTTCTTAAGTGAATGTGTCAATATAATTACATTTTCAACCACCTCTTCACTAATAGTTAATAATGGAATCTCTCTTGTACTCCAAAATGATTTGAATGTCTTCTCAATATAATTCCTCTTATTAAAATCATCGTGTGACATTAAATTAACATAACCATATTCATTATCATTCTTTTTATTTTGATACATTGGAAGTTCAAAAACTTTGGATTCATTAAAATAACATAAATTTGATGATTTGGATGACATATAATTCAATGATACATTATATGGTATAATTAAATTTGGAAATTTACATAAGCTTGTAATTTCAATATTTGAAAAATCCATTCTATAGGGACCATTTATCACATTTATATGGGTATCAAGATAATTATTCCATACATAAAATTCTTGTTCAGTATTCATTGCAAATAATAATTCATATTGACAATAATTATCTTCAAATAATATTTTAATACAATATGGATGATTAAAATAAAGACCACCATCACTATCTCTAATATTTTTTATTAATTGACTCTTACTTAATGGAATTATGAACTTAATATCACATTTGAGTTTGGAATTTTCAACTGCTTCAACTAACAATAAATGACTTTTATAAAGTATAGTAGCAAAGATACCTTGTTTTATTGATTTGGTTTCAATCCAAATACAGTTAGTACAACCAATTAAAAATGGGTTGCCAAAATACTCCAGATTTAAATTATTCTCTGTTATTACATTCCGAAAATCTATAACATCATTTAATGAAGTGACCAGTGAATCTATTTGGCAGTTTTTGCAGTTATTATTTATCCAATTTAAGTTATAATTAAGTATATTAATATATTTCACTAATTTGAATGATTGACTCTTATTAATTGCCTCTAAAATCAATTTATATTTCCCCATTCTGGCAGTTGGTCTTTGAATTAATGATGGAAATGATAAGTCCAAATGTCTGGATCTTGGTTGACTTGCTTCAAGATATAATTCCCATCCTTTTAACCATTTAAAGTTCCATGGTAATCTACTCATATTCTTAGGTTTATTTTTAGTTTCAAGACATGGATGAGGTTGACCAAGTAATTGCAAAACATTTTCATAAACGTTACAATACTCCTGATAAATATATATCAGATATTCCAGTTTTGTAAGATCATAAGCAATCTTTTCCACTAACGTTTCAATCTGATGTTGTTGATTTAATTGAGAATAGTCATTGATGATATCATATAATATTTGAGTATGTATTTGAATTAATTCTCTTAAAAATAGATTCATTAATGATAAAGGGACGGGTATTTCTGAATTATTATTAAATAAATATGGTTCGATATAATAGTTGATAAGTATTTTTAGACAATTGATATAATACTCTTCTGTTTCCACAAGCTCCTCTATGTTCTTCTTAACTGTAAAATTTGATTTAGTCATGATCTTTGATATTGGAGAAAAAGTAATTCTAGGAAAGGGAGACTTTAGTTCTAGTATTCCACTACCACTACTCATACTTAAGATATTGGCAGATAAAGTTGAACTAGTTAAAGCCGTATTTAATTGTTGTTGTAATGATGAGGGGGAATTATTAAGGGTATTTGCACTATTCGCCTTGAATGATTCTGTTGCCACTACTTCGTCACTTCTGTTCTCCATAAGCAATGATAGGTCCAATTCAAACCTTTTGGGTTGTCGTAAAGTGTTTGACCTATTAAGTTTTGTCTCAAATAATCCATGTAGAAAACTGTCAAAGCTCTCTTCAGTTTCACATTTTGTTAATACCTCAGGACTAAAATCGTTATCAACATCATTTATTATCTTTCCATCATTGAACTGAAACGTTTCTATACTATCTTGAAGACTATCCATTTGTTAATAGTAGGGCGGCATCGTCTTAAGTTAAAATAGTAATGAGGATTTTGCATCCACAAGTGGCATAAATAACCAACGCTGATCTTTTTTCAGTATGTATCGCGCTAACAAAAATAAAAATCTCTTCCCAAAAATAGATAGACCTATGACTCTTTGACTTCTTTCACAGGCAATTAATAGATGAGTTCAAGAGCTTTAAAGAGATTAGAAAAGCAGAAGCAGGAAGCTTTGTTGAAAGAAGAACCAGTAGAGGAAGAAGAAGAGGAGGCAGTTGTCCCTGTTGCAAAGCCAAAATTCAATGCATTTGCTCTTCTAAATGATCTGGATTCAGAAGATGAACAAGAAGAGACTGAGACAGTTGAAAGGGTTGAGGTTAAACAAACAATCCCTGAGGATGACGTTGAAGACAGTATAGAAGAAGCGACTCCTCCTCCGCCAGTTATAAGTTCAACTAAGAAGAAATCTAAATCTAAGAAGAAGAAAAATAAGAAGAAGACTCCAGTGCCAAGTGAAGAACCAGAACAAGAGAATCATGACGATATAGATCAAATCCTTGCTGAGTTAAAGCTACAGGATAAGTTACAAACACCTGATGAGAGTGTTAATGAAACTTTGGGTGAAGACGTTTATGATTTTGAAATTGAATTGGATGAGCATTCAGACTCGACACCAATACTTCATTATGACTCAAACTTCAAATATTTTACTACATCTAAATTAAAGTCATCATTACGTTTATTATCAATCAAGAACATCAAGAATCTCGATTCTGATCAGGAATTCAAAACATTATTTGGTAATTTATCACTGGAGACGATTGATGATGCCAATAGTACAACTGCATTGGCCATTTCGCCGGAGGTTTTACAACAATTCAAGAAGATAGCAAGATTAACAAGAGGTTGGGGTGGTAATGATCGTCGTGGTATTCCGGGTACAACTCGTAAGCTTTTAATCTCCAAGATTAGAGATGATTATTTACCCACTAGTCAGAAACCAATGCTGATGGAAGAAATTAATGAAACGGATATTTATGATTATTTTGAGTACAAAGAAGACACAGCTGAACCAGCAGAGTTGGAATTAAAAATCAAAAGAGAGTTGGATCTTGGAATACGATACTTTAAATTTAGTAAAGTTTCTACAATCAATGAAAGAGTTGCTAATACAAGGTTCTATGCATCGGTAGTTATAACCCCAGATCATGAATCTTTGATGCAGTTATTGCAGCAATATCCTTATCATGCAGAAACCCTTCTTCAAGTGGCGATGGTTTTATTACGTCAAGGTGAACATAAATCGACAAGTAATGCATTGATTGAAAAAGCTCTTTTTGTGTTTGACAGATCATTCCAAAAGAGATTCCATGAATTATTATCGGCCGGGAATTCAGAGCTTATAAGATTACCGTATGAATGCTTTTTAAATCGTCAATTTTATTTATGTATCTTCAGATATATTTCTGCATTGGGTGAAAGATCAGCATTTTTCACAGCTTTATCATTCTGTAAGTTATTGTTATCATTATCTCCAGCAGAAGATCCTTTGGGAGTAAGATATTTCATCGATCACTACGCAATTTTAAGTCAAGAATATAAATATTTGATATCATTGTCAATATCGCCATTAGCAACCACCTATAATCAATGGATGACTCCAGGTATTGCATTTTCAACGGCGTTAGCTTATTTATATTTGGAAGATGAAGCTGGAGCTAAGGAACAATTGAAACTAGCATATAAGAGACATCCACTTACTGCATTCAAATTAATAGAAATTATCGGTTTAAGCGATCCATTACCAATCAAAGAAAGTGACATATCTGTTACTCCTCAAGATTTACTTAGTTCCGAGACTTATTTGGTAAGAGCACCATTATTATGGAGTGACCCTCATAAGAAATTATTTTTGCAACAAGAGCTTGTTAAATTATTTCAAACAGTACCTATTAAAAAGACCGAATCAAAAGGTATTGCTGATTCTATATACTCCATATTGGGATTTAAAAAGCATGAAGAAACTAAAGATATTCCTTTCAATTTAATAAGATTTGCTATTCTTTCAGGAGAAAGTAAGCTTATGGGTAAGTTACCAGAAGCTGTATGGTCCAGAGAAGATACCTTTGAATATGATGCTTTACCACCTAAGAAGAATACTATTGATTATGATGTTCATAGAGGAATTGTTGAAAATCAAAGACCCATAATAGATTCATTATTGGATTATGTGGACCAAGGTCTTTTAGGAACAATAATCCAGAACAGAACTTCAGAGAATGATTTTGACGATTTGTTAAGACAATTGCAAAATGAAGCAGATGATGAAGCTAATAATGATAATTAGAGAATATAATTAGCGCATATCGTATAGTTTTAAAACCATAATCACAAACAACGCGAAATAAATTTTTTTTATTCTAAAAAAAGGGTACGACCATTTTGGTTACACGTAGAATTATCCAATAACGGTATAATCCATTCAATTGGAAGCAACAAGACATCATGATAGCTATAGACTTCAGTTTCCAGGAGTGGCAATGGCAGTATCAGATCTCTACTACATTTTTCATCTGTGTGATAGTTCCAGCTGTCTATTATGTTCATGCAAAGTATATTTCCAATAGTCCCAATAACTACAACAAACTAGAAGAACCACTTAAATTGGACATTCCTATTCCTCAAGAAGCTAAAGCTCATTGGAAAGGAAAGAGATTATATCCTCCAAATTTAAGTATCAGAGTCCCCAATGAACCAAACAAAATCCAAAGTTATTGTCCTGCTACTGGACAATCTTTGGGAACATTCTTGACAACTTCCAAAGAAGAAATGAATCAACAAGTTTTGAAAGCTAAAAAGGCGCAACAACTCTGGAAGAAGTCACCATTTACCTTGAGAAGAAAGTTTTTAAAGACATTATCTCGTTATATCCTTGAGAATCAAGAAGATATTGCAAGAATTGCTTGTAGAGATAGTGGTAAAACCAAGTTAGATGCTCTGATGGGTGAGATCATGGTTACTCTTGAAAAGTTAAACTGGATTATAGCTCATGGTGAAAGAGCATTAAGACCATCTCAACGTCCTGGGCCTTCTAATTTATTGATAGGTTTAATGAAAAACGGTGAAGTTAGATATGAACCATTAGGTGTGGTTGCTGCATTGGTGTCTTGGAATTACCCATTCCATAATCTTATGGGTCCTATAATTGCTTCTATTTTTACTGGTAACGCTATCATTGTGAAATGTTCTGAACAAGTCATCTGGTCTTCAAAATGGTTTGTGGATTTGATAAGATTAGTGTTGAAATCATTAGAAATTGATGAAGATTTAGTTCAACTATGTTGTTGTTTTCCTGAAGATGCTGATTATTTTACTTCACATCCAGGTATATCACATATAACATTCATTGGTTCTAAACCAGTTGCTCATAAAGTGGTGGAAAGTGCTGCCAAGGAGTTGACTCCATGCGTAGTTGAATTAGGAGGTAAAGATTCTGTCTTGGTTTTGGAGGATGTTAAAGATTTCCAAGCATTGTCATCTGTCATATTAAGAGGAACCTTTCAAAGTGCAGGTCAAAACTGTATCGGTATAGAAAGGGTTATCTGTTTACCTAAAGCATATGAAAAGTTGGTTGAAATATTTACCGATAGAATTGAAGATTTCAGAATAGGATCTGATATTGATCAATTAGATGAAATAGATATGGGAGCCATGATATCTGATAACAGGTTCCAAAGCTTTGAAGAATTGATTGAAGATGCAGTCTCAAAGGGAGCCAAGTTAATACATGGTGGTAAACCATTCCAGCATCCAAATTATCCTCAAGGTCATTATTTCGAACCAACATTATTGATTGATGTTGAACCACATATGAGAATATTCCAAGAAGAAGTCTTCGGACCTATATTGACCATGATCAAGGCAACTGATGTTGATAATGCTATTGCATTGGCCAATTCTACCGAATATGGTTTAGGAAATTCAGTGTTTGGTTCTAAATTTAATCAATTGAACGATATTGCTAATAGGTTAGAAAGTGGTAATGTTGCAATTAACGATTTCGCTACATTTTACGTTGCGCAATTGCCTTTTGGTGGGGTCAAGAAATCAGGATATGGTAAATTTGGTGGTGAAGAAGGGCTTACTGGGTTATGTATGGCTAAATCAGTGGTGATGGATAAACCATTATTGAGATTATTAGGTATAGCTACTGCAATTCCTCCACCTATAGATTACCCAATTAAAGATGATAAAAAAGCCTGGAGATTCATAAAGAGCTTGAATACTGCAGGTTATGATAACAGAATCTGGGAAGTTATCAAAGCATTTGAGAAATTGGCAAAATCATAAATAATAATCATATTACATCTGTACTATAGCTTAATTATACCCAAAACTACATCAATACTAACCACAAAACTCTTAAAAAATGTTGTATATAAAAATATAAAAAATTAAATATAGAAGTAACATGCAAATGCATCGATAATCTAACTATATCTTCGAAGTGAATACCTCATCAATTCTTGTAATGAGCTATGATTGACAAATGAAATTAACGTTAAAAGTTCAAACAAATTATGCAGCGTTGATATGTAACTCTGGAGTTGGCTTCACAGTAGCATCGACCAATAAGGTGACGACTGAAGTTTTCTTTTCAGTGTACTTGGCTCTAATATCATTCAATTCATTTTCAACTTGAGCATCGGCTTCTTTATCAATGGATTCGTTCAAACCAGCATGTTTCTTTTCGTAATCTTGTAATTCGGTTTCCTTTTGCTTTTTGTATTCATCAATTTCAGATTGAGCATCAGCCTTGGCAGTCTTTAAACGGTTAGTTCTATATTTTCTGGCTTCATTGACAATTTCAGCTGCCTCCTTTTCAGTTCTTAACAACGATTGAATTCCTGACGACATCTTTAAATTAGTTATGGTCTTTAAATATATCTTCCACTATCAATCTCAACCATTAAATCTTTAATTAATTCAACCCGTTTTTCTATCTCAAAATTATTGTGTTGAGTGCACGACTTTTGATGGGCGGCGGGCTACGACAAAACTACAAATGAATGCTTAAAAAAATAAAATGCTATTCTATTAAAATTAATACTAATTATACAACTTTTCCAAGTGACCATTATTTAGTTTTCGTAATAACCATCTGAGATGAATCTTAACATATACTCGTCTATGTGACCAATACCATCCTCGTAATCAAGATCTATAACTTCACCAGCAGTACCATTTGGAGCTGGTGTTTGTGCTGGAGTACCAGTTGCAGTAGCAGTTTTACTGTCTTCTGCGAAATCTTCTTCATCAACCGCAACTTCTTTCATAGCTTCATTTGCAGCAGCACGATCATCTTCATCTTCTGCTTGGGCAAAAGCATTACCCATATTTGCATCTCCTGTAAAATCAACTGTTCTGTCAGGGATAATATCTGCAATATTTGCATCTTCCACTAAGTCTCTAACTGAGAACTTACCAAAATAATCAGTCGTGAACTCCCCTTCTTGAATAACAACATTATCTAATTGTCTCTTTTGATTAGCTTTTTTCAATATATTGGATTCAATAGTATATTCTGATACGAAACGGTATATATGAACATCTCTAATTTGTCCAATACGATGACAACGATCTTGACATTGTTTATCCATAGCTGGATTCCAATCAGAATCGTAAAAGATAACCGTATCTGCTCCAGTCAAATTGATACCCAAACCACCTGATCTGGTAGATAAAATGAATACCGGGATTTTAGGATCACGATTAAATCTTTCCGTTAAAAGTTGACGATCTTCAATCTTCGTAGCACCATCTAATCTCATATATCTATAACCATGAATATTTAAAAATTGTTCCAAGATATCCAACACTTTCGTCATTTGGGTGAAAATTAAAGCTCTATGTCCTTGAGATGTAAGCTCTTGTAAAAGAGTGGCAAGCTTTTGTAACTTACCACAATCATATTGTAACAATGATTTATCAGGGAATGCAATCGACAATTTAACTTGGGATTTATGGAATGGATTATCTATCTTGTTGACTGCGACTTCATTCATAACTCTTCTCTGAGTTGAAATAGGTATCAAGTAATCTTTCATATCCAACGTAACAACTGGTGGAGTCAAGACTGAATATTTCTCTATTACATCATTCATACTTTCAACCCTTCTATCAATTGTATAAAGGAAGTCATTATACATATCTGAATTTTCAGTTTTCTTCTCTGTACAACTCTTCAACATTTTTAGTAATGAGTTACCATACATTGGCTTCCTACTACATCTGAGATCATTCAAATATTTAGCATGTTGAATCCTATCAAAGAAACTATTTTGTGTTTCCGATTTCAAGTATTGATAATATTCCAAATAATCAGTTAAATCTGGGTTTGTGTGACTCGTTCCATTCGATCCTTCGGGAATCTTATTCCCAAGAACTTGTTTAGATCTTAAATTGTAAGCACTTTGGGAGACAAAGTAATTCAAATCATCACAACTTGTAATATCAAGATTCAAAACTTGAAAGTTAACTTTATTTTCTTCATTCACTATCGATAACTCTTTCCTTATAGTGCTTTCTGTTGTAACATACGTGTTACAAATTGATTTAGGCATACTGAATGAAGTCACTATAGGACGTACCTCGAATAAATCAGGATGATTACAAACTTTCCTTAGTTGCATTAAACAATTAATAATGGATAAGAAATTACCAGATGCCAAAGTTTCTTTGGTCTTTGCCCTAGACATGAAATCATCATATAAATATCTTTGTCTTTTGGATAAACGACAATATACAATATGCTCATACTTTCCAGGCATTTGCTTTTCAACATCCTTCTTTAAACGACGTAATAAATATGGACGTAAAACTTGATGTAATCTTGCCACGGTATTTTTGGTTTCTTCATCCATACCTTTAGTAGTGCTTTCATTCTCATCAATTAAATCAGAGTTATTAGCGGCTGAAGTTTGTTCCATGATTCTATCCACTGGCTTTCCGAACCACTGTTGGAAATCCTCTAGGTTTGCAAACCCATCCGGCATAGCTTGATTAACTTTTGAAGAAGGCATCAAGAAATATAACAATGACCATAACTCCATAAGATTATTTTGTAAGGGAGTACCAGTTAATAATAATCTATTTTCTGTATTAAAATTCAAAAGTGCTTTCCAACGAGTGGATCTGAAATTTTTGATATTATGTGCTTCATCCAATATCATATATCTCCATCTACGTCTTTTAAACGATTGTTGATCTTGAACAACTAATTGATATGATGTAATACAAACATGGAAAGCATCAGGTAAATTCCACCCTTTTCTCTTTTGTGCTCTTTGTTGAGGTGATCCATAATATGTCATGACTTTAAACCCAGGAGCAAACTTCTTAAATTCCATTTCCCAATTAAGCATAACTGAAGTAGGTACAATAATTAAATGTGGTCCCCATATTTGATGTTCACATGCTAAATAAGCAAGCAATGAAATGGTTTGAATTGTTTTACCTAAACCCATTTCATCGGCTAAGATACCATTAGTATCATTGTTATACAAACTGGCTAACCAATTTAAACCTTGTTTTTGATATGGTCTTAAAGTTCCTCTTAACAAAGAAGGTATACGAACATTCTTAACTGTTGTATCGTTGACAATTTCATCTTCTAGTTCATCATCTTTTGCTTTTTTAGCATGACCGTTAGTGTGTAATTCGCCATCTGAAGAAGTCATCAGATCATCAGCATCAGAATTACTAGCTTCACTATAAGGATTTTCATCTTCTTCTGATGATGAATCGTCGCCACCTCCATATAAAGCAGACAATCCAGAATTACCATTGAGTTTAAGAGGAGCTGTTTCAACTTCACTTTCCATCTCTTCGTCAGAATCTTCATTATCAGAACTTTCCATTTCAGAATCTGAATCAATACTTGACACGGAAGCAGTATCAATAATTGACTCTGGCTCTTCTTCTTGTAATTTTGAAATTAATGCTTTTTGTTCATCGGTGTAATCTTCACTTTGAGGAGTGGCAGTACCATTTACTTCCACATTACCGTATAATGATGCAAGACCTTTGGAAACATCAATATCTTCATCTTCTTCCTCATCCTCGTCTTTAGATACTTCAGATTCAGATACCAAATCCACTGATTCAGCAGAAGGTTCAACAGAAGTCTCTAATGTAGAGTACTTTCTTCTGAGTTCGTCAACTGATAAATTCAAATCACCATCTTCTGGATTCTCGACCTTATTGTCTTCAGCACCGCTAGCAGCTTCATCATCTGAACTTGAAAGAAAATTGTCTGAATCATCTTCATCTTTATTATTAACATCAATATCACTTTCAACATCTTCTGTTGCTTCTCGTGAAGATTTATTTAATTGTGCTTCAAGTAATTGAGTTGAATGTTCCAACATTTGACTTAAATGTTCTCTACCTTTAATCTTTTTAAGTTCTTCTTCTTGTTCACGTTGAAGATAAGCATATACTTTATAAGCTTGAGTCCATCTTCTTTTAACTGCTTGAATAGCCAATCTACTTATTCTTCTCAAATTTTGGTCTCTTTCACGAGCGAGTCTTTCCTTCTCACCTGCCTTTTTCTTGAAATGTTGTTCAATCATTTGTGCAACTCTTCTCGTTCTTAATTGATGTTGTTTTCTCATTTGATGATGTACTTTGGAGAAAGCAAGTCCTTGATTTAAGAAATGATCTTGATGAGTAAGATTATTACTTGTACCTTGAATCTTTGGTGTCACCATAGCATTATTTCTGAATGGGTCTGAAGTTTGACGAATTGATACTTGCGGTAATACAACTTTCCTTCTTTCTATTTTATCTCCATTCAATTCCAATGTTTTATCTAGGGTTACTTTCTTATATATAGATCTGAACAAAGCTTGTTGTTGACTCATTATATTGTTATATTCTTCTTCGGTATAGTTATAATCAAGAGTCACAGACTCATCAATGATAGCATTCATATAGTTCTTATTTAAGAATGTTCGTAATTGTAAGGTTATATCATCACCTGAAGTTAATTGATTATTTTCGATACTGATTTTAAAAGGTTTTGGATTTGCTTCCATATCCACTACACCTTCATGATTTCCTTCTTGCATTCCATCGCTACTGGGTCTCCAAGATGTGACATGAGATGGATGAGTGATTAAACGAGGAGGTAATGAAAATTTAATTGCTTTAAGTTTATATTTTGAATTGGATTGATCATCTTCCGATTCACTATCTTGATCATGTTTAATATGTTGTGATGATTTAGAAGTCTGTTTATATTTTTCTTCAACTTTCGGACTTTTACTAGTGGATGCTTTTTCAGATTGATTCTTACCTTTAGCATGAACGTCTGGTTTTAAGGTGGCAAATGATATCAATTCCTTTTCTAATTCCTCACTCCGTTTAAGAACTGAATTTCGAAATGGAAATTTCTTTAATAACTTTTCATCACGTTCGGCAATGACTTTTCTTTGTAATCGTAAAGGTAAACTATTTAATTTCTCATTGGTTTCGATTTCCTTATCCCAGATAAGGTTATATTTATCATCTTTTAAGAAATTTTCAAATGGTTCTGATAAATGATTATTTTGGAAAGGTTTAGAAAACTCTCTTGGATCCCAATATGCAATCGATTTATACTCTTCCAATTGAAACAATTCATTAACTGCTAGATTAAACTTCATGATGATGTTCGCTAGTTTTTCTTCCTTAGTGTCGACAGTTTCTTTACGCGATGATGATGGTATTGGTGGTTCCGTTATTGTATTTGTGGTTGTAACTTTTCGTTTCTTATGTTCCACTATAGTTGGAGTTGGTTGTTGTTCTTGTTTCCTTTTATGATTTTGGTCGGATGACTGCTGACTTATTCTCAGCAGTGTCCGCCTTCTACCTCCATTATATGACATTATGATACTATATACAAGGCCATATGATCGTAGTAGATCTATAAAGTTTGATTGATTGTTATTTGATTTACGTGAATTCTAACTATGTATTTATCAGTTAGAAAAACCTTTTTTTTTTTAACGCTCTTGCTCGCTCTCTTTGACGTGAAGAATTTCTCCTCAGTAAATTTACGGTATCGCTAAATATTACAATGATTATGATAATTAACGTTAAAATATATGTATAATTAGTAATGTACTTAAGGTTTATATAAATAAAGAATGAAGATAAAATGAATATAAATATTGAATTGAGTTTTGGTTCTTTAATCATGAAAGAAATTCCCTCATAATCAATTCACTTTATTTATTGTTATAATACTTTTAAATGATGAAATAAAATATGTTTATGCTTTGATAAAATCAGAATTTTCTTCTACGTAAGTCTTCTTATTAGCAGCAGTATCATTATCATTTGGTAAGAACCCTAATTCTTCTTCTGCAGTTTTATCAGCATTGACACGATAAAAGAAATCATCTTCTTCACCACCAGAACCTAAACTTGCAGCTAAACCATTGGATGGGAATGATCTTGGCATGGCTGGTTTTGGAGGATTTAATTCAAAATACCAAACAGCAGTTCCTAAACCAAAAATAAGGGAAAAGAAAATGAAATTATGTTTTAATGCAGTTTTATCAGATACGAAATCATAGACATCAGGGGACCACATATCATATAAATCATCATCGATATTCAATGGTTCACCTTTGTTTCTTCTATTCTGTTGATCGTCATATTTGATATATGGATCTCTATTTTGAGCAAATTCTGGTTTAGGATTAGGATAATCACCTATTTCAGGTTGTTGTGGATCGGTTAAGGTAATAACTCTACCGTTGGTATGGTCTGTGATGGTGGTTTTAGTTGTTAAACTTCTGTGTATGTTTCTGGAAAGGGCACTAGTCCTCTTTAATGCCAACCTTGATAACATGATCTTCTATAATTCAATTCTTATAAGGTGTTGAATGAATGATATCAATACATATATATATCTACAGTTCAACTATTTTTTTTTTCGCTTTGTATAGTCAGTTTGTTTGTGAACCAATAAAATTTAATGAGAAAAAAATCAGATCTTTTGGACTGCATATAATCGATTAACAAACAAGGTGGAAGACCTTTTACATACCGATTAATAACTACATTGATATCTAATTAAAACTAGTTTATTATAAATATATAAAATGTACATATAGACGTGTAGAGTAATCATCCTTTTGTAAAAGGAACCAATCTCTTCTTTTAAAAATAAAGTGTATGCGTGGGAGTGAAGAAGGAAGGTAGGAAGGAAGGGAATGAGTGAAAGGAAATTGAAAATGAATCATGTAAGCTATTTTGTATACAGTTGATTTCCAATGACCTCCTTATATATGAAATATGAATAGTAGGATGAATATATCATATGAAACTATGATATCTGGTTAATTGATGCAATGAATAATTCTCTAAAGTTACTTATTTTGATTTGGTTTGGGGTTCACCGAATTTCAAATCCTTTAATGGTGATTTTTCACTATCAGCAAACTCTACTAAACCACCAAAGGCTTCAGTATTATCACTCAAGTATCTAGTAACATATCCAACTCCAAAATATATAGGCACAAATGCAATCAATACACTGGCATTACGATAATTCCAATATTCATGAACTGGTGGAGGATTTATATTGAAGTTATATTTGTTATTGAAAGCTTTAGGAGCAGTGGTTTCTGCTGCAGTATGTTGCAATCTTTTGAAAGCTATTCTACTAACACCTCTGGATAACATGACTAATGACTGATAGATATATAATGATGATAATTTGATCAATATAAACATACTGATTTAAGTTAAGTGAGGAAATTTTTGTATATGTTTAGTGAAAAAGAAAAATAGATTTTTGCACGACCTTTCTCAGGCTAACTAAAATTCATACACTATAAATTAGATTCAATTTTGGCAGCCAATTTTATATTGTTTGAATTATATCACAATCAGGTAATGACAGTTAAGAATAAGTCATATTTAGCGGTCTCCTACTGTAGGGATCAAGGATTCAAGAATAATTTGATTTCAGAAAGACCAGATATGAATAGTTTTGATGAAATTTCGTCATTTAATAACAACTTATTTACACAAACAAATATAATTATTCCAATCCATTTAAACAAACTTGTTAAAATTGGAAGAGATCAATCGCAATGCAATCTAATTCTTAGTGATAGTCTAGTATCACTGGTTCATGGATTGATCTGGTCAATTAAATTCGATTCTGACACCCCTTCAAATGTGTACCTTTTAGATAAGTCTAGAAATGGAATTTTTGTTAATGATATATTGGTTGGAAAGGGTAAAACAATCATGCTTATGAATAATGATTTCATTGAAATCAAGTTTGTATTAGGATTCAAATATATTACCGATAAGAAATCAATGATTAATCAAAAGGAACTTCTTAGAGAATGGTCAATTTCAGATAATTTACTTGGATTTGGATCGTTTGGTAAGGTTTATACTGCTTTCAATAAGTCATCTAACAAGTACTATGCAGTTAAATTGATTAATAAAGATTGTGAGTTTTATAAAAAGGAAGCTCAAATTTTATTGAAGATTAATCATGTAAGTAATACCAACGCAACGAAAGTTTCATAGCATCAACAACAACTAACAATGTGACAGAATCACATTATTCAAGTCCATGAAGCTCTTATGTCAAATAACTCACTCTACATATTTCAAGATTTGATTTGTGGTGGTGATTTATTCTCCTATTTAGTTCAAGGAGATATAATGAAAGGAGTACCAGAAGTAGAAGCTATCCTTATTATATTCCAAATCCTTAAAGCTTTAGATTATCTCCACAACACATTGAATATCATTCATCGTGATTTAAAATTAGATAATATCTTATTAGAAGCTCCAATACCTTACACTCGTATCTATGTATGTGATTTTGGTATTGCTAAGAAATTAAACCATATTAGTCAAAGATCAACCACCGTAGTAGGTACTGTCGAATATAGTGCTCCTGAAGTCTTCCCTAGCATATTTAGGAGAGATGGTTACACATACAAGTGTGATATGTGGTCGTTAGGTGTGATGTGTCATATTTTATTATCAGGAGTATCACCATTTTATTCCGATACTGGTAGCAAAAAAATGATCGAAAAAGCTAGAATTGGATTAATTAATTATGAGATTGATCAGTTTAAACTGGTATCTGCAAGAGCTAAGAATTTCATCTCAGGATTGATTCAATTAGATGCCAATCAAAGATTAAGTGTTAATGATTGTTTCAATCATAAATGGATCTTGTTAAATAAAGATTTATTAGATCGTGCGTATGAAGAAAAAGTGTTAGGAAATAAATAGTTGTAAAATGCGATTTGTGAATAATTTTTATAAATAATATATATCACCACTTAACCTTTGCAACATATAAATATATACCCCACCATAACGTCATGTCATCCAGTTATAGACCAAGAGGAGGGTTCAGCCAAAGAGGTAGGCCGAGACAATTAGGTCTGCCTGGTCCCAGTTATAGAAATAATCAAACCAGTACATATAAACCATCTTCATCATCACCATCACCACAATCACAACTGAGTACTTACAGACCTCAAGGTAATAGGAATGGATACCATCAACAATATAATAATAGATCGAATAATAATTATAGTAATTATAATAGCTCAAACAATAATAACAGTTCAAATAACAATCAAGAGCCACAACATCTGTTATGGATGGGAGATCTTGATCCTCAATGGGATGAAACAACCATATTGGAGATATGGAAAGCTGTGGATGAACAACCAACATCGGTTAAGATAAAACAAGATAAACTCAGTCAGAAGCCAATGTATTGTTTTGTTTCCTTCGCTACTCAACAAGAAGTTGAAAAAGCAATTAATAGAAATGGACTTCCAATCCCAGGTACAACAAAATCATTCAAATTGAATCGTGCAAGTGGATCCACCAATGTCCAAAGTAACAGTCTGGTGATTAAGAGAACCGGTACTGTTGTTACTCCAAGAAATGAATTTTCCATATTTATTGGTGATATAGATCAAAGTGTTACGGAAAAGGATTTATTTGACATATTTAATGATAAATATCCTAAACAGATTATACAAGTTAGAATCATGGTTGATCTTGTTACTAGAATATCAAAAGGATTTGGATTTGCAAGGTTTATCAATCTGGAAGTTATGGAAAAAGCATTATCAGAATTGAATGGTACAGTTGTTGGAGGTAGGGCCTTGAGACTAGGTCAAGCTGCTAACTCAACTATTTCTGCTACACCTACAGCTGAAATTAAAACAGCTCCTGGTATAAAAATAAATCATCATCCACAGTCTCAACCCCCATTAAATCAATTCACTGATCCTGATAATACTACAGTTATCGTGAAAGGTTTAGATTCAAAATTCACTGAAAATGAAGTTGTACAATATTTTATTTCTTATGGAGATATCATCAGTTTCAAAATGTCTGATGATCTTGCGAGTGCTACAATAGAATACTATTTACGTTCTTCAGCTGAATCGGCATTGCTATTATTAAATGGCTTACTTATAAAAAACCGCAGATTAACTGTGAATTGGGGTAATAAGGAAAAATCATACAAGAAGCGTAAATTTGCTCCACTTGTTTATAACTCATTCGGTGCCACTCCAATTAGATTTGATAAGACTAAGAAGGAAAAAGTCGAAGCATCCATGTCCAGATCTTCAAAATCCACAGTTAATGATTTGAATAGTATATATACAACAAAGAAACTAGCACGGGATGCCATACTTAATGAATAGAAGTCTATGCATGATCAGTTTCTAGTGATCCTGGGCAGAAATCATCAAGATCTTTGTCATCTTTATAACTACAACCACAATACCAGCAATAGTTATGATTAGTCCTCAAGTAATGAATTAATTTTAATAATTTATCATCATAATCATCGTAGTCTTCGATTTTCTCTTTTAAGATGAATTTCTGAACGTATTCTCTCCAAAGTAGGTTAACATTATCAATGATGTGATCTTGATGAAATTTATCAGCTTCTCCACTCAATTCAAAACATAGTTTCATAATACTATTCACTTGCTTTTTATTCTTATTAGTCAATCGATTATCAATTCTATCCTTTGTATATATGGAGTAATCCTTATCTGTTAATATGATCTTCTTGGGAGCTCCTAGACCCATGTTATCAGTTTTAACTTCAATACTAATTGGCTCTAATAAGGCTGTAGAATTTTCTTTCCCAAGAGAAGTTCCTATAGTATACCCCATTTTTTCCATAATTGAAAGTCCAATTGATTTAGAACTAGACTTATTCTGGTTTATGATTGATGTTTTTAGCGAAGGTTGAACTATTTCTTCTTTGATTAAGGAATCATCATCAAATGGATATTTCATATAATCATCGTTAGAACGACTCTGTACATTTTCCAACTCTAATTTACTTTCATCAGGTGGTTTGAATGATCGTTTCGGGATAGGTTTTAGAATTGGTTCCAGTTCAGACTCTGACGAACTCTCAAATACATTGTTTCTCTGTCTTTTCATGAATCTATCCCCTATATAGAGTTTAAATATACGCTTGTTGAAACCAGAAAAATGCAACTTAAAAAAATAAATAAAATGGTTTTGCGAATTCGAATATCAACACTGTTTATCTACCATATCAGTACAACAATGATACCACAACGAAAGGTAGATTCTTCTTTAAAGTCTCCAGTATCTAGAATCAGTTCTGGTACTAGATTAAACCAATTGAATCATAATCATGGATCGTACAGTCCACTTGCATCAACGCCAAATCCACATATTTCATCATTAAATCCAGCTAGAAACCTTCCGGTTGATTCATCCAATTATAAAAGTAAGATAAAGACCAAAGCAGAGCTTGATAGGTTTGAAAAACTACCTATAGTACAGTTAGTATCAACGTTTGAACAGACATTAAATGCTATTTCTAATGATATTTCCTTGTTTAAAGAAACTGAATTACCCATTGATGTCGAGAAAATCATTAAGATAAACGACGACTTACATAATAAGATAGAGGAGTTAGCATCTCATCGGGATCTTGGAAAACAAGTACTGAAGTTAACTCTGGAGAATCAGAGTTTGGATTCAAAAGCAAAATATATCCTTAAAGAGTTGATAGCATATAGAAGTGAATTAAAAAGTTTACCAAGATTACCAAGTAAGAGAAGTAAAGAAGTAGCTCCAACCATTCAAGTCGAGGAGATATTGAAATATGGAATGAAATTAGCCAAATTCACAAAGGCTCCAGCTACTATGTCCAATGCTCCGTATCAAATACATCCGAATAATTATGTGTGGCCAGCGGAAGATGCATTAAGAAGAGGAATGTTGGCAGCAAGTTCATTACAACCAGAAGCTATAATACGAAATGAACTAGGATTAGACGATGAAGAAGTGAAAGTGACAGCAACAAATACAGAAAAAGTTCAAACTTCAGTGGAAGAAACTAGAAGAGGATCATTTGGAGATTATGGCAGTGGTCAAGATAAGAAAAGGAAAACTGGTGGAGCTGTACAAAGTTCAGATCTCAATTTGGATCTCTTTGATTCAGATGAAGAATTCTCTGATTAATTTAGGAATAAATACTATGTACATTTTATATATATATATTCTATTAAGGTTTTTCTTTTTATATATACGATTATTCTGAATGATTACCAAATAATTCGCTTGGATGTTTAAAAGTTCCCTTAGCTGATTCACCTCCTAATACACAATCCAATTCTAATTGATGAGAATATAACTCGCCACTTTCAAGGTGATCTTTAACTAAACCAGCTAAACCATTGATAAATACTTCATTACCATTTAACGATTCAATTCTTTTTATTTTTTGAGGATTCTTACATTCGTCAATCAATTCTATATCAAGTTCATGTAAAGTTTCAATATGATCAGATGTGAATGCTACTGGAACAAGGATGATTCCTTTAATATCATCATTAGTATCCAACTTTTTGACGATTGTACTGGTTTGACCACCTAACCAAGGTTTTGGACCAACTTGAGATTGCCATACTAAACGATATGGATGCTTGAAGTTTAATTTCTCCATTACAGCATAGACAGTACTTGCCACTTCTGCAGGATATGAATCACCTTTATTAACAATATCCATAGGTAAAGAATGGGCTGAAAATAAGATGGTAACTTTATTTCTATCTTCTTGAGGGAATTCATGAAGTTTTTCTTGGATCAACTCACTGAATGCTTGAATTAATCCATTATTCTTTGGCCATCTATCTATAAAAGACCAATTGATGGAACGATTTGGATCTAATTCCAATGTTTTTCTATATAATTCATTCATGGAAGAACCAGTGGTGGAGTATGAAAATTGAGGGTATTGAGAAAAAGCCACTGCTCTTTTAATCTTATCATCTAACATTTGCTTCAAAGTGGTTTCAGTTAATGGATTAGCATATCTGAATGCCACATATGGTTTATGAGGTGCTGTGTCAGGACTTGTTTTATCAAGAATTTCACATACTTTTTTACATTGATATTCAGACCAATATTTGATAGGTGAACCTCCTCCTATTTCTTGATAATGTTTTTCAATCTTAGGAGTTCTTCGCTTTGCTATGAACTTAGCTAAGATATTTTGAAATCTTCCAAAGGGTATAAGATCACCATCTGAAAATAATCTGAAAAGGAAATCATAGGTTTCCTTGACGGTGGATGGTCCACCCATATTCATGAAAACCACACCAGTAGGACTGCGTGTGGTTTGGGAGTATAATCGCCTGGTCCAAAACATGTTGATACCACTAATCCTTTTCTATATAACCCACCTGTTAAAACCAAAATTTAAAGCAATCTATTTCAAATTTATAACATCTGATTTGTTCAGATGCATTTTTGTTCAATTCGCAGTTTTTTTCCATATTAAGTATTTTAATGGTAGCGGTGATTACATGGAGTGAGGTGGGGGGAATACGTCATGAAAAATTCTAGACTTTATAAATTATGAATAATCCGACACTCCTGATAAGTCACAATTAAACTGTATTTTTATATCAAATTATATAATAATATATGTATGTATGTATATAAAACTTAATCACTTAAATGTAGTCTTCTCCATTACCACGCAATCTTAATCTTTCTTGGCTGTTGGCTTAGTCAGCCTTGTGTTTATAAACTCTTGTTTACGAGAGGTTAAAATTTGATTGATTTCAGTCGTAAAATTATTATAAGCATCTTTTAATCCTTCGAAATCATCTTCTTTAATAGATCCTCTACGACCTCTGAATGATGTCCAGGCTTGTCTAAGATCGTTTATATCTTGATTAACTTCCTTCTTATCTACTGTTTGTAAATAATCAATGGGTGGTAAACCAAGAGTTGGAATATTATCAGCTGATTCCTTTTCTAATAATGTTTCAACGGCATTATTAACAATCTCAGCTTCTTCTGGTGCAAGCTTATTCTTGTATTTTTCACTATCTTGGAATGATTTACAATAACCAACCACTTGTTTTTTATAAGGTCCATTAAACAAAAAGATCACTATTAAGGAAATTATTGGAACATAGAAATAACATGTGCTCCAAATTTGAATTGATTTAGGGAATTCTAATAAAACAAATGGTTGAGCAAGAAATCCAAATGTTAATTGAGTGACAAAGTAACATACAATATCATAATAAATCTTATTTGATTTTGGTGTCTTACCATCTGCTTTTAAGAATATTGGTCTTAAATTACGTCTGAAAATTTTTCCGACAGTTTGAAGAATAGCTCCTAATACAAAAGTTATATAATAACCTGGTCTAGTACCATGCCAGAATGCACTGGTGACAAATGTGAATAAAGTACTTTTAAATCCTGGTTTCTTTCCCTTTCTAGCCACTCTCAAATAAACATAATTTTTTAACCATTTATTGGTATTCATATTCCAAGCTTCTAAAGAAGTATGCATATTTTGACTGGTTTCAAAAATAAATGGATCAATATTTTGAACACGATCCCATTTGAAACTATCAGTGACTGGATCATATCCATTATATCCCAATCCACATAAGATACACGCACCTTCAGCAATCAACCAAATGGTGTAATATCTCAATCTTTGAGTAAAACTTAGAATCCACAAATAAAAAATACGATATATAAAGTTATGTTCATTCACAAATGCAGGTGATAAAGCATATTGAATTGTAATATACTTAGGAGCATGAACAAGTAAGGTTGCACAGAATGCCCCTTGAAGAGTCTTTGATAATGCTTGTCTACCACTTCTTGGAATTTTTCTCTTTCTTTTACCTGGTCTTTTATCTTCTGGTACATCATCAAAAAGAGTGGAGTGAAGAAATCTATCATAAGCAGCATAATCAAATGAAGGTCCAGTCAATAACGAAGCATAAAAGAATACATATCCAATGTATGGTAATATATTTGGATGCTTCTTGATGGCCCTCGATTTATTATATGCATTCAATTCTCCAACAGGTTGACGTCCATCATAAACACTCCATCCAAAAGCTGTAAGTTTCAAGACCAACACCATTTGAGCTCCAGACATATCAATCTTAGTTTTATCATAAACACTGAAGAATTGAGTCATAAGATGATTGTAAGCTAAATGTGACATCAAAAATAAAAAGTTGATCCAAGGCATTGCAGGAGTTCTAACATATCTAGTAATGAAATAACATCCCGCAGCAGAGAACAGCAATGTCATGATACCATGGTATATCCCAAGCACACCAAACACATAGAAGGCAGATACACCAACATTATATAGATTCTTCAATGTATAGTTTTCATCAGGTAACCTCTTAAAGATGAAACTAAATGGGAACGACAAAAGCGTACAAAACAACACTTTCAAACTGGCATCGTCCACCCCCAACAATACCAGTACTCTATCTATAAACGCCTGAACAATTGCTAATGTCATCTGTATATTGAATGGTTGATGGTAACTTTTGTAATTGGGTATTCACGTGTGGTAAATTATTGTATTGTAAAATTTTTGTTCTTCCACTTGTTTAAATTTGTTTTGGGTCCCCCGCGTCTCACGTAAAAGCTATGACGAAATGAAATTCTTTAAACTTTATTAATAATCAAGTCGTATAAATTTTTGATCTACTCTATCTAAGATTAGGTTTGTATACGTAAATATGTTTCTATATATTCTAGGTTCTTGCCAGAACCAATTTGAAACCTTCATCCAATGCAGCAGTAATGGCTTCATTTTTGTAAGGTATCGTAGATAATACAAATGCAACATCATTCCATTGTGTTTCAGTTTGACATTTAGTAAGTCTCACTAATAATTTATCTGATAATTGTTTCTGTTGTTTTTCTTTATCAATAAATGAAAGTAAGAATTTTAAGATTCTCTTCATTGAATCCTTGGTTAAAGTATCATCATTCGACAATCCACTGAAAATATCAATAAATCCATTATAAATAGCATTATCTTTAGTTGCTAACTCAGCAAAAAATAATTTACACATATCACTAATACCTTGATCTGGATTTTCAAGACATTTTGCCATAGATGATAATTGACCTTTAACTTTAACTTGACCAGCTAAAATCAAGAATGTAATAGTCATAAGACACGTCCTTTGAACCATCATACTTTCGTCAGTAAGACGACGATAAATGAAATCAGTACTTTCATCAACAATATTATTGAAACAAACAGCCATATCACCTAAGGCTAATACACAGTTACATCTTATAATTGGATCTTCAGACTTTTCCATGATCGTTATTAACAAAGGCAAGTTTTGTTCACAGTATACAGATGAAACACACATGAACTTGGCCATACATAAAACGGCTGAACGCTGTAGTATACTATTGTTATAATTATGATTATTGGCACAAATTTCTTTTACAAGTGGACCAAATCTAGCAAGTAGAGATCCTTCTCCATAGAGTAATTCCCTTTCTTTAACATGACTTACAGCATCAGTAAAGTCGTCTTCAGAAGTACCACCAATCATCTCCAACTCATCCGCATTATCTTCATCATCTTTGGAGTTCGATTTCTTGGTTTCAGCATCGTGCTTTTTCTTTTTAAACTTACCTTCAAGTTTTTCAAGATGAACGATAGTTTTAATGGCAATATGACCAACTATAAATAATAATTGAGATAATGATGTAGCTTGGTTTTCATTTTCCAAAGAATTATTAAAGACCGCAATAGCTTTTTCTTTTATAAGTTCTGAACAAATTGTTTCTGGCTTAGATGACACTTGATATAAAGCCGCTATACCTTGTTCAGCAACAGCAAACCATTCAGGTACTTCGCTATACCTTAAGAGAACAGATATCAATTTGTCATGAAATTCATCTTCTCTTGATATCAGTTTCAGTTGATCGGAAGGTACTAATCTTTGAAGAGCAATACACGTGTATTTAGCTAAGGTAAGGTCATTCTTACCCTCATCCCCAAGACCAATGCTAAGCAATGAATCAAGACCCTTAAGAGCAACTGAATGGTCAGCCGCAGCAAGCATTCCCAATATTATAATGGAACCTAATCTTTGCTTAGTCTGAGATTCATCAACAAGTGATTCAGTATTATACACTTGCCATAAGACTTTAACAACATCTTGGTTAATTAAATCTTGTTCATACATCATACCCAAAAGCTTCTCCAAGGAAGCTAAATCAGCTAATGAAGCCTTTAGAGTTAATCCAATTAAATTCTTAGAAATAATTATAGTTTGCTCCAAACGAGAAATATCCTTAGGGGCTGTTAAAAATAAATTGGTATAACAATCAATTAAATGAGATGGAACAGATTTACCTTCATCTGACGACCCTTTCAGCCAAACTAAATGAAGCATCCTTCTTATACCTTCTTCAGATGTTTCTACACCATACGCATCCGCAAGTACCAAAAAATCCATGGAATCAATTGCTTCATTTCTGTTTTTGGAGAATAAAAGTTTAGAAACAATCTGAGTACCTATTTGGACTGCTTCAATGAAATCAACTGCGTCTTTGAAATAATTGGCTTTAAGTTTAGCACGAAATAAAACTGTAGTATCTGGGAGGTTATGTTCTTGTTCTTCCATAGCAGCTTGTAATTCCTCTTCATCGACATCATCGTAATCATTAACATCATCATCATCTTCTTCATCTTCTCCTTCATCTACATTCTCTTTGTCAACGTTACCATCTTCAAGCTCCTCATCATTATCATTAACCTCTTTAGAACTATTTTCATTATCATTATCTTCTTCTTCTAGTTCCATTGCATCCTCGTTTTCATTTTCAACACCCTGAACTATAGGCTTTCTTTTCTTTTTCTTTGGAGACAATGGTAAATATTTCAACAATTCTGCTTCTGATTCATCTAAACTTTTCTTCCACAATGAATATGATAATCTAGAACCATTTGCTGCAGTAAATTGATGGGTTAAGATCAATTTGGACATAAACTTAATGGTATTACGACGAACCAAGGTACTTCTATCATCTAAAGATCTAACAGCAATAGCAATCATTTTTTGTCTTCTAGCTGACATCCTTATGTTTAATGCTAATACCTTAGTCAAAGCTTGAAAAGCTTTGGTTCTAACATATGGATTTTGATCTAAAACTCTTGCTTGTAATAAATCCAACAAACCTTCAACACCATTGTTAGCATGTTCATCGATTTCTTCATCTGCTTTATTTTTAAGTATATCAACTACGATATTACCACAAGTTTCAACAACAGAACATCTAAGCGATTGATTACTATTATCCAAAAGTTGAGCAATGTAAGACATCTGTTTCAATATTAATCTTGGACTAAGTTCAGAAAGTCTAATAAGAAATTCTGAAACTGTTTTAGGACCATTTGTGTCATTTGAGTTAAACAGGGTTTGGGATATTTCTCTTAATACTTCCTCAGTTAAGAGTAAGTAGTCGTATTCTGTTGCCACTATATGAAGCAATTCTGCCATATATATTGGTAAATGGATATAATATGTCAAACATTGGATAATATTATGTTGTATGATGGTAGCATGACCATGATTTCTTACTGCGATGGCAATAGTTTTAAATATAAGTAATTTAATTGAAGTAACTTTCATTCTATCTGGACTTTCCATTAAATTCATGATTGGACGAGTGAATAATTCAACAAACAGATCACGTTCAGGAGACGTTATAAATATCTTAGAGAGATCTATCTTTAATACTGACACTATGGATGTTAAACAATCTTCAACTTGAACACAATTTGATTTCCATCTTAAGGCCATTTCAGGATTTCTGAACTTTCCATTAGATTTTGTAAATTCCTCTTTACCTAGATGTTTAGCCAATACAAATACAAGATATCCATATCTTTCAAGAGTGCCTTTGTAAAATTCCAAGTTATCAACATAATCTCCACTCTCTATTATACCACTATAAAGATGCCCAATAGAGTTGAATGAAGACGTCAATAAGTAGGCCAACTGCTTTTGATGATTTCCTTCTAGATGTTTGAATCCATGAACTAATTCAACCAAGTCTTCGAATAACTCAGGATTAAGGTTGATTGAATCAGGGTTATCTGCCAACAAGTTAGTCACACCTTCCAACTTGGAATCTATATCGGACACATCTAATTCGTAGTCTTTATCAATGTCAAACGCATTGAAATACGTCGATAAGTTGAAATCCATGATAATAATGTTTCTATACAATTAACATCGATTGATATGCTGTTGCCAATGTTTATTTACATTTCATTTGATCTGTTTTGATTTTTTTTTGTTTTGATTTTTTGCAGTGGGAGTATAGCGCGTACAAATTAAATTTTGTATGTAAGTAAATATGTATGTATGTGAAATTTTACTATATAATTATACAATTAATCCTTTAGTTTAGCATACGCTTTCACTATGGCTTTATCGGTACCCATTCTTTCATCTTCAATGGCACCTAATAAATCTTTCATGGTGACTGAGTTACCTGATCTGATTTCTCTAAATCTTAAACCGTTTTCTCCTCTGATGGCTATTATTGAACTTTTCTTACTCTTTTCATCAGTACCTTTGGCAGCTTCTGCTCCGGCTCCATTGGCAGATGTCATCCATGAATACTTTTTTCTACCTGTGTTAGACATCATTGCAGCAGTAGCATTGGCAGCTCTATGTAAAGTTTCTTCTGCTCCTGCCTTACCATCACCACCTAATCCATCATTTGATGGATCACTCTTTTCAAGACCTAACATTATACGTTTTTGGACTCTTCTCTCTTCGAGCTCTTTTTGCCCCACTGCTATATTTCTTAATTCTTTTGATAATTCAGATCTAGAATTGGCATTGGCAGTCGATCCTTTTTTGTTAGCCTTTACATTTAAATTGGGTATACCTCGTCTACGATGACGAGATAATATAATTGTCTTTTGAATTATGTTTGACATCCATGATTCACATGCTGCAGATACTAACTCTAATAAATCAGCCTCTTGAAGGAAATTCTGTTGGATACCGTTGTTTGTGGCAACTTTATTAATAAAAGCAGCAAGATGATAATTATTAAGAAATGGTGGTGGTTTGGAAGCCTTTATAATTTGTTTCAAATCTTTAGATATATCTTCTTTTCTATTTTGTTGTTGTTGTAATAATAATTCTTCTTCTTGTTGAATATTAATACCTGCTGCTGCAAGCGCATCATTTAATCTAGCAGGATCATTTTGAAGTTTATTTGGCTGATTTGGACCTTGGTTTGGTGGTGCTTGGGCAGGTATTTGTAATTCTGATTGAGTAGTAACAGGAGCTAGATCTTGTGATTGTGATGGAGTTATGCTTTGTGATGGTTGTGGTTGTTGTTGTTGAACTGTTGAATTCAAAGTTGAAGGTGTAGCTTGAGTGACTGTTTGTAACTGTTGCGCTATTGATGATTCTGCACCTCCACCTAATACGTTACTTTGAAGTATCTTCTCAGGCAAATCTGAAAACTCCTCATTTACCTTATTAGCATCGTTGATTGCAGTAAGGTTTGATATGACACTTTTGTCTTCAGAAGTAGCCATGAAACCAGGTTCAGAAAAGATATCATCCAATTCATCCTCTAGCTTCAACTTTTTGGGCTCTGAATCCACTGACGTACCAGCATCAGGTCCTCTCTTTAGAGGATTAATTGGTTCTGTAGACATCCCTACTATACAATTGATTAATAATGTATTCAATGTTACCTATTTCTATATCTCTGTTTCTTTTCTGTAATTAAAGCGACGAAAAAATGGTCATGTGACCAAAATAAATTCAATTTTTTTTTCAGAAGAGGGAAGAGCTTTAATGCAAAATTATAGATTTAAGAATAAAAAATTATGCAAACCATCTTACAATTATAGAAAGACTTCATACCGCAAGAAAATGTCAAGTAAAGGAGGTATAGTTACCTTTGAAGGTCATAGAAACTTCAGATTACGTTTAATAATATCTACTTTAGCAGGAAAACCTATTAAAATCAATAAAATCAGATCCAATGATGTTAATCCAGGTTTAAAAGATCACGAAGTATCATTCTTAAGATTACTTGAATCTGTCACTAATGGTTCTCACATTGAAATTTCATATACTGGTACTACTATTATATTTAGACCAGGTATAATAATAGGTGGTGAAATTACCCACAACTGTCCAAACACCAAGACAGTTGGTTACTTTATTGAACCAATGTTATACTTGGCTCCATTTTCCAAGAACAAGTTTTCCATAATATTTAAAGGAATAACTACAAGTGAAAGATCCAAAGATGCAACTCCAGAATCTATCAAATGGGGTTTAATACCACTTATGGAAAAATTCGGAGTAAGAGAAGTTTCACTTTATATATTGAAAAGAGGTTCTGCCCCAATTGGTGGTGGTGAAGTTCATTTATTATGTAACTCACTTATTCCTCAACCTTTAACCATCCATGCATTAGATGTTCCTAAGTTTTCAGCTATCAGAGGGGTTTCTTACAGTACAAGAGTATCCCCATCAATGGTAAATAGAATGATAGATGGTGCAAGAAATGTTTTAAGACCAACTGGTGTTGAAGTTAATATAACAGCAGATGTATGGAGAGGTGAAAATTCAGGTAAATCACCTGGATTTGGTATATGTTTGGTGGCTGAACTGAAAAAAGGCTGGAGAATAGTTGCTGAAGGTGTTGGTGCTGCAGGTGGATTACCAGAAGATATTGGTGAAACCGTTGCTTATCAACTTCTTGAAGAAATAAGCAGAAGTGGTATTGTGGGTATGAGTCAATTACAATTGGTCTTAATCTACATGACTATTGGAAAGGAAGATGTAGGTAGATTTAAAATTGCCAATTCACAAATTGATGAAGAATTTATATGGCTCCTTAGAGATATTAAAGAATTATTTGGTACAGAAGTATTTATAAAAGAAGAAGATGAAAATTATTCACTTCTTTCAGTTAAGGGTATTGGATTTACTAGTGTATCCAAAAAGATAGCATAATTAGAATAGCGTTATATTAATATACATTAAAAAAGCATTATATAATAGTGTATTGTATGTTTACCAGAACGAACACCAACCTATATAATGTTGACAAAGATTTTCAACACTAGTAGCTTGTTGAATCAACTTATCTACTTGTGTAGGGACATCTAATCCTCTCAATCTCTTAATATCATTACCTGTTAATTTATCAGTAATTCTCTTTAACACCAAAGCAGCACGAGCATTTCTGATTTCTAACTCGTTCTGTTTGGTTAATCTTGCAGCTTCTTGTTCGTCAATTTGACCTCTTCTTAATAATTCAACTGTATTAACTTGTGGAACCTTTATACCAGTAGCTTCGGCAACAGCTTTGGTAGGGAATTCGAAACCCCAATTAATCAAAGGATCATAAGCAAATGCTTCTAAAATAGCCATCAAAGATTCTTTATTGTCTCTTAATACTCTCATAACATGCTCACATGTGATTCTAAATGATCCTTCGATACCACTAACTTCCATGGCATAATTTAACATACGTGTTAATCTGAATGGAACTTTTTCTGGATACTTTTCTCTAAGAATAGCAGCTTCAAAACAATCGCCAAAATCAATATGAACAACTTTACCTGTGATTCTATCTAACATTAAATTCGAAGGATGTCTATCACCTAATCCTAGGATATAACCAACCATAGACATTACAGCCAATGAACGAGTATAAGTTGTACGACGATCTAACCAAGCTTCAGAAGATTTAGATTTCAACCATAAAACTTTATATAAATCTTGACCTCTTGTGTTGTCTAAAGCACCAGTGAAAACTTCAACTTTTTGTAATAATGTTAAACTATCATAATCAGGTGCCATTTGTAACATGATGCGATGTTCAATATTCAAAAGAATTTTTCTTGATTCCCTATATTCTCTAATTAAAACGTGGAAAGTATCACTATTTGGTACCCAACTCAATAAACCAACTTTTGGTGATAAGGGAATAGCCTGATATTGTTGTATATCTAAATGTCTTTTGAAACATTCGGGATCATTGACTAACAATGTATTGACTAATCCAAACAACTGCATGACTAAATTATCTTGTCTTATATCTTCATGTCCTTTCAAGGCATATTGATAGTCTTTACCATCACTGCCTTTACAAGAAAGCTTTCTGGGTCTTTGTTTGGATGAAATGACTGAAAAGGTTGGATCAAATCTCTTAATACGAATAATAGGCTTTCCTGCATGGTAAGTACCAGGAACTGCTAATTCCATATCCTTAGCCTCCTCCAACTTTGGTGAAACAAATTGTAATTCCAAGCTCTGTAACTGTGGTAACTGTCTACTGATTCTTCGGAAAACGTTATAATAGATATCCCAAGCTTGATTCAAATTGGTTATATCTTTTGTTCGACGGAAATTCAACACCCATTCGTAAGCATCTGCTAATTCTCTACCAAACGCGGTTGCAAATGCTGATTCTCTCATAGTTTCTGGCCCTTTAGTAAGCATTTGATGTAATGGCTCTAACACTTCAAACATCTTTTCAGTGTTATGTTCACCAAAGAAAAGACGTGAAGCATCCTCCAAACCTTCATACCATTGTTCATGCCATAAGACAGCAACACGGATAAGTTCATGACTAACTAATTCAGCTTGGTCAACTAAACTAGATGAATGAACTCTCATTTTTTCAATGATTGATTCAGCTGCTCTCTTTCTGTTTACAGATTCAGATGTTACAGCAACTGCCAATGGATAAACAAGAGCTTGAGGATGTGCTCTACCAAGATCAGTTAATAAACCGAACAATGACCTACTAACAATTTGATTAGGTTGATGAATTCTGGAAATTAATTGCGGAATTACCTCTAACCAATTATCTATCTTCACCATATTGAAACCTTCAGTCATGGCCTGTGCTGCTTCTGGAATACCACCGAATTTAAACCAGAGGGTAAGTAATCTCAACATATCTTGAAGTGAATTTGAATTCGATAATGCTATTGAGTGGAAGAAACCTTTAATTGATGGAATTACATGCCTTTGAACGGCTTCTAATGGAATCATATTAGAATCAGCCTTGTTAGCTCCCGCAGCTTCATTATTAGTATAAAAGGATATAACTTCAAAATTAGTTAAGGCCCAATTATGCCATGCTTTATACCATTTATTGTCAAAGTGGGTTGCCAATAAGTAAGCCCCTAAGATTATTTCTGAAGTTTCAGTACGCCAATTTGGATTCAAAGCGATTTGCCATTCACCTTGTTTAAGGAAACATCTGGCCAATAATTTAGTATATTCTTCAACATGCTTTGGACCTTCCGATGGTAATGGTTGAGTTATTAAATCATTAGGATTCAATCCTAAGTCTTGTGACATTCTTGTAGTGAAATCAACTAAATGTCTCAAAGCCTCTTTTTCTTCCCCTTTAGCCCACATATATTTCAATTGAGCATATACCACTTGTGGTGGAGCACGAGAAGGATTGTCATGAGACCCTCCTTCAAGAAGAGAGTTCAACGATTTTTCAGCTAAGTTTAATCTTCCAGATTTACGACACAAGTTAGCGAATTTAATCCACATGTCCATATCTTGTTTTGGTTTAATGACCAATGCTCTAACTTTCAACATTCTCTGCCAAATATCAACATTTCTTTGACAACCTAATAAACGTGTATTCCAGGTCTTTCTCATAATACTTCTCTTTTCTGAACCTTGAGGTAACATCTTATATTTGATTATTTCTTCTAATTCAGCCAACATTTGAACTCTAACCACCACACCATAAGCTCTGGTATAACTTTCACTGACTAAGGCTGTGATTTCTGTAACTAATAAATCTCTTGCTTTCAAAATATGACTTGAAGCATCATCAAAATTATTACGATGTAAACTTAAAATGGCGTTAAAGAATGCTTTATCGGGAGATTCGGATTTCATAACTTTAATACAAGAATCCATTCTATCCCATTGACCCAAACCCCACGAAGCAGCAGCAGCTAATGGAGCAACACTTCTTTTAATTTCACTCGAAGAAGTGTCCCATTTACTTCTAGCTAACTCTGATAATTGCTCCCATTCACCTAGGGCGTGTAAACATCTCATTTTACCCATTGTTATTTCCATATTATTAGGTTCATGTTTTTCACGATCGTTATATGCTTTCAAAGCATCATCCCATCTTTGTAATTTTTCATACCATGTTTCCTTAAGCTGAAGATCATGATGTAACTGAGCATGCTTTAAAATACCAATTGCAGCATCTGATTGTTGTAATTGGTTGTTGATACTAATTAATGATTCAATAGTTGGGGTATTTGGTTCTTCATAGAATTCCAATTCCTTGTAATGTAATGCTTTGGCAAAAGCGTGACAACGTTGAGCATATTGTCCTAAAGTTGTGATTGCTATTGGAAGGGGCTTATCATCATGCTCCATGAACTCAACCAAGTTCAACAAAATCTGATGAATTTCAGGTGGATTATTAGGTGATGATAAAGCCACGCAGAATGATTGAACTAACTCCTCTTGATGTTGAGAGTAAAGCTCACTCCAACAACTGGCGAAACTGGCATTGAACAAATCTTTAGCAAGAGCATAATAATCGGAAGCTAAACCAGCACAAGCCCTTATAGCATGAGATGGACTCTGTTTAAGTAATTCTTTACTTAACCTATTAATCCATTCTTGCCAATCTTCCTTCGTACGACATTGGCTACAATCCCAAGCTATCTTTAAAGCACCCTGGTTCACAGGAAGCTTCTTTGATGGTACATCTACTATTCCGTTATGAGTTTGAGTATCATATTCTTTATAAATGTCCAAATGTGTTGGAAGTGGATCTCCGCTGATTAATTTGCTGATCAACTGTTCAAACCTAGGAGCATGTATTTTTTGAGCAATTATGATTTTCTTAATAGGTGGGATGAAGACGCTGAATTCTGTACCTAATTGAACCAAAAGACAACTTAAAGTGTTAATGGCGGCTATTTTCAATTCATCATTACCTTGTCTCAACACCCTTAATAATGGATGTATGATACGCGAGGCCATATCATTTAAAACCACATTTCTTGATAATCTACCAATGGTTTCAATAGCAGCTTTTCTTAGCAGTAAAGGACCAAATTCAAACATTTTAACTATGCTAGGCACAATAATGTGAACATATTCTTCTATATTACTACCAAACACCACAAAACTTTTAAGAACATGTAATGTAGGTTCTCTTTTTGGTGACTTATCTTCCTCAAAAACGTCTAACAATAAAGTTAAAATATCTGACAAATGCATTTTAAATTCACCTTCTAATGCTCTTGAAATTGCTTCTATCAAATTAATAATGATGACTTGCATATTACTGAAAAACTTTGCAATTACATCAAATATATCCGAAAGGAATGGTCTTATATGTTGTTTTACAATAAGAATTAACTGAGCAAGTTGTTGAAAATAAAACTTAAGCATTGATTGTTGGCAGTTATTGTTCATGACGTGAATGATACCAGGTATAATTTGAGGAAGAAATGAAACACATCTTAAACCTAAAGTTTGGAACATGTACATTATAGCCTGTATGACTTTTGAATGATGGGAATTCAAAGACGGATCTTTAAGAATTCTCATAAGATGTGTAATAGCAACAGTTGGATAATACTCTTCATTTGAAGGGGACATACCTTGCATTAACAAAGCAACATCAATTGGAGGAGCATTTTGTTCAACTGGACCCTGTTCAACCTCACGATGTTTGTAAGGATCTAAAGCACCTAAAATACCTAATAATCTTACAGTCTCACGTCTAATTTGAGGAGAGGATTCCAGTTTTAAAATACCAACCAACATTCCCAATAAATGTGGATAATCCAACAATGGTTGGATAACATAACCAGATGAACTTGCTAATTGTCCAAGAGTCTTAAGAGCAGCATCTCTTTTATAAAATGACGATTGATCTTGAAATGTATCCAAGATAAGTGGCATAAGATCAGGAATGAAAGGCTTTAAATCTTCACCTCCAACAACAGCTAGTTCACCGAGACAATTTATAGCACTGGATGCAACAGAAGAAGAACTGAGATCTTTTGCTTTTGGTAACAACACCTCAACAATTGGCTTGACATATGGTCTTGTTAACTCTTTTGAATTACTAATTAACAATGATAATAAAATTGCACTCTCTTCCTTCTTCCTCGTAGTAGTAGAATACTCCAATCTAGTTAATAATTGAATCAAGGTCTTCCTTAAGGATGGGACAATATATGCTGGATTAATAGATGATAATCTACCCAAAATTCTGATAGCTGTCTTTCTAACTGCGAAAACTTCATCATTAAGAGCAATGAATAATAAACGAACATTATCAGCTTGGGAAAGTTGAGGATCAAAGTTCCCGGCATTAGCAAGGCATAAAAGACCTTCAAGTCTAATTTCTGGATTAGGATCAGTGATTGAGATTGAAAGTAATTTGTCTAATACTTCGTTAACAGCATTCAAGGCATTAACACTTGTTTGTTGACATATTGGATCTTTGATAAATATTTGACAGGATGTGATCGTTGCTGTTTGACGAACCTTGGCATTAGAGTGTTCCAAATATGAAATTGTGCAATATCTTACAAATTCATTTAACTGATAATTTTCAAATTTAAAGAATGCAAGCATTTCCAATGCTTGAATCAAAATTGCACTATCATAATTTTCGTAAGTCTCTGTATTCAGAAGAACATGACTTGGTGTGTGACCCGTTTCACGAGATATTATGCCCAATCTATGATCACGAGCTAAGTCTTCGTTCATTTTTATAGTACCATATGGAGATCCAGGTGGTTGAAATGGTTTTCCTGATAACACCAAACTTAATAAATTTAAAAGCTTCATATTGATTAAACCAGTTAAACTAGGAATATTGATGATCAAGATTTGTAAAACATCTTGCATAGGCTTTGATAAAGAACAGTTTGTGAACATCATATCCAAAATATCACGTTGTAAATGCTTTGTAAGCGCCGGGCCCACTGCTATAGATAACTTACCAATACAATCAAAGATAGCTGATTCTGTTCTTGTGGCGGCATCATTGACAGAAAGACCTTCTCTAATATTATCCAAAATAGCATCCAAATATGTGGCGATTTGTTGACCTATTTCCAAGGCAATTAAACCTATACTTCTAAAGATGGCACTTTTATCAGCTGGATTCTTATATTTCTTTAATTGGGGTAAGAAGTAAAATAATGTTTTATGCAAATACTTTTCGACAAACAATTCTGGATTCACCTTACATAACAATGGAAATATATTGGTTAATTCTTGTCTTATGATTGAAAGTTTATGATTCTTAAATGCATAAGCATTTTCATAGATTTGTTCAAATTTGGAGATTATGTAAGGATCTTTTGAATACCTAATAAGTTCTCTGTATACTAATAAAGAACCATGAATGCTTTCTGGTGGTCCATTTTCATCTTCGGAGAGAATCTTCGATACCAGGTCTATCATTTTTTTGATCCAATAATTACGGGCATTAGTATCTCTATGATATATTATTTCCATACATTTATGAAGCGCTATTGCTGCATCTTCTCTGATGATTAACTTGTGATCTCTAAGGGGAGTCCATAAATGTTCTAAGATTTGATTGATGAAATTATATAAAAGTGCTGGAGCGTTTTCAGCTAATGAGGTAATGATTAATATTGATGCATGTCTTCTGTTTTCATTTTTATTATCATTTTCTAACCATTCAATGGCTCGACTGGCTTCATGATCAACAAATTCAACAGTTAAAGTACCACCAGGAGTGGCTAATTTACCTAAAGCTTTAGTGGCTTGTCTCATGACAACTGGATCGTTTGAGACTATAATGGACCCTAAATAATTTGAAAATCTAGCTGTCTTCGTAGCATTTTCTTCACCAACACCAGAATCAAAATCAATTAACTCGCTAAGGGCGGCAATACCACCTAATTTCTCAGATGTTTCCTTCCCATTGATTAATTCAAAAATTGTCTTATTTATTTCATTGTTATATCTGTTGAATTGTTCTGGCGATAAATCTCTGGCTATGGTCTCGAGATAGTTCCTAAGCTCTTGAGCATACCGATTTCTCTCATCTTCTTTATTTGACTTCAAGCCATTGAATATCTGAGTTAGAGCAAACCCGTCTACCACCTGAAGTTGTGATGTCGACATTGTTTGGCTCTTTAGATAATTACCAATGATCCTATCAAAAATTGGAAAATATAAGCCTATAAATGATATACTGATATACTTTGAGTATGTTTTGAAAAATTGGTCAATGTGCACTACTCCTTATAATTTCCCTATTTTTAACAAATCGTATAATATAGTATATATTTTTTAATTATCTTTTAACTATCCTAATCTATATAATTATGGTACAGAGAATAAGGAGAAATTTCTAACAATGCTTGGACCATATTCATCATAGTCACTTTTAGTGTAACAGTAACTTTTGAATTCAGCTGTTTGAGCTAATAAAGATCCACCAAACCAAACTGCGTATCTTTGTTTCTTATGGGAAATGACTTGAACATCTACACCAGTACTTTGGGCACCACTTGATCTTTCACTTCTTTGAATTCTTTCGTTAACAAGACCTTTCAAATCTCTTTGTAATCTCTTTCCGAAATCTTTGAACATAGTAGAACCTCCAGATAAGACAATGTTTTTATATAACTTCTTACGAACATCAATTGGAGAAGCTTGAATCACTAAATCAACTACAGTTGGTAATGGAGTCAAGTAATCTGAAGAACAGATTTCTGGATTGAAGAAAATTTCAGGTGCTAAAAATCTTTCATAACCAACATCAACAGTTGCCTTTCTTTCAGCATATTCCACTATATATTGAGCAAATTTCTCTTGAGGATATTGATCGAATTTGTTGAATTCTTGTACTATGTCAGGACAAACATAACAGAATTGTTGTTTGATTTTTTCAGCAGTTTGTAAACTAGTATCAGCTTCACCACGATCTCTTAACAATTGTTGAATGAATAAAGTAATATCTCTACCAGCTAATGGTATATTTTTAATAGCAGTACCTATAACATAACCTTCAGCAACAGGAATAACATGGGTTACCCCATCACCTGAATCAATAACTGTACCACTCAATGATCTATCTTGAACTTTTGGAGAAGTCCATGAGGCAGCTAATGCTAAAACAGCTTGAACAGCAATATATAAACCTGCACAATTGAACGATTCAAACATAATTTCGGCAGTACTTTCTCTATTTTCAGGAGGATTTAAAGGAGGTTCAGTTAATAAGAAATAATGATCTTCTGGTTCACATCTTAAATATTTAAAGATTGAACTTTCCCAGAATCTTTCCATATGATCCCAATCTTCAATTTGACCATGTTTTATAGGATAAGATAATCCATAACTTGGACCATTAGCAGCTTCGAGTGCTTCATCACCTATGAAGAAATCCAAATCTTCAAGACCTCTTTTGGATGATAAAGCAGTACTTCTTCCCCCTCTAGTAGCTTTTGAGGCAGTGGAAGTTGCAATTGCAGTTGGAAACACATAGGAAGGAGAATCATTACCTGCGAAACCCAATTTAGTTAAACCAGTACCATTGTCCATGACAACGGCAGGTGTACCCATACTAGCCATGATGAATGATGATTGATGATGATTAGTGTTAATTGATAACGGCAATTGATAATTGAATTCGGCAACAAAGGTTCACTCAGTCTCCTTTTTGATAAATTCACTCCTTTACTTTCTCGCTCTCTCAAAGGGAAATCGATCTCTACATAATGAACTATTTTTGTGATTGGTACACGACTCAAGTCAACTTCTATTAAACTTATAAATATATATACAAACTTATCCTAATATTCATCTTTACCACTAATAATAACATCATTAATCTTTAAGATCATCCTGGTTAATTGAGTGGCTAATAATAATTGTTGTTTTTTACCAATTAATGGATCTATAACAAAAAGTTCTTTCATATCATTGGTACCTTTTCCAAGACAATCAACTCCAAGGTGAGAAGAGTTTTCATTGACTTGTTTAGCTTTTAATGCTGATAAGGTTTCAATTGGATCTAAACCCGAGTTTTCAGCTAAAGTCATTGGAATGGTATCTAAGGCAGCAGCGAAAGCTCTGAATGCATATTGATCAATCCCCTTTTGTTTGTCAGCAGCATCTGTCACAGCTAATGAACAAGTTAATTCAGCTGCACCACCACCATAAACAACTCTACTATCTCTGATTAAATTACGTACCACACAAATAGAATCATGTAAAGCTCTAATACCTTCAGCAGCAATCATTTCATTGGAACCTCTTATGAAACACGTAACAGCTTTAGTGTTTGAACAATCTTCTATGACTAACATACGATCTCTAGTAGTACCGAATTCTAATTCTCTTATAACACCAGCAGTACCTAATTTATCAGCAGTTAAATCTTCGAATCTTGGAACAATACGACCATTAGTAGCAATGGCTAATAATTCTAATTCAGAACCACCAATCCATCTGATAGCATTTAAACCATTTGCTAAAAGTAAATGATTGGCTTCATCATCAAAACCCCATTGACAAGCAACAACATTAGCTCCTGAAGCTTTTACTAAATCTATCATTTCTTGAAACTTCTTTTGTTCATATTCTTGTAATACTTTGAATTCTTCAACAGTTGAAATATCTAATTTATGTTTAGTTTTTGGCTTTGGAGGTTCAAATGGACAAGTTAATATAGCTATTTTACAATCTTTAACAATTTTTGGCATTTGAGGATGGGAGAAATCTTTATCTAATAACACACCTCTGATTAAAGAAGAATCTTCAATTGGACCACCAACTTTCTTTTCCATTTTGATTAATTCAAAATCAACATCTTTTCTTTCAAAATCTGCTACAGCTAATACTGCATCAACAGCCATTTGAGCAAAATGATCATGAGCTTTAGAAACCACTTTTGAACCTAATGAAGTCTTGGCAGCTTTTAAAAGATTGGTATCTTTTGATTCACTACTTATACTAATAGTATCAGCAATTGAATCTAAATGTTCAACAGCAATTTTACAAGCTTCATCAAAACCATTAGCAATTTTAATAGGATGAATCCCTTTCTCTATAAGTTCCAAGGCTTGATCTAATAAAGCACCTGCAATAACAACAACACCAGTAGTACCATCACCAATTTCATCATCTTGAGATCTTGATAATTCAACTAATAATTTAGCAATTTCATTATCTAAATCCATTTGAGTTAAAATAGTAGCACCATCATTAGTAATGGTGATATCACCATCTTGACTAATCAATATCTTATCCAACCCTCTTGGACCCAATGATGTCTTTACAATTGATGCTACTGATCTAGCAGCTAAAATATGAGATTTGGTGGCTTCTATACCATGTTTTCTTTGCTTTTTACCTTGATCTCTGACGATAATAAACGGTCTACCCATTTCATCCTGGGCCACAATGGCATTCGATAAATCAGGAACTTGTTGTGCCATTCTGATATATGTATAGTATTAATAAATCACAAATCACACACGTCTTTGCATTCCTATGTCGATTATATTTTCAGTATTTTTTTCCTTCCTTCGTTAGAAATCAAAAAATCAACACGGTCAAAAATTTTTTACTGTTCAAGTTTGTCATTTTTTTGCTTGATCTTTTGTCGCAAAATTTTGAATTTCATGAATTTTATGACATAGTTATGTCATAAAACTAGCAATTGAATTTACATCAGTTTAAATCACTAAAAGTTGGTAATAACTTGAAGAAAGACATTTATGAGCAACTGATGGTAACCTATTGGATCAGCTAAGAATCTAAAGTTACATATTTATAATGTTCAAGTGTAACATTAATAAGCCGTACGTGGACTAGACTAGATTTAATGGCATCATTATCAGATGATGCATACGAAGCCTAAAAAAAAAAAAAAAAAATTTTTAGATGTTAAAAAGCCGATAGTTGTAAAATTTTATTTTCAACCTTTATTACTTCTTTACTTTTTGGAAGAGCAACTACTATATAATACTTAAGATGACTGAAGAAATCAATATCGATACTGCCACTTTAGAAGAATTAAGAGATATCTTAATAAATAAAACTGGTGATGTTAAATTAGCTAACAGATTCAGAGCTTTATTCAATTTAAAGAGTATTGGTGGGGAATTAGATGAAAAATCAAAAGCTGATACTGCTGTTGATTATATATCTGAAGCCTTTGGTGACAGTTCTGAATTATTAAAACATGAAGTTGCTTATGTTTTAGGTCAAACTAAAAACTTGCATGCTGTTACTTCTTTAAGAGATGTCTTGATATCTCAATCTCAACAATGTATGGTAAGACACGAGGCTGCTGAAGCTTTAGGTGCTTTAGGTGATGTTGATTCTTTACCATTATTAGAAGAATATTTCAAAAATGATCCTCAAATCGAAATCAGACAAACATGTGAATTAGCCATTGAAAGAATAAAATGGGAAAATTCAGAAAAGGCAAAATCAGAAACTTTAGAAAAATCTGCCTTTTCTTCAATCGATCCAGCTCCTCCTTTGGCCACTGATGTTGAATCCAAAATAGATAAATTACAAACCATCTTAAATGATCAAGATAAACCATTATTCGAAAGATATAGAGCTATGTTCAGATTAAGAGATTTAGGAACTGATGAAGCTTGTTTAGCTTTAGCTAGTGGATTTGCTGATCCATCAGCTTTATTCAAACATGAAATCGCTTATGTTTTCGGTCAATTATGTAACCCAGTTACTGTTCCATCTTTAATCAAAGTATTAAAGGATGAATCTGAAGCTGGTATGGTTAGACATGAGGCTGCTGAAGCTTTAGGTTCAATTGCAACTGATGAAGTCTTGCCAGTTTTACAACAATACCTGACTGATAAAGAACAAGTGGTTAGAGAATCCGCTATTGTTGCTTTAGACATGTATGAATATGAAAACTCCAATGAAATGGAATACGCTGCCATTAAAACTAATTAGATTTGACTATTTTATTTTTCATCTATTGTATATTACTACTTCTTTTACCCTACATTTTAAATCAAAAACTAAAGTGTCAATTTTACTCTATTATTCGTTATTTATTATATATATACAATATATGCAAAAGGCTAATATACATGGTTTTTTGATTTTGCTGGATTTGATAATTTGAATGTAGATGAGATCAATTATTGGTTCTAAAACGGTATCCACATGAAGTACAAGTATAAAATACTGTAGCACCTTCATCGGCGGATCTTAATTGTAAAGTATGATATTGCATTTCTTCATTACCACATTTTGGACATTTTTCTTTAATAGTAGCACCATCGTCTAATTCATCTTTCTTCAATGAAGTCTTCACTACTGATCTTTTTAATTTTAAACTTGAAGGAAAAGCATCTTCAGCTGATGTAGTGACGACTTCTAAATTTGCAAAGTCTGCTTTATTATATGATGCAGAACATAATCCACATTTGAATTCTGCACTTGAAGTAGCAGCATCCAATAGATTACCACAGTATGTGCAGAATATCAAGGACCCAACGACGGACATTATGGTTTTGTTGTATTATTGTATGTCGATGTGATGTAGAGATGAAGTAGGTTTAAATTTCAATAATTTTTTTTTCAGTTTTACAGAAAATAAAAAAAAAAATTACAGTGATGATGAAGAAAGAAGATGCGAAAAATAAATTTTATTTGTCGGGGAAGAATCTATTTAATTAAGTTGTTTACAATTTCACTGATTTCACCAGAAAGGACCGTTCCTACACCTGACTCTACAAATTTCATAGGCATAGTTGAAGATGGGCCATTACCACCTCTGATTAACTTGAAATTATTCGGATATTGGGCTATTAACTCTTCATTTGGCCATCTTAAAACCCCTGGTGTATTCAAACCAACTCCTAATTCAAGAATAACAGCTTTAGCATCTTCCTCTTGAATTTTATTAAGGAATTCATAGTATCCGCATTTACCTTTTTGAAAAGGTTTATCATTGAAGTAATCACCCCCTCTCAAGCAAAGGATCATTTCAGCCCCACAATTATCACAATGTGGGATGTATGATTCATCTGGTAATAAGTTAGTGACGGGATTAATGAATGGTAAAGTCCTTTCAACAATAGGTCCGAATCTAGTATACGAATCTGGAGTACACTTCTTCAGACATTGAATCCAATCATAAGAACCTTGAGGGTTGAAGATTCTATGAGGATAAAAATCATTCTTAAAGAAAAATCCATCAGCATTACTTGTGGCAATGAAATATCCTTTGAAATTGGTAGTTAAATTAAGTAATTGTTGGTATGTTTTAGTCTTGGGGAATTTCATAAGGAATACATAATGATGGAAATAATAACTCCATGATATTAAGTGATTAGGCCAAGTATGACCAATCGTACCATAAATAGTTGAAAGATCATATTTTTTGAAATTTGAGTAATAATGGTCAAATAATTCTTGTGATGTATAGTCTAAACCTACACTAGCTGATAATCCTGCTCCTGCGCTTATAATAAGGTATTGAGATTCATTTAACCATTTCTTTGCAACTTGATAGTTTAAACTGGAGGTGATAACTTTGGGTTGGATTGGAATTAGTTGGGGTAATTTTAAACTATCAATTTTATCAGTATATAATTGTAAATCATCATCTGTGAAAACATTGAATATGACCTCTGAAATGGAGCTATAATGACCTTTGAAATATTCCTTAATACTATCTACTGCAATACCACAAGCTATATCGGGTGGGAAAGAAAATAATCCAGTTGAGATACAACACAAGGCAATTGTTTTATTTTGATTATCAGTGTCAACTTTCTCTAACTCCTTCAAACAAGAGACATAACAACTTTTTAATTCATTTCTTTCATATCCAGTTGGCTTAGAACCAGGTTGAAGCTGTGGACCTACAGTATGAATGACATAAGGAGCATACAAATTAAACCCTGGCGTAATCTTGGCCCTACCAACTGGTTCATCAACATAATTTTGCTTTCCCATAAGTTGATTACATGCATCTCTTAAATCGGGACCAGCTACTGAATGAATCACATTATCGATACATCTGTGAGATGGTTGGAAACAACCTAGCATTTGAGCATTTGCCGCATTGACAATGGCAGTGACGTTTGTAAGAGTGGTGATATCTCCTTTCCTAACTGAGATCTTCTTATCTTTATAAAGTTCAAATTTGGGAGTGATGGAAGTTATATCAGTTGAAGATTTTGAATTTAATTGGAATTTAAGAATTTTATAAATCTCATCATGTATATCAGTTGGTAATTTAGTTATAGGATCTCTTATACATAATAAAGCTCGGAATAATTCAAATTGATAACTTACTTCGGTATCCTTCAACCAACTTGCGGTATACTTTTTAAATTGTTTATTATTTGATTCTTTAATTAAGTACACTATAACATTGATTAATGAAGTCATTTTGATAAATAGTATTTCATAAATTCACTCTTCAAAGTTATATTTCGACAAGACATTTGAAATTATAAATACTGCAAAAACAAAAGTTTAGGTTAAACCTCAATTACAGATCGCTTACGCAAAACATCGCTACCATAAAATTTAAAAATTAGTAATATTAGTAAATCCTGTATATAACGATCGTAAATGCTACCTAAATCTAATCTACTATTTAAAGGAATTCTTTAGCAGCATCATTATTAACTACATCTTTTTCATAATCAGGTCTTAAAGCTTCATAACCTGAAATAGTTCTACCAAAGGTAATACCACCTAATCTTGATACTGGCTTGAGTTTAGCAATATCAACAATATTTAATTGATCATTAACAACATCATCTCTAACATGGAAATTTATACCTTCAACTAATACTAAAGTACCACTAGCTTTGCCTGGAACTGCTTTTGATTGAAATTCTTCAATTTTATATAATTTAGCTTCTATAGAAAATGCAGATTCACCCACATGAGGAGGTTTGACTTTTTCAGATGGTAATGGAGTTAAACCTGATAATTTAAATTCATCAATTCCAAATGGAGAATTTGTAGAACAAAAATTAGCAGCTTCAATAAACCATTCACTTATAATATTAATTACCACTTCTTCAGTTTCAAGAATATTACGTAAACTATCTTTTGGATTTGCTTTATTACATGAGAAACCAATAGCAAAGATTGGAGGATCATGATTAACTAAATTAAAAAATGAAAATGGAGCTAAATTAGTTACACCATCTTTACTTATAGTTGAAAGAAATCCAATTGGTCTTGGAGTAATGGCACCAATTAATAATTTATAATTATCGACTGGATTTCTATTTTCACCATAAGGATCAATGGTGATTTTTTTATGTTCAGACCAAGTTGGATCATTTGCACCAGATCCAATTTTCCAATCTTTATTTGGGATTTGAGTATATTTCCAATTTAAATCATCATCAAATGGAGGTCTTGAATTTTCAACTTTTTTAAAATCAGGATGAGGATTTCTTTTAACTTGAGATTCTAAACCAAATCTTTTTGGTGGTTCTTCTATAGTTGAATTGGCTGTCATTTTGGTAAGATTTGATAAACGACGAATGGTGGTTACGACGAACAACGACGAACGATAAGGATGAAAGATATGATTAATTGACAATGTGTACAAGAATAAAACAAATCAATGAATTGAAATGAAATCAGTATACGTGAAGTGTAGAAAGAACTAAAAGAGATTGATGATGATTTATATATGATTTATCAATTATGGAAAAGCCATAGTGAATTTTTAGCTTAATAATATTTAGTAAATTAATTAAAGATTACCCACTCGCACATACGCGCACTTAACAAAGGGTTAAAGAGAGATATTGTTAGTTAGATTTACTTAGAGACTGCACTCAGTTCAAATGGCAAGTTAAGATATGATTTACCGAATTATAGCGATGGATGGGTAAACCCGCAATAGATTATCGATGAGGATTTGAAGGTATTACTAAACTATTTAACCGATTGATAAACGTTCTAGAGACCGGCAAAGTTAATTGCCCCAACCCTCAAAATTATTGTAGTGAGATTATATGCAGTAAATGTTAGAAAAGTAACTGTGGGTAGCAATGGGAAGTGTTTAGCAATTCGAAATCCATCAATTAATCTAGGCCCCCCTCCCCCACCATCACCATTATTATAACTACTACACTATAAATATAATAGCAAGTTTAACGTCTTTAGCCTAAACGATCATTTCTTTTAGTTAGTTAAATAGATATATGTCAATTATGTCAATTGAACAGCTCTTACTTTTTACTATAAATATAAGTACAACTATGTCTCCTATATCATTCTGGTTAATCACAAGGCGGATTCTCTCTACTTCTCTCCCTCATTCTTACTGGTGCTTACTCCTCCCTCACTAAATTCACAAAATTTCTTTTGTTTTTTTTTCTGTTGAGCAGTTTGAATTTTTTTGTCAATTTCTGAACTACCTCCACCAAAAATTTGAGTCATAAGAGACTAAGTCAAAAAAAGAAATTAATCGCTATAGTTTCAAATAGTGTCAACTTCAATCGTTTTACCCCCATCCCCATCTTATACTATATTCATAACAGTATTACTTATTCCTCCATATCACCTTTACATATATAATATATCCCCAACCCCATCATGGTTAAGAAAATATTGTTGATTAATGGTCCAAATTTAAATTTATTAGGTACCAGAGAACCTGAAAAGTATGGAACTACTTCATTAAAAGATATTGAACAAGCAGGTATAAATCAAGCTGAAGCCAAAGAAGATGGCTCCGAATTATTAGCATTCCAAAGCAATACTGAAGGGTTTATCATTGATCGAATCCATCAAGCAAGACAAGAAGGTGTAGGATTCATAGTTATAAATGCTGGTGCTTATACTCATACTTCGGTGGGTATAAGAGATGCCTTATTAGGTACTGCAATTCCTTATATCGAAGTTCACATAACAAACGTTCATCAAAGAGAACCTTTCAGACATCAATCTTATTTAAGTGATAAAGCAGTGGCTGTGATTTGTGGTTTAGGTGTTTATGGTTATACCTCAGCTATAGAATATGCTTTAAATTATTAATCCTCCATCAAAAATGAAGAAGAAGAAAATAGTTCAACCATTGTTCAATATAACCCTGTTATGATTTTCATAATTTCTAAAATGTTTTTTTATGTTTTAGTATATTAAACTTATTTAGTTTGTTTTATGTGTATAGAAATGCTATTCATCACTCGTAAACTAAAACTGTGCTACCATTTTATTTTTTAGTACGCCGCAGAGACAATTAAAAAAAAAACCAGTAATAATAAAAATATTAAAATATTAATAATTTTAGTGAAAGCATTAATAATAAGGAAGCACCGGTGGTAGATCTATAATAGATATGTCTACATGTATATAATCTTAGTAAAATAAAAGTAAGACCATATTAATGGATATACTAATCATTCACCTTAGACCAATTAACTAACAACCTAGAACTAAACTACAATATGGAGTACCCCACAAGTCAAACTCTGTTGTTATCGGAAAACCATTTTGGTGCGGAAAAATATTTAACCTCTCCCTCTGAAATATCAATGGTTTTAGAATAAGACCACCTATTTTTATAAGAAATATATAAATACAGTATCATGGTTCTTCAAGTTGATCTAATTTGAATGATTTTTTTACTGTAACCAACCCTATTTTATAATTAAAGTCATAATATCATCATGCCTTCTAAATCTAATGGACCAAAATTCGTTAATGGTCAGTTGCAAATTCTTGATATGAGTGATGAAACCATCACTGAAAACACCATTGCCGTTAATTCTCAACATAAAGATCAAAGACTCTTGTATGTAATGGAACGATTAGTTCAACATTTACATGATTTTGCTCGTGAAGTAAGATTAAGTACCGAAGAATGGGAAGCTGCCATTCAATTCCTTACCGAAACTGGTAAAATGTGTTCTGATATAAGACAAGAATTTGTTTTACTTTCTGATACTATGGGATTTTCTGTTTTGGTTGATGGTATTTCTCATCCCAAACCTGATACTGCTACCATTGGTACATTATTAGGACCATTCCATACTCATGATGCCGAAGAACATGAACATGGTACTTCGATAAGTTCAGAAGGTAAAGGTGAACCATTATTAATTGAAGGGTTAATCACGGATACAAATGGAAATCCCTTAGCTGATACTAAAATTGATTTATGGCATTGTGATGAAAATGGATTTTATGATACTCAATATGCTGATCGTGATGGAGCTGATATGAGAGGAGTTGTTCATTCAAAATCAGATGGTTCATTTGTTATAAAGGCTACAAGACCCGTCGCTTATCCTATTCCTCATGATGGTCCCGTAGGTAAATTATTACAAAAGCTTAATAGACATCCATATAGACCTGCTCATATTCATTTTATTATTGAGAAACCAGGTTATGATAAATTAATTACTGCATTATATCATAAGGGGGATAAATATGAAACTTCAGATGCCGTATTTGGAGTTAAATCTCCCTTATTATTTGAATTAGATAAATTAGGAGAAGAGAAGGCTAAGAAATATGGTATGAAAGCTGATGATTGGTATTTACATTGGCATTTTAAAATTGTTACTGATGAAGAATCAAAAGAATTAAAAATTTCGAGAAATAAAGAAGCTTTGAAAAAACTCGGTAGATCTGAATTAACTCTTAATGAAGATGGTCTTCCTGTTGCTGCTCTTGATTAGAATGAACCCCTAATAGTTTGTATATGATGTAAATTTGCTTAGTAAATACATGAATGTTTATAATTACTAAATTCATTACTGTACGTAAACCAAATTTGTAAATAAGTTACTAATTTTGATCTAAACTAGTCGGGACGATTTCCCGGTAAGATCAGATTGTCCTGATTACAAAAACTTATTTTGTGGAGTACGTACAGGGAGAACGGAATGGAGGGGGAGAGAAAATAAATTAAGGACCAAAAAAAAAAGGTCCATTACTGAGGAAAGCATTTTACCGCGTAAGTTTTAGTAAGTTCGCATAATCCATTATCCGTGTGAAATATTACCGATATAATGATTTATATAAAAGATCAAGGTAAGGCTGGGTATATGTTTGAATTGACGGGTATTATGAATTAGTTCTATATATTCGTAAACGATGATAGTTCTTAGAAGACTTCAATTGGCATCAAATGCTTTCAAAGTATCAGTTCGATACAGTTCAAAAGTAGTTCAAAGTACGGATGAGGCATTGGAAGGTATCACTGGAAATATCACATTATTATCGGGGGGATTTGGATTAAGTGGTGTACCAGATACTATCATAAATGCTATGAAAGAAAAACCAGAGATCAATAATATCACTGCCGTTTCCAATAATGCCGGATTAGATGGTCGAGGATTATCTCAATTATTAGTTACAGGACAAATTACCAAGATGATTTCTTCATATATTGGAGGTAATAGAACATTTGAAAAAATGTATTTAACAGGTCAGATTGATTTAGAATTAACTCCTCAAGGTAATCTTGCTGAACGTGTTAGAGCTGGTGCAGCTGGTATACCTGCATTTTATACTCCAACTGGGGTTGGTACTTGGTTAGAAGAAGGGAAATTACCCGTTAGATATAATGAAACTGGTGATAAAGTTTTAAAAACGAGTATTCCTCGAGAAGTTAGGGAATTTAATGGTAAGAAATATTTATTAGAACCTGCTATTTTTGGAGATGTGGCTATTGTTAAAGCTTTTAAAGCTGATACATTAGGAAATTGTTGGTTTAGAGGGGCATCAAGAAATTTTAATTCTGCCTTTGGTAGAAATGCGAAATTAACTATTGTTGAAGCTGAACATATTGTTCAACCAGGAGAAATTCAACCTGAAGATGTTCATTTACCTTCACTTTATGTTCATAGAATTATTCAATCTACTACACCAAAAGATATTGAAATTTTCAAATATTCTGAAGAAAAACTGGATCAAAATACAACCCAATCTGATGCTGATAAAAAGAGAGAAAAAATAGTTAGAAGAGCAGCTCAAGAATTTAAAGATGGATCTATTGCAAATTTAGGAATTGGTATTCCAACTTTAGTACCTAATTATTTACCTGAATCGATAAATGTTACATTACAATCTGAAAATGGGATTTTAGGATTAGGGCCATATCCAAAAAAGGGGGAAGAAGATGCTGATTTAATCAATGCAGGAAAGGAAACAGTAACTCTTAAACCAGGTGCATCATTATTTGGATCTGATGAATCGTTTGCTATGATTCGTGGGGGTAAGATTGATCTTACTATCTTAGGTGGATTACAAGTTTCAAATAAAGGAGATTTAGCTAATTGGGGATTACCTGGTAGAGTTAAAGGAATGGGAGGAGCTATGGATTTAGTAAGTAATCCAAAGAATACTCGAGTGGTGGTTATTATGGAACATGTTGATAAAAAGGGTAGATCTAAAATCTTGGAAGAATGTGTATTCCCATTAACTGGTCAAAGATGTGTATCCCGAATCATTACTGATTTAGCTGTATTTGATATTATTGATGAGAAATTGATCCTTATTGAATTTGATCCATCCACCACTTTACAAGAAATCAAAGAAAAAACAGATGCAAAATTCGAAGTATCTGATAATTTAAAGCCTATATCGATTTAGATTTTTAATTACCCAACAATCAATTACTCATAAAAGAAGCAAACCTTTTTATATTCACACTTATTAATCTTAGTAATTGTATTTTATAGTTAAATATCAATTTTGCATGCATATAACCTTTACTGACAAATTTTGCGACAATTTAAAAAATTCCCGCTAAAGGGGTACCCCACATAAAAAAAAAAAATTAATTAGTGAGAATTAAATTTTTCTTTGACAGTGACTTTTCTGACAAGGAAACCGCAAGGGGGGGATAATTATTTACCCGCCTGGTATACCGTAAATTACACATACATATAGATCTTTTCTTAACTATGATAGACACAATCAAAATACTGTTGGGAAGGTTTAATCACAAAATTTTACCGTTATTATTTGAGCGGGTTAAAACTATTATATAGTTGGGCTTAAGTACTTTCCCGCACCTTTCATGATACTTCTTCCTACCACTTTCTTTGCTTTGACTCAATATTGTTCCTAATTATAATTATCATAAACCTTTTGGTCTAACTGTCAACTATAGCAACAAGCAAGTATATTCATAGAGGAAAACACTAGTAATAGTCATCATGAGTGATTCATCGACTCCTGCCATAAAGAAAAGAAGAATCAAACAAGCTTGTGACTTCTGTCGATCCAAGAAAGCAAAATGTGATGGTCAAACTCCTGCTTGTTCTACTTGTGTGAGCAATCACGAGACTTGTACATATACTCAATCATCAAAGAGACGTGGCTTACCCACTGGTTATACTCATGATCTTGAAAAGAAAGTAATACTATTCCAAGGGTTAATCACTAGTCTTATCACTGATTTACCTGAAGTTGGGAAAGTGATTGAAACAAAATTAATTAATACCTTGACAGAATCAATGGAATCAGTGAAATTTATAGAAAATATCAATAATTTACAAGTGTTATGGGATAGTCATACTATATCATCCCTATTGGATCAATTCATTATTGAAAATAATTCAGTCGTTCATGATGCAAAACGTTCAACTTCAGGATTAATGTCATTATCAAATATGCAACAACTGATATCACAAGTTCTGGAAACTGGTACGATTGAAGTACAACAACCTTTGACAAGAATGGTTCATAATCTGCATTTATTCCCTGGTTCAAATGGTGAAAGAGTGGAAGATTATAATTTAATCAATGATCCTGCATTCTTCTTAAATGATGACATATTCCAATTCATATCGGATGAATTAGAAGGTAATTCGGAAAATTGGGAACCTGTCGCTTTACAATATCATGGTTTATCATCTATAATATCAGGTTTCACTACAAAAGCAATCCTGCAATATAATAATCGATTATTAATTGATCAAAAGAATCCATTCCGAGTAGGGTCTATATTTAATGTATCATCATCAGCTATAAATGCATCAATTTCAAATACCATCAAATTACCAATGGAGATTTTTCAATTTCCCGAAAGTTTAAGAAGTATAGTGGATTGTTATTTTCAAATTTATCATCCTTGGTTGCCTATGTTAGATAGAATTTCAATTATACGACAAATTCATCATCTTCAATCATTTCATGGTACGGCTGATAAATCAAAATTACAAGCTTCAGATTGTAATTTAATTGCCTTGGTGTGGGCTATCTTAGCCTTAGGAAAATTAAGTTCATCAAGTTCAGCTTCAAATACTATAAATAATAATAAATTAACTGCATCATATGCTAAGAATGCTATAATGGCATTAGAAAATTCATTCACTACAACCATAGAAACTATCCAAGCCATGGTTTTATTAGGATTATATTATTATCAACTTGGACAATGGGATTATTCATGGGTTTTGATTTCATCAGGTTCACGTATGGCCATTGATGTTAGATTAATGACACCAGCTTCTGAAACTGGTGATTCTAAAAAGAGTAGTAAACCTACTTCAACTCTAGATAAAATTAATCGGGAAAGAACTTGGGCATCGGTTTATATCATTAATACTATGTTAGCATCAAGAATGGGAAGATCTCCGGTGGTTAGATCGATGGATTGGCCTGTACCTCAAATAAATAGTGATGGTTGGGAAGAATGGGAATCTTGGAAATGTTATCATTCACCAGAAAGTATTCATTTGGATAGTGGAAGATTCCTCCTGACATTTAATGAAGCCATTAAAGTGGTTTCTTTTTTAAATACTGCTTTAACTTGTACCATAGATACTAGTAAGGGGATGCTTGCTGAAGATAGTGAAATTAAAGAAGAAGAACATTGTGACGAAGAACTTCGTGAAGATAGTAAACGCACATTATCATATTTCAAACATAAATTGGATTCATGGGCATCGGATCTTCCATCATATTGTCAACTTGATAAATATGAAAATCCAAGTTCTGTTCCTCCCACAGTGGCATTTTTACATCTTATTCGAGATTTAACGTGGTGTGTTTTGGCAGCTAGATTAAGTGGATTGAAAAGTTCTTCGGAGGGTGATACAGTTAAAGATCGTATTATACGCTCACGTAATAGACAATATACTAAAGCTATTTTATCAATTAAAAAGCTCATCAATGTTAATTCATTAAAGAATTTAAAATATTATCCTTTTATTGATTATTGTATACTCATGGCATTCAATTTCCCTAATATGATGATGTTTGAAGGTGAAAATCCTAATGATATTAAGAGTAGTCATTGTGAAGATTTTAGAAGCTTTTTAGTCAATGCTGCTTTAACTTCAGTTCCATGTAGAATATCATGGGAAATCTATAAAGTTATGCATAATATTGTGGATGATTTATTAACCACTATGACTAATGAAGCTATCAAGAGAAAAGATCCTGAGAATGGTAAACTGGGATCATTCCGATATCTTATGAATGTTAGCAGTAGTAATAATGATGCAACATCTCCATTTTCAGGCATGTTCCCTCATATTAAGCAATCACCAAGTTCAAATCATACCCTTGTTAATTTATTAAATACTCCTTCCACAGTTGAGAACAAAGATACTGTGAGCAGTGATACATCTAAATTATCAGATTTACAAACCTCTAAAGGTTGGGGCGAAGGGAATGGATCTTCAACAAGTCATGATTTCGGACCATTATTTGGGAGTTATACAGGTTTAAATACTTTGGATGATTCAACTAGTGCAGCTGGATCTTCAACTAAACTTGTGACGACGGCAAATCAAAATCAAAATCCACCACGGGAAGAATTAGATCTTTTCATGTTAGATACTGATTTTGCTAGAAATGATAGTAGATTAGATAAATTCATGAAGAATTTAGGATATATTCATAATGACGCTCAAGATAAGAATAAAATTGGGGATAAGAATAAGGTTATAAACCGTCATCCTTCAGCTCATCAACAAGATGTGGAAATTAAAGTTCATAATGGTAATGATGATATTGATAATATTGGATTACATGAATACTTACAAAAGATGGCGGGTAAAAACAATCAAAAGACATAGAATCAGAAAATAGTTAGATAGTTAATTAATTAATTTCTTATAGATTTATTGTAATAATATTAATAATATCTAAACATAAAAGCACACACATATTGATGAATATATACAGAATAGAAATAGAGAAACAAATAGACAAATTAACCGAATAATCCATCTTCCATGGCATTTGGAACTGGTTTATCACCATAAGCACCTAACCAACTTATTGGACGTGTCCATTCGGTTATAGGAGGTAAATCTAATACATCAAGAGTTTTAGCAGCGAGAGTTTCACCATCATGGAAATTATCTCCTTCATAAACAAAACTAACCAATACACTTGTATCTACTTTTGGAGAGGATGTTGACAGTTGAAGAGCTCCTAATAACGAACGGACGTAAGATGAATGTTCATAAATAATATTTTGTAAGGATATCTGCTTTGGTTGATCTAAATTCAATGATTCTAAAGATTGACTTAATAAATCATCACTCGTATACACCACAATTGACTTGTCGATGGCATTTTCAACTAATCCAGCATCTGATGAATCCAATACTATCACTTTGGAGAAATTTGATTCTATTATAAAAGGTAAAATGATATCATTGACATAAGTATTAATATAACTTGGTATAATAGGTGATCTTTGCTGTATGACAGTTAAATGATACTTTTCATTATAGTACACTTCAATTGCGTTTGATACACCCACTACTGGTTCATTAACAGGATGATCGATCGGTGAAGCAAAGGGATAAAGATAACTATCTTCCAAACTAGCAATCTTTTTAAAATCTAGGCTATGAATCAATAAATCCACCGAGAATTGAGGAATATTCCCAATTGAAATGGAAGGGATGATGAATTTTGAACCAGTCAAATCAGGTGTAGGCACACCGTATATTCTATTGAAAGTACTCTTAGCAAGTACCATTATCAATTCTAGTGTTAAAGTTGCTGAAGTAAGTATCTAAATAAGGGAGGCAATTGAAATAGTTGTAATTTTCAGTTTGCCGCATTTTTTGGCTTGTTCTATTTTTCAAATGCGGATCCCACTGCCATCGTAAACATCGCAAAGCTTATCTAAATAATATTTATTTATGTACTGAAATAAACGTCTATTAAAATTACTCTATAAATTGAATTAAAAACTAGGATAAGTAAAGCAAACAAAGTAGAATTGAAAAAAGTAGCAAATAATTATAAAACACACTAAAATGAAGAATTGAAAGAAAAAAAGAAAAAAAGTATTGAAATTGAAGATATCAGGGATATTTACCAACCTGAATCATTGAAGTTATTGAGTAAACCATTAGCACCAACATTGGCATTTGAATTTGAATTTGAATTTGAATCGCGTGATTGCGGATTTGTAGATGGTAAGGTATTGAAAGTTGAACTAGTAAGGAAATTAGACGTATCTTTTAAAACATTAGCTGGGATAATATTAGGACCACCATTAAGTAATGATTGACCTGAAAATATATTAGTACCAAGGTTGTTCATAGGTCCCCCGATTTTGAAATCACTCAATGCAGCAGAGGCTGAAGAGGAACTTAAATTGAAGAGGTTCTTGTTAGAACTCTCTAAGATATGAGCAGGAGTTAATGTAGCAGGAGTATTCCCAATGGGAGGCATTAATGAAGAAGTGGTGGTAGCAATATTAGTAGTTGAATTGTTCATAAATGATGAATTTCCCGACGGTGATAATGGAAGTTTATTCTGAATCGAATTAAACGAGGGTAATTGTTGATTTTGATTTTGAATTTGCAGCAGAACTTGACTTGGGAATACAAAATTAACAGGATGAGAATTATTAAAGTTATTTCCAATATTTATAACTGGTAAATGTAGATTATCAATTGATGTAGCTCCATTGCTAGTATTGGCTGTAGAGTACTCATTATCAGAATCGTTCAACAATGGTGATAATGGAATCAAATTAGGATTATTGGTATTGGAAGTATTAAGCCAACTACTTAAGATTGATTTCTTTTGTTGTTGTTGCTTTTGACGAGGTGATTGTACATTTCTCTTTCTGGTTGGTTTCTCTACTTTAGTTGGTTTAGGTAAAATGGTTAAATTACCACTGGAATTGAATAATTCTTTATTGCTTAATAGTAATAAATCTTTATGATCAAGAAGTAATTGTTGAGTGAATGTATCCAATACAGATGATTTGTCTTCTTCTTTAATCAAGTTATTCTTGTAAATATTCTTGGAAATCAATTGATTAACTTCATTTCGTAAATATTGAACCACTTGTTCTGGATTAAACTTTGATGATTCATTATTATTATTACTATTATTATTCCCATGATATGATCTTTGTTGCTTTGGCAGAGATTGAGGCCTGGTATGAAATGTGGAATTCGATGAATCCACAGGAGAATGATTACTAGATAAAACCACTGAACTTACACTTGAAGTTGTACTTTCCATTAAATTTCCAAATACATCAGCTGTAGACCCTGATTTACTTGAATCATGAGATGATGCTAATATAGCGGTTTCTTCAGTAAAGGAACCATCCATATTAGTTGAATGACTATTACTACCATCAATTATACTATTGATATTAATATTGTTGTTATGAGTATGATTATTATGATTGCCCTTGTTTGATTTATGATTTGATTTAATAGTATGATTTTTAGAATTAACATTAGTATTGGATCCAGGATTTGAAATCTCCGCTGGAATATAAACATCATGATTATGATAATCATTCATGATAACCAAACTCCAGAATTTATTTTTGAATGAATAATTGGCTCTAATTTTGAATGGACAAGTAGTTTGACGTCTTGGAGGTACTCGTGGGTCTCCATTTTTAGATCCAACCACTTCTCTTGACCCATTTCGACATTTGAACACAACTTTCAAAGAATCAGATCGATAGATCACGACCTCTATCCCCTTTTTATCCAACAAGGTCTTATGTAGCCAAGGTTTTATTTCACTTTTATCAGTAAATTTTTCGTCTTCAAGTCTTAAATCATGCAACGAACATCGTTGAAGTTGATTTGAACCAGACATATTAAAGAAGACGGGTTAAGGAATAATGGATATTCTATTCCGCTCTAATGCGAGCTCCTCTTTTGACAACAGATCAGCAAGTGAAATGAATAGATGAAATGTGGTTTATAATTAACTCTTGATAGTATAAATTCTATATCAAAATTATCAAAAAATTTGTATTATTGTCATTTTAAGATGCTGCTGCTACAGTGGGCCGGTTAACAAAAAAAATCCCCCACGCGAACAACACATAGTTAAAATGCTTAACTACAAATAGTTATCATAACCTTATAGTGACAATAGATGGGTTGGATATCAGATTATAACCTAGGTAGGACGCAACTACTACTACTACTACAACTACAATATGATACTAAAGTTTATCTTCTTTTATATGTGATATTAAAAAGGAAACGTATATATACAGGAGGTTAACATGAATGAATATTAACTATAATAACAATGAATGAATTATGATTAATATCAAAAGTCAATATGATAATGAAATGGAGATGATATGTAATTAAATGGGAAAATTGAAATTGAAATTGAAATTGAATTTGAATCTAACATCTATTCTAAAGAAACTTTACCACCTAAACCTTCTAAGGTAGCTTTAATTTTATCAGCATCTTCTTTAGCAACATTTTCTTTTAATACTTTTGGAGCAGATTCTACAAATTTCTTAGCATCAACTAAGGATAATCCTAATAAACCTTTAACTTCTTTAATGATCTTTGGTTTTGATTTTGGATCGAATGATTCTAATTTAATTGAAAATATGGTTTTTTCTTCCACAACTTCTTTAACTTCTTCTTCAACTGGAGCAGCTGGAGCAGCTGGAGCAGCTCCTCCAGATGGTAAGGAGATATCTGGGATATTCAATCTTTCCTTTAATTCAGTCACTAAAGCTGAAGTTTCCAATAAAGTTAATTTTGAAATTTGATCAACAATAGTTGAAATCTTTGGATCAACTGGGGCAGCAGCTTCACTACTAGCACTAGAATTATAACGAACAGCCACGGTTGGGACAATTCTTCTGGTGGACAACCTTAATGCTGGTCTGATTGCTTGACGTAACACTGACATTATGACTATTATTATTATATCTCAAACTAATACGAATATATAAAAGATCCTTATACGATATCGTTCATAATTGAAAAAAGAGAAAAATTTCTATTCGAAAAAATTTCTTTGGTACAACTAACTTTTTTGAACAGTGGCACACGACTCTGAAAAACTGAAAATGAATGAAAAAAAAATGGCGACCAAATATCAAATATGTATAATCTAGATAGTGTTAGTAAGCTCTCCAACGAACTCATCCTCCCCATCACATAACATCACTTAATATATCATCATGGCTTCATTTAGGTTCTGTGCTGAATGCAATAATATGTTGTATCCTAAGGAAGACAAGGATGGACAAAGACTTCTTTATTCATGTCGTAATTGTGGGTATACTGAATTAGCTGAGAATCCAAAAGTGTATAGACATGAATTAATTACTAATATTGGGGAAACTGCTGGTGTGGTACAAGATATTGGAAGTGATCCTACTTTACCTCGTTCTAATAAGGAATGTCCAAAATGTAACGATAAAGATTGTGTGTTTTTCCAATCCCAACAAAGAAGAAAAGATACTTCTATGATTTTGTTTTATGTTTGTTTGAATTGTAAGAATGTATTCCGAGCTTAAAAGATCAAAATGGTTAAATCAGTGGTTGTTGTATGTTGTTAAGGAAAGTTCCCATAGAGTGAGGTAGACTTTAGTGTCATCCTAGTTGTCATAATTTTGTATTATAGTGTTTATTATCCCCCCCTCCCCCCTCATAAGTTTACGTTTCCTATTCGTCATTATTTTTGTTTATAAAGTTTTTCATTTCTTGGTTTTATACATTTTTGACAAATATAGTCAAATGTATATCTATTAGTTATTCAAAATAAAAAGTTTTAATAATATACATTTTATATTTTATATTTTGAAGGTATTGATATGGGGCAGTAAATCGTATTTATATTTAAAAAATGTAAAAAGTAAAAGTAAAAGTATAAAGCATTTAAAAGAAAACGTTAAAAGTAAATTGAAAAAATTGGCAAGTACAAAACTAATATATAATAATAATAGGGAGGGAGGGAGATAACATTAATAAAAAAAAGAATAATAAAGAACTGGAACCATAGACTCCTTTAATGTTTAATAAATGGGATGGAGGAAGAATCAAAGTAAAAATCAAAATCAAAATCAAGATAAAAACGTTAAAAATAATAAAAATAAAAATGAAAAGACAATTCGATTGATCTAGAAATCTCCGAAAAATTCAGCATAAGGATCTTCACCAGTAGATCCATAATCCAATTGTTCTTCAGGATAATGATCGAAAAGCGAACTATCACCCACCCCAGCCGTAATAGGAGGTTCATAAGGAGTTTCGATATCTTTAGCAAGTAATTTTTCCCATACCACTTCCAGGAACCATGGATGATTTCTAATATCAGCAGGACCATTCATTAAATTACCTAATCTACGAGTTAAATCTGCCGTTATTAATTTTGATAATAAATCAATTACATCTTGACTGAAAAAACTTGGATAATGGATTTTACCCGATAAGATTTTTTCATAAGTTTTCATAGGAGTTGAATCATAAAATGGAGTATAACCAGCTAACATTTCAAAAATCAATACACCAAGGGACCACCAATCAACTGATTTATTATAAGGTTTTGTAGTAATAACTTCAGGAGCAATATAATCAGGAGTACCACATAAAGTCCAAGTAACTGTATTAACTTCTTTAGCAAATCCAAAATCAGTGATTTTAATATGACCATTTCTATCTAATAAGATATTTTCTGGTTTTAAATCACGATAAATAATATCATGACTATGTAAATATTCTAATGCTAAAGTAACTTCAGCAGCATAAAATTTAGCTACTGGATTTGGGAATCTTTGCGATTTTCTTAAAAGTGAAAATAATTCACCTCCTTCAATATAATCCATAACCATAAAAAGATTTTTTGTATCTTGAGATGTACCCCACATTCTAATTAAAAATGGATGTTCAACCAATTTTAACATTCGACGTTCATCATTAGTATGTTCAACTTGTTTCATTTTAACCACTTGATGTTTCTTTAATACTTTTATAGCATAATATCTTCCATTATGAACTGAACGAACTAAATGAACTCTACCAAATGATCCTGTACCTAAAGTTCTCATAATACTAAAATCAGTTAAAGAATACTTCCCTTTTGAAACGGTTGAACGTTGAGGTAAAAGTGATCTTCGAATGGCTTCCGAAGTTCCAACTGATGAAGTATTATGCGAGCTATGATGAGAAGAGTCAGTGGTGGTGGTTGCTGGTTGGGTTGTATGAGATGAAGTAAAGAAATCCATATTTGATTTATTGGTAGATGATGATGAAGATGCAATGGTTGTTGAAGTTAAATCTTGAATACTATTATTTTCACTATTATTATTACTACTGTTATTCAGTCTTGTTATATGAAGTTTTTTAAAAATATTGGTAGAAGGCATCAAAATATCATATAAAGTAAAATAATCAAGAACAACAACGAATATAAATCAAAACAAGATAAAAAAATGATGTAAAGAGGTATATTCTTAATAAAGTAAAGAAGGAAGGAAGGAAGGAAGGAAGGAAGGTCAGTGTTTGGGAATCAATTGACTATGATGGGAAGGATGTGGAGTCAATTGGTTAGTGATGAAGGACTTGATTGGTAATCTTCTGCTTCGATGCTTTAGGGGTTGATTGATTGCTTAATTAATCGATTGAATGATTGATGAAAGTGAGATGTCTACTTTTTTTTATATGATCAATTGAAATGATGAATGGGATACCGTCAATTAGAGTTTAATGAATGAAGGTAGAATTGAATTGAATTGAATTGAACTAAAGGTTGAATATGAATCAACGATAAAATAATGAATGAATAGAAGGAAAAATTGTCAATTTGAAATTGAGAAATTGAGCTTTTAGTCTGTTTCACGTTTTGATTATTTGTTCGTTGAGGATGCGATTTCCCCAAATGTAGAATGGATTAGGGAGAGTGACAGATGGATGGATGAATTGAATAGTGCTAGACTATTAAGAATGATGTCAATGATATAATTGAAAGTCAATTGAATTGAACGGCCTAAGAATGGATATCTAGAATTCAAAGAGATATCAATTCTTATGAACTTTTACTATTTAATTCTAAGGGGGTGGGTGGGAGACACTCAGCGAACAAAGAGAGACACTACTAACAAATAGTGAGAGAATTGATGATGGATGAGGACATTTTTTGAGGTCCTGCATAGACTATGGACAGTGACAGAGAGAGAAGATGATCATAGAAGGAGAACAAATTATTACATAGAATGTAGTACAATCATAATGATATATAAAAAGGAATTACAAAGAAGAATTGGAAAGGCTTGAAGAGAATAGAATAGAATATATCATCACATCCCATCAATTGATAATTGATATTAGATGGTTTATCTCTATGGTTAATAGTTGCTAATACATACAAATTGGACAATTTTTATGGAAAAAGGGAGTGTGTGAAGGATCAAAAATAGATAAACCAAAAGAGAACAAACATTCATCCATCTAGGGGTGGAGGGGAGGAAATGTCCATTTATATCATACACTAGTTCATGATAACCAGTACTTGTTAAATAATCACTTGTTAATTGATCAAAGGATGTATATGTTATTCTCTTTGTGATACTTCTGTTAATCAACATCAGTATCATTATTACCATATCTCTCATACTATGTGTCTAATCTGTGTCTGTTTCTCTATATGGAAGAGTTCCCTGTTTTGTAACATTAAAACTGTAAAATATGAAATATTTTACAGTTTGGATATGTCAAATATAATTTACAGTTTTCTTGTTTTTCATATTTACAGGTTATGTTTTTTTCCTATTAAAAATAATTACAGCACACATACCTTCATTACTTGTAAGTTGAAAGTATCAATCAAACAGGATAATTTTAAACAAATTGATCATAATCAGGAGGATTATAAAGATAAGATAACGTAATCATCCAAAGGTTATATTAACAGAGATTTCATAGTTTAAGAATAAGCTTCTTTTCTTTTAATATCAGTATAAAAAGAGAGAAGAGTCTTAATTGTAGAGGTATAGTATTGCAAAAAAAGCTAAAATGGACCCTAAGACAAAACGATTAATAAATTTGATAAAATAATTAAAAGTGATTAGACATTAATTGATGGATATTAACTTATAATAGAATTAAACTAACATATAGTATCTACATGGTGATGAGAGATTGATTAAAAATAACTATTCAATTGATGGACTAACCAAAAAGTTTACCGAGTTTACCGATCTCTCATAGTTAAAAAAGTCCTCAATTTTTTTATTTTGTGTAATTTTGTAGGGGCGGGACGGAAATGGTAAATAAACAATAAAGAACCTTTTTTAAGCCTATTTATTTAATAGATAAAATAATAACAAAACGATGTTGATCATCTCGGTCAAGACAAGTCAAGTCATGGCATGGCATGGCATGGCATGGCTATGTCGTATGTAAGCATGTATATGATATACTATGAACCAACGATGAAGGCTATGATACCATGAAACAACATACTTAACTTAATTAGAAGTATAGTCTAGTTAAATGATGATCGTAATTTACTGTGCATTGTCTTTCTTTTTTTCTTTTTTTTTAGAGCCTAAATGCGAATCAAAAGTCGGATTTTATTCCTTAAATGAAAAAATGTGAAAAAAAATGTCTCTCTTTAAATTTCTCTCTCTCTTTCCTTAGCGCTGCCTGGCTGTCTGTCTGTAAGCTGTGCTGTGTGCTGTGCTGTGCTACTGTGTCATAGTGTACTGTACTGTGTTCCGTTAATTACTAAAAATTATTATTATCGTAATTTAATTTAACTATATTTTTACAACACATTCTTTCTTCTTGTTTAAACCTATCTAATCAATCCATTAATCATACCATCCATCCCTCATCCCATCCTAGATAGATAGTACTGGTACTACTATAACTAACTAACTAACTACTGTTACTAATTTACTGCTATAAAATCATCTCATCCATACATAGTAGTAGTCAATTTATTCATCCCTCTAGATTGTGTTCATCCATCCATTGACAACAGATCTTAAATCATCATCATCATCAGTCCAATCCATTACCATTCCATCTACACTCATTGCCTAACTCATTTCATTTCACTTCATCTTTTAACTTTGCTTATTTCCTTCTATCTAGTCATTACTAATAGTTACAGTATCTCCCACTTGACTTTTTTTATCATTCCCCCATAGATTATAGACACATCCCATTTTTTGCATCATCAATCCAACATATTCATCATCCATATCAAAATAATAACTCCTTTAATCATGTCAAATTCAGATTCAATAACTCCTCCTGCAAGAGATGAATTAAAAGTTGATAATTTATCAAATTCTTCTTATAAATTAGATAATGATGGTTCAAGTCCAATTAGAGTAAATGAAAATGATCAAATTTCTTCTTCAAATGCAAATCTGTCAACTACAAAACAAGATGATTCTAATAAAAAATATACTTATCAAGATTTAATCTCAAGTCATCCTCCTGATTTAAAATCAAGATTTCAATTATTCTTCTATAATAAAGGTCTTGGGAAAAGACCTCCTTATTTACAAGAAATTTATGATAATACTCCTCGTAATATTTATGTAAATTATGATTTACCTCCCAATATGCAAACTCATAATGGTATACCCATTGTTACATATCCAAGAAATAAAATTAGAACAACAAAATATACTCCCCTTTCATTCTTACCCAAAAATATCTTATTTCAATTTACAAATATTGCTAATTTTTATTTCTTAGTCATTGCTATTTTAGGAGCTTTTCAAATCTTTGGAGTTCCATCTCCTGGTTTAGCTGCTACACCTTTGATTGTTATTGTTTGTATAACTGCAGTTAAAGATGCCTTTGAAGATAGTAGTAGAGGAAGTAGTGATATGGAATTAAATAATTCTCCCATTCATTTATTAACTGGTTTACATAATCCAAATGTGTTAACTGATTATGTGGGTCCATGGAGAAGATTTAAGAAATTTTGTAGTCGAATTTTATTAAAATTTTATCGTGGTTTAAAAACAGTTATGATTATGATATTTGCTTCAAGAAAGAAGAAACAAGAAATCATTCGTCAAAATAAACAAATTGAACAAAATGAATTACATCGAGTTTCAACCATTGTTAGTGAATTTTCCCTTAATTCAAATGTTGAAAGTCTCCCACCTGATGAACCAATTCAAAATAGAAAATCAACTTCATCTCGTAAAGCTAGAAAATCTCATACTGGTGCTCATAGACAAACTGTGGCTGGAGCAAATACCCTTTTAAATCCTGTATTACAAACCTCAAATGAATCTAATTCTTCAACTTGTTTTAAAAATAGAAGATGGAAAGATGTTAGTGTTGGTAATATGATTAGAGTTCGTGCTAATGAAGAAATCCCTGCTGATATTATCATCCTTTCAACATCTGATACTGAAGGTAATTGTTATATTGAAACTAAAAATTTAGATGGTGAAACCAATTTAAAATTAAAAACTTCAATTCATGCTGGTGGTTCTCATAATTTAAAACATGCTGATGATTTAGGTAATACGAAATTTTGGGTTGAATGTGATGCTCCAAATAGTAATCTTTATGCTTTTAGAGGTACCATTCATTATGAAAATTATGATGAAAATCATACTTTAATTAATCCTGATGAAAAGGAAGCTCTTTCAAATGATAATGTATTATTAAGAGGTTGTACTTTAAGAAATACAAAATGGGTTATTGGTTTGGTTATTTATACTGGTTCAGAAACTAAAATCATGCTTAATTCAGGTATAACTCCAACTAAATCATCAAAAATTGCTCATGAATTGAATTTATCAGTTATTATTAATTTCATCGTGTTATTTGTCCTTTGTTTTGTTTCAGGTTTAATCAATGGTTTATTCTATACTAAAACCAATGTATCAAGATTATATTTCGAATTCCAAGCTTATGGTTCAACTCCTGCTATCAATGGGGTTATTGGTTTTGTTGTGTCCCTTATCATTTATCAAGCTTTAGTTCCTATTTCATTATATATCTCGGTGGAAATTATTAAAACTTTACAAGCATTCTTTATCTTTTCAGATCGAAAAATGTATTATGAAAAATTGGATTTCCCATGTACGCCAAAAACTTGGAATATTTCGGATGATTTAGGACAAATTGAATATATCTTTAGTGATAAAACTGGTACTTTGACTCAAAACGTTATGGAATTTAAAAAATGTACCATTAATGGTAAATCTTATGGTTTAGCTTATACTGAAGCTAAACAAGGATTAGATAAACGTGCCGGTTTGGATGTGATTACTGAAACTGAGAAATGGAAACGTATCATTGGTAATGATAAACAATCTATGATTGAAGAATTAACTAAATTTTCCATTAATGATCAATTAAGAGAAGAAAATGTTACTTTTGTATCAAGTGATTATGTTAAAGATACCATGTCAAATATTGATCGTAAACAAAAGAATGCTAATGAAGAATTTATGTTGGCTTTAGCTTTATGTCATACTGTGGTTACTGAAGAAAATGAAGAAGATCCAGAATTAAGAGATTTTAAAGCTGAATCCCCCGATGAAGCGGCCTTAGTATCTGTGGCTCGTGATTTAGGTATTGTGTTTAAAGAAAGATTAAGAAAAAGATTGATTTTGAAAATTTATGGTGATTCTCAAGAATATGAATTATTAGATATTATCCCTTTCACATCTGCAAGGAAGAGAATGTCATGTGTGATTAAAACTCCTCAAGGTAAAATCTTATTAATCACAAAGGGGGCCGATAATGTTATTTTCCAAAGATTAGATCCAAAATCTAATTCCAATGATGTTATTTCAAAAACTGCTTTACATTTAGAAGATTTCGCTAAAGAAGGGTTAAGAACCTTATGTATTGCTCAAAAGGAATTAGATCCAAGTTTTTATAATAGTTGGACTCAACGTTATAAAGATGCTTGTGCCTCGATTGATGATTCTCGTGATGAACTTATCGATAAATTAGATGATGAAATCGAAGGTGATTTGATTTTATTAGGTGGTACTGCCATTGAAGATCGTTTACAAGCTGGTGTTCCTGATTCCATTGCTATTTTGGCTCAAGCTGGTATTAAATTATGGGTTTTAACTGGTGATAGAATTGAAACTGCTATTAATATTGGATTTTCTTGTAATTTATTAGAAAATGAAATGAAATTATTAGTAGTTAGACCTGAAACTGAAGAACAACAAAATGATGTTGAATATGTTGATCAATTAATTACTAATTACTTACAAGAATATTTCGGATTATTAAAAGAAAAGAATGATGTGGCTGAAATTGATCGTTTAATTAAAGAGGCTAAATTAGATCATAGTGCTCCCTCACCTAATTTTGCCCTTATTATTGATGGAGCTGCTTTAAGTTTGGTTTTCCAAGATTTAACTAGTCACGCCAATCCATCGGTTACTAAATTAAGACAAAAATTCCTTTTATTAGGTAAACAATGTAAATCTGTTATTTGTTGTCGTGTTTCTCCATCTCAAAAGGCTGAAGTGGTTAAGACTGTTAAAACAAATCTTGGAGTTATGACCTTAGCCATTGGTGATGGTGCTAATGATGTGGCCATGATTCAAGCTGCCAATGTTGGTGTTGGTATTGCCGGTGAAGAAGGTAGACAAGCTGTTATGTCTTCTGATTATGCCATTGGCCAATTTAGATTCTTGGCTCGTCTTTTATTAGTTCATGGTAGATGGTCTTATAAAAGATTAGCTGAAATGATTCCATGTTTCTTTTATAAAAATGTGGTTTTCACGATTACACTTTTCTGGTTTGGTATCTATAATAATTTCGATGGATCTTATCTTTTCGAATATACCTATTTAATGTTTTATAATTTAGCCTTCACATCATTATCAGTCATTGTGTTGGCCGTGTTGGATCAAGATGTTTCAGATACTGTTTCCTTATTGGTTCCTCAATTATACAGATCTGGTATATTAGGAGTTGAATGGTCTCAATATAAATTCATTTGGTACATGGTTGATGGTCTTTATCAATCTGTCATATCATTCTATTTCCCATATTTGTTGTATTATATTGGATTCCAAAATCCTCAAGGTATGACCATTGATCATAGATTCTGGATTGGTGTGGTTTCAGTATGTCTTTCTGTGACAGCTTGTAACTTCTATATTCTTTTACAACAGAAGAGATGGGATTGGTTATCACTTTTAATCTATGCTATTTCGATTTTATTAGTTTATTTCTGGACTGGAGCTTGGAGTGCCGTTTTATTTTCAGCTCAAGAATTCTATAGAGCTGGAGCTCAAGTTTTCGGTACTTTAGGTTGTTGGTGTTGTATTTTCATTGGAGTTCTTTTATGTGTACTTCCAAGATTTATATTTGATTTCTTAAAGAGAAACTTTCACCCTCGTGATATTGATATTATTAGAGAAAGAGTAAGAATGGGTGAATATGATGATTATCCTCAAGGTTACGATCCAACTGATTATGAAGACGTGGAAAGACATAGACTTTTATCTGAAATTATGGATAAAGATCCTGAATTACTTGTTGAATTAGAAAAGGAAGCTCATCCCGAAGTTCCAAGACTCGATTCATTTAATATGAATAATAGTAATAATAATGAACATCATATTAATTTCAGTTCGGAAGCTGATCAAGTACCAAGTAGTCCAACTGATTCACCAAATAATAATCCAATTGCAAAGACTTTCAATACTATCAAGAGAAGAGCTACATTGAAGAGAAAGAACACTATTGGTTCGGGTTCAAGATCAAGAAGTCAAACTATCAATGAACAATTCAGACATCCAATTGATATTAATCAATTAAGATTACAAATGATTCAAAGAGGTGAATATAAAACATCCAGAAATTCATTAGAAAGAGTTGATACCACTCATGAAGTTCCTGGATTAAGTCAAGCTGAAAGTTTGATAAGATTGCATACTAGAAATAGTATAAATTTAAGTTAAATAAACTACAAAAAACCATATAAAAAACATACATCATCATCATCAAACTATGATACGTTACATTCATAGTATTATTTCTGCGTTACGATGAGACTTTGGCTCTCATCATTTTTTCTTATTCCTGTTATAGATACCTTAAAGTATCTCCCATGTGTATATTTATAAAATTATATTTGTTATCAAAAAAAATTATTGTACTTTTAATATAAAAACATTATAATAAATTTAAAGCTTGTAAAAAAAATTTGTATTATCTCTGTCACGTGATCTATTTTGCCGTTTTTTTTTGTTATTTCTAAATTGAACTTTTTTTTCAGAATCATATTGGGTCAATATCTATAGTTAACCCTAAATAGAAACTGATTAAGTTCGTGTATTGATAATTGTTATTTGGTGAATAATGTTTACATTTTCATTGATAACGCCACCAGATGGTGAACTATCTTTCAGAGCTGGGATTTTATCATTCGACAATGAATTCAAAATCTTAGCAGATCCATCTTGGAATGGTAAAGATCCTAATGCAGTGTTATTCATTGAACAAACATTAGGTGATATCAATGCTATCATATTATCTCATTCAACTCCAGAATTCATCAGTGGTTACGTGTTGTTATGTATCAAATTCCCTAATTTAATGGCCACCATTCCTGTATATTCAACTTTACCAGTTAATCAATTAGGGCGAATATCAACAGTAGAATATTATAGAGCAAATGGTATATTAGGTCCTTTAAAAGATGCCTTATTAGAAATTCAAGATGTGGATGAATTGTTCGATAAGGTTAATGTGTTGAAATATTTACAATCAACTACATTATTCGATGGGAAGATAGTATTGACAGCTTATAATGCTGGTCATACATTAGGAGGAACATTTTGGCTTATAACTAAACGAATTGATAAAATCATATACGCTCCAGCTTGGAATCATTCTAAGGATTCATTTTTAAATAGTGCTGCATTCTTATCAGCTTCTAATGGTAGTCCCGTGTCACTGTTGTTACGTCCAACAGCATTCATTACAGGTACTGATATAGGTTCAACCATGTCCCACAAAAGGCGAACAGATAAATTCTTAGAATTAGTTGATGCTACGTTAGCTAATGGTGGTGCTGTGGTTATACCTACTTCGCTTTCTGGTAGATTCTTGGAAGTATTTCATTTAATCGATGAGCATTTACAAGGGGCCCCTATTCCAGTTTATTTCTTGTCATATTCAGGCACTAAGATCTTATCATATGCATCTAATTTGGTAGATTGGATGGTGCCAGCTATATCAAAAGATTGGGATGATGGAGAAAAGTCCCAGCATTCGAGTAATATGCCATTTGATCCTTCTAAAGTAGATTTATTAATAGACCCTCAAGAGTTAATTCAATTAGTTGGTCCAAAGATTGTCTTCTGTTCTGGTATTGATCTTAGAAATGGTGATTTATCATCTGAAGCTTTCCAATATTTGTGTCAGGATGAAAAGAATACTATATTACTTACTGAAAAATCCCTGTTTGCTTCTGACAAGACATTGAATTCACTGTTATATAAAGAGTGGTATGCCTTAACCAAAAATAAATTAGGTGGAAGAGTAGAAGATGGTGTTGCTGTACCTTTAGAGACTGTATTTTCAATTGATGACTGGACCAAGGAAGAACCCATGATTGGAGGAGACTTGACTGAATTTCAAGAAAAGATTAATGAACATAGAAAGGAAAAATTACTTGCAAAAGTAAGAGATAAAAAGAATCAAAATTTATTAAATTCTGATCTCGTTGATGCTGAAGATTCATCTGACGATGAAGAAGATGAAGTAGAAGCAGCCAATTCCTCAGATGAAGAAAAAGATTTAGACTCTGAAGAAAAATCACTTGCATCTGCATCAAATGGTACTGTCGTTGGTGTTAAAACTATAGATGAATTAGCAGCACATGAAGCATTTTTAACAGACTATATAAAAGAAAGCTTAGAAGATAATAAACCAATAGATTTAAGAATCACTCATAGATTGAAGCCTCGTCAAGCAATGTTTCCATACTTTCCAAATTCACATAAACAAAAATTTGATGATTATGGTGAAATAATTGATATCAAAGACTTTCAAAAGCTGGATGAGATCTCCAATACAAAGATTATCATGGAAGGTAAAAAGAAATTTGAACAGAACGAGAAACGTGATAGAGGTAAGAATAATGATAGGAATGGAAATAAACAAAAGAAAGATAAAGTCAATAAATTAACTCCTCAAGAACAATTGAATAATGAAATTTTCCAAAAGTATTTAGATACATTGCATGGTCCAAAGAAGAGAGTTAAGTTGGGTGCTAGTGCTTCAGCATATGCTGCTCAAGTACAACAGTTAAGAGTAAGGTGTGTATTATCTTTTATTGATTTATCAGGTTTAGTTGATCTTCGTTCATTAGGTATAATCGTTTCTTCATTAAAGCCATATAATTTATTATTAATTCCTGATTTCACAAATAATAACCCAGATGATAATGAATCTAATGGATTACAACTTGCACAATCATACTTCATTAATCAACAGACAGAACAGAAATTAGAAGAGAACAAGAAAAGCTTATTTTCTTCATCAAGATATCTTTCCTTGGCCAGTATAAGAAGTGGTCTCTCAAGTGTATCAAGTTATGGATCTAACAATAAAATGCAAGTATCACCTGCATTGATTAACCAAACAGCCAAAATAGGTGGTGATGCAGACGCAGGAAGTATTGGTTTAAGTAATTTTGAAATTAATCTTGATGATAGTATTATTGAAGGATTGAATTGGCAATCAATTGGAGGCAGTTATAAGGTGGCCCAAGTATATGGTGAGTTAGAAATCCATAATCAAGAACTGGAAGAAGTTGAAAACAAGAAGAGAACAGTCAGTGACGTTATAAATTCATCTACTCAATTTACTTTGAAAAAGGTTAAACAAGAAGATTTTATTAAACAACAACTCTTGTTGGCTGATAAAGTTGAGGATACTACATTAAATTCAGTTAGTTCAAATGGTCCAAGTTTGGCTATTGGTAATATTAGACTTCCTGATTTAAAGAAAAAATTGCAGGGACTTAATCTTAATGCTGAATTTAAGAGTGAGGGTACATTAGTAGTAAATGATTCTATAGCCATTAGAAAAGTGGCATACGGTTCTATCGACGGAGATGACACAGGAGATATCATAATAGACGGTAATATTGGTCCATTGTATTATAAAGTAAAGAATTCTATTAAAGAAATGTTAGCATATGTATAGAATGGTTATATCTGTATATAATATATATATATTTATTAAATTAACAATTTTTTAATATTTTGAACGGCAGTCACTTATTTTATAACGTTTAATAACTAGCTAGATTAATTTGGTTCTTACGGGTCTAGTTTTCGTGGCTTTTATACCTTTGGCATTGTTTAAATTCTTTCTCTGTTCAAATCTAGTAAAGCTAATTTCAATGTCAGTTGAGCCTCTGCAGTAATTTCACCAGCATATTTTAAAATAATCATCATCATAAACATTGGAATAGAGATATTTTCCTTGAGGGAATCGCAGCATATTATTTGACAGCTGATTCCTGTCATCGGCCTCGATATATTGGCATTTTCCAAGGGTATGTTGTCAAGGACAACACCAACACAAAATTCTGAATCTGCTAGAATAAAACAACCACTATTGCAAGCCAATGCCAGCAAGAATCCTCGCAGAAATAATTCCACAAATGACCAACTGTCAACATTACTTTCGTCTTCTGAATAGAGAAAGCTTTCAAATTGTTCTCTCACATGATGACATTGTAGTTCTATTGGAACTTTTATTTCGTTTCTAAGTAAGACTGTAATATCAGGCAGGACTTTTGCATACCTATCACCTGCTTTAAGTATCTCGGTTGTTAGTTTGATTTCAATATCAATGTCTAAGTTGAAAAATAATGCTTTTACGGCATCTAAAATCAGAGACATATAATAATCCAAAAATGATTTACGGGTATCGTATTTCAATTCGGGTGTTGGGTTCTGGTATCTTCCCGAAGGGACAACTTCGGGAATGAAATTAAACATTGTCAAGTTCTCTTGAACAATATTCATCTTATTTCTAAAAGGATTAGGATAGTAATATCCAAAAAAACCAAAAAACCTATTGAAGTCATTGAACTCTTGTGGCTCTTCGTCTTGTACTACTGTCGAACTTTCAAATCTTACGGGAGAACGATAAGCTTTCATTGTCAAACTGTAATTCTTAAATCCTACAATATCACTTTCCTCTATACCATTTTCTAAGCATCCGTCGGATAAAAGTATTCTAAGCTCTCCCTCATAACGATGGGCAATTATTAGATCTTGAATTGAAAAGTCATCTATGAAATGTGAATTAAGAGCTTTGTAGGCTATAATTAGTATTTGTTTGCAATTCTCTCTATCTTTTTCAAACAAGAACTTTTCCACATCATCTCCTGGAATGATTCCCAGTTCATAATATTCAATAAAGGACTCTAATTTCTGCATCCTTTGAAAATATTCTTTCCCTACTTCTTTATCTTCGACCACGGTAAATAAATTTATGGTTTTACTTCTGTTTTCTTTAAAGAACTTAAGAAACTGATTGCTATTAAGCACATCACTAAGTAGATTCATGGTACTGATTAGCTTTAAGATACTTTTTGGTTAGTCCATCAATTGAATAGTTATTTTTAATCAATCTCTCATCACCATGTAAGATATATTAATCATAGAATTTTTGCACTTAGTAAAAACAATCAAATTAAGAAATTATAAATGGTAGCATCGAAAAGCTTTTTCAAACTTGGTAGCATTGGTCGTGTACAATTCAAATATTGTTTCTCTCTGGTTCAAAAAGCTGTAACCAATAAGCGCGACGAAATAATTAATACAAAAAAATTTAAGTTCCATTCAGATATTGAAGTTAAAGATACTGTTAGAGTCAATTATCATCTAATATAATAAACAGAAGATGCAACCATACTCAAGATCTGGTGGTACTAGAAAATGTTTTTATGAATTCCAAACTTTAGTAGCTTGTTATACCTCCGCAGACACTACTACCAAGAAGGAATGTACTCCAGTGTTCGATGATTACTTTGAATGCTTACATGGTTATAAAGAAAGAGAAAGAACTAGAATAATGGCACAACAATTGAAAGATAACGAAATATCTGGAAAAGGTGTTGTTGCTAAGGATTTATATAAATCTGCTGGTGCAGTTTACGAAAGCTTAGACTTAGTTAAGAAATAATTCATTATATCAAAGCAAACTAAACATCATTCTTTCTATCTTCAACAATCCATAGAATATTAACATACTTATATTCAATTAAAACAACCTAGTCATATTCAAACTTACTTCACATCATGGCCTTCAGTGATACATAAATCATTGTCTGGTCTTCCTTTTTTCATTGTAAAATAGTCCTTATTTTTTGAAATGGTTATTTATTCCCTTAAATTTAAGTCATTTCCTATTAGTTTATATTCCAATAAATGCATAATTCATATTAGATCTTTATTCATGTTGTAAAATAGATCTAAAGGTGTCAGTCTTAGCTGCTGAAAACAATTTTGATCATATCTCTCAAAATTTATACCCACTCTTCCTCAATCCTGGCCAATGAATACTTTATGTAGTCAAGTATCTTTCATTAAGGTCATTATCTAACAATATTGGTTAATGGAGTCTACATCGTTGTCGGTATTTTTTTGAAACGTGAGTTTTGGCACGTGAGATGACCATTTTGTGGATAAGTGGAAAAATTTAAAATTTATAAAATCGCCTTTATGGCCAAGTTGGTAAGGCACCTCACTAGTAATGAGGAGATCGTCAGTTCGACTCTGGCTGAAGGCATTATTTTTTTTGAATTTGTTATAATCGATATCGACTTAACTATTCAATGCCATTAATTCTTAATTTTTTAGAATCATTGTTGAATAAGTTGGTAAAGTGAACAGGAAGTAATTATCTGTTTTTGGTAGCGCCTAAATTTTTTGCGATACTCTAATGAGATAGCGAAATATAAAAACAAATTTATTTCAAGAGGAGTTTTTCAAAACTGTTTCTTTAGATAATAACTTAGCTTTCAAAGTCAGCAATGGAAGACCCTGAAGTTGCTCAAGTCACCAGTGAGCAGATTCTAAAGGGTGCTTTTGAAATCAGAGAGAAAAAACTAGAAGTTCCTCAGCAGACTATACAAGATCTCGATGAATTAAGATCATTTCAATTAAAGAAAAGAAAAGAATATGAACAACAATTAAATAAGAATAGACTTAACTTCGGGCAGTGGTTGAGATATGCCCGATGGGAGATAAATCATAATCATGATTTCCCTCGAGCAAGATCGATCTTTGAAAGAGCTCTTGATGTGAATGTTCAACATATACCATTTTGGATTCAATATATTCAAATGGAACTATCACATAAAAATATTAATCATGCCAGAAATTTACTTGATAGAGCTACAACTACATTACCAAGAGTCAATAAGTTTTGGTTTTTATATGTTCAAACTGAAGAAACCTTAAAGAATTATAAAATGGTACGAATTGTATTTGAGAGATGGTTACAATGGCATCCCGACTCATCGGCTTGGGATACCTATATTTCATTTGAAAGAAGATATGATGAGTACGACAACGTACGAAGCATTTTTTCAAGATACGTTTATGAACATGCATCAGGTGATACATGGTTGAAATGGATTGAATTTGAATTGTATGAGACTAGTGATAATGCTAAAGTGAATAATATACGGCGAGCTTTTGAGATTGCAGCGGACACAATGTTAGCCAGTAAGACACTTAAAAATGATGACAAACTTCCCCTTATCATATCACAATGGGCAGAATGGGAAATATCAGTCAAAGAATATGAAAGAGCAAGAGCCATATATAGTACATTACTTGATGCATCAAAAATTGACTTGTCTGAAATACAACGTAATAAGATTTATAGTAATTTCTCAGACTTTGAAAAAAATTATGGAAATAAAGATACTATCGAATCTAGTATAATACGAAAACGAATGGCTGGATATGAACAAGATTTAAAAGACGATCCTTCTGATAGTGATACCTGGTGGACTTATTTAAACTTGCTAAGTGAGAATAATGTCAATAATTCTGTCTTAAAGGACAATTTTGAGAAATCAATTTCAACTCCTCCATCCGAAAAGGTAAAGTCTATTCATTGGCGAAGATATATCTATTTGTGGATAAGATATGCATTATGGGAAGAATTCAATTGCAATAATGTTGACGAAGCAAGACTAATTTGGAATCGTTGTCTCAAAATCATACCTCATACCGAGTTTACCTTTGGAAAAATATGGAAATACTATGCTGAATTTGAATTGAGGAATGATGAAAAGGAAGGTTTATCGAAAGCAAGAAAGATTCTTGGTAGAGCAATTGGCCAAAGTAGTTCAAAAAAAGCAAAGAAGAGTCTCTTTGTTTATTATATTGCCTTGGAAACGAAGTTAGGGGAATGGGACCGTGTAAGGAAATTATATGAAAAGTGGCTTGAGACTACAACCTTGAGCAAAGATAAATCTAATTCAATTCCTGTCTTGTTAAAATATGTTGAGTTCGAAACTGGTTTGAACGAAAGTGATCGATTGATATCTATTTATAATGCTGCTTTGAAATTATCAGAAAATGAAAATATTGCTAGTAAGTTCCTTCCTACAGAAACATTATGGATTTCATTTATACAATATTATCAAGATGAAATGAAGTATGATGAAGCTAGACAATTATATCGTAAATTGATAGACAAAACTAGTAATCCAAGAGTATGGATATCACTTGCTATATTTGAATCATCTATTCCAACCGATTCACAATTCAAAGAATTCAATGAAAGTAATGAAGAAGAATTTGAATTTAGTATCACTGATTCACATAGAGAAAATACTAGATCAGTTTTCAAAGAAGCTGATAAATTCTATAAAGGCACTGATTCAAGTGAAGATAGGTTGGTCATATTGGAAGCGTGGAAAGAATATGAAATTGAGCATGGTTCAAAAGAAAGTCAATCTGAGGTTGAATCTAAATTTCCAACCCTTGTTAAAAGAAGAAGAAAAGTTGATAATTTTGAAGAAGAGTATATTGAATATATCTTTCCTCAAGATAAAGAAGGTATATCTACAAAGCCCGGAATTAATAAGTTTTTGGAAAGTGCAAAGAAATGGTCAGCTTTGGGCAAATAGTAAATGTAACGATATGTATGTATTAATATTAATATATCTGTATATTATAGGATTTGACTGTAAATGATGAATCTTTTAAAAAGCAACACTCCTGTAATCAATCAATTGAATTTGTAACAGACCAATTCATGGACCAATTACCATAATCTAACAACCACCTCTTAAAGTTAACACCAAATGCAAAGATGAACCAGCTTGAATACCAGATTCCGCCACTGTCTTTTCATCATCTAATTGTGTACCATTGAAAATGAAACGCTGTTGTGCTGGTGGTATACCTTCTTTTTCTTCCATCATTTCTTTAATACGAATGATCTTATCAGTTGGTTCAATATCAACCAAGATATCTCTACCTGTTAATGTTTTGACTTTGACTTGCATTGTATAATGTGATGATCAATAATAAGAAAGTATCAATGATTTGGAATCAAATTTATTTTGTCAGTATAAAATTAAATCTCAATCGAAAATTTATATTTTTTTTTTTGATAAAGTCACTAGAGCTCTAGAAGTAGATGTTAACGATAAATGTTGCCTACACCAAATGTTAAGAATGTGGATTATGAAAGGGTGTATGAACCAGCAGAAGATTCCTTTCTATTATTAGATTGTTTAGAGGAGGAATGTGAATTTATTCAATCAAGATTTAAGGATATTATACCGATGGTTACTGAAATAGGTGGTGGATCAGGAATTGTAACTACATTTCTTTATAAAAATATATTACCTAAAGCCATATTCATAGCGACTGATATCAATCCTCATGCATGTGAAGCAATTGTTAATACTGTCAAATTGAATAAAGGTGACAATAATACCCTAAAAATACCGAATTTGGTAGATAGTTGTCAAATGAATTTAACTAGTGCTATAAAGTCTGAAACCATTGATTTATTAGTGTTTAATCCACCTTATGTTCCAGCTACTGAAGTTCCAGACATACCAAATGATCCAGAAGATGATACATGGTTGGATTTGGCATTATTAGGAGGAGAAGATGGAATGGTTACTACATGGAAATTATTAGATGATTTGGATACTATTTTAAGTCCCACTAAAGGTGTTGCCTATATTCTTTTCTGTGCCAGAAACAATCCAGATAAAGTGGCAGAAATCATGAGATCAAGAGGTTGGAATGTTGAAACGGTCATCTTAAGGAAAGCAGGTTGGGAAGTTTTAAGTATCTTAAAGTTCACTAGAGTATAGATATTGTAAATAGATAGTATTTAATAGAATTGGTGTACACTATAATTAGTTAGTTAGCGGGAGGGTGTGCGTATAAATTTGTCGCAAAATTTTTTTTTGTAACGAGTAACCAAAAGATAACTTTGAAACAAAAGGGATTTTTACCACATTTTGATAATTCATATCTATCACTTTTCATCATTGAAACCTAACCAGATAATTCAATCAATCAGTAACGATGGTAGAAGGTATCCCTAAAGGTAGAAAAGCACTTGCCAAAAGTATCTCGAGTCAGAAATTGACTACAACGAAATGGGCGGATGCTCCTGATAAAACCAAGACTCTTGGTAACAATACTTTAAGTACCATTATTTCTGGTCATTTAACACCAGAACAGATTGATGCTTATCAAGAATATTTCAGAATTGAAGAGATTTCAGATATACTTAGAAAGGCACATGAATCTCATGAACCAATTCTTAGTTTCTTAAGTTCTAATGATGAAACTAAAAATCCAACTTATGAAAGAGAGCCATCACCACCACCAAAGTTTGATAAAGAAGGTAAAAGAATAAATACAAGAGAACAAAGAACAAAACTTCAACTTGAGAAGGAAAGACATTTCTTAGTAGAAGTTGCTGCTGGTAGTATTAAGAATTATGTTGCTCCTCCAGGTTATGTCAAACCAGTTAAAACCTTTGAAAAATTATATATTCCAGTTAAAGATTATCCCGAAATTAATTTCGTTGGTCTTTTATTAGGTCCAAGAGGTAAAACCTTAAAAACATTACAAGAAGATAGTGGTGCTAGATTACAAATTAGAGGTAAAGGATCTGTGAAATCAGGTAGATCAGCTAATCCTGGTGAAGATGATGATCAAGCAGATGATGACTTACATGTTCTTATAACTTCTGATACTCAACTGAAAATTGCCAAGGCTATTAAATTAACTAATGAAGTTCTTGATAAAGCTATTTCATCTCCAATTGGTCAAAATGATTTAAAGAGAGATCAATTAAGAGAATTGGCTGTTTTAAATGGTACATTAAGAGAAACAAAGCCATTCAATCCTGATAACAACAGTCAAGGAAGACCAAGAAGAAATGATAGTCAACAAATTGTTTGTAAGATTTGTCAAAGACCAGGTCATCTTTCTAAGGATTGCAAACAAGGTCAAGGTCAAAGTCAAACCAGAGAACCAATTCAACGTAAACGTCCAACTGAATCTCGTGCTCATCAAGAAGTCATTCCTCCTTTCAAAAGAGGTAGAGCACCTACTAAAGGACCAGCTCCAATGGCTCCACCACCACCTCCTCCTGCTGCTCAAGCTCTGGCTCCTCCTCCACCACCACCACCAATTTCCACAAGGCCATCTTATGCTCGTGGTCCACCACCACCTCCTCCTCCTCCAATTTGAGTTTGAGTTTGAGTGGAGTGTATTATCTATAGGTTATGATAAATATGTAGCTTAGTTCTTATCTTATGTGTATATTTAGAGCAAATAAAATGCAATTATAATGTCAATTCTTGTTAAATCTTGAAATAAGTTGCGAATTTGTATCGAATTTTTGCCAATTTTAATTCTTCAAAATGATACCACAATTTTAACGAAAATGAAATAACTTCTTCATAAAATCAAGAATTAATCATTAGACAATGCTGTAACAAAGTTTGAAAGGTTTTGATAAACAATAAAGGGTGTTTTGATCAATTTGAAAAATTTGAAACGTGAATTTTATCATGTGATAAAGACCGCGGAACAATTGTTGGCAAATTTGGAAATCACGAATAAGCTCGTATGGCGCAGTGGTAGCGCAGCAGATTGCAAATCTGTTGGTCCTTAGTTCGATCCTGAGTGCGAGCTTATTTCTTTTTTTCCATTTTTTTTTGTTGCAAATAATGGATAATTCTCTTTTACATGGCTTCGAGAACTTATAAACCAAATGAATATATTATTAAAAGCTATATGAAAATATATAAATTAAAGAAAATGAAATAAACTTATACATAAGTAAAGAAAAAGTTTAATGGCTAGCAGCACCTCCAGCACCATAAATCAATTCAAGATCCATGGAATATTTGGACATCTTTCTTAAACGAGCACCATATTTATAGAATAAGAAGGGAACTGGAAGCATTGCAGCTGAAAGACAACCAATTAAAGTTGCAGCCCATTTAATTTTCATATTATCAAACATTTGTTTAGCGAATAATGGGAAAGCAGCACCGAAAGCAGATCTTAAAAATGTATTACCAGCAATGGCAGAAGCAGCGTAGATCAAGTAACAATCAATGATATAATTAAGACATGGTAAAAAGATTAAAATCAAACCCATTCCAACTGGAAAAGCACCAAGAGTTGGAACAATCCAATGAACTTTAGTGCCAAAACCTCCACTCCAACCTAACCAAAAGATACCAACCACAAAAAGTACAGCACCAGCCATCATTGATACAAGTCTTTCTTCTGGTACTGGAATTCCTCTATTTTTATCCATAATTTTATTAAATCTAACTTCAAAAGCAATTGAAACTAAACCACCAACTAAAGTACCAAGAAACATAGAAAGATAAGGTAATTCAGCATTACCTGGTTTCCAAAGATAAGTTCCTTCAAAGATTAAAGGAATGGCAGTCAAGAATAAATATAACATACCATAAATAAAAGCATTATAAAGAGTAACCAAGAAAAGAATTGGTTCAGTGAATAACATAATGATAGGTCTTGTTAAATTCTTTTCACAAATTTCTTTAAGTGATAATTTGAATTCATCATGAGGAGCATAAATACCCCAATTACCAGTTCTTCTTCTTAATTTTTCAGCTTTTTCAGATAAAATTAATGCATGATAAGTTTCTTTCAAAAAGAAAACAGTTAATACAAGAGATGCAGATGCAATTATGGCAATAAAATAACCTGTCCATCTCCATCCAAGACTTGTATTTCTAACGGTATAACCACCTAAGATTGGTGCAATCATTGGACCACCAAAAAGAGCCATAGCAAAAATAGAAATTGCAGGACCTCTTTGTTTAGTATTGAAGATATCAGCAAGAATAGCTGGTGCCACCACTAAAGGTGCAGCTCCCACAAATCCAGCAAAGAAACGACAAAGCATAATAGTTTGAATATCTTTAGCAGTAGCAACCCCAAAACAAAAACAAACATAACCAATAGATGAAATTATAAGAGGAAGTCTTCTACCATATAATTCGGATAAAGGACCCCAAATAATTGGACCTGATGCAAAACCAAACACAAAAAGGGAAGTAGTTAAACTTGCAACTGTCCATCCAATATGATAAATTTCCATCAAGTCTAATTGAGCTTGAGAGAAAAGGGCAGAACCAACAGCAATTGAGAATGCTGAAAAACAAGCAATACAACAAATTATGAATTTCTCTGCAGAAGACCAATTTTGAGGATGAGTTGGATCATCAGGACCATCAAACTGAACTTGGTATGCAGTCCTATCAGCTATTAAAGGAGGAGGATAATCTCTACCCCCACCCATTTTAGGCATTGGTTCATTACTTTTTTGAGCATCAGAATAAAACAGTTCACTACCAGTTATTCTTCTACTTAAAGTTCTGGAAATTTGAGCATTTGATTCCAAACGGGACAATTCATCACCCATATCTTCACTTGAATCATTTAATTTGGCACCGCTATAAGCGTTAGCTTCGAAATCATCTTGATATGTTTCATTGTTACTGTTTATGTCTGTACTTTCATTTTTATCAGAAAGTTTTTCAGCTATTGGTTTATCATAATCAGAAGATTTAAGTTCAGTAATTGGATTTGCATCAACTGGTAAATCTGATTCTACCTCTGGATTTGGTGTTGACATTACAATTGAGATGGTAGTTCACTAGGACCAACTATAAAAAGAAGTCTGCTGTAATTGAAGTATATCCTGAAACCTTAGAAGAGATTAAAAGAGGACATTCAACCTTTTTATAGTTGGGAATAAAGTTTCATAACGGGCTTCATAATGGCGTTAAAGAAACTTGTAACACCCGAAGTGATTCTTATTTCCAGTTATATCATCTGAAATGTTATACCGATCCACAAAAATAAAAATAAACTCTAAATTAAAGTTAAAGGAACAACAAAATAAAAAATAAAAAATATTAATCAAAAGGAGTATGAAACTTTTCGATTGAAGTGATCAGCCATAATATTGAATCGAAGAGTATTGAAGTAACGAAGAATGGCATGACGTGGGGGGTAATGAAAACATGTTTGTAATGAATTATTATTTAAGGGTTTCGTGAGAGAGATTATAACATTCTAACTTGAACTAGACTCAATGTAATTCATAGTATTGACAACACATCAAACTACGTGAATCTACCTAACAGTCTTAAGCTGTTGAAGTCAAATTAAAATAATCTAATCTATGTCAGATAAAAATAGCTTAAATCATACAAATTTGCAAAAAAAAATGAGAGCAGATTGCACTTCATAAGGAGATTTTTGAATTGCGAAAAAAATATCATAATTACAGCAACAAACCGTGAGAGTGGTAGTGTACGGTTAGTGATTGCTCGGTTAATTCATTCCCTTTTCATGGCCGACAATGAATCAAACACTCATACCACTTTAAAATTTATTTTCAGATAGTGGTCATCCGGCTATAACAATGATATATTTTCACACACTCACAGTTACGAGTCCTTACACCTGGAAATGTGTCATTTCTATGTTACTTAATTTAGTTAAACATTAAAATTAAAAAGAAATGATCTTTCTATTTGGGGGGAATATTATCCTCGGCACTGATACTTTTCTTTCATTAATCTTCGTTGTTCTTTCTTCTTAGTTATATTTTTTAACAAATTTTCTTAGCTGAACGACAATAATCCGGTTTAATGTTTTATTATTATTATATGTTTCGGGGATTAATATGTATTCATTCAAACCCCCCTACTCCGAACCCAACATATTTTTCGTATTACAGATGGCTTTTTGTTTATGCTTAAATTATTCTTTAAACGGCTAACGCATAATCAATATAGTTCCATGCCGCTACAGCGGCTACTCAAACACGTGATCAAATTTGATATTTTTTGAGGTATGGATGTGATTATGCCAAAAACAAAAGTATCTACCAGATAATATGAATAAAGGCTAGATAATAATAGGATAGATAGTTAAGCTAAGCTTTCAAATACCAACAACTGAATATAAGCATATAATAATATGGAAACTTCAGATGGATTCATACCCATTGTTTCCATTTTCTATGCTGTATTCCATCCTACAGAAGGTACGAAGATAGTACATCAAGTTCCTGAACATTCCATATCTTCAATCCATAGAAAATCTCCCAAGAGTTATACTGGTAATAAAGATGCCCATAATGCATTGGGGAATGGCATCAACAATCAGCGTAATGATAATGATGATAATAAAGACGATGACGATAAGGATGGACAAGATGATGACATTAATCATATGACAGATGAAGATCAATCGATATCATTATTCAATTTTGATACAGTTAAGAATTACGTTATACCTAAACCTCAACTATGCAACAAGCTAATCAGTTTTAAAATCAATAAATTCAAAGTAGTAGGATATCCTGTCAATATTGAAAATCCAGAATACTCCCGTAATTCATTCAATTTTAACTTTTGTTTTGTATTTCCTTATGATTTAGGTGATGTAACACCTTATGAATCTGCTATTCAAAGAATGGGTAAAATGTTTAAAGTTTTAGAAGAACAAAGTTTCATATTAAGTAAATTAGATAAAGATAATTCATTTTTTAAGAAGAATAACGTTAACAATGGTACTAATATTAGCGCTAGTGTAAGTGCTAGTAATAATAATAAAATCAATATTGGAATAGATTTGAATTCCTATCATACTTCATCAACATCAAATCAAAACCCAACAACCACTCCACCAGTCTCACAGCATCCTAATTCAGTTATAAATACACCAGGACATTCAAGAGCTAAAAAGATTTCCCTTTCATCGATTGAATCATTGATTAATCAATTATATCAAGATTTGAATAATTATTCTGAATGTTGTATACCTTTGGATAGTTCAAATTCAGTTGACATTAAATTATTCCCTATCTTACCACCACCAGTGAATATAAAAGCCTATCAAGTCCCGATTGCCACCGTGAAGTTAAATTCTTTAGTTGATGTTAATTGGGATCCAACCATGATTAAAATCTTACCTTATATAAATGGAATCAATTCAGTTAAAAAGATAAGTGAATTGGCTAATGCAAATTATATGTTAACTAAACAATGTATTCAACATCTTATGCATTATAAATGTATTGATATTATTGATATTTTCCAATTTAGTAATATTTATGCTCCCACTAATCATATTGGGAATTTCTTACGATATGGAGGTAAAATGGCAGAAGATTGTCAATCATATGTGATAACAAGTGATGTTGATATTGATTCACCAAATTATACTCCCATTAATAATAATTCTCCTTATAATACATTGACTCCTAACAATGCATCATCAGTTTTGAATAGACCCACACCAATCTTGACTAATAATGGTTCCATATCACCATTTTCAAGACATCTGCCATTATTATCTCGATCTCCTCGTTCTTTAGCAATGTTGAATGGAATCAGTGGAGAAGAAAGTTCGAGTAGTGGTGGTGCAGCAACTGCAGGATCCGCGGTGGGAGGCATCAATGGTTCAGCCACGAGAATAACAGTTGATATAAAAGTACCTTCTAAGGCTAAGTTATTTTATCTTTATCGTTCATTGAATCAAGGACAAACGGTTAAAGAATGGTATGTTCAACATCGAAAATTATTAGTTAATATTGATGTACGAAGATTTATAAATTTCGGAGTAATAAGAGGAATCATATATCGAGTTCATTCATTTCCTATTATGAATTCATTCACGAGATTACTTGAATCGAATGAATATGAGAAGTATTCGAAGTTTGTTGATTTAGTTAAGAAAAAGAATGAAGGTGATAGGAAAGGAAATGGTAATAATAGCAGTAGTAATACTCGAACTCCAAAGATTATAAATGATAAGGATTCAAGATTGCTTAAAACCAGAGTTAATGAACAGACTTTGAAAACCACTAAATCAGGTAGAAAAGTAAGTTTTAATAGATCAGTGGGGAGACGACCTCATTCTTTACTTCCTGATATTATAAGTGAAAGTGATAAAGATGATGATAATTATTCCGATACTGAGAAATCGAGAAGACGGAAGAAGACGAATGGAGATAGAAGAAGAAGATCAACTTCATCATTAAAGAAGAATCAATTAGATATGAGAGAAGATGATAATGAGAATGCCTTAGATATATCAGACGACGAAGAAGAATATGAAGGTAGTAATGGACAAATATCAGAACAGGGCACGACTATAGATGGATTAGATGATTCTATCCTGGATCGAAATTCTGGTTCAGATCGAGATGAAGAGGAAGGAAATGATGATGATGATGATGATGATGATGAATATGATGATAATGATTCTGATGAAGAGGAAGAATTAGATTCTGATGAACTTGAAGAAGAGAAGAATATGATTAATCTTATTAAGTTATTAAAGGGATATCAAAACTTTGATTCTATCAATACTGAATTACAAACCTCCCGACAAGATATTGAAAGTTTAATTGATAGTTTAGGATCATATAGTGTTGTAAATAGTTAATATATGGTACCGTCCTTCAGATCCGGGTAACACACCCAATATAGCATAATAATTCGCGTCATGGATGTTCTGTTAGTTTTGTGTATTTGTTTATGTTCCTTTACGTTTTTTGTTGTTTTGATTTTTATTTTAGTTTTATTTTTTCTCTCTTTTTTACAGTTTTTTCTTTCACAAGTATAAACAAATAAATTTTACAATTTGCAAATTTATAAACAACTATCAATTTCCTTTTGGTTAAGTTTATTTATTTTTGGTGTAAAATATCTTCAATTGAATAAATAAAACATCGTCTATTATCATGTCAGGTAAAGGAAAAGTTCATGGTGGTAAAGGTAAATCATCTGAAGCCTCAAAATCAACCACTTCTCATTCTGCTAGAGCTGGATTACAATTCCCAGTTGGTAGAGTTAAAAGATATTTAAAGAAACAAGCTCAAAATAAAATCAGAGTTGGTTCAAAATCTGCCATTTATTTAACTGCCGTATTGGAATATTTAACTGCTGAAGTTTTAGAATTAGCTGGTAATGCTGCCAAAGATTTAAAAGTTAAAAGAATCACTCCAAGACATTTACAATTAGCCATCAGAGGGGATGAAGAATTAGATAATTTAATTAAAGCAACCATCGCTTATGGTGGTGTCTTACCTCATATTAATAAAGCTTTATTATTGAAAGTTGAAAAGAAGAAACAAAAATAATCTCATCCATCCTTCATTGATTTAATCCCAAATATTAAGCATACAATTTTGTTGTCTTCATTATAATTGTATCATATTAGTCATTTTTTTGTTGTTGTTGTTGATTTGCATTCAATTGGCATTACTTAAAACTTAATTAATCAATTGATTGATTGATGATTGTATTTCAAATTGCTTGTGTTTGAGTTCTTTTAAACTTAATCTTTGTTGTTTTCTATTTTGTATTCTTTTGTTTATTTTTACTATTATTATTATTCTTTTCCATTCTTGTTGTCTTTATTTGTACTATATTTTTATTTTGTTAATTTAGTTATCTTTCTAAATATAAGAGTTTTATAATCCATATATTAAATGATGTGGTTTTGTAATGATGTAATGTGTATGTGTGTATTTTATGTACATGATGATTCGATATTATAATTTATATATACAAGTTAATAATGAATGCGAATAAATGATTAATAGGGAATGTGAAGTAAACTGTTCTCTAATTGGTCACCACAGTGGTTGAACTTGTTATGGTGCTCTGATTTGTCTTTAAACTTGATGAATCTGTTTTCTCAGGTGTTTCTGTTGATGATTTTGATCCTATTTTGATGTATTTTGGTTTATACTCTTCTGGCATTTTATAATCATCTAATTTAATATTAATTTCTCCTAATTTAGACTTAAGATATTCAATCTCACTCTGTAAGACATTAATATCATCAGCAATGGCATCTCTTTCATCACTGGCTTTCTTTCTACTTCTATAACTCTCATAAAATATAAGAGATCCTGCCACACTAAATATAAAGAATTCAGATAAGAAATTAGCTCCATTTTCAACAGCTTTTGTATCATTCAAAGGTCTAATCTTAATTCTCTTTTCCCCTAACAATGACATTCTTAAGGTTAAATCTGTAGTATGAACAGTTTGAGCTATACCAATACATGCTCTTTTAAAAAATTCATGTTCTTTGGCTTGAGTTTTTAATGCGGTGGCAATTGGTTTGGCAACTGTTCGAACTAATAATGACGTTAATTTTAATGCAATACCACTCATATTATAACTGATATCATGGGACTAATAAGGTAAGATGATATGTGATACTGTGACTTTGAATGGATTTAATAGAGTGAATAGTTGATGATTTGTTGTGATTTTTACTATTTCTAAGGGATACACTATTGATGATATTAATGAAGTTGTAATCAGTTAGATTTTATAACAAATTTCAAATTAAATTAACAAAAATTAATGAATGGAATCAGTAGTATATGATTATAGTGTTTAAATGTAAATTATTGATTGAATAATGATGTATTGAGCCAGTTCAAATTAAGCTATATATTTTACAATCATTCAAATTGATTTTGGATTGACTGAATTTTTGATTTTTCCTCCTTTCAATTTTGGTGACAATCCATTTTCTTTCACTATTAAAACTCTCCCCCCCCCACTAAAAAATCTTAAATATCAGTACTTTAAAGTTAGTAAAATTGTATAAGTTACCATGTCTTAGAAGAAACTTCTACAGAATCAAAAATTGTACTTTGATGGTCATTTGGAATGGATAAGCTAAATCTAATGAATTTGTAAATAAGTTCCAATAGCAACTGTCATAGAATAACGATCTCTTCTTTCTCAGCCACTTGAAAATTTAATCGCCCCTACGGCAATTGCCTATGTGGATACAATATCTAGAAGCTATTGTCACACTACAATATTCTTCATTCCCTTAACAGCTTTCCTAAGCATCGTATCTGGTAACTAATAACGCAAATAATTAATAAGAATTGATATTTAAAAGTAGTAATTTGTCATGGTGATTACACAAAGTAATCTCTACCATCAACTGCAACGGCTCTAAAGTGAAAAACTTTACCGCCTAATATTCCTCGATACGCAGTAATTTAAGAATGACAAGAAATTTTTAACTTCTTGATTATACATTGTACTTAATTATCCTATCCTATCATTATTGGATTTTCCGATATCATTGATCGAGAGTATTTGTAAGCATTGATAACGTTAATTACGACGATTTGAAGAAAAATAGATAGTCGAGGTTATAGAATAGGAAGATCTATTGGGGATTAAAAGATTTACGCAGCAATGAATGAAATCTCTAATGAGAAAAATATTTTTTTTTTGACTCTTTCCCCATTAATTAAAAATTTCAGTTCGCTGCGTAATATAGCGGATTCTACGCCCAAGTTCCGTATACTTTTTTAGCTGACAAGGGGCTAGAAAATGAGAGGCCGACGACCTAGCATGATTGGTGAAATTCTAGAAGACTTATTATACCATATACACTATAAGGAGTTCTCTAACAGTTTAGCGAATGATATTCAGTATTGATAGATAGAAACGCAGGAGCTCCGCGGAGTAAACATTCCAGCTAAGAAATATTTCAGTAAATGCAATTTTAATCGTAAATTGAAAATGCTATCTATTACGACTTATAGTTACTTTAAGTAGATTTTGCGGTTATCATTTTTGAAGGGAAAATATTTGTGGTGGCGGGGAGAATAGGTGCAGGTGCCCACGGTGTCTAGCATTCTTTGAGAAAAATACCGTAAGGATGAACTAAATAATTACCTAGTTTCTAATTACATCTATAGCCCTACTGATAAGAAAACTAAAAATGGATGAATTTTAGTTACTGTTTCATCAAAAATAGTAAGTGGGGCCTTCCAAAAATAAAAAAAGCGACTCTGAATTAGGAAACCTAATTATCTAAAGGGGCTTAATGCGTTATTAATGGCGGATAGGATATCTTTGTGTTATTTGATATCTAACAATGCTCATACGAGAAATGATGAGATGGGCTTGTTTGAATATACTATCTATTTTTTGATTCATATTGTTATAATTATTGCCTCACCATCGGCTGCATTAGATACTTTAGGTTTTTGAAGTTAGTCTTCTCTTAAATTTTTCAAAAATTCCCCCAATTCCCGTTCGTTTAAATAGAGTTGGATTCCTCGAAACTTTTCAAATATACCCTTAATTGTAATTGTTATTTCTTTTTTTTTGTTCTTGTATCTGAACTAGTTTAATCATTAATACTTTCGTTTCAATAACATAATGGTTAGTTTAAAATTATCAGTCTTAGCAACTGCTTTATTAAGTAGTGTCGCAAATGCTAAAAAAGTCTTCATTGATAATGATGGTATCACTCCACCAAATATTCTTTTCCCATTAATGGGAGGTTGGGAAATTGTCGGTGTTTCAACTTCTTTTGGTTCTTCATCAAATGTTGATTCTGCCGGTACTGGTTACGAAACCTTACAACAATATAATTTATCATCATGTATTCCACATTATCTTGGTGCTCAAGGTCCATTATTAAGAACTCAAGATACTTTCAACATTTGGCAATCATTATTTGGTGAATTAGTTTGGCAAGGTGCTTTTGCTCCAGATTATGTCAATGAATTTTCTTGGAGTAACATAACTTATAATGAAACTTTACCAGGTGCCGTAGCCTTAATTAATGCCGTTCAACAATATAAAGATACTGATCCAGTTGTTATTTATGCTGCTGGTATGATGACCACTGTTGCTCAAGCTCTTTCTCTTTACCCAACTTTAGCTGAAGATGCTGGTGGTTTATATATTATGGGTGGTTACTTCGATACTCAATATACCGCTGGTACTGGTACTTCAATTGTTAACGATATCAACACTGATATTAATTTAATTCAAGATCCAGAAGCTGCTCAAATGGTTTTAACTGCTAACTGGTCCTCTATTGTTATTGGTTCCAATGTCACTAACTATTTAGTCCCATCCCAAGACTTATACGATCAAATCATTGAAAGAGCTGGTGGTTTAGATGTCATTCAAAACACCACTTATTTAGCACCATTATTAGATATTCTTTACACTGGTAATTTCACTGAAAATGAAATTATTTCACAAGATCAAGATACTTTACCATTCTGGGATCAAGTTGTTTCTGGTTACTTAGCATTCCCAGACTTAGTTACCAGTACCACTAATTTCTCAGTTGCTGTTGATACTCAATTTTATTCTCCATTCTATGGTGCTTTAAGAATCTGGGGTGCTCAATTTGCTCCAACCGGTCAAATTACTGGTAATGCTACCGTCGTTAATACCATTGATGATGAAGCATTCTATAATTATTTAATTGAAGCTTACTTCTACGATTGGAGACAATATTGTGAAACTGGTGGTCCAGTTGAATTAGAAGGTTTCAGTTAAATTAATTGAATCTGTCTAAAACTCTAAATTTTCATTCTTTTACGTTACACACTCTTTTTGATACCATAAAAAAGTATTTTTTCGGTTAGACGCTTTTCATTTTTTTTGCAGTCAAAATAAATATATAGAAGTAATATTTTTAACTTATTCCAAGACGTAGAAATTACCTGCCAATGTTTGTACTGAAATGTCTTGCATTCGAAAGCCATCTAAAATAGGTTAAACCAAATGCCTAATTATGTTTATTCTGTTTTATTCGATACCATTTGAATTTGTGATATGAGACTAACAAGGTTTAAAGCGATTGCCAAGAAATGATTTTTATAATTCCCACCAATTACAGACTATTTATGTAAATAGATGAATTAGATAAACTTATGACGTACATATGTATAACAATTTTTATTTAACTTAGAGCTAAGCCATATTTTTAGAAGCGAACTATACACGTTAGAGTGAAACTTGTTTAAATACTTTATACTTGTAAACGAAAGAGCGAAACCCGCACATCTTATTTTTATTTAAACCCTATAGAATTTCTTTCCATTAGATTTATTAAATGTATATACCAATACAAAGACCATGTTATTCATATTACATTTAATATTATTTTACAATATTTTAGTAGAAGCTACTTCTACAAGCCATTGCGATCCGTTTCGAAAATTGGATTCAGGAGCATTCGTAAATGGAACTTGTTATAATCAATTATTTCAAGGAAATCCAGACGATTATTCATTCGAACTTTATTTGTATCACGGTACTATTGTGAACGATTTCCGTGACTTTGTATTGTTGGTGGGTAAGAAGACAGCTGGCGAAGCTCTTGATATTAGACCTGATTATTATGAAAGATTATATGATTTAGTGTTTGATAATAGTACTAGACTTCCAGAAGAATATCTATTTAAACAGAATGAGAATGATGATATAAATTTAGTCAGTTGGGTGAAACATCTGAAAGATCAATATGAAGGAACTCTCAATGAGCATGAAAACAAAATTCATGCCCTGAGTTATGGTATTAAGACTGATGCACCAGAATGGGCCGACAACATGTGGGAAATTATGGGAAGTGGTTCTTTTATTTCTACACAGGTTTCTTCAATAGCAGCAAACTATTTTAAATCAATTGAAGCTCAATGGCATTGTCGAGCAGCTTTCATTATCACAAATGAAAAATTTAATGCAATAAATAATTTACAAACTAAAACTACCCCTAGACTTTTGTTAACTATTTTACCAAATAGTAAGATTGGTGATTGTAAAACAGCTACTAGTGAAAGTACAATATTAAGTGCTTTGATAGATTTATTTAAAATTGTTTCTACTAAAGCTATAAATACATTTTGTTTAAGTATCACTGGTGATGATGGTTGGTTTGGTTCAAATAATTGGTTTGGTCAGTTAAAGTTCTTTAATTTAGATAGACAATTGAGTTATTCAAGCATAAAGTGTTAGATTTATAAATGAGATAATGACTTAAAATTTATAGTGTTAAGAAAAATACAAAAGATTTATCAACAAATTTATCATAAAATTGATATGAAAAGCAGCAAATATCGTTATTATCGACTAATTTCAAGTATTTCAGTAGATGTACAGTTCATTTTTTTAAATATTTACCATATAAATAGTACAAAGAAAGTATAACAACAACGATTTGGTATAGAAAAAGAGACTGGTATTACCTTTGGCCACTTAGAAATATGGGTATACCAACTATTTGGTTGCAATTATTTCACAAATTAGAGGAAAAAAAAGGTGTTGTATGCAGGAAAACGTAATAAATTTCACGTGAAATATACAGATTATCACTGACCAGCGAAATTTCTTGTTTATAAAATAGTCCGATATAGTGTAACGGCTAGCACGGTTCGCTTTCACCGAGCAGACCCGGGTTCGACTCCCGGTATCGGAATATTATTTTTTTTTCATTTTTTATCTTTGACAATTTTATAATATGTTTTTATAATCAAAATTTAGAGGATTTAAGTGATTTTGATCTGTTTACCTTAGATCTGTAAACAACTCTGTTGTTAAAGTCCGAAAGAATGGGTGTCTGCGAAAATGTCAACTCTAACTTACCCAATTAGCAGCTAGTTAAATATTTAAATACTTCACTATAACATCCTATAAACATTGATATACAATTATCAAATATCAAGCCATTAATTTATAACAAACTGTATTAACTACCATCACCACCACCACCACCACTTCCTCCTCCTTTCAACCTTTCCAAGATTGTCTGAAGTAAAAGCAAAGAAAATAAAAAAATAGGCTGATCTCATAAATCTCGGAGTTTTTTTTTCTCTGTCTGTCTCAACAAATAATCGACCCCACATTTTTTTTAATTAGGGGAAAATACAAGCAGCTCTAATCTCAATTGTATAAATTATCAACTTCAACAACAGGTGTTCTTTTCTTTTTCTAGGTTGAATGTATCACAGATAGTAATTATGACTTACCGTACGTTTGAGAATGAAGAGAAATTACCTCGTTTGCCAGTTCCATCGTTAGCTTCTACGATTCAACAATTGTTAACTGCTCTTAAACCTTTATCGAGTCAAGATGAATTTAGTGAAATCTTAGAGGAATCATCAGATTTCATATCAAATGATACTATCAATCTTATTCAAGCTCATTTAGTTGCAGCTTCAGAAGATCCATCTCAGAACTGTTACCTTTCTACTGTCAATGATGAAACTGCTCCTGCTATTTATGGTGAATTAAGAGGTGATATTTTACCTAGGAATCCGTATTTGATTCTTGAAGAAGATCCATATTCAAAGACTTTAACTCCTCCTAATCAATCCGAAAGAGCCGCTAATTTAATCAATTCATCATTGAAATTCATTGTCAGTCTTCGTAATGAAACTTTAAAACCAGATGTAACTCCAAAAAATCATACTCCATTAACTATGTCTGGTTATAAGAATTTATTTGGTTCTACTAGAGTTCCAGCTACTTCAAGAGATTCAAACCATCATAACATCGGTATTAAGAAATGTGTCGATATTAATGATTCAAGACATATCATTGTTATTAGTAATAATCAATTCTATTCATTAGAAGTGATTACTCCATATAGTGAAGAAGATTATGAAAAACATCAAACAAAACATAGAATTTGGTTTAGTGATCATGAATTATCCCTTATTTTACAGCAAATCATCGATTCACTGAGTAAAATTGATCAAATTGAATCTATTAATAACTCAATTGGTTCAGTTACCACTCAAACTTTAAAACATTGGAGACATGCAAGATTAGAATTAATTAAATCTAATAAGGAAAATTTAGATTTAATCGATAATGCTTTATTCGTAGTGGTATTAGATTCCAAGAATTCTCCTGTCACTGATCAAGAAAAGACTCAAGTTATTTCTCATGGTACATCTGTCTTATCTGAAAGTAATGTTCAAATTGGTTCTTGTACTTCAAGATGGTATGATAAACTTCAATTAATCATTACAAAAAATTCAGTGGCAGGTATTGTATGGGAATCATTTTCAATGGATAGTACTGCTATTCTTAGATTCATTTCTGATATTTATACTGATTCCGTTTTAAAATTAGCTAAGAATATTAATGGTCAAGAATATACTTTATTTGATAATAAAGTCTCATTTATTTCTTCAGATGGTAATATTTCAAAACCTGATACAACAAAATTAATCTTTAATAAGACTCATGAATTACAAAATTTCATTCATTTATCAGAAACGAGATTAGCAGATTTGATAAATCAACATGAATACAAGACTTTAAATATTAAATTAGATGCTCATCTTATCAAAAAGTTTACTATTTCGATTGATTCAATCTTACAAATTTCTTTACAAATCACAAATTATTCCTTATATGGTAGAATGGTTAATACTTTAGAACCAATCACCACTAGAAAATTCAGAGATTCAAGAACAGAATTAATCCCAATTCAAAATGAATCGATTGCAAGTTTAGTTAAATTATTTATCACTAATGCCAGTCCTCTGGATAAATGGGATCAATTCAAAAAATGTTGTGAAATGCATACCAAACAATATCATGATGCTATGATTGGGAAAGGGTTCGAAAGACATTTCATGTCATTAGTGCAAGTTATTAAGAGACAACTGGCGGTTGATTATTTGAATAAGTTAAATAAACATTTAAAACCATTACCCGATTTCAGCAAAACTAATTTTGATATTCCTTTATTATCAAATCCTATGATTGAGAAATTGATTGTACCAGAATTATTAATTTCCAATTGTGGTAATCCTGCATTACTGTTGTTTGGTATTCCACCTGCTAGTGATAGAGGGTTTGGTGTGGGGTATATCATTCATTCAGATAAAGTTAGTATTACAATTTGTTCGAAATTCAGACAAACTGAAAGATTCTTAGATACTTTCCATCGTGTAATCACTGATTTAAAGAATATGTTAAAGGCAAGATCCAATTTCTTAGTTAATATAAGTGATTCAGAAAATAGAAAGTTAGAATTACAAAGATTAAGAATTGAACAAGAATTGAAGAATATCGAACATGACTTACCATCCAAGAGACATCCAATTGAATTAACAATTGATAAAGACTTTGAACCAATTCCTTTTGAAAGTGTCAAAGTTACTAGTGAAGTTATGACCAAAGAAAAACGTTCTAATTCATCAGAAAGTGATGAATCTGATGATTTTGAATTATTAGGTGGATATGGATACTTTGATTATGGTGATTTAGATTTGAGATCTGATGAATTATCGAGAAATGAATCATTATTGAATAGTCATTCTAATTTGAGTTCAGCTTTAACTTCAAGACATCATTCTCATACTAATTTACATAAATTAACAGTATTAGCAGAAGCAAACGATATTAAAGACAAACAAACTCTTTCAGAAAGAATTAGAGATAAATTATCTCACAGTAACGATACCTTACCTTCTGTTACTGTGAATTCAGACAAAGAAGATGTGATTGAAGAATCAAGTGCTTCTTCACCTACGGCTAAAACTAAAAGTAATGTTGGAAGACAAGTTGATATTTCGAAATTCAGCTGAATTCGCTATCTGTCTCTTACTCAACTATTTATTTATTATCTATTTATTACCTATTTATTTATATATATCTTTGTATTGATTTATATACTTCATTCTTTTTATTTTATAAATGGTTGGTTGCAAATTGTAGTGTACTATTGTCAAATATCAACAAGTGCATTTTTTTTTCGGAACCGATTAGTGATAATACAAAATTTGTTAGTAATTGCTAATCAAGTCTTAATAGAACAAGCAAAATGATACCAGGTCATGGCTTAAGTCTATTGTCGAAGACTATCATCAAGGTCGGTGGGAGAGATGCTTCCAAGTTTTTAAATGGTCTAGTGACATCAAGGTTTTTACCTAATGTGGTGAAGAAGAAACAACATACCATAAGTGAAAATGAGAATAGACATGAAGAGCTTACTAAAATCATTAATCCAGAGCAGAATTGGGGGCTTATGCATGAAGATATATACGATCCAGATAATCATATCTCGATTGGTAGAGATGGGATCAATTCGATGTTTCTTAACTCAAAGGGAAGAGTAGTGACAGATTGTTTTATTTATGCATATCCATTTCACAACCATAATGATCTTAATCCAAAAGAATTTGAAAAGCCGAGATACTTGATTGAAACAGATTCAAAGAATATAGATGAATTAAAAAGTTTATTGAAGATACATAAGTTGAGTGCCAAAGTGAAGATACGAAAAGAGGAACCAACCTATTCTTATTATTACTATCATGATAGTTATGAATTCGATACATTCTTGGAAGTGTTACAAAATGAATATTTACAAGCTCCAGATCCTGTAAATGCATTGAACAATTCTAATTCATTTATTAAAAGCGAATTGTTATTCAACAGTAAGATTGCTGATCGGATTCTTGGGTTTTCCATAGATAATAGGATTCCAAACTTTGGGATAAAGTTTGTGACTGACAAACCAATATCTGACAAAGAAGTTGACGATGATGCTGCTATTCCTTTAAGTGAAGTCTTTTCTCCTAGCTTCAAACAACAATTTCCTATTAATATAACTACTGAGGATGCCATCACTCGAAGAAGATTTGCTAATGGATTATTTGAGACAAACGATGCTACATCAGGAACATCATTATTGCCATTCGAAATCAACTTAGATTTCACTAATGGGTTATCTTTGGATAAAGGTTGTTATGTGGGTCAAGAATTAACTATCAGAACCTACAATAATGGGGTCATCAGAAAAAGAGTAGTACCAGTTCAATTTTCCAAATCAGATCCAGAAAGCGTTGAACGATTAAACAGTTCAGAAACGATTAATTTTGACGCTAAAGATCCTGTTATCGAAGATATCAAATTTATAAGTCAATCGAATGCCTTTAAGATCGATGTAACACCTTTGGAAGAAGAAAAACCCGAAATAACCCAAGAAGAAACAACAACAACAGATTCACCTTTTGCCAAATCGAGTAACATAACTCGTAGAAGAAAGAGTTCAAGTGGTAAGATTCTATCCATAAAAGACAATGTAGGATTCATCTTAATCAACTTATCAGATCTTGAGAAAACTAATATGTTCAAGTTACAATTACCATGCTTACAACATGGTGAAAAAGTCATAGCCTTGAAAGCCTTCGTACCAGATTGGTGGATGTAATTACGATATTTCCTTATATAAAAATCTTGTAAATATACGAAAAATATAATTAAATGCGTTGCGCGACACATAAATGAAAATAAATTTTCAAAAGCAGAGTTACGAACCCCACATAGTTATTCTTTAGTATCAACGAACCAACAGTTACAGAATTAAAAATGGCAGAAAACATACCAGTTGCAGACTATCTTGACATATTAAGTAAGGCAACTTTTACTTTAAAATCCTTCTTATCCCATCATCCGGCTCTTGCTCAACCTAGAGTATTGATCATTTGTGGATCAGGTTTAGGAGGTATAGCTGATATTTTAGAATCTACAGCTTCAATCAGTTACACTGACATTCCAGGGTTTAAAACCTCAACTGTACCTGGACATGCTGGTAAACTTCTTTTCGGACTTATTGGTAAGAATAAGGTTCCAGTGATGTGTATGGTGGGTCGTTTACATTTTTATGAAGGATATTCATTCCAAGAGACAACGTTTCCAGTGCGTTTGGCTAAGAAATTAGATGTTTCAACTGTTATTGTAACAAATGCTGCAGGAGGTGTCAACCCTGAGTATAAGCCTGGAGATTTAATGCTTATTAGTGATCATATCAATTTCCCAGGATTAGCTGGTTATCATCCATTAAGAGGTCCTAATATTGAAGAATTTGGTCCAAGATTTCAACCACTTTCCGATGCTTATGATTTTGAATTAAGAAAGTTATTTTATACTGCCGCCAAAAAAGACCTTAAGATCAGTCGTAACATCTTTGAAGGAACTTATTTCTTTGCTGCAGGTCCTACTTTTGAAAGTAGAGCAGAAGTTCGTATGATAAGAACTTTAGGTGGTGATGCTGTTGGAATGTCAACAGTTCCAGAAGTTATTATTGCTCGTCATTCAGGTCTTAAAGTATTAGCCTTATCTTTAATTACAAATGCAGGTGTTGGAGACAAACCACCATATGCAACTGAAGTTGATGTCAAACCATTAGATGAAGGTATGGCAAGTCATGATGAGGTTTTACAAGCTGCAGATGAAGCATCTAAAGATGTCCAAAGAATTATAGAAGCTACAGTAAACGAATTATAATAAAAAGCGATTTTAGATTTTAGACTTCGAATTAGAATACAAATAACGTTACATAAATTATTGATCTACTTCTCCAGCAGATTCCCATTTTCCTTGTAAATTTTCTTTCCATAAACTTACTTTGTTATCACCACCGGAAACAGCTAATATGTTTCCTGATAATGACCATGAACATCTCCAACATACATCAGGGAATTTTTCGTCTGTCAAAAGTTGCTTTTTCCATTGACCACTTTTATCTTGAGTCCAGATTAAAACAGTACCATCTTGAGAAGCAGTAGCAATATATGAACGAACTAAAATAGATGGAGACCAAGCTACATCACGGACCCAATCAGTATGACCTTCTAATCTTGCTTCTTCAACATAAGTATTATGAGTTGGATCGTATTTCCAAATCTTAGCTAAGTTATCGGAACCACAAGTAACAAATCTACGTTGTTGCTTTAATGAAGCAGCATCTTTACTGCTGGTAGAAGTGGTAGTTATAGGGGCCCAAGAAGCTGAATTCACACCTATGACATGTGCATCAAAAATAACATGTGAAGTAGTACCATCATCATTGAAATCAACAACTGATACTTTACCATCTGAAGAAGTACATAATAAAATTGCCCCTAATTCATGTGGAGCCCATGATACTGAATTTACACTTGCCTGATGAACACTATGTTCAGCAATTATAGACCATTGTTGAGTTTCTGGTTGTTCTTTCCAAATGAGAGCTTTACCATCAAATGAACAAGAAGCTAAGATCGAACCGAATTTTGGATGAGCCCAAGCTACTTGCCATACTGGACCTTCATGACCAGTTAAAGTTGTTGATAATTTATAGTTTTCTGTGCCTTCAATTTCAAATATCTTTATAGTTTTATCGGATGAACTTGTGGCCAATCTTTTACCGTAGTAATCTAAAACGGCATCATGAATTATATCATCATGAGCATTACCAATTGTCACCATTGTTGTTCTATTCTATTAGGATTGTACAATGGTTGTTGATAGATATGAGATCGTTCATAAACAACAAAATGTGAAAATTAAACATTTGTGAGCGATAGACGTGTTAAAAGAACAACGAAAAAATTTACCCGGAACGATCATACTATTTATTGATCCACAGTAACACCACCACCAATAATAGATTCATATCAATCGAATTGCAACCAATATGGATAGATCGATAGATGAAGTGCTGGCCATTTCATCATTAGTGCGGTCTCTCGTCCAACAATTAGCTGAATCGAACGATAATATTGCTAAATTAGAGAGCATAGCTAAGGCATTTGTACCCCAGGATGAATACGAGCAGTTGATACAGCCACCATTATCTGATTCAAAGACAGATTCAAAGAATAAAGAGACAAAGAAGGTTCCAATAGAGGAGGAAGAAGCTTATGTGATACAGAAGTTGGAACAGGAAAGAATGGAACTTGTGTTGGAATTACAAAAGGAAGACTTCTTAAAAGAGAAGTTAGTAGAGGTGTTGACTCAAAATGAAGATTTAGTGGAAACAGTGAAGGAATATCTTGAATCTAAAGATTCAATTCAGAAAGAAGAAGAAGATTATGTGAAGAATCGATTTGAAAACTATTCTGAAAGGGTTCTTCAACCTACCATTGATCGTTTAGATTCACAATTATTTGATTTGCATAGAGGAGTTCATAAAATACAGGGAATACTAACGAAGCTAAGTGAAGATAGTTCACAAAATAATCAATTGCTACATTCAAAGGAATATCAAGATCAATTAAATACATTAGTGGAATCTATAAACCATATATACGATAACACTTAATAAACGATCCTTAATTAATAGATCCATTAGATGAACCAGTCAGACCTGATCGTATGGTATCCATAGACGCAACACTGTCTCGAGATGGTTCTTGTCCTATATAATTATAGGCTTGCTTAATAAGACTTCTGTTTGGATCAAGTTTTACCCATTGTTCTCTTATTCTATTAAGATTCATCTTACCTCTATCAAATTTAAAGAATTGTGAGACATAAATCATCAAATCGAATAAGAACATAACTATTAACCGGAATAATCTTTGATGCATAGGTAAATTGGAGATACTTTCAACATCTTCTACTTCAACCTCACCTCCTAGCTTTATGATGATGTTGTTTCTTTCTTCAATATTTGGAAAAGCCAATTTGAATCTATTCAGATGAATTACATTTTCAACCATATTAGATAATTTTGATCGGCACTCTTCATTTAGTTTAATTTCAAATAATGTACAATTTTCTTCCAATTCATTGATTCTTCTAACCACTATTCTAGTTTCATAACGTAATCTATCAATCGAACTGGTTAAATCTTTGACACTATATCTAAGATGACCAACTAAATCTTCATCTATAATTTTAGTCTTACTATTATTCATTTGACTTTGAATGTTATTTAATTTAAGTAACTCTAAATTCAATACATTGTATGCTCTGTCAATAGAATCCTTGGAATATAAAAATGAAAGCTCTGGTGGACATGTATCTTCAGTGTAAAGTTTCTTAAGATTATCATATTTAACCAATTTATCAAGATTGCTTAAGTATTTGTCACTAAATGTAAGCGGACTAGTAACATTTACATCTGGAACCGGTATTTCTATAGCAGAAAGACTAAGACTTCTTTGTCTGCTGTATGAACTCTCAATTGTTAATGCACTATAAGCATTCTCCGGCTTAGTGTATTCAACCTTTTTGATATCATTTAAATCATTTGGATTTAATGGATACGAACTTCTTCTGAAAAGAATACGACGAACTCTTTCAGATTTTTCATCCTTGACAACTTTACAAGTCTCATCATTCTTAGTATATCCATTCTTCCCAAGATTACCATTAAGACTACTTTCGACATCAAAACTTGAAGAAGTGTCGTTCGAAATTTGCAATAAGGAATCAACAATTGAATTGGACACATTATGGAATCCATCACTATTAGGTTTATCACTATGATTATTTGAATCAAGATAATTATAAGCTTGGACTTGATCTCTTTTATTGTATGGTAATAATATTCCTCTAGTATTTTGTAAACCCATTCTCATTCTATTTAAACCACGAGAGTATCTTGAAATATCGGTTATTGAACCATTATTAGTCCCTTCCGCAGAATGGATATGAAGGACCTTATCTTTAAGACTTATAAATTGATATTGCCTACTCGTTATGCTGTCTGTTAGATTACTCTTAATGTTATGGCTATGATGATGATGATGACTGTGATGGTGATGACGCATACCATTTTCAGATATGGAGTTAGTTGAGTCATGACTATTAGACGATCCAGTTGATTGAGAACCCATGATATTGGTAGATGTATTTCCATAACCATGAAATAAACGAACTAAGGTTTTTCCTGATATGTAATTAGTGACAAGTTCATTCAAGTCTAAAGTTTCAACTTCTGATGGAGTAATATCTGCTAATTTTCTAATTCTACTATTTCCTGCTGCTTCATCAAAATCTCTACCTCCTGCTATTCTATCTTGTACTGTATTTTTAACCACATTGGTTAATTTCTTTAATTCCATACCATAATGACTTTTATTCTTACGAGGTTGTTGACTTGGACTTGAAAGCATAGTTGATTGAGATGTGGCAATGCTGTATCTTGGATTTATGGGGGTTGAGGCTGAAATTGTGGTAGTTAAAGTATGACCATCTTCATCATCGTCTTCATCATCATCACCAAAGTAATAAAATTTATTACTTTTTTCAGTGGAGTATTTTGAAGTTGTAACTGAAAATAAACGATGTAAAGTTTCTGGATCCAATTTACGTTTTTTATCTAATCTATATTGTCTTTGAAATTGTCCTATTGATAACATGAAATTTTCAAAATCAAAGAAATCCTTTGGAACATCACAACCTCCAACCAATTGTAGTCTTAATTTAACACTTAAAGTTAAACTTATAATGGCTGCTGCTGTAGATGATGGTAATATACCACGTTTTGAGAAATTAGGTTTGGTATTAAAGTGAGGTAAACCTATTATATTCCACCAACTCTTGATGGCTTCTTCTGTTCTGTTACATAATAAACCATCACAATATTTTGCATCTAATAGATCGAAATAAAATAAACTTATTTGAATGATATTGACGAATTCTCGAATGGCAAACTTAATGGGTATATTACCATTATAAATCTTATACATATGTCTAAATTTATCTTCATTTGCATCAGAAACTTTTGGGGTAATTAAAGATAAAGATCTACCAGTACATCTTAATTTTTTTAAATTTGAATTGATGGTAAAGTCATCAAATATAGTTTTGGTAAAACCAAGGGGTAGTGGGATTAAATTAAGATGGGAAGGTAATGATGATAAATCAGTTACGAAACAGACTTCATTAACGGGGAAATCAGTTAAACTTGATGTTAAAGTTGCTGTATCATTTACAACTTGAGTAGTATTACCATTATTATCTTCATCCATACGTTTAATTTTGGCATGATTAAGCATAAGTTCATTTAAATATTCTTGGAAACGTAACGGATAAAACTTTGATTGTTTCTTTAGTATAGTGAATCGAATAACAGGGATTTTAGATGATAAATTCCCGGTAAATGTAGCTATTAAAGTACCTATTTTTCGATCGTTGACCCATTGTTCTACCAAGTAAGTATCAAACCCACCTATTGTTGATTCTTCAATGATATGGAATTCACCTGATGAATCGAAATCCTTTTGAAAATATTCCACTGCCTTAATATCCGATATAATATAAGTAATAAATTCTTGTGGTTTTGCTATACTAACAGATTTTTTAGTGGAAGTTGAGGATATGGTACTCGACCTTCTAGTCGAGTTTGAATTAGGAACATCAGGATTCAATAGATGGGCACCAGGAGCTAGCAGTATAGATAAAGCTGCCATGTATGTACACGATTAGTAGTAAGGTGCGGTTTCCGTCAACTAATTAAAGACACGAGTGACTCACACAAATAAACTGATTAACCTTAACACAACTAAAGTTTGATTCGATTTTGAAAAGATTCCAGATTGCAAATTAGGATTCTGATTTGACTATGAAGATAGATAACTTGGTTTGGTTTGCAATAACTAATGATCTATTATTAATTGATTTTTTTGACATATTTCAGGTTTGTTACTCCGCCATTGCGTGGTAGAAATTTATTTACAGGTAAAAGTTCGTTAACTAGGGGACCCACACCACTGCATGCAGGAGAACACATATAATTGTGAGCTATAACCAAATAAGTAATAGCACCGAATAGTTGCAAAAATTAATGGTAATTTAATCATTTAATAAAACAAGATAAAGCATAATGATAAGAAATCACCGATTATGGACGAGTTTATTAATTATTGACAGATTAGAGAACAAACCCTAAAGTAATCGATGCCTAAATACAATCTCCACCTACTATATCAAATAAATAATATCCCCAATCAATCAGGTTGTTCTTTTTGATTAAACGATATCTTGCATAATGAGAAGAACTAATTGGAACAACGTTGGAAACTATTGGACTGGGCCATAAAGTCGGCCCGCCGATCAGCTACTTCCTCGGCTCAGATATAAGGATCAAGTAATTAATCAATCAGCTTATGAGAAAAAAAATAACTCTTCTTATCAATTAAATTATTTGCTTGAGGAGAAAATGTGGTAAATTTAGAACTGTTAGTTTGATCTTTTAATAGAAATATTTAACAGATAGAATAGAGGAGTCAGAATCTAAAAATATCCAAAAAATAATTTGAAATAGAAATTATAAAAAAAAATACAATATCAAATCGAAGAAAGCTTCTCGTAAAACGGCTTGCCTCCTTAACTTAACTAGACCTTAAACATCATAAATTATTTGACTCGAAGTCAGATCGTGATGGAGAATAAAGTTATAGCGCCGTAAACTATGTTTAATTTGGCACATTTTTGATTGTGATAGGTGATTTCGGTGAACCGGGCCTGATTGTCAATCCATTAATAACAGGTTTATGATTTTTGACGCGCAAAATTGTCTTTGGGGTGTGTAAGTTTTGATAAGAAAAATGGTGCATAATTAAAATTGAGCTTTCACAATATTTTTTTCAAACCTGTAATATCAGGATTCGGGGACTTTTTTCATTCCCATTAGCCCTTTCATGTTTAAATCGTTATAGATTCGATTGCCGTAATTGAATTCCTTTTAAGATTAACCAGTTGTAATTATATTTCTTTAATTTAACTTAAATTAGATATGCGTTGCAGATACAATTCCGTTGTAATAGACAGTCCTATTGAGGATAAGATAATCAATATGTGACTAGTGTTTTGTCAACCAACTTAAAACTTAAACGGCACAAGTGGTTAAAATTACTGTTGTCAGTTTAAATAAAATGGTGAATCCTTAGCTAAAGCCGTACAGATTAAGAGTCAAAAGATATTTTCTCTTCCCCCTTTTTCCTGACATGGTTATAATATTCACCTTACTTTAATCAGAACTGCATCCTTGTATTCATTTACTTTCTTATCTAAATAATATCCATAAGTCAACCTGTTAAGATCTTAATAATTCTCTCGATAGTCTCATAACTATAGCTCAATTTGATGTTTATGCTGATTTCTTTAATGCAAAGTAATTTTAAAGCGGAATTTTGCTCTTATCTTTTCTTTTTTTGAATTATTATTTTTTATCAGGAAAAGTTTTGCGTTATGAGCCTTACCTCACGACAGTTACAAAAAACTTCTCACAGTTACCGTTTTGCATTGCTTGATTGTTCGCTTGATTATGGGGGATTGATAAATTGCTAACACGACTTCGACTGCAAGATCTTTGATGCTTAATTTCTATTGAAGTAATAAATAATGATGTAAAAATTGTATTTAAATAACTTGCGATATCCCTACTTCTTCTTCTTCTTATTGTTCGTTTATTAATCAAAGTTTATTAGTTTCCCTATTAAGTAGAATTCAAGTTAAGGATGAGTGAAGTAGAAACTAAGAAGCAACAAGGTATTATTCTTGAAGAAGAAGAAATTAACCAAGATTCTTCAAGTTCTCTTGAAAATAACCAAGGTGGAGAGGTATCATTATGGAGAAGATTCCTTAATATTGTCGAACTTGAAGAACCAAAAGGTTTAACTGCCTCACAAATGTTTTTATATAATTATGATTTAAGGCCAGTTGAAACTGCAAGAAGACAATGGTCATGGTATAATTATGTTTTCTTTTGGGTTGCTGATTCTTTTAATATTAATACTTGGCAAATTGCAGCCACTGGTATTCAACAAGGTGGTATGAATTGGTGGCAAACTTGGCTTTCAGTTTGGGTCGGTTATGCATTATGTGGTATATTTGTTAGTATCGGTGCTAGAACTGGTATAATGTATCATATTTCTTTCCCTATTGTTACAAGATCCTCATTTGGATTATTTGGTTCTCTTTGGCCCATTTTTAATCGTGTGTTTATGTCAGCAGTATGGTATGGGGTTCAAACTTCAGTAGCTGCTCCTTGTGTGTCAGTAATGTTAAGAAGTATTTTCGGAAAGAATTTAGATGTAACTATGCCAAATCATATTTCTGATCCTACTATTACAACCTTTGGATTCTTAAGTTTATTCTTATTTTGGTTGTTTTCATTACCATTCCTTTGGTTCCCACCTCATAAAATCAGACATTTATTCACCTTTAAAGCTTATGTTACTCCTGTAGCTGGTATTGGATTTTTAGTTTGGGCTTTAGTTAAGGCTGGTGGTGTTGGCCCTGTGATCCATCAAAAGTCTACGGTAGAAGGAAATGAATTAGCTTGGGCATTTATTGAATCAACCATGAATTCTTTAGCTAATTTTGCTACTTTAATTGTTAATGCTCCAGATTATGCTCGTTTCTCAAACACTGGTTCATTCGGAATGAAATATTTAGTTTATACTCTCTCCATTCCATTTTGTTTTTCATTAACTTCATTAATTGGTATTTTAGTGACTTCTGCTGCTCAAGTCATCTACGATGAAGCTTATTGGTCACCATTAGATGTGTTAGGTAGATTCTTAGATGATTATACTTCAGGTAATAGAGCCGGTGTATTCTTTATCGGTTTAGCATTTGCTATTGCTCAATTAGGTACAAATATTTCTGCTAATTCTTTGTCATTCGGTACTGATGTTTCAGCTTTATTACCAAGATTCTTAAATATTAGAAGAGGTTCTTATATTTGTGCTGCTTTAGCATTATGTATTTGTCCTTGGAGATTAACTACATCATCATCAAAATTCACTACTTATTTATCGGCTTATTCAGTTTTCCTTTCTTCAATTGCTGGTGTTATTGCTTGCGATTACTTCTATATTAGAAGAGGTTATCTTAAATTGACTCACTTATATTCATTATTCAGACCAGAAGACCCTTCACAAGATTCACTTTACAGATACAATAAATTGGGAATTAATTGGAGAGCATATGTGGCTTACATTGCTGGTATTTTACCTAACATTGTCGGATTTGTGGGTGCCACAGGAACTCATAATGTTTCATTAGGAGCTACTGAAATTTATAGATTAAATTTCTTTATGGGATTCTTTTCAGCGTGGATTGTTTACGCAGTTTTGAATTATATAAGTCCTGTTGAAACAGGTATGCCAGCTTTGAAACCATTTGAAAAAGGATGGTATGAAGAATTGCAAGACGTTGATGATTTTGAAGCTGAATTACAAGGTCAAGTGGTGCATGGTATTGACAGTGATAATTATGAAGCTCATTCAACTGGATTTGAAGATAAGAAATCATTCGTATGAGTTTAAATTGAGATTAAGTTTGTTTTTCTGTTTGTTTGTTATGCTTGTTTTTAGTTTATTTTAATTCGACCTTTACTTCTTTTATAGTTATATTGTTTTCAAATTCCTTTCCATTTTATCTGGTTACAAATATATATTGGTTTATTCTTATAAGTGATAAAATTTGTAAATTCCTCAGTATTAAATTTCTCTCTCCACAGTTTTTTTTGCAGCACTTTAGGGAGAAGACGGAAAAAGAAAAATTTAAACGGTTCTTCACTGGACCGTTAGAACAAATAAAAAAAGAAAGAAAAAAAAATAGCAATAACAGAAGAGTAGAGTAGAATCAATCGAAATCGATGATATGATTTTGACAAAGATAAAGATACGAAATGTATCACATATCCCACTTTATCAGATCAGATTGTTAAGTCAATCATCAATATTATTTCAATACCAATTACCATCAGATTATAAACCCCAGAAGAAACAAATCAAATCAATTTCATTAAAGCGAGGATGGAGAATTTGGAAACAATCATTGAAAGCTGATAGATTGCAACAATTACAAGATGAATTGGTGGATTTGATGATCAATAAGAATGATCCTTTGAATGCCAATATTAAACGAGAAAATGCTGTCGTGAAACTCAACAATGAAGGTCAAGATCATATTAATGAGATTAATTTTGAAATCATTAATCATGAATCATACCCTATGAAACATATTGTATTCATTCATGGATATGGAGCATCACTTGGATGTTTTGCTCGGAATTTCCAATTGATTAATAAATTCCAAAACAAGTCCAAATATAATTATAAAGTTCATTTCTTAGATAATATAACGTTTGGATTATCATCAAATCCTCAGATAAAATCAACTAAAGTCAAAGGTATCAATAATTGGATAATTCCAAAATGTCCTGACATAAAGGTAAAACAAGGAGAGGATGAGAAATTGTATCACAAGTATTATAAGTTGGTTGAACAATATAAAATCAATGGTCCTGAGTTTGAAAATTATCAAACCACATTTAAACCCATTTTATCAGAATTAGAAGATTTCTATACTTCAGCCATTGATAATTGGAGAATTAGTCAAGGGATCGATCAAATTGATTATCTTGTGGGTCATTCATTTGGAGGATATTGGTCTGGATCATATTCCTTAAGATATCCGACTAAATTAAAGAATTTGATATTGTTATCCCCAGTCGGAGTTGAAAGACATGTTCATGCCGTTACTAATGATTTGATTGATTCAAATCAACCTGAACAAACTTTCAAACCTACTATTAATCCTGTATCATATAATTTCTTAACTCGATTACCGATTTTATCAGCTAAACATACATTTGAATGGTATTATAAAACGCCATTTTTACCAAGAGTATTAAAATATTTGGGACCAATTGGAGTTCAAATTTATTTTCAAATGTGGTTAAGTAAATTATTTAAGATTAATAAAATTATTAATAAATTTGGTGGACCTGAAAAATTATTTTCCAATAATAATGATTTAGTATATGGACGTAAGAAAGAATGTTTTTTAATTATAGAATATCTTTATAATTCAATTACTAGAGGGTCAAATAGTGATATTTATATTAAGAATCTTTTAACTCCAGCAACGGTTAGTAAGTATCCATTATATGATAAGTTTGAAAATTTCCTTATTAAAGATGGTAAACAATTTGATTTTAATGTTAGTATTGTATATGGCCAATATGATTTTATGAATAGTGAAGCAGGTCAGAAATTAGTGGAGATGATAAGATATGAGAATGGAGAGAAAAGTGATGTCAAATTCTTTAAGATTGCCGAAGGAGGTCATAATTTATATATAGATAATCCGTTTGACACCAATCAGTTGATCCATGATATAGTAGAAGGAGAAACGGAAATCCATGAAAGGGTGTCCGAAGTGTATAGACGCTAGGATTTTTGGTAATTATTTATTTTATTTTATTTTATTTATTTTAGAGACTGAATATAGAACACGTATAGAATACCGATAACAATAAGATTGTGTAGTACTGGTTTCATAGAATACGAAAAGATAAGTACTACCTTCCAAAAATCTCGTACGTAATTTGCAGCCTTAAGGCGCCGTCGCCCAAAATTATTTTCTTAAATTTGTTGGCGCTTGACGCCTCGAGACAAAAAAAAAATACTGAAGAAAAAAAAAATCAAGATAACCATTTTTTATAAAAAGTCTTACCATCCCAAGATTGACTTTATGTAAAGTATAAATAAGAGAGATTTGCACAGGCTGAAAGAGAACAGGGTGGAAGGAAGGCGAACAATAACGAGATCAATGTAGAATCTTTCCCACAATAAACAAACATCATAAAATTTGATGTCTATCCGTTGTATAGAAGAAAAAAAGACATAACAGCAAACATTACGCCTTGAAATATCTTATGAACAGAAATGAAATAAGCAAGCTATCATTGTCATAATAATAATATTAATAATAATAACTAAAACACACGCTTAAAGGGCCCAATCCAAAACATTGCATTGCTGAAATGTAAGTAATATAGTGAAAAATAATAATGAATTTTGCCTAATTGAGTTAAATTGACAAACAGGTTAATTAATTAATTAGTGGGGCCGCTCTAACCAACAATGAGAATTGAAAAATTAATATTACCACATATCTTTATACAAACAAACAAACTCAAACCCTTGTAGAATATTGATCGAAAGGTTTACATACCACATAGCATACAGGTATAGCTAAAATAAAAGGAGGTAATTTTTAACCTATTAATCAAGATTTTCCATTGTTTTAATGAAATGGCTCGTTGATTTACAAGACTATGACACTTACACAAAATAAACCTTAACACAATGGAGGCATAAGATTACAGGGGAATAACTTGAATTTTTACTAAATTAGTTAAAATTATTTTAAATATTCAAAGTAACATATACTAACCTTGACACATAAAACCAAAGAAATAAACTTTTATTATGGTTGGAATTTTAGGGACACAAGAAAACATATACCGGTATTTTGGGGGGTTGAGGAGCATTGTAGTGGGTTGAATCTTAGAAATGGGTTGATATCATTTGCTTGGAAACGATTCCTAATCCTCCATAAGCACTGATAAGCCTGCATTCAAGAAAAAGGTTTGTACCCTTAAATTGTACATAAATCAAATTAATTAATCCAACTAACAATAAGATGCAATTCATGTCAATGTCTACAATAATATATATATATATAGGTTCAGATCAACAAATTGTTTGAAATTGAAATTCAATATAACATTCCATACTTCTTCTTCTTCTTGTTGTTGTTGTTCTTATTCGTCAACTACTTCTACACAACAACATATTTGATTCTTCCTATTATATCAATTGACAATCGATCCGTTAGCCGTTAAGAAAATTTTCAATAAGGCTCTTTTCAATTTATCGTCAAATTAATTTCACAAAAGAAATTTTTTATTTTTTGAAATTAAAAATTTTTTTTTTTTTGATTTAATTTTTTTAATTATTTTCTTTTAGCCAAACTGGTGAAGAACGTATTTATTTATTTATTTATAATAAGACTTGTTTCTTCTTCCTGTTTTTGTTCATTCCAGTGGTGTTTAGTTCAATCAGTTCATTCATTCATCATCTCAGAACCAATCATCGTCCAATCGAGTTCATCGTTGACGTGAGACCCCTTTATCTCCCCTATCATCTTCATTTCCTAATCAGTGACAAGAAAAAATCGCTAGCATTGCATTCTTACTACACAAAATTAATATACGCAAACCAACAGAAAGTATAAATAGTTTGACAACATACACATAGTCCGTATCTCAAACCTAATCAAGTCATAGCATCATCTCCACAGTATGACCATGAGTTCTGATAAAGTGCCATCCACTTCATCTCATGATTTGGAAGATGGTACCCTGCTGATCCATCCATCAATTGGTACCGGGATCAGTTCTCAAAGATCTGGATCTGGGTCCGAATCAGGTTCAGAATATTCAGTTTATTCTGATGAAGAATCAGTAAGAGATTATCGTCCATCTACTTTAATTCATAATTTCGTGGAATCTTTCAAACCATTTGATTATTCCATCTTACCTCCTATTTATAATATCGAATCTCAACAACAAGAAGAATCTAATAATTTAGTCAATACATCTAGTTTTGTATCTCATAAATCAACCAATTTACATCCTTATAATCCTCAATTTGATTTCTCCCATTTCACAGAATTAGAAAGAGCCGCTTTAGTCACAGCCACTAGTCCTTTATCAAAACATCTTAAAACAAGACATTTAAGTTTGATTTCTTTAGGGGCCGCCATTGGGTCCGGGTTATTCATTGCTTCAGCTCAATCATTAAGTCATGCTGGTCCATTGGGTTTATTATTAATCTGGTTTATAGTGGGTGGTATCACTTTCATGACCATGTCAAGTTTATCGGAATTAGCCACCGCATTCCCAGTATCAGGAGCATTTGTTACTTTCACCACTTTATTCGTTGATTCATCTTTAGGTTTCGCCATTGCTTGGAATTATGCCTTACAATGGTTAGTCACCTTACCATTAGAATTAGTTGCAGCATCAATGTGTATTCAATATTGGGATGATTCTATAAATCCTTGTGTTTGGGTTACTATTTTCTATTTTGTTATTGTTGTGATTAATCTTTTCGGTGTAAGAGGTTATGGTGAAGCAGAATCATTTTTCAGTCTTGTTAAAATCGTGGCTGTTATTGGATTTAATATCTTATCTATCATCATTGTCGCTGGTGGTGTTCCAGGTCAACCATATATTGGAGGAAAATATTGGCATAAACCAGAAGGTGGATTATTCAATACTGTTGAACCATTCAAACAATGTTGTTATATCATTGCCAATGCATCATTTGCTTATGCTGGTACTGAAATTTTTGCTCTTGCTGCTGTAGAATCAAAATCTCCTAGAAAATCAATTAATAGAGCAAGATTACAAATTTTCTATCGTATTCTTATCTTTTATTTTGTATCGATTGTTATGATTGGTTTATTAGTTCCATATACTTCGGCAGCATTAATTGGAGACAATTCCAAAGCTAATAATATTGGGGTTGATATTAATACTTCTCCATTTGTGATTGCTATTAGAAATGCTGAAATTAAAGTGTTGCCATCAATTATGAATGCTGTTATTATTATTACTGTATTTTCAGTTGGTAATGCTTCAGTTTATGGATCATCAAGAACCATGTGTGCCTTAGGTGCTTTAAGACAAGGACCTCCAATGTTAAATTATATTGATAGAATGGGTAGACCGATTGTCGCCTTAGGAGTTCAATTTTTATTTGGATTATTGGCTTATCTTGTTGCTTTACCAGGTGCAAGCGCCACTATGGATGTTTTCACTTGGTTATTATCATTAAGTGGATTAAGTGTTCTTTTCACTTATTTAGCTATTAATATTTGTCATTTAAGATTCAGAGCTGCTTTAAATTATCAAGCTCGTATTCCTCAAGATGAATTAGTTTATACTTCAAGTCCTATATTTTCTTGGATTTCAATTGTGGGAATCATAACTTTATTAGGATTACAATTTTGGGCTGCCCTTTTCCCACCAGGTGAACATGGAGCTGATGCAAAGACATTTTTCACGTTTTATTTGAATTTACCAATGTTGGTATTCTGTTATATCCTGCATAAGCTTTATAATTGGTGGTTTAAAGGTATCCCATTAACTAAATTTTATTTAACTGCCAAAGAAATTGATATTGATACAGGTAGAAGAGATATTAATTTAGAGATTTTAAAACAAGAAATCGCTGAAGAAAGATTCAACATGAAATCTAAACCATTATATTATAGAATCTATAAAATCTTCTGTTAGTACCAAAAACCACCTTTTCATTCATTAATTCATTTATTCTTTTCATATTACTTTCTTTCTTTATTTCTAGACGTTATTTTCATTCTTTTCTTTTTTATAATTCATTTTGGGGAAGTTTAACTTTTATTTTATAGGCATTTGTATTAATAAAACAATCTATTCTACATAATCAAGATTAAATCAGTCCGTAGTAGTAAAGAAGATATAAAATGTGGAGTTCAAAAGTTAATCTCTAGCGCAAAACTTGACACAAAATCAGCGAGATCTGGGAAAAACTGTCAAAAATGTCCTCGACTTAAAAAAAAAGTGGGTTGATGTTTTTTATGATCATTGAAATTGAATAATTCGTACAACTACACGATACATGACATGATAACTGTTGAATATTTCCGATATTGCTAATATATGAGTCACATTCCCTCATCTATAAACTACCATCATATAGAAATGTATCTTATATGAAAGATCAGTACAACAGAGAGTATTTAATGATGAAAGACGATAGATATTACTAATAGAAAAGATCTAAATGATTGACAGTGATTAAAGTTTCGGAATTGGGCATTTATAGAGCGAAGATAGTCTCCACTCCGAATGTTTTGAACCGATATTTTGGATTCGGAAATGTATACCTAATTTAGATCTATTTAAAAATATGAAGTGGTATTTATTTATTTTTAGTCACAAAGATAGACGAGAGAGAGATAAACAGAGCCATTCGCTTTAAAATATTTATCATATAGGAGCCTCCCCTCAATATTTTGTTTCAGAATAGATTCACAACTGAGATATTTATTTTATCATAGATAAGGAAATACTATTGTATACATGCTTTATAGTACGTTGGTTTAGTTGCTAGCAAAGCAAATGAAATATTCAATATAAACAAATATAGCGCTATTGAGCGTTTAAAATAACTCAATTACCAAATTAGGCCAACTTGCGCGTTTTAGCTGGCTTGAATCCACCACACATTTTTTTCACAGCCAACTTGAGTGAATTTTTTTTTGAGTAGAACCATATCTACATATTTGAAATCATACGTCAACAGGCTCAGGTTAGAGTTAAACAGTTAATTGTTAGATAGTTTGATATGATATCATAAGTTTTCAAAGTTTTGGGCTTAGTTGAGTTATTATTCAAACTACACTATTATTACAACTTGAGGTATTTTGTAATCTATGAAATATGCATTTCTTTTTAAAATTTATAATAATCTATATAGTAAAACAGAAAAAGTTATAGCAAAGTAAAGTATAAAACTTGAACATCCGAAAAAAAGCAACCCTAAACACCTGAAGAAAACCCTCCACCCAATAATAAATAAATAATAATGATCATTAACTTGAACCGTAATTCGATTCTTTGTTAAAAGTCCTGCTTTTAACATGGTATAATTTTTATAGCAGTTACAGTAATCTTTAATTTGGGGAGATACTGAATAACCATTTTCTATAATTTGATTGAATTAATTCATTATTATAATTTATGGAATCTTCTTGTTGAGGATAATTGGATGATTCATTAGTAGCTTCGACGCATTTATGATGCACTTCAGATGTTTTCATCTTGCAGATACAACATTCATATAACCAACCGCTTTGACCACTAGTTCTAATAGTTGAATTAAATTCTTCATCAGAATCTTCTTCAGCGTAATAATTATAATACTGTGGTTGATGATGATAATTGCTATTAATGTATTTATATGGGGCTAATAATGGAGAGTCTGGAATTGAAGTCAGTATACTACTGATATCTTCATCTTCATCGTTTATATTGAATTCAAAGATATCATTATCATTGTAGGTTGAATCGTCGTAACTTTCATTACCTGAAAATACGGAATCATAAACTGTGGTTCCACTAGTAAAAGTTGACATTTTTGTATGTGTATGTATATATATGTATTTATTTCTTGTATAGTTTTATTGTTGTTTGTGGTATTATTGTATAACTTATGACTTAAGTTAGATAAGTAAAACTTGTTTAGTATGAGTTGATAGGATCTAAAAGGAAATCAAATAAAATGAAAAATGATAAAATCTGAAATAACCACCTTTATTTATATATTTAAAATTTTGCAATTGTGTAACTTAGTCATAACCATAAAAAAAAGTGACTCTAACAGTTGTGGTGGATGCATTTTTTTCTTTTTTTCCATTCTGTGGTGGTGGTGGTGGTGGTGCGTCGTAGCGGTGTAGCGGTGGTGGTGGTTCCTTCCTTTCCTCCCAGTGGTTACAGTCGCAGTATGTCGCTATTTCAAAAAAGTATTATTTTCTCGGTAGATGTGGCAACTCTACAATAAAAAAATGACAACAGAAAATTACTCGAACGCACGTGACTTCTCCATACTTCGGAATTTGAAGTTTATGTCATGTCATATTTCTACCATATACAAGGCTTTAGTCTAGTCATCGCCATTTAACACAGTTTGAAGCTTCCATCATAAGCGATTTGTTGATTTCAAAGTCCTGTAGTGCATTTTAAAAAAATATGTGGAGAACGATTGAATTATTTAAACCCGGTAACCCATTTTCCAAATCCAATTCCCATCTCGATCTTGCCTTTTCACGTTTTTTTTAGATTTTACAACCAATGTATATCTATTTACTACATTTATCTTTTCCGTTTCGTCTTCTACATTTTTGTTCATTATTGCTTGCTTTCATCATTTTACTCTTTTTACTTTTATAATCCACAGTCGTATTTGCAACAATCATTTACCTGACTTTTGTTGGTCTGCTAATGGTCATTTTATTGTTACATTCTGACTCATAGTAATAATATGCTCATTATTACATCTTTTAAGTGCATATCATTTATATTAGTAGTTATTACTATAATATGTTAGGGTTTATCTTTGTAACACGGTATCTGACTCATTATAGTAGTTACGTAACTACTATAGTATTTCGGAATTGCATGACCGAGAAAAGTGGTTACACGTGATCAAAATTCATTGAATCTAAATGTTACCACTATCGTTTAAATAATGGTTGCTGGGGATTTTGCAAAAATCTTGAATAAGAAGTAACGACTGCAACAAGCTCATCTTAACTTAATTACAAATCAAACCTTTATTTCATTGTCAAAACTCAAATGGTTATTAATGTTTACTTTTCGAAAATAATTGGAGACAATATAAGTTTAGAAATTAGAGAGTTTCGACTGAGTAGTTATCTGTTTTCGTTTTGGTGATCATACTTCTTCATTCGGACACTTTTTGAAGCACTCATTTAGATGTTGAGTTAATTGTCTTAACTACATTTGATTAAAGTTCTTCTAGTTTTAATTTACAACTTTGAATTGTGAGCGCAATATCGTTTATTTTTTTTTTGAGTGTGAACATTTGATCTGTCAAAACCACAATTACAGACAAGAAATATATATGTGTCATAGATTTAGAATCATCCATCTTTGTCACAATCTTATAAGATCACATACACATATACTATACATTCATATCTCTCATGACAATATATTCGTTCCACATCTTTGATAGACATTGCAATTGTATTTACAATCGAGAGTATTCTCATTCATCATCAGATAACAACAACAATAGTACCACGGTAGGAATAGTGAATAAGAACAATGATTCAAATGGATCCAAGTTATTATTCGGTATCTTATACTCACTTAAATCAATGTCATCCAAATTAATCGATGAAGAAACATCTCCTATTCCAAATGCATTGAAATCATTCACATTAGGAAAATTCAGAATTCATTATTTCGAGTCTCTCACAAATCTAAAATTTATCCTTATCACAGATATCAATATAGATAATTTACAGCATATACTTTGGGAATTATATTCCAATTATTACATTAAGAATTGTATTCAAAACTCTTTAAGTCCTATTGAATTCAAAATCCTGGATGATTTAAAAGAAAATGAATTGACGGGTAAAATCAATAATCATAATTTCATACATCAAACAGATCAATTCCTACAATCTTTAAGTGTATTTAATTAGGATAGCATAGAAAAGCATAGCCGCATACACAGTCACCCATCGTCATATAGTTATAATTGTCATAGTCATTTGTAATATACATTATTTTTAGATATAGTATCACATTTGTAAACGATACAAAGAGAAAAGCTAACCGGAGCACCGGTTTCAATAACGGAAGTATGGATGTTTCTAGAATGCGTGGATTTTTACCCTTTCAGTTAACGGGACGCCGTGTCAGAACCGCAAAAAGCAAAACATCCAAACATTTTTTGGCCGAACCATTATCAAAATTTGCAATAAGATTGTGATGATATAAACCTTATATAAATAACAGCAAAGTACCTAATGTAAATTGTTGTTATATTTTTTATTTGTTATTTACTTTCATTTAATCTCTATTTATTTCCATTTCATACTTATTTTAATTTAAATTTTCACATATTCACAAACAAAATGGATCCACGTCCCAAAATTTTCAAATCATTACTTCATGAAATTTCACTAGTACTGCTTGTATGTCTTGCTCAATTTTTAACCCAGGGTGGTATAACCATGTGTTTAAGTACCATGAATATAATCATAGATACATTCGAAACAGATGAACCTTCACTAAAGGTTTGGTTCATGAGTTCATTTGCATTAACTATAGGTACTTTTATATTGATCAGTGGGAAATTAGGTGATTTGATAGGATTCAAAACCATGTTCATAACAGGATGGATATGGACATGTATTTGGTCTTTAATTACTGGATTATCTATATTCACCAAGTCAATAGTTTTCTTCATTGTATGTCGTGCTTTCCAAGGTATTGGGTTTGCCATGTTATTACCTTGTGGTATTGGTATCTTGGGAAATATTTATCCTCAAAATAATTCAAGAAAGAATTTAATGTTTGGTTTAGTTGGTGCTAATGGTCCTAGTGGTGCCATGATAGGTGCTTTAATTGGAGCTGCTATAGCTCAAACTTGGTGGTGGCCTTGGTTATTCTGGTTATTGAGCATCTTCTGTGCCATATTGGGAGTTTGTCTGATCTTTGTTATCCCAAACAATATTAATTCAGAAACGTATACTGTTAAACAAATTATTGAGAAATTTGATTTCTTAGGCTCTTTCATTGGTATAACTGGATTAATCTTATTAAATTTTGTTTTAATCCAAGGTCCAATAACTGGCTGGTCATCAATTTATATTATTGTTTTACTAGTCTTGAGTATTTTTTTAATAATAGCCTTTTTCATTCTTGAATTGAACTTCATAAAATATCCATTATTACCAAGATCAATATTTACTATCAAAATTGGGTTAATCTTATCATGCATTTCATTCGGTTGGGGTTCATTTGGGGTCTGGCAATACTATTACTGGAGTATAATTCTTAATTTCAGAAATTATACTCCAATAGAAGGAAGTTTAACTTATACTCCATTCTTAGTATTTGGAATATTAGCTTCAATGATAGTATCCATTATAATTTCAAGAATCAGACCCTCATTAATCATATCATTCGCTTCAATTTGTTTTATGGTAGGTTGTGCAATGTTATCAATCATGCCAATCCATCAATCATACTTTGGAATTGCCATGGGTCAAATGTTTATTTTATGTTGGGCCATGGATATGAGTTTCCCTGCTGCTTCTATTATTTTATCAGATTATTTACCTATAAAACATCAAGGTATGGCAGGGTCATTAGTAACAACTGTGATAAATTATTCCGTTTCATTATACTTGGGATTTTCCAATACGGTTCAAATAGAAGTATTGAATAAAAATGGTAATGATGTGATTGATAGTTATAGAAAAGCTATATATTTCGGTATTGGAGTTGCTGGATTAGGTGTATTACTGTCATTTGTTTTGGTTTATTTACAGAAAAATGATGATGTTGGAACTCTTACACAGAAAGATGTCGAATTAGAGATATATAGTACTGTTTCAAATGAAAAAGATAAAGAGTAATCAAACACATAGCATAATTTATAGATTTTAATAGACACTTCATTTTTTAATTTTGCAATCTCTTTATATTTTGTGTGCAGGTCTGATGTTTTGATAATTTTCAAATTTGATTTGTTTACAAAACCAACTTAACAAAAATTACCAGCAGTAACATCAATCAATTGGTGTCCATACAAGTATCTAGTTGAGATATTATATCACGAAGAGGTCATTCAGATTGTCAGAATTAAGGAAAGATTGCTATAAGGATTTCAAATTTTGTTGTTTTCATTTTTTTTGCTCAAGTTTCAACATTGTTTCACCATCATGAATAGTCCTCGTCATGAAGATGATTCCTTATTTATACCCAAAAAAAGAATATTGGGAGCTTCCCAGATAAACAATCGAATAAAGAAATTAAAGCCTTCTGAATCATTAGAATTCGATATGGTAAGAATACCTAGTGGTAATGAATCCATGTCTCATCCTCCAAGTAGAATACCATCTCTAAATGGTTCTAACAACGATGATCAAAATATTCAACTAGACCATAGGTTAAGCAATATTCCAAAACCTAAGCTTCCTATAAAAGCAATCACCAGTGAAGTTAGATCATCACCATCATACAACTTAGGTTCCATACAGACTCTTCTAAATAAAAGAGGACCAGTTTTAAAACCAACATCATATCATAGTAATAAATCTAATAATCATACCAATCTTATCCTTAATCCAATTTTCAACATTGAATATTATAATGATCAAGAACATCAGTTAGAACAACAACTTAATTCGAAGCTTGAAGAATTTAGAAGAATAGATAATGAAGTTAGTGAATTAAGACGAGAAAATCATAAATTTAAAAAGAGATTTGAAGAATTGACTACTAAATTAATGGAAAAGAGTAGGCGGTTGATCAATTTGGAAGAGAGTATTACATCCAATGTTTCTAATCAAGAGAAATTGGTCAATATTGATATTCAAGGATTTCAAAGTAAATTAAACAATGAATTGAATGAAATTGAGTTTAGTTTAAAGAATGAATTGAAACAAAGTTATTTATTTAAAGATGAAGAGATTGAACAGAAAATTCTTGAGTTAGAAGAGCAAGTAGAAGAAGGAGAGAAAGAATTGGGCGATTTGAAATCATCCAAGTTGAATTTAATTACTCAAGAGTCTGAGCAATTAGAAAATGAATTATCTTTAACTCTTACAACAAAGCAAACAGAATTGGATGAATTATTAAAAAAAGTCACATCGATCAATGAAGAAGTAGCTGTCTTAGATGAACAACTATCAAATATCAAACAACGTATAATATTAAGTAATGATGAGAATATCAAACTTGAACAAAACATAGTGAAGATAGAATCAAATATGAATAATTTCAATGATACAAAACGAGAACTATTAAGACAGATCAGTACATTAGATCAAGAACTTTCAGAAATCAAACAACAAGATGCAACTTGGGAATCTACTTTAAAGAATTCCTCTAAAGAATTTGAAATGTATAATCAAAAATTTATTAAATTTGAAAACCAAAGAAGAATCATGGAAAATTCAATCATGAATTATGAGAATAAACTCAGAGTGTATATCAAGACATCCATACCGGCTCAATCTGATAACAGTTTAAGCTTTAATAACAAACAATACCAATTCAATAAGTTATTTACCGCAAATGAATCTACTAAAAGCATAATGGATGAATGTGCTTTATTCATACAATCCAGCTTAAAACCATCCACCATCAATCTCTGCACAATATTAAGTGGGAATAACGATGAACAATTTGTATCTGCAGCTATTTCACATTCATATCAAAATTTATTAAGCACATTCAAAATGCAACCACCATCTTCTCACGTCAGTTTCAGTTTTAAAAGCATAGGGATTAAACATCATCAGATATTTGATTTACTAAACTCTGATGTTGAACTCAGCCAAGAAGATATTGATACTTCCTCATGGGGATTCCCCTTAGTTCCTTCTCAACCAATGATACTCGATCCTAACGATGAAGATTCCAAGAGACAATTTGATCAAATCATGAATCTGATAATCCATACTGCAGAAGAAATGATTCAAGTTCATGTCATAACTATCAATACCAATCATGCGAATTTAATAATCGAGAATAATTTAATCTTTGTTGATATAACGAAATTAAATGATGATGAACAATTCAAACTGATGAATAAATTCACAATACTGAATTTCACTAGTAATTTCCATGATAAAGTGTTTCAATATGTTCGTAATCAATGTACTAGTCTATGCATCTCCAATCTAGTTGAGAATGATGATGAACAATTATCGCAATGGTTGAATACTTTACAAACTTTGAATAAACTTGATCAACCTAAGAAATAGAAATTTAAAATTTATGTCATCATTTATATTTGTACGGGGATGGGGTATATGTAATATATATATAAAATTATGTAAGATAATACAGCATTAAAATAATAAATAGAGAGACCTATTTATGATCAGTAAAGATGGCATTGTAGTAGTACTGATAACGAAGACGAAAACGCAAGCGTGAACGAAACCTTGAAAATTGAAAAAATAGCAGTAATAAAAACAAAAAAAATAGATTTTTTTTAAAGAATTGAATAATATTATTACATTGATGTAATAAGATCATGTAAAACCCATTTTAATTCATCGGAAGTACCGATATGAGCATCGAATCTAGGTAAAGTAGAAGCAACAGCTTGAACAGGTGGTGAGTTTGCATTGACATTATTATTAGTGTTTGGACTTGTTGCACTTGTAGTTGTGTTACTAGCATTACTCTTTATAGATGGATCTGATGCGTCTTCCTTTTTAACATCATCATTTTCTTTAGTTGAATCATCTTTAGCTTTATCACCACCAGTTGAAGGTACCGAATTTGAATTTTCAGTTTTGATTCCATCAGGTTTAGAAGTTCCATTAGCGATATTTACTGACGATGAAGCAGCGGCGGCGGCGGCGGCAGCGGCAGCAGCCTTAGCAGCAGTACTTGATGCCACTGGTACTGTATCAAGGAATGAACGAGGAGGTAATTCATAATCCAAAGAATTGGCATTAACCATATCATCATTTTCAAGCATTACATTTGATAAACGAAGTTTTGGACCATTTGGTTCTATCAAATGAGGAAACATTTCAAGGGTATCATATAAATTCTCAATATTTAACGTAATATCCTTTGATGAAGATGATTTAGTTGAAGAACTGGAAGCAACAACAGATGAGGATGATAAAGATGATGCAGTTGGACCATCTAATTCGTCGATTTTTCTCTTTTTCGATTCCAAACCTTCTTTTGCTTCATTAAGAGAATTATTAATCTCAATAATATAATCATTACTAGTATATTTTGTTTTTCTATATTTTGCCACATCAATGGCACTTTCAAGAATATTTTTAAGATGAGAATTTAATCCTAACATTAAAACTTCCAAAACTTGAGGATTAATCCCACCGGTTAAACCATATTCTCTCATAGTCATAAGAATTCTCTTTGATAAATTATCTAAATCAGGTAATTCATAATTTTCCAGAGCAATGGGAGTATTTATTCCATTTACCACATCTTGTTGCCATTGAACTAAATTATTCACTTGTAATTGTTGTTCATCTTTATCTTGAATCATAGGGATTTTAGGTAATAAGGAATGTCTGGTTAAAGTTATACCGGCAGTAATTTTCCCCTTTTTACCACCATCTCTAGTTATACTTTTAATTCTTCTTCTTTCTCGAATTGGTAAACTCATAATATTTGATTTTACTTTTTCATATTGAGATGATTTTACTTTTGATGATTTTGCTGATTTTTTATTCCAGAATGAAGCAAATTCATTATGAAAATCCAATTGACCATCTTTTAAAGAATTTGCAAAATTTAATAATAATAATTTATTATGATATTTAATTAATCCACCATCTTTTAATAAAGGAGTTATAATGGTTACTAATTCAACTCTGGATAGTTTCCCAATTAAGAAAAGAGCCAAAGTTTCATGATATTTTTCCCAATCATTACCTAATTTATTTTGGAATTCTCGAATCAATTTTTCTAATTCCAGTCGTTTATTAGTTCTTAAACTTCTTGATTGTGGAGGTGGAGGTGGTTGAAGGGATGCATTGTTATTGTTGGTAGTTGGGGATGCTATATGAGATGGATCATTATGATCATTATGATTATGATTAATATTATTATTATTATTAGAATTAAGATTATTTAACTTTTTAAGATTAGTAGTGGAAGCAGTTTCATTCAAAGGAGATGAAGTGAGGGGTTGAGAAGTTGGATACGACGTCGTCGTCTGAGATGTCATAAGTGTCAGATTTGAAAGAATTCTCTCTATAAGTATAAGGATGAACCAGAAATTAGCAGTCTAATTTTGCAATTGTTTTGAAAATGAGAAAATGGTTGGGGACAGAAAAAGTCAGTGAGCAGTAAAAGGCTATCAAGGGTAGCTGAATTTAGCAGGGAGAAAACAGGGGGAAAAACAGGCAATCACGTTGTAATTGCACGATATATGGGTATTTTGATGGTCTATGAATCTATAGGGATGATCTGATTGATTGATCGATGATTATTGAGATGGATGGAATCAATTGAAATTGAATTAATTTAAGTATAATATTTTAACCCTGAACTTTTTGTTTTCTGTTTCCATTTATTTTTTTTTCGTTGTCAGATTTTTAATAGTAAGTCAGGAGTGCATATAGTATGATTAGAAGAGACATTTAATTTGGTGATTCTCCAAAATGTCTCATTCCCGATCAACGACATTACATGACAAATGATTAGACATCAAAACGGCAGTTATAAGTTGAGTTAAACAAGAGTTAAGTTGATTAAAATGGTCATGAAAGGAAGGAGATAAATGACATTCATCCTTACGTCCATTAATTTATTTTATTTTATTTTATGTTATGTTATGACAAATTGAATAAAAGTCGACTTAAGATATGGCTCAGATATCCATGACAGTCCGACAAGTGGCGATTATTTTTAATCATATCTAACAAAGTATTTCTATTATTCTATTATAATTGAACTCTATAAAAAAGAAATTATTCAACTTGGAGAGGGATGATTAATTCGGATATGGCTGGGAGACAGCCGTATCTCCACCCCAATCCAAATTCGTAAACAAAAGGAAAAGTCAAAATAGCAAAGTGATCATAATCAATCGTAACGAGACTCCGCTTTTTTAGATAGAATTTGTCAATGGATGTATAACTATTGAAGCGTAAAGGGTTACCATTATAGAACAGAGTATATGAAATGGAAAATACTTCGGCCTTAACCCGATAAAAAAAAAAACAATTTGAGAAATTAAACCCGCGCCAGGGTTATATACAGGAGATCACATATATTAATAAACACAAACTATGGGAATAGGATTTGGCCGGTGGTTTGTACCCAAAGGGGAAGACATCGCCGAGCGGTTACCAAATTAAGTAACGGTCAAATTGAATTGCTTTTTGATGAAGGGCTTTAACCAAATTGATCTCATAATAATTCACTCACCACTGTTAAACTCTATTTATTTTATAGGGAAGAGTCATTTAGGAAAAAGGTGGGTTAATAAGCAAGTTGTTCGGTAACTCATTTTTGCTAACTCCATCTCATTACTTTCCTTCCATTAATTCATATATAAACAGTAAACATTTCCCCACTAATATATTTTATTTATTCATTTTTCATTATTCATTTTTTAAATTTATCATCATCAACAATCAACAACAATCAACATCAACAATCATAATGTCAGACGGTACTAGAGATATCTCAGATAAACAATCTCTCGCAGATGATGAATTCAATGATAGAGATTCAACCTCTCATCAAAATATTAGTGATGAAGATGAATTACATGTTCGTGAATTCAACGGACAACAAGATACCGCTGCTGAACCAGAAACCCATAATCAATCATTATCAAGAACTAATAGTATACTTCAAAGAGTTCAAACTGGTTATTCATTCTTTAATGAAAAATTACAATCTCAACGTAAATCAGTAGCTGTTAAAATTGCTATTATTTATTTAGTTATGTCAATTGGGGTATTAGGGATTTTTTCCATCTATTGGGGTTCAATGTATGGTAGATTTGATAGAATTAAAAATTTAACTATGTTGGTAGTTATAGAAGATACTGAAGTTAATGATATCCCACCTATTTTTGGTCAACAAATGGAAGCAATCTTAGCAACCGGTGAAGCTAAATATTTTGGTGATTGGCATATTTATAATACTAGTACTTTTACAGAAAAATTCGGTACTGAAAGAAGTGTTGAAGCTGAAATTCAAAGACAAATTCATCATCAAAATTATTGGTCTTCAATCTATGTTAAACCAAATGCAACTTATAATTTCTATCAATCTTTAATTAATGGTGATACTAGTTATAATGCTACCAATAATACCATTGTTTCAATTTATGAAACAGGTAGAGATTTCATTAATATGAATTCTTGGGTATTACCTTCAGTAGAAGGAATTGAATTTTATTGGTTGGATTTACAATCAAATGCAACTTTACCATTAATTGATATCATTCAAGCTGGTGAACATGCCAATGTTTTTAATAATCCTTCAACTTTAGCTGTATTAGGTCAATCCATTGGATTTGGTTATTTCGATCAAAGACCTTGGACTGATCCTGTCTTAGTGGCTCCATCTCAAGTTGGGTTAATTTATATGATCATTGTTACATTTTTCCAATTCAATTTCTTTGTCGATGTTCATAAAGAAGTAGCTCAAGCTGGTTTAAAGAAAACTCATTTCATGGCTTATAGAATCCTTGCATCCATCATTTCATTCTTTGTTATAAGTTTAGTTTATTCATTAGTCACATTAGCCATGCAAGTTGATTTCACAAAAGCATTTGGTAGAGCTGGTTTCATGGTTTATTGGATGGTTTCATTCTTAACTATGTGGGCCGTGGGTACTGCTAATGAAATCGCCGGTATGCTTTTAATTATTTATTATCCCCCATTATTAGGGTTCTGGATGTTATTCTGGGTTATTATTAATATTTCTCCAACTTTTACTCCATTAGCTTTATCACCAAAATTCTTTAGATATGGTTATGCCTTACCAATTCATAATTCTTATGAAGCTACCAAAGTTATTTTCTTTGATACTTGGAGAGGTCAATTAGGTAGAAATATTGGTATTTTGGTGATTTGGGGAGTAGTTTTAACAGCAATTTTACCATTTGTGGTTAAATTCTTTGGTAAAAAAATGGGTGAAAAGGCAAGAGCTGCAGCTCAAGAACAAATGAAATTAATGGCTGCTAAAAAGGCTCAAGAAGAAGAAATTCAATTTGAAAAGAATAAAACTGAAGCTTAGATATTATCCTTTTTCATCATCATCATTTTGGTTTGTTTTATTTTATTTTTTGGGGGGGCGTAGTAGCATTGTTTTAATCGTTTGTGTATATAATAAGGATCCTGTTTATACAGATTTTATTTAAATATTTTAATAAAATAGACTTAATTTTTTATTTTGAAGTAATGAAATTGATTGTAAAGAAGTAAAAAATATAAAATTATGGCATAATAAAATACAAAAAATAAAATATATAGAAAAAAGAATGAAAAAGACTTTTTTTTATTTTATTACTGTTTATATCTAGTTTCAAATTCATCACCAGATACATCTTCTTCTTCATTAGCATGACTTTTAAATGCACTTCTAATTTGACTTATAATAAATCCATCATCTTTAGATTCAGTAGATGCTCTAGATGCAACTGGAGTTATAATATCTAATTCATCTTTAACATTTAAGGCGAAATTTGTCGTCAGTTTATCTCTTAATCTATTATGATTACCTTGATCATCTTCACTAATATCAAGGGATCCAACCGTAAGATTTAAAAGAGATTTACCCGATCTCTTTCTAAATAATGCCCCCGGGAATGGTCCCGCTTTAGGTAAGTATCTCGAAACATCATCATCATCGCCAATACTACGAACATCTTGAGTATCATGTAATAGAACTGATGAACGACCTGCAAATGGTGAACGAGGTGATTTTGGAGTTTTAGGAATTCTACATGAAAGACCATTATCATGAATCCATTTAGCAACCACAGCAGTCCAACCACATTGATGAGATGCACCTAAACCTCTACCAGTATCAGCATCGAAATATTCATAAAATGGAACATAATCTTTAAATAATGGATCTTTATTTAATAAATCATTATCACCATTACAAGCTCTATTACCTTCATCATCAGGAATGAATAAATGCATTAAACGGTGTTGAATTTCTTGAGCACATTGAGCTAAATTTAAGAAATCTCCTGAACCTTTAGGACATTCAACTTTAACATCAGGTCCATAATATAAATAAAATCGTTGTAAAGCTTCCACTAACAAGAAATTAGTTGGGAACCAAATTGGACCTCTCCAATTTGAATTACCTCCAAACATACCTGAATCAGATTCACCTGGTAAATATTCAACCACAAATTTCTCACCATTAACATCCATTTCAAAAGGATGATCCTTATGATATTTTGATAAGGATCTAATACCATATGGTGATAAAAATTCATCTTCATTAAGCATTCTATCAAGAATAGCTAATAATCTATCTTTATCAACCAATGCTAATAATAAACGTTCACCAACCCCTCTAGTTTCCATAGATGCAATGTTTCTTTCTGCTACTGATTTTCTCAGATTAATAAACCAATCCAATCTCTTTTTAAAAGCAGGGAATTTTTCTAAAGCTTCAGGTTCTAAAGTTAAAGAAGCATATAAAGGAATTAAACCCACTAATGATCTAACTGGTAAAGATTGAGTATTATGATCACCATATCTAATAGCATCATAATAAAATTTATCTTTTTCATCCCATAACGTAGCTTGAGGTTGATCTGAATCAGGATCTTTATGAGACATAGCATCAGCAATTAAAATAAAATGTTCAAAGAATTTAGATGCAATATTTTGATAAACTGGTCTTGTCTTTGATAATTCCAAAGCAATATTTAACATTTGTAATGAAAAAAATGCCATCCAACCTGTTGAATCAGCTTGTTCTAAATTACCTCCAGTTGGTAAACTTTCTGATCTATTAAAAACACCAATATTATCTAAACCAAGGAACCCACCCGAGAAAACATTATTACCATCAGCATCTTTTCTATTAACCCACCAAGCAAAATTTAAAGTTAATTTATGGAACACACGTTCTAAGAAATCAATATCTTCAACTCCATACATTTTTCTTTCAATTTTAAAGATTCTATAAGCTGACCATGCATGAACTGGAGGATTCACATCACCGAAATTCCATTCATAAGCAGGAATTTGACCATTTGGATGCATATACCATTCTCTAGTTAATAGATCAATTTGATTTTTAGCAAATTCAGGATCAATCATAGCAAATGGTATACAATGGAAAGCAGTATCCCAAGCAGCGAAAAATGGATATTCCCATTTATCAGGTAAAGATAAGACATCATCAATATACATATGCTGCCAATCTTTATTTCTACCATTAGCACGATTAATCGGAGGTTTTGGTGTATTTGGATCACCTCTTGACCAATAATTATGAACAAAATGATAAAATTGTTTAGTCCATAATAAACCAGCAAAAGCTTGTCTTTGAACTTGTCTTAATTCATCAGACATTGGAATTGGAGATACTTTCCAATAAAATGCATCAGCTTCATCTTGTCTTCTAACGAAAATTTCATCCAATTCACGTTCATCAATCTCATCTCTTGTTTTACTTAATCTATATCTGATAGTAACATAATCACCAGGTGGAACTCCACCTTGTTGATCAAAAATAAATTCAGCACAAGCTTTTGTACCTGTTCCTTCTGGATTAACGGCTGTTTTATCACCATCAACCACATAATCATGGAAAGCATCTTTGACATGTTTATGCTTATTTGGTTGACCATATAATCTTTCAGTATTAGTTTCATTTTCAGTAAATAATAAGATTGGTTCTACATCAGGTGAATCATCATCAATCCCAGGAGCAGGAGCAAATGTAAGATAACGTTTACCAAATTTTTCATGTTCAATTTCAATAGTATAATCATCAACTTTAGTTAATTTTGGTTTTACTTGTTCTGATTCCTCTGTACCCCAAGCCCAAGTATTTCTTAATAATAAATGAGGTAAAATATGTAAAGGAGCAACTTCTTCACCTCTATTATAAGCCGTAATTCTAAAATTCAATTCTTCCATTTCTTCATCTCCTTTAGCCATTTCAAATACGACATCGAAATATTTATTATCATCAAATAAACCAGTTTCATAAATTTCATATTCATCTTCTAATCTTGAACGTTTACTATTTACATCAACCAATTCTTTATAAGGAAACTTACCTTGAGGATATTTATATAAATATTTCATATAAGAATGAGATGGAGTATTATCAAGATACCAATATAATTCTTTAACATCTTCACCATGATTACCTTGAGAATTAGTGACCCCAAATAATTTTTCTTTCAAGATATCATCATTACCATTCCAAAGGGCCATTGATAAACAAATCAATTGACGACGATCTGATACTCCTGCTAAACCATCTTCACCCCAACGATAAGTTCTTGATCTTGAATGTTCAAAGGGAAAGTCGGACCACGCATCTCCATCAGGACTATAATCTTCACGAACAGTAGCCCATTGACGTTCACCAAGATAAGGACCCCAAGTTCTAACTCTTTTAACCTTTAATCTGGCTTCTTCCTTAGTTGTCTTACCAATCATAGAAGTGAATGTTAACGAGAACGATAGATTTATGAATCAATTGAATCTGTCAAGAATAAAAAGAAGAAGTAAATAGTTAATTTTAATTTTGATTTACAGTGTGAAATTGATATTATTTTTGCCCAGGAATAATTTTCGTTTACGCCGCGAAGGGGAGAGCTGATTCTTCTGAACATAGCACAGAAATCGGGGCAGAGGGTTATTTATTTATAATTAACTGGTTAGAACTAAACACAATTGTGGATGTTTAAACACGAACAGAATCTCGCTACAACCGGGTAGTAAATAAATCATTATAATTGCTGACCCTATCCTATCCTATCCTATCCATCGTGTCTTTTAATTAATTTGATCTAGGGAGGGAATAGCCAAGATTTTAAAAAATCCCTTTTGATTTTGTTTGATTGCTATCAGAATTTTTAGATACCACAAAATAAGGAGAGAAAATGGTACAAAACACACGACCTTCACTTGCAGCATCAATCATATGGAGAACAGTGGTTAATTTGCAGTTATATATATATATATTATATATTTGCTATTGTTATTATCTATAAACAAATTAACGACCAAAATATTTCTTCTCAAATGGACGTACTAAATTATAACCTATAAATGCAAACACAATATTTAATTCAAAGGAAATATCTCCTCCGTAATCACCTAATTTTCTGGCAATTATCCCCACATACCATGTTTGATCCATACATAATACAGTTGAAACAACTCCAAAACAAAAGGCCACAACTCCTGCAATTCCAATTGGTAACGTTTGTCTATCATTGAAATTACTAACATCATACCCTTTAAATCCTTTTCTGTATATGAAATGTTCAGTTAATGAGATACCAAGATAAATTGAAACATTATAACTTATAATAGATAAGAAATTTGACATAGCAGCTGCAAATACATAATAGGCAGGAATTGATAATCCTAAACTTAAGAAATTTCCTAAAATACACCATACTAATCTTGGTATTTTAGCTAATTTAGACCACATACATTGAATTGAAACTGATAATGAATAAGATCCAGGTAAATTATTAGCTATACCAGATAACGCCAATAAAACCACTACAACTCTATAACCTTGATTTGTATTATTCCCACATAATATTTCATATACTAATCCCCCAACTGAACCAGATTCAAATGCTTCATTATAAGCATCATTAGTAAAAGTACCCATGGCAACTGCTGCCCCTAAAATAGCAGCAAAAATAGTGGGAGTTGAAACTCCAATAACCATAGCAGTACCAACTTTCCAAGCTGGAGTATTATGAGGCATATAAACAGTATAATCAGCAGCAGAAGGAGCCCAACCGGCAGCGAAACCAAAAATAGTTGAAATAAAAGTTAATACATTCCCTGCTTTGGTAGCTGATGAACCTTCCATTGTACCCCAAGTAAATGAATGAGATTGAGCAAATTTAACAATTAAAATAATATAAATAGCAAAATTTGGAATCCAACTATATCTTTCATAAAGATGAACGGTTTTATAACCAAACACAGCTAATATACAAGTAATAATGACAAATATAAGACATCCAGCCCAAGCTGGTAATGGACCTATTGCCGTTAAAAGTTGAACACAAGGAATCACATTAATTGCATTCCAACCAATACATGAAATAACATTAAATAAAGCAAATATTCTTCCCATAATATTCCCCGTGAAATATCTTGACATAATTTGTTGTCTTAATCCAAATCTCATTCCAAATGCGCAATAGAATCCCACTGGTAAAGCACCAATTATAGACCATATAACAATGACTATAACTGAAGTTTTGAAATCAAGGCCAAATACAGTGGGACCTAATGCACCAGTTGATAAGGCTGATATAGCTAAATTTGGAGATAAGAACATAAATAAAGGTGATAATAAACTATTATCTACTCTTTTAGTTTCGGGAACTCTTTGAACACCTCTAATTTCAGCATTAAATCTAAGACCTATTTTATCAATGAAATTATTAGGTTCTTCATCATTAAATTCATCTTCATCTTCATAGAATAATTCTGATTCATTAGTGGAGTTCACTTGATCTGAGTTGATGACTTTTTCATCCTCATGTTGAGTTTTCGACATCTTGATTCAGTGGTTATTAGTTGAATAATAGTAGTTATTGAATCGAAATTATAAAGAGAAAGAGAAAGAGAAAAAGAGAGGATCAAATATATTTTACAAAAGAGAAAAGTTTTTCAAAATTGGTTCATTCAAGGGATCAATGAAAAATCTTAACAATCAGTTGGGGATATCTCCATTCAATAACTGATAAGAATCAGGACAATAGACAATTTTTTTTAATGTATAATTGAACCTCGAACGGCTCTTAAACTTTTGCAGTGAAAGATAGTTTTTTGCCTTAGCGGAATGAATTTTTAGGAAATTTTGTGCGGCCCCAAAAAGGAACAGCGCAAATCTGTAGTAACGTGAAGTATTATTGTTAACTAGAAATTTGTATTATATCAAATATTTATAAGTTATTATTTACCAGGGTTAATATAAGTAAAGTAGGAAATGTCTACTATCAATGAAGAGCCAATGAAAGTAGTATTTCATCTAATAGTCGTAAAGTTAATAAGTAAATCTAGATAAACAATCAAGTGATTTGGGAAGGTAGTATATTGATGATAAATAACCCGCTCTTGTCCGATAACTTTGTGTAATTAGCATTAATTAATTTCAAATTGAATGTTTAATGTTCAAATAGAGGTTTATACAATTCTGATGTCCCTTAAATACGTCAGGTAAGCCTCGATTATAGTAGGATTAAAGGGTTATATCATACGAAAGGATCAGCGCTATCATCTTTACATTTAAAGGGTAACTTAAGGTACTTACTATAATATTGCAGTCAATATGACAGAAAGTTATAGGGTTACAATAATAATGATTACTGTTTTGGGTGCACACGATACTTGCCCATACAAAGCGGCACACTATTTGACCAAAGGAGTATCAGAATTGCCTAGTAAGAGATATAACTATCAGACATTGAAGCAAGTGATGGACCACGTAATCTGCTACTAATGATGATCGGCCACATAAAGGGCAGAAAGATACTTCCAACATTTCAGATTTAGGGAAGGTATAATAAATTGTCTTTGTGGTGGGCACCCACAAAAAAGACGATGTCTGAACTCAAAATCAGACATGTCTGATGTGATTTTTGGATTAATTATGAAATGTTTAATTATAATTAAACTAAATTAATCAGATTAATATTCAGCTAATTCTGAGTATAATTTATATGGATAGTTTATTCATAATTGGTATAAATAATAGTATTTTATAGCTCTTTTAACAATTTGTGTTGCGGCGTGGATCACCCTCTTTTTTTGACCCTTTTTTTCTTTCTAAAACGACAAAAAAAAAGTGTGACAATTTACAACTCACAAAGACTGAGCTTTAACAAGCTATATGTGCTACACACTAATACTACATCATCATCAACTATATATAATACATTAATCAATATGGCAGATTTATTCGCTAATTACGAATCAGACTTCCAATTTGCATTACAAGAAGCCAAGTCTAAGTTAGATCAGGTTTCTACGGTTCAAGGAGGTATGTATAAAGTTCAACCTAACCCCAGTGGCACAAAGGATTATATCAACTACTAACACTTTTTATAGATGAAAGAAAGATATACTTAAAGGCAGTTGAAAATGCCATAGATGAAGGTATGGAAATGTTAGATCAAATGAGTATTGAAGTACAGAATTTACCAAACAATCAACGATCATCATTTAATGCTAAAATACGTCAATATAAAACTCAAGTTGATGATAGTAAATCGAGATTGAATTTGATTTTAGATGATGAAGATAAACGTCAATTGTTTGGATCAAGATATTCTGATAATGGAGATGGAGAATTTGGTGATTCAGTTCATGATCAACAACGTAAACAATTACTTAATAATAATTCATCATTAGATAGATCAAGTCAAAGATTAAAAGATAGTCAAAGAATCGCTTTAGAAACTGAAGGAATTGGTGGTAATATTCTTAATGATTTAAGAGCTCAACGTGAACAAATCGAAGGTTCAAGATCAACTCTTCTGACTGCTGATAGTTATGTTGATAAATCAATTCGAACTTTAAAATCAATGAGTCGAAGATTGGTAGCTAATAAATTTATAAGTTATGCTATCATTGGAGTATTGATTGTATTGATTTTCTTAGTTCTTGCCAGTAAATTCTGGTAAGGTCTTCCTCCTTCTTATTCTCCCTGTCATATTAAAGTTTACTACATCATCATTGTTTCAATTCTCTCTATAAAAGGTACAGTCTGACAGTCAATTCATCCTATCACTCACCCACACCCTCAACTTTATTCTCTCTTCTATATATAATCTATATATGCTACTAGAATGAGAAGTAATGTCTATCAGACTTGTCTAATAAATGTACGGTTTTTATCTTAATTAACTCCATATAACAAATAGTTCGGTCCGACGGTTTCATATCCCGCCGTCTTTTTTAAGCTCTATATCCATTCCTGTATATAACCTTGATGATGAATAGAGTCAAAACTCTGTCTGAAAAAAAAAAAAAAAGAAAAGAGAAACATGGTCGGAATTGGAATGGCAATTGATAACTTAAATTATTATCATTTATCAATATCACTTTTGTTGTATATAGATCCTTATTATTCCAATTTAGTATAGGGTTGGCATATACTAATTCATTATAGACTTCTTTATCATCATAGCCAACCTTTATTTATTCAACCACTAGGCTTTATCTTTCATTTCCTATCATTTTTTCTTCAATTGTCATTTATATCATAACTTTTTACTTTCAAAACATGTTTTCGAGGTTTATCGCTAGATCATCTATGATCAAGACTATCATACCTTATGGTTCATCTATATCGAATACTATTAAACCATCATTGATCAGATTCACTCCTCCTCATCAATCTTTATCAACCATAAGATCATTCCATCAATCATTAACCAATCATCATGGTCATCTTCATAAACCAAATCCAGGAGAAGAGCTTCATATAACATTCATAACCAAAGACGGCCAGCAGATCACTTATGAAGTTGCCGAAGGTGATAATGTCTTGGATATAGCCCAAGCTCATAATTTAGATATGGAAGGAGCATGTGGAGGTTCATGTGCATGTTCAACTTGTCATATTATTGTTGATCCTGAATTTTATGATGAAATTCCTGAACCTGATGATGATGAAAATGATATGTTGGATTTAGCATTTGGATTAACTGAAACTTCAAGATTAGGATGTCAAGTTAAAATGAGAAAGGAATTAGATGGTATAAGAGTTGCTTTACCAGCTATGACTCGTAATTTACAATCCAAAGATTTTAATAATTGAATTAATAATTGACTTGTATGTATATAAATATGTCCTGTAAATATAAAAAATTATCCCTTTATATATCATCATCATCGTCGTCATCATCGAGGTATAAATTAGACAGTTTCCAATTATCATCAATTCTCTTTTCAACCCCAATAGCATTAGGTAAGATATTTAACGAATACTTTGACCCAAATCGATCTTCGGAACCTGGCTTAGCAAATAATGATGATAAGCTACCTGAAAATCCTTCATTGATATATGATAATGATTTCAGATTATTTTTAAGAAGGGGATTATCGAAAATATCTAATTCTTCAAGTTGAGAAGATACACCTTTTTGACCTGAGAATCCTAAATTAGATGCTGAAATTGATTTAAGTGAATTATGATTTATTGATATTCTTCGTATTTTGGGCTGAGAACCAGCTGGAAATGTGATTTTAAATGATATAAGACTATTTGAATTGATGATTAATGTTTGTAAATTCTCATTAAATTTTCCATCAAACTGACACATATTATTATGAGATATATCGATATATTTCAAGTGAGGAAAACTTGTAAATGATTTCAATGAAATCGATCCAATATCATTATCCTTTAATTTTAAGATTTGTAGAGTTGTTGGAATGACTGAATTGTCAAATTCTTGAATATAATTTGATGAAAGATCTAATACTTTTAATTTTGACTCCTTCGCAAAACGAATTTCAAAATCTCTTAAATCATTCCCAGCAATACTTAATTCTTGAATACTAGCTTGAAATTTACATTGAATACTCCGAAGTTGGTTCCTGTCTAAATTCAAGATTCGAAGTTTAGTCGGGAAATCCATATAATCAATCCCTTTAATCTGATTACTATCAAGATACAACACTTGTAACTCCATCAAGTCATACCTATCATTAGTCAGAAGATGAATATTGGATCTAAGACGATTCTCTGTTAAATGTAATGTGTGTAATCCCTTTGGAAGAAGATGAGACGGCGTGATCCTCCGTATTGAATTACACCCTAATCCTAAATCTTTTAAATTTAAAGGGAATTCAACATCTTCAATACTGGTGATTTTATTAACTTCTAATGAAAGAGTTTCAATTGAATCAGGGAAATCCATATATTCTAATTCTTTGTGAATCCCAGTATTTGACATTTTCAAATATAATAATTGATTAAATCGTTTGAAATAGGGTATACATCTACGCCAATGAATATTATTATCTGCAAGGTTTAATTTACGTAAAGTGGATGGAATCTGAGTGATGGAATTTATGAATGTAAGATCAGTTAGACTATTATTTGCGATATTTAATTCAAGTAAAGTCTTAGGGTAAACCATGGTTGATATGATATTGGGATCGAATTTAGTTAATTTGATAACTTTTAATTGAGTCAGTCCAAGATTAAGGGGATTCATTATATCATAATGATTTCCTGTTAATGATAAAGTATGTAGATTAGGTGATTTATCAAGTAAATCCTGAGTAAATTTGAATGAGTTATATACAAGATCTTCCATATAAAGACTTTGTAAATTTTGAATCAGTTTATAATTGAATAACGTGGCCACATTTGAAAGTTGTAAAGTTTTTAAAATGTTTGAAAGGTCAGATGTAGTGGCTGAAGACATTTCAATTCCATTTCCGGCAAGACTTAAATGATCAATGAAAGTAAATGATTGAAGGTTCAATTTAATTCCTTTGAATTTTTCCTTTGAATTAATATCAATTTTCAAATCAAAACCGGTTGAATGGAAGTAGGATTCAGATTGAGTGACACTTAATTGACAATTATCTAGCCATAGTCTTATTAAATGAGGGAATTTTGAAATATCAATAGTGAACTTTTGTTTATAGTTATAAATCAATAATGAGATTAAACTTGGTAATGATTGTAATTGTTGGATTAATTTAGATGAATTGAATATATATTCTATATCGGGATCGAATTCTAATTCTAGATTATACTTAAATTCAGATGATAAGTTCGGTAAAAGATCTAATAATTCGATTAAATCGGTTAATTGCCAAATATAGTAACTTATAGTAATTGATTCTGTAGTGGGTATGAATGATTCAAATCGATGTAAGACTTTAACAGCTGTTTCAACATTATCAGCGATGTATTGATAGTTTGATTTATCTTCATAAGTAGGAGTTAATTTATACATATGTTGAAATGAAAAATAATTCAATCGATTATTAAAGCTTAATTTTGATTGAGATATGAAATGTCCTATAGCTTGATATATACTTTTATTAATGGTGAGGATATCTTCATCTTCGATGAATCCAGACAATCCATCAAGATTGAGATAATTGATGATTTTGAAGATCAATTCATTTGGTAAAGTGTCTAGTTTAAATCGATGTTGATGAAGGATATTCGCGTTTGATACTGCGCCATTATGACTCGTATTAGAAGTAGTAGATGAAGATGAAGATGATATGGTTGACAGTTCACTCAGAAAAGAAGACTCCAGACTCATTGATTTCAATTTCACGTTGACTAGCTAGCCCGTGGTGATGATGATGGTGGTGGTGCTGCTGTTGCCAAGTAATTGCTTAAACAACTGAATAAACAAAAGTGGAACTATTGATCAAATTGATAAAAAAAAACTTTAAACAGTTTGAAAAAAAATGGTGTCATGTATATAACTCGGTCTTTGAATTATATGCAGGTGGACCATCTATGAATGTCGTAGTAAAATCTTAACGGATACAAATGTCGTTCTAATCCCCTCCTCAGAGTTAAAGTCAGATTAGATAAGAACAGTAAGTTCTGACAGAAAAAATATTATTTTTAGGGAGACTGATAGGGAGAAGGTGGAAGGAGAAGGTTTAAAGATGGGCAGAAAGTTATAAAGGGAATGTTAATGTTGATGATAATAATGATAGGTAACACTATGAATATTACCATCAACCAATTATATTGGATAATTACCGACGATTTACATAAATAAACTCTCCCTAATCTCACACTAATCTCCTCCATGTGTGGTCCTTTTAGCTCCCTAAAAATTGCAATTATTTTAAAGTCGCGTCTCGCAAAACCCACAGGGCCCTCCCTCTCCCTCTACATTAATTTGGTTATATATAGATGATATTATTAGAGTTGATCAGCTTATAGTATCATATTAAGTAGGTATAGAATGAAGTAGTTAACCCAGTGCTACCTAACAATAGTAATAATAATAAATAAACTAATGGATATACACCATAAAACTTCAATTTACACAACCTTACGTGGATATCAATCAATCAAATACACACACAATTATTTTAAAATCTACTCAACATTTAACTATGTTGAGTTATCTGATTTCCTTTTTAATTATTATTTCTACTTCCCTCTTCCTTCATCTTCTTCCTTTATTCATTCTTCTTAATTCATTCCTTAACTTCATACCGTCAACCTATTCCCAAGTTGTAATAGCTTATCTGTTCCTGCTCCCCCCTCATACCGTTGTTATCTCTCATAAAAATATTTATTTGTGACTCAAATTTCTGGTAATACGCAGTACATCCGCTCCCCACCTCACCCCCCCAAAAGAAATAAATAAATAAACAGGGAAAGTAAAGTAAAGTAAACCAAAACAACTTATTTATTTTGGCAGCATCCATCCATAACAACTTGTTCAAACCATATCAATCAATCAATCTATTACAACTTCAATAAGACCTTAACTAAATCAATCAATCATCCATTGTCATATTATCTGATATGATAATGCCTGAATCCAATATCAATCCAACTAATACCACCACGTCTACTAACACCACAACTACAAATGATCAAATTAAATTAACTAAACTTCATACTAATCCTAAAAAGGGATACAAGTTAGGTAGTGCCTCAGCTACTTGGAAAAAGATAAAATCAGCTACATCAACCAGCAGTACCAATTCTATCCCTGTTAGTTCAAGTGCAAGTAGTGGTGATGATGCAGTTGAAGAGGGTTTAGAAGATTTATCATTAGGTGGAGGCGTATCAACCTTGATTGAATATGGATCTCATGGTCAAATCCTTATGGTTTATCCTGAATCTTCAGTATTAGAAATATGGGATTGGAAATCAATTGATCATCAAAATGGTCAAAATACTTCAAAAATTGTTGATACTGATACGTTACATTTGAATTATCAACTTAAAATCGCCAAGCAATATGAAAGTTCTAATGAATCAATTAAGTTCTTTAATATCATTAATGAACAATCTACTTTTTATAATCTTATCGTTGTTAAGAAACAAGGTGATAAATCAAATTTAGAATTACATAAAGTAACCCTTGAATATGGATCCACTACAATAATTCAATCCATCACTTTACCATTTATATTTGGAAATCCAACTCATATCAAAACTTCCAATAAATTCATCATTATAGGGGATAATGAAGGATTATTATTGATTTATAAATTTGATCTTGATCATAGTGAAATCTTATTTGGTAATGTGAATGCTTCATTATATTCAATTAAGAAATCTTCATGTCAACCGATCTTAAGTAAATTTAATATCATTAATAAGTTCCCTAATGATGACATCTTATTACAAACAAGTTTAAGTTCTGATGGTATACCGATCTTTGATATTATTGATAATTGGTTGGTTTATTCTCCATCAACGTTTGAATATAAACATTTATTAGCTATGGGAAGTAATAATAATAATTCAGCAGCTACTAGCACTGCCACCAATACCACTCCAAATAATGTTATGAATGATACGTTTATAATTAATGATGCATCGTATGATGAATTAGATCCGATCATAACTAATTTCAATACCCCGAATAATACAAATTTGAATTTAAGTTTAAATTTACAAGATTCAACAGGGTTTACCCCCGTGAAATTACCAGCTTCAGGTCCATTATTAAACAAGGTATTATCAAGTTTATCAAATAGTGCTCTTGATGGATTATTTAAATTATCTGAATTATCATCAATGAAAGTGAAATCATTAATAAGTACCGACTCACCAACCAATCCCACCAGTAATAATACCCCATCTACTACTACCGCTACCATGATGGAAACTCCCACTTTAAATTCGATTGGGAAATCAATTGGGAAATTATTATATTCCACGGCATCAACCACAGCTCATACACTTTCAAGCACAATGAAGAAAACATGGGAAGATGGATATAATAATCGAATCATTAAAATCCTTGATTTATCAAATGATAAAGTATTAGGTATTTTCAAACCACCAGGAGGAGTATCGAAATTATCCCTCTCTCCCTATGATTTACAATTGATCTCAGTCAATATGAGAGGAGATTCACTTTATATGTGGGATTTATATCGATTATCATATGAGATATCCTTAATTGGGAAATTCCAACGGGGTAAAACCTCTGCAATCATTTCCGAAATCTTTTGGTTTATGAATAATAATTATAATCATAAGGATGATTTAGTGTATGGGAATAATTCAGGATTTGGATGTATTAATAAAGATTCAGGACTGATTCATTGGTTTAATATAAATTATTTAAGTGGGACATTGAATAATAATCATAATTATCCTAATAGTTTAAAAATGAAAAAGAAAAAGAAGAAGAGAGTGAGTTCAGGAAGTAGTACTAGTTCCAATATTAAAGTGAAAGGAGGAAATGGTGGTGAGATTAGTCTGGTTAATGGTGGTAATGGTGGTGGAGGAGGAGGTCAATTTCTTGATTCATGGATTTTATCATCATTCAAAGCTAAACGATTCATTCCATTACCTAATATTTCCAATGATGAATCAGGAGAATATATCAATCAATTGGCCATTTTATCCAAGGATAATGAATTAAAATTAATCTCTCCTTTGAATGGAAATCATGTATTTAAATATGAATTACCCACTCAACCCGTGAATGCCAATGTGATACCGAGTTTGATCCCCCAAGATGCTCAAGATGAAGATATTATATCTAATGTGAGATTAATTAATCCTCTTTCACAAGCTGAGATTGAAACTTGTGCGCCATTTTTGAATTTAATAAATAATAAAAACATTGAATTTGCAATTTATGATTTCCCCACCAATGAACACGAACAAGACGAACATGATCAAGGAGATCAATTTTATGATTATTTTAAAGAATTTGGAAATGAAATTCCTCAAAGAGTGATCCCCATCAAGAGAAATTACGGTTATAGTTCAAAAATCAAATTGAATCCTCAGAGTAGCAGTAGTGTTTCATCAACTGGTACCACTAGTCCCATCACTACTGCTTCGGGAAGTAATGGAGATGAAGGATTATTGAATTTACTGATTGATACTGGATTAATCGAGAGATGAAATTTATGATAAGATTATTTTATTTATTTATATTATTTATTTATATATTTTTTATTTATTTTTGTATGATTTTTTTTTTATTATTTTATTTATATGGGATTTGATATTTAGTTTGATTATTTTTTAGAAATAAAGGTTTTATAATATATATACACAAATACGATTGACAACTACTCAATACTAATAAATATGTGTATATTAAAAGGTATGTAAAGGGAGCAGTTAAAGGTTTTGTATGTATGTATGGATGTATAAAATACAAGATCAATAAATGATGTAATGTAATGAGATTATCGTGTGTTGTCATGAGTGAGAGAGTGAGAGTATGAGTTTATAAGGTGGGATACTCCACAAGGGAATTAACGGCGGAGTGATGATGAGTGATGATGACTAGGTACCTGTGGGATAACCTAGTGTTTATGAATAGTAATTATAAAAGCAGGAATTGAGATTGTGATAACAAAAGTAATAATAATAATAATAACCTAATAATAAGTCAAGAACTGAAAGTAGAGACGAGGAGGGATGGAGGGAGGGACGGACGGATGGACAAGTAGGAAAGGTATTGCAAGAAGGTGAAGATGAAGGTAAGTGATGTACAAAATGGGATGGATTTGATGTTGGACTAGCACTACTGATGGAAATTTGATGGATCTGTTATGACCAAATTGTGGGTATGACTTCGTTGTTAACTTTCACTGATAACGCTGATTACTCCGTTATCACGAGATTAAACAACTCTTATCAAAGGGGTTCAACCTTCTTCTTCGATTTAACGTCATGTCATAAATTAAAAGAATAATCTAATTAATTCTAAAACCCCACCTCCAATAACTAAAAATAATAAAATAATTAACCAAGTTCTACTAACTGGTATTTCAGATTTTTGATTTTTTGATTTCAAGACAGATTGAGGTTTACCTTGTTTATTAACATTCTTCTTAGCAAACTTTGAATTAGCAGCTTTTTGTTGTTGAGTTTGTAATGCCTAGAGCCCATAGCAGTTAGTATATAAGTTAAAATCAAATGTGATGGTGGTGCTGTCAAAAAGTGAAAGCCCGAGAAAAAAGGGTACTTACCATTTTAGTTGTTGTTGTATAATAATTATAAGGAGGATGAAAAGGGATATGAAGTTAAGGAGAAATGAAATGAAGTAGTGAATGAAGGTCTAGTGACTATGATATGGGAAATGAATCGAAGATACTATAAGTAAGTAGAATGATCTAAAAGAGAATGGTGGTGGATGTATTTCTTGGAAACAAAGTGAGAGAGAGTTTTAGTGATTTTTATTTACGCTTTTTTTTTTTTCATTTCATTTCATTTACGTGTCTACAAACTTTCTGATCAACAACAAAGAAGAGACGTAATAAAAAAATATTAATGACAAAATAAAAAATGAAAAATAAGAGTCACATGACGTGAAGTCATGTGAGTAATTCCAGTGGCATGGATGGTATAATATGGTGAATCACACAGTTAATATGCAGGAAATTATCTCATAATAAGAATTAACCATAAAGTATGTAAATGATTATCTTATTTTTTAAACGTTTAATTATACATGAATAATAGGAGATGACAACAGAAGAGGAGACATCATAAGATAAATATTTATAATTATTTACTAACTGATCCTCCTCATTGGAGGAGTTATCTTCTTTATTTTGCTTTTTAAAATCGGTTAGTTTAGCGTGGGGTAAAATAAAAAATAAATACTGAAATGTCATCCTGCACATAACCAATCGGTCAAAGACACAATCCCTCGGGAAGGAATGGTATATATCTACTATTCTAGGTATATCTCCAGTCAACCGATCCATTCTAACACCGATTATGATTGTTTGGATAAGTTAGAATAGTATAGATAAGTTTATAATTATCATGAATTGTTAAACAGATTGTCCTTTCTTTTCTTTTCATTTCTTTTTCTTATATCAATGAAAAAAAAGAAACCATAAAAAAAAGCGGATTTCTCCTTAATCGACCTCAGCGAAGTAACGGATTAGTATACACTGTAGAATTCAACTTTATAGTTAACTCTAAAACCAACAAGATTATGTCAAATAAGATATAAACAATCAAAGGTATGATTAGATCAAATTAATTAACCCGTTCCCATTCATCAACTTTAATCCAAATCATAATGTCTGATGAACGAATTATTTATTTTAATAATTCCCCTCCCCCACCATACCCACACCGACCAAATTTCCGTTAAAATAAATATATTTTTCGTCCACTAAACCACCACCCACCACCACTAAAAACAGGGAAACCCCACTAAAATTTTACAACCGAATTTACGAACCTCGGTATTTCTAAGCAAAACTTATAAATAACTGATTAAATTTCTTTCAAATTTGATTCAGCTTTTTCATACTACTTTTCTCAGATTGATTTTAAAACTGTGTCTTAACTATTATCAGGTAAGGTTGAAAGAATATTGATTTGGATTACGGTTACGGTTATCGCATTTAGTAAATAATTTTTCCATTTTTCACCAACTCCGTTCTCCTTATCTTCAATTATCATCATCATCATCAATCATGGCTACTCAACATTCACTTTTTAATGAAAGTCCAGACCATATCAATGCTTTACTTGAACTGAATACTCCAATTGCTCCATCTGCTTTATCTAATGCAGTAGCTGTTCCAAATTCTAAACAAGATGGTTATTCTGCCATTTATAGAAATGCTTATAGTCCTGATAAATTATTAACTATACCTCATCCTTCCTTAGATACATTATATCGCTTATTCGATCATACTTCCACTATCAATGCTCAATTTGATTGTTATGGTACAAGATATAAAATCCCATCCACTGGGAAATTTGGTCCTTATACTTGGCAATCATATCAAACTATAAATCAAAGAAGAACAAATTTTGGTTCAGGATTATTTTTCGTCTTACAAAATAATCAATTCAAATCAACCATTGATGATAATTTGGATTTATCTTATAATCCTCATCAAAATCAACCTCAATCTTCATTCATTGTATCATTATTCTCTTCTAATAGAGCTGAATGGGGAATTGCTGATTTAGCATGTATAACTTATTCCTTAACTAATACTGCTCTTTATGATAGTTTAGGTCCTGAAACTTCAAAATATATTTTGAATTTAACTAAATCTCCTATTGTGATTGCTTCCAAAGATAAAATTGAAAATTTAGTTAAATTAAAATCAACTTATGGTGAAGAATTAAATAATTTAATTGTTTTAGTATCAATGGATCCATTAGATCGGGAAAATACTAATGATTTAAATTTAATTGAATTTGCTAAATCTCATCAAATTTCATTATATGATTTTAATCAAATTGAAAAATTAGGTGAAATTAATCCATTAGAACATATCCCTCCAACTGCTGATTCAATCTATACTATCTCTTTCACATCAGGTACTACTGGTGCTAATCCAAAGGGGGTAGTTTTAGAACATAGACAAGGGGTTTCAGCTGTAACTTTTTGTGTGGCCAATGTTAAACCTATAAAACGAGCTGTTACATATGCATTTTTACCATTGGCTCATATTTATGAAAGAATGAATTTACAATATGCCATGTTTCAAGGTGCTTCAATTGGATTTCCTCAATCTCCTTCTGCATTAACTTTATTAGATGATGTTAAAGTATTAAGACCTCATTATTTATCCTTGGTTCCTCGTGTTTATACTAAATTAGAAGCCGCTTTGAAATCTCAAACCATTAATAATTATGATAAACCAGTATTACAAAAGATTTTCTCGGGTATTATCGCTAAGAAAATCGAATGGCAATCAGCTCATGATGGAGCTGAAGGGAAACATATTGTTTATGATCAATTCTTACAAATACTTCGTAAGAAATTAGGATTTGATAGAGTGGTATCTTTCAATTGTGGTTCTGCTCCAATTTCTCCTGAAACCATCAAATTCTTAAAGGCAACTTTAAATACTGGTATGTCTCAAGGTTATGGATTAACTGAATCATTTGCTGGTGTTTGTGTAGCTCAAAAATTCGAAAAAGATCCGGGTTCATGTGGGGCTATTGCTATAACTTGTGAAATGAGATTACGTGAATTACCCACCATGAATTATTTATCAACTGATGAAGGAGGTCCAAGAGGTGAATTATTATTAAGAGGTCCACAAATATTCACTGAATATTATAAAAATCCAGAAGAAACCGCAAAGGCTCTTGATAAAGATGGTTGGTTTGCTACTGGTGATGTGGCTAGAGTCGACGCTAATAATGGTAATCGATTATATATTATTGATAGAGTGAAGAATTTCTTTAAATTGGCTCAAGGAGAATATATCACTCCTGAAAAAATTGAAAATACTTATTTATCTAAATTCCCTGTCATTTCTCAATTATATATTCATGGTGATTCCTTAAAGACTTATTTAGTCGGTATTGTCGGATTAGATCCAATGACGGTTAATCAATATATTTGGAAAAGATTTAGAGATAAATTATCATCTCAAGAAGAAATCATTGAATTCTTTAAAAATCCTGACCATAAATTAGCTTTAATTGAAGACATGAATAAAGCTGTGGATCAAGAAGGGTTATTATTAGGATTTGAAAAAGTTCATAATATTTATGTTACTTTTGAACCATTGAAATTAGAAGATAATGTCATAACTCCAACTTTAAAGATTAAAAGACCCATGGCTTCTAAATTCTTCAAATCTATTCATGATGAATTATACGAAGAAGGGTCATTAATTAGAAAAGTTGATACTAAATTATAACCCCATAGTTTAGTCATAAATAGGATTTATTTAATTTATAAACTTATATATAATACCTTATACACTTTTTTTTAGTCAAATGGTTTTTTTTTTCTTTAAATGTACTTGTAAGGATTTAAAATTCCATTTGGATCGTAATGTTTCTTAATATCTTTAAATAATTTAATTTCAATATCAGATTTGGAATAACTTATATAATTCTTCTTTTGGAATCCTAACCCATGTTCAGCAGAGATAGATCCTTTTTTAGATGATACCCATTCATAAACAAATGGTTCTAATACTTTTTCAACTGCTTTAGAATATTGTCTTACAGCCACATTTAAATGTAAATTCCCATCTCCAATATGTCCATATCCAACCGCTTTCACAACTGGTTTAGAAGCATCTTCAAAATCAACTATACCAGCTGCTTCTAATCTTTCATTAGCAGCTTCAACTAATCCATAAAGATCCTTTAATGGAATGGAAACATCATATTTATACACTCCACCATTCATTTGTGAAGCTTCAGGGATATTTTCACGCCAATTCCATAAATTCTTTAATTGAGTTTCATCTTGGGCGATGATACCATCTTCAACTAATCCATTTTCCATAGCGGTTCCTAAGAAAGTTTCTAATTTTTCATCATCATGATCTTTATTAGATCCTGAAGTTTCAATTAAGACATAAAATGGATATTCAGCACTTTCAATTGGATGATCTGATTTTAAATATTGTCCTACTAATCTTTGAGAATTTAAATCCATGAATTCAAAAGCAGATAAAATCTCACTTAATTCTTTTCTAGCATCATTAAAGACTTGTTGAACAGCTTCATAGGAGGATACACCTAAGAAAGCCACATTAAAAGCTTGTGGTCTAGCAGGACATAAAATTGATACCCCAGTAATAACTCCAATTGAACCTTCACTTCCAATAAATAAATGTTTTAAATCGTAACCAGTATTATCTTTTCTTAAAGAATCCATCGAATTATAAATAGTACCATCTGGTAAAACAGCTTCTAATCCTAATACTGATCCATGTAATGAACCATATCTTAATAATCTTAAACCACCAGCATTAGTAGCCACCACACCACCTACATGACAAGAACCTTTGGCACCTAAATCAAGAGGGAATATATATCCTTGATCAGCTAAATATTGATCAGCAGTTTCTAAAATGACACCGGCATCACATTTTAAAATCCCACTTACTGAATCAAACGATCTGATTTTATTTATGGATGATAATGATAAGATGATTTCATCAAATACTGGAATAGAACCTCCTACTAAACCAGTATTACCACCTTGAGGTACAACAGCTAATTTCTTATCATTACAATATTTCAAAATTTGACTTACTTGTTCAGTAGTTTTGGGTTTTAATAATAATTTCGATTGACCACGATATTTTCTCATCCAATCTTCATTATAAAATAAAAGATCATCTTCATTTTCAATAATAGAATCATTTAAAATTGATTTGAAATATTGAATATCTTCAGCATCTAAGGCTTTGAATCTTTCATCACGTTGAACTTTATCAGCATAAGTTTCAGCCGTTAATGGAACAGTACTACTACTTGAATAAGATCTGATATATTGATTTTTGACTCGTATTTTAGATTCATTATGGTTGTTTAAAGTGGTAGATAAGTATCTTACCGAGGAAGATAATATAGGTTTAGAACATTTAGCAATTGTTCTTCTACCAACAGAACTTATAACTGATCTAGATGCTCCAATCATCTTGTAATAGTCAGTATTAGCGATATAACCTTTGAATCTAGATTAGATGATTAATTTTAATTTTTCATCTCTCCATATTTTTTTTTTTGACTCACCTTACACGTGATTTGGGGTAATAAGCAAATTAAGTGAATCAGATTTGCAATAGGAAAGGAATGTTTAATGAACATCATTTGATTGAGGTTGACAGGGGATTGATCTGAATAATCGTTCTTAGTCCATTGATGTAAAGTTTTTAGGTTTAGGTTCATTCCATCAATGTTTGGGTAGATCAATTTTTTGAGGGATCGGAAGATGGCTTTACTTTTCCAATTAGAGATGGATAAGGTTATAGATATCTGTCTAAAACACACAAGTGACGATCAAGGAGATGAGATTATTGAAATCTAGAGTAATAAGCTCTATATACATTCTACAATGATTTTTAAATCAATCAATTAATAAATATAATAAATGTAATATTAAACAAATGATGTTAAAAATATATGATCCAGTATACGCCCCTAACAGTGTCCTAGTTAGTATTAAAAAGACTAAATTGAATTGATTATATAGTTAGTAGTTTTCTCTTCCTCGTTTTATATAACAAGCTTTGTAATCAACAGTGCTAAGGAAATTGATGAAAAGAAGCAGGAATAGCGAAGTACGTTTAGTCTGATATTTATAGTTTTTGACCCAACCCCCTAACTCTCACACACACACAAATTAAGAAATGGTTCAGATTTTGCGATTGGGGGAGTGATCTCACACATTTTACAAAAAGACTTCATTGTATATAACTATATGAGAAACAATGTCATTTAGGTTTGTAGATGGTCCTATTATTCATGATAGCACAAGAAGCACTTAAGATCAAACAGGCTGGTTCAAATCATGGTTTGAACATTCGTGAAGATAAGCGCTTAATCATTACAATTCTACAAATTATTTTAATTATAAAATATAACATGGGTATAATATAGCAACAAACCAATTAATACGTTTCACTAACCAGCCTATAATTTCTGTTATTATCTAAAGCTAAATAATTAAAGCAGTAAGTAGAGCAATCATCTGTCGATACAGGTTGAACCAAAAGATTCGACATAGAAAAAGAGAGAAGAAGTTGTAATTAAAGATTTAAAAATTTAATTTGTAATATAGATTTTGTCATATTTATCACCAATTTAATATTTTTACAAATCTACAAGAAGAATCAAGAAGATCCTTTAAACAACTGATAAATAAATATATAATGTATATTGTTTAATTAGTGCTAAATTAGATAAAAGATTTCATAGTTATGGTTAGTATCCTGTAAGCCTAAATAGATTAATTAAAATGTTAACAATAAAAGTAGAAAAGGAATTACCCTTACTTTTGAAAAATTGTATACAACTATTCTTTGATTTTCTAAATCAAAATTGAATAAAGGAATGTGGTAGTTTATCCTAGTATTTATAGTTTTTGGAACTCACTGACCATGCCACAGGAAAAAAGCTCCAACGTTAAATATTGAAACATATAACATTTATCAATAAAGTCTTTATTAGTACAGGATATTCATAAGGTTGCAATGTATAGAACTAGTAGAAGTAAGAAAATGAATTGATTACTCTACATTGAAATTGAATTAATAAAATATAATAAATATATATTGTTGTTGTTGAACATACGGTATTTTAAGTGTTGCTAGATATAACACAACTAGTGTTCTTAGTCTAAATAGTTAAATAGTTGACCTAAATAAATTTCATGAAAGGTTAGTACTTTATTATTATAGTAGATTTAAATTAAGAGACCTCTAAAAAGGATATGAAGAATTGAGTGGGAATTTATAGTTTTTTGAAATTAAATTAACCATATTAAAAAATAACACACATTTATGGTCCTTGTTTCAGATTTCGTTTTATCAAAGAAATGATACATAACCAAAATTGAAAATATTGACTTATGATCAATCAATTCTATAAACCCAAGTAGAATTACATGTCTACAATAGGTTAATGAAATAATTAAATATAAAAACCATGTATATTATAGTTGCAGGAACTTAGACATTTACTTATGTTCCAATCCAACGGAGGTGTTTGCACTATAATAGAGTAAGTAGGTTTTCTAAATAGTTATTAAGACGAATCTTAATTGGTTAGAAATAGATGTCATTCGTATAAAAACAACATATCATATGATAAGTGGACAAAAACCCATTTAGAAATAACAATGCTGAAGATTTAAACTAATTAAGAATGTAATGGAATAAAAATAATAATCAGACTTTTCGTGTGGTATTTATAGTTTTTAAAAATATTTGCAGCATCCCCTCACCAATAAAATTTTATTAGTGAGAAAAGGGGTGAACTCTGATAAATTACCAATCAACACAATATAATGAACCAACATCATGATACAAGTAGTTAATCACAATTTGTAAGTTATATGTATTGTGAATCAGTCAATAGATAATGTAAATATTCATTGAGCATAATGTTAGATATTCAAGGAAATCTTGCATATCATGATGAACAATATTAAACGTTAATAGAGTTGATTAAAATTTACAAGTCTACAATGAGGTTTGAATTAATAAATATAATATAAATTTAATACGAACTATAGATTTCAACTATCCATGTATTTAAACGAGATACCTGCTTACCTGCTGTTGTTAGTATGTGACCTATGGAATTAAATTATTGTTGTAGAAACTCCTATACGTATTATGTCAATCTTTAAGTTGCATAGTCTTGAAAGGAAAAGTAATAGAAAGAATTAATCAAAATATTTTATTAGGATTTTATATATTATTTATAGTAAATGTCCACACAAGTAGAAGTAGCTTATATAAATTTAAGATCAAAATTCAAATATTTTGAAAGATGGATGGATGGTTTATTAGAGATTCTACAATTCTACATTGGGTTTAAAGCAGTTAAGAATATAAATAATTATAAATTCGAATATCAATATTAACTTCATTTATTCCTCCAAAATTATCAAAGATATCTTTATCTTTATCTTTTAAGTTAGTATTATATAAATATGTATCCTAAATAGATTGAATTGTTTGTATTACTCGGCATAATTATCTTCTTCGTAACCGTATCAGGACTACTGAAAGAAATGACTTTAGTGAATACAAACAAACTATTCACAAGCAATTAGACATTCTCTATTTATAGTTTTTTAAATTAATTGCAGCACGCACCCACACACAATTAAATTGGTATAGAAATGAGATCCTATGGACTTTTATTCTATGATTATACCTAAGCTATTGATGCTTGAGTTGGCCAAAGTAATATTGAGCTTTGAATTATGATGGAGGTTATGTCTATATTAAAAGTTAACCACGATAATGATCTATCGTTAGCTAGCCTACAAATCTACAATGAATTTTTTAAATTAATAAATATAATAAATATATATTAAACTCCTAGGACATCATACTATTCTCATTCGGAATGTACATCAATGAAATAAGGGCGTACAAAACTTCTTTTATGTTAGTAATTTATCTAAATAAAAACTAAAATCGTAAGTATATATAGCTATTTATATATAGTTAAACTAATATTGTGAACATAGATTTTAAAAAGGGTTTGGAAATGTGGTTCCATGATATATTTATAGTCTTTTTTGATAAGTATTTATTTACATTCTCGTCATTAAGGGATATTTTCAGTTATTGTAAAGTATTGTATAACCATTGTCTGTACATAAAAATTTATCTAGTTTAACTTGATTAAAGCGATATAACTACAATTCTACATAATAGATAAAAAGATAATCATATAATCATATATTAAGTATATATATCCGACACAGAACCATCCGCTTTGCGGCTATCTTCATATTGATGTTCACAATAAGTTTTGCCTAGCTAATTAGTATTAATTAAAAACCCTAGATATTAATAATGTTAGATTATTGAAGGAATAAAACAAAAATTGGATGTTTAAAAATTATGCGTACTTTCTCAAACTATTTATAGTTTTTTAAATTATTTGCAGCACAAAAAAAATAATGGGAAAAGAGGAGGGAGTAATTAGTCTTGAAAGAAATACTAAATAGGTTCTATCTATTGATTATTCTACAATAAAAAGACATTGTTATTAATCTAAACGTTGAGAAGTATATAATATATATCAATCATTTAAATTTCATTATAACTATAATTGTTAGTATTTATATCCTAGATAACAAGTTTTATGTCGATAAGTGTAATTTAACCTTGATTAAATTCACTTATTATCAGCGACATTGAATCAGTTGGTCTATTAAAGTAATTGTAAGATAGTAGATCATATTTTCACCGTTATTTTCAGAGTAATAAACTCTACACAAAGTATAAAATAGTAAAATAAATAAACAAAATTAAATGTATTTAACAGATAGTGTATGTAATCTGTAACTGTACTAGAGGAGGTAGATTATTCTTATTCACTTTTTTTGGTGAGTACGTCATATGATACCTAAATAGACTTATTATTGTAAGTTGAAAATGCATTATGAGCTTCGAGTTTGTTCAAAAGAGACACCCAAGTAAAAGAAAGTATTGGACTGAAAGAATTTTTCAAGCAATTTACCATATTTATATACTTTGAAATTTTGTCAGATCTTAAAATATATAATTGGTATCTATTACGAAACGTTTTCATTGATTATGGGCTTATTATGAGACCAACCAAGTCAAGAGTAAACCATCAATATCAAGTTATATATAGTATAAGCATCAAGAGTTCCTCTCTACATTCTACAGTTAGTATCAAATATATATATAAAACTTTTTATTAAATTATAAAATGTGTGAAGGAATCAATAAACTCCATATCATGCTCTAGCTAAAGGAATGATTGATAACCAAATAGTAACTTATTTCATTTGAACAGAACTTACAAAATGCTTAGGATCCCTATTCTCAGACGAATAAACACTTGACCTAAATCTGTTAGTAGTTGAACTATAAGAAAAACTGTTAAGTAAAAATTATTCTGTATTCAACTATTAAAACATTTCATAGTTAATTGATCATTTCATAAAATGTTATAAAACAAAATGCGTATTTGACTTCATATTTATAGTTTTTTAAATTATTTGCAGCACGTACAACTAAGAAATAATTGTTCATATTACAATTTGGTCACCAGAACCAGAGTGTTTAGTGGTAATAATGTGCTTAAATTTATAATTATACAATATGTAACACTAATTAAATATATATAATTCGTCTATTCAATAAAATATCCAAAAAAGAATGAAATACTTAACTATAATATGCATGCCTAACTCACCTAAAAATTAGTGAAGAATGTGTGCTAGATAAAGAGTCGAATTAGTCAGTAATGTAAATATGCTTTAAACAAGCACAATCTAAATAGAATAGGAGTTATCTCAACACGAAATAGTCAGTTAGATAAAGAATGTTTCTTAAAATTTTAATTTATTCAAATATTTTTGAGACAAATTTATAACATCCCTCTTTTATAAGAAACATAATTTTTTTTACACAGCTTTTACCATAATAACTACAATATTGAAATAATCAGATAAATAAACAAGTAAACATATACATTTCTATCCTACACAACCACCCTATGCCATGGCTTTCCAATCATTGTAAATATTCTTGGATTCACGATATTTAATATCTAAAAGTTGTTATTATTGAACCTAAATAGAAAATATAAGTAAGTAAATTCGAATACAGCAACAAAGTAATCATATTATTCTCATTCTTTTTATCAATAAGGATATAGTTCAAAAACATATGGTATTAATTTGAATATTGACAATTTGGCTCATATTTATAGTCTTTTTTGATTTGTGGTTTTCAATATTTGCAACAAATTTTTGGCTGTTTCAGATTATGCGGATTTGTTGATGATGTATCTAATACAATACATTATGAATTAACTTGAAACCAGTCTATATAGCAAGATGAGTATATAGTAAGAGATATGAATGAACTGTTTGTTTTATCTTAACTTTGGTAGAAATTTATCCTGTTGATGAGTTTTTATTACTCTATCGAGATTAGTCTTAATAAACCATATAAAGTATTAAGCTTACAACTTACACAGTTAGAAACTTTACATAAAGAAAACAAGAGATACACTAAGAAATATCACAACATATAAAAGAACATAGTAATAATAATGTGTTTAAAATTATAAATCTACAATACGTCCATGTAATAATATATATAATATGTTTATTAATAAATGTTGAGTATCTTCATGGATAATTATAAGAAAGTTTTAACTGAGGTAAAATCATGCTGCCGTTTCCTATTAACAAAAGATACATCCTTTTTATCTATAAGTTAGTAAAGCAATTGTCCGAAATAAATGGTAATAATCCTTAAAGCTGGATAGCTATAGGATAACTAACTGAAATCAAAGTGGTGTTTTCAAAACTTAATGCTTGGATTGATAATTTTTATTTAAGGAAATCCAAATGTGTAAAACTTTACTTTTTTGATCGCTTTGTGGAGATCAAGGGATATTTTTATGAATTTGTGTAAATTTAATACCTATCATATTAGTGATAGATTTAAGTACTATATGGTTAAACTATCATCGATCATCATAGAATCTAATTAATAGTTAATAAATTCACAAATTTACAATTCTACAAAACTAAAATAAATAACTAATAATTAAAATTATATATTAATTGCATTTGTACGCTGTCATAGGAAACTGATAAAAGAAAGTTTTGCCCAAAACCAGTAACAAACATTAGCAAACTATAAATATATTCTAAATCCTAAATAAATTCAATAATGTTAGTATGGTAAAAATAACCTAATTAGTAAAGACTTCAATCCTAAATAGATCATACAAAGAAGAGTCAAGATAAACTACCAAGTTAACTTTTCGATCTTTATTTCTTGATTTGAAAGGCAATAGAATTTCTATACGCTTTTCAAATGCCTTATACCATTTATCTTATTTCGTTTATAAAAATTAATTACCGCAAATACAAGAAAAAAATGCAAAAAAAAGTGTAAAGAAAAAACTGCGCCTGAATTGATATATATAAACTCTTACTATACTACTATTATCCCTTTTTTAACATTGTTACAACGATTGATTCTGATAATTTAGAATAAGGATCAAGAACATGAGATATTTTATTGTAAATAAACTATAAGCTTCCGTGTGTCACATTGAAGAAACAAGGAGGAATTATTCGAGGGCATAGAGATAAAGTTGCAGCCATAGCCTGAGCCAAGAAAACAAAAATATAAAAAAAACCATTGTGGAGATCAAGTTGTAATGAAGAATTTAATTAACTACATGAAAAGAGTTTTTGCCTTGTTGTCGTACCCTTGCTACTCAGCCAAATAATCAAATTAAACATGGAAAAGAAGAAATAGAATTAATTGACGGAAACGCGCTCTAAACGCATTTCCAGATTAGGCAAATTGCGAGATCACAAAATTTTGACTTCAAAGATGATGAGCATTAAAAGCCACCAAGTAATTTAACCTTAATGTGTGGTATCTAATTGATGAGAGAATATACAATAGGATAAAATAATTTTACTTGACTGTTAGATCATATAATCTCTATAATAATTAAACTCATGATGGTAATATATTATGATCATTTGATGATGATAAAAAAAATTTCTTTTTTAAAATTAAATTAAATTAAAAAAAAAAGAAACGGAATAACGCAAAAAAAGGTACGCCTTAAGGACGAGACATTTCACGACGCGCGACATTTATGATAAGTTGATTGGCGTGGTTACTACTGGACAAAACGGATCATACAAGGTCAGGGAAGAATAATGATAAATAATGACCCAAACTTTATCTGAATTAAGTAATCGTCATGTGAATAAGTAAATAAATCAAAACGTATATATCGTAATATAAATATAAGCAAAATAAATGGAGAATAAAGCTTTTTTGAAACTAAGGAATCATACGGAATATAATTGGGGGAGAGAAATAGAGAGAGCAAACTTAATACTAGTAATAAGGAATGAACTAACTAAATAAGAGTACAAAATAGAAATTGATAAAACGCGGAATTACTGTATCTAATATAACTTAGTGGTAGTATCTATCTATCTATCTATCTATTCATCCATTCTAATGAACGGCTCATAATGGTACAAAAGGTTAACCCATCCACAGTAACTCTCTGTTGTCTGCCATGAAAGATGGGATATATGGCCTGCATATAAAAGATTAGCATAGCCCTGATTTTAATTCTTTTTTTTTTTTTTCTTTTCTTCATTTTTTTTGTGGTTATTTTTGAGGTGAGTTTTAGATTTTATTATATATATATTAATGGAGCCTGAGCCTGATAATTGTATAGTTACAAATTGAAAAGAGTGACTTAGCAATCTGAATTTTTTAGTTAGCATAGCTCAGCTTAGTTCAGGTCAGCTTAATTGTTTAGTTTTATTCAGGGTGTAATCATTCATCTTTTGTGTATTAACTGTATTGTTGGCTTAATCATTTTTTTTTAACAGCCAAAGCCTTCAATTCACGAGATATTCATTCAAGTTTAATCTATAAACGATAATATACCAATAGTTGGTTATACTTTTATACTTCCGGCATTTATCCGTTATTAGAGAATAAACCAATAATACCACCATCATTCTTCATAGTAACCATCATATATATATATATGAAATCAGTATTTGTTCTGACCTTGTCCTTCCAAATTTAGAGCCGTTCTAATTTCATTTCATTTCAGTTGAATATTTTACACTAAATAAATATTAACTACTATCATCATCATCATCATCTTTATTTGCATTTGATAACTTTATCGCCTCCTTCTTCCTTTTTCATTCCATTATAAATTTTATCATCTTTCCTCATTTCAATTTTCATTCCATCTTTTGAACACATATACTATATCATGGCTCCATTAACACCTGCTGATAAAATTGGCAACTCAAACTTTTTATCTCCTAATAGTATCCTCAATAGTCGAGTGAATGACGATGATGAAGATCCAGGATCTATTTCAGATGCTGCTAGTGTAAATTCAACTACACCTTTAAATAACGAAGACATTACTGAAGATGCCATCCAATTATCAACTTCAAATGATCCATCATCTCCCATTCATAAATTAACTACCAGATTAACCATCTCATCCAAATACGATACACCATTAATAACCCCAGAAGAGTTAACCACTTTACATGATCCAAAATCTTTAAAGACTTTATATGAGTTAGGTGGATTCGATAAATTAACTCATCTTTTACATACCGATATACGACACGGTTTAAATGATCATGATCATCAAGATTTCCAATCCAGAATCCATAATTTTGGTGCCAATAGATTACCTGTGAAAGCTCAACGTTCATTTCTTCGATTATGTTTCGAAGCTTTAAAAGATAAAGTTTTGATTTTATTATCCATCGCTGCCGTGGTTTCATTGGCTTTAGGGCTTTATGAAACTTTTGGTGAAGGAACAGAATACGACGATGAAGGTAAGGCTTTACCTAAAGTTGATTGGGTTGAAGGGGTTGCTATTTTAGTAGCTGTTTTCATTGTGGTTGTTGTAGGTGCTGGGAATGATTATCAAAAGGAACGTCAATTTGCTCGTTTAAATGCTAAAAAGGAAGATCGTGAATTAATCGTGCTTAGAGATGGTCAACAAAAATTAATCTCAATTTATGATTTATTAGTAGGAGATATTATTAATTTACAAACTGGGGATGTTGTTCCTGGTGATGCTATTTTATTCCAAGGTGAAGTTGAATGTGATGAATCAGCTTTAACTGGTGAATCAGAATCCATTAATAAAGTCCCCGTCAATGATGCTATGAACATTTATGAAAATTATTTACCTACCAATGAAGATTTAGGTTCCTCCACTATTAAATTCCGTGATCCATATTTAATTTCTGGTGCTAAGGTATTAAGTGGATTAGGTAATGCCGTTGTTACTGCCGTTGGGGTTAATTCCATTCATGGTAGAACCATGTTAAGTTTAAGACATGAGGCTGAAACTACTCCTTTACAAGAAAGATTAGATAATTTAGCTGAAGGTATTTCCAAATATGGGTTCTTAGCTGCCTTATTATTATTCGTCATTTTATTCATTAGATTCTGTATTAATATTACTGGTGATCATAAAAATAGTAACTTAATCCCTACTGAAAAAGCCAAAAACTTCATTAATATTTTAATTACCGCCGTTACTATCGTCGTGGTGGCTGTACCTGAAGGTTTACCATTAGCTGTTACTTTAGCCTTAGCTTTTGCCACTACTAGAATGGCTCAAAATGGTAATTTAGTCAGAGTGTTAAAATCTTGTGAAACTATGGGTGGAGCTACTGCTATTTGTTCTGATAAAACTGGTACTTTAACTGAAAATAAAATGAGAATCGTAAAAGGGTTTTTCGGATTAGATTCTGAATCAAATACTCCTTTTGAATTCGATGATTCTTCTAATGGAGATGGGCCAAAATCAACTCAAATCATTAATCAATTATCTGATGATTTAAAAGTATTTGTGTGTACTAATATTTCTTTAAATTCAACTGCGTTTGAAAATGGGGATTATGATCCAAAACAAGCTGAATTAGCTAAACAAAGACCTCCAAAAAAGACATTCTTTCAAACTTTATTCACATCAAGTAAATCTCATGAAGATCAAATTAAAATGGGTCAAGTATCTGAACCTTATTTAGGTAATAAGACTGAATCAGCATTATTAATATTAGCCGCTGACAAATTCAATCTTTTTAATAAAATGAATTTAGAACAACATCGTCAACAATCTCAACCTGATATAGTTCAAGTCATTCCCTTTGAAAGTTCAAGAAAATGGGCTGGTGTTGTAATGAAAATCAATAACGGATATAGATTATATGTTAAAGGTGCTGCTGAAATCGTATTTAAAAATTGTGGATTTGAATATAACAATACTGGTGAATTAATCAAATTAGATAGAAAATTACGTGATCTTTCCTTACATAAAATTGATGAATATGCCAATGATGCCTTAAGAGCTATTGCTTTAGGTCATCGTGATTTCGTTAATATTTCACAGTGGCCACCTGCTGAATTCATTGATCCAAATCATGATAATGAAGCTGATGCAAACCTTTTAGTTAATGTTAGTGCTACTGCTTCTTCTACCAAACCATTAACTCTTGATGCTTTAGTTGGTATTCAAGATCCATTAAAGGATGGCGTGGCCGAAGCTGTGTTAAAATGTAAATTAGCTGGTGTTACGGTTAGAATGGTTACTGGTGATAATTTAATCACTGCTAAAGCTATTTCTAAAGGATGTAATATTTTAACTTCTGAAGATTTATCAAATGAATATGCTTTTATGGAAGGTCCTGAATTCAGAAAATTATCTCCAGCAGAGAGAACTAGAATCGTACCTGAATTAAAAGTCCTTGCAAGATCATCTCCAGAAGATAAACGTATTTTAGTTGATACTTTACGTAAAGCCGGTGAAGTCGTTGCTGTTACTGGTGATGGTACTAATGATGCTCCAGCTTTGAAATTAGCCGATGTTGGTTTCTCTATGGGTATTGCTGGTACTGAAGTTGCCAGAGAAGCATCTGATATTATTTTAATGACAGATGATTTTACTGATATTGTTCAAGCCATCAAATGGGGTAGAACTGTAGCTACTTCAATTAAGAAATTCATTCAATTTCAATTAACTGTTAATATCACTGCCTGTGTTCTTACTTTCGTATCAGCTGTGGCCTCCTCAAACAATCAATCCGTCTTAACAGCTGTTCAATTGTTATGGGTTAATTTAATTATGGATACTTTAGCTGCATTAGCTTTAGCTACTGATAAACCAGATGAATCATTATTAAACAGAAGACCAGCAGGTAGAACAGCTCCTTTGATTTCCACATCGATGTGGAAAATGATTATGGGTCAGGCTCTTACTCAATTAATTATTACTTTCACCTTACATTTTGCTGGTCGTCAAATCTTTTATGGAGCAGGTGCCGTCCTTGATAGTCATGCCAATAAACAATTAGATGCTATGACATTTAACACTTTTGTGTGGTTACAATTTTGGAAATTATTCGTTACTAGAAAATTAGATGAAGCTGATGAAGTCACTACTGTTAGAGGTAGAATGACACGTGAAAATTTAGATTTCTTCCAACATTTGTTCAGAAATTGGTATTTTGTTGTCATTGCCGCTATCATTGGTGGTTGTCAAATCTTGATTATGTTTGTTGGTGGTGCTTCGTTCAGTATTGTTAGACAAACTGGTCCACAATGGGCAACTGCAATGATTTGTGGATTTATTAGTATTCCAGCTGGTCTTCTTATTAGATTGATTCCAAATTGGTGGGTTGAAAAGATTTTCCCTACCAAGGCGTTCTTTACATTTTTATATTATGTCGGATTTGGATGGTTAAGTGCTAAAAAGAGAGCTGCTCGTAGAGGAGATTTAGAAAAACATAGTGATGACGAAGAAGAAGTTGAAGAACATAGCTTAAAACAAATCAATTAGATTCCTTTTATATATTATTTATTGTATTATATTTATTTGTATTTAGACAAAACAAAAGTATTGATGAATTCAATCCACTTTGTAGAATCATACTAACCTTTACAAAAGAGAACAAATTATGGGTTGGATCTCTAGATCTGTATGGGGCTCACCTCTAATTTTGTCGTTTTTTTGCAGTTTATTAAGAGTTCCAAACCACACTTTCCTAATTGGGACTGGTGACAAATTAAACCAAAGAAAAAAAGTAGAACCAGAAAATAAAAAGGCAAATCAAACAGGAAAATTTTTCAATTACGACAACTTCATATCACACCATATCAAAGGCACAAGTTAGTAGTATGGGTATCACATCCGAGTTAGAGGCTAATAGAGTCCAAGAATTAGACGAACTTCTTACTATTTTGAAACCTCGATTATTAGAATATATCTCGAAATCCGATCCCAACTCATCTAATTATCAACTGGATTCATTAGGGAATTATCAAGAACCCCAATTTTTAAAAACTCAGTTTTTTAAATATACTGAAGATGAATTGACCAAACCGGTGGCTAATACCGATGAATTGTTTGCTGTTATTGATAAAGTATTGCAATATTCCGTTAATACTTGGAATCCGGGGTTTATGGATAAATTATATGCGTCAAATAATCCTATTGGGGTGATATCTGATATTTTATTATCAGTTCTTAATACTAATAGTCATGTTTATACTGTATCACCTGTTTTATCAGTGATTGAGAATTATATCGGTAGAAAATATGCATCTTTATTTTTCACTAATAATAAAACTACATGTGGTGGATTAACCTTTTCAGGAGGTTCATGGTCAAATATTACTTCATTACAAATGGCTAGAAGTTTGAAATTCCCTGATACTAAATTAAAAGGAAATGGTAATTATAAATTCGCCATTTATACTTCTAAGCATTGCCATTATTCAGTAGAAAAGGCTGCAATCTTGTTAGGAATTGGAGCTAATTCCGTATTTAAAGTTGATATTTCAGATGATGGATCAATGAATATTGATTCCTTACAAGAAACCATCAATAGAACCATTAAAGAAGGGTATACTCCGCTTTATATCAATGCTACTGCTGGTACAACTGTTTTTGGATCATATGATCCATTTGAAGCCATTTCCAAGATTGCTCACAAACATAATATTTATTTCCATATTGATGGATCATGGGGTGGAAATGTGATATTCTCTGACGAACATAAATATAAATTAAAAGGATGTGAACATGCTGATTCTATAACCGTTAATCCTCATAAGATGTTAGGTATACCCAATACCTGTTCATTTTTATTGATTCCTCATGTGGGTAATTTCCAAACTGCTATGAGTTTACAAGCTCCATATTTATTCCATGGACGTGAAGATGATGACGATGAGAATTATGATTTAGCAGATGGAACCATGGGATGTGGACGTCGTGCTGATTCATTCAAGTTTTATATGGCTTGGTTATATTATGGATATGAAGGATTTCAAAAAAGAATCAATCATGCTTTTAAGATTGTAGAATATTTCGTTACTCAAATTAAACAAGATTCAAGATTTAAATTGATTATTGATGATCCTCAATGTTTCCAAGTTTGTTTCTATTATAAACCTAAATCATATAAAAGTCATGATAATACTGATATTACTAGATTTATATCGAGAGAATTACATAAATTAGGAAAATATTTAGTTGATTTTTCACCAAATCCAACTGCTAAGCCTAAAGAAAATGAAGAAAGAGGTGAATTTTTCCGAGTTGTGTTTAATTCCCCAATTTTAACCGATAAAATCATTGATGATTTAATTTCAAGTATTATTAAAGTCGGTAAACAATTCGAATTTGAAAATTAAGTTCTGAATTTTTAGTCATGCCAGCCGTTATGAATGAAATCAGTCAAGCGTAGTCGTCGTATCTCATCACCTTATTAGGTATAGAATATTTATTAGACCATAGATAGATAGTACAAAACATTAGATTACAATTAGCCGTTAAATTAATTGATTATTTATTTACAATACATTACATACATTATAATCCATACGACCTAACAATGATGCATTAATCCTATCGAATCGAAATAAACGTAACATAACAATTCAATTCGGATTCCTTCATTATCGACAAAAGATTAAGGACATTCAATTTTCATTGTTTGTGAAATTTGGGAATAATAAGAATATTTTTTAATTGAGGAATCAGAGATAAGAGATAAGCCCGGTTTTATTCATATCGTTCAACCAAAATTACATGATAAAAAATTATGTTTAATGCTGGTCGTTAACTGGCTGCTAAATCGAATCATTAAACCCTCCTTGACCCACCCCTTGATCCAAAGAAATTACTCATCTAAAGCATATTCACTTACATTAGTGATTGAACTTATGATTCAATTATTAGAGTATACGATTATATAGGACAGAGTTTCCATATCGAGTTCAATAAAGGACCATCTCGTAAATTTCCCTATCGTAACCAACCAACCAACCAAATCAAACGAAAATTAGATCTAATTTGGGTTTATTGTAATTAAGTAATTCCCTACTCCTTCCCTCTAACCATAATCCCTCCTGACCGCTCGCTGGTATTGTCGATGTTTTCGCCTATTCAGGTCAATGGACAAAGGACCAAACATTGTATAATTAAGAATAGGTTTTGTGATATTAGAGGGTAATCTATAAAATTATAAAAGGTAAATGAAATGATACCGAATTTAATGTAACATGAAACAGGTTACATTTTTTTCAGTGACATTTTTTTTTTCTGTTTTGACTTACTTAGTACCAATTTTAAATTTTGCAATAATAAATTAAAAGATTGGATCTGTGTTAGCGGTTCATGAAAGATATACCAAGATTGAAAGGTGGAAGGAGTAGGTTATGGATATAACATGGTTTACTTAAAAATTTTTGAATGGAGACGTTGTATTTGAATAAGCGAATTACTAAAAACCGCGTTATTTACGTAGATTAAAGTAGAATATGCAACCATGAATGAGGAAATCTAAGTAGGTTTATAAATGGTCAGTCAGTGAGTAACGAGATAAACGAAATAAGAAACAATGAAAGAGAGGTAGAATCAAAAAGGCTAATGAATGAATCAATGAATGAGGATATTTTTTTGTGGGGAACTGAGCATTAATATAAAAGTTAAAACTTGAGAGTACGAAGAATAAGCTTTTAATAATTGGGGTTTAGTTCATGGTGATTTTTCTTAATTTGTGGAGAGGTGTAGAGTAGAGTAGATGGAACCAGGTTATTAAACATGAGATAATCGATGTTAGTTTGTTTGTTTGTTTATACATTCAATTATGGGGAAGATCATAATTGAGGATAAAGTTACAACGGTACAAAAGATGGAGTGAGCAGACAAAGTTTAAAAATATACGGGTGAGATGATGAGTTTTGGTTAGGAAATAGAACATATATGTAGATCATATGAGATGGTTTTTTATTTTGTTTATTGTCCATAGTGATTAGGTTTGACATGGTAACACTGGAGTAAATAGGATACGTGGACAAGTAATTTGATAGCTGATTTACTATACATAAACTAAAACTATCGTCTAACTAAGACATATGAAAATCTGGAGTGGGAGAGAGTAAATCAATTAATTATAGTTGGGGAATATATTTTAAGATTGAATTTAAATGTATTCAAATAAAATCAAACTCCATTGTAACATTTCAGGACACTTGGAGAAAGATCTGCTAGGTATATACAACTTTAACTATTAGATGTAATTAATATAGTTTAATCCTATATTCACACGATCAGATCTAGTAAAATTATTGAAATAGGGTTCCCGTATAAAACCATTTATTTTTAACAACCCTTTCAAAAAAGTGTAACCTCAATTTTGGTTACATTTAAATTTGGTGAGCTAATTAGAATTAGTAGTGGGGAGTTGTATGCAGGATATTGATTTCTATAGCGGTAGTTTGTTGTTGTAAAGTGGTTAGCGGCGTTTTTTTAGTGATTCCTTTGTTTAATAGGAATTTTAACCCGCAAGCCAATGTACCAACAATTTATTACGATGTAATTTTAATTAATTGAAAATTCTTGAATGAATGATGGTAATGTGGGGTTATGGATGGGGGAATGAATTGGATGAGAAAGGATTGGCTTACAGTATGTAATTATAGAAATAAGATGAGTAAATCAAAATATTGACAGAGGTAACAAAATAAAAATAAAAAATTACCGAAACTAAGAAAGAAGCCGTTTACTAAAGTAAAGAAAATAATAATATAATATAACCAGTAGTTTGTTGATACCGGAGTTTAATTGAATTTAGATAGTTACAGCGAGAATATGATGATTTAAGGGATGAATAGGATAGGATAACAGAGTAAAATAAGGATAATAAGTAGGGATAATATATAACCATATAAAATAAAATGAGTGAGTGAGTTCTTATCTTATCATAAGTTTGAATCCAGTAATTTAACTGGGTACATAATGTGAAGTAACTCTTTACAACAAGCGAAGACGACGACGACGACGACGACGACCACTAGAACTCTACACTGTAAAACTGAAAGACGGCCACAAACCTAAAAAAAGAAATGTTTTTATCATCTCATACAGTATGCAGGATAATTAACTATTAGTTTTTTGTAAATAAATGACCTGCATATATTATAGTTCACAATCTCACATTTGACAACAATGCCAATGCTTAATGAATGATGTCTCTATCATACCATACAACATGGAGGTTTAGACAAGACATAGTATGATTCTGGTGGGTGAGGATGATGATCTGTTGTTGTTTCTAGTAACTACTACTACTGGTAATCCTGGGGTATGGATTGAATGATAGATAGATAGATTGATTTGATTGAATGATTGAATGTTGATTAACTAATGAGGGTTTAGCCTTACGTTGGTTGTAAAAAAAAATATGTTACATTTAACCATTTAAAAATGTAACATTTAAAAATAATGAGGGTTACATTTTTTTAAAAAATTATAACGTCTTGTTAACATTTACTTGATTTAGATTTTCACTTTAGAGGGCTTCTGCTGCTTAATTTGATTGATTATCTCTCAATGTATGATATCAAGATTTAACTTTATTAGTGGGATAACTCATAATTTTGACAGTACATACAACTAACTAAGAGGTTGCTTTTACTCCATACTCTCCATATTTTTATTAAAAAAGCTTACCTCTCTTTTTAAAAAAAATTATTTACTTTATCAATCTTGATATAAATAATCAGTTATCTTCCCAAACTTTTACCAATTCTTTATTTTTGTTTTAATTCCTTTTTATTATCATCACAACTCATCATTACAACTACTAGTATAACTACTACTACAACTACAACTACTACAACTTCTCATTCATCCATCCTTCTTTGCATATCTACTATTACTACTACTTATATTTATCGCATTTAATAATCTCCCTTCAATTCTTTATCTTTCCCATTATTTATTTTAACAAAATCAATTACTATTAATTATTACAACTACAATGTCAAGTACTGATGAAAAGAAATTGGAAATTCATTCCTCCACCGGTGAATCTTCGGGTCTCGAAGAACATATCGCCTTAAAAAGACATACTGAAGAAGAAATTGAATCTTCTGGTTTATGGTATGATAAGAAAAGATCTATTGGTCTTTTCTCCTTCAGATACTCAAGTGCCATGACTCAAATCGTCATGTTAGCCTTTGTTTTATTTATGACTTCTGGTATGTTCAACTCTCTTTCTGGTATTGGAGCTTCTATTTCAGATGTCGCTACTTCAGATAATGCTAATGTTGCCTTATATTCAACTTTTGCTTCGATTGGTTTCTTCGGTGGTACTATTTGTAACACCATTGGTGTTAAACCATCTTTAATCTTTGGTGGTTTCGGTTATGCTTTATATGCTGCTTCTTTATTCGTTTTCAATAGAGTTGAAAATAAAGGGTTCGTTATCTTTGCTGGTGCTTTCTTAGGTCTTTGTGCTGCTGTCTTATGGGCTGCTCAAGGTACCATCATTATGTCTTATCCAACTGAAGATAAAAAAGGTAGAGCCATTATGATTTTCTGGATTATCTTTAATTTAGGTGCTGTTATTGGTGCCATTGTTCCATTAGCTAATAATATTGAAAATCAAAATACTGGTGCTGTTTCAAATGGTACTTTCGTTGCTTTCATTATTTTAATGTGTTTAGGTTCAGTTATTGCTTCATTCATGTTACCAATGGAAAAAGTTTGGAAAACTGATGGTACAAGAGTTATGACTCAAAAACATCCAAATTGGAAAACTGAATTAATTGGTTTATGGAAATTATTAATTAGTGAACCAAAAATCTTATTATTATTCCCAATGTTCTTTGCTTCTAATTGGTTCTATACTTATCAATTTAATGATTTCAATGCTGGTAGATTCAATGTTAGAACCAGATCATTAAACTCTTTATTATATTGGGCTTCTCAAATGGGTGGTTCCGTCGTTATTGGTACTATTTTAGATTTAAAAAGATTTAAAAGATCCACTAGAGCTAGAATTGGTTGGGTTATTGTTTTCGTCTTAGGTATGGGTATCTGGGGTGGAGGTTTAAAATTCGCTTTACAATTCGATAGATGGGATGTTAATGCTGCAAACCCAGATGCTTTAGTTCCAATTGATTATACTCATGGTAATTATATCGGTCCAATGTTCCTTTATATGTTCTATGGTGCCTTTGATGCTATTTTCCAATCTTTTATTTTCTGGACTTTAGGTGCTTTATCAAACAATCCAAAAAAGACTGCTTTATACGCTGGTTTCTATAAAGGTATTCAATCTGCTGGTGCCGCTATCGCTTGGAGATTAGATGCCATTGCTATCCCATACATGGATTTATTCGGTTCAGCTTGGGGTTTAACCAATGGTTCTTTATTAATTGCTGCTCCATTGATTTTATTCAGAATTACTGATACTACTGAAGCTGAAGCTGATGGTATTACTCAAATCATGGAAGATTCAGAATTAACCGTGGTTAAATCTACCACTGATCATGTTGAAGAAGCTTAAGCATCATTATCATTATTATTATTATTATTTTCTTGTTGAAATACTTTGTGATGACTTGTTTTTGATGACTTGTTTTTTGGGTATATCTTTTAATCAATCTTTTTTAAAGCTTTTTCCATGTTTCATGAATGATAGTTTAATTCCAAATCTTTTATCATTATCTACTACTACTACTTACTACTTCCCCGTTTAATATTATTTTTTATTTTGTTATTTTTTTTAGAAGCAAGTTTTCATATTAGAAATATAATCGATACAAATTTAGACATAAACAAAGATCTTGTGTTTTAATCCATATATGTGTTGATGCTTAAAAAAGGGTATAAAAATTGATCAATTCCTAAATTATATACTTCTTTACTTATCTTTTCCTTCTTTCTTTCTTATCTTGTTTAGTTTATCTTATCTTAGTTTGTTGTAACTGTCTCTATTACAATACATTTTTATTATTATCTTTGAACAATTCACTTCAATCTTGTAGTTTAAAAAATCTAAATCATTTCTTACAACTGAAACTGCTACCATGTCAAAATATTAAAGTAATATATAAGCATGTAACCCCACCAAGTTACCCCACTCGAAACCACACAACCCCAGATGACATACGCATAACACCTCTACCTATGCTTAATTAAACTATAACCATGCATATATCCCCATCCAATATTGCATTTATGAGGCATGTGGTGACGTTGTATTTTATGAAACCTAGATTGCTTACCCTTTAGACCGATTTTAAGAAATTTTGACGGCGTATTCTAATTTCTGTAACGTCGCACAAATTGAGGGTCATAAGGCGATTTTACTTACTATATAGGTGGGTGAATTTCTTTTGTTTATATATGTCAGTGTTGTTCCACTCTTATGTGGGGGTTTGGTCTTGTGAGCTATGAATTTTGCCTTTTAGTTACACTCGTACTTTGTTTAAAATGTTCTTTTTTATTTATTCATGTAGGTGTTTGCAATTGGTGTAAGGCTGGAGTTGTGGCATCAAACTCGTTAACGTAATCTTTAATGTCAGATCTTGTTCGTTTAAGGGGAATCTTAATACTTGACATGTGTAATGCGTTTGAAGTCTGTTCATAACCTTATAGATAGACTCCAATTGATAACTGCCATGTCTACGGGGTCCTATATTATATCGTTCTATATATATTCATTTGCAACTGTATGTTAAGTTAGTGGTGATTTATGTGCAGGATCCAAGATGGGTTCTCTATTTGAAAAATAAAAATAACCAAAGCTTTAACCAAATATCAGTAATTACAATCAAATTACAACGAATTACAGAGGGAATAAACAATAATGGTGATAGATAATGATTCCTTATACTTGTATAATCTCACTTTGAAGCATTCTCTGTCGTTTAATCTTTCACTTTTGGGACAATTCTTAGGAGATAAGAAATCACAGGAGATTGTCGTTATATCATCTACTATTCAATTATTGAAACCAGATGTTAATACGGGAAAGATTGAGATTATTAGTACTCAGAATGCTTTAGGTGTGGTTAATTGTATCGATAAATTGAGAATCATAGGGACTCAGAGAGATTTGTTGGTTTTAACTAGTGATTCTGGAAATTTGTCAATCTTGGAATATAAAGATAATAAATTCATATCAAATTATCAAATTGGCATTACCAAATCAGGATTTTCAAGAATTAATCCTGGTGAATATTTACTAGTGGATCCTCAAAATAGATGTATCTTAGTAGGAGCCATTGAAAAGAATAAATTGATCTATAGGATTCAATCCAATGAAGATGGGAAACTTGAATTATCATCTCCATTAGAAGTCAATACCAAACATTTATTAACCGTCAATATGACTGCTCTTGACAGTGAGTACGATAACCCTATATTCGCTGCTATAGAGTGTGATTATGGTGTGTATCAAGATGATGAAGAACTATATGATCCTCAGAGTACACCACTTCAATTAAATTATTATGAATTTGATCAAGGTTTAAATCATATCATAAAACGAAAATCAAAATCATCCATCCCGGCATCGGCATCTCATTTAATCCCACTTCCAGGTCATATAGGTGGTGTTCTCATCTGCTGTGAGAATTACCTCATTTACGATTCACCCAATAAGAATATCGAACGTATATATTTACCCATCCCAATACGACAAACATCAACTACATCCATTATAATCAATCATGTTTTACATCGGTTGAAGAAGAATAATTTCTTTATCTTATTGCAAAGTTCTAATGATGATTTATTCAAATTAACAATGGATTATAATAATGATACCGAAGTGATTGAGAAATTCAATATTTTTTATTTCGATACTATTCCAGCTTCAACATCATTAAATATTCTTAAGAGTGGATTCTTATTCGCTAATGTTCTTAATAATGATAAATTATTTTATCAATTTGAAAAATTAGGTGATGATTCAACCGAAACTATCATATCATCGATAGATTATCCTGATTTAGAATCGATCAACAATATAGATACCGCAAATGTAAGTTTTGAATTGAGAGGGTTGGATAATCTAGCATTGGTGGATGTGATCGACACTTTAAGTCCTATTACTGACAGTTCATTTGTTGAGGTTCATTCTGATACATCTCCTGATCCTATAAAACAATTATTAACTTTATCATCACATTCATATTTAAAGAGTTTGATTCATGGTGTGCCTGTTTCAACCCTTGTTACATCTCCCTTACCAATCATACCTACAGATGTATTCACCACTAAATTGTTTTCAAAATCAACCAATGATGAGTATCTAGTAATAACATCCTCATTATCTTCCAAAACATTGGTATTATCTATTGGAGAAGTGGTTGAAGAAGTTGAAGAATCAGAATTTGTCCTGGATCAAATCACGATCGGAATACAACAGGTTGGTACGTCATCAATAGTACAAATATATTCCAATGGTATTAAACATATCAAACATATCAAAAATGATGATGGGGAAACTATCGACAGGAAAACTACTGACTGGTTCCCACCTGCCGGTATTACAATCTTAAAAGCAAGTAGTAATAATAATCAAGTCATTATTGGACTTTCGAATTCAGAAATAAGATACTTTGAAATAGATCAATCCGATGATCAATTGATTGAATATCAAGATAAAATCGAATTATCAAGTCCTATAACAGCATTAACCATTGCTGATTCAAGAAACGTCAAGAAAAGTTTATTCGCCATTGTAGGTTGTTCAGATGAAACTATTCAAGTCTTATCCTTACAGCCTCATAATTGTCTTGAAATCCTTTCCTTGCAAGCATTATCATCACATAGTACATCACTATTATTAATTCTGGATAAAGATGGTAAATCAACCGTTCATATCGGAATGGATAACGGTTTATACGTCAGAACTGCCCTTGATGAGATTAATGGAGGTTTGTCAGATACCAGAATTAAATATTTGGGTTCCAAACCTGTAAGTTTATCATCAGTTTCATTAGCTACCATCCCGCAAGCGGTATTGGCAGTCTCTTCCAAACCTTGGATATGTTATAATCTTAATGAGAGTTATAAGGTGACGCCATTGTTAGGTACGAAATTATCGAAGGGGGTTTCATTCATTTCAGAAGATATTGGTGGTGAAGGTATCGTTGCTATTGATGGTAATGATTTGATTATTTTCACCATTGGAGAGGAGGATACTGTATTTGATCAAAATCAAGATTTCAATATCAAAAAGTTGAAATTGAGATACACTCCTCGAAAATTAGTGGTTGATAATAGTTCTCTGACTGCCACTAATAAAGTTGTGTACATTGCAGAATCTGATTTTGGAGTTAAGGGTCCATATCCATCATTTCAGTCTACTGAATCAACTAAACAAGAGATTGATGAAGAGTATTTTGATGCATTTGGATATGCTAAAAAGCTAAATTCTTGGGCTACTTGTATTCAAGTTGTAAATATCGTTAATGAAGAAGCTAACGAAATCATCCAATCACTCGAATTTCTTAATGATGAAACAATCTTATCTATGACTAAGATTAAATTTGAATCAACAGGTAGCCATGAACATTTAATTGTGGGAACATCAACCAACCAGAAATTCTTACCCAATTCATGTGATGCAAGTCATTTATACACTTTTAAGATAAACCCCAAGAAACAACTGACTTTAGAATTTATTCATAAGACAGAATTAGATGAACAACCAGTAGCCATAATATCCTTCAAAGGAAAGTTATTAGTCGGAATGGGTAAATATTTACGATTATACGATCTTGGTCAAAAACAATTATTAAGAAAATCTTCTACAAATATATCATACCTCACCAATATCACTAAGTTGGTTTATCAGGGAGGATATAGAATCGTTATTGGGGATGCTCGTAACTCGATCGTGTTTGCCAAATTCGATGATGAAGAAAATATCTTTATTCCATTTGCAGATGATATCGTCAAGAGACAAATCACTTCATTGTCAAAATTAGATTATAATACTGTGATTGGAAGTGATAAATTCGGTAATGTATTCGTATCACGAGTTCCACCTCTTATATCTCAACAATCTGATGAAGATTGGAGTTTAGTCAAACATCAAGATTCCTATTTAAATGGATCAGGATCGAGACTTGATAATATTTGTGAGATTTATTTACATGATATAATTACTTCTTTCCATAAAGGAAGTATCAATATGGGAGGTCAAGAAAGTATTATATATAGTGGATTACAAGGTACTATTGGATTATTATTACCATTAGCTAGTAAACAAGAAGTTGAATTCTTGAATAAGTTGGAATTAACCCTTCGAAAGTATTTTAATGAAGATGATGATAATTTAGGGATTAATTTATTAGGAAGGGATCATTTGAAATTCAGAAGTTATTATAATCCGGTGAAGAACATCATTGATGGAGATTTAATTGAGAAATTCTTTGCTTTACCTCAATCTACTAGGATCAAGCTTTCTCGAGAAGTAGATAGAACTCCAAAGGATATTGAAAAGAAAATCAGTGAATTAAGAAATAGATCAGCATTTTAATCTGTTTATCTCTCTCTCTTACATAGTTTAAATTTTTCAGTTCGGTTTTATATAGAAAATGTATTATTTTTAAAGGTTATAATTAATTGTATATATTTACTTCCATAAAAGGAAAGTTTTGTCATAGAAAAATAGAAATTATCTATCAATACAGTTTTTTAAAAGTTGCTTTAAGAATATGACATATCTTAGAAACCAACAATAACAATCTAACCGTAAAGATAACATTAATGAAATGTACATATGGATGATTCGAATGGAAATAAAAGAATAACAAAAAAAAGGGAGGGATAATATTATACACGATAAAGACGATATAAACAACGATGAATTTTACAACAACAATGTAACAGGCGATTATCAATCAGATGGGATAACAATAATAATACGTGAATGGAATGAAGAATTAAAAAAATAAAATCAAAATCAACTGAAAGCAAGCAACAGCAGCAATATTTATTTTAAATTAATTGATGTTTATGAATTTTCCCTTTTATCACCACCATCATTACTAATTTTATTCTTTAATGGAGAAACTTTATCATTTTCTTCTTTAACCCCATTAGAATTAGAGCTACTATTATTAATACTACTGTTAAGATTAGCATTTGAGTTAGTATGGGCAAGGATTTTTCTATTCAAAGTTGGACTACCTTGATTATTCAGTTCATCACTATTTTTACGTAATGGAGTTTGACCACTTGGAGTACTAAATTGAACAAAATTCCAAAATGCAGGTGATGATTGATTAGTATTTAATCCACCACCATTATTATTACCATTATTGGTATTTCCCATTTTTCCAACTACATTTTGACCACCGACTCCACCACTTTTAGATCCTCTTTCAGGTGTGAAAGCTTCTAGAGGAGTGACTTTCTTAGGACTAGTGAAATTCAAAGCTAAATCATTAGAAGTAGGAGCAGTAGAATTAAGATTACTACCAGTGTTATTTGAACTATCATCTTGGATTGAACTGTTGGTGTAAGAAGTCAAATGGGCAGCCTCAGCTAATTGATATGAATTCAGACGTGAATGCAGCATATGTTGTTGAAGACCGCCTGTGGCAATAGGTTGGTTGGTGGATGCTGGAGGTGGAGGTGGTGGTAAATTATACAAATGAGTTCCAGAAACTTTTGGTAATTTTGGAGTTATATTATTAAGTTCAGAAAGTTGTTTTATAGGGGATGAAAGATCACCTTTAAGTTGGTTATTACCAGGATTAGTGACATTATTTCCTGCGGTAGCTCCATACATTAGTTGAGTTCCATGATTTTGGAATCCATAATTAGTATTTTGTAATTGTTGTTGTTGTTGCTGTTGTTGTTGCGGTATATAAGAATTGGCGGTCGTTAAATATGCTAACGGATTGGATTGCATTGGGTTTGAAGGAATTGAAGGATATGCATGCTGTTGTTGTTGCTGTTGTTGGAGGAGATTTTGTTGAGGTTTAAATTGTTGTTGTTGAAGATGTTGTTGTTGTTGCTGCTGCTGTTGTTGTTGTTGTTGCTGCTGCTGTTGTTGTTGTTGCTGCATTTGTTTTAATTGATTATGATGAAGTTGTTGTTCAATAGAGTTAGTATCATGTTGATAATAAGTTTGAGTTTCAGGTAAGTTCTTATGAGTTGCTAAATGTAAATGTAATTGTCTTGAAACTGAAGAACCTCTTCTATTTTTCAGCATGGAACCATTAGAGAATTTATTTAAAAATTCCTTTTTATAAGATTCACTAATTTGCCATTTCATCCCTTTACCAGGTTCATTTGGTCTTCTTGGGACTTTTTCAAATGCTTTATTTAATGATAAATTATGTCTAATTGAATTTTGCCAACCAGTTTTTGAATATTTATAATAAGCATATCTTGCACTAATCCAATTATAAATTTCGGATAATGACATTACACCATCAAGATTAGATAAAATAGCTTGAGTAATCATGGTGGCATAAGAATAAGGAGGCTTAATATCTTTTGATTCTTCCTTTGATAAATCTTGATCTAAATTACTTTGTAAAGAAGTAGCTGATAAAGAAGATGGAGATTGAGGTAATTGAGCTTTATCAAAGATTTGGAAACTTTTAACTTGATTATTACTAGTAAAGTTAGTAGTTGAAGAAGGTTTTCTTGAATGTTTTAAAGATTGTTCTTTATATTTTAATAAACATTTGGTTAAAATTTTTTGCAGTATATTTGGAGGAGAATCAGGTAAAATAAACATCATTTGAGTTCCACCAATATCTAAAATAGCACCTGAATGTAAAGGATGAGGGTTATTTTCTCCAACGGATAATTTCACACCATCCATTCTTGCCCCATTTCTACCTTTAATGATTAATTCCCAACATCTTGTTTCTAAATTATATACAATATTAGCATGTTGTCTTGAAACCACTTTTGCAGGACCTAAATCAATATCGATTAAACCAAGATTATTTTGATTTTGATTTTGAGTGAGACTTTGAGGTGGAGGATTAGTATCGGTATTTCTACCAATAGAAACATTTAAAGATTTGACATAATAAGTCCAATCTTTCCCAGCTATTTTAGCATAAGCTTGAACTTCAGTAGCCAAGTTTTTATCGTTGGCATAATAAGCTGCCACATTGGTGGCTTCATCAGGAGTTTGTAGAGTTGAAATCACGGCATTTATTAAATCTTGAGCATCATCAAATATTGGAAGTTCATTATCATCTACTTCAGAAATGAGACGTTTCCGCGGAGTTGAAGTAGTTGACATTGTGAAGATGAGATTGAAGTATCTGTGATAGATTTTATGTGATGAATGAGTAGATACTTACTAAATTGTCAAAAAAAATTTCAGCAAAGCAAAATGATTGGATAATATGAAAGATGCTGACTTAGTACGTATAAGAAATGCGACGAATGAATGAAATAAATAAATGAGGTGGATGATGATGATGAGTAGTAGATGGAAGTGATTGATTGATTGATCTGATTGATTGATTGATGGATTGATTAATCTGATTAGGTGATTCTATTGATGTTGATGCTGTAAAAACAGAGTTTGGAACGACGAATTGAGGGTGGGTTAGGATTGAATTGGTTACAAATGCAAGAACGAAATATGGACAGTTTCGTCTGATGGGATGACTGGATGGAATGAGCTACTGGCAGTTGATACTAGCACACGAAGCCCTCTAAACACACGGTATAGATAGTCAGATGGATTGGATTAAACGTATCTGTTGATGGAATTAAATTGACCGCTTTTTTTGTTTACAATTATTTTGTAAATAAATTTTTTTGTGTTTTGTTCAGAGGATGAAAATCAAAACAAAAACAAAAAAAAAAAAAAATTTGTCAGATCACGAACTTTTGAATTTTATTCCTTCTACTTAGTTTAAATTGTATATAGTTAAGATCAGATTTCTACTTTATTCAATCAGGAGTAATGGATGCTTTTTCAGTTTGAACATGTTAGATCTCATACACTCACTTTGATTGATTGATCACAGTTTTTATTACTAATTACTATGATTTCTTAATTGAAATTTGTGTCCTTACACACCACCACAAAAATGTAAACATCAAAAAATGACACTACTAAAAATAGTTATATATATTAAGTATCTACGGCGTTATATACAGGAGATAGTGATCGTTATATAAATAAATCATTATCATAATAATTAATTGGAATTACAAATGATGATTGAGTTATATCAAACCCTCTAGCATCATCTTTCTCTTTTGTAATCACATCTACTAAAAGATCTTCTTCTTCTTCTCTTTTTTTCTTTAATGTATCTTCATTTATAATATCAAATTCATCTTCCTTTTCTTCATATTCAATATTTTCTTCAATTTCCACAAAATCAGGAGCTAATGAACTCCATTTTTGAGGAAATTGAATCGACCAGATATAAATAGCTCCACTATCTAATCCAGTAGATCCAATTGAACATCGACTATAATTCCATTTCACATCCACTAATTCTTCATTACTACCTTCTAATATCTTAATTAATGATCCCATTGACGTTTCCCATACATATAAATCATGCAGAGATTGACCATAAGTTGATGCTACTAAAAATTCAGCATTATGATTAAAAGTAACTGAATTCCATTGTAATTTATTAATCATATCTTGATATTTATGATCTATTTCAAATTCCCATTCATCAGGATCTTCATCATTAATTAAATCAGGTAAATTAATTTGTCGAATAATTCTATCTGATGCATTTATAGCTAATTTTCTTCCATTTGGAGATATAATTAAATTCTTAATATTGGAATTAGTTACTTTTATAGAATGAATTAATTTTAAATTGGAAGTTTTAATAATATTTAACCATCCTTTACTTGTACCAGTAAAGATATATCCTCCATCATTAGGTGTGAAAGTGGTAACTAAAGTCATATGTTTATCATTTTTCTTTCTTCGTTTGATATCTTCTTCATCAGCTTCATTATCTCCTCCTTCAGCTGCCTCTATTTCTTGTTGTTCTGGTAATGGAGTAGTTTGTAATCTTGTTATTTTAATATCATCTTTATCTGTCATATCCACAAATACAGGTGAATCATCAAATAATGAAGCTGTGAATTTAAAATAATCAGTAGGATGGATACTTGTCATCCAAATTGGACCATCAAACTTAACTGATCTTATAACTGGCAGTCCCTCATCATCATCATCATCCACTTCATTATCATCTCTTTCATCATCATCATTTCTATTAATTCTATTTAAATCCCATAATTTGACATACCAATCTTGAGATGATGTAAGAAGATATCGACCACATTTGGACCAATTTATCGATGTAATAGGTCGTATATGACAATCATCATTTAAATGTGCTATAACTCCTCCATTACTAATTAAATCATAAATTATAATTGATCCATCACTTAATCCGGATGCTAAATAATCCCCTTTATGACTGAATTGAATAATTACAGAATGACCATATTGTAAAGTATTAACTAAAGTTTCAGGATATTCCTTCGCCACCGCAAATGGATCTTGTAATGATAAATTCATTGAATCCTTGTTAGATCTTATCTAGAGTCAACTGATAGTTTAAATCTGAAAAACTTCAAATTCAACGCGATAACTTTTTTTTTTTGGGTATTTTTCTGTTAAGGTTATTTTTATACAAAATGTCTTGACTCTAAATTACAACCAGAACTAACACACACACACACACACACAGTAGTAGTAGATGTGGGGGATGGTAAATAGGGTTAATTATTGATTTATAGTGTATGATCTTCAATGAGTGAGAAGTTTGTAAAAGTATCATCAATTTTGTTATATTTTACATCACCATATATTTGGTAGTAGCAAGCAATTCGTTTTGTACCTTTATTTATTTATTTATTTATTTTTATTTACGTGATAATTTTCTAAAACCGATTTCGTTAATTAATTACTTCTTTGTTTCTTTCTTTCCCATTCCATTCCATTTGGTCATATTCATACCATATCTCATTACAATAGAAGTATATCACTATACATTACACTCATTGATAAATCATCTCATACAACTCATAGATCAAACAACCGCTCATTTCATTTCATCCACGTCACACGCTATAGATATATTATCACAAATATTATGCAATTTCTACGATTTCTAATAATCACTTATTTGTTAATCTTATTCAATCCATGTCATGGTTTAATCCACTTCTATTCAGAAGTGGGTAATCGGAAATGCTTCTATAAAGAATTATCTAAAGGTTCATTATTAATTGGAAAATATAAATTAGATATCTTAGATCCCGATACAAATATTTATTATAGTCCAAGAGATAAAGTTAATATTGGCGTTATCATTGATGTAGAAGAAACTTTTGATTCAAACCATAGAGTTGTTCATCAAAGAGGTTCATCAAATGGTCAATTTACTTTTAGTTCTTTAGATTCAGGTGAACATCGAATTTGTATAACTCCAAAAAGTTTTTATGCTAAATCTTGGTATGGCGGTACAAATAAAAAATTACTTCAAAATGAATATACTGAAAAAGATCTGAATTTTAAATCAAGTCGAATTTTAATTGATTTTATAATTGGTGATTCAAATTCAATTGATTCAAGTCATAATAATAAAGTTCAATCATTATCAGATAATGTTAATAAATTAAATGATAAATTATCTGATATAAGAAGAGAACAAAAATTTATAAGAGAAAAGGAAGCTAATTTTAGAGATTTATCAGAAAGAACTTGTGAAACTGTTGTTAGATGGATGGTTATTCAAGTTATATCATTATTAATTACTTGTATATATCAAATGATTTCTTTACTGAAATTCTTTATAAAGCAAAAAGTTGCTTAATCAATTATATAAACCATAGATTTATCATATCATATAGAAGAATTTGTATTATTATTATTTATCTAATATATTTATTATTATTTTATATTATATTATATTATATTATCACTCGTGATAACTTGTTTGTTATTTAAGTTATCTTTGTTGGTTAAAGTTGTCTTCGCCACCTTATATGAGCTAATCTTAAACATTGTCCCATTATGTCATTTTACAGCTTTAAAAACCTTCGCCAAAATTTATTTCTCCACATTATATACACTACTTTTGGAACATACCTAAAAATAGACTTAACTTGTAAAAAGTTCATTTTAATCTGTAAATTGATAGATTTACAGTTTGATTGGGTTTTTACTTTAACCTGTAATTTCTAGTTAATTTTGAAAAGGCAGCCAAAACCTATTTACAGTCAGTCAAATCTTAATTCTGATACTATCGATCAATTTAGATCAAATTATAATAATCAATCGGATCATTAGTGATTGATTGTGGGTAGAAAAGGTTCCATCACTACCATCCCGATGGCTGTAAGTCATGAAATAACCACACCGAATGGTAAAGTTGGTGATGGTAATGGTAGTAGTCTATTTGATCTACCGACTAAAAGCATTAAATCTCCATCATCATCAAGTTTTGAAAATAGTAGTGTGTCATCGATTCAATTGCTGACTCCCATTAAGAGACTACGGTTTGATGATCGATCTCAAACTAAAACTAGTGTGGCTTTAAGACATCATAATCATAATAGTAATCACCCTCAATCCCCAAATCATAATCAATCATATAATTCTTTAGACAGTAGTCTGGTATTACAAAATCAATCGAATATTCATCTAGATGAATCATTAGAAACATCTATCACATCAAATTCATGGTCATCAAACTTCATCACTAAGGACATATTCAAATGGAAAGAAACGTTGACCATTAGTTCCATTATCAATGCTCCAGACTTCATAAATATCAATGGGTCTGTGGTTTGTATTGAACCATCATCGATTTATATCGCGTTGGGAACAAATAAAGGTTGTATTATCATCTTCAATTATCATCAAGGTGTTGAATTCATACTATCTTTCAAAGATGAAAATCAATCATCTAATCAAAATACTGCTGCTACAACGGTTGATCCTATAGTTAGTACCATGGCATTCTCCGCTGATTCAACATTCATAGCGGCAGGTTATACCAATGGACAAATTAAATTATGGGATTTATCATCCAAATCTTCAGAATCACTTCCTGGAAGTATAGAACCTTATTTCACTATTAATCCTATCACATTACAAGAACGATTCACACAAATATCAGAAGGACATTTAAAAAATACTCCTATTACACATATTTCATTCATTGGCGATAAATATTATCAATTGATTTCCAGTGATCTTTCTGGTTTAGTATTCTATCATAATGGGATTAAAAAATTCTTACAAAAATATTTCATATCTCAAAAACTTCTAGGCAATAATGATGCAAATATAAGTGATAATAGTACGTTAATCAATGATTGTCAAGTATTACCCTTGGGAGATTCTAATCAATTGACCGATCAATTGGGTCTTATGGCTGTCATCACGAATAATATCTTAACCATTGTTTCAATATTATCCTTAAATAATCCTCATAATGTTAATCTTATACAACATTTTAAAATCGGGAAATCAAAATATGTCAATAATCTTGATAATGTGATAGGAAGTTTGGATTGGTTCCCCTGTATGAAAGCTGGAGAAGAAGATGGTGATGAGAATAATAATACCATTTTAAATGCTAAACTTGCTTATGCTTGGAATAACGTACTAACGATCTTAGAATTGGATAATCAATCAATCTCAGGAAATATGATAAATGTATTAAAGGAATTGAAAGATAAAGATAAGGGATTACCCAAATTTCATATTTATAAAACAGTGAGATGGTTAACTCCAGATTCCAATGATTCAATCGTATCAGTTAAATGGTTATCATCAAGTATTTTAAACGTATTCGTTAAAAATCATGATCTCGAAACCATCACTATGACTTCGCTTTACTATTCTCCTAATAAAGAACTTATAATCGCTGGTCAAGATAGTATCGCAAATTTAAGTATTACCAATAATTTATTATTTGGTACTACTCATGAAAGAGGTACTACGAGAATTACGAAAACAGCGTTTGAATCATATAACTATTCGATAAAAGTGGTTAAACATAGGATATTGGCTATTTCAGATGATAAAAAAGTCTTCATTGGTAGACTGTCAAATTGGGCAGATACCTTATATGAATTATTATCTCAAAAACAATATTTTCAAGCTTTATCTACTGCTAATGATTATTATCTTTCAACTAATTCTGGTAAATTGGTACTTGTGGGATTACCGGCTGATCCTAATGAAAGAGCCAAAATTATGACAGTTTATTTATTAAAAATTATGCAAGAATCAATTCCTCATATCTTTACGAATCATGATTCTTATGGACAATTGAATACATGTCTTAATATTCTTTCTTACCTTTCAACAAGTGGAAGTAAAGAGGAATCTTCATCATCTTTATCACAAGATTTGATGGATTTAATGGAATCAATATATGAAAATTTTCAAAAGGATGGATTATTCTTTGAAACTTTAAAATCATTTATTTTATTAGGAAGCATTACAACCATCCCTCCTATTGTATTACAGAAGTTAGTGGAGTATTTTGTGGAGAATGATCAAGGTGAATTATTAACTGAAATGCTTTGCTTACTAGATATTCAACTATTGGATATTGATTTAACCATTCAGTTATGTGAAAAGTATAACTTACGTGAATGTCTAATTTATATTTGGAATTTCTTATTAAATGATTATTCAACTCCTTTAATTGATTTTGTTAATGATTTTAATAAAAATCCACAGTTCATAAGGTCAGATGATTATCTTCAAGCTTATACTTATATGTCATATATTCTTACTGGTAGACAATATCCTACTGATAGATTCATAGATTTTAACAAAGAATTGGCAGCTAAAGAAAGTATAACCAATGTTTTATTTTCCATGACTCCTATTGTCATCAATGGCAAGTCTATTCAAACAAAGAATGATAAAACGATATTTCCATATTTGTATTGTTTCTTACGGGCTAATTCATTTGAAATGTTGACGACATTAAATGAATTCTTTGAAGATCGATATTTGAATGATGATGAAAATCGAAAGTTAAATCGTCAATACATTACAGAGGCTTTATTGGATGTATATGAAATTAATCAATTACAATTCACTGATTTTGATCGTTGTCAATTAGCCATATTCATTGGGAGAAATTATCCCAAATATTCTCAATTTATAAGATTATCAGAATCTACTTTGAATCGAATTATCAATGATTTATGCAATAATACTGATCAAGAACTTGTGATTGATTGTGAATTGGCATTACAAAGTTTATTGCCTCATTATGAACCAGAAGATGATGATTATTTATTAGAAAAGTTACATATTGCAAAGTATTATAATGTGTTGTTGAATATTTATAAATCACAAGGTAAATACTCTAAAGTATTAGAGATTTGGCTTGAAAAATTAAGTGATAGAAATGAATTACTTAACGATATTGATAACAATGAGACAGATAATGAATCAATTAATAATATCTTGGAGAATTCGTTCATGCTATCTAAATCAATTACTGATAAATTAAGTTTAGTTCGAGTGATTAGGAATAATTTTGAAACTTTTGCATCCTTAGATTTGCATAGTTTTATCAACCTTTTATCACGATACAATCCCCAATTACATGAAGAAATCTTACTTGTATGTGAGAATGATATATTTGTGTTTAAATATTTGGAAGTTTTATTTCAAACTCTGAATATTATGGAAATATCGCATAATATTAGTAACTTCAATAAATTAATCATTAAATATCTTGAATTGTTATATACCTTCAAAAGATCAACTCAAATCTTTGATTTCTTAGAAGAATGGAAATACGAATTGTTTAAAAACAAATCAGAATTTTATACCATCTTTGAATTAGTCAAGGAGAAAGATTTGATTGAATGTGTGGCAAGTTTAATGTTATTGGAAGACAAGTATCGTGAGTCATTGGACGAATTGTTACGATTCATGAAAACTATGGTTGCAAAGATTGCGAACGAAGATGTGAATGGTCAACAAAAAGAATTGACTAGATTCAGGATAATTTTAAACCATGGTATAAGTATATGTCAAAAACCTCAAACATTTGATATTGAATACGATAATGAATTGAAATTAAATGAAAAAATGTGGTTAGAGCTTATTGAAAATTTAGTGGAATTGGCTAATCTTTCCATGGCTAATCAACTAGTTCATGAGTTTCTTAATAAGTGTATTCATGATGTATTTAGAACCATCAGTGATACTAAATTGAAACAACAAGAGAGATCATTTTTGGTTATATTTAATAAGTTCTTAGCTAATTCATCTGATAAATCAACTTTATCAAATATTAGAGGTATATTACAGGAAGTTTTTATCTCATATTCTTATGAGAGTGAAATGTTAAAGATTTCCTTGTCCATGTTGAATGAAAACATTTATAAAAGTATGAAGCTTATTAAATTGGAGAATTTGAAAGGTTGGGTAATCAAATCGAAGATTTGTTCATCCTGTAGCAAAGTAATGTGGGGGAATAGTTTAAATAATGATATTTTATCAGAACATTATAATGCTTGGGAAGATAAACAACGATCAATATTAATGTTAAGTTCTTCCACCAATGATGATAACCAATATTTCAAGGCGCCTTATGATAAGGAGAAATATCATAATTGTGAGTTGATATTCTTTAAATGTAACCATGGATATCATTCAAAGTGTTTAGATAATCTTGGTGGTAAAGACATTAAGACTTGTGTAATATGTTATACAGATTAGGATAGGATAGGATAGGATAGGAGAATAATAGAAATAATAATAATAATAATAATAAATATGTATATATACAGAGATAGTTGGGTGATTATTTTTCAATTACCGAAATAAGATACGGCTATCAAACCTTGGCGATTGAAATGATTTTCAATTGCATAAAATCGTTCTACCACAGACTACGTAAAAAAAATAAACACTTCTTAAAGGCGTGCGTAATAAGTATCATGTACCAACTTGAAGTTAAAGTTTGAGGCATCTTGTTATTTTAAGGCACCAAGACATGTCATTTCATTAATTGACAACCTTATCACCTTCCAATGTATAAATGTAATACCATGCTCAATGGATTTAACCAATGGATAAATGCAATCAATCCACCTCAAAATACAACGGAGTTCAGTACAATGTCTACTAACGTAGAACAATTCTCATATTATGTCAATCACTGCAGATTTGAAATGAGTCGAATCGATAACGATAAGAATCTAGATTAAACACATATTGCACCGATTGGGAAATGTCAATACCATATTCGGCGACTCTCATAAACAAAGTTACACAAATCAGGAATTAGTTCCGAGCCACACACAAAAATTAAAAAATCAAAAAAAAAAAGTGAGAAGGGGAAAAAACAAACCAAAAATTACCCCTATAACCCACACACCTTAAATACAATTGCAATTATGTTAGGGTTTAGATTTTTAACATTATTCAGGGGATTCAGTGCCGTATCGATACCACATAGACAATGCAATGAAGCATTAATTGTGTTCTCCTTAAATTTTAATTATGATTTTTTACCTTTTTGAACAATTGCTGTTGAAGGAATGGTTGTGGGACCCGGATCCCTCATCAGGACTAAACCGCCTCTCCTCGGTTATTGAATAACGTTATGACAAAGAGGAGTAGATATTACTAGACTTTAATTAAGTCGGCATACTGCAGAAGAAATTATTTGCTCATAGAAAAGATGCAAAGTTAATTATTGCTATCCAATATTAGGCTACTGGCTGATTTCCCTTTACTACATTGAAAATGTTTAGTTAATGTAATATAATGTACCACCCCTTCTAGGAATGGAGGAACTAGAACCTGAACTGGAACTGGAACTAGATCTGTTTCTTTATTGTAAAATAGAAGTGTCTAGAAACGGTAAAAATAATATTCTAAAAGGAATTGAATAATAGAGAATTGAAAAAGCAGTAATAATAGAAGGCATTGTCTAAACAAAAATAATAAAAATAATATTTCTATTAACCCAAAAATAAAAGAATTTAAAACAGATTTCGTAATAATAAAATACAAGAAATAATAGCATTATTTTTATGTAAGTATAGTATAGTAGTCCAGCTACTGTACTAAGCACTTTCTATTCCATATCCCCACTCTCCCTTCTATTCTATATTGGGAGTCATTGTTGTATGTAGTGTATTGTTCTATGTCTAAGTTTGTTATTCTATAATAGGGGGTTGGCGTGTTGTGTATCCATTCGTTTTATTTTTTTTTTTTGCGCAAAAAAAAATTTAAATTAGCTGTATCGAACAGCCTGTAAAACAATATTTATCTTGTAACGGTGTTTGTCGGTATCATCCCCGTTCAAATTCCCCATTCAATTTGTTTATCTTCATTATTATTAATCTTCACTACTTTCAAGATTGAGTTGGCAAGTTTATCAACATTATCTTCTTCAATTGTCTTCTGTACCAATGAATAATTTGCCTTAAGTAATGGAGTGGTAGCAGTAGAATTATTGGTAGTGGATGTAGCTGTAGTAGTTGTAGTAATCACATTAGTTGTAGAAATGGTTGTAAAACTGGTTTCAATATTGGTAGATGTTGGAGTTACTAAATCTGAAGTACCATAAGTATATTCTTGATGATGACGATCTAAGGGGGTTATAGGTTCTGTAGATGATAAAGATGGTCTATTTGAAGATGAGTTAACAATGGGTAAAGGTGGTATCATGATTAATTCATCATCTTGATAATTTGAAATACTTGAAGCTCTTGTTGAAGTTGAAAGTTGATGATGTTGATGATTAATTCTGTTAAGATAAGGTTTGACATTATTATCATTATTATTATTATTATTATTATTGTTATTATTGTTATTTATATTTGTGTTTAAAGAATTGAAATAATCAACTGAAGTTGGAGGTGAGTTTAAAAAGTCGTAAAATTCATTAGTGTGTTCATAATCATAAATCAAGTCATCTTCTTCATCATCGTCATCATTATTGTGGTCGTTAATATCATTAGAGTCATTATTTATATGGTCATTACCATTACCATTGTTAACAAAAAGGAATTCATCTCCTCCATGGGGATCCTCTTCATCCAGATTATAATAATATTTAGAAGAATCACCATTTGAAAATGAAGCGAATTTCGAACCATTAGGAAGGTTTTGTAATTGCTGACTATGAAGATGTTGACTATTTTGACGATGTTGATGGAAATGATTCATAGATTGTAATTTCGAATTATTATTATTAAGTTTATTCAAATTTTGTTTCTTATTATACTTAGATAATAAATTCTGATGTTTATATTTTGACTTAGTAGTAGTGAAGTTGGGTAATGAATTCGATCTTATTCTTAAAGCACTTGAAGATGATTGAATGGTTAATGGAGGTGTGATGGGGAAATATGGATTGGTATTAACTGATAAAGTATTTGCGGTGGTATTATCATATGAAATAGAACTAAAAGTTGCGGTTGACGAAGCCATTGGACTTGAATTGGTGGATTTGGAAAGTGGTGGTTGAGATGGTGATTGGTAATGATTATTGAACTTCATACTGGTTAACAGAGTTGGACTTGAAGGACTAGTATTTGTGTAACTGTCATAAGAATCGAACTTATTTGAAGATGAAGATGTATTAGACAATGGGGTTGAGAATATTTTCAATTTGGATAATAATTTATGAGATCTAATTGAAGTTGAATTATCTTGCTGTTGTTGTTGTTGTTGCTGCTGCTGATGTTGTTGATGTTGTTGTTGGGAATGGTTTGGTAGAAGGGGTAGAAAATGAATACTGCAAATTCATATGATAGTAGGCTTTTTTTTTGCTCTCACCAGACTTTTTTTTTTTTGGTTCTCTGATTTTTTTGGGGGGTGGTAGTGCCAATTGTTATTGTTTATGGTGTGTTGTTGTGAAATTTGTAAATCCCAAACTAAACTCGAAAAGAAAGGTTTTGAACAACGAAACAAATAAAAAAACCAAAACTAATGCCCCAGATATATGAACACCTTTATATGTGGTAAGGTTCTACCTAGTGAATTGTTGTGACAGGTAGAATATGTGATTGGTGATATTTAAAGAATATTTATATGATATATAAATAGCCACCGGTAAACTGTCTTAGAGGGGGAAATAAAATAAAAATAAAATGTACACAAAAGAAAAAAAAGTCTGAAAAAACTGAAAAAAAAAATAAAAATAATAAAAAAAAAAGACAATGACAAAAATCAAAAATTAGAAATTAAAAAAAGACAAAAATTTAAGTTTGACTTTCTTATTTTAAAGAGGTTTTATTTTTTCCTAGTTGTGAAAAATAATAACCTGGTCCTAGGGGTATATGATGTGTATGATGATACCAATGGATGTGAAAACGAAAAGGAAATGAAGGAGGAGTTCACTATGTGTAGTTAAACCAAGTGATAACTAACTTTTTGATTTAATTGAATAGTTTAATTAAGTAAGAAAGAAAGTAAAATCAAATACTATACCAAATATATAAACAAACAAGTAAGTAAATAAATAAATGAATAAACCATATGGAGGATATGTGGTGGTTCATATATAGTTCCATAAGATGGAACCTAACCAAGAAAACTTAATTCAGTTATGTCTAATTCAGTAAATAATTATAATGATTATTATTATTTATCTAGGCAGGCATATGTAGCTGTTGTAAATGTAGAAAATGTTACTAGTAATTGATACGAATGAGTGGTGGTGGGAGGTGGGAAGTGGTTATGGTGCAGGATTTTATTTTTTTGTCTGTCAGTTATCTGTCCTGTCTGTCTGTCTGCTTTTTTTTTGTTGTTCAAATTTTATTTTTTGTCTCATTTTATTTTTTAGCTTTTAGGTTTAATTTTTATTTTTCGAATTATTGTCTTTTTTTTCTTTTCTGTCTGCCTGCTCCCGGTGAGGTGAGGTGAGTGAAATCTCAGGGCTGGCCTCCCCCCCTCCTCTTTTTTCCCCCAGTCTGGAAGAGTCGCCTAAACCAAGCAGACAGGCAGGCAGATGGAAATCCAATTCTCAAGATTTACTTAAATTTACTTTAGTGAGGGATTATGGTACTGTAACAACGATTTAACTAATGCATGGTGAAAGTGGAACGAGTTTGGAGTACCACTTACACTTTTAGTTAGTATTGGCATCTTTTTGTCTAAGCATTTAACTAACTTATTCATGCTCATAGAAGGAAATTAGCGTCTGATTAATAATTTATCATGAGCTCTGATCTCTAAAATTTTATGTCAAACCGTACTCAGTAGGATTTGTTTGCTAGTTTATTGGTTGGTTTAATTTGGTTTGGGTTAGGGTAATAGGGGAAGAAGAATATTCCCTATTTCTACAAACCCACTTCAAATAAATATATATTGCATACATACATATGAATCTAGTATGAAGTCTAATCTGATTTTCACTTACATACATGAAGTACACCAATTCATAATTGGTTGCCTCTTATTCATCCATGCATTGTTCTTATATGTACACACAAATGTATGTATGAACAGAGGTGCATGGAGGCTAAATTCAAGTCGTATTGATACGTTGATTCGGAATGACAATCGCATCAATTCCATCGCATTCCATTCATGTTATATCGTGTCCGATACTGTACTATCGTTGAGCCATACATTTTCATGTCCCCCATATTGATATTCATTTGCAGAAAATGTTATATGTCTCGTTTCAGTAAATGGCACCAAAAATTGCTCTACAAAATAAAATTAAACAAAAAGAAACATTTTAGCGGCCGCCCCAATTTACTCCTATTCTCATAGGATCTTATCACTAAAAAGTGAAAAATTTAATTGAATTGCAATTGGCGGTATGAGGTGATTGATTTTCCCATTCAATGTTCCACTACAATCCTCATATTCATTATCTCTAGTACACAATCGACTCCACTTTCTGTCAAAAACTTACTTCCAGACTGATTTTAACTTCTACTTTTGAGCCCATAACTGCTCATAATCAAGAAATCGTAAAATGTTCTTCTTTTTTTTTATTGTCCTCTTTTTTTTTGTCATTTTTCAATTCTTATAATTTCAAATTTAAACTTTAGAACAATTCATTTCAATCAATTACAATGAGAGAAAAAGCCCATAATTGTTTAAACAATAGGAATCAAGTAAAGAGACGATAACATCTCCATACAACAAAACGGACAAAAGAATCAAATTTAGAAATAATCCCAAATAATATTTATTTCTTCTATAACTGGTGAAGACAATAAAAAGTTTCGTATGCACATAACTGAACTGTCTTCCCCTTTTAAGTAGCAATATAAGTTTACCTTTTCATAAAGTTTAGGGTTAATGGATTTAACAAATTTGTTAAAACACGAATTGCTTGTGATGTTAAAAAATGTTTACCCCTAGATTGATTTATTTCGTTATTTTAAGTTCTTAATCTGGAAATCATTATTTTACACATTCCACATCAGGGTGAAAATATTTTGAACTATTATTAGTACAGTTGGAAGACCTCCAACCATTGGTTAATAATAATAATAAGAATTGCTCTTTTCTATTTAATTTTAATAATTTTAACTTTATTTTATGATACCAACCCATCATACGCTGATATTGTCGGGATATGTAATCAAAAGAGTTGATCTAGACAATTCAAGTGTGTAATCGGCATTCGGTATCATAAGATAGCAAAAATTAGTGTCTGATAATGAATTTTTTTTCTTAGCTATATCAATTACGAAGAAGTACAATTACCAAAAGATCTAATCAATTTTAAGCATAATTAATATTAATTAATTGTATAATATACCTACTTTGTAGCTAATAATCAACCCCTTTTTCCCTTTCTTGTCCCTAAGAAGGGAAAAGAAAAAAAAGAATTCCCCAAAAAATGTCTTTTGTGCTTTGCTCCTGTCCTAATTAGGAAAGTGCCAATTTAAAGGTGTAGATCTTAATTGTCACCCTCCCACCATCATAATCAATAAGCAATGTATAACATCAAAAAATAATTTATCAAAAACCAAACCACTTTTATTAATTTGTGTAATTATTACCTGTGTATACTTCATTGTTATAGATAATATTATTAGATTAACCTTATATCAAACTTATAAAATATTGATATTTGATGAAGAAATCACTATTAAATCCTATTCTAGATCATGTACGTTACTGTTTGAAAATAACTTTGCATGTCGCCAATGTTATTAATTGCCACCAAATAATATCGCATTTATAATATATGAATTAGTAATAATACTCAATGATAACAATGTAACAGTGGTTATTATTATCATCGTTATTGTAATGGTAATGCATGGTATCTCGCCGTAAAGTGAATGTAAGGTCCTCAAGATAGTGTTAAGGTTTATCAATAAAGTTTAATTTTAAAAAGGGTAATATCAAATCCCAGATTGTAATGTTTATTCACCTCCCCCGGATCAATATGCTGTTATGTGGGAGGGAGAGTACTTCTCTATTTTTCAAGTTTTCACAACCAAAATCCTTTTTTCCTTACTGCTGATCATAGTCCCTTAATCTGTTGATAATTAACTTAGCTAATTACACAACGTCAATGCAAACCTAATTCGTATTGACAACTAATGAAATAAGGATCCAAGCATATGAATTACACATTGACAAGTACATTCGCCCTAATTCGTATTGACAACTGAGTTGAGGTTGACGAACAGACAAATATATTTCATGAATTTGACTTTAATGCATTAATAATATTTAACACGAATTGAATTCATAGTATTTGATATTATCAAGCCTACTTTCGTACATGTTTATTACACATTTATTTTCGAATTAAAGAGGTAGTAGAGTAGGATATGTTCGTAAACTTTTGGTGGTCCAAAATTGTAAGAATTAAATCATCCGTCAAAACGGTCAGGTTATTCTTACCAAAACATTCTTTGAAGCCAATTACGAGAATTTTTTCAATCGGTCAAATGAAAACTTGTCCTCTGATGTGTATTTTGACCATCAATGAACACATTGTAAAGAAGGGATGGGTATTAATATACTAATAACTGTGGTATTAACCCGTGTTTGCTTCAATTTAAAATCTAAGATAATTCTTTTATGTTAGATTAACGTAAATTTTGATTCTACACATTAATTTTTGGTTAAAAATTGTCCAAAAAATTACATAAATTTTAAAAATTATCTTATATTTAAGGCAACTATTGATATTCAACCTATATAAAGCATAATTACACGTTTAAGCTTGTTTACCATCACCATACTTTGGAGGGAATTCTCCAATATCAGTACCAGAAGTACTAACACAAGTACACCATTCTTCCTTTGGAGCTTGACTCATGGCATAAGCGATATGTTGACCACATCCGTACCAAGTTTTTCCACCTATAAGATTGTTAGTATTTTATTCATTTAACTGATAACATCAACCAACGTCATTGACACTTGGTCATTTGGATCATCATGATGTTTATTGATAATGAATTCCCAGAAATTTGAATTTGTGTCTTTGTTCGTAGCGTGTGGCCGATCTTCCAATCTCAACTGAGATCTTAGGTTGTATATACATACTGCAAACTTTACAAGTAGCTGATTTACACATGATTTGAAGTTAAATGAACTGATTAATTGACTGATCTATCGATTGAACTAATTGAACTCTGATCAATTGGTAAAAAGGAATTGGAATTTGTAATTTCAAGTTGCCTTTCTCCTCCCTATTTAAGCTTTTTTCTAAACTGATGGAAATTGTGGGATTTGATGGAGAATGAATGAACAAAGATTGTGCTTATATTATATGCAGGAGCATACATTGTTTTTTTGGTCTGTGATCTAAAATGTCTATATACAAAAATATAAATAAATAAATACTGGTTGAATAATATGGTTGAATCAACTTAGTTTGATGATGATTGTTGTTTTGCTTCTTCTTGTGCTTTGGCTTGGGCTGCGGAGTACTTTTCATCTTCTTTTAATTGTTCATCCATATCTAAATTCTCTTGAATATTCCATAATTGAGCATATAACGTATTTGGATTGGCTAATAATTCATAATGACTACCTTCTTCTTGAACAACTCCTTTGTTCAAGACAATGATTTTATCAGCATCAGCAATAGTTCTCAATCTATGAGCAATAGAAACATTGGTAGATCCATGTTGTCTAAATACATTTCTTATGGTTCTTAATAATGCTTGTTCAGTATGAGTATCTAAAGCTGAAGTAGCTTCATCGAAAAACGTAATTGGTGCTTTCTTTAATAATAATCTGGCTATAGCTAATCTCTGCTTTTCACCACCAGAAATCATCATCCCTCTTTCACCAACAATCGTATTCATTCCATCAGGTAAATCTTTGATTAATTTATTCAATTGAACTTGTTTAATCATGGTATCAATTTCATCGTCTTTGGCATCCAATCTTCCATATCTTACATTTTCTCTAATGGTATCATTGAATAAAGGAGTTTCTTGAGGTACAACTCCAATTTGTTTACGTAAGCTTTCTAACCCAACTTTACTAATATCTTGTCCATCAATTAAAATTCTCCCTTTATCAACATCATAAAATCTAAATACTAATCTTAAAATAGTTGATTTCCCACTTCCTGATGGTCCAACAATAGCTACTTTTTGACCGGCCGGAATGGTGAAACTAGCATTTTTCAAAATTGGTCGATCAGGATGATATCCAAATGTGACATTTTCAAATTTAATTTCACCTGGAATTCCAATTGGATTTAATAATAACGGTCTTGCATTAGGAGAATCTTTAATTTTAATCTCATGATTTTGTAATTGAAATAAATTCTCCATATCTAATAATGATTGTTTTAATTCACGATAAACTGAACCTAAGAAATTCAAAGGTACACTCAATTGAAAGACCAATTGATTAATTAAAACCAAATCTCCGACAGATAAGGTCCCACTGGCTACACCTTGACATCCCATATACATCATAGCAGTCAATGCACTGGTGAAGATTAAATTCTGACCCGCATTTAAAAATGCCAATGAAGTAGCAACTTTAATAGATGCATTTTGATATTTAACTAAAGATTCATCATACTTTGACGCTTGATATAATTCATTATTAAAGTATTTCACACTTTCATAATTAATCAATGAATCCAATGCTACTGATGCAGCTTGATTATCAGCATTATTAGCTTGTCTTCTGAATCCAGTTCTCCAACTTGTAGTTCTAATTGTGAATATAGAATATCCAACCATAGTTGCAATGGTAACTGCAGCAAATGATAAACCATAATTATAAGTTAAAATCCCACAAACCACACTAATTTCAAATGTAATAGGAATGATATGAAACACCATAGCACTTAAAACATAACTTATACCTTTTGTACCACGATCAATGGCACGAGTTAACCCCCCAGTTTGAGTAGATAAATGAAATTGTAAATCCATTTTTAAAAGATGTAAAAAGGTATTATATGCTATTCTCTTGATAGCACTTTGTGATACAGATGCAAATACTGCATTTCTTAATTCCCCAAATAATACAGCACCAAATCTTGCACCTCCATAGGCTACAATCAAACTCCCTATCACTGTCCCTACTGTTCCTAAATGATCTGTCCATTCTATGTTCATCTCATCTATAATACTTTTAAAAAAAAATGGTACTTGAACATTTAATAATTTGGACCCTATTAATAAGGATAAAGCTATGACAACTCTAGCTTTGAAACTTGGTTTATCTTTGGGCCAAATCGTCGATAATAACGATGTTAGCATATTCAATTGTGAGGTTGAGATATCTCGACCAAATAATTGGGATGATTTTGGTTTCGTTTCTGGTTCAGTTGGGGGTGTCTCCACTTTTGATGTCACTTGTGGTTTAGATTCATCCCTTTTGGGAGAACTTGTTGTACTAGTGGGGAACTTCAACGAAGTCGTGGTATGGAATGATTTACTAGATGGTGTCTTATCATAGTTTATCAATCTATGGATCTTAGGTATGGTGACAAATGATCTATGGGGTAGAATTGACGTCGTATTATAAATTTCTGGGGAAACTCTCGTGAGTTTATATACCCTTATGATTGTACCTCCACTATTTCTAAACATCAGTGCCTAAGGGCTAAATCATATATCGATGGTACTAATTCTATCAATGGCAGAAACGTATTTCTTTAGGTAAATTGTAAATCAAGTTATCGAGCCAGAAAAGTGAGTGAAGAAAATTGAAAACTGTGGTGTCTCTCTCAACTCGGACTCCGATATCGCCTACACCGTATAATCGATGTCTATACCAATTGAAAAATGAATCCTAGACGAACAACAGAAGTTATTATATCAATTGTTGCATCATATAAACTGGTTTTTAATATATAGAAACAGAATGTTGAGAAAATTTATAATCATTTCCTTCCACAGTGATGTTTAAATATGTTGAATCAGGATAACCAATTATTGAGGACCTTGATGGTTATACTATTATCTACAAGACTTTATAAACAACATAATCCTCTTTCTAGCTTATTTTGTATTTTAATCTAAAAAAAAGTAACGCAATTATTTAAAAAAAACAAACAAACAACAATAAATACAATTTTAACATTAAATTTCAATCAAAGTTTCGGTTGAGGAACAATTTCAAGTTACTGCTTAAGTTCAGAGATTGATTCTCCAATAGCTTTCGAAAGTAAATCGATATGACCAGCTGGAATGGAATATCCCATATGACCAACTCTAAAATATTTACCAGCTAAAGCTTTATGGATACCACCGGCAATGGTAAATCCTTTTTTAGCTAATGATCCAATGAATTCACCTCCATTAACTCCTTCTGGGAAGTAAACTGCAGATAAACCATGAGCAGCAACTTTACGATTGACGGGTAAGATCTTTAAACCTAATTTTTCAAGTTCATCTTTGAATTTAGTTGATGCTTTTTCATGTTGAGCAAATCTTTCGTTTATTCCTTGAGCGAGAATTTGATCAAGAGAAACTTTTAAAGCAGTAATGGTTTGAATAGCTGGAGTAGCGAAATATGCACCACTACCACTTTCATAAGCTTTCATAATTGGAGTCCACCTTTTTAAAGATGCGAAATAAACTGATTCTTTTCTGGCAGTTGCCTTTTCAATGGCTCTGGCTGAAGCAAAAGAAACTGATAAACCAGCTGGAACACCAAGTGCCTTTTGTGATGCAGTTAAAGCATAATCTATACCCCATTTATCAAATTCTAAATCTTCAACAGCAATTGAACAAACACCATCAACCACAATTAAAGTTTCTGGAGAAGCCTTTTTAACCACGGCTGAAACAGCTTCAACATCACTAACAACTGAAGTTGAAGTATCAACATGAGTTATAGTTATAGCGGTATATTTTTCTTTCTTTAATTGTTCTTCAATTTCAGGTAATGGTACAACATCACCAACTTCAGCAGTTAATACATCGACATCAGCACCATAGATTTTTAAAGCATCAGCAAAACCATCTGAAAAAAAACCAGTGGATAAAACTAAAACTTTATCACCTGGGCTAACAAGATTGGCACCAGTGATATCCCAACCTAAAGTACCTGAACCAGCTAAGACATAAGCTTGAGCCTTTGGGTCTTCAGATTTGAAAACTGTTCTTAAATTCTTTAAAACTGATTGAAAAGTACTAACGAATTCAGGAGAAGTATGACCTTGAGAAGGAGTTGACATAGCTTCTAAAACTTCATCTGAGAATTCAATTGGACCTGGAATCAAGGTCAATTTGTGAGCTGATTGCTTTGAAGGAATTTGTAAAGTGGACATTGTTGTAATTGAAGTTGTGAATAATCTAGTGATGGTAAAATGAGGAACTGATGAAAGGACAGAATAGTGTGGTTTTATAAGGATTTGTTTTATAGGATTTAATCTAATCATAAACAAATGCTAAAGTATTATGAATTGGGGGCAGTACAAACGTTCCAACAACAGCAAGGGATATGGTCAGTCAGTTATTCTTCTATGATATAGTTGAAAAGAAGTCAAAAATTCAGTTTTAAAGGTTTTCTGAAAAGTGGGCAACTTTCACATTGCAATTAATTCGTGGGGGAAATTTTGATTAGTTGATTTCCGCGTAACCGAGTTCAAAGTAGAAAAATTTTGCGGTAACGGATTATTCCGCAGTCATTTCTAGTTTGTAACTTCATAACTGCAAATCTTTCATGTTTAAGTATGAACGCTTTGCTACCATATTCTTAATTCATGGTGTAAGATGATATATGTGAATAGACCTGAGTCTATGTGAGTAAATAGTATGTGGAAATGACTGGTTGTAGTATGATTAATCAGTTAACGTAGCAATTCTAATCAAAATCTAATCAAAACTGAGATAAAATTTTTGAATTTTTGTTACAACTATCTTTTTTTTTACAGCCCAATTTTAAAATCATCAAAATCTATTCATAAAACTGGCAACATCAATCCATTGTTCTACATAAATATCGTTAAATGAAGCCAGTCATCAAATGAATCCAATCCTTAGCATCTTATTTATTGATGGTTTACTTCTATCCAAGTATAAATTACTATTTTGGTGTTTATCTGACAGATTGTGGAAATTGGATGTCATGATAAAAGGTAAATCGATTCACAAACAGAATGCCATCAAAAACTATCCATCAAACTTAAGAATTGTTCCAATCAACTACATTTTATCACCCACTATGTTTGCTAAGTCAGATCCAATTACCGCCGGTCGAAGCATCAGTCAATATGATTTTATTATAACTAGTGATCAAAGATTTAAAGCAGTATCTAATTCATATCCAACCATTATATATATCGATAAAGTGAATCTCGACATAGAAACAATATCTCATGGAATATTAACAAACAATCGTTTACATCATCTAAGATTAGTACAATATACTTTAAAACTTTCTTTACAATATTCACAGCCGTTAGTCCTAATGGTATCGACAAAGAAAAAAGATATTCAACAAGATGAAGACGATGATGAGGTTGAAGAAATCGATGATACTCTAAAAGAGTTAATGATAGGTAGAGAACATTTAACTTACGGAGATGAAGAAGTGTTTTTTGATGCTGATACCCCACCACCAAGAGAAGCTATGTCAGCCACGGTTTCTGAATTACAAAATTCAACTTCACAAAATATGTTTGTTGAATCACCTCAAATCAATTCATCATCAAGTTTATCATTAAATTATGCTCAATATCCTCCTATGATGAATTTTCCTAATTCAGCTCCTGTACAAGTTAAAACTCTTCATGACGAACAAGGAAATACTTATGTACTACAATCCAATGGATTTGTAATTCCAGTCTCCAGACCATCACTGATGCAACTTAATCTTACCAATCCTATACTTAAGAAGAAGAAATCAATTAAAAAGAATATGTTTTATCATATGCCCATACCAACTAATAGATATACTCCTACTGAAAAATTAGTTGAATCTCATAATAGAGTATTACAATTAGTTCAATTTGATGAATTTTTAGACCAAACTTCAACTAGTAGATATCGAGATCTAGATACATCTTCATTTATATTACATAGTGCCGGTAATAGTTCTAAAGATACTAGTTCCAAAGGAAGTAGTTCAAAAAATGGTAGTTTTAAAACATATGATACAGCACCCGAAGTGGATAAAGAGAGTAAATCAGATCCATAGTTGGTAGCGTGCGATTTTTTTTTTTTTTTTTCCTTTTAGGTGATGAATCAAAAATTTATTTGCATTTAAAGAAAGGAAGTGTATATATAGAATAGCAACCAAATTTAATATAATATATCATATCATATAATGTCAAGTCAAATACCGTCTCTGATAGGGACAGATGATAGTCCTAGTCAAGAGTTACTTCGACAACAAGATAAATTATCCTTTAATAATGAGATTCAAGAGATTGAACAATCGATAATAAATAGTTCACAAGTTCCAAAGATTGGTAAATCGATCAAAGTTACTAAGAATGATTCGATTAAGAATCGTATTACTCAAATCACAACTGAATTAGAGCAAGGTAATTCTGTATTAGTTACCAGTATGTCCAATAGTATAAATAAAGCCATCAGTATAATAGAGATTGTTAAACAGAAATTAGCTGAGAAACATGAGAATAAAATACAGATTACTCAATTTAATAAGATAACGAGCCATTCCAGTACTATTAATCCTAATTATAAGTATACTGAAAACCCGAAGAATCAAAGAATGATAGCGAATCCATTATTGCAAGAGAGATTAGCTGATAATAAAGATAATAATAATCATGAAATATTAATTCATGAACGTGAAGAGCAAAAGATTATAAAGAGTATCAGAGGATATAAAGTATATCAATTACCAGTGTTGCATAATTTGTTAGTAGTTGGCGATGGTAATCAATACGATTTAACTAATTGGACCATCCAACGAAGTTAGCCTAGTAAATTGTATATATAACTAAAGTCAAAATAAATAAATAAAATAAAACTAATCACGTGCTGTCACACGTGACTTAAAAATTAACCAATTAAAAAACTAATAACCAAAACTGAGTAAGAAGAGACCTCAGACAACAGACAGACCAAAGAGAGAGAAAAAAAAATCGTAAGATTGAAAAAGAAAACTTTTGACTGTAAATATATATTTATAGTTGATATATCTGTAATTTTATTGTTTTCTTTTAAACTAAATTCATATCATATCATATCATATTATATAATTGACTAAACTTCACAATGGCCATTGATCCAGAAACCTTTAAATTCGATACTCCACAATTCGACCCAAGATTCCCATACCAAAACCAAACCAAACATTGTGCTCAATCTTACGTTGATTATCATAAATGTGTTAATGTTAAAGGTGAAGAATTTGAACCATGTCAAATCTTCTTTAAGACTTTCACTTCATTATGTCCACTTGATTGGGTTGAAAAATGGGATGATCAAAGAGCTGCTGGTAAATTCCCAGTTAAGATGGATTAAACAATTCATAAACATTGTAAATTAATTATTCATCATTTTAACTCATCTACTACACACCTATTCATCAATCCATCCATTTATCATCATCACCATCCTCCATTTCATTTTTTATTTCATCCATTCCATTATTCATCAGTAGTAATGGCAATCATATCATTTAACGAGAGAAATGTTTAAATCTAATGATGAATTTGTCCTTTTTGCCAATTCATTCAATTAGTTTATCATTTCTGAAGAATATATCTTTTTATCATTTTCATCTTTATATATATTCACTTAAAGTAAAGAATGATGTTGTTTTTGATTTAATAGCACCATTTCTTATCAAAAAAAAATTTATAACGAATAACAGAATAATCTCCCAAAGAAAGAGCTATACATATAATCTATATGAACAAATACGTTAAATATATATAAATTGTGTTTCTTTTGTTTTATTGTATATACAAGTTGTAATCTAGTAGATGTAAGATGTTACATGAAATCATCTTCAGCCCAATTTTCATTTCTATATTCGTTACTACTTTGATTAACATTATCTTCAGTAAATAAATCAGCATAAGGATCTAATTTATCCTTACGATTCTTTTCATATATTTTATTCAATTGTTCTTGTTCCTTTTCCAATCTTCTTCTTTCATTCTCAATATCCTTTTCAAATGTCACTTGTTGTTGTTTAAACTCATCAATTGATATTTCATATTTGGTTTTATTTAATTTATTTATAATGGCATTTTCTCGTTTAGTGATTTTAAGACGTTTGACTTGTTTAGCGTTCTTGAATGTAACTGTCCCTATATCCATTGAACCATCGGTATGTAAATTATCTACTGGAGTATAAATGACAGTTACATTATTTAATTTATTTCCTTTAATTGAATTGGCTTTAGTTAATTGACAAACTTGTTGTAAGATAGATGGATTGATAACGAATTTATCAAATGATTTGAAATTGATATGTTCATCCTTTGTGATTTGTAAATATAAATGAGCTGATGAATGATTATCTACATGAAACCAGATATTCTTCTTATTTGAATGTTTAATTAATGGATCATTTTCAATTTTATCTTTACCCATATATATGATATATTCTCTAGAGTCAGCATCATCTTCGTCAGCTATATCGGCACCAAAGTCGTTATATTCTTGATTTTCATCATTTTCTTCTGCTTTAGCCTTGAAATAGTATACCATGATTGAAGTTTAGTGTCCTTTGGTTGCCATGCCATTGCAAATACTCTTCTGACAGTCAATTTTTTACAGCATCTATAAAAATGTTAGCATAATTCGATTTACGACCATTATTTTCGAGGGCAGTTTCACCTGATAATGATTACCTATCTTAGTGTCAATCACATGATTTCATACTTAATAATGCCCTCGGAATGGACGCAACTCTCTGGTTGTCAGTTACTCTCACTGACAACATCAACGCCTCAATAGTTAACACCTCCTTTTCAAGCTCCTTTCTCATGTTTTGGTTTACAGTTACGCGATAAAAAAATTTTTGATCGTGAAATTTTGGCTGTAAACAAAAATTACTGTTTTGAGTATAAAAGTGTTTTAGAATCACCAATCAAGTAATTTTTCATACCAACAATATCTATATGCCAACTACTATTCATTCCTTATCTTAGATACTAACTCATCAGTTGGTAGTATCAGTTCTCATTCATTAGCATTTCCAGTCATTCCTTTAAGATTTCCTTGTTCCATTTCCTTTTAAAGTTTTATATATATTAACTACAGCCGTTCCTTTTGTCTTTTACGTTTAATCAATCTATCTACGCAACCACCATCCATATTTATTCATATTATAACTAGTTACAATGATCGATTATGAATCATTGATTGAATTTGAAGAATCTTTAAGTTCATGTTCAGATTATGGAACTACTATCTTACAAAATAACATTGAATTAAAAATTGAATGTTTAAGATACAGTAGTGGATCCTTAACTGATTCTGATTCTGATGGAGATGAAGATTCAGAATCTAATTTTGAATCTGATGAGAAGTTGGAAGATGTCAATGAAGCCCAACAAATCGAAATTAGTGAAGATAAATTCAATCAAATATTCAAAAATTATCATTTTAAAAATGATGAGTTTTCAACTTGTAATAAATGTGGTAGATCTTTAGCTAATGAAGATGATTATCAAAAATGTTGTTTATCCTATATTGAAATAAAACAACAAATAAATTCAAATTTAGAAAAGTCATATTGGATTTCTTTATTGAATAATCCAACTAGAACTATCAATACTTTACCATATTATACTCAATTATTATTTTTACAACAAGGTGGTATACCTAATCAAATTCGATCATTAATTTGGAAGAAATTGTTTTTATTATCCAATAAAAAGATCCCTCAATCGATTAAATATGTATATCAAAACTTTCAACATTCATATAACGTTGAAATTTCCAAACAAATCTCCAAAGATTTAAATCGTACTTTTCCTACTATAAGTTTCTTTAAACAAGAAAAAGTGATTCAAAACTTATCTACTATTTTAAATGTTTATGCCAATTATGATGTTGAATTAGGTTATTGTCAAGGTTTATTATTCTTAGTAGGGGTATTATATCATAATTTTAATCAAAATTCATTATTAACATTCTATTCATTAATTAATATAATGGAAAATGAACCTCAATTGCATAATATATTTTCAACTTTCACTATGGCATCTACGTTAAATAATTGGTATTTGGAATTTCTTAACCTTTTAAAATCAGTTGATTCACAGTTATTCAATCATCTTATTGAATTTGTGGAATTTAAACCATTTCTTTATCAATGGTGGTTATCCTTTATTTCATCCCATTCCCCTGATTCATCCATTATAAATCGTATTATTGATTTCTGTTTAATTCAAGGTTGGAAAATTGGGTTATTCAAAATATCACTTGGATTAATCATAAGTAATAAACCAATCTTAATGAGTTTATCAAAGGGAGAAGAAGAAATCATTTATCAACATTTATTAAATGAAAGTAAATGGAGTAATGTCATAAATAATTTAGATCTATTCTTTGGACAATTATTATTATCTTGGGATGAAGCTTTATTCCTTAATTTTGAAAAACTTGATGATAAACTTCTTGATGATGATGGCTATCATGATGAACATTTCAATCCAATTATTGATAAGTTTAAGAAATTATCATTAAATTTAAGATCATTATCGAACCAAGGGGTTACTTCATTACGTAATCGTTCTAATAGTTCTTCAATCAATACTTTAAATCAATCAACCACTTCAGTGTTTTCTACAACTCACAATCAGAACTCCAATAATTCATCTTCCAAACATGAATTAGAATCAATCTATTCCGATGTAAGTGATGTAAGTAGTAATGAAAATAAATCATTCACAGATTATTTGAAATTGCCCACATTTAAGAAATCACCAACGGCAGATAATGAATCCACTGTATCAGCTGCATCTTCAGCATTGATAGTGGAAAACAATACTTTGAAAGTATTGTTAAAGAAAGCCATGGAATTGATTGATGAGAATCAAGTTGACGGTGCTGATGCCTTAAAGCTGGATATTATGAAAGTTATGTAACGTTGGTTGATTGATTTATTATTTATTTACTTCTCTATTTATTTATTTATTTATTATTTATACTTCTAGTTAGTTAGTTCAAGGATACCAACAATATTAAGTTTAAAAAATACAATTTGCAACCCAACACTTGGTAGCGACCGTCACCACATATAAAAATCCGGGTAACACTTTTGATACTTTTTTTTCTTCTTCCTCCTCCTAACAACTCTCAACAGTGGCCAAAAATACTGAGCTTAAAAAAATTTACAACCAAAATTATCAAGGGCTAGATCAAACTTGCAAGGAATCAATCCAAATCATCCATCATTACAGCATTCTTATACATAGACAGATATATCTAGACTACTGATTAGATCTGATATATCACCCCCACCATTTATATACTTGCATTTAACATTCTATTTCATACTATATCCAGCCCTCTATAACAAGATCCCGCTGGCAGCCAAAAAGGTAGAAATAGTTAATCAATCCATCCATCAATCAATCAATCAATTGAAGTAGCGACTCACGTTCAATAAACCATTCATTTGTTGAAGTAGTAGAAGTGTATTTCCAACCCCACCAAGTAGAAACTTAGTCATAGATCTTTTCCTGGTTATAGGTTGGTTATATAGCTATCAAACACACGATCGTGTCAGACATCAACCTTTCACGCCCAAAGGGCCAACAAGAGTCACAAGAAGTTCAACAACAACAACAGCAACAACAACAGCAACAACAACAAGCGCAAAACAAATCATCATCATTAGTGAAAGCAGAACAAGAATTGACTTATAAAATTGAAGATCCAGAATTAACTAAAGTAATTATAAATCAAATTTCAATTTTATTAACTACTTTAGATAAAGATAACTTATCCAGTCATTTCAATCAAATTAGATACATTTTATCAACTCAAACATCTAATCCAATCGTTATAAATAACTATTTTGAAAAGTTATTTGTTTTCCTTAAATTAGTTAATAAAAATACTGAACCAGAATTAGTACCTATCGAACAATTATTTGCTAAAGAATTAGAATTCATTGCTAAAGATTTAAACTATTTAGAATTATTATTCATTCATTTAACTAAATTATTCCAAGAAACTTCCACTTTCAATCTTTCATTAATTGAATTTATTACCAGATATAACTGTGATTTAATCTTTTCATTTATTCTAATTGTTAAACTTGAATCAAAAGAAGACTCAACTAAAACAAAAACCTTTTTAATAGAAAATCGCTTCAAATTATTAAGTGCTATTAAATCAAAAGATTATCCTGCTAACTTTAATTGGAATTTATTTTTGGACTGCATTTTAAATACTCCTTATTTTCCATTTACGCATAAATTAATTGCTTTAAATTCTTTTAAATTTTTAAAATTAAATATCGAACCAATCGATAAGTTTTATAATAATATCTTAAAAATGTCATTCAAAGACTTATTAGTTGAAATCGGACCTGATAATTTATTAACTGATAAGTTATTACCTTTATTGTTACAATTAAAGCCAAATGACGTCGATCAAAGTATTGCTTTGATTGTATCAGAGATTTTATTTCCTAATTCTCAAGGTGCTGGTTTCTTAAGTCCAAAGAGTGCTCCTGAAGCTGATGCCGATGGTGCTCTCTTACAAACTTGCTTTAAAACTTTAGATCAACAAGCTAATTTTAGAATTAACTGGTATGAAGTCTTTTCAGAAGTTCATAAGAATTTATTTCCTTCGTCTCAAAGAAATATTGCTCCTTTACCTTTAAGTATTCATCAATTATTATCATCATTAGATTTTAAGGAAGGTCCTCTTGATATATTCTTAAATTATGATTGGTGGTTTAATAAAACTTTATTATCTGTATTACAAGCCATGCCCAATCAACAAAATCCTGGTGCTTATGATATCACTTTGTCAAACAACTTGGCTCTTTGTTTACCATTTGAGCAACCCCAACAACCACCAAAGGCAAAAACTATTTTGAAATTTATAAATATTACCAAATTAGAATTACAAGTTATAAAGCAAATCCAACAACAACAGCAACAACAAATATCAGATGGTGAACGCCAATTGAATGCTTTCATAACTCAACGTTTCGAACTTGATTACAGAACGTACCCAGAATATCTTATTGTTGCCGGAATTAGTTTAGCAGAACAAACTCCATTTATCACCGATTTGATTGATAATTCATTTGGAATCCTTATAGAATCTGATAATCCAGCAATCAATGATGTCTTGAATACTGTAAAGGATCAAGGTCCTGATTTTATAATTCAAAGATTTATTAAATTTTATCAAACCAGAAATACCGTTGAAACAGTTGACAAATTGCTTTCTATAGCAGGTAAACTTGGTATTGTTGATCAATTATTAATTACTGTTGGTCAAATTGATCCTAAAATGTCAGCCAAATTCATAGTTGAAAGTTCATTGTATGGAATTGATTTTAAATCATTGATTGAATCTAAAACCAAAGATCCTCAATTGAAACATGAATTTTATCCTGCTTTATTACAAGCGGTCGACGAAAGAGCTCAAAGAGATTATAACGTAATTCAACAAATTCCTCAAGGTTCAGTTTTACTTGGTGATGATCCTATAAACGTTTTAAGATTGCCAGTGGCTAATTATCTTTTAGATAAATTAAAGTCGTCGAATGGATTAGTGGATAGTGATAAATTGAAAAATTTACAATTGTTAGTTTTAACAACTTATCCGAGATTAATCAATTTTGGTAATGGTCACGACGAAGCAATTTTGTCCAATGCCGAAAATTCAATTTGTTTCTTACCAGCAGTTGAACAAGAAATGAAATCATCTTATAAAAAGATGTATAATAAAGAAGTCGAAATTAAAGTCATTGTCGATATGTTAATTGCCATGAAAAATAGTGATGACCCTCATCAACAAGATGTTTTTGCTTGTATGATTCATTCTTTATTGGATGAATATAAATTCTTTGCTGGTTATCCGTTAGCTGCATTAGCATCCACTTCACTTTTATTTGGGGCTTTATTAGAAAAGGAATTAATTCAAGGTACTACTTTGACTGTTGCATTGAATTTTATTTGGGAGTCTTGTAATCAACCGCCTGATTCTCATTTATTCAAATTTGCCGTACAATCATTGTATAATTTCAAATCCAAATTGCATGAATATCCAATTTATTGTAAACATTTATTAGAATGTCGTTCATTAAATCAACATGCTAGAATGTTTCAAATAGTTAAGGATGCTGCAAATGGAATTCCATGTAGTAATCAAAATGCTACTCCAACTCCTGAAGCTACTGGTCCAAAGTATCAATCAATTACTGTTTCAGAAAAATTGGTTGGAACTGTTGAACAAGAAGAACCACCAGCAAATATTTCAGATAGATTATTATTTAGTGTCAACAATATGACTGAAGATAATTTAAGATTAGGTGAAGTCAATGAATTATTAAGAGAGAGTCATTATGCTTGGTTCTCTAACTATATTGTTGTCGACAGAGCGAAAGCTGAACCAAATAATCATGGATTATATGCCAGATTAGTTAAAGCTATTGACGATCCAATTTTTTATGGTTACATTTTAAGTATCACTTTAAGTGAAATTGACCATATAATCAGAAATTTTAGAGATTCAAGACCAGAAAGAAATCAATTGAAGAATTTAGGTGCTTGGTTAGGAAAAATTACTTTAGGTGAAGACAAACCATTAAGAAGAGATCAAATTGCTTTGAAATTCTTATTAGTTGAAGCTTATGATTTTAAAACCTTATCTTTAATTATTCCATTTGTGGCTAAGATTTTAGATCAAGCTCAGTATTCAAAAGTCTTCAGACCTCCTAATCCTTGGGTTTTGGGTATAATTAAGGTGTTGGCTGAACTTTATGAGTATGCCGAGTTAAGTCTTAACTTGAAGTTTGAGATCGAAGTTTTATTGAATTCATTTGATTTAAAAGTTAAAGATATTACACCTTCAACAATCATTAAGGACCATAATCCTGATCCAACTGCTTTAGCTGCTATGTTTGGTATCCATCCTGAAACTGTCAGTTTGACTAATGAAATTACCAGATTAAGTTTGGAACAACAACAACCTGAACTTCAGCCACAATACTTGGGAGGACCACAAAAACTTCCAGGTGTCGGACCTGAACTTGGTCCAGTTGGTCCTAATTTGGGTCAACCACAACTCCAACAACCGCTCCAAGCTCAAGTACAACCTCAACAACCTCAAGAAGGTTTAGACACAAGCTTCAGTAATTTGATTGGTACATCTATATTCATTCAGAATCCAAATTGGAGAAGAGCGTTCCAAGCTTCTTTAACTAGAGCTGTTCGTGAATGTGCAGTTCCTATTTTAACTAGAGTTTCTGAAGCAGTTCTCACTACAACTGAAGCACTTGTTAGAAAAGATTTTGCTATTGAAAAAGATACCATTAAGTTCCGTAATAGTTATCAAAATTTAGCCCAACAATTAGCTCATAGTATGGTGTTATGTAGTGGTAAAAAGGTTTTGTCTGAAAGTATTGAAAGTGCCATGATCCAGCTTTTAGGATCAGTTGAAGAAATTCCATTAGGTGAATTAAATACTGCTATTTTAGAGAATGTTGGTTTATGTGTTGACATCGTTGATAAAATTGCACAAGATAATATTAGTGAATTAATCGATGAAAGAATGAAAATCCATGTTTTATTACGTGAACAACATAACCCTGCTCAACCATTCATTGACGAAGGTGCTTCCGAATATGCTATGAGATTGCCAGATCCATTAGGTTTAAAACCAGAAGGTCTTTCAGCTGCGCAATTACGTATCTATGAAACATTTGGTAACAACCCTAACGTTACTGATGACAATATCATTGCTCCACCAATTGAAACTCAAGTTGTGGCTCCAAGACAACCAATACAACAACAACAACAACCAGAAATTTATGCATCAGACCAGTTATACAACATAATTCAACAACATTCTCAAAAGGCAATTCAATTGGCTACTGAAGCTCAAGAAACTACGATAAGCGAACTTAATCCAAACCATCCAATCATGGTGGCTTTAAGTCAAGTTTTATCACTTGCTCAAAATAATGCTATTAAATACCCTGAATTGTTATTAAAGGTTGCTCAACATGCAGTAAATTATTTATTTACTCAAGGTCACGAGAATCCGTTAGGCACTGAAATTTATGTAGTTATTTTGGATAAATTATGTGAATATTCTCCTTCAACCGCTAAAGATGTTACTTGGTGGTTAGTTCATTCCGAAGATCAACGTAAGTTTAATATGCCAGTTATGCTTTCATTATTAAAGGTTCAATTAGTACTGCCATTAAAATTGGATTCTTCTTTAGGGAAGCTTATTGCAGAATCTGGTAATCCAATTGTGGTTAAATTTGCTGCTAATTTGTTGCTGAGTGTATTTAGTGCATCTGAACCACAACCAATTGCATTAAGATCTGAATTTGCCTATACTTTAGATAGTCTTAGTAAATTTGTATCTGATGATTCAACTGAGGAACTTAGACAAGCTAAGATTGCTAGAGATAATTTATTTGAAGTTTTAGGTAATTTAGCATCTCCAGCCTCTAATCAATTATATTCTCAATTAGGTTACGTCTTTTCAGAGTGGGTTAAACTTTTAACTCATCCAGAGCAATCTGATGATTTACAAGATCAATTTATAGAAGGTTTATTAGCCAATGAGATTTTAACTGATCCTGAATATTTCCAAACTTTCTTCAAATCTGCTGTTGAACTTTCAATTACAGTTTTTGCAACTGAACATGAGATTAGAACCAAGACATTACATGAATCCTATTTAGCTGTAGATTGTTTAGCTATGTTGATTATTAAAATCATTTTAAGATTTGAATCTTCAACTGAAGCAATTAGTTATTTGAAGAAGATTATTCCTATTATATTATCTGCATTAGCTAATGATCATGAAACCGAAGGTTCTAATTGGAATGAAAGAGCTTATTTCAGATTATTTTCATCCATCTTATCATTTTGGAGTGATTCTACTATTGTCGATATTGAATCAGCCAAATTATTGGATGCCACATTTTTAAATTATATGGCAGAAGTTTTAACTTTGGTACAACCTATTATCTTCCCAGCATTTATATTTGCATGGATTACATTAATTAGTCATAGAATGTTATTACCAAGATTATTAGAATTACCTGATAAAGCTGGTTATAATTCAGTGGTTAAATTATTAAGTGCCTTATTGAAATTCCAATCTATTTATTCTAGAGAGGGTAATAATGACGTATTTAATGTGATCTTTAAAGCTATTAATAGAATTTTCATTGGTATTCTACATGATTATCCTGAATTTTTAGTGGAATGTCATTATCAATTGATTACTGCTTTACCAGTTGGATTTATTCAATTAAGAAATATCATATTATCGGCCACTCCATCTCATGTTTCGGTACCGGATCCATTTACTCAAGGATTAAAAGTTGAAAGATTACCCGAAATCAATGAAGCTCCACTTGTATTTTATTCACCATGTGATGATTTAGTCAAAGTACAATTAAAGAAACCAGTGGAAAACTTTTTAAGAATCCCGGCTCCTGCATTAATGAGAACCATTTATAGCGGATTAAAATTAAATCATCCTAAAGAATTGAATGAATTTGGTAAGGATGTTATTCTGTATAATGTTAAATTGATTAATGCTTTAGTTTTACATGTTGGTATTTCAGCTGTTGCTGATAGATTACCTAATAATGTAAGAGGATTCAATGTTAGATCATCTCAAGTAGCATTATTAGTGGATTTAATGAATCAAGGATCACTGGAATTCAAATTCCATCTTATTAATGCCATTGCTAATCAATTACGTTATCCAAATAGTCATACTCATTGGTTTATTGGAATTATTTTACATTTTTTTAGTTCTAATTCGATTTGGGGTTCATCTCAAGCCAAATTAACTGTTCAAGAATTAATTACCAGAGTATTAGTTGAAAGAAGAGTGGTTAATAAACCACATCCATGGGGATTAACCATTGTTTTCACTGAATTGATTAAGAATGGAGATTATGGATTTTTTGATTTACCATTTGTTAAGGATGCATCATCAGAAGTTCAAAATATGTTTGAAGTATTATCTGTTCATGTAAAAGGATCAACTCCAAGTGGAGACAATTAATGATGATCCAATCGCTATGTCATTATTTACGAAACGATACAAAACAAAACAAAACATTTTATAATGTGTGTATATTAGCTTTATAATAGTAATAGTATTAATAATAATAATAAATTGTATATTAGATTAGATCAGATCAGAGTTTTGATTTTGTATACTGTTTTCAATTCTGTCATTACGCACGACTTTTTTAGATTTTTTTTTTTTTCGATTTGTTCGGTGTGGGAGGATTATTTGTAGGTGTTAACAAAATTGGAGACAGAGGGTTATCTAATATTAGACCATCGAACTAGACACTTAATTGTTGATCAATTGGGGAGATAGTATCATATAATCATCCATAGCAAGATCGTAGAGTCGACTTGTGTTATTATTATTGTTCATAGAGATTGATTGATTGATTATTATTACATTTGATCATGTCCCGTATTAAGAGGATCTCCAAAGAATTAGAAGAGTGTCGTCAAGATGTTCAATCAGGGGTAACGTTAGAATTGAATAGTGAAAGTGATTTAACCAACCTAACTGGGTATTTCAAGGGTCCTCCCGGTACTCCCTATCAAGGAGGTGTGTTTCAAGTTGATATTGTTATACCAAAGGAATATCCATTTAAACCTCCACAAATGAAGTTTGCCACAAAGATTTATCATCCCAATATTAGTTCAGTTACAGGAGCCATTTGTTTGGATATTTTAAAGGATGCATGGACTCCTATTTTAACCTTGAAGAGTTCATTAATATCTTTACAATCATTATTACAATCTCCAGAGCCAAATAATCCTCAAGATGCTGAAGTTGCTAAACATTATTTAGCCAATCATAAGGGGTTTGAAGAGACGGCTGCTTATTGGACTAAGCTTTATGCTAGTGATGGTGATAAGTTTGGTTCCGGAGCTAAGAATGATGCTGCATTATATGGAATTGATGAATCAATTGTGGCCCAATTTGAAAATATGGGATTTCCAAGAGATAAAATTATTGAAGTTTTAAGAAGATTAGGAGTAAAGAGTTATAATGGAGTTAGTAATAAAGCTGAATTGGAAAATAAGATCTTGGAAGAATTATTAAAAGAATGTTCTTAGATGATTCCATGAAAGAGATCAGAATATAATAGTTAAATTGGTGCTTGTTGATGCTTATTAGTAAAGTAGCAACATTATCAAATTGTATAGTACATAATCTTTTTGAAATCATATAGTATTAGTTTTCTCCATAGCATATTCTTCTTATATATCATTTATATCTTCCTATCATATTTACCTTATCAACTTATACTGTTATCATCTGTAGTTACTCTATATCTATTTATGGTAATTATAATAAACTTCATTTCCTGCACACAACGGATCAACAAAATTTTCCAAAAATTGGAAAAATTTTTGATTGAGATTAAATTTAGCCAAAAGGTCTCCACATCCATTCAATTAAGCTTGGTATATATCTTTGGTCTAGGGTTAATCTGTCCATTAACTTATAATCATCTTTGATTATGACTACCTCTCCTCCACCTCCACCAGCTGTTGCTGCTGCTTCCACAAAAACCCAAGAGATTGCTGCTGTTTCTACTTTACTGGAAGAACGCGCTTCTACTATCGGTTGGTTCTTCATTTCATCTTATTATAAGTTTTATAATTCTAATATTGAAAACATTTATAAAATATATCACGCTAATGCTTCATTGACTCATGCTAGTTTCCCAACTACTGAAAAAGATGAAGAAAATTCAAATACAGTTCATAAAGCTCAAGGTATTGAATCAATTAAAGGTAGATTTAAGAATGATGCTAAATTAACTTCTCTTAATAATAGAATTGTTATTACTAGTGCTGTATTTGAAATTTCTTTAAATAAGAATATCTTGATTGTTGTATTTGGTGAATGGGCTAGAGATGATTCTCCTTATCATCAATTCACTCAAACTTTTGTTTTAACTCCTGGTAAGACTGAAAATACTTTTGATGTTGCTAATGATATTTTAAAATTTATTGATTTTAATGAATTTAAATATGATGATTCTACTTCTTCAGGTCCAAATTCTGCTTCAACTCTTGTTGAATCATCGATTGAAGAATCTAAAGAAGTTACTGAAGTTAAGAAGGATGAGGTTGAAGCTTCTGAAGAAACTACTGCTGTCACTACTCCAGAAGTTAAGCAAGAAGTTGAAGAACCAGAAGAGGAACAACAAGAAGAAGAACAATCAGCTGTACCAACTCAAGAAGTTGAAGTTGAATCAAAGGATGAAGAAGTTGTTGCTGTTGAAGCAACTGAAGCTGAAGTTCAAGCTGAAGTTGAAACTGAAGAAAAACCACCGGTTTCAAATGAACCTTTATCATGGGCTGCATTAGCTTCTCAATCTGCTCCAAAACCAAAAGCTGTTACTCCAACCACTAAAGCATCTACTGCTACTTCTACTATTTCCTCCACCGCTACTGCTACTGCTGCTGCTTCCACCACTACTGCTAAAAAGACCGTTGTTACTCCAGTTGCTCAAGCAAATGGTAAATTTAAAAAGGAAGAATGGTTCCCAATATATATCCGTGGAGTTTTAGATATTGACGAAAGAAAGTTAAGAGAACATATTTCTCAAACTTTTGGAGAACTTAAATTCTTTAGATTAAGTTCTAATATTGCTCTTTGTGATTTTGTTACAATTGAAGCCCAACAAAAGGCATTAGAAGCTAAAGAAACTGTGATTGAAGGAGTTAAGATTCTGTTAGAACCAAGAGAATCTAAAACAGGAAACAATTTCCATAATGGTAAGAAAGCTAAGGATCAAAAGGATAAGACTGGTTCTTCACCAACTGGTGGTGATTCTAAAAAGAAAAATGATAAGAAAAATAGTAGTAGTAGCACCAACGGTACCAATAATGCTAATAACAACAACAATAACAAGAAAAAAAATGGTAAACCAACTGCCAGAACTGATTAGGGTTAGTTCTATCAGTTAGTTAATTAGTTAGTTAGTTGTCTAGTTTGTATATATGTGTTGCATAACCTTATTTTAATAGATTTAATGAATAATAAATAAATAAATATCAAAGAATGTAAAAAAAAACTGGTACACACACGTCACTCTTTTTTCATAGAAAATTTAAATCAAAAACTAAAGACGTATAGAGATCAAAAAGGTCCATCTAATCAAACAGATCAATTGCAGTGATTAATAGACATCTTGTATAAAACCATGAACTTTCTTCGTAGAAGGAGAAACTCAGAAGATGAAGATGATGAGGATGATAATATCGCTTTAGGAAATACCAATTCGAATATACATAAATCAAGAAAACCTCCAAACACAGCCTTCAGACAACAACGATTGAAAGCATGGCAACCAATCTTAACTCCCAAATCAGTCATACCATTATTATTCATCATAGCTATCATATTCACTCCATTGGGGATTAGTATATTGTATACCACCTATAATGTTGAACTTGTTTCGGTGGACTATTCTAAATGTAATGAATTAGCTACCGATACATTTGCATCGATTCCTTCAAGTTATACTAATTATCATTTCAGAAGTAAGAATACTGATCCTGAATTCCAATGGAAAATCACTAATTCAACTGATTCATTTGGAGATTTGGCTCAAACTTGTCAAATTCAATTCTCATTACCAGTAGATTTGAATCCTCCAATTTTCTTATACTATAAATTAACTAATTTTTATCAAAATCATCGTAAATATGTTAGTTCATATGATATCCAACAATTAAGAGGAAATGCGGTTCCAGCGGGATCCATTACAGATTATTGTAAACCATTATTACATCTTGGTGAAGGAGATGATCAAAAATTGATTTATCCATGTGGATTAATTGCTAATTCTTATTTTAATGATACATTTTCAAGTCCAGTATTATTAAATGCTAAAAATGGAGATAATAATGAAACTTATGAATTAACCAATGTGGGGATTTCTTGGGCTTCTGATATTCAACATAAATTCGCTACTACTAAATATACTCCTGATCAAGTGGTTCCACCTCCAAATTGGTATAAAATGTTTCCGGAAGGTTATAATGAAACCAATATGCCTGATTTACATACTTGGGAACTTTTACAGAATTGGATGAGAACAGCTGGTTTACCTACATTTTATAAACTTTATGGTAAGAATCAAACTGAAGTTTTAACTTCAGGTACTTATGAAATCTCAATTGGTTTAAATTATCCAGTAAGTATATTTGGAGGGACTAAAAGTGTCGTTATCACTACTAATTCTATATTTGGAGGTCGTAATTTAAGTTTAGGAATCATCTATATCATAATTGCCATAATAGCCTTGGTATTAGGAGTTGCATTCCTTATTCAACATTTAATTAAACCAAGAAGAATAGGTGATCATAACTTCCTTCAAGGTAATAATAATGCCTTTGCTGGATCATCTGGAGTCACTAACTTCAGAGATCAATTGTAATTATAAAGAAAATACACCTAACCAGCCAACACATCAAACAACAACAACAACAACAACCAAAAATGTATATTAATCTATAGTTGTATATATCTTTCTAATATAAAACAATTGTATAACCAAATATATCCTGTATATAAAATCATGAGTGGTTGAAGGAAAAAAAAATCTTCCATTGAACAAATTGTAGAAAGATCAAATTTGTATGCTTAAATAATTTATAATTACCCTTTAAAAGATCAAAAATTGGTATAAAGAGATTAGCTAACTAGAAGTGGAGAGTAGAGAATTTGTTTGTGGAGATATTAAGAGGATACATTGTAATAGAACGAAGCTTTTGAATCGTAACTTGATGAATAAAACTATCAGCATAATCCCATAATCCAACCCTCATAAATGAACGTCAATCCACATATTCAGTATTTACAACTGCATCAAATACCACAACAAGGTCAACAGCCAATCAATAACAATGGCCAATCTCCACAGATATCGCAATTGCAATTACAACAACACCAGTTACAGAGACAACAGTTGTTGAATCATCATATACAACAACAACAACAACAACAACAGCAACAGCAGCAACAACAACAACCTCAATCCCAACAACAGCAACAGCTTAGTACTCCTAGTGCTCAACATGTAACTACTAATCCTTTATTAGCTGCCTTGAATGGAGGTAACTCAAATAATCAAAACAATGGTATGGGTCCAAATTCCAATTTAGCTAATAACAATGTAAATCCTGTGTTACAAATGCAATTACACCAACAACAGCAACAGCAGCAACAACTTCAACAACAACAGCAACAACAACAAAGTCTTCAATTCCAACAACAGCTTCAACAACAACAACAGCAACAACAGCAGCAGCAGCAGCAACAACAACAACAATTACAATCCCATCAATTACCACCTCAACATGTCCAAGAACAAACTCCAAAAGTAAGAGAAGTATGGTTTGCCAATTTGGAGATTGAATTTCACGCTTTACGAACTTTCATCAACGATAAATCATCATCTTTATATATTGCTATTCATCAAGAAATCCCAGGGATAGTTGCCAGACCAGTAGGTTCTTTCAAATCTGCCTCTGATTACCATTTTCAAACTTTAAGAACTAATGCTGATTTATTAAATTTAATTCAATTATCATTATGTATAACTAAAATAAGAAATAATGAAGTGTTTGCTACTGTAGTTTGGCAATTCAATTTCTTATATGAACCACAAGAAGAAATGTTTAATGAAGAACATTTAAATATGTTACAACAAACTGCTCAAATTAATTTCCTATTGCATCAAAATAGAGGTATTCCTCATTTTGTATTTTCAGAAATGTTTTACGATAGTGGTTTACTTTTAGATTCAAGTATAAATTGGATAAGTTATCATGCTGGTTACGATTTAGGTTTCTTTGTAAGTTTACTTGCAAATAATAGTCTTCCAATGGATGAACAAGAATTTTATTGGTGGATTTCTAAATTTTTCCCTAATTTTTATGATTTGAAATATATTGGTAGTCAAGTATTAAATAAACCTGCTAATGATGATGCCACCAAAAATAATAATAAACCTTCCATAGAATATTTAGCGGAAGAATTACATTTATTACCAATTTCTCCTGCCGTTCGTCAAAGTTTTGCATGTTCCAATACTCCAACCGTTCATCAACAACAAATGACTTCTACTTTAAATGCATATTTATCTATGGAATGTTTTAAAGAATTGTTAAGACAATCATCTTTCGATCCTGCATTCCTTGCCAGATATAAAGGTTATATTTGGGGTTTGGGCCATTTAAAGGGAAATGATAATGGTAATGCCATTGGTGAAGAGCTTCTTTTAACAAATGGAGGTACTCCTCAACCTTCTACTCCAGGTGGAAGTAATAAAGGTGGCACAGTTCATTTTGGAAGACCACTTTAAGCTTTCTATATATTATTACGACTTCTTTTGTATTTTAATTATTTTTTATTTCCTTTTTAATTATACAGATCTATCCTAAACTACTTTGTAATACAATTTCAATTTAAACAATAAAAAATAAAATCGTTTATAAAATGCTAAATAATATGCCTTATGAAATAAAATGGTTTACCCCTAATATACAAATCATGAATTGAAAAGTAAGAAAAAAGCTATGAGAATGAAATTTAATCTTGAATTCCTTTCCATTCACCTTCTTCAGCTTTAGCTTCATCTTGGACTTTTTTAGTTTCAGATTCAGCATCTTTTTGATATTCAGCTTCGGCAGCTTCAACTTCAGCAGCTTCAGTCTTAGCTCTCTTATTTTCTTTTTCTTCTTCTCTTTCAGCTCTCTTTCTCTTATATCCAGCCTTCTTATCTTCACCTTCTCTTTCTTCTTCATCCTTTGGTGGTGGAACGAACCATGGGATTTTACCTCTATTGAAATCATTCAATACAAGTTTAGAAACACCACTTTCATCAGGTTCACCACCTTTAAGTAATCTACCATGTTTTCTAGCGATTAATTCAATAAATTCTATACTTGCTTGTTCTACTAATTCTGGATTTTCTTCAAAGTTACTCCATCCTTTAATTTCATAAGTTCTTTCTAAATGTTTTCTTTCACATTTTTTTAACATATCAGGAATATATTGTTCAGGATTAGAAACATGTTCAACTCTTACAACCCCTCTGAATAAAATATCTGATTCAGTATCTTTCAGGGATGGTGGCACAATACCTGGACAATCAATCAAAAAGATTCTCTTCATTAAAGTAATATATTGCCAAACTTTAGTTTCACCGGGTATTGGAGCAACAGTACAAACCTTCTTTCTTCTTAATGTATTAATGATTGATGATTTACCAGTATTTGGATAACCAATAAACCCTACTGATATTTGTTTACGATCAGAATGTAATGATGAAAATTGTCTTAATAATTGAATCAATGAACCTTTACCAAATGAATTGGTGATTGAGGCATGAAATGCTAAAGTTGGGAAAGATTTAGATAAATGTTTAACCCATGCAGCCTATTGAGAAATAAAAAGTTAGTATAAAATTGTTGATAAAAACTATGATTGAATTTCATAGGTTGAACAAAAGTTTATGAGTCTAAAATAGCAGCTTAAAGTAAAAAAGTAGAAATAAAACTAAAAAGATGTCGGCTTCTATACTACGAAACAAATCACTAATAAGTGAAGATAATCCTCGATAAGTTTCAACTCAACAAGATTCCGATACTTTTCTAAAGTAGCCAATAAAAACTATCAGCAAAAGTGTGAACGAATCTCTAATCAAAACGATTAGAGAACCATAATCAAAGATTATGGGAACACGGGCGAAAAGTATTAATCTTCCAAAGACGTAACAGGCAACATTGTGAGTATGATTGATATGAATATCAGTCAAGATTGTTCCCCTGACAAAGGTCTTTGGGACCATTAGAAATGAAATGAAAAGAATAAAAAATTTAGAAAAAAGTAATAGACTCCTAAAATTGTTTCAACCTGTTAGAAATATCACAAATAAAAAAATGTGCTAATACGTACTGCTACCCAAGTTGGGACCAAATCACATTTGTTCAACACGTAAATCAAATGTTTATGAGGACATTCATCACGGATATAATTTTCAACTGATTCACATCTTGTTCCTAATGGATCTCTGGCATCCAACACATGAATCACCACATCAGATGAATCAATGACTTTATATAATTCATTCCAAATTCTCTTGGATTGACCTTTATGGAAAATAGCTTCTTTTGCTTCTTGGGTATAATCTTCTTTATCAAGGAAAGAACCACCCATTAAACCTAAAGTGGCATCTAACTCTTGTTTTTCTTCATAAGCAACTCCATCAGTTTCAGTACCTTGAATCAAATCTTCTAAACTTGATGCAGCAGCTCTTGGTTTCTTTCTTTGTTGTTTTGGACCAAAAGTTTGAGAGAATGGTTCAGTTTCAACTATTTTAGCAGTTGGAGATTCAGTTTGATCCTTTTCATCCAATAATGACATTGGAAGTTTATTTCTTCTTAATAAAACTTGATAAGTATCATTTTTTTTATCCCCCATAGCTTCTCTGAAATGAGTTAAAGCATCTTGAGCTATCACTCTAGTATTTCCAAACCATTTTCTATTAGGATCAACACGAGCAGTAGGAGCATCAGTACTTTGTAAATCAGCAGCTCTGATAATCTCACCTTTAGCATTACGAGTAGCTCTACCACTTTTATACATATTCAAATGCTTCACCTTTTTAGCATCTCTATAAAAATTTTCACCCTTGACACGAAGGTTACCATCTCTGGTGTCATTCTCCCTGACTCTTCTTTGTCTTTCCTTCTTTTGAGTACCCATATCTATCTATTATAATATACAATTCACAATTGAAACTGGTGATATCAAAGTAAATAGTGTTGACTGTAAATATTTATATATATATTATTTCTAATATAAGTAAAATTTTATTTGAGAAGACCATCAAGAAAAAAAAAATTATGTCGTGATTTAGGCAATGTCGCAAGAGATCAAAAAGAAAGATAAATGTCGTGCTAATATGCAAACTTCCTCCTCTCCACAATCTTGAAATAGATTTTCAGGGAATCTATAAGAAGGTTAAGGAATATATTATCAGTTATCATCACCATCTTCAACAACAATAGATCATGGGACAATTGGTAAAGGATCAAGGTGAGTTCCTTGACGGATTATCACCTACTCAAGAACATTTCTTAAAGAAATACCTTCTTGAACATCGATTATATGATGAATTACATTCGCTTTCCAAGCCTGAAGCTTGTGAGATGTTAGGTCCACCGTTTAAATTGAAATCATCATCAGAAAAGCTTGATGAATTGCCACTACTTAGCTTCTTCTATAGAGAATTTGGATCCACATTCCCCTTTATTGCTACCAATTCACCAAAGGATCAATTAAGCTTTTGGCAAGATACTGTTCAACCATTTATGGAAAAGTTTAATCAAGAAAACATTAGTAATTCAGATGAAAGATCAAACAGCACTACCAAAAGAAGACAAATCAATCGAAAGATGTTATCTGGTTTATTATTGTTTTATAATTCGACCTTCATTACTAATAAAGATTTGAAATATCAAAGTGATACTCATTTAAAGGCATCTGATACCGGTAAGTTGGATAAATTCCAGAAATCTTCTAATGAAATAGCGATTTCTGTGGCTGGTTTAGACGATTATGAAGACTTCAAATATAATAATGATACTTCGATTAATGTAGTGGCAGTTAGAGATGTTTCTGCTACGGCTGCCCCTGCTTATTCTGCTTGGAATCCATTATCTTATATGTCTTCCACTGAAGTTCAAAGACATAATTTCGAGTTTATTTTACAAGTAACAACTAGAACCTTACATGGTTGTAATTATCAGTATGGGTCTCATTTCATTGTTAGACATTATCATGAATTCAAAATTTTATCAAATGCTTTGAAAAAAGCTTATCCTGGTTTAATGGCCAAACGGTCATTTGAAGTACCTTTAAAGAATAAAGCTGAAGCTGAAGATTATTTTGGAGGTGAATATGAAGCATCAATAGTTTCAAAATCATCATCCATTGCTGAGACCAAAGAAAGTGGAAGTGGTAGTGGAATGAAGGGTGGAACCTTACCTCGTGAAAAATTAAGATTAGCCTTAAGGGGGTATTTAAGGACATTAATTATGATACCTGAGATCATTCATTCCAAAGCTTTTCAAAAATTCATTAGTGATTCATCATTAATTTTCAATGAATTAACCCCAGACGATATAATAGACTTTAATAGAAGAATTGAACATGAAAAGAAATCATTTTCAACTCAATTAGAATTTCAAAAGCAAACTTCAAAGGTTATGATTCAACTTACTCAAGATTTTGATGATTTTAAGAAGAAACTAATCTTAGATCCTGAAACTATCTCTACCATATTTCATGATATAAAGGATTCAGGAAGTATCAAAGATCAATCTCAAGTTATAAAGACATTTAATGAATGGTGTAAATTAGAAGTGGCTGCTACCCTTTACCATACATTCTTGAGTCAAGACAATTCAGCAGAATGGCTAAATAAATGTCGAAGATTTCATCGATTATTTCCTTATAATTTCGTATATGGTATCTTAAGGTATACCAATCCAGTGAAAGTGGTAGGAAAACTTCTTGATTTATTATTAATGAATATTCCCAGTATAAGTTTTGGATGGGGTAATGATTCTGATAAACCGAAAGGTGGTAGTAATTTATTATCGATAATATTCACTATGTTGTTAGATGAAGATTTAAGTGATTTTGAAAAAGAGCTTACATCATTAAGAGAAGAGAAATTAGATTCTGATTATGATATATTTTTGGAAAGGATTGAAGCATATTGTGAGTTAGATAATGATACGACAGAAGAAATCAAACAAGAATCGGAATTGAAATCAGATGATTTATTATTAACTGTACTTTCAACTGATCTTATTTCTCCTAAACTTTCTACTTCAATCGATCATTTCAAATTCAGTCAAATCAAGAGCTCATTCCAATCATATCAATTAATCCTGATTGAGAAAAGTGTGACTAAATCTGAATTATTTTTGAATTTGAAACAATATTGGCAAATCCAAATCCGTAAGAAAGATACTAAAGTTTTAAAACAATTATGGAAAGAGCCTGAATTGACCAATCTTCTTAGAGAAACCATCACGATATTTTATCAACCTTTAATCCAAGTATTTGCCAAGGCTCAAATGCATGTGGTATTCAAATCATTCCAAACTTTTATGAATGACTTAATGAGAGAGTTACATTTATTAAGTAACAAGGAAGTTTATTATTTAAATCCATTTCAAATTTTTAATCGTCTTAAAGCGTTACTCGATAAACATGAAGATGTGCTCTGGAGATTTCTTCATAATGTATACATCAATGATGAACAATCATTATTTGAGAATGTTATAAAATGGACTGAGAAATATTTATTCATGTTAAGGATAAAATTTGTGGAAGAAGATAAAGTGAAATTAAGATTCTCATCTAAAGGGTTAGATTTGGATCGTGAATTATTTATGGTGCAGCTTAATGCTAGAACAGACAGTGTGGTTAAAAAGAGAAAACTTTTCAAACAATATCTTGAAAAGAAATCATTAACGCCAAAGGATACATCACTTCAAAGTAAGCTTGATCAAGAATGGGAAGTTGTGAATGGGCAAATGTTTGCCGATTCTCAACCAGCAGACTTTGGAGTTAGTGAAGAAGATTTTGAAGAGTTCAATCATGCTAATTTAGAAGAAGAACTTACAGGACTTGGACAATTGGAAAGTAATTTAAAGAAGGATCTTTTTGAATTAGAAGAAGAAGCAAGAAAAGTGGGTACAAGTGAATTAGATAAACTTGATGTTGGGGTTAAACAACAATTATTGGTTATGTTAAGGGGTATTCGTTTATAGATGTTTTTAATTAATATTATTTAATATATAATTTTGTTATAACTTAATTACTGCAAAAATATAAGAAGATAGGATTTATAAAAAATTGCAAAAAGAAAAGAATGGACGAGACAGGAATCGAACCAGTGACCTCTTGCTTGCAAGGCAAGCGCGCTACCAACTACGCCACACGCCCTTTTCTACAATCAAAAAAATTATCCGGTCTGTGCGAGATATATCGTGTCATGTGAAATGTTGCACGTGATACAATTTTCTTCCTGAAAGCTCTATGATTTCGTGCAGTTATTTTGCATTCTATAAATAGATATTTTACTTTAAGTTTCTCTATTCCTCTTCATTTATACTTCTAGTTATATAGAATATTATTAAATGTATAGTTCGAAAAAAAGTGGTGGATCGATGCACAAAACCAAACTCACTCCAAAACCTTAATGAACTTTGACTTAAAGCGCATTCCGCTGTTAATCCAAAGTTAATTCTAAATATAGAATATTGCGTTCATACAATTTAGTATGATTTGGAGCTCTTAGCCAACAGGTACAGTATTTAAGAACGGTATTCCCTCATAAATTAGTTCTAGTTCGTGAGTTTTTTATACGTTAGGTAGTTATTAATAAAATTACAGTTAATAAATAGATATCAGAAGGTATTTAAGAAAGTACGATATAATAATAACAAGATCGGTTAACTTTAAGAAATGAAATCAATTGAGACAAGATTTAAGCTGATGATGATGTTGGTGTTGGTGTTATACATTTTTGGAATGGCGCTAGCTTCGACAGGGGATCTGATCAGCTACATCACACGTTTAGGTGGTACTAGATTAACTGTTCAATATTTAAGATTTCAGTTTAATGTGACTGAGTTCGTTGAATGCGTTGGTTTGAATTTTACGGATGTTAATTTATGGCAAACTGAAAACAACGACTACTTAATAGCTCCATTAAATTTAACTGGGTATGATGAAGACTTATGGTTGGATTGTACGGACAGTCAAGGTGTAGGAGATATTTTAGCAGTTACTGATGGTACCTACGTGGAGGATATGTCATACGTGAGGCAATTAACATTAGGTGATGTACATATATGGAATGGTAATAGGTATACAGTTCCGACTAATGAATTACTTGCCAAACAATGCTCAAACACATAGTGGAGGCGAAATAAAAATAATAATATGAAAAGTTCAATAAATTAACTTAATTATGATCTTCTTCTTTCTAATTAGGCTTTTGGGCTTTTTGAATAATATTTAATGATGTATCATATTATTTTGCAAAATATCTTTTATAAGGATTTCAGCTTTGTCGTACTAGAATTCTGAGTTATTGACTTAGTTACCTATAGATTTAAATCATTTCTAGACTATAAATTACTAACTAATTTTCAGGTAACATGTGTTACTAACATTTATAAAATTATAGTGAAAAATATTTACTAACTATTTATAGACTGATAAAATTGATAAATATCTTTACTATATGAGTTTACAAACTTAAGTGGGATTGGCAAGAATCATAGGTCGTGTTTCTTCAGTTTTAGCTATATATGGGATTCACCATATATGTGGGCTAAAATCTTGGTATCTTCCTTTTAATATAAATTTAAATTAATCATTATAAAAAGTCAAATTATTCATTGTAAGATTTTAAATTGTAATTAAGTATAAATATCTTCTAACTTTATCTCTTTATCTGTTATATTCAAATGTGTTAATTTGTGTGGTTTCTTCATATTAATTAAGATAGTAGTGTATATAAGATATGTGTAAGAAGCATAACCAAAGTATATAAATAGGTGATTGATCACTTTTTTTTTAAACAACTTCTTTTTGGTTTTGATTTACTTAAATGTGGTATGAAATAAAATTCTCGTAGAGTGTTGATGTTCCCGGATCGAATTATTGTCGTAATAAAATTAATCATTTCTAGGATATAACTTACTAACTAATAGCGATTATGTTTTTGTTTAGATTTCTAAAGTCACTCTGGTTCTACAAATTTACAAATCTTAAAAATTGTGTTTACTAACATTTAAAAAGATATAGGTATATCTACTAACTTTAATCAAGAAGCAAGCGATTTGAGGTGAATTAATCTCTTTTTTTATTTTATCGAAATATTCACTGTTAATAGCTATTTGTTGTTTTATAATTTTCTCATTGATTACTTTTAAGTCATAGTCACTACTTTGGAATTGAATGGTTTCCATTATAACGAAAATACTTTTCAAAATTCAGCTCATGGTTGGTTTGGAAAACATTAATCTTTTCTAGGGTATAAATACTAACTAATTTTAGATGTTGATGCTAAACTAAAATGATTACTAGTTATAGGGTGAATTAGTGGTCCTACGGTTCCATTGATTCACAAAGCGGTGATTGAACCAGAACCAGAATGTGTTTAATTTTGGATGCATTTAGAGGTAGTATATGTAAAACAGTAAGTAATACTTTTATTAACTAAATATACATTTATTTTATATTATTATGCAAAATCAAATTGTTGTTTGTAAGATTTTAAATAGTAATTAACTATTATTAACCACTCAGATATTAGTTTTATTAATCTAATTGTCTATTATAACCACTTTATGACTTGTCATGGAAGTATAACCAGTTTGAAGTAAGTTTATGACCTGTAATGTAAGTTGCTTGTCAGTATACAGCGATGTGCGGAGATCTATATCCTTTGTCAGATTTGAATTAATTCAATTTATTACTATAAAATATGTCAAACTAGGGGTATTAAAGTCATAGTGCTAATATCAAATACTTGAATAAATCTTTAAATTACCAATTTACGTGCTATAGTTATGATACCTGATGATATATGTCAAATAAGAATAGTTTGCAACCTCATTTGGTTCTATACGACATGTCGTATAAAAAAAGTCGTATGGTGAAAGCCATGTGCGATATTATTATTAATTAATCGGATCAAATAAGAAAAAAGAAATTTTGAAATAGGGGTATTTTTTTAAAGGGAAATTGAAGTATTATACAACTGTTTCATCTGGTTAAGAAGAGCAGGTTAAGTTCCAATAGTACTGTTAGTATCACCATCCACCATGTCTACTGATACTCAAGTCATAAACATAAATGATAACAATGAGAATGTGTTGCTGGCTGATGATTTCCAACATCAATATAACGAGAATGCATCTTCGTTAAGGCATAGACTTAGACGATCATCTTTTGTGAAAGCCTCTATAACCACTGAAGAATTACTTGTGGAGAAGTTGGATTCCTTCCTTTCGTCTATTGAATCAAGATTAGAAAATTTCGACTACTTCTTCAAATTCAAAAAGGAAGAATCATTAGGTGGTGGTAATAGATTAGGTGATAGTTTAATACCTAATAATGATTATTATTTAACCACTGGAGGGGATAAAGACTTGGACCCTTATCTTGGAGCTACTCAAACTCCAACTCATAAAAGAAGAGGTAGTTCATCAAGTTTCAATTCATTAAAGAGTTATTCTGTATCCAATTTAAATTTAGTTCATCAAAGATTAGCTCTTATAAAAGATTCAGTCTTAAGAAATTCATTCACTAATTTAGAGTTTTTATATAAAACTTTAGATGATCAATATAACTATTTATTTAATCCAGGAGATGAAAATGATGATGATCTTGATAATAGAATGTTAAGTCCTGTTACAACCGCTACCACAAACAAAAAAGAATTATTGGCTCGTAAAGTGATTAAAACCATTCAATATTTTGATGAAAAATTACTTCAAATCGATGATTTCATTAAAGATAGTCAACCTGAAGCCACAGCAAACTATCGTAGTTCATCATTAATGCCATTAAGAATTTATAATTTCAATAAAGCAGTTAAAAGTGGTAAAAATGGTTATGTTCATTATTATGAATTACCTTTAAGTTGGAGAGAAAATAAATATATCATTTATGGTTATCGATTCTCCTTAGACCATAAATACCTTTTATCATCAATTTTCCATTTCCATAATGAAACCATGAATATTTGGTCTCATTTAATCGGTCTTTTTGTTATGTTATATTTTGTATTTATTCATTTCCCTCAATCAGATGTATTCCAAACCAATAGTTTCCAAGACAATGTCATTGTGTATTTATTCTTAGCGGCTGCCGTTAAATGTTTAGTAAGTTCAGTCATTTGGCATACATATACCGGTTGTGCTCATTTAGATACAAGATCAACTTGTGCATGTGTGGATTATTCCGGTATTACAGTATTAATCACTTGTTCAATCATTGCGGTTGAATATTGTGCGTTATATAATTATCCTAAATTATTAGTCACTTATATGACTTTTTCATGTATAAGTGGGGTAGGAGGATTACTTTTCAATTGGTCACCATATTTTGATAGACCTGAATGTCGTTCCGTTAGAATTGCATTTTTCGTCGGTTTAGCCATTTTAGGAGCTTCATCAATGTTATGTAAATGGTTTTATGATGGAGTATTAAGTGTATTTTATTTCTTTTCTCCTGTCTTTTATAAGAGTTTGGTATGGTATTGGTTTGGAGTTATCTTTTATGGAGGATTAATTCCAGAAAGATGGAGATATGATGTTATTATTGAAGAAAATTTAGCCATGAGTGGATGTGAACACACTTATGATTCAATTGATGTTTTAATGGATAATATTGAAAGAAGTGGTGAAGAAGAAATTGAAGAAATTGAAGAAGAAATTGAAGATATCATTGATAAAAATGAAGCTACTCAAGATAAATTAAAAAAAATTATCAAAAAGCATTTTCCTGAATCTCCAAAGAAATCTCCATATCATAAAGAATTCTTTTCATTATGGTGGGTTGACTATTTCTTAGCTAGTCATAATATTTGGCATGTATGTGTGGTATTAGGGGTAGTAGGCCATTACTTTTGTGTATTGGAGATGTTTAGACAATTAGCTAAAGTTTAGAACATAAAATTTGAAAGATGAAAGATGATGAATTGGGAAGGAATGAGATTTACGATCAAATGGTGGGAAATAACAACAACGACAATAATAATAATAATAATTAATTTATTTAATGGAAATATGGTGAAGACTAAACTGAGCCAAAACTCAATTTTAATAACCTTTTTAACAAAAACAATAAAACCCAAATATTAGAACTATAAATTAGATGATTATACAGTGTTTTCACCCTTGTTTTTTTATAAAGTTATATATTTTAATGAAGCATAATCATATTAACAATAATGTAAATATGCTATTTATAGCAAACAGTGTTGAGTTGCGCTTTTTAAACTGTCTGAGACCGTATATGGACACATGTAGGTTACGTTACCCCAAGTCAAGTCAAGGGGGAGGTGGAGAGGTGGTTCGTAGATATGGTGTTATTTGCGGGGAGTTGAGTGATTTCGAAAAGGTACGCATAATAATAGACATAGTTCGTATACTATACAATATCGTAATAGGAAAGGAGTGAAAGGTCCCCCCATAAGGGTTACTAATTTCAAATATTTGCAGTCTAAATTAACGTAAAATTAACGTAAAATTAAACTAAATTAAATTAAAGTAAAGTAAAATTTCACTCAAAGGGCAACCCCACTTTTATCTATCTGCAATAATTGTTTAAACTTTGTAACCGCATATATATAATTATAAATTGCAAAAATTCATTAATTATGGAGGCGGGAAGATACTCGTCAAACGCTCTTACACCCAAACAAATAAATTGAGGTAAAATATGGTTAGTGAATCATACCATAAATTATTCTATGTGGGGACCCAATTGGAAAGGTTTATTTTTAGTTAATAGCCCGGGGGGTCGAGATTCGAAGCCTGGAGATTATTTAATTGGCTGAACGGTGATCAATAAGATTTGGTAAGAAATCGTTTAATCAGTAAGTGAACGACGAGGAAACCGTAGGTCGAACCAAAAATTCACTCGGCATAAGGCTGATACTCTACAACAAGCCGAGAGATGTGGCAGTTGATAGTGGATTGGTGGGGTACGTGCGTTATTATTTTGAAGTATTTTACTCCTTGTTAGAACCACCCACATACATATCAAACCATGCAAAATATCAAGTTTTAAAAAATAATATTATTCAAAGGGAAAAGTTTAATACTAACAATGAAAGAGTTGAATGAAAGTTGTTTTTGACACTTATGGAAAGAGGCGGCAAGATAGATTTCAAATTACCAATTTTTAGAGAAATAAAAATTTTCAAATTTGGTTCCATTTTATATTTTATAAATATTTTACTGCATTTTGCATATCTGATATCTGATCATATTTCTACTACTAGTAAAGATATTGTAACGTCGTTTCTATTGTTTTGATATGACTTAACTGTACCTACGATGATAGTTAACGATGAATCATAGAACATAGATATGAAATGCAAGATTATCTCATAATTGTTGTGGTCGTCCCCTTAAACAATCAATTACTAATAATACCAATATAGACAAAATTCCTATTTAGGATTAAATATTAAGCTTTCCGTCCTGCAGGTAACAGAAACAAGAAAAAAAAATTAAAATTAAATAAAAAATAAAAAAAGATGTTCCGAACGCTCCCAAATGAATTTTGAATTATGAGCTTAACTAAAAGAAAGGCTGAAGTAAAAATTATCGGAATAATCATTATGTAAGCGCCATATGTATAGTAAACTTCTACAACGTCTAACTTAAACAGTGTCTATTTTTAAAGGAAGGATGACCTTATCATATGAGGTTTTTTGGGAAATCAGCAGGACTCAACTCAACACCAAGACGGTTTACTTTGATGAACAGTGTGAATATAGATGAGATGTTAACACCGAACGATAATAAATCAGGTGGAGTAAAATTATGGGGGATTGGTGAAAATAATAAAAGGCTAATTAACTAAAGATTGGAGGGTAAATCTATGTATGGATGAATACAAAAGTGGCTATTATGTACTAATTAGACAAAAAGACGTGTTGTCTACATGGATTATTTCTGTCACAAAGCAACCGATCTTAATTGTTTTTATTCTTTTCTTTTTTTGATAGTTAATGTGCCTTACTGTTATTGTTTGTTTGCTACTTGAGTTGACTCATGAAAAGCTTTTTCTTTGTTTGATGCAACGATGACAACAATACGTAATAAGTGAATGTGGGAATTGTGGTTGTTTTCTTCTTCTTTCTTCTACTTGTAATATCTATTTACACAAGACATTGCTTTCAACCAAGAATAAGATTCTACACGATGGATTTGATTCACTGGTAAACACAAAGTATGTAAATCCTCAATATAACTATCTATGTTTAGAGTAACAAATCCCAAACAAACGGCGATATTGTAAAGGGTTTTGTCCTCTCTGTATACTCTATTTAATTGAACAAACGCGAACCAAATTTATTTTTTAGGTACTAATTACGCTTGTTAATCACAAACTTCTTCTACTACATCTACATCTTCGTTCTATTTCCTTTTATCCATGGACTCCTCAGATTTGACCAGATCAATTAAGTAAGATTAACTTTTTCATCCTTTGTTATATGAATCGATAGTGGTGTGAAAAGTAACTGGAATGGTCAGCGCAAACTAAAAAATAAAGAGCAATTTGAAACAAAAAATAAATAATTTTTTGAAACTTAAAAAAATTTTATGAACATCCTCGGAATTTCCTTTTTAGGAGCAAGATGCGCAAAGGCTCCTAACAAACAATTTATTCTATGTTTATATAGTGGGACACGTCATTTTGCACATCTAACTGTATTAGCTGCTAATTGTTGCCTAAAAACTCAAAAGTAACGCAAAGATGTAACTTAACTACTTTAAAATAGCAAAGCATTAATTATGATTAATCATCCCGTTGTAAAACCTTATTCTATTAAATTCTTGAAAAAAATAAAATGGTGGGGGAAGACAATCAATCGATGGATGTATAAAGAATGCAAAACTTTTTTACACATATAACTTATCATTATAAATAAGTTGTATGTTCCACGTATATTTACAAATTTCGGTTGTTTCTTTTTTAGATTGTTTTTGAAATTCAAGACTAGATATCGTTACTTTCTTTCTTTCTTTCTTTCATTTAATTTATTCATTTTCCCCATATACTTCAATCTTTGATAGAAACAGATTTCATATTTAAATACTATTTATTCTTATACAACAAAATCATTTATCATGGGTAGATTAGACTGGCTTACAGAAAAAACCAACACTCATGGTTTGGCTGGTAAAAAATTAAGAGTCGCCATTACTATTGTTGCTGTTACTGGGTTTTCATTATTCGGTTACGATCAAGGTTTAATGTCCGGTTTAATTACCGCTGAACAATTTAATAAGGAATTCCCTGCAACTTATAATAATGGTACTATTCAAGGTGCAGTCACTTCATGTTATGAATTAGGTTGTTTCTTTGGTGCTTTATTCGCTTTAATAAGAGGTGAAAAAATCGGTAGAAGACCTTTAATTATTTGTGGTTCATTAATTATTATTCTTGGTACTACTATTTCCACAACTCCATTCCATCCTCATTGGCCTTTAGGTCAATTCGTTGTCGGTAGAGTTATAACTGGTATTGGTAATGGTTTAAATACCGCTACCATTCCAGTTTGGCAATCAGAAATGTCTCGTGCTGAAAATAGAGGTTTATTAGTTACTATGGAAGGTGCTGTTATTGCCGTTGGTACTTTAATTGCTTATTGGTTAGATTTCGGTTTATCTTATGTTAATACTTCAGTTCAATGGAGATTCCCTGTTGCTTTCCAAATTGTTTTCGCTGCCTTTTTATTCTTTGGTATTTTAAGATTACCAGAATCCCCTAGATGGTTGATTGCAAATGATAGAAGAGAGGATGCTCTTTATGTCTTAGGTAAATTACAAGACTTACCTCCAACTGATGATGAAATCATTGCTCAAGCTACTGTTATTACTGATGCTGTTAATAGATTTGCTAAAACTCAAGTTGGTTATAAAGAAGTTTTCACAGGAGGTAAATCTCAACACTTCCAAAGAATGGTTCTTGGTTCATCTACTCAATTCTTCCAACAATTCACTGGTTGTAATGCTGCTATCTATTATTCAACTGTGTTATTCGAAAACACTATTGGCTTAGAAAGAAGATTATCTTTAATTTTAGGTGGTGTTTTCGCTACTGTTTATGCTCTTTCAACCATTCCAAGTTTCTTCTTAATTGAATCTTTCGGTAGAAGAAATCTTTTCTTAATTGGTGCTATGGGTCAAGGTATTTCTTTCACTATTACTTTTGCTTGTTTAATTGATAATACTACCGCTAATGCCAAGGGTGCCGCTGTTGGTTTATTCTTATTCATTATGTTCTTCGCCTTTACTATTCTTCCATTACCATGGGTTTACCCACCTGAAATTAATCCATTAAGAACAAGAACTATTGCTTCTGGTTTCTCCACTTGTACTAATTGGATTTGTAATTTCGCTGTGGTTATGTTCACTCCAGTCTTTATTGATCATGCCAGATGGGGAGCTTATTTATTCTTTGCTATTATGAATTTCTTATTCGTTCCAATTATCTTCTTTTTCTATCCTGAAACTGCCGGAAGATCCTTAGAAGAAATCGATATTATCTTTGCCAAATCTTATATTGACAAGAGATTACCATACAGAGTTGCTGCAACCATGCCAAAATTATCATTACAAGATATTGAAGATGAAGGTAATGCTTTAGGATTATACGATGGTGATTTCGCTAAAGAGCAAGCTGAAATGAGAGAAGATATCAGTTCAAACTCTTCAGCTCAAAAGGAAGATGGAGCCAATGATGAAGGTTTATTATCATCCAAAGCTAAAGACGGATCTATTGTTTAAATGGGATTAAATTAAAATAAAAAAAAATATATATTCAAGATATATAGATGCAAGTTTTTCTATATACGTTTGGTTTAATTTTATTAGTTTTGTAGATGAAGTATGTACCAACTAATAATCACACACAGTACATTAATATACAAAATTATGTTTTATACTTGATTTGATTGTAGTGTCTTCAAATGATGGCAAAAAAAAATTGTAACAATTTGGTCTGTCCTGTATATAACGCAATGCCACAATTTTCTTATTTTGCATTTATGATCGTTGAAATTTATAATTCAAACCATTAATAATACTCTCTTCTTTCTTTGTCTACTTCATCATATTTGTTAATACTTAAAGGACATAATTCATCATCATCATGGCATCTAAAGCATATCTCGAAAGAGCTCAAACTATAATCAATGAAAACCCTTACTTAATGTTATCCAAATCATGGTGTCCTGATTGTCATTATACTTATAAAGTATGGGATGAATATAAAGTTCGTGATAAAGTTCATATCATTGAATTAGATAAATTAGCCGATCAAGAAGATGCCGTTAAGTTAGAACAAGCATTTACTGAAATTGCTGGTAGAAAGTGGGTTCCAACTATTTTCTTTAACGGTAAAAGGTTAGGTACTGAAGCTGACTTAAAAGTTTGGAAAAAGGAAGGTAAGTTAGATCAAATCTTCAAAGATGCAAAGTTAATCTAAGTAAGATCGAAAGATTTTATATGATATAATGGAAAGTGTATTTTTTGAGTTTTTTCTAATTTACCGAACGAAACTAGCTATATACGTAGATATATATAAGAGTGAAATAAAAATAAAACATTAAGCTTAAAAACATAAAATCAAATCAATATTAGACTTAGACAGATAATGGGAAAGCACCAGCCCATTCAGAGATTTCAGCTTTAACGGCAGCTAATCTTGGATCATCAGAACCTAAGACTTTAGTTTTAAAATCTTTTAATTTATTACCGTCTTTTGGTAATGAAGCTTGTAATTCTTTAGCGTAATTAACAGCGAAATCAATATAGTAAACAATCTTTTTGAAATCTTCTTCACCTAAACCTCTGGTAGACATAGCTGGGGCACCAATTCTAACACCACCTGGAACTAAAGCAGATTTATCACCTGGAATAGAATTTTTGTTTAATGCGATATTAATTTTTTCACAAACAGTTTCAACTCTAGCACCATCAATTTGTTTATCTTTTAATGAAACTAAAACCATATGAGAATCAGTACCATTTGAAACTAATTTATAACCTTTATTAATGAATTCAGTTTCTAAAACTTTAGCATTCTTTAAAACTTGAATTTGATATTCTTTAAATTCAGGAGTAGCAGCTTGTTTTAAAGCAGTAGCTAAAGCAGTAATAGTATGATTATGTGGACCACCCTGATGACCTGGGAAAACAGAGAAATTGATTGGATTTTCTAAATCATAAAGAATTTCTTGACCAGATTTTGGATTAATTGATCTAACACCTCTTCTGAAGAAAATCATAGCACCTCTTGGACCTCTTAAAGATTTATGAGTAGTGGTGGTAACAATATCAGCATATTCAAATGGAGATGGAATAACACCAGCAGCAATTAAACCAGAAATATGAGCCATATCAACCACTAAATAAGCACCAACTTTATCAGCGATTTCTCTCATTCTAGCATAATCAATTAATCTACAATAAGCAGAAGTACCAGCAACTAAGACTTTTGGTCTATATAAAATAGCGGTTTTTTCTAACATATCATAATCAATTAAACCAGTTTCTAAATCAACTCTATAAGGCATAGTTTCAAAATAAGTTGAAACGGCTGAAATTTTTCTGGAATCAGTTTGATAACCATGAGATAAATGACCACCATGAGGTAAATCTAAACCCATTAATCTTTCATGAGGTTTCATTATAGCTTGATAAACTTGTAAATTGGCTGGAGATCCACTTAAAGTTTGGACATTGACACCCCATTTATCAGCAGTTAAATTGAAAGCTTTTAAAGCTCTATCTTGACATAATAATTCGATTCTATCAATATGTTCATTACCACCGTAATATCTGGCACCTGGGTAACCTTCAGAATATTTGTTACACATTGGCGTACCTAAAGCATCGAAAACAGCAGTAGTAGTGAAATTTTCAGAAGCAATCAACACAATAGAGTGTTTTTGTCTATCAATTTCATCTTGAATGATTTGATAAACTTCAGAATCACTGTCTTTTAAATGAGCTGATACTAATTGTTTATGAGATTCAGATAATGCGTAAACCATGATTGACGATAGTTGATTGAGTAAAGTGATTAAACTTAGATTCTAATAAACTAAGAAGAAGGAATTGACTTAAATGGTGAAAGAAACAAAGAAAATTCTAAATGAACAAAGTAAAAAGAAAGATGATCAGGTTTAAATATTTCTCCATATATTTTTTCAATGCAACTTCTTGAGTCAAAAGTCAATACCTCATCAATTATAATTTTACAGGTTAATAAAACTTTATTTAGAGGGGAATTAACCAAATCAGAGTCAAAAATTAAATTTTAGCATTCCACGTGATCAAAGGTCATGTGGTTCGGGATTTGAAAAAAGAAATTTGAAATCTTGCACCCACATGGTAGCTCTGAGTTCCATGCAGGACGAGATCTCGAAATTTTGGTGACAATCCATTTATTTTAAGAAAGAATTTCGGTGTTAATTATTTACATAGTTAAGACTTTCTTTTGATTACATAATCTTATGCTATATTACTATGATTATAAATCATTTACTAAATTTAGTTTACTTTCGATAGTTTACCCCTTAATTATATCTATTATGGTCTCCGAGTTTAACATTTAACTAGTAGTTTGGTAGCACCGAATCCTTTCCATCTAATCTAATCAATTATATTACATAATAATTTTGCTAGTAAAATATGGCCACAATTTATTTTTTGAGGGGAAAGTAACTAATAGTGGTTGCAAACTATATTGGTAGCCTTCATGATTTTCAAGATCATCACGCAATTGACTCTATATATAAATACATAGTCAAAATCCCTATCCATGACTTCTAATATGTCTTTTTGATTTCATTGAAGTTATTAACTAAAGCTAATAAATCTCCTAACTATCACTTCACTATGTCAATTGAATCAACTCAAATCATTGTTAAAACTCCTCCCCAATATGCTCTTAATTATGAATGGAATCAACCTGATTCAACTTTTGAAATAAGAAAGGTTATATTTACTCCCGAAACAGACTTAAAAGAAGGTCAAGTATTTGTCAAGACACTTTATCTCTCCAATGATCCATTCACAAGAGGGGTCATTCAAAAAGTTGAAAATCAAACTTTACCAAAAGGTAGACCTGTGGCCTCGGTTGCATTAGGTGAAGTTTTAGAATCTAAAAATACACTTTATAAAAAGGGTGATGTCGTTACTGGGATTTGGAATTGGTCAGAATATGCTATTCCAAGTGTGATTTATTACGCTATTGATAAAGCTTCGAAATTACCCTTTACTTATTATATTTCAGTAATTGGTATTGCTCCTCTTACAGCTTATTTTGGATTAACTAAAATTTTGAAATTTAATTCTGATGTTACAAGTGAAACTTATAAAGCCAAGAATTTAATTATTATTTCAGCTGCTACAGGTGCAGTTGGAGCTGCTGCTGTTCAATTATCCAAGCATAACTTTGGAATCTCAACTGTAGTAGGTATTACTGGAACTGATTCAAAAGCAAAATGGGTTGAAAGTATTGGTGCTGATAAAGCTTTCAATTATAATGATCCTGATTTTGAATCTCAATTATCAGCATATGTGACTTCTACAGGTGGTGCTGATTATTATTTTGATAATGTCGGTGGACCAGTATTAAATTCCGTGCTTCCTCAGTTAAATACTTATGGTAAGGTTGCTGCTTGTGGAAATATTTCAAACTTTAAGAATGCTAATAATGCTTTACTTCCAAATTGGGTATCAATCATTAGTAAAAGACTTAATATCACAGGACTTACCGTTCATGATTATATCCCTGAATTTCCAAAGGCACTTTCAGTATTGGAAAAAGCTATTGAAGAAAAGAAATTAGCTACTGAAAATGCTTATTCCGTCGAAGATATTTCTGATAAACTGAATAAATTTGAATTGGTACCTTTAGTTTGGAAGAGAATTTTTGATGGTTCTAAACCTCATGGTAAGATTATCACCAAGATAGTCAGAAATATTCCAAAGTAGTTAATTAGTTAGTTATGCTCGTAATGAATAAATTGGTTCTGTTACTGCAAAGAATTATCGCTACCATACGACATCAAGTAAAAATGTTTGAAGTTCCCCATGACATTTCAAACAATGGCGTAAGTATCAACTCAATTGAGCGAATTAAGAAAATTCAAGTATTTGAATAGATTAAGACTTCAAGGAGCGTTAGAGTTGTAATGTCGAAATTGCTATATACAACAGTTCCTGGAATGTTCCTGTACGTAAACAACAATGAAAATCATGTGACTCTATACGACACAAATTAGTAAACATTACGAAAAGGTACAGTACATAATGTATGATAAGATAAGTATAAATTAAGGTGTGTGTATATATATAAGTATATAAGAGATTCAAATAAGAAGGTGTAGAATATAATCAGAATAATAGATAGATAGATATTTGTTTGTTTGTTTGTTTGTTTGTTTGTTTGTTATAAAAATAAGTAGTAGCAATAGTAATGGTAATAAGTTAAAATAGTAAAAAGAAATAACGGCAAAACAATTATAAAAATAATAATAATAATAATAATAATAAATACTAGGAAAAAACAACATCTAGTAATTAAAATATAAAACAAACTAACACTCTGAATCACAATTTAATGAAGCCTTTTGAAAAGGTTCAATAATAATCTTTTTTTGTTTTATAAAATAGGTTTTAAATATAGGTAGTAGTTATATCATATCAATTAGTTTGACTTTAATCACTGTAATCTTTGTTTCTCTTTGTTTCTTTCTCTCTCTCATTCAATTTAATTATTCAGTTTAAATCAACATTCTTATTTAGGTTTTTTATTAGGTAATCTCTGTGTGATGATGGTTGCATAAGTTATTGGTGTGATGGATGGATGAATCATTGGTTGTTGATGGGATTCAATTTGATTAGAATAAAGTAACTCTTAATCTATGAGCTATAGCCAATTTTGGCACAACCACACAAAGACAACAAATACCATTTAATATAAATAAATTTAAATTATAATTTGAATAATGAGTACTAATTAAAAATAATGCAATTGGAACTGACATTAAGAATTTCTTGGTTGGAGTATATTGATCACCATTATCAATTTGTTCCCACATTGTTAAATTATCATAAGCACCTGAATTAAATTCAAATGGAGTACCTTTAACTTGATGAAACATAATATAAGAACCAACATTATAAACCACATTGGTTAAAGTCCATCTCCAATCATTATCTAAGATACTTACTAAATTAAAGATTAATTTCAATAATACAATTAAAACCACATGAATCACCCAAGCACCTTTTGAATGAACCCAATTTGCATTAACATTTGGATTTAAAGTTTGATCAATTTTTGTATCTAAAGTATCAGGTTCTAAATGTTGAATAATGGATGATGATCTTCTTTGTCTTGTATTAAGAGTAGCTTGATGATGAGGTGGAGGAGGAGTAGTGATTATTGGAGTTATGACTGTATTCGAATTACTTCTGGTACGACCAGGACTTCCAATACTATGAGTACTATTTGAATGAGGTCTACCACCTTGTTTTGGACTAACATCCAATCCTAATAAGTCAGGTTTATAGTTATATGAAGCTTTTGGACTAGCAGTTGACATAGTTTGATGCAATGAATAAATGATGATATGTGTAGGTGTGGGAGTTTATAGATGTATTAAAAAGTAATAATAAATTATTGTTCTAAAGGGTTGAAGTTCTATCCTTTTGTCGTTAATAATATAAATAGTTCGTTATGGGTGATAGGATGGGTTGGGATGGGTTGAAATGATTGAGTAGTTGTGATATGATGTATTAAGTTATGGTTAGTTGATGTGATGATTTGCTTTGAAATGACTTATATAATATGTCTATCTATGTAGGCGTATGCTGATGCTAAGACTTGATGAACTGATGGATCGATATTGGATTTGATTAATCAATTAGTAATTCAATATATTTTGATTGATTGATTGATTGATTGATTGATCAATGGTTAAACAGTTGGAAGTGTGTGTTGATGATTGTTGTTGTTGTTGTTGTTGTTGTAAATGAATTTGGCTGCCTTCTCCTGTTTCTCTCGTTTCTATTTCTTTCTCTCTGTTCCTCTCTCACTGTTTATAAAAAAAGAAAATTTTTGATTTCAAACAAATCCAAAAAAAAAAAAAAAAAAAAAAAAAAGTTTCGTGACGCCATCCAAAAAAAAAGAACTAACAAAAATGTATGACTCTAAATTTAGCATAGTTACAGTAAAGGGGTGGTAGCGTTAAAGTGGGGGAAACGTAACGATGGCAAATTAATTAAATAAACTGTTTTATCATTGTTATGACTATATACGATAGATTACGATAGAATGTAATAGAAAACTAGTATTCTTATTAGGAGGTAAATTAACTTGATTACGTGTTTAAATCTTCAATAGGTACGTAAATCCCTCCTGAATGCCATCCACTTGCCGCTATCAGAACCCATTTACCTGGAAATGGTGGATTCTTAACTAATAAAGGTTTAGGGGCTGTGAATCCATCTCTTGCATGATCAATTATTTCATTATTAGTTTCAGGTCTTTGTTCTAATAATATCTCTTTTGAACCTAATCCTAAACTTCCACAATTCTTCAGTTCATTTCCCCAACTTAATATATTCCCATCTGTAGTTAACGCTAAATAATGAAAATCTCCAATTTCAATCGATTTAATATTTTGATGTTGTAATTCGTCAATGATTTTAACTTTCGAATCTTCATCATCTTTATTACCTAATAATATAGAATCATAATTCGTAAACACCACAAAATTCCTAAAACAACAATTCAATTTCAGAAATGTAGATTGAATCCCGTTATCGTAATTATATTGTTTTAACCATTGATTAAATCCATCTAAACTTTCTTCACTAGGAATATAATTAGGGACATTTTGATGAGCATTATTCGACATTTCTTGAGCATTGAATTTAACACTGTATAATTTCTTAGGATCGGATTTCTTGATAACTAAAACTACATCTTCACCTAACGCAAAATCAACAATATTATGTTTTGAATTAGGGACGATGAAATAATTAGCATTACTAGTGAAATCCTCTTGTTCAAATTGTCTTTTGGTGAATGGAACTCTGCTATACCATATAATCAATCCAATTGTAGCAATATAACACCCTGAAATATTCCATCCTGCAAAGATTTTTTCAATAATATGTTTATCTTCAGTTATATCTAATCCTGGAAATTTTAATCGAATCCCAGTATTAGTCTTAGTACCGGTATCCCAAGTATATAAATTATTTTGATTATCTAAAGCTAATATTTGTCTTCTACCACAATTTATACTTATGATTTTCCTTTTATATTTTGATTCTTTCAAGGGTGGTAAATGCAATTTAGTTATAAATTCTGATTCTTTAACTTCAGGACGGATATCATCAATTCCTTCAATAGGAGGTAATTGTTCAGGCGGTAATCTTAATGATCTAGATGGTAATCGTCTTCTACCTTGAGGAACATCTACTTCAGTTTCAGGATCAATATCTCGATCATAACGATTCGTACCATTGGGTAAATGAGTTAATAACGTCCGCCTTGGACCTAAATCATTCTGATCCCTGGTGATATACATAGTTGAAGGAGGTTCATAAAAATCATATCCATCATGAGGACCAGGAGTAGAGGCTCCAAATGCACTTATTGAACTTCCTGTATGATATAATTGACCATTATTTGTCAATACAATAAAACAAAATCCATTAGCAATGATATCAATGATAATCCGATCATTGAAATTAACCACATTAGTAGGAGTATGGACACCGAAAGCACGAAGGAAATGGAAATTCCCAGGCGGTATAGATTGATGATCTTGAGGAATCGATTTTAATAAATATCCCAATCTTCCACCATCATTGGATCCCCAAGTATATACTTTTTGATCATGACGAATTCTTAATTTAAAGTATCGTTCCCAATTGAAATCTTGTAATAATTTAATATGATGATTCTCATTATCGTTATTACTGAATATCTTCCCGTATAAGATCTTATAAATGATGGATGAATAAGGTGATTCAAAATATAAATTATAGATGTCTTGACAAGTGATTGAAAAATTAAATATATCTTGATATGATAAGAATGGTGCTATACCATCAGTAAGGATATCATCTCCTAAATCAAGAATTGAAACCATTATCTGTAAGTTCTTGATCTGATGCAATCTGACTTTGTTCTTGAATCAATTAATTATAAAAGTGGCAAAAACATAAAGTGAAATTTTTAAACCTCATATCTCTTGTTACTTTAATGTTACTCCAGGAAATAGACTGATTATGATCAAAATAGCGGTATGGATGATTAGTATGGCATGGCTGAGTTTAATTTCCAAATTAAGTAAGATGTCCGCTCTAGAGTTGTATACAGGAATATTGCTATAATGAATAATTAATGTTGCAAAAATAATAATTACAACACATGATGTATATTTATATAATTCTACAATCTATATACAGACTGAGTGAGTGAATGACGATGACAGCAATCGGATGTAGTTGAATGGGATTAGATATCACTTATCCATTTCCAAACTTTAATGATTTCACCATTATCTTCAATTAAATCAATACTTACATTACTATTAATCTCAATTTTACGTTGAATTACATTCCAAAGATTTAATTTGGTAGTAAGATTCTTTTCATTAATTAAAATCAAATCTCGTAATTGATTGGAACCAATATATGGATTCACATTGTCTAATAAGTTGGATGATCTCTTTTGATATTGTAATTTCTTTAATACTTCTTGATAAATTATATCAATTTTAATTAAATTTAATTTATATTGTTGATATTGAAATTGACTAAATTTAATTAATGAGAAAATCAACACAAGGATTAATATTTCATATTTATAATGAAATATAGTTAATGTTAATGTATTTTGTAATTGACATTTTAAACTAAGGTTTGATAAGGACGTTGATCGAAAAATTTTGTCCTGATTGGTCTCCAAGGTCTGATTTGTTTGGTTAGTTGAGGTAAATTCATTTGATGTTGGTAAAGTTGAATATCCAGTCTATAATAATCGAAAGTTAGTATAAAGTTTTTCTAATAATAGATAATAATAACAAGATTGCAAAAAAAGAGGAGTGAGTTTATACTTTCTCCTCTTTTTCAAATCAAGTTAATTATATTTAAAACACTTGCCTTACAATTATTTCAGAATCTTTCTCTAATTCAACTTTAGCTCTTGACCATAATTCTTCAAATTCTTCATTAGTAATATATGGAGCTTTCATACTTAATAATAAATCATGTAAATCATCAGTTTTAATCCCTGATTCAAAAATATTTTCATTTTGACCACATTTGGTATTAATATTTTTAGATCTTAATAAATCTATAGCCACTTCAATCATAATTTCTAATTTTTCTGCTTTTTTAGAATCAGGAACACATACTTTATTATATGGTTTTAAAAAATTATCCCATGGTTGAAATTCAATAAAATCTTCATAACATCCTATTTCTAAAAGAGGGAAACAACGAGCATGTAAAGGACATGGTTTACAAGTTGGTTTTAAATTTGAATCTAAATAATCTCCTAAAATTTGGATGAAATAATTGTCATGATTGGGGAATGTTTGTTGTTGAATTTCTTGTCCACAATATCCAATGAGGAATAATTGTTGATAATACCAATAGGCGAAAAGTCCTGAACTAATAAGAATTATCCATAATGAAAATGAAATAATTAATGATTTTAAGGATTTAATGATTCTTGTTTTCTTTGATGGTTTTGGGATAAACTCTTCTTCTTGTTCAATTGATGCTTCTAATTTCTTAATAAGTTCATCTTCTTTTTCAACTTCATCAATTTCAACTTCTTCTTCATCTTCATCTTCATCTTCATTATCTTTCTTTTCTAATGAAAACTCAGGTAAGAGACGAGGTTTAGGAGTTAATGCACTTTTTGATAAACCTGGAATCGATGATTTCTTAGGAGATGGAGATGCAATATCACTAAAATGAGCTGAAATATCAGCATTACTTGAAGGTAATCCTTCAATGGTTATACCTAATGATTTAGCCAATTCCAAATCATTATCATTAAGAATGGCAGGCTGAAGAGGAGAAGTTCTATTTTTAATTGATTTCAATTGTTTATCGAAATCTTCTAATTCTTCCTCCACAGTTTGAAAAGATTTTGAAAGATCTATAGATGGGGTGGTGGTATTCACTGGAGGTGGAATTAAAGGAGATGATGATAATTTCTTTGACTGTTTCTTAGTTGAAGCTGGTTTGGTAACTTTTGGAGTTGAAGATTTTGAAGCTGATTTAATTTTTGGAGTTGAAGATGCAGTTGTGGTAGGAGTTTTTGATTTTGGAGTTTTAACTTTTGGAGCTGTTGGTGGTGTATCAATTTTAGGAGATGATGGTAATTTAGTATCAATACCTAATACAATATCATCTTCTGCATCATCAAAGATTGATTTTGGTAATTTTGATTTTGGTTTTGGAGTTGCTGATTTTGCCTTTGGAGTTGTTGATTTAACTTTTGGAGAAGATAATGGAGTAGCAGATGATGATGAAGCATCAACTATTGATTCTTTATTCTTCTTCACTTTTTTTGTCTTCTTAGTGGTGACTTTTTCTTGTGGACTTGATTCAATTTGATCACTATCTTCATTTTTTCTCTTTTTAGATTTTTTAGTGACACTACTACTAGTATTTATACTTTGTTCGAATGTTGAATTTGGAGATTGGAAGACATTATCATTTGTAAATGGACTCTTTTCATCATCTCCCTCTGGTACAATCGGATTAGGTGATCCAATCAATGGCGTTTTAACATCCACTACTTCTTTCTTTACTTTTTTTTTAGTACCTCCATTAACGTCAATGAAACCAATATCATTTTTATTCAAAATAGCATTTTGATAATCCTGTAACAAACGATCGGAATGAGCAGCGATCTCAACATTGAACACATCTATTAATTGAGGTTTTTTCATATTAGATGGATAGATGACATTATATTGATTTAAAATCCCTCTTAATTGAGATACTTTTAAAGATTTTGGATCAAATCCAGGTTGAAGATAATATTTATCATCTTCCATATTGACTGTCTTGGGACTAGGGTGATAATGGTACTGAATAGATCTATAAGGATGAAATACAACGAATGATGATAAATGAAAAAGAAGTTGCTATTCTTTTGAATTGTTTATTGTTTACATTTCAAGGATGACTTTCATTTTGTGGATTTGTATTTGTGAAAGATTTTTGGTGTTGTCGTGTTTTTTTGTTAGAAGAAAATGGGTCACATGGCGGATCACATGAGTTGAGTCATGTGATCAATAATTTTAGAAAATAAATATATCACAAATTAAATTATACTTAACTAAACTTACAGCTAATTTTAAAGTTTTAATAATAAAATGGAATTGATTTAAAATTAAACTAATTCTGGTTGGCTTTTATTAATAAATTACGGGCTACGGTGTTATTAATTAATGATTCAATTTAAACTAGATTTCAAAATATTCATAAACCGATTTCGTTTAATCCTTAACTGAGTCTAGTTGTATAAATCGTAAATCATAACTAATTAAGTTGGTTACTGTAAATCTTTTTAGAGAGAGAAGGTTTTTTTTTTATATACATAATCTAGCTTTCATAGAAATCAATTCATAGAATATAAATATCTTGTGATGAATTACTTTTATTGTTATAAATTAACCGTTGAAAGCCCGTAGTTAAGAAAAAGTGTGAATTAAAAGGGTAAGGTGGAATCGCGTTAAATTTTACTCAATTTGGAATATATGTATGCATTAATTTGCCTTGGACAAAATATTTATTAATTTTTAATTTAATTTTAATTAATTTTAATTTTAATTTTAATATTAAATGGAATGGAAAAGGTGGATACAAAAGGAAAAAGACTGGAGTAGATGGAGTAAATGGAAGTATGGTTACAACGATGATGTTATATGATATCAGAAGATGGTGAGTGGACCGATGAGAGAGAGAGATGTGTCATCTAATGTGGATTAGATGACGGAGTTGGTTGTTGTCGTATTAAAATTGTCAGGACAAAAACAGAAGCTGATGTCAAAAAAATAAACAAGACAAAAAAGCAAAAAGGGACAATCAATTTGAACTTTTAGACAAAAAGAAGCACGTAAAAGAAGACAAAAAATAGAAATAAAAATGGAAGTATGACATGACATGATACGAGACAAACAGACAGACAGACAAATTTATATTTAAAGCCATTAAGTTGAATGGGGTTATGATAAAGCAATAGAAGATTGTTTATGGTTGTTATCCTATCCTTTCTTATAAGGCACCAATTTAATTTAGAGTTGGATTGTATCAATTGGTTTATCTAATTGATGAATTAACCATTAATAGTAATAATCTAACAAAATGCCTTTTACACAAACATAGTAATAATAATAATAAGAATTACTATTATTGGAGTTTGATTAAATTGACAAAAATAAATAAATAATTGAAAAAGTGACAAGACAAAAAAATTACTTGCTTTGTGTATGTATGGGATGACACACGTGGTATAAGAAAGACGTAAAAAAATCAGACAGACAGACAAAAAAAAATGACAAATTGACAGACAGACAATACACGTGTAAACAGAGAGAGAGAGAGAGAGAGAGAGAGGGAAAAATGTAAATAGTTAAAAGAAGTTTACCCCATAATCAAAATGTACTATAAAAAACCCACAACTACAACTTTAACCATAAATAAATTACTATTAAAGAGACATTGAGACATTATCAGTAGATGGTAAAGTAAAAGTAGAAGTTGCCCTTTCCTCTTCCTTTGTTTTACTCATTTTAAATTTATCTTAACCATTTCTTCTTTCTTCTTATTACTACTGTTACTTCTTACTATTAAGTTATAAGTTATTCCTTTTAATAGAAGAATAGTATACAACAATACTAAATAATCAATCCATCAAATAACTAAACTTTGAACGGGAAGAATCCAAGAATTATCCTACTTCTAATTATTACTATAAATAACCATCTATTCCTTTGCTATTCATCTTCATCACCCACAGCCACAACCATAATCCATCCATCCACTCTCAACCAACATATTCATTCCAATTCAACTTGCTTATACTCGAATGTGTTAAACATATACTCCAAACCTACCACATCTTCAACATCTATATCATAACCCATAGTTAAGATAAAATAATCATTTTCTTTATTACAGGGAAAAAAAATCGATTTTCAGTTTTACAACAAAAAAAAGACAGAGCCAGACAGAGTAAAAAAAAGAAAAAAGAAAAAAAAAATTATCATCAAATTCTTTTTTTAAATTACAAGTCATATCTATTTAGCAATCCTCATAATCCTTAGCTAGCTACCACCTTAGCATTCAGTTTCAACTTAGAAAAATATACCGAACTAGTTGATACAGTCTGTTATTGAGTGAGTAAGTCTAACAATATCAACAAGATCCGGTAAATGAGTGTACTTCATACCGTAAAATCTCCTTTTCCCTCTCCGAATGATACAGTATTTAATAATATATCTCCAAAAATGTCAACCACAACTTCAACAACAAATTCAACCACTCCAAAACCAAGCCCTACAAGTATAATACCTTCTCCTTCTTTACAATCTCAAGCATCATTTCAACGACTGTCAAATCGTTTAACTCCTCCTCCTCCATCAAATAATACTAGTACCAATATGTCACCAACTAATTCAAATTCATCATCTCAATCAATGACTGATTCACCAACTCTTGACCCTTATTTATCTCAATATATCAAATCTCCAAGTATAAATTCTTCCTTACATAATCATAAATTATACTTTGATTCTATAAATAAACAACGAAAAGTTCGACTGTTTGAAATTTATCAAAAATATCTTAATAATCAAAATCAACAAAATCAACAAAATCAAAATCAACAGAATCATAATCATAAAAATCATTATAATCAAATCAAAAAGTATCAATTCCAAAAACATCAACAATATAAAATCAATGATTATCAACAATATATTCAAAAATATAGAGATGAATCTCAAAGAAAACAACCAGCTCCTTCTTCACCTTTAATCAATGAAAATAAATTGAATCAAAAGGAAGTCATAGAACCTGTACCAGTAACTAAGATTCCAAGTCAACAAATCCCTCAAATACCAGTCAGTCATATCACTAAATCTTTACCATTGGAATTCATGGATTGTCCCATGGATGATCTTATCAATTTAATCTCAAGAATGTTACAATCATTAATTCTTTTAAATGATAAAAGTGTTCCTAATTCAATTTCAAAACCTCAACCTTCATCAACCACATCTACGAATAATTTACTTACAAGATATCATTCCAGATCACCGCCACAAATCTCAACTCATACTTATCTTACTCGTCTTACTAAATTTAATAATTTCAATCCCGCTACTCTATTAACGACGATTTATTATATTGATTTATTAAGTCATCAATATCAACCATTCTTTACGTTGAATTCATGGACAGTTCATAGATTTTTATTAGTAGCCACCATGTTAGCTCAAAAATCAATGGAAGATTTCTTTTATACCAATGATCATTATGCCAAAGTTGGTGGGGTTGCCATTGGTGAATTGAATTGTTTAGAATTGGATTTCTTAAAGAGAGTCGAATGGAGATGTGTTCCATGTAAACCTACTGGTAGCAATGAAGTTAAAAGTAATGGTAATTATAGTGCTATAAGGTATTGTAAGGATGTTTTGAATTTATATTATCAACAATTAATTGAATTAATGGGAAAGAATCATCATATGGACAATGGAACTTTCTATGTTAAACATGGTAAAAAGAATGATAGTGTTATTGAAGATAAGTCTGATGTTAAGACTTTGAAAGATGATGAAAAGATGGATAGTCCTGTCGATGAAGATGATGAGGAAGATGATGAAGAGGAAGATTATGATGAAGAGGAAGACTATGATGATGATGAAGAAGACGAAGGAGAGTATGACGATGAAGAAGACGATGAAGATGAAGAGGGAGACGATGAAGAAGAAGACAATGATGATGATGATAGTGAACATACTGAAAAGGAGGAAACTCCAAAATCATATCAACCAACTGTCTCAACCAAAACAAAATTTGATGCTAATGGATTTAGTGTCGATGGATCATCATCACCACATTTAAAAAGAAGATATTCCGAGCATAATATCGAAGAAATATAATCTTACCATACACATATATGTATAAGTTCATTCATTTCATTTCAATTAAATTAAATTTAATCAATGCAACCATAAAGACTCACATTGATTCAGTTTTATTATTTTTATTATTATTTTTATTATTAGTATTACATTTTAGTATTATGTTATTTTGGGGGACCCAGAGGTTAATAAAGTATCACTATCACTATACATATTCATATCAATTAAATTTATGATTGGTGATTAGTTTTAAATAAAAAGTTTCTTCATTTCTGAAATTTAATATACAATTTATTATTTGTTATTTATTTTTTATGTTTATTGTTTTAACTCTCGTAATAGATCAGTTTGATCTTGTAAATTCCGATAAATCATGATAAGCTTTATATGGTATACTACAATGTAATAATTTTCGTATTTATTTTTAATTAAAAAAATTGCTTTTTAAAATATTAAGATATTATAAAGTTTTAAAAATAAATAGCGTTAAAATAAGAAAAAAAGGAAACGAAAAAGTAAAAAAGTGTAATGATGCTACTCAATTGGGGAAAAAAAAAAGATAAAATTTGCAACCATTTCAAATTATTGTATTTCATCTATCAAAACCATCTCCACGATAGTCTTCTTCAGTATTCTAATAAATAACTGTGTATACTTTGTGAATAATGAATTTTCCAAGGAACTTCATACTCTTTAATATGATTGATTTTAGATCTGGTTTTAATCTTATTTCTCAATTGCATCGCTTCCTCTGAACTCATATCAGAATATGATATTTGATCTTCTGGGAATATTCCTGATTTAAACTATGTATAACATGGGGGTTATCTAAGAGCTGTTCATGACTTAACTTCTGATTAACAAGTTTAAAATATTCTCTGTCTACCAGTAAATGTCTACCAGTAAATAATTAGTATCAAATCTGAATCCAATACAATTTAAAGGTTTGAATAATTTATCATCAGGTAATTTGAATTCATTAGGTTTATCTCCAACTATTTTAAAGATATAAATTTTGAATTTTAAACATCCCAAGGGAGTGATAGTATTGGCTAATTTTAATAAATCGTTCATTGAAGAACCATCTTCGTCAATACCAAACTTGAATTGTAATGTGATAGTGATGGATTCTGTCTTATCAAACTTATCAACATTATCAAAGAACAACTTCAGTGATTGTTCATAAGGTAATGAAGGAATCATGATGATGAAGTATGTTACCTTGGACTGGGATGTCAGGAATTAAATAATCATCAAGATTGGTATTGCCTAGTTTGTTCACCAAGAGCACAATATCGGAGATCTGTTGTAATGCATCAGGCAAAGCTCCCATATCTTTAAAATCAAGTAAACCCAAGTACCTAGTATAAGTTTGATGATTAATTATGGATGAGATAAACGAATTTGTTTTTCAGTTAACTACTTTAGTTGCAGCAAAAGTGTTTTCCAAGTTGAAGAGTAATACTCAAGCATAATAAAACTAATTTATTTATTATGCTGCTGCTGCTGCAGCTGCTTAAATTTTCTATAAATCAGTCATATAATATAACTCTTCAGTAAACATGAAATATATATTATCGATTAAAGTTTCAGATTATTTAAGAAATTATTATACAAATTTGATATACGCTTAAAAAGTAACGAACAAAAAATATTAATTTCCAATTTGCAGCCAATTTAAAATATAATATCTAGTAACATCGGTCAGCATAATATGCTTGTGCATCTCCGCATATTCTATAGAGTGTGCTTATACCAGGTGCATAATGTTCTTTCCAAGGAACTTCAAATCCTCTAATTTGTCCAAACTTCGGTTTCAATTTCAAATTGATTTTAAATTGTCTTGTCCTCTCTGAGGGAGTATGAGGAGGGAATCAGATAATATATTAGTCTCTTCTTAATATCTGTGTTTCTAAGAAAAGAGACTCCAGGAAAACTACCGTAGAAATGAATTTCTTTGATATGATCATACGTTGGAGTATCAACCAATACAGAAGTACGACCAATCATAACTAGTTTTTCTAATTTCTTGAATCCATAAAGAGAACCTAATGGAAAATCTCTTAAAGTTAACATCTTAATCAGTAAACAATGGTTTTGTATAAACTCTTCAAATCTTGATTTTGTATAAGTTTCATAACATTCAATACTAACAGTTTTTAAATTTGGAAAACTATTATTATGCTTATTATAAAAGAACCAACCACTTATGAACACCTGTTGACCCAAGTGTAATTCCTCAAGGTCATTTGATAACCAATCAGGACAAATTGGGATATGATATTTAATCTTGTTGTTATAATCATCATATATCCTCTTCATGAATAGAGGGTCGTAGCTTTCTTCAGGACCTAACTTCTTCTTCACAAGATTAAAGAAATCTTTATCCACCCTTAAGTAGTTCGTATCAAATCTGAATCCTATGCAATTCAATGGTTTAAGTAATTCATTAGCAGGTAATTTGAACTCATTAGGTTTATCTCCTACTATTTTAAAGATATAAATTTTGAAATTGAAACAACCAATTGGAGCGATATTATTAGCCAAATTAATCAAATCAGTCATAGAAGAACCGTCTTCATCGATACCAAACTTGAATTGTAAAGTGATGGTATAATTTGTTTTATAAAACTTGGCAATATTATCAAAGAACAACTTCAGTGATTTTTCGTAAGGAACGGAAGGATCATTATGATGAAGTATTTTACCTTGAACCGGGATGTCAGGAAGTAAGTAAGTATCAAGATTGGTATTGGTTATTTTATCCACTAAGAGGACAATATTGGAGATTTGTTGTAATGGTTGAGGTAATGACCCGGAGGTTTCAAAATCGAATAAGGCCATATTAGAGAGTTGACCTTGGATGATATGATTAAAGGTTAACATTAGAGAGTCCCTATTTCAAACTTTTTATAGTTATTTTGAATGAAGCATAGTTTGTGGTGCTTGAATTTACATATTGTAACTTCCTTCCCAATTGGAAAACTTAAACCTAGTTCATTATCGTTCAACTATAATTTTCAATGTTAACAACTCTACAAATTGAATCATAAAAGTTGAAAAGTGGGAAATCAATCTGTATATCGTTAAATAAAGGTAGTTTTTAATTTTATGCTATTAAAAAGAATAAAGTAGGTTACAAAACCGGAGATGGACTAAAATAGTTGAATACGGACCAAATGGCGATTTAATCAATGATTTGAGGATATAAACAAATTTTAGGTTGATTACCTAAACAGGCAATGCTAAACAGGCAATGCCATTAGTTTCATGGATAGAAATAATTGGATATTAGTGATGGAGAATTGGGTACCTTAAAAGCGTAAGGTAAATCAATTGATCATGGCAAAGATAAAACATAACTAAAACCGTAAACAGTCATATGGGGTTATTACATATATAAAGTTATATTTGCTTGATTGATATGAAACGATGATAATCAGATGGAAATAGAAGCCATTAGAACCTGATCGAACACGGTTAAAGGAGATAAAATGTGCTAAGGAGATAGAAATTAAAGATTGATAAAATAAAATAAAATAAAATATTAATCTCCGTCGAGAGGGAAATGGTTACAGCCACTCCTTCCTCTTCATAGCAAAACTATAATACAATAGATGATAGAGTTTAAATTGAAATAGTTAAATACACAGTAAAAGTTATAAGGTAGGCGTGATTACGTAATTTGTTATGTCAGCGGATCGAGACCAGAGGGGGAGGGGCAAAAAATGATATTAGTAAAGTGAATCACCATATACGAAAAAAAATAATAAAGAGAAATTCAATTTACTCTATTTTTATGTATACAGAGTGTACAGAGAGATGAAATAATTTAAGTTACACTAAATAATAATGTAAACAAACTAAACAATAATAATTAATTAATTATTATTATTATTATTATTATTATTTCATATTGACAGACAGATTAAGTTGACTTGCAGCTATCCATTAGCGCTGATAAATAGTTAATTCTAGTAATTAGTTAGTGTAGGAGTTAAATATTTATAGGAATTAATGGATATGGATATGGATATGAATGGAACGGAATGTGAAGTGGAAAGCTTAAAGTAGTGGTGGCTGATAGTATGCTTACTATTGATACCGGTATGGGTATGATACGGGTGAGTCAAATCCTAACTAACTTAATAACATGTTAGTAATAATAGTTAGTAAGTCTAGGCTTAGAATTGAGAGAGAGAGAGAGATGAGTGAAGGGCTATAGTCATTAACGTTAAAGTATTACAGTATAACAATATCGTACAATATCGTATGGAAATAACAAACGCAAATAACATACAAAAATAGTTATTACCACCGTTTTAATAAGCGATTATTAATTATGAGAAAGAAAGAAAAAATGTTGCAAATTACACAAAGACCAACGAAAAAAGAAATTACCAAAAAAAGAAAGAACAAAAAAAAAGGAACAAAATGGGCTGCCAAAATAAATAAAATTAACTATGAATACCATTACAGTACGATTGCTTTGTACAATATGAATTAAGAATATGATATAAGAAACTTATTAAATATAAATAGTAATTATCCTTCTTCGTTTTTTTTTTTTATATCCTTATTTTTTATATCTTTATTTTTTATTTATTTATTTACTTTAGCTCCACTTTTCATTCATTCATTCCTTTCTTCCATCCTTTAACTCATAAGTAACTATTCATATGTCTTCAAAGGATATGGAATTGGATACTGCTCATCCAAGTAGCGAAGAGGATAACTCTGTCAATGATTTCCAAGGTCAATATGAACCTAAACTCAATCCTCAACAAGATGACGAACAACGTTTACAATTGGTTAGATCAGTCACTAATAATAATGAAAATCATGTCTTGGATAGATTAGAATCATTATCAAGACAATTATCAAGACATACCACTAGAGATGGTGAATTACATATCAATCCTGAAGATTTTGATCTTTATAAAATCTTAAATACTTTTATAAATTTATCAAATAATCAAGGTATTAAAGCTCGTAAATCAGGAGTATCATTTCAAGATATATCAATGTATGGTATTGATCAATCATTTGATATTGCTCAAACTATTCCTGATTTATTCTTAGGTCCTTTCAAAGGTATCAAAAGTTTAATTTCGAATCGTAAAACTCCCACCAAAAAAATCATTCATAATATTAATGGTTTAGCTAAAAGTGGTGAAATGGTTTTAGTATTAGGTAGACCTGGTTCTGGTTGTTCAACTTTATTAAAATCTTTAAGTGGAACTGATTTCGATTTATATACTGGTTTCGAAGGTGATGTTCAATATGATGGAATTCCTCAACCTGAAATGTTAAAAAATTTCAAATCTGATATCATTTATAATCCAGAATTAGATGTTCATTTCCCTCATTTAACTGTTGAAGAAACTTTGAAATTTGCTATTGCTTGTAAAACTCCAAATTTAAGAATAAAAGATGTCACTAGAGATCAATATATTAATGCTTTAATGGAAATCCTTGGTACCGTGTTTGGTTTAAGACATACTTATAAAACTAAAGTTGGTAATGATTTCATTAGAGGTGTTTCTGGTGGGGAACGTAAAAGAGTTTCTATTGCTGAAGCTTTAGCTTGTAGAGGGTCTATCTATTGTTGGGATAATGCTACTAGAGGGTTAGATGCTTCAACTGCTTTAGAATATACTAGAGCTATTAGAACCTCCACTAATCTTTTAAAAACTACTGCTTTTGTTACAATTTATCAAGCTGGAGAAAATATTTATGAAACTTTTGATAAAGTTACTGTGTTATATAAAGGTCGTCAAATTTATTTTGGTCCTGTTTTAGAAGCTAAAGCTTATTTTGAAAATATGGGTTTTGAATGTCCTGCTCGTCAAAGTACAGCTGAATTCTTAACGGCTGTTACTGATCCAAATGGTAGATATCCTAGAAAAGGTTGGGAAAATAGAGTTCCAAAAACTCCAAAACAATTTGAAGAATATTGGTTAAACTCAAATGAATATAAAGCTTTAAGACAAGAAATTAATGATTATAATCAATGTATTGCTTCTGATAAAACTCATGAATTATATTATGAATCAATCAAACAAGAAAAAATGAAATATACTAGAATGGAATCAAAATATACCATTAATTATTATGAACAATTGAAATTATGTACCAGAAGAGGGTTCCAAAGACTTTGGAATGATAAACCTTATACTGCCACTTTAATCTTTGCTGGTGTTTCTCAAGGTTTGGTTTCAGGTTCTCTTTATTATGGAACTCCAAATACTGTAAGTGGAGCATTCTCAAGAGGAGGGTCTATTTTCTTTGGGGTATTATATGTGTCATTAATGTCATTGGCTGAAATCTCTGCTACTTTTGCTGCCAGACCAATCTTGATGAAACATAAGAATTATTCCTTATATCATCCTTCCGCTGAAGCTATTGGTAATTATGCCACTTCAATTCCAATCAATTTTCTCGTTGTTGTCTTTTTCTTAATTCCTTTATACTTTCTTTCCAATCTTAAAATGGAAGCTGGTGCCTTTTTCATTGCGTTGTTATTCATTTATTTATCATCATTAACTATGACAGCTTTATTCCAAGCCGTGGCTTCTTTAAATAAAACCGTATCTTCAGCCAATGCTTTTGCTGGTACGTTGATTTTAGCCGTCTTGATGTATTCATCATTCACTTTACAAAGACCTTCCATGCATGATTATTTCAAATGGATTTCATATATTAATCCAATTTTATATGCTTTCGAAGCTTTTATTTCATCTGAATTCCATGGTAGAAAAATGGAATGTGATGGTAGTTATTTGACTCCAGGTGGACCAGGATATGAGAATTTAGCCAACGGAACTCAAGTATGTGCCTTCAAAGGATCAGTTTTAGGTCAAACATGGGTTTCTGGTGATGAATATTTAAAGATTGCTTTTACTTATTCATTCTCTCATGTTTGGAGAAATCTTGGTATTGTGATTGGATTTTTAATCTTTTTCATTTTTATTAATGCTTTAGGAACAGAATATATTAGACCTATTAGTGGTGGAGGTGATAGATTATTATATCTTAGAGGTAAAGTACCTGAACAACAATTATTAGATTCCAATGATGATTTAGAAAATAATTTATCTGATGATACTAAAAATAATGAAAAATCAAATAATTTCGGTACTGATGAAGATTTGAAATCAAAGGATATCTTTGTTTGGAAGGATGTTACTTATGTCATTCCTTATGATGGTCAACAACGTACTTTATTAGATAATGTTTCCGGTTATACTGAAGCTGGTACTATCATTGCTCTTATGGGTGAATCTGGTGCCGGTAAAACTACCCTTTTAAATACTTTAGCTCAAAGAATTGATATGGGGGTTATTACTGGTGATATGTTGGTTAATGGTAAACCATTAGATACTTCTTTCAGTCGTCGTACCGGTTATGTTCAACAACAAGATATTCATGTTTCTCAAACTACTGTTCGTGAATCTTTACAATTTGCTGCCAGATTAAGAAGATCAAATGATGTAAGTGATGAAGAAAAATTAGCTTATGTTGAAAAAATCATTAAAGTGTTAGATATGGAAGAATATTCTAATGCTGTGGTAGGTGAAAGTGGTTCCGGTTTAAATGTTGAACAACGTAAAAAATTATCCATTGGGGTTGAATTAGTTGCTAAACCTTCATTATTATTATTCTTGGATGAACCCACTTCTGGTTTAGATTCTCAATCTGCTTGGGCCATTGTTCAATTATTAAGATCTATTGCTGATGCAGGTCAATCTATCGTTTGTACAATCCATCAACCTTCAGCTACTTTATTTGAACAATTTGATCGTTTATTATTATTAAGAAAGGGAGGTCAAACTGTTTATTTTGGTGATATTGGTAATCATTCAACAACAGTATTGGATTATTTTGAAAGAAATGGAGCTAGACATTGTGAAGATGGTGAAAATCCAGCCGAATATATCTTAGAAGCTATTGGAGCTGGTGCTACTGCTTCTACCAGTTATGACTGGTTTGATATTTGGACTAATTCTGAAGAAAAGAAAGTCACTGATAAAAGAAGAGACGAATTAATTATTGAATCGGCTGCCAATGCTAATAATGAACATTATTCAGCTCAAGAATTAAAATCAATGCACTCAAAATATGCTACTCCATTCTTTTATCAATTCTATTATGTCTTAAAGAGAACTCACATTATTTTCTGGAGAGATCCTGCTTATTTCGCAGCCAAATTAGCTTTAGTTACCATGTGTGGTTTATTTATTGGATTTTCATTCTTTGGACTTAAACATTCTTTAACTGGTGCTCAAAATGGTATGTTCGTTTCATTCTTAGCTGTGGTTGTTTCTGCTCCAATCATTAATCAAGTTCAAGATAAAGCCATTAAAGGTCGTGATTTATTCGAAGGTAGAGAAAAATTATCAAATACTTATACTTGGTCATTAATGATTATAACTCAAGTTATTTTAGAAATTCCTTATTTAATCTTTGGTGCTACCATTATGTTCGTAGCACTTTATTTCCCAACTCAAGCTGATACAAGTGGACCTCATGCTGGTATATTTTATTTATCTCAAGGTATTTTCTTACAAACTTTCATTGTTACATTCGCCTTATTAATTCTTTATGTTGCTCCTGATTTAGAAACTGCTGCTGTAATTGTTTCATTCTTATATACTTTTATCGTGGCATTTTCAGGGGTGGTTCAACCAGTAAGTCTTATGCCAGGATTTTGGACTTTTATGCATAAAGCAAGTCCATATACTTATTTCATTCAGAATTTAGTGAGTTCCATCTTACATGGTAGAAAAATTACCTGTTCCGATGTTGAATTAGCTTTTTTCAACCCTCCACCAAATCAAACTTGTGGTCAATATATGTCTGATTTCATAACTAATAGAGGAGGTTATTTAACTAATCCAAGTGCTACCAGTCAATGTGGATATTGTCAATTTGATAATGCTGATGATTACTTATGGGTTAATCTCGGTATTAAATACGCTTATAGATGGAGAAATGTGGGATTTTTCTGTGTTTACTTTATTTTCAATGTTTCCTTAGTTTTATTCTTATATTACTTTTTCAGATATAGAAAATTTTCTCTTACTGGTTTATTTAAGAGAAAGTGAATAGATGAATAAGTGAACAAACTCTTTATTTATGTTTGATTTCTTTTTATATCGTGAGAGATTCGTTTCTTTTAATTTAATATCTTAATATCTTGTACATATGGCTATTAAAGACCAATTCTTAATTTTAATAATATACAATATAATATTTAATAATCTACAAGTTGTAAGTCTTTTTCACAAAGCATAATATATGATTAGATATATTTAGAACTATAAATAAAGTAAAGTGAGCCACAAAAGTTGTAAAAAGATAAATGTAATCAGTAAAAGTTAAATGAATTACAAATATAATAAAAAGATTCTAGAAAGGTTAAAAAAAGATATAAAAGCAAAACCCAAAAACACACGTAAAAAGAGAAAAGGGGGGGAGTAGGGCATTCATCTCGTTAAACAAAGATAAAAATGACCGTATGCTATATCAAAACAAAAATAATAGGAATAAGTATAAAAAAAATAATAACAAAAGTTGTAATAATATAATATGACAGGATTAAAGCAACATTGATGACGAATGGGATTAGTTTAATTTGGTTTTAATAATTCAAAAGAACAGTATAAACTTTTATCAACCTTCATGATTGCTCCAAAATTGTTGAATTCACCACAATAGTTTGGAGCTGAAAAGATTGTAACCAATTTACGTTTATTGAAAAATTCATAACCATCTTCAACCACCATATGACCTCTTACAATCAAATCCATTTTAAAATTGGATAAAAAGTAATCGACATGTTTACGACCGAAACAATATGAGACACCTCTATCATTTTTAGGCCAGTTATTAGCGGAAAAATTCTTTATAGATGGATCAGGATCGGACCATAATAAATCCGCCAAAAGACCTTTATCAGGGATATCAGTTGGACGTTTAATTTGTTCAATTTGTTTCAAATCAGTTAAATCAGGAGATAAACCACCATGGATACAAAAGATTTTATCATTGATGGTAGCAGCAATAGGTAAAGTATTGAATACATCAATGAAATCTTTCCAAATTTTTGCACATGATAATCTTCTTTTACATTCATCATAAAATCCATAAATCTTAGTGATGTTCGCAGATTCATGATTACCTCTTAACATAAAGAAATTCTCAGGGTATTTGATTTTATAACATAAAAGTAATAAAATAGTTTCTAAGGATTTATACCCTCTATCGACATAATCACCTAAGAAAAGATAATTTGAATAAGGAGGGTATCCACAACTATTAAAGATACGAATCAAATCATAAAATTGACCATGAATATCACCGACAACTTTAACAGGTGGAGATAATCTTAATAATGAAGGTTGTTCCATAAAGATTGATCTTGCTTTGGTTAAAATATATTTAATTTCTTCATTAGAAACAGGTAATTTACTTTTAGATAAAGTTGATTTCTTTTTCATTCCAATCGCCACTAATTTATTAATGACATGATCGACATCAACTGGAGTTGATTTAGATGAATTGGATAATCCATAGATTGAATTTGGAGAACTTGATAATGAACTATTTGAAGAGTTTACTATTTTGATTGATTTATGATGATTAGAAGATCTTCTTGAAGATGATGAAGAAGATTTACTCTTTTCCTTTGATTTTGGTTCTGGAGTTGATTCCACTGATAATTCAGGAATACTATCTAATTCCTTTTCTTTAACACTCATATTATAAAGAGTTTTATGATTAGGAGGAGAGTTTGAAGATGGAGAGTTGGAACCTAAAGACAGAACCAGCAGACTTCCATCATCACCACCATCTTTAGAAGAATCCAAACCAGCGGTCGTGAAGATAGGTGAGACATTTGATGAAGTGACACTATCAAATGACGATCCATATTCAGTAGTTGAAACAGCGGTGGTGGCAGTTGAAGATTTTAATAATTTAGCCATAGAAACTCCAATTTCAAGATCCAAATTGAATTGTTCTTGTTGAATTTCATTAACTAATCTTCTAGCTGAACGTTTAGGAGATTCACTTTTAGATGATTCATCATATTTCTTAGTATTACTTTTGATAACGTCTTTATCGTTATTACTAATATTGTTATTATTATTATTATTATTGTTATTACTATTATTAAGTTTGATATTGATAGCAGCAGATCTTTTACTTTGTATTAAATCATTAGTATCGTTAATTTGAAGTTGAGATAGCGCAGAGCTAGACTCATCAGGATCCAAATCGCCAGTTAAAGACGTGGAAGTTGTGGTTGTTGAATGTTGAGTTGAGTTATTCGGCAGAGGATCATCATCTTTAGACGGGCTATTTCCCATTCTTTGTTAAACAAATATATGTATTCAAAGGATCTAACTATTCAGAAGGAGCGAGGGATTACTTTGTTAAAGTAAGTTATATTGACGTGGTTGGTAACAATATATTCTTGTGATCGTTTACCAGAGAAAAAATGAAACTTAGGGGATGATTGATTATATATATGAAAACTAAGGGCAAAGAAAAAAAGTTTTAATGAGTAGCGTATTTTTGAGTATGATTGATGGATGGGAAACGACTTTTTTTTTATTTTTCAAGTTTTGTCTGTCTGTTTTTTTAACTCTTGTGACTTTTTTTCCTCTTTAGTTCAGACAATCGCACGTTTATCTCTATTACGTAAGGCCTGATTAAGCAGGCTTTTATAGTTAATTAGTTACTGCTCTCGTATAAATTTGTACCTTCTTTGATCAACTCAATTATTTCAAAGATAACAGAATACTATCTCTATCTTACTTGATTTATTTATTTAGTTATCAAGTTGTTACCTATCCCCTAAATGACATCCTGTACTTTATCAAACTAAAATACCGCAAAATGATGTGCACGATTAACCAAAAAGGTTAAGAAAATTTTTAATCCATAGCAATCTACATTAACTTAGAGCTAAGTAAAATTTATTTTCTCTTCTCTTACAATCCGATATTTTCCCGTAATCGGTTTATACATATTCTATAGTGTAAGAAAAACTGGGGGTGTTAATAAAAATTTCTCGTTTTTCTTGTGGTTTACTGTGGTGGCTATGACCGAATCTAGCCATTCTTTTTTCTTGCTCGATTCTGAGCTTTTTTTGTGGTTTGTAGAAGTTTTGGGATATTTTGCGTTTTTGATTTATAGTTTTATACATAAACTCATGTTGGACGGGTACGCAGACCCATCCTTCAAAGATAAGATAACACTAAGATACAATTGAATCTAGTCTGTATCTAATTATATTAAATTGAATCTGTAAATAGAGTGTTGGTATTTACATGTGAAAATGGTAGCGCGGAACTTAAATTTCTAAGTAAAGTAAGTCCTACCCTCAGGTAAAGGCATAGAATGATAAACTGATCACTTATATTAACAGTTATGATACTTTCTAATGGTTAAAACTTTGTAAACTTGACGGTTTGAGTACAATTGAAGTTTTAACCTTTAACAATTTTTGTTGCTAATTTAGTTGAAAATATATATCTAAAGTCAAAACTCACAGTCTAATTTTCTCTTTTATATCAATTAGCAGTCCCATCTCATTCAATAATCAGTCTTTGACTACATCAAATCATTGGAATCATTTAGACTAATCAAATCACCAATTAAATCATCAAAGATGCATAAATATCTAAATTTATTTTGACATCAAAACATCCTTACCGCAATAACAACGTCACTATCAATAAAATCTCCACAAAAACTATTCAAAACTAAGTCAACTGACGATACTCAAAACCTGATTGATATATTCCATATATCTTTAATGCTAACAAGAATATTCAGAAGGTCAATTAGTAGATATCCTATAATGTCTAACACTCCATTGATAAATTCACTTCCACTGATCAATTCTGCCGGATGTTTGATTATTGGTGATGAAGTTCTTAATGGTAAAATATTAGATACAAATTCATTTCAATTTGCTAAATTTTGTTTTCATAATTTATCTATACCATTAAAGAGAACGATTGTTTGTGGGGATGAAAAACAAGATATTTTCAAATCGTTAAAGTTTTTACTTGAAAATGATGAAGTTGATTTTATAGTTTCAAGTGGTGGATTAGGTTCAACTCATGATGATATTACTTATCAAGTCTTGAGTGAATATTTCAATTTGGATTATGAACTTGATGATGAAGTAGTTAAACGAATGAATAATATTAGAGGTGAATATCTCAAAACATTGTCTAAAGATCAATTGCATGCATTCTATAAAATGGCAACTTTACCAAAATCTTCCAATAATATCAATGTTGAGAAAATCTTCATTGATGATTCTTTATGGTTTCCTATTGTCGTTATTGATTATAAATTATATGTCTTACCAGGTATTCCTCAACTTTTTGAACGCTTAATAAGTTCATTAGAACCAATCATCAAATCAAGAATCTTGAATCCTATATCTGTATCAAGATATTTCATTAAAACTAAAACTTCAGAAAGTCAATTAGCTCCTTATTTAACTAAACTACAATTAACTTTAGATACTAAATATGGCCAAGGAACTATAAAATTAGGTTCATATCCTCATATGGCATGGAAAATAAATACAATAAGTATAATTACAAATAATCTAGCATTAGAACAGGATGAATTAAATACAGAAATTCTAAATGATATAATTAACAATATAGGAGGTGATGCAACTTTAATCAATCAACAAGAAGAAGATAAATTAACTAATGAAAGTCCTCCTCTATAATTTAGATGAAAATAATTCAGTTAATTTATGAACAGCATCTTCAATACCTTCAGGTTTATCACCCATACCTTGAATAGTATTACCTTTACCACCAGATTTACCTCCAATAGCTCCTGAAACAATATTACCCAATTCAGTAACATTGATACCTTTAGCAAGAGCTTCATCAGAAATATAACATCCATGGGCAACTTTTTCCTTCAATCCAGTAATTAAATAAATTGATTTTTCTTTATATTGTTTTTTAATTAAATTAATGGCATCAGCAATAGCCTTTGCATTGGCATTGATTGGAATATGACCAATAAAATATTCTCCAGCTGGAGTTTCTTTATTGTCTAACCATCCATTAACCACATCTAATGTCTTTTTAGATTCTTCCTTTTGTATAGCTTTTAATTCATCTTTAATAGATTTATCTAATTTTTCAAATTGTTTGTTTAATCTTAATTTATCTAAGACGGAAATTGATAATTTCTTTAATGAAACACCTAATTCTTTAGCTTTGGTTTCCTTTATTGATCCAAATGGTAAATTTTCAGTATGAGTTAATTCTTGTTCAAATTCTTTAGCAAGCTTTTGAACAGCATGAGCGTCATGACCAGTAACAGCAACAATTCTTCTAATACCCTTAGCAATACCAGATTCTTCAACAATGACTAAATCTTTAATATCACCAGTTTTAGCAACATGAGTACCACCACAAAATTCAATGGAAAGTTTATGCCAATCAGCCTTTTTAGGATCAGCAAGTAAATCTTCAACTGGAACACCAATGGAAACAACTCTAACTGGATCTGGATAAGTTTCACCGAAAACAGCTCTAACACCAGTGATTTCTTTAGCAAGACTAAGTTCAACATCCTTAGCATAAACAACTTTATTAGATTTAATATATTCATTAGAAATAACTTCAACTTTTTCTAATTCAGTTGGATTTAAACCTTGTTTATGACTGAAATCAAATCTTAATTTTTCTGGAGCAACTAAAGAACCCTTTTGATCAATAGAATCACCTAAAACTTCTCTTAAAGCACAATTCAAAACATGAGTACCAGTGTGATTGTTTCTAATTGGCCATCTTCTTAATTCTTCATAAGAAGCAATAACTTCATCTTTAACCGATAAACTACCTTCAACAATTATACCAGTATGGAAAACAAATCCAGCATATGATTGAACATTAGTAACATTAAATTCGGATTTACCATCAATGATTAATTTACCAGTATCATATTCTTGACCCCCTTGTTCGGCGTAGAATGGGGATTTGTCTAGTATTATACCACATTCTTCACCTTCATTAATGGTATCAACGAATTCTTTACCATTATAAATAGCTAAGATATTAGCTTTAATATCTTCTAAACCATATTTATAAGAATCATTAGTTTTTGGAATTGATTCTAATTCAGAAAGAGCATGAACATCTAATTTAATTAAGTTGGCATTATTTTTACCACCATGGGATTTGGAAGCTTCTCTTGATTCTTCTTTAGCTTTTTCAAATCCAACCTCATCAATCTTTAAACCAGCTTCTTCAGCCATTAATCTAGTTAAATCAACTGGGAAACCATAAGTATCATATAATCTCCAAACATCTTTACCTGATAAAGTTTGTTCAGGAGTCTTTGAAGCGATAATAGCATTCTTTTCGAATAATTTTTCACCTCTATCTAAAGTCTTTGCAAATGAAAGCTCTTCTTCATTTAAGATTTCTTTTAAATCTTGAGCACCATCAACAATTTCAGGGAAGATTTCTTTGTTTTGTTCAATGACAACATCAACTAATTGTTGGAAGAAAGATCCAATTGGATAATTCATATATTTACGAACATAACGAGCTCCTCTTCTTAAAATTCTTCTTAAAACGTAACCTCTACCTTCATTGTTTGGAACACCACCATCACAAATAGCAAAAGTTAAAGTTCTAACATGATCGGCAATGACTCTATAAGCGGTATCAATACCATCTTTATCTTCATCGCCGAATCTACCAGCATAAGGTCTAACACCAGTGATTTCACTGATTTTTTCAAAAATTGGAGTAAAGACATCAGTATCATAATTTGAAGATTTATCTTGTAAGATAGAAACCAATCTTTCAAACCCCATACCAGTATCGATATGTTTACTTGGTAAAGATCTTAAACTCGAATCAGGTTCTCTATTGAATTGCATAAAGACATTATTCCAAATTTCTAACACATTTGGATCATCCATATTAACTAAATGAGAAGCATTTCTACCACCAATTCTATCATAATGAATTTCAGAACATGGACCACATGGACCTTGATCACCCATTTCCCAGAAATTATCATGAACATCACCAGGTAAAATATGATCTTCATCAACTCCAACATCTAACCAAAATTGTTTGGCTTCAAGATCGGCTGCTAAACCTTGCTTTTCATCACCACCAAAATAAGTGACATATAATCTATCTTTATTTAAGCCATAAACTTTGGTTAATAATTCCCAAGACCATTCAATAGCTTCCTTTTTGAAATAATCTCCAAATGACCAATTACCTAACATTTCAAAGAAAGTATGATGATAAGAATCTCTACCAACATCTTCTAAATCATTATGTTTACCACCAGCTCTAATACATTTTTGAGAATTGACAGCTCTTTTCATAGTGGCGATATCAGAAGCTGGATCAACAGTACCCAAGAAGATTGGTTTATATTGATTCATACCAGCATTGGCGAACAATAAAGTTGGATCATTATGAGGGATAACGGATGATGATGGAACAAAGGTATGATTCTTTTGTTTAATGAAGTAATCCAAGAAAGTGGTTCTGACTTTGGAAGCAGTCCATTCAGTGGCAGGCGATGAAGTACTAGTAGACATGATTCTTCTGTGAATTAATGTCTTTAACATACAATAATCGAATTGACTGACGTTTTAATAAAGGGACGATATGGTTCTATTTGAGGTTGAAGATGTTCATCAATTTTTTTTCTTCCTGTTGGATAACCCGTCGCATTTTTTTGGTAAACACTAAAACAAAAAAAATGAGTCGTGTGGGTTTTTAAATAAATGGTTTGAGTCATAAGGGTGAAGAGATAGACTTACAACTATAGTAGTTAAATAGTCAAGTTAATATATAATAATAATAATAATATATAAATATAATAATGATAACAATAATATCCTATAAAAAGTTAAACAAAAGAAAATAATAGGAAAACAAACAGACAAACAAAACAAAAAATAATAAAACTAAATATCAAATAACAAGATAAGACAAACAATACATAATAATCAAACAGTGATAACTAAATATACAATTGAAGGATAGAGGGTTAATCAAAAACCTCATCTTCTTTTTTTTTTTTCAATTCCCAGTTTTTGAGATTCATCTTCTAAGATTTTGTAAAGGAGCAGAACCTCTAATACCATGAGCATGATCATGAGCTTGAACACTTGGATCCACATTTGGATCTATATTTGGATCGACATTTGGATTTTGAGAATGTAAAGCAGCAGCAGCAGCCACGGCAGCAGCATTAGAAGGAGTTGCTTCAATGGCAGCTATAACAGCTGGATCTTGGACTGAAGGAGTATGATGATCATGTAAATGACCTTGTAAATGAGCCGAATGATGACCTAAACCATTATGAGGATGTAAATGAGTAAGAACATCATTTGATACATAAGGATTACCACCTTTATTAAGAGGTTTTTCCACTAAAGTTCTAGCATTTTTATTATCTTTCTTTTTACTTCCAGTTGGAGGATCTGGAGCATGATTATGAGCAGGATTAATCATTCTTAAAATCCACATTTCATCTTGATTAGTTGAAGAATAATCATTTAATTTATCATCTAAATTATTATCCTTTTTAACTTTCTTCTTATCTTTTTCAGGAGGATATAAATTAGCAACTAATCTATAACCACATTTATTTCTTTTAGTATAAGCAATTCTTTGTCTTTTGGTTGAATCTTTAACGGTAGTTCTAAATGAACCTGATCTTTCACATTGGAAATAAACTGCTTTTGGTTTAGAAGAATTAATAACAATTTTACAACGTTCTTCATCACTTAAAGTATATTTAACAAATTTGACAAGATCTTGTTTACTGGAAAAAGTTTTAATGATTTCATTTTCAATATATCTTGATTGAAGAATAGCACCTTCATATTCTTCATTAAGTTGAGTATCATGAAGATGAAGTTGTTGTTGTTGCTGTTGTTGTTGTAAATGTTGCTGTTGCAATTGCTGTTGCTGTTGTTGTTGTTGTTGCAATTGTTGTTGATGTTGTTGTTGCTGTTGTTGTTGCTGTTGATATTGTTGTATCTGTTGTTGTTGTAATTCTTGCTGTTGTATTTGTTGTTGTCTTCTTTGAAGTTCTTGACGATGTTGAATTTCAGCAGCTGCTGCAGCAGCAGAAGCAGTATGATATTGATGAGAAGCATGGAATTGATTAGCTTCATCAGCAGTAAGACCCGTAGCATAACCAGCAGAAGCAGACACAGCAGCAGCAGCAGTAGCTGTAGCAGTCTCATAATCGTGTCTACCACCAGCTCCAGGAGCACCACCATCTGAATGATGTAATTGTTGTTGTTGTTGTTGTTGTTGCTGTTGATCATTCAAATGACCATTGACATTCATAGTCGATCTTTCACTTGAAGTAGAGGGACCCAGCATCGTTGTTGTATCTGATAGTTGATAGCTAGTTGTTGTTATAAGATCTATGACTATAGGTATAAACAACAATCCTGCACACTTCAAAAAAGGTGTTATATGCCTTTCCAAAAAATTTGTTTTGATTTTTCTTTTGACTGACTGACAGTGAAGGGAGGAGGAGGAAGGAGGGAAGGGAGGAGGGGAGTAGTGTAATTTGGTTAAAAACTTTTCTTCTTCTGCTTAATTTGGAGATTTTGTCAAAAGTACACGTCATTTACATGTTAGGACGATTGACTTACAGGTTAGATATATTTACAGGTTATTTTTTATTTTACAGGTTAATCAGGGGCTAATTTGAATTTGAATCATTTAATTCTCTTTATATATCAATCAGTATAGTAGTATACCCTTTGATATCAACGATTAACTACCATCATCAATGCTTAAAACTCAACAGTTCAAAGATCTCGTGGATAATGTTCAAAACACTAAAACAGATAAAGAACTCCATTGGTTATCCACTTCAATTATAACTCCTGAATTTCCTCAAATCATTGAAGCTTTACATATATGTTCTAATTTATTACTCTATAATTCACCTCAACATCCCGATGCTAAGAATAGAATTGAAAGAGGTCCCACTATTAAATTACCCGTTTCTTCTAATAAACTGGAAGTATTAAAAGGAATTGTGGTTAGAGATGGAGCTTATTTAACTCATCTAACGGTCACTTTAAAAGAACCTCATTTTAATAAAGTAATTAATCGATTAAATTTAAAGAAACCAATGCTATTACCTCAAATTATAACATCTAAGAAATGTATAGATCAAGCCATTGCCACCATTGAAGAATTATCTTCCATTGCTGATGATTGTTCTATAATAAATCATGACAAATTAATTAAATCATTTAAATTATTATTAAATTATATTCAAACCGCAAAGAATTCCTTACAATTACCCACTGATCCTAATTTAGTATTTCCGGTTAATATCACTCCTATAAATTCATTTGAACCAGAATTAATTCCTACCATTACAGTAGATGCTTATATAAGTCAAGCTGAAATTTGTCTTGATTTAAAATCTCTTCATAAAGTTACTGAAAAACCATGGGGTGAAATAGAATCATCAACAGGGAAATCATATATTGATAAAATCAGAGATGAAATGAAATTACCTGGTAAAAATTCATCAAGTTCATCTTCACCATTAAGTGTACAAGATATAGAGAAACGATTGAATGAAATGACAGGTTCAGATCAACTACAACATACACAAGAACAACAAATTGGTTCATCACAAGCACAAGTACAACCTCAAGCAACCTTATTTAGTAGTGTCATGAGTCATTTACTGTTACGTCCAAGACATGATCCTTTGGATTATATCACTAAATGTATCACATACAACAATATGGTTGTGATGGTGAATAAAAAAATAGAAGTATCATCACCTGATCCAGTATTAGTCAGTGCATTCACTAAACTAGATAGTATAGAATACTTAATCAGTAGTTTCCTTAACAATCTTGATTGTCTTCTTGATTCTATATAAGTCATCATCACCACCTCTTCTAGATTAAATTCAATATATAACACATGTAATTACACAAAGTGCTTCCCCACCAAAAAGTCAAAAGTGAGGCAGACAGCATAGAAAAAGTATCAGAGAGAGCAAAAAATATATTGCCAAAAATCTAAAAAGGTATAACCTCGACGGTTGATGAAGTATTTCTTTTTAAAGTTCTTTATATGGCTGGTATTGTTGATGTTAGGATTCAGAACAGCATATAAAGCAATAATAGATCAACCATTTTACTCAAAACTTCGTTTCATTTCCAATTCATCTGCATTTCAATCAGCATCTTCTTCATCTTCATCAATTGCAATGACGGCAAATTCATCTCAATATACGATATTATCTGATAATGCCAGTATAGAAAAACCAGTGACTGATGATCGTTCTTATAGACTCTTTAAGATCAATTCCAATGACTTACATGTATTAGTTATCAATGATCCAACTGCAGATAAAGCTGCTGCCTCTTTGGATGTTAATGTTGGGGCTTTTGCGGATAAAGAATATGATGTACCTGGTTTAGCTCATTTCTGTGAACATTTATTATTCATGGGGACTGAAAAGTATCCTAAGGAGAATGATTATGCTGATTATTTAGCTAAACACTCTGGTCATTCAAATGCTTATACTGCTGCTGAACATACTAATTATTATTTTCAAATTAGTTCAGAATATCTTGAAGGCGCCTTAGATAGATTTGCTCAATTTTTCATATCTCCCTTATTCAGTATCAGTTGTAAAGATCGTGAAATCAATGCTGTAGATTCAGAAAATAAAAAGAATTTACAAAGTGATAATTGGAGATTATATCAATTAGATAAACTGAATAGTAATCCAAATCATCCATATAATGGATTTTCAACTGGTAATTTCCAAACTTTACATGTGGATCCAACAGCAAAAGGGTTAAATGTTAGAGATGTCTTAATTGATTTCCATAAGAACCATTATTCATCAAATTTAATGAGTTTAGTAATATTAGGTAAAGAAGATTTAAATACTTTAACTGATTGGGCACTTGAAAAATTCACTGATGTTTCAAATAAAAATTTATCAAGACCAACTCATGAAGAAGTGATCTTAACTGAAAATCATTTAAAAACTTTGATTAAAGCTAAACCAATCATGGATAAAAATGAATTAGAAATAACTTTTATGATTCCCGATGATTTAGAACTGCAATGGGATACCAAACCAAATAGTTATTTCTCTCATTTATTAGGTCATGAAAGTGATGGTTCAGTATTACATTATCTAAAACATAAACAATGGGTCACGGAACTTTCAGCTGGAAATGTTAAAGTTTGTCAAGGTAATTCATTCTTTGTATTAAATTTCGAATTAACTCCTGAAGGATTAAATAATTGGAAAACAGTTGTCGTAACTGTATTTGAATATTTAAAAGCCATCACTAAAGATGAACCTAAAAAGTGGATTTGGGAAGAAATTAGTAATATGTCAAATGTTAATTTCAAATTCAGACAAAAAGCTGAAGCTTCCGGTACAGTATCTAAAATGAGTGGTAATTTATATAAATTCGTGGATCATATTCCAAGTCAATATATCTTAAGTTCAACCATTCTTAGATCATTTGATAGTGATGCTATTAAGAAGTATGCTAGTTATTTGAATCCGGATAATTTTAGACTTTCATTAATATCTCAATCATTAGATGGTTTAACTAATACAGAAAAATGGTATGGTACTGAATATTCTTATGAACCAATTCCTCAAGATTTAATGGATTCTGTGAGATCAGCCACCTTAAATCAAAGTTTGCATTATCCAAAACCAAATGATTTTATCCCTACCAATTTCGATGTATCACCAAAACTCGAGAAACCTCTACTTCATCCTTATTTAATTGAAGATAATAATCGTTTACAAGTTTGGTTCAAGCAAGATGATCAATTCGAAGTTCCAAAGGGAACGATTGAAATTGTTTTCCATTTACCTAGCTCCAATACTGATGTGAAAACAGCCACATTATCAACCTTATTAGGTGAATTATTAGAAGATGATTTAAATCAAATTACTTATTATGCATCATTAGTGGGATTAAAGGCTCATATCAGTTGTTGGAGAGATGGTTTTAATATTAAAGTAACTGGTTACAATGATAAATTACCTGTATTATTAGAACAAGTATTGAATAAATTCTTTAATTTTAAACCTGATCCAGAAAGATTTGAAGTTATTAAATACAAGATATCACAACAATTCAAAAACTTTGGTTTTAATCAACCATACGGTCAAATTGGTACTCATTTGTTATTATTGGTTAATGATAAAACTTATCAATATGCTGATAAATTGACTGCTTTGAATGAAATTACGTTTCAAGATCTTTATGAATTTAATGCTAAAACAGTGTGGGAGTCTGGGATTTTCAGTGAAGCTTTAATTCATGGAAATTTTGATTTTGAAAAGGCTCAAACAGTGACAAAGTTGATTAACAGTTCTACTAAGCATATTAAATCAATAGCTGAAAGTTATGATGAACTTGAAAAAGTAATCAAACTTCAGAATTATGTTTTACCAAAGGATGAACAAGTTAGATTTGAAATCCCATTGGAAGATCCTAAGAATATTAATTCATGTATTGAATATTATTTCCAAATTGCTGAATCCACTACTCCAGATAATGCCAGATTAAGAGTTCTTAGTGATTTATTAGCTACTACACTCAAAGAACCATGTTTTAACCAATTAAGAACCAAAGAACAATTAGGTTATGTTGTCTTTTCAGGTGTCAGATTAGGTAGAACTTCATTAGGATTCAGAGTCTTAGTTCAATCTGAAAGAACATCTGATTATTTGGAATATAGAATTGAAGAATTTTTAGATAGATTTGGAAGAATTGTCAATAAATTGGATGATGTTGAGTTCCAAAAGTATAAGCAAGCACTTAAGGATAGTAAATTAACTAAATTAAAACAATTAAGTGAAGAAACTTCAAGATTTTGGAATTATATCGTGGATGGAAAGTATGATTTTGAAGCTAAGTTTAATCATGTTAAAGTATTAGAAACTATAACACTTGAAGAATTCAGACAATTTTATAAAGAATTTGTGTTGGACAACAAGTCCAGATTAATTCTTCATTTAAAATCGCAAAATCCAAATACTCCATCTGAATTAAAGTTGATCCAAAGTTCATTAATAAATTTCATATATAGAAATGATTTAGAAATTTCATCAGATAAATTAGAGGCTATCATCCAAAAGAATTTAGATAATCATAAGGAATTAGTCACCGAAACCATTCAAGAACTTGAAAAATCAAATACTGAACGAGTTCCATCATTCGAAACCTTATTAAAAGTATTACAAGATGATACAGCTAATCCAATTCCAGCAAAATATCAAGGTACAGCATTAACTAGTGTAGACAAACTTAGATCTCAAATGACATTAGGTGGTTTACCAGTACCATTTAATAGTTTCAGTAAATTCTATTATCCTCATGATATCTCCCATTTATAGATAGTTTAGAAAAAATATATCGATTATTTATTGTTTAAATCTTTTACACAGATCCGTATACTTTCATTATGTGCAGTACGTGGCACCCCAAAATTGTAACAGCCAAGTCTACAAAACTATTTAGGCAGCCAAACCCATTTAGAACAACCATATACCCAATCATCACCACACATCAATCATGACATTGAATCTATCAAAGATAAGTGAGGCATACTTCAAGAAATTGTTTCTTCCAAAGAGTTTGGATTCATCAGTTTCCCCAGAATCAAAATCGAGTGTTTTGGTGTTAGATCAATTCACCACTTCGATCATATCAATGTGTTATACCCAAACCCAATTGCTTCAGAATAATGTTATATTGGTTGAATTACTTGATAATTACAGATCCTTTAACAAGATGAAGCATTTGAATTGTATTGTTTATATTAAACCTACCAAAGAATCCATACAAGCATTCATTAATGAATTGAGCAATCCTCATTTTAAGAGCTATCAATTGTTTTTGAACAATACGATCAATAAGACCCAACTAGAACGATTGGCAGAAGCTGATGAATTCGAAGTGATTAATCAAGTTGTGGAAGTGTTTCAAGATTATTTGATTATCAATAGTAATCTTTTTACGATTAATTTACCTTCAAATTCACCAACGCCATCAAGTTCAAATTCTTCAATTGTTGAAGAATCTAATAGTTTAATCAGTTTATTATTATCATTAAAGAAATGTCCTATAATTAAATACGAACCGAGTTCAATTGACTTGAAACGTCTAAGTTCTGAAATCTTGTATAACATAAATTCCAATTCCAATAATAACTTATTTGATGATTTAAATAAAGGTAGTGATAGGCCCCCTATTTTATTACTTTTGGATAGAAAGACTGATCCAATAACTCCTTTGATTTCTCCTTGGACCTATCAATCTATGATTCATGAATATATTGGTGTAAAGAAGAATATAGCTGAGGTTGCCAATGAACAATTAATATTGGATGAAACCCAAGATACATTCTTTAAGGAATCGATGTATTTAAATTATGGTGATTTAACTGATAAATTTCAAAACTATGTTGAATACTATAAAAAGGAAACTAAGCAGACATCAATTGAAAACTTACAAACTCAAAACTTGAATGAATTAAAGAAAATGTTAACTAAATTTCCTGAATTTAAGAAATTATCATCGAATATATTGAAACATTTGAATATCATAAGTGAAATTGATAAAGAGGTTAATAATCAAAATATGTGGGAAATCGGTGAATTACAACAAACCATAATTTGTGAATTGGATAATCATCAAAATATTAAATCAAGATTAATTGAAATATTAGATAATTCTAAAATTACTACCATTAACAAAATTAAATTAGTATTGTTGTTTTCCATAAGGTTTCACAACACCAACGATTTATCATTGTTTACTGCTAAATTAAATGATATAACCAAAACCAATCCTTCTCCAACTGTTTCTCAAAATGCATTACTCAAGAAGTTTAATGCATTATTTAGTTCTAAAATTTCAACAACATCAGTTGCAAATACAAATGCTAATAATCTCGGTAATATTTTTGCCAACAAGACAATCAATATACCAGGCTTATTCAATAACAATAGAAATAACAGAAATCAAAGTAAAAATGATAATATCTATTTACAGTATGTTCCTAAGCTTAATGAAATCCTAGCTGATTTAATAACTCCAAATCAAGAAACCAATAGTGGTACAACCTTATCTACACTTGTACCTGATGTTGTGGCCAATCAATATGGTAGAAGTATTCAATATGAACCAGTTCAAGATATAATCATATATATTAAAGGAGGTGTAACTTATGAAGAAGCTAGATTGATTCGTGAGTTAAGCGCTAGTAATAAGAAAATCAATTTAATAATTGGTGGAGATTCCATATTGAATAGTTCAAACTGGTTGAATTATTTATATGACTTGGTGAATGACTCAAGTACTACTGATGTCATCAGTGATCCTACAGAAGAACGAAGAAAACAATTACGTGATTTATTATAAGAATAAATGCTATACTTTTATATATATATATAAATAGGGGAGTTCACTTGTCTTTATGGAGCATATTTACCGTATTTTTGTTCCCATGATAAGATTTTCTCAGTTAGATCTTCCATTAATTTAAGATTTTCATTAAAAGTACTAATTAACTTTTTATTATCTTCTTCATGAGTATTGGTTGTAGATGTTGTACCCACAATGGTTCTAACATGATCATGATCATCACTTTCAATGATACTTATACCAGTCTGAGTAGCATTACCATTGATGTCGATTTCTTCCTTATAACTGAATAATTCAATTTTATTTGATTTTTCTTCTTCCAATTCTATTTGTGAACGTCCTAACCACTCTAAAATTGCTCCTGTTCTTTTTCTTAATTCATAAACAGTTGATTTTTCACTAACATATCTTGGTTTAGAAGGTTGATTGATTAATTCCTCCTTGGTCATAGCTGATATTCCACTTCCTTCATTTCCATTATTATTAGTTGATTTTGGACCTGGTGTAGATCCTCTTGGTTTCTTAGTCTTGGCTGTTCTACCTCTTGGTTTACCACGTTTAAACAGTTTAGCTGTTCCTGATTCGGTATCATCTTCTATATTGGAAGGATCTTGATCTGATTCAACTTCGGATTTGGAAATTATATTTTGTTTTGCTTCGTCTGAATCATCAGATTTTGCTCCACGTCTTTTACCAACTGAATTTGAAGATGATAATGCCGCAGAACTAGTGGCATTTTCAGATGCTGCTCGTTTGGAGTCCACTGGAATTCCTGATTCCTTAGCACTCTCACGTAAAGCTTTCTGTAATTGTTCATCATAACTATCATCATAATGTCTTCTTTCCTTGCGAGATGCTTTTGAAGGTTGAGGAGATTGTTCATTTGATGAACGTTTATTTTTGGATCTAGTCTTACCTGATTCATTATTACTATCATCGAGATCATTAGTAGTGACTGCTGGTGGTGGTAGTTGACTGTGTTGATGATTATGATGATGATGACGGGCTTGTACTTTATGGCCTTCCATGGCTAATAATTTCTTTCTCTTTTCATTAGTTGGTTTATATAAAGTACGGATTAATTCATTACTGGTGGCATTAATGTAAATGAAGATATGTAAATCTGGTTTACATAACTCACACCAGTATTTATCAGGGACATCTTCATTTATAAATAATCCCACACAATAACCATGTTGCCATACTGAACATTTATCACATTGAATAAACAAACCTTGATCAATTTTAGTTATATTATATTCTTTATCGAGTAGATCTGCCACTTGAGGACTTATGGAAGTTAATTCATCTTGTCCGCAAATACATCTTGTTATTTCTTGTTCTTCATCCTCATCAACTTCATCTTCCTCCTCATCTCCTTCAGCAGCAACAGCCGTAGATGCGGCAGCTGTTCCTCGACCTCGATTACTTTGACCTTTAGTACTTTTTAATTTATTCCCTTGGACGGGTATTTCTTCTTCTTCGTCTTCTTCCTCATCATCTTCTCCCTCTGCTTCATAATTATCAGGATACTCTGATGGTTGCTCAGAATACCTTGATCTACCTGAACGACGTGACATTTGCTATGATGAATATTACTGTTTTGATTCTATTTTTTTGTGTTCAGTAATTCTTATGAATACCACGATACAAGTTATAGCAGTAGTTATGTAATTGATACAAGATACACCACTAGAAGGGTTATCGTTTTAATAGTTAATATTGATAATGATATCAAATAAGCGTTTCTGGTTGTAGTTTAATTCGGAATTTTTAAAACATATGAAAAATAAATTACACAAACAAAAATCAACACATCCATACCGCAAAGTACATGCAGGAAGAAAAAAAATAGTAAACTAAAAATAGAAAACACAAATTACTGCAAAAGGAAGAAGAAGATTTTTTATAGTTATAAATAAATATATGTATAATAATAATATAAATGACAACTTACGTACAAAGTAAACTAAACTGAATGAGGAAGAACGATTAAGAACGAGAAAGTAATATAATATAATATAGTATATAGAAAAGTCTGAATTTTTTTTTTAGAGAGTTTATAACGATTTTCTTTTTTGGAGAGCGCCTGAAATGTAATGAAATGAATTGTACCTAATTACTTGGATGTAAAGTACCATCTCTATCATAAATACCTTGACATCTAATATAAGGATCTAAATTAAGATAGTTATCGGATAAAGCAATGTTCAATTTGATTTTATCTTTTAAATATTGATCACTAATGGATGGATTAGTTGATTCTACCCATCTTTTAGTAGTTTCTAAGAATTTCAAATATAAATCATCTCTTTCTTTAATTAATTTCTTATAAGTAGCATCTTTTCTCTTTGGTGGATACATATCTTGTTCTTCTGGAATTGGATAGAATGGTTTAGTATCATCTTCACCACCTAAATAATCAGGAATATAAATTGGATCAACAAATTTAGATAATTCCTTTGCATCTTTAGTAAAATGAATCTTGGAAGCAACTACTGGATCTAACCAATTTTTAATAATATTCCAAACTGTTGAGAAAATCCAAGGAGCATTATGAATTAAAATAACTCCTAAAGTTTCAGGATAATGAGCTTCAAAAACATCAGCCAAGAATTTAATAGTAGCATAATCAGCATTCTTTAATGAGAAACCAGTTAAATCAAAAACAATAGAACATTGATCAACAGAATCAGTAACTTCTCTTAAGAATAATCTACACCATTCAATAGTAACCACAGCATATCTTTGAGATTCATTTAATGGAGAATCACTACCAAAATGTTTTTTAGCTTGGAACATAAAGATTGGATTACGATTATTATCATGACCTTTAATGTAAGATTTTTCACAACTGAAATTTTTAATAAAACCTTTATTAGTACCAGTCAAATAAGATTTACCATCAGCTTCATAAACCCAATTATCAGGATCAAAATCACCACTTGTTCTCCAAGCTAATGATTTAAACATCATTTGTAAAGCATTATCATATTTCCATTTTCTAGCTCTAACAAATCTTAATATGAAATTATCCGGTAAATCATTTCTTAAAGCAGTATAAAGACCATTATGTAAATTTTTAGCTTTATATTGAGCCATGAAAGGTAATAAACTAGTATTTGGTTTAATATTAGCAATCAGATAAGAATTATGACCAGAATTACCACCATAACCATTATTTTGATGAGAAGAAGATTTTGATTTATTATAAGTTGGAATTATACCATCAAAATCAGTAATAGTAGTAGAAGCAGTAACAAAAGTTTCTAATGATAAATCTGAAGTATAACCATCATCTTCATCTTCATAATAATCATCTGATTCTTGATCTTTTACAACCATACCAGCTTTATAATAACCTCTAAATACAGCTTCAAATTTAGGGTTCACTTCAGTCACGGGACGATATTTTTCAAATGAGGATTGAGTTTGAATTTGATGCATTCTTTTTGAATCAACTGGAGCACTAAGAATCGTTTCTTTAGTTTCCTTTTTACCACCAAATAAACCTCTACTTGATCTTGAAGTCTTTTTTGAACTGGAAGAATTAACTGAATTTCTAGTGGTAGTTCTAGTTAATTCATGAAATGATGATTTATCTTCAAATCCAACGGTTGAAGTGGATGGTATAAAACATTCACCATATTGTAAATCTTCATTTGAAATATCAATGGGATAATCGTAATATTTCAACATATTAGCCCAAACTTGCTTTAAAATAATTTCTTGCTCGGCATTAATGGTTTGGATTCTAGCTGGTCTATAAACCACTGGTTTTTTGAATTGTTGAGTATTATGTTGTTGTTTATGACCATGATGGCCATGGTGATTATGATGAGAATGAGTCATTCTGGTGATGATAGCTACTCAATTGGATCTAATTAAACAGGGGACGTTAAAATTTTTTTTAAATCAAATTAGGTATAGACTCTCGAGAGTGGAAAATTAATTGAATTGAATTGAATCGGTTACAAATATAAATGTCTGATTTGAAACAATACAAAAATATTTTGGTTTTGTCTGTTTTGTCTGTTTTGTGGGCTATAATTTTAAATTCCGATCCGTCTAGCGGGAACTTTGGGGATTGCTGTTGCTGTCGCTGATTGATGGGGGGAAACTCTCAGTAAAGTTTCTAGTGACGAAAAATAAAATGTAGCGAGATTTGGCTTAAATTGTACTGTGAAAAATTCTGATTTCAGTACAAATTAAGGAGTAAAAGTGGGATAGGTGTTGGTTGGATTGGGTGGATTGAAAATAAATTTGTAAATGTAGTTGTCGTAGGAGCAATACTTATTCAAATCAATTGAACAATAATATTACTATCTTAATAACTTAAAAGATAAGGGGCTATTTGGTAACAGTATGTAAAACTGGAAAAAGACAGGAGAAGACAAGACAAGACAGAGTTGAATTGAAAATATCAAATTTTACAAAATAAATAAAACAAGAGAAATTGTCAATATATATATCTACATCTAAGATAAAGCTCATGACTATGATTATGATTTATCACAATTAGTTATCTTGAACAAGGATTATCCTTAAATCTATATAAATTTGTACTATGAAAAATTGCCAATGTAAAATTACCAGATTTAGCAAAAGTTACAAAAAATTTTAAAATTTTAAATTCTTTTTTTGGTTTCTTTTTTTATTTTTATTTTATTGAATTTTGAATTTTCGTATGGATGGAAGAAACAGTGATAATTTTAAGTTAGATTGAAATATATAAAGTATGTGTAGTTGTAGTTGTGAACAATGGTTATGTCAATTGGGCTTTACAAACACAGTGTTCCTATCTTTATTTGTCAAATTCATACAATAGCCTCTGATACAGATCTTACTAAAGTGGAGACAAATCCTATTTAACAATCATAATTGACTATTTCATTATGAAACAATGTCATTTAACAGCAACATATTAGAGAGGGGGAGTGGGGAGGAGGGAGCAGTAACACATCGACGTAATCTAAAATGACCAAAAGTTTATGATCCATATAGTTAACTAAAACTGTCAATTTTACCTTTACTGCACCAACCCACAATATTTTATAGAAAAAATTTCCTATTTAGGTAGTGCCTCTAACCTGTGATATTTCATTTTAATGCAATTATTTTTAAGGACACACATTTGTATAATTTGCGTTTTCTAATTGTAGTTTCATATAGCCGTTGTTCTTGGATAACGTAAGTGATGTACTAAGGGTGATCAACAACAACTTGAAGTTGAAGTTGAAGTTGAAGTTGTTGTTGGAAGCGGATCCCTTCCTCAAATAGTACCCCTTTTTCCATCAAAACACATTAAACAGTTAACAAGTCACAAGGAGTTTGCAAACCAAAACACCCACCTTGTCATTCGTAATAAATTATACTTTTTATTCACTAAAAAATAGAATCTATACTTGAAAACTTTACTTTCACTATCCATATTTTCATCATCATCGGTTCTTAAATTTAAAATTTGCCCAAAATTTATCATTTGTATGGGGAATGATAATGTGTGAAAAATAAAAAGATGGGGTAAAAATACGCTCGCTCTCTAACCCCATTATGTAATGGCTCACATGCATAATCCATCCTTAACTGACTTTCGTTTACGCTTATTTTATACCTTATCAATATCAATATCATATTTCATCATATATTTATTTAACTAATATATCTACAGCTGGTTTTGCAATTATAAAGTTTTTACTTATTATTTATTTATACATAATTACTCGATAAATGAGATGGATTGAAACTATGTTTTATTCTATAATCTCTCTGTTTCTCATATTTATCGCAAAAATATTTACCTACCCAATATTATCTATCTATCTTCTTCTTTGTCTCATTTGAGCGATCTTACGACCTGTGAGTATTGGTGGAGTAGGCGTTGATTGTATTCCTGTTGCAGCTCCTATCACTGCACCACCAACATTCCCATTACCATTATTCATCATCATTGAACCTCCAAATGGATTAGTACCTCCTCCATTCGATGGTGTACCAAATTGAGCATTAGGCATAGAAAGACCATTCAAATTATTACTACTAGCACCATTATTAGCACTACCACCAAATGAAAATGGAGTAGGTTCTCTACTACCATTGCCTCCAAATACAGCTGCTGGATCAGGTGTACTACCTCTTGTTGTAGCAGCAGCTCCACCTCCAAATTGAAATGTTGGTGCCGTAGTTTGTCCAAACATATTACCTGCTGATCCAGATCCTGCTGCAGTTGCAGCTCCTCCAAATACGCTAGCTGGATTGATATTGGTAGTTGAGGATCCAAATGAAAAACCTCCCACACCGGGATTAGCATTGTTACCCACAGGAGTAGTGGATCTTGAAATACTATTATTACTACTATTATTAGACCCAAATTGTACAATTGGATTGGCATTAGCAGTAGGAGCAGATAATGTTTTTTGTGAAGTAGCTGATCCAAAATTTAATACTGGTTTTGAATTTGGAGTGATTCCAGCTGCAAATTTAAAACTAGGGTTGGCATTAGGTATAGTTGAAGTAGGAGCTGATGTGGTAGTTGTAGCTGAACTGCCATTTAAAGCTGATGTATTACCAAATGAAAATATTGGTTTGGATGGTGGGGTGCTGACTGTAGCGGCATCGGATGATGCTGATGATGTTGGTTGATCTATTTTACCTCCAAACGAAAATGCCGGTCTCTTTTTTGATGGTTCTAAAGCATCCAGAGCATTATTTTCTCCAAATTTTATACTTGGTTTAGAACTCTCTGAATCAAATATATTTCTCTTGTTGGAAGCAGCAGCGGTGTTACCACCAAATAATGAATCGGATGGTGCTGTAGTTTTAGTTGAATCACCGAATTGGAAAGTACTTGATTTTTCATCAGTTGATTTACCTAACACCGGAGTACTGAAACTGAATTTTGGCACAGTAGTTGGTGGTTCAGATTCAGCTTTATCACCATTTTCGGAAGGTTTACCAAACGAAAATGGAGTTGTTTCTTTCTTATTCTCTTCTGGTTTAGCATCTGTTAATGAAAATGATGGTATTGGTGTACTACTACTACTAGTGCTCTTAGTTTCTCCAAAACTGAATTTAGGAACCGTTTTGGTTTCATCTTTCTTTTCAGTTCCAAAACTGAATAATGGTTTTGGTGTGGAATCAGATGTGGCATCTGATTTATTACCAATATTGAATGATAATTTCGGTGCTTCTTTCTTTTCGGTAGTTGAAGGAATTGAGAATAAAGGTTTAGAAACTTCATCTTTCTTTTCTCCAAACAATGAAGCAGCTGTGGTTGTAGTGGTTGATTCGTCTTTCTTTCCAAAACTGAATAATGATGAGGATGGTTTGGCAGTTTCTTCTGGCTTATCTTTGCTTACAGAACCAAAACTTATACTTGGCTTTACATAAGAATCAGTTTTAGTTTCAGATCCCCCAAAACCAAATGAAAGCTTTGGTGCTTCTGCTTTCTCTTCACCAAAGCCGAATTTAGGAGCATCTTCATTGAGCACTTTACTCTCTTTCTTATTATCACCAAAGGAAAACAAAGATTTAGCTGGAACTTCCTCTTTCTTTTGTGATGTACTACCACCTAATTTGAATGGTTCATGTTGTGATAAAGTGGCCTTTTCTACCAACTCCTCATTTTCATTTCTTCTTTCAATTATTGAATTAATAGCCTCATTATTGATCTTAAATTGAAATCCAGAACTTGGACCCAATGACTTTTCGTTCTTTTTCTTAGCATCCGCAGAATTAATAGTATTGCTGCTGCCACCATTGAGATTCTTATCAGTACTTAATGATTCTGTATCTTTCAATTTAATGATATTAGATACTTTCTTTGATTTCTCGAGATAATCAGCATCTAACTTTAAATCAATCTTGGTATTGTTCAATAATGAATCATTCAAACCAATCCTTTGATTGGTCGATTTCAAATTCTTATTTCCATATCTGTTAAATGCAGAATCTTCATCAATCGATAATCGTTTGTTATTATTAATAGTTGGTTCTTTCATAAATGTTGGCTTTGTGACTGATCCAAGATAACCACTGAACTTTTTATTATCATTAACTGATTTGGGAAGATCATCGATTATATCTTTGGATTGCTTCTTATCATCAAGTTTAACATCATAGAAGAATTCACCACTGAATAATTTATTACTCGTCTTGGCTCTCTTTATACGATTATCATTAGATCCTAAGCTTGTAATTCTTCTTCCTCTCTTTTTCGTCTTAAATACTAATGAATCACTCAAGTAACTTATATCATGAGTTTGAGTTGATGTTTCAACTTTCTTAGTTTCGGGATTAATACTTGACATCGTTTCATTTGGATCAACCATATACTTGATCTTTCTCTTGATTGATTCTGATTCTTGAACAGAACGTTTTAATTGTAATAAATGATATCTTTCTCTTGGATCCAAGTTAATAAATGGAGGTCTGACTAAATTACCTTCATCATCTTGATATAATGGAGCGTATTCATGTTCTATCATCATTGGTGTTCCATCATTTACACTTTCAGTTCTGGATGTGACAGTTTGTAATGACATTGGGGTATCTAGTCTAGGTAATATTCCTAATGGCGAAGCATCTCTTGAAAACTCTTGTTCTACAATTGGATTCAAGGTAGAGTTAACAACGCCATCTTTGACAACACCATTACTATAAGCTGTACTCAATCGTCTTTCCAAATCATTACTGACTTCTTCATTTGAAGTATGGAATGAATTATAATATGTTTTGTAAGTTCCTAAACTATTATTCAAAGTTGATGATCGAGGTATAGAATCGGTACTTGGCATAGCTTGAATTGATAATCTTTTCTTCTTAATCGAAGTGAAATCATCATTCAAAGGTTCATCTTCTATTATCATTCTATCAACATCATTTAAATGTCCTGGGAATTTGATAGTTGAAGATTCTTGATTAGTTTGCCCTTGAGGTGGAGCTTGAAATATTCGAGCAATTGGAGCTTTAAAATATGATACAAGTGATGATAATCGAGACACCGGCTTCTTTATCTTCCTTCCTGTAACCGGATCGTACTCAACATTACTCTCAGTAACAGTCTGAGGACTCACAGACCTCCTCGAATTAGGCATTTACGTCTGTGATATTGATTGATACTGAGTTATAATAGTTGTTGTTGTATGGCGATGAAGAACTTAATTTTTTTTTTTGATCAGTCTTCTTCGTTACCAGATCGAGCGCAAATAAAAAAAATATAATTAAACTGAATAAATTTTATATTGTAATAAATTAAATTAAATTAAAGTAAAAATCGTAATTAGAAACTCGTTATTAGTTATGCTATATAGCAGAGGGTGTTGAATCAGCAGAAGCAGTACTGGCACTATAATTAGAAAATGTAAACTCTGCTCTTCTCTCCATATCGTAAAAGTCTTGATTTAAGGTTAACCCTTGATGATCTTCATCAAAAATATCGCCTTCATCGATAGAATCATATGGTAAGGCTGGATTCTTTAATCCAATTACAGGATCATCCTTCGCATCTTCACTGATTTCTTTGATCAATTTCAACATCACATTCTCACCATAGTTAACACCGTACGATGCTACAATAGGAATGAAGCCTTTGGCCCAAGCATCCACAATTCTTGCTCTTTGTTTGGTTCTTAATCTTGAAATAGGGAATTGTCCTCTTTTGATAAAGGCCACAATATCAACTATAAGATGATGTTTACTCAACACTGTATTAACAATTATAGGAACCAAAGATGCGTAATATTTCACCGGTTGTGTTTGACATACAACAATGGTATAATCGGCACATTTAAAAATACAAACACCATTTTTATTTATAGATGGATGACTTGACTCGATTGTATTCTCAACATCAATTGGGAAATGATGCAATCCCATGATTTCAAATGTATCAGCAATCTTACCAAGTAAGAATAATGGTTGAAATGTAGTCAGTTCTGCTAGTGCGGATTGTTGATTGGAGTTATGACTATTATTCTTGGTGATTGATATATTATGCAAGAATCCTAAATCTCCAGTTCTTAAATATCTAGTACTTGAATCATCACCAGTAATATTACAATTGAATTGTAATTTGCTAAACTTATCTTCAGGACCCTTTGGACCGTTCGAGAATGATGCCAAATTAGCTTCTGATGATACCCAAATTTCACCATATTCACCTTCTTTACAAACCCGACATGTCTCTGGGTTGACAATAGCGATTTGAGTACAGACTGGAACAACCCCGGAATCTTGGATATGAAGAGCATTTGGAACTTCTTGTTGATTAACCACTGAAATATAACCTTGTCTTAAAGCGATAGGATCCAAGTACAAGTCAACAGGAGCGATGGTCATATAAGATCTAGTTGAAATCATTGGATTAAAAAAATGATCGTAAACTGCAGATAATGAAGCAGCACTTAAGTTAGCTGGTCTAAATATCTTAGCAATATCTTTCAATAACTCAATCTCAACTCTTGAATCAGTACTGATCATCATATTCTTCAAATGGTTTAAAGTGAATCCTTTTGGTGTAAATTTCGCAGCTGCATATTTAAGTTGTTGTTCTGTAACAAATACATCTTTAACCTTAAAACGAGATAAAGTAACGAAAAAGGTTAATGGATTTTCAGCATATCTGACTGGTGATAACAAAATTGTGGTTACACCTAAGAAGACACCCAATAAAGCGGATTGAATAAACCCAATACCAGATGCATGACGTACGCAACCAACTATACCGGACTTTGAATCAAAGTCACATGTTTCTTTGAACACTTTACAAATTCCCAATATGTTCTTATGTGTCAAGGTGGCACCTATTCTATAATGATCTGAAGTGAAATTTAACCAAATTAACGCAGTGGTATTTGGATCTCTATATTTCACAGCAGCTTGATATTTAGCAATTTTTGAATTTAAAGTAGCCACATTGGAAACCTTAGTTAATTTAGCAGTGTTTTTTATTCTTAATGAAACAGATGCCTTATGATAATATTTCTTAATGGAATCTGAAACCAGCCCACTCTTTAAGAAACTCTCAATTTCCTCATTTACAAGAATCTCAGCAACATCAAAATCCATTAACACTCCAACAAACGCAGGCAAATCTTCTCCAATTCTGTTGGAATCAAATGGTAGAACAGGGATTGGGATAATACCACAAATTAAACATGCATATAATGCAATAACAAACTCTTCCGATAAAGAGTACATCAAAATAACATATCTACCTGGTCTTACAGCAGCCTTTTCGATAAGGTAACTGCAAACTGCATAAACACGATGTTCAAATTTTTTCCAAGTCAAAGGTTTCTGACTCTTTCCACCATTATCGACTGTCAGGAATGCAACAGAATCACCCATACTAGCAACTCTCATCTTCAAAATATCAACTATACTTTTGAAATCAGTAAGCGGAATCTTAGTTCTATCATCCAAAGAATTAGCACGATAATCAATAGTAGAAAATTGGTCTGGAAAACTAGCAAGAGCAGCACTTCTAAGCTGGGAAGAATAAGGAGACCAAATACCACCAATAGGATCTTCACCATGTGGTATCACACTTAAGGATTTATTAGCAAAGAATTTCACAAATTGAGCTTCTAATCTTCCCTCTATGAACCATTTTCTACATAATAAATTAGCAATTTCTCTACCGCCACTTCTCATGATTCTTGGAAGGGTATCACAATCAACCACTAAGACACAATAAAGTCTTAAATTATGCTTAAGATACAATTTGTTGAAACATTTTTCTGCTATGATGTTTAAAAGACCTTCGTTGACCGGAACAGGCTGACTCTCGGCGTCAGAAAATTTAGTTGAAGGCGACGAATCTATGCTATTACTATCATCTGTTGTCTTCCTCTTTATCATAGTTTCAATAATTGCAACTGGTAAATGTTCATTAGCAATAAATATATCAAATATTGTACAATCATGAACTTCTCTGACTTCATTGGCCAATGTTGCTAACAAATGTGAGGAATAATGATATGTAGTTCCATTTCCCACAACAAAATCTTTCTTAAGTTTTTGAGATATTCTTTGATCAATCCAACAAACTCTTTGTCTGATTCTATCTTCATAAAGACCTAAAACATAAACTTTCCCTCTGAAAGTGAACCCTAAAAGTCCCGTTCTAAGGAAATCCATTTTTAAGACACCTTCAGCGTCACGACATTTTGCATGGAATATTTGTTTAGACTCATTTCTAAGCTTGTAGAATCCTCCCGATAAACAAGGACTATCGATCCAAATTTCTCCTAGCTCACCTTTTGATACCAATATAGACAGTTCAGGATTAACAACTGCTAAAGTTGAATCTGGTAAAGGATAACCAAATGAATCAACTCTTAAAGTATTTTTGGGTATATCATCAGATGGAGAAGGATTGACCTCTACTATTTTCACAATATTTCTGGTTAAGGATTCCTTATCAATTAATACAGAAGATAAATCACTTTCGTTACCATAATCATCTATTGCCTTATTCAAGCCTGTTTTAGAATCAACCCAATCTCGAAGGGAAATCACCATACCCCCAAAACCAGTCAATGTAAGCATTGGAATTACCGCATTATCAGGATGTTTGCAACCCAATGGACGTAAGAATCTCTGGGATAATACATCTGCAAATTCACCATCAACCATAGAAGCGTTCACTAAAACCCATCTAACTTGGGAGAAGTCCACCTTTTGCGTCTTGGAAAAATATCTTGTAGAGTTTGGTGATCTTTGATACTCATAAGTAACTTGTTTCAATCCTATATTATCACCAAGTAACATCGAAGCTCTGTATTTGGTCACTATGTGAGCGTATAAACCTGGAATTTCCATGACAACCTGTGGGGCCCATATAAGCACATTACCAGTATAAACATTGAATAGTATTCCCAAAATAAGACCGATCGAAATTCTTATATCTAAAGTCGATAAAACCACTTTTTTGTTTGCTTTATATTCCTTATAACTTCTTTGAATTGGACCACCAGAATCTGGCTTACTCAGAAGCGTTACTTCTAGAGAATTCATTTGATGTAATATTGTTCTATGACTCAATGCAACACCTCTCAATTCACCGACGGATGATCTGGAAAATTCGACATAGGCCAAATTTGCTTTAGTATCTATAGACAACTTTTGCATCACTCTTTTAAAATCATGTTGTTCAGCTGGCTTGGCAGATCCAAGATCATTGGTTTTCCATCTTACTAATTTTGAAGGCCATTTAATTGCTAAATTCTGAGCTTCTAGTCTTTTGGCGACGGCATCTGAATAAAGCAATAACTCTGAAGAAGTGGTCCTTACTATATCTAGTACTTCATCTAATGATATATCTTGATAGATAGGTATAGCAGTTACTCCTATCATAAAACATGCGAATAATGCCACGGCAAACTCACACACTTCTCCATCTCTATACAATAATAATACACAAGCACCAGAACGAATTGGAAGTTTATGATGCATATCATGAGCTAATTTCATTGCTTTTAAATATAATTTAGTCCATGTTATCGAATTGACTCTCTTACCCTTTGAATCAAGAGCTATAAATGCTTCTTCATCTTGTCGATGAATTCTAGCACGATTGGATAAAATATAAATAAGCAGATGTGATGTGAATTCATCTTCTTCTGCTGGTTCAACAATCTTTCTGGGATATAATGGAGCCTCCAACATGTCTGGATCTAGTTGAATTTCTTGTTGCTGTTGCTGCTGTTGTCGTAATCTATCAATGGATTGAAGAACATTCTCTCTCCTGTTAATATAAGTGTATTGATCAATGGTTTTGTTGACATGGAAGTCAACCTCCAAGGTTTGAAGTAATAATCGTAAGTCTGGAGGAGCATCATGTGGTATATTGTCTGTCATTGGTAAAGTACTGGGTGGAACCTTAGACTGAGGTCCTGTTCTTGCTGATATATGTGAATCAGTGACAGAAGTCAATGCAATCCCATTGTGTACTGATGATGTTCTTGGAGTCCTGGGTCGAGTCGAACCACCATTCGATGTAGGAATAGTTGACATTGTGTGATTGTATAGTCTTGGGTTTCTATAATAAGAACCATTAATAAACTAACTCTATTTGATTTTGTAATTAGTTTAATTATTCTCGCTTGACATCGTACTCTTCTGACTAAAAAAAAATAAAAATAAAAAAAAAAAATTGCAAATATTTTTCACTATTGGTTAAGATCAGTTGTTGCAAGAATAGTTAGGGAAGGTATGCTACGATATAGCATTTGTTCTTCTAGAAGTCGTTGGGGAATTACTATAGCGAATAGTTTGCAAAGTCAAAGATCGTTATTTGTTGTTAGTTCTGAGAAGAGAAATACTGCTAAGAAAGCTACAAAATATAAGAAACCAAATGTATATCAAATATTAGATGACCATACAGATAGAATACGGAAAGAGGATGATGTATTATATAAAAAGAGATTAGCAGAGCTTAGACTGTTGACTAGATCATTATCATCAGGCATACGGAAAGAAATGGAGTCAAAAAAGGAAATGGAAAAGCTCGATAATATACCTTTACCATCTGAAATTCAAAGGGAATCAACCAATTTATATAATAAGATAGATCCAGAATCGTCAAAGGCTATATCAAGTCATTTATTAATAGTTCCTTCGACAAAAATCCCCGATGAAATAGCGGAAAGGTTAGGATTAGCATTAAAGTACTTGGTCAATGGTAAAAATCAAAACTGGAGACTTGTGTTACAAGAGTTAAGTAATGGAGATGGTTTCAAAGACTTAAAGAGGGGCATTATAACTAAATTTATAGCAAGTATACCCCAAAAAGATTTGGCATATTTAATTCCTGAAATTGAAAATCTTTTACTTCAAGCTAAGGTTAAGCCGCATCCTGCTATGATTCATATTTTTATGAAAAGTATAGTTCATGGAACAGATTTGAAGGATAGTTCTATACTTGAAGCCTATTGTGAACTTCTTAAAGAGTTTGGACCATTATCAAGCCATACTTTTGAACTTATGATTACCGCTTATGGTAAGTGTAACCAAATGAAAGAGATTAATAAAACTCTTGCAGAGATGAAGAAAGTCGGTTTACTTCCAAATAAGAAAATCTTATCAAATCTTTTAGCCACATGTGTATATAAGGCAAACAATCACAATCAAGCAGTTCAAATCTTCGATTCTATGAAGTTCTTTTCAGAAACTACTAAGCCTGGTACTAAGGAATACCTGGATATTATTGTATCATATGTGAATAATGATGCCATAGAGAAAGCGTTAGACTTATATCAAGAAATGATAAAAGAAGGCATTGAAGTTAACCAAAATATTATGGTTGCTCTCTCTAAAGGATGTGCTTCTAGAGAACTATTCCGTTATAAAGCATGGGATTTCATGTTTGAAATCCAAAAGCATGGTTGGAAACCAACATTACAAACTTACGAATACATTCTTTATTTGTCATCTAAAGATGGAGATTTGACATTTTCACGAGCATTATATTCCAAGCTCGCAGAGTTAGGAAGTACTACAGCTAGATCATTTTCATTCTTACTTTTGGCTTATTCAAAAGTATCATTGGCAAGCTCATCTGGCTATCGTCCACCATTGATCACATTTAACGAACAAGGGAGAATATTCAGACGTAATTTTCTTTCCGAATCTACAGTGTTAGATTCCAAAGTGCTACCATTCTTACCCATTGAAGAGTTAACTTCAAAAGAACAAGTTTTGGCCGAATCATCAGCAATGTGGGGTTATGCCATATTGCAAACCCCAACCTTTATTAATGAGAAAAGTACCACCACATATTTGAATATAGCTGCTGAAGTAGGGAACCTTGAAGATTTTAAAGATAGGTATAATGTTTCTACGTACCTCAATGAAGAGGGAATGACGAAGACAAGAACCATTGAAGTAGAGGAAGACGAAACCGAAATCCGTGAAGAATCCTGTGAGCCTGAATTAAAGAAGACATTAATAAAGTCACCATTGCTACAAGAATTGGAAAACAGAAATTCCATACCGAAGGTTGCTAGAGTATCATTGACATATGATGTCGCTCTTAAAGCAGCTGCCAAGTTCAAAGATTATACATTCGCTCATCAGATATGGACAGAACGTGGAAGTTTCCGTAAAACCAAAAATTTCAGAGATTTACCACGTAGTGAAAGAGACAAGTTGGATTTTCAATTTGCAGCTTCAATGGTTCTTGCATTGACTAGAATGAATTTATTGCTGGATGCATTAGCTATTGTCTTAAGTACCGAATACCAATTCAGATGGAGTTGGAAAGAATTGAAACATTTAAATTTGGCGGCTATTGAGCTTGGTGAAGAAACCATGGTTAAGACTATTAGGGGAATTGTAAACAGAGCTCAAATAAAGTTTGAGGGTAAATTAAGAAGAAAAGATTATAAAAAATATGTTCTTCAAAGAGGATATTAATAGATTAACGTTTGTACATAAATAATGATAGTTAATACTTGTATATACATTAGAACTAGTGTTCTTTCTAATAAATTATTTACATGATTTATATCGTTTCTATTTAGCAAGCACCAAGCTAATCATACCTGGCTTTATAATTATTCTTTTGATCTCTTTATTCTTGATCAATTCTTTTATATTCCCATAATTTTTTATCTCCTTAAGAATATCTGATTCCGATAAGCTTATGAAATCTTTACTTTGCTCAAAGCTGGCTCTTGCTCTACCATTGATGAAAATATTATATACCGCAAATTGCGATTCAATTGTCTTTATATTTGGAAATTTTTCATTGAGGATTGAGCTCCACTCCTTATTTTCTAACTTTGACAATAATTCCCAGCATTCTTCAGAAGTACATGGAGTTACTGGTGACATTGAAATCAATAATTTCTTATAAGCATCGATTAAGATATCTTGAGAATAGGCATCTTCTGATTTGACGGCAGCAATAATACGGTTTGTGAATTTCATCAAATCTGAGATTACCGTATTGAGAGATAAATCGATTTCAATGGCCTCTGATATATCCTTCAAGTGAGATTGAACATCTTTGAATAATTCAAATTCAGCTTTAGTGAAGCTGTATGACTCTTTCACTTGGCCCTGCACTTCAACATTATGTAACTCAATTTCTTTGTTTCCAACATTAACTGTAGCTGATAACTTATCTGCAATTTGAGATTGTAAGTTGGTTACCTTTTTTAACCATCTGTCTACACCAACTATCTGCTCTTCGTTCCAATTTAAAATATCTGAGACAGGAGCTTGAAATAACATATGTGCTCTCACGGTATCAGCTCCGTACTTGCTAATACATTCACCAGGATCAACACCATTATACTTAGATTTAGACATCTTTTCATAAGAAGAGTTGGCTATTTTTCCTGTAGCTTTTACTCTTGGATTCTTAGAATCAGATAAATCAATTTCTTCTGGTTTCAAGAAACGATCATTATCTGGGTCTTTATAAGTCTTCCCTTGTACCATTCCTTGAGTCACCAATTTTTTAATTGGCTCGTTGTTAACTTGTTCGCCGTTCCACAAACCTATATCACCTAAGAATTTAGAGATAAATCTAGTATAAAGTAAATGAAGAATAGCATGTTCCACACCACCAATATACATATCTACTGGCATAGATTTTGATACAACCTTTGAATCGAATGGAACATTGTCGTTTTTTGAGTCAAGATAACGGAAGAAATACCACGATGAATCCATAAAAGTATCCATAGTATCAGTGTCCCTTTTTGCGTGTTCTCCACAAGAAGGACACTCGACATTTAAGAAACTCTCGGCTTTCTCTAATGGATTACCTTTACCAAACTCAAACCCTTCAGTTGATGGTAATAAAACTGGGAGATCTTTATCTGGGACAGGAACAATACCACAATCATGACAATGAATCATTGGGATTGGAGCACCCCAATATCTTTGTCTACTTATTAACCAATCTCTGATCTTGTATTGCGTAGATTTACCACCGAGACCAATACTTTGAAGATTATGCACGATCGAAGAACCAGCTTGTTTAACTGTTTTTCCTTCATATTCACCAATATCTTCTACTCCAGTAGCCTTCAAAACTGATCTGTTATATAAGATTCCATCTTTCTTTGTGAAAGGTAAGTCAACGATATCATTAACATCCTTTGAACCAACAACTTGAATAATTGGTTTCGTTGGATTATGCTTTGTCCAGAAATCATAATCTCTTTCGTCATGACCAGGACAACCCATAACAGCACCATGACCATATGTTCCTAAAACGTAGGGAGCAACATACACCGGAACATTATATTTGGAGGATTTGTTATTCTTCTGATCCATAGGAATACTAACTTGCACCCCTGGCAACAAATATCCTTCTTTTGAATCTGATTCTGCATCTTTGACTTTATCTAAAAATTCTCTCAAATGAGCATCTTTGGTTATATATTCGGTTACAAGTGGATGACTGACTGATATAGCAAGGAATTGAACACTGAATAAAGTATCTGGTCTTGAAGTAAAAACAGTTAATTCAGGTATGTTTTGATTTGTAGTAGGGAATATAATTTCTGCACCTGTAGACTCTCCTATCCAATTCTTTTGCATTGTTTTGACTTTATCTGGCCATTCGTTTAATAATTTTAGATCCTTATTTAAGTCGTGTGCATATTTAGTAATTCCAATAAACCATTGTTCGAGATTTTTCTTTTCAACTATAGCTCCACTTCTCCATGATCTTCCTTCGGCATCAACTTGTTCGTTAGCCAATACAGTTTTATCCACTGGATCCCAGTTGATTTCAGCATTTTTTCTATACGCAAGTCCATGCTCATGTAATAATAAGAAGATTTTCTGAGTCCATTTATAATAATCTGGAGAACATGTAGACAATTCACGATCCCAATCAAAATCAGCCAACATGAGACCCATTTGTTCTTTCATCTTTTCGATATTAGTGTCCGTCCATACCGCTGGATCAATTCCACGTTCCACTGCAGCATTTTCAGCTGGTAACCCAAATGCATCCCAACCCATAGGGTGGATAACATTAAAGCCCTTAAGACGTTTATATCTCGCTACCACATCACTGATAGTATATACTCTAAGATGACCCAAGTGTAATAATCCTGACGGATATGGAAACATTGTAAGACCATAGTATTTTGGTGAGTTTTCTTCTGATAAGTGTTTAGTTGGATGTAACGAATTTGTTGGGGAAAGATCTCTCCATATCTTTGTCCATTTTTTCTCGAGATCTTTAGGACTGGGTTGGGAAGACTGAGATCTGGTGTGTATTAGTAGGTATTTGGAACCACTTCTGAGTCCAAAATGGCGACCATTTAGACAAAGCATTGTCATCTACTGTAACATCTACAATTTATATGTACTCTATTATAATTTTTCATATTGGGCCATGAAATGTTTATTCTGAAAATTTTTATATACAGGAAATTGTTAATTTTGTTGCGAAATTTGTCTGTGTTGCATTAGTGTCTTTAATGAATTAAAGAGTAAATCACATACCCCAGTGAATCCTAAGTTATCGAATTCATTTAATGTTTTTAGCTTTAATTCATCATATCCAAAAGGAAGCCAGTTTAAATCATTATCTTCGACTAAGTTGGCAACACTTTCTGGCCTAACTGGGCCCTCATGTCTTGTTGTGACTCTCGAATCTGAATCTTCAAACTTCCATACAATTTGGGCTGATATATAAGACCATGCCGAGTTAAAATAAATTCCTCCAATGGAGTTAATATTGAATGAGGCAAACAATGGTAAAGAGCTAAAACCATCAATCAATTTGGCATTTAATAAAAGTGCCTTATTCGGTGATGTCGCCGAAACATCGTAACTAAATGCTTTATCTCTCCAAACAAGATTGACTAGATCCATTATATAACAGTTCTGCAATAGTTTATACAGATCATTTTTGAATTCATAATTTTTTGTAAAAGCAATATAACCGCAAATTTCTGAAAATATATAAGGATCGCCGTATAGTATCATCAGATATACTAATTTTGGTGGTAATATTATACAACTATCTTCGAAGAATTCGTTTAATATATCCATCGGTATAGCTTTTATACACAGTATAATATAATTAACAGCGAATAAACTAGTGAGAGTCAATGGTAACTCGTGCAAATATTCTATCATATAGATAATGCTAATATTGAAGTTTGTGTAAAATCGCCTTTGGACATCATTTGATTCTTTGTTTACTTTGCGACTTGTATATTTCAAAAGTTGAACAACATAAAAGGTAACCTCAAGGACATCTTTCATTTGACATGAGTCAAATAGTGGTACAATAATATCTTCCTTGACACTCGTACTGCCATCAACACTAACAAATGACAAAAGCTCTGTTGGAATAGTATAGCTGTTACCTAAGCCTTTCATAATAACTTGTTTAACAGCAGGAAGTGAAATTAAACTTGGACAAAAATCTATGAATTCTCTAATACCAGCAATGACTTTCTGAATTTCGATTTTGGGTGAATTGTTGTTCGAGAGATTTAAACTGGTCGAATAATCGAGTTTTTTCAACGGCATGGAGTCTGAATCCAATAGAGAATGCAACAAAATAAAAAGTCTTCCATAAGATGCATTGTCTGATTCAAGAATCTGTGTGTCAATATCAATGTACTTTATATTATGCAAATTCTCAATCAAATTATCAACCGATTTAATATCCTCTATTCGGTTGTTTGATAGGAAATCACCAGAATAAATGTCTATATCGCTTCCATTTATTTTACGACGTTTGTTGGAATGAACTGTGATACCAGGATTGGCTTCAATTGAATAGACGAACGAAGAATTACTCAAATTGTTTATGTCTCTGGAGATATTACTGTCGTAATCACTATAATCAAGACTTCTGTCTACTTGCTTAAAAACTGACAATAGTCCCTTTATGTATTCGTCAGTTGGAAACCTATAGTATAAGTCAATCACTGTATCAATATACCAACGTTTTATTGGAGTAGACTTTCGATATATCGTCTTATTGTAATATGTCTTTGTTGAGCTTGAATACTTTATCAAAGTCATACAAATCAAGCTTGCAATATATGGTCTTAGATATTCATACGATAGGTAGTTAAATATTATCGGTAACATTCTGTTCAATTCATGATATACATCTTTTCCAAAATTATTTATAAATTTGATTATCCACTGCAATAGTTGTAATTGTAAGCTCTGTGGGAGTTGTGTCTGTTTCTTCGAAGATGTCTTAGAAACACCTAGATTAGCAAGAGCTTTGTAGATAATACTTGATGGTAAGAGACAGGTCTTGCTTGGGATGAGTAAATAGTCAAAAACATATCGTTTTTGCGATGATAGTAACCCTTTGTCATTATTGGTATTCATTAGTATATCTACTAATTCTATTACATCTTTGTCTTCAATTCCTGGAGATTGATCAACCAATAGCCGTATATGATTTAATAAATCATCCACATCTTCTTTGGAAAGGGACTTGATTGACTTTCGTATTTTCAGTATATCAGTTGATATCCTTCTATTCAAATCCAATCTATGTGGTTCTGGATCTAATTGAGTCATGTCTTGGATGCAATTGTCCTTGATTCTAGTTCCCAATATTTGTTTACATATTTAAAATTTAAAAGTTTGATATTTAAGTACGCGCTTCGTATATTTTTCATAGTATTTAATTTTATACTCCTCCAGCTTCTCTATACCATCTAATTCCTCTATCAAAACTAATTACACACAACCCTTCATTTTTATCACCACCAGCTCCACCTCTGATTCCTTTTTTAATAAACGAAACTCCACTTGCTACACTTTTGTCATATTGCTCATTATGTTCAGTATCTTCTAAATCAGTTATGGAAATCGTTATAGTAGCTTCTCTTTCTCTGGTTTCTAAATTCCAAACACGTATACATTTATCAAATCCACAACTAACTAAGTTTTCACCTGCTTCGTCGAAACTTAATCCCATGATCCATCCACTATGAGCAAAACCACCCACAGCAGCTTTTGAAGAATGAGATGGAGTAGTTAGAGTTCCAACATTTTCTCCAAATTTGACATCATACAAAGTTATAGAACCAGATGATTGATTATCACGAGCAACAGCAAGTAAAGTTCCACCTGGCGAGAACTCTATAACTCTTGGAATTGAAGCTGACGTAGTTGAAGCTCCAGACACTTGTAAGTCTGATGAATGAAATGTGTAAATTGGTTTCAACAGCTCCAAGTCATAAATATAAACCTCACCATTGGTATATCCTACTGCTACCTTTTTATCTGATGTAGGACTTATTGCTAAAGCATTGGGGAAAGCTGACTTATTAGCATTTAATTCCCCAACCTTTTCAAGTGATATACTAATGTCAGACTTCAGATTATCTTTAATATTCAAATTGAAAACATCACTTGCTCCATTAGACTTGGTAATCACAAAATAGTCCTGTTTTGATTCTGGATCTTTATAAAATCCTGGTGCCCAATATTGTTTCTTTAAATCGGCATCTTCAAATTCTTTCCAGGTAGTAATATCATCATTTAAGTAGTAATTCAAAGTAATTGAACCATCAAATGAAGCAAATGCTATCAATACAACTTTTATAGTAGAATCTGGTAATACATTTTCATAAGTAGCTATATGATGCAATCCTACTTTATTTATAAACTTCTTTATTACAAAGTCGGTTGGATTATGTGCTTCTTTTTGTTGATTATCCCAGAAATGTGCTGTTCCATCACTGGACACTGAAATTGTGAACTTATCAGTCACTGATAATCCCACTATATCCAGCTTGTGTGCTTGAGCGGCATTGACTGTCGATATATATTGTTTACCCATGATAATTTCTTTTTAACTAATGGTTGTCTAAATTGTTATAGTTATGGTTGACAGAATACTGAAAAAAAATGTGCTGAACAAACTGAGCAAAAAAAAAGTTGATCCTCTAAAACTAGGATCTAACTAAGGGATCAACCCTATTCTACATAAAACCCCAATTGAATCAATTGACGATGTCGAAGGTGGGCCATGCCGACACATTTGTGTCACTGATAGTACAACAACAGTTATTCAAAGTATTCTTACAAACAAACTTGTCTAAGACGTCTGTGCCAGCTCTTGGATTTGATAAATTGGTATGCAGAGGAAATTCTGATGTATTCTTAGCCAATAGAAATATGGTAAGATGTTGTACAATTAACGGAAAGAAGTTCAACTATCGTTTATTAGATAATAATTCAAGTGACAACTTTGATATCAATAGTTTGGAGATGAATTCTCTGGGCACTTTGATGGCTTTAGTAGGAAAATCAGATGTTGTAATCATATCATTACCTAACAACGTTGGGGGTAATGCAGCAACTATCATTCCAACAAAGTTATATCGTCTTCAAGGAATTGGAGGAGACATAAAGAAAGTTATATGGCATTCCGCTGTCGGTAATGATTGTTCATTGGTAATTTTAAATTCAAGAAATGAAGTGAAATGCTATGATATATCTATTTCTTTGGATGTTCCACAAATTAATGTGAATCTTCTGAAGTTTGATAACTTTGACGATGAACATGCTACATCTATAGCATTCGGGACCGATTCTAGTTTACTTTCGTCATTGACACTTTACATCACAACGACTAAGTCACACGTTTATTCCATTTATCCATTTACATATCGTAATGCCAACTTAGTATCAACAAAGGAAAAAGTTGAAGAAGCGGTAGCTGAATCTATTGCTACAGTTAAAGCAGTAGAAAAACGTTTTCCGTCTTCTAGTGTTATGGATAGTTTTGAGAGTCCTTTGAAGGAAGCGTCTTTAAGACAATATAAATATGTTAAGGATCTAGTCAATCAAATCAATAGTGGTATACCATTGAAGCATGAAACAAGAGGATTATATACTAGTACACCACATGAGTTTCTCGTTCTAGAACAAAACCTTCCAGTCACTTTCGAACCATTACTTCAAGGACCTTTATATACTTCATTGGGTTCTGGAATAAGTGACATTCTTAGTGTGAAGAATTCGAAGGGTTTAACTGTCTTAATAACTATTGGAAACAAAGATGCTGATAATGTATATGTGACATATTTAACTCAACTCAGGCCATTAATTATGAAATGGAAACAATTTGGTGATATTTTAAAATCATTACCTCAAATTCCTGCAAAATCAAAGCATCAAAAATCCTTATATGAGAGACCTAAGAAAGGTTTTGGTTTTGTTCTAACTCCTGAAGAAGATGAAGAAACGGAGTCAGAGACTAATAGTGACTCTGAATTAAAGTTCTGGGGTGATGAATATACCATGTTGAATCTTATAAATGTTGATGAATTAAGTTTGACATCTGGTAGTGGTGTCATGAGCCTTAAGTCTTTTACAAATGATAGGGAAAATTTTGGTATTATCATCAATAATAAAGTCATATTTGCAGAACTAGGCGTATGGTACAACACCTTATTTGATATAGCTAGTGGAAATTCAGGTTCTAGCCTTCCTAATTTTTCTGTAAATTATACAGCTTTATCATCTTCCGTGGATACATTAGTAGGTACTGATATTATCAATGATGTTGGTGGACAATCTGGAGAGTATTTAATAATATTTAGAGGAGGCGATTCAAATAATCTAGAAATTGTTAGTATAACAGAGAATGGAGTTGAAGAAGAAGAGGCAGAAGAAGAATCTGTTGATGATGAAGAACTGACGAATTTAATCGCTGATAATATATTAAAATCACGTCCGTTTGAAGAATTGGTTCGTGATGTTGATTCATTAAAAAGATTTGAGTTCAATACTCTTGCTAAATATGTGGATCCTAGTTTATCGGCCAAAACTATACAACCAACCACAGAGATTCTTGACGCTATAAATAAAGTTTCTTCTAAAGTTGTGGATGAAGTCTCAAAGTCTACATCATATACGGTTAAATTGAATTCCAGACTTTTAATACAGTTAGAACAATTAAGAACGCAAATTGCATCTATGAGAAACTTACCTGATGTTGACATTGCTAAACTCGAAGAATATAAAAAGAAATTAGTGACATTAACTGAAAACCAAGTCAAATTGGAAGAGAAGAGTATAAAACTCAAAGGGAAGTTGGAAGATTCGGTTGATAATCTTAAGAATAAGAAATCATTACCATTAGCTGATAGTGAAATACAATGGTTTAAAGAGATAAATGTTATTAATGGCCAAATCAGTCATGATTCTAGTTCAGGACCAAGTTTGCAATCGGTAGTAAAGTCTTTGAAGGACCAAACACAATCACTCTTGGAGGAAATGAAAAGTATAGATACTAAGGAAGGCTCGGACTTTAAATTAAAGAGATTAGAGACAGATCAAAAACTATTTAAATTAAAATGTTATCTTGAAGAGAATAGCCAATTAATTAATGTGATCAAGTCTAAGTTAGAGAGTAAATAGTTTAATAGTTTAATTATACATTGTTTCATTATATAGTTTAAAGTGTAATTACTAACTCTAAGAATCTATCAGAGCACTAAATTTATCTAATCTTTCACCTTCTTCTTCAATCTCATTATGAGTCTTTTCGAACTTTTGACCACTGAAAATACTAGCTTTCAATTTAAGACCATCAAAGAACCTACCATCAAGCAGCTTTATACATATATCGCTCAGATTTGGTTTCTTAAATTTTATAGTTATAGTCCCACTGACATCATACACTTGAATCTGTGAAATATCTTCTCCAATTCCTAACTTATTACATTCGTCTTGAATATCTTCTTTCAAATCTAATTCAATAACAGGATCAGCTTTTAATTCATCAACCCGAAACATATTCTCCACCACCACTATTCTTGAGAAAAGTTTCAGTTTAGATTTGTCAACCTTTGCATCACTTGAATCGAATTCGTCCCAATCGGTAAGCTTTTTATTTAATGATTCTTTCGATTTAATAAACTTTTGTTGTTCTTTTGATGGTCTTTCCGTTATTTTTGATTTCTTTGAGCCTGAATCAGTAAATTTAGCAGGTTCAACTTTGATGGTTATACGAGTATCAGATCTTACAGATGTTCCATCCAACATATCAATTGCTAATGGGACACTTTTCTTATTGTGATAAAATATTAAAGCTTCACCTTTAAATTTGTTACTTTCATCATTATACATTTTGATTCTTTTCTCCCCAGTGTTATAGTCTTCTGATATTAAACCGTATTTACCAAAAATTTCATCCAACTCAGATAAAGTGATATCAGTTGGAAGATTATATACGAATATAGCATTGGTGGTTGTGGCTTCTTCAGAACTTGATTGCTTCATTTCTTGTTTAAGTTTTGATATTTCATCTTTAACCTTTTGCATTTTTTGCTTCTTGAACTCTTTTATGTGAAGTTTATTTTCCAATTCATCATCATCAACATCTTCTTCTTTTTCATCGTCGTGGTCATCTCTCTTTCTCTTAGTTATGCTGATATTATCCTGTCGTATGTCCCACTTTTTAGTATTATAATTATATTCATATTCTATGTTATCATCGCTTTCAAAAATCCAAGAATTCGCCTTTTGATCAAGAGATACTCTTTCATCCACTTTCGAAAGTAATTTGGGATCACTTAATACATCTTCTGGCTTTGGTGGAGCCTTTGGAAATTTGGTCGTCATGAATATGATTTTAAAATTAGGTTAAATATATATATTAATATAGTAGTTTAGAAATGACTGTAAAAACTCTTAACTGGTAATGTCGCACTTTTTGTTAGTGCTGGATGCTTCGGAGACATTTTTATCCCCACGCCGACAATTTGTTGTCAAAAATGACCAGAATTTGAGATTGAAGGTTGGTTAAAGAAATCATAATATCTATCATCAATCAAGTGTTAATACAGAATTTTATTTAATTTATATCCAATATGGCTGAAGTATCCAAGACAGTTCCATCTTCAGCTGCTCCTAATGACTTTATATTGAGTTTATCCGATGAACAGATTGAACATGATCAAAAAATCGGTATAAAAGCAATCAGATTATTCTTACAAAGTAAAACTTCATATGATGTTTTACCAGTCAGTTATAGATTAATAGTATTAGATACATCGTTATTAGTCAAGAAATCATTAAATATCTTATTACAAAACAATATTGTTAGTGCACCATTATGGAATAATCAAAATTCAAGATTTGCTGGATTATTAACATCATCAGATTTCATTAATGTTATTCAATATTATTTCCAATTTCCAGAGAAGTTTGAATTTGTGGATCAATTGACTTTAGATGGATTAAGAGATATTGAAAAAGCAATTGGAGTTCAACAAATTGAAACAGTATCGATTCATCCATTTAAATCTCTTTACGAAGCATGTGTTAAAATGTTAGAATCAAGAGCTAGAAGAATCCCATTAATTGATGAAGATGAAAAGACTCATCGTGAAATTGTGGTATCAGTGTTAACTCAATATAGAATTTTAAAATTCGTGGCCTTAAATTGTAAAGAAACTAAGATGTTATTAAAACCAATTAGAAATATTCAAGGTTTAGGTACGATTAAAGATATTTCTACATGTACTATGAATACACCAGTTATTGAAGTGATACATTTATTAGCTCATAAATCAGTGTCATCGGTTCCTATTGTTGATGAACAAGGTAAATTGATTAATGTTTATGAAGCGGTTGATATTTTAGCTTTAGTTAAAGGTGGAATGTATACTGATTTAGATTTAAGTGTGGGAGATGCTTTATTAAGAAGAGCTGAAGATTTTGAAGGGGTGCATACATGTACGTTAAACGATAGATTAAGTACTATTATGGATACTATAAGGAAATCAAGATTACATAGATTATTTGTGGTTGATGATGAAGGGAAATTAGTATCTGTTATAACGTTAAGTGACGTTTTAAATTATATTTTATTTGGAGAAGATTAAGATCTATAGCATTTTAGTAATAGTTGACTTTATAGAAATATGTATTTAGACTCAGTCTGCAAAAGATTGTAAGTTGACGATGTTACGATAAATCGTTAGATATGAGAAGGCAGAGTAGTAAAGGTTTAAAATTAAGTTAATGCTACTGAGTTAGAGACTATTTTATAATAGTATATAGGTTTAGTAAGTAAGATTATTAGAAAGTAAAGTATATTCAGTGTTTAACTGATTTAAGATACCATAATCAGTGGGCCCAGTACAGCACGCGATCGTGATGGGTTTACTGAGTTGGGGGAGGGGGCAAAGAAGGAAAGACAGACAGACAGACAGTAATTTACTGAACTACACTGATGAATTTAGCTACCTAAAGTTAAACTCTTCCTAGCTGATAATCCCAATAAGGGTATATAATCCCCAGTATGAGCGACAGATATTAAATAATCGTGTACAGCCATTCATTCTATCGTATAGTATACTTTTTTATTTGATTGACTCTTCTGATGAAAAATGTCTAAAGAGACATAATTTTTTGACTTCAAAAGTCGTGCGACATACAAACAAACAAACTGCAATTTCCTCACTTGTAAAAACAGATTTTAGCAGCTATTCATCTTTATAAGCATAACTCTAATTCAAAGTTTACTTCAGTGTCAATACACATAATAAAATGGATTCCACGAATTTCAACATGGAAGATTATGTTGATTTTGAATTATTATATTCATCAATTGACTTCATCATTGATAAAACAAAAAATGGCGCTCGTTACAACGTTTTTGTGGATTATGATGATTGTGAAGAAGAATGGAATAAAAGAATTATTGCATTTCCAAATCATGATTCTATTACATTACAAAGGTTGAAATTATCATTCAGATTAACGAAATTCCATATAATTCCAGTAAATAGACATTCCTGTTTAGAATTAGATGACTCTTATTTATCTTCCGAAAATTATATTAATGATTATGATGAAATCTGTAATTTGATTGATGCAGAATTAACTGGAAATTTACATAACAAATATTCATCTTACCCAGGTACTTTACTTGTGAGATTATGGCATTTGCATATTCTGTATTCCTTACACATCCCAATTCCAGTTAAAAAGTTCACCCCAAAAAATAACTATACTGGAAGAAACCCTTCAATTTTGAATGTATTACATTTAGTAAAACCATATTATCCCAAAATTCTGACGGTATTTTCAACTGGTGATTATAAAACCTTTGAATTAGATACAAATTCAATTAAAAAATGTCTCTTTTCAAGAAGTAAGTTGATTGGGGTTGATAAAGAGGTAGAAGTGAGTCATAATGCTTATCGAATATGTTTTGAACCAATTCATTTACTACTTAAAGCCAAGTTTCAAAATGTTACTTTTAAAAATCAAGATAATGAGACCAGCAATGTTATTCCAGATCATTCGTACTCAATTTTGAAAGATTATAAGACTTACAAGGTACCCATTGAAGTAAAGACTTCTGGGTTATATGATGCTTTCAAAAATGATGAGGAGGATTTTAAACAATTTGTCTTACAATCAACATATCAAATGATACTGACGAGAAGTGGATTAGGAATTTTACTTGATCCACAAACTATTGTGATTCTAAGGATTTCAAATCAAAATTTTGATGAAAACCAAAACTGCAAGTTAACAAATAATGAAGTTGGATTTGACGTTGAATGTTATAATCATAGTTCAACACAGAGTCTCACCGCTATATTAGGAATCATTTTAAATGATTACTTCACTGAAGTTGATGAAATAATTACTCAAAGAATGGAAGATTTGAACTCAAATCTTAAGAAAACACAGGCGCAAATACAGAAGGAGGATGATGAAAGATATGCAACTGTTGAACAGATTTGGTCAGATATAAACGATATCTTTGTATGGAACGACGACACGAAATCTTATGCTGCAGATAAAACAAAGTTAACCAAATATTTCTCAAAGGATGATAAAACTAAGTCTTATATTCATAAAAAGATAAACTTACAAATCCCTGACAAGTATTTTAACTATTTATTATCTATGTCTTCGCCGGGTGGATCAATTGATTTTAAAGATTTCAACATTACAAGAATAATCCAGGGTGGAACCAACCTTCAAAAATATAAATATCATGCCCAAGTTTTTATTGTTGACTATATGGGTGAAGCAGATAAAGAAAAGTCCCAAATTATCTTAAAGATCTATAATCCAGTGTTTGCTGCAAGAGATGGTATTGACTCACAAAAGGCAACATTTCTTCAAACTTTATCTTTCTCACTTTCGATGTTTGCTACAGAAGTGCATGCATATGAATTATTAAGAGATAGAGGACCAGAAGGTATCAAGGTCGCAAAGTTAGAGAGCGCTGGTGCTAAGAATAAAAATGGGCATATAAATTTCGTACCACATGTTTACGAATATGGCTTTCTTAACTGGGAATCTCCAAAGGTGGGATTCTATATCCTTGAGGAATATATTAAACCTGATAATGTAAAATCAAAAGAAGAGGCTCTCAAATTAGCAAGAACTGCATTGGAATATATCCATAGTAAGGGTGTCCTCCATGGGGATATCAGACGTTCGAATTTAATATTTGGAAATGGTAGGTGCTATATAATCGATTTTGGATTCTCCAGATTCAAAAAGTTCTTCAAGGATGAAAGAGATAAAAAAGTTCAATATGAAATGAATCAGGAAATGGATAGGTTGGTAAAGGTAATTGAAAAGAGTGTCTTTCCGTAGATTAATCTATTTGAATAGTAAATGTTACAACGGAAAATTTTCAATGATGCAAAATATCTTAATAATACATACAAATGAGAGGATGACGATTTTTCATCAGGTGAAATGTACGTAGCAGAATCAATACCTTTATCCCAATACAATTGTGAAGTACGATCAATCTTATCGAACTCAGCCTTGACTCTTAAAGTTGCAACAATCAGTGGTTGACTTCATGGCTTCGAAGTGTCATGTTCTTCATTAGTCTATCTTCTTAATATACGTAGCAACATAATATTTTCCTCTTGTCATACATTTATATAAAAGAGTCTCAATCCATTGTCTTTTATCTTCATCTTGAAGTTGAAGTATCAATTCTAAAAACCAAGATGTTTCCAGTAACATCCTCCTCCCTAATTGTGTCAAGTTGTCAACGCTATCGCAAATTAATTCCTAAAACGACATTATCTCCCTCACGATGAAAAAAAAGTTTTATCTGTGAGAGAGGGAGAGATTTGGGGGAAAAGCTTACTAATTAAGTAATCAAATTGCTAATCGAAAAATTCATCTGTTTTGTACGGCATCTACATACAAAACCATATAATTTGAATCTAAATCATCAACCATATCTTACTTCTTTTGATTTTTCATTATTTATTTATTTCAGTAGTTTTTCACGTGTCATAGTACAGTTAGAGAAAGAGTTACTAAGTGGTATGGTCTGGGATAGTACAACCATCATCAATATACTAATATAATATGTCAAACGATAGTTTGCCTATACGGAGAGATGAAGGAGGAGGAAGTGGTGTTGACGGTTTAGAATCTGAAGCTTTCACTATAAGAGCAACTGCTTCAAGAGTTCTGCAAAAACAACCATTGTCATATAGTGAAAAACTTGCATTACCTCAAATCACGCTAAGAGCAACCATAGTTGGATTATTCATAGGTTCAATTGTATTGGTATCAAATTTTCAATTTGGTTTACAAACTGGTTGGGTATCTATGATGTCTTTACCAGCTGCTCTTTTAGGATTTGCCATTTTTAAAGTCTCACCTTATTCAAATTCATTCACTGATGTCGAAAATGTTTATGTTCAAAGTGTGGCTGTAGCTGTTGGTACTGGACCTTTATGTTATGGTTTAATTGGTATAGTACCTGCTATTGAAAAATTCTTAACAGCTGAAGAATCAGGATTAGGTCGTACCCTTAATTTCAGTTTAATCGATTTAATGGTATGGTCTCTTGGTCTTGGATTATTCGGGGTCTTCTTTGCTGTACCATTAAGAAATCAAGTCATTATTAAAGAAAAATTACCATTTCCATCCGGAAGTGCAACAGCAACTTTAATTTCAGTTATGCATGGTACTGAAATTTATTCAGATGAAGATGAAAAACATGTTGTTAAAAACAACACTAATATTAATTCAAAACCTAATTTATCCCAAGATATAGAGCAATATCTCGTTCAGGATGAGCCAGAACAACCATCATCATTACCAGCTTCAAAAATCAACTCATATTCATCAAACCTTCATTCATTAGTGATAACATTCTTAGTATCTGCAGCATACACCTTGTTATCGTTCTTTTTCCCTGTTCTTAAAAACATCCCCATCTTTGGTTCATACTTATCCAACCAATATAAATGGAATTTCCAACCTTCTCCAGCATACATTGGTCAAGGTATAATCATGGGTTTACCTACCGTATCATATATGTTATTTGGTGCCATCTTAGGATGGGGGATCTTAGCTCCATTATCCAAATATAAAGGATGGGCACCTGGTGAAATCGATGATTGGATTCATGGTGGTCAAGGATGGATCTTATGGATCAGTTTAAGTGTTATGATTAGTGATTCTATTATTTCATTCGTGATTGTCGCTTTTAAGTCCATTAGAAATGGGATTAAATTCCTTACCGACCCAAGAAATAGTGATTATGATTCGGTTCAAACCGTGGAGATGGAACAATCATTATTAACTGATGATGATAGAGATTCAAATGAAGATCCTTCAAATAGTACTTATTCACCAAAGGATCAAGCTGCTACTGTAATTGTCACTCCAACAAGATTAGAACTTCAAAAGGATTACTTGGTCAGTAATAAAATTACATTCTTTGGTATAATCTTATCATCTGTACTTTGTATCATATCTATCAAAATCGTTTTCGGTAATATTGTTCCAATTTATGCAGCTGTGGTAGCTATTATCTTGGCATTATTTTTCTCAGTGTTAGGAGTAAGAGCTTTAGGTGAAACTGATTTAAATCCCGTTAGTGGAATTGGAAAATTATCTCAATTAATCTTTGCCATGGTTGTTCCTCGTGATCATCCATCTAAGATTTTAATCAATTTAGTTGCTGGTGGTGTTGCTGAAGCCGGTGCCCAACAAGCAGGAGATTTAATGCAAGATTTGAAAACGGGTCATTTAATCGGTGCATCTCCAAAAGCTCAATTCGTAGCTCAAATCATCGGAACCTTATATTCAGTCGTTCTCAGTTCAGTCATGTATAAAGTTTACAATTCAGTATACACTATCCCTAACGATATGTTTAGGATACCGACTGCCATCATTTGGATTGATTGTTCAAGATTAGTCACCGGACAAGGATTACCTCCTAAAGCATTTGAATTCTGCATGGTATTCGGAGTAATCTTTGGTATAATCTCATTATTAAAAAACACCATCCCACCCACTTCAAAATATCATAAATATTTAATATACCTCCCAAGTGGAGTTGCAGTTGGGATTGGGATTTATAATTCTCCAAATTTCACATTGGCAAGATTCATCGGAGGTGTGATTGCTTATTGGTGGATCCATCATAAATCTCAAAATAAAGATAGAATCGGTATGATTATCTTTAGTAGTGGTTTAGTGCTTGGTGAAGGTTTATTAAGTGTTTTCACTATGCTTTTAACTAGTATGGGAGTTAGACACTTTTAAAAGAAAGAAAGATAGATAGAGGGACTCATATAGATTGTCATTTATTTTTTTTTCATTCATTCGTTAGATAGTTATTTAATTTATAGACACTTACTTAGGTAATATATTTACATTTATCGATAATTCTTGTATCTTTGGTAGATATTGTCTTTGTGTTGTGTTATTGTCTTTGTTGTTGGCCTGTTAGGGTTGCTCCTGTAGTTATATTTTGTATGTTGTCTGTATCTGTCGATGAAGGATGCAAAAAGAACTGGAGAGTATTCAGATTCTAGAGTGTGGATTAGAATACAAAATAGAATAAAAAGATCGTTAGAAATAAAATAAAATAAATTTAAGAATAAAAAAAAAAGTTTATTACATATATATCAACAAAATATCATTCTATAATGTAATAATATTATCACATCAAAAATTGAAAAGAAAACTATAGAAGTACAATTTCAGAAATTTAAGAAAATCAAAGAAGATTTTTGAATCTGAAAATATCGTCAAAACAAAATAAAGATAAAAATAAAAATAAGGTAAGATAAAAACAAATAAAAATTAAACGTTAATTCAATGAGGAGCATTCCTTTCCTTATCAGCAGCAATTCTTTGATTGATTAAATACATTGCGGTTTGAATCGCTTGAATTGATCCAGTTAATGTCAATTTTCTAATATTAGTGAATCCTTTTCCACCACCAAGCATGATTGATTGACCCTTATCAGGTTCAATTTTAACATATGAACATTGACTTGTTTCTCTAATATGTTTTATATTATTACCACGTTTACCAATGACTGAACCAATACTTGAATTGGCCACAAAAATATCTTGATTGAATTTATCAGTATTTGGTCCTACTTGAACAGGTGGATTGGTTATAATTTCACCCACAATGGTATTACCATGTTCATCAGTATATGGGTTTTGAGGAGGGATTTGCATAGGTGGAGCAGCCGCTGGTGGAGGTTGCATACCATAATGTTGTTGAGGTGGGATTGATGGTTGGAATACCATTTGGAAATTATAAGGTTGTTGTTGTTGTTGTTGTTGTTTCATTTGACCATAAGGATCTTGAGGTTTAGGTTGTTGTTGTTGTTGATAAGGATGTGGTTCTTTCAAGGTTTGTAAGGTTAATGGATTAGTATTGGCCCCCATTAACATCATATTTGGTAATGGACCTTGAATATTCATCATAGTGGTATTGACGTTTGAATGATGATAATTAGATGGATTATATAATAAGATTTTATTCTTTTTTAAACAATCCTTATGTTCTATCACGATTTGAGAAATATAGTATATAGCAATATGAATGGCATCAGCAACTCCGGTGATTGATAAAACTCTATCAGTTGAATATGGTAATGCTTGCTCAGCTGCTTTTAATTTAGCAGCTGAATTTTCTTCAATTTCTCTGAATTTAACGCCTTGTTTACCAATAATATAACCAATCATAGGATGAGGGACTAAAATCTTTAAATTGAATTGTTGACTGTTTGGGGATGAAACTTCATCTTCTGGTTCTTCCAAGATAGTTCTAGTTATAAGACCAAAAGCTCTAGCTACATTTTCAGCAGCACCTCTAACGGTTACTATTCTTTCTGGAACTCCCTTTAAATTGTCACTAACATTTATTCTAACATTAGATTTTTCTCTTATATGATTAATGGTTTCACCTTTCTTACCCACAATGGCACCAGCTTCTTTAACAGGACAATACATTCTGAATTGAACATAAGTTGGATCACTTTCAGTATGATTTGATACTGGCTTAGAAACTTGTAATTCTTCGCCTTCTTTCTTTGGTTCAGCTGATTCAATGTTATTGTCATGATCTTCACCATCAATTAAAGGTTCTTCTTCATGGATACCATTGTTAATAGCAGGAGCCGTTTGTAATTTAGTTTCCTTGTTATCGTTTAAATCAAGTTGCTCACTGTCCAATGCCACTCTTTTATTGATTTGATCGGGAGAAGAAGATTCCAAATCTTCATTCTTACGCTTCAATATGTTGCTATTGCTCGTTGATGAAGACATGGTCCTGGTATATAATCTTTATAGCAAATTGATAGAATTGATTGATAATGAATGAAAATTTTCCTATATAATTTCTATTTGTGAATTACATTTTTTACGTTTATATTATTTTTTTTTCGTTCTGCCTTTCTTCCCTTTTCAGAAAAAATTGATCAATGGTCGTGTGAAAAAGTTCAAATATGATTGTATAGTATACTATACTATAGTTTATTACTGTTTATTAAATACTTTGTATATTTGTTTATTATAAAATCATTAAATCGTTACTTACCTTGGGCAGCATTGAGGATAAATTGTCGTTGTCTATCATCATCTCTGGCTTTAACATATTGTTCATCACGTCTAGTGTCAACTCTATGTAAGAAATCTTGAGTATCAAGAAACCCAGCTTTATTATGTATTTTCAATTCATCACCAATCTTACGTTTATCAACAAAACTAGCCCAATCTAATCGAGATTTTTCAAGGGTTGAAAGTTTTTGTTTCTTACCTAAATTGGTCATGAAATTATCTATTAATGATGGTCTCTTTAATTTGATCCGGAGTTCCTTTTCTTCATCTGTTTTGGCAACTTTCCTTATGACAGTTACAAATGAACTATTTCTCTTACTTTCTTTCGAATTATCAAGGGTTATGGATGCAGTTGAATTTAAATATGCTTTAGCTTCTGCTGAATTCTCATCAACATACTTTGTTTCTGTAACAAGTTTCCCAGCAAATGCATATGATGTTTCTATCTTAATCTTCCTAGTACCTAATGAATCGTTACTCGATTTGTCTTGGTCTGTTAAGGTACTCTTTTCAGTCAATTGATCATTGGATGAATAACCATCTGGTCTCCAATCTGCTTTACCACTCTTTAAATCATCAAACAATGATTCAACATCAATGGATGATCTGACTTCCTTAACTAATCCTCTTTCATCAGTTTCAAAAGAGCCTATATGAGTTGCTCTTGCCTTATTATGTGAAGATTGTTTTTGACTTCTTGTTCTCACTTGACTTATAGTTGATTCTATTACTGAATAATCAGGAACTTTTTCATCATTTGCATTATCATCATCGTCATCATCATCCACAGCATCTAAATCATTACCTTCTTCATCCACATTTTTCTTGCTTGGATCGTAGTCATCATCATCCTCATCCTCCTCATCATCTTCGTCGTCATCATCTTCATCTTGTTGAACTACAACTTGTTCTTCTTCCTCTATTTCTTCCACCTCAACAGACTCTTCAACCACTGATTCAGACTCTATAACATCTTCTTCTTTGACCAATTTCAGCCTATTAGCTTTGGAATGTTTTGCCTTTGCCATTCTTCAAACCAAGCCTTTTTAACACTTAATCAAACTTAAATTATTACTTGTTGGTTATATACGGCAAAATCAATTTGGTGTAACATTCATACATATGCCTTGTATAAAGACGGCTTCTAACGGTTTAAGTTTGTGTATGCTCAGAAAAAATTAATTGGTGAAAAAATGGCATATTTCCTGTATATAAAAAACATTTGGAACTTTTGAATTTATACCCCAACAAATGTTGCCACATTTAAACCACTATAAATAGATCAAGCCCTTTCCCTTTTTCATACTAGAATTTCAAGTCTGATATAGTAGTTAACAGGTTCAATTGATATCAAATCAACAATGTCGTCCAATACTTTTTATGCTGATTCAGAAGCACCAATTGTTAATTTATCTGCTAAGAAACACTTTGAAGAATTAACTACTAATGATGCTAAATTATATGCTCATTACCTTTCAAGAGCAAGTCATTGGGGTACAAGAGCTGTATTAAGATCAGTTTCTCCTGAAAGTGAAAACATTTATGATTTGATTTTAAGAATTCATAAGGTTTTAAGTGAACCTTCCAGTAATGAAGTTTATGAAGAAATCATTGGAAAGAAATTACCAGATTCAAAAGTATTGGTTACTCAATATCTTGAATATGCTTCTCAATTCTTATCTAATGTAGGTAATTATAAATCATTTGGGGATAAGAAATTCATTCCCGTTGCTTCTGCAGAAAGTTTTGATAAATTAATCGAAGCTATAAATGATGATGAAGCTTCTAAATTATATAAATCTGTTCGTGAAGCTATTTTTAGCACTAAACAAGGTTTATTAGGATGGCCTGAAAATGGACATATCTCCGGTTATTATCCTGGTGTTATTGATATTTCTAAAGCTGAAGCAACTGATGTTAATGAAGCTTTAGCTGATAAAGGTATAATGCCAGAAAATACTAGAGTTGAAAAGAAGGGTGATAAAGAATTCATTGTTCATGTTGCTAGTGCTGAAACCGTTAATACTACTGATTACTATCCAAAAGAAGTTATCACTACTAAAGGTGGAAATCAAGTTACTATTCAATTTGGTGATCATTCTAAAGAGTTCAAACATATTGTTGAAAATTTAGAAGAAGCTGCAAAATATGTCGCCAATGATACTCAAGCTACTTTTGTGAAGTATTATGCCGAATCTTTTAATACTGGTTCCATGAATGCTCATAAGAAATCCCAAATTGCTTGGGTTAAGGATTTAAAACCAGAAGTTGAATCCAATATTGGTTTCATCGAAACTTATAGAGATCCATTAGGAGTTAGAGGTGAATGGGAAGGTTTAGTTGCTATGGTTAATCACGATAGAACTGCTAAATTCTCTACTTTAGTTAACAATGCTTCTGAATTGATTGCTTATTTACCATGGGATAAAACTTATGAAAAAGATAAATTCACCCCTCCAGATTTCACCTCTTTAGAAGTTCTTACCTTTGCTGGTTCAGGTGTTCCAGCCGGTATCAATATTCCAAATTATGATGATGTTAGATTAAACTATGGTTTCAAGAATGTCTCATTAGGTAATGTTCTTTCTGCTAATCCAAAGAAACCAAAGAAGGAAGAAGTTATTACTTTCCTTAGAGAAGATCTTCAAGAAAAATTCCGTAAATGGAGAGATGATTCATTTGAAGTTCAAGTTGGTTTACATGAATTATTAGGTCATGGTACTGGTAAATTATTACAAGAAACTGCTCCAGGAGTTTTCAATTTCGATAAAGAAACTATTCCAACTAAGACTTGGTATAAACCAACTGACACTTGGGCATCTCTTTTCGGTACCACTTCAGGATCTTTCGAAGAATGTCGTGCTGAATTAGTGGCTTTATACCTTATTCTTAAGAAACCATTAGAAGTATTACCAATCTTTGGTATCACAGATGCTGCCGATCAAAAGGATGTTAAATTAATTGCTACTATCTTAATGGCTAGAGCTGGTTTATTAGGTTTAGAATTCTGGGATCCAAAAGCTAAGAAATGGGGTCAACCTCATATGCAAGCTAGATTTGCTATTTCTAAAGTATTACATCAAGCTGGTGTAGTTAATTTCAAATACACTGATGCTAAGAAATTTGATGATTTAGAAGTTGAAATTGATGAATCTAAATTAGATAAAGAAGCAGTTCAAGCCTTAGGTGATTTCTTAGGTCACTTACATGTATACAAGAGTACTGCCAATGTCACTGATGGTATTGCATACTATCTCGATAAAACTGATGTTACTGAAGAATACGCTAGATTCAGAGATGTTGTCCTCGAAAAGAAGAGACCTCGTAAACAATTGATTCAAGCTAACACCTTCATAGTGAATGGTGATAAAGTTGAAGTTAAAGAGTATGAAGAATCAGAAGTCGGTATGATTCAAAGTTTTGCTGAAAGATTAGTATAGATATTCTATAGGGAACTTTTCATAAAATAGAAATAAATTAAAAACAGAGAGAGATAACAAATTATTTTTGCAGTAAAAAATTGATTGTAATTTAAGTCATGTGACTTCACCGTAATTTTTCCGAAATCTTTTTTAGTCCAAAGCAATTTGAAAGACTGTCAAAAGGTTAAATCAAATCTGTTAAAGTTAGTCAATTACGAGACCAAAAAGACCAATATGTTGCCTAACCTGCTTACTTGCAGGACTGGTACTAGTCTATTAAGATGGCAGTTGGGTCATATAGGAAATAATTCATTGGCATCGATAGTGAGGCCGACGAGGTTCTTGAGTCATCAAGTACCTCGCATATATAGTATTAGATCAATTGGTCAACCTATAATACAGTCTACTCAACTAAGAAGTTTCAGTCATACCATTGTGAGACTCAATACTACTCCTGATCATCATACCTCTAAGAAAGATGAAGTCTTATCCTTAAAAGTTTCTGATTCACTTAAATCTCACTTGGAGATAACAAAATTGAAAAAGAAAGAGATCATTAAAGAAGAAAAAGTTCATCAAGCCATAAATAAGAAGTCCTTTAAGGATAATATGAAGACTATAGGCCGTATAATACGGTTGGGTAAACCTGACTTGAGGCTCTTTTTATATGCTCTTGGGTTTATTTTATTTGCAGTGCTATATCCTACCACCGCTGTAAAATTGGTTGGGGCATCGATTGATGCTTACAATTCAGGTTTGAAAGATGAAGATGGTGATTTAATAATTTGGGGCTATAAATATTCAACCCTTTTTGCATGTATGGTGCCGTTTATGTTTGTCAGTGCTGCTTGTTTTTGGGCCAGAATTTGGGTCTTAAAATTATTAGGAGAAAGATTAGTAGCAAGATTAAGATTCAGAGTTATGAAACATTTACTTAGACATGATTCTGCCTTTTATGATAATGAAAAACATAAAGTGGGTGATTTAATCTCAAGATTATCAAGTGACGCTTATGTTGTATCCAAATCTATTACTAGTAACTTACCAGATGGTTTAAAAAATTTATTGTTTGGATTCATTAGTGCTTATATGATGTATGCTATCAATCCATTATTATTCTGTGTTATGTTGATGATTTCACCTCCTATTACATTCGGATCTGTTTGGTATGGAGAAAAGATTCGTGAATTATCTACTAAGTTACAAAATGCATCTGCAGGATTAACTAAAGTAAGTGAAGAAACTTTAAATGCTGTTAAAGTAGTTAAAGCATTTACTGGTGAACAACGAGAATTATCAAAATATTCTGAACAATTAAGAAGAGTGGTTAGAGTGGCTAAACAAGAAGCATTAGCTCAATCCAATTATCTGGTTTCCATCTATGGTTTGTATCATACTGGTTATTTGTCATGTATTGCCTTAGGTGTTTACCTTATATTAAATGGTCAAATGACCACTGGTGATGTGGTTGCATTTACCATGTACCTGGAGTTATTCAATCTGTCATTATATAGTCTTACAACTACTTATATGGAATTGATGAAAGGTGCAGGAGCTGGAGTTAAATTATTCAACTTGATAGATTATGATAATGAAATCCCAGCCATTAAAGGAGAAAAAGCTCCAAAGAACATAAATAATAGTGTTGAATTTAAAGATGTTGTATTCAGTTATCCTACCAGACCAAACGGTAAGATTTTCAAAGGTTGTACTTTCAGTGTTGAATCATCATCAAGTACTTGTATAGTAGCTCCTTCTGGATGTGGTAAATCCACAATTGCATCACTTTTATTAAGATCTTATAATATTCAAGAGGGTGAGATATTAATCGGAGGTAAGAATATCAATGATATTCAAGTAAGAGAATTAAGAAGAAAAATCGTTGGTATAGTTCAACAAGAACCAGTTTTACTTTCAGGTAGTATTCTTGAAAATATAGTTTATGGTTTAACACCAGAAGAGATTAGTAAAATGTCCATGGATGATGTTTTAGAAGTTTCTAAGCAAGCCAATTGTCATGACTTTATTGTTAATTTTCCTGATGGATATGATACCCTTATTGGTTCCAGAGGTGCATCATTATCTGGAGGTCAAAAGCAAAGAATCGCCATTGCTAGAGCTTTAATTAAGAAGCCAAAAGTGTTAATATTAGATGAAGCAACATCAGCTCTTGATTCTAAGCTGGAAAGTTTGATTAATGAAACCTTAAAAGAATTGACATCACAAGGTAAGATGACAATAATATCAATTGCTCATAGATTATCTACTATTTCTAAATCAGAGAATGTAGTGGTATTAGGTAAGAATGGTAAAGTTGTGGAACAAGGAAAATTCATTTCACTTTTTAGTGATCCAAATTCTGAATTATCTAAATTATTAGATGAATCAAGTTCAACACACGAAGAGGAAGATGAAAAATTATCGGATACAGAGATTGATGAACAAGAGCATATAGATCATGAAGCTGAAGTGATTGAGTTAAATCAAAAATTGAGTAAATTGGATGCAGTTAAATCAATGATTGATGACTTACCTTATGATATTAAGAAAAAACTTCTTGAAGAAGTATCGGTTCAAAAACAACCTGGTTCAAAGGATGAGGAGGACATAGCTTATACTGGACCCAAGCTCTCTTCTGATGAATTGAAATCTAGAAATACAATGCAATAGTAATATAGACATGTAAATAGTACACTAATCACTCTTTTGACACAAATAATATTTATTCTAACTTATTTATAGAAAAATCATGCTTTTCGTTATGTATGTAAACTGTATGGAATGCCGTTGAAAATTCGGGAATGATGACAATACAATATCTCTAGGATATCATTTCTCTAATTACCTAAAACTTTTGGTTCAGCTTGGACACCGTTTTCGATCTTGATAGCTTTAACTTCGGTGAAACCTCTTCTTTCACTGGCAGCCTTGGCTTCTGGCTTTAAAGCAGCTCTGACGGTTCTGGCAGCAATGGATAAGGCCTTGTTTAATGATATACCAGCTTGTTTGTATGCAGACATTATGATTGTTAATTGATGGATCTATAAACTAGTAATAATATATCGTCTTCTATATAACTTTTTCAATGGTCGGTCTGAAAAAAAGTTTGGTTCGCAATTTTAATTGGATATTTGTATTGTCCGGTATACAATTTACTCGTACTGTATATAGTGCAGTTTCCTGTATATAATATTGTATATAAAAGATCTATATTGCAAAATATATATATATAAATAATTATTTTACCTCTTAGAGTTCAACCAATTGATGAAATCAAAGAATAAGGATGGTTGAATGTTACTCTTAGGGTTTAAAGCCCAGTTTTTTAATGATGATGAATAAATTTCAATGATATTTTCTAAATATGAGGTATCAATAGCAACTAAATTTTTTGAAATTATAATACAAGCTTGATTACAAGCTAATGAATGACCTTGACTAGTTGATTTCTTTGAGTTTAATTCGGTTTGTAAGTCGATTATGAGGGTTAATAAAGATTCCTTATAATCTTTTAATTCTTTCTTTGAAGGATAATACTTTTGAACATCTTCATCGGTGATTTTAGTACGGTTGATTTTGGTTTTAAGTAACTTGTGTGCTTTGACACCGAGTTCCTTATTTAAAGTTAAATTGATCATGGTGATTATAGGTTTAATGGCAGTTAAATTTAATAATGAATTAGGTTGAACTCTATTGAAAATCTCAAGTAAGTCTAAGATTCTATTCTTGAAAAATATCATATGTTCCTTAGCTTCCATAACTTCGGCTTTTCTTTTATTACCTGTACTAATGTTAGAAAGAATATCTTGTCTTTCTTTGAAGATTTTGGAAAGTTGATCATCCATAGCCATCATTTGTTCATCATCCATCGAATCAGATTCATATTCTTCATCATCTGAAGAATCTAAATCTTCAAATTTGACCTCTCCAGATTCAGCAGTTGGAATTCCTAAAGCTTTAGCAAGTTTTAAATTAGTTTCTTTATCTATTTCTGATAATTTATCTTTATCGGTTGCTACTTCTTCTTCGTCTTCTTCTTCTGATTCTTCTGATTCTTCATCGTCTGAATCTGAATTATCTTCGTCCTCGTCTTCATCATCTTTGTCTTCTTCATCTTCATCTTTTTCGTTATCTTTTTCTTCATCTTCATCGTCGTCAGCAACCATTTCATCCTCACCCTCAAATAATTTTTGTTGACCTTCTTTGTTTTCTTTCAGGTATAAGACATCATATAGCAATTGTAAACTAGCTTCATTCAATCTTATCTTTCCAGATTGATCATTACCACAAACAAAGAATTCCCATACTGTGAATGCCAATTTCTTTAACAAATTAGATTTTCTTGAAATGAAGGATAAGATAATCTCAGTCAATACCACTGAAGTATCAACTCCATCATCTGTCTCGTCAGAGAAAGTATTTTCATAACACAAGTTTAATTCCCCAATGACTTGAACAGCTTCATCATCACCCATGTACATTTGAATAAGAACCATAGAGTAAAGAAGTTCGAAACAATGTAATTGATCTTTCTTACTTTCCAGTTTAGTAATGGTCATTAATTCGGAGATGGATTTAAGAATGACAGAAGTTTCTTGCTTTATGACGAGAAGTTCTTCATCGAAATCAATCAAGTTTTTGAATTTTGATGATTCTTCCAATTTGAAAATATATTTCAAACAATAATATGCCCATGAGATATTATCCAGTCTTTTAAGATTAATTATATCAGCCAATATTGAGTTCAAACGTTCTTGACATGCTGATTTGACATTTTCAGAAACTTGAGGTTGATCAGATGAATGGAAGAAAGTTTGTCTGATGAGTAATTTGGTAATATCTTCAATATCCTTTGCATTTATAATGGTTAAATTTCTTCTAATGAGTAATAAAAGTTTATCCAAACTCCATTTAATCTTATTATCGTTTGACTTCTTATTAGTATTTTGATTATCAATATCTTCTTGAGTATCAAGGGCAGTATTGAATGATTGGATTAATATATTCTTTAAATCAGCAATTATTTTATCATCGCCTTTGACCGTAAGTAAACTATCGACAGTCTTCGATTTAGTAATCAAATCGAAATTCCAACTTCCACCATTAGTCTCATCAATCAAACGATTGAAGATTATAGGAACCTTCTCTGGATTAGATTGGGCTTCTTCGGTAATGACTTTAAGCGCTTTGGTTGAGATCTTATGTAACATTCTATTGGCTTGAGAAGTTTGATTAACTAAACATCTCATAAAGTTCAGAGTGAATAAGTATTGAATGGATTCAATGGAGGTTAATTCCTTTAAGAATTTGATGAAGATTTCAAATCCCCAGAATTTTCTTTCATGAGAAGATTTCTCAGCATAAAAGGAATCATCGATCACTACTTTCCAAAACTCTTGAACTGTTACATCAGTAGGTTCTGAACTTGATGATGATGAATGTTTCTTTTTCTTAGAATCATTATTTGATGACTTCTTTCTCTTTTTCAGGTTTTCATTGGATACTTCTTCACTTTCATTTGAAGTATTGAATTCTTGAATAATCAAATCCCAAACGAATGGGATTCTTGGACTCCAACTTCCCTTTTGTTTTGGATTCTTATTACCTTTTTGTTTATTTTCACCTGCTTCTGGATCAGCTACTTCAACATCCTTCAATGCTTTTGCTAACAAAGGTAAATTTCCCTTTGTAAATGGATCACCGTTCTTCCAATTTGCTTTTTCATTAACGATATGAGAAGCTAATTTTGATCTATTTTCCTTTGGAATTGATAAATAAATAGCAACTCCTTCACTTGATAAATTTAAACCTTGATCATTGGTAACTTGTAAAATAGCGATGATGACTTTATCTTTCAAATCTTTACTATGATCACTTGCAGGACTTAAAAAGGCTCTAATAAACTGATGTAAAGTGAAAATAGTTGTTTCTCTTAACCATGATTTTAAATTTGATAATTCTATAATACAATTAATGAATTTAAATAAAGATTCATCTTTACAAGCTTCAGCATTGAATAAAAGTTTAGTATTGATCAAAACTTGTAATCCAAACAATCTTCCAAACAACACTGATCTTTCTTCCTTACCTTTCATACTTGAAGCCAATTGGGTGGTCTTTAATAATAAATCAAGATAATAATCAATAGTAATTTCTTCATAGCCCTCAGAATTTTTATTGATCAATTCCAATAATACTTCAGTAAGAGCCATCAGGAAACCAAAACGAGCACTTTGTCTGGAAGTGATGAGTCCCTTAAGAAGTCTGTTCAAAGCATATTCCCAATCCTCCTTAGAGTTGGCTTCAATAAGGTCTGATAAGAGAGAAGTTGCAGCTTCAATTCTTTCCTTAGGGACTTCAGATGCAAGTCTATAGTAATGATCTTTCAGAACTGCCATTAGAAATACCTGCTTTTTTCTATACTTCTATGTTTTATAATGTTGGTTTCCCCACCTATTGAAACCAGACGATCTGAAAGTTTCGTAACCTAAAGATTGGATGAACAATTATTGAAATTTAAGTTGTTGCAAATGATAAAATAAATTTAAATTTCTCTCATCTCGACATCTTTTTTTTTGAGGTGTTCGATGGAACAAGTCTGGAGAGAGAGAAATAGAGAAACACGCTTATTACATTAATTAACCAATTTAAAGTTTGAAGAATTTATGGCAAAATGTTGAATGTTTGCATTTAGTTCTAAGTATGTTATATAAGTATGTATGTTACATATGTGTGTGTAAGTGTGACATATGTATAATGTGTCAAGTTGGACAGCTCCCATGAATCCCGTCTAGTTACCCAAAGTATAATTAATAGTGATAAAAATGTGTAAATAAAGAAGAAATATAGATTCATTAAGAATGAAATCAAAATTCTAAGAAGATAATAATTTTAAAAACCCATGTTGAATGAAGTAAAAAAAGAACAATTGTGATAAAAAAAAATAGTTATAATGAATAATATAAAAAAGGAATGATATGTGTAACTACAGTCTTTTCAGGGAATAGATAATCCCATTTAAGCACTGTAAGTTTGCTTTGGGAATGGGAAGGATGGACCAACTTCTTGGATGGATAAAGCAGCAGCCCATTGACCAACATCAACAGCTTTAGCAGTGGATTTACCTTCGACTAAAGCAGCAACGAAACCAGCAGCAAAAGCATCACCAGCACCATTAGTATCAACTACTTTTTCAGAAGCTAATTCTCTAACGTTGAAAGCTTGAACTTCATAATCTTCAGTTTCTGGATTATAAGTAACAGTAACAGTTGGTTGAGTACCTTGAGTGAAAACAACAGTTCTTGGTCTCTTGGTGTTAATCTTTGGTAATTTGGCCACTTCTTTAGCAATAGCAACCACATCCTTTGGATCAACATCTAATTTATGAGATTCAGCATAAGCTTCAGCTTCAGATTCATTAGCAATAACAAAATCAACATAAGGTAAAGCAGCATCTAAAGGATCTTTAAAGAATTGAGCAATGAATGGAGCAGAGAAATTTAAAGCGAAAACTTTATTATTTTCAGCAGCATGTTTACCTAATTTAACAATAGCTTCTGGAGAAACAGTTAAATGGAAACCACCAATATAATAATGAGAAGCATTTTCAACAAATTTCCAATTTTCTGGTTTATCGAAATGAGAAGCAGTAAAATGATTAGCAGCCCCTAAATCAGTAACTAAACATCTATGAGCACCATTAATTAAAGCAGCACATTTACCAGTTGGAATATCATCTTGAATTTGATATTCAGTTCTTAAACCATATTTCTTATTAGCTTCAACTAATTTTTCAGCGTAAACATCTTTACCAACAGAACCGAAATAGACAACGGAATCAGCAGGTAAGATATATTGAGCACCTCTAGCAGTGTTTTGAGCAGCACCACCAGCAAGTAAGTGTAAATCTTGTTTACCTAAAACTTCTTGATAAATTGGAGCATGTTTGTCTTCAGCTAAGATGGCATCATTATCTTTTAAGTCGTACTTTTTCAAGTATTCAGCGTCGACGTTGGTTTGTAAATCCAATAATGGGTTACCTAAGGCTACTAATTTGTAAGACATGTTTCTAATTGAGGTGGAGATTGATCTGGTAGATTGTTTTAACATATGAAAGTTGAAGATAATTTTTCAACTTTTCAACTTTTCCACTGGCCTCACCTCACTTCACCACAGTACTATTTAAACTGTTGGACAAAATTTGAGTGGTGGTGCCCTCCCTCGTTTAATTTTTTTTTCTCAGCCACACACGAACAGTTTAATTTGTATTACTTAGTTATTAATAGCTTTAGTTGGTTAGGATAACTGATAACATTAGAATAGAATAGAATAGAATAGGATAAGATAGGATAGGATATATATAGTATATCATCATGACAGCAAGTACAACTATGTCCAATACTAAAACAGTTAGTTTACGAGATCCTACCAATACATTAATCCTTACTAAAATAGATCAAGCTTTATTACATGATCCTCAACCTTTAGTTACCTTCTTAGCTCAAGATAATAACTTCATCATAGAATTAATATCATTACCTAAATTCCATAGAATACTTATTCTTTGTGAAGATAGTAACATAGCAACCAAGATATCTCAACTTCTTCAAGATTCACCGGCTTGGAATACAATATCAATATCCTATAGTCTCAGAGATAATGAAATAAGTATCCTTAATCATAAATCAATCTTACCTTCAACTTTATCACAGTTTAATGGATATGGTCCTTATCATATAGATAGTGCTAATAGTATGGATTATTTGGAATTGCCCCTGGAATTAGGAAGTAGACGATTTCTTATCTCCCCTCCCATATCACCTCATGCTGACTGGAATGATTATGATAAAGTTGAAGATCCTCCTAATAATAAATCGATTTATTCTCCTGGTGACTTATCTAATTTACTTTGGGAAAGATTAGGTGGATTTGATAGTACCATGGTTAGAAAATATCAACATGAAGACGATGATGATGAAGACATAGAAGGTGATGACAATAACAACAAAGGATCGGGCATAGGTGCAACTGGTGTGTCTCAATCAAACACAGTCGAATCAACCACGCATTATGATATCAGTAAGAACCCAGAAATATTATTTGATGATAATAGTGGCACAGTACCTGTTATAATTCTTGATAGTATTAAAAACTCTGGTCCCATTGATCCATCATCACAATTGTTCGAACCTACTCAAAGAATTCCAAAAACAGTTATGCCCCCATTTTGAACTCCCTTTAGATTGACTCTAATATGTATTTATTTATTTATATCTTCACAATGTACAAACTAGTTTGACTTTGATAGTCAACTCTTCATTCATTTGCAACAAATTTAACCCATTTGATCTGGTCCACTTGTATGCAGGATTTTGATTTTAGAGGAATTTTTTTTTTTTTTGGTGAGCAGAGAGAGAGATGAGAAGTATAATTTTTTTAAAGCTGTTTAAAGAATCAAAATATTTCAGTTTAATTGATTTAACCATACTTAACTTTATACACATACATATATACCATGGCTAAAACTAGATCTAAAGGGCCTGTCACTCCAAAGACTCCAACCCCTGTCAAAGCTAGAAAAGGTGCTGCCATTTCCAAAGTTTCTGCTGGTTCTGCTGTATCATCTCCATTAGTTGAAAAATCCAAAAAAATTGATGTAAAGGCTAAGAAAGGTCAAGCATCTAAAGTCAAAGCTAAATTAGAAAAGGAAGAACCAAGTTCTATAGTAGCTTCCAAAGTTGCTGTTAAAGCCATTTCAGAATTAAGTAAATTCTTAGAAAGAGAAAGTGCCAATACTAAAGAATCTAAAACTGATTTATTTGCTGATGAAGATGATGATGAATCTAAAAACTTATACTTACAAATAAACACCAAGAAGTTTGTTTCATCTAAACCTCAATTCAAACCAAAGTTGATAAAATTAACTCATTCCATATATAATCAAGAACAATTGAAAACTTGTCTTATTATCAGAGATCAATTAGTTACAACTTCTCAACAATTAGAAGCTCTTGAAAATGAAAGCTTACCAACCGTATCTCAAATCTTACCTTTAAAATCATTAAAAACTGAATATAAACATTATGAAAAACGTCGTGAATTATATGCTAAATATGATTTATTTTTAGTTGATGATGCTTTATTAAATTTAATGCCAACTTTATTAGGTAAAGTCTTTTATGGTAATGGTAATAATAAACTTCCATTACCAATCAGAGTTACAACTTCTTCCAATACTAAAGAACTTTCCCTTGTTACTCTTAAAAATCAATTAGAAAAATGTTTAACTAGTACTGCTTTCTTACCACCAATGGGGGTTAATATATCAATTAAAATTGGATCTATAACTGAAAGCTTTAAACAAGATGATTTGGTTCAAAATTTACAAGATACTCTTGTTGCATTTGATAAAGATAGTTTAAGAAGTGTCATGCTTAAAACCAATAGCTCTCCATCTTTACCATTATTCTATGCTGAAAAGTTATATGATGAAGAAACTGATGTGATAGAGAATGTTAAAGCTAACGAAGCTAAGGAACAAACTGATGGTCCTAAATTATCTGCATTTGAAAAAGGTTTATTGGAATTGGGTAATGCTGATGAAGTTGCTAAAATCATTGGTAAGAAATTAAACGGTAAATCTAAAAAGCCAAAGACTGCCGCTAACAAAGTCGTCAAACCAACAAAGGTTTCTAAAAAGTAAGTAACTAGATAGATAGAGAAACTATCTCCATTAAAATTTTATATATTATTAGCTATATTCTATAGAAGTTAAAGTTGATAATTTTTGTATCATAAATATATTTCGCAATAACAAAATTTAAATTTACTAGCGCGTATCGAATCAGTAATTTTTCACGTTAAATCAAGTAGGTTATCTCTTTATTACCACCATTGCTCCCCACCAACATCAATGTGGATTGTAACACGTAAGGGTGATCTGGAAGACATAATTAATCTAGAACCTGATCAAGATTATATACTAGGAAGAGTGGAAAATGCCGATTTCTTATTCAATAATAGTTCAGTTTCACGACAACAATTACAATTGGTAGTGGGATCAATCGATGAAGATAAAATCAATGACACAGAATATAAAACTTCACTCCTGATAAAAGTGCTTTCAAGGGCCAAATCAACTATAAATGGTACTATGTATAGATTATCCAAGGGAGAGACTGGACCAATGGTTGTGGATGTTACCAATGAAGATAAAGTTGAGTTAGTACTAGGATCAGATACCGATAATATCATCACTATCGAATGGGTTGCTTTCAATGTGATGACATTCATCAAGACTGTGGTGGAGACTGAGGGTAAACAATCTAATAATCATCATCTTGATGATCTTGTTCAATTACGGTCCATTGGCATTGATTTAAGAATCACAAATGATGTATATAAAGCTACTCATTATTATAGTAGAGGTGAACCAACTAATAAGTCCTTTAAAATAGCAGTCCTGAGAGGAGTACCCATTTTAAATGAAAAGTGGTTAGATACCATACGACGGAATAAAAATAATGTTGAGAAATGGTTTCTTCATATTGATTATGAGAAGTATTTACCTGGAGGTGAATACTTATTACCAAACCCTGAACGAAGTAGTTTGTTAAAGGGTATAACCGTGTTTATTCTTTCGAAAGGAAATGAAAAATTCAGTTACTTTATTAATTCATTACAGGGAAATATAATACAATTACAACTTGATACATACTACCAAAATAATAAACTAAATGAAGAGTTATTAATTCAAGATATGAAAGAAAAATCACCACCAAATTCGAAATGTGTCCTTATGAAATTCAATGGTCATGGAGATGCAGTGTTGGCAGATCAGGTGAATAATTCATTGGAGGGTATAGCAACTAAGTTTAATACAAGTACGGCTAGTGAAGATAGTATATGGACTTCTACAAAAGTTTGCAGTTTAGATAATCTTAGATTATTTGAAGTAGAAAGCTTGAAACGTCCTAATGAAGCAATAGTTTCACAATCTGAACCTCTGTTGCGAAAGAGGAGGAAATATGAGAAAGTAAGTAAGACTCATTTCTTCGACTTTGGAGCTTGTACTCAATCCCAATCCAATAATGAAATACTCATTGCATCTTCCCAAGTGGTGCCTGAAAGTAATGACGATGTTGCAGAATCAAACAATCCAATTATTGAAGGATCTGTAGCGCCTATTGTTGAACCTATTATTGAAGAGCCTGAAGAAGTTATCGAATCTCCAAAGGAAGTAGAAAAGTCTGTTGATGAAGGAAGTAACGGATCATCTGTTGATATAAACAAGTCTAAAAAGCGTTCCACAGAAGAAGAATTAAAACCACTGAAACCCAATAAAATTGGGAAATTTATGCCAAAGGTGTCACTTGTAGATGCTATTAAATCTGCCAAAGAACAAGCCAATGAATTGATCAAACAGGAATTAGGTATTGTGGATGAATTGGAGCAAGATTCATTTGCAGATAATCTTTCTAATCTCGCCATAATAGAGACTATTGAAATTAAATTAAGAACTAAAGAACCAAAAGAGTACAATTCAACCATAAATAAAGACTACAATGGCCGTAAGAATTTCAAAACGTTTAAAAAGAATCAACAATTGAAAAATAAAGTTACTAGATCATTTGTGGAAATGGATACAATCCCAGTAAATGCAGAAATAAGCTTTGTAAGTTTCAAGAAGTCTGATTATGAAGCAGCTGAACAAAGGTTAACTGAAGATTTTGGTAAGGTAATGCAAAGTGTTAAAAATATCGATCCTGTTAAGAATACACTCTTTATTGATGACGATGATGATGATGAAACTGGTTCCTTTTCATTTAAACCCAATAACAATAATAAGGAAAAGAGTGGTAGTTCAGCTAATTCGCTATTTGTAGATGAAGAATCCCAGAGTACTGCTCAACCAGTTCCCAATAGAACAACAACTAGATCAACTACTTATCGAAACTATTATGATGATGATGATGACGACGATGATGACGATGACCAACCTAGATTTGGATTCTCGAGAGCAAATTAAAATGTTATAAAATATGTTATATATTAATTATTTATTTATTTACTTTATTTTCATTCCACACATTCCTAGTCGCCTGAAATATGTATTATGACTTCTGAAATAATCTTTACTCATGTAGTCTATTAGTCTTATCCCTTGAAAATCTCTTTTAATACATTTTGAATTATCTCCAAATACACAATCCACCACTTGTTTTGGTGAAGGCATTGAAGTTGATGATGAACAATTCAAATATATTTGATTGTCAAATTGTGAATATTGATTTAATAAACCATCACTATTAGGAATGGTAGCTACAATATCATCTTTATGTACCACTCTAAAATATTTTCTTGAAAATGAATTATGAATGGGGGGATTATAACTTCCCATAACCAAATCAACCCAATTAACAAATTCCTTATTCCCCACTAATGGTTGTCCCATAGTTATTACTGTTAATTTATCAAATCCTAAATCAAGATAATGTAATGCCAATAACAAGGCAACACTTCCACCCATTGAATGACCAACTATTAATAATTCATAATCTTCTGATGCATCAACCAATTCTTTATCTAGAATTCTATGGATATTGAGTAAAGTATGTAAATAGTAATCATAGAAACCTTGATGAACTTTACAATGAGTTCCACATTTGGGTAAATGAATGTTTAAGTTGCTATAACTTGTCATGTCAACTTTAATATCAGTATAACTATCAAAAATAGATCTAGTACCTCTTAAAGACACGATAATCGTTTTCTTTTTCTTTTCACTACCACCGGCTGAGTTTGTATCATTATAATTAAAGATATTTGAATAAGTCGTTGCTATGTATCCAGTTACCGAGTCATCATAATACCATTGATAAACAAGCGTTACATTTGGAAATCTTGATTCACACGCCAAGTCACATTCAAACGGTTCTTTGATCCCAGATATACTAGAAATGCAATATGAAATGTCTATGAGATGAGCATAGGTGAAAAGGTTGGAATAAATGTCAGAATCGATTAATTTCGGAGTTGGTGAATGATCAAACCCCACATTGTTTGACTTTCCAATAAGGAATAGTTGGGATATCAGATAAAAGAAGGTAGTTATCAATTCCAATAATTGATCTAATTGCATTGATGGTTTAGTTTCAAATCATACTTAAGCGCCAAATACCATAAATGAAATGGTTACAATTAGGGATTAGCAAACATATCATCGAAAGTTTTTAATCTCAGTCGGTATGAATTTGTGCGCGATTCTTTTTTCCCCATAAAAGCTTTTACGGGGAGTTCCGCCGTATCCCTTAAGTGAAATTTATTGATCTATATGCTGTCTATATATTGTACTATTCTATACATTATTATAGAGAATAGTATTATTAAAAGCAATAATGTGAATATCAAGATGTAATTGAATATCTTTATTGGTATCTTTGTATTTAAAACTTGGGGAACAATTAACAACTTTCTAGAATTTTTGACACAAAATAAAGTTAAAGTTAACAATGAAGGAATAATTGTATTCCATGAAAATAAGTAATCGTTGATAATTGACCAAATTAAAGGATTATTAAGAAAGTTTAAACAACCCAAACGACTGTAATACAATGGAAATATAGTTGGAATAGTCTTTATGAAGGATAAACTATCTGATATTGAACCAGTAACAATCTTTGCCGTTGCTACCATATCCTCAAACTTACTAGTAATACCATTTAAGATCTCTTCTGTTCTATTCAACTTCATATCAAAGTTTTTCATAGTGTTATTCATGAAATCAGCTAATTTGGAATCAGTTACATTAAGTTGTTCTTCTAAAGTTTGGTTAAACTTGTTTGATAACTCAAGGAACAATCTTGTGAATTCTGAAAGTAATAAATCATTATGAATTAATAGTTCATGATCGATTTGATAAAGCTGAGATTGTAATTCATTCTCAAGGACTTGATTTTTCTTTAAAGTTAAAGATAATTTGTTTCCTAACTTCTGGTTCTCATTACTACTTTCCCATATTTGTTCAAAATTCAGAAGAATCTTTTCCGTATATTCTTGTGACTCCAAAGATGTATTCTCCAAATTTTCAACTATTTCAGAGCTAAATCGTTCTAAATCTGATACAACTTTAGAAAAATCTTCTTTTACATCTCTAATTTGGGTGGTGAAAAATAAAACATAAGTTTCCATTTCGCTAAAGTCGGTATAGATTCCATCATACGTATCCTTAATGACTACCAACGTATTATTCAAACTATTTTCAATATCTTCCTTGTATTCATTGAAATTATTCTTTACCTCCTGTTGATTCAGTTTATATTCTTCTACCAATTCATTCATGGCAGTTAATAGAGAATCAAACTTTATTTTGAGCTCTATTTGCATTTCTTCATTATATTCATTAGATTCTTTGAAATCATGAAATACTTTATCGATCACTTCAGTAATATTGGCATACAATGAAAGTATTTGATCTTTTTCATATGGGAGAGATTCCTGATAACAAACATTGGCAATTTCTTTGTAATTCAAACTATATGTTGTCCAGAATTGTGGAGAAGCTTTCATTTCAAATATACATGCATCATAATCAATATTTGTTCCATGACATGAGTGAGGATAATCTATACCTGATGTTTTGAATTCACAAATGGATAACTTCACCGACAGAATCTTTCTTGAAACAGGATCTAATGAATCAACACCTTCTTCCACACAACCAGCAATTATATTAGAAATAGCTTGTTTAATACATTCATTTTTAGTAGTTTTCCCAAGACCATTTCCAACCAAGTCTGGTAAGTCGCAAACCACCTTAACGATAAAACTGAATAATACTATGGTTATAAGCTGAATTTTCATTTCACTAAGCACCTGCTTCACCTCTTGATCATATAACCAACACGAGGAAAAGAGTAATGGGTTTCTATATTTATTGGATCTAATCAAGATAAGTTGAAACAGCTGTGAAACTAAAACTGTTGCAACAAATTTACGATTGGTAATAAATTACGTAATCATATAAAAATGAAAAAAAATTTAGAGAGAGACTGTTAAAAGTTATTAACCGTCTGAAGACAATATACTGTACCTTTCATTTACTTCAATAACCAATGATTTCAAGGCATATATGTTCAGCAGCTAGGATTAGTCGAAGGACATATCTGAGCAATCCACTTCTGTTCATACCAAACGAAGATAGACATATTTTTGATGGTGAAAAATTGACTGCAGAACAGAATGAAGCTGCTATACCAGATAGACCAATATTTGAAGATGTTGAAAGAATTAATTTTAACATAGCTAATCCAGAAGAGATTGCAGATATCATATCATATCCTGATGAAAATGATTTTCTAATCACAGTTCTTGCCAAAGAAGGGTCTTTCTTGGGAAATCCAAACAAGAAATTTGTCGTGAAAGATTCTACTCAAGGTCTGGTTGATCTCAAGTTTCGTTTTGCAAACATAGCTTCAAGTTGGATTGAAGTATTTAATAATACCATAATACCTTTAACCGACCTTCCAGAATCAAGTAGCTTACAGAGTTTTGGTAAACGAGATACTTTCACCAATATTGCAGCAAAGAAAGAGAATTTTGTGAAGATCTATCCAGACTTGTACACTGAATCCAAACTAAGAGAATTCTTCAAATATTTAAGAGCATTTGAGAATAGTGAGAAGACTTTACAAGGGCTATTCTCTCCAGCTGAGCTTTTGAATACTATTACTTTTGAGGATACATGTGTTTATTTGCTTCATGAAGAAGAGGTATTAAACAATGATGAGAAATTCTCAATTGTTTTAAAATTCTTCGAAGATCATAGTGAATTCTCATCCATTAGTAACTTCAAATCAATCTTATCTTATTTGGTGAACTATTTTGATAAATCAGACATAATTGAAAAGCAGAATCAAATATCAGCATTTGCATCATTCCTCAGAGCCACTTTCCCAAACTTTGATGTTATTAAAGATTTAGATGTCGTAGTTTTAGATAAATTAGCCTTAATATTATCTAGAGCTAATGAATTACAATATGCAAATCAAATACTTTCAGTCATAGTACAGTCCAAACAATGCTGTCCATCACAAGATACCCTTGATCTGTACTTATCATCATACGAAAGATCTATACCTCAAGATAAGGAACAATTTCTTAAAGATATCACATCTTTGAAACCAGCATTTTTTCATAAATCATTGAGTGATATTTCATTTAAAGTTTTATTAAATAATGCAGTTGGTGATGCTAAAGATCTTCATCAATTCTTAAACCTTGTGGATAATGCTGAAAATGCAAGTACCTTGTATTCTAAATGTCATTATGATTTATTTTCTAAATTAAAGTCAATTCATGTCAATTCCGAACACACATCAAATATAATCAAAGGGCTCAACTACAGTTTATTGTTTAAGAGATTACAAGAAAAGGAGAGTGTCAATATTGATGATCAAACTAAGATATTACTTTCAAACGAATATAAAATCCTAGGAATGGATGAAAACGCAAATGCGTTAGACATTATATGATAATATTATACAAACACATATAGTATATTTTGTAAATAGGGCGTAATACATGACATATAGAACTGAAAACAAACTTTTATAAACCACCTTTAAAATTAAAATAAATGAAAAAATCCCAAAATAACCGTTTAACGTTACCAATCACTATAACTTACACATCTGTCAGATGAACGTTATCTGAACCACGACGATGACTCGAATTGACCGACACAGCATCACCGATAATATCATCAACCTGGTATGAATGATGAACCCAATCATTCGTTTGGCTGTTATCATTTTGATTGAACGATAAACCGCTTCTCAAAGCAATATCGTTTCTTTCTCGATTATTATTTTGAGCTGTATAGAACCCATTCGTATAAACATAAAATCCATCATCACTTGCATCATCACTCCATCTATTACCAACAACCTTTTTTCTAGTTCTCATATCATCATTCTCATATTTTTGATCATCCTCAAGGAATTTCCTAGATGATATAGCTCTCTTTATAAAACACGACAAAGTGATTATTAATGCTAGGCAAATTATAGGTAATAATTGTAGCCAACCCAAGTAGGTTAAATTTGGAATAAACAATAGGATATCAGCAAGGAATCCTAGCAAGTTACATAAGAATGACATTATGGCAATAGTAAGCATCACATTTAAGTAAGGAGTAATATCTCGTAAAGGCTTCTTTCTTACTGGATCTTCATTATTTTCCGATCCCTTTATAATTGGACGACCTTTACCTTTCTGTTTAACATAAAATTCAACTCTATCTTTGAATGGGACTGTATCATCGATGCATTGTAATATGGTTAATCCTATGACCACTAGAAGTAACAAACAAGTTAAGCAAAAGGCCACCACATGCATGATTAAAAGTTTTGAGATCGTATATGTTGCACTTGAAGGTAACTCAACTCCACCAAGTTCAAAATCGCTATCATCAGCAAGCATATAAAAAGTACTATTGACAGAAGGATAACCTATCCTAGGACTTGAACATATTCCTGAGTTTAAATCACATATCCCTAGTACTCCAAATGTATAGTTTCTGAAATTGGAAAAGTAAAGATTACTGGCGGGAGACGTTAGTGGAACCGATATAACGGGTAGAAGTTGAACCACGACACAAATAACGATACAAAACGTCAATGCTGACAAAGTTTTATACATTGTTGTATCTCGATTAGTTGATGTGAAATTAAGGACAATGATTATACAGCATTAACCAAACATGCTCCGCATTTGTATTTTTCAAATCAAAGGGAAAAGTTCCTCACCGCAATATTTAATTATCTGATCAGACTCTTCCGAAAGCAGTAGCATGAATAACACCATTTAATGCCATTTAAATCTAATAATTCTATACCAGTGTATACAAAGGCAACATTAAGATACCTAATTCTTATCTAGCAAACTATATTTATCTAGTTAAATAGGATAAGTCTATTATTTGCCATTTGCAATATCACGTGATGGGAATCTTTCCTAATTAGGCAATCCAATTGGCAAAGTTTTTTCAGATATTTTTAATTTATGATTTTTGAGTTCTGAAAAGGTTGTTATAAAGAGGAGGAAGTATAGCCTATGAAATATATTTCAAGGAGGGGTTTAATTCTGATAATAGTCGTTTTGATTTCATTCGTATTATATAATTGTGTTAAAGTCAATTCATTCCGTTCGTTACTTTCTAAATCTAGTATATCTTCAAGTTCTCAACTATTCCAGATAACAAGATTTGCTACCATGTCTACTACTGCTAATACGATTCCTTTGAATCATCCATATCAGAAGGAATTGGAGATCGCTACGTTAGCAGTGAAGAGAGCCTCAGTGTTAACTAAGAAATTGAGTGATTCAATTGCAATTACCCAAAAGACTGGAACTCAAATTAAAGATGATAAATCTCCAGTTACTGTAGGTGATTATGCTGCTCAAGCAATTATCAACCATGCTATTAAGATAAACTTCCCTGAAGATGAAATTGTAGGAGAAGAAGATGCCGATACTTTAAGAGAAGACACTGAAGAATCTAAAAAGCTCAATTGGAAGATTTCAGAAATCATTAATGAAGTTCAAGTAGAAACTGAATCATACAATAAGAAGATTGGAAATTTGGATGATTTAAACGAAATTTTCGATAGCATTGATTTAGGAACTTCACAAGGTGGTTCAAAAGGTAGATATTGGGCCTTGGATCCAATTGATGGTACTAAAGGTTTCTTAAGAGGTGATCAATTTGCTGTTTGTTTAGCACTTATAGAAGATGGTAAAGTTGTATTAGGGGTAATCGGATGTCCAAACTTACCGGAAATAATTCTTTCCAATGAAGATATGACTGGTGAGGTTGGTGGATTATATTCAGCCGTCAAGGGAGTCGGATCATATTATGTCTCATTAGCCACTGATGGATTTATTCCATTGGCTGAACAAGAAAAGATTCATATGACTAAAACCACATCTCCACATGAACTTAAAGTTGTCGAAGGGGTTGAAAAAGGTCATTCATCTCATTCAACTCAATCTAAAATCAAAAGAATATTGGGATTCAATAGCAATACTGTTGGTAGACAAACTGTCAATTTAGATTCACAAGTAAAATACTGTGTTCTTGCTAAGGGACAAGCTGATATATATTTACGTTTACCTGTCAGTAGTACTTATCGTGAAAAGATTTGGGATCATGCTGCTGGTAATATTTTGATATACGAAAGTGGTGGTAAAGTTGGAGACATAAACGGAACTCCATTAGATTTCGGAAAGGGTCGTTATTTACAATCTCAAGGTGTACTTGCTGGTAATGCAGAAATTTTCCCAGCTGTAGTTAAAGCAGTTAGTGATGTTTTAAATGAAACACAGGATGAATAAATATAATGCAAAAAATTTAAATTTATAGGTAAATAATTAGAGTAGGTTATATATATATCTATATATAAATAAATTTAGCTAATGTCATCAATCTTTAATATTGATTTTGGCAGCTCCTAACATATGAGGTGCCACTTCTTGAAGCCAGCTTAACTCAATAGCTGAACAAGTTCTACCATATCCTTTAGAAGTATATACATACTCAATATAAGTAATAGCATCAAGATTTGACTTTCCAAAAAGATTTGATGAAGGATGGACACTAATTAATTGACCCGAAGTAAATGTTCTATATGATCTATCTGGCATTCCAATTGCCGTGTTTGTAATATATCCTTTTAAAAAAGCTTTTAAAATAGTTGGAATATCCAATGAAGACTTAACCCCCTCATCTTCATTGTCACTATCGAGAGAGCTCGACTCGTCAAATTGAGCTTTTAAGATTCTTAATTGTTTATCCTTTTCCAGTTGAGTGATATTGCCATCTTGTTTAATTGTAGCAAACATATATTCCTTTAATTGGTTCCTTACTTTCAACACATTCTTGAATCCTTTGAAACTAAGATGTAAATCTTTACACCAGTCTTTAACTTCTTGATTATGACCAGAAGTTGATAATTCTTGATAATAATTGAAATATTCTTTAAATGCAATCAAATCACCATATTTAGTACCCAATGGGCAAAATTCTCTTCTTTTGAAATTTATATCATCCCTTAATTCTCCATTTCCACCAATATTCAATATTAAATTATCTACTGATAAACAAGATACAATATCTATTACAGGGCCTAAAACTCCCTTTTCAAATGCAGTGATTAATGCGACAGATAACTGTGGTGGCAAAGGTAATACAGACATCTTAAAACCCAAAGAAGTAATCTTCCCATTATTATCCAAGGCGCCAAGAGCGTATAATGTATTTAAGGCACTTAAAATAGCGTCTTTACCAGGATGTTCTAACCATGACCAATTCAACAAGTCATCAACGTTTAATTTCTTTAACGTTAATACTGGTAATATAATATCATTTCTCATTATTTCAGATTCTTGCTGTGAGGGTAATTTAGTTTGAAACACCTTTTCCAGATAAAGTCTGAAAACTTTACCTTCAGATTCTCTACCAGCTCTACCAGCTCTTTGTTTGGCTGATGCTTGAGATATTGGGGCTGTTAATAAGGTAGATAATCCTAATTGATGTTTCCAAACTTTAACTTTTCTTAATCCAGAATCTATAACATATTTGACACCACTAACGGTAATAGAAGTTTCGGCAATATTAGTCGCCAAAATGACTTTTCTTCTTCTGGCTGGTAGCTTATTAAATATATTTGCTTGTTGAGATGGAGATAATGCTGCATATAATGGCAATGGTACAATTATTGGAGCGGTTTTAGGTAATTGTGGAGCAATTTGATTTAAGGCAGCAACACAATTATCAATTTCTTCTTGACCAGGTAAGAAACATAACACATCACCTTCTTGTTCTGACATATTAACTTGAATAACAGTTCTAATCATACTATCAACGATATCTTCTGAACTGTCGAGTAAATAATATGGAGTGACTGGATACATTTTACCCTCAATGAATAAAATTGGAGCATGACCGAAGAAATTACTAAATAATTCAGCATTCAATGTAGCCGACATAATAATCACCTTTAAATCTGGTCTTACTTGGTTAACAATTAATTGTTTTAAGAAACCCATTATTAAATCAGTCAAGATCGTTCTTTCATGGGCTTCATCTAGAATGATAGTGGAATATTTGGATAACTTCCCATCTAACATAATTTCTCTTAAAAGCATACCATCAGTCAAATATTTTAATTTTGTCTTTTGAGAAGTGATATTGGAGAATCTTACTTGATAACCAACTTCTTCGCCTAATTGACATCCATATTCTTCACTCACTCTCTGAGCCAAAGAAGCAGCTGCAACTCTACGAGGTTGTGTAACTGCTATTTGTTGCTTATTTATAGGTAATAAAAATTGTGGAATTTGAGTAGATTTACCAGAACCAGTTTCCCCAATGACAATGGTGATTTGATTGACTTTAATATATTCTATTATATCATCTTTATGTTGATAAACTGGTAATTGTTTTCTCACTTCGTACAATTCGTTTGACTTTTTAATTGGGCTTTGGTTAAAGATGAATGAGTGAATCGATTAGTATAGTCATCTTCATCCTCTTCATCTTCACTGTCTTTACTTGACTTGTACGCCACTGTTTTAGCCTTCTTCTTGATCTTCTTATCATTATTTGCGATATTTTGTTTAGGTTTATCAATTTTGGCAGATAGTTTAGTCTCTATTTCAACTGATGGAGATTTTTCAATATCAGATGAGTACCCTTCTGAATGATCAGGATCTTGATCTTCTATGACTTCTTCTCCTAATTCTTCTATATCATTCACCTTTCCATTAGGTACTTCTTCAACTTCTTCCTCATCAAACTTTATCTTCTTATTACTTCTATGTATATGAAATTCATTATCTTTAACCCCATTCACGTCTGGCTTTGATTCAGGTTTATCATCCTTAACGGTATTAGTATTATTGTTGTTGTTATTATTATTATTATTATTTCTCTTTCTCTTTCTTTTCCTCTTTGATCCGTTCTCTGATGTAGCCACATCAGCAGGGTTATTCGACATGGTTTGAACTCAAGTTATTCTATGCTAAATCTATAATTGCAAAATTCAATCTCTTCTGATATTTAAAGATCCTGTTAATAAAAAACGAAAAAAAAAAATAAACGTAAATAGATGAGATTTATATGCCGGAATTTATTTTTCAAATATCGAGCAATCTGTGATTGATGATTTTTCAACTTACTTTGATGAATCATTCGATCAGGGTTGATTCAAGAACATTCCAAATTATACATCATAGATAGGGTTGATTATGTTGGCCAGTAGAGCATCCATAAGTAGGAGTGTGCTAAGACATAATTCCGTAAGATTGGCCACTATTGCCACCCCAATTCATGCTAATATATTTTTGAAAAACAGAATCAGATTCAATTCAACTTCAACTACGGAAAATGTTCCAGAAACTATCAGTATAGTCCCAACGATTACGAAGCTTACTCCTCTAGAAAGCTTTCAATCAGATTTAGAAGCTTCCTTAGTGGGTCATTTAGAATCAAGACATTTAATTGAACAAAAGAGTAGTGATGAATTATATGAATTACCACAAACCAAGAAATTCACCTTATATTGTGGAGCTGACCCTTCAGCCCAATCCTTACATTTAGGAAATCTTTTACCATTGATGGTATTACTTCATTTCAATTTACGTGGTCATGATGTGGTAGGATTAGTTGGAGGTGCAACTGGAGCAGTTGGAGATCCAAGTGGTAGAACTACTGAACGTACCCAACTTGAAGAAAAGGAAAGATTGAAGAATGTGGAAAAGATCCAAGATCAATTACGTGACTTTTTAAAGAACGGTATTGCATATGCCAAATCAAGAAATTTCCCAATTAAAGAGCAAGGTAAGATTATCATTGAGAATAATATTAATTGGTGGGAATCGGTTAAGATGTTAGATTTCTTAAGTACATTCGGTAGATTCATTAGAATCAGTGCTATATTGAATCGTGATTCAGTTCAATCAAGATTAAACTCTGAATCTGGATTAGGTTTCAATGAATTCACCTATCAAATCTTACAAGCTTATGATTTCTGGCATTTATTCAAAACTTATAATGTTAATTTACAAATTGGTGGTAATGATCAATGGGGGAATATTACTGCGGGAACAGATTTGATATCACGTTTACAACGTAATCAAATTGAAACTGATGGGAATGAAAAAATTGAAACTCAAAATGTTTATGGTATGACAGTTCCATTATTAACTACCCCAACTGGAGAAAAATTCGGTAAATCAGCTGGAAATGCTGTATTCATTGATAAATATTTAACTTCCCCTTATCAACTATATCAATATTTCATCAATACTCCAGATGAGATGGTTGCTAAACTCTTAAAGATCTTCACGTTATTACCAATTCAAATCATTGATCAAGAAATCATGATAAATCATGAACAAGATCCAGGTTTAAGAATCGCTCAAAGAATTTTAGCTAGAGAAGTAGTTGATTTAATTCATGGAAATGGATCAGGAGAAAGTATGGCCTATATCACAAGTTTTTTATTCCCCACTCCAGATCAACCATTTGATGATCAAATCAGTGCTGACAAATTAATTGAACAATTTGATAAATCAGGTATATTGGTTAGATTCAAATCACCGGCACGGGAAGAGGAAATTAAATTAAGTACCATATTAGCTACATTGACCGGGAAATCTAGACGTGAAATCAAAACCTTGATTAAGTCAGGCGGAGTCTATCTTGGATTAGAGAGAGATCAATTTGAAGATCCTGATGATGTGGTATTATTTGATAGAGACAATCATTTGATAGATGACAAATTGTTACTTATTAGAATTGGAAAACAAACGTATTACGTGGTCGAATTCTATTAAGAGGAACAACCTACTGTACATAATGAACTTTATAAAACACACTGTAAATAGACACTTATGCATAACTTATAATGTTAATTTACTAATTTGTAGTAATGATCATTGAGGGATTATTATTGTGGGAATAGATTTGATATCATGTAATCAAATTGAAACTGAGTTAATGAAAAATTAGAATCTCAAATGGAATGACAGTTCCGTTCCATCTGAGGCAAATTCGGAAAACCAGCTGTGAATGCCGTATTGATTGATATATTTTTAACTTTATTTTATCAATTATATCAGTATTTCATTATTAATTCTGATGCGATGGTTGCGAAACCTTTTAAGATCTTCACTTTATTAACAATATAAAAAATCATGATAAATCATGAACTGGATCCTGGCATAATTATTGCACATAGAATCTAAGCCAGACAAATGGTTGGCTTAATTCACGCAAATGGACCTGGAGAAAGCATGGCTTACATTTCCAGCTACTTATTCCCCACTCCAAGGCAGCTGTTGGATGATCAAATTAACACCAATAAATTAATTGATCAAATTGATAAACGTTTAAATCATCGGCTCGGGAAGAGGAAATCAAACTAACTACAAACAAAGCTATATTAACCGTTGCGAAAGACGTTAATATAGAACATTTTGACTAAATAAGGCGGAGTATATCATGGATCAATTTGAAGATCGAGATGACGTGGTCTTGTTTAATTAGATGACATATTCTTTTACGAAACAAACTCTTAACCTACTGTAAATAAGGCACTTCATAATGTACTGTAGAGAGACCTCGGATGTGTGAAAATATATTATACAAATACATTTTATACATTATACATTATATATATTACACAATCGTATATGGTAGCATTAGTAAATCGTAAAACCCGATTTCTCAACCCAGCCTCGTTTGTAACTCTCGGTTTTAACGAAAGAACAAAACAACCAAAAAAAAAAGCTGCTCACAAAAAAAACGGTTTGTAATTATAAATAGAGACTTAACAACTACTACTTTTCTCTCTTTTGTGAATGTCAATTGTTAGAACTACAGTCAAACGATCATTAAGTACTATAAGTAAGATGAGTAAATTTTATGAATTAAAACCATTAGATGCCAAGGGACAAGTTTATCCTTTTGCTGAATTGAAAGGTAAAGTTGTGTTAATTGTTAATGTTGCTTCCAAATGTGGATTCACCCCACAATATAAAGAATTAGAAGAATTAAATAAGAAATATGCTGGTAAGGATGTTCAAATTTTAGGATTCCCATGTAATCAATTCGGAGGTCAAGAACCTGGTAATGCTGAAGAAATTGCTAGTTTCTGTAGTTTGAATTATGGAGTTACCTTCCCAGTTTTAAATAAAATTGATGTTAATGGTGATAAAGCTGATCCTGTTTATCAATATTTAAAATCTCAAAAATCAGGGGTTTTAGGATTAACTAGAATAAAATGGAATTTTGAAAAATTCTTAATTGATAAAAAGGGTAATGTGGTTGAAAGATATTCTTCAATTTCTAAACCAAAAGATATTGGAACTAAAATTGATGAATTATTAAAATAAGTTTTGTTTTGTTTTATCATTGCCTTTAATTGTCTTTATATGTATTAACTGTCTTTTTTAATATTTCTATTTACTAGGAAATTATTTATTATGTTTTTAAGTTTTATAATGTATTGATTCTTTTAATTGATAAGGAATCATTAATAATTAATGGTATTAATATGTAGAATAGTATCAAGGAGGTGATGCATTAACTTAATAATTGCTGCAAAGATTATCAGAAGACAATGAATATTGCGCTTTTAGAATTACAGGGGGCAGAGATAGAGTATTGCCAACGGATTGTTAATGGCGTGTAATCGATGAGTCTAGCCTTGCCTTGCCTTATTATGAGCTAGAACGAATCATAAGATAAGATAAGGATGCCATTCTGAATGGGTAGATCTAGGTTACATTATTGTGCGAAGTACGCAAAAGTGAGTTTGATAAAGATCTATTTATAAAATAAGGGATGAGACAGATGAGATAGATGGCATGATTTGAACTAAGTGATGAATTCACCATAAGTTATTGTTATGGCATCATTTTTACATTCAGTTCGTTTAATAGGTAATAAACTTGTTTGAAACGTTTTAAACAAGTATTAAAAATAAGGGATAAAGGGGTGAACTATTATATGGTTGGTGATAAAATTGCTCTTTGTTAATAATAATAATAAAAAGTATAATTTAGCCTGTAGTTGATATGGCAACTATTTACAATAGGTTATGGCTATAAATGTAGATAGTTTTGAAAAGACGAAGAGGGTACAATTTTGAGCTGTTCATTGTAATGTGGTATATTGAGCCGTATGAGTTTATCATAATCAATTCCAACTAGTTAGTTTATTGATAACGATAATTAATTAAGTTATCTATAGTTAAGAACTAATAGTTGAGAGCTGTTGCCTAATTTGGAAAATAAGCAAATAGAACTTTATGGAATAAGTCGTGTCCATTTACCATTGGAATCGAAGGAAGAAAAAAGAGAGACAGATCATAATGCCGAAACCGGCAAAATGGAAGACTGTAAGTTACCCAGACCCAGACCGATTTTAGTGAGGAGTGACAGTAGTGGAAAAGAAAAAAAAGAAAAAAGAAACTCTTGTGACTAAATTTACTGACTGACTCCTCACTACTACGAGCCTTTCATTCCCCTTTTTAATCTATGCGTTGTCTTGTTCCGTTTATTGTTTATTTATTTATATGAAGTGGAACCAACCATAAATTACCATTTATAGAATTCTTATATATAAGAAAGAAAAGCATAATGACATATGTATACTATTGTAACTGTAGTTATAGAGATAAAGATCGCCCCCCTTCCTTCGTTCCTTGGTCCTACATAGCCTTATCAATACTTGTACAAAGACATACAAAAGACGTTAATCCTTACGGAGTATTCAACAGTAAAGGTTGACCAGTTGATGAAAGATGAAATAAAGTCTTAGCGGGAACAAAAGGTAAAACTACGTAATGCGCGCTCACCACAGTAAATTACAAATTAGTCACTAAATAAAACAAAAAAAGAAAAAAAAAAAAGCCCACCACAAATTCAAAATCTCTCTCACTAAAATTTTAAAATAATTTTAAAGAATTGCCAACAAATTCAAAAAAAAATAAAAAGTGGTGAGTTTTTTTTAGCGTAGAAGTGACTAATTATAATTATTCGTAGTGTGCAGTTTTTCTTTATTTTATTGATTCTCTCCCTCCCCTATTTTTTCTTCAGAGTTCTTTACAATTCTTTCAAATTTATATTTATATTTATAACTTTATCCGTCCTATTTTATAAATTATAAATAATTCTTGATATATCCAATTTCATATCTATCCATTCTTCAATCTTGTCAATATAAAACAATATACGTATATATCTTCCATATATATTGTTAGTGAGTTACATCATTCTATTAGAGCCAGTCTCATCAGAAAGTAGTAACGAGAAAAAGAAAAAGAATTTAGTGTGGAAACAAGATAAGAACAGACAGAATTTCTCCCTCTCCCCACAAAAAAATTTATTAGAACTGAATTGTGAGAGAGTAATTACTTGAACGACCATCAACTATTACACCAAAAACAACAACCATATAGACTACCCATTCCATTGAACATCTAAAGCAACGTACCATTAGATCTTCACCTCATTCATTCATTCATTCGATTTTTAAGTCATTCCTTCATTATTACATATAGTATAAGTTAATATAGACGGACGCCACATATTTCCAACTTCCAGTCTCATCTTTTCCTATCTACTATTTGTATAACCATTATTATCAAGGTATTTTAAACGTTTAATTATCCACTTCCATCCTGATTTCTACCAGCTTTCACTCGATTTAAACGTTTTTCATTTACTTACCCACCTTTGCATTTTAAAACCTTTTTTTTTATATATCATATCTACTATAACTACAACTATCATTCTTTACTTCATTCTTTAACATTTTTAATATTTTTGGTTATCTTTTTTTACTTTTAGGGGTTATTTTAGGTGTGTGTTCAACAGAGGTTTTCTGGATTATTACTACATTATATCAACAATTACATTTACTACTATTAATTATTAACTCATTAGTATTCCATACTACAACTACTATCATCATTCAAACTTATACATATTACAAAAAAACTTTAGATTGATTTAATTCTTCCTATCTTTTTATAACCTTTTTCAACTACTACTTTTTTACATTCTTTTATTTTGTTTTGCATTTTTTAAAATAAAAAAAATTAAACCTCCAATAATTAATTTAATCCTTCATGACTGTTTCTCCTCACGAATTACCAGAAACTCAATCATCAACTACCATTGTTGATCCCATTAATGATGAATATCATCAATATGAAACTAACGTCACTCCATTAAACAACCGTTATCAATTCATCAAACATTTACAAAATGGTTCCTTTGGTAAAGTCTCCCTCGCATTAGATTTAATCACTAATGAAAAGGTTAGTATTAAATCAGTATCAAAATTAAATAATAATGATTCAACTATGGGTCCTTGTGTTGAAACTGCCATGAATGAAATCAAAATTTTAACTATGATCAATGAAAAAATCCCTACCATTAATGTATGTAAATTATTAACTTCATTTGAAATTGATAATTATATCATTATCGTATTGGAATATTGTTCTCAAGGTGATTTATATGATTTAATTCATCATCGTTCTTTACAATTAATCGAAATTGTCAAATTAGCTAATCAAATCGGTAATGCTATTTTACAATGTCATTCCATTGGAATTTATCATCGTGATATTAAACCAGAAAATATCTTAATTGATTCTAATTCAAATTTTAAATTATGTGATTGGGGATTAGCCACAACCACAAGAATTAATAATGAATTCAATGTCGGTACAGAGAAATATATGGCTCCTGAATGTTTTATGAAAAATACCGTCAATAATCATTACTACATTAAGAATTATGATTGTAAATATAGTGATTATTGGTCCATTGGGATCACTTTATTAACTTCAATGTTTGGTACTTGTCCATTTAAATCAACTTCAACTCATGCATCGATTCAATTTGATTATAATTTCAAGAATTTCGTTAATTATAATAATCCTTATATCTTGTATGATATTTATTCATTAATGAATTCAAATTGTTTTGAAATCTTTATGAATCTTTTAAAAATCGGAAATGATGAAGATGATTTATCAACTTTCGAATCAAAATATAGAATGAGAGATTTATCTAAATTCTTACAAGATTTAAATGTGAAATATATTTATGGATTCACAGTCGATGATGTTGATGCTGATATTGAAACTTTAAATGGTCAAGAAATTGATGATCAAGACGATGATCGTGGTGATGCTGCTAGTTTATTTGAAATGGATCATGATGATTTACAATTCATGACTAATTCAGCCAAATCAACCATCACTTCTGTCGATGTTGATACTGATGATCAACGTAATGATGAAGATAGTGATGAATATTTATTATTAGATTATAATAAGAATAATATCCCTATCACTAACAATGGATCTTCATCTCATATTAATACCATCAAATCTACTTCTGATGATACTCATTCCAAATTACCACCTTCATTGATTGAATCATCAGTTAAATCAACTAAATCATGGTGTGATTTCGATGATGATGATGAATTGGATATGTTCAATTATGATGATTTCAATTATGAATTGATTAATACTATCTCAAACAATGAGAATAACAATAATAATTCAACTACAAGAAATTCATTGGTTTCAGTCACAGCCAACTCATCAACCCCATCATTAGTAAGTGCTAATGGTACTATCCTTGGTGTAACTACTACAACTGCTGGCTGTAGTAATTCTGAAATTACAACTGAGGATTCAAACCCCACTAATACTACTACTACCACTACAAATTCTACAACTTCTCCTATGAAGGGGAAGAATCAATCGATTAGAATTGTCGAATTGGAATTATATTCCGAACCATGTAAGAACTGGTATGAATAGGTAAACGTCGCTTATGATCTTGGCGTTTTGGATTTCATATAATCCAGTGTTCTTTACATGTTTATGTCCCTCTTACTTTTTGCTTAATGTCTTTCATGTGATGCCTTTTTTATATAGTTAATGTTCAATTATTTATTTATTTTGATGTCATTCTTTTTTTATTGTTAATGAGACCCTTTTTTTCCTATATACATAGTTCAACGATGAATCAATCCTTATGGTCCAAGAGATCATGATACGATTATTCTTAGATTAGTCTAAATATATGAAAGTTAAATAACGACTACAACTGATAGCGAGAAAATGTAGCAAAAAATACCAGTGTTGCGAAACCAACTTTAAAATTGTCCACTAAATCAATACCGGGCCTTTTTCTATCTCACCAATTTCGCAGCTGTACCGGAACTTTCACAAAATGTTTCATCATTGATTCATGATTAGAGATGGGTTGATTGTGATTCATTATAATCTTAGGTGTTGATGATAATAGAAGCGGGCTTCTACTACCTATCTCGCATCTAAATTATACCTTCGATTTTGACTCTATTTTTCACCCACTCATTGTTAATAAAACTTTCAAATCAGAAACTGCCTCGAAACAACAACTGATGAAGAAGAAGATAATTTTTCACTAATACACTGTTGACGTAGTTGGTGATACTCTTGACGTAAAGATCATAATTACTGCAAAATAGGTAACTCTAATTAAACCAAGAAATAAACTGATTAAAAAATGCCTTACCAAATTCGATTACTTTGATTTACTTCATTATTGGATAATTTCCGCTAGCCCGTCTCATCATATGACTCTTCCTTCCCCCCCTCTCTGCGCTCCCCCAGGAAAAAAAAGACTTCGATTCCAATGAGTCCTGAAATCGGTCCTGTGACCGGTTTAATATGAACACCTAGTTGTCCACGACACGACCATTACTCATGGATGTCGTCGATTTTTCAATTTTTTTTTCATCGCAGGTTGCGTATATAAGTTTTTGATTTTAACCCACTTTTCAGTAATTTTTCATTTCATATTTCCTTCTTGTTATTTCATCAATTCATACAATCAATACTAGATATTCATTAAAAATGTCTTTCAGAAACGCTTCTCTCCGTATGGCAAGAATTGCCTCCTCCCGTGCTGCTAAACAAGTTGCTGCTAAAAGAACTCTTTCTGCTTTAGCTACTCAAGCTTCCAGACCAATGATGTCTAAACAATCCATGACTCCAATTGCTATTCGTGGTGTTAAGACCATTAACTTTGGTGGTACTGAAGAAGTTGTCCATGAACGTTCCGACTGGCCAAGAGAAAGATTATTAGAATACTTTAAAAATGATACTTTAGCTTTAATCGGTTACGGTTCTCAAGGTTATGGTCAAGGTTTAAACTTAAGAGATAATGGTTTAAACGTTATCATTGGTGTTAGAAAGAATGGTACTTCTTGGAAAGCTGCTATTGAAGATGGTTGGGTTCCAGGTGAAAACTTATTCGATGTTACTGAAGCTATTGAAAAAGGTACCTACGTTATGAACTTATTATCTGATGCTGCTCAATCAGAAACTTGGAGTACTATTAAACCATTAATTACTGAAGGTAAAACTTTATACTTTTCCCATGGTTTCTCTCCAGTTTTCAAGGAATTAACTCACGTTGAACCACCAAAGAATGTTGATGTTATCTTAGCTGCTCCAAAAGGTTCAGGTAGAACTGTTAGATCATTATTCAAAGAAGGTAGAGGTATTAACTCATCTTATGCCGTCTGGAATGATGTCACTGGTAAAGCTGAAGAAAAAGCTATTGCTTTAGCTGTTGCCATTGGTTCTGGTTACGTTTACCAAACCACTTTTGAAAGAGAAGTTAACTCTGATTTATATGGTGAAAGAGGTTGTTTAATGGGTGGTATCCATGGTATGTTCTTAGCTCAATACGAAGTTTTAAGAGAAAATGGTCACACTCCATCAGAAGCTTTCAATGAAACTGTTGAAGAAGCTACTCAATCTTTATACCCATTAGTTGGTAAATACGGTATGGATTACATGTATGATGCTTGTTCCACTACTGCTAGAAGAGGTGCTTTAGATTGGTACCCAAGATTCAAAGATGCTTTGAAACCAGTCTTCACTGACTTATATGAATCCGTTAAGAACGGTTCTGAAACTCAAAGATCTTTAGATTTCAACTCTCAAGCTGATTACCGTGAAAGATTAGAAGAAGAATTAGAAGTTATCAGAAATATGGAAATCTGGAGAGTTGGTAAAGAAGTCAGAAAATTACGTCCAGAAAACCAATAATTGTTTTAGCGCTTCAACTAAATCAAATATAAAAAAAACACAAATCAAACAATCAATCTCATAATGGTCTTTCGTGAATGACTTAATGATATAATTTAATTTTTCAATTCTTTGTTATTTTTTTACTTATATATCCTTTTTATGTGTTTTTTTTTATGGGTCTGCTTTTACTTGGTTAATTTAAAAACTATAAAACTACTTTTTATTTATAAATATATTGCATTTAGGAACTTACTGTTTGTTGAATAAACATTGTTCTATCTTAAAATCTGTTTGAATCTGCTTGTAGTGCATTGAAAATCGCTATTTTTTCTAAATTTCCCTAACAAATCCTAATTAGGAAGTGCTGTAAAAAAAAATGCAGTAGGGAGAAGGGGCACTCTTCTTCTAATTTATCCATCAACTCTAGTAATCGTATCATTAATAATGGCCATTGGAAAGAATCAAAAGGCAAAGTGGAAAGTTTCCAAGAATGTTCAAAAGGCTTTACGTGATGCTAAAAAGATTACTGCATTTTCTAAAAAGGATTGGGTTACCGTCAGAGCTCCAAGATATTTTAAAAATACCCATATTGGAAAAACTCCTTTCAATAGAGGATTTCATTCAGAAAAGCATTTAAAGGGAAGAGTTTTTGAAGTTAATTTAGCTGATTTAGAAGGAAGAGAAGATCTTAGTGGTAAAGTTTTCAAATTTGATATTTCTGAAATTAGAAATAATATTGCTTTAACATCTTTCAAAGGTATGAGATTTACAGCTCAAGTTCTTTCTGCCATGATTAAGAAGAAAATAGAATTAGTTGAAGGTCTGGTTACTGTCAAAACTGCTGATGGATTTAGTTTAAGAGTTTTTGTACTTGGAATTCCAAGATGGCGTAAACTGAAGGGAAATGCTCATGCAAAATCAGCTCTTATTAAGAAAAGTAGAATGAGAATCTTAGAAATTATCAAAGATAATGTAATGAATGCAACCATTGAACAATTAATTCTCAAATTGATTCCTTTCCCTGATGTCATTTCTAGTGAAATCTTAAAGACGACTAAATCAATCTTACCCTTAAGTATGGTGCACATTACTAAGATCAAAGTAGTTAAATCACCACCTCTTAGTATTGAAGGCCTTCTTACAACCCATCGTGGTTATGATGCCAAAGATTTGGGTAAGGAACTTGCATTCAAGGATGTGATTTTGGATTCAGTTTGATCTCGTCTGTTATCAGTTGATCTCATCATTTATCTCTAATTTTGTGCTATCCTAACCTTTTTGCTGCAATTTTTATCAAACATGGTATACAAATCCACCATTTTTCAATATTAATTAATATTTATTACTTCATACTTAATTTTAAACCCAACTATATAGATTATAGGCTTAATATATACTTCATAACTAGATATTTACTGGTAGATCCTACGGTAAGTTGTACACCGCCTAGTTTTTCAGTATAGCCCTTTTTTGTCGTTTACATTATCACATTTGTCTGTGTCACTCTCCATTTTTTTTCTGTTGGCTTCTCCGATATACGAGAGAAAACTAAGCAAAACTGATTTAAGTGATGTCAAACAGCAAATTTATAATTGATTTCATCAATTGCAATTGTTTCAAGTTATTACCATATCTCATGGTTTATAGTGTATAGCAAGTCATACATTCACCTATTCAACAACTATGAGTACAATAGACGATGAAGATGACGCTTGGTCATATTCATTCCCTCCATCATTGGATTCGCTACCATTGAAGAAAGCCGAAGAAGGAGGGCAAGAAAGTAATGATAATAAAAAGGAAGAAAGTAATGGAAGACCATCGCTTCTGATATCTACTAATAATGGAAATTCAGCGTTCAATCAAGATGAGAAGAAACCATTGAATGGTGAAAATGGTGCTGATGTTGAATCACAAATTTCATCTTCCTCATCTACTGAACGACAAGTTAATGCTTTAAGAAATAGAAATCTAAAGATTGTTACCCCCATCATCTAAGGCTTCTCGATCTTCATTATCATTACAATCTCCTTTCACGCAGAAATCAACACCAGCAGATCCAAAGACAACCAAACATGATGCCAATTCCATAATATCAAAAGATTCTTCAGGAAATGGTTTATTCCAAGATTCTATTAATAAAGAAGATACAGAAAGTTCCATCAAAACCAGTTTCTTTCTGAATCTTAGTAATTCGGTAGGATTTCAAGTTCAAAGTATAGAGGGATCAGATCAACGAGAATTATTAGGATCTCCAAGAAGTGCAGATGGGAATGTTTTTGGTTCACCAAAATCTCCAAAAATAATCACTTATAGAAAATCAAATCGAACTATCAGTGAAGGTGATTTCAGTCCAATACTTGATGCTCCAGAAAATGTCCCCTCTGAGAAATATGATCCTAGATTATATTCCGATGAATTCTTTTCTTCTACTAGTTATAGATATGCTTCTATGAAAAGAAATGTTGAATTTCATCAACTCTTTAGATCAATTGATTTAACGGATAGACTATTAGATGACTTCGCATGTGCTTTAAGTAGAGAAATATTATTACAAGGAAGAATTTATATAAGTGAGACTTACGTTTGCTTTAATTCAAATTTATTAGGTTGGGTAACAAATTTGATAATACCTATTCAAGATATAATAGGATTTGAGAAGAAACATACCGCAGGACTTTTCCCTAATGGAATAGCCATAGAAACCAAAGATACGAAGCATACATTTGCCAGTTTTATTTCACGGGATTTTACCTATGATTTTATAACCACAGTTTGGGAAGAGAGTACAGGATTGAAATTAGATGATCCAGATGAAACAAACAACAGCTCAGTCAACAATGAAGGTACGCCCAGATTAAGTGTAGATGATGATAAAGTTCAAGATGCATATTCACCAAGAATAACGAATTATATTATGTCAATTGATGAAACAGAAGCTGAGAATTATACTGAAGGCGATGCAAGTGAAGAAGAAGACGAGGAGGAGGATGGCGACGATGAAGATGAAGATGAAGATGAAGGGTATGAAGAGTATATGGGTGGTGAAGTAATAAATGGTACTACTTCAAATAGGTCTTCTCTCGATCAACAAAAAATTACAATCAATAAGCTTTTAAGGTTTACACCAAATTCAAATTATAAAAGCATTGGACCTGATTCCCATTCTCCGACCGAAGTAGGCGATTCGTTCACTCCAGAAACCAATGAAATTGAGCTTTGTGATGAGATTATTGATGCTCCCTTAGGTGTAGTGTTTGCTGTTGCATTCAGTGATTCAAATACTTCGTACCATAGAAGATTCATTGAAACTCATGATGGATCGGAGCTTTCCGAGTACAATGTTTTCCACCCTATGGAAGATGATCCCACGAGATCAGAAAGGAAGTATACTTACAGACGAGCATTGGGTTACTCGATCGGTCCCAAGTCTACCAAATGTGAAGTAAGTGAAGTTATAGAACATTTGAACTTTGCCGATTACATCAACGTTGTGACAACTACAGCCACTCCAGATGTTCCTCTGGGTAATTCATTCACGGTAAAGACTCGATATATATTCACATGGGCCGAAAATAATAAAACCAATTTAAAAATGTCATTTTTCATCAAATGGACAGGTACATCATGGATTAAAGGAGTAATAGAAAAGCAATCCTTAGCGGGTCAAAAAGCTGTGGTAAGTGATTATATCGAAGGATTGAAGAAGGAAATAGATGAGAACACATCATATGTTGAAGGCTTGTCTCTTTCAGAACCTATCTTGGAAGAGGTTCCTCAACCAGTCACTGTTACACCTGTTAAGATTAAGAAACCGAAAGAAGTCAAAAAGCCTTCTCCAGCCAGTGCTTTCTTCAAGAACAATCTTGTTTACCTTGGTTATTTGAACTTGTCATTCTTTGTATTATTGTTAGTCATTCTTTTGAGACTATTCACGGTTGTCAGTGAATCGAATGAACTTATAAAGAGTCAAGTTTTAATCAATAGTCATTTAATATATGCAATTCAAGGCATATCTACGAATCAAATAGATGATGTAATCGCCGGTGATAATGAAAAGAATGAATTATGGAAATGGGTAGATCAAACATATGGAAAGAAATTAAGTCCTGTTGAGAAAGTTAAATTCTTAACTTATCAATTACAGAATATATATCAAGATGATTTTGACAAAGAAAAGAAGAAAAAGAAAAAGTCAACTTTCAACGATATCAAACAACTGGTTAAAGAGTTCAAATACCAAGATTATCTTAAGGTAGATAACATTCCCAAAGCTATTAAGGAGCAATTGATATAGATAAAAGTACGGTGATAAAAACAACAAAATTAACGAATTTATGATATGAAATAAAAAAATTGGAGAGATTAATACAGTATTTATGATATGTACATAAGTTTTATTTTGCTATTTACAGAAAAATATATAATTAATGATAGTAACTATTTTTATTAGCTTTTGTATAATATTTGGGGACTTCATATACATCTTAACAAACCCTTAATTGACCATCAACATCTTCTGTTTCAGTTCTTTCAATAATATCCACGTTTTCAACTGTATGAACTATAATTTCATCATTTGTCTCATTCAATTCAAATATAAATATCCCTGAAATAACTCTTTCTAATTTATTATTGACTTTAGTTAACCCAATCAAAGCAGCCGGCAATTGAGATAAAGCTTTCGTTATTGATGGTAAGTTTTTCGATAAGCTTCCAGAGCCACCACCATTACTTTCTTGACTTTTATTTGAATCATTCAATATCCTCATAGTATCTAACTTTGACCATTTATGAGAACCCAACTTAGCATCTGATGTGGAATGGAACAAGTCGTTTTTTAAATTATTAGTTCCACTTTGTTCTTCAGAGGATAAATGATCACAACCTTCAGCGCAAGTTGTCCATCTGACATAAATTTTAGTCGATTCATTAAATACAGCCAATGCATCTGCTCCCTCGTGAACCCTTATGGACTGTACGTGTAACTTAACCTTAGGACTGAGGACAAATGAAGTCAAAATCAATTGTAATGCTTTGCAGGTTGCATAATATGTAGTATGTCCTTTTAGAGCTGGCAAATATGGTTCATTGAAATGGGTTGGACAAACTCTTAATAATATATCTTTGGATAACACATGAGTGGGTAAGGAAGTGTTTAAGATGTTTGGAATTAATACTTTTAATTCATCAATTATAGAGCCCAAGTTGGCTTTCTTTAATTGTTCCTTTTGATTAATTTCATTTTTGGAATCATCTACATCATTATTAATAACCCCTGAAGATCTAAACTTAACGTGACTTATTTGGGCGTTACTTAAACAATCAACTTTATTATATCGCCTTACTATAAATTGTTGATTATGTTCACTTATAGTACTGATGGCACTAAAGTTGTATGCATTTTGTGAAGGAGGAGAAACGGAAGGTGGGATAATAGGGGGAGGAGGTGAATGATTTATCCTAATTGAACCACTGGCTTGACTTGTTAGTTTGATATATCGAGGCGAAAGTAGATTACTTTCACGAAACACCACTGACATGGATATACCTCTTACAATTGATACAACTATTGTTGTTGTAAAACTAAAAGCTTTTGATAAAAGGAAGAGTATATTTGAAGCGTTTTTGTAAATCTTCCTGAAAGCGTGGTTGAAAAAAAAGTCCACAATAACGGCAAAATTAAAGATACATGAAAAATTACTATGTTTATAAAACAGCATTACTTTATATTTATAGATGTATAGAAATAGCTAATATGAAAGAGAAAGAGACAACATCATTTTGTTATGATTATAAAGTTTCATAAAGAAGTTCTCTAAGTTTATACTCTTCGTTTGCATCATTAATTTCATCCCAATTGCCAATAAAATCATCACCTCTAACAACACCTGGTAAAGTTTTACCATTAGCTTGTCTCTTCCAAATCTTTTTGGCTTCTTCATCAGTTCCTAAATCACGGTATTCAAATTTAATACCATTAGCTTGTAGTATGGTTGCTAATCTGTTGGTTCTTGGCATGATTTGCATACCACCAGCTAATGAAGTAAAAAGATAAATCGGTTGAGATTCTAAATGTTTACGGATTTCTTCAGGGGAGATATCTAAATCATCAAGATCATCAGTGGCAGTTGTGGTTGCTGGTTCTTTGACTGCTGAAGCAACAGTTTCTTCTTTAGGTTCGTCGATACTGAGATCTTTAGTACTAGTAGTAACTTCTTTCTCTACTGGTTCGACTTCTTTAGATTCTTCAACTGGTTCATCTTCCTTGGTTTCCTCTACCTTGGTTTCTTCGACTGGTTCTTCTTCTTTAGGTTCCGCTTCAATAGATTCTTCAACAGGTTCTATTTCTTTGGATTCCTCAACGGGTTCTACTTCCTTTGATTCATCAACTGGTTCTTCTCCCTTCGATTCTTCAATTGGCTCTTCTACTTCTTTTTCTTTTGGTGCTTCTGAAACGACTGGTTCTTTAGTTTCAGTTGGAGTGACAGGTTTCTTAGGATGTAAAACATTTTCAACGATACTATCTAAATCATCAATGGTTGAATAAGGATCATCGTTAACTAAAGCACCTTCTCTAGCTAAAGCATCTGGATTAGAATCATTCTTTTCATTTTCCCCTATAGGAGCAGGTCTAGTTCTTGATCTTGAAATTGATCTTAAATAATTTGTAGATGAAATTGATCTTGATGCTAATAAACTTGCAGCTGATGGTAATTCTGATTCAGGAGTATCAACATTGAAATTGGTATAATCACCAGTAGTAACTAAGGAAGGATCAGAAGGTAATTGAGGTAAGTTTTCAGCTTTAGCTTCAGCTTTTGCAACTGCTTCACCCATGGTTGGTTTTGAAGCTCTACCTCTTCTATCATCTTCTTCTTGTTCTTCTTGTTCTTCTTCAGCTTGTTCTTCTTGTTCTTGTGGAACATCTTCGGAAGTAGCAAAATCAGGTGGTAATTCATATTTGGAAGGTTCTTCTAAATGAGTACTTTTATAAGAATCCCCTCTTGCTAAATGAGGTCTATTTGAATTTCTCGATATTGATCTTTCAGGCACGGCTGATCTTGATCTTGATCTTGATCTATCAGATCTTGCATCGGTATGGAAAAAAGGAGTATGAATACCACCTTCTCTAGCAAAGCTTTCATTGTGATTACTGTGATCTATCAAAGAAGCTCTGATAGGTGAAGCTGCTGCTTTTCTTGGTGATTCTGGTCTTTTGAACAGTTCCTTTCCACTACCTATTACTACCTTTGGAAGTCTTTGAGGATCATAAGATTTGACACTATCTAATAAAGTTGAATGATCTTTGATTTCGTTATCTAATTGGTATTCTGATAAATTTGGAGTTGAATAATCACCTTGTTGTTGATAAAAGGATGAAGTTGAAGTTAGTTTATCATCATCATCAGCAGCGATATGCTTTGCAGATGGTTTTTCACCAATTGGACCTTCATTTTCTTCAACTTCAGAATCTACATCTTCTTCAATTATTTGATTGGAAACTGGTTCAGTAATAGTGGTCGATTTTTCAGCCTCAACTTCTTTTTCAGCAGTAACAGGATTTTCTTCCTCTTCGTCTTCATTTTCATTAGCTTCTTCAGCTACAGTTTCTTCAACTGGTTCATATTTAGCATCGCCTTTAACAGTACCATCTTGATCTAAAAACTTATCAAAATCAGCTTCAGAACCTAATAAAGCACCTTCGTTAATTAAATCATCTAAAGAGGCAGTGATATTTTGATTTAATAATGATTTCTTGGTACTGGAACTAGTAGCATTAGGATGAGTGGTTGATCTTTCTGGATGAATATAATTATGATGAGGTGAATCATCAGCTGATCTGATTGATGAACCAACTAAAGCTGGAGATTCTAATTTATCTAACTTTTCTAATTGTTCTTCAAAATCCATAGTGAATCAAAGGGGGGTAGTTATAATTGAATGGTTTTTTTATGATGTTTTATGGCTTTTAAGTTGAACTTTTTTTTCAAATTGATCCTATTAAGAATAGGCAATTGGGGTGGGCACAATCAGTGATTGATATATAAATATAACCTGATACTATCGTGTGAAGCAAGCAAATTTAAAAAAGGTGATTAAGATCAATTCGTTGTTCAACTTTTGTGAGTAATTTAGTTTGTGACAAAAAAATAAAAATTACCGCCCAAAAAAAAGTAAAATTAGACCAAAAAAAAAATGTGATTAAAAATATTAGTGAAATTTTTATAAATTACCTGACGAAAGATTTATGAGCTTAAAAGTTTTAGAAAATATATGGCTTAATTTTTTATTAAGCTTATGTGTGTTCTTATTGTCTATTAATATGTATATAAAATATATTGTTACTGTTTATGTCAATGTCAAACACTATTGAATTTGTTTGTTGAGTTAATCTGGGGAAGCTAAAACTAATTTCAGCGACGAGAAATTATCACTAATTACTGATAGAGATAAGCTCACCACAAAAACAAAAATTTCACAGCGCACAAAATTAAACTTTAGTGACCTCTAGGCGGTAGAAGCTAGGGAGGTAGCGTGTGGATTATGGCAATGAAACGTCTACAACCATCATAATAATTTTGACAATATCAATCAGTAATGGATCATAATTAAGTTAGGTTAAGAAGGATTTGGGCTTATAAGTTGTAAATGATAACTACTATATAACAATAATAATTAATTAAACGATGTGCATAAGCTTTCCCTTAAGCTCAGTAGATCAATTTATTACTAAATCTCATAAATTGATTGGTTGATCTAGAAAATTTTAAAAATTAAATTAATTCACGTGATTGAAATTTTATATAGGAGGGGAGGATGAATGGATATGACTTCAGTAGCCACCATGTAATAAATGGATTAATAGTGCCTATAAGTAGTTTACATTATGGTGCTAAGTAAGTATTATGTCCAAAACTACTAGAAATAATTCAATGACTGGAAAATAATGTACAGAATTGCCACCTTTAATGACTATTGTAGAAAGAGATGGCTACCAAAATAAATGACTAAAGAGTCATTCACTAAAATAGTGAGAGATGGCGGTAGAAGAGAAATTTTCTCACTAAAATTCACCGAGAAATTACCGGGACGGACAGTAAAATTTTGAATCATAAATTTGTTTTCTCCCTAAGAATACCAACATCCTGCATATACTGTGGTAAGTATTCTATCAATTTCTAGCACGTTCGCCACTGTTAGAAAAAAAAATATGGAAAAACCTATAAAAGGAATTGTAATTGTCATTTTTAACTATATATATACTGTTTTGAGTTAATATCCTAATTACACTTTATAACAAAACAAATACACACATTCATAATGGCTAGACAAAGAAGATCCGCTCCAGCTCCAAGAACTCAAACCAGATCAGCTCACACTGCTTCTGCTCCATCTTATTCTGCTCCACCCCAAAACAGATATCCATCTGCTCATCCAACCCAAGCTGCTCAACCACAACAACAAGCTAGACAACCAGGTATGTTTGCTCAAATGGCTTCTACTGCTGCTGGTGTTGCTGTTGGTTCTACCATTGGTCATACTCTTGGTGCCGGTATTACTAGTATGTTTGGTGGTTCAAGTAGTCAACCAGTTGATCAAGCTGCTCAACAAGATCTTTCTCAAGTTCAACAATCAAATCAATATCAAGAACAAGCTAGACATTGTGATGCCGATGCTAGAAACTTCACTAGATGTTTAGAAGATAACGGTGGTAATATGCAAACTTGTGAATATTATTTACAACAATTAAAAGCATGTCAAGAAGCTTCTCGTCAATATTAGATTTGATTTGATTGATCTTCAACTTTCCCACCTGTAAATATATAAATTATTTCCATATCATTTGGAATCTTCAAACCCAAAAAAAAGCTGAGTTGTCATTTCAAAAATCTATAGACATAATAAAACATAATATGAGTTATATATAAATACCTATATATATATGAGATATTGTTTATTTTTTATTTATTAATATAAAAAAGTTATTCAATTTGAATCTATCAAGAATAGTTCAGAAATTATTTTCAATGGCTATTTGTAGTTTGTAAAAAAAGTAGTCGTATATCAAGATAATATATAAGTAAATAAATATAAATGCATCAAAAGTAAAATAAAAGAAGTAGGTTAAAAGATATATATGTATTTTATGGCATGTAATGTAATCGGAACGAATGGAATAGATGAGCTTGCTAAGAGAGTCTATAATACTACATCTGAATCAATCAAGAGTTAGTCAAATAACTTATTCCTTCTTTGAAGATGAAGTTGAACTATAATAATAGTAACCGGCACCACCTAAACCTACTAATGCTAAAGGAATAGTATATGAAGATGAAGATGAAGATGAAGAAGATTCAGAACTTTCTGATTGAGCTGAACCAGTAGTTGGAGCAGCTTTGGTTGCAATTGGAGCTGCAGCAGGTTCTTCATGAGTTAAATGGTGTTCTAAATTATCATGTTCAATATCTTCAACCACAACTTCTTGTTTATCAATTGAAGTGGTTTTATGATCAACTTCATTTTCACTTAAATTAACCACATCAGGAGTATTAATTTCTGGATTAATTGAAGTTTGAATATATTTATCACTATTGGCTGGTTTTTTATTATCATGATCTGCATTAGCAACGGTTCTTTTAGAAGAAGCAATGATTGGTTTACTACCTCTATCCTGTAAATATTCAGGTTCAACCTTGACAGATTCCCCACCATGAACCACATCAGCATCATTGGCTTCTACTTTGATTGATGAATTACCTTCTTTAGCAAATGATTCTCTTTCAAACGCTTTTAATTTCTCAAGAGCAATATCTTGTTTAACAGCTTCTTGAGTGACAGGAGGGACTTTTGGAGAAGCCATCTTTGGAATGAAATCATATTTATATTCCCATTCATTGATTGAAGTTTGAGATGGTAATTTAAATGAATCAATGGTTGAGGTATCACCTTTTGCTCCGACTCGGAATGATTGAGAAATAAATCTGGAATTGACAATCTTACCAGAACGACAAGTGGTCTTTATAATGGATTGTCTGATCATGATGGATACTTATGATAGTCAATGGCTTATGAGATCAAAATAGAAGATAATTGATATGATATGATAACTTGATACCTGACCAAAATAATTTTGATGAAATTGATTTATTAATTTTAAGATGTTGAAACTTTGATAGGTGTCGGTTTAAAGGGGGGGGCACATATTTTGAGGTGATGATGCTCAATTTATGGGTGAGTGAATTATTATTGCAAATGATTTTTGTTGTCTGGGGAGGAGGGCGTGGAAATTGTTCAATTAGTGGAGTAATAACTACAAAGAGACATTATTTTGTGATAAGAGAGACATCTTTTGTTTTTAAGACCGCGACATTTATGGCCCTCTTTTTGCAATTTTGTTTATGTATATATATATATATATTTTCTATAAAGTGTTACATATGAATAGGGTTTCGCAATTGCTACTATGAATTCATTCATCATCTAATAAAGCATCAAGATAAACACTAGGAGGCCTCAGTTTAGTAGTAGTAGTAGTAGTAGTAGTAGTGCCTGAATTAGTATTATTAGTATTGGTTGCTAAATTTATTTGTGATTGAGAATGGGAATGACTATGTGAATGTTGATTATTCAATAATTGAGCATAATAATGAGACTCTGAACGATATGGATGATTTGCTTGCGGTGATGGTTGTTGATCTTGACTTTCAATATCACTATTGTTGTTATTCATTAATAATCTCTCTGCTTCCAAATAATCAAAATCATTCAATGGAATTGAATCACTACTTTCAACTGGTTTGATAGTATATGGAGATAGTATATTGGAGTTATTATCACTTCCAGCTCCTCCAACTGTCAAAGCATGCATTTGGTCAAGTTGTTCTTGAGATGGTTGTTGTTGATTATATAATGGTAATTCCAATTGTGATAAACTTCTTCTACCACTAATGGTTTCTAAAATTGGACTTATAAACATTGATCCTCTATTATTAGCCAATTTACTATTACTTAAATTAAGACCACTACCATTATTATAAATACTTCCCAGAACAGTATCTCTATAAGCTCTACCTGGATTACTAGAAGTAGTGATCATTTCATCTAATTGAGCTAATGAATTAGTTCTTGATAATTGATAAAATGATGAATTTGAAACAAATGATGAATTCTTTTCAAACATTGATGAATTACTGGAGGATGATAATCCATTACTACCATTACTACCAAAGATACTATTTGAATTATTGAAATTATGATAATAATGTTCTTTTTCATGTTTTGCTTTTCTATTAGATATAATCCAAGCAATGATTCTATAACTTATAAACAGAATGAATATAAGTCCAATAATACCTCCCACGATTATAAATACAATTCCATCTGGTAAGTTTGATGAAGTGATATAAGGATTTTTAACAGTTGGAACTTCAACCACGGCATTATATTGTGTGGTAGTAGTTAAGGTTGGCATGGCTGACACAGTAGGTAAGTCAGTCTCGTCATCTCTTTTAGCCATTTCAGTTATATAAGGTTGTTCTTGAATGACACCAGTTGGCTCTATATGATGTTTATGATGTAAGTGATGATGATGATGTGGAGGGGTAGCTAAAGATGTAGCCAACGGTATTTGCTGGGACATAGCGAGTATGGCAAATGATTGAATGAATAATATACTGGAGAACTTCATGTTTAGGTATGTTTTGAATTCGATATGACAATGACTTTTTTAAAAAGGAGTGATGACGTGAAATAGATATATAACAAAAAGTGAAGGAATAACTGAAAACAAGCAATTTTACTGTTAAGTATTTTAAAGGAATGGACGGTGCGAAAGAATGGTTAGTACTTTGAACCAGAATAAGAGTAGTATGTCGTTGTTGGTGGTGGTAAGAGTTGACTCAGGGACACAAGTGAAGAAAGAAAGTATTAACAACTATTGAAATCTGATTATTCTCCTCGATATATAAATATGTTTACCAATTTAACACTCACGGGAACGGATTTCTGAATATTTTAAAATTTTAAATTTTATTTTATTTTTTTACCATGCATTGATCCCACATATGGCGATAACTGAAATTCCCTTACTTTCTTGGATATATATCCATAGCTACGTGGATTTGTTTCTGCAGGGAGTAACAGTCTCGAGTGTATGTTATTTAAGGTGTGTTTCTCGAGGGTATACTATCGTACCTCCACAAGATACAATACAAATGCTAACTTACACCTCTATAATTACAATACCTAAACTACTATAAACTAAAAACTGAAGTTACTTGGTTTCAGAGATGTGCTAGTAATGGCCTAACATTTTCCACACCATGCCATGCTAATCCTTCTCTTCTCTGCCATTCATCAATCTGTAAGGAGTTATTGTTTTGAATGCAAAAAATAAAAATAAAATAAAACAAAACATTTCGCGTTGTTGTTTATGATTTGAACTTTACAATATATAGAGCGCTACCAGATCCAGATCTCATCTCTTTCCTAATTAAATCAAAAATAAACGCGTCGCGTCAAATCTGTATTTACCTTTAGCACTATTAAAGATGAAACAATGCTCGAGTCGTAAATATATATATAATAAGTCTATTGTGTATTGGAGGAGCTACTTAAGATAATATTGTACACGATCTAATCTATACCCGTACTTGATCACCTCTGTTTCATATATACATACATATAACTAAAATCTCCAATCTTTATCAGTAGATTCAATGGCCCAAGTGAATTTCTCTCTCAAGGTCTTAGTGAATAATTTCTCTATTGGTACATCGTATTTCTTTGAGAACATCACTGTTAATCTTGGATCAATATAATTCATCTTGGAAGTACCTAATGAAACTTCAGAATTATCTTCTTTATCCTTTAATTGTAAGGAAGTATTTACGATTCTAGTTTCAATGGTTTCAATTTGTTGTTTCAATTTCTCAACTGTTAATTGTTTCTTGACTTCTGGCTTCCCTGATTTCAATTCGGCTTTATACTCTTTTTCTAATTCTTTGATTTTATCTAATTTTTCTTTAATTGATTCTGATTTTTCAGTTAATAAAGGTTCCTTTTCAGCTTTCAATTTCTCATTATCACGAGCCATTTTCTTTAACACTTGTTCTCTTTGTCTTTGAATAACAATTTCATGAATGTATTGTTCATCTTCTTTGATTAAATCATTAATTTCTTCAAAATAAGCCTTATCCTTTTTCTTTAAATTAGGTTCAATTTGTAAAATCATCTTCTTTAATCGAATCTTTTGCCATAAAAGTTCCTTTAATTTATCATTAATCTTTTGAACAACGCTTCCATGACTTTTGGAAACGGTCCTTTGATGGTTACATAATATAGCAACGGTTCTATTAGCAGCATTAAACTTGACAATCTTTTCCGCCACAGTACCTTCATTAGTAATTAAATCCAATTGATCTTGCATGGTTTTTGATGCATTATAAGTACGGAACACTTTAGCAGTTAACCCCTTCATATAATTCTGTAATTGTTTATTTAAAAGTGATGGATTGATTCTATCGAATAAATCATCACCAGGTCCCTTCGGACTCTTTTTAAAAATTCTTAAATTTTTAAATACTTGTTTATCAACTTCAACTTCTTGATAATATCTAATCGAATCTTTACCAAGGAAATCAAATACCACAATATTAGGTGGTTTTAAGGTAATATGTTCAAATCTTAATGAACAACATCCAACTGTATCAGCTTCATCGTCACCTTTTTCACCACCAGCTCTTAAAGCAAATTTATCAATTAAATAAGTAGCTGATGCTAATTGACGATCTTGCATTAATTCACTCTTTAAATTCTTAGTATAATCTTTTCTAATTGATTCAACATGATGTTTCAATTGTCTTGCAGTTTCAAACTTTTTGAAATCAGATTGACCTTTAATAGATGATGAAGCAGCAAATCTAACATATTTTAAACTATCAGCAATATTTTCTTTCCACATAGCTAACCATGCCACGGTATTATCATGTCTAATTTCTCCCCATTCATGACCAGCAGGTGGTTCAGGGATTTTAGCATTCTTACCTAAATTTAAAGTAACATTTTCAGGAAATACTCTTCTTTTTAATTTACCAGTTTTAGGATGAGCACCTCTACCTCTGAATAAACCAGGAGGTTCAACTCTAAAATTCCCCACCATTTCAGGTCTACCATTTAAATAACAAGTTTTAAAAGGTTCTTCTAATTTTTCCTTTTCTTCTTTTATCCTTTTCTTTTCATCTTTACTAAGAGATTTTTTTTCTTCTCTTAATTGTTCAAAATAAGTATACATTTTTGAAAAATCACATTTGTTAAAATCCTTAATAGTGGCTCTTAACTGTTCATTTTTGGTTTCTTTAATGATTTGAACAAGATCTTCAAAGAAATTATTTTGAAATACAGGATTCTTAGCATGATCAGTTTCCAACATAGCAGCATAAAAACCAACAACTTCTTCCACAACTGGTGGTAAATCAATTGGTTTACCATCGTAAAATAATTTAATATGAGAAGGCAATGGTTCATATTCAGGTGGGAATAAAACCCCATTATGTTCCAACGTGTCCCATTTCACTTCTCCATCTAAATCTTCAGCTTCCCACCATTTATAAGAATCATCATCTTCATCTTCAGCTTGTTGAGATTGTGATGGTGAATCTTCTTTTACTTCTTCAGCTTTGACTTTGGTTTTGGAATCTTTCTTGGTTTCTTTTTCCTTTTTAGCACTCTTTGTTACGTTATTAGGTGTTACGGTACTGGAAGAACTCTTTTTAACTGAATTTTTAGGAGTGGAAGGGTTAGATTCAACTTTTATTCTCTTCTTGGTTGAAGAAGAACTTTTTGAAGTACCATTTGATTTGGAAGATGATCCATTTGAATCAAGCTTTCTCTTTTTGACGGGTGATGCACTAGGAGTTGCAGTTTCAGCCCGTTTACTTAAAGGTAGATCATCTTCATCTTCCGAAGATGGAGGGTGTAATTTCTTCCTTTTAGTTGAACTACCATTTTTAGACTTATGACTTCTTTTTGATAATGCTATATTATCTTCTTCCGATGAACTACTCATTTCTTTGATTAGATCAATCGGGGTAAACGAAGGTGGAGTCGATTTTGAAGGTGTAATGTTTGATTGTTGATAATTATTCTTCAATCCAACTCTTGTTGAGAAATAAAACCTTGACGTAATTGATGGATAGTTAGGTAAGCCACGACTTTTAAAACTTGAATTGCAGATTGCAGTAACTGATCTCCTCCACAAAGGAAATACAAATGGATATAATCTCGAAATGATTAAGATGGGGTGGATGGAAACTGTCAAGTGATTGTTTTTGGTTGGATAATTATAGCTGTCTATTTTCTTTTCTACTCAATTCTGGTATTTTTTCCAGGTAAGCCTTCTCAAAAATAGAACGCGCAACGAAAAATTAAAAATTAATTTTTTGAATTTTAATATACCCAAATTATTTGATAATGATAATGATAATGATAATGATGATGTTTCTGTTAGGTTGATAGTTATACAGTTGAATGAGGTTGTGATGGTAAGTGGATGGAAGGTGGATGTTATAATCAATCTGATTATATTTCTTATAGTCATGTTTTACGTCAACATTTACCTCTTCGCTGCTCATTAATTCCACGTAATCACTTTGTGTTTGTGGTTGAATTAAGAAGGGAAGGAATGAATTTTGGCAATTTGATACGTACCACCATTCATTTATAAAGCAATTGACCTAAACAACATCTTATGGTAACTATAATAACAGTCAAATCGTTGATCCATCATCACTAATTGTCCTTGAATGACATCTTTCCAGCTAGATTCTTTAGAGTTGCACGCGATAAATATTTAGTATGAGTATGACGGGCTGTAATATGCAGGTATGTCCCCAATCACACGAATTATATAATTACGTAAAGGTAGAGATGGAATGAACTATCCAAATATTTTCTTGAATATCTTGTTCATGATTCGATTGAGTAATTGCCGTCGGCGGTATATAGATACTAGATAAGATCAGTAACTAATTGTGGGCTATAAACTGTGGTAGCAAAATGAAAAGGTTGTAACTTTCCCTTAAAAGTGGGGTGGGACAACGCGCGCAGCACAAGAAAAAATAAAAATGCCAAATTTGGTGCTTCACTCGTTTTCTCTTGTACTTAGAGGACAAGGAATCAAAATGCCCTTCTATCGTTTGTTAGTTTCCATTTTAATGTTTAAGTTACTGTTTTATCTTACTCCACATTTCGGCTATTTATGGTTTAAGGTTTAGTTGGAGATAGGAAAAGTATAACGTTTCCCCTAATGGAAAGTAACCACATATTTATGATCTATAAAATTCCGCTTTTTGTATTAATGGTTATAATAATCTCTTTGCAACCAAACCATTTTTTGAATTCTGGTTTTTTTTTTATTTTTATTTTTATTTTAGAAGACAAGCATTTATGAATACATAAATGGACATAAAAGAGGAGTTCGGTTAAATACGAATCACAGAGGGTCGCCATGGATTACGTAGAATATATATATCGCTAAGATTTACTACGGTATGAAAGTACCCTAACTTTTTCTAGGTTGAAGCGGTTAAATATCAGAATGATTTAATTGATTTAGGGAAAGATGAGAAGGCAGTGAATCGGATGATAAAAGCGGGTTGCTTCATCCATGAATCTAAATTAAACATTGATCGTCATATAATAATACCATAAAATAAGTTGAGAGGAAAGTTACTTACGCTAATCTGAAAAACGACTAACGACTTTCAAGTATGATAATACCATAGTATGATGCTATTATTATTATTATTAGAAAATCAAAAAGAAATAAGAATTCGACATGGGAAAAAAGAAATTTTGTCATAATTAATAGATAAGACGAGACGAGACAAGACAAGACAAGACCAACTAAGAGAATATAAGGGATAATTGACCCAAATATGAACTAAGTTAGTTAAATTGCTATCAGACCTCATCGCCAGATAGAACCACCCCACCTATCGTAATTCACTTCGCATATACTGCTGTAAGGAATAAAACATTCTTAATAATATTATTATTATTTAAAGTTCTTTGTCTTGTCGTGGATTATTTTATTTTCTTTGTCATTTCTTTCTTTCTTTCTTTTTCTTGTCAAGTCGAAACTATCTAAACAGCAATCTTGACAAATGTAAACTGTATGAGCCTCTTCGTCTTTAAAAATAATTATTCATCAGACAAGGTTAATAAAACTTAAAGTAGATGTCTGGTGCCATGGGATGGTAGGCGTCGATCTCTACCTACCTTTCTAATTGAAAGGTAGATCAAATTCAACGTAATTAGTTGTCATGGGCAGTTTTATTCGTAAAAGACGCCCTTTAATAACGGTATTTTTGAAACGAGGCATTTTGAATCTAATTGAAAGTGGTTAGTGTACATTTTTTTTTGGCTCACTAAGGAGAAGGACAGAAAATTATCTAGGGGGTAGCGCTTTTATGACAAAACAATGAAGGGTGACCCATTTAAGGATTAAGGCTGATATTTACCTTAATAAAGATTTTCATTTCATCATATATATATAGATAAGAAATTTATTAGACACAATTACCAAAACAGAAGGAGAAACAGAATTAGATTTAGTTTAAAACTTTAATAGAGTAGTAGTAAAGAAAGAAAGAATGATCTCGTGTGATGTGTTCAAATGGTGATTTCATCAACGCTGTAGTAATACTAATATAAGATTGACATACATAAAAAATATGATAAAGCATATTGAAAGAGGTTAATTAATACATTAAATAAGTCACTCAGGTAAAAAGAAATCATATTGAAAAATTGTTGTCCCTAGTGAACTATGCCATACAATTAATTAAGTTTAGGGCAATTTCATACTTCCTACGCGGCATTTACAAAATTTCCGTTTCAAATTTGTTAATGGAATCTCATCGCGAAAATTTCTTTTTCTTTTACATCAACTGCATAAGAAAAATAAAAGGCCCCATCCATTTTGAGAATTGCTTGTAACCATAAAATGCCTTAACAAAATTTATTAACTAGGGCATTTTAATATGGTTGATGTCAAGACAGTTAATGGCAATTTACTCCCTTTTGTATGCCAATGCAACATGTGTACCCCAATTGATCTCTTGGTTGGATAAGATAACCCCCTATCGGACTGACAGGTTGTGAGGACCGACAAATTAAAGATAGAATGCCAAAAAAGCGGAATCTTTTTGCTGCTGCTAAGAGTCACTGTGAACCTTTTTTTGCCGCTGCTTATGACAATTATAGTTTCCCTAGAAAAAAATTTTAATATGCAATGCTTAATTACTTCCACTCACCTCCTTCGTCCCTCCTCCTCTGCCTCCTCGTCCTTCTCTCTCTCTCTCCCCTCGACCTAACTAATTAAAAAGATAAGGATTTATTATTTTCCCTTAATAAAAATTCTTGACATTATTTTTGAATTTCTTTTTTTTATGTTTTATTTTTTAATATACCCTCTTTTGCATATACTAGGAAAAAATTGCATCTATTTTTTTTTATTGTCATTGTTTGTTAACGATCCAAACAATATATAAGTATTAAACTATTTCTCCTTCAATTGATAAAGTTGATTTGGAGAAAACTTCCTTTTGTTATTCTTTTTCTTGTTTACTATTCAATTCAATTCATATCAATAATAATAATATATCATGTCTGATAGTGATAAAGTTGGAAGCTCCACTACTGGAGATGAACAATTAACTCAATATAGTTCAAGACTCAACAATAATGAAAAGAAAGCTGACTATGTCAATGCTGATACTTTTGACGATGAAAAATCTTCTAATGTCGAACCTGAATATGTCGAAGTTAAAAGATCTCTTAATGCTAGAATGATTTCAATGATTGCCATTGGTGGTACTATTGGTACTGGTCTTTTCATTTCAACTGGTGGTACTTTAGCTGATGCCGGTCCAGTTTTCTGCTTTAATTTCTTTCTTATGGATGACTACCTTGGCTTTCTCCGTTACTCAATCCATTGGGGAAATGGCTACTTTAATTCCTTGTACTGGTTCTTTTAATCAATTCGTTGCTAGATGGTGTTCTCCAGCTTTAGGTGCTGCTAATGGTTGGAATTATTGGTTTTCTTGGGCAATTACTTTTGCTTTAGAATTATCTGTCGTTGGTCAAGTTATTCAATTATGGACTGATGCTGTTCCTTTAGCTGCTTGGATTACCATCTTTTTCGTTATCTTAACCGTTTTCAATCTTTTCCCAGTTAAATATTATGGTGAAGTTGAATTTTGGATTGCCTTTTTAAAAGTTATCGCCGTTGTCGGTTGGTTACTTTATGCTTTTATTATCGTTTGTGGTGCCGGTAAAACTGGTCCAGTTGGTTTCAGATACTGGAGAAACCCAGGTCCATGGGGTCCAGGTATTTTGGTTGAAAATGTTAACACTGGTAGATTCTTAGGTTGGTTAGCTTCTTTGATTAATGCTGCTTTCACTTTCCAAGGTACTGAATTAGTTGGTATCTCTGCTGGTGAATCTGCTAACCCAAGAAAAACCGTTCCATCTGCTATAAGAAAAGTTTTATTCAGAATTTTAGTGTTTTACGTTTTATGTATGCTTTTCATTGGTTTATTAGTTCCTTATGATGATCCAAAATTAGCTGCTAACGGTTACTATACTGCTTCTTCTCCTTTCATTGTTGCTATGCAAAATGCCGGTACTAAAATCTTACCAGATATCTTTAATGCTGTTGTTTTAGTTACTATTATTTCTGCTGGTAACTCTAACATTTACTGTGGTTCTAGAATTCTTTATGGTTTAGCTGAAGCTGGTGTTGCACCAAAATTCTTTAAAAGAACTACTAAACATGGTGTTCCATATGTTGCTGTTTTATTCACTGCTTCCTTTGGTTCATTGGGTTATTTAGCTTGTTCCGATCAAGGTAACAATGCCTTTAACTGGTTATTAAACATTACCGCTACTTCAGGTTTAATTGCTTGGGGTTGGATTAGTTTCACTCACATTAGATTTATGCAAATCTTAAAACAAAGAGGTATTGAAAGAGATTCATTACCATTCAAAGCTAAATTCATGCCATATGGTGCTTATTATGCTGCTATTGCCATTTTCATTCTTGTTTTTGTTCAAGGTTTCCAAGCTTTCTTTGGCTTTACTGCTACTGCTTTCTTTACTGCTTACGTTTCAATTATCCTTTTCGTTGTTTGTTGGATTGTTTTCCACTTTTACTTCAACGGTTTCGGTGCTAAAGCTTGGAAATGGTCATCTGTCTTTATTCCAATTGAAGAATGTGATATCGATTCTGGTGTCAGAGAAATTGATGATTTAGTTTGGGAAGAAGAACCACCAAAGAATATTTGGGAAAAATTCTGGAATTGGGTTGCATAAGCATCATTATATCATTTTAACGTTTTACATTTCACAAGCATTTTCTTTTTATATTTCATTTCTATTCGTTCGTCTGTTTTAATTTTTAATTTGCATTTACCTTTCTTTTTCAACATTTCATACTTCTAATTCATATTAGATCTAATACATAAAATATCATTTAAAATTGAAAACTCGTATTGTAAACGCTCAACAATAAACTCTTTTTATACCTATAATAAAACATTTATTTAAGTTGGAAGTAATATACACAAAATAAAAGTGGGGGAGGGGAAGAAAGTAAAATAAATAAGAATTTTTGGGATTGATTTTAAAATGTATGTGATGAAGTTGTGTTTGATATTTTGACCTTAGGTTTTATCTTAAAAAGCATAATCTAATTTAGTTTCGCTATATCTGAAAAAAAAAATCTTAAAAATTTCAAAAACTGGAAGAAGAATGGAAAGGAGAGTTCTAATTGTATAAAACATAGTTGGCACTACCAGAAGTAACACCGACAGTACAACCATCAGTACCATCACCGTTATATTGACCATTGGAGTAAACACATTGACCACTGACAGTTGAAGAGGAATCGGCAGCAACAATCTTAACATTGAAATTTAATGAATCGTAATTGTTTGGGTTTGGAATTAATGATAAATAAGCAATACCATTAGCATAACCGGCACCAAAATTTAATGGAGCCCAGTTACCAATACCAGATCCTGCAGTACCCCAGATACAACCATCAGTATAACTAACACCAGCATTATTAACATAATATTGAGCAGAAGTTGCACCTCCTCTCCAAGTATAGTAAGTGGCTTGGTCAACAACAGTAAGTGGAGAACTACCACCAGCGTTAACAACAGTTGGGATAACCATGTTTTCAGTTCCTGGGTAATCAGTTCTACAAATAGCAACTGATTGAGATAATTCTGAAATAACAGTGGCTTTATCAACACCCCATTCACATAAGTAACTGTTGGATGGGTTTGATTTATATAAGAAACCACCTTTACATAATAAACCACCAATAGAAACACCATTAGCTGGTTGAGCTGAAGGCCATTGAGTCTTGGACATACCACTTTGACAAGCATAAGAACAGTATGAACCTTCACCACATGGACCACCGGTTGAACCATCTGAGTTTTCAATACCAGACCAACCACCAAAGCCTAAGTTGTTTAAGGCAATAACACCTTGACCGGATGGGAATGAGCTACAAGAAATGACACCATCTTGGAATTCTTCAGTTGGGTTTTGATATAAGCCTAAATCACCATTAATACCACCAGAACCACCACTTGAAGATCCTGTGGTTTCTTGACTTTGTTGAGTAGATGAAGAAGTGGTAGCAACTGAGGTAGAACTACTGGTGGTACTGGTTGAGGTGGTTTGAATAGTTTCAGTAGTTTGAGATGAAGTAGTTGGATCAACACTGGTACTTGAACTGGTTGCTGGTAAACCGATGGTGTTACCATTTATGTCAACAGTGACGGTAACATAAGCATAATCATAAACAATTTCTCTTTTATGTTTATGATGACCATGGAAGGCAGTAGTTGTGCAATCGTCATCGACGGCAGCTGCTGGAGCAGCAATTGCAAGAGCACTAAGGGCTAAGATTGAAGCTGATGAGAATTTCATTGAGAATATATATAAAAGGAGTGACTGGTTTCAATTGATTGAAGGGTTTTTAAAAGGAATGACTAGAATATCAATGTTAGCAAAACTATTTCTGTAAACGAAATAACAAATATATACACGAGGCTATCAATGATGAGACGAATGGACAAGCAGAAACAAATTGAAGTGATAAAGGGAAATTAGATTCTTATTAAGGAATGGAAGTGGAATGAAATGAAATATTTGATACAGATGTTGTAAAGAAGAAAATGAAAATAACACTATTATTTTTAAATTCAATTGCCAACTCCATACCAAAGGAGGATAAAACCATTTCAAGGGGTACGTTAAGAATAATAATACCAATGCAAGGTGTTTCACTTATGTTTTGGGAATAATTAGGTATGTGTGTAAGGTTGTTGTCGTTTTTGCTGTAAAATTTTAATTGTTTACATTGAGATTGAAATCTACCGTGACTTTGTGATACTTTATCCGGATCGGTAATTTTGTGCAACATTTTTATCTGTCAAATTTGCAAGAGTCAAATTTCAACACGCGAAAACAAAGTTGCGTTTTGTGCATTTGTTGTCCTCGGAATTCATTTTCTCAGTCTAATTAGATTTTACTGGGCAATTAAACGGCACTAATTTTGTAAACAAATAATGTCTGTTCAATCCAGCCCACCTCTAAAATTTTAAATGGGACGGTATCATTTATCTTTTAGTATCATGAAGTATACTCAATTCAATTTCTTCATCCCCTATTTGAAATTATCTAGTGAATTTGATTATATGGTATTAGTTAATGACTTATAAATGTTTCAAAGTTGTTTCATGCTTTTACTTCCTTCTCATATTGAGCCTGCGAAATTGTTAGTAGTTAAGATAAGGGAAAAAAAGACATACCTTTTTGTTAAGGAACGACAAATACTAAGCAGTTAAAAAACCGTTAAAACTTTGGAATTTAAAGGAGTGACTAAGTTTGTAGATTTTTAATGAGTGATCTTTACGATTCTTCTTGTTTGTTGAAGTATTCAAATTTCCTTGACTTGGGTATACACTGATGTATTAGTAAATTCGATTGAATAAAAATCAATTGATATATTATCGTGACAGTAATGAAAGTATATATATGGTAAAAGAAGAAAAATATATATAGATTTTTTTAATAAAAATTTATTGGAGAAGATTATGTCTATATATTTTCTAAATTCAATAAATTGACCAAGGAAATAGTAGGCTTACCTTATAATATAGCCTAGTCTTTAATAATATGACTAAGTAAAAACCAGCACAGGATGTTGTGCTGTAAAAATTAGGCCAGAAAACTCAATTCCGGGGGTACGAAATGCTGAACAATTTGTTTATTTTTTTACATGTTGTAGAATTTATATTTGACAAAAGTTGCCTAATTGGTAGTTTTACAGTTTGTGCTGGTTGGTATTATTTCCTGCACACAGAATTCTTGTTTATTGCAGCAAGCTCGTCAAATATTCAAAAATGCAAGACTCTTACATGAAGCTGCAGTCCAGTAGTAGTCGAACTGACAAAGATAATAGTCGAATCAGATTTTGAATATTTGAATCTGTTACATGGCTTTTATATATTAACTAACAAACATTCCACATAATTCTCAATACGCAAAGCGATTTAAAGTAGCTTGATGTATAAACTCGTTTTGAGATAAAACGCTCCTTTGTGGTGTAACTGGTTACCAAGTATTTGAGATGAACCAAAAAGTAGAAATCAAAACCAATACCAAAATCAAAATCAAATCAAGCTAATCTGGATGAATATGCCAGAAGAAGGTCATGGAATTGATCTGGCTATTGTTCAAATGTGTACGGAAGTGATTCAGAAGCAACAAAATCAAATCTTAGCCAGCCCTCTATTATTCCACAAAACTTGGTAGTGTGCGACACAAAACATAATCGTTTAAAACCGATTGAAAGGTCAAACAAATAGCTCTACTTCATTTACTATTTAATTCATCGTTAAAGTATTGTAATCAATAGTGTTAAACAAGAATTTTGTAATTAGTTTACTCTATAGGTAAGCATTTACGAATTATGTAATGTAAGTAGAGATTGTCTATTTTCAATTAGCTCAGTTTCATAATTTGCATTAAAATTCGATTTTATTTTATCGAAACTAAATTCATCTAAAATTGACTAAGAAGAAATTCAAGCTCAATTTTATAATTTCAAAATTTTTTTTAACGCTTGATCTTTTAATCCCGTTCCTATTACGTTGATTAACTTCATCACATTTCCGTGTCAGAACAACCTTGAGCGGATATCAAATTGTCTATAATCCCGCTCTACATAAGGTTTTTAAACTCATTAACAGCAAGATAGCAACCTTTCGTAATTGAAATTTTCATAGACTAAGTGCTGCTTAAAAAAAGGTTTAGTAATGTACGTAACTGTTATGTGACGAATGACATCTTTTGACTTTTTTTTTTCTACTAACCCTTTGTGCTACCGTAAAATTAATGTAAATCTGTAAACTATAGTAGATATTTGCAATATAAACTGGTAGAAAATATAATGAAATCTACAGACCTAAAATTCTCTAAAGAATAAATTCGTCTATAATACCAAATATAAAAAATCCTGTAGTGACCCAACAGTTTGATCCACTATATTCTTGCTTTTGGTTCACAACTAATAAAGATCAGGCACACAAAGATTAGTCTTTCATCAAAATAACAAAACTATAGTTGCTCTTACAGATGAATCTGGATTATTTTACCGCAACAAGCTAAAATAATGGAACATACTCTCAAAGTCACCTTATATCTCGATCAAATAAGCAAAACACTACCTTAAGGGTCGACGTATCAGCGTAAGAAGCATATCACATCAATGAATAAATTCCACAATCAGTAACATGCCACAGCCAAGATGAAGAGTCAATAATTCTCAGTAAAGTCAGATTTACATTTAATGCTGACGGCCGTCCTTTTTCAAATTTAACACCTCATTTAATAAAAGTTATAACGCTAATCCTTAATATAACATACGCAGGGCGAAAGAGAACGGATGATTTTCGCGTGAAAATTTCAAATAATTTTTTTTTTATTTTTTTATTTTTCATTCCTGTTTTATTTCTCGCTAGAAGCAACTTTTGTATTTTATTTTTAAATAATAAAAAATGTACAAAAATAGCGGATTACCCAACTCGCTAAGTGTTAAGTTTTGTATGGTCAATACAGATCACTAACCTTACCCTAAAAATATTAATTGAAATATGGGATCAAAAAGAAAATTACCTATTGAAGGATATTTTCCGTTAGTTCGCTTGTGTTTTCTAATGGTTAGTAACTTTTTGAATTTCTTACCCATAAAATATTTTTCAAAATGGGGAAAGTAGAAAACCTTAAACTAATTCACAGAATTGAAAAAAGTCTTCCTGTAAAATAGAAAAGATGCGGCTACGAAGAAGAGATACAGTCTGCATCCATTATAGGTCTTGGGAATTATTCAAAGACCGATTAATCCCTTTGGTATGAAGAATAGCTCACCACTAGTTTTCCATACATACACAACACATTACTTACGGACATATCCTGTAAGAGAAGTACTTCCCTATTGTAAGCTTTATGTAGCCTATGTATAGCGACGTAGACTATGCTTTACTTTCACTTAAAAAATATTTCATTTTCTTCTTTTTTTTTTTGTTATGAATTTCAGTATACTGTAAACAACAATCAATGGAGTTTGTCCGAAGGAAGCATTCTAGCGTTCCTCTAACCGGTTTGTGCTAGGACTTCAGGAATTACTCCATCACTAATAAAATTGGAATATTGAGTGTTAAGAGGTAGGTTCAATGGTAAGCTGGATCATACTATCAATACAAGAGGAAGCTACATCCTTTAGTTGTAAATTTTATTTTGAAAAATGGTCAAATCAAATTGGGAAATAGACTAACATCTTAGCGTCTTAGCCAACTCTAAAAAGTTTAAGCTACAACTCTTATCTTACTAACTAGATGCACTACATCTTGGTGAAATCTTACAATCAACAATAAACTTCAATCTACCGAAATATGTACCGAATAATCAATCCAGACAAGAATGTGGTCTCTTCATTGGGACATATTTATTGATAGCGATGGAATTAGGAACCAATTGCGGAAGACAGGATTGGCAATGAGCTACATCTTGATTTTTGGAAGAAAGATTCTGATACTTCTTTAAAATACAACTGCATAAAAATTTTAATCAAGAAAAAATTGTGCTTTGATTTGAACCCTTAATCGGTTTTTTGAAGACGTATAAAATAACAAAATATTTGAGGCATATCATTCTAAACAATTGAAATAGATGCAGATGAGGTAGGTAGGTAGTCGAAATAGTGTAAACTGCATAACAGAGTTACTGCATACAAATATTATTTTAAAAAAATATATTTTTTGCGATGGTGTGCATAATATTAACCGAAAGCTTCTAGAATTCCAGAAACTAGCATTATTCATGTTTCTCATGCATATGTGAATTATAAATGAACAATAGAACAATAAATCCATTTATTTTTTTTAAATTAATTTTGTTTTATTTTTCTTGTTGTAATGCCATATCTTAGTCAATTAAAAACCTTCTAGCGTAGCTAGACAATAAGTTCTTAAACAATCCCTCCTTGCTTTTGAAATGACATAACATATAACGTATTTTTTATTTAATACCCCATTCTGCTAACATTACGATTTTTATACTGGTAGAATTGAAAGATATTTTTATAGACTTTGTTCCATACGAAACTAAAAAAAAGCTTATGCATTGTATTATTATTCGCTGTTATAATATGAGGAAATCAATTTGCGCTTATTTAATAATACTAGTTCCCCCTCCCTCTAATTCTAAACTTCGCTGCAGTCACTAATTTTATTCTCCAGGGAAATATTACCCCCAGTAAATCAGGCAGTAAAGTCAATTAGTTATAAGAAACTAATTTCGGGTGATTTTCTGTCTATTAGAATTATTTAAGGTTCTATGAAATCTTTTTTCCTGTTTAACTCTACCCTTGATTCACATCGGTTTTTAATTTGCTGTATGATTTCATGCGCCTTTTTGTTTAACCGTTATAACTTGTCAGAGAGGTAACTTTATATCTCGCCAACTTACTCCACTTACTCATTCATTCGTCAAAGACTAATCTTTAGGGTCATATGCTCATGAGTTTGATTGGAGGCTACTAAATCTGTTATGAGTAGCATTGTTTCTTGTAACAGGTTAAAGCTACTAGAATTTATCTAGTCCCTGAAATACTTTTCTTAAGACGCCTTCAATATTTGCCTCACTTTTATATTCATAACTTCTTTCGGTTTTCTCCTCAAAACTTGCTTACGTTTTGCCCTATTTATTTTGGCTTGTCTTTATCGCCAGTGCCAATTACGAAACTAGAAGTGGTATGTTTTACATGTGAGTTTAGAATGAATTTTTTTCCCTCTCGAAGAACGCGAAACGACACAAAAGCACGACTTAAAAAATAAATTATTTTTTAAAATCGAAGGAAAAAAAATAATTAAAATTAAAATTAAAAAAAAAAAAAAAATATGTATGAATTTTCACAAATTCTAAATAGCTAATTTCCTTTACATATTTCCTTTAAGTTTAAATCTGACCCTTTAAAGATGTAAATCGTTTGATAGTATATGAAATATGTATCTCTTTCTGATTATTGGTATATATATATCAACAAATGCACAAATATATATAAGCATTAATTACTACCCTTTTTTAATTTTTAGTTTTTTTCTTTATTGAATTTTGCAAAGATTCAAAAGCTTCTTTTTGTTTAAGTTAATCTTAGTCAATCATTACAAAACGGTATTTTTGGATCAATCATAATACTTACCATTAAGTTTAACACATTCGTTTGTTTGTTTGCTGTTCTTTGTTAATATTAAATCATCTTTTTATTTTGCAATCATTTTGTTTCTTATTTGAAATCAGAAGAGTCACCAAAGAATATATTACCTAAACTATATTCAATAACATTAAGGACCCTTTCCTAATTATAATACAAACTAATTTTTGAAATTATTTGTATGAAACATAAACCAAACTTTTTATTATTAAAAGCTATTGAAGATTAGTATAAATGGAATTACTTAATTACCCATCACAGACTCCGAGAATAAATCCCTTGCATATGTCAGAAGTCGATAGCCAAGTTATGAAAAAAGTAAACTACAGCTCCAACCCTGCTTCTAATAATCAACCTCATTTGCATCAATTTCCTTCCGAAAGTGATCATAGTTCTGGTCAACATCATCCAGCAACTGCCAACGAATACGACTACAAAGAGTCTTATAGCTATATGATTAATCCTACCGGTGATTTTTCACCTGCAAATACTCCTTACGGATTATTACGACAACCACACCTTCCACAACAACCTCAAACTCATCCACACATGCCACATCAACAACATATACAACCATCCGGATTATCACAAGAGTATTTTGCTGCTCCATATCCACCACCACTTTTACATAGTAGCTCTGTTCAAAATACATTGCATGCTACCCCAATGAATTCACAACAGAGTCAATATTCAAGTCAACAATCAAGAGAAGATCCAAGACAAATTAAAAGTCAATCACTTCCAGAATTAAGATCTTCTGGTTATACTATGCTTGAATCTTCTTCAAGTGTTGCTTCTGAAGAAATGAAATCTAGAACTGGTAATTATCCAGTACCAATTTATCAACATCAACCTCAACAAATGCCTGATCAACATTTCACTTATCATCAACAAGATCATCCCCATCATCATCCAATATCAGGCATACAAATACCGATGAATATTGAATTAAATCAATATCCTGATATGACTTCATTGGTAAATTCTAATTCAAATATTGTTGTTCCATTAGTGGAGAGTCAATTTGTTGATCATTCAGTCTGTACAGTATGTGGTAAAAGAATTACAAGAGATATGACAAGACATATGAGAACTCATCAAAGTGAATCAAGATTCAAATGTCATTTCCCAAAGAATCAATGTCGTCATAAACTGGGAAAATTCAATAGACCATACGATTTCAAAAAGCATTTATTAAATCGACATTTTAAATTTGATGAAGTTGCTATAAGACGTCTTCATAATTTAAGTGATAAATTAGATCATTGGGGGACTTGTCCCTGTGGGATAAGATTTATGGGTAAGGATTGGCTTTATGAGCATATCCTTACTGATGATGCTTCAAAGAAGTGCCCTTGTATAACATGATAGAACTAGATTTTTCCAACAACTTACATCCTTATTTACCTATTTACATTACTTTATTTTCCATTTCCATTTCCATTCTTGCTAATAGTTTTACGTTTTAATTTGTTATTTTTGTTTTACACTTCCAAAAGCTTTTTATATTTAATTTTACTATCCATTTTTTTCTCTGTACAATATAGTCGACGGTAATTTTGTATTTAGGAGTATCGCTAATATTCATTTCTAAGTATATAGAAAATAAACAAAACATGAAATCTTATATTTAATACTTATAATAAAAATAATAGTAACAGTTAGAAGTACTTGGGAAAACAAACATAAACATTGGATATATACAATAACTATTCAAAAATATTCGTTAATGATCTTAACTATAATTTCTTTGCTAACGCAGTTATTTCACCACCACTAACAATTTTAACTTCTGGTTCACCACTTTTGCTCAATGGTTCCAGAGCAAGATTAACAGCAATTTGACCTAATTCGTGACCAAAAATTGGATAACCAACAAATGACAATGCTCCACCATGGAAGAATTTAAAAACAGTAGCGGTAACATTATTAAGAAGATCTTTTGGTTTATCTCTTTCACCTAATAAAGCCCCTGGTCTTAAAATAATAGTTCTTGGGAACTTCAAATCAATGATATCATCTTCTAATTTCCCTTTAGTTTGGAAATAAAGTAAAGAAGATTGAGCATTGGCTCCCATAGTGGAGATTAAAACCACAGTTTCAACACCAGCTTCTTTAGCCGCTTTTGCAGCAGCATAATTAATACCATAATCAATCTCTTTAAACTTCTCAGCAGAACCAGCGGCAGCTCTAGTAGTACCAAACCCACTATAAAAGGTTTTTCCTTTAGGAACTTCTTTCTTAATTATGTCACTCCATTTACTAGAGTCACCTTCAATGATTGAATTTACCTTATCGCTTTGAACAGAAGGAGCGCGACGAGAGACAGTAACTACCTTTTCATATAAAGGAGACTTTTCAGCATATTTAAGGATTTGAAGACCAACTAACCCAGTTGAACCAAGAACGAAAGCACTCATTATCAATAGTTTAATTGATTGATTGAAATAATTGATGGTGGCTGTTAAACAACTTGTTGGTGGCAAATGTTAATAAATTTCTGTTTTATCTGGCTTAAGTCTACAAAAAAGAAAAGATTGGGTTTATATGCAGAACTATTTTTTCATTCATTTAAAGTTACGGAACAAATATTTTTCTTATTCTTCGATCGATTAAATATTTTACGCTCATTCCAGGGGTAAATAAATTTTTACTGAGGAAAACAGTACTGCTAAAAAGAAATTACTGACTTTTGAAATTGCCAATCGATGATGAGTTATAATAATATCTTCTGGAATTCCTTAATGGGAATGATGCATGCTATTGTACTTTATACAAAACACCAATTCCAGATTAACGGAATAGTAGAGAATGTGCAACAAGTTCTAGTCCATTGGTTAGACTTATAGAGGGTTTATACGGTAAATCAGAAATTTGTGATGGCATTTGTATTTCTACCGATATAACAAATTTATTTTTTAAGGGTACGCTAAGGCGCTAAAAAAAACTGGGTTTGATTTCAGGGCTGAATACCGGTGCCGCTGTCAAAGTTTGAAAGGCATTTTGAATTATTTTTTATAGTGAGCCTTTACGATGCACGGTAAACCGATTTCTGTTAACGTAAAGAAGAAGGTTACATAGTAGCAATTCCAGTTATAGTGCTGAATAAAGAAGTTTATCCCGTCACAAACATCTCTCATTGAAGATTAGTGATCGAAAAAAAAAATTAGTTGCAAATATCATCTCTTTCGTTTCTACATTTCAGGCGGTATATGTCACTATCAATGAAATTAGTTACACAAGTTGCTATCTAAGTTACATTTAACATTGTTACAGTCAATCGAATTGTCTCACATTCATCTGCCTTGTCCCATAGTCTTAGCCACACCATATTTTTATAAAAGAAATAATAAAAAAAAACATCATCTAATTGAAAAAGTACCACCAGATCATACCTTGAAGTTTTAATAAAATAGGTACATTGAAATCTTACTAGAACAAACTGTAAAAGGATTTTTTATCCCACATTAAAGCCTAAGCTTATGCATAAAATCAATTTTGTAACTTAAGTAAAGCATTTAAAATAACACAAGTTTAAATGTAAATTATTGTCCGGGATGAGGGCCTTATACATTCTGTAAGTAAACATAAAATATAATATGCTTTGCTTAACAATAACAATAACAATATGTAGAATAAATTAATGCTTCTTTTAGACCTAGGCACAAAACTATAAATTCTATTTTTAATGAACCATTCAATATACATATTTCCATTTTTTTTTCTGGAAAGATTAAAGATTTGATAACTTGTTGAGTTATTTTTTACTTATATCTTTTTTAGGTGCAAAATCAAAGATTAAGGAGGATATCATTAGCATTGATCTTCTGTGCAAGTGTATTTCCACATCACCAGGTAAAACCTTCTCCCAATTATTTTTTAATAACATAGGGGCAGAGCACGTACTGTAGACGACGTTAAATTACTCCTCCGTCCTTATTGAAACAGGAACGAATGGAACATAATATAAAAATAAAAAAAGAAGCACAAATTGTTCATCAGGAAAATTAAGAAATCCATGCATATGCTCGTTGCAGCCTAAGAAAAAAAAAACTACAAATAAATTAAAATAAAAAAATTGTTCTGTATTATGCATAAATTTGAGGTGTTCATAAGCATTTGGTTGGGTTATAAAAGAAATTAAAACAAACCCACTGTTCTACACATCATGCTAAAGAATATTTAGTACCCAGTTTTGATATACATAATTTATGTGATATTATTTTAAAACTTTTGACGAAGTTTACGACCACTACTACTATTGGTGCTGCTGCTGCTTCCGCTTACAAGTTTTGTAGGATCTACCAGGAAAAAAATCAGCTAATAAATTTAAGTAGGCTGAAATTATAATCAATTATCACCTACGTGGCTTGAAAAAAATTGACCTTTCCAAGTAAAATATCGGAACCTCCTTACAATCAAGATTAAAAAACAGACAATTGATTAGAGATAACAATATCCCTGGAAAAACAATTTATAAGTAGATTGTGAGATAAATTAACTTAAGAAGGAAAAGATCTGTTTCTGCAAATTGTAAGGTGAGAAAAAGTGTCTTTTTTTTGCGCTTTATCTACTGATTTTTGTCGCAAATCCAAATTCAAATCCTATTCGACATTAGCATATGTTAGCAGCTTAAAGGGTTTAGACTATACTGTTTTAATACCGTATTATAGTGGTTTGCCGATGGTTGCATGAATCTGTCATGAACGTTGCATGAGCTTTAAAAAGCTTGAAGTTTAACTACTAGGTAGAACCTTCTACATTCTCCAGTAAAGATACCAAACTATTTTAATGTCGCATGAAAAACCAAAAAAAAAGAGTTTACAAAGCCGGAAAGGGAACGAATCGAAAGGGGGAATGTAAAGTAATTTTAGTTTTTAAATAATGCTTTTGATAATTGTTGAATTGTTTTTTTACTCCACCATTCGATAACCACAGAGCGATAATATTATGTTATCACGGTGGTGCTTAATGCCTTCTGTTGGGAGGTGTTACAGTCACAGGATCGTCTTGCGGTGTTATGCCACTGCTGCTTCTCCTCCTCCTCCTCCTCCTCCTCCTCCCTCACATAATAATAATAATCAAGATGTGGATCATCATAAAAGATTAGATTTACACTCATGGCCAAAAAAGAAGAATCCGACCCCTTATGAAATCTTTAATATCGAATCAAAAGATGTCAATATATCAACTCATGAATTGAATAAAATATTAAAGAAAACTTATATTAAATTTGTTAAGATTTATCATCCGGACACCAGTCAAGTTGTATATGACAAAGGTAAGGAGTTAACTTCATTACAAATGAGACATAGATTTGATCAAATACAAAATGCATATGACATTTTGAAAAATCCTAGACGAAGAGTAGCATATAATCGATATTCAACCACGAATTGGGATCAGCAAGGGCAATATACTCAAGATTCGTCCTCTGCTTTCAATAAAGATAATTTTGAGGCTTATAGACGTGCCCATGCTCATAGGACTAATTATAGTTTTGAAAATGATGAAAGCTTTTGGCAAGCTGGTACTTGGGAGGATTATTATAAAATGAAATACGGTAGGAAACCACCTACAAAAGAGGAACTTGATAAAAATAAATATAAAATATTATTTGGAGTAGTTGCAGTTGGGGTTCTATCATTTGGTATTCAAGTTATGTTAGCAATTGATTCAAGTAATGAATATTATGCACAAACCAGACTTATGAATTTAAAATCAGTCCAAGATTTACAAAATAGTGTTGACAATTATGGCGAAGGCTCGAACCAAATCGAACGATTAAGGCGATTCTTATTATCTAGAAGATCTTCGTTAGCTGTTAAGGAGGTCAATGAACCACTGGACTCAACAAAAACTTTTCAGGACGAAGAGGACGAAATATTGGTTAAATATGCCCAGAAACGGGTTAGTAAATGGGATTAATGATTTTAGAAATGAAGTTTTATGTATGGTATGTATATTTTTTTAACTATAATGAAAAATAGGAGGCTAAAACAATCAAATTTCTCTTAATTTGTAAAGTAATATTTTATTCAGGCGAATTTAGTAAGTAATTTACCATTTGGTTTGGCACTACTGAACAATTGTTTCCAAATTCCAGGAACTAATTTGATTTTATCTTCTTCATTACTAATATCTTCAATATGTAATCCAGAAGAAGTTTGAACTTTTCCTGTTTGAATAGCTTGACTAATAGTTCCAATAGCTTCAGGAAATTTAGCTGCATAATCACTAACAATAAAACCGGATAAAGTAATACGTTGAGCAATAACTTCACCCCAATTGGTAACTTTTATTTTCTCATAATCATTATAACCAGAAATACTACCACATGCAGCAACCTTACCATATTTGTTTATCTTAGTTAAAATAAAACTTAATATTTCACCACCAACATTATCAAAATAAAGATCAATGCCTTCATCTCCAACTGCTTTAGTTAATTGTTCATGGAAATCTGGCTTTGTGTAGTTAACGCAAATATCAGCACCAAGGGATTCAACCCATTTACATTTTTCATCAGTACCAGAAATACCAATAACTTTAACAGATCCAAAGACATGCTTAGCTAATTGAACAGCAACACATCCTACACCACCTGAAGCAGCTGAAATTGCAATGACAGGGGCTTCACCACCAACTTTCAAACCAAAAATTTCAGTTAACCCAAAATATGCAGTTAAACCCGTAATACCAACATAAGAAATGAAATATGGAATTGGAACACCAAGAGATTGATCAATCTTGGTAAAGATCTCATTTTCATTAGCAATGGCATAATCAGCCCAAAATAATCTACCAATAGCAAGATCTCCAACTTTAAATTTTCCGGATTTAGATTCAAGAATTTCGACAATAGTAACTGACCTAACGGTTTCACCATCAACTGTTGGCTTGACGTAGGATCTTTTTGGATCTAACCCTTTTTGCATCCATGGTCTTTGAGCTGGATCATTGGAAATATATAAAGTTTTAATTAAAACTTGACCATCTTCTAAATCTGGTAATTCAATATGTTTAATTTCAAATGTGGAAGTTGGTTGATCCCATTCCAAATTAATATCCTTGATAGGAGCATTCTTTAAAATGATTTGAGTAGATGAATGAGTCATTATGAGTTATTGGGTAATAGTTGATGTTATAATTATAGTAATTGACCAGTAATTGTTGTGAAATGTGGAGTTGGATCCTTAATTTATATTGTTCATTATTCAGTTGTTTGCAACAAAATAAATTTCGGACACGATACCCCGCGGCATTCTTTTTTTTTAAACCCGTTAACTCCATCTCGGATAGCCAACTCTAAATTGAAAATGACGTAGCTTTAGCGATAGAAACTAGAAAGTTCTATACTTTAAAATGTAATTATACCCTGTTGAATGCTAAATGTTTCATCAACTGACACAATTGTGTAACATAAGGGGAACCAGAACCTTGCTGAGGAACGTTATTGGTATTATCCGCTCACTATTTCTTCCGGTTAAAAACCCTTCATTTCCTATCACCTGTTTCCGTTGATAACTTCGATATAGCAGAATAAGATCGTTACTTGGATAAAGAAGTGGAAGGGTAAGGCTTATATGGTCAAATTTAAGCGATTGACACATATTCACTTTCTATTTTATAAATATGGAAAGTAGTGAAGAGGCTCAAATACTACTAAATTTTCTTAAAAATAGAAGTGTTCCTCATTAATAAAACAAAATGATTCTAATTATGTCTTATAAAAGTCCAACCATCTCTTAAAGTATTGAGATATTGGCTACACTATAGGTTGCAAAATTATTATTAAAATGTCTATTGGTAGCGCAATAACCGGTTAGCTCACAAAATTAAAACCCGTGGTAAATTAATATTTTTATTTGGAACTACTAAACAACTAAAGACATATATATCAATCAATACTTAATCGGAAATCTTAGTAAGAATTTTTCCATTAGCTTTAGCTGAATCGAAAATTTGTTTCCATACTAAAGGAATTAATTCGAATTTGTTAGCTTTTTCAGAAATATCTTCTACAGTATAAGCATTTTCAGTAACTAATTTTTTTTCTTCGATTGCTTTTTCCAATACTTTAATAGCTTCAGGATATTCAGGAATATGATCATGAACAGTAAATCCAATAATATGAAGTCTACTACCAGTGATCACATTCCAATTTGGAAGGGAAGTACTTGCACGATCATTATATTGTGATACACTTCCACAAGAGGCAACTTTACCATAAGGATTCAATTGAGTAAGGACAAAATTTAAAATTTTCCCACCTACGTTATCGAAATAATAATCAGCCCCACCGTTTGAAGATACATAAGCAGATAATTGAGATTCAAAATCAGGATCATTATAATTGAATGCTTTATCAGCCCCAATACTTTCAACCCATTTGGTTTTAGAATCAGTACCAGTAATACCTACTACGGTTGAGATCCCAAACACATGTTTTGCTAATTGAACAGCTGTAGCACCAACTGCCCCTGTAGCAGCCGAAATGATAATTAAATTTTTGTTTGTGAAATTTTCACTATTTTTATCCGAACTAAATCCGAAAGTTTTCGTTAATCCAAAGTAAGCAGTAAGAGGAGCAATACCTAAGATTGAAGAATAATAAGTTAAAGGATATTTTGAAGCTTTATCAATTGGGAAATAAATCATAACTGGTATAGCATAATCTGACCAACTCCAAACTCCAGATACGATATCACCCTTTTTATATTTAGGATCTTTTGAATGTACGATTTCACCTAAACCACCAGCAACAACAGGAGATCCTGCAGGATAAGTTTGATTTTCAACTTTTTGAATAAGAAGTCTAGTATATGGATCATTTGAAAGATAAAGAGTTTTCACTAAGACTTGACCATCCTTTAAATCTTCTGGGTTAATGGTTGACTTTTTGATTTCAAAAGTTGAATCTGATTGATTCCACTCATAATTTGGTTCAGAGACTGGAGCAGTCTTGACAATGATTTCAGTTGATGCAATTGACATGATATGTTGAAGTTATAGGGTTCTAACAGAAGCCAATGAAGATAGATCGAATAAAATCATGTTGGTTATTGCTAGTGAGGGGGAAATTTGTCAGATATTTATAATAATTAGGCTTTTATAACTCGGGGATAACTTAGTCCGAAAATGGACACTATTTTTTTGTCTCTCATTTCTCACTTTGACAGTTAAAGTTTGCAGCCACCGTTTTTTTAATTTCCTATTACCTTCTCTTATTTAGTCATTAAGGTTAATGTTATTGTTGCTAAGACAAGCATGTGTTGGACGGTTCAAAGTTATAACCATAGTTCTAGGAATATACTGATAAATTTTGGTTCATTGATTTGTTTCGTTGGTTTAAAAATTTTATCTGACCTGAGCCACACTTTAATTGAACTTAATATAATGCTATATAAATGCTCGGTGATAAAACGAGAGAACAACGGGAAGTTCGATTGAAACTACAACAACAGAACCTTTACTGATATACCGTTGTGTTTACCTAATTTACATTAAACAGGGATATTTTTTTGAAACATTTATGATTGATTTAATATATTTGCTGATTTCCTGTTATCAGAGGGGATAGAAAGAAATTCAAAAAAAATCAAAAATTTTTTTTTTTTTTTTTCTCTCCTCTCTTTCTAGGATTCATCGCGAAATTTTAAATATTATGGGGACATTTGGAACCAATTTTTATATTTAATGTATATATTCACAATTCATCTTTTGAACTGTTCATAACTTCATAACTTCATAATTTCATTACTCATGATGCACAAGATACAAGAAATAATCAGTTAGATGCACGTTACACGTCATAAAATAATAAAATAATGGCAAATATGTCAAAATTTTTTTTCATACATGGTTCCGCCTCTCACATAAAAAAAAGAAAAAACTAGAAATATCAAAAAAACGTGACCGTCATCACACGACCACAAATGAGTCAAAAATTAAAGTCAAATTAAGCGCCCGTCAACGCATTGACAGAAAACTTGAAAATGAGACTTCAAAACTTCAAATCAGAAAGATAAGTGAAGAGATCAATCTATAGAAGAAAGTACATACTAAGATGGATTTTATGAAACCTGAGACTGTTCTCAATTTAGATAACATTCGACAAGCGTTGATTCGAATGGAAGATACGATTGTATTTGATTTAATTGAACGATCCCAATTTTATCTGTCACCATCGGTTTATGAGATTAATAAATTTAATATTGAAGGATTTAAAGGATCAAGTTTTTTAGATTGGTCATTAATTCAAATGGAAAAGGCTCATTCACAAATTAGAAGATATGAAGCACCTGATGAAAGTCCATTTTTTCCTGATCAAATTTTAAAACCAATTTTACCTCCTATAAAGTATCCCAAGATATTAGCTAAATATACGGATGAGATTAATGTTAATGAAGAGATTAAACAATTTTATGTGAATGAGATTGTTCCACAAGTTAGTTGTAAGATTGGAGAACAAGAAGAAAATTTAGGATCAGTTTCAACTTGTGATATTGAATGTTTACAAGCTATTTCAAGACGAATACATTTTGGGAAATTTGTAGCTGAAGTTAAATATCAAAGTGATAAATTAAATTATATTCGATTAATTAAATTAAAGGATGTTAAAGGAATTGAAGATTCTATAACTAATAGTGTGGTTGAAAATAAAATTTTAGAACGATTAATTATTAAGGGACAAAATTATGGGGTTGATCCATCATTAAAATATAGTCAAAATCCTCAAAGTAAAGTTAAACCAGAAGTAATTGCTAAATTATATAAGGATTATATTATACCATTAACTAAGAAGGTTGAGGTTGATTATTTATTGAGAAGATTAGAAGATGAAGATGAAGAATTGGTTAAATCTGTAGAAGTATAAGGTTACATAGAAACTAATATAATAATATAGACTAGTATTTTGAATAATTGTAGTGAGTAGTTGTGGTAGTAATTAATGGTGGTGGTCATGTATACCCACGAGAGTAAAGCTAATAATAATTAATGTGTGTAAGAATTAACAATTAAATTGACCCAATTGAGTAAATGGCAGTACTAAATAAGACTGAAAATTGAAATTAAAATTGACATATCATAAATGGATATGATATAGTTTGAATTAATGGAATATTACTTAATTGAGCCTAAATTTGCAATTCCATCCATAATCAGATATTAAACTATACAGAATTATCACATGCAAATTTGGGAATTTTTCACTCAACATTATTTTTATATTTGTTTACATTAACTTTTTCTTATCATAAAATGAAATAAAATAAATTTTACCCCATGTGGTTTTTATAATCAGTACGCGCACACTAAAACACACAACACAGTGGATCCTCCACTAGATAGTGAGAAATGACAATGATAATGATTTCTGTTTAGGGGCACAATGTTTTTTCTGACCCAGAGTTTTAGCCGTCGGCACACGAATTTCCCCCTAAATAGTTGTAGTAATAATAAATATTATTATTATTTTTAACAGCCACTCCCTCACTATTTGTTATCCATCAATCCATCGATTAGATTAATTATCACTACAAACATAAATTATTACAATATTACAAGTGACAATTACGTAGATGTAGCAATGTAAACAAACAATCGAACAAATGAATGATGGGTTAGAGGTGAAGTTCCATTTATAGAATCACAACATTACTACCCTTTTTTCTCCAAACTAAGCTGAATCAAATCAAATCAAGCCAAATCAAATAAACATTGTTTTAGGAAAAACGTTTTTATGGGTTGTAAAGAGGTTATGATGGTTTATAAACAGACAGACAGATCACTAAAATATAATATAATATAATTTACTATGCTATTTGCATCCTATTTCCCAGTTTAAAATGGATCCCACGTTTAACTTCTTGTTTCGTTATTTTTTCTTTTTTTGGATTATATTATCTTTTTTTTTTTGGTTTTTTTTTGCACTCGTGGGGGTGTAAAAATATGAATTGGTTAAAGCATTGGTGTATATTTTTACTGTCGTACTATTACAAAACACATAGTTAATTCAATTTTGTTGAATTATAGTTTGATTAAAACTATAAAGTGTGTGACCATGTAAAATATGTAGCTGTATTAAGCCATTCGTCCCACACTAAATATAAATTGTGATTTTATTTCAAGACGTGTCTTCTCTCTTGAGCCTTTTCGTCAAAGCTTAATTAAATCTCTGTTTAAATGTCAATGAAATTTTTCAACAATTTCTATTTATATAAATCAATATTTCTTTAGTTTTACCTCAATTCAATTTTATTTCAATTTCTCTTATTCTTCTTTTTACTTCTTCTTCTTCTTCTTCTTATTTCTTATACTTTCATTTTTCATTCTTTAAATCATCAACCTTCTAGTTTAGTCTTTCATTTCAATTCCCCCAAGAATTGAAATATCTACAAAGCTAACTTTCAACAAAAGAATTACCTCAGATTAGGTGTTTGAGATTCATCTCTCTTCATTACTATCTATCTGTTGTCTTTGTGTGTAATATTCAAGTCTACAACTACAAACCCATCTTCTATCCCTTTTCATTCAAGAGATTGCCCCCTGCCTCCCCACATTTAATTTCTGTTAGACCAAAAAATTCAAATTTTTGTGTGTAAGAGATCTTTGTCAATTTTTCAAATTAGCGTCAAGTACAGCCCAAAAAAAGACAGCACCAGACAGCTTTTTTTTTTTTACCCCCTGTGAGTGAATTTCCCTGTTCTTAAATTGTTATATTTTTTTTACAGCCAATTTTCATTTCCTAATTCCAAATCCCTTACACTTGTTCAATCAATCCAATTGAATCATGTCTGACTTATTAGTGGACTTGTTCCCAACTGATGTATCCAAAATCTACATTTTTACCTCCATTTCCGTGGTGTGTGGTATAATTTTTGTATCTGCTAAATTAAATCAAACCATTCACTCATTATTAGTATTTGCTTGGGCATGTTTTATTCAACCTTTAATTCAAAAGAAATCATCTGGTTTTGTTAAATCTAAAAATCAACAACAAAATTTAGAACAATTTTATAAAAATCAAGCTCATATTTATGATTCAACTAGAGAATTTCTTTTAAAAGGTAGAAAAGAATGTCTTAGATTAGCTTATTCTCATTTATCTAAAAAGAAAGATTTAGTTTGGATCGATGTTGGTGGTGGTACTGGTTCAAATATTGAATATATGAATGAAATCGCCTCTATTTCCAAGAATTTTAAAGCAGTTTATTTAGTTGATTTATCTCCTTCTTTATGTGAAGTAGCTCAAAAAAGAGTTGAAGCTCATGAATGGGATAATGTTCATGTTTTAGTAGCTGATGCTTGTGATTTTGAAATTGATTATAAATTTGCTGATTTAATTACTTTTAGTTATAGTTTATCCATGATTCCAACTTTTAATGCTGCCATTGATAATGCTGTTTCAAAATTAGATAAACAAGGTATTGTTGCTGCCGTTGATTTTGGTATTCAATCTGTTGATACTTCAATTGGTAGAATTAATACTTTAGGTGGTTTAATTGATAGAAATATTCCTTGGGTTTTAAGAAATTTTTGGAGAATTTGGTTTGAAGCTGATAAAGTTTATTTAGATTCTTCAAGAAGAAATTATTTAGAATATAAATTTGGTACCGTCAAATCTTTAAATACTTATAATAAGAGATTAGGTAGAATTCCTTATTATATTTGGATTGGTTGTGATAAATCAAAATCTTCCACTATTTTACATAGATTAAATTGTTTAGCTACTGAATCACCATATTTAGCTCCATCATCAACTCCAATTTCAAATTCTAAAAAAATTGCTATTTCAAAAGGTCATGAAGCTGCTTTATCAAATTTACAAAAAAATTTACCATTCCCATCAATTTATTATCAAAAAGAAATTTGGAGAGTTTATTATGATGATTTAAATCATCAATTTGAACAATTTAAAAATCAATATATTTATGCTTTTACTTGGGAAGATCCTCGTGAAGATAATAATATTTTGAAATTTAGTCCAAATGATACTGTTTTAGCCATTACTTCTGCTGGGGATAATATTTTAAGTTATGCTACTTTACCAGATCCACCAAAAAGAATTCATGCTGTTGATTTAAATCCTTGTCAAAATCATTTATTAGAATTAAAATTAGCTTCATTTAGATGTCTTTCTCATGAACAAATTTGGAAAATGTTTGGTGAAGGTAAAATTGATAATTTTAAAGATCTTTTAATTGATAAATTAAGTCCTCATATGTCTTCTAATGCTTTCCAATATTGGATGCAAAGAGGTGAAAAAACTTTTAAATTAGATGGTAAAGGTCTTTATGATACTGGTTCAACAAGATGGGCTTTAAGATTAGCTAAATATGTTTTCAAAATTTCCGGTGTTACTAAATATGTTAAAGATCTTTGTCATGCTCCAAATATGGATCAACAATTAAAAATTTGGAATGATAGTATTAAACCAGCTATTTTTAATCCAATTGTTGCTACTTTATTAGTGGGTAATCCATTATTCCTTTGGAAAGCTTTAGGTGTTCCAGCTAATCAAGCTGCTATGATGGGTAATTCAGTTATCAAATATGTTATTGATACTTTAGATCCATTATTAAAAAGATCATTAATCTCTAAGGATAATTATTTCTATTACTTATGTCTTATGGGTTATTATGCTTATGACAATTGTCCAGATTATTTAACTGTTAAAGGTTATAAGAGATTAACTACTCAAACCACCACTTTAAATAATGAAAGTCCAATTGATAATATTAGATTACATACTGATACTTTAAATGATGTGTTTGCCAGATTATCTAAAAAATCCATTACTATTGCTATTATTATGGATCATATGGATTGGTTTGATCCTCATGGAACTGATGAAATTAATGAAATCACTGCTTTAAAGAAATGTTTAGTTAATGGTGGTAGAGTTATGTTAAGATCTGCTTCAACTAATCCATGGTATATTAAATCATTTGAAAAATTAGGATTCAAATGTGAAGCTGCTGCTGTTAGAGTTAGTGGTGAATCAATTGATAGAATTAATATGTATGCTTCAACTTGGGTTTGTACTAAAGTTGATACCATTACTGAAGAAGATGAAGATGATGAAGAGGAAGAAACTGTTGATGCAAAAGCTCTTCCAATGCGTAGAAGAATGAGTAGTTTACACATTTAGGTTGAAACAAAGAAAGAAAAAGGTCATTCCATATCATATACAAATCAATAAAAGTTCCTTTCCCTTTTCACAAACCAACCAAGTTATAGAAATCCATTGATTGGATTTAAATCATGATGCCATTTTAATTTTTTTTTATTTTTATTTTTATTTTTTACACAATCAATCAAATCAAATCACATCCATCCATTCTATTTTTTTAAAAAGATTATTGCTACTACTACAACTACTAGCATTACAACTGTTATGTTATAAAAACAACTTAAAATTGCCCAAAAACAAAATTTGAACATATATTCCCTCCCCAATAAAATGAATTATTGTACTGTTATATATATATAAATAAAAATTTAGCTATTCAGTTGTCTATATTTACAATCCGTTCCCTTATATTTTTTTTTTTCTCCTTTTGTTTATTCAATTCTCATGATTAGAAACATATATATGATTAAACTTAGTATATATATTATATCGTACATACATAGATAACAACTACCTACTTATAATAAAAGTAAGAGTCTTATACGAAATTTAAGGAATAATCGATAATTGTCGTAAAGGTGGTTTTAACAACCAAGAGCACAAAGTTAAATTTGTGGTGAGTCGCAAAAATTCGATCTGACCAGAAAATTTGTAATTCGATTAGTAATTTTAAAAGTTGATATTTATAACAGCAACTAAGTTTTATCTTTCTTCTTTTTAAGTCAATTGTTATTGATTATCACTTATCAATTGTATATCCATCATCATGACTAAATCATTTGAGATTGTGTTTGCTGTTCCAATGGAATGTGAAGCTTGTGTGGAATCTGTTGGTAAAGCTTTAACCAATTTATCAGGGATTAATAAATATGATATTTCTCTTAAAGATAATACTGTTATAACTGATGGGATAATACCACCTAGTGAAATTGTTAGAGCCATTCAAGCTACTGGTAGAGATGCTATTATAAGAGGTACCGGTAGTGCCAATTCTGCTGCTGTTTGTATTTTAGAATCATTTGATGCTAAAGATATTAAACAACCAGTTAAAGGGTTAGCTCGTATAGTTAGTGTATCACCTCAAGATTTATTTATTGATTTGACTGTCAATGGCTTACCCAAAGGTGAATATTATCCTTCGATTCGTAGTTCAGGTAATTTATCAGAGGGAGCTTTATCAACTGGATCATTATATTATCAATTACAACCAGTTGAAATTGATCAACCATCAAATATTTATACTACCATCAATGCAATTGGCGCATCTATCACTATTGATGAAGAGAAGGAATCTAAATTATTTTCAGGTCAATCATTCCTTCATGCTAATTTAAGTATTGATGATTTAATTGGTAGATCCATTATTTTATCAAGATTAAAGGATAAAGTTACGTCTGATTCTTTATGTGGAGTTATTGCTAGATCAGCTGGTATTTGGGAAAATGATAAACAAGTATGTAGTTGTAGTGGTAAGACAGTTTGGCAAGAAAGATCTGATGCTCTTGCCAAGGGTATTTCTGTTTAATAGGATTAGTTTTAGACCAATAGTTTTGAATGTATGAAAGATTTTTATGTCATGTATTGTGCCCCATATTCCGATTATTGTCCAGGGCTCACTTTCAATTCAATCTTTCTATACTTACCCCTATATCTCTTGGTAAAAGTGAACAGACTGTGGCTAAGGCGGTAGTAGATTCCAAAGACTTTTCTATGAATACTGCCCAATACCCCCTTATATCTTATCAACATATCCGTATCTATCATACCGTCATAAATATAATTGACATTTGTTATGTCTTAAAATTTAAGACAAGACAAGACAAAAAAAATAATTAGCGAACTTTAACACAATTAAAAAAAAAAAAAATAAGATCAGTAATTTGTTTTGTTTGATCTTTACAACCAATCGAAAGTATTGATCTGAACTGGCCCATAAAGGAATATGTCACTGTCTCTAAAGTCATATATCTTTTCCTTATTGGACGATCAGATTGATTCCATCAGTCAAACCAAAACCATCAAGCTAAACAACATCCTAAACCATACAGGGAATGGTAACGATAACACAACAGGTTCTAGTGATAATAATAATGGTAAGGTTTCATTTTCATTTCTTGAAGTGATAGAAATCGTATATGAATTCTTATATTCTTTCAATCCGCCCTTTGAATGTGAAAGATTAAGTCTTCAGAATAATCATTTAACTGAACTCGCCTTGATTAATAGTACATCAGCTTCATTTTCATTCACATCTTCATTCACATCATTTTTATCCACCATTCGATATTTAGATTTACATAATAATCAAATCAGTCAGATCTCAGATGAGATCTATCATGAATTATCTCGACTTGAAATCTTTGATTTATCCAATAATAAATTAAATCATTTATCAAATTCAATCATTAATCTTCGAAATTTAAGAATTTTATCCATAAAAGATAATAAATTTAAAATCTTACCATCATGGCTAAGTGATATGAATAGTCTTAATTTGATTGAAATATTAGGAAATCCATTGGTTATACCTCCTACTGATTTAATTAAAAGTTTGAATTCAAATGCAAATGATTTGAAATTGTTTTTATCAACAAATAGAGAAACTATAGATTCAAAAGTTTATGAACAATTTTATAATACCTTATCAAGAACACGAAGTATATCAGATACCAAATCAAAAGCTTCAAGAGCTGCCAGAAGAATGGGGTTAATCATTAAGAAACCTCAAGATATAAATAATGAAGATGATGATGAAAATGGTGGCGTAACTACTACTTCAAATAATATAACTCCAATAGCATCCCATAATACTAGCACAGTCATTCCTGAAATTGAAACCAATGGTCATAGCAATAATGATATATCAAATATAACTTCAAGTTTAAATGATTTGATAGTACCGATGACTTCAACTTCTACATCTGTAATAGATTCAACCTTTTCGGCTGGAACTCCACCTTTCCTCACAGTTTCAACTACTACGGCCACCACAGTTCCAAACTCTCCCACTGTATCAACTTCAAAATCATCAGGTGGAGTTTCATCTAATCCAAATTCAAATACATCAACATTAAGTCGACCATCAAGTAGAAATCGATCAAGATCAAATACTCTCAAAGAAATTGATAAAATCTTGGAAAAAAATGAAAATGTTGATACTGAACATAAATCAGGAGCTTACTTTAGAAGATTATCTACTTTACAAGAAAACCCTGGATTGGAAGTTAAAGAAAATTCATCCCTTTCAACATCTCCAACTCAAAAAGTTATCACCAATAATAATAAAATTCATCATTTTAATAAAACAGATGAAATAAAACAAACTGCCATTCCTATTAGATTAGGATCGAATAACAATAGCTCACAAGAATCTTCCATAGCTACCGCTTCCCCTACTAAAGTTTCATTCACGTCTCCAAAAAGACATTCATCATCAGTTATAGTTAAAGTATCAAGAAAGATTTTGTTTTCATTTAGTGAGTTGCATTCATCAGTTAGAAGATTTACAGGATTCTGTAGTGATAAGAAAATAACTATGAAAATGGTATCTTATCTATACGCTACTAAATCAAATATCGATTCATTGGTGGAGAATCTTGAATTGATGGAAGAAAATAGTAATAATTTAGATCAAATTATAACTTGTTTACAAACTTGTATTGGGTCTTTCAAATTAATCATGAATTTGTTAAATGAGAATTTCGTTACTTTTGTAAATAAAATTGACGTTTGCTTTATTAGAATGCTTTATTTGACATTATATGGTTCATTGAATGAATTACTAAATGCTTATAAGATCTTAGTTCCTGAATTTAGTATTACATCTGAAGTGCAACCTATTAATGACGAAGAATATCAACAATATGAAAAGGAAAGATCTCAAATCCAAGATCACGAATATCACGAGTATCAAAAACAACAAGAAGAACAGTATCATGAAAGAGTTCTTTATCATCAAAGACAACTTGAACAAGAACAACAAGAATGGGAACGTCAACAACAAGAACAAGCATTTTATCAATCTAATGACCAAGAACAACACTATCAAGATCAGCCTGATAATGATCAACAAGAACAACCTCAAGATCAATTTCCAAGAGAACAAAATCAACACGATTCACAGGAACAAAGTCAAAGTCAACCACAGCCAGAAGAAGAAAAGGAGACTCCACCACAAGTTCCTCAGAAATTAACTATTAATACCAACTTCAGTCATGATGATGTGGATGAAAAATTGTATAGTACTGTTGAAATTGCAACCACAACAGCTCAAACTATTTTCAGTGAATTAAATAGAGCTATCAGTAAAAGTGCAATGGCTACTGCTACATCATCTAATCCAACCGTTAATCAAACTGTTGCTGCTAAAGTTAAAGAATTGACTAATGTTTGTTTATCCTCATTGGATGTTACTAAAAGATTAAGGACTAAATTAGTCAGTATTCGAAATAGTCCTTCCCAGAATACAAAGAAGTTATTTGGTGAAGATATTAATTCATTCATTAAAGCTATGATTCAAACTTTAGCTACAGTGAAGGGTATTGCTAAAGATTTACCTATCTTAGATGATATTCGTGATCTGATGTCCCATCTTACTAGAACTTGTAAGGAAGTTACTTATATGTTAGAATTATCTTCTTACAAAGGTTTGACAAACTCCAACGGAGACTATGCTGGTCCTCCACCATTATCAGCCATGCCAAGTGTATCCAATATCTTCACACCAGTATCACATACTGCTAGTCAAACTAATTCACTAAGTAACAATACTAATTCCCTGTCAGTTGTAAATCTAGCTCAATTGAGTAATAATTCATTGTTAGTGAATAGTGGTGGTCCAGCTCCAGTAAGAACCCCATTGGTTGCAACTTTGGGTCCTGCTGCACAAGCTATTATGCCTAGCAACACAATCAGTCATAATACCAACAGTCTTGAAAATGGTCCTGCATCAGCCGTCCATCAAACTAGCGGATTTAATAGCAGTCCCCTTGCTAGTCCAAATATTGGCGGTAATGGTCCAGTTACAGCTCCTCCGCAATCTAGTGGACAATTCTATGCTAGTCATGGAATGAATCCATTCGATGGTTTAATTATGGCTCAACGACAATCACAAGATGACCATAATGGTAATGATCATTAGCCATTAGATTAAATGTCAATATACATGTTTATATTGTTCCACTTTTTCACTGTAGAAATTTACATAACCCCACTGAGCTCGGAGGTGAATATCTCTTGGTTCGGTGTTTCCTTCAATTTACGTACATATTGGGCTATTGGCGGCTAAAATTCTTAAAAGAGTCTTCTCGTTTTTGTGCAGGAATCTTTAATTTTTTTTTGCTATTTTTTTTTATTAGAGATATGATTCATAGAGATTTTGACATCTTTGAAAGATTTGAATCTGTAGTTTGATTGACTTGTTAGAATGACGATAGAATTAGAAGAGCCACCACTCACTCACGATAACAATCAAGTCTTCAAAGACTTGTTTGCTGGTACCATGGGTGGTATTGCCCAAGTGTTAGTTGGACAACCATTTGATACTGTTAAAGTTAGATTACAATCAGCTCCAGAAGGTACTTATAATGGTGCTTTAGATGTTATAAAACAATTACTTAAAAATGAAGGACCAAGAGGTTTTTACAAAGGTACATTGACTCCATTGGTCGGTGTTGGTGCCTGTGTATCTGTTCAATTTTCAGTCAACGAATTCATGAAGAGATATTATGATAAGAAACTTGGAGGACAACCATTATCATTATTACAATTCTTCAATTGTGGTGCTGTTGCAGGTTTTGCCAATGGTTTCTTAGCTTCGCCAATTGAACATATTCGTATTCGTTTACAAACCCAAACCAGTACAAAAGCTTTTAATGGCCCAATAGATTGTTTCAGTAAGATTTATCAACAACAAGGTCTTTTCGGAGGTATTTATAAAGGTCTCATCCCCACGTTGTTCAGAGAAAGTGTTGGCTTAGGTATTTACTTTGCCACTTACGAAGCTTTAATCGCTAGAGATTTGGCTAAAGATAGATCATTAACTAGAGCTGATATTTCAAGTTTGAAATTATGTTTATATGGTGGTTTATCTGGTTATACTTTATGGATTGGTATTTATCCAGTTGATGTGATTAAATCCAAATTACAAACTGATTCTTTATCTAAACCTACATTTAAAGGATCACTCGATGTTATAAGATCTGTTTATGGTAGTTCTGGAATCAAAGGATTCTATAGAGGTTTCATTCCAACCATTTTAAGAGCTGCTCCTGCTAATGGAGCAACATTCGCAGTATTTGAAATAACTATGAGAATGTTAGGTTAATCCATTTTAATTCTCGTTGTAATCATTTGTACATATTCGAAATAGACTAATTTATATACTACATTTATAAAACTTCCTTCTAATATAATTTTCGTTATCATTAAAAATTCATTACTACCTCACAGAAAAAGTGAAATTGTTATATACATCATTATTCTCGTTTAACTAAATGCTGGTTATCTGGAGAGTGAAGCTCAAAATCATGACCATAACCATGAATATTGTTATCAATAGCATTATAGTTTTTAAATTGATCATCACCTTCTTCTTCTCCTTCATAATCTTGGGGTCGTATTATTTTAATGAATTCAATAAAATCCATCAAATATTCACCATTAAATTCATAAGAATCTGTACCAGATAATTCAACCTTCTCCAAATAACTCATTTCACTAGTAGAGTCAACTCTAGTAGCATCTTGTGGTGAAAGTTGTGATTCCAATTCATTATTGTTGCCCTGTTGCTTTTCTCTTTCAGCTTGCTCTCTAATCCTTTTATTAAAATCTTTATCAATTCTTAAATGTAAGCCTGGAATAAGGTCAATTATGTATAAGAAAACACAACTCATAATGAATGTGTACGATGATACCACCACACAACCAAGGGCTTGATACCCTAATTGAATCCAATGACCTTTGACCCAACCTCCACGGGAACTATAAAGATCATTGGCAAATATTCCAGTCATTAATGAACCAACTATACCAGCAACTCCATGAATAGCAAAGATATCAAGGGCATCATCAATTCTAAAAAAGTACTTTAATCTTGTTGAGAAATTACCAATAATAGCACCCACAAATCCAAAAACAATACTCTTCCACAACTCAGTTGGCGATGACACAAATCCACCTGCTGGAGTAATCACTACTAAACCAGCCATGACACCAGAAGAAAATGAAATCATCGAAACTTTTCTTCTCATTACAAAGTTAGACTTTGATTCATGTAAATGTTGATTAAGCAATACACCTGTTTGTGATATTTGAGGTGCTAAAGATGTGTGCGATGCAATAGCAGAAAGTTTTGCCTCATTAAGAGAATCATCCAATTCGGTGCCTTCAAGAGGTATCAACGAGAAATAATAATCAATGGCAGTCCAAACAATTCCACTAACACAAGCACATAATATAGTATTAACAAAGATATAAATCGAGTATTCGGAAAACTTGTAGTCACAACCTCCAATAAATCCAATCCATCCACAGGCTACCAAAAAGGTACCAATTACAATGTAACCAGTATTGATATTTCTATAGTTGTATAATAGTTTTGGATTTCTGGGTCCCAAGATATAAGAATAAGCTAAGCAAGTAAAACCGCTTACAACATGAATACAGTTACCACCTGCAAAATCAAGAACTGGTAATCTGTCTAAATTGACTGAAAGCCAACCATTTGCGTTCCAAAACCAATACGTAACAGGATTATAGATCATGCAAGACCAGAAAAAAAGAAATACCAACATTGGAAGAATTCTACCTCTTTCTGCAATACAACCTGGAAATGTTAATCCAACACAAATAATCTTAAACAAACTATTGAACAAAAAGTGATTTATGACCAATATATCACCTCTTGAAGTATTATACATTAATAAGGCATTGTCTCTCACGTTTCGCAATACAGTAAAGTCCAAATTCCCTATAAATCTATTAGAAGAACTTGAATAACATAATGAATAACTCCATATGAAATAATCAAGAAACACAAACGGAACCAACCACACTGGGAGTGCAAACATAGTCAAAGAAGATCTTCTTTGGGTTAAACCTGCGTAAAAATAAGCTATCCCAATGACACATAAGGGTAATAGCGCAGTGCAATATAGCATGTAAAGAGCATTTAAGCCAGTCTTGACGTCTATCAAGTCTATAATATCCTGAGCCATATTAATACCTCACCTTGTAATATAGTCTTATCTCATAAAAAGGTAATGTGGATGTTGTTGGTAAACAAGGAATTCAATTATTATAGATGAGATAGAAACAAGATTTAGCCAGATTTATTTCAATTGTTCCTACATCATTTAAAGATTTTTTTGAAAATCTTGCACAATCGGTTTTATCGAAATGCGTCTAACGGTGCCAGCAAAATTCTCTAAAGCACGTGCGGCAGACACTCGGAATTGAAAAATTTGCACCTAAATAGTTTTGATTTAGATTTAACTCAATTCTATCAAATTCTCGTTTTAATATGGCACAGTTAATGCAGACGTTATAATAAGTAGAATTCATGAAGGTTGCAAGATTGTAGCCATTGTCAATCATTTTATTAACTTCGTCGAATTCATAACTTAATTGAAAAGTTGAAGTATTGGATTGGTATGTATATGGAGCATTTGAAGTATGTACTATCAACGGTGGAAGAAAGTCATCATTGGTTGAAGAAAGATAATGATCAGCTGATACCACGCTTAAGGATATGTTTGAATTTAGGTTTAGATTAGGATAATCATTTCTAAGATCACATCCTAGAAATATTGGTCTTTGATTTAAACCATTTGCAATCACAACATCTGGTGTTGGGAAATATGGTAAAACTGATTTCACAACTTTTGTTGAATTATAACTTTTTGTGAAATTATTTAAATCAACACTTTCAGTAAGTGTAAAATAAGGTAGCAATATTTGTGAATTATTATTATGATACCTCTCAACCGTTGCTTGGATTGTAGTTCCATTTGGATAATTGTCCTTGTCAGCAGTCATGTCAAAGGATAAAATTAAATCAACTTCTCTAGAACGTCTAAGAAATGGATGCAATGGAATATTCTGTCCATCATCACCACCATCGACTAAGTAAATATCAGTACTTTCAGTCAATCTCATTCCTTTTGAAGTTCTACTTTTCAAACCGTAAAATGGATTCGGTGAGTATAAGGCATAATCAGGGTGAACTCTTGGATTATTCAAATCTTTGTATTGTGCACTTAATCCAAAAACTTTAAGAATTGCTTCTAAAGCTACTGTTGCATCCAGTTTCATATCGATCAAGAACTTGTAAAGATATACAAAAACATGATTAAACAACGAAGAACTAGTGCCTGTCACAAATGAAACACTATCAAACCCCGATATACATATTGAAATATTTTCATTTTCAGTTTTATGAATCGAGTAGCCCGCATTTAAACTTGAACCGAGATATTTAATAGGTATAAAAGCATTAAGATATGAATCCCAAGACCCGAACTCGTAAGGTGTAAATTCAAAAAGGTGGGAATCTTTACTGGATTCTGTAGTATGGGGACTTCTTTCTACTGAACAGATTATAGGAAACGGCTGTTGCCATTTTTGAAATGATGGCAATAATGTACCAGCGGATAAAGTAGCTCCTGGTGTTCGAGCAGTTGATGAAAATATTCTTCTAGCTAGGGCCCGACCCCAATAATCAGTTAACGAGATATGGAAACCAGCTTTTCTTTTATCCCGAACTTCTATCTGAAGTTCTTTGTAGTATGAAAATATTTCCTTTAAAGAGATATTTTTCACTACTTTAACTCCTTTAGTTGTGGTGTTATTCTTAGAGAATAGTGACTTAATTAGTGTGACGAAGTATGCTTCAATATTAGTAGAATTTCCCTTACTTTTAGATAACTCTTGAACTTCGTCTTCAGAATTCTGCGGCTTATCGCCTTTAACTGAATTTGTTTTAATTCCAAACCAGCCTAGAAATCCACTGATAAAATTTCCTTTAAAATCCTTTTCAATTTTAGGTTCGTTGGATGCATCAGTTACCTGCATGACAGGAGTGGTTTCTAAAGGTGGATCTATCACAATGTTGTTTTGAAAAGTTCCAGGATCAAAACTTGGAATACCCTCAAGTAATTGTTTATCCAAACTCCATCCTTTATTATCATCTTTAACCTTATAAATTGGTTGAAAATCCCCAATGAAATTACTCATAACCAACCACGACCCACCTGATATACCTCCTATATATGATGTGGCTTGTAATAGGCCACCCAAATTATCAGTTGCATTTGGTGTTCTCAAATCATATGCAGACAAAACACCAGCACTTAAGAGCATAGATCTGAATCCTCCTCCTGATACAGCAATTGCAATCTTGGTAGATTTATATTTCTTGCCTAAGAAAGTTTCAAAGTCAAATGATGGGATTCTATGACGTGAAAGTAAATCTCTAAGCTCTAATTCTGTTATTTGTGTTCGATTACTCATGTATAATCTTTCATCCTCTCCTAGTTGCTAAGAAAACACATGTTAGTATTTATGCCTTTTTTTTTATCTTTGCAGGGGTAACTCTTACATCATTTGCAATTCTAACTAAATTGCTGGATGGACAAAGTACAGTGTAAGGAGCATATGATAGATTCCAGAAATGTTGACCTCTGGTGGAGATAAAGTTCCCATTAGATCTAACTAAACTAGTTGTTGCAACAAAATATTTGAGCGGATCTTTTGGATTCGAAATATTCAAAGGGGTTTTTGAATCCATGCTTCTATCCATTCCTAAGCATTGCTCTAGCAAAAGCATGAAGCAGAGAGATAACCAATACATTGGAAATGATTGATTGATTAGATTAAAGGAAGATGGCTTCCACAAACTTCAAAATTGCAGTCAAAATTTAAAGAGAAACAGATTCATTTTTTAGTGAGAGAAAAATTTACAGTAACAATGAAAAGCAGTTATATAAAGTTAAAAGTGTGATCCATTTATTTTTTTATAAAACAATCTATAATATTAAACATAGAATAAACATTCAACTATGAAAACACTAATTAATAAGAATAATAATGAAAATAAAAAAAAGAGAGATTATGATATGTAAAAAAAGAGATATACAAGTGTGCTTTTTAGAAATCTAAATAACTAGATTTAGAAATCATCGTCATCTTCGGAGACGTAAGCATCACCTAATTCCTTCTTCTTCTTCATTCTTTCCTTCTTCTTTTTTCTTAATTCGGCAGAAGATAACTTCTTCTTCTTCTTAACAGCAGCAAGCTTGTTACCCATAGCATCGAATTTATCTTCTTCATCATCTTCTTTGTTTTCAATTCTTGGACCAGCACCTTGACCTTGGACCCAATTGTGACCAGATGGAGTCATTCTACCGTCAACGACAGCCCAAACTTCTTCAGTGATATCTTTGGTGAATTCGGCAGAGTGAGTAATAATAACAATACCACCAGCAAAAGCCTTCAAGGCCTTTGATAAAGCACCTAAGGAGTCACGATCTAAATAATTGGTTGGTTCATCTAAGACGATTAAATGAGGTCTTTGCCAAGTACAAGCAGCTAAGACTAATTTAACTTTTTGACCACCAGATAAACCTCTAATTCTAGAGTGGGAAACTAATTCAGCATCTAAACCTAACATAGCACAATGTTCTTCAATTTCCTTTCTGGTTAATGGTCTGAATTGACCTGAAGCTAAAGCTTCTTTCATATCAACTTCAGCAACTAATTTGGCGTGAGTTTCCATTAATTCACCTCTTGGTAACCAAGCGTTATCAACAGACATCATTGGAACCCATCTTTCATTCTTCATACCAATGTTTTCACCTAAAGACCAAGAACATTCATATTCGTAAGAGTTCTTGAACTTTCTTCTAGCGTGAATACCGACAACTCTTCTTGGAGTACCTTCAATCTTGAAGATCTTGTTCATATTTTGTTCATCTTCTTCATTGATTTGTCTAGAAGCTCTATCCATAGTTTCTCTATCTTCACCGGTTTGGAATCTCCATTGGATATATTCAGATGGAGTTTTGTCTAAATGGTTATCAATATGAGCGAAAGCATGTTGTTTAATGTAAGCAATACGAGCGTTTTCGTGAACGTAAACTTCACCAGTGGTTGGTAATAATTCACCGGTTAAAACATTAATTAAAGTAGATTTACCAGCACCATTTGGACCAATAACGGCAATTCTTGAGGATAAAGAACATTGGAAATTAATATCGGTAATTTGTGGTTTAGTAGTACCTGGATATTGGAAAGACATACCAGAAACCTTAACAATGGCTTTTTGTTTAGTCTTAACACCTTCTAAGAAACCTGGTTCTGGGAAACTGAATTCTAAATCAGAAGCACCTAATTCGTAATAAGATTGAGCAGATGGACATTTCTTAACGAATTCAGATAAGTTACCTTTATATTTTCTTAATTTGAAACCTTCATAATGGATAATATATTGGGTAACTTTATCTAAGAAACCGGAATCATGGGAAACAATAATGGAAGTAATACCACAAGTGTTTAAGTAGTTAACTAACCAAGCAACATTAACAGTATCTAAATGATTAGTTGGTTCATCTAATAATAAGATATCAGCGTTCTTTAAGACAGCTCTGGCTAAAGCTAATTTCATTTTCCAACCACCAGATAAAGATTGAATTGGCATACGGATCATGTCATCGGAGAAATTGAATTCGGTTAATTTAGCAACAACAGCTTCTTCGGTTAAACCAACTTCACCATCTTCAAGGACGAATTGAGCAACGGTGGTATCAGCATGAGTACCATCAATATCATGTTCAACATAAACAGTCTTACATTCTTTTTGAGTTGGGAAACCTTCAACTTGTCCATTAGCAATAGCTCTCATCAAGGTAGATTTACCAGCACCATTTGGACCACATAAACCATATCTTCTATTTCTCTTTAATCTAAATTGAGTCTTGTTTAATAAGATTTTAGCACCATAAGCTAATGAGAACTCACAGTTACATAAATCTTCACCTTCATCTTCTTCATCTTCAAAAGCTGGAGGTTCTGGAATGTTATCAATAGCTCTCTTTCTGAATTCTTCAATAAGTTCTTCAGCTTCTTTTTCATGTAAGAAAATAGTAGCGAATGGTAAAAGGTTTTGAATCCAAGAACCTGGGTGAATGTTTCTTTCATCAATTAAATCACCGGCAATAGCAGCAATATAAGTTAAAACAACATCAAATCTCTTGGCAATACTCTTACCTTCAAGTAAATTGGTGAATTCTTTTAAGGTAACTGGAATATCACCAGCAGTAGAGATTTCTGGGATAACATCACCAGCACCAATGTTACCAACTCTTCTTAAAGTAGTTAAAGCTCTGTTAGTAACTTCACGAGCTTCTGGATCAGCAATGTTAGCAAAGTTAACTTTTAAGGATGGTAATAATTTGTCTAAGAAAGGAGCAACAACTTGAGGATCATCGACTAACTTACACATGTTATCAACAATAACAGCAGCTTTACGTTTAACAGCAGTATCACGTTCAGCTAAACCTCTTGATAATAATGGAACCATAATAGATAAAGTAGCCATGGTAACTTCAGAAACAAAAGTAGTAGCACCTAATAAGTGAACGGTTTCAGAAACTTCAGTTGGTTTAGCAATACAAGCAATTAATTTTGGAATAAATTTTTCAATATCTTTGTTATCAATGGTATCAGTAGATTTAGTCATAGTAGCAGTGGCAGCATCTTTAACTTCTTTTTTGGTATCCCACATAGTTTCAGATAAAACTGGGATTAATTCCGGCATTCTTAAAGCAATTTGATCTTTAGCAGTATCAACTAATTGAGAAACAGCTTTTAAAACAGCAATTTTTTCAGTCCATTTGTTGGTGGTAGTTAAACTATCTAATAATTTTGGTAAGATAACTTTAACAGAGGTTGGAGTGATGGCAGAAGCAATGGCAATTAAAGCAGCAGAAGCAGCATCTTGAACTTCTTTTGTTTTATCACCAGCTTTAGCAGCAACATCTTGAACTAATTCAACAACATAAGGTTCAACTGATGGAGATAAAGCATTAGAAGAAGAAATATGAGCATAAGCATTTAAACCAGCAATGACAGCAGCAGTGTCTTTCTTGTTGTTAATTTCCTTCTTTAAATCTTCAAAGAATTCAACTGGAGCATCATGTTCAACAATTGATGAGTTTAAAAATGATGAAACATTAGCAGCAGCTTCATCCTTGTTATCAGCAACTTTTAATTTGCTCAATAACTCGGAAAGCACTTCAGTAGAGTATTTTGATTCACTGGCGGCAGACATTTTCCAATGTTAATTGACAAGGAAAAGAAAGGGAAAGAGAAATCAAAAGCAACAAGAAGAAGAAGATCTTAAAAGGAAAAAGTTTCGTTGTAAATATGTAAAATTTTTTTTGTAGGTGTTGGTTGGGTGGGCCACCTGTAATACAGCAGACAAAAAAATTTTTTTAAGCGTAATATTTTTTTTTAGGCACAAATTTTTTTTTTTTTCAATGATATCTCTTCTCAGGAAAAATGGCTGAAAAGGGTATGTGCGGCTCAAATATATTAATAACAGGAGTTAATAATAATAATAAAAAAAAGAAATTTTTCGTTGATGGTCATAATTATAGTTTCCGGGTAAATATGAGGATGGGTTAAGTATGAGCGTTGGGTATCAAAATTACTTAACAGATCAAGGGTTACCCGGAATTTCATCAATGGATAATAGACAATCATCCCATCATATATTTACGTGGTAACAATAATCAATTACTATGTTGATTGCTACATGGAACTGTAATATACTGGTGACCCACCTAAGATAGTTGGATATATGAATTGGGAATAAACAAAGTGTCAGATATAATATTTAACCTTGACTTTCAAGCACGTTTGACTATTAATCCTTTTTTGGCTTAATTAGGTTAAAATTAGACTCACCAAAGTACGGTATATAAAATGAGTTGGTCTGCATATAATGCCGCGGTATGGATGTCACATCTTAGTATTGAAATTTACAGCCAATTCATAATTAATCTACCCTATGGGTAATGGAATAACCTCAACTTGATTCATTCAATTGATCAGTTGTTTCAGTTGTATGGTGAATTGTAGATTGATCTAACCACCAATTGATCTTTTTGATTCCATGAATAGTAATGAAATCTTGTAAGCTATAGTATGGTATTTACCGTTACGTGTAACTATGTATCCCTCATACGAATTACTGGCCACTTCATCTGTTATGGATACAATTCCACTTATCTGACTTTCAATAACCATCTCATATGATTTGAATCATTTACATATGTTGGTATAATACATTCAACCCCTTTACATATTCCAACAATGTATTATCAGAATCATGTTTTATATACACTCTTGAACTGCTTACTCCAGAAATTAAACTCAAAAATTATTAATACTGAGTTGACAAATATCGAATTCATTTGCAATTCATCATCCTACACCATAAATTATCTAGATTCAAGTATCAATGTTGATAGATAAAGAAACTAAATATGATAGACAACTACGATTATGGGCATCAACTGGACAATCAAAGCTTGAAAACTCTCATATATGTTTAATAAATGCAACTGCAACTGGTTGTGAAATCATAAAGAATTTGGTTTTACCAGGTATAGGAGCTTTCACAATTATAGATGATAAGAAAGTAACCATCCTGGATTTATCAGGAAATTTCTTTTTAACTGATAGTGATATTGGTAAAGATCTAGCCACGGCTGCTAAAGAGAATCTTAACGAAATGAATTATGAAGTTAAAGGTTATGATATAATCAAATCAATTGATTCCATATTAAATAGTGAGGAAGACGACGATGTATCTCTTTGGGATACTTTCAATGTGGTGATTGTAAGTGATTACTGTTGTCAATTGGATAAATTGAAGCAATTATTATGGAATAAGAAAATCCCTTTATTGATAGTAAATACAATTGGATTCTATGGTTCATTGAATTTGATATCTCATGAAACAACCGTAATTGAAACTCATCAATCGAATAAATTATACGATTTAAGAATTGATAAACCGTGGCATGAATTAGCACAATTAGTCGAAAATACAGATTTAGATTCCTTCAATGATATAGATCATGCTCATGTCCCTTCAATAGTGATTCATATCAAAGCATTAAATGCTTGGAAGCGTGATCATGATAATAAACCTCCAAAGACAAGAGATGAGAGACTTGATTTCAAAAAGCATTATATAACGACTTTATCAAGAAATATTAACTTGGAAGGAAATTTCATAGAAGCACTTGATTCATTCCATAGAGCTTTAAGACCTACTGAAATTCCTTATTCCTTACAAGAATTATTCAACAATAATCAAATATTTGATGAAAATCTTAATTTATCCACTCCAATTTTCTGGATTTATATAAAAGCATTGAAAAACTTTGTTGATCAGAATGATGGTTTACTACCATTACCAGGTTCATTGCCTGATATGGAATCAGATACAGAAAGTTTCATTTCATTGAAATCAATTTATAGAGAAAAAGCCATTCAAGACCAAACTTTGTTTTATGAAGAAGTCATTAAAATGTTAAGATCTTTAGGAAGATACGATGATGAAATAAGTAAGGATTCAATCACAACATTCTGTAAAAATGCTCAATCATTACATGTGTCTTATGGATCTGACAAATTATATGATTCAAGTCTTCTCCAAGAATTATTATCGCCTAGTCCCGATCAGACTTTAGTGAATGTTTATTTCTCCATCCTTGCATTTAACACCTTTATAACGGAGTTTGGTAAACTGCCATCTGCAACAAATATCGAAGATTTCACAAAGATTTTTAAGAATTCATTTGGCATTAAAGAAGATGCACTTTCTTCTTCTCTAAAGGAAACTATTCAGGAGTTATTGGCTCATAGTAGTCGTAGTTATCATAACTTGAGTAGTTTGATGGGTGGGATCGCCAGTCAAGAGGTTCTTAAATTAACTACAGCTCAATATATTCCTCTTGATAATGTATTTGTATTTGATGGAATTCATTCCCTGAGTAATAAATGGAAAATAAATTCATGAATATAGATCTATATATGCTTCAATATAATTATTTTCTTACAAATCGTCAAAAGAACCTTGCACAGCGGAGACCTTTTTCTTTTTATTAGTCTTGACCACTTCTTTCCAATCTTCTTGTGCTTGTTCATCACCAGAAGATTCTTCATTGATTTGTTTTTCGATAGCTTCTCTCTTTCTTTTCATCTTTTCTCTTCTTTCTTGTTTAGATTCTTTGGTTTCAGTTTTACTCGACCATGCTTCATTTTTAATCTTAAATTCTTTTCTCTTTTTAGCATCTTGAATCTTCTTTAACTTTTCAGCTTCTAAATTCTCAAGACGTGCTTTTTCTTTAAGTGGATCAGCATAAGCAAACTTATCCATATCAATAACTTCCCCCAACCAAGCATCTTCAGGCATTTCTTCATTCGGTATGAATTTGGATTCTGGCATCTTAGGTAATCTTAATAATCCATACATCTTGGCTAATGGTATATATGGTAAGTTTTGATATCTGAATATAGAAGATGCAATGTGCTTGGTATAATATCTCACAAATCCAACATATGATTTGATAGCTAATTCATGACGAGATCTATCTTGTAATACATACTGTCTGAATCGTTTTTGAAAGTCTTCATGATATTTAGTTGAAATAGGAGGTAAGGACATTTCCTTCATCATTATACCTTTAACTTCCATGAATCCTGCGTATTCTTCTTCTCTGGAATCTATATTTAACATGACAATAGCTTGTCCCACTTTGTTGGCTCTTCCTGTTCTACCACATCTATGTAAGAACACATCTGGATCAGTTGGGGGATCAATCTGTATAACTAAATCAACATCAGGAATATCTATACCTCTAGCAGCCACATCGGTAGTCATTAAGACAAATTTCTTTAATGAAGCATCTCCATCTGAAAAACTTTGAATTGCTCTTAATCTAGCTTTGGTCGACAATTGTCCATGCAAGGATACAAATTTAACATGATCATCATCTCCTCCTTTACTCACTAATCTCTCAAACATATTATAAAAGTATTTAACTCCTGTACAAGTTGGGAAATAAACAATACATTTCTTAAATTTGTAATCATCTAATAATTTAATCAAAGTTGTAAGTTTATGTTCTGGATTTATAGGTAAGTAAGATATAGTTAATGAGCTTGGAGCTGAATTATGGGCTGATTTTGATTTAACAGCTACTCTGACTGGATTATTCATACCGGTTCTGAAAATAGTATCACCTGCTGATGATATAGTGGCCGAAAATAAACCAGTACGACGTTGTTTAGGTAATCTCTTCAAGATATTGGTGATATCCTTTTCAAATGAAAAATCTAATAATTTATCAGCTTCATCTAAAATCGCTATTTCCACTGAAGTCGTCTTCACATAATTTGATGATAAGAAATCTAACATTCTACCGGGAGTCGCTATCAAAATCTGAGGTCTATTGTTTAAAAAGTTATCAATATCTTCTCTCACTCCAGATAATGAACCAACTAAGAGCTGGGTCTTGATAGGTTCTTTGTCTTCTGGTAAATATTCCAAGACTGAATTGAATACAGATTGAATTTGACTAGCTAATTCTCTGGTTGGTGACAATATTATAGCTAACATATGACCTCGTTTAACTTTCTCTGGAGTTCCTTCTTCTTCATTCACCGAATATAAACGTTCTGATACCTTTTGTAATACCGGCATAGCAAATGCTAAAGTCTTTCCTGAACCTGTCACGGCTTCTACTACCACATCTTTATTCCCACTAAGTAACGGTATAGTAGATGCTTGAACTGGAGTCATGGTTGGATATCCCATAGACCGTATAGCTTCTTGTAACCAAGGATTTAATTCATATTTCAAGTTGTCCCATGATAAGGAACCTTTCTTAGTCTCCATTTCTATCAAGATGTTCTTTTGGGTAGTTATAGAAAGTAGATCACTAAGTCTATATGAATTTGTATTTGGCTCCAAATTTTTTTCTGATATGCGTTACAAAAAAAAAATCTGGGATGAGTATCGATACACAAAATTTTGTACTGTAAATACTTCTATGCTAAGTCTACGGTATCCACTTGGTAGGATAGTCTTTCAAAGAGCTTTTAGTTGTATCGGTGGCCTTAGGATGAGTGAATCCAATTTACCTGTTGAATATGAAAAATGGACCAAGAAAAAGTTAATTGATAAAATACGACAATTAGAGTCAAAATCAACTATAAATGGAGATTCTCCAACTCCAGAAGTTGGAGCTCCACTAGCTAAGAAAGCAAAGAAAAGAGTGTTTGATATCAATAAGCATCCAAAGAGATTTGTCGCTTTGAAATTTGCTTATTTGGGATGGAACTATAATGGGTTGGCTTATCAATATGAAGAGACTCCATTACCTACCGTTGAAGAAACTATACTTCAAGCTTTAGCAACAGCAAAGTTAATAGCAGGACCTAATCCAGAATCCTGTAAATTCAGTAGATGTGGAAGAACTGATAAAGGTGTTAGTGCTATGAATCAAGTCATTTCAATTGATCTTAGATCAGCATTAACTGAAGAAGAACAAAAATTAAAGGAAAATGATCATAAAGAAATCAAATATCTTTCAATAATAAATTCTATATTACCAGCTGATATCCGAGTTAACGCTATTTGTTTAAGACCTCCAGAAAACTTTGATGCCAGATTCAGTTGTTCTTATAGACATTATCGTTATCTTTTTAAGAAGATGGATTTAGATATCGATTTAATGAATGAAGCAGCCAACAAGTATGAAGGTGTTCATGATTTCCGTAATTTCTGCAAGCTTGATGGATCCAAACAGATCACCAATTTTACCAGATTAATTCATAGTGCTAAGATTATTCATTTACAAGATGATATTTACGCATTCGACTTAAAAGGGTCAGCATTTCTTTGGCATCAAGTCCGTTGCATGGTGGCTATTTTATTCTTGGTTGCTCAAAAGTTAGAGAAACCTGCTATAATTGATGATTTAATGAACGTTGAAATGTTTCCAACTAAACCAGTTTACGAAATGGCCCATGACGTTCCATTGATATTGTATGATTGTGCATATCCTGAAATGGAATGGTCAACTCCAAATGAAATAGAAGATATTCAAAAGTTTTTCAAACATTTTAGTATGTTTAAGGGAATTCTTACTGATTATCAGTTAAAAACTCATATTACTGGTATAATGAGTGGATTAGTATTGAAAGACTCTGATAAAATTGTTAATAAAACTGGAGGTAATATCAATCTTGGTAATGGTACTGGAAGAAATTATAACAAGTACGTTCCTCTTCATGATAGAGATGTTGGAGAATCATTTGAGATTGTTAATGCCAGACATAAAGAAAAGAAAAAGCGTAGAATAGAGGCTAGAGAAGAAGATTGTAAATAGAAAAAAACCTGTATTAATATGTATAAAATATAAATCTATCTATAAGTCATTATCATTATTCATTAGTTATTTAATTAGAAATCCATGATGGTTCCCAGAATTGATATTCACCATTATCACCTTGAGTATCTACCCACACCAACCCATTCATAATCATTTCTTCCACCACAGTTTTACATCTTATTTTATCCCAATCGTAGTTATCTCTTAATAATCTATAAGTAACAAACCCTCCCATGAAACTACAAAGCTCATAAACTTTCTTTTGATCATTGGAAATACCACTACCTGTCGCACTGGTAAATTTCAACCATTTTTTATCATTGATATTTAAAATCGTATAACCCTTACCTAATGTATTAAGATGGATTAAGGATCTTTCAATGTCACTCTGTGATATATTTATTTGTAATGAGTCACTATCTTTTAAAATCGATATTAGTTCTTTTAAGGCAATCAAACCTCCATTTAAATCTCTTGTCTTTTGACATACTTCTGTTATTCTCACAGCAAGAGCAATATAAAAATTATCACCTCTGGATTTGTTAGATGTTGTTGACGACGAATTAGTATAAAGAATCAAATCCAATGGATCAATACCTACCAGATTACAAATCTGAGTGAATTTGCTTCTAAACTCCAAATTCTGTTTAATCTCATCTCCATGTTCGCTTGCAAAATTGACTAATGCTGATTGAAATACTGATAGCTGTGTAGATAACTGATCGGTATGTCTTTCATTTATGGATCTACCCAATTGAGAATATGCATCTCTATCCTGCTGCCAACTATAATTCATCTCGCTAAGCAACTTAAAAACACTAACTATCTTAGATTGCTGTCCTATTTTTACCCAACAAGGTTTGCAAAATTGAAATCCAGAAATCTTCACATGGCGTAATCAATATTTGTAAATTTTGTAGATGGTATACTTTTTTTTTTATCTCCCTTTACGAAGCGCTCCACAACTTATTTATTTTTTTGCACCTTTTAGTGTGCACATGTTCAAATGTACAAGCTCGGTACTTTAGTTTATATCGCCAAAATTACATAAACCCGATACTTGAACTTCTTGATTTTATTTTTATTTGTTTATAACATTGTCAATTGGTTACTTTGATTGGAAGTGATAAGTAAACCGATATTTAAATCATGTCCTCGACCAAATACTCCGTTAAGGCTCCACGAGAGATAGAAGTTACCTTAGGAAAAGGTGTTAAAGGAACTATAGCCATACCCCACTCTGCAGATGCAGAAAATCCATATGAAGAAGGTTTAGCTCCTGCTACTCATAAGGCTGCATTGATCTTACATGGTCAAGGGGGACATAGAGACTATTGCTATCAAAAGTACTTGGCTCACAAGTTAGCAGCAGAGTTGGGAGTCTATTCTTTAAGAATCGATTTTAGAGGTTGTGGATCATCTGCGGATAATGAAGATCCCGTTAAAGGAAGAGTATTGGAACAAGATATCGCAGATATTCAAGCTGCTGCTGAGTTTTTAATCGATGGTAATGTTAATGGATTAGGAATCAATTTAACATTGTCTTCCATAGTGGGTCATTCAAGAGGTGGTGTTGCCATGTTTCTATGGGCTTTACTTCAAGATGATCATCTGAAGCGTGGGGACCCAAAAGCTATTATTGTACCTAATTTAGTTAATTGTTCATCCAGATTCAGTCTGCCAACTGTGGCAGATAGATATCCAATCTTTGATGATACGTTTGAATCCATTCCTCAAACTTCTCTTAGATATGGAAAACTCGCTCAAACTCCTATAACTAGACAAGAATTAGTTTCTTTAGCTAAACCAAATCTTAGAGAGCTTCGTCATTTGACTTTAGATTGGTCCGTATTAAGTGTCTATGGTTTGAAAGATACAATCATACCTATTAGTGATAGTGCTTTGTATTCAAATACTTTAAATCGTGGTCATCTTTCTCATAGATTAGAGTTGATTCCTTTAGCTGATCATAATTTCTATGGTACTCGTCCACAAGAAAAAGATGAAGATGATGAGACCTTTAATAAATATCAATTGCCAGTCAATAATAAGGGTTTAGTCAGCTATAACTACCAAGCTACTGAAATTATACTTGATTACTTGAAACCAGAAAATGAATTACAAAGATTTTTACAATCAAGTCGTGATATTGGAAGATTATCAAGATGGAAAAATATCGAAGGTGTAAGTAATTTCAGAGATATTGGAGGTTGGAAGATCCATAATCCAACTTTTGAATTAACACCCAAAGATCCAACTGATGGTGCATCGTTACAATACTATGTTAAGCCTCATACTGCTTTCCGTTGCGCTAATATTGCTGGTATTACAGTGAATGGTGCAAAGACCTTGCAAAGTTTAGGAATTAAAGCTGTATTTGACCTCCGTTCCGACGGTGAATGCGAACAAGATGGTTTACCTAAATATTTAGAAGATTATGGAATTAAAAGAATTCATGCTCCTGTTTTCTCGAAGGATGATCATTCACCAATGGCTATTGCTCTCAGATATACCAATTTGTTGACCAGTTGGGATACTTATGTCAATGTCTATGAAAACATGCTTGAATTCGGGCAAGATTCTTATAGAACAGTGTTCCAATATATCCTTGAGGAAAACAAGCCGTTCGTATTCCATTGTACCGCTGGTAAGGATCGTACAGGAGTCTTAGGGATGTTGATATTGTTATTGTTAGGAGTTGATAAAAACACCATTGCGAGAGAGTATGAATTAACCACATTTGGTTTAATACCTGATCATCCTAATATTAGATTGAAATTTGCTGATACAATCAAAAAGTTGAGAGAAAAAATGGGAGAAGGAAGTGATATGGAACAAATGGTCACCAAGGGTAGAAAGAATTGGACACTTGAAGAAGATGGGTTCTATAATTTGATTAGTTCAAGATATGAAGCCATGTTAGCTACCATCGAATTATTCAATGATAAATATGGTAGCATAATAAATTATCTCAAAGAAGAATTGGGTTTTAGCCAAGAAGATATTATTAAGATATATGAAAATTTAGTTGTTCTTGATCCTCAAAGTATTGGATTTGAAGTTGCTTCAAGTCTTAATTGGGATCATCGTGATGCAGGAAGAGTGAAGTTATAGGTATGCTCTAGCTAGTTTATAGGGAAATTTAATATAAATTATCGTCAATCATGACTCTCTATCTATTTCTCTATTTATCTATTTACATAATAGGTAATGGTCTTTGCTTGAAGATCATTTTCTTTTTAATAATATCAAGGATTTTAATGTTTTCATTTGTGTCGTCTGAACTGTCTTTTTTTATGGGTATGCGCAAAATAGCTAACGGTGTATCTAAATCAACCAATGAACCAAGCAAACGTTGAGACTTTCCTATAAATAAGGTCACTTTCTTTGGATCTTTGACATCATATTCTATCTGCCCGAACTTAACAGCATCGTATAAGTCATCAACTTTAATGAAATTTTGAAAATATTCTTTGTGTTCTTCACTATAATTTTCTTTTAATGGGACTTGATTTGGTAAAGTTAATTCACCTTGAATCTCTATTATACTCAATCCATATGGTGTCGATACGAATCTATCCTCTTCCACTAATCCACTACCTGATTCGTTCTCACCTAGTATTTTATGAGCAGTGGAATAGTCTATATGAGCTGTTGGCATTATGCTTTTCGTATAGCACCAGACGCGTTCTTTAAAATGTTGGGTATTAATAAAGTATAAATTCTGGGCAAATTGGATTGCTTTTATAGTCAACTAAAATTGAGTTTCGATGTTTTATTATCAATATGACGAGCAAAGTAGTAGTTAAACCACAACCCTAAATGTATACGTTTATGTCTACTATAAAGAAAGGTAGAAAACATTCCACTCATTGGAGATTTAAACATTCAAACTTTCGAGGGAGTGCATATAATTTTCATTGGTGTTAGTCAATACGGACCCTTTCGTTTAAGCTTCAAATGTAAAATAAGAAACAACTATCGTTTGATTTCTTAGTTTCAGTGTTCATAAGCATTTTGACTTACAACTTTTATAACCAATTCTGTAATTATATTCATATGAAGTTCATCTAATCGTTCATTTGGCAGTATTAACTTAACTATAAGAGTCTAATCTTCAAATATAAGGTTGACACATCGATGAACGATCAATTACTAACAATTACACTTCAGCTTTAAATAGTTTTAGTAAGGAACTATTGCAAAGCAAAGAGAGTTTAAGCGACTAGTTGAAACAGCTTTGCAAATTGACTCCACTCCCTTCCTAAATAGGAAATTCAAGATTAATTCTGTACGTATATGCAGGCCATTTGGACTAATTAGGAAGTTTTTCTCAACAAAGATGATTAAGTTAAAAACTAGGCAATTCGGATACAAACCTTGATCCTTTTTGCATAGATTAACATAATGATGACAAAAATGCAAAATGGCACCATCATTCCATCCAGAAATGTCTTTGTCACAAGCCAATTATATATATATTTCACTTATCTATTCTTTTCTCTTTCATAATATATAAAAACGTCCAAAGACCATAGTTGAAAAGTTATCATTCCAATCGCTCAATTAAAGAGGTTGCAGAATCAAAAATGTCTTATAATACTACTGCCCTTCAGGGTATTATGCAATTATTGCGGTATCAAAATAATTATCCCGCTCTTGGAACAGGAAGTAATATTCTTGCAAGTCAAGCCAAAAATCTTATTGGAGGTATTCCACCCCTGATGCAAGCATATACAACAGCTTATCAAATCAATCTCTTTGGAGATTATCCTAATAAAACTGATGTTGCTCCATCGATACTTTTCACAGTTGTCTTTTTTATCATTTTATTGGCACACTCATTAATATTTGCTATAAATTATTCAAGAGGTCATTACTTTTGGTTACAATTAGGATGGGTGTTCTATTGTATGTGTCGTGTTGTGGGTTTTGCCATGAGAGCTGTTTGCGCTCAAGACTTGAGTCAAACTCTTATTGGTATTTCTGGTGAAGTGTTTTTAATCCTTCCATCTATTCTTTTGGTATCATTTAATTTAATTTTGGCTCAAAGAATCTTCACTTGGAGACATCCAGTTGGTGGTTCAAGACCATTATTTTGGAATCTTATGTTCACGTTATATGCAGTGGTGACAGCAATTGTGGTGATGACCATTGTTGCTTCTGCTGTCCCAAATTTATACTTTTTGTCTCAAACAGTTTATATTAGATATCAAAAAGTGGTTATGGTTTCTTCTATCTTTGTCATTCTTTATTCCTTGACATCTATTTCTTTACTTTTCTTAGCATTCTTTTTCAAGCCTACTGCAAAGGATGAAAGTTTCTATACCTACCAACCATTTTGGATTGAATCATTTTCACCAACTTATTTCGTCAGAAAAGGTGCTTGTATGGAAGCAGCAGAAACATTTATGAAAAGAAATCGTAATCATCGACATGCAGTCAGAGTGATTGCAGCTACCCACCATCATTACAATCTTGTTGAAGGTTTAACTAATCAAAGGGGTGACTTGAAACATAATACCTCTATGGTCATTATTGTTATTACAACCGTTCTTATATTTATCGGAGCTATTGCTCGTTCTGTGGTCATTTTCCAAGGAAGATATAAGATGGATACAGGACCAGCTGGAAAACCAATTGTGATGTATATCTGTTGGGGTGCATTTGAAGCTATTATTAACATTTTATATTTGGTTGGTAGAGTTGATTTAAGATTCTACAGACCAGACAAATTGCCAAAGAAGGTTAGAGATATCGTTACTGAAGATCAAACTGCTAATGTTTCTGATGCTGAGAAGGACGATGAAGATGACGATGGTCATTCCAGTGGTAATTTCGGTTTCACATCCGATTCTGAAGCTGGTTTTGGATTCCAAGATCGTGATGTCATGATCCCAGTTCCTGAAAGAAGCGACAGAGAGTCAGGTCGTCCACCCTATCCTATAAGTGAAAAGCATGCTAAATCTGAAGAATTTCACTTTTAAGTTCTTTATTGGGCACATGTTCCTAGAGCGTATAACTCTATACCTTCCTAATATATCAATTAACTTCTACTTCTTTCTCTATTTTTTGATATCCCCTCTTTTATAGACTTTTGAATAATTTGTATTTTAACATATAATAAATAAATAACGATTGCAAAATTAACTCTGTAAAATCAAAAAAAAATTGTTCACGTGACTCCATCTCCAGTAATTTTTTTTATTTTTATTTATGATTTTTTTGATTTCATAAGAAACTATAATATCAAAGAACAGTTCAATAAAGTATCATTAGTCAAATACTGTTTATAGCAGCAAGATGTCGAGACCTGAACAGATTGCACCACCAGAGGTGTTCTATAATGATACGGAATCATACAAATATACGTCATCTACTCGTGTACAACATATTCAAGCTAAGATGACTTTAAGAGCATTAGAATTATTAAACTTGGATAAAGATGCACCACATTTCTTATTGGATTTAGGTTGTGGATCTGGATTATCAGGAGAAATCTTAACCGAAGAAGGATATAACTGGATAGGGATGGATATTTCAGCAAATATGTTAGCTACTGCATTAGATCGTGAAGTTGATGGAGATTTATTTTTAAGTGATTTAGGAAATGGTGTTCCATTTAGAGCAGGTACTTTCGATGCCGCTATTTCAATTTCAGCTATCCAATGGTTATGTAATGCTGATACTGCCAATGTTGATCCTAAAAAGAGATTGTTAACTTTCTTCAATACATTATATTCTTCATTAAGAAGAGGAGGTAAATTTGTAGCTCAATTTTATCCTATGAATGATAGTCAAACTGAATCTATATTAGGAGCAGCTAAAATTGCTGGATTTGGGGGTGGTTTAATCATCGATGATCCAGAATCCAAGAGACATAAGAAATATTATTTAGTGTTGACTGCCGGTATGTCTGAAAGAAATATTAACTTAGAAGGTGCTGAAATGGATGCTCCTGAAATCAAGAAGAAGATTAATAAAAAATTAAGAAGAAAGCTTGAAACTAGTAAAGAGTTTGTTAATAGAAAGAAAGAAACTATGAGAAGAAGAGGTAAGAATGTTGCCAATGATTCAAAATTTTCAGCCAGAAAGAGACGTCCTCGTTTTTAGGAGCCTTACTTATCTTTTTTATCCTCTCATTCATCCCCATGCATTTCCTTCACTTTTGTATATTAGTAACTAAATAGGTTTTTATTTCCTTTGCATATAGCGTCTCTTTTAATTGTATTAATCATAGTTAAAAACTTGATACCAAATTTTGATTCCGCGTAAATAATTATTCTACGGTGTAAACTTGAGCACTAATTAAATTTGAAAAATTGAGAACAAGACTGAAAAAAAAAATTATACACCAAATGAAAGTGTATGATTTTAAATCGATATTATATAGACTGAAATATCAGCTTGAAATAGAACCATAATGTTAGGTATAATATCCACTGGGAGACTCTTGGTCAGACCAAGAATAGTGCCTACTATACAATCCATAACAAGATCATTTAAAACTTTAAGAACTGGTATGTAATGAATCAATTTTATAATGTCATTTTTTTTTTCAAGACGATTAAATACTAACGAATAATATCTAGAATTACCAACTGTTTATAATCCATTACCAAAGAAAAGAAATGGAGCACCAGTGTTACCATTTTTACAAAGTCAATTATTGGATAAATATGATCCATCTGGTAAAAGACGTGAATTACAAAACACCTTAAGAGCAGGAGATATCATAAAAGTAACATATCTTGATAGAACAGATGTAGTGGGAAGAATTATTGCCATTAAAAGGGGTAATTTCAACGTTGGTACCAATATATTAATCAGAAATAAGATCAATAAAGTCGGTTGTGAAGTTCGTGTTCCATTATACAGTCCAAAACTTCGTAATGTTGAAGTGTTACATAAACCTAAAACATACTTACCAAGAGGTAAACAATATTATATCAGAAACACCAGATTGGATGTTGATGATGTTGAAGCCTTTGTCAAACGTCATGAAGTTAAGGTTACTAAAGCTTTGAAGAGAAGAGCTGATGTTAAAGCTGAAAAGAAGGCTTCTAGAGCAGCAAAGAGAGCAGCATTAGAAGCTAAAAAGGAAAATTAGATTAATTGCATTCACTTAATTACAATCCCATCATCATGTACATAACTTTCGTAATATTATAAATATACACACCTATAAATAGGACATTTTTAAATCATTGTGATTGTTGTAATTGAAAAAGATCGTTCAATTTATTGGATAATTCATTACCAAATTTCAATTGAAAATTAGGTGATAGATTATTCATTAATGCTTCGAATGTTTCGTAATAAGTAGATTGTAACTCACCAGTAGTCACATCATTTAAACTATGCCAACCTTTTATATCGACGGATATGATCAATGATTTACCTTCTTGGGTTTCAAGTAGGATATGATTATCAACTCCAGTATTTGAACTTTTCTTTTTGTTGATTATTTTGGCATAAATATCTTCATCGTTTCCTAATTGAACTGTGTTGGTGCTAGTAGACACAGCTTTGGAAATGATTAATTCACACTTGGGAAAGAATGATTTGTATTCATTATAGATGGTGGTTAATTCCAACCTCTGAGTTTCAAAATCCATCAATGATGAACATTAGATACTTAAGAAACTGTATTGCGCACACAAATATTTTCCATTAAAAATATTACTCGTAGAATCAATCCATTACCAGTTTGATCTATAGAACCATGTTGATAAAACCAATCAAGATCTATACCAAACGTATCCAGAACTTACAGTTTCAATTAGAGTCAGCTTAAATGAAATCAAGTAATAAACTTACAGAATTAAAGAAGAAAATATAGTCACAACTGATTCCCAGTATTCCATTATATATGTCAATACCAGGCGCCCAGAAACGTGCTCCAACTTAATGGTAACTCTACGCTTATGCTTCACTGAAATATACCTTCTATTAACATAGCTACGGAGGAGAAAATTACATTAACTTTAATGAAGGGTGAATCATGCGATTGATGTTAAAGAAGAAACAAGTGTTAAACTTCAATAAATATTTTTATGAGCAAACTTTTCTTTTAGGATGGAGAAAAATTTCCCTGCCAGGCAAGTAGGGTAACACTGATAAATATCTGGGATTGATTTTTTTCACCTAAATCGAGGATTTATAGTATGGTATAAGTATAAAATAAATCGTATAAGTAAAGATGTCTACAACCAAAGATAGTATAATTCCTCCTCAAAACTACATAGGTCATAGTTTAAAAATCAATTTAAAAGATTCAAGAAGTTTAACTGGGATTTTAACTGTTATTGATCCTTTTGGAAATTTATTATTATCAAATACTTATGAAACTTCAATTGATAAATTAAATCCAAATAATTTACATTCAAGAGAAATTGGGTTGGTTAGCATACCGAAAGATACTATGAAATCTATTACAGTTGATAAAGATACATATAAAAAGATTTTTAAACAATAATTAACAGAAAAAGAAGCTAAACTAATTTAAATTAATAACTATTAATAGTTATTAGATTTTTGATGACGATTTCTATATCTTGGATATACTGGTAATTGTTGATTTCTATTGAAATTTTGATTCTTTGCATTAGGAGCAATCTTTTCAGTTGAAAATATTGGATTTTGTCTTCTAAATCCATTATCAGAATTCATTAATTTAGTTTCAGGAACTGAACCAAGTTTGGGATTTTTTAATTTCCTAATCTTTCTAAATGAAGAATTATGATTCTTTTTATTGGCAATATTATTATAATTTGGTTCAACTGGTTTAATGTACTTTTTACCATTTGATTTTTTAATTATAACTCTTCTGGTAATACCATTATTATTTGGATCAAGATACTTTTGAGGAACATTAATAGGTCTTCTAATAATAATAATTTGACCATTTTCATCAAATGTTTGAGTTTCTTCCCATTCACAATCATCAACTTCATTGTCATATTGATCATCATCATCACCATAATCATTATCAAAATCTTCATCATATTTGTTATCACAATCTTCATCTCCTTCATCATCATAACCATTATTTTCGTCGTTATCCTTATCACCACAATCATCGTCGTCATTACCTGTTTCTGTTGGTTGAGTAGTAGACGTAGGTGAAGGTGGGAATTTGGTAGTATATGTGAATGATTCAACTGGTAAGGAAAAAGTGGGATTAGAAGTTACAATAGTGGTAACTGTTGTTGGTGTAGTAATAATTGGAGGTGGAACTATAATAGTTGTCTTTGTACTAGTCACTGGGGTAGTTGTTGGAGCAGGTGGTAGAGGTGCATATGTTGGCGGTTGTGAAGGTGGAACTATAGCTGATGGCGTTGAAGCAGTAGTTATAAATGACAGAATAGTGGAAGTAATTAAAGATGATGGAATTGGAGTAGTTGATGTCCAAGTTGAAATTATTGTGGCAGGTGAAGTTGATAAAGATGGTGGAGGAGGAAAAATTGCAGGAGGAGGATTTGGATTTGATTTAGTTGGTTTCCCATGTTCCATACATGTACCAAGATAATGATCTCTTGCACTTAAGAAGTTTCCATAGGGACAAATATCCACCAAACATCCAACCACTGAATCTTCCTTAATACAAAGACAACTCATATCAATTTTACCATTGGCACAAGAGTGAGCTACTTCAGCAACACAACTAATCAAACAAGCGGGAGGAGTTGCTAACACAAGGATGGGAAGTAAAAGTAAGATGATTAATCCTTTCATGGTTTGAATAAGAGATTGATTGATATAATTAATGACTTGGTTACTAAAGAGACCCTTGTATAAGATGATTCAAAAAGGAAAATAAATGATTTACAATTAAATTTTTAGCCGCCAAATTGCAAAATTTTGAGAAATCTTTTTTTTTTGTTCCCTTTTGATTTAAGCTTTGGTGTAAAGTTTATGCGGTAGAAGATTTTAGTTAGTATGCAGTAATAAATTACGAGTCTTTTGATTTGCGTTGTTCAGTTTCGCAGTATATGTAATTATAATTAGTTTAAAAAGGCCATCTATGATGTATTAGTGTTTGTGTAATGGGTAATGGGTTCTATGTATGTTTACCTCTGTATTAAGAGAAGATAGAAACGTAGACCATATAAGATATAGTTAAAATAATGTAGTTAACAAAATAAACATGATTTAAATGACAATTATGTGATATTACTGATAAATAAGATTAAATTAATACATCAATTATGAAAAGTCATCTCTTCTACGGAACATTAGTTTAACATTGATCCACCATAAGGAATTATCTTTTCAAGGTCATATGTGAGGTGAGTTGATGCTATTTTACCTATAGATAGATGCGGTGATTTGTATCCACTGGAATATCCATTTGAAGAATTGGTGAATAATTTATACAAGTAGTTTTTGTGATTGTCCCCTCTCTTCGGCCACCCCCTTTCCCCTCGTCCCCCCTGTTGAAACGATAATTAGCCTACAACTAAATTTAAGTCAACGTTTATAGCATTAGTCTAGTTTTGAATGAACTATAATTTAAAGATATATTGCTTTTAATTTAAGAATATATCACCAATATATCTCTTAAAGCTCGTGAGACATACTTATAGTTCATATGATTAATTTCAATTTTAACAATTTTTCTCCCTAAAGAAAAATATGATAAATCTTTTCTGTCCCCCCTAGCGGTTTAGATAAAAAACAGATGAAACTGACTATCTAATCTACGATTAGACCACGTTCATTACCTATTCAACCATTATTAAACATAAATTATCGATTCAGAATATGATTGAAGAATTTTTTTTAATTCCAATACTATATAAATTAATGCCTAATTAGGGTAGGCACCACCAGATAATAAATCTGGCTTATTGTTCCACTGTAAGATTGTTTGTTCCTCCCTAAAAATTAAGGAAAAAAAAGAAAAAAAGAATCGACCACAAAAAGAATTGAACACCTAAGAAAAATAAAGAAAAAAACGACAGATACTTCAAATTCAAAATACCAAAACTTTACTTTCTTGGTTTGATATTTTTACCTACCATATTTTCATATTTTCATCTATTTTCTTTCTTCTTTTATCAATTGGAAGGCGTTATGCAAGGGTCATATAAGAATAATGGGTTACCAAGACCTTATTATATGAAACCATCAAAGAAGAGAATTGGTGGAGGGGTCGGATCCAATTCTCCATATGATAACTTTAAACAACCGATTGTATTCTTTACATCATCACCAAGAAAATTGTTGGGATATGTTGTGATGTTAATTTTATTTGGGACTTGTATATACTGGATCAGTCAAGATATAAAAACTCAACCCGAACCAAGCTATGAGATTGTTAAAACTTCAAAAGATATAAATAATCCAAACTCACCACCAGTTTTAAATGATAATACTTATTCTGAGGATGATGAAGATACCATCGAAATAGTAAACCCCAATCAAAATAATAAAAACATACAACAAAATAGTCATAATAACAATAATAATAATAGAAAAGTTACTGAAAAGAATAACATAGCGGTCAATAAGAATAATGGTGTCAAAATAGACAGTACCAATATTGATTTGGCTGGTAACTTAGCCCAAGGTTCAAAAGGTCAAAAGGGTGTTGGTGTAGTGGAAGCACCTAAAGGAGGAATTGCCAATGAAGCTGCTGTAGTTGGTACTGATGAAGAAGAAATCATTGGTGGTAAAAATTCTCGTAATAAACAAGCAGGTGCAAATGCGGCAGCTGCTGGTGCCGGTAGTAATCAAAAAGTGGTTTATAATGGTGCTGGAGGTCCACCAGATGGGAAACCAATTGCATTAGCTGGTACTGGACCAGGACTTACCAGAGGTTATAAAGCTTCCAAAGAACTTGATAATAATAACAACGATGCTCCAATTAAAGCTGATCCAAATGTTAACTTAAGGGCAAAGCAAATAATAGAAGAAACAGAATAAATTAATCGACTCTTCACCTAACACGCTATGAACAAATTAAAGTTCTCTTCTATGTTATTATAATTATCATCATCATCATCATCATCACCAAATCTTAACATATCATTATTTATTTTTGTACATTTAATTATATACATACACATATATAGTCACACGTACTCAACACTTATCTACTATGAAGAATATATATTCATTCAAGTCGTAATCATCAAAAAATGTAGATAGACAACTAATAAAAAAATAAATTCAAACAATTTTGAATAGAAAAAACATATTAGACCCCATCGGGATTCGAACCCGAGTTGCCAGCATGTTCCAAATTTAATGTACAACGCACATTACGTTCTTCAGAAACCGGAGTGATAACCACTACACTATGGGATCGAAATTTCAAAACAATTTTGAAAAACTAGGGGGTATAATTTGTAAAGATCTCATAGTTAAAAATGGATCGCGCTACCAAATTTAGAAACATTATTTCTAAAATAAGAGCTTTTAGTGAATATAGTTCTTTGATTAAAATAGTCACTATATACTATTTCTATCTGTTCTAAAAAATCCTTAGTAAGGGTGCATGAGGTTATTAGAACTAACTATATTATTTCCATGAAATCTTTCGAATAAAATATCAATTAAAGCAACCAATACGAGTACGGTTAGTATAACTAGTAATGCCAACACTAATAAAACAGCTATCAGAAGTGCAGCGGTTATGAAATTATCACTAAGGATACTATTGATACTGACTGTTTGAGTGGTTTGGGTTATGACATCATCAACGATGGTTGGAAGAACTGTTGTATTTGGTACACCAGTCGTTAACTTTTCAATGTTTAAACTATCACCATAACCATTATAATAGATCTTACCGTTAGTCAAGTCTTTTCTTGTCTCTGGATCAAAATATCCAAAATAAGTTTTAGGTTCCAATTTATCCTCAGATATGGGCCAATTGTATGATACCCAACTATATGGACCCTTCACTGGAAGATAATAATTATTCTTATCAAAGTCAAGAACAATTTTTAATAATGTAGTAATTTCAATATGTTGCTGTCCAATCACAGTGTGATTATGCAATTCAGATTGGAATATTATAAGTGGGAAACGGCAAATATCTCCTGAAGCTAATAATTTAAGTCCTTTATTTCTAAAGTATATGGCAATACCTGGCATTTCAGGGTTACTACAAAATTGAAATTGTAACCCACCATATGGGAACGAACCACCAAACATAGGTGAATATCCATTGTTGGTTCTGGTTCCTCTTGTAAAGACTGTCGATTCTGAGGATGATCTATTATTACCAAAAGATACTGATGAAAGTAGACTTGATTTTGAATTAAGGTTGGTTGCTATTTGATCTTTATCAACTACCAATTCTGCAGCGGTCACCGCGGCACGGATAAGGTAAGCGTCTTCTGCTAGTATCATATTGATATTAGTGATACGAAAAGAAGGGAATGAATAATGAAGTTTACCTTTGAAGTTCAAAGGAAACAGAGGAACTTTTTATATTTAACTAATTTAGGTAAGTGACACAAAACTCCAAATTTAGATGCTAAAAATGGATTTTCGACTAGGAGTTGGACAGATCATATATGATCGTTACCAACAGTAAATTTAATCAATACTTTTTTCAAAACAAATTTTAGACATATTATTTAAACCGTAAATTAAAGTGTCTGATTTTATGTAGTATTATTTAAAGTTATTTTAACAACTGCAGAGACTCTTTTAATTTAGCAATATACAGATTCAAATATTAGAGAACGTCGTATATTAATATAGCTATATATAGAGAAGACAAGTATAAAGATATAAAGTTGAGATTCTAACATAGTTAAATCCATTAACTACCAAAAACCAAAGTCCCAAAGGAAAGCTCAATATAAAAAAAATTGTTTGAAACCAATAGTAATTAAAACAAAAAAGCTTGGAGGTTTCTATAAACCAGCTACTCCAAACAAAACCTAAAACCCAATACGTAAATAACCCATTCTAAATTTATTACATCTAATCGTTAAAATATATGATGGAAGCAGTCTTAATGGCCAAATCTTATATATCTTGAAATATCGTGCACCAGCATGGCGTACACAGCTGTATGATACCTTGTAATACATACCAAAAGTAACATTAGCCCAAACCCCGTAATTTGATAAAATATTGCCAAAATAGCTGACCCTGAGAGTATTAAAATATAGCATAGACTTTTGTATCTTAAACTATAACGATGGATTGGTAATTGGTTTTCTGAATCAAATTCAGTTTGATTGATTTCAAAGAAAACGCAAACGATTGATTCTTTCAATCGAGAAAGAAGAGTGATTCTGGATATGTTGGAATTACCAACAAGTTCATTGGATTGTGGTTGCATTTTCCTAAAGATGTGCTATATTAGATTGAGTTTAATTAAACAAAGATTCATTACAATAAAACCAAGAAAGACTGGAAGGCAAAACTCATTAGCATTTTTATTTATCAATAAGTTATTTATTTTTTAAGATTATTATTTTCTAAGCTAGCTTGATTTGTTAGAAAACAAGCGACACTCCCCACTTTCTAGTTTGTTGGGTTTGAATCATGGTAAAAGCTTCGAATGAATGACCACTAACAATTATTATATCATTTAACATCTATTACAAAGTAGAATAAGATTATTCGTAAAAGCAAAAACAAAGGTTTATTTTAAGTGAGTTCAAACCGTTGATGTAATTTATTTTTTATGTTTAGCCGCTTGTGGCCTTTCCTAGCCACACATTGTTTGGTGCATGTTGATATACGCAGGAACCTATTCCGTTTACAGTATTATTAAATGAATAAACTATTGACTTTATACACACATTATTTAATTACTCTAATTCTTTCTTTCTTTATTCACATTATTACACATTTATCATCTCTACCGCCATGTTTATTAGTTGGATTTTCCGTTAAAGCATTTTGTTTATATTGTTGAAACTTTTCTTTATTACGTTCTTTTAATTTCTCTTTAACTTCAACGGGGAAATAAACTCTCATCATTTTTTCTAATCCTAAATCTAAATTCATGGAATCGGCTAATAAAATAGCATTTTCATATCGACAAATTGGACAATTGACTTTCTTTTGTTGTTTTAATTTAACCAAACATCTTACACAGAATAAATGTCCACAATCTAATTTGATGGGTTTATAAGCAATCGACATACAGATTGGACAAGTATAATCATCTAATTGGGGAATCAAAGTTATGATTTTATTTTGGATTATGAAACAGATGGTTTGGGCGATGGATTTCCCATTCATGAATATATGATCGTTAGTGATTAAATTGGGAAGTTTATAAGATACGCCCAATGCAGTTTGTTTATCGAATTTTTTAAGAATCTTTTTAAGAGCTAATGAATTTAAAGATTGGAATTGTAAGATTTTTAAAAGATGATAATTCATAGTTAAAAATTCATTAAAAACTTGTAAGGAATTCTTTTTCGTGAATTTAGTTAATATACCTGATTTTTCCACATTAACTAAAAATGAATCTAAATTCTTTTTGATTTGAAGTGATGATCTTTCGGATGATTTTATTGATGCTTCATTATATTTGAAATAAACTTCGGAATCAAGATAAATTCGGAATAATTCTCTCCAATTATATAATTCATTAGTATTATTCCTTTTTGATGGATCTGATAAAGTAGCAATTAATTCACTTATTTTTTGAACTTCAGTAATGATTTTTTCTTCTTCTTTAATTCTTAATTTGTCTAATAATTCTAATTCATCATTTAACATTTTAAAGAATTTTGAATCTGAATTTAAAGTAATGAATATTTCTGATTTTTTAGATGATTCCGGTTGAGGTGATACTGAAGATTTTCTTATACTATTACTACCACTGTCTAAAGTTCTGTCTATACCTTTTGGATCATCGATTTCAGGAGATGCTTCTCTACTACCATGATGAGAACCAGGAGGGGATAATACAATTAAATGATGATCATTTTCATCTTCTTTTAATTCAATGATTTTTTCTTCACTATTTGAAGTTATAGGAGTTAAAGGTAATAACCCATCATCTTCATCTTCATCTGATAATGGATTCATAGATGGGGATGGAGGAGGAATAGTTGAATTAAGATCATTATCATGATTTGGTAAATGACTTTCTAAATCATCTTCATTAAGTAAACTTTCAATTTTATGTTTAATTTGTTGACCAATTTCATAGATATGGGCATCAGTATAATCTTTATGAGAGAAATCCAACGTTATTTTTAACATTGGTTTTATAATTTTTGATTTTGTTGAATCATCACCGGTTTTTGATAAAGTATATTCTGCAATGATTGGATTAGATGGGATAGTTTCATTTTCATTTAATTCAATGATTTTTGTAGAATCATCAGATTTATGATTATTAGTTTCTTCAAATAACAATTTAAGGGTATTCTTTTCTAAACCTAAGAATTTCAATTCATTAACCACTTTATTAATACATTTCTTTAAAGTTTTATATTGAATAGCGGCTTCATACCATTCTTCAGGTATTTCTTCTTCAATTAAAGTTTGTTCCAAGACTTTAGCAAACTTCATATTGATGATCTTGTGTTATAGTGATAAGAAAAATGCTTGGTATAGTTATAGATAAACTTGTTATGGTAGGGGGTTGATGACGTAAGATTCGAGGGAGGGATGAGATATGATATGATAATCACTGAAATGGGAGGGATATCTAATTATTGAAAAAAGGTGGAGATGTCTGGGCTATATAGCCATATTATGAGTTAATGTAGATGAATAAGGGATAGGATGGGATGGACTGAAAGATAATGATGATCTTGATAAGTTAGAAGTGAATGACCAGATAACAGTATTAAACAAATAAATAAATAAAAATTTGGTTAACAAGTCGAGAAATATGGAGTAAGTAAGCAAATGAAGTACGTAAGCAAGCAAGCAAGCTGAAGACTGTATACAAGTAAAGTAAAGTAAAGTAAAGTATAAGCCTTATGTATAATTAAAACTCAAACCGTTTAAACTAAACGCTTTATGATTTTGCAGTCTACTATAATTAGACAAATGACAAGCAGAGAGAGAGACAAGGAGAGATTAACTATATAGTGATAAATTAAAAAAAAAGACATATCACACGTGGGACTTCTTTGTCATTTTATTTATAGTTTTTTATTTATAGCTCAGTTAGCTTTATAGTGAAAATGAAAATTTTTTTTCTGTGATCAAAATTTTTAAATTTCTTTTTTTTTTTTGAGTCAGCCTCTCATTTGTCTGTCTGTCTTCTTTGCAGTCAAATCTAAAATCACTCAATTATCTCTATACACATATTATGTTTCATCTACATCACAGATATCCGAATAATATAATATTATTGCTTGCCACCTACAGCAGAGATCTTCGCTACTGGCTATGGTCCACTCATCCCTACCTTATCGTACATTTGTCCTTTCCCATTTCCCATTTCCCATCATCGCTAATTCATCGCTTAATACCTCTTTGTAAAAATACTTCACTTTTTGATCATTATTATTTCTTTCATATACCCTCTTTCCCGTACATCTCTTCCCTGTCAACTCTCTTCCTCCCGTAATATGTCTAATCTAAATCTAAATCTAAATCTAAATCAAAATTTCATCCATCCTATTTTTATTAGCTTATTCTTTATGTACATATTCTATTCTATCAAACCACTTCTACTCACTTTTTCTTGTCTAATCATTACTTGCTGGTCTGAAGCTGTCAAAATATTATTTTTGAAACCTGTCCTCTTTATTATTAAAACAATACCCTTCGTATTAAAAAAAAAAAAGAAATACAACCTATCTAATCATAAACTTTAACTTAATCCCATATCTAATCAAAACATCTGGTAAAAACTTACACTCACTCAAAACCAAAAAATAAAAGAATTTTCCGATACCGGGAGTCGAACCCGGGTCTGCTCGGTGAAAGCGAACCGTGCTAGCCGTTACACTATATCGGATAATTTTCTGAAAATTTATTTTTCCGGATGTCGCGGATCTGTGCACATCACGTGATTTCAATTTTTTTTATTTTTTCGAAAAAGTTGATATGGTAGCGATGGTAGCTTTCATAAGTAATTTAAATAATTAATTAAGCATGACAATCATAATTTTAGAGTTTGTTCCTTGAATAAATCTAATATAACAGTATGAGTGTTATGCATCCTAAACATTTCTTAATCCATTTGCTAAACCAGCTATAATCTATTCTGCAATACGTCTTTTATAACAGACAGATTTTTCTCGAACATTCTGTACGACATTTTATTTTTCGAGTTAGTTTGTTGGCAGAAGAAAAAAAATCAGACACCGTTTACTTTAAAACTGTTAGAGCACCTGGAATCAATCAGTATTTAAAGTCTTATTCTATAAATCATCCATATCCATATACATATATAACACCCACACTTACAATGGATTTAGAATTGGAACCAACGTTAGAATCAATCATTGAACAAGATAGTTTGAAATGGATCTTTGTTGGAGGTAAAGGTGGTGTAGGTAAAACCACCACATCATCATCAATTGCCGTTCAATTAGCATTAACTCATCCTCAAGATCAATTTTTATTAATTTCAACTGATCCAGCTCATAATTTATCCGATGCCTTTTGTCAAAAATTTGGTAAGGATGCTAGAAAAGTTGAAGGATTGGAAAATTTATCATGTATGGAAATTGATCCTGATGCTGCTATGAATGATTTACAACAACAAGCTCAACAATATAATAATGATCCTAATGATCCTTTAAAGAATATGATGCAAGATTTCACAGGTTCCATACCGGGGATCGATGAAGCTTTATCATTTATGGAAGTTTTAAAACATATTAAAAATCAAAAACTTAATGAAAGTGATGACAATATTGATGAATCAGAAAAGAATGGTGGATTAGCTAAAATCACTTATAAAACAATTATTTTTGATACTGCTCCAACTGGTCATACTTTACGTTTCTTACAATTACCTGCTACTTTACTGAAATTATTAGGTAAATTCCAAAGTTTATCAGGTAAGTTAGGTCCAATGATGAATATGCTTGGAGGTGCCGGTGGGAATCCTCAAGATATGTTTGGAAAATTAAATGAATTAGAAAAACAAGTTCAAGAAGTTAATGAACAATTCACAAATCCAGATTTAACTACCTTTGTATGTGTTTGTATATCGGAATTTTTATCCCTTTATGAAACCGAAAGAATGATTCAAGAATTAATGAGTTATAAAATGGATGTCAATTCCATTGTCGTCAATCAATTATTATTCGCTGAAGATGAAGTTAAACCTTGTCAAAGATGTGTAAGTAGATGGAAAATGCAAAAGAAATATTTAGATCAAATGAGTGAATTATATGAAGATTATCATTTAGTTAAAATGCCTCTTTTAGGTACTGAAATTAGAGGAATTAATAATTTAAAGAAATTTTCTAAATTCTTATTAAAACCTTATGATCCAAAACTTGATAGTGCTATAATTACTGATTTAGAAGATAAATAGAGTTTGTTGTACCTTAATATATATACATATAAATAAGCGCTAAAAAATATGAATTATAAAATTACGAACAAAATGTCGTAAACGACTTCTAAGACATTAACGAGACCTTCCGTAGATCGTGAAAAATCGACCATGGACATTAATCATTCAGCCCTTCACTTTAATTATTCAGTCATTGGTGACGCAAATCATACCATCACTAGAAGGATTAGTTTCCCAAAAGTAGACTTATCAACAGAAGAAGCACAAGATTCAAAAAAAAAAATGGCCAGAGGAAATCAAAGAGACTTGGCTAGAGCTAAGAATTTAAAAAAACAGGAAGCATCCAAGGGTCAAAAACAAGGTGATAAAACTAAAAGAATGGAAAGTGATGCTGATAAAATGAGAGCTAAACAAGCTGCTGGTATGTATTATTGATATTAGATCAATCTCATTTAAAGAATTGTTTTACTAACTTTCATTTATAGCAGATGCAAAGAAAGCTGAAGAAGCTCAACAACCAAAGAAATGAACTTTATAGACATCATGTTCAATACTTATTAGAATCTTGTATTTAGAATTTATTGGGTTGTTGAATTAGTTCAATATCCCCCACTATAGGTATAGTTTCTACCCCCCACCCGTTAGCACCCGCCACCCCCACACCATTCAATATAAGTTCTTTACGGATTGGGTATACACGCCCCAAATGTAGAAATTAATCGGAACCAACGAAAAATTGGGAACTATAAATACATCCCCTATTTACTTCTTTATTTCATTTTTTGCAATTGAGTTAAAACTAACTAACTAAACCATTACTAACCATGTTAATTGACGAATATCATTATGATGTTAAAACATCCTACGGAACAACTATGAGATTATTTGTATTTCATCCAAAGATTGCAAATTATCCAAAAGCTAAATTCCCGGGTGTAATTGTTTATTCTGAAATTTATCAAGTGACAGGTCCTGTATCAAGATTTGCTAAGGATATTGCTGGTCAAGGATTCGTTGTGGTTTGTCCTTCAATTTATCATAATTTTGTTAATTCAGATGCTTTGGCTTATGATGACGAAGGTACTGATAATGGAAATCTTTACAAAATTGAAAAAGAATTAAAATCTTATGATGAAGACAATTCCCTTGCCATTGAGTACTTATTATCTTTACCAACTTGTAATGGTAAGATTGGTGCTACTGGTATGTGTCTTGGTGGTCATTTAGCTTTCAGATCTTCCTTAGATCCAAGAGTTAGTGCAGCCGTTTGTTTCTTCGCTACTGATATTCACATCCATGCTTTAGGTAAGGGTAAAAATGATGATTCTTTAATCAGATCTAAAGAAATCCAAGGTGAAATCGTTATGATCTTTGGTTGTAAGGATAATCATGTTCCATTAGAAGGAAGAGATTTAATTAGATCTACATTAAGAAAAAACAATGTGGCAATGACCTTCATTGAAATCAATGATGCTCAACATGCTTTTGTTAGAGATGAATTAAGTAAAGGTAGATACGATCCAGCCATTACTAAGAACTGTACTGAATGGTTATTTGAATTATTCAACCGTAAATTAAAAATAGAATACGGTGACCATGACGGTAAAGCTGTTACTATTGAAAATATTTGTTAATTTCAATAGTTTTTTTCTTTTTTTCTTTTTCTTTTTTTGGATCTATACTAATACTATCCATGTTCGAAAGACCTGCTTATGTCAACCCAGGTCTCATAGTGTTTAAAGTCATTTATTATAAATTAGTTACGTTTCGTATTCTTTTAATATAAGTCTGTCTTACCATGATATGAAGTTGTGTACTTGCCATTACCGTTTTTATGTTGGCATATGATTGCGAAAATTATTGAATGAAATTATATCAATTCCTCACCTAGTTGGACTAAATATTGACAGCTTGGAGATGATGCTTTGGAGGACAAATTATCAGTTTATCTACCTTACTTAACCATCTTCTTTATAAAACATCGACTTCTTTCTAATGATAATGTTTATAATTAACTTATATACATACTGAAACATATTTTACCTCTTGCACACGACCATTGTTTTATATGCAGTCAATTTTGATTTTTAATGTTGTTGAAAAAAAAGTATCCCATCCTGAAAAAAAATTTAACGGGTTTGAAATCGATTTAGATATAATAGATCAATCAGTTAACTTATAACCAAATATATATACAAGATGAGACCAATCAAGTTGATGGGTCACGAGCGTTCGTTGACTCAAGTTAAATATAATAGAGAAGGAGATTTATTGTTTTCCGTTGCAAAGGATAACGCTGCATCCATTTGGTATTCATCAAATGGTGAAAGATTAGGAACTTTAGAAGGACATCAGGGGGTAATTTGGTCTATTGATGTGGATCCAGAAAGTTATTTATGTGCCACCGGTGGGGGTGATTTAGCCATTAAATTATGGAAAGTTGAAAATGGTCAGTGTTTATTTACTTGGGAATCACCATCTCCAGTTAGAAGAGTTGCATTTTCTCCAGATGGTACTAAATTATTAGCTATAGCTGATCAAGTTATGGGTCACATAGGTACTATTGTGGTATACGATTTAAATCTCGATGATTTATCTAATCAAAATTTACAACCTTCAGTTATCATTGAAACTCATCCAGATAGTTCAAAGGCAAATGTAGCTGGATGGTCCGCTGATGGTGCTTTTATAATCGCTGGTCTTGATAATGGTTTCGTTGCCAAATATGATTCAAGTAATGGTGAATTATTAGATACTGCCCAAGCCCATGGTATCCATAATGAAGAAAAAATCTTTTCTATTACTGATATTCAATTTGCTCCAGAAGATGGATCTTATTTCATTACTTCTTCAAAAGATAAATGTGCTACTTTAATAGATGTTGAAACCTTTGAAATCTTAAAAGTTTACAAAGCTGATGCTCCAATGAATACTGCTGCTATAACCTCAGTTAAAGATTTCGTTATCTTAGGTGGTGGTCAAGAAGCTAGAAATGTTACAACTACTGCTGAATCTCAAGGTAAATTCGAAGCTAGATTCTATCATAAGATTTTTGAAGAAGAAATTGGTCGTGTTAAAGGTCATTTCGGTCCATTAAATACTATTGCTGTTCATCCTGATGGTTTAGGATATAGTAGTGGTGGAGAAGATGGTTTTATTAGAGTTCATACATTTGATAAATCATACTTTGATTTCCTTTTCGATGCTGAAAGAACCGAAAAGGCTGCTGCTTCTGGTAATATCTAAGTATATTACATCCATTTTGCATGTTTATTTTTCTTTATGTTGATTGATGTATAATCCTAGATGATGATATGTTATAAATTAATTCCTTGTATATTAACACACAAATAAATATTGACTTAGAATTCAAGTACACTGGTTTGTAAGCCTAAACCATAATTTAATAATTCTTACTTGCGTAATAGATGTATCATCTTATAGTAATTCAAATAATTTTGATAGTTCTTTGAACTACAGTTGCCGAAAAATACTAGTGTTTTTGAAACGCTACCATAAACATAGTACATTTTTTATTCTTCCAATAACAGCATTCAGCTTGAAAACAACGATTTGACTGTTAGTGGTGGAGAAACTAAGATTGAAGGTGATTGTTGTTGTTGGGATTAACAATAGAGGAAGAAAGAAAGTTAAAGTTAAAATAACAATTGCAATTGGATTATGTCCCAAGGCGAAGAGAGCTTTGACGAAGAGATACAACACTAATTTCAGAGGAAGTCTTGGGAGGCTTTCCTTTGGGTCCTTAAAATTCTATTAATCATATAATTAAATTAATATATAACCACATTGGTGTTAAGACCTGTAAAAGAGTAAATACTAGAGATTGTGTTAAAAGGGTATTTCTAGTCACATGACCAATTTGTTTAAGTTTGTAATCAAGAGAGATATCTAACGACATTTCGTTTTTGCAATGAAAAATAATTTTTTTGATCTATAGCATATTTCAGATTGAATTTGACAGTGCCATAGACGTGTTGAACACGGAAAGATTGATTGGTTTGTTGTTTCCTGAGATAGGATATCATATAAGAATATTCTATTAATAATATTACATGCCACCAATAAGGTCAGTGGAAGAAGATATGGATTCTGATGCGTCTTCTTCAGATATTGAAGCAGGTGGATTTATAGTCAATGATAAAACTAGAAGATCAACCAGATCAAAAGGAAAGAAAAATGTGTCATATGTTGAGTCCGATGATGAACCTGAGAATGATGAAGACTTTATAGAAGTGAAGACTACAACGAAGCGTAGGAAGACGCGTACAAACTCCAAAACTAAAAAGCCAAAGGCAAAAGTAGAAGAACCAGAAAATGAAGATGCAGAATTCGTGCTAAATATCTTAGGTGATGATGATGATGTTGATGACGAAGATTTCGAAATATTGGGAAGTCAGAAGGTTGATAAGAATGGTTCATCTGCTAATTTAGCCATTGATTTATCGGAAGATGATCTTGAAGTTGTGAAAGGTGAGAGTGACGAGGATGACGAGCCATTAGCAAGCAAAGCTACGCGTAAGACTGTCACTAAACGTAAACCTAAGAAGAAAAAGGAACCCAAAGTGAAAATTCCATATTTTACCAGGATCACTGAAAGGTTATATGAATTTCATCCTGAATTAAAAGACGTGTTTCCCAACTTAGAAACTTGCGAAAAGATTAAAGTCGAAAGAGCAGAGCAACCTCCTGGCATGAATATCAAATTATTACCGTTTCAACTTGAAGGTCTTAACTGGTTAAGAAAACAAGAAGATGGTCCTTTCCAAGGTGGTATATTAGCTGATGAAATGGGTATGGGTAAGACCATTCAAACGATTGCGCTTTTTATGGGTGATCTTAAGAAAAGGCCCAATTTAGTGGTAGGACCCACAGTTGCTTTAATGCAATGGAAGAATGAAATTGAAAAACATACAGCAGAAGGTAGTTTGAAAGTTTTATTATTTCATGGTGCTAATAGACCTACTGATGTCAAAGAATTAAAAAAGTATGATGTGATTTTGACCTCATATTCGGTCTTAGAATCATCATACAGAAAACAACATCATGGATTTAAACGTAAAAATGGGGTAGTGAAAGAAAAATCTGCCATTCATTCAGTCAAGTTTTATAGAGTGATATTGGATGAAGCTCATAATATTAAAGATAGAAGTTCAGGAACAGCAAAAGCAGCTAATAATTTGATTACGGAGAAAAAATGGTGTTTAAGTGGTACTCCACTTCAAAATAGAATCGGTGAGATGTATTCATTAATCAGATTTATGAAGATTGATCCATTTTATGAATATTTCTGTACAAAATGTGAATGTAAGAGTCCTGAATGGAGTTTTTCAGATTGGAGACATTGTGATCATTGTGGTCATTCTCCTATGGTTCATACTAATTTCTTTAATCATTTTATGTTAAAGAATATTCAAAAATTTGGTATTGCAGGTGATGGTTTAATTAGTTTTAATAATATTCGTCTATTATTACAAAATATTATGTTAAGAAGAACGAAATTAGAAAGAGCTGATGATTTAGGGTTACCTCCTAGAATCGTTGAAATCAGAAAGGATCGATTCAATGAAGAAGAAAAAGATTTATATACATCATTGTATAGTGATTCAAAGAGAAAATTCAATGATTATGTGGCTGAAGGTGTGGTGTTAAACAATTATGCTAATATTTTCACATTAATTACTAGAATGAGACAATTAGCTGATCATCCTGATTTAGTATTGAAGAAAGCGGGAAACAATTCACTTTCTGCTGAAATCGAAGGAGTTATTATGTGTCAATTATGTGATGATGAAGCTGAAGAGCCGATAGAATCCAAATGTCATCATAGATTCTGTAGAATGTGTATTCAAGAATATGTTGATTCATATATGGGTGAAGGTAAAGATTTACAATGTCCTGTTTGTCACATTGGTTTATCTATTGATCTTGAACAACCCGCACTTGAGGTTGATGAAGAGTTATTCAATAAGGCATCTATTGTTAACCGTATTAAACAAGGATCTCATGGGGGAGAATGGAGATCATCTACTAAGATCGAGGCTTTGGTGGAAGAGTTGTATAAATTAAAATCAGATCGTCATACTATTAAATCCATTGTATTTTCTCAATTCACCTCCATGTTGGATTTAATAGAATGGAGATTGAAGAGAGCTGGATTCAAGACTGTGAAATTACAAGGTTCAATGTCTCCTCAACAAAGAGATAATACCATTAAATATTTCATGGACAATATTGAAGTTGAAGTATTTTTAGTATCTTTGAAAGCGGGTGGGGTTGCGTTGAATTTATGTGAAGCATCTCAAGTGTTTTTAATGGATCCATGGTGGAATCCAAGTGTGGAATGGCAATCAATGGATCGTGTGCATAGAATCGGTCAAAAGAGACCCATCAGAATCACCAGATTCTGTATTGAGGATAGTATTGAACTGAAGATTATTGAATTACAAGAGAAGAAAGCCAACATGATCCATGCCACTATTAATCAAGATGATGCTGCAGTAAGTAGATTAACTCCAGATGATTTACAATTTTTATTCATGAACTAGGGTAAGGACTATTACTGTTGTTTGTTTTATTTTGGTGTTTTTTTTTTTGGTATATAGGTCTATGTTATATTAACTTTTTTTTAATTTTTACTTTTTATTTTCTAATCGTTACACTCATTCTTTCTGTTTATAATGGATATATCGTTATATCTATCTAATAATATATGTTTTAAAGTTTTTTGCAATCATAAAATAGGTGTACCTCCTGCATAGATATTCCATAGTTTATCAGTAACACAAAATTCTCTGTTCTGTCTGAGTCATTATGAATCAGAGCGAGCGATACGGCAAATAAAAATAAATTTATGACAAAATTTAAAATCTGACTTGACACAAAAAAAGATGTTGAAAGTTGGGGATGATTGAAAAATTTTAAATACTATATATAAACAGTATTAAGTCATTATATCTAGTTTACTACCAATTGAATAGTTCATAAGTGTGTTGACATCGTCAGAATCTAAGGACAATGTCAGACTTTTGGTTAAATTATTTGGATAATCCAACGTTATCTGTTTTACCGCATGATTTTTTAAAGCCTGCCAATAACCAATCGGTTGAAGCAACTCATTCCTTTGAATTGGACTCCGAGATTGACTTCAATCACGGTTTAGCTACGTTTGGTGCTTTGATTTACAGATTGACAGGGGATGAAGATATTGTGATTGCTACGGATGTGGAAGAATCTAATCCTGCTTTCATTATAAGATTGAATTTAACTCCTGAATTAACCTTTTCAGATTTAATTGCAAAAGTATCTCAAGAATTTGAAGTCAATTCAAAACATGTTAATTATAATTCTTTATCAGAAATATCTCAAAGTATCAAATCAGCTAAGAAATTAGATGAAAACCCTCCATTATTTAGATTATCTTATCAACATGCTCATGCAAATCAACAATTATCTACTACTGTGGAAGGTTCCATTAGAGATTTAGCTATTTTCACTGATGGTAAGAAATTCTCCATATATTACAATGCATTATTATATACTCATGAAAGAATTGTGATATTAGGTGAACAATTCACTAGTTTTATCAATGCTACTGCTAAAGATTTAAAATCAACCATAACTAAAGTTAATTTAATCACTAAATTCCAAAAGGGTCACTTACCAGATCCAACTCTTGATTTGGATTGGTCAGGATTTAGAGGTGCTATTCAAGATATATTCCAAAAGAATGCTGAAGATCATCCTGAAAGACCATGTGTAGTTGAAACTAAATCCTTTTTAGATCCATCAACTAAGACTCGTACTTTTACTTACAAACAAATCAATCAAGCTTCTAATATTGTAGGAAATTATTTAAAGGAAACAGGTATCAAGAAAGGAGATATCGTCATGATTTACGCTTATCGTGGTGTTGATTTAATGATTGCCGTAATGGGTGTTTTAAAAGCTGGTGCTACCTTTTCTGTCATCGATCCAGCTTATCCACCTGCTAGACAAAACATTTATCTTTCCGTTGCTAAACCAGCTGGTTTAATCGGTTTAGAAAAAGCTGGTACTTTAGATTCATTAGTGGTCGACTATATCAAAGACGAATTAAATGTCATTACAACCATTCCTCAATTAAAAGTTAATGATGATGGTTCTTTAGTTGGTGGTTCATTAGAAGGTCAACTTGAAGATTGTTTAACCACTTATCAATCATTTGCCGATAAACCAACTGGTGTCATCGTTGGTCCTGATTCTAATCCAACTTTATCATTCACTTCAGGTTCTGAAGGTATTCCAAAGGGTGTATTAGGTCGTCATTATTCCTTAGCCTACTACTTCCCATGGATGTCCCAAAGATTTGGATTATCTAATAAAGATAAATTCACTATGCTTTCTGGTATTGCCCATGATCCAATTCAAAGGGATATGTTCACTCCATTATTCTTAGGTGCCCAATTATTAGTTCCTACTGCTGATGATATTGGTACTCCAGGTAAATTAGCTGATTGGATGGCTGAATATGGAGCTACTGTGACCCATTTAACTCCAGCTATGGGTCAATTATTAAGTGCCCAAGCTTCCACTCCAATTCCAACCTTGCATCATGCTTTCTTCGTGGGTGATATTTTAACCAAAAGAGATTGTTTAAGATTACAAACCTTGGCTGAAAATGTATTCATTGTGAATATGTATGGTACTACTGAAACCCAAAGATCAGTATCATACTTTGAAATTAAAAGTCGTAAGTCAGATGCAACTTATTTAAAGAACTTGAAGGATGTCATGCCAGCAGGTACAGGTATGTATAATGTTCAATTATTAGTTGTGAATAGAAATGATAGATCTCAAACTTGTGGTGTTGGTGAAGTTGGTGAAATTTATGTTAGAGCTGCTGGTTTGGCTGAAGGATATAGAGGATTACCAGAATTAAATAAAGCCAAATTCGTTACTAATTGGTATGTTGATCCTAAAGAATGGATTAAACAAGATGAAGCTAACTCCAAAAATGAAAACTGGAGATCTGAAGGTTGGTTAGGTCCAAGGGATAGATTATACAGAACTGGAGATTTAGGTCGTTATTTACCTGATGGTAATGTGGAATGTTGTGGTAGAGCCGATGATCAAGTTAAAATCAGAGGGTTTAGAATTGAACTAGGTGAAATTGATACTCATTTATCTCAACATCCATTAGTTCGTGAAAATGTGACTTTAGTTAGAAGAGATAAGAATGAAGAACCAACTTTGATTTCTTATATTGTTCCAAAGGATTCACCAGAATTAAAAAATTTCAAATCTGAAACCCAAGACAATGATGAAGAAGATCACGATCCTATTGTTGAAGGGTTGGTTGCCTATCGTGAATTAATCAAAGACATTAAGAGTCATTTAAAGAAAAGATTAGCTTCATATGCTGTTCCAACTATCATTGTTCCATTAGTTAAATTACCATTAAATCCAAATGGTAAAGTTGACAAACCAAAATTACCTTTCCCAGATACTGCTCAATTAGAAGCTGTGGCAAAATTAATCAGTAAAAACAAGGTAGCCGGGGGATCTGAATCTACTGAACAAGAACAATTGAATCAATTAGAATCTCAAATTGTCGACTTATGGTTAGAAGTCTTGCCTAACAGACCAGCATCAATCGCCAAGGATGATTCCTTCTTTGATTTAGGTGGGCATTCGATCTTGGGTACCCGTATGATTTTCGAACTAAGAAAAAAGCTTAATATAGAAGTACCATTAGGTGTTATATTCAAGAACCCAACTGTTGAAAGTTTCGCCAAGGAGGTTGAAAAAATAATAAAAGGTGAAGAAGTGCAATTAGCCGATGGTGGTAACACTGGTGAAGAAGAACAGTCTACTGAGGTTATTGATTACGCTAAGGACGCAGCAGACTTAACCGCATCTGCGTTGTTGCTGTCATATGAATCCTTGAAAAAATTGGATACTTCTAAGGCGATAAATGTGTTTCTTACCGGTGCAACTGGTTTCTTGGGTTCGTTTATTCTTCACAATATTTTAACTTCTAGACCTGATTTAAAATTCAAAGTATTTGCCCACGTAAGAGCATCTAGTGTCGAGGCTGGTTTAGATAGATTACGCCAAACTGGTAAAACTTATGGAATTTGGGATGAAAAATGGGTTTCCCTGATTGAAGTAGTTTTAGGTGATTTGTCAAAATCCAAATTTGGTTTAAGTGATGAAAAATGGTCAACTTTAGCACAAACTATTGATGTTATAATTCATAATGGTGCTTTTGTCCATTGGGTTTATCCTTATTCTCAATTAAGAGATGCTAATGTGATTGGTACTATCAATGTATTAAATTTATGCGGTGAAGGCAAAGCAAAATATTTTTCATTTGTGTCCTCAACCTCATCATTGGATACCGATTTTTTCGTCCATTTATCAGATGAATTATTAGCTCAAGGTAAAGATGGTTTATCTGAATCTGATGATTTATCAGGATCAGCTAAAGGGTTAGGTAATGGTTATGGTCAATCCAAATGGGCGGCTGAATATATCATCAGACAAGCTGGTAAGAGAGGTTTAAGAGGTTGTATTACTAGACCTGGTTATGTTACTGGTTATGGTAAGACTGGTGCTTCTAACACTGATGATTTCTTATTAAGAATGTTAAAGGGTAGTGCTGAATTAGGCTTATATCCAGATATTAACAATAATGTTAATATGGTTCCAGTTGAACAAGTGGCTAGAGTTGTAGTTGCGACTGCTTTCCATCCACCACAAGATGATGAATTAGCAGTAGCTCATGTTACAGGACATCCAAGAATCAAGTTTAATGATTTCTTAGGCACGTTAAAGAGTTATGGTTATGCTGTTGAAAAGGCCGATTATCCAACGTGGAGAAGTGCATTAGAAAAGTTTGTTATTGAAGAAAGTAAAGAATCAGCTTTATTCCCATTATTACATTTCGTGTTAGATAACTTACCTCAAGATACCAAAGCTCCTGAATTAGATGATTCCAACGCTGCTAAATCGTTAAAATTAGATGCACAATGGACTGGTCAAGATTATAGTTCTGGTAAGGGTATTGATGAAGAACAAATGGGTATTTATATTAGTTATTTAATCAAGACTAAATTCTTACCTGCCCCGACTGAAGCTGGTAAATCCAAATTACCAATAGTGGAAGTTAGTCAAGAATCATTAGATTTGATTGAAGGTGGTGCTGGTGCTCGTTCATCTGCTGCCAAGTAGACTTACTCACATGCATAGACTATCCAGTCCTCCTACTTAATTATATAGTTTGTACATTAAAAATTAGTAAATATAGAAATCATTATTGCAAGACCTTGTTGTTGCTAAATAACGTCTAACAGAAATATTGTAAATTGCGCATGGCCTCTCCCCCAAACAAAAATTTAATTTGTGGTGACTGACTGACTAAGGTACAAAAATTACAAAAGACAAATATTTAAGGTTTGGTTACCAAGAACTTTCTAAAACTATAGTTTAATATGAAAACGACAAACTTATAAAATACGATGATTGGGAAAAGGTCTGAAGGGTTGAAACAATCGACATCATCGACATCAATTGACAATTCATCATCAACGTCGCCTAATTATATACATACTCAAAACATTAATGGTATAAATCAACCTCAAACTCATATCAATAGTCCTACTCATAGTCATAATCAAAGTCATTCTGCACCTCATAGTCGAAGCAGTAGTAGTGGTATAAGTGGTAATCTATCTCTGTCTGTTGCTGACGGTAGATCAAGTGCTGGCCATTCAAGTGGTAGTGGTAATACTAATAGTTTATTATCTACTGCTATTTCAAATTTACAACATCAATATTTAGAATCGCCAGTTCAAGTTAATAGTAATCTGGGAGGAGGAAGTCATAATCTCCAACAATCTGCATTTGACTTATTCGGTCATTCACCAACTACAACTTCACCTGAATTAATTAATCGAAATTCATCCTTAACCAATTTAAGTACCAGCAATACTTCCCAACCTTCATCAGCTAGTAATAATCTATTTATGAGGAAACCAAGTGATAGAAGATATTCATTAGGTTCACCCTTTAATAGTACTAGTTATAATCATTCCTCCCATCCTTCCACAGAATTGAATTCATCTTCAGTATTACCCTCAACATCCACCCCACCTATATCCGCATCAAGTTCAAATCGAAATTTATATACATTACAATCCCAAGCTCGAAATCCTCAATCTACCATTAATAGTATTACACCTCGTAAATATGGAGGTGGTAGTGCAGTTGGTATATCCTTATTGAGTAATACGTTGAATAGTAGTTCAACTGATAAGAAACGATTAGTGGATCAATTTTATAATGCTGCTACTAATGAATCTAATCCTGTTAGTCGGGCTGGAAGTGTATTAGATATTAAGAGTTTAACTAGTAGTGGTCAAGTTACAAGTAATAATAATAATGGGATTAAAGGGAAAAGTGATGGAAATAATAATAACAATAATAATGTAAATGGGAGTAATAGTGCAATTGGAAATGGAATTGGAGGAATTAGTGGAAGTGGTAGTACAGGTAATTTAAACAATCTTCTTCTTAATGGAGGAAGTAGTATCAACGGAGGTAATAATACTAGTAATTTAAGTAGTTTGAATCCATCCCCCAGTTTAGAAATGAGTATGAGGAAGGATAATATTAATGATAGTCTTGACGATGGACAATATGATCATAGTAATAATCGAATACCTATCAATGGGATTGATGATGAGATATTTAATGAGATAGTTAAGAATGGAGGGTTTAAATATGATTCAAGGAATTCTAATTTATTTGAAGATGGAGAATTAATCAATTATTTAAAACTTCATGATTTAATCATTGGAGAAGAGATGATGATGAATGATGAAGAAGATAATGGAATAGGTAGATTTCGTAAAGAGATTAAATTGATTTCCCAAGATTTAGTTGATATGAATAAGAAATTGATAAGTAATAGAAGAGATGGAGGTACTGATGATGAGATTCATACCAATTTAAATGATTTAAATGCATTAGAAGATTATTTAGATTTATTAAATTATCAAACTAAAGAATTAATGAATCGATTAATTGAAGATAAAGAAGAATTAAAGAATAAATATCAAAAGGATATTAATGATAGTCTTAATCGATTACAAGATTTAAGTCAAGAATTATCTCATTTAGAAACTAAATTAACGATATTAAGAAATAAAATCAATAATGATAAATCATTTATGACAGAAGAATTAATGGAAAAGTTAAAAATATTAGAATATGTTGATGAGAAATTGAAGGACTATACTGTGATATCTCGAATTAGAAGATTTAAACAATTTAATATATCCATATCTGTTATCATATTAGTATTTGGTTTATATATGTATTATGGTTAGATAAAAAGACAAATAAGTATTTAATATAGAATAAAACAAAAGATATAAAAATAAGTTGTGTTATGATTGATAGTGAGTTATGAAACATATTACCCAATTAGGCAGTCGAGCCATTTTTGCGCACAAGACCTCTCTTTTCCAAACGAAAAAAAGGGGAGACACCAAAAAAAAAAGAAAGAAAGAAAAAAAAAAAAAACGGTCATCGCACGTGACCACGTGCGTATCGGTTAAAGTTTCCGAAACTAGTTAGTGGAAGTTTATTCCCGTTCAGTATAATATTTATTTGAGCCAGGGTCACTAAACCCGAGAAGATCTGCAACGGTTTTTTTTTTTTTTTTTTTTTAATATTTTAATATAATTAAATTTTTATTTTGGATTGTGTTGCGAAGGAAGAAACGAAGAAAGGAAAGAAGAATTAGATATGACATGATTTATAGAAGGACCAGATTAATATCATTGTGAAGTGAAACTTGAATGTTATGTATAATTATAATTAATTTATTTGAAAAGTTTAAAAATTTGCCTGAAGTTTTATCACCTGAGAAGAAGGAGGAAGTAAGTACTTATCAAGGCGTCTCAAGTCATTGAGAATGAATGATTAGAGTAGCAATATTCAAAAAAAAAAATTTATTTATATATTGACAAGGTTGTATAGTGGAATGAGTAACAACGGTTATCTCTGTCTTTATTATTAACGAATAAATAATAATAATAATAACGAGAAAAGAATGGGGGAGTCAGAGTAAGAATATCCTTATTTAGTTGTCCTTCTGTTACTTGTCTGCAATGTCTAAGTAATGGATTTGTGTAGCGAACGAACGAACGAATGAGGAGTAAGAGCAGCAGTATATTTTTAGTTAAATTACTGTGAAACTTTCCTATTATTATTTTACAACGCTTTAAACTACTTGATACGACCGTTAGTGCTGGTAAAGAATGAATAAGTTGTAAGAAGTTGCCTATTGAACTTGATATCACAAAATTGAACAGAACAGAACATATAAAAAAAAAAGAAATTTAAAAATATCACAAAATTAAATCACATTTTTTTTTTTTTTTTTTTTTTTTTATTTTTTAATTTTGTCGTTCTGTTCAATTTAAAGTAGAAGTTTTGGAGTTATCCCTTTTTGGAGGTTAAAGATTGTAATCACATAAATCAATTTTAATCTGACCTCATCCAAACTTGTTTCTTCTCTCTTCTTCTTCTTCTTCTTTCTTCTACTTCCTACTGGATCTTATCTTCAGCTACTCATCCATCTAAGAAAGGTAAGACCATATACTCATACTTCCTCATTAGTATCCTCCCCCTTTCCCCATATTGAGTATTTACCATTGTCCTTCTCCGACACTCATTACCAATCCATCCCCGCCTGCTGTCACCATCTCAATAGATCACTTCCAAACAAAGTTTAACAAATATATTGTGTGTTCCCCCATCCATCCATTCATCAATATTACCACCCACACTTTACACTTCAGTGACCTAAGACTTTTTCAAGAAAAAGGTACACTAAATTGATCTACAGTAAGCTTTTTTTTTTTCACACCATTAATCAAACCATTCACTTTTCATCTTCCTTGGATTCATCGTATATAATCAGATCCATCGATCCCATCCCATCCCATCCCAACTCATCCCTTTCCATTCCATCCCAGATTTTCCTACTTCATAACCTTTTGATCAAATAATCTATTTTATCAAACTTGTATAAAACCAATCTGATCCTCCTTCACCTCCGTTGTATCCTTAATTATTATCTAATCCTTATTAGTTAACCTCTATTCTTGTTCATTGCTTTCTTTCACTCATTATTTGTGGTTAATCTTCATTTATTTCCTTATTTATTTTGTTTTATTCATTCCTTCATTTATATCCAAATTGGCGTTGATTGGTTCTTAACTTGGTCTTGGAGTTCAAATAGTATTATTATCTAACTATTGTCATTATAATTTTGTATTTTATCATTCATTCATATTCATTCACTAACTCACTCACTTTGCATCTCATATAATATCCTCATCACATCATGGCTGAAGTTTTATCATTAATACCTTCATCTCCAAAACTTGATCAAATCAATCATGAATCATTAGTTCATTTCACCTTATTTAAGGATTTATTACTGTATCTCTTTAAAAAGGGTAATAGTGAAACCGATTCAAATCATCCTATTGTTATAATATTAGCCAATATTAAATCAAACGATGATGAAGATACTTTACTGTCTTTACAAACCTTATCGGATCATCATAAACAATTATTATTGAAATATTTCTTTAATCATTTAAATATCATTATTATCTTTGAATCAGATTTAACTCCATCAACTATCACTCATTTAAATGATCTTATCCATAATATCAAATTAATCATAACCAATCGTATTTCAAGAATCCAAACTTGGACAGGAACAGGGAATATTGAATTAGTAGGTGATAATTATATTGAAGAAAAACAAGAAATCAATGGCATAATCTCTACTATGTCATTAATCTTGACCAATAATATTAATAAATCATTCGTAACTAGTGAATTAATCATTAAATTGAATCATTTAATCATGAAAGAAATCAATTTTAAAAACTTATTAATCAATAATGATCCTCAACATTTAATTAAATTATCTGAATCAGTTCGTAATTGGTCATTCCCAGCTCATGAATTATCCAATGATGATTTGATTTATTGTGTTTTCATCATGCTTAAATATGCTTTAATTCAAGTGGGAAAGAATCATAGTCAAAGTTCATTATATATTTTAAATAATAATGAATTATTGGGATTTGTATTTATGGTTAGAGATACTTATAAAAATGGTAATCCATTTCATAATTTCCGTCATGCCGTTGATGTTTTACAAGCTTGTTTTCACTTTTTAATTAGATTAGATTGTTTACCTCAATTTTCTTCTCAAACTTATCAAGATGAATTAATTCCCATCATACCCAAGAATCCCACCTCCACAAGTACTGTCAGTTCCAATGATAAAGAACCTTCACCATTACATTCTCCTAATCATCTTAATCATTTACAAACTCTTGGATTGTTGATTGCTGCCTTAGGTCATGATGTTGGACATCCAGGGGTTACTAATGCATTTATGATTAAAAGTTTAGCTCCAACATCATTATTATATAATGAAAGATCAGTATTAGAATCATTCCATTCATCCGTGTTTATAAATAAGATTCTTAGTATTAATTGGCCATCATTATTGAATGTATTTACGGAATCTGAAAAACAAGAATTAACCTTGAGAGAGATTATCATTTCAAGTATATTGGCTACTGATATGGCAGAACATTTTGAATATATTGAAAGATTAAAGAATTTAAAATATAATGATTTCATCAAACATAATAATCGAGTGAAATTGATTTGTTCATTATTAATCAAATGTGCAGATATTTCAAATGTGACTCGTCCGTTAAGAGTTTCATCCCAATGGGCCATGGTATTAGCAAGAGAATTCGATGAAGTGAATATCTTGGAAAAGAAAATTCATCATGATGAAAGTTTAAACCTTGATCTTTCTCAGGATTTAACCTATACCAAAGTTCCCATTGATTTACAAGATATTTTAGTACAAAATCCTCAATTACATAAAGGTCAAATCTTTTTTATAAATACGTTTGCGGAGAATTTATTTAATAATATTTCGGAATTATTACCTGAATTGAAATATACTTGTGATATAATTAAAGAGAATAAAGAGTTTTGGTTAAATAGAAATACATAGGTTGTTGTTGTTTTAAGTATGGCGTTGTTGGTTTTCATTCATTCATTCGTTCATTCGATTCATTCATTGGTGGGTTACGTTAAATATTTGTGGTTTTTCCTTTATATATGTATATATATATATTTATACATATTTATTTCTTCTACACTACTATATCTTATATTTTGTTGTATAGATTATATCCTTTCTTTAGCATATTTTATGAATTATTAATAAGAGTAATATAAGTATTTTACTTCATTTATAAATTCTACACTTGGATTGATATTTGTAATATAAACATGTATAACTTATATTGATTTGAAAAAAACCAGTTCATCTATGTATAAATGGTCTAAAAAAGTTCCTAAAATTGTTAGTACATAGGTATCCTAAATAGTTAATAAAAATAAATATCATATATGAAAAAATTAACAATATATGGGATCCAACATAAGGAATGGCTTGAAGGATCCATACAGATAATGGAGGATTTATGTGTTGTCATCGTTGTAATATAGGTGACTTTGTTTATAATGATAAGCTAAAAAGACTTATGTGGTGAGGACAGTTTACAGTTTATATATCTTATTTTACATGTTTTAATCTGAGTTTACAGTTTAATGTATTTTACAAGTTACGTAAGATTAAAATCCATCGATGTTCAACTTTAAAAAAAAATTTTACTGGTCCTGTATATAACCATGGTTTAAACAACGTTTTATTTTTACAGTACTGAAGTTGACAGAGAGAGAGAGTGAGTGAGAGTGAGGGCACAGAGAAAGTGAACCAGAACGAGCTGCAACTTGAACTCAAATTTGAAAACCATCATACTTTGAAATCTAAATTTAGTTCAATCACTTCATCCAACCAATCAATCTAGTTTGGAAGTTCATATATCTATAGACAGTATATACAGTTCTTCATTGCCTTCTTAAAAGAGTTGTTCTGATTGTTTATTTCATAGTTATTTCTTGGTTTATCTCAGTGTTTGTCTGTCTGTCTGTCTATTCCATCTTGATTGACTTGTCATCTCCATCTCATCTAAAGTTGTTTACTTCCAGTGGTGATATTTCTCTCATTGATCATAGTAACAAGTAAGTATACTCAATCATAGTTAAACCTTACTTCATTCTATCTTACGAATGCATTAGAGCTAGTCTCCATCCAATTCATCTCATTCCATTTCACTAAAAGCTCATCTAAAATTGTCGGTCAAATTCTCACCCACTAAAATAAATCGAGATCCATATCCATATTCACAACCCCATCAATATGACTACCAATCATCTTAATAGTCCTAATCCTTACTCCTTCGAAAGACCAATCATCTTATCCCCTCCTCCTTTGGAACAACAATCCTCAGTTTCATCCACTAATCTTCCTCCATTAACAAATTGTACTTCTTCAACCACAAATAATCCAACTCCTCCAACCGTTGTTGGTCATACTGAAAGACAACAAAGTGTAGGTTATAACTTACAACATGAGTTTGAAACTTTAACTAATGATTTGGATTTGGATTTAAGAAATGCTAGAAATCCTTCTTTATCAAATCAAGCGGTAACTAATTTAACTTCAAAATATGGGTTTGGAACTGATTTAGTTGCCAGTGGTACTACTACTCCTTTATCAAATCCAACTCATCATCAATTGTTAAGAGGAGCAGGAAGTACGGGTGCTGATCAACATATATCTACTATAATATCTCCCAATCCTACCTCTTCAAGTCAACATATTTTAGCTAATTTCTTAAATAGTACTAATAATGGTAGTGGTAATTCAACTACTGGTTCTGGTTTCTTACCTCCTCCATTGGCTTCTATTCCAAATAGACCTCAATCGGTTAATGACTTTTCTAACTTTTTTACTTCAACAAGTACAAATACTACCAATATGAATACTACTAGTACTACAAGTACCACCAATGCTACCACCAATGGTCAATCTCAAACCAGTACTATTAATAGTTATTATCAAGATTTATTAACTTTTACCAATTGGATTGAGAATTTAAATCCTCAAGAAACTTTAACTATGATTGATTATTTATGTAATAATTTACCCGTTGATATATTATTATCATTCAAATCAAAATTAGATAGTCATTTGTCATCTCATGCTTCTGGTTTAGGTCTTTCTCAATCTCAATCTCAATCTCAACAACAACAACAACAATATATGATGTCTCCATATGCTTATGGTCAACCAAGTCAAGAATTATATACTGACATTGAAAATTTAAATATTGGAGATAATAGAGGTATATTGAATTCTCCACCTCAATCTCAATCTCATTTACATCAATTGCATCAAGTTTCAAGTGGTCAACAACATCAAATCCATCAACCAAAACCAAAAACTAGAGGTACTCAATATTTATATCTTGATCAAAAGAATCAAAGACCAAAATCAGCTGATCCATTAAGATATCAACAACAAATCCAACAACATCAACAATATAATCAACAACAACAACAACAGCAGCAGCAGCAGCAACAACAACACCATAATCATCACCAACTTCAACAACAGCAACATCAACTCCAACAACAACAAGATAGAGCTAAATCTCCTACGTCTCATTTATATGAAAAGACAAATTTCTTACAATTAGCCGCTGCCAATTCAAATTCTCCCATGATTTATGATCATCAACCTCAAGGTGGTGTCATTCCAAATTTCCAATTAAACAATAGTAACAACAACAATAATAACAACAATAATAATAATACTAGTATTGTAAGTAATAATAGTACTAGTTCTACTAATCTGAATAATAATCAAAATAATTCATCGGAAGATTTGGATATTTCAGCTAGTACAGCTATGAAATTAGGTGCATTGACTACGATTAATTCAAGAGTTGCTCTTGATTCAAATAGGAAACATGGTCATCATTTACAAGGTCAATCCCAACAACAGCAACAGCAACAGTCTCAACAATCTCAACAACAACAAGCTGCCAAACATCAATCAGCCATGAGTCATGCGATGGCTTATGAGGATTCCATTAATAGAAATCTTAATTCATCTTCGGTTCCTGTAAGTATTCATAGAGGTCCAAGTATGGCCAGTACCAATAGTATTAAATCCCCCAAACATAAGAAGAATTCCAACACTAATAATGTTGGTCCACTTTCATTAGATAGTAAGAATAATGATAGTTTATCAGGCATAAATTATCATGGAATAGGAGGAGGAGCATCAACTCCATTATCAGCTTCGAATTCATCTATGCCGACTGAAGTTTCTAATCAAGAATTATTAAATAATATCCCGGCCTGGTTGAAATTATTACGATTACATAAATATACTGATTGTTTGAAAGATGTTCCTTGGAAAGAATTGATTGAGTATGATAGTGATCAATTAGAAGCCAAGGGTGTGGCTGCGTTAGGTGCCAGACGAAAATTAGCTAAAGCTTTTGATGTGGTTAAGAATGATTTAGATATTAAGTAAGGTTTTTGTTAAGTTATTGAATAAGTTAACAAAGCTGAAAAATGCCCAAAGAAAAGAAAAAAAAAAAGAATTAAACCATACAAACAAACAACGATTTAAAAAATACATTTCCCTTTTACGTATATACATATATGACAATAATAAAAATAAGCTTTATAGACTTTTAAAAAGTGATGTCTTGTAGATAATATATTTATAGATTGAATGAATTTTATATTAAAGATTTAATAAGAATTAAAAAATAAACAAGGTTGAATTGTAGAATAAATAGATCAAAAGAATAATAACCAAGTAAACTAATAGGATAATAAAAGAAAAACGTAACAAATTTACATGATACTTATAAAACAATTAACTAATGTGGATGGGAATCATTTGACCTGAATTAAGACCAGTGAAGATGGATTCACTTTAACCAAATAATAACAAAAAATAAAAATAATAATAATAATAATAAGTTCTATCTGCTGAATATACACCTAATGTAATAAGTATAATATATTACCCCTAATAAAAATCATGAGAAAAGAAATAATATGAATGAATGAATGAAGTGATGAAGGAATGACGATGGAAAAGACTTTAGCGGTCGTTAATGAGAACTCATTTATCTACATGATAACACAACAAGAGTTAGTCTTCTTGGCTTGTTTATAAAACATTCTTGAACTTGAAGATAATGCTTCTGATTTATCAACTAATGAATCTAATTTCTCACCTCTTTGTAAAACACCTTCAATGGTTTTATGTAATACAATTTTAGTTTCATCTAATTCAGCTTGAACTCTCATTATAGCATCAGCTTGAGTTGGATCTTGATATTTCTTTAAATATTGTTCTAATGCATCATAAGTCAAATTTGGATTGGTACTAATTATATTTGACCATTCTTGAGATGGATGTAATGATAAATATTCTTCTAAAACTTTATTAATTAAGGTATAAGCAGGTCTAACAGGATATTCTTTATCAGTAATGATGACACAAGCTAACCCTTCCAGTCTAACATAACTATGACCCACGTAATTACCTTCTTCAACACTTTGTCTTTGACCAGCTTGAGTTCTTTGAGAAACCGTTTCTGAAAAGAAAGTCATAAACTGGGATACTCCTGTCCTTTCAAAGAATGAAAATTGACTTAAATCTCTGGCGGAAGTTAATTCCAAGGACTTATCTGATGTGGTTCTTAAAACCCCAATGTAATAGATCTTCATTGTATGGTGATGGTCTGTGTGGTTGTAGGTATTTACTATTGTGGTTGTGGTTGTAAATGCTTAAGTTGCCGTTCAACAGATTGGGTATTTTTGTTTTGTCTGGGTTGCCTAAATTTGAACGAAAACAATTTTGATGATGGATTGAACTCAGACAGACAAAAATTAAAAACAGACAGACAGACAGACAAAAATAATAACAAGAAAAAAATACGAGTGTCTGATCAGACAGACGAAAAGTGTAACCCAAATTGTTTAAAACTTAAACGAGACGAAACTGAAACTGAAACTAAAATCATAATAGTGAAAACACATACAGGATAAGTTATAGAAAGATAGGAATAGTCCCCGTTCATTGATTGCATAATAGGTCGTATCATAAGTGGTACAAGGGGTTTAATTCATGAAGAAAGTTCTTAATTCATTATATCATAAATTTAAAGTTGCGTTTAAACCTTTTGGTCTCGTTTAACTGAAATTTCGAATTATCATCAACTTTTTCTAATAATACTTTCATTGATCACTAATATATGCTGAAGAGCAGCTCACAGATAGATGTCATACCGTCATCTAATCTGAAATCAGCAGCTTCTTTATCGACTTCAGCCTCAACTACAACTCCAACTACAGCCACAGCTACTGTCGATAAGCCAACTCCCTTGTTAAAAGTTTTATTACTTGGAGATTCAGGGGTTGGTAAAACTTGTTTAAGATCACAATTTGTTCATCATGTATTCACAAATTCTTATCGAGCTACCATAGGAGGAGATTATTTAACTACTTCTATAGAAGTACCTCCTGATTCATCATCATCTTCATCATTATCAAAATCAAATACTACATATGATTCAGACCAAGACCCTGAATTAACTTCAAATACTATAATACCATCAGATATAAAATCAACTAAGGTCAATTTACAAATATGGGATACAGCTGGTCAAGAACGTTTCAATTCAATATCTCAAGCATTTTATAGAGGAACAGATGTGGTGGTTCTTGTGTATGATATCACCAATTATGAATCAGTCTTAAGTTTAAGAGATTGGTTTAAACGATTTTTAGAACATTGTCATGTCGAAAGACCAGGAGTGGTTATTGTGGGGAATAAAAGTGATAAAGTCAACGATAGATGTGTTGATTTAGAAGAAATTAGAGAAATCGTAACCGCAAATACTACAGTTAATCTTGATGATTTTGTAATTGATTGGAATATGGATTTACGAGAAGTTTCATCTAAAAGATTAGATGTGGTAAATGAGTTATTTATTCAAGTAGCGAAAGTTGGTCTTGAAGCAATGTCTGGTAACCCATCCCAACGAAGTTATTTCCATGGCTTTGATAATATCATACTTCATGATCCACCCATCAATGTACAACCTTCATCTTCCAAATGTGCATGTTAATGATAAACCAATTAAAAAAAAACCTTAATGACCTCTCTAATTCTTCACAAATGTATCACAATTTGCAACCCTTAGATTATTCCCTTTATAGATTTAATGAATATAATAATTATAATAATAATAATAATGCTTTTATTAATAACGCTATGTACAAATTTTTTAAATATTAGTATATACTACTCTAATGCAATTAGTGTCCCAAATATCTATTCTTGATTGATTGCTTATTTAGCTTCTTCAATAGCAACAGGTTGTTCTTCAACGGTTTCATCTATTGGAGCAGATGGAGTAGCTTCTTCTCCATCATCATATAATTCTTCTTTATAATGTTCAGGATATCTCTTGAAACAAGATCTCATGGCTTCAAACTTTTTAATACAATCAATACCCTTTGGTTCAGTTTCGGAATAAACAAAACAAGCAAAGGCTTCTTTGAATTCTTCACCACATGGACCATGAGCCATTCCTCCTAAACATGGACAATCCCAGTTGATTTCCCCAGTTTCCGGATTATAAGCAGCCCCTTCATGATTTGGAACTTCTTCTTGTTCTTCACCTCCTTCTTCGCCACCTTCAACAATGACAGTTTCTTCAGTTACAACGACAGTTTCAGGTTGAGCTTCCAATTCGGTCTTGGTGATAGCTTCTTGTAACTCTTGTTCTATCTTTTCCACATCAGTATCATTGTTGATGGTGTTATTAAGATAACTATAGGCAAAGTAAGTGGCAGTTAAACCCGAGATCAACTTAACCTTTCTATTGAAGTTAACTTGAGGTCTAACAGTGGCATTGGAATATAATCTTTGAGAAAATCTGGCTGCTGATTGACGAACAACAGGTGATCTAGTGAAGTATCTATACATGTTGTCGTTGTTGTTCTTCTTCTTAATTCTTTAAGACACAGAGTCTAATCAATCTATAATTACTAAATTCCATAAAGTTCTGAATTTTTCAAAAGCTATCGAGTCCAGATGACTAAGATTTTTTACTCTATATAATTTTGAAAGAAGGGTATATGCAGGAAATTAGACATAATTCGGTTTTAACATGGATCACTTAGGTTAACTATTATTGAAGTGATATGGTTTCATCTAGGATGGTATTGAGGTTTAGTTGATGCCTAGTATGGTTTACAGGACAATTGTAAATTCTGGTGTAACTAAAAATGATGGAAAACTATGTTCCTTTTATTAAATGTATATACAAGTTAAGCAATACTTATGCTATTACATATGTATACTATGTACAATTGGGATATGTTCCCTTAGCATATGATAGTTCTAAGCGATCTAATAGTCAACTATTGTTCTTACCTATCTCTAACATCTTTCCTCAAATCAAGTATGACTGGCTCTTCTTCAACCACTGGTTCACTTAGGGTACTGGCATACAATATTGATCCGAATACAACAATTACTGAAACTACCCCTAACCTTCTAAGGAAAGTAAGTACTTTCACTGACTCTGTAGAATCTTCTGTTAATACTTTCTTGAATACCACATTGGCATTGTCAAGCTTTGCTTTTACTTGTTCTGGTATTATTGGATTGGGTTTATTTTCAGTAGCATAAAATCGGATTAACCTGGAACTTGGAATTGTATATCGGGAGGGTATCATCAATCTTGAACGAGATATTTGTGATATCACCGACATTGTAGACATGAATTATGATAATGGTAAAATCAATCTACATATAGATCGTATTATCAGTAGTACCACTTTGTGAAAAATGGAGCCAGTAAATATTTTGTCTGTGCACGTACTTTTTCTATACATTTCCTATTTATATATACAGTTGCAAATTATCTAGACTAATGGGTTTATAATTAGCCAGTTCAACACCTTGACTTGCATCAGTTATCCATAACACATCATCATGGATGTATGCCCATATTTTCTTTGCTGAAGTTCCCATAATGGTATATAATGGATGTCCCAATACTGAATGAAATCTATTTCTTTCAGAATTGATTAATAAATCTCGTTCAACACAGTATTCCATAACCACATCTTTAAAGGATGTCATTAGCTTATATGATGGAATACCTTGAATATCAACGGGTGCAATATTATCTTCACTTTCTTCATTATTAGTTCCAAATTCTGCAATAAGCTTTAAAATCTCTGGTACGGAAGGATAACATGAACCAAACGCCTTTGGTAAACTTGATTCTAGACTATTTAATTGATGATGGTCTATACAACTTAAACCTGTATTTATATACCATTCGAATAATGAATCGTATTGACCTATGACTTCCGAATTGTCTTTAAAAAAGTTTATCCAGATTGAAAAATCTCTAGTCAATGTTTCAGGAGACAAATTTAAAATTGATTTAAGCCATGGATTCATTAAGCCAAACAGAAGTAGTTCTTCCACTTGCTCCAGCAAGAGTATCTCAACACTATTGAAGATTTGTAAGACAAACCTAACTTTCGTAAAATCTTGTGTTGAAGATTTTGTGAATCTAATCCCAGACAACACTTGAACACATGATTTGATTAATTCTTGCTTTAGGAGTGAAATATTAGCACTATCAGAAAATTGAGTTAATGACCTTGTCCAAAAATTAAACATCGTACCTAGCTCTTGAACTATATACTCATTGTAACTTTTATCTTCTGCTTGTAGTTTATTCCAGTATGAATCATCATTATTACTATCCACAAATTCAAGATACTTGATTGTAACATCATCCAACACCAGATCAAATGGGCCAGCATCATCGGGAGTTAATGAAATAATATAGTCTATGATAAATGTAGGTGATGCACTGCCAATATTTGCAGGAATCCAACTTTGAACGTATTGTTCAATTTTAGGTAGTATTATTTCTCTCAAGACTTTAACTTCAATCACTAAATCTGATCGTATGAAGATTGGATAAGATATCCAAGCATTTATGTAGTTCAATGCCACCGAATGTGAATTTAATGAGTTGTCTATATCTATAATGGCTTTCAATTGCAGTGAGAATAACTCATAAAGTAAAGAATCAAAACTATTGAGACTATTGAAGTCTTTCTCCTCTATTTCACGATAGATCAATGACCACTCTGATAAGTATGTAATCAATATATTTTCAGCATCCAATGATTCCTTGAAATGAGTATCAAATAGATGAGTAACTGTGACTCGAATGGAACTAACGAATATTGATGGAGTATGTGAAAATTTGAACGTTACGAGTTTCTTTAAGCTTTGTGTCAAATAATCCAACTCTATATTATCTCCTTTTTCTTCAATATCTTCCAATATCTTAAGTGACTCTATACTTGAATCGAGATCTTTTTTGAATTCTGTTAATTGAACTTCGGTGCTTTTCTTTTCATATTCTTTAAATTGTGCTTGCTTAACATTAGAATCATATTGCAGAAGTGTAGTAGTTAAAAATACATGAATTCTCTTCAGCTCGTCATCATTTATTTGTTGATCATTATTAGATATACCGTTAGACAAAGATATTATCCTCTCAGGAACTTTCATCCCGATATTAGTCAATTTTTCAACTATCTCAAATAACGATATAGAAATCTTGATATCCTTTGCATCACTATCATCGTCACTTGAATCTTGGTGTTTACTTTTGCCTTTACTTTTAGGTGTAGTTGATATATTTGCACCAATACCCACTCCTTTAGGTCTTAGTTCTGTCTCTATGGGGTTCACTATACCTTCTTGATTAGCACCTAAACCTTTCCCTTCTTGATATCCCATCTTCTTTAACAATTGAGCACCAATTCCATATTTATTTACATGGGTCGACTGTTGATTGTTTTGACTACCATTTAGCCATGAGTTGTAATTGAATGATGCTGTTTTCATAGTAGGTTCTTCGACTTCCTCTTTATCCATTGGTTCGTCTTCATCATCTTCATAATCGGAATAATCATCTCTAACTGATGCTGTCATCATTCCCATTGAAGGGTACGGCTGCTTCGCTATATCATCACTTTTTGACTGTGAACCTTTACTAAATACAAGTCCTTTGAAAGACATGAATCTCTTGGTTCTTTCCTTTAGCTGGTTTAATTTGCTCTTGTATAGGTTTTACATATTTACATATTTTATAGTTGATATTTAGATTATACTATATTTTTGAGTGTCCTGCACATAAAAAACTATATGATAATTATAATTGTACTACTTAAGTTGACCTCTTTCTTCGGGATGGATTTTGAGATTTAAGCTTATTGATGTAGTCGACTAACATTCTCTCTTCTAATTCTATTTCTGTTGCATCTCTTTGCACATCTTCTAGACCTTCTGTGATAACTTGAACAATCGCTGGTTGATTTTTTTCACCTGGGATTTTAAATTCTTTTGGTATAAAACTACCATACTTCGCTAACCATTCTTTTCTTCTTATTTTCTCTTGAACTTGAAGTTTGTACATGTTTTCATTTAAAAATTCTGTCAACGAACTCAAGAAAAGCTTTGGATATTTAAACTGTTCACGGTGTAATTCTTCCAAGTATTGAGTTCTTATAACGTATAAACATTGAGTGTAGTGATATGTTAATTCGTTTAACGTCTCTGCATATCTTTCTATAGGACTTTGATTTGAATCTAAATCTTCTGGAAGTGAAGATTTCGAAATTATTTCTTCAAACTTGTTTACTAATAACAGAAATTGTGGTAAATTCTTTGACTTAAACTCTCGGTATTGATCCAATTGATCTCTTGTGGAAGATATTATTAGTTCTATTTTAGGAGAATTGGCATCTAGAAATCTTTGAGCTCGAGTTTCATTATTGACTATCATATCACATACTGAATTTAAATCCCTTAACACGTCTGGTAGCTCTAGAGTATCATTTTTCAAAATCTCTAAATTATTTGGTAGAGTTGAATTATTACTAACAAACTCTACTGCTTTTGTACATTGATCATAATGATTAGTTAACATTTTCAATAGTTTAACAAGTTCATGTTCAAGTGACATATTTTCTTTAAGAATGGTTGCAATTAACGTGTTTGATTCTAATGGTGACTTTCCTGTGGTTGAATTCTTAACATCTATTTGTAGAGGTTTGATTTCATCGTATAATTTAACTATCTTAGCATACTTTTTCGATAAATTATTATGCATAACATCAGTAATTTGTTCCTTTAATTGCGTTTCCGCAACCTTTCTTATCTTGAGCCAATTATTTCTGTATATCTCGATATTAACTTTTAGAAGAGTGATTGAGTCTGTTGAAATGAAATCATCTAATGGCCTCTCTGGACCATCCATCGGTGCTTCAGATATTAAGAATGAAGGTATGCTGGTATGATGTAATTGTTGAACTATGGCCTCTAAATTGCTTAAAGCAGGATTTAGTAAAGTATTGAATTGCATCTGTGGAATTTCAATTAATGATCGACAAGCTAACAGTGTAAGTGGTTCGACTATTTTCATTATGAGTTCATGTTGTCTCTTTAAAGCATCAAATAACGTAGCTGCTTCGTCTATTATATCTGGTAAATGAGTAGTCAATTGGAACGCAGTTGAGTTAAGCAGATCTTCAGCATTTGTACACAATTTTTCAGCCCTTTGAAGGGTTGAATGGGCTTTATCTGCCCACTCCTTTACTTGATTTGTTGTTATTGTTGCATGCATATAAGTGATAGATGAATTATGATGTATACCAAAGGGTTATCTCTTTGAAGTTACCATATTATTTACGATTATTTGTAGATACAAAATATTATATGCAGGCAAACATGGTGGAAATTTATGAAAAATATATCAACTTTTTTTGAACTGAAAGATTCCAGTCAACAGTGTAAAAGCAGAAGTAATCATCCCAATATGAGTGACATATCACCGTTAAAGGCATTACATAATGCTACCACCAAGGGAGAACCTATTACCTTTGTTATAATAGATGGAGAAAAATCCGATGTCACGGAGTCAATAAAGGATGCTACTCATGTTAAATTTGGTGAATCTCAGTTTGACTTGAATACTATCACTAACTTTTATAATGATGATAAGGCACAAGGTCTTCGAGCTGTTGTATTCTGTTGGTTACATGATAAATCCTCCATTGTTGATTATAGAAATGAATGTACTGAGTTGAAGATTCCTGATTTTAAGTTTTTAGTGAAAACAGAGTTAACAACTTGGTTAAATGGAAATTCAGATACATGTAAATTCGTCAAAGATGAGGATGTGAGTGATACCAAATCATCTAAATCTAAATCTTCAACTTCTAAAACATCTACTGAAACTTCAGGTAAAAAACATAAGTTAGAAGATCCTCAAATAGAAAGAATCTCCCATTTTGAAAGAGAATCAATAGATCATAATGCCGCTTTAAGAGGTTCCAAGAATATTGATTTTGGTTACTTAATATCAGATGCAAAGAAATTTATAAGTCAATTGAAGCGTTCTAAACCAGCCAATGATTCAAAATCTAAGTCTACTGGCCCAAAGAAACAACCACTTATCATTGTCTCTCCTGCTACTACTGCATTATTATCATTATCTAATGTAAAAGAATTCCTAGAAGAAGGTACTTTTGTCGAACCTAATCCAAGTGAAAGACCTGCAGGAGGTCTTGTAACTGTTACTCATAAATCTGAAAACTTAATATCTTCAGCACAACAAATAATGGTGGTTGATAACGTTGAAATGTTTAATAAACCTGAATATTGGGATAGAGTGGTTGCTATTTTCACAACTGGTCAAACTTGGCAATTTGCTAAATACAAATATTCTAAACCTGAAGAATTATTTCAAAAGTATGCTGGTTACTATTTCGCTTATCAAGCTGAACCAACTCCTCAACAGATAAAGGAATGGAATGTAACTGAAATTAAAGTTGATAGAGATAAGAGGTTTAGAGATAAGATGATTGTAAGGGATTTCTGGGCCGACGTTGAGAAGATCCTTATTGCTAAGGGCTACGGTAAAGATTAAACAGATATATCTGCTTGAAGCATGATATAAGCTTTGTAACAATACTTCATAAATATAAATTACATTAAACTATTTACATGATAACTATTTACATGATAACTATTTGTAAGCTTTTTCTGATTCTATAAACATTTTGTATACCTCATCGGCAGACAAATTGGAAACTTTTCTATTGTCTCTATGTCTAATTGCAACTGTGCCATTTTCAATATCTTTATCACCTATCATTATAATATATGAATAACCTTTTTGAATAGCTTCCTTGATTCTTGCTCCTGTGGTTTCCTTTCTGGAATCAACATCAACATAAAAGTTATATCCAGTTATAGGTGACATGGTATCACTATCAGTATTTAAAATATCCCCAGACAACTTCTTTTGTAAAGCTTCTGCTGCTGATATATGGTTGTCGTTAATTGGTATGATTATTGCTTGTCTTGGATTGATCCAGAATGGCCATTTACCTTGGTAATGATCAAGAAGAATAGCAAAAAATCTTTCTAATGACCCAAATACAGCTCTGTGTATAAGAATTGGTTGGTTATCACGAGAACCATCTTTGGACACATATGATAATTCGAATCTGGATGGAAGCTGGAAATCTAATTGAATTGTACCAACTTGATGTTTCTTTTTGAAAGCATCAGTTAAAAGAACATCGATCTTTGGACCATAAAACGCACCATCTCCTTCCCTGATGTTCCACTTACCTTCGCCAACAACGCTGTCTAGCACAGTCTTAAGTTGTAACTCAGCATTGTTCCAAGTTTCAAGATCTCCAAGATATTTATCTTCGGGTCTAGTTGATAAATAAAACTCAATATCACCTTCTTCCATATCAAACACTTTATATGTATCTTTAATAAGATTGATGGTATTTTTGATTTCCTGATCAATTTGGTTAAGTTCACAAAATATATGACCATCATCTTGGTGGAATCTTCTTACTCTTGTAAGACCAGTAAGAGAACCACTAGCTTCGTTTCTATGTAAGGATGAAAAATCTGAATATCTAATAGGTAATTCATTATAAGAACGATCGAATTTACTATAAATTAAACAATGACCGGGACAGTTCATTGGCTTTAATCCATAGTCGTGTAAACCATCATCTTCTTCACTTATAGTTTCTTCTTTCGAAGCATCGTTTCCTATAACTTTGAACATATCATCTTGATAATTTTGCCAATGTCCGGATGTTTCCCAAAGTTTAGATTTATAAATCAATGGTGTGATTACTTCTTGGAATCCATATTTAGTTTGTTGATTCTTCATAAATTGAACTAATTTATTGAATATTCTAGTTCCATGTGGCAAGAAGAATATAGAACCTGGTGATAATGGATCAGTGGTGTATAACAATTGTTTATTGGAAATAGTTTGATTGGCTTGTGTCGATGATTCACCATCAGGACTGGTGGAATGATACCGCAAATATGATATATTCAGCACTCGTGGTACCCTGATATATGACCGTACGGCCAGAGTTCTTGCTATATACATATAGACTTCAATGAATCACTTAATAAAGCATTCACTTTTATATCATAGTGTCTCTCATTTTGCTGAAAAAAAAATGGTTACCGCATTATTGTTGTGGTCAAATTAAATATGATTATAGCTAAAATTTTACATTAATGACTAGTATACACAAGAACTATATAACAAATCGACCTATAAATATGTAATTATATATGTGAACATCTATGGTCGTTTCGAGCTCTTTCTTTCCGTTGGCATAACATATTATATTTATGCTTCAGAACGAATATCAGGAGTAGCTGAAGCTGAAACTATTGGAGAAGCTGAACCATCTTCAACTATCGCTTCAATGACAGTCTTTTTATCATGCTTCAATTCATCTTTGTGCTCCCAGGAGACATGCTTTACTTTAAACCCACTGAATGTTTTGAACTGTCTTGGTTTCTTAATCCATTTTTTACTTGGTTTACCTGATTTATCAAGTGCATATAAACCTTGACTTATACTGTTCATTGTTAAGCCTGAAGTGGATGACTCTTTCAATCCAGAATTAATCTTGAAATTGCTTATTACGGCTGGATTATTATTTGGGTTATTAAGGTTTGTAGTTGGAGTAGATTCATTACCAGTTGGAGCTGGTGATCCAACTTTTGAACCACTTGCTGAAATACTTGTACTACCAGCTTTCCTTTCTTCTGCAGCTATTTTCTTTAATCTTGACTTTGATATGGGAGTAGGGAACTCAGGAAGAGTCGATAAAAAGGATTGTGGTAGCTTTAGTCTGACCCAGTAACGTCTTGGTGGTGCCATGATGAATTAGTTTTATGAATGGATATATGAATTATGAATACAATAATGACACTAATAGTTAATTTGTAACTATGTGATATCAGCGTCAGTCGGTGATGAATGAATTTGATTTCAATTTGTTTTATAATATTATGTATATATGTATATTAATACTATTCTGAACTGTTGATTGATGTGAAAATAATACGCTGTTGCTATATGCAGTACAGCCTACTAAGTAATTAGAATTCTACTAGAGATAACTTATGGTAAATGACTTACTTCAGTGAAAACACAATAGTGAACTTAACTTATATTGACATTCAGTAAATCCTGAAAGAGTGCTATACATTTCAAAAAGAAAGGGGCGTTTATATAAATGCAGTTAGATAGAAATAAGAAGTTTGTAAAAATTTAATAAATAAATCATGACCAATGTCATATAATAGATGGTGAATGACTGAATGGATAATACGTACCATACTGCTACCTTTATACTAATCAAAGCTTGATATATTTTCCAAGCTTTTACTGTATTGTCTTTATACTGTTAAAGGACCATAGATTATGTCAAAGCCTTCCTCATAATCTCAATTCTTATCTTATCATCATTGCAAAAAAATCATTGCTATTGGACAATAGTGAAATTGGTGCAGTCCTAACTAAGTAACTCTTACTTCGGTTAAATTGAATGGAAGAGAGTTGTTATCAATGAAAGCTTGAAAGATTAAAAACATCAAATTATTTCAAATATATCATGCCCTATTTTAGTCTTCAGTTATATTATTGAATTGATCTTCATATCATATGCACACAACATATAATCACACAATTCCAAAGCAGAAGTTTCCAAATCTTTGAAGATTCAAAACGGCTCTACTTTTATTCAGTGTTAGTATTTATAGTAATCCAATTTTCATTAGACTAGGTTCTGTTCCAATTCAAAATAAAGTAAATGAGAAAACCCATTTTTTCCAGCTGGTAAGACAGTTAGGAAAGGGCGCTACCCAACTGATTTATTTAGAATATTTATCTCAGCGGTTAATTAATTTATAATTTCTTTTCTTTTAACAAGTTTATTAATAACTGATCAAATTACTTTAACACAATCAAGTGTCGTTAAGTATTATCTACTGATCAATTTCATATCTGAATCAAGTTTCATAAAGTGGTCTCTACTGATCAATTTCATATCATATTCAAGTTTCATAAAGTGATATCTACTGATTCAAGACTAATTACTTATCATATTCAAGTGTCATAAAGTGATATCTACTGATTCAAGACTAATTACTTATCATATTCAAGTGTAATAAAGTGATATCTACTGATTCAAGACTAATTATTTATCATATTCAAGTGTCATAAAGTGATATCTACTGATTCAAGACTAATTATTTATCATATTCAAGTGTCATAAAGTGATATCTACTGATTCAAGACTAATTACTTATCATAATCAAGTCTCATTTAATCTCAAATAAGTGTTAATCTGTTAAATATGACTACCGAACCATGCCCACATGATAATCAGGTTACCGAAGGTGGATCTCATTACTGCAAGAACTGTTTTAAGGAAATAGCAATGGACTTTGTTCCTGAAGTCTACCAAGTTGAACAAATTAATGAACAAAAACAGGAAGATCAAGAAGCCGAACAAGGTGCTATCGAGCTCCAACGCTTGTTAGAAAATAATAATTTTCCAAAAACGAATGAAGATAATGAAAATAAAGATAAAGCAGAAGCTGATTCTGATATAAGCTCTCCTGCTTCAACTTATGAAGAATATCGAGAATATGAAGATGTACAATCTTCAGAAAACAAGGAAGATGAGGATTTAATTAAGGATAATTAAATGCCTATTTGTGATTGGTATAAAATTGATACACCCGTTTGAATAAATAAGTCGAAAAGAATGTATAAAATTTTGAAAATAATGTTTATAATGGATTTACTAATTTGTAGAATTTTTGCAATAAAAATTTAAAAATTGTCTGGCTCAGGTTCAAAAAAATCAGACAAAAATGTTTCAGACATAAATAGTCCAATTTAAGAATTTAGTTGGCTCTTGTGTAGAAAAGCAAAATTTAGCATCATTTTTATGGAAAAAATAAAAGCTTTGGTATGCTACCAAAAGCTTTTCTTTGAACAAAAATTATTTTGATAAACTAAATCATTTGAATTAGTTGTAATTACAGCATATAAAAATGAATCTACAAGACTTACCTTTAGATATTTTAGTGGAAATACTTGATAACCTCAATACAAGGGAGTTATTGATTTTTGCATGTGCTTCTAAAGATCTGCATGACTTGCTATTTGTGTTAAATCAAATTCAAATAAAACCCATAGTATTGAGAGTTGAGTCTACTGAAAGCAGTGTTAAATATCTAGGACCAAAAGAAGAGTTTGATAATTTAACATTAATTCATTCTTCTTCTAGATTTAACAGCATCCCTTATGAAAATTCACTGAACCTTTTCTTTGACACAATAAAGTACTTCAATAATGCAAAACAAAGAACAATAACTCTACAATTTGAATTAGACTTAAGTGATGACATGAGTTGTATGCGTCAATTGTTAGTCAAATGTGAAACATTGGCTAAACAGAATTTCAAGTTTCAATTATCATTATTCAAGTTCCTTAGAAGAACTGAACTTTCAAAGTTTTCTCTTCCGAGTACGGATCTAGAGAAGTTCAATTGGTCAAGAGTTACGATTGACACTAATTGTATTATGAGTAACGAGCCAATATTTGAAGAATTTTTAGATTTTTTACCTAATCTTTCAATTTCATGGCTAAAACATAGTGCTGCTTTGAGTTATATTCATATAGGAGAAAGATTCAAATTGCAAGAAGACTTGAATGATTTATATTTTCCTAACTTGAAGCAGGTGAAATTCGAAATCTGCCATAGACAATCATGCGAAAATTGGTTTCATTTTATAGTTAGACATAATATGATGATAGAGGACTTTAGTTTAAAACACTTTCATGATTTGTATAATTATTCGGGGATGGAAAATTTAAAAAGATTAGAATTGGTTAATTTTAAATATTCTGCCTTCCCTCAGTTTATCGATTTAATTACAAGAAAAGTTGAACTCATTGTCAAGGGATTGGTTGGTTTCTGTTATATTTTGTATTTAGTACGCCATGAAGGTTTAGAAATTTCTTATCCTAAAGTGACAGTAGCAATACACAAACCAAACCCCTGGTCTATTTCACATCACCGAATAAAAGATAATGTTAAGATTATTCCACTTGAAAAGTGGGAATACAATCCATTTATAATTCTGTGAAAGTTTCTATACATACTTTGTTCAATAAACATTTAGTAGTTTCCATTGCTTAATTGCGCTTTGAAAACTCCGAAATTCGCCTCTTACAAAAGTTGCCAAATTATGCGAAGACGCTACCACAACTTGATAATATTTATGCTTACATTCAAATCACCCAATAATTAAATTATTTACGAACACTTCAACATGGCTTTGTTAGATTTACCATCAGATACCCTAGTCAAGGTGCTTGGAGTTTTAGATACCCGTGATTTATTAATAATTGCGTCCTTCGCCAAACACCTGGCCAAATTGCAAGAGACTCTATTTCACCTTACTCCTCTGCCAGTTATCTTAAAAGTTGAAACAATACCACCCAATATTTTTACTTCTCAAGGAGCAGAATCCACAAAGGATATAACATTAGTGCATTCTTCTATCCATCCCCAGGCTATTCCTTACGAAGAATCGCTGAATATTTTCTTTGATACCATCAAATACTTTAACAATACAAGAGAACGGAAAGTAACCTTACAATTCAGACTAAATATAAATGATGACATGAGTTGCATAGAAGAGTTATTAATCAGAACTGAAATGTTGATTCAATATAATTTTAAATTTCTGTTTTCGATGTTTAGATTCATTCACTATAGAGAAACATCAATATTTTCACTTCCTAACCAAGAATTAGAAAAATTCAATTGGTCAGAAGTAACTTTTACAACTACAGGATTTGATTACCGTCACAAATACGAACCCTCATTCTATAAAACTAATGTAGAAAATATTCCACCCATTTCAATTTCTTGGTTAAAGAATAGTACTGATTTAGAATATTTACATATAGGAGAAAGATATAAGATAGAAGGTGATTTAGAGAGCTTGTCCTTCAAAAAATTAAAGAAAGTAAAATTTGAGAGCTTGGATAGAATGACTTGCCAATCTTTCACTCAGTTTCTTAGTAATAATAGCGAGGTAATTGAAGACTTACATGTGAAACATTATTTTAAGTCTTACAATTATTATGCGATGCATAATTTAAAACGATTAGAATTGATAGCATTTAAGTATTATGAATTTGAACCCTTTGCGTATTTATTTGATCGCCAAATCGAAATTGTTGTTAAGGGTAGAGGTATGGCATGTGTTTTAAAAGAATGTAAGAGAAGAAAATCTGAAAGGAAATATCCCAATATAACTGTTGCAGAATTCAAACCAAATCAATCACTAGTTGAACAAGCCAAGAAAGAATTTGGAATTAACTTTGTCCCTTGTCCAAAACTGGATCACTTTCCTTGGGTAATTTTATAATTAGTGTTATCATAAATTTTTTGAATGTAAATTTGTACCATTAATATTGTATTTTACAAGTACGTAAGTTCAACACCACTGTAGTACAAAGTGGTTCCATACTACATTTGTCTGCAAGTGTATTATTAGTAACCGTTAACCAAACTCACATTGTTATTGTAAGAATGTAAGGTAAAACTATTAGGCAGGAAAAACTACAACGCTACCATAAATAAACTTCAATTTTTCAATTTTTGATATAAATAATATTCCAGAAACAAAGTCAAAGATGAATTTGCTTGACTTACCATATGATGCTTTAGAGCAAGTACTAAATAACCTTGAAACGAGAGAGTTGTTGATAGTGGCCTCATTCGCTAGATATCTGGAAGATTTACATTTTGTTTTATCACAAATCAATCCAAGACCAATAGTATTGAGAGTTGAGACAACACAAGATGATCCAGATTATTTAGGTGAAAAAGAGACTTTCAACGAATTAACTTTACTTCATACATCTTGTAGAGTTGATAATATTCCTTATGAAAATTCACTGAGTATTTAATTCGATACATTAAAGTATTTTAAAAAGGATGTAACGAGAACTGTCACCTTCCAATTTGAATTAAAAGAAGAAGATGATATGAGTTGCATAAGTGAGTTATTAAATAAGTTTAATAATTTCAGTCAATATGAATTCAATTTTCAATTATCAATATTCAGGTACGTGTCAAGGGATGAAAGAGAGATAACTCTTCCAAGTCAAGAGCTTGAAAAGTTTAACTGGTCCAGAGTAACAATAGAGACACCCAAGTTCCAACGAGTTTCACCAGCTGTTGTAAGTGGAATTGGAAAAATGCCCATTTTACCAATACTATGGTTAAAGAAAAGTCAAGATTGTTTGGAATATATTAGTATTGGACTGAGATTGAAGATTAAGGATTCCCTTGAAAGTCTTAATTTCTGCAAGTTGAAGACAGTTAAATTTGAATGTTGGGACGTACGATCAGCTCATATTTGGAGGCCATTTCTTATAAGACATAGAAAAGTAATAGAAGACTTGACATTGGCTCATTGTTTATTGTTATATGATTATACTGTGATGAAGGTGCTAAAGAGATTAGAATTCAATGTATTTACTTATGTTAAGTTTCCACCATTAGCTTATTTATTGACGCAAAATATTGAATTAATCTTAAAAGGTGATGCTTATGAATGTGTACTCATAGAATGTACAGCACTTGGAGAAAACAGAACTTATCCCAATGTGACCATAGCTCAAATTAGACCAAGACGTAATATACTTGTAGTTCTAATGACACGTTTCAAAATTAAGTTTATTCCTCTTCAAACTTGGGAAAACTTCATATTGTTAAATAGATAAACAAGATATTATACTCTTATATATATCGATCAAAATTTAGTAGTATATAGTTAAGTAATATTTAATAAATTTATTTGTATGTTTTATACCCCTAAGTTCCAACGAGTTTCACCAGCTGTTGTAAGTGGAATTGGAAAAATGCCCACATTACCAATGCTATGGTTAAAGAATAGTCAAGAAAATTTGGAATCTATTAACATTGGAGAGAGGTTAAAGATTGAGGATTCATTTGAAAATCTTTATTTCAGTAAGTTAAAGAAAGTTCAATATGAGTGTTGGGATATGCCATCGGGAAAAATTTGGAGTTCATTTGTTGTTAGACACAGAGAAATAATTGAAGACTTGGTATTATCACATTGTATATTGTTATATGATTTTTCTGTGATGGATAGTCTAATACGATTAGAATTACGTGCGTTTAATTATTTTAGATGTCCAATTTTATCTAATTTATTGATTCGAGATTTTGAATTAATTATTAAAGGGGATGGATATGAACGTATTCTTGTTGAATGCATGGCACTTGGTAGGAACATAATGCATCCTAATATAACTATTGCCCAATTCCGACCAAGACGGAATATAGTTTCATATTTACAGAGGAGATTCAAGATCAATTTTATTCCTCTTCATGACTGGGAACATTTTGTGGCAACATTCAAATGAAGTTACTGTAATCCTATATATATCAATAACATTTTCAATAGCATATAGTTAAATAGTATTTAATAAATGGTTTTTGCAGTATTTTAAAATCAATCTGTTTGCACAGCCAACTTTAAAAAAGCAATGATCCAAAAATAGACTTGATCATTTCACACGACCACAAATCATTTATTTTTTTGATCTGTAACAAACAAAGTGTACACTAAACTTCTAAAAATGAACAATTATCAAAACAAATATCATATCGAAGCAATTGCTACTTTTATCAAGTATCTTCATTTAGATTAATCATTAATATGGTATGTAACACGTCATTGTAAGCTCGGGGAGCATTCGTATTGTGAAATTGATTGATGTGTGATTTCAAATCATATGTTGAAATCATCCATTCAATGTCAATGACACGTCCATAAAACATATACTAACCTAAAGAATTCTAGTCTGAAAAATTATCAGAACAGCAAATTGCTGAATTCAAAGAAGCATTTTCTTTATTCGATAAAGATAGTGATGGAAAAATCACCACCAAAGAATTAGGTTCAGTCATGAGATCTTTAGGTCTTAACCCATCCGAAAGTGAATTAACTGATATGATAAACGAAGTTGATGTAAATAGTGATGGATCTATAGATTTCCCAGAATTCTTAACCATGATGGCTAGAAAGATGAAAGATACCGATAGTGAAGCTGAAATATTAGAAGCTTTCAAAGTGTTTGATAAAAATGGTGATGGTAAAATTAGTGCTGCTGAATTAAAACATGTTTTAACTACCATTGGGGAAAAATTAAGTGATAATGATGTTGAATTAATGATCAGAGAAGCTGATATTAACAATGATGGTGAAATTGATATCGTTGAATTCTCTCAATTGTTATCTAATAAATAAGTGATTTAGCTTAGGGTTTACTCTACTTTTTTTTATAATAGTATCAACAATAGATAGATCAACGATCTTACAATTGATCTTACTCTATTTTCGTTTAATCATCTTCTTGTTATTTATCTATCAATATATTTATACCCATTTATAATTACCGTATGTAGAGATATCCCTATCCCAAACAAAATTAGCGGCGGCCTAAAAGAGCCAAAAAAAATCATAGTGCTCCACAAAGATTAAAATTTACAGCCAAGATCTCTTCCTTGTGAATACCATCTTCCATTGAAGTATCACACTACTATGGATAAGACTACTTCCTATAAGTCATCATCGACATCATCCAGAAGATATAAACATCCTAATAGCGGTGTCCCAAGTTCCAATCGAGCCGATGAGATACTGACAAATGATGCCCCATCTTCCTCAGATTCAATCACTAATTCAGAAGTTTTAAATGATTATTTCATAACTAGTGCCAAGAGTCAGAACAAGTCCATTAATGCATCTAAGTACTCCAGGGGCAGTTACTCTAATAAGGTTTCCGATAACTCTTTCAGAAATAAGAACAATTACAACTATAACAATAATCATAGTAGTTATAATAATGGTAATGGTAATCGAGATAAGAGTAACACCACAATTGAATCAAAACATAATCAACCAGATAATAATCCCAGAAGCAAAGAAGAAGAATTAAAAGCTATTCAACGAGCTAAGAGATTTTCCAATCAAAGTGCCCCGGTCAATGCTAATTCATATGGTTTTGTGAGTAGAGGGGAAGATAATCGATTACAAAAGTCTCATCGTGATAGACAAAAATTCTTTAATATGATTCTATTAACATTTATCGAATATTGTAATTTAAATTCAACTCATTCATTAAGTAAGAATTTTAGTAAGTTGGTTAATAAGAATGATGTGCTTGAGGATGATGCTGATGAAGAAAAAGATCATAAAAAGAAGAATGAGATCAGTTTAGATTCCATATTAAGTTCATTAAGAAAGTTAAGAGAAGCATTATTATATATTGATCATTCTAAGAATGGTGGTTCCACTAGTATAAAGACCAAAGAAATTGAACAATTTACAGCAAAAGTTTATTTATTTTCAATCCGATTAAGTGCTAATATTGGTCATTATCAAACTTATATTCCAAGTATTAATCATTTAATTCTTCATAAATCACTTTTAAATGATGATGAATTTGAAGAAATCAGTATATTATTAATCCTTCATCTATTACATTTCAATAATCTTCAATCAAAAGCGATTAAGATTTATTATGATAATGAACTTCATAAACGGAAAACCAGTGGTACAATAAAACTTTGGCAAGTATTACAAAGTTGGATTCATCAAGATTATGTTCAATGGTTGAAATTATTTAATTCGGAAAAGGATACTTGTAAACTAACCATTATGAAATTTGGATATGATAAGATCATGAAACATATGATCAATGTGATAAATCAATCTTATTTTACTATATTAGAACGAGATTTATACAATGATTTATTACAGCAAGAATTTCTCAAAACCAAGTGTGATATTAATGATATTATTGTGAAGTATAAGTTGAACTGGAAGGTTGAAGAGGGTAAGGATTCTAATAGATTGGTTATAATAAAAGAAAGACGGACAGTTAAAAGTTCTTAAGAGTATATATATATATATCTACATAGTAATGGATAATCGGAAAACCAAATAGTTAATAGACATATGAACGAACTGTGTTATTTGGAAACCCCATACTAAAAATATTGTAAATCCAAATGCGGTTATTTTTTTTTCTGGAAGCGTAAATTTAAAATATCATGTTAAACTCGAAATCAACTTTTAAATCAAGTCTAATCATACCAAACATCATCATAGATATAACAAGACAACATGGCTACTGCTAAGTTCAATCCCAATAAGTTACCCGACTTCATCAAGATTGATGATATAATGTCGGGAAGGATAGATCCTCAGTTAATATATCAAGAATTAAATCGATTGAAGGTAGAGTTAAACATTCTTCGAAATGATATGAATAACTTTCTTAAGGTGTTGATTGATATACCAACAAATGCTAATGGAGATATAAATGAACATGAATATTTTAAGATAATTTCATCCCGATTAAAGACATTGAAAGAGACGATAAATGAATATTGTTTGGAATATAATCGATTATTACCAATCATAAATCTTGCTCAGATTAAATTAGGTCATGAGGTAGAGATCTTGCCTCTTCCCAATAACAACAAAGCTAATTCAAACACTGCTAATGGGAATACTGGATCTACCACTACTAATGGTATGGTAAATAACAATAATATTAATAGCAAGAGAAATTCAGTAGTTAAGAACGCTGGATCTAATGCCACAATCCCCACCACATCTACAGCAAACGGAGGTAAAGCAGGTGCTAATGTAAACCAACCCATTGTTCTATAAAATAATAATGTATATATATGTCTTATCTTACTATATAATAATAATGATAATAGCTTATTGCTTCGTATAATGTATGAGTTGTAGTAGAGATATAGGGTTACCCTGAACTGACTCATTTTTGACATTTTTTCGATTGATAAAACATGTCTGAAAAATTATCAGAATATTTGCAATTAATATATAAATCACATCAATTGCCCCATATTTATCTTTATTATTCAACTTCATTTTTATTTCCCTTGTGTATAGATCTGATCATATAAGATGTCTGCTTTATTAAAACAAACTTTTGAAAATGCTAAAAAGCAAGATAGAAAAGTGTTAGTTAACTTTATAACTGCTGGTTATCCAACCATCGAAGATACCTTACCTATCTTAAAGAATATGCAACTGGCTGGTGTTGATATCATTGAATTAGGTATTCCTTTCTCCGACCCTATTGCTGATGGTCCAACCATTCAATTAGCTAACAACATTGCTTTAGATAATGGTATCACTGTACCAAAATGTATTGACTTAGTGAAACAAGCTAGAGCTGAAGGTGTTTCAGTGCCTATTATATTGATGGGTTACTATAATCCAATCTTAAAATATGATGAAGTTAAATTTGTGCAAGATTGTGCCGCTGCTGGTGTCAATGGTTTCATCATTGTTGATTTACCACCTGAAGAAGCTATCAAATTCAGATCTTTATGTCTTAGAAATGAATTAAGTTATGTTCCATTAGTTGCTCCTGCTACTACCAATGAAAGATTAAAGGTTTTAGGTGAAATTGCTGATTCATTTATTTATGTTGTTTCTAAAATGGGTACTACTGGTGCTTCAAAGACTGTTTCATCTGGGATTGAAGAATTATGTGCTAGAGTTTCAAGTGTAGTAGGTAAAGATATTCCATTAGCTGTTGGTTTTGGGGTTTCTACAAGAGAACATTTCTTAGCCGTTGGTAAAGTTGCTGATGGTGTTGTTATCGGATCTAAAATTGTTAATTTGATTGGAGAATCTCAACCTGGTCAAAGAGGTAAAGTCACCTATGATTATGTTAAATCCATTTTAGGTGAAGATTATAAAGTTCAAGTTTCTCCTGTTGTTGCTGCAGGTAAAGCTTCTACTTCAACCGAAGATGCTAAGCCAATAATTGAAGAGACTCATAAATATAATCCAAGATTTGGTGACTTTGGTGGTCAATACGTCCCTGAAGCCTTACATTCTTGTTTAGCCGAATTAGAAAGAGGTTTTGAAAGTGCTGTTGCTGATCCAAAATTCTGGGAAGAATTTAAAGCTCTATACTCATATATTGGTAGACCATCTTCGTTCCATAAAGCGGAAAGATTAACTGAATACGCTGGTGGTGCTCAAATCTGGTTAAAGAGAGAAGATTTAAATCATACTGGTTCTCATAAAATTAATAATGCTTTAGCTCAAGTTTTGATTGCTAGAAGGTTAGGTAAGAAAAAGATTATTGCCGAAACTGGTGCTGGTCAACATGGTGTTGCCACTGCTACCGCTTGTGCTAAGTTCGGTTTAGAATGTACTGTCTTTATGGGTGCTGAAGATGTTAGAAGACAAGCTCTTAATGTGTTTAGAATGAGAATCTTAGGTGCTAAAGTTGTAGCTGTTAAGAATGGTACTCAAACTTTAAGAGATGCTACTAGTGAAGCTTTCAGATTCTGGGTTTCTAATTTAGAAACTACCCATTATGTTGTTGGATCTGCTATTGGTCCTCATCCTTATCCAACTTTAGTTAGAACTTTCCAAAGTGTAATTGGTCAAGAAACTAAAGAACAATTCAAAGCCTTGAACAATGGTAAATTACCAAATGCTGTTGTTGCTTGTGTTGGTGGTGGTTCTAACTCAACTGGTATGTTTTCTCCATTTGAAAAAGATTTGGAAGTTAAAATGTTAGGTGTTGAAGCTGGTGGTGATGGTTTAGATACCGATAGACATTCAGCTACTTTAACTGCTGGTCTTCCAGGTGTCTTCCATGGTGTTAAGACTTATGTTTTACAAGATGATGATGGTCAAGTGCATGACACTCACTCTGTCTCTGCTGGGTTAGATTATCCAGGTGTGGGTCCAGAATTAGCTTTCTGGAAAAGTACTGGTCGTGCTGAATTCATTGCTGCTACTGATGCTCAAGCTTTACATGGATTTAAATTATTATCTCAATTAGAAGGTATTATTCCAGCCTTAGAATCTTCCCATGCTATCTATGGTGGTGTCGAATTAGCCAAGACTTTACCTAAAGAACAACATATTGTTATTAATGTTAGTGGAAGAGGTGATAAAGATGTTCAAAGTGTTGCTGAAGTTTTACCAAAATTAGGTCCACAAATCGATTGGGATTTAAGATTTGAAGCTGATCCTTCTAAATCAAGTTAGACTTACATAGATGTTTAACCCAAACTAAATAAATTACGAGTGTATAATGCTTTATTATTTTGTATACTAAATAAATAAAAATCAAACTATTTTCTATAAATTTTCAGGCATAGACATCATGATTAATACTGTAGATGTCCATCCTAAAAAGTTTTTAGCACCTTTTTGTTTACCTGTCTTATCATCGTATTGTTCCCAGACGTATCCTGTTTCTTTCCATCTATTAATAATGTTGTTCACTAAATTGATACGTAAATCGTGATATGTACTTTCAAGATCTTTCTTCAACTCTGGAGTTAAATATTGTGCTGATACATCGTGATAATGCTTTAAGGCATCTAAGATTAAATAATTGATATTTATCCAAATTGGGGATCTCCAGTAGTTTTCATCAGTTCCGTAAAATTCATTAGATTTAGATAATGATCTAATACCATAGTCGGTCCATATTTCTTCTGGATCTCTGATAAGTTTTAAAATATGACCAAGTTTTGTAGTTTCATCTGCTGGTAGCAATTTAGTTATGAAAGGGAATAAAGAAATATATCCTTTGTGACAGACATGAATATTAACGTCATCTTCATCGACACTTACATCACAGTAGGTATTTTCTTCAGATGACCAATGAATGTCATCTATATTCTTAAGGACTTTTTGTTCAATTTCTTCATAGGCCTTATAATCGGACTTATAATCTAATAATTCTGCAATTAACTTCATGGATCTTGTCATAACTCCAATCCATGATATCAAATCAATGTTTAATTCGGCAATATCAGCAGGAACAGCACGAGGATAATCATCAAGACCACTAGATAACACATGTCTTATGGTTCTTGATTTCCATCTATAAACTTCTCCATCAGATCCTCTTCCTTCAAATTCTTCAAATAATCCTCTTTGGGTTTTTCTGAAGTATTCATAATGCTTTTGAAGTTTTGGGTATATTTCTTTTGTGTAATCTATCAATAATTCATGATTGCTTAAAACCAACAGTCCTAAATTTTTACTTGTCAATAATTCACTATCATCAACATCTTCAGGAGTATTAATACCTAACATGGCAGCGTCTCTAATTTTGTCTAACAAGTAAGTGAATGTAAGCATTAATGTTGGAGGACTTACATCAGGAGTTTGAACTTGGAATCTATCTGGAACTCTTGATAATTGTTCTGGACCTAACATTTGTTCTCTAGCAATCCATCCATCATCATCCATTCTGTTAAACCACGACTTGATAACTTCCAAGGCTAAATCAGAATCAAAGTTAAGAATTGGTAATAAATGAAACCCTTCATCCCAGTAAAACCCACGAGGGAAAAATGCTCTAGATGGAACAAAACTAAATAATTCAAATGGACCTTCCAGTTTTCCATGTAATACAGGAGGTTCAAATGACTCTTCGTCCGGGACTGTCACTCTATCGACTAAATTCAGTCCATAAGCATAATTCAAACCACCCAATAATCCGGATATGATTTCTTTTCCAAACGTATGATGTTCTGGTTTATTAAATGGAGGTTGTAAATCATAATGTTTATCGAATTTTTCATCGAATAACTTCTTTGTATTTTCTATTTTGGAATTAATGTTTTCAACAGTGATTTTTTCAGTTGGTCTTGTTAAAGCATTATTGTAAATGACATCAAATTCAAAATTCCCTTCGAATGATTTCTGAATCAAATGTAAATTACCATGAAAGTTATTTAAGTCCCTTAAAACAGTAGCTTGTTCTAAAGGAAGGCCATCAAATCTACCTTGCCTTTCCAATTTATCAATAGAATCTTCTAATAAAGCCATGAAAATATTCTTTACTCTCCATACATTATCATCAGGAACATTCAAACTTAAATGATGAGTTCTTCCTGGATCCAAATCTGGGTTTCTATCATCAGATTTTGGATATCTATTTGAATTTGGACCTTGGGTAACTTCAAGGTCAAAGAAACCAAGCTCTTCTGACATACCGGTAAGTTTCACATTTTCTTTATAACCAAGTTTATTGATATCATTTGTAATATCTAAGAATCCATTTCTAACATCACTATCGAATTCATCTTTGGCTTCACCTTCTAAACCAGAATACCATAAAAGGGACAATTTGTTATATTCATAACCTTGATGAAAAACACCTCTAATTTTAGCACCCCAAGACAACCCATCTTCACTTTTGACAAAGTCAATGACAATTTGAACATGAATATCATCATCATCAATGATTTGTCTCCCTCCAAATCTAGGATCATACCAAATCCAAGTAGCTTTCTTGATATTATCACTATGTTCATTGGAATGTCTCATTGTCCTGATGGATTCGGGATTTTCAAGTCCAAACCACATTAAACCTGATAATAACGATCTAGGCAATCGTGGTCTAACCCCAAAATATAAGTTCGAACTATATGGACCCCATAACAATGATTCGTTGGAAAACTTTGAATAACGTTGACTTATATCGTGTTCATCAATGTTGAACAGATCCTGCTGTTGAGTCTGATCATAAATATTAAATTTATGACCTTCACTTCTGACAATTGATACCAAAAGTAGCAATTGCTGGAATAGAACTAGCACAGACACCTTCATATCAGTTTTCAGTAATATTATCAAGCTTAAACTATCCAAATTGAAATAGATAGATAAATATTCTGCGGCTACCTGAAAAATACAAAACACCTTTTGTATGCAAAAAAAAAAATAGAGGTTTAAAATATTTTGAGAAGCATCAAAAACGATTTTGCGATTTGTTTGGAAAGAATACTGAGTTCCATAAACAGATTACAGAATATATGAATGTGGCCCTCTAAGAAGGGGTTAGGTGCTCGACTAAGTTACGGAGTGAAAGGTAATGGTGTATCTGCCCTTGATCTAGGAGATTTCCTGTCCAATATTGATTTTGCTAGACGTGATGATATCAAAGATCTTCATGAAATAGATCAACCATTTACAAACATAGTAGAGGGTCAACTACCTTTATATGCTAACCCTGAACTACGAGAAAGTCTTACTATGGGTTCATCGATATCAAACATAGAGGGATTTATACCGAGTAATATGGTGTCTTCACTACATAAAGAGTCAGATATATTTACTTCATCAATAGCTCATGATCCAAATTTTCGTAACCTTTTTAAATTAATTCAAATCAAGAATATTAATGGAATGACTCCTATTCCATCCGTGTGTTACGTTGGAGGACCTTCAGGTAATGTTCTAAATATATCCTACCTTGATTACCGAACTTTGGAGGCAGTTAAAGAAAATGATCATCATATTTATACTAGATTGTTATTTCCTGAATTCTCCAAACCATTCCAAATAACATTGACAGAGCAAATAAAGCAAATAGAAACTCCTCAAATCCTTTTTGATTCACTTGCATCATTCATGATAATCCGTACCAATACTGGAATTTACGTTCTCAGTTGTACAAAATCCATTCATAGTAATCCTGAAGTTATCACAGACATAGAGGTAGAGACTCTAGGAACAATCGAAGTATCACAGCTTGCTGGGTTTGAGTTTGCTGATGTCTCTTTCAATCCCCATGATTTCACTCAATTTGGTATCGTAGATGTGAAAGGAAATTTCTGTATTTGGAGAATAACACGGACAAAGCGTATAACCAAGTTGACTGTTGGTATACATTCGGTTACAAACATAGCTGATTTATCGAACTGGAAAAGAATATGTTGGACAAAAGATTTAAAAAGAGTCTTGATATTAACAAGATCATCAATGGATCAATTTAATGTTGAATCTAAAGAATTAACTAGAATCATTACTTCACAGACTTGGTCTAAGATCCGTGATTTCCAACAACTGGAAGTTGAAGATCATGCATTTTTATTAACTTCAAAGGAGTTAGTTTGGATTAGTCTCTCAGGAACTATTGAAAGATTGATGTCATGGAAACATTTTTTAGATGATTCAGATCCTTCATTAAAACTTTCATTAAATAAAACTGGAGACAATCAGTTTACTTGCATAATTCATTCAGAAGTAAATCCTTTATTATTTGTTTACACTTTTGAATTATTTAATAATAAACCATATAGTATAAAAGATCCATATTATATTAACAGAGGAGAATATCCAGGGGCCTTGAAACAGGCATTATTATTGAAACTAGATCTTGAAATGTTTACCAACGACAAAGGAATGGTGACAGATCTAACTTTAGATGAACAAGAAATTGATGGTTATATTGAATGTAACAAATATTGCTTGTTAGAAATAAGCTCATGTCTAGGTGTATCTATTCGTATTTTCAGTCCAGAAGCAGAATTGATCATAAAACCCGATAATGATGAAGAGGATGTAAGTACCAAAGTGGAAGGTTCATCAAATGCCAAGTTACAACAATTGCAATATTTTGATTTCATCTCAAATATTCATATGGGTGCTGTGTTTGAATCCTTAAAGGAAAATATCCCTGAAAGAAGTAATAGCGACGACGAAGCCAAATCTATTCAAGAATACGCCTACTCTTTAGGAGAAGGTATTAATCTGGGTCTGTCAACATTGAATTACTATCTGAGTTTACTTGATGTTTCAAATAAATTATTCAACTCTGTTGTCGATGTAGCTGAGTTCGATACTATGCTTGAACAGTTGTCAGAATTCTTTAAATCTAAAGAAGTTCCAGTTAGAAGTTTAGTTTACACGACTATGGTTAAAAGGAACCAGTTATTTAAAGAGTTTGGGGGTTCCAATATTTCAAGTGCATCTACTACCAAAGATATTTACAGATTATTGAAGAAGATTTATTTAAAAGATGACACATTGAAAAAGATAAACAAAAAGAGACATGTATATAGAGCTGCAATCATATTAGCAACATCATTAATCAAATCAGCTTCAGACAAATTAACTAACCAATTACAAAAAGAATATTCCCTGAAATTAGAATCGAGTTCTATTCAAGCCAAGCTGTTACTCGAAGGTTGGGATACATCTATCGAATCGACAGACACTTCTATTCCTGAATCTCAAGCTACTGTAGCTGATATTCAGTCTTCAGTTCCAACTATTGTATTATCATCAACCCAAAGTCAACGTCGTACCGAAGAACGAGACTCTTCTAGACACAGATCAAGATTAGCACCACAATCACAAGCGTTTGCTCAAACACAGGGATATACTCCATCACCATTATCACAACCAGCATTTGGCAGAACTGACACTTATATACCAGCAAGCCAAGCAAGTCATGCAAGACAAGCAAGACAATCAAGTCAAGCAACCCAATCAACCTATCCATATTCTTCTCAAAGATATTCCTCACAATCGTATTCGTCACAAAGTCGACACATACCATCTCATTCATATTCGTCACAATCATATCCATCACAAACTCGACACATACCATCTCAAATGTATAGAGATAGTTCCCAAAGACGAAAAAGAAGAAGGGGTGGATTTTCCTAAGTAGAATTTCTTGTACTGTACTGTACTGTATTATATTGTATTATTATCATTCTTCTTCACTGTATATTCACACTTAATTAACACATTTAGAACGCAGACTTAGTTTCTTTGTTGATCTCTAGGATACTTGTAGCTAATAATTTTGGGTCAACACCTTCATCTAATAATTTAATACAAAGCTGTAAAGTTGACTCATTTATCTCTTTGACATTTAGCACTTTGGCTAAATCGTTAATTAGACTATTTGAATTGGTAGTCATTATTCTCTTGCTATATATATATACATAGTTGATTAATTATGTTGATAGTTTTGTTTTGATTTTATTTTCACATCGCGTAAAGAAATCTGATGGAATCAAATTGTCTGATTATGTTGCAAAATTGAATCAACAATGATACTATCAAGGGCAAAGATCAATATATTATTCATATCTGCTACGTGGAAGAGATCGTATTCGAATTCGAATCCACTCAAGGAGCCATTACGTATAGCCTATTTCGGAAGTGATGATTTCAGTGTTAAATCATTAGATTCTTTGATGAATTATAAACGAAATCACCCATCCAAAATCGAATCAGTCCATGTTATTACTAGAGATATGAAACCAACAGGAAGAAACTTAAAGAAACTATCTAAATTGCCGATTGCTGAATACTGTTCTGATCATGGTATTCCTCTCTTAAGGGTTGATCAGAAAGCTCAGATTGAAGACTTGATCACAACTCAAACATTTTCATTAGCAATAGCTGTATCATTTGGACTTCTAATACCAGGTTCTTTCATCAACAGTTGCTCAAAAGGTGGAATTAACATTCATCCTTCATTATTGCCTAGATATGCTGGAGCTTCTCCTTTACAATACGCTTTAATGAACGATGATCCTTATACTGGATGTACCATTCAAACTTTACATCCTAAGCATTTCGACAAGGGTGAAATCATATTACAATCAGAAGAAGTCCCCATACTAGATAATGATAATTACGTTTCTTTACAAAAAAAAATGGGGAAAGTAGGGAGTGAAATGTTAATAAAGGTGATTGATGAAGATTTATTATCGAACGGTTCAAGACTTCCATCTAAATATTTGCCGTCCAAGGCACCAAAGATTGTTAGATCAGCTAATGAAATAAACTGGGAAAGCTACACATCTAGAAATATTAAACGATTAGAAGATGCTTTGGGTTCATTATTCACCTACATGTTTGTTGATATAACCAGAAATAAGAAGCATATAAAAGAATTTCAGAGAGTTATACTTCTAGATATTAGACAGATCAGTGATCACCCCGAGTACGAAGATTTAGAAAACAATGGTCAGTTTAAACTTGACGATGCATCTTCATCAACATCGAGACTTATTGCTAAGACTTGTTCCGGTTTTATATCAGTTGGAAAGTTAAAGTTCCAAGCTTGTAACGAAGAATCACCATATGTGTTCTTATCTCATTTAATAAAGAGAACAGGTCTGAATGACTTTCAATTCACATCTAAAGTGTAAATATTCATACAGATTCAAAATAATATACATAATCATGACTTAATTTATTAAATTCTATAAACTTCCTAAAGGAAAACTTGACAATGCTTGTTAAATTCCCCTACTGCAATAACAATCTTTTCATACAAGAAATTTCTATTAGCTTTTTCAGGTATTGGAATGAATGGCCCTTCTCTCCTCTTCAAGCCAATACTGATACCTGTTCCTTCCTTGGAGATAGCTTTAATTTGATCATATTTAACAGTCCATTTGGTAGTAAGATTATTAACACCAAACAAGATTATCATCTTATATGTTACTATTACAGCCATTTCTTCTCCCGTAAGCAATAAATGTGCCAAGTAAATTTCATCCAAGTATATACCGCCATCAATGCTTTTCAACCAGAACTGACCTTGAGCTTCACGTTGAGAATATGGGCGCATAATACCATCGTGTGAAATATATCTTGACAATCTCACTTTATCTAAAGCATCAGTATCAAATACGGTAGTAGTATTTTTGATACCTTCAGTAACGTTTGAAGCCAAATCAAAGAACCCGATGGCTGTCTTGGTCGGAAGCCCTATAACACCCTTACCTAATCCTTTGAAGAATCCTTCAACTCCTCCCGACACAGCTCCTTCAATTGGTGCTGTAGCTATACCAGTAATTCCTGAAGATATAGATTCAACGAATGAATTTGCTCCAGCGGCAACTCCATATAAAGCATGCTTTGGCTTATTCTTTCTTAAGTTACGACGTCTTTCCTGGAACTTTTTATCCATAGTGACGACCGTAAGTCCTTTTGCTATCGATCCAGTAAATTTAGATATGGAGTCTGAGAAACCAAACACAGATTTCTTCAAGAAACTAGCACCACCTTTAGCAAATTCTATACCCAATTCTTGTGGTCTATCTGTCATAGACCAACCATGGAAAGGTTCATAGAATGCATCAAATGCTCCAGATGACAAATTTTTGAATAAACCCACTGGATTACCCAAAATATCAGCAGATCCTAAAATGTTATGCACTTTGTAGAAAAACTCTTGTCCATAATGTGTTTGGATCGATTCAACCAAGACTGGGAAGGGGGCTCTAAGGTTTTCAATGAAAAGTGAATTAAGTTGAATTGGTGCTTCATTTATATTTCCGATGGCCATAGTTAAGACATTAAAAAAGAACATCAATGTATTTTCCGAGGATCCTCTATCTTCAGCATTGACTCTTTCAGTACGAACAAATGAAATATTTGTAACGGTTGGTTGTAAATGCAAGGCTTCAAAATAAATATCTTCACCACTTGAGAAGCTCTTGGGTTCTGGAATTTTCAAATCGTCATCACATAATTTATCAACCTTCAACTTATTCCAACTGGCTCCTGGGAACTTGGCAAACTCCAATAAGGCAAATAAGAAATCTTCATCTATTTCAATAGACATCTCTTGCAAAAGCACTGTTGCATATTTTATAAACAATACACCATGTGAGTCATCCTTAACCTTACATATAGAAGCAGACAAAGAAGGATGATTAGTTAATTCTTTTCCGGATTTTGGTATAACACTTGGGTACACAACTATTGGAAATATTCCGCCGTACAATTGATTATCTACTTGAATCCACTTCAATTTTAAGGAAAGATTTTGATACAAGTCTGATTCGTTATATCGAATTTCCAAGCCTCTTAAGGTAATGTAGCATAACTCTTGCGATCTTGTATTAATTAAAGAAATACCTATTCCTTCAAATTTCGTTACTATCTTTCTGAAGTAATTGTCATCTTTTTCTATTGTCTCAAAGTTTTGAGACACATTCATACTCGAACCTGACTTTTCACCTGGTAATTTATAGATACTAACCGAGGCATCATAGTTTGAGATTATAAGTGACTGAGTAGGACCATCAGCAACAACATTTAAATCGACTATACATTGTTCAGCATTATCAACAGGTGGTAGTCTGAACGGCTTCAAATTACCAATCTCGGCTAAGTTAACTACTCTTTCTCTTCCGTGAGCTCTCAAAATTAATTCTTTTATGATCGCATTGGGATAATCGTAGGCATATGGCATAACACTTCTGCTAGGAATTTTATAATAAATTGGTTTGTATGGGGTATCGCTTTTCACTGTTTCACCCTTTTCATTCACATTTGGATCACTTTGGTATATATAAAAGTCTGCATCACTTGAGTTACGTATTGAAAATGGCCAGCTATTGTTTCCATTCTCAATTTGAATGAATATGGTAGCATTCTCCATAAAGATATATACTTTAAGAAGAATTTGACCAATACCTTCTTTAAAAACCTTCACGAATAATTGTCCAACATCGTTTATGCAAAAAGCGGAAGACCATGTCTTGGATCCATGAGCAAATTTCAATAATATATTTTTATGATCCAATCTTCTCAATGCATAAAGTGGAACCAATTCATTAGGCTCTATCTGAAGCTGAGTTGTGGATCCACTTTCAACAACCTGAAGTGGTTCATCTAACATATTTCTAAGAACATACCTAGGTGAAAGTGTAACAATCTTAGATAAGTTATATTTCCCTTCTCCTTCAGCTATAGAAATACCGATATTCATTTCCAATTGTCTATCCACTATCTGTGCTCTAGCTTCAGATGATTGACCAATAGCGTCAAAACTTATTGGCTGAGTCCACGTAGAATCTCCTGCTTTTATTTGGACTCTATTTCTTCGGTTATCATTTTTGTCAAAAGAAAACATTGTTGGGATTATTGGTAGTCTGGCTGATCTTCCATTGGAATGGGTTAAATTACCATAAACATTAAGTATGACGTTTTGTCCAGTACGGTTGAGAATAACATAAGGTGAATATACTACCACCTTTAAACTAGAACTCCCTGATCCTTTTCTAGGATAATAAATTTTAAGTTTTAATTCTTGTCCATCATTTCTCTTCAAACCTATTGTATCTTCTCTGCCAAAAACACCATCTTTCTCAGCATTAATAATCGCAAATTCAGATTTTCCAAATCCACACTCGACTGGTTCAACACTAAGTAATAATAAGCTGTCCAAACTAGCAACATGAACATAACGCTTTACACCCTTCTTGATATGTCCACTCCAATCCTTTTTATACTTTTTATCATATAATCGGTAGTTGAAATCAAATGGCAATAAATTTTCAATTTCGATCGGAGCTGAAATAATCAAGTGCATATGAGGATATATCTTTGCAAGAGGTTCATCATTATCGTATACTGCTTCTGCTTGAAAATAATAAGATGATCTATCATGTGCACTCATCGCGGCACATCTTAGAGATACACCCTGCAGTAATAAGTCCTTCCAAAAGAGCGAGCCGTCGGACCATTCATACGATGTAACAATCGCTGGACGAACTTTTAAGGCACTAGCATACACACATTCGATTGGAATAGACTGTGACTTTTTAGATTCAATTGTAAGCTCTCTTTCAGCACCAGATGCTTGGTCGATCATTCTGACGGCAATTGCAACATCAGAATCATTCTCAATTTTGACGGTTGATCTAATAAATATAGACTTCACATTGTCGTTTCCTAAGACTATTTCACATGATATTCTGTTATGAACACCATTAACTGGAGGATATAAAATTATTAAATATTCTCCTTCTTCAGTTGCTGAAATATTTCTCACATCTTTATACTTCGATCCTAATAATCTGAATCCTAAAACTCCAATATTATTATTTGTATCTAAATTTTCTCTAACTATTCTCCAATCCTCAAAAGCCCACGGTAACTTTTCATAAGATTTGATTATGCTCTTTGCCTTTCTGCTTTCTTCATCATGATCTGGCCAAACCTCTATATCGTAACCGGTTTCATTAATAATAATGTATGGATTATCTTGACCTCTTGGTTTAAGAGTCTCTTCAGAAGAAATTAAACTCATAATCTGAGATAATAATGCAACTGATCGAGAAGTCACTGTAACCTCTGCAATCTCTCTGGAAACTATTTCTATCAGCAAACTTTCCTTAGGAAGTAATTTCTTTGTAGCATAAATAGCAATCGGCCACGGCTCAATGAGTGGTTCCCAAGCAGAACATGAGTAGTTATAGATATTAACAAATTGCTCTATGTAAGCTTCAGCACTTAAGTCTGTAGACCAATTAATGGCTCTTACTTCAAAAGGCTTAATATTCATGTCTAAGACTGGCAATTCGTGGACATCCCCGATTAAGACAAATCTCATTCCACCGATGCTGACATTTAACTCTTCCCCTTTCACTACAGCTACTGGTTTATTGGATTCCAAATCCTTTTGGGTTACCTCAGCTGAAACTATTGATGTTATACTTGGTACGTATTGAGATAATTTCTTTTGGAATTCATCAGATAATGTCAATCCATTGCTTTCCTCCCCGTCTTCAACTGAGTCTGATTGCGCAGAACTATAAAGTTCGGTAGCTTTATTGAAAATGGCAAGAGCCAATCTAATATCTCTTAATGAAACTCTGACCAACATGGGATCTATTGAAGCTTGAATACTTGTCAAAAATGCTGTCGCAGTAGAACCTCGAGAATCATGAGCAAATGAAATTGAAAAATCATCAATGATTCTATATTTTGCATTATCAAAATCATTCATGACAGTTAAATACAGTCCGATCTTGTTTGCTGCTAAGGATAAGACATTTTGACTTGTTATTAATATCTGCTCCACTTTAAACACAATTGCCTCAGTAGCTTCATTTGTACCGTCGGCCAATAAAATTACGGAAGGATTTTTAACATTTATCGAGTACCCGATATTTGGCTGATGAACTTCGGGTGCAATTTTTGCATCTAAGTCATTTCTTATTTCATGAGATTTGTTATCAACTTCTAAATTTTTATCTACTCCATTAACAACTGGTTCCTCTGTTTGGAAAGCATCACTGAAGAAAGCCAGTAACTCAAAAAGGTAATCAAGCACCAAAATTGTCTTTGGACTATCTATTGTTAACATAACTGTTATATTCTTCTTATCTGGAGGTCCATAAGATGAAGCACCTAGGTAGAATTGATCTTCCCCGTTATCAATCATTGGAACCAATTCTGGGAATTTACTCTTCGTACCATTTCTGATATCTCTTATAGTAAAGGATTCCACTTTAAGATCTGATGAGAAATGTGTGTTCTGCATCAAATCAAAGTAGAATCTAATTTTCTTTAAACTGAAAGCACCAAGACGACCAACAGCTATGTTTTCAAGCTTGGCTGTCTTGTTATATATATTTAATGAAAAGCTTGGAGCTTGAAATAATAATTGGACTTGTTTATGCTCATCCGGTATTTCTATAGTTTCTGGATTCTTTGTCAAACTAAGAGATGCTTGTCTTCCTCGAAGAAGTATGGTATCATGTTTAACTACTGCATTTGCATTCTCGGCATCTTCTTCAATTTCTTCTAAACCGTCGGGTTCATCAACAATACTAAAAGCATTGGTAATTGAGCTGGATATCTTTAACAAGTAACTAAGCTGAAGTTCTGTGACATTCAATTCTATCTCTGGCATTTTACCTAAAATTTTGAATGTTGGCACACCTGGTACATACTCTTCAGAATAATCAATTTTGAATGAAATGTCCAAGTTATTAACTATTTCTGCAACTTGACAAATATCATCTTCAAAGTAAAACTCCGAAGAAAGACAGACTTTTTGAATACCAGCAGATACAAGGTTTTTAATTAATGTCCCATCCTGTTTAAATTGGTTAGAGATATAAATTTCACCCAAGTTTGAAATAATCTTGTTAAATTTATATTCTGGAGTTTCAATCAAGGTTGGGAAAATAATCGTTGGTGCATTGATAAGAAGATCAAACTTTATTTTATTGGCATCATCAATTTGATTTGCTTGGTTAATAGCCGCATCTCTGGCTCTATCATAAATCGCTTTCATTTTAAGGAATTGACTTAAAAATGATAAAACTCTATTAAATGAATGTTCAACAAATGTAATGGAAAGGGCACCAGTTTTGAATTCAACTAGTGAATTATATACATTAATGTTTGTTTCACGGTCAAATGTTTTATAAGTAAATTCAGCTAAATTATCACCATCCATACTGATTAGATTTCTTAAAGATTCATCACCTGTTCCATGATTCAGTTCATCGCGTAAAGTAAGAGCACCTAATTTACCAGTGACTTCCATTGATTCAGGAACAAGAAATACGTTGATGTTAGCGGTACTTAACTGAATTGTAGCAAGCTTTATACCATCTTCATTTAATACCATAATAATACGATCCAAATTTATATCAACGTTAATCTTCTGAGGAGCAACTTCATCATCTGTAGAATCATTGTGCTTTAACTCATCAGCTGGGGTTGCTAACGCATTTGGATCTGTAAAAGTATTCAACACGAAATTTAAAATACTTAATAATGACTTTCTCGTTATTACCAATTTCACAGTAGCAATATCCATCTTTATATCTTGATCGAATACTTCAATTTCTTTACCGTTAAATTCAACTATTCTAAGATTTCTCAGATAATCAAGTTTGAACAATTCCTTATCTGTTGTATCTGGCGATGAATCACCAAGATCATTAGACGATATTAATTTCTCAAATTCTGGAATTCCAGATTTTTCAATATGATCAATTAAATTAATATCAGCCAAGGTTAAATCAAGATGCATATCGTTAACAGTACGATAAAAGTTCAAATTTAAATTCTCCCCCACAAGATCAATTAATGCTTCAGCACGTAATGTATGAGCATCGATACATCTTGACAAGGAAATGTGAACTATACCAACATTGAAATCAAATTCAAACATATGTTGATTCTTAATTAATTCTAATTGTTTTGTATCTTTTACTTCCTCTACTTTTTTAAGACTCAGATCAGATGCGTTGACAATAGTATCATCAGAGCTTGAATTGTTATCAAGTTCTTCAATTTGATCATTCACAGCGGCTTCTCCAAATGCATTAAATAAACTGGATACCTCAGAATCAGCAGGTTCAAAATTAGGAATAGCAATTTCGATAATTTTCATTATCGTTTTATATTGGAAATCGTTAATAGCAAGATTAATTTGGGGTACTTCCCCACCAATTTTAATCTTAGCTAAATTATATGCATCAGGTAAGATTGAAATTCCTAATAACAACTTAATATTCAATTTATCTAACATTAAGGCTGCTCTCTCTGATTCTTCATTATGTAATTGCTCCATGGTATTCTTTATATTCGACCCAACCAAGAATTGAGCATCTTGTAAATGAAGACTAAATTTATCATACATCAAAGTATTTAATTGTTCCCAATCTTCATCAGTATAAGTTTCTTTAGCTTTGATTTCTTCAATCTTGGATTTATCAACTAAATCACTTACCACACTTATATGACCCGCATCTAAAATTGCCACTGGGGATTTAAAATTAGATGGTTCTAAAGGTAAGATAATTAAGGGAGCTTGTAAATCCAATTTAACATTTACAGTTTTATGTTCTTCCAAGGCATATTGTAAACCAATTCTAGTTCTACTAGTTAATCCTTCCATAGTTGCCTCTGCGGCATTCATAATGGCACCAACAGTATCAAGATGAGCCTTTGGTGGTGTGAAAAAACGAGCAATCTCTTCAATAAATATAGCATTATAGAAAATCGTCATTGACTTTAATTTACCTAATAAGATTGAATCAGCTGAACCATCCAATGGATTATTTTCAAATGAGATTTGAAAGAATGGATCATCTTTCTCATCATGTTCACCATGAGTGGTCGTATTTTCATGTAAGTGGGAATGCAATTGTTTAACACTAACAATGTGTTTATATAAAGTAGTACCGGTACCATCTTCAACTCTGAATTCTTGTAATTGGAAACAAGAAAGAAAAGAATCAGGACGTTGATAGACTTGAGCTGTACAACCTTCGAATATAACTTCAGCTAAATTACCTGATTCCTTGGAGTTTTTAATGGTTATACCACCTTTTTCTAATGATGCTAAAATTTCTAATTTAACTCTATCACGAGGTACATCTATGGCATCGGCAACTTCTTGATTTTCATCATATCCAATGGCATCATACAATGCCTTCTTTTGTTCCTCCGATAATGATAAATCCAATTGTTCAGGATCTTTCTCAGATGCATCTTCAGCTAAGGCCTTAGGATCAGGTTGCGTTGCAGTTGCTGATGATCCACTCCACCAATTTGAAACCCATCCCACATAAGTAGCATCGGTTGCAGCTGGTTGTTGACTGGTACTACTGGCGAGTATGGTAGGTAAGAAACTCTTTTCCTTTCTTATTTCTTGTTTCGTTAATGATCTATAAAATTTAATATCTTCGAAAGGTAATTCCACTTCCAAGTCATGCAATTCAGTTTTTTGATCATCTTTGATGGTATTAAGAAGTTTCAATTTATATAATTTGATATAAGCTTTTCTTTGATCTCTTCTTTTAGCGAATGATTCCCAAGTCCATTTATAATTCCGATCATGAATCTCATTTAATACGGATTCAGCAGCGAATTTAAACCATTGACGAGGATTTTCTTGTATACTTATTTTTGGTCTTAATTTTCTAAATTTATAAGTCTTTATAAACCAATGGAATTTAGATGCCGTCCATAATAAATCACGATATTGTTGAGAATCCAATTCCAATCCAAATTCTTTAAAGAATAATTCAGCTTTAATATGAGGGAAATTTTCAGTAGTACCTGCTTTATGAATCGTTATCTTCCCATTTCCAGATACTGGTTTTAATAAGTATTGTAAATGTAAGGCTTGACTTGCATTATCATCAAGGGATAATTTGAATTTATTTAATAAATCATCATAATCTTCAGTATATATGGTGGTTGAATCTGTATTCATATAACAACTTAAATTTTGTAATGTTAAAAGTTTTCTGGTTAAGGCTTGAGTTATGGATATAAAACTAGGTACCCAGGATTCATCAGTTGATACAGCTGATAATTCATTAAGAGTTAAACCAATCGAATATGGTACTTCAGTTAAGATTGAATCATCTTCATAACGAATATGAATATTTTTAATGGTGATTTGTAAATTATCGATAATTTTCGTTATTAAAGATTCTGTAAAAGTTTCATTAGCAGCGGTATCATTGGCAATGGATTGATTTTGTTTGGTTGCTTGATCGATAGTTTCTAAATTATCTAATTTATCAAATTTTAAATTCAATTCTCTCTTTTTATCTTCTTCTTCATCATAATCTTGTAATATAATAGGAGAAGCTAATAAGTATACATCTTCAATTATGATTCTAACAGGTTTCCCTTTAAGATTAGACCAAGGGATTTGTAACGTTAATTCACCAAGATGACCAAATTTAACATCAATAGGTAATTTAAATTTATCTAAAGATTCTTTCTTCAATCTTAAATTCTTAAGTTTAACATCTCCACTCCAAATCCCAATGTTTAATTGTTTAGGATCGAAATTTTCAATATAAGATCCAAGGAATCGATTTAAGAGGTTAGCAACTAATGATTCAAACATATTATGAGACAACTCTTTAAATCAATCAATGGTTCTGGTTTTCTTTCTCTTTTGTTTATTTTCTTATGATAAAGGGGGGGGGGGATGATAAGTCTAGATATATCTATGCATATATAGCGTTTGATTAAATTGATTTAATTGAGGAAAGAGAAAGCAATGATAACTAATTGATCACACCTTAAATGGTTGAAATGGCAGCAATTTTCACCCTTTTTAGGAGATCTAGTTTTGTTTTAGTTTACTCCTATTAAATGGCTATGTGCAGGTATGTCGCGACATAACTCAAGTTGACATGATATTTTCGACATACAAAAATGACAAACTGAAAACGATAATTGTAAGCGAGTGGAGCATACGAATCAGGTATTTCGAATCGGTATTATTATCATTATTATTATATTATTTATTTTATAATACTAGAAAGAGAGTTTAACTTATGATTATAGTTTGTTTTGGGTAGGGTTGTCAATTAAATCTAAGTAAGACTCGTGGCATATAGAATATTTAAATAGTATATTAACCCCTTAAGGAAGATTAATTAATATGAGTTGGTTATTAGTTAAACTTAACAATGTAATAAGTTTAAGGCTATGTAGTTAAAAGCTTGGGATTAATCAGAGATATTCCTTATTGTCAAACAAATATTTATTGCTTTATTTTTATTTGGTTGTTCCATTTGTCCGTTTGGTCCATCATTCTTTCGATGATTGTTTCTCCTGTTGATTTAATTTTAATAATAATAATAATAATAATAATAATTATAATAATTCTATCATTCAGTGATGATGATATAGGTGGAATCACTGATGGGTTAATTTTAGTTTAAAGGAAAGGTCATTTAAATGGTATAATAACTTATAAATAACCTAATTAGGCACCGCGGCTCCGGTGATTGTTTATAAAATCGTTACCGCAACTAATTTCTAATTTTGTGTTACATTTTACTTTTCTCTTATCGCCAACTATCAGTAGAGATCAGTTAAGACTAGTTAGTTGTGACTCAGCAATTAGTTAGATCAATCTGTTTATACTTAAAGAAAGGAGTTGTATAATATATAGATAGAATAATGATGTTGGGTAGTTTAGACTCAGTAAGGGGGATTCAGAGTGTAGTATAGACAACTTCTGAAACAAGCTTCGATTTAAACGAGTGTGTAAGTGTGTAGTGGTTATTGTTATTGTTATCAAGTTAAACTATAAAATAGGTTACAAAATCAGTAGTATTAATAGTAGTAGTTATTATGAAGATCAAAGACGAGGGGTATCACCACAAAAAACACAATCATAAACAGATCAACAAATCGATTAAAGGAGTAGTAGTTAACCATATGATAAACTAACTGTATAGTTAATTTAATCGAAATAACAACATATGATTTAAAAATGACAACATTACAACAATTCATAGTCAAAAATTATGAATCATCATTTAAGACTTTCACGTCTTAAAATATATAAAGTAAAAAAAATGTATTTTTGCCTTATTGAGAGTGTGAGCCAGTGCTAATTCCATTTGCCTTTACGTAAATTTGATTTTATTTATTTTTTTTGGGGAGTGTGTCTTCTTTTTCTTTTTATCTTCTTCTTCTTCTTCTTCTTTCTTCTGTATTACTCAATCAATCAATCAATCAATCCATCTACATCGGCATCTATTCATCTATCATCAGTAGGTATAGTGCATGTCTGATTGTTCATTTATAGAGGAATATCCATAACTTGCAATCCACTATTCAAGTGTGGTCTAACACTGCTGCCATTTTCTCTCTTATCTTATCACAAATCCCCCTCCTCCCTCCCCAAAAAAAAAATAAAAATCTATAGTGAGTGTAAAAAGACACGCTCCTCCCTACAAAGAAATCATACTATTCATCCATCAATATATCATTTAAAGTGATTCTTATAATCTAATAGAAGGATTAACCTAATCATATATCGATCTTTTAGTTATATTGAGACCAAACGGAATCGTATAACGTTGTTGTCATAGTGTTGTTTGTTACTGATTATTAATTGCACCATAAAAATCCTCACTAAAAATTTCTTAACTACTAGTCACACTACAACATTTCTTTTTTTTTTTCTTACTTACTGGGTTGACTCATAGTAAATTATATAAATACCGTCATCAATCTAATCACTATTACAAAGCATATAACTACGAATCAATCACTGTCTATACATCATCATCATTTGAAACATCTATAGTTTCAATATTATAAATCATTTGCTTTATTGTAAATTATTATAGTTTAAGTTAAGTTAAGTTAAGTTAAGCTGAGCTGAGCTGAGTTGAGCTGAGTTGAGTTGAGCTGAGGTAAATCATAAATTTTACCGCTTATCCATTCCACTAAATCCCCCCCAAGTCCACACAACAAAAAAAAAAAAGCTTTTTTACCCCCCGCAATCACAACATCCACACATCATCTTAACAAACTGTGTATACTGATTATATACAGGCCCTTGACATCATCAATAAATTTTACTTTGTTTGTTTGTTTGTTTGTTTGATACGGTACATATTCCTTTTTTATTTTTCTTTTGCTTATCAAATTAGTCATTTAATATCTTTGTTAAAGTCAATTCAATGTCAAATCCTCCAGATATACCTACATCTGGTCCAACTCGGCACCAAGTCGATACTCCATATCCAAATTCAAATATGATCAATACTAATAGTCATCGTCATACTAATGATATCTCCACCACTTCCACTACTAATACTATAGGCATTTATTCTGTTGGTCCTGAGATCGGTAAAGGCTCGTTTGCCACAGTTTATAAATGTTACAATAAAAATACTCATACAGCAGTGGCTATCAAATCAGTAGTAAGATCTAAATTGAAATCAAAGAAGTTGGTGGAGAATTTAGAAATTGAAATCTCCATTTTAAAATCAATGAAACATCCTCATATTGTAGGTTTATTGGATTATATTCAAACTGCATCTCATTTCCATTTAGTTATGGATTATTGTTCCATGGGTGATTTATCTTATTTCATTCGTAAAAGACCTCAACTTATAAAGACTCATCCTGTAATATCATCTTTATTAGAAAGATATCCATCTCCTGAAGGTCTGTATGGTTTAAATGAAAATTTAGTAATTCATTTCTTAAAACAATTATCTTCAGCATTACAATTCTTAAGAGATAAAAGTTTGGTTCATAGAGATATTAAACCTCAAAATTTATTATTATGTCCTCCTTTACATTCAAAACAACAATTTCAAGATGATCATTATGTTGGATTATGGGAATTACCTATATTAAAAATTGCTGATTTTGGATTTGCAAGATTTTTACCTTCAACTTCAATGGCTGAAACTCTTTGTGGTTCACCTCTTTATATGGCTCCTGAAATATTAAGATATGAAAAATATAATGCTAAAGCTGATTTATGGTCGGTTGGTGCTGTCTTATATGAAATGACAGTTGGTAAACCTCCTTTTAAAGCTGGTAATCATATTGAATTATTAAGAAATATTGAAAAAGCTCAAGATCGAATTAAATTCCCAAGTGGTAATCAAATCTCAGAAGAATTAAAGAGTTTAATTAGATCATTATTAAAATATAATCCTACGGAAAGAATCTCATTTAATGAATTCTTTCATGATCCTTTGATTGTTAATGAATTACCAAGTAATGATGTCCCATTAGAAACATCAACCAATATAGATGAAAACTTATTCATTAGTGAATATATTAGTCCTATTAAACCAAGTGAAAGATCTCAATATATTCAACCAATAACTACTTTGACTCCTTACAAGGAAGAATCAAAACCATCAACATCCTCTGATGCCAAACATTCACAACATTCAGATAAAATCCCATCATCAGCAAGTTCTTCAGTTCGAGATGAAGAAATTAAACAAATTATAAATAAAAATAGTCCTGCTCCTGAAAGTTCAATTCACCATAAATCAGTTCATAAATCAGTCATTAGAAATAAAGATGATATAATATTAGAAAAAGATTATGTCGTGGTTGAAAAGAGAGCTGTTGAAGTGAATGCTATTGCTGATGAATTAGCTCATGCTGGAAGTGGAGCTGTTGCCATTAATCATACAAACAGTGGCACCACTCCTGGTTCAAGAAAATCTCTGGCGGGATCTATCGGAAGTGTTAATGATTATACTAGTGCAGTACGTTATAGAAGATCATCACTGGGTAGTCAAAGAAGACCTAGTTTTGCTGATAGAAGAATATCTATATCAATAAGTCCTAGTAATGCCTTAAGTAAAGCCATTGGATTAGCATCGAATAAATTATTTGGATCTCCTACATCAGCTAATATTCCAGAAGAAGCATTATTGAATAAAATTAATGGTGACATTAATAATTATTCATTTTCAACTATTTATTCAAGTCCAAATTTTGCTGATCATTTATTACTACAAAAATTAAATTTACCTACTTTGGCTAGTCTTAATTTAAGTAATGGTAGTGATAAATTAATAATCAATGGAAATGAACTTGAACAACAACATCAACAACAACTTTCTAAATCAAAACAATTAACTGATGATGAAATTGTTTTACAAAAATTAGAAACTTTGGCTACCAAATCACATGCCATTAAATTATTTGCTGATGTTAAATTCAGTCAATTAATTCCAAGTCCACCATCCAGTGATGGATTTGATGATGATTTATTACATCCAAATGATATGTTGCCACCTACTATGATTAAAGCTATTAGTGAAGAAGGTGTAGCCTTGTATGTTAAGACCTTATCGATCTTGAATAGAGGTATGTCAATTGCTAGTGATTGGTGGTATAGTAGTCAAGCGGAACAACAACAACAACAATCCCAAAGTGATCTCAGAAATATGAGAAGTGATGCTTCTAAAGCTCAAATTAGAATTAATGATTTAGTACAATGGATTCGTGAAAAGTTTAATGAAAGTTTAGAAAAGGCTGAATTCATTAAACAAAGATTAGAAGAAGCTAAACGTTTAATCGCCGAAGATCAAATTAGTAGATCTTCTGGAACACAATCCAAAACTAATAATTCAGTATCTTCCAGATCAATTTCTCCTGGATTTGACGATGAAGATGATAAAGTTATGGCTGAGAAATTAATTTTTGATCGTGCGTTGGAAATATCTCGTAATGCCGCCGTGAATGAGTTAGTTCAAGAAGATTTGAAAGGATGTGAATTAGCTTATGGAACTGCGATTTGGATGTTGGAAGCATTAATCGATGAGAGTGATTCTTATGGAGATGATAAAGAGAGTAAAGAACAAAAATTAGATATTCAAGATAAAGCTATGGTTGAGAAGTTTATCGTCAGTATTGGTAATAGATTATCTGTTTTAAAGAAGAAATTGGAATTAATCTAATTAAATCAATCATCACCACTCATTTTTTTAAAGGTATTTTTTTTTATCATTATTATTATTATATTATTATTATTATTATTCAGGTTTCATTTTATTTTTACTGTGTTTTTTATTTACATTATTATACTTTTTTTTACAATTTTAGGTTTGGTTCATCCGTGATTGAAAGAGTGTCACAAGATATATGAGAGTTTTATGTTTTATTTATTTATTTATTTATTTCACAACTACTATTTATCATATTTTTATATCATTATTATTATTATTATTATTATTTTTATTGGATTTAGAGAATTATTTACGGAATGCAGAATTGCAAATACATGCAAGATTGTTGTATATGATACAACAATATGGAATTCATTCAACAGGTTTGTGGCTGGTAGGTTGGAGATATTATTATAGTTATATTCATTATTTATCGGAAGAATATATATTTATAAATTATTAATTATATTATTACATAAATAAATAAACAAACAAAAAGAAAAAAAAAGAATCAATATATATATTTATTATTATTATTACTATACAAACTTATACTAAGTAGAACTATTCTTATTATGATTTACCCTTTGTTGGAAGGGGAGTAGTCTTTGCTGGTTGTTTAGCAAGTTCAACTTCTGAATTTGAAAATAACCAATTAACAGTATTATTAATATAATTACAAGTTTTATTAACCGTAGAAGCGTCATCATTATCATTTAAAGCTTTGAAACTAATCTTATCAATACAAAGAGCCTTTTGAATCAATTCCCAACGTTTTAATTCAAAATCGACATCTTCATTATCGATCTTGAATCTATATTGAGAATACATTCTTTGTTTCATACGATTTTCATCAAAATTACTAATGGATTCATCATTAGTATAATCTTTTGGATTAACTTTTTTAATATTACAATGTAAAGCAAATAATGGGATTTCTGATGAACCACCGAAATAATGAGTTTGCATTTCATCAATTAATTCAACTTGATCATATCTATCATCAATTTCATCATCGAAATTATCAATGAATTCATTATGAGTACCAGCAATCTTTTTCTTCTTTTTATTCTTAGATTTAGGTTTCCTAGCACTGATTAACTTGGAAAATTTAGCATAATTCTCATTTAAGAGTTCATAATCTATAATAGGATCCTTTTGACCCATGGCCATTCCATGATATCCATTTTCATCAAAATATCCAAGAGTTTGAATATAGGAATGAACTTGATAATATTTTGTATTGGTTACAAATGCTCCCGTTATAAATGTATCTTTATCACCTTCACCTAATTCTCCAAGACTAAATAATCGATAATAAATTTGTGGACCATAAAGATTATAATAAAGTGTCATTAATAAAGATTTACCATGAGTACCTTTATTATAAACAATTTGACCTGATTCAGTTGATAAATCTGGTATAGTACCTAAATATTCATGATAATTATAATTTTCAAATTGTTCAATATTAGTTTCTGTTTTAAATTCAGCATTAATTAAAGGATATCTATTCCATCTAACTCTTACATCTTCATTAACTGGTTTTTGAGCAATTTCATAATAAATAGGACTTAAAGATCTTTGCCAATAATCAGGCCAAAGAATTAATCCATTTTTCTTATAAACTTTGGAATCAAATACAGAATCAGGATTAGTTACCGCAATATTATCTGAATCTAAAAATAAGACATGTTCAAATGTACTTATAGCAATAGCAATTGATTTTAATTGATAACTTCCAATACTAATTCTTGAAACCACATGATGACCTAAAACATCGGGTATAACCACACATCTGGCATTTAATTTAGGTAAGATTTCATTACACATTTTATATTCATTATTATAATCTTGCCATTGGGGTAAGATCAATTCAATAGGTAATTTAGATCCATTATCTCTTAAATGTAAGATTGATAAATATGATAACCAACTGAAGAATCCTCCTCCAATTAAAACTATCCCTTTTGAATCCTTTTTAAATGTTACAGGATCCAAATTAGTAGGTAATTGACGTAAAACATTAGCATGATTAACTTTAATTTGTTGAATATTATAATCTGTTATATTGGCTTTCCCTAATAAAGATTTTTTGGAATAAGGATTGTTCTTTTTAACATTATTACTTTTCGAACTAGGAGAATGATCACCTTCAGGTTCATAACTACTTTCATCATCCTTTTTATCATCATCTTCTGATTCTTCCCTTTTAGTATATACAATCAATTCTTCACCTTCAGTAATATTGAATTTATTATCAGTAAAGATAGTAAAGACATGATTCCAAAAATCATGAACTTCATTTGATTTAACAAATCCAATATTTGGTTCATTAAGGATTGATTTATGATTAGTAGTGATTGAATCTTTTAATAAACGATCATTTAGTACTTGTTGTTGTTTACTATATACATAGGTGATATAATGCTTACCGATCATAGGTATACGGCTTAAGATGGATTTGGTAGGATCTGTAAATTCTGGTTCTTGGTTCGTTTGGGATTGTTGTTTTTGAGATTGAACAGGTAAGCCGTTCAATGAAGAAGAAGATGATTTTGAATTTATACTAGGTTTGGTCGGATTCAATGCAGAAATATCTGGAGCTGAAGGGGTATTAACTAATTTTGGTTTATTTTGATATGATTGATGGTTTGATAAAGTATATTTGGCAAAATCTTCTACAAAGTCGGCTTCATTATGAGTTAAGATATATGGTAGAATAAATATGACGAATAATGCCGATGACACGATGGCTGTTATTCGATAAGTGCGTCTTGGTAATGACATTGTGGGTATTAAAAGTTGGTAAAGGTGGCAGTGGATCTGACAAGGGAAGATTGATTTTAAATCTGATTGGGGACAAGATCTGACTAGATTGAATAGATCATAAAACAAAGGGTCTGAAGTAGCGATGAATGGAAATCTATAATAGGAACCTGTTTCTATTTATAAATTTGCAGTTGAAGTAATGGTTGATACAGAACGCTCTATATTAAACCAATATGATTTGGTATGATTTGATAAAGGATGAATTGAAAACGAAGTTGGTTAAACGATTGAAAGAGGAGAAAGATGACAACAGACAAACAAATAAAGAATTGAAATCATAATCAACACATTTCGATTTAATCACTATAAATTCAGACAGTCAGACAGACACTGTATAAACTGTAAAAATAAAAATTAAAAATAAAAATTAAAAAAAAAAATTAAAAAAATAAAAAAAAATTAAAAAAATAAAAAAAATAAAGAAATTAAAAAAAATAAAACTTTAATTAATTAATGGGCTTGTTCATTTTTTTAAGCATCATCACTATGGCTACAGCTCAGTGTACGATCAAAGCTTAACTTCAAAATAACCAGGTATATGTATTTGGGTAATAGATCTAAGGACAAACTCCTTCTAGTTTACAGATCTTATAGTCTTAAATTTTGTAGCCCATACTATAAATGCAAAATAAATAAATTTCTAAGCTTAAAATTCATTGGACATACATCAATCGTTTCAGGTTCATTTCAATTCAATAATGTTGTTCTTTATAAATCGGAATTTTATTGTAGCGTGAGGTCAAAAAAATTAATACGAACAGTGTAGAACAACAGAACAACAGAACCACACAGAAGTGTACATGAGAAATACGTGTCTATCTTTGTTATTGTCATTGCTACCACTATTGTTCAAATATTGACAGATTTACATTTATAGTGATAACTATACCTCGTTAAAATCTTATCAAGGAATATGTTAAAGGACGCCTATAATTTTGCACTATCTTTTGAATATTTCCTTTCATCATTCTGCGTTAATATCTATCCTCTCTCCCTAATGCTTCTTAATCTTCCTCCTCCCCTCCTTCATCACCCCCCTACGCATCCAGTCCCAAAAACTTTTGTGTACAAAATTTTAGCATGAGTGAGCGCACTTGCATTGTAACCCGTAAGATTATTTATCCAGGAAATTATTTTTTACGGCATCCCCCAATTTGATAGTAAGAATTATGATGTACTATGCACGTGTAGACCGAAGGTTGATTTTAATTCGGTCATCCTTCAGGTGTTTGAATATATATTTATGACATAACTGCACCCTTTGAAGAAATAAGACATTCTTGAGAGCCGGTCTGTCTGAAAGACGGTCTGTCTGAAAAGTAGTGCTGTTGAGGTTTATGGTATACATAATTTGTTAATTGAACCACCCAATTTCATTCTATTAAATTATGGCTTAAGATAACCTATTTCGTATCAAACAATACATCATTGTTACTATTTTAAATCTTACATCTATTGAAGCTAAGCAAAATCAAAACAAACAAACAACATTAATATATAAAACACGAATTTCGTAATGTAAATAAAGTATAAACAATAAAGCACTATTTTTAGAATGTGTGTAAATTGTTCATTATCTAACTTGTAAATTAAAAATTAAAAAAATCTCTGACAAAAAAAAAAATTAAAAATTAAAAGTCGTATAAAGAAAACAGAATTTTGTTAGTGACATAATTTTTGCAATCTCTTTGTCGCGTACATTTGTTTTTTTTTAGTTTGGTCTCGTATAATAAACCTACACTGTTAATCTTATCAATGGTCCATTGTCTTAGTACCTATATATACACATTGTTTATATTACGATACTAAAAACCATATATTAAGCGAAACATCGTAATATGTTATATGTTATCTATCATCATGATCAACACCTTCCTTAGTTCAATATTTATCTTATGCCCAATATACGATTCAACCACAAATAAATACTTGCCAAGGCATGAATGAAAGTATCAACTCATTTGAAACTCCCCCTTGATCTTACGAATGCTTATCTTATCAAAACCTTCTATTTCTTATTATCAATAATATCTTTACTCCTGGTCTAACCACAGAATTATTATTTAACTAAACCTAAAATATAGTAGAAAAAAATATTGATATTTTTGATGTATGTTTGTTTTAAATAAATATATATGTGAATCGACGTGTTTTTTATTTTTGGAAAGTGGTTCCCCTTTGGGAATAGAACATATATTAAATCGTACATAAACATACGTAACCACGTTATAAAGTCAATTTTATATTTAACTTTAGAATATATGACGTAAGTATAATCATATTTAGATATGAACTAACGTTATTATCGGTTTTGAGGTTTAGGGGCAATTGAGGTTACAACTTACATCATCGATCCCCTGGTCGATACAATCTTAAAACAAATCTTTTCGCGTACGACTTTGTCGAAAATAGAAAAATATGACAAAATTTAATTTGCGACAAATGGGATTGAGAAAAAATGACAAATCGAAAACTAAAAATTCAAATGACATAATGAAAAATAAAAGAATGATTTGCATTTTGAAAGTTTAAACAGAATCATTCAATTATTAATTGATCCATCAATTATCAATTCAATCCCATCAATCAACAGTTTATATAAATCATGTCGTGTGAAGACGAGCATTACCATCCCCATAGTCATTCTCATAGTCATTCTCATGGTGATGAAGATGAAGATGATCATTCCCATGGTCATAGTCATAGCCATTCTCATGGTCATTCTCATATAGCACCAATTGCAACCAATGCATCACAATCATTATTACCTCGTATTGATTTATCTAAAGTAACTGGTTTGAATTTATCTAATCCTCCATGTGAATTGAGTCAGATTTTTCGAACTCAAGATTTAAAATATCATTTAAAACCAATTATAAAATCAGATGATAATCATGAATTAATTATTCATATTCCCTTTTTAGATGGATCAACCAAATTATTCTCCATAATTCTAAGAACTAATGGGGATTTATATTGTCCTAAGATGATTAAATTATATAAGAATGATAAAACAATTGATTTTAGTGAAATTGAAAATAAAAAACCAACATTTGTCATTAATCATCCTCATCTTGGGGTAATGTATAATGATGATGAAACTTCTCAGGATATTATGCCTGAGAAATTAGAATCGGATGATGATTTTGTTGAACACCTTTTACCTCGACATTTATTCACTGGTGTTCATCATTTAACCATTTATATTGCTAGTAAATATAAACAAAATGATGAACAAGAAGAAGAAGAAGAAGACGATAGTGAACCTGATAGTGATGATGAAGATGGAGCTAGTCATTTACATTATATTGAATTAAGAGGAGAATTCACCTCATTGAATAAAAATCCAGTTGTAACTTTATATGAACTGGCTGCAAATCCAAATGATCATAAATTAAAATCAGATAATTTACTTACTAATAATTTCACCATTGGTTGAAGATTAATTCTGGAAATTAACTTCATCCAACTCACAGATAAAATAAATAAAAGCTCATTGCTATTTAGATACCATTATTATTACATCCTAGCTTATTTTTGAATGTTTTACGTATAGTTTTTATATTTAAATAAATGTTTTCAAGAATGTTTTAGTATCATATTGGCGTGTAATAGAATTCAGCATAGTTATCTTACGATCTGTGAACTGGTTATAGTTGAAGTAATTAACATTTTAATAAACTAAAAAGTATATTTCAATTATTAAAGAAATCTATTACAACTTAAACATTTTGGTCAGATTTGGCTTATAAGTTAATTATAATTTTTAAGTTTTACGTTAAATTTGAAAATTTACTATATATTAGACTACACCCTTGCCGCAATAGATAAATTCTTTTATCATGACTATATTTATTAGTAAAATAATCCGTTATAACCCAAAATGAACTCATATTTTACAATCACTAATACTGTTCGTTAAATTAATATAATATGATGTTTTTATCTAATAGAATATTTTTGTCTGTCTGTCTGCTAATTTTACCTGTCTGGTCAACTGAAGTCCGAAATTTAAATTAGATTTTTCGGTGCAACCCTGTCAAAATCAGACCAAATAAAAATCAGACAGACAAAAATAAAATTAACCTGGTGATGTTCTATGTCGTAATACCCGACATTTTCTCATTAATGAATAATTATAAATTATGTCGGCTAATCATCATTCAACGACACTTCTCTCAGACAACTCCCTCCACCCACCACCACCACCACCACACTTTTTTTCTGTCTCCTTTGTAACCACCATCGATCGATCGACATTAATTTATATTATATATATTTCACTTTCTTTTCTTTTCTTTTCAATTGCTTTTTTAACTCTTTAGTACAACTCAATTGCTATTCAAGTATTATCTACCAAGTTATCCACCCCTATCATCATTTATAATGCCAAAATTAGTTTTAGTTAGACACGGTCAATCCGAATGGAATGAAAAAAATTTATTCACCGGTTGGGTTGATGTTAGATTATCTGCTGTTGGTGAAAAGGAAGCCCACAGAGCTGGTGAATTAATTAAAGAAGCTGGTATCCAAGCCGATATCTTATATACTTCCAAATTATCAAGAGCCATCCAAACTGCCAACATTGCTTTAAGTTCTGCTGATCAATTATATATCCCAGTTAAAAGATCTTGGAGATTAAATGAAAGACATTATGGTGCTTTACAAGGTAAAGATAAAGCTCAAACTTTAGAAGAATATGGTAAAGAACAATTCCAAACCTGGAGAAGATCTTTTGATGTCCCACCTCCAGTTTTAGATGATGCTTCGGAATTCTCTCAAACTGGTGATATTAGATATGGTGATATTGATCCTGCTGTTATTCCAAAAACTGAATCTTTAGCTTTAGTTATCGATAGATTATTACCATACTGGCAAGATGAAATCGCCGCTGATTTATTAGAAGGTAAAACTGTTTTAGTTGCTGCTCATGGTAACTCTTTAAGAGCTTTAGTTAAACATTTAGATAAAATTTCTGATGATGATATTGCTGGTTTAAACATCCCAACTGGTATCCCATTAGTCTATGAATTAGATGCTGCTTTAAAACCAATCAAACCAGCTTACTACTTAGATCCAGAAGCTGCTGCTGCCGGTGCTGCTGCTGTTGCTGCTCAAGGTTCAAAGAAATAGATGCTTTCATCTGTTTATGATCTTTGAATCCTTCTTAATAATTAAAACGTAAATTGATTTTATATTTATATATCTCTGATTATAATATATACTACTGATATTATCCCTCCATTATCATCCGAATCAATTGACCTCCCAAAACCAATTGATAATTGTAAATTAATTGTAGTTAGTACTGTAAAAACTGAAAATTACACAAAAAGTCTCATTTTTTCCAAACTGAAAAGAAAGAAAAAAAAAAAGTTGAAGAGAGAGTATCAACAAAGCGATTTCAAATATTCAAATATTCAACTTACCTTTCAAACTGTGTTTGATTCAATTCATAAATCAATCGATCTGATAACTATCGCGTTGTCAATTCATCTTGATATCAACCAGTGATCAATCATCCTATCTTAATAAACTCATTCAACTCATCAACCCATCTCAAATCAAAATCATCTTGAATCATATACCACTTACATATATTTAATCATGTCAGCTTTCGGTCAACCGAATCAAAATAATAATAGTGGTAATCCAACACCAACTTTCCTGTTTGGACAACCTGCTTCAAACACAGCCAATGAAAATAAGCCATCTGCATTTGGAGGATTCTCAGCTCTGAATAGTGCCAATAATAGTGGAAGAAGTACACCTGCTCCAGCTTTTTCATTTGGTGGTGCTGCCACTGCATCTACTAATGCTCCAACTTCAAATACAGCCAATACAACGACAGGAGGGGGATTCTCATTTGGTGCATCTCAACCTTCTGGTGGATCAATATTTGGGGCTAAACCAGCCACAGCTTCAGGAACAGCTTCACCATTCGGAGCACCAACTCCTGCTCCTGCTGCATCTACTTCAGGAGGATTATTCGGTAATAAACCAACTTTAAATGCTCCTTCAGCGTTTGGAGCTCCAAAGGCCGATCTGCCCGCTCCAACTGGTGGATCATTATTCGGAAGTGCTAATAATTCAACAGGTGGATTATTCGGTGCAAAATCGAATGAAATTGGAAAACCAGCTAGTCCATTTGGTGCTCCAGCTCCAACCACAACTTCTAATACAACAACTGGTGGTGGATTTTCATTTGGTGGCAATGCTGCTTCAACCGCTGACAAACCTGCTGGTGGTTTATTTAGTTCTGGTTCAACTACTCCAGCTCCAGCAGCTCCTACAACTGGTTTTGGTTTTGGTGGCGCTGCAACTTTAAGCACAACAGACAAACCTGCAGGTGGATTATTTGGTTCCGCTGCTCCATCTACTAATGCTTCAACTTCAGGATTCTCATTCGGTGGTGCTAAACCAGCCGAACCTGCTACCTCAACTACTACCGATAAACCAGCTCCTCCTGCCCTTTCATTTGGAAGTACTAATAACTCTTCAACCTCAGGATTATTCGGTAAGAAGGATGGAACTTCTACCCCAACTACTCTTTCATTCGGTGCTGCTAAACCAGAAGAACCAAAGAAAGATGGTGGATTATTTGGAAGTTCTTCAGCAACGACCGCAGTTCCTAGTGGATTTTCATTAGGTGGTGCTGCCAAAACTGATTCTATTACACCACCTCCTAGTTCAGGTGGATTATTTGGAAGTTCAACTGCTAAAAAGGACGATCCAGCTCCAACTTCTGGACTTTCATTTGGTGCTCCTAAACCAGCTACTAGTGGTGGATTTTCATTTGGTGCTCCTAAAGAAGCTGAAAAACCTGCATCAACTGGTTTTTCATTTGGGGCCAAGAAAGATGATGCTCCAGCAGCTACTACTAAACCAACTTTAGGTGGTTCATTCTCTCTTGGAGGAAATAAAGATGAAACTTCAGCTCCAAAGCCAACTTTGGGTGGAGGATTTTCTCTCGGTGGAAGTACTAAAAAGGATGAACCTACCAAACCAAGTTTAGGATTTTCACTTGGTGGAACTAGTAAAGAAGAACCAGCCAAATTAGGAGGATTTTCTCTTGGTGGATCTACTACAACTGATGACAAACCAGCAGCTGCTGCTACCAGTGGTGGTTTCTCATTCGGAGCCAAAAAAGATGATAAACCAGCCACACCAGCTACAGGTGGATTTTCATTTGGTGGTGCTAATAAAGAAGAAGAAAAGAAAGATGCCACTACACCTGCAACCACTGCTGCTCCAACTAGTTGTGGACCCACATCAGCTTCAACTACTTCCACAACTACAACTGCAACCACTACAGTTGCTCAACCTAATTTAAAACCAACTAAAATAGAACCAATAGCCGTTTCGATAGATAACAAGACCTTGGATGATTTAATAATTAAATGGTCTAAACAATTGACTAGTACATCTAAAGTGTTTGATAGTTATACATCCAAAGTTAAAGAATGGGATGAACAATTGGTTAGTAGTGGAGATAATATATTACAATTAAATCAAGATACTTTAGAAGCTGAATCATTACAAAATAAAATTGATCAACATTTATTGTTTGTGGAAAATCAACAAGATGAATTAGAAAAATTATTACATAATTATGAACAACAAGCTGATATTTTATTGAATAATATTGAACTAAACAATAGTAGTCTGTTAAATGCTGGACTTATAACTGATGGTTCTAGTAGTGGAAATGCAGGAGATAATGGTAATGCCAATTCTAACTCTAATAATAATACAACTGGTGGTAATACTAACAGTAGTAATACTACTATTCAAGCTGCTGCTAGTACTTTAAGTGTTACTGATAAATTAAGAGAAAAAGCATATCATGCGGCTGAATTATTAGATGAAAGAATTGATAATTTAACTGATAATTTAAGTACTTTGATTAATGAAGTTAATTCTGTTAGTGATGTATTTACTAAGAATTCGATTAATGATTTTGCTAATACTTCAAATGATCAAAATGGTCAATCCAATAGCATAATCAAATCAAATTCAAATAATAGTACTGTTGCCAGTACTAATAATGGTAATCCAATTGAAGAGATTGTTCAATTGTTAAACTTGCATTTAGAAAACTTGAAATATATTGAGAAGGGAGAAGAAGAATTAAAGGAAAAGCTTGCTAAAGTCAATCGTACTAAGAAATTGTCATATTAGATAGATTAATTTTATTTTATAGTGTATAGTCAAACCATATTAAAAAATGTATAATATATAATTTTTATTTTTATTTAAAGCCTTGCACATCTTACGATTTGACATATAGAGAATCAAAGCTGATCATACTGTCGGAATTATAAGGTTGCATCCAGAATGAATTAAACCGAATTACATCCCTGGGATATATCATATGCGCACATGATTTAAAATTTCAGTGTTTATTTTATTTTGACCCCACCATTTCTCAATCTCACCGTAAATATATAAATATGAACCAATTATTTCAACTTTATTATTATATAACCAAGTTTAACCATATACCATTTGTAGGTAAGCTTATCAACTAGGAATATATATACATATCAACAACCAAGATGCCACCAAATTATTTCGCCCTTATCAAATTATTATTCAACGAAGATGTGTCTAAGAAAATAGTGTTGCAAATGGCTTATAAGCAAATCAGTAAGATTGGATTTGCCAAAGTGTTAGCCGTATTATTAAGTGCTTGTACAGTTGGAGTATCATCATTCATTCGTATTCCTCAGATTAGAAAAATCATTGATCCCAAACTTTTAGATGACAGAATTAAAGTGGCCAATGGGTTATCATTAGAGAGTTATAGTATAGAATCGTTCAATTATTTGATTCATGTTGTATTCAATTCTCAAAATAAGAACCCATTCCTTGATTATGGTGAAAGTTTATTAATGGGGATACAAAATGTGATTATTATCTTATTAATTAAATTCTATCGATTAAGAGAAACTAATGAAATACCTGATTTATCAAACAAATCTTGGACTGATAGTATTAAAGTAGTTGGGGAGAAATTAGCTCAACCAGTTGGTATTATTGTTGGGACTATCATTTTCTTAACTCAAGTAGCTCCACATCAATTGATTTCATTATTACAAGTGTTAAACATTCCAATTAATATTATTTCAAAATTACCTCAAATCAAACAAAATCATGATTTAAGAACTGCCAGACATTTATCTACCATCACTCTTCGTGCTAATGTATTAGGTTCAATTATTAGAGTTTTCACTTCTGCTCAAGATTTATCCACAAAGAGAAAGAAGAATAAATCATCTTACAATGATTGGATCTTATTAGCCGGTTATATCACTTCCTTAAGTTTGAATTCAGTTTTAATTGGTCAAAGCATCATTTATGATAGTAAGTTAGTTGAATCAAAAGATGATGATGATGAAGAAAAGAAGAAAGTTTAGGTAATATATCCCGACTTAATCCTTAGCTTTCCTCGACATTACTACTATTACTTATTATTTTGTATATTTTTTTTCTTATTGCTAGCAATATAGTTGTTATTTGTACTTATTTATAGTTAATACTAAATTATCACCGTTAAACTTTGTATTCTTATTACTTCAAGTTGTAAATCTTGCCATATATGATTCATATTACTGTTAAAAGTTGAATCTTTATATTTGTATATCTTAGCGCTATTCAATCTATTTTTCCGCTTACGGCAAATTTATCCCGCTCACTAAAGAGAAATCAGTCAGCAGAAAATCTCAACTATAAAATGGATGGTTGAAAAATTCAAACCCCAATAATCTTCCTTTGATAGACTCTATAGACCCTTATACAACTTACAACAAGCTATGGTTCATACTGCAGAATATTTGCCAGCCACTGGAACCAACATTGGTTCAGTGTTACAAGGGGGATACAATCATCCATTATCAAGAGAATGGCAAAATGAAAGACAATTAACTAAAAATATGTTCATATTTCCATTATTCATTAGTGATGATCCTGAAGAAGAAAGTATTATCCCAGCATTACCTAATATTAAAAGATACGGTACCAAGACATTAATCCCTTATGTGAAAACCTTAGTTGAAAAAGGATTAAGATCAGTTATATTATTTGGAGTTCCTTTAAAGGATGGGGTTAAAGATGAAGTAGGCACTGCAGCCGATGATCCAGAAGGTCCAGTTATAACCAGTATTAAATTACTTCGTCAACATTTCCCTGATTTATTCATCATGTGTGATGTCTGTTTATGTGAATATACAAGTCATGGACATTGTGGGATTTTATATGAAGATGGATCCCTTAATCGTGAAATCTCCGCGTTAAGAATTGGACAAGTTGCCGTGAATTATGCTAAAGCAGGGGCTAATTCAGTTGCTCCATCCGATATGATTGATGGTCGTATTAAAGATATTAAAGTAGGATTAATTAATGCTGGTTTAGCTCATAAATGTTTAGTTATGTCTTATGCTGCTAAATTTAGTGGAGGATTATATGGACCATTTAGAGATGCTGCTGGTAGTGCTCCAAGTCATGGAGATCGTAAAGCATATCAATTACCTCCTGGTGGGGCTGGATTAGCTCGTCGTGCTTTATTAAGAGATATGGAAGAAGGTGCTGATGCTGTTATTGTTAAACCTTCTACATTTTATTTGGATATTATTAGTGATGCTAGTAAATTATGTAAAGATTATCCAATTTGTGCTTATCATGTTAGTGGAGAATATGCTATGTTACATGCAGCTGCTGAAAAAAATATTGTTGATTTAAAAACAATTGCATTTGAAAGTCATCAAGGATTTTTAAGAGCTGGAGCAAGATTAATTATTAGTTATTTCACTCCAGAATTCTTAGAATGGTTAGATAATTAAATATGTAAATAATTTTAAATTAATGATAAAAAGAGATTAAATGTAAATAGTATATTAATAACATAATTCTATTAAATATGTATGTTTATTATGTATATGATGTATAACGATGTATTAAATAATGATTTAAATGGCAATGGGTTCATTAGGTTTAGAAGTAACTTGTTCTTCTTGTTCTTCTTCTGGGGCTTCTAATTCATTAGTAGGAGCTTCAGGCATGATTTTATTATCCGGAACTTGAGGTAATTCAACTTTAGGTTCATCAACCTTGGTTTCTGGTATGATTTTATCACCATTAACTTCTAATTCCAACCGTTCAAATTCTTCATCAACTTCCAATTCTTCTTGATTGGTTAAACCTGAACCCATTCCTAATGCATCACTAATTTCATCAACTTTAACTCTTTCATCTTGTAAATCATCTAAAACTTTATCAATTTTATCTATACTTAATTCATTATTTAATTTCTTTAAAACATCATTACCTTGTTGTAATCCATATAATACATCTTTTTCAATCAATTTGAATTCAATGGTTCCAATCAATCCTTCTAAATTATCCAATTGATTATAAGTTTTCGATATGATTGATTCTTGTTGTTTTTTAGCTCGTAAATAGAATTTAGCTCGATCCAATTGTTTATGTTGAATGGCAACTTTGGCTAAATTCGATTGTTTATCAATGATGATGGATATTTTCTTTTGATATTGTTTTAATTTATCTCTTTGTTGTTTTAATTGAAAGATAGCCTTATCTTGAGCCGTTATCTTTGGAGGTGCTGAAGTTTGCTGACCCATGGTTATTGTTAGTTATGTAGGATGGTGATGTCAAGGCACAAGATGGAATGAGAATGATGAATTTCAACTAATCAATAGTAAGTTGGATTCAGTAATGGTATGGACTTTGATTATATGAAACTAAATTGGTATGATTGATTCCAATGATTCATCCATTGATTCCATCCACACTTTTGCCTAAATTTGATTTCTCATTTTTTTGTGGTGATGGATTTTTTGGACTTTCTTTCTTATCACAAGAGGCTTCTAAATTTAAGTCTGGGGGAGAATTTACGAAACTATTTCTGATTATTCAAATTATCAAAAACTCAAACTGAGAACTAAGAGTTGTAAAATAATCATTCAACATAACCCCATTCAAACACATAACTTTATATCTTGTTGTGGGTATGGCTTTAAATCAGATTGGGTAGGAGTTGTGGTGGTGGTTGGGCGACTTCCTAATTAGGAAGTTGACATCTCATTCCGAAGGTTCCTTTCCACAACAACGATTAAGTGAAAGATAATGATTAGATTATATAGAAAGAGATAAGAAACAGATAATGATGAGGCTATGTGATATGATAAAGTTTAATATGTGTTTCTACACTTGTTGTTTCTTTGTCTATTTGGGCGAAGTTTAGCTTAAATTTGAAGTCGCTATTTTTTAGCAGCCCATATTTTATTTTACTGACTGCCTCAGGCGGGAACGAACGGGGCACCAGTTGTAAAGTCAAAATTTAACCGTTACACATAGAGATATATAAATTGACAGATTCTTTTTAAGGTTTTAAACCACGTTATATCAGTAGTAGATTCATATATATATAATTATATAATTGAATGGTTAAATGGTGATTTTTAACGATTGATACTATTTATAACTTTTTATATTGTGGTTGTTTGTGGTATGTGGGATATTTTTATAGAGTGTGTGGTGAAAGTTTAAGGTTAATTGTTATTCCTGTAATAAGTAAGCCATATTTATTAACTATTAGTACATATACGTAAATATTATCATAAGCAAAGAAGGTGATTTGACCTTTACTTCATTAGTTGCTTTTAAACATTTGTAAATATTTTCCATAATTGAACACACCATTTTATTTCTACGTAAACCGATTAACCTATATAATTATTCATCTCTTTGTAGTATCGATTCAGATTATCACAGTCATCTCTTCCAACTAATCATCTTCAATTGTTAGTTTTCGATCAAATCAATTGTTTGGTTATACCGTACCTTATTTTTAGTTACTTGCTTCCTTTTCCATTTTGTACCATTTGATTTTAAATAAAGGCGGTGAATACCCTTACTAATGTCAAATTAGACATAATAGTAGTAATCTTAGCCCTATAATTGAATTGTTTATCACCGATTGACACTTGATGTTAAGAAAAGGATTGACGGTTGATCTTTACTGAGATATTATATATTACTATACTAAAACGTGAGTTTCTTAATTAGGAATTTTGACATATAAATAAATAAATAAATAAATAAATAATGAATTAAATAATATTCCTAAAAGAGAGGGGTTCATCCGTTTAAATAGGGATAAGTTACGGATTTAGTTAGGGAGGACCACGATACTTTAGTTTACGTTGCCTAACTTAACTTAACTTCGTTACTGTTAGTTTATCACTGCTAATAACATTGATTATTGTACTATACAGTTGTAATGGATATTCACGATTATATAATTGATTTTTCAATTTCCAGTTTTCTTAATTCCATCTACCATTTACCACTACTACCACTTACACACAATCAATTATAATCGATTTAAACTTCTATTACCATTATAATATTATCTTGAGTCCCATTGTTGACAGTGACTCGAACTACAAATAATAAATCCTTTCACTCAAGAAAAATAAAACAAAAAAAAAAAGAAACGACAAAAAAAAGTTTAACTATTAGTGAGAGTGAGTGAGAGGGAAAAAACCTTTTTGGGCTAGTTTCAGTTCAGTTCAGTTCAGTTCATAAATTTTAATTATTAAACACAGTTAAGACACAGATCGATATATCAATCATTTTAGCATTCTAATCTTGCAATTGTAGAAAGCTTAGTGATCATGTCATCATCAAACTATCCCAATAGTAATCATAATGGCCATGACGCAAATCCTCCTCCTCCTCCTAATCTGAATGATTACCGTCCCGCTGCATCATTGAACATACCAGAACATTTGATACCCAAAGGATTCTATGATCAACGGTTTCAACAACAACAACCTCCTCCACCACCACAACAGCAGCAACAACAACAGCATCAACCATCTCATAACAATCAACATCAACAACAACAACAACAACAACACTCTCAACTACAGCAACAAGCACCTCAACAGGCACCTACTCCTCCTCAACACCACAACCACCACCACCATCATCAACAACAACCTTATCCTCAACAACCTTATCCAAATCAATCAAATCAACAGATCCCTCCCCAATTAAAACAGCCACACCAACAAATGCCTCCCGTAAATAATTATCAAAGAAAAGCTCCTCCTGCATTACAATTGAATCAAATCCCTCCTAATAATATTCCTCCTCAGAAGCAGCAATCTCCTCAATCATATCATTATCCATCATTAGCTCCTCCCCCTGTTCAACAACAACAGCCTCTACCACCACCACAACAACAACAACAACAACAACATCGTTCTCATCCTTATCGTGAGAAAGCCTCAGCTTCACCAACTACTCAACAAGCATATCCTCCATATCCTGTTGATTCACCAAAACTTCAATCTCAACCCGTTCTGGTCAATAATAGTATCAATTCAACTAATAGTGGTCCTCATAGATTTCATAATACAAATTATTCAATCCCTGAAAGTCCAGATTCAGAACCAATGCAAGTGAATTCTACTGTAGGTTCAGTTTCAAGTACTCATTATCCATTCCCTCATGGTAATAGAATTGCATCTCAAGAAAGTGTAAATAGAAATTTCCATATTCAACATAATAACACCAGTAATGATTCTCATAATCAACCTCCTTATCCAATTTCTTATAATAATCCTCAAGTTGTTCCTCCCGTTCCATTCCTGTCGGTTCAATCTTCATCTCAACAACCATTAATTCATAGACCTATTCGTCATCAAAATCTGGGAAATCAAGCACCAATCACTCCAACTAATGCTAATCAACCATCTTCATTACAACAACAACTGACTCCAGTTAATGCTTCAAGAAGAATCGCATCTTCTCCAAATATTCCTCAATATACGGGTAATAATACTCCTGGAACCCCTACATATAGTGGCGCGACTTCTAATAACAGGCAAGTATCAAATGAAGCAAGAACTAGATCTTTAAATTCATCATCCATGACTTATAATAATCAATCTAGAATGCAACAACTGCAACTGTTACAATTTCAACCTACCAATCAAAGAGTTAATAGTAATTCCTCAACGGCATTAACTACAAGTCCTTTACAACATTCTGGAACTCCAAAATCAAAATCAACTACTTCTATTAGTAGATTAGCATCATCTGGGTCAAGAAGACATAATTCATCATCATCATTAGTAAGTTCTGGTGCGAAATTGGATAGAACTACTTCGAATAGTTCCCAGTTTAAATCTATGACTGGAAATGGTAAATCGATTCCATTATCACAACCATCAGTTTATCCTGCTATTTTATCAAAAGTTGCTAAAGCATTTAAAGATAATATTACATTATCAATTAATAGTAAAAATGGTTTGGTTTGTCATGATTCATTTACAGGTAAAAGTGCAGTTGATATAATTTGTCGTGTTATTAGAACTGGTGATAGAAATTTAGCATTATTATTAGGTAGATCCTTAGATGCTCAACAATTCTTTCATGATGTAACGTATGTGCATAGATTAAGAGATTCAATTCATGAAGTTTATGTATTTAATCCAACTTTTAGTTATATTGATCTTTATGCTGATGAAACTCCTATTCCAGAAGGAGTTGAAGAATCAAATGATGTTTCCTTACATGATTATAAGTATGAACAATCATCACCAGTTCAACCTCCAGTACCACAATTACCTCACTTACAACATTCATTATTGGATAATGGAGATTCTAGTACATCGTTAAGTAATATGAGTGCGACTAATGGAGGTGGTCAAGAATTAACTGAATCTCAAGAAACTGGGGTTAATGGTGTTTTCACAATTTTGACTGATTGTTATTCTCCAACTTGTACAAAATATAGATTATGTTATAGTATTGCTTGTCCAAGAAGATTAGAACAACAAAGACGTCTTAATTTGAAACCTCAAGGTGGATTAAAGAGAGCTGAATCAAGATTATCCTTACATGAACCTGATGAAAATAAACAAACATGGCATGATACTGTTCCTGAATCGGTATTGGCTAAATTAGATTCTGATGAAAAGACAAGACAAGAAGTTATATTTGAATTTATATATACTGAACGTGATTATGTGAAGGATTTAGAATTTGTTACTGATTTTTATATTGTTCCATTAAGAGCACCTACTAGAAATATTATTCCTGCTCATTATAGGGAGAACTTTATCTTATTAGTGTTTGGAGGTATTGGTGAATTATTAAAAGTTGCTAAAACATTTAGTGAAGCATTAACTAGAAGACAACAACAACAAAAACCGGTGGTTGAAGTTATTTGTGATATCTTTTTAGAAAATGTGAGTAGATTTGATCCATTTATTGCTTATGCTGGTAATCACGTTTTTGCTACTCATGAACATGAAAGACAACAAAGAGTTAATGAAAGATATTCTAAGTTTATTGAGGAGACTAAAAGTAGACCTGAATCTAGAAAACAAGATTTAACTTCATTCTTAATTAAAGCTGTTCAAAGACCAGCTAGATATATTTTATTCTTGGAAAAATTACAAAAATATACTAAGGAGGATTCCCCAGATTATAAATATATCATTAAAGTTATTGATCCATTAAAGAAATTATTAGAAAGAATCAATATTCAAACTGGTATTTGTACTGATCGTCAAAAAGTTTTAGAATTACATAAATCATTAGGTGAAAAGATGTTAAAGGAAAGATATAATTTCAAATTATCATTTACTAATAGAATTATTCATCAAGCTAGTTTAACTAGAAAGAGAGATAATGAAAAGATTGAACTTTATTTATTTGAACATGCTCTTTTATTAGTGAAATCCAAAATTCAAAATAAGAGAACCATTAAGAAAGTTTATGAAAAACCAATTTATTTACCATTATTATTCATAAATAGTGGATTTGATATCCCTAATCAAAGATTGATTATGAATCATAGGTATAACAGTTCAATAGTGACTGATAGTGGAATGAAAGCTAAATTTGATAGAGCTGATGCTCTTAATACTAATAATGCCAAATTACAATTGAATTTCCTTGGTATGGGAACCAATGCTGCTCATTTCAGTTTATTTGCATCTGATATTGCGGTTCAAAATCAAATTTTACATCAAGTTTCAAGTCAACAAAAGAAATTGATTGATAAACATGATTTATTTTCAATTTGTAAATTTGAAACTAGAAGATTTCATGGTAATAATAAAATCAATTGTGCTGTACCTTGTTATGGGGGTAAGAAATTACTTTATGGTACTGATACTGGGGTTTGGGTATCAACCGTTAGATCTATCAGTGCCACTTCTAATGAAAAGATTTGTTCTGATCCAACTTTGGTTATTAGTAAAGTTAATGTTACTCAAATTGAAGTTGTGGTTGAATATTCTAAATTATTTATTTTGAGTGATAAAGCATTATTTGAATTTGATTTATCATGCACTGATTCATTAGATCATGTTAAGAATACAAAATCAGGACGTCAAGTTTTAGATCACGTTTCATTCTTTAAGACTGGTATTCATAATTTTAAGATTTTAGTGGCAGCTGCAAAAACCGGAAGTACTCATTCAATTAGTGTATTTGAAGTTACAAGTAATAAACAAAATAAAGGTAAGAGACACGAAAATCCTGATATTAAAGAGATCTCTTTCAATTCAGATCCAATTTCAATTTCATTTTTAAAGACTCAATTATGTATTGGATGTACCAAAGGATTTGAAATCATTTCATTAGAACATAATAAAAAGGAACCAATTTTAGATGAAGCTGATCCATCATTAGATTTTGCTACTCAAAAGGAATCAGTTACTCCATTGGCTATTCATAGATTAGGAAAAGAATTCTTATTATGTTATACTGAATTTGTATTTTTAATTAATAAGAATGGATGGAGATCATATCATGAATGGGGATTCAAATGGGAAGGTATACCTCAGAATGTGGCATTATTTTTCCCATATTTATTATCATTTGAACCAAATTTCATTGAAATTCGTGATTTACATTCTACAAGTTTATTAAGAGCTTTAGTAGGAGAGAATATTCGATTTTTACATTCGAATGAGCATGAAGCATTATATGCTTGTGAAGAGAATGGATATGATATTATTGTATCTATTGATTTCTTGAATTTAAAGCAAAAACCAATTAATTCAAGTGGTACATCAAGTACTAATTCATCCGCTCCATCAACTCCAACTTTAGGCGTTGCTACTAATAATAGTAATAATGCTAATCGATTATCCTCGGCACAAGTATCAGAAAGAAGTGGATCAACTAGTAATTCTGTGAATACTCTAGTTGGTACTATGACACCATCTAATAATAATTTACCTATAAGAAACCTGATTACATCACCACCAACTGTTCAATATTAGAAAACACGATAAGACACGATAAGACACGTCAAGACCATAATTAATTACAAAGTATATATATATGTATGTATATACTGCATTACGTTTAGCTTAGGTTAACTCTAGCATTCTTAAATAATATAAATATCTATTCTTAAATACGATAATTACTGAATTATACTAGACATATCATCATTGTAATTGCTACATTATCGTAGTTGACGGTGGTTGGTTGCAGTTCAGTTCACATGCCTTGAAAGTCGGTACGAACCAGAAAAAAAAGAAAAAAGAAATTCTGAGAAAGAGCAACGAAAAAAAAAAAAATTGATGTTGATGTTGATGTTGTTGATTTTGAATATTTTGGTGTTTTATTGTTTACAATTTCTTCTTTCATTACTTAGTTGAAGTCAGGATACCACGGAACACACGACGAAAGATGAGTTCAATCATTGACATTAGTACTCCTAGTTTTGAAAGACCATTTGGGTTACATCTTTGGCCAATTTTCAGTGCCTTATTTGAAACAGTAGTAGGGTACCCTGCTGATCAATTTGAATTTATATATCATGAAACTTTCTTAGCTAATGGTTTACATTCGATCCTGATTATTATCGTGTATTATATCATTATCTTCGGTGGTAGATACTTGATGAATGAATTCAAAGTGGCTCCATTCAAATTGAATTTCTTATTTCAATTACATAATCTTGTGTTGACTTTGATTTCAGGTAGTTTATTATTATTATGTATTGAACAATTAAGTCCAATTCTTTATAATCATGGATTATTCTTTGCTATTTGTAATGAAAAATCATTCACTCAAAAGTTAGTCACCTTATACTATTTGAATTATTTAACTAAATACTTGGAATTGATTGATACTGTGTTCTTAGTATTAAAAAAGAAGAAGTTATTATTCTTACATACTTATCATCATGGTGCTACTGCTTTATTATGCTATACTCAATTAACCGGCTCTACATCAGTTGAATGGGTTCCAATCACTTTGAATTTAGGTGTTCATGTTGTTATGTATTGGTATTACTTTTTAAGTGCCAGAGGAATTAGAGTCTGGTGGAAAGAATGGGTTACTAGATTTCAAATCATTCAATTTTTAATTGATTTAGTATTTGTTTATTTCGCAACTTATACTCATTATGCCTTTAGATATTTCCAATGGTTGCCTCATGTTGGTGATTGTTATGGTAGTGAATTGGCTGCCTTTTATGGTTATTTGATTTTAACTAGTTATTTGTTATTATTCATTTCATTTTACATCAAGGTTTATAAGACCAAAGGTGATAAGAAACCAGCTGCTGCTACTACTACTACTACTACTGCTCCAACTGAAACCAAGTCTGAAGCTGTTTCTACTGGAGTTAAGAGTCCAAGTAAAGTTTCGAAGAGAAAAGCTTAGATTGATTTATTACTCTATTTATTAGATGAGAGATGAGCTGAACTGATATGATATGATTTGATTTGATGTGATGATTCTCTTTCCTTTCCTTTCCCTACCATTCCATGCTATATATGGAGTTATGACTTGTTGAGTCAGTTTATGCCATATATACGTTAATTTTATACATAGATATTATTTATAGGGTTTATTAGTATTACACTTACCCTGTAAATAGTTTTAATTTTACACCCACAAAATAATAATAATAAATAATATGATCTGTTAATATTACTATTACAACTATAAAATGGGAACAGCTGCGACCGATCACCGACCATGGATTTAAACGGAGGTTAATTTATATATGTTCCTGTATATAACTGGAGGGCAAAGACAACTCTCACAATAAGATTGATCTTCTTTTTTTTGCATCTAAAAAGAGACATTTTTAAACTGCACGACATTCAACGACAACAATTAAAAAAATGACATAAGACCGACCAACGAAAAAAAGGATAATTTTTGGGTTTAAAAATTTGTTGCTAGCCGTTCCGTTACAGAATTTGTCAGTAAAATTGAAATTTAGTGACAGGAGGAAGATATGAAATAGTATGACAGTTGGTTAATGGAATGAAATAGGAGAAAGACAAGGTGTTTCAGTTGATAATGGGCTCACTTGTTATCTGGAATGTGTACCATTGATACTGAACTTTAATGTAGATAAATATATCAAATTAAATTTAATGTGGAAATTGATGATTATATCGTGATGAATTTAATTTTTAAACATTTGCAGTTTGCTCATAAAATCTCGGCGAAATTAAATTTTATTTCCTGTCTCTACCACTAAGACGATTATCAAGAAAACAAACCATTATTTAAATGCTTAAATACGTAATGGAAATAGCAATTTGATTTAGAAAATAAACTTAAACTTACCAAACCATAAACAAGGGAGTAAGCTAAACAAGGAGAAAATAATGTAAACATTACAAATCGGTTTTAGGTTATTAATAGTTGGTGACATGACATCTCCTTTTAAATCCCAAATATTTCTTCCTCCTCCTTCTTTCATCTTCTCTCGTTCCCCCAATTATACTTTTTACTGATTTACAGCCTCTTCCTCGATGATGGCATTTTTAAGTTGACTTTTAACATTTATTCCCATTCCATCCTTTAAGCTCAGACATACTATTTGTTTAAATTTATATTATTCATATTAGTCGGCAATTGATAATATCTATATAATAACTATCATTCTACTGGTTATACCTGAAATACAGTAATTAAAAATAAACAAAGGCACAAGAGGGTTTCCCCACCGTGGGGCTGATTTCAGTATAATTCGCTGTCAGTTCAAGCTATTTTTTTTTTTAACGTAAACCTTACCAGGATTGAATGGATAGGGTACTGTTGAAAATAATTACTAAGAATTTTGTAATTTTGAGCTTTCTTTGCTCATTTTCACAAATTTTAATTCTTTTTTTTAAAATAAAAAATTGATGGAGTTACCGCTCATTAATCGGAGATTATTTTCTCTAAGCAAAAACCGAACTGTACCGAGTCCTATTCGTTGATAAATTTAACTGAGAATCTCAAGTTCATATACCTGATATATAACATCATCATTGATCATAGATATTCCATTACTATTCTCCGAGCAGTATATAGATAATGTACTCCATATAAATTATCTTATTAATTTCGACCTCCCTCCAGACTGAAAACTACCCGCTGAGCTTTTTTTCTCACCGAAACATTTAAAAATTAAAATTATTTCTTACGCTTAGGTAAGTACCCCTATTCCTGATATCAAGGGTTAAAGTATGAGATCTTTTTTTTTTTAAATACTGCGACTGTTGACACCTGTCTTAAACCAATGTTTATCAATTATTAATTAATTTAAAATTAGTACTGCCCTTCTTCTTCTTCTTCTAATTTCATATTAGAGATTAATAAAATTAGTCTTATTAGAGAGATCGTCCACTAATTTAATCTATCAGCAACCCAAGATACATGGTTGGCATTATTACATCACCATAGATAAATAGGATAGCCTATCAGGTGTATTATATATCATATAATACTGAACAGATGTATATTCTCTTTTGCCGATATTACTAATAATCACCGAACTTTATTATGATATAATTAAAAAAAACTCGAATATAATATAATTCTGATACAATTTTTATCTCGTAGCACCAAACGGCTGATACGGACGCTAATTAACCCCCCAAGTGTCGCGCCGTGAGGTCCGTAAGCAAAAGAGAAATAGAAAAATTCAGCGACATTTTCTGCACGACGACATCTTCTTTATTATTCACCAAAAGCGCGATTATTGATACTACTTATGATTATGACCGAACCGATTACGACATTTTGCGGCTGTAATATTTCTTTTTTTCACTATTTAGGAGGAATAAAAATTAATTTCTCGTTTAGACATCCGGATCCGTTCTCTAAAGCATAAAAGACTATTGCTGCACACCCATTTTATCAGGATCTTATTTACGATAATTTTGTTGAAGCACCAAATTCCAAATTAAGAAACGCAGACAGACAGACAGACAAAAAAGAAAAATCGGTTTGACATAATTTGGGCTGATTTTATATATAAGCTAATTTTTCTCCATAATTTATAAATTTGAATTTATAATATTTTGCAAAAGTCATTCTATTATTATCGATAATTATATAAGTTCATCTCATATCCATCTTCAATACCCTTATGTCAAGATGAACTCATTATTATCCTATCATTACCCTCTTCCACAACAACAATCATCACAACCTAATAATGGATCTGATCCTAGTGGAAATGCTTCCGCAAACTTAAGCGGCGGTGCTTACAATTCCACTTCGACCTCAAATTCACCATTTATTAATAATACTAATAATACTAAATTACCTTCGATTCATTCATTAGCTTTACCAACTAATGTCCCAACTATACCTACCAATCATCATATTCAACAATCATCAGCAGTTATGTTACCTCCTTTATTAGCAGCAGGTAGAACCGGTACTTCTCCTATAAATTCTTCATTATCATATTCGCCATCATACACGACCAGCAATAATTCTAATAATAGTACGACCACTACAACTGCAAATGGTATTAATACAAGTTCTATTAGTCCAATAAGTTCACCAAATTATTATCAAGAAAGTTATAGATCTTCATTTGTTGATCAAATCCAAACTCAACATCCTCAACCACAGTCTCACCCTCAACTACAAAGATCATCTATTCTGGTTATTCCACCTAACCAAGTTGCAAGTCCATTATCTTCAAGTAATTCTACTATTTCATCCAATGATGAATCAGATAGTAATACTGAATCAGTCACATCATCATCCACAACTTCGTCGATTAATGGAGGAGTTAATAAAAAATGGAAACCAAGAAAGAAGAGACAATGCCCTGAATGTAAATTATACTTTTCAAATTTAGCCACTCATAAATCAACTCATTTAAAACCGACTTCGAGACCTCATATTTGTAAATATTGTAATCGAGGATTTGCTAGATCAAATGATCTTTTCCGTCATGTTAAATGTCATTGGAAAGAAATTGGTAGTGATAAAGGTCAATTCAAATGTCCATTTAAACAAATGGAAGATCCATCTACATCAGAAGTTAAGGTCGAGCATGAACATTCTCATCATGAAGAAATCGAAGATAGAGGTGTCAGTGTTGATGATAATTGTTGTCATCAAACTGGTATTTTCTCAAGATGTGATACTTTTAAGAATCATTTAAAGGCCATTCATTTCCAATATCCTAATGGAACTAAAAAGGATCAAAGAACTAAAGTGGCAGGGAAATGTAGAATGTGTCAAATTGAATTCAAGAATGTTGATGATTGGTTATCGAATCATATTGAAAAGAATCAATGTCCTTATGCTGTTAATGTATTATCAAAAGAGTAAAGAAAAATTAAAAAGGTTTTAATTCGTTCATATTGTTGAGAAGTTTGTGATGAAGGTTTGTTATTTATTGGGTGTTTAGATTATTGTTATATCCCTTATGGTTTGAGGTTTTATCAACTTGTTTATATTATTGTTGCTGTTTTTATATTTATTGTTTGTGCTTTTGGTCTTTTAAAATTCTTGACTTTCAACAATTATGAACCTTTTTTTATCGTTATTATTATTATTATTATTATTGTATAGATTTTTGTTATTATTATTATTTTATTTAGAATGACTTATTCATTTTAATGGGGTACGAATTAAAGTAGTTATGGATATAATGTATATTACTTTATCAAATTAATCATTAATTTTTATTTACGATTCGAGTATTAAAGACTGTTCCCAGATAAGAAGTCTTAATCAATATTTTTTAATCAATGTTAACAACATGAAGTCAATGAGTGGGAACTGAAACATGGTTCAAAGACCGAACACCACAATCACATCATATGGTTCCATTGACATGACTGTTAACCATGAAACTGGACCCCAGATAAGCGCTTAGTAAGTTGATAATCAATTTCGGTATTGATAAATCCTTTACGGGAGAGAGAGAGAGAGAGTGAGACAAAGCTTCCCTACGTTAAAAAAAAGTTAACGGATAACTGCCAAAATAATTTTTCTATTTAGGCGGAATTTATGACTTATAGGGATAAAATAATTCTAAATTATTCATCAATTAGCGCTTACATAATGATGTGAAATCCTCAGTAAAAATAGTTTTCTAATGGCAAATTAATTTAGAGAGTGAGAAAGGGACGAGAAATTGTAAGCTCAGTAGCGAGAATTATTTCCGCCGCCCGTTTTAAAATGAAGGGGAATTAAGAAAATCTCGGTACTGAGTTGCAATAAATTAATTAGTTGTTAGTTGATGTCGCAGTAGCAGCGGTTGATGCGGCGTAGCAAGACAACTTTTGTTCGATCGTTCGTTCATTCTCAACTAAAAATTACCAAAAGAAAAAAACAAATTAAAGTTCTGATATTTACGCAAAATTCTAGCAAGAAGTCTTTCATATCAGGATCTTCAAATTTTAGTGAGATAAAAATGTGAATCTGAGTGTGATGCGGTGATGAGCGGTGTGGACAAATTTATCCGAGAAACTAGCTGGATTAAAAGAAATACTATAAAGTAATTAGACCTGGAATTGAAACTTTGGTCGATCATCTTGCCTTAGTTTGCTTAATAAAAATGATTTCTATAATAACAACTCCTATTTTAGTATGTATATAAAACTAAAGTTTTAGTTTTACATAGATAAATAATTAAGTTCAGGAATATGGGTCGTAGTTATGCATTCTTGGTCCCACTAACTGAACCTTAAATACCGACATCTCTTGACATTTTTTAACATGCTGCGGTAAGTCACATGGTTTTATCTTGCCTGAGGCAGCGCAGTTCAGCGGGTTTAAACGCGCTAAAATATTTTAAATTTCTTATAACCATTGGTTACCTCCCTATTTAGTACCACATAACACTTTTTCAACTTTTAAAGTAACGATTTTGAAGTTGGAAGTTGCTATATGGTTTGTATAAACTTTACCCGAGCTATCTCAGACTTATAAAATTTGTTGGTTCTTTTTTTGGATTTACTATAGACTAATTTTTGCATCTGAATTCATTCTTTATCATTCCATAAAACCAGACAATTATTCCTTTAAATCAGACATTTTCAATTGATCTGTCCCTCCATCATACCCTCCACCAAAACACCAATATGATTAAAACTGTTGCGAAATATCTATTCATTGCATTCCTTATATCTACCCACAAGACTTTACCGTTTGCTTATTGTGTTCGATTCTACTATCAAGTATTCAGACAATGGTACTTGACAAGATCATCATACATATCAAATGGGAAAAAGAATACTAATCATTTACCAAAGGGTATATTCTCATGGGTAACTCTTGATACTAGAGTTTCACCTTTGGAATTGGATATGTATTTACATAAATCAAATTCAACTTACTTTTTAGATTTAGATATAGCTAGAACTAAATTACTTACAAAAGTATTCCAAAATACTTGGTGGAATCATTATGATAATATTTATAATGAATATAAATCGGTCAGTTTTGGTAATATCCCTTATGCCCCAATTGCAACTGTTAAATGTTTCTTTAAAAAGGAATTGAAATTATATCAACCTTTCCAAATCAAATCAAGAGTTTTCGCTTGGGATTCAAAATGGTTATTTGTCATTTCAAAGTTCATTACTACTTATAAAGGGGAAGAAAAGATTCATGCTATTGCCTTGACTAAGTATGTATTCAAAAAGAATGGTAGAATTACCATAAAACCTACAGAAATGATCAAAGAAGGTGGTTTCCTTAATGATGATGTGTTAAAGCAAAACAATATAAATTATCAATTGGTAACCCACTTAGTATCAACTGAAAACTTAGAAGAATTATTATAGACCTATTATTTCTTACGAAATCATACATAGAGTAATTTTCATTTATATATATATAACTTAATTTATTATTTAATAATATAACTTATTTTTAATCTAATATACAATAATACTTAACTATTCTAAGCTAAACCAAATCCTTCATGACCTTCAGTAATAGCTAATAATAATGAACCTCTTAAAGTTTCATAACTTTCATAAGCAGGTAAATCAATTTGATTGAAACATGTATGGGAAGAAGGTAATCTTTCAATCGAACCATAATCTCTATGAATACTGAATTTACATGTACCATCGGCTCCACTTAATTCTTTAAATCCATTTAAGGGAACTTTAGATGTACCGGTTGCAAATTGTAATAGTTTGGCTCGTTCTTCATTATCAAACGATTTAACTGCTCTCCAGAACCATTGAATTTGAAGTGATGAGGCGGAATAATTGTTATACATGGTATGTTGTTGCCAATCAATCACATTAATATCAGGTAATCCTGATATCAATAATTCCAATTCTTGTTCATCAAAAATTGAAATTAAATCCTTAGGAATGATTTCATGGAAACCAATTAAGAAATTATTCATTTGTTCAATGACTGAAGTTTGCAATCTATATTCAACCACTTTTTTAACATACTCATGTTTGTTTAATTCAGTAACTGGGATATTTCTACCATCAGGAATTAAATCAATAATCTTATGTTCACCATAATCATCAGTTTCAACAGAAAAATCTTCAGTAATAACATCAGTAATATCATTTTCTAACATCCACATTAACGATTTGAAATATTCTAGATCCAATGTTTCCATATCTTTAAGACTAACAGGTCTTCCTAAGATTCTCTTATAAACTGCTCTTGAAAAATGACAATCTAAATAACTACCATCAAATATAGCCTTACCAATGATTCTACCAATAAATTTGAAGAATGATAAATGCTCAGGATTAATATACGAAGTTCTATTCGGATGGAAAGTAGTTTCATCAGATGCAACCGGAGTAAATAAAGCATAATCAGGATTAAACATTTGTCTCGATAATACTTGATACCATTCTCTAGTAACCCCACCAGCATCAACTCCTGCTTCTCCCTTGAAATTGATTTCTAATTTGGATTTTTTGAATTCTTCACTTGATTTAAAGAATAATGATCTATAACTATCTAAAAAGACTTGTTCTCTTCTGATATTAATCGATAATTTAGAAACTTCATTCTTAGAAATATGTAATTTCCTATCAAAGTAATTCTTCTTATTATCAAATTCTAATACTCGAGGATTCTTAACCAACATTCCGAAAGGTCCACTCATTAAATTAGGATTAATTCTAACCATTTGATTTAAAATCTTCTTATGTTCATCTGTAAATGAAAAAAATAAACTTTCAATTGGTTCTTTACTAAAATCAATTCTTCTAGCTTCATATTTCATAACCACATCTTTACTTAAATCTTTAACCTTACTATGTTTACATACCACCATCAATGCTTCGATTAATGGTAATAATGCAGTGGCAACATTACTAGATTCAGTCTTTTCTTGTAAGATCCTTAAACAATCACTTAAAGCATCCCATAAGTTACCCAATGCTAATTTCTTGTATAACCCAGTCAATTCTTCAATTTCATCAACATCACTGACATTATCTTTAGGCGAAAGCACTTGTTCTTCTTCCTTTTCTTTTGATTCATACATATAATCTAATGCTGTTAAAATCCTTAATAGTTTCGATTGATCAGACAGAGCAGCACTAAATTTAGATATCGATGTATTATTTTCAAGCACAGCCGGATCTTGTTCACTCTTCAATTCTTTTGATAATAATTGTAAATCTTCAATGATGGAATGACCTAAGGTTGTAGCTTGTTCTGATAATTCTAATGAAAATATAGTTTGAGCATTCGGCAATACTGATAAGTTTTGCATGGCACTGATGGTTCTTCTAAATGTAGCATTAGAACATTCATTAGCTGTCAATATTTGAATCAATTGACGATAATTATTATTAGGAATTATAGGAGCCACAAAAGATTTACCTTGACGTTTACTTAAAACTGGTAATAATTTGGTAGAAATTTCCATGACTCGAGCTAAGATATCCATAAACGTTTGATCATTTTTAAGTAAGTTATTTTCAAGTAATTTTAATAAATAATTGATTGGAAATTTACTGTCTCTAGAACTTGAACCCTTAGCCTTTTTGGAAATAATAGGATTATCATGTTCACTTAAAAGTAAATATCTTAAATGAATATTTCTTTCCAATATAAAATCCAAAGCTTCAATGATTTGTATGCTAACAAAAAGGGTGGTACATCCTAAAGGTAATTTGAATGACTTCTTAGAATCCTTTTGATCGTTGCCAACATTTCCTAATGCTTTGAAACATATAACAGAATAAATCTTTTCGATCGATTTTTGATTACTTAAACCTTCGTGAACTATAGCAATAATTAAATTCAAAAATTCCATTCTACTTTGCTTGTTACGACAAATACATTCTAATGTAGAATAAACAGATTGACGATGACTAGCAGTCAAAGGAGCAAATAGAAGTCTGACAAGAGAGTAAACACCATGTTTTTCCAACAAAGGTGTAAAAAGAACTTTCTTTGGTCTGACATCCTTTGGTTTTTCTTTTTCAACTCCGTCACTTTCTTCTTCCGGTTGTTCGTCAAGATCTTCATCAAACAGACCATCATCAAATGCAATCTCTCCAAAAGTTTCTTGTTGCAAGATTTCTTCTCTTATCTGATCTGGTAATGCAGCTAAGAAATCAGGATCAATTTCACGAGTATCAGCACCAGTACGAGCAGCGTTTGCTCTTCTTTCACGAACATGCTGGGTGAACACTTCTTCTCTCATATCATCTGGTAATGCTTCAAAAAATTCTGGATCGATATCCGTGCCACTGATATCGACTTCTCGTTCACCTATACGTACCATGACTGGTTCGCGATCTTCAGCAGGCTCTCCGAAACTTTCTTCCGCTTCTCTTTCTTTGGCTTCTTGTTCTCTCTTTAACCTTTCTTCTTCCTTCTTCTTTTGTAAACGTTCTTCCTTTTCCTGTCTAGCCCTGTCGGCGTCATGCTTCTTTTTCTTATATAATTCAAAACTATCTTCTTCGATTCTATTCACAATAGCCAGTACTACTCTTAAAGCTAGTTCATCCTTTTCATATGGATAAAAGAGTCTCATAGTTTCTATCCATCTCTCTCTAGTTGATTGAAGTTTATATATATTATTTGTAGAACCAGGAAATCTGTGAATATCATGACGATTCAAAATACTTTCGAAGACTCTTCCAAGTGAATTTCTTCCATTTAAAGCGTGTTCATTACCATTTATTTCAATGGAAGCACGTATACCTCCCAAACTATCCAACAAGACAGCTAAGGCTGGAGTGGCTCTTCTTAAACTAGAAGAACCGAAAAGACTGTTGGATCTTTCTCTGTTAGAAGTTACATTACTAAAATCCAAAGAGATTTCAGAATTGAGATCTTCATCTGAGTCTTCATTTGATTCTAAAAATGAGGTAGCAGTATCTCTCCTAGTTCTATTATTTCTATGATTGATTTCATTATCCACATCTTCTTGATCCATTTCTTCATAATCATGCATTGATCGTATAGCTCCCAAAAAGGCTTCATCGTCACCATGTGCATCATAAAATTCTCCAGATGTACCGTAACGTAATTCTTCAGGATCTAAATCAAGTTCATCTATAATTTCTATATCGTCGGCGCTGTCTGAATCATCGTGAGAATCTGAATCTTCTGAATCATCAATATCTATGGTAAAACCTTCAATATCATCTTCATCGTCGTCTTCATCTCTATCATCTTCGTTATCTTCATCGATTATTCGACGATCATCAGCATAATTATCCTCATCCACGTTTTCGTCGTCAAGTTCATCAACTTCTTCTAACATTTCATCATCGTCTTCATCATCTTCATCATCTAAATCTTCTAAGTCTGAAAGTCCAGAGGAACCGTCATCTGAGATGTCTTCTTCTGAAAGTAAAACCTCTAATGGACCATCATCTTGATAGAAATCCAGTTCCTCTTCTTCACTATCAAATTCTGCATCATACATTCCTAAAGTGGAATTTCTAAATAAATCTGGAGTTTCGTCACGAATATCTTCATCTTCATCTTCAGGCACTATATCTTCTTCTTCTTTATCTCCTTGATGCTCTTCTCCAAACTGTTCTTGGAAACGTGTCTTGATTCTACCTAGGATAGTAATTGGTTTTAATGCGGATTTCACTATCTTTTCAATTTCAGGGAAGTTCAAATCAAGTCCAGCAAGAATATTTGCCAAAAGTGATGGAACACCTCTGTCTGAAAATGCCTTTCCAATATAAAATTGATCAAACTTTACTGCAGTTTTATTGGTTAACAGTATACTTTGCAAGAAGTCGGATGATAAAACGACTCCACACAATTCAAAAATGTCAAATAATTTAGAATATCTATGAATAACCAAAGACTGTTGGGTTATAGTATCCTTCAAAATTCTGTTAACAATATCAACGAAATACCTTCTTATGAAAGCCATGTCAATGTCTTCTTTCTTTGGATCTGGAATCTCTTCATCGGATAGAGGAGTTGCAAGGAGACAGAAAATAGCAAGCTTTGCAAGTTGAGAAACTTGGTTACGTCTTTCATATTCAGCACCACTAGCATTCTCTAACAGTTTAGTTTGGATAAGTTGATAAATGAAAAAATTCAAAGCTGTAGGTTTTAATCTTGCATCTGGCAGCTTTTTCTTGGAAAATGTTATGAACTCGAGCTTACACTGTTTATACGAAGCAAGAAGCTCAATTATTGCGCTAAGGATAAAAATAGCATACGAATAAGACTGATCTTCGAATACTTTGGATTTATCTTTTTTGTCTGACAAAGCAATCTCATTTTGCTCCTCCGTAAATTGTAACCACAAACCTGACTTGATAATAGACATCAATTCGCTTATAAGTGTATGCATAATGCCACTCGAATCTATCCTCTTTGATTGAGCGTTATCTTCATTCGTTATACTTTCTGCTTCAGTCATTATAACATCAGCCAGTTCATTCTTAGACTTAACCCTTTCAACTTGCATTCTTCCAAAAACAGTCTGTCCACCATTATAATCCTCGAGCCTTACGTCTTTTGAGAACAGATCTACGTAAACTTGAGAATCTCTAAAAATTAACGGAACATGCTCCTTTAAACATGATTTTAAGTCTCGAGATCTTGTTGGTTGGAATTGATTCGCAATTTCAGCTGTAAAATAAGTATGTAAGACATTGGTTGATTCAAAACATCTTCTAAGTAATATAATCATTATTGAATTAAAATTTGGAAATGTCTCATAAAACAGTTCATGATCTCTTCCATAAACAAGTATCGATTGGAATAACTGTGAAGAACCTATAGCTGAAGCTCTACTCGAATCGCTAGAAAATAATAGAAGCACTCTAGCAGCATGATAATGAACTGTTCCATTAGAGAATAATTTTCTGTTCAAATCTATTGTGTTCAATACTGTATCAAAAAGTTGTTCTTTGTTCTCTTCTGACATGATATAAGGTAAGTTAGGACCATGGAATTGTATGTCTTCGTGATCTGTAACTTCTGGTTGTGGGATTTCGCAATACACTAACATCTGCTCTATAATTGAAAGCGAATGTCCAAGGAATTCGTCTTCAAATTTCTCAAGTCTGCTGATTTTCTCAACGAATAATATTCTGAACTTATCAAACACTGAAGCATTAGCCCTAGCACATCTTTCATTTTTTAGAAGTTGTCCCAAAATGGAAATTGTTGCTTTTCTAGTTCTAGTCAGAGCTCGATCATCAAGTGCTCCTACCAATTTGTCAAACACCGACTTTACTATATCTTTCGAATCAACATAAATTAATAGAAACATTTCCGTTATAACAGATATAGCCTTTGGGTAAATTGTAGCAAAATCGATCCATTCGGATACGAATACTTCTTTTTCGGAAAGTCTAAAATATCTAAGCTCACCAGATGATCTATAATGTACTGATCTAGCAGTCCACAAATAATCAATGTCTGAAGATGCAATTTCTCTAGCATATCCCTCCCATTCTTCAGAAGTTATATTCATTTGAGCACAAACATTCCAATTATTTTTTGAAATATTTCTAATATCATCCTCATGTCTAAAATAATGTTCAGCCTGCGACAGTGTCATACCTAACAGTGTCAACAAATTCACTTGATTTATTGGAGGTGAAACATTTTCGGCTGTTAAAGGAACAAACTCAGCATCAGCATATTCCTTCTTACCCAAATACACATTCAACCCAATCTTCACAATTTGCTCGATAATTGGAGTCGGCATGGTCATATAGATATCAGTAAATGGTTCCTCTTTAAGAGATGAATATGACCCTATGATATATTTAATAAGATCAGCTGAAACCAATCTTATCTGTATTAATAATGCTGAGGTAATCTTATTTTCAGCATCCTTTTCAAACGATTTATGAAAGAAAAGTTTGGTGTTGGGTATGTTCGCAAAGCTATCACTATTAACAGCTTTTGTAAAAATAGACAAGACTTGGCTCAAAGCGTTTTTCAGTATACTTCCATCGCTTGAACTAATATATTTCATACCCTCTCCTGAATTGGCTATACCCACGGGTAATGTTAAAAAGTGTTTCCAAATTTGTTCTGCAAAAGTCTTCAACTTATGGAAAAAATCTTCTTGGAAAAGAGCAAGAGTCAATGGAGTATGAAGGTATGATTTACCTCTTTCGGAATGAGACATTACGTACACAGAAATGTTTGAAAATGCAAGAATATAACATCTTAAAAGGTAAGCATCAACAAACTTTCTATCTAAAGCTTGAGAAAGTGCCTTTCCAATTTCAAGAGTTATACTTACTGCACCTCGTCTCCAAGTTATTTGACCATAATCATGTCTCTTATGCATGCATAATCTTGATGATGCTGAAAATATTTTGGAAATACTAGTTTGTAAATGAGTACTGAGAAATCTTAATTGTAAGGTATTCTTAAACTTGGATCCGAATTCTAAATTAGGATAAATTCTGGAAGTGTCTTCGTCGTCACTGTTTCTAGGTCCAAGAACTTGTAAAGGGGGATGGTTACTGTTTATATCCAACTGTGGACGGGATTCTTTTTCAACAACTGGTGGACCTCTAGAACGTAAGATAGATCCTTCCACGATACTTCTTTCCAATAAAAGGCATAATGATGTAAATATTCCTTTATCAACAAATAATGGAACCATTTGTTGAACTCTTTCATGAAACATCATACCTGAATTAATATAAGTCAGTGATAAAACTTTTAATAATGTATTGAGGACATTTAACTCACTCAAGAACTTTGTACCAGCTACATCATCATCAGAAAATTTCATAAAGAATGAACTATCATTATCATTGAACTTCAAATATTCTTGAATTGTGGTACTTTGAAGTCTAGTTGATATTGCATTGACTATGAGGGGTAAACCATATACTCTATTTTCATCATCGAAAAATTTTAATATGCCAGTAAGTTGATCAAATCCATTTGACATAATGTAATCGAAAGGAGCATCTTCCAATTCAAGGAATGATAACCATACTTCGAAATCAACTATTTCAATAACGGCTGATCCCCATTGACTATCTTGAATCAAACCACCAAGAAAAAAGTATAAATTATCGTATGAAAATGCAATGTCGGAAAGTTCCCAGCTATCAATTGGTTCACCTTCATCATCTTCTATATCCTCCAAGTATTCTTCGTAAAATGCTTTTCCTGTGGTGCTTTTATAGAATTTTAATGCATTTAAAGGTGACTCTTTTATAAATCTTGATAAAAGTGTTTTCATGGCAGAGAGCACAACCGGTTTCAAAGATGTATGATGTCTACCTAATTCATCAAACGAACTTCCAAGACTAGTTGACATATCAGATTTAACCAATTGTTTGGCAAATTTTGGATTAATTAAGGATAACATATATGTTTCTATAGTTTTCTTTTCTAATACTTTTTTCATACCATCTTTGTTTAAACAAATTGCACCGATAACTTCTGGAAGTGACATAAGCAAATTGGCTGATGGTAAGAATAAATCATCATAATTATTCAAGATAGTATCTATTACACCAGCTTCGTTCAAGATGGAAAATGCAGTTGGTTCATTATGAATGATGTAAAACACACAATCTAAGGTGAGGGACAAGATTGATGCTCCGAATGTATGAGGATTAAGAATAATTTTATTGAAACTTGACAATAATGGTGAATCAAATAAGTTTCTTAATCTATCTCCAAAATCACTTTGAATTAAATCAGAAACCAATTTAACTAAATCTTTAATATAGGTAGATTGTTTATGAGTGATATTATAATAAACTGTAATTTCAGTAGGTGGTCCACCTTCAAAGTCAATATTCTCTAATGCAAAATCAACTTCATACTTAATCGTTTCTATTAATAAATTAAACCCATTTTTATCCGCAAATTCATCAAACTGTTGGGGAACAGTACCAAGATAAGAAGCAGTAGTATGAACTGCTATCGAACAGGTACTTCTATAATTAGTCCTCAAGTTAAAGAAAGACAATAAATCACCTAAAATACCACCTGCAGTTAATCTAGGTGTTAATGCTCTTGTACTTATTAAGGTTCCAATCATTGAGAAAAAGCTTCTTGCGGCTAATTCTGAAAATTCGGGATCATTATCTTTCACTTGTCTGTTTATATGTCTTAAGATTTGGTATAATAATCCATGACTTACATTACCATTCAAACACCTTATGATATCACTTCCCCATGACTTTTTAAGAGCAATATACTCTAATGATTTAGTAGCAGCGATTAAGGTTTGTTCATTCATTCTGGGATAATTTTCAGGATTAATCATATCAACCAAGAATGTGAAAATATAAGGTTCTGCTTCAAATAATCTTGTAGATGTGAAATGAGCTTGACACATACAACTAACAAAACCAACAGCATAACATTTCATTTGTAAGAGCCTTATTCTTTCATTCATGGCTGCTTCAGATTTGGAATTGAACGCCTTAGCGATATGAGCTACTAATGCAAATTCGAACCATGATTCCTTAGGAATGGTTTCACCACCTTTATCGAGAATTTGTTGTAATGATAATTTCTTCACTACATCTTCAGTTAATGAAAAAGTATGGAGTCCTTCACTTTGGATTTGTTTTTCACCTTTCTTTGGAGATTTGGATTTTGAATCTTCTTTTGGTAATGATCTGAAATATGAAAAGTTTATTTGTTTCCATTTGGAAGGATACTTCTTATTTGAAGTGATGGTATCTATCCAACTGAAATGATCCCCTATTACAACTGGTTTATCTGCATCTGGACCATCGTCATCTTGGATATGTTTGGAAAAATTAGGTGGCACAGTGGGAGGATATGATTTTGCCATGGTTAATACATGATTCTTAGCTGATTTTGGAGCAGCATATTTCTTGGATTCAGTTTCACAATACTTTTCAGCAAGTAAGTTAGCTACTTTCAAAGCAGCTAATTTAACTTCAAAACTAGTCGCTTTCAATAATGCATAAACTCGATCTGAACTTGAATATAATTTCTTATCGGTAGAATGTTCAAGTAAATTAACGGTGAAATTAAGACAACTGATAGTGAATGAAGCATGTTCATCATCGAATACTATTAACTTGGGATATTCATCATCTAAACCATATTCATATATATAGAAGGCTAAAATTTGATCAATTCGATTCAAAACCGGAACCCAATGGATTAAATCACCTTTTGGTTCATCGGCATTACATCGTTGATCAAGCATAGCTATGAATTCATCCTGTTCAACCTTCATCATCTCATCAATTGCCACCTTCAACGCAGGCGGAATATCCGAACTATATCTATTACTCATGATTCAATCCACGTTATTTCATAAATATGACTGAAAAGCTAAAAAAAGAACAGGAACCCTAGTTGGTCGTCAATGATTGATACTTTGAGATGGAAAAATGTATGTAAATTACGATAAGCAAATGATGGATCAGATTCAAGGACAATTGAAGATTATAAGAATGATTCAAATGATCTTCAACAGCGTTTGAATTGATTGCTATATTGATATAATTGAAGATTGGTTATACCTGTATTGTCATTTGTAAGATGGCAGTTTTTTTTTGCTTTAATTAGATCCTAAAATCCACACCAGAAAATATATGCAGGAAGGAGGTCTTTTTAAAAAGGTACAAATTTTTTACATAGATGAAATATTTACAACAAAGGGTTTCAAAACAGTAATAAGGTCTGATGTCAAATGGGAAGAGGAGTCTAACTAATGAGACTGGTGATTCAAAGAGACCGAAATTAAGTGGAATACCCCAAGCTACGTTAGAAAGAGCGAAAGCTAGATTGGAACAACGAAGATTAAAGGAACAAGAACAAGAAGATCATAAAAATGGCACCAAATTAGAAGCAGCCAAAGGAGGGTTGAATACTGAAATACATCCATTATTAAGGAGTGGTATAGCGAATACTCCTGTCATACCGAAGAATTTCAACCCTCTTAAACAAAATGCCAGGAAAATATTTGATTCATCTGCTATGAATCCATATTTAGATCAATCAGCTGCTGTTTCCCAATTCAAACCAAGATCATTAACCTTCAATCCTAAGGGTAAATATATTGAACAAGCTAATCGATTACGAGAAAAGATCAAACAAGAAGAAGAAGAGAAACGGAAAATTGAAGAAAAGAAATCAAAAGGGCTAACGGCTGATGAGAATTTAGGTGAACATTTATATAAATCTCAATTCCCTCCCCCGGTTGAATGGTGGGATCAACCATATCTTCGAGATAGAAGTTATGAGTTCATTGATAATCTTGATCGTGTAAACATGGAGAATGAGAATCAAATGGTTTCAATCTATATCCAGCATCCGATTTTAATTCCTGCTCCATGGTTGAAACATGGGGCTGAACAGAAAGCGATGATGTTAACTAAGAAAGAAATGAAAAGAATAAGAAAAAACGATAGACAAGACAAGTTAAAAGATAAACAAGATAGAATCAAATTAGGATTAGATCCGGCACCTGCTCCTAAAGTGAAATTATCCAATTTAATGAATGTATTGACCAATGAAGCTATTAAAGATCCAACTAGTATTGAAATGAGAGTTAAACAAGAAATGGAAGAGAGACTTCAAAAACATTTACAACAGAATGAAGAACGACAATTAACTAAAGAAGAAAGACATGAAAAGATTCAACGACAACATGAAAAAGATGTTCAAAAGGGATATTTTACCTTAGTGTTCAAAATCAAAAAGTTGATTAATCCTCAACATAAATATAAAATTGATATTAATGCCAAACAGAATGATTTAGTTGGTATTTGTCTTGAGAATCCTCGTTTTAATTTGGTCGTAGTAGAAGGAGGAGAAAAGAGTATTAAACTATATAAGAAATTAATGATGAATCGAATCAATTGGCAAGAAAATGTCCGAGCTAAAGATGATACATCTGATGAACCATTAGCTGATCTTTCCGATAATAGTTGTGAAATAGTATGGGAAGGTCAATTAAAACAGTTTAATTTTCAAAAATGGAGTTTAATGTATTCATCAAATGATGATGAAGCAATTGATGTACTTCAAAGATTTAAGCTCGAGAATTATTGGAGACAGACTATTGCTTTAGATAAGTAGAATAGTAATGTAATGTAATATAATGTAATATAGTATAAAGTGAACTTTTTATATATAAATATGTCGCGCACAAAAATATGAAAATGTCTTAATTTGCTTCAACCCCATTCGCAGACAACCAAATAAATTGAAAATTGATGATGTTGGTTGGCAAATACTGTTTATAAGGTACTAACTATCCCCATTGAATAATTAATAAGGATGGCTGCCGCTTATACTATTTTTGGTAGACAAGTACCAGCTCATATAGTATGTTCTTAACTTATTTTTATTTCATTGCATTTTGTCAAGTTTAGGGGAGCGTATTTTTACTAACCATTTTTCAGCTTTCAATCGCAACTTTAGGTTCTGTTGCAGCTATTGTAGCATGGCCAAGAGCTCCAAAGGCCCCAGTTGTTACTCCAGCTGTTTCTACTACTACTGCTCCAGCTGTCAAAGAAGATGACTTTGATTTAGAAAAGTTCATCAAGTAAGTATATTTTTTCATTTTAATAATCGCTCGTTTGCCGATTTCCATGTCCGATCCCGGGTACTAACAAATATATTGTAGTGATCTTTCTAAAGAAGAATCTAAATAATTTGAAGTTAGAGATCTATAGATAGACTTGACCATAAGGTCAATTGCACGTTATATAATGATATATCTGATATATTCAATACATATTTAAAAAAGTTTTAGTTATACTGAGTTTTAATGTGGGAGGGAGGGGGAGAGTGGCGTACCCTTAATGTGTAGTTTATGGTTTAATGGCATCAATTATTATGTGATGCCAGTTTTAAAAGTAGATTTACTAATAACCAACAAACTTCTTCTTACGATAGGAAATATCGGGGTTAATTATATTGTAATTTATTTCTGGTCTATCGCAGTTATTATGATATAGTAAGAAACTAAGTTGTTTATATCATACTCGTTTAGGTCAATGGATCTACATTCCATAAACAATAATTGATTACATATTCAAGTCTGATGATGGCATTAGTTATAGATTTATAGTGTGGATGTATAAAATGAATGTCACCAAGGGTTATCATCATATCGATGACAAATTGCAAAATGAGGTAAAACATAAATATAAATAAACCAGAAGTAGATATTTAATAAGATTGAAGATATCATACCAAATTAGGTAATAGCAACATAAATCCTGTATGGATATATAATTTATGTTTTCAAGTTTCCATTTAGAGAGATAGTTGCAGTAATTACTAAATTCAGTCGCGTATAATAACAAATCAAAATTTCATTTCATCACTACACGTCTAAATAGAATAAGGGAAAGACGTGGACGTGTATAACCTATAGTTTATACAGTATAATGATATATCTAAACAGCAAATGGTACTAATGGATACATAATGAACACCGATACGGGATTAGAATGGACTTCTCCAAGACTATTTAGTATAGATCTGGTGTTCTATTTTTATTGAAAGTTGTTCGATAATGCAACACATTAAATGATCTTGATTAGTTATAGTAAATGGGTGTTGTTGTTGTTGTTGTTTAACTTTTGAACACGATACACGTCTTTAATAAATAAATAACGCGTGTCGTGTTTGATGGTCAAAACGTAAACAAACACCATAAACTATAAACAAATGGATGGATGGACGATTACTAAACACGCGTATGATGATCATAATGATGATAATGATGATTATGGGTGAAGATCACAATAGTTAAAGTATATAATAACCATTACTAACACAAAGTGTCTCCTCTTTCTGGCGTTGGCTTTGTTGATGTTTTCCATTTTTTATGTAATTTGATCTCAACCTCTTCTTCCACCATAATAAAATTTTCTCTCTCTCTGTCACAACAATCGCGTGAACGCGTATACAATATAAAATAAAACTGATTTCCACCATAATTAATTTCATCATTCACTTTTATTCCTCCTTTCCTTTCTTTTCCTTTCTTCTTTCAAATACTTCATATCATCCTTATCATCATCACTCACAATGTATGTCTTCAAAAGAGATGGTCGTAAAGAACCAGTTCGTTTCGATAAAATCACCGCCAGAGTTCAAAGATTATGTTATGGTTTAGATCCAAATCATGTTGATGCTGTTTCCATCACTCAAAGAGTTATTTCAGGGGTCTATCATGGTGTAACTACTATCGAATTAGATAACTTGGCTGCTGAAACCGCCGCTTATATGACCACTATTCATCCTGATTATGCTATCTTGGCTGCTAGAATTGCCGTTTCAAATTTACATAAACAAACTACAAAACTTTATTCTCAAGTTAGTAAAGAATTATATGATTATGTTAATCCAAAAACCGATTTACATTCTCCAATGATCTCAAGAGAAACTTATGATATCATTCAAAAACATTCTGATGAATTAAATTCCGCCATTGTTTATGATAGAGATTTCAATTATAATTATTTCGGTTTCAAAACTTTAGAAAGATCTTATTTATTAAGAATTAATGGTAAAGTAGCAGAAAGACCTCAACATTTAATCATGAGAGTCGCTATTGGTATTCATGGTGATGATATTGAAAGAGTCATTGAATCTTATAATTTAATGTCTCAAAGATTCTTTACTCATGGTTCTCCAACTTTATTTAATGCTGGTACTCCAAATCCTCAAATGTCTTCATGTTTCTTAGTAGCTATGAAAGATGATTCTATTGATGGTATCTATGATACTTTAAAAACTTGTGCTTTAATCTCAAAAAGTGCTGGTGGTATTGGTTTACATATTCATAATATTCGTGGTACTGGGGCTTATATTGCTGGTACTAATGGTACTTCCAATGGTATTATTCCAATGGTTCGTGTCTTCAATAATACTGCTCGTTATGTTGATCAAGGGGGTAATAAAAGACCAGGGGCTTTTGCTTTATATATTGAACCATGGCATTCAGATATTTTCGATTTTATCGATATTAGAAAAAATCATGGTAAAGAAGAAATTAGAGCAAGAGATTTATTCCCGGCTTTATGGATTCCAGATTTATTCATGAAAAGAGTTGAAGCTGCCGGTGAATGGACTTTATTCTCTCCAAATGAAGCTCCTGGTTTATCTGACGTTTATGGTGATGAATTCGAACAATTATATGAAAAATATGAAAGAGAAGGTAGAGGTAGAAAAACTATTAAAGCTCAAAAATTATGGTATGCTATTTTAGAAGCTCAAACTGAAACTGGTACTCCATTCATGTTATATAAAGATGCTTGTAATGAAAAAACTAATCAAAAGAATTTAGGTATTATTAAATCATCTAATTTATGTTGTGAAATTGTGGAATATTCATCTCCTGAAGAAGTTGCTGTTTGTAACTTGGCTTCTATTGCTTTACCATCATTTGTTGAAAAAGATGATACTTCATTATGGTATAATTTTGAAAAATTACATGATGTTGCTAAAGTTGTAACTAGAAATTTAAATAGAATTATTGATAGAAATTTCTATCCAGTTCCAGAAGCTAGAAATTCAAATATGAGAAATAGACCAATTGCTTTAGGGGTTCAAGGTTTAGCTGATACTTTTATGGCATTAAGATTACCATTTGATTCTCAAGAAGCTAGAGAATTAAACATTCAAATCTTTGAAACCATGTATCATGGTGCTGTTGAAGCTTCTATTGAATTAGCTCAAGAAGAAGGTGCTTATGCTTCTTATGAAGGATCTCCAGCTTCTAAAGGGTTATTACAATTTGATTTATGGAAGAGAAAACCAACTGAATTATGGGATTGGGATACTTTAAAACAAAATTTAGCTAAACATGGTATAAGAAATTCTTTATTAGTTGCACCAATGCCAACTGCTTCAACTTCTCAAATCTTAGGTAATAATGAATGTTTCGAACCATATACTTCCAATATTTATTCTAGAAGAGTGTTGGCTGGTGAATTCCAAATTGTTAATCCATATTTATTACGTGATTTAGTTGATTTAGGTATTTGGAATGATTCTATGAAGAATAATATTATTTCTAATAATGGTTCTATTCAAACATTAGCTAATGTTCCAGATGCCTTAAAAGCTTTATATAAAACTGTTTGGGAAATTTCTCAAAAACATATTATTGATATGGCTGCTGATAGAGCTGCTTATATTGATCAATCTCAATCATTAAATATTCATATTAAAGATCCAACAATGGGTAAATTAACCTCTATGCATTTCTATGGTTGGAAGAAAGGATTAAAGACTGGTATGTATTATTTAAGAACTCAAGCTGCTGCTGCTGCTATTCAATTCACTGTTGATAAAGAATCTGCTTCTATTGCTGGTGATACTATTGCTGCTTTAGGTAAATTGAATAAGAGAAAATATCTTGCCAGAGGTGGTAGTTCTTCCATTACTGCTGTAAGTGATAGTGATTCAGTTGCTACTAGATCTCCATCCACTGAACCAAGTTCAGTTGAAAATTCGATTGCTGAATTAAAAATCTCTGATGATAAACCATCACCAGTTCCAGTTGCAGCTGTTGAACCAGTTGTTGAACAACCAGAAGAAGAGTCCACTGAAGCTACTGAATTAACTCCAGAAGAAGAACAAGATATCTTCAGTTCCAAAGTGATTGCTTGTGCCATTAACAATCCAGAATCATGTACCATGTGTTCTGGTTAAGCTTTAACTTTAACTCTACATTTTGGATATCATTTATTTCTCGTATTTTTCTATCAGTTTTTGTCTTGTTTTGTTTTGTCATTATTGATTTTCCTTTCATTTATTAATTAAACTTTGTATTGTATACTATATAACTTGCTTGCTTGCTTTGGTTAACGTCTCTTTTATTAATATACCTCCCATATTCATATAATCTATTAGTATTGTAAATCACCGTTGTTATCAAAACGATCGCAGTGCATTGCAACGTCAGAGAAAAAAAAGTTTAAAGAGGTCATTTTTAAATTTGATTGTTGTATTGACAAATATAGGAGAGAGGATTCCTACACATGATATGGCTATACAAACAAGGTTAAATGATCATCACCATCAATCTGATTCAACATATAGTGACAATATTCCATTAGAGACTATACCAGATACTACTAAACCAGATTCTGATCAGTTTAACCATAGTTCTAATATGGCAGATAGTGCTTTATTAGGGGAAGTCGATTCCAATTCCGATTATGAAATTGATGATTTACTTGGAGATGATTCAGTGATTAATCGATATTATAATGGTAAGTTTGATAGATTGAAACGAATCTTAAGTCTCATATGGAATGGTCCTGATCAACCTCGAGATGATCCACCTGCTAAAATTGAATGGTTGAGTAGATTCGAAGATGTACCAACTAGGTTCAGACGGTCAATCCCCCACGGGTTCAAAGTCACCGGTTTATTCTTGTATTATATATTCTGGTTTGCTTTATGTTATTCTATAATCCAACCTTACTTATCATATCCTCCAATCTTAACGTCAGATCCCGACGTTTCCGTCATATCATTATCATGTTCAAGTCAATATGGATTCTGGAGAGGGAAAAATGCCAATTGTGGATTAGATGCAGAAGATTGTCAACTAGATCCAAATAAAGATATAATATTCAGATGTCCTGCTTTATGCGATAGAAATAGTTGGACTTATTCATTATTACCTGTCGGTGATCAAAGAATTAAATATAGAGGCTATTTCATCGGTGGTGGTGATAAAGTAACACAAAGATTACACAAAGATCAATTAACTGATCCATATAGAGCTGATTCATATCCATGTGGAGCTGGAGTTCATTCTGGTTTAATATCTCCATTCTACGGTGGGTGTGCAAGAGTATCGTTCAGTAGTGGAAGTCAAAATCAATTTAGTTCTACTAAGGGTCATTATGGAGTTAGTGATTCTATTGAATTTTTATCATTCTTTAAATCATCATATTTCTTTAAAAGTTTAACTGGTCAACATGATGATGGTCATTTCACTCATTGTTATGATCCTAGATTAACTATATTATTCATAAACATACTATTGGGATTTCCTATTGTTTATTTAGCAACGGGAACTGTCATTTTCTGGACAGTTAATATCGTGGGATTTTGGACTATCACGTTAGCAACAGATCCTCCTATTGTGGTTGATGCAGCTGATCCAGAAGGATTTGCCAGTTTAATATCATTAGGTCTTGAACGATTCTTACCCACTTGTTGTATTTTATATGTATTATGGCATACTTCGACAAAAAGAACCCTTACCATACCTAATGATTTAGAATATGAAACATCTCCACTTAGTAGAGTCTTCTACTTTTATCCATTATTTTGGCTTGGGATTTTAAATAATGTGACATTTGACAGATTACCAGTTGATAGATTAACTTTAAGTGATTTAAAAGAACAAAGTGGTGCACTTATAGCAGTATCATCTATAATATTGGTAATTGGTACTTGTGCTGTGATCCAAGCTTATAAAATTTGGCTCTCGGGAAGATTCAAGAAATATTTAATAACATATTCATCATTTGTATTGGGTTTGGTTCTTGTGGCTCAATTACCTGGTTTAAGTTTACGTATACATCATTATATATTGGCCATGCTTTTAGTTCCGGGATGTGCAACAAGAGGGAGAACCGCATTATTATTCCAAGGAATTTTACTTGGATTATTTCTTTCAGGAGTAGCAAGATGGGGATTTGCTTCAATAGCAGAAACTATCACCTCATTGAAACGTAATGATCCTGTTGGAAAACTTTTACCACCTGATTTTGTTTCTTATAATATCACCAGTGGTGAAATCTTCTGGCAAGGAATCACCGATGATTTACTTTCTCCAATCGATAGAGTGTTATATGAGAAGTATTCATCAATATCGATATTAATCAATGATATCGAAAGATTTGTGGGAAATCAATCGGAATCCATGAATTTACGAGAATTGTTTCAAACTTCAGCTGATTTAAGTCAAGAAATAACTCAAAGTTTAAAAGATGGATTTAAAGATGCAGCAGGAAACATTCTCATATATCTTAGAATTGGTAGAAAAATACCAGGAGCTCAAGTTTATAGTGATTTCTCCAATGCAGCTATCTTAAAATGGCCAAGTGGAGATCTTGACCTTGCAGTTCCAGGACTTACATAGAGATTTATTTAGATGCAATAAAAATAATTATATATTTGGGACTTGTTTATACGTATGTGGAATTTCCTGCACATAAAATGCTTATGACCGCCGCCCCTCCGCAATTGTGAAAAGTACATAACCGTAGCAAGCTAAGTCAATTTGTTGATATCTGTCGATAATCGAAAGAGAAAGTCTAGACAAGCATTGGTGTATATTATAATGATTCTAATACGAAATTTTTGCTTTAGAAATTCGAGATTGTGGAGTATTGGTTCCACTTTTAAGGTCAATCGATGGAATTACACTCGAAGTTTTGCTTCAAGTGGAATAATTGCAAAATCAAATGATACCCCTCCAAATGCCAGAGTGAAATGGTATTACGCCACTGACGTTCCCATTAGCAAACCTGAATATTTCAATTACAAACAGGAGAAGGATCCTGAGAAATTCATTCCATTTTCAGATTATGATTCCTCAAAATTAGAAAATCAATATCAGAAATTATTGAAAACAAAGCTGGAACAACTGGAATCAGTTGCAGTGAATGAAGACAAGTTGTTTGAAGTGGATCTAAAGGGATTCACATTACAGCCAGTATATTGGGAAGGTCCTGTCTTTGAAGTCCGTAGAGGGACATGGTTTGGAACTAATGGAATTCCCCTTCCTATGAAAGTATCAATGCTTATTGAACAGGCATATCGAGATATAAAACCATATAATTTTGAAAAACATGAGACTGAAAAACCAACCAAGGATATTATTAATGAATTCAACAAGTTGAAAGATGGAATATCAGAAGATTTCGGTACAACAGTAAATGTATCACAAGAAAAAGATATGGTGGATTTGGAAAATGGTCAGTGGGCTCTCTTTTATGATGAAAGGGAAGCAGTTATGTTTCCTTCAGAAATCAATTCAAAATATCAAATTGAGATTCTTCGAAAATTTGGACCAGGTCCAATATCATTAATGCAAGTAAATCCAATTAAAAGAGGATATACTGATGAATTAGGTGAAAATATATTTGACAAATTATCATCAAACGTGCCAAGTTTATCTGATTCATTCCAAAGTGATTTCCTGGCAATATTTCAAAAATCAGAAACAACAGTTGAGAAGAAAGAAAAGAAAGAACGTAAGGGACAATTAGAAACTGATTATGAACATGATACTTCCCAAATTTCATCTAATAGAGAAATCGATCATTTAATACTTTGCATACATGGGATTGGTCAAGTATTAGGAGCAAAATATGAATCAGTTAACTTCACTCATGGTGTCAATGTGTTCCGAAATACCATGAAATCAGTATTTCAATCCGATAAATCTTATCAAGAGTTAGCCTACCCCAATGATGCTAAAATTGACGAATCAAATACAAGAATTCAAGTATTACCTATTTCTTGGAGACATAAGATTGATTTTCATCCTGAAAAGCCATTCAAAGCCTATGCTGATGAAGGAGAGCAAAGATTACCGACATTATCACAACTTAATGTTGATGGTGTGAAGTCATTAAGAAATATGATTGGTGATGTAGCTATTGATATCTTATTATATTATGAACCCCATTATGTTAAACAAATATTTGAAGTTGTCACTTCTGAGCTTAATCGGGTTTATAAACTTTACAAAGAAAAGAATCCTAAATTCAATGGGAAAATACATGTCTTGGCTCATTCTTTAGGGTCTGCTATAGCATTTGATTTGGTTTCACAACAATCAGCTACTCTTGATGGAGACATTGATCTTTCTCATGAATTAGACTTTGAAATAGAAAACTTATTCTGTGTGGGGTGTCCAGCAGGGATGTTTAAATTATTAGAACAAAAGAATATAGTGGCCAGATCATCATTTAATGGTGATGATAAAAGGTATAGTTCGCCAAAATGTGCTAATTTATATAATATTTTCCATCCTTGTGATCCAGTGGGATATAGATTGGAACCATTAGTATCTCCCAAATATGCCAATTTTAAACCTGAACAAGTTCCATTTGCTGTGAAAGGGTTAAATTCACAAATTAAAGAATTAGCAAACATTAGTGATGGGATCACAGAAAAGATATCAAAAGCATCTAGTTGGTTTACATCAAAATCTAGTCAGAAAGGAAACCCCCAATCGGTAGAAGAGAAAATAGCAAAAGAAAATGCTCTTATGGATATTATGACATCTGTATCCTTTGGAGATAAGAAAAGTAGTAATGATCCCAATAAGCAAAAACCCCAAAAGGTTGAATTAAGCGGTGAAAGTTTGAAACCATTAGTAGAACTTAATCGTAGTGGAAGGATTGATTATAGTTTACCTATGGGAGTATTCGATTTTTCCTTGGTTTCAGCAGTTAGTGCTCATATATCTTATTTTGAAGATCAAGACACTGCAGGGTTCATACTAAAGGAAGTCTTGGCTACGGATAAGAAACCAATTGAATCAAAAGTATTCACAACAGTAACTTAACGAATAAAATGATTAAGATAATTTATTATGTCTTTTTTTTTACATCTAATATACAAAAGTAAATATATATACATCTATTCAAGTAACAAATCATCAATAGATTGATCGGCATCGTTCTTGATTAAATCCAACATACCAACAGGCAAGATTGGTTCACCATTTTTATCAATCACATATCTGAATGGCATCTCCGTAGCTTCATATTTGTTATATCTAATTTCAGGATAATCAATGAATTTGATATCTTCGAATTTAACTTGATCTTGGATAATTATTTGAGTGGTTCTTATAGCAGTATCAGTTGTCATTTGTAATGCTCCTAATCTTCTACCTTCAAGACCATACTTTTCTCTTAAAAGTCCAGTTCTATCAATTCTTGGATGAGATCCTAAAATACCTCCAAACACAAAATATTCAAACTTGGTGGAATCAGATGGGGTCAACTCGACAGTAGCAGCTGGATCCAATAAACAAACATTTGATTTATTAACTTTCCCATCATCAACATCGATACATTCCTTAGTAGTCCATTGTAAACCTAAATCAAGTAATCTCTGGGGTATATCCTTCTCAGTGGTATTTTCAGGTAAGGAACTAAGGATCAAATTTTCCTTTCCGACTTCTTTAATGATTTGGGTATATTCTAAAATGACCCATTCAGAGAATCCCTCTTCCATATGCTCTATAATATACTTCATGATGGTTGTTTTCGTATGAATACGTTTGGTTGTGAAATCTTATTATATGAAAAATTTTAAATCTTAAATCTTGCTATGTCAAAAAAAAATCAGTGAGAGACATCGCAAGGTATTTCAGTGCGACATATATCGATACGGATCACAACTTTTAGTTGCAAAATCAAAGTTCTTATTATAAACACATTGTATTAACAAACCTATGAAACATATAGAATAAATGATAAAAAGAGAAGACTGAAATAAAGAAGGAAAATAACATATACAGAGAATAATACTATTTATTTACTTATTTCTTAGAACAACAAGATGAAGTAGTTTCAGCAGAAGTACCGTTGAAAGCTAATCTTGAAGTAGTATCAACATTTAATGAACAAGTGTCAACACCCTTGTTACCAGTTCTAACTTCAGAAGTAGTCTTGGAATAAGATGGTTTAACATCTAAGACTGGATTTTCAGTAAAGAAATGTCTTGGTCTTAACATTAAATCGAAAATTTCAGTTGGCATAACTGGGAAATCTTCTGGAGCTGGGAAATGAGTAATACCAAAAGTATGGAATAATAAAATATCAGTATTTTCAATATTATCATCACCATTACCAATCCAATGTCTCATACCTCTTGGACCATCACCACTCCATTGAGCAACATGGTCACCAGATGGATATAATCTACCATAACCAAAATCTTCATCTTGATATGGAACAACTTCAACTGAATTAACAGCCCATGGAGCTCTCTTACGAATTAATGACCCTTCTTGAGCTAATACTGGAGCACAGAAAGTAGAAACCAATTTATAAGATGCTGGTTTACCTGAATGTTTATTGATTGATGATGGATTAAAGATATCCCAAGTTCTAGTAGTAGTAGATTGATAGTCAGTTAAAGAATCTTTAACAGTCTTGAAAGTAGTTTTATCAGCAAAGAAAGCATTACCATACATGTTTTCTTTGGAACCGAATGGGAATGGAGATGGTTTAGCATCACTTGTAGCAGCAGAATTATTATCACCATCAATTCTTGGATCTAATCTAAGAGAGAATAAATGTTGATGATTATGAGCATTAACTTGAGGATAAACAACAGTACCCCATGGACCGGCACTTTCACCTTCAGCAGCAATATAAGTGTTTAATATACCAGTTAATCTAACTTCTAATTTAATAGTACCATCTTGTCTAAAGATCCAATATAAACAATATTCATAATTGGCAGCAGTGAAAATTTGAGAAACAATTAATTTCTTACCTCTAGTAACAATGGTAGTTTGGAAATCATCTCTGAAATCAGAATGTTTAAATAATAAACCATCATCTTCTTCATGAATACAAACAGCATTCTTAACAGTGGTTGGTTCACCATCTTTATTTGGAAAATGAGCATCTAAATAATGAATAACACCTTTACAATCACAACCTAAAGATAATGGATTTGTACAATTACCAGCACCATATTCACCAATATCTAAAGCATGTTTTCTTTGATGAGGGAAATCAGGACTACCATAAGGAACAATCATTTCAGAAAGGGAAATTCTATGGAAAATTGGTCTAACTTTACCATGATCATTATAAGTTAAATCACTTAAAACAAGACCTTCTCTATAATTGAAACCAATATGGAATTGGAAATTAGACCAATTCATAACATGACCATCCATATTGAATGAAACACCTTTTGGTTGAGTAACATTATAAGGAGTATCATCAACTCTAAAACCAGATGGATTTTCAGCAGTAGCAAATCTTTCAGCTACAGATTGAGGATGGAAATTATTATGTTTATGTTTAGAAACTTTTCTTCTTCTATTTGGAATATCAATAAAGATAACTTTCTTTGCATTCATATCAACAATAGGACAGAAATCTAAAGGATGAGAATAATGAGAATCATCTTCATGAGATCTCCAATACATTAAAGCTTGTTGTAATCTTCTTGAAGCACCCCATCTTTCATCATAACCAATGGTCCAAGCATCACAATAAACATTTTTCATTTCAGATCTTGGAATACCACTAATTTCACATTGTCTAATAACTTCAGGATCATTTCTAACGATATCTTCAGTATCTTGTAAATCACCAGGAGTTAAGATTGGTTGAACCCCTTCAGTTTGTTTCAATTGAATTAAAACTTGAGATCCAATATCAACCACACCTTCTTGAATAGCAGTAACACCTTCTTGAACCACAACAAAATAAGCTAAACGAGGTGGAAGAGGACCAGCACGTTCTTTCCAATCATAATAAGCACGTTTGATTGGTTCTCTTAAAGTAACAGTGTTGAAATAAATCTTTTTACCCACATACTTTTGCTTAACAATGGCTGAAACAGCAGCAATTTCTTGAGGACTTAAAGGATCTAAAGGATGACTTGGAGGTTGAGGAGGAGCAACAGCTGCTGTAGTTTGAATAGCAAGTTGAGATAATCTTTCCATTATTGAATAATTACTTGATAGATGATTTAGACTAATGAAGAAAAGACTTTAAATTAATCTTTTTCAAACGAGCTAAGGGGAGAGATGCAATATATATATATACTTTATCAAACTGGTTCTTTGTTCAATTTAATTTATTTTAAATCATATCTCATCAACAGACACTGTTTGATACCACTACAGCTTGGAAAATAATTTTATTTTTGACCCGCTCTCTAAAAATTTGTTGTCTTATCAATTGCCTAATCGGGACAATATTTCCAGTGCTCATCCGCTTACCTATTTGGGAAGGAGATGCCCAGTTCATTAAGAGCAGCTGTTAAATGATTCCGCCATACCTAAATAGTTTTGATACTCATCACCACCCAATGAAACCCCATATTCAAGGGGATTGTCTCAATTAGGTATTTCTATGACATGTCAAAACTAATTTTGCAGATGAGATTCATTAGTAGGGTAATCAAACTAGTAATTTAAGTTTTAATCTTAAATTAGGGTCACGACCTTCGTGGTATTTGCAGCTTAAGTTTAATTTTTAATTGGTCTCTTTCAAGCTTAGTTTAATTTAACTTAATCTGATCATATCCATGGATAATTATATTTCTTTATTAACCGCATCAGAATCTCATAATCATATTCATATTCATATTCATATTCATTCATTCATTAACTATATACATGTAAATAATTTCTACCTAAAATACATTGACAAGAAATCACATCATTCATTACCTCTATTTAAGCCTTAATAGTAAATTTCAACCGAATCTCAAATATTAACCAAATTAAGAATGGTCCTATAACAAAACATACCAAATTTAATATAGTCCAACAATCAATAAGAGTATAATATATCGCATTAAACAATTCAAGATATGATACTATGATTTGTTGTTGTATACAATGTATTGAATTAGCCGCTGTTTGACATACAGTAGATGTATATTGTGATGATGATGATGATAAGGGGAAAAATCCACTATGAAATAAATAATTGGTTAATATCGATGTAAAAAATTGAATCGACATAGTAGATGATTTTGGTAACGTTGAAGATACTGCCAGATTAACTTCAAAAGTATCATTGATTAAAAGATTTATGATATTTATTAATACATCATTTCCAATTATAATCATTGAAATAGTAAAATTGATAATGAAACAATCATATAACCATATGAATCTAGTGAATATACTTATGAATTTATTCTTAACATTGAAAGTAGCATAAGTATCAATGAAATTTAATACTTCAAAGAATTTTATAAATATATCAATGGTGAAAGTAACTAATAATGCTAAGAATAAATGATCAAATTTAATTTGGAAACTTTGATTAGAGTTGAATGATGAAGTTGTGAATAAGATTGATGATGAATTCAATTTAAACGTTTGGGGTAATAATATCACTGAAGTTATTAACACAATGAAAAATATTCCTGAAAGCTTTTTGAAATATGATTTATGATAAAACTGAGGTAATAATGATGGAGCATAAACTTGATCAAAAGTTAAAGTAGATGAAGAAGATGATGATGATGAATGATCTTCTGGAGAATATTCAAATGTTACCGATACTTCATCTTTATTATTTGCTGCAGAATCATCATAATTTTCAATTTCTCTTATAAATTGTTGTTCATGATCAACTGCATAGATTGATGCAAAATATTCAATACATCTAGCCATCCCCATTGAAAATAAATGTATCAAAACCATAGAACCAATACTTAGTATGAAAATTTTCAAATCTTTGCCAAGATAAATAAAGTTTAAATCACTATAAAAGGATTCATTGATAAGAATATCAATGTTATTATTGGTCGAACCTGTTCTTGATGGTGATGAAACTTGTTTATGGTTCAAAAGATACGTCGATATCTGAAATAAATTGGGTATAATATGATTTATGACTATTACTGTGAGTAAATTCCAGATTACTAATATATTTAAACATTTTAACCCAAATTTAACATCTTCATTATCAGATTGAACATGTAGTTGATGATTTGAAGGACTTCGATTGATGAATGTTATGTATCGATAACAATAATAACCTATCACTAGCAAACTTGTTATTATCAGAAAATAATAATAAAATGGATCGGAGGAACTGGTTGAAGTGGTAGCATAAGCGCCAATAAATTTGATTATTTCGTCGTTATTAAGGTAATGACTGCCACTGTCCTTTATATGATCCGACATGACTTAACTTGACCTATGATGATGAATATATGATACTATGAAATGCTGAAACCCCAAATGGAAATGTTGTAAACTATGCCGAAAATGAAACCAAAGAACTTAAAAAACCTAGACTGGGTACGATTTAAACGACCACCTATACACTAAATCAGAACAACAAAGACCCTAATGGAAGAGAACTATTTAGTGGGAAAACAACTCTTATTTGAATAATTGAATTAATTATGAATAATAGTCCGATATCGACTAACTCTTACCCATTCAAACAATAGTTAAGAAGAAGAAGAAGAAGGGGTAATTCCATATTACTATAGTTTTACAAATTGTCACTAGTTTTAAATAATTTTTCAGCCGTTTATACCGTACCCCTCCTGCACACACTATTATCTGATTAAAAATTACTAATTGATATAATCTGCAAGTAATTAACCCTGAATATGACAGTATAATAATTAGTTACAATTAATGGGATCATGTAAAATAGATCATGATAATCAACCTGGATAAGTCTTGGCTACATCCGACTTTGTTTTATAGTTGAGTTATTATTTATACATCTCACTACACATTGTAACCAAACGGATCAAACGGTTTAATCGGCAAAACAGACATTTAAATTAAATGTTCCCCCATTCTATTTGAACCTTATTTTATCTCATCATATTTGCTGTCAATTATAACTGACATATCCGGATTACTCATAAGTATATAGTCATTCCATCAAAACTTATACTTTTGGTTAGTAGATGTTCATGACCTAACCTGTCATACTAGGATTTTTGCACCCCGAAACTTGACATGACACGACATTAATTTTCTATCACACGATGCTTCTCATAGACAACAACTACAACTTACAAGATATATAGTACGATCACCATATCTAACTGATGATAATTATAATAATAATAATAATAAGGGGTTATATATATTCTTTATATAATCGATTTCTAAACGCTTAAATCAAACACCATCATTTTAAATAAACAATAATAAATCATATTTAATAAGACTGATTTAGAGATTCGACATCAAAAGATTTTAGACAAAGGTGTTAAATGGTTAAAATAAAAAGAACGAGATTTATATATATATATATAAAAGACTATAAACAAAATAAAGTTTAAAAAATGTAAAAATATTATAAGGTTCTTTTGTTTAAATTGTATTTATGTTTTTTCAGTTTCAAAATTTTATTTTTCAATCAATAATAACAAATTACTTAACAAATTAATGGAATTAACTTGCTTATAATTTATCATAATATTCAGTATAATCTGGAACTTCAGCCTTTAAACCTGATCTTTCTCTCTTTTCCTTAACAACGGCACCTGGTTTAGTGGCTGGGTCAGTGACATCACCACTTAAGATTTGCCAATGATCAAAGATCATTTGTGGGAAAGCTTGACCACCAGTAGCTTGTCTTAATTCACCACTGAAACCAAAAGATTCATTAACTGGTAAGTAAGCTTTAACAGTGAATAATGGAGTACCTGGTCTTTGTTCTTCAGAAATAACTTGACCTCTCTTTTTATTTAAAACAGAGTAAATACCACCAATAGCATTTTCTGGACATTGAATTTCAACTAAGAAAATTGGTTCTTGGATAGCTGGTTTAGCTAATAACATAGAAGCATAGGTAACTCTTCTCATGGTTGGAATAATTTGACCCCCACCTCTGTGAATAGCATCAGCATGTAAGGTAACATCTAAAATGTTAACTCTTAAAGCTCTAACATTTTCACCTAAAACTGGACCTTCTTTGGTAGCCCATTGGAAAGCAGCAACAACAGAATCTTTAATTTCGGATAAATATTGAACAGCTTTAGTTTGATCAACAACAACATTTGGACCGGTACCATCTGGACCGAAACACCAAATCTTTCTAGCATCAACAACATCCCATCCGTAATCATCAGCTAATTTTCTAGCTCTGGTCTTAACATCTTCTTTGATATCAATCTTACCAGATTCAATACCTAAAGCAACTTCTTCAGATAATGGTTCAGCTTTAACATAAATTCTGTTATGCTTGTTTGGAGATTTAGATAAAGCAACCATGGAAGATTCTTCTTCAACAGTTTCTCTATAAGCAACAATTGGTGGAGAAATTCTTAATGGAACACCAGCATGATCATTTTCTAAATCTTGTAAACAAATTTCTAAATGTAATTCACCAGTACCAGCAACAATATGTTCACCAGATTCAGACATAGAACAAACAACACATGGATCAGATTTAGATAATCTCTTTAAACCTTCAACTAATTTTGGTAAATCATTAGCATTCTTAACTTCAACAGCAACTTGCACAACTGGAGAAACAGAGAATTTCATAACTTTCATGTTAGCAGAGTTTTCATTAGTAGTAATAGTACCAGATTTTAATAAAAATTGATCAATACCAACTAAACCAACAATGTTACCAGCTGGACAATCATCAATTTGTTCAACAAATCTTCCCATCATTAAAACGGTTCTTTGAATAGATTTAAGGAATAAATCTTCTTTTCTACCAACAACATAGTTTGGACCTTGAATTCTAACCTTTTGACCGGATTTAACAGTACCAGCGAAAACACGACCAAAAGCGTAGAATCTACCTTTATCAGAGGTTGGGACCATCTTGGAAATATACAACATTAAGTCAGCCTTAGGGTCACAGTTCTTAATGGCAATAGCTGAAGCATCATCAGCTGGACCTTCATATAAAGTATCAGCTCTGTAAAATTGAGCAGTAACTGGAGATGGTAAATGAATAATAATCATTTCTAATAAAGCATCAGCAGCTGGTAAGAATTTTCTCATAACAACCTTTAATAAAGCTTTACCTTCTAAATCTTTTTCATCACCCTTTAAGTTAATTTCTAATTTTTCTAATAAGGTTGGAATTTCATCTTTTTTGAAGTTCATAACAGCAGCAAAGATTCTAAAGATTGGATCTAAAACGAACATATTGAAAGCTCTTTCTAAAGTTTTACCATCAGCATCTTTATCTTTGTTAGACCATTTTTTAGTTTTTGGATTGAAATAAGAATCTCCCCATAATCTTTCCATCATCTTAATTCTATCAACACCGAATTTTTTAGAATATCTGGTAGCAAATTGTCTAACAGTAAAAGCCCAACCATGTAAACCGGAACCGAAAGCAACGGTACCTTTTTCTGGGTAAACTTGAGCATCACCTAAAACTTCATCAACATAAGTGGCAATGATAACATTAACAGATTCCACAGTTCTAGCAAAAGATTGATATAAATCTTCTTTAGTAACTTGTAATTCTAATAAAGCTCTATCAACCTTGTTAACAATAACAACTGGTTTAATTCTTTCAGCTAAAGCTTGTCTTAAGACGGTTTCAGTTTGGACACAGACACCTTCAACACAATCAACAACAACTAAAGCACCATCAGTAACTCTTAAAGCAGCAGTAACTTCGGAAGAGAAATCAACGTGACCTGGGGAATCAATTAAATTGATTAAAAATTCATTACCAACAGTTTTTTGTTTAATTTCCTTGACATCATCATCAGCCATGGCAGCATATAAAGAAATAGCGGTAGATTTAATAGTAATACCTCTTTCTTGTTCATCTTTTCTGGTATCAGTGAATCTAGCTTCACCAGCTTTGGCAGCAGAAATAATACCAGCTCTTTGAACTAAAGAATCGGTTAAAGTAGATTTACCATGATCGACGTGAGCAATGACGGACATGTTACGAACATTAGTAACGACATCCATCAAGGCACGGATTTGTTCAATAGTGAAAGCAACTAAAAAGATTAAAAGTTAGTATTTTAACATTCACATTGAAATTTGATTTCACAAAATAGTAATCCATCATTGACAAACCATAGTCTCCAATCAATTATATGATCCCATATGATGAATCCAATCCATTCTGATCTGATGGTTTTCAAATCTTGTTAATTGCCATCCTGTCAACTGATTGCCTTTGTCAGCCAAAGGGCCCACCCACCCAGCAAAAAAAAAAAAAAAAAATTTTTTGTTTGTCCGCTGTCTCACTAATGTCATGAAATTTTTATATATTACAATTGGGGGAACATGGAATAAAAGGACAACGAATGGGGATAAAAGACTATGATGACAATGTAGATACTAGGTGATTGATACCATATCAGTACATACCCATTTTGAATTAATTTAATTGGTGTTGAACGTAATCTTGCTAAAAAAAGAAGAAGAGGAAAAAGGAGCAAAAAGAAAGAGTAAAATTTTTTTTTTATTTCAATTTTATCCATTCAGAAAATTTGAGACACTCTCACTCTCACTGTCACTGAGACTTTAGTTAGTTAGTGACAGTAGTAGTTAGTGGAAACACTTTTTTTTTGTGTACTTTGTTCAGCACGAGGGGATGAGTTAAAGGTCAAACTACTATAACTACATCTAAATGCTACCAATGGACAAGGTTAACTTATAGTAAATGCTATATCGATTGATCTCAATAGAGTATAGTCGTACTATGACATCTTTTCATCATTATGATATGGAGTTTATTCAGTTCCAATCCACTTTGGTATAATGAAGTATCATCATCACTATGACAAAAAGGTGACGACGACATTTCTTTCGGTATACGTAACAATTTTAAAGGGTAATTTTGAGCCTGGTCCTTAAATTACAGTGCGATGCAGTTACCCGGAATCTCTTGATGTTTAAATTTTGAATCAGCTGTTACTAATTTTACCTTCTCCCTCCACCTACAATTATTCTGATTATATAATATATATTTAAAATCAAATGACCATGAATTATATAGATCGCTCCTCTCATTCATTTTTCATTGAAGAGAGAGATATAATTTGATTTATACTATGATTCACCAAACTGTATAGATATATATATCTTGGTTCATAGACATTGGAAATGCTCATCAGATCAAAACAATAAAATGACGTACTGCATATAAATACGATCTTAAAAGTACGACATTTCTTTATTATTACGTCGTCGTTCATTCAAATCTTCTTCATCTTCTTAAAACAGTTACAGTTTTAATTCTCCACTTTTAAAAGATGATATAGTTTGTGGGGGGGACACCCATATTTAACTATCATTTTATATAATGAATATTATGATTATATGAATTATTTGACTTATGTGATTCATTGTATTTTATTAATACTAGAATACATCTTACTATATAAAGTAAATTTTAGTGTACATCTCTATACATCTTTTGGATAGACTTTACCAAATAGGAAATATTTATCAGTGAATCACGTGAACCATATCTCCTGACTTCGCACGTGACTTTTCCGGAGTCAAAATTTATATGACAAAATAATTATCAAACAGGAAGAAGAAGAAGAATAAGAAGAGGAAATAAAAAAATGTTTTTTTTCAATATTGCAACTAAATATCTATCAATCATAATCATACATATATACTTCAAATGTCATTGAATATAACGGTATTGATCTCAGGATCAGGAACTAACTTACAAGCTTTAATTGATGCTGAAAAATCCCACCTTTTAAAAGGTACCATAACTCAAGTAATATCATCCAATGAATCAGCCTTTGGAATAACTAGAGCTCAAAATGCTCATATAAAGTTAATTAAAAGTCATACTTTAAAATCTTATTATAAAGGTATACCTAAAGATCAAACTGAACAACGTCAAGCTAAACGTGAACAATTCAATTTGGATTTAGCTAATTTATTAATCTATGGTAATATTAATGGTACGAAATCAAATGATGATGATTATAAAAAACCAGATTTAATCGTATGTGCTGGTTGGATGTTGATTTTATCCCCTACTGTATTGATACCCTTAGAAAAGGAAGGAATAACCATTATTAATTTACATCCCGCTTTACCTGGTGCATTTGAAGGTACTCATGCCATTGATCGTGCTTGGAAAGCAGGTCAAGATGGAGAAATTTCAAAAGGTGGAGTTATGATTCATCGAGTTATAACTGAAGTTGATAAAGGTGATCCGGTATTAGTTAAAGAAATTGATCTTATTAAATCAGATACTTTGGAACAATATGAAGATAAAGTTCATAAAGTTGAACATGTAGCTATTGTTGAAGGAACTAATATAATCTTACAAGAATTATTAAATAAGAAGAATTAGATAGTAGTAAATAGCTTAATATACACAATTGCATTACAAATTGATTATAATCATTTCTAAAATTTAAAGTTAATGTTTATAAAATTTAAATATTTAAAGAATCAAGATATATTGGAAATATAGAAAAATAGTATCAATGATTATACTAAAATTATAAGTTTGAGATAACTTTTTCAGTGAAATGAGAAGTTGAAGCGGTACCCTTTAAATCACCAGTTCTGTTTTCTGGACCAGAAGCAATAGTCTTTAAAACAGCTTTTTCAATTCTATCAGCATCTTCATTTAAGGACATATGTCTTAACATCATACATGAAGATAATAATAAAGCAGTTGGATTAGCTAACCCTTTACCAGCAATATCTGGAGCAGAACCATGAACAGCTTCGAAAATAGAAACTTTGTTACCCATATTACCAGATGGAGTTAAACCTAAACCACCAATTAAACCGGATGATAAATCAGACATAATATCACCATATAAATTTGGCATAACCATAACCACATCTTTATAATCATTTGGATCAAGAGTTAATTTTAATGAAGTATTATCTAATAATTCAAAAGATAATTTAACATCAGGATATTCTTTAGCGATTTCTTTAGCAGTATTAACGAATAATCCATCAGATAATTTCATAATTGAAGCTTTATGAACCACTAAAATATGAGGTTTATTAATGGATTTAGCATATTCAAAACCATATCTAATAACTTTTTCAGAAGCTGGTCTAGTAATTAATTTAATAGATTGAACCACACCTGGAACAATAGTATGTTCAATACCAGAATATTCCCCTTCAGTATTTTCTCTAATTAAAACAGTATCAACATTTTCATAAGGAGTATCATAACCAACAATTGATTTACATGGACGAACATTGGCAAATAAGTTGAAGGCTCTTCTTAAAGTTAAATTCATAGAAGTATGACCTTTACCAACTGGGGTAGCTAATGGACCTTTTAAAGCTACTAAATTCTTATTAACGGAATCAACAGCTTGTTGAGGTAAAGTAGTTTTACCATCAATTAATAAAGGAGTAACATCAACTGGTTCCCATTCAATTGGAACTTTGGCAGCAGCGTAGATATCTTTAACGGCTTGAGAGATTTCAACACCAATACCATCACCTTCAATTAAAGTGACAGTATATTTACCATTGGCATTTTTTTTACCGGTGAATTGACCAGCGATATAACTTCTAGTGAATCTTGGAACAATTGGAGATGATCTGTGAGCTAATTGTCTATACATTGTGGATGGGATGGAATGGGATATATATGCTAGATGATTGATTATATATATAGATGATGATAATAAAATATATATAAAACAAGAACAATTGAATGAAGAAGATCAATTAATTTATTGAAATTTTTTTGAGTTTCTTTTTTCCCTTTCCCATTTCCCAAGTTTAATTAATGGAAGTGATGGTGGTTGATCAGAAAACTTAAGGAGTGAAAACGAGACACACAGTGAGAGCTAAGGAGACAGAGACACTAATAGATCAGAAATTTTAGTGAGAGATGTCGTTAAACATCACTTACCGAGATAAAAATGTCGTCTGTCATATATATTGATCGGTGGTAGTTATACGTAATAATCGGTTTACATTGAATGAAGTCGATTTGGGCCAATTAAATGTCTGGAAATTGATGTCGGTTCCGACTGTTTTTGTCTGATAAATTTTGATTGATGAGAAATGTCGTTTTTATTCCATCCTTTTTAAAAAATACCTCATCAATCAATGACGGACTTTTTTTGTATTTGATGGTATCGAATTAATTTTGGTTAAATACACTCCGAATACCGACATTATCCACAAAATCATACTTATATTTAGATCATGTGATTTGTCATGTGATTTATAGTAGTTAAAATAATTAATGAAATTGGTTCCATATATGAAGCCCATATTATTAAGTTTACTTGGTTAAAATGTATTGATATAGCATTAGTATCTACGAAATTATACTCATTAAGTATTTTAAGCGATTTGAAGTTAACTTTATTTAGTTGAAAGTTGAAGATGATTTTTGCAAAAATACTTAAAGTAATTATATTATCGAGGATGACTTCAATCATTTATTAATCTTTCATTATTACTAATGCTAAATGTTCCAACTTAATGTACGAGAAATATTCATACTCCCTCCAAATGAACTTTATAGTCCCTCTGTCTATGATATTTACTGGTGGAAAGTGAAAAATCGCAGCCAAATTTTTTTACTTGGGCAAAATCGCGTATGATCTATCATGAAAAATTTCTAAATCAAACCTGTTTTTAACAACTTCAAAGTTAATCTAAATAATCCAAATTCCATCAACAACATCATAGTGATGATAACTATACCGTCTCTCAATTGGAGAGCCTTATTCTTCATTTCAATAGGATTACGATTCTTCTTCGCTTTATCGAACTCATATATTCATCCTGATGAACATTTCCAATCATTAGAAGTCTTAACTAATAAAATCTTAGGCTTCTCCACCACCATTCCATGGGAATTCACATCAGATTCTCCAGCAAGAAGTCTTGGTCCATTATATTTGTTCTATGGCCCTTTACTATACTTTATCAAATTAACTTCATTACAATTCACTCCATTACAGATCTGGTATTTGATCAGACTTCAGAATGTTATAATTGGTTGGCTTATAACTGATTTTTGTTTACATCGTTTATTACCTACTAAACCAGAAAGAGTTAAGGCAATATTCTTTACACTGACGTCTTATATTACTTTAGTTTATCAATCTCATTTATTTTCAAATAGTCTTGAGACTTACTTGTTATTAATAAGTATCTTAATCATTGATAATTTACGATCAACAATTGAATCAAATCCTCAATCTGATCAAGAAAAAGCAGAGAATGCAAAGATAAAAGTAAATCAATTATTCTGGTTAGGTGTGATTATATCAATTGGAATATTCAATAGGGTCACATTTCCTGCATTTTTGATCTTACCATCATTGTTCATCTTACAATATATATGGATTCATAAACTTTCAATCATTATCCTCGCTATTGGGTTTATCATCCCAACCATATTATTTATTATCATCGATACTTTATCATTTAATACCAGCCTTGAAATAACTGATTTAACTTCATTAGACCCATCTCAATACGTCATAACGCCAATTAATAATTTACTCTATAATGCAAACTATGATAATTTATCCCAACATGGAATTCATCCCTTGTATAATCATATAATCATCAATTTACCTCAGATATTAGGACCATCAGGATTGTTATTCTTATTTTTCAACCGCCAATACTGGAAAACAACACCTTTTTTAAGTATCATTAGTGGAATCATTACCCTTTCATTAATACCTCATCAAGAATTAAGATTTTTAATCCCTATTATTCCATTAGCTTGTTCATGTTTTAATCTTTATGCCTTCAGTAATGAGACAACTACTAAACCAAATTGGAAATCATCATTATTGATTAATTCTTGGTATCTTTTCAATATCATCATGGCTATAATTATGGGTGTGTATCATCAAGGTGGGATTGTGCCAGCATTAGATTACTTCCACACATCTAGCATCGCTACACCATCAACTGTTAATGACCAATACATCCAAATTTGGTGGAGAACATATTCACCACCAACTTGGTTCTTAGGTGATACCAATGAAGATTTACAAACTATAACTTTAAACGATGAGAATTTCAAACAAGGTTATAATCTTGATGAAAATAAATCAAAAGTGGTATTCGATACTATGGGAATTGAATATGAATACTTACTTGAATTGATTAATCAATTGAAATCCAACGACATACCAAAATCAATCTATTTAATCACCCCAACTGCTACATTCAATTATAAGCATTTATCATCGGATAATGAATATAAATTAGTGTGGGATTATCATTATCATTTGGATATGGATCATTTAGATTTCAATGATTTAAATAGTTTAGTCCCAGGATTAGGTATATATGAATTAGTTTAGTTTAGTTTAGTTCTACAAATGATTTTTTGATAATATCAAAAAAAAATTAATGTACATTATAATAATTATAAATCTCTTTATTCACTTATAGAAATCGAATTTATCATGTTCAGTACCAGTCTTAACTTGAGAAGTATAAGCTTCTTCCAAATCACTTTGTAAAATCATATATCTATTTTTTCTAACTGCTCTTAACCCAGCTTCTTGCATAATGGCGGCGATGACAGCTCCTGATAATGGATCATTTCTAAGGATTAAAGAATCTAAATCAGCTTCTGGAGCTAAAGACATTTTAGATGCAATAGTGGAAAAGATTAATCTTCTTTCTCTTCTATCTTTCAAATTTGGAAATTCAATTTTTCTATCCAATCTACCTGGTCTTAATAAAGCTGGATCTAAAGTATCAGCTCTATTAGTAGCCATTATAACTTTAACAGTTGAATTTTGATCAAACCCATCCATTTGATTTAATAATTCTAATAAAATTCTTTGAACTTCTCTATCAGCCCCAGTTTGAGCATCAAATCTTTTAGTTGCAATAGCATCAATTTCATCTATAAAAATAATAGCAGGACTATTTTCTCTAGCTAATCTGAAAACATCTCTAACCATTCTTGGACCTTCACCTAAATATTTTTGAACAAATTCTGAACCATTTATTCTTATAAATGAAGCAGTAGTGGAATTGGCTACAGCTTTAACTAACATAGTCTTTCCGGTACCTGGTGGACCATATAATAAAACCCCTCTTGGTGGATCAATACCAATTTGAGAATATAAATCACCTTGAGTTAATGGTAATTCAACAGCTTCTCTTATTTCTTGTTTTTGCATATCTAAACCACCGACATCAGCATATGTCACATCGGGTTTTTGATCATCACCAACGATGGAAATAGATGAATCAGCTTCAGGTGGTAATATATCCACTAAAGCATTGGAATGACGATGTAATGCAACAGATGAAGAAGGTTTTAATAATTCTCGATCTAAAGTGGATAATATTCTAACCACATAATTTGAACCAGTAGTGGATGAAACAATCCCAGTATTTTCATCAATAGGTTCTAAGAATTGTCCAATCACTAATGGAACTGATTTAATTCTTTTAACTTCTTCTTGAGCCCTTACTAATTCACGTTTTAAATGACGTTGTTCATCTTTAATATAATCTTCTTGTAATAATAATAATTCTAATTCCTTTTCTAATTTCTTTAATTTTAAATATACATCACCATTTTCATCTGATTGATTTGATTTATTAGCTTTGGAATTGTTGAATGCTGATATACTTGCATCATAAACAACAGGATCTTCCAACATGATTGATTAATTGGTTGATATTGGCGGGTATGATTGATGGGATTTTGTTATGAGGACAAACTGTAAGTATTCAAATATGGGATGACTCTGGTATATGTATGATTGATAGAATAGGGATTACGAATCGACTATTTGATATGTGTGGTTGATACTTGCTAACTAAACTTTATCGATAGTTACCAAATTGAGTGGCAATTGAAAAAATCGACTTTTGAACAACCGCACACGACCATATCTTATGTGCAGGAAAATGTAATGCTACCATATAAAAGTTATAAGATTCTAAATGTCTATTTATAAATAATCTATTTAAAATATAAAGTAATTAAACTTCCAATCCCACAACCAATTAAGATAGCTATGGTTGAGAATATTTCAAATTCTAACTTGTTGATTGATAAGGTTTGGATTTGAGGAGAAATGAATGTATCATAATTTTGTTTAATTTTATCAATGATGGTATTCCAAGTAGTACCAAGGAATACTAATGACGTATGATTATGCTTCGGTTGTTGTTCTTGTTCCTGTTGTTGTTGAGTTTTAGTTTCATCTATAGTTGTTACGACTCCTTGATCAACTTTATCTGTAATATCCAGCTTTATATTCTCAACCAATGGAATTAACACTTGTTGTTCCTTCTCAGGAACAGCTTCTAATAATTGAATAACTTTAGCTTCAAATGCCGCTACTAATCTTTTCCGTTTCCAAGGTTCAACGAAAAACGTTGCGATTATAAAAAGCAATAAATTGATTCCCATTAAAATCCATGTTCCCCAAGTTGATGCTCGTCTAATTTTATCAGACCAAATTTGTTCTTCATGATATCTAGTTAAGATCAGTTGAGTTAATTTCAATTGGATAGAATCAACTTTCTTTTCCACTTCATTTAATTTAGCTTCTGTTTCAGATTCATATTGTTCATTAACATGATCATTTCGATATAATTCAGTAAATCGTTCTAAATCATTTGAAGACCAATTATGTTTCCTAGTTAATAATTCATTCACTTCTCTCTGCAGAGTTGATCGACGTTGAATAGCTTCAGTATAAGCCACCTTCTTATGTCTAACATCATCTCTTGCTTCTTTTAATTCTGCTTCTAAATCATCAATCGATTTTTTTAAGGTATCAATAGATGAATAACCAGTAACATCATTTAAAGCTTTTGTAGCAGTAAAGATCGTTTCTTGAATTGAATCTAAATATTTCTCTAACTGCTTAGATAAATGACTTCTTCTTCCTTCTTTATCAGATGGCAAGTTTCGGATTTCTCGATGAATTGATTCATTTATCGATTTAACAATATTATTCTCATTATCACTATCATTATTTTGCATAGCTTGTGCTAGTATGGATGATTGGAAATGACTATTGTTAGGAAGGACATTACTTTCAACGTTATCAGATGACTTGTTTACATCAACTGTAGTCTCTATAACAACGGCACCATCTTTTGATTGGTTTACAGATTCCTTTTCTTTCTTTGCTTTTGCTGCTGCTTCTTCTTCTTCTTCTCGTTGTTGTTTCTCCTGCTCTCGTTTCTTCTTAGCCACAGCTTCTGTTCCAAAATTGGTAGATTCAATGATTTCTCTTAACTTTGGATCATCAATCTTGATATTATTGTTAGTACTATTCGCTGTTGATGTTGTTTTGGTGCTAGGTGATTTTGAAGATGATGATTGAAACCGAGGTCGAGGCCGAACTATAATGGATGATATTGATTGATAGTATATATTTGAGTTATACGTGCGGGATAACGTCAACCTTATCGGTATTCTCTTATACATTGTCGTTCCCCACAACTATTACCCCGTATTATCTTGTTGAAATGTTGTTATATATATGAACATAGTAAATTTTGTTGGAGTGATATTTGTGAGTGTGGGAAAAAAAGAGATCGGAATTTTAAACAGCCCGACAGTCGGGAAATTTCACTACAGTTGCAAAATACTATAAATTATAACCACAGAACGATACTACTGATCATATGATTGAAGTATCATTCTATATATTTAATTGATAGAATTCGAAATACGCTAAATAACAAAAACAGACTGACATCAAAAGAAAACAAATCGTTAACTAACAAAACAAACATTTATTTATTAGAAGTTTGTGTCAACCAATTTCTTAGATAATTTGAAATCATCAGCTTCAACATAATCCAAAACAATAATACCAACCCCTTTAGTAAAGGTTTCTTCGATATTACCTTTAATCATGGCACTTGAAATTTGTTGTGGCCAACATGCATGATCAAAGAAATTTGAAGCCGAGGTGAAATTGACGAATAACTTATTATCATTGCCAGAAGTATAATCTTTAGCTTTTGAAGCTAAATCCTTAACATATTGGATCTTGGTAGGGATATCATCTTCTTTATTAACTTCACAAAAATCTTGAACTACAAATGCTCCACGATCATCATCAGTAGTATTATACGTCCAACTTGAAGCTTCAAATCCAAATTCATTTCTTCTATCTTGATTATTAACTCCAAATCTTCTAAAGAGACATACTTTACCTCTAGCTTCTCCTACGCTTGGAATATCAGTACCTAAATACCATTTATCTTTATTTGGATTGACATAATGATCCCAAATGAAATTTGGAAATTCATCATTGGGATTATCCCAATCATTAGACCCTTCTTGCTTCAAGGATACAATAACGGTTTCAGATGGATTATTTTGCACAAATTTATAAACTTCATCCAATGCATCAGCCAATTGTAATGGGAAAGGAATTCTAACTGGGAATTGACCATGAATAACCTGTAATAAAGCGTTTTTCTTATCACCTATCAATTGTCTACCAGCTCTGATATCTAAGAAACGAACCCCATTTTCTAATTGTTTCGTGATGGAGGCACCTTGACATTGAACGGATGGTAAAGCAGTATGAGATGCGGCAGCGTTATGGGTTCCTGGAATGGATAATTTAGATAATTTTGTATCGTCACTGACGTCTTTTAACCAAGTTTTATAATCGACCATAATTGAAAATTTGAATAGATAATGAATAAGAAGGAAGAAAAGAAAGCAATTGATTTATAAATAGGTTTTTCAAACTTGAAATTTTAAATAGTGGAGTTGGGTGGTGGTGGTAGTGGGTAGTTGCAGATGAGTCGTCGCAAATATTGTTCTAAGCCATTATACAGGAACCCTTCCTAATTCGGAATAATCGTTTAAAATTAATGTTCCTGAAAATTTCACTTCCATTGCTACCCTCCGATTCCACTTCCTATTGGATTATTTACACGATAATGTGCTATTACGTTTGCTTGGTTTATTGTTAATAAATAAGTTTATTTTTACGTTCTATATAATCTATATAAAATATTTTCTCTACTTTTGTCTACATAAACTTCTATATTTCTTAAGTGAAATTATCCCATACATCTTGAACAGAATTATATCCTTTAGTTTCAGGTACGTAATACCAAATAGCAAATAAGTATCCGATACTATTAACCAAGAAAATAAAGAAAACGGATCCACCAATTGAATTTTGTAATATGGGGAATCCAAATGCAATTAAAATATTAGCTAACCAATTTGTACTTGTACCTACTGATTGAGCGATTGAAACTACTTCATGACCTGATAATTCTGAGATCATAAGGAATGGAATTGGACCTAATCCGATTGAAAATCCAATGATGAATCCAAAACAAGCAGTGATGACAGCTACATCATATTGATTTATAATCCCTACTCCAATCACCAATGAACAAATACTACATATAAAGATTGATAATAAGATCAAGGGTCTTCTTCCTAATCTATCAATCAAGGGAGAAATAGCAATGGCACTGAGAACATTAACGAATGAGAATGAACATGATAAGATTAATACTTGATCACCATCTGTTTCATGATGATTTCCAAATAAATCATTAAGGATTTTAACTCCATAATAGGTGATGGCATTCATACCCACTAATTGTTGAGCTGTCATTAATAAAATAACAGCGACGAATTGATTTCTATATTTTTTTGAAAACATGAATTCTCTAGTGGTGACGGTTGATGGATCAATTGAACCTTTTCTAGCCATGGCGGTTGATCTTGAATTATTATTATTTCTTTGGTTAACTAAGGGTAAAATTAATGAATCATAACTATCACTTTCTGATAATAAAGCAGAAGTATCATCAACCGATTCTGATTTTCTATTCTGTTCATTGATGGATAATTGTCTCCAATGATTGATTTCATAATGGACAGTTGATTTATCTGATCTTAAACCATGTAAGATATTAGTAGCTGATTTCACATCATGACCTTGCATAATCATCCATTTTGGAGATTCTGATACCGTGAATAAAGTTAAGAATTGAATTAATCCTAATCCTGTGGCACATAAAAATATAAATCTCCATTGTTGATCATTGGAAAAGAAATAACTTATAATTTGAGATAAGAAAATCCCAATAGTAACAGCTAATTGTAATAAAGAACCTAATAAACCACGATGATTGATAGGAGTTAATTCATTGATTAATATTGGGGACATGATTAATGATGAACCAGCAGCAAATCCATTGATGAATCTACCTACATTAACCAGAATTTGATTATTTGCTAAAGTCATAATTAATGATCCTAAAATATACCCTAATGAGCTTACTAAACACATATATTTTCTACCAAATTTTTGACTAATGGAAGTGGCACCAAGGATTATGGAAGATATTAAACCACCAATAGTGAACATAGTAGTGATTAAAGCTACACCTTCTTGAGTCATGGGTATACATTGTTTATAACCATGATGAGACCAGAAAGTATCATTATAATCAGGATAAGGACCTGGTTTATGGAAATTACAAGCAAGGATATCTTCAGGAGCATTTAATTCCGCTAAATGGAATCCAAATTGTAAAGTACTTAAACAAATGATGGTAGTTGACCAACCTAATTGGAAAGTTACCAGATGATGTTTATCTAAAAAGTTATGTATAGAAGTTGGTGTATGCATGATGAAATTTTTCACTGATAAAGTGAGTTTGATCTGGTGATGATATGGATAAGTTGGGTGATGATATGAAAGGAAATAGTTATTTGATGTAATTTATAACAAGGTTAAGCTTTAAGAATATGAACTATATATATAATAACTTAACAAATCAAGGGATAAACTCGGTTGTTGTTGTGTTGTTGTATACTTGCTGTAACAAGGTGTAAAAAATCTGATCTGAAAAAATAATTTCTTTTTGATTTCTTCTGATAAGAAGAACAATCTGTTCTATACACGCAAAAGAAAAAGAAGAACGCGATAAAAATTTCCATTTCCATTTCCATTTCCATTTAGTTATAATTATACTTAAGTATATATAGTTATGAATAATTATACTTATGATAATACTATTACTGACCAGTTCAAATTGATACACAAGAATGGAATCTAATAGCAATAAAGTTTAAGATTGACATAAGATAAGATAAGACATTGCTTCTATCTTGTAAAACCGGCCCTCCTTAGATCAAAATAGGACCCCTTCTATGCTTCGTTGCAGATTGGTGACGTGGAGACAATAGCCAATCGAAATAACAATAAAGTGTAAGGTACTATCAATTACAAAAAGGAGTAATCAAACCGGGTTCCCGGTAGGTTATAATTGCTGCAAAATAATTGTTTTCTATTAATTCTCGGAATTCACCGACATGGTTCTATTTTATTCCATTGGAACCTCTTTCTTTGTTTAATTTTAGCCCTAAAACCAATCACATGACACGGCACATGATCATATTTTAAGCAATAGACCTATTCCCATTATATAATTATACATTATAAAGATAACACTACTTGATGGCTTAGGATTAATACTAATTAATAGAACAATAGTTATACTTATTTACAAAATTGCGCTTATTTCTTAACTTCAACTCTAGCTTATTATAATTATATATAGTTTTACTTATGATATCATTAAAGTGCATGTTTTCTCCTCTATGCATTGTAACTATGTCTATATTATATCTGTACCTGTTCAAGTTAAAGTATATAGAGTAACAACCTCTCTTGGCCAAACTAATTAATGACGCGGTCTCTATTTATTGTTAATGGTTTACTCTGATCTGTTCAATTGAATATGTAACTAAGTAATTTACATATATAATTAGGGTAGTTTCAACCGTTTCTCCATCTGTTGTTTTTCAATTTCAATTCACCAAATATCTAGTCATAATGGCACTTTCTTTACAACTGGGTTCACTATATAGAGCTGGTTACAAATATCTCTCAAATTACAGTTGTGGCACTACCATTGGTGTATTCCCCGATGTAAATTATGATACAATGGTTGATATTTATCTCTGTGGAATCTTAGAAGGAAGATATTGGGCCCAGAATTTATTTACGGGTAAAACATCAAAACAGAAATCAACTATGATACCTACTTTACTTCCATCAGGGGAATCTTCATCTCCACCACAAGAATCAACAACAACCACCCTAACTGATTTACAAGTTGCTACATTAACCTCTTTAGCACAGTATCCTGTCCTAACATTAGCTCCCGATAAAATTTACGCATTAAGAGTAAACTGTGGTGATGTGATGGCTTATCTTGGTAATTCAGTGGAAAATGCTATCCTTAATGCATATTATTGTGGGATTAAAGAGGGACAGTATGAAGTATTAAGTTATTTCCCCAATTATGTTTCCAATGCTACTACTAATTATTCAAATATAACTAAATTTGCATGGGTTTTAATTTTCGCAACTATTTTATATCTGATAATTTCCATCCCTATTTAATTTACATTACTCCCATTGCTATACATTCATTGGTGTTCACATATCTTTTCTGTACATTTACTTATTCTATTACTCAATTTCTGCATTATTACTATTACTAACAATATAACATTTAAACTTATTATATAAGAAATACATCGGAACCAAACTATCAACTCCGCTAAATTCAACATAAATATCAGCCTATACACATAATTATAAAAGCATTTAAATAAATATCCCACTTATCCACATTTTCACATATAGCTTAAATTTTGAAGTTATTAAAAAAGCGTTATCATTGTTAATCAAGACAAACTAATCTTAACCACTTAATTAATAGGATTATCATTCAAGGTATATCGTCGCCCTCTAATTTTTTTGTGCTTATAATCGCTCGTGCAAATTTAATTGGGGGCAGACAGTTTAATTTTGGCACGGCATCATAATTGATAAAGACGCTAACCATAATAGTTTAGACTTACATATGTATATAATTAAGTAACTACTTCTATGTAAGTAATTATATATATATATAAAGGTTAAATCCTACTTCTTCGCTTAATTTTATTTCTTCAATTGGCTTATCAGTCATTCCACTTTCAACTTTCAATTTAATACCGATCAACTCATAATGAATTCTTATCAACTGGGTTCAGTAATCTTGGCCGGTAACATCAACTTTCCAGACTACAGTTGCGGAGCTACAGTTGGGGTATTCCCAGATGTAACTTATGATGCCATGGTAGACGTTTACCTTTGTGGGATATTAGAAGGAAGATATTGGGCAGAAAATTATTATACTGGAAAAACATCAAAACAGAAATCAACTGCTACCCAAACATCAGGTCAATCTTCAACTACAACTCAAATATCACAATTTGAATCTGATTCAGATGGATTATTAACGTCGACAGCAGAATCTCCTGTAATTACATTAGCTCCTGGTCAAATTGAAGGATTCAAATTCGGGGATCTATATGTTGGGAGTTCAGTAGACAATAGCAGCATTGGTACAGCTTATTTAGCAGGGATTACTCAAGGTCAATATGAAGTATTAGGTTATATTCCAAATTTTGTTACCAATAATGCTACTAGTAATCATTCAAACATCAGTAAATTTGGGTGGTTATTAGTTATCGCAACAATTTTATACCTGATTATTTCTATTCCAATTTAATCTGTATCATTTATAGTTATAATTTGTATATTATTTTATTTCAACTTAGTTGATGTATTCACTCATCTAGAAACAATTAACCAATTCTATAAATACAGATATCAATGTAAGATAATTAATCAATTATAATTAAATGTAAGGATAACTCCAAATTATGGCTTAGTGAAATAATATTTATACGAAATTGCGCTTTTACTGGGTTAATTAAATTTATTTCATTTAATGAATGATATCATTCACATTCTATGGTCATCGAAGTGTTAAGGCCTTCAACCTAACATGATAGGAAAACTTGAACCAACTCCTTAATTTTTGAATTATTAATTAATTTAATTTAATTTAATTTAATTTAGCATCATATGGAAAACGTTTTCGTGAAATGCCAAGATAATTTGATCGTCTTTTTTATTTAATTATGCAACTCTTATCCACTTTCTATCAAAACTTAATTCTGAGAGGGATTTTAACTGCTAAATTTAAAATGTATCGAAGTTTACTCTTTCTTCTATATATAAAATTTGGCATGCCTTTAAAAGGTACAAACCTAGTTGAGGCTGAACTTTGCCTGTATGTCTGTAATTAGACTAAGTTAAATATGATGATAATTTAAATATATATAACTAGGTCCCTTCCTCGAGGTAATATACAACTATTTCAATTCACCAACTATCTACTCGCAATGGCCCTGCCTTTACAACTGGGTTCAGCTTATGTGGCTGGTAACGCAGATTATCCAAATTTCAGCTGCGGAGCAACAATGGGAGAATTCCCCGATGTGGACTATGATACTATGGTGAATGTCTACCTTTGTGGGATATTAGAAGGAAGATATTGGGCTCAAGATTTATTCACTGGAAAAACATCAAAACAGAAATCAACTGCTACCCAAACTTCAGGTCAATCTTCATTGGGATCTTCAACTACAACTGAAATATTAGAAACGAATTCACAAGGTACATTAACTTCAACTGCTCAATTTCCTGAATATACATTAGCTCCAGGTCAATTTGAAGCATTAAACTTCAGATGTGGTCCCAATTTTGGTTATGGTGGTATGTCTGTGGATAATACTACCATCAGTAACACTTATTATTGTGGAATTCTGGAAGGTCAATACGAAATATTAGGTTATGTTCCAAATCATGTTTCAAATGCTACTAAAAACATGTCAAATATAAGTAAATTTGCATGGGTATTGATATTCGCAAGTATTTTATATCTGATTGTTTCTATCCCAATTTAATCTTCATTACTAACATTATTATATATTTTCTTTTTATATATATTTATAATCATCAGCGTCAACAATGACGTTTCGTTCAATACATACTTCAATGAATTTCTTCGTTACGATATTTGGAATCTTTGATATTTTTGAACCTTCATCAAATTTAACATTCTCACTTATCGATTTTGAAATATCATTAATCGTAGATTTAATCCTGTCATCGGAGCCATCATCTTCATCTTGATAAGCTATGATGAATGAACTTTGTAAATAATCTTCACTTATCTCACCTCCATATTTCTCGATTCTGTTGCGTAATTTCTCAACCCCTTTGCCATTACCTACAACACAACATTTAATATCATTAAATAAGAAACATTTCGGAATCTCGATTCCCAACTCTGTTAAATCCAATTTAAAGTCTAATTTCGCCATTCTCAACTCTTGATCACTCAATAATCCAAATAACTTTGAACTCAAATCAATCTCCTTATGAATGATAAAACTATCACCGAATTGATCTTGCTTAGACATGAACTTGGCCAAATTCTTCGATTTAAAGATAAACATCGGTTCAAGAGGGATGATTTGTTGATGATTGATGCATTCAAATAACCAATTGGGTCTGGTTAAATCATACCCTTTTTCAAAATATACTTGACATGAAGGTAAATCCTTCTCGGTGATGATTATTATGGGTAATCTGGGATAAGTAGGATTATCAATTGATGTAAGGATAGTTCCACCATATTTCTTAACGAGGATGATTAATTCATCACGAGTTATACGATCTCCATTGGGGTTTAGTTTATCACTTACGATTATGAATTGGAATGATTTGAATAAATCTGATTCAACTTTAATTCGTTTGGTTTCAACTCCATTAAATGAATCTTGTTGAAGTTGTTTTCGACGCTTTTTATTAGCAAATTGAGATTTCTCAATATCTTTCCCATAATATGCTTTAATCTTTTGATATTCTTCAAGGGTACAACAATCATGAATCGATTTATCATCTCTTATACTTCGACAATATAAATTATGCAAGGTTGATCCCGCCGCATAAGTATATTCACTCGTATTATCAATTGATCTGGCTTTGATTTCAAGAACGAGAGAATCCCGAGGGTGAATCCATTCAATCGGTTTTTTGGATCCGAATTTAATTATATTAGGAGGTGGTTGTGATGTTTTTGAAAATTTGATCCATTTCCCATGGGTGATTCTTTCAATCTTATCATATTCTTCATTAGTGAATCCATTCCCAACCGTACAAAAGGAATAAAATGATTGATCGGATGTATTCTTCAATCCACACATAAATGCATCTTTTATACCCGGGATTCTTCCTATAATAGTCAAATCTAAATTCTCTCCAAACTTTTCCAAATATTCCGGCTTGATTTTAATCCAATGAGGATTCCTCTCTCCAGGGAAATATTTCGACTGAACATGTTTAATCATGATCCCTTCACTTCGAACACTTATAACTTGTTTAATTGAATTTTGTATCTCTTCGGGAGTATACCCTATTTTGAATGGTAAAACTTCAAATCTATGGGGGACAGGGTTTATGATTTGCGTTAAGATATTTTTCCGAAAGAATAATGGATGATTCGTTAGATTCATCCCATTAATATGTAACACGTCGAATATTAAAAAGAATGGATAACTTGATTGTTGTTCATATTGATCAATAGTAGTGTATTGTCTTACTGATTCTTGAATAGCAGAAGATTTAAGCGTTCCAAAGGGTAAGATTGCATTTCGTTTAAAATCCCATGCTACCATTTCACCATCTAAAATTATAGAATCAATCTTAGAGGGGAATGCTTGATTTAAATATTTCGTTAATGATCCAAATTCAAAATTCTCACCATAAAGAAAGGAATAATCTTTTAATCTTCTCGAATAAAATTTAAAATATTTACCTTGTTTATGTAACACCATTCTATCACCATCCATTTTCTCTTCCATATAAAACTCCCCTTTTTTAAGTTCCAACTTATCAAATAATGATTGGAATTTATCATCCATGGGGATATTCATCGACATATCATTGATTAATTTTGAATAATCCTGAAGTAATTTGAATGATAATTGAGGTCGGAATTTATACATTGGTTGAACATTCAATTGAGGAGGAGTCAAGACGATATTCTCATCAGTAAGGTAATTGAACGTTTTTTGAAGATTATTACAAATCCGGAATAATTCCCAGGCTTGAGGATGCCAACTTTCGAATAGTACATGTTCAAATCGAGTCAAAATTGATTTCTTTAATAAAATATGAAGGAACCATCTCACTTCCGGGATGGAAAGTTTATCCAATAAAGGTTTCATGATTTCGATTTGTTCATGAGATTTCTTTGCTACATTTAATAAATCTAATTTATCATTAATATCACTAATGGAGAACTTATCATCATCCAGATTGAATTCTAGTTGTCTACGATTAGCTATAATTCTTGAAATTCTCAAGGGTAAATCACGTAAATTATTAACATCAGTAGTGAATCTCTTTGTGGTATGGAACGCGTGTTTCCAATGGAATAAAACTTGATAATCTTCGGATTCCTTAGGGATATTATACATTTTAATAATCAATCTGGCTAATGTTATATCCTTAATGAAATATAATCGACCTGATTTATCGGGAAAGATTAATTTTGAAATAGGGAAGAAATCATGACCGATATGAAGTTTGAAATTAGTGATGAATTGAGTTATGATATGGATTTTCTTTTCGGTCATATTCAGAAACAGTCCTAAATTCTGTTTGAAGTTAGCTCCTTCTAATTTAATGAATAATTCATCAACTAAGAATTTATAAGTTGGTTCTTGGTAATTAGTTGGAGTGGAGACATTATCCAAATAGGAGTTAATGGGTGTAGAAGTATTAGTCATGATTCAATCATCTTCTATCCATCCTCTTTTACCAATTTGATTGATTGATTGATCCAATTCGATTCAATTGATGATATTGTTGCAAATGGATTGTAAGTGAAAACTGGAGTTGTAAATAGATTTGTAAAACGAAGTTAACGCGATTTGATCTAATTTGAGCCAATATACACGACCTTGCTAAATTTGAAACACTGATACTTTCTTGAATAATTAAAGACTGAAACATAACGATTAGAAAGAGGCTATGACAATCAATGAATACGATAAGTTAGATTACGTCAATCCATTATTTACAATATAACTAATGTTTGAAAGGGGGTGAGGTGAGATTGGGAAGTGGAATTGGAATTGGGCTATGACAAGGTATAAGGCTAAGAAAATGAGAAATTAGAAATAAGACTGTAAGAAAGTATAAACTTCTTATAAACTAATTAAAAATGGTTTAATATATTCAATTAATATGAAGTAATCAATCACACTACATTAATGAGACTTATATATTGACTTAAGTTGAATCAAACTCGTTTAAGATATGTCAAGAAATCTATTTTTGGTATACAATAAGGAAGTTTGTCCCTTACTATTTTTAAACGAGGGTGTGGGAGCGTAGAAACTGTACTGTGTATAGTTAAGAGATATGACGTAATTTGCGATTAGAAGAGGGGACTTCCTAATTGGGATTCAACAGCTTCTTTGCTTTTTTTTTTTTTTTAATAGGGGTTGGGCAGACATACATACATACATACATAGTTTATGTTAAATTTTCACTCAAATGAAAACAACAAGATTAAATTCCAAAATAGTAAACAATGGAATACCTAATATGCAACTTAAATTTAGAAACTTTAATATTTTGATCTATAGAGATGAAAATGTTTAAACCAGTTTGATTTGTTGTATTATACGATTAATAAATATAAAGATTATATAAAAAGTGGAGGGGTAGAGGAAGGGAAGAGAAGTAATAATGTTTAAAGATAGACAGTTATCCGATCGTATAGTTAAAAAATGACGAATAAAGTACATAAAATGTAAATAAATAAATAAAATTTAATTTGAGCCGTTCATTCCATCATCATCATCATCATTATTATTAACCCCATCTCAGAAAATATATAAATTGATAAAATATTTTTAGCAGATGAGGAGGAGGAGATAGTGGTAGTAGTAGATAGAACTGAGTAGAAAACATATAAGTTGCTTAATGGAAAGATTATACAATGAGGATATGATAACGACCATCAAAGATCTATAGCAATCTAAATCAATTATTAACCTTGTAAGATAATACAAAGTTGTGGTCAAGACATTATACCCAAAAAAAAAAAAAAATGCCCCAAATTATCTGTCTGTCTGTCTCAGTAAAATAAACATAATTTTTTAGTAATAAATTATTTGCTCGCTGGAAAATTTCTTAGCCAGTAAAGTGGTAGGAGGATTTGTCTATATATATATATATGTAGAGATATAACCTTTAAGCTTTGAATTCTATAAACATTCCACATATCCATCCAGTTATCCACTTGTCCTACAAGAAATTTACTATACATTTATAACAAAACAAAACAAGACAAGACAATACTAAATTGTGTCTGTCTGTCAGGGTAGGAAACTTTTAATTTTGTATTTATCATTACCACAAAAGAAATAATTATTATTATTATAAGTAGTTCGTTCCATTCCCACATCATCTTAGTTAATTCTTGTTTAAATAATATTAGAAGAAGAGTATCATAGAATTACTTAACTACTATCATCTAACAACCATCACCTCATCATCATTAACGATCTCATCAACTCATTCATTTCATTCCATTCGTTTATCATTCCCCCCCTAGTGATTAGAATTTATTACACAATCTCAACGGGGAGCCAAAATTTCTTTTTTGTGCCTCACTAAAGTAAATAAAATAAACAGTGAACAAAGAAAGAAAGACCAGTGCTGTGTTCATCATCCTCCTTTTTTTTCGTTTCCCTTTTTTTTACGGCCAAAATTTCATTACAGACCAACTTTCTACCATTCCATCAATCAACAGTTTCTTTCATCAATTATCATATCCCAGTGTTGATCACGTTCTTTCGCTTAGTACCAACTGTGTGATCTAATTTCTTCAATCGTTTTCGTTTTCGTTTTCGTTTTCATTTTCATTTCCTTTTCTTCATTTCCTATCTCATATCTACAACTATTTCCCGATCTTCCCATGGCTATATCTTTACTATCTCCAAAGAAAATCTTAACTAGAAAGGAGAGAAACACTCCATCCCCATCTCCATCTTCAAATGCAACAGTAGCTGCCGCAGCAGCTGCTACTTCTAAATCATCATCAACTACAACCACCACCACCACCACCACCACTCTCCCCAATAATAAACCTCATTATATCCTTTCGCCTCCTAAAGCCAGAAATCCAACTGCGACTCCTAATCCTCAACCAAAATATACTTCATTATTACCAAAATTAGACGTAAGATCTCCAACCCCTCCTCCTGCTCCTCCTCAAAAACCTCCTCAAATCATTCATAATTCAGCTCCTAACTCGGAAGATTCTTCTCTTTATGATTCATCTCCTTCAAGTCCTAAAATCCCAAATCAATCAATTCCAATATCTCCCTTGAAGGCTCCTCGTTTAAATTATAGTAATGATAGTTATTCCATCTCAAGTTCAACCAGTCAACATAGAAGAAACTTATCTGATAAGATTAAAACTACTCCATCTTCATTTGTTCGTCAACTGAGAATTTATTCAAATCTCGATTTTGATATAAATTCAAATCCTTCTTTAACTTCATTAACTGGTAAATCTCTCCTTTTACAAAATAAATTAGAAACTGATAATTTACCTCCAGAATTAATCCCTATCGTTAATTTAATTAATGCTCATAAATTACGTACTTATGCCCTTGGTACTTTCCAAATCCCGGCTATTTTAAATGATGGGGAAAAAGCATGGTTAGAAGTTGAAGCTAAATTATCTGGAAATGAATTGGCTATATGGAGACCAAATGTGGATGAAGAAGATGATGATGATGATATATATATCGTGGGAGAAAATGATGAATTTAAACCAAGATATATCAATCTTATTGATTCAAGAGTTGAAATCGGTCATGATTTACAAATTCAAATTGTTCATGATTTTCAAATTGATAATAAATTATTAATTAAATTTAATCAAGAATCAGATTTTATAAAATGGATTTCAGCTATTAATTTATCAAAATTCGAATATATCAGTCTTAATGAATCTTTCACTGCTTCAATCTTATCTTACAAAGGTACTAAATTAAGTGATTTACATGTGTTGTTAAGTTCGAAAAAGAGATTCCCAAAATATGAATGGTGTAATATTCGTTTTCCACAAATTAGTGCTAAATATTTAAAAGTTTATGTGGGAATCTTACCTTCTGATGCTAAAAATTCATTAGGTAGAATTGAAATTTATAGTTCTGATAAAGTTCAAAAGAAGAATTTAATTGCTTATATAAATCAATTGGATAGTGTATTTAATGTTTATCCTGAACATTCATCAATGATAGATTTCAACCCCATTATGAAATTAAATGGGGAGATTTATATTAATAAGTCATTTGAATATTTATTTTATAATGAACCATTATTAAGTAAAACCACATCTTCATCTCCACCTCCTCCACCCCTGAAATTACCAACAAGAGTTGATTCCACTCATTCATTATCATCAGTGACGTTTGCATCTCCATCTTCTCCAGCTCCTCACTCCAGAAATGTATCAGTTAATTCCACTACATCTTCATTCTTCAATTATGCTCCTTCACCAAAAGTTGATGATGTAAGTATTAGTCCAAAGAAGAATTCCAATAATAATAGAAATAGAAGTGTTTCATCTCCTGCTAAGATTCTTTCTGGGTCAGGTTATTTCACTACAAATTCGAATTCAACTCCAATGACAAATACCACAACTTCCACCTCATTAAATTCATCAAAATCATCTACATCATCATTTTTCAAAAAACATATTAATAATTTCGTATTGGCCGATTTCGTCTATATCATCCCTATATCTCATCCTGGTGTATCACCTATCGAAACCATGATCAGAAATTTCATCCCTATCATTGATGCGTTTAAATTATATGGTCGTCCTCAACATTTAATCAGTGATAAAACAAATGAACAATCATTATTATTCGCGTTACCTTCTTTACCAAGGTATCAATATATCAATGATGTTGATTCCCAATCTATTATTGATAAGAATTTGGAATTGATTAATGAAGATTGGAATGATGTTACTTGGAGACAAATTTATAAGAATTTCATTACGCAGAAATACTTGAATAATACAAGTCAGAAATATGCTGGGTTTGGAAATATTCATGATTTATATAATGATTTAGATTTAAATTTACAAGAGATTTCAAGTCCCAGAATCTTATTACCAAAAGTTGGGAGTAATGAATCAGATAATTTTAGTGATATTTTAATTGGATTTAATGGTACTGCCAATAATACTCCATCAAGAACCACTTCTCCATTACCTGCTACCCCACAACAACCTGTTCAACAACAAACATCTACTTCGATGGTTAATTCAAATCTCCTTGGTGATCCAATTCAATTACCTCCAAGACACGTTTCATCTCCATTATCATCAGTATATACTAATAATGATAATGTGGTACCAACTCTCGCTCCACCATCAACTTCGGCACCTACATCGATTAATCATAATATTAATAATTTAAAATTAAATGAGGAAGATTTACATAATTATAGTTATCCAAACAATTATTCCACTTCAAATGATAGATCCCTTGATCCAATTGCTGATATGCCAACTCCATTAGATGAGATTCATGCTTATCCAAACTTGGTTGATTTAAAATTAGGTGAGAATTGATTAATTAGTCATCCTCTTCTTGTGATAACCATTATACGTTTTCTTTTTATTGCATAGTTTTTAAAGATTTCCATTATTTGCCTGCGCTGCCTCGTTCCTTCCCTTTCAGTCATATCCTGATTCTCATGGTTAACGAAGACATCGTTTGATATGATTTGTCATGCTGTATTTTCTTGTAAGTGTCATTCATGTATGTTATTTTTTTATAGATATATGGTTTTATAGGAATCTTATAAATAAAGTAAGCTTTTAGTAAATAATCAAATAGCCTCGTATTTTGAAAAAGATCTGATTTAGTCTAATGAGAGAGATGAGGTGAGACGATCATTTGGTATCCTATTACTAATGATGATCCATATGAAGAAGTGGGATCAATACCGTAGGGGAATAAAAAGTAGGATGGTTTCCGCTGGTTTTACATGGGGTTTGGAAATGAGGTGATGGTTAAACAGTTGCAAAAAAATAACCATACCAACCCAAACAATGAAAAGAGAGGAAATATACCCTAGATTAAAAAATAATTACTTATCACATCGCCTCACTTTACTCACCCGATGATCGGAATAATCGATATAAAAAATAAAACATAGCAACAATGAACTGAGAGAAAGAAAGAACGATTGAGATGATAAAGATAATTACCTGAAATTGGTAAGCAATGACGTCGTATAAAATAAAATACATTTCTCATAAGACAATCTCGCCATACAAAAAATCTAGAGCAATGGATGAAATTACTAACCCTCTTGTCATTATGCGGGATAAGCTTTATGGAAGGAAGCGTAAATATTTTGAAATTTCCATAGTTGGAATGGACGTGAGACGTGAGACGTGGACGGAAGACGTGTATGTAAAAAAGTAAATACAGAAAGAAAACACCCTACACGTCTTGGAATTAATGGGCCAGGCGTTGTTTACAAAAGCTACTAATCCAGTAAGTTTATAAGGAAACAGAGAACACAAACAACTGATTTGAAAACAAAACCACAAATTGAACTTATGATGATGGAGGGGATACGCGCATAAAGGACGTGTATGACTATCGTTGTAACGTATAGAGGAGGTCAATTGAACTTGAGTAAAACAGGTCTATACACATCTAGATAGGTCATAATGGGATTTGACTGATAGCTCCTGAAGACTACCTTTCAAACCAATCTAATAAATCATAGTCATCACTCTCACCATCAATTATTATTCTGTAACTTTAAGATCAGACGCGATAATCTCTGTCTCTCTACACGTCTGCAAAATAAGCCAAAAAAAAAAAACACGCGCTCAAAATTTTTTAACTTTTTCTTTCTGAGATGAACAAAAGACGAAATTTGCTAACCACTGTTTTGATTTTACTATAAACAATCCTTACCCTAAACAATATAATCAAATCCCATAACAACCACCATCTTATACCGGACACGGATTATTCATATTAGATATTAATTATAAAAGTAAACGAATTTCCTCATTTACATTTGCATTTCCATTTCTGTCTTTTTTTCATTTTCTATTATCCATCATCAATCAATCTTTAAGATATATATTTTGACAACACGCTTCTACTACTTGCTGGTTTAAGAATATAGAATCGATCAATCAAATTATTATCATCTCCCTTATATATAGTAATCATCATATAATGTCTGTTCAACAAACTCCAACCAACGGTTTAACTGGAAAGATCTCATCTTTAGACGTGTCTACTTTAAAAGGTAGTTCATTAACTGATAAATTAGCTGCTGAAGCTGAACAAAAAGACCTGGCTAAGAATTTAAACATCACTAAAGCTAATTTAGTTGAATCTACCACCATGACTAAAAAAGGTTCCAAGAGTGTCGAAGAACTTATAGTTGAAGAACATGAAAGTTTCTTAGCTAAACATAAAGTTCATCGTCATAATTTAAAATCAATGGAAAAGGAAGAACCAATATTAAAGGAAAATAAACGTAGATTTGTTTTATTCCCAATCAAATATCATGAAGTTTGGCAAATGTATAAAAAAGCTGAAGCTTCCTTTTGGACTGCTGAAGAAATTGATTTATCAAAAGATACTAATGATTGGAATAATAGATTAAATGATAATGAAAGATATTTCATTTCAAGAATCTTAGCTTTCTTTGCTGCTTCTGATGGTATTGTTAATGAAAATTTAGTTGAAAATTTCTCTGCTGAAGTTCAAATTCCTGAAGCTAAATGTTTCTATGGTTTCCAAATTATGATGGAAAATATTCATTCTGAAACTTATTCTTTATTAATTGATTCTTATATTAAAGATCCAAAGGAAGCTGACTTTTTATTAAATGCCATTGATACTATCCCATGTATTAGAAAGAAGGCTGATTGGGCTTTAAGATGGATTAGTGATGATGAAGCTTTATTCGGTGAAAGATTAGTTGCCTTTGCTGCTGTTGAAGGTATTTTCTTTAGTGGTTCATTTGCTTCTATTTTCTGGTTAAAGAAAAGAGGTTTAATGCCAGGTTTAACTTTCTCCAATGAATTAATTTGTAGAGATGAAGGTTTACATACTGATTTTGCTTGTTTATTATTCTCCCATTTAAAGAATAGACCAGATGCTGAAATTGTTGAAAAAATTATTACTGAAGCTGTTGCCATCGAACAAGAATTCTTCACTGATGCTTTACCAATCTCATTATTAGGTATGAATTGTAAATTAATGTGTCAATACGTTGAATTCGTCGCTGATAGATTATTAGTTGCCTTAGGTAATAAGAAAGTTTACAATGTTAATAATCCATTTGATTTTATGGAAAATATTTCCTTAGCTGGTAAAACCAATTTCTTTGAAAAGAGAGTTAGTGATTATCAAAAAGCTGGTGTCATGGCTAAAGCCAATGATGTTAATACTGCTAGTACTAACTTTTCATTCGATGAAGATTTCTAAACTAATCGTCATCCGTCTGATTTTTGTTTATGAATACATCATGTTGTTTTTTTGGTTTTTCTATATTTTTTGTGGCTTACGTTTTATCATTATCGTTTTTTAATTAACTTGTTTTCTTTAATTCTTTTATCATCATCATTTAGGTTTTTGCAAATCTAATAAAAATACTGTACTTATATATATATCTTAATAAATTGTTAAAAAAAGTTTATATTAAAACTATGTTGTAGATACTTGTTTGTTATTTCGCAGACATCGATGCAAAATAAAAAAAATTACAAAATAAAAAAAAATTTATAATCTTCAAAATTGAAATCATCATTCTCCATACAACTACCGTTCATTCATATAGCTAACACATCACATATACCACCATGGCCAAGGGTAAGAACAAATTTTCAGAAGATAGAAATGGTGGAAGCAAATCCCGTACTTCAAACGGTCATAAATCAAAACAACATCATATACGAAAGGGAAGACAAGAAGTCGGTGCTTCCTCATCACCATCATTACCAAGTACAGGCACCGATTCAAATACAGAAACTAGTAAGTTCCCTGCTAAATTAGCCATGTGGGATTTCGATCATTGTGATCCTAAACGATGCAGTGGGAAGAAACTTGAAAGATTAGGATTGATCAAGAATCTTCGAGTGGGTCAGAAATTTCAAGGTGTAGTCGTATCCCCCAATGGGAAAGGAGTGGTTTGTCCTGACGATTTACAAATCGTGGAAGAGAATGGAGCAGCTGTTGTGGAATGTTCATGGGCTAGATTAGATGAAGTTCCTTTCAATAAAATCGGAGGTAAACATGAACGTTTGTTACCTTATTTAGTAGCTGCTAATCCGGTGAATTATGGTAGACCATGGAGATTGAATTGTGTTGAAGCTTTAGCTGCTTGTTTTGCTATTGTGGGTCATTTAGATTGGGCTGAATTGTTATTACAGAACTTTTCGTGGGGTTTGACCTTTTTAAAGATTAATAAGGAATTGATTGAACTTTATCAAACTTGTACTGATAGTGAATCCATTACAAAGGCTCAAGATGAATGGTTGGAGAAGATTGAATTGGAAGCTAAAGAAAGAAAAGAAAAGGCTCATACCGGTGATGTGTGGATGATGGGTAATGTTAATAGAAAGGGTGAAGAAGAAGATGATGATGATGAAGAAGAAAATGATTATGAGTATAGTGAAGAAGAAGAGGATGATGAAGAGGTTGAATATGATAACTTAGGTAATATAATATCGAAGTCTAAGTTAAGTGAGGATGATGATGATGACGAAGAGGATGATGATGAAAGTTTCTACGGCAATTTATCTAAGAAATTGACCACATCAGGACCACAATACGATTCATTAGGAAACGTTATAGAAGATGAAAATGAAGATGAATATGAAGATAGTGAAGAAGAAGTTCAATATGATAAACTTGGTAATATAATACCCAGACCTGTCCTCCATGATAAATTTGATAAACTTTCTCTTTCTACATAATTTGCATTAATTTTTATATAGACAATTTAAGATTTCGCATAATTCTCATACAAAAATAAATTTTTATATTTGCAACAATTTAATTCTGAGCGGTTAACTCTTTTTATTGTCATCAAACACCTTTTATTGATTGACAAGTGATACTCAAACATGTCATATTCAAATACGTTAGGAAGTGAATCTTCCAGTTCTACATCAAGAACTTTGACTCAACAATTGGATGATATAGCCAATGAAGCTTCATTTTATACTCCTTTAGAAGAACCAATTTCTGATTCCCCAATTAATTCATACGATGGAACTAATTCAACTGATTTAAATCCAATTAATAACATCGTTAATAACGACGGTGCCGATAATGAAGAAGAAGGTTCAAGTTATTTTGTTCCTCATATTATTAAGAAGTTTCTTCCTGGTACAAGTTCTAATTCATCTAATTGTGAAAGACAACCATTATTACCCATTTCAAGACAAGATTGTCAGCCTACAAGAAAAGATACTCCACAATGTCCCACCCCACCACCACCACCACCTGCTGCTAGTTTATTAACTTCGATTCTTGCCTTTATTTGGAATAATGTCTTTACTGAACCGATTAGACAATTTTTAATTAATCATAGAACATGGGTATTATTAATCGGTTTATTAGTATTAATTGCCGTCGGGTTAATCCTTTATTTAACCGGGAATTTAGCAATTTTAATTGTTTATATCAGAATCTTACTTTGTTATGTATTTGGTGGATCTTCTCCTACTTATTGTAATAATTGATGTACAAAAAAAGAAGGTAAAAAGTGGTGTTTTATCCGAAGATCATAGAGAAAGTTATATTCCCTCATGAGTAACTCCAATTATTAGTATATAGTTTCGTTTTGGTTTAAAGTAATGTAAATTTAGTGTATAGTATAACGCCTCTGGTCCAATAATTTGTAGATTTGCAGTAATTTCCGCTCCACAAATTCTGATCGGTATTTTTACACAAGAATACCGCTGTCAAAAATTTTTGTGCGATTACATATATATGGAGTTGATTTCCCTATCAATTGATGTGAAATAATTTAATTCTATCAACTATCAAACTCATTCAACATTGTCTAAGTATGTCTGGAATTCAAATTGCCATCGATAGAGGTGGAACCTTTTGTGATGTTATTGCTAAAATCCCTAATCAACCAGATTATGTATTCAAATTGCTTTCAGTAGATACCCTTAACTATAAAGATGCTCCAACTGAAGGTATTCGTCGAGTATTAGAGAAAGTTGAAGGTAGATCAATACCTAAGAGTGAAAAATTGAAATTGGATTTAATTGAAAGTATTAGAATGGGTACTACAGTTGCTACCAATGCGTTATTGGAAAGAAAAGGTGCCAAAGTTTTATTAGTTACTACTAAAGGGTTTAAAGATGTATTGGTTATTGGTAATCAAACGAGACCTATTATTTTTGATTTAACAGCTAGGAAATTAGGTCATTTATACCAGCTGGTATTGGAAGTTGATGAAAGAGTCACCATTGAGAACTTCTCTGAAGGTGGTGGTGATAAATTAAAAGTTGATGTCAATTCTGATCCTAGTTTTACAGTTGGTATCACTGGTGATATCATTAGAGTTATGAAAAAACCTGATTACGAAGTTATAAAGAGTGATTTACAATCAATTTATAATAAAGGAGAAATCAAATCCGTTGCATTATCATTATTACATTCATATACTTATCCTGAACATGAAGCTAAGATTGCCAAAATTGCTAAAGATATTGGATTTAAAGTATCTGTATCTCATGAATTACAACCTATGATCGGTATAGTGAATAGAACTTCTTCAACTGTGGCCGATGCATACTTATCTCCTATTATTCAAGACTATATCCAAAACTTCGGTGCTGGATTTGAAGGTGGTCTTGATGCTTTCGGTAATAAATTATTATTCATGCAATCAAATGGTGGTTTATGTCCATGGTATAAGTTCACTGGTTTAAAAGCCATCCTTTCTGGTCCCGCTGGTGGTATGGTTGGATTCGGTGAAACTTGTTTTGATTCAGTTTCAGGAAAAGCCACTATTGGTTTTGATGCTGGTGGTACTTCCACTGATGTTTCAAGATATTCAGGTAATTTAGAACATATTTATGAAACTGTCGTGAGTCAAGTTAGTTTACAAACTCCACAATTAGATATCTCCACTGTTGCTGCTGGTGGTGGTTCTATTTTATTTTGGAGAAATGGAATGTTTGTCGTTGGTCCAGAATCAGCTGGTTCAGATCCTGGTCCTGCTTGTTACCGTAAAGGTGGTCCATTAACTGTTACTGATGCTAATTTATTTCTAGGTAGATTATTACCTGACTATTTCCCAAAGATATTTGGTCCAAATCATGATTTACCATTAGATTATGAACTCGCAGCTAAGAAATTTGCAGAATTGACTGAGGAAATCAATAAAGATAAAGAAGTCGAAGGTATTAAATTAACTCCTGAAGAAGTAGCTTGTGGTTTCTTAAAAGTTGCAGTTGAAGCCATGGCCAGACCAATCAGAAATTTAACTGAAGCAAAAGGTTTCAATACTTCTGATCATAATTTAGCTTGTTTCGGTGGATCTGGTGGTCAATTCTCAGTCTCATTATCTAAGAATTTAGGTATTTCTCATGTCGCCATTCATAAATATTCTTCATTACTTTCAGCTTATGGTATTCAATTAGCTGATATTGTAATTGAAAAACAATTGCCTGCCTCATTTGCTTATTCTAATGAAACTTTCAAACAAATTGATGCCAAAGTTGAAATATTAGTGGCTGCTGCCAATGAAGAACTTAAAGCTACTGCTCTTTCTGAGTTTCATACTAGATTGGAAGTATATTTAAATATGAGATATGTTGGTTCAGATACTCATTTATTGATACCTAGAATCGAAGGTGAATATGATGCAGATGAAAAGTTTATTCAAAGACATAAAAGTGAATTTGGATTTACTTTAGATAGAAAAGTGTTAGTTGATGATGTACAAGTATTATTGTATGTTGAAAGTACTCACAAGGAACCTCAAAATCCATTTGAAGAATTAAATAAATTAACTACAACTACTGTTGTAACTGATGCTGATGATAATAAACTAGTATATTTTGAAGATAATGGTTGGTTGAAATCTTCAATTCAACAATTACCAAACTTAAAGAAAGGAACTACTATTAATGGTCCATCTATTATTATCGATAATACTCAAACTATTTTAGTTGAACCAAAATCGAAAGCAGTCATTTTACCAGATCATATTCTTGTTCTAGTAGATCTTGAAAATGATAAGAAAGTATCTCATGAAGTGGTTGATCCAATTCAATTATCTGTCTTCGGTCATCGTTTTATGTCCGTTGCTGAACAAATGGGTAGAACTTTACAACAAACTGCTATTTCTACAAACATCAAAGAAAGATTAGATTTCTCATGTGCAATTTTCGACGCCAATGGTGATTTAGTTGCTAATGCTCCACATGTTCCAATTCATTTAGGTGCTATGTCATTTGCCGTTAAAGCTCAAAAAGATATTTGGGAAGGCAAACTTGAACAAGGTGATGTTCTTGTTTCAAATCATCCTCTGGCTGGTGGATCCCATTTACCTGATATAACTGTCATCACACCAGTCTTGGATAAAGACAATAAACCAATCTTTTGGACGGCTTCAAGAGGTCATCATGCTGATATCGGTTCTATTTCCGCTGGTTCTATGCCACCTAATTCTAAAACTATTTTTGATGAAGGTGCTGCTATCGTTACACATAAATTATGTGCAAGAGGTGTGTTTGATGAAGAAGGTATGACTCGTATATTACTTGAAGAGCCAGCCAAACATCCTGGTGGTTCAGGTACTAGAACATTAGGTGATAATATTTCTGATTTGAAAGCTCAAGTTTCAGCTAACTATAAAGGTATTACTCTTTTGAAAAAGTTAGTGGATGAATTTAGTTTAAATGTGATCAACTTATATATGGGTGCCATTCAAAGTACAGCTGAAGTAGCAGTTAGAAATTTATTAAGATTAGCATTTGAGAAATTTGGTGGTCATGATTTGAAAGCTATAGATTATTTAGACGATGGAACTGCCATTGCCTTACAAGTCACGATTGATCCTGAATCTGGAGATGCTGTATTTGATTTCACAGAATCGGGAGATGAAATTTATGGTAATTTGAATGCTCCAAGAGCCATTTTATATTCAGCTGTTTTATATGTATTAAGATCATTAATCAGTAGTGATATTCCATTGAATAATGGTTGTTTGAAACCGATTAAATTCCTCACCAGAGAAGGTTCAGTGGTTCATCCATCGTTTGAAGCTGCTGTGGTTGGAGGTAATGTTGAAACCACTCAAAGAATAGTTGATGTGATGTTAAAAGCGTTTGAAGCTGCCGCTGCATCTCAAGGTACTTGTAACAACTTCACATTTGGTATTACAGATAAAGAAAATGGAATATCATTTGGATATTATGAAACTATCTGTGGTGGTGCTGGTGCTGGTCCAACTTGGGATGGACAATCAGTAGTTCAATGTCATACTACCAATACTAGAATCACAGATACTGAATTATTTGAAAAGAGATATCCTATTATTGTCCATGAATACTCTGTTAGAACTGGATCTGGAGGTGATGGTTTACATAAGGGAGGTGATGGTGTGGTAAGAGATATTGAATTCACTTATCCAAATTTACAAGTTTCTTGTTTAATGGAAAGAAGATCTTTACCACCTTTTGGTTTACTTGGTGGTGGCAATGCTTTAAGAGGTAAAAACTATTGGTTTAGACATTCTAAAACCAATCCTAAAGAATTTAGAAGAATCTCCCTTGGTGGTAAATGTACTGTTAAAGTGGATAAAGGAGATAGAGTTGTAATTTTAACTCCTGGTGGAGGTGGATTTGGAGCTCCAGTCACAAAGAACACCAAACCAAAACAAAATGGGGGTTCAACTGTAAATTACCCCATTGAAAGCTCTACCCCAACCATTCTTACAGGATCTGTTGGTCTTAGATCCATAACCCAAGATACTAATTAGATAGTAACCATTCCATAGATATATATATAATGTGTATAAAAATAGAAACTTTTAATATTGTCGCAAATTATGTCATAAAATTCAGCCTGTCCCACAAAAAAATAATTGTCACCTTTTTAACGATTATCTACAGATCTATTTTAGTTACTGCTTATTCTTGATAGTTTAACCATGGCGAAGTAATGTCTCCACCTATGAAAGCAAAGTATCTACCATTGCTATGGAATCCATTCATCAATTGCTTATTCAACAACGCTCATCCTGATCGTTCTCCATTCAAACAAACCATAGACGAATTAGCTAGGAACCATAATGATTATACGATACTTGTCCCACCATCACATATACAACATGATTGTTATGATCCTGCTACGTCAAAGTCAGCATCTCCAACTCGTCTAAGGGAATTGTTTTATAATGATGAAGATTTCATACGATCGCATATTATACGAACGGGAACGTCTCATTCATCAACCATAACACCAATATCAAAAGTTCAACTGGTTATCTATAATACTATAAATGGCAAACAAATCTTAATCAAAAATGGCATGATATTTACTGGGAAGGGGTTCAAAACGAGTTTGAAAGTGAAGATTTTGCATTATCAATATTTCGACCTGTTCAGTGATTATTTTCCAAAGGCAAGTAAGTTCATGATAATATATATTGATAATTCTTTATTTGGTAGTTATGATCCAAGAGCCAATAATATAATTACAAGTAAAGAACCAACTCCTGCACAAGATGTAACAAGCACTCCATCTACTGATGGAGTTACTTTTGAAAAATTACTACGAAATTATCCCATATTATCAAAAGCCGTTTCTGAAAAGTTCTATAGATTATTTCACAATAACAATAATGAATTACGAACAGTAGGTCAGAAAGATCTTGCCGATATCACAGAGGATTTTTATAAAATACGAAAGGCTGCCTTTGAAATACTACAACAGAGTGTAGCCGATCCTAATGGACAACAAACTTACGAAATCATAGAACATATTCAAAAGACATATCCTAGAGTAGAACATTTAATTCATGAATATGTTGAGTTAAATTTATACGACAAATTATGGTCCAAAATCATTTATCAATTCAATTTTCCAAATGATAATAAATCTGATGAACATTCGATAAAGATAATGACAACAGATAAATATGATAGTTTATCTTGTTTAGCATTGAATCAACTAGATGCTGAAATAGATAAACCTTGGCATTATAACGAGTTTCAAAGAAGAATTGTTACTGCAATTGAAGTATTTTCCAAGTTGTCTGATTCATCCATTGTTAATCTGAGATTAAAAACAGAGATAATCAGTAACACATACGAAATTTTAGCTCAAATCGACAAAGACTTAAAGATTGATGGAGATGCTGATATATTATTACCATTATTAATTATGGTCGTGGTCCATTCCAAAGTAGATAATGTCGAAGCACATGTTCATTATATTGAAAGTTTCAGTTCAGGTCCTTTAGAAGATGTTAAAGGTTTGAAATTTATGATAACCAATCTTAAGATTGTATTTGCATTTTTAAATATGGATATGGATTATGCTAAAGTTGTTGAAAGTTCCCAACACAATTTCGATTTGTGGTCCTCAATTCAACATGGTGATATCACTGCATTCAGATCTATCATTGACCAGGTTAAGCATGAATATAGCAATCAACCAGTACCATGTGATCATTTTTTAAAGAGTAAGAACATTAATGGTGAAAGTTGTATTATGTTTGCCATTAGATCAAGAAACTTTGAAATCTATAATATCTTAGTGAATGAAAATCCTGAATGGTTTTCCATTGATGAATTATTATTTGATGTTAATATCAGTACAAATCAGACTTTATTAATGGTGTCCCTTATTGAAGAAGCTAATGAAATTTCTAATGATTTGGTGAATGTAATCTTAAGCAATGCAACTACTGAAGAGCAACATCTTTATTTCAATATGCCTGATGTATTAGGAAGATCTGTCGGTCATTATATCTTCCATAATTATGAATTAATTGATACCATTGGTAATTTAATAGATTGGGAAATAAAGGATATGAACTCCTACACTCCACTTTATACGATATGCCGTTGTTACGATCATCTTGAATATGAGAAATTACTTTCAAAATGTTTTAAATGTGTTTATGAGAAATATGGAAGAGGGAACATTGATTTTGAAAAGCATATTGATAAGCTAGGTAATACTTTGTTACATATTATACGAAGAAATCTAGGCTCAACTTGTTTATTGACAGATAAATCCAATTTAGTCAATGTTAATCAATTTAATAATAAATTTCTTAATCCACTAAATCTTTATATCAAGAGTAATCGTTTGGAGAATATACGAGACTTGATTTCTGATGACAGACTTAACTTTCTTCAAGAAGATTCCAAGAATTGTTATAATGTCTTAGATTATATTGGATTTGCATCATCCAAACCAACTGGTTCAAGTTCCGACTTTAAGATTATTGAAAATTTAGTATTTGATTTCTTAGTGGATAATTTTTTCCCCAAGAAAGATGGTGATAAACTAGTTGCCTTAAATGCCAAATATGATCCTAATCGAAATGATTGGATAGTTTTCTTTCGAAGTGTTCCTAACGATGAAAGAACAAGCAAATCACTTGAAGCCATTAAACTGATTGTTTCATTAAAGAAATTGGAAAATCCATTATCAATATATCCTGATGTATCAAGTTTATGGCATAATTTCGGTAATGGATCCACCACGATTTACTTTCATAAGTTACGAGTTAATAGATTAATTGATCAACTTAATTTATTTTTCAAAACTTTGATGATTCAGGGTGATACTGAATTATTTCAACGATTTTTTAATCGTGATAAGAATAACGGTAATGGCATGAACGGGAATGGAAGTAATGGTAATGGGAAAGATCAACTGACTCTTGAAATGTTTCAAGAAATTAATGAAATTCAAGAACAGAAAAGGAAAAGTTTAGGTGAAGTAACTATGACTACTAGTTCGATTAGAGATATTGAATTTTTTATAAAATATACCAAGGATGATTTAGTACAATATAAGATTCAATTAGGTATATTAAGGAAGTTATTAGTTGTTGGTGAAGTTAAACAAGCAGATATTCGATATATGTATGATAGGATATTAGAAAAGACTTCCAGATCAGGATTTGTATCTAATATCAATTCAAAAGTGATTTATGAATACACAGCTGAAGATCGTGGATATTTTAAATTATTAAGTTACGTTCAGTGGTTAGAGTTTGCATTTGATGAGTTATTGAAACATATGAAACATGTGTTGGACACCATTCAAGCGTGGAAGCAAATTTATCATGATATTACAGAATTAAACTCGGAGCTTCATAAAATAGAAACCAAATCGCAAGTTCCAGCTGATCAACAACATCAAGAATCTGAGAATCAAACTGATTCTAGTCCTAGTCTACCAAGACGTAATACCTTTACTATTGACCCAATACTGGAACATGAATTTGATGATCCAACTAGTTCACTTTTCAATTTCGGAAATATCATGGAAAGTAAAAAAGTAAGATATAAAAAGTTAGTATTAAGTAAATCGGATAAAGTTAAACAAATCATGAAATTAAATGTTCAATTAAAATGGGATCATGAATTAGTGGCGTTAGAAATCACCAACTTTTTGAAACTTAGATCGGAGTTATTAGCGTTTGGTATAAAGGATTTTACCAAGCAAGAGATCTTAAGACTTAAAAACAGACATCTTGAGTTATCGACCATGTTGTTCAATATAAAAAATAAGAGACAAAATTAAGATGAATTTCATATATAGAATAATAACAAAAGTAGTGTGAATATATAAAATAGGGTATAGTTGAAAAAATATTAATATAGATGTCTGATTGTACTGCCCCTCCATTCGTTGACTTTTCCAAGAGATTAAACCTTGTATAGGGATCCTGAAAGGCTTAACAGATATAAGAGCCTTAACTTTGACGTCGATCATGATTATAGTGCTTAATGTTCGTATTTTTAATTACCCCTTAAAATTGACTGCTATTATGAGCCTTTTTTTTTTTCTGTGTGATCCGTAAATTTAAAGTCTTTTTATTTTTTAGCAACTGCGGATATCTATTTATATCCATCTAACTTAAATTCATTTGTACATCGTATAAATTGTGTATGGATCCTAGGAGTAGTATCGTTGGTGACTCTTATAACACAGAATCGTACAAGTTAAACTTTTAAAACATTCAATTCATTAATTGTTTCCAATGTCAAGCTTTGAACCTTCCAATATGGAGGCCAGTAGTAGTCTGAACCCTGGTGGAGTAAATCAGAATACAAGTGTTGACGATTTTTCTATCAATTCCGTCACATTGCATGATAAGTTCACGAGTACCAAACTTGAAAGTATTCAGATTGCGAATGGTCCTTCTATTGATACGCAAGATGAAGATTTAGAAGATAAAGAAGTGACTGTATCTAGCTCTGAAGACTCAATTAAATCAAATAAAAATGAAAATAATCATGATCCAAAGAAACAAACCTGGAAAAAAGTGTTTATTCTTTCATTTTCATCATTAGGTGCAATTTATGGTGATCTTGGTACTTCTCCATTGTATGTCCTTAATTCAATTAAATATAAACATACACCCCCCAATAAGGAAGATTTGTATGGTGGAATTTCCCTTATTTTCTATTTATTCACTATAATTGTGATTATCAAATACATTTGTATTGTTTTATTTATTGGTCCTATTAATGGTGAAGGCGGTCAGGTTGCAATTTATGCTAAAATTGCCAGATATATTAAAATTGGACCAAAGGGAGTTCATATTCCTGGTGAACCTGAAGTTTCTGATATGGAATTGATTAAAAGACAAGATTCTATTTCTCCTTTCATGGCAACTTCAACTGGTCTTAGTTCTAGATTAAAACAAATCAGAGATAGTCCGCTAGTAACCAAAATCATTCAAGTATTTATTTTACTCAATTGTTTTATTGGTTGTTCATTAGTATTTTCCGATGGATTGTTGACACCAACAACTTCAGTATTAAGTGCTATTGGGGGTATTAAAATCGCTGATCCAACCTTTGATAATGTATTAGCAGTTTCTGAAATTATCTTAGTGGCATTATTTGTCATTCAACAATTTGGGTCTAACAGAATCTCATTTTTATTTGCACCCATAATTTTCATTTGGATAATTGGGTTAATCATATGTGGGATTTATAATATCGCCAAACATGATCCTGGTATATTTAAAGCATTATCACCTTACTATGCTATAAAGCTATTGCAAAATGAAGGTATAAATGTTTTAGGTGGGGCCATGTTATCAATCACTGGTACAGAGGCTATGTTTGCTGATATTGGTCATTTTGGTAGATTACCAATTCAAATAACATTAACTTTCTTTGTGTATCCTGCTTTAATTATTTGTTATTTAGGTCAAGGTGCTTATGTTGTAAAGAATCCTGAAGCTTATGTTAATCCTTTTTTCTTTTCAATTCCAAGTGGGACTAGTGGTGTTCCATTTTGGATAATGTTTGTATTAGCAACTTTATCAACTATTATTGCCAGTCAAGCGTTGATTTTATCAGTATTTTCCATTGTAACTCAATTGATTGCCTTAGATTGTTTTCCAAAATTAAGAGTGGTTCATACTTCAATGCATCATGAAGGTAATGTTTATATTCCAACTATAAATTGGCTATTAATGATCGGAGTGTGTTTGACCACAGCAGGTTTTCAAACTTCAGCTAATGTAACTTCGGCATTTGGTTTAGGTATTACATTAGATTTTCTTGTTACATCCTTGTTAATTGCCCTTTGTATGTTTTATGTATACAGTTGGAATATCATATGGCCGATTATATACTTATTATTCTTTTTACCATTGGAATTTTGTTTGATTATTGCTAATATGAGTAAAGTTATTCATGGAGCTTGGTTCCCATTAATGATGACAGCTTTGAATACGATATTCTTATCAGTTTGGAGGTACGGTAGATCAAGGAAAGTTAATCAAGAATTCGCCACTAGAGTTAAAATTAAAGATTTATATCCAAATTATGTTGTATCACTAGATTTAGGTCATAGAAATAATAGTCAAAGTGATATAACTCAAGTGGTTCAACCTAGAGCTATGGATAAGATTAAAACCAGAAATGGAGAGACGACTTTAAATAGAGGGGAAGGAATTGCCATTATGTATAATGATTCATCAATGCAAAACATGAATTCTCCTAACACGGTGCCATTAATTTATGCCAAATTAATTCAAAATTTTTCATGTATACCAGCATATTTTATATTTTGCTCAATGAGAGTATTATCAATACCTCATGTGGAAGAAGATGAGAGGGTGATGATCTCATCTATGAAAATCCCAGGTCATTATAGATGTATTTTAAGATTTGGATTTATGGAACTTGAGAAAATCGATCAAGCTTTGATTGAAAGAATTGTAAGTTCAATACCTGAATCAACACAATTAGCCAGAAAGTATACTATATCGGTGAATTCTGTAAATGCTCCACCTCATCCTGAAGTGAAGAATATTCCCATATTGCATGTGTTCGAAAGCAATCTTATCAGAAGTCGTATATATGGTGTTGAAGATAAGACCAAGAATCCATTTAAATGGATATGGAGAATAATAAGACAAGTGATAATAAATTATATTTTTGGTCCAATAAGTTCAGTTACACAAGGAAATGGCCAATTTGTTAATTTAGAAACACAAGAAGATGAATCCACCAAGAAGATCTTCATTGGTGGAGTTTCAAGAATATAGTTAAATTATAGGGGTGTATAGATTGAATTTAACATTTTTTTGCAATAATTGATAGAGCTCTGTATATTAAAATTTAAAATCGACGGTCGTGGACTCTCAAAGAATATTCGAGAACAAAAAAAAAGTTTGGGGCATGAAAACGTATAGCTCTGATTTAAATAGAGTTCGATATATCTATATACCTCTTACTTGTTCATATCGTTTGTTCAATTATCATATAGATCTAATATATACCACACACCAACACCAACGATGTCAAGTGTATCAAATAAGGATATTGCCTTATCCATTGTTCAATTCTTAAAACAAGCCGTGGCTGATAAACAAGTTGCAGAAGATTATGCTGAATCATTAGATGTTGCCATTGATTGTATTGCTGATGCTTTTGAAGTCAATCAAGATGATGAATCTAAAGTATTAGGTGGTAAATCATTATCTCAATTAATCGAAGCTGGTTTAGCATCTAAATCAAGTGCTTCTGCTACTGCCACTGCTTCTGCTTCTACCACTACTGCTGCTTCTACTGAAGTTGATGCTGAAACAAAGGCAAAAGCTGATACTTTAAAAGTTGAAGGTAATAGAGCCATGGCTACTAAAGATTTCCCTACTGCTATTGCTAAATATACTGCTGCTATTGAATTAGATGGATCTAATGTCGTCTATTTATCAAATAGAGCTGCTGCTTATAGTTCATCCCAACAACATGAAAAAGCAGTTGTTGATGCTGAAAAAGCCATTGAATTAAATCCAAGTTTCTCTAAAGCTTATTCAAGGTTAGGATTAGCGAAATATGCTTTAGGTGATCCAAAATCTGCTATGGATGCTTATAAAAGAGGTCTTGATGTCGAAGGTGATAATAAATCTGATGCTATGACTAAAGGTTATGAAACTGCTAAAAGTAGAGTTGAAGAGGAATTAGAAAAATCCATAAGTAAATCCGAACCAGAAACTCCAAGTGAATCATCATCAACTGGTTCAAGTACTGGTGCAGGTGCCGGTGGATTACCTGATTTAAGTAGTTTTGCTAATATGTTTGGTGGTGCTGGTGGAGCAGGTGGTATGCCACCATTATCTGAATTAATGAATAATCCAGATATTATGCAAGCTGCCAATAGAATGATGCAAGATCCTCAAGCCTTATCTAATTTAATGAGTAACCCAGCTGTTCGTCAAATGGCTCAAAACTTTGGATTAGGTGGAGGAGCTGGTGGTGCCCCAGATTTAAGTAATTTAGCTAATATGTTTGGTGGTGGAGCTGGTGGTGCCGGTTCTGGATCACATGAAGAATAAATTGGTTTGATCTAGTTTAGAAAATGGGGTAAGTGTAATTAAAAAAAATCAAAATAAATATCAAAACATAATACTACTTTATATATACATATATATACGAATTTAATTCTTCTTTTATAGTTAATTTAATGAAGTGCCTTTTATGAGTTAATTAATTAATGGTGTAGAAAAAGATTTAGTGAGAGCTATTCGAAAAATTTCGAATTGTAACGGTCAAGAATAGATTAACTTTGTCTTTCCCTTTCACTGATAATGATAAATATTGGGAAGCATCGTATATCTTCCCTATCATATACGTTTCGAGGGACTATCCAACATGTACGATCATATTCTAAAATTGATTTAAATGAATTGCATACCAAACAAATCCCAAGCCATAAACGAATAAGACGAGATCCAATCATTGATTTACCAAAACATGATACGGTAGAGTTATCATGTCGACAATATAAACCATCGAAATCATTTGAAGCAGATCCAAATTTGGAGCCGATAGTAATGTTACATGGATTTCTTGGATCGAAACAGAATTTCGGTACCGTTGGTAATAAAATCACTAAATTAACTCATCATCCTGCCTTTGGAGTTGATTTACGAAATCATGGTGATACGCCTCATGCGTCACCTCATGATTATGGTCATTTGGCTCAGGATGTGATTCGATTCTTATCGGAGAAGAATTGGAAAGATGTGATTTTGATGGGTCATTCAATGGGAGCTAAAACTGCTATGATGGTTGCATTATTACGACCTGATTTAGTATCGAAATTGATTGTGATTGATAATAGTCCTGTTTCAAGTGAATTGGATGATAGTTTCCGTCAACATTTATATGGAATGTGTGAAGTTGAACATGAATTCCCTGAGTTTAAGGATTATAAACCTGCTTTACAAACTCTGGTAATTGATAATATCTTGAATCAATATACTGAAAAAGATCAAAAGATTAATTTCTTTTTAAAATCGAATATAGATAAGAAACATAGTAATACGAGAGGTAGTTTGTTTAGAGTTCCTGTATTGAATTTGATTAAAGAAAATGTGATTGAAAAGATGGGTCAATGGCCATTAGAACAAGTATCAGGATTAAAGTTTACTAAACCAGTATTGGTAATGGCCGCTAAACATTCAAATTTCGTACAACCCCAGTATAAACCATTATTTGAGGAGTATTTCACAGATTTGACATATCATGAGTTTGATTGTGGCCATTGGATAGTGACTGATAAGCCTGATGAATTCATAAAAGAAACTGTTAACTTTATAGATCATTAATTACAAGGTGTAGTTATAGATATAATTAGGAGTAATTAATTATGTGCAGTACACACTTCCATCATCTCAGAAAATTAAGAAAACTATAAAAGGAAGTCAAAATAACTGAGAAAAACAAAATTTCAATACTGTAAATATATAAAGCTATGATATCAATTATAGATTCAATCATAGTATATTAATATAAATAAGCAAGAAAGAAAGAAAGAAAGAAACAATGTCAGAATACGGTGCATCAGGTTCATCATCTGATGATTTATCCCTTCCCAAAGCTACCGTACAGAAAATCATTAGTGAGATACTTCCGAAAGATATCGCTATATCAAAAGAAGCTAGAGAAGCTATAACGGAATGTAGTATTGAATTCATTATGATGTTATCATCCCAACTGAATGAGATTGCTGAAAAAGAAGCTAAAAAGACCATTGCATCAGATCATGTTGTTAAAGCATTAGAAGAACTTGATTTTCAAAATTATCTTGAGATTATAAATAAAGTTTTAAGTGAACATAAAGAGTTATTAAAGGGTAAAGAAAAGAAGAATAATAAATTCCAAAGTTCAGGATTATCAGAAGAAGAATTACTTCGACAACAAGAGGAATTATTTAAGAAATCAAGAGATCGTTTACATAATACTGCTGCACCATCATCAGCTGATGATGTAGTAAAGTCTGAGGTTAAATCAGAGTATTCTTAGTCATACGATTATCTTTAATGACATTTCATGACAACTATCACACACATATGTATAATATCTACCCCCCCACAACATCTTTCAATTCAATCTAATAAAAATTGTAGTTGTTATTTAGTAATGATCTGTATAGTATCCACTAATATATTACAAATTTAATCCATCAATCAAATGGTTGGTTAACTTATTTAAAAAAGAATTTTATATATTCATCACTATGTAAACTTTAAAGGACAATGGTATGACATTGTATTGTACTTTCTTCCCCCTAACCAAATACTATTTCATATGCTATAACTGCTATATTGACCGCTATTAAAGGTATTCTTAATAATGTTCGAATGGCTCCAATTAAATTAACAATCTTGGTCTTGACAGATGTACCATCATTATTATCGAATCCCGTATTGAATTGTTGATATTGATTAGCAGCATTTGTATTACCATTATTTAATGATGATCCCCAACCAATACGATTTAAAAATCGATCTTCACTAAGAACTGCTATACCATTGATGGTTAAAATCACTATATATAACAATTTCCCCAATCCAAACATCTGATATTCTCTGATCTTATAGTTCTATATATACACGTCTAATCCTATGGATTGATTGAATCACTAAACAGATGGATAAACACGATTCTAATTGCCATTCGTAGTTTGGTTTGGTGTGTGTGCTGCCTTTTTTTTTGGTTTGGAAAAATGAGTCGTGTAAAGTGTAAAATGAACATAAACTGTAAACCCCATTTAAACTGTAAACGAGATAACTTAACCTGTAAAACTGGGTTGTTTTTGTTTACATTTTTAATTTTTTAAGCTGATCTGTTTAGTATGGAGTTGATCTATATCAATATCGATTTATAATGACAGATATGCTCCAGACCATGCATTCGTCACCTCTAAAACAACAGCAACAACAACACCAGGTAAGAGGGAGGAAGAAAGATTCCATCGAACAATTCATCAGTAGTCCTCAATTATTTCTTGAAAATGGTTTATCACAATTACGTTATATGATATTGATAGAAGGTATTACCACTCCTTCAGGATATGATCAATGTCCTTATAGATCCTATGTATGGTCAATATTATTACGAGTACCCAATTTCGAAAGTCAACAATACGTTTCCCTACTACAATCTATCCCTCATAATTTAAAATCAGAAATATATCGTAAAATAAAAAATGATACATTTCGAACTTTAAAGAATGATAATAATTTTAAATCAAAAGTTACCGAAGATACCTTAATAAGGATCTTATCATGTATTGCTATAACTATAGATGATGAAGTGGGGTATGTACAAGGTTTGAATGTGTTATTGGCCCCCATTGCCTATGTATGTCATAAAAGTGAACCATTAGCATTTGCAATCTTACATAACTTGGTGATTAACCATATTCCCCTTTATATAACACCCAATTTAGATGGTGTTCATACTGCTTTACACTTGATGGAGATTGTCTTGAAAATCATTGATCCAGTATTAAATGAATATCTTGATTCAAAATTCTTAAAACCTGAAATTTATGCATTCCCATCCATATTAACCTTAAGTGCATGTACACCACCATTAAAATCAGTATTAAAATTATGGGATTTCTTATTTGCTTATGGAACTCATATGAATATCTTATTCGTGGTGGCTCAATTAATCATCAATCGATCAAATTTATTAAATTCAGAACAACCGATGAAAATTTTAAGAAATTTCCCTCCATTAAATGAAAATGAAATTATAAAATTAAGTCTTAGTTTTATCCCAGAATTACCAAAAGGTTTATATGATTTAATTGCTCGCCATGGTTATGATAAGAATGTTCCAAATCAATTGAAAGCATTCGTGTTTGAACATAACTTATAAATATTTAAATTATACTATAATAATTAATACAAATTAATAAAAGATTTAATATTCTTTTGTTTTTATCCTAAATAATTCTTTGTAAATAATAATAATAAAAATTAACAATATTAATGATGATAAAACAGGTATCACAGAAAATCAACACTGTGATTCATATCATCATCATTATAATAATAATAATAATTCTGCAAAACATAATTTGCAAAAATAAAAAGCGATAAATAGCAAATATTTCGTAGCAAACATATATTTTTTTCTTACCCTTTAGAAATAGAAATCTATCATGTGTTGAACTATAATAAACCCTTTTGATAATCTTCATAACTGAAATAACCAGCAAGAACAATTCTATCATTATAAGATCTACCAGCCAATTGAATGATAGCTTGTAAAGCAATGGTTTCATCGTCAAATTCAACAAAGACTTTACCGAAACCAGGTTCTCTGAATTGACTAAGACCAGGAGTGAAATCAGATGCAGGTCTTGGAATCTTCATGGATTTAACATCACCGAATCTAATGACTTCTTGATATATATCTTGTTTGAAGAATTGGAATTTGGCATCGTCAGCTAAATCTCTTGGATTGAAAAGATTTAATAATTGAATAACTCTCAGTTTTGGTGTGGCTCTCACATATTCATTCGATACTAATTTCTTTAAAGTATCCATTTCAACCACACAATCTTGAATACTAGTTTCATTTGGAATAATACAGGAGAAAAATGCGTCTTCAATAATTTCAACCGCTTTAACCTTATTGATATATTCTTGAATTTCAGAAGTGATAATTTCATTGGTTTTTTCAACAGTTGGATCAATATAAAATTCAATAAAGGCGATACCAATGGATTCCTTGGTACCTTTCTCTCTTAATAATTGGAAAGCTTTAATAGGAGCGATATTTTTTAAGTCTTGAATAATAGAAGCTTCAGTTGCATTAGGTGATACTTTAAGAGTAACTTTTCTTGGACCATCTTTAACGATTTCTTCAATATCTTGATCTGCCACAGATGCTTCATAAGCAGGAGAATTTTGAATAATATATTCTTTTGGTCTTTCAAAATTTATCGTGAAAGTTAATTCTTCATCTCTATATGGTTCACTATCTTCTTTAAATTTATTGAATGAAAGTGCTAATCCACTATAAGCTAAGATTATAGTAGCAGCTAAATGATATGTGAATTCAATAATTAAATTATTATTATCCTTAGTAAATCTTCTTTTTTCAATTTTTAATTCAGGGGTATTTTCAAGATCAATACTTTTTAAAATAGTATTAAAATAATCCATAAGTTTTAAATAATTAATTTTTTCAAAATCAATATTTGTTAATACTAATATTTTAGCATTCTTAGAATCAAGAGCATCAATTTTAGACGTTTCAAGTAAAAGATTATCCGATTCAGCTAATCTATCAGTCACAACCCCTTCTAATTTAGTATAATCAACAGGACGTGGATAACCAGGGAGAGGGAATAAACCCGATAATTTAGCCTTTTGAGCACTAACATTTTCAAACCCTTTAGCTTTAATACCCCAACCTGAATCAATTACTTTAATATCTTCTAAAGCAGGGAAACTTTCAACTTTTTCTAATCTGGTCTTTAATCCTTCAACAGAATCAGCTTTATCAATGGAATCTATATCAGTTAAGAAGGCATCAACTTTAGATTGATTACCATCATGTCTTCTGTCAGTTTTGAATCCACTATCTCTTTCTCTTGGTCTACCATTTCTATCACTGAATCTTTTCTCACCACCTCTTCTATCATCATCAGCTCTTCTCTTATCTCCAATTCTACTATCTCTTCCATTATCTCTTCCACCTCTTGGAGGTCCTCCTCCTCTTCTATCGCCACCACCACCTCTTCTGTCATTATCTCTTGGAGGTCCTCTTCTATCGTTATCTCTTGGTGGTCTGTCACCACCACGATCACCACCAATAGGTACTTGCTTCAATCTATCAGGATGAACCTTTAAACCACCACTATTACCTGGAGCCAGGCCGGAATCACGTTGAGGAGCAGCTGATCTACGGGGAGCTTCATCTCTACCTCCTGATCTACGAGGTGGACCATTATCTCTATTACCACCTGAAGGTCTACCACTTGAACGACCTCCACCACCACCTCCACCATCACGTCTACCACCAGCAGGTTTGAACATCTCACTTTGAGGAAGTAACGATGAGCCTCTGTCTGATCTGATTGAACTATAACTGGTTGAAGAGGATGATTGTTGAGAAGGTCTTGAATCTCTATCCCACAGAGATTGAGAGGGAGAACCTGACCCAGAGCCAGAAAACCCACCACCTCTTGAATTTTTGGGTGGACCACTTGGTCTTGAGTTTGATCCTCTTCTTCCTCCACCTCTGGATTGATCTGATCGCCTTTGCATTATGATTGATTGAATTGGCGTTGGAATTATCTAGAACTGGTGAAGTATAATAAAAATAGTTTTTAAAGATTTTGTTGCCTGCAAATTTTAAAACAAATTTCCAGTTTCAGAATTTTTTTTTTTCACCCTCAAATATCAGAATTTACACATTTTACAATCAATTTGCGATCTATCACAAATGATGAATTTATTATTCTATTTGTATATTTATTTAAAAAATATATAGGGATGTGTATGTGTGTGTGTGTGTGTGTATATTGTATTAATCGGTTACAGTTACATTATGATGATGATTAATTTAGTGATCATAATTCATCATGGTCTAAATCTTCATCAATAGGGGCAGACGATTCCTCCTTTGTTTCAGAATCTTCATAATCCTCTTCAAAATCATTTTCAACAATTTGTTGTTGTTCTTGTTCTTGTTCATCTTCTTCATCATCGTCATCTTCTTCAAATTCCACTACTGGCTCTTCTTCTTCTTCTTCTTCCTCTTGTTTAACCTTGGCTTCCTTCACTTTAGGTTCTTTCAGTTCTTTAGCTTGTTCTCTTAATTTCTTCCTTATTTCTTGTTGAACTTTTCTTTGAGCTAAGACTTCAAACTTATCAGTAAACAATTTCATTCTTGATTTATGACTTTGTTCAATCTCTTCCACATCACTCGTCATCGATTCAACTGCATTAGAATATTTCTCATATAATTCAAATAATTCTCGTTTACTAAATTTTTCAAATTCACGTTCAGATAATTCCACTAATTCTCCTAAAGAAGTAACATCATCCTTATAAGTATCCAAATCCTTATCAAAAGTAATCATTTTAGATTGACCCTTTAATAATAATTGATTTTTAATCCGTTCATTCTCTTTATTAAAGTCAAATCCCAGTTCATCAAACTTATGTCTGATTTCACTGATTTCACTACCAAGATCCAACATTAATGATTGAATCTTCATAATGATTTCAGAACCTTGTTCGTGTAAACTCTTGAATCCAGTCAAGGATAAATCTGTAGTTCTGATTTTAAGAATTAAATCCAACGAATGTTTAATATGATTGATTTCAGATATCTTATCTTTAACATCTTGGACAGAAGCATCATCAGAATCATATTCTAACCATTCAATAATATCCCCCACTGTACTTCTATGAACTTCAATATCATCACTGGAAAGTTCTTCAAGGAGGGATTCTTCATGGGATTCGATATAGTTTCTTAATTCGTAACATTGACCTTCTAATAAATTACGGACATGATCTAATTGAATGGCGATTTCATCTTGATTATTAAGATAAGCTAATTTGGCAAAGAGTTTTTCCTTAGCTGGTCTTGATAATGGTTTGACATGAGGATAAATGGCAGTAGGCAAATTGACAATGATTGGTCTGATGATTCTTGGCGCTTTTTTGATCGTGGTTGAATTAGTTGAATTGGTAGAGTTATCCAAGTTAAGAATAACTACTTCTTCCTCTTCTTCTTCTTCAATTTCTTCTTCAACTTCAGTAGTAGTTGTATCCTTTTTATTTAATAAATTCTTAAAGAATCCACCATTAGAAGTAGTAGTCTTAGCATCTTCCACATTATTAACACATTCTAATTCTAACTTAGTAATATCGAAAATCTTATTATTATTAATATTAAATGTACCAAACACATTAATAGATTGTTTCGATTTACATTTCAATTTCTTACCTTTAGTCAATAAATCAGTCACATCATAAGATTTAAATAATTTATCATCTTCATATAAGCCGATATTAAGAGTATCATCAACTAATTTACCTAAATTAACTCTTTGAGGGTGATCTATAGTAGACCCCTTTTCAAACACCACGATTTCATTGGCAGAATCATTAATGTTGATTTCATAATTATGATAATTCTTCTCAATCAATTGGATTTCCTTATTATTTTTAGAGAATCTAGTTTTTAATCTTAATCCTCTTAAAGTAGTTCCTAAAGCACAACTTTCATCAGCATTAATTGATTTGGAAATTTTATCTTCCCCAATTAAAGTTGATAAATGTTTTTGCACAAATGGTACTCTGGTAGATCCACCATGTAAGATTATCGAATTAACATTTTCAAGAGAAATTGAACTATCTTGGATGGCAGATAATATTGGATTTGTGATTCTATCCATTAAATCCGCATTAATATCTTCAAATTCTTCACGAGAAATGGTAGTTTTGAAATCTTTATCATCATAAATTGATTCTAAAGCGATATAATAATCATTATTGGCAGATAAGATAATCTTAGCTTTTTCAGATGCTTCAAATATACGAGCATGGATCTTAGGAGTTAAATCTTGATGAGTTAATTTAAATAACGTTAAGAACTTCTCTACTAATACATTATAAATTGAATAAGTTAATTGTTTTCCACCAAAAGTTTCATCATAACCCATACTTTCTAATTCAATTATGATTGAACCATTTTTAAATGGAGTGAATGAAAATAAAGTAGCTCTAGTTGAACCGGCACCCATATCATAAATTAAATGATATTCTTTGATATTGGTATAATCTTCTTTACTGAATTTACGATTTGATAAATAATTAACAGCAATAGCAGATCCATCATCGATCAATCCTAAAACATTCGAAAATCCGGCTAAATATAACGAATCTAAATAAGCTTGTCTTGTACTTGGAGATGAAAAAGCGGGAATTGAAATGGTAACATCATCAACGATAGGCATAGCAGTAGGATTATGTTCTAAATCAGTAATGGCTCTAGTTCTAATATCATTTAAAGTCATAGCTAAGATTTCTTCTACTGTGAAAATATAAGAATCATTATTATAGCCTAAATCGAATTTAATTGAGTTTGATCTTGATTCATCAGGGACTAATTTCAAACCAGGATGTAAATTATTATATTCTTGAACAAGAGGATCATCAATTGATTTCCCTAATAAAGATTTAATATCAATTAAACAAGTTTGAGGAAATCTCGTACATAAAGATCCAGTTTGAGAACCATAAACTCGTTCTAATTTTTGATTATGACTTGATCCAGTTGATCTAATAGAAAGGCCAGAAAGATCTTTTCTTTTCCCTTCATCGGTTAAAACTATTTCGAACGGTATACCAGGAGCTAATAATACAGCTTTAGTGAATTTTTCACCATAATCTAAACCTAATATGGCACCTGATACTAAGGATAAAAAAGACGATATTAAAAAGATAATAAAACTTGATTTCATTGTGGAGGTAGGTGGGTGGGAGGGATTAGAGAGATACTGAGTAACTCAATGATAGTAGTAAGACAAGATAAACAATAGTGTGTAATATGAAAAGTTGGTGTAGAGTATGACTAGAATTAGATCCAATTTAAAGGTTGAAAAACTTTGGAAAATAGGACCCGTCATACAAAACAAATTAAACTGAACAAAACAGTAAAAAAAACTGATCACGTGGGAGGTCACGATACTCACAGCATGTGATCAAAGAATATTCTAGAGAGAACAGAAAAAAGAGCAACTTAAATAAAATTCACGGCTAAATTATGGAAGGAAGGGCAATAAACAGCGAATGGAATTAAAGAAATATAAATTGCCTTAGAATGGGTGAGATGAGTTGTTTGGTATAGTATATTATCCTTTGATATACACCAATCAAGTAGTATGTAGTATACATAGTAATTTGGATGGGGTGGGGTGGTAACTAATTCTAATTCTAATTCTAATTTTCCGTTGGGATAAACTGTTTTTAGAACTCCAGTAGTTAACAGTTAATTTTTGAGTTTGTTCCATCGGAAACTTTAAAATTTTTGAAAAGATGAATTCCGGTATATAAAGGGAACATAACGGGATTTGTATCTAATTATGACATTAACTATTGCAGTTTGGATGTTCATATCCTGCCTGATGTCATATAAGTAAGGAGTTTATTAGTTATAACCAACGAACATCAACAACTTTTAAAGTTTTTTTTCAACGTTTTATTTAAAACCCTCTTCTTCTTTCTTCTTTCTTCTTTCTTCTTTTTCTTCTTTCCATTTACTTGGTTATCTTTCTTGGGTTATCACCTAGATCTACCCCTTCTACTCATCGTACTCACCCAACAAATCAAATCATTTACAAATCTCATTCATTATGACTTCTTCAGGTGAACCAGAAAAGATGTATATATCTTATAACAATATTCATCAATTATGTCAAGAAATCGCTCCTAAAATTAAAGCTTTCCAACCTGATTTAATAATCGCCATTGGTGGTGGTGGTTTCATTCCTGCTAGAATGTTACGTTCATTCTTAAAAGAACCAGGTCATCCAAATGTAAGAATTATGGCTATTATTTTATCCCTTTATGAAGATATTGGAACCATTGGTGATCAAATTGAACAAGTGGGAACTCAAGTGGTTAGAACTCAATGGATTGATTATAATCAATCCAAAATCGATTTAGTTGGTAAAAATGTCTTAATCATTGATGAAGTTGACGATACCAGAACAACTTTACATTATGCGGTATCTGAATTAAAAAAAGATGTTGAACAACAAGCTAAATCTCAAGGTAAAAATCCCAATGATACAAAATTTGGAGTGTTTGTCTTACATGATAAGCAAAAACCAAAAAGAGCTGATTTACCTGATGAAATTATGAAAACGGGTAATTATTTCGCAGCAAGAACTGTACCTGATGTTTGGATTGCTTATCCTTGGGAATCAACCGATATTGTTTATCATACTAAAAAGGCTCTTGAACAAGATAATGATGTTTTCTTACCATCTACCACTCAAGAGGATTAGAATTATTTAATTATTCTCCCGTGTTTTACACTTTTCTGCTTTTAATTTTTTTTTTTCATTTATTAGAGGTTCATATAAAAATCAAATATACACTTAATACAACATTCATACAATCAATCAAATAATGATATATTACTAAACTAACTAACTAAACACCACACCACACCATACTATAATAATATCTTCTATCAAAATTTTTTATTTTATTGTTCTAATCTACATAAATATTATAAAATCTATAACCACCCAACATTAGTTAATTTTAATGAATTTCTTAAAATTCGAGATACTTTGGGTCTTAAACTAAAATATTCTTTATCAGTTAAACCAGGAGTTTGAATTTCTTTAACTGAGATTAAAAATCCTCTTAAGATAATTAAATCTACTAAAGCTGCAAAATAAGCTGCTCCCACAAAAGCGGAACAATAAACATATTGAGTTGGACTTGGAAGACTCTTTTGTAAGGATAATCCAATGATAGGAGATACTACTGCTGATGCCCCTAATACAATGGCTCCCATACTGAATGTAACATTCATTTTATTCATTCTGAAATCAATCACTAAAATATTTATACTCGTCATACAAACAAATATAACTCCACTAAAAGCACCAAGGAAAACACCTAATGCAAGAGCACTAGCATAATTTCGAGATGGAATCCACATGGCAAGGACAAATATAATGGTTAGGAATGTCAGAAATATAGCAATTAAAATAGCTCCAAATCTATCAGCCGCAATTCCAAGAGCAGGACGACCAATGATTATCCCTAATGAGATCATCCCTGCTACAACTGAACCTTGATATTCAGTATATCCAAGAGAAATAGTCCAATCTGCAAGACTATATAATGTAACCACATATCCAAACATAGTGAACATCACAAAGAATACATTTCCCCAAAAGGCAGGAAAGAAGAAAACATCTTTGTCAAACATGGTGAATTCAACTTTAACTTTCTTAGATTTATCCTTTAAGAAAAAAATGGAGATACTAACACAGAATAATGTGATGAATGATTGAGTACGTAAAGCCCATCTTAATCCATATACTTGAATAACTTTTTGCATTCCTAAATTAAATAAAAGTCCACCTCCACCTGTTCCAGCTGCCATAATACTTTGAGAGAAAGTTAACATTCTTCGTTTAAGACTATAATCTTCTTTATTTCCTTTATTTTGAAACCAAAGGGGTAAGATTGTGAAGGAAGGCATTCCTAAAAATGCTAATCCAAAAGATTGTAATACACCTTGAGTTAAATATAATTGCCATAATTGATTATGAGAATCAAAACTAGTAATGAATAAAGCAAGGAATTGACAAATATTACCAATGATTAAACTTCCCTTGGGAGTAATCTTCCCACTAATATAATTGATAACAGGAGCACAAAAAATCCCAACTCCAAAAGTTATCCCTCCAATAGCAGCAAAATCAATTACAGTAGCAGTAGGATATAAATTATGAGTTTCGTAATAAGCAAAGTATACGGCAAAACTTGAATTCCCACCCCATGAACAACAAGAGATGGTGAATATACATGCTAAAATAACCCAAGCGTACCCTCCGTTAATGTTGGGATCATCATCTGGGTCAATCGGAGTGGTGGTTGTAGCGGTTTGAGATGAAGAAGAAAGAGGAGGCTGATGGTTGATTTTTTCTTCTTCATCAATGATTGAAGGTCGTGGAATTTCATTGGAATATGTGGTATTGGAAGTCAGGGAGTCTTGCAGAGAATCCTTTTTCATCTCCAAGCTCTCAATTGGAATCGATTTACTCATTGAAAGATGCTATTGTTATTGTATGAATGATTGTATTAATGCAAATTGATGTTGATAATGAGGGGACAGCAGTATATCCGATATTTATACTTTGAGAGATTGATGGAAACTAAACCTACTTGATTATTAATAACGTTGCTGACAGATAACTAGAAAACAAAAGAAACAACATGATATCTTGAAAAGATATATATTAATGGCAAATGGATGACACTTATATATATATATATGATTTACAGATATGCATTAATAATCAGCCTTGATTATTGCAAAAACTTTTTTAGTGAGAGAGAACCCCCATTGAGAAAAATAATGTATTGTTAGTGCTATGGTGGTGGGCGATTTTTATCTGTTTGTGATAATTGTGCATAATAGAAATAGAGGAATAAAGAGGGTGAAAAATTTAAAATTTAAAATTAGAGATGGAGATCACGATAAATTGGTAATCAACTTTAAGGCTGAATCGTATTCAGTTACTTGTTTGAAGCAGAATATTCCCAATTAATAATAGAACAAGACTCACAAAAGTAAACAAAACAAAAAAACACTCACTAAAAATTTGGGAAGTGGCTTTAACATCACCCATCCTCCAATCCAATTCTGCCGTTTCATTTCATGGCAGCATAACCCTTCGTCAAGTAAGTCATCGGTAAGTATAGGGTTAGGGTTAAGTATATTATATAGAGAAGGTAAGTTATACTAATGTAAGCTAAACTGAATCTAATCACCACCTACCCATAGTTGGTAGCATATTATACCATTAAACCCGCTAGCAATCACAAAAAAATATTTACCACCATCCATCCACCATCGTAATGCACATTTCTTTTTTTTTTTAGCGGTAAATTTGAGTCCATCAAAGTCATGAATTATTGTCCGTAACGTAACGTTTAGGGTAATGCCGGTAATTATTTACTGAGATATGTTGGTGAGTAAGCAGCATATATACTGATACGACGCATCGCCTATTTGGTTGTTGACTTGCCTGTAGCAAATGTTGTGGATGAACGGAGTAAATTCAACCACTCCACTCCACTCCATTAAATTAAAGTCTATCGTGCCGAGCGGCTGTAAACAACTTTAAATTTTAAAATTGTGTGTTATAACCGCTGGTGGGTTAAATCCATTATAATTAAAACTGTATATATTTTATTTACCCATTAATTAATCTATAAAATCAACTTGTATATATACGTAATCCCTTTATTTAGTTTGAAATGATGTTTTTATAATACGATTACTAATTTGTGCTATTATATTATTATTACAACGATTATAACCATCCTTCACCCCTGAATTTAACACTATTCTTAAATATATCTACTATATTAGGTCTTGTCTTAAAATATTCTGTATCAGACATTTTTAATGATGTCATATTTCGAGTAGATATAACATATCCTCTTAAAATTATAAGAGTTATGAAATTTAATGTAAAGGATACTCCCACAAATACAGCACAATAACGATATTGATCTGCTCCTGATAATCCAGGATCATTTCTCTTTAATGAAATACCTATAATAGGGGAAAATATAGCTGAAATACCTAAAAATACCCACAGCATATAAAACGTAACATTTAATTTCCCTAATCTAAATCCTAATACATTTAAACATATAGTAGTGAAAGTTGGGAAAAATGTTCCACTAATAGCTCCCATAAAAAATGCAAATGTCATAGCAGTAGCTAAATCTTTTCCAATCATCCATAATGTTAATACAAATACTGCACTTATGAAATAAATAATAGTGGCCACGGTGAATGCTCCAAATCTATCGGCTAATAATCCAATCGTTGGTCTTCCAACAATCATCCCAATTGATATCATAGATGAAGTAATTGATCCTTGATATGCAGTATATCCTAATGAAATAGTCCAATCTGATAAACTATATAACGTAACCACATATCCAAGCATAGAAAATACTACATAACAAACAATCCCCCAAAATCCTGCAAATTTAAGAATTTCACTATTATAAATCGTGAATGCAATTTTAACATTTTTAGCATGACGTTCTTTTAAGAATATAATAGGAACAGTAACTAATACAATGGATATGAATGATTGAACCCGTAAAGCCCATCTTTCACCATGAACTTCCAAAACTTTTTGCATCCCTAAATTAAATAAGATCCCTCCTGCCCCACATCCTGCCGTTGAAATACCTTGAGATAAAGTTAACATTCGATCTGAAATTCGATAATGTTCTTTACTTCCTCGATTGGTGAACCAATGAGGTAAGATTGTGAAAGCTGGTAATCCTAAAAATGCTAATCCAATAGATTGTAAAACACCTTGAGTGATATAAGGTTGCCATAATTGATGATGAGAATCAAAACTTGTTAAGAATAATGAAATAAATTGAAAAAAATTCCCAATCATTAAAGCTTTTCGAACTCCAATTTTACCCGTTAAGGAATTAATTAATGGAGCAAACGTTATAGCAGTACCAAATAAAATTCCTCCAATAGCAGCATAATCTAACGTACTTGCTCCTTGATATACATGATTATTACTATAATAGGAAAAATAAATCCCATAACCAGAATTATTCCCCCAAGATGCTGCTGTTAATGAAAATGTACAACAAAGAATCACCCATGAATAACCACCATTCATTCGATGTTCTTCATGTTCTTCATGTTCTTCTTCTATAGTGGACTCTCCATCGTCACCTATTTCTTCATCTAGCTTGGTGAGATATTCAATATTGTCCTCCTTACGAATAATACCGATATCTTGTTCTTCTTGATTCATGTTGGTCGATAATATCGGAGTTGCTATTAAAACTTTTCGGAGTTTGAGATATGATTTCCTCCCTTGTTATCACAGCCGTATGGTAAGGTAATACTCAATGAGATAGAATAATAACACTTATTCTATAATTAGATCTTGATTACAACGACATATATGTTGTCTGAATATAAAACTTGATAAAATGGCTATTCAATTATGGAAGCAACCAATTATATATATATATGTCAACCACAAAAAAATCATTGCAAAATTGAATTTTGATAATGGATGAATGGGTAGAACTTTTGTCAGCATAAGTCAGAGGAGTTTAGTGAGAAAAAGTTCGGTGAGGGTCAGTAAAAAATTTACTTCTTCCAGCGGGGTTGTCTCAGAGCGGTGCTTAACGTTTTATTTTGTTCCACTAATCGATGTTTATTTTCTGGTTACTGAATTTGTGATTATAGTTATCAGTTACCTTATCTTGATAGTTCAGGATATCATTCAATTATATATGGTCCAATTCTCTTCTTGAATTACATTAAAACCATCTGATCTGACTTTAAAAGACGTTTTAAAATCTGGTTGGATGTAATTTAGGCCTTTCACAGAGCGGAAAAATTTTCCGTGGATAATTTGCGGCTATCAGGATAATTACTGAATTGACGTGCTAGCCGCTTTTGTAAAATTGTGTGGATATAATCGACGGGCTTTGACTAGTTTATTGAAAGTCCTGCCATTTTTGCAACATCTACACATCTGATTAGTAATTAATATGTATTTGTACTCTATTCTATAATAAGTTATGCGGCCGTATGGTATATAATAAATAAGTTAATGCTAATGAGTGTGAATCATATGGCTCTTATACGTGACTCAAAGTCATAATGGATATATGACTAGTTGGAAATATGTCTAATTGGTGACATAACAAAAATTTCAGCTATTATATTATCATATACCTTCAACACCTTTAAATCTGAAAGTATTAGTAATGATTCTTGACATACTAGGTCTAATACCGAAATATTCTTCATCAGTCATTTCCTTGGTAGCGATTTCTCTAGTTGAAATGATGAATCCTCTTAATATCATTAATTCAATGAATATACAAATGAATGATATACCAACAAATATGGAACAATGAGCATATTGCGTTGGTCCTAATTCTGATTTCTTTAATGCAATCCCAATCACTGGTGAAACTATAGCAGCTGCTCCTAAAAATACCCATTCCATGTAAAATGTGACATTAAATTTACTAAATCTAAAATTAACAATGTTTAAAGTTATAGTGGCCACAGTTGGGAATACAGTACCACTAACAGCTCCAGTTAATATACCTAATGCAATAGCAGTAGCATAATTTCTAGCTGGGATCCACATTGCTAATGACAAAATTGCACATATTAAATACAGATAAGCAGCAGTAGATATAGCACCAAATCTATCGGATAATAATCCCACAATGGGTCTACCAATCATAATCCCCAACGATATCAATGCAGCCACGATTGATCCTTGATATTCACTATATCCAAGTGAAAGTGTCCAATCTGCAAGACTATATAAAAGGACAACATACCCAAACATGGCAAATACCAAATATAACACTCCACCCCAGAAACCAGGGAAGAAGAATACATCTTTATTAAAGAATGTGAATGCAATTTTAACATTTGGATTTTTACGAACTCTTAAAAAGAATATCGACAATGAAACCACAAATATTGATATGAATGATTGAACTCTTAATGCCCATCTAACATCATACACTTGTAAAACCTTTTGCATACCTAAATTGAAAAGTATCCCACCTGCTCCTGACCCAGCAGATGCTAACCCTTGTGATAAAGTTAACATTCTATCGGATATGATATATTTTTCCCCAATAGGTTTATTGTTAAACCATTGAGGTAAGATTGTGAAACATGGTATACCTAAAAATGCCAATCCAAAAGATTGTAAAAGTCCTTGAGTTAAATATAATTGCCAAAGTTGATTATGAGAATCAAAACTAGTTAAGAATAATGCCACAAATTGAATTACATTCCCAATTGATAAGGCTCCTCGTGATCCGATTTTACCAGTTATAAAGTTAATTAAAGGAGCAAATAAAAGTCCAACTCCAAATGTTATACCTCCAATAGCAGCAAAATCAACTCCAGTTGCTCCTTTATAAAGGGTATCATTATGACTACTATAATATGCAAAATAAACTGCAAATGCTGAATTATTCCCCCATGCACAGAAGTTGATGAAGAAGGCACATGTTAATACTACCCATGAATAACCACTATTCATTGGTAAGACTGGTGCTGGATCTTTTACTTCTATTATGTCTTCCTCTTCTTCTTCGCTGCCAAGTTGTGCTTCTTCGTCATCTGGTTTTGATGAAGTTGGTCTAGTTATGGATTGTGGGATGGTATCCAAGGTGGATAGATGGACATTTCCCTGTGATTGTGGTAGTGGTGATGACATTGAATTCGAATCCTGGGATATAACCAGACTACTCTTTTGAATTGATATACTCTCTTTTGATATAGAATCAGACATGTTATTGTGCAAAACTAGATGATTTAACAACTGCAAATTTTCTTGTATCTTCTATCAACTTGAATATATATCGTCTATTTAAACAGCCGTCAAATCAATAAGTCGTCTCATCCTTCGAGGACAAACATGAAACAGGTATTTCAATTTATATTTAAACAGCCATAATATCTCAAAGCAAAATCGGGCTATATAGTATTTCAAAATAATGATGTCAAAATAATTCGGGAAGCCTCGATACGCATTTTTTCCGATTCCCTTATTTTTTTTTTGTGCTTATGTCCCTCCACCGCTAAGCTCAGCCAGTCGTGGGGGATCCCCTCCTCCTACTCTAGTTGTTAGAACTACACAATACAAATATTTCACTATACATGTTTAAACCGGTATGTGCGTTGTAATTACAAATCAATAACTACTGATAAAATGATTATGTATGTAAAGAGAGATGCAGTTAACTAAGTGGTTCTGAGACACGCGTCGTTTCTTTTGATATTCACAGTAACTATGATAATTAATCATATTCAATCGATTTCAATATAATCGGGACTTCTGGAATAATTCTTTAACGATGGATATGATGAATTCTTATCTTTTCTTTTCTTACTTTGTCTTAATGATTGACCAGCTCCACTAAATGCAGATTCCGCATCGGTATTAGATGCTGTGTCATCAGGATTATTATCAGTATCATTTTCTACATCTTCGGCACTTGGTAGCACCACGGGGAATCCAAAGAATAATTGATTATCAGGTAAATTTAATGGAGCAGGTGGAGCTTCTGGATCTAAATCATCAATTTTATAATTTGTCTGTATTTCTTCGGTTGGTTTACCGGATAATTTTTGTCCACTGCCATGAAATGAATCAGATCCAGGTTTAGAAGCTTCTGCTACTATTTGAGCATAATTGATGGATTTGGCCATAGTAGCTGCTCCGGCTCCTCTATTAACACTAGCTGGATCTATGGGAGTTGATGGTTTTTTAGGAACTGGTTTATATTCTGGTTCAACATAACCTACTGGAGGAGCAAAATCTGTTTCTAAATCTGTTTCCACCACACATATACCCTTAGTATTACTATCAGGTTTGGTTTCAAGAACCTTTATACCATAAATAGAATCATTATAATTAATTTCAATAATATCATTGACAGTTAATGTAGAAAATTTCCTTAATACATTTTCCAATACCGCTTTAGGATCAGATATATCTAAGAAATCAACCGATTGAGGTTCAATCTTAACAAAACTACCTAATGGTAAATCACAATTACTTACTTTTAACAATTGACCTGGACTGACCTTCAAAGTAGTCATCATCCATTGTGGTATATAAACCCTACCTTCTTCCGCCACAAATTCCAATACCCCACTATGAGTCTTTACTTCTTTAGCTTCATTTGATAATTCAAATAACATGGGATATCTGATATGTAACATGGTTAATTTATTCAAGGCAGATGGTGGTAAAAAGATCTTACCCCCAAAATTGGCATCATCTTTCCTTATATGATCTGGCATCATAGCAACAGGATAACATCGGAAAAAGTCTTCGAATTTATTACTCATGGGAGAGGAAAATCCTCCACCAAACACAGTGGCACCAAATCCTGAAAACATCTGGTTATATATATATGACAATGATCCCTGACTTTGTCTAGTTAATGACTGGTTGGTTGTAATCAGAGTTGGTTAAAGGATTCAATTTGCCGTTATTAATTTTTAATCTGCTTCCAGAGGGCAAACCTAAAAAACAAAAAGGGTGTGCATATAACAAATGTTCAATTAATGCAAAAAAAAATTGGTTTATAATAAATCTATATACTTTCATATTGTTTTTTTAAGAATAATTAATTATACAAGATTAAACTGTTATTGTTGTTGTTGTTGTTGTTGTTGACTTTGAACAACTTTGAAAACAGAATCAACTAATTCTTTTTTACTTTCGTCAAGTTCTCCGAAAAGGACATGATATTTAGCAGCATCAGCATGTTGAAGGGAGATTAATTGTTTATAAAATACTTCAAATACATTAACGTCATCAATGGGGGTTACTTTCATAGCTTCGAATTCAGCTTCATCAGCTTCGAAATCATCATCATAAAGTGCGTCTTCTCCTTCTTCTCCTTCTTCATCTTCATCATTAAGATTGAAATCAGGTCTAAGATTTTCTTCTCTATTAAGAATTTCATTTCTTGCTTTGATGGCATTTGGTAAAGCTCCAATATTACCTAATAAGATATCAGTGTTTTCACCAACTAAATCTTCTGGTAATAAAGTAATATCAGGACTTCCAATGATTGAAAGACAGGCCAAGATTTGTAATTTACATCCATAAACACTTTGGAAATCTTCAGAATGTTTCATCCATAAATTAAATAAACTTGGAATAAATTGTTTACCATTTAAAAATCTTAAAGTTGAACTGGTATCAATATATAAAGCAGCAAAAAATACTCTTAAAATCGATAAATGATGTAACATATATCCATCGAATGCCTTTTCTGATTCTAATTGAACGAAAATATCATATAATTCAGTGAAAAGAGTATTTAAAATTGGTACCACTTTTTGACCTAATGCTAGTATTAATAATTCAATTAATTCAAAACTTATATGAGCAAATACTGGATCAACTTCTTCTTCTTTCAAAATCTTGAAACAAACATTAAGTAAAGATTGAACTTGAGGGGTTTCAACAGTTACAGTTGGTTGACCAAATCCATAATTGATCACAGTTTCAAAGAAACTATTAAAATTATTGAAATATTCCAAAGCATAAGTATCAAATGAATCAATACAAACATCATATAAATTCCAAATCGTTGGAGAAACAGATTTAGTACTAAATACTAAAGTTTCTAAAATTTCCATAGCTTCAGATAAAAATGAAATCATAGCATTTTCAAGAATGAATTTAAGCATTTCTTGAATGATGGGTTCTAATGAAACACAAACTTCAGGAGATGAATTCATAGAAACGATAAGAGTGGTGATGGTATTTAAAACATTGGCAGCTTGATATTCTCTATCTTCATTATAACTGAGTGGATCAGGACCTGATTCTAATAATTCATAAGCAATAGAAAGGAATTGAGTACACAAACTAGCAGTTAATTCTTTGGCATAAGGTTCTAAATTCTTTGCAAATCTTTCCACGAATTCTTCCATAGCAACAGCAATAATTTCATTTTCTGATCGTTTTGACATTTCTAATAATTTATTCATTAAATGTGGAGCTTGAGCTGCAACTGTTTCAGCAACAGAATCTTGTTTAACTAAGGTAGTTAAAGCATCAACTGCAGTTAATTGAACTGGGAAATGACCTTCAGTTTGGAAACATTTAACCACACTTTGGAAAATAGATTCTAAAGCTTGAGGATCTTGATATTGATATTGGAAACGAGCAATAGTATCACAAGCTCTTGCTACTAACCATGGAGTAGTAGCTAAAACATCATCGCCAAATTCAGGATAAACAAAAGTTAATAAAACTTTATCAATTTGACCATGAACTGGAGAAGCTTTAGTATTTAATTTAAATACAATACTTGATAACATTCTTAAAGCACCTTCAGTTTCCTTAGCAATGGTTAAATCATTACGATTAGCAGCTCTTTTATTAAATACTTCATTAAGGATACCTAAGATTAAATTAGCAGTTGATTTAAATTTCTTTGAGGCTAATTTATAAAGATAATTGAAAGATGCAACATCGGCCGTAGTTGATTCTCTATTAATATCAAAGAATCTTCTAATATATTCTTCAGAATCATCTTCATATAATTCAACTGTTTCATCGGTGGCTATTAAAGTTGGTAAAAGAACATGTTTTATAATAGCATCTTGTTTATCACTAATTAAATTCCAAGAAGGAGTATCAATCAATTGTTCCAAGAATGAAATTAAATGATATAATGAAGGTTCACTTAACCAAGTCTTTTTTGAAGACCAATTTTCAATAATTTCAAAATATGATGATAAAATTTCAGGAACGAAATTATTTAAAAACATAACCACAAATTGACTTTCTTTCTTTTCTCTAGTACTCATACCACCACCATGACGACTTAATAATCTATGTAAGTTGGCAAAACACCATTTAATGGTTTTAACTCTTGTATGTTTGGTTCTTTGATCGACATCATCTTCCTGCAATACTTGAGGTGGCAAAGGTTTTTTAATGATTAAAATATGATATTGACACCATTTTCCTAAATGATCAGGATTTTGAATATAAGTTGGTAACACTGAGAAAGTAGTAAATTTAAAGATTTTAAGTATACGATATAACATTTCATCAGTAATTGGGGATGAATCAGATGAATTAATTAAATTTTCAGTTAATGATTCTAATAATGGGAAAATTTCATTACAAACTTCTTCCAAAGCTGGATTTCCCGAACTTAAACCTGACCATCTATAATTTCTAGTATATTCATATAAACAAATCAACCCAGTCATAATTGACGATTCATCACCTTGTTGAATTAAGTTTTTAATAATAGTTACCATATCATCCCATTTATCTAAATCCAAGATATTATGTAATGCGGTGGATAATTGAAGACAAATAACTTGATGTTGATAAGTCTTCATGATGGTATGAACCAATTTTTCTTTAATTCCTGGTTTTTCATTATCAGCAATAGTCTTTGAAGTATCTTTACTATTTTCTGGGGCAAGCCAATGATTTACCACTCTATTTTTAAAGAACACTGATACAGAAAGTTGAACTCCACTTGAAATACCAGGTTCAGAAATCAAATCCAACAAATACTCAGTGAAACCAGGTTGTCTTTCATACACGTGAAGTTCTTGTTCACTATGTTTTCTAATGTTATTGTCGGCATCTAAAGTACCTTGAACAATTTTGATTAAATTGTCTTTATTCATCTTTATTTTTAACCAATTTTGATCCAATAAAAAACGTTCAGTGGAATATTAACTTATTCTACTTTAAATATGATCTAGACACTGGTACTAAAGTCCAAAATCGAATGGTTAACCCTGTTTTGAAGATGATTTGATATCAAAAACAACATGGTTCAATCGTATTATTACCAGAAGAGTTGAAAAAAAAATTTTAGTATGTTAAATGTTATATGCAGGTTATTTAACTATGTAATGCTAATTATATAACACGTTTTATATTGAATTTGATAGGTAGGTGTGATATAAGTAGATATGTATCATATCAAGATCCATTACATAGATGCTAAATTGATATCAATTGAATTGTACTAATTTTGGAGGGTTAAAATGGTATGCTTATAATGGTTATAGATTGTATTGGTTACCTTAACTATGTGGGTATGGATGTTTCCGTTTATGACCTGTATATAAGGTCAGAAACCAGAAGCAGAAAAAAATTGGATGTGATGAAGAGATAAATTTATGACTATAAGCAGAAGGTATCAGATTGATATCATCATTTCATTTCATTTCATATATATACATATTCCTAATAACACCTGGTTGAAACATGGTCATAGCGTCTGAAATAAAAGGCTTTTATGTGTTGCCAGTAGAGTTCCCAGAGTCCAGTTCTCCTCATTACATATACTTCAAGAAACATGAAGTTAAAGGATCTCCATCATCTGGTACATCATTATTTGTATTTAATTTACCTATAAATACTAGTACCGCCACTTTAAAGAAACTTTTCCAAGATGTTTCCATCGGAGCCATCATGTCATCATATACCAGTAGTAAATTAACTGATTATCCCGAAGATACTTGGCTTAATTTGACTGAATTAACCTCTGATTTGGATTTAAAAAATGGAAATGGTAATAGTATCGCTGATGATGAAAGCTATAGATTACCTAAAAATTGTGGTATTATTACCTTTATTGATAAAGCATCATTCCAACTAGCATTTAATTCTCTTAAGAAATTATCCAACCAATTAAAAGTTACTAAATGGCCATTTGAAATCATAGATTCTACTTATTATTTAAAGAAATATCAATCCCAAATCTATAATCCTAATGAATTATCAGAAGCCGTAAGTCAAGCTTTGATTGAGTTTGATCGTGCTGAACAAGAATCTAAAGATCAAATCCATTCTAATTTGGTTGATGAAGATGGGTTCACTATGGTGGTTGGATCTCATAGAAAGACTAAAGCAGGTATAATGGGTAAACAAAGATTAGCTGCTACTGTTGGATTAGCCAAAGCTCAATCTAAATTAAAGAAACAAGAACGTGAAGATTTTTATAGATTCCAATTAAGAGAACGTAAAAAGGATGAAATGAATCAATTATTATACAAGTTTAAACAAGATCAAGAAAAAGTTAGATTAATGAGAGAAAAGAAAAGATTTAGACCATATTGATTCATTCAAGTTATCATCCCTGATTTTTATTTATTTGTAAATATAGTTAATGTAAAATAGAGATTATAGAAAGTTTTAATATAAAATTTTAGAATTTAGAGATACCAATATTTTTTTTTTGCGTGTAAGAAATTACATCAGATATGTGAATTTTACGAGTAGTTTAACCAGATCTTTCACCATTGTCGTTTGCAACAATAATCATTGAGTCAATACAGACAATCATAAACCATCATAGACGGTTAATAGAAATCACAATATGGCAACGGTAGAAACGTCATCTAAAAAGGCCAAAGCGTCACCTAAAAAGACATCAAAATCAAAACGGAATGAACCAAAACCTCCACCAACTCCAGAAGTCATACGAATGGCTGAAAAAGTTACGAAAATATACCCTGATATTCATTTCCCCCCTCAATTACCTGATGATTTTGAATTACTTTCCACCATCAGGTACGATCCGAAATTAACCATGCTTCAACCAATGGCATATTCTGAGATTGTGATTGATAATTTCTTCCTTTTACAAGATCATATTGATAGATTGAAATATACCATTGAATTTTTCCAACACATATATGATGACTTACCAGACAAGGAATTTGAAATCACAGGTGAATTCCTTTGTCAACAATTAATCACTGCTATACAATTACTGGAAAAACCGGTATTCCTCGCTTTAAAAATACGATTATTAATGAAATTAACAGGTGAAGTCCGTATTGAAGTTCATGATACTCCATATAGAGGGAATCTATTGGATGGGATTGGGGTGCAGATCTTAGAGGGGAATCTTGACTTACCTTCATTAGAAGATAATGTGGTATGGGATGTTTATATTGATAAAACTTTCACTTTAATATCTGCATTCACTTCATTCAAAACTACTACTCGTCAAGTATATACTGAAGCTCGACAACGAACCTTACCTGGTTTAAGATCTACGGAAGAAGTTTTAATGTATAATCCTCAAAGTAATTTAACGGAAGGGTCTATTACCAATATTGCGATCAAAGATTTAAAAACAGGTCATTGGGTTACACCTTTATTATCATCAGGTTGTTTATGTGGAGTAATGAGAAGTTTTCTATTACGGAAAGGGTTCATACGAGAAAGATTAATTAAACTTAATGAAATAACTATAGGTCAAGAGATTTTATTATTTAATGGTATAATGGGAGTTGTTAAAGGTAAGATAGTTGGGTAAATTGAATTAAATTAAAGTAAATACTCTATATAAGGTTAGTTATTTCTTGTTCTGTATATCCCATAATGTATAAAACATCTAATAATGATTTGGTATTAAGACAAGCAGGAGCTAATTGTTGAACTTTTGGTTTAGCATTCCAAGCAATTCCAAATCCTGCTACAGACATCATTTTAAGATCATTCGCACCATCACCTACTGCTACAGCATCTTTAGGATTGATATTATGTTTAGAAGCAATCTCTAATAATAATTCTGCTTTCTTATCACCATTAACAATAGGACCTATAGTAGTACCATTTAACTTTTTAGATTCATCAATACCTAAAGTATTAGCAAAGGCATAATCTAAACCTAATTCTTGTTTAACATGTTCAGCCAACGGTATGAATCCACCACTACATACACCCATGACGACATTTAATGATTTCAAAGCTTTACATAAAGGTTTAACTCCATTGGTCAATTCAATCTTTAATTTCAATTCATCCCATAAAGTAGTGGAATCTATTCCTTTTAATAATAATACACGTTCAGCTAACGATTGATTGAAATCCAATTCTCCATTCATGGCTCTTTCAGTGATTTCCGCCACTTTATCTTCAATATCAGCATAAGCTGCAATTAATTCTATAACTTCTTGATAAATTAAAGTAGAATCCATATCAAAGATGAATAATTTCTTTGCTTGACGGGTTGATTGTTTTTGAAAGATTATATCATATTCAGGAGAGGTATTATTCAATTGAATTTGCTTTAAAGTGGATTGTAAATGATGAGATGATTCTTGATTGGTTATGAAGTGATAATCAATGGCTCTTGATGATAATGATTTGGTGGTAAATTCTTTAATGTTTAATTTTTCACTTAATAATGATGATTCAATCGATTTTATTTGAGCAGAAGTTAATTCTGAAGTGTGAGATATCACTGTTATAACATATGATTCAGTCATGATCCTGCTATATCTTGTCTAATATATATTCACTTTCCCACTATGATTCAAAATCATCGATAGACTCAAAATTGAGTCAAACCGTGAAAAATTGAAAAATGGGGGTCGTGTCTGCACTGATAATTATTTCTAACCACTTTAAATTAGAGATCTGTTTACACCATGTGTTATTACCCATTATCATTAGAACCAAGAATGGTTCAACTTGATTGAAGTGTATACAGTTTTGAAGGTGATACGGAACCCACACGGCGTTATCATATTTACAATATCTTTAGTAATGGTCTGACTGTATTGAGCTATTCCTGTATAGATAACGATCGATCGAGCCCTCCTCCACATGATGGATGGTTGACCTGAACTATATAAACTCCGTTTTTTAAACCCTTCCAGTAAGTTGTATACTTTAGTAATCTATTTATAATCGAGGAAATGGCTGTAAATCTACTTGAAAATGGTCAAGTTATCATGAACTGTGGTATTTTGTGGTTTTAAATGCGTTTAACTCCGTTGGGAACTATATCCGACATAATATCGATTTTTCAACCATGAAGCAATCTTACTAATACATAATTGATTTATTTCAAAACATATTTAAACAGGTGATTATTCATTTTAAATAGTTGCAAAAATTCATTATTTAAGTGTATGAAACTGCTGATTGTCATCTCATTAATAATCTTATTATTCTCCATCTACATCCTGACATCCAATTCACCTTCAAAAATGACGATTCCAAGTTTAAAATCAACCAATTTATTCAAACCTCTTCAAATTGGTAATATCTCTTTGAAACATAGAGTAACCCATTTACCAACTACTAGATTCAGAGCCACGGCTGAACATGTCCCAACTGATTTACAATTGAAATATTATACTGATAGATCGATTGCTCCAGGTACTTTATTAATTACTGAAGCCACATTTGTGTCTGAAAAATTAGGATTATATCGTAATGTTCCTGGTATTTGGAATGAAGAACAAACCAAAGCTTGGAAAACGATTGTTGATTCTGTTCATGAAGCTAACAGTTTCATTTCTATTCAATTATGGTCATTAGGTAGAACTGGTGATCCCAAATTTTTAAAAGAAAGAGGATTAGATTTCATTGCTCCATCTGCTATTTATTTCGATGAAGCTTCTCAAAAAGCTGCTGAAGAAGCAGGTAATCCAATTCGTGCTTTAACTGAAGATGAAATCCATGATATTATCTATAATCAATTCCCTAATGCCGTTAAAAACTCTATCAAAGCTGGTTTTGATATTGTTGAATTACATAGTGCTAATGGTTATTTATTAGAACAATTCCTTCAACCTACTTCTAATCAAAGAACTGATAAATATGGTGGATCCATTGAAAACAGAACCAGAATCGTGTTAGAAATCGTTGATAATTTAATTAATAATGAAGGTATTGATCCAAAACAATTGGCTATCAGATTATCTCCATTTAACACTTATCAAGGATCATTAGCTGAAAAGGAACCAACCCATCCTATTGCAACCTATGGTTACTTGGTTTCTGAATTACAACAACGTGCCTTGAAAGGTCAAGAATTAGCTTACTTATCCGTAGTTCAAAATGCAGGTTCAAATGTTGATTTCATTAATCAAATCTGGACTGGAAAAATCGTCAAATGTGGATTCTATTCCACCCAAGATGATTACACAAATGTTATTAAAGATGTGGAAGCTGATGATCGTACTGCCATTGGATTTGGTAAAAAATTCATTGCTAATCCTGATTTAGTCGAAAGATTAAGTAATGATCAAGAATTAAATGCTTTCGATGCAAGTACTTTCTATGGTTATACTAACTATGGTTATAACACTTATCCGACCTTAAATGAAATTGGTAAACTTGAAATTGATGAAGAAGCTGAAAAGAATCATTTTGGTAAAGCTTTAGCTTAGTTTAATTTATATATATAGTTTTTTAAGTTTTGAGTTTTGCGCTACCATAATAGACGGTTCCTTTATAAAGAAAAAAATTGTATTGGAATTTATGTATATCTATGTACGAAATGAATATGTGTTTATAATAAATAATAAATAATGGGGGGTATAAAGTGTTGATTAAACCTGGACCGCGATTGGGGTTTGAGTTTGAGGTTCAAGTTCTGTTTCAGTTTCTGTTTCAATTCCAACTTCTGATCTTAAATCATATTCACTTAACCCGATTTTACCATTTAATTTTCTGAAATTGTTTAAATAAATTTGATATTTCTTTTCAGCGATCAAGTTCATTTCAGGCCAATACACATCATGAACATATTCAAATTCCAAATTCCCATTAAATTCCTTATCTAATTGATCTTTAGGAACGAAATTTTCAAAAGGCTGATCATAAATAGTTTTCAGTCTCGTATATGGATCAATGAATGGACCCACCACTTTGAAAAACGTATACCCTATCCAAGGAATATTGGTAAAGAGACCTCTACCTAATCTTTCAGGGTAATGATTTTGAAGAATATGCAATACTTGTTTTGAAATTGATAAGGATGGGAATTTTGAAGATAAATTCATATGTTCAGGGGCAGCTTTAAAATCTATTAATAATGCAAGGGTATCTTGGCCCGGAGGCATGAATTGGATAACTTTCTCCAACATGAATACTAAATGTTGAACTTGTTTAATGGAAGGAGCAGTGTTTTGATAACCATTTCTTAAATAAAGGCAAGGACGATTATCATTATCATAACCTACGATGATATTTTTACCAGTTTCATTTTCATGTTTGACTAAATCAGAAGTTAATAATTTTTCTGAATCTGTATGATCTGGAATATGGACAACTCCAAAAGTACGTCTCCAAACTATAGTTTCTTCTAATCGTTTTATAGCAGCATCAACTTTCCATTTGGTAGCTCGTAAATATCTTAAAAAGCATTCTTTGGTTAACCATGCTAATTCTTCTTCTACTAATGGATGAGTGGCAGCATTTATAGAATCATTAACCGGAATATCTTGTCTTTTTATATATTCCTCGAAATGATGTAAAATTTGGTCATATTTATCTTGTTGTTCTTCTGTTAAATCAAAAATAGGTGGTTTAGGAGGATTGAGAGGCTCCTCAAATGGTTTTTGACACTTGATATAAGTCTTTTTATTCTTTTTAAGGATCCCACTGATATTAGAATTAGAAGTACTTGAACTTGAAGCACTTGTTTTGGAAGATATCGATGCTGTATCTGATTGTAAAGTGGTTGAAGAACTATTTGCCGTTGGTTCCTTTTTCTGTCTAAAGAAGTTCATCTTGAAGTGAGTCTATGTAATGTATAAGGTGAATATGTATATGTGTATCTGTCTATATTGGATGAGTTAACAACGAAAGGAAAGGGAATGGTAACCAACACGGTAAACTAGTTATCTAATCCTTAAATAATTTATAAGCTCTAAACTCAAGAAAATTTTATTTTAAATTACGCGTGGAACGAAAAGGTTCAAATTTGAGTCTTCGAAATTCAAATTCGTATCCGTGATCCGAATATCACCAATCACTTACAGCTAACCAACCACATACAATCAACCCCTAGCCATGCCATTGGATTTCACTATCACCACCAGTTCAGACTCCATATCGAAGGAATCGCCTATAATATTGAATGATCTTGTTGAATTGTTAACTAATCATTTAGAACCATTGGATGTGGATACTATCGATACCAATCAATTAAACACCTTCATATTAAAACAATGTCAATTGAAATCATCAAAGTATAAATTCTTAGTACAATCAACCAAATTATCAAGTCCTAATACGGTGGATTCAGATTTAGATATTTCATCTACATTTGGGGCAGTATGGGATGATAATAAAGATGGATATATAAGTTTAAAACTTGATGTATTATCGCTTGATGAAAATAACCAATCAATTATAAATACGATATTGATAACGGTGTTCTGGATATTTATCATATAGAGATCCTATAACATATCTAATATATTATATAAGGTTTCTAATTTCTCATTTAACGTTTTCAATCCTTTAGTATTGGTTGTCATATTAGTTAAATGTTTATTCAAAGTAGTTAATAATTCCTTGGTATCTTCATCTGTATTGGGATTGAAATGGTTTTTCCCTGATGAAGAAGTTTCTTTCTGTAAGTTAAGATCATTAATTGCATTCACATCGGTTTCAATCTCATCTGCTAAGGGTATATTATTTCCTCGTCTTTTATCATTCAATTCTCGTTGCATATTATTTATATTTAATAAAGTTGTCTTTTTAAAATCTTGTAAATATTTTGAATCCAATTGATAATTGATATTTAATTCATTATATGTCTTCTCCAATTGTTGTAATTGTTTCAATTCTGCTCCTAAATAAGTCTCTAAAAACTTCTTTCTTCTTAATAACTGATCAAAACTTAATATATTATTATCATCCTGATTTGATTTGAATTCCTTTGATACACTATCATTAGTAGGGACTTTAGTTACACTCAATCTACTCAATAATGATTTTGAATCTTGAGAATTGATCCATGTTTTGGTGATGATTCGTTGAGCCTCCACTGTCTTTTTAGTTAATTTACCATTCTTTCGATTAACAAGGTTATCACCATACCTTTCTAAAGTTCGAGTCAAAGCAATGTTTAGAATACTTTCAAATGATGATAATGATGATTTATTTAATGGTTCCCAGAATTCATCTATAATTCGAGCTGGGATTTTCTTTTTATTGGTATCAATGGTGAAGGCAGTATTTGGATCAATGATTTTAAACTCATCTAATTGATTTAGCTTTCTCTTATGAGGTCGTATACTAGGTGGTGGTATTATTTCTGTTGATTGTGGTTGATCATTAGAATCTTCCTGTACTGTCTCTTTATCAGTTGATTGTTTGTTAACATCCGATACTTCATTTTCTTCTTCTTCGTTTTCTTCTTCTTCTTCTTCTCCTTCTTCTGGTTGATCTTCAGTTACTGGTTCATTCGGTATTTCTTGATTCAATGTACTTGACTCTTCAGTATTCGGTAGAGAACCAGTTTCACTGTCTGGTATATGATTGTTGTTTGTAGTTTGATCTTCAGTACTATGAGTTGAAGCTGATATAGTTTCTACTAGTTCTTGTACTTCGGTATGCTCCTGAGTCTCATCAGTACCTCCAACAGTCAGGTCCAACTCTGAAGTAGAAGACATCTTGAATCATATATGGTTTGATAAGTTGGTATATTGATGTTTTGATTTGTGTATTTAATATTTTCTGTGTTACGCGGAATGCAAAATTATGAATTTGATAATAAAAAGTGGTCTTAGAGACAATGTTACACCTATAGTATGCTACAAAATCAGGTTAATCCTATATGAATTGATGTATGTATCCATTTATTGGTATAAATTAGGAAATCCTAGTATATAGCTATGAATTTAGAAAATTTATCATTTTTAATTAATTATAAATTTGGCTCCAAAATAGCGTTAAATAATTAGTATAAAATCAATTATTGATATAGTTTAACAAGTTTCAAAATACTTTTTAAACTTTCCACACCTTACCAATTCAAGCATACAGTATGTTCCTCTTCTATTGATATCGTATACCTTTCTATATCCTACTTTTTGAAATAGGTTACCATTCTAAATGAATGTATATCCACTTTAAGTACTGGTTCTTCATTTCCTGTATACAACTGGGTATACACAAAATCAATTATTTTTTTTAAGATGGGAAATATCTTTCTATCTTATTTATCCTAACAACCAGAACGATATATGATTCAATAGATGGCACCGGCTGCTGCATGGAATAGAGGACCAGTATGTGGTGTCGATAACTGTCGATCCCGACTATATCGTCATAGTGATGGGTTAACCATCTGTCAATTTGGTCATGTTATGGAAGGAGGAATTGAAATTAATGATGATCAAGATCAAACTCAAATTACAACTAGAAGATTGAATGTATTGCATGTCGATGATCGTGGATCATTCACTAGTACTAATATGTCTCAATCCCAAAGTTCTTTGGCAAGTTCTAATGGTAAGGGTAATCGATTATATGGTAAAGAAGGGAAAAAGTTATTATATCAATGTTTTCAAATATTATTAAAAAAACAATTTGAAACTTGTGTGGAAGTATTTCTTTCTGAATCTATAAAAGAAGATTTAGAACTTGTGATCAAGACTAATTGGATTAAGATCATGAATCAAGAACTTGGAGATGAAGATGACGTATCTCATAATTATAAAGCAATGTATCATTTAGATTTAATAGCGTTAATTTATTTATCAATTTTACAATTAAGATTCCAACCATTATATACGATTGAAATAATCGATAAGATTAAGACAAATGAAATTCCATATATAAAGTGTTTACATTTGATTCCTACATCATTATTAACTAAATTACCTAATGAGTATCTTTTAAGATTACAAGCTTCATCATTACCTATCAAGAATGAATTTTATTATAGTATTGAAACCATGGCTCATAGGTTATATTCTGAACAACTGGAGAATCCCGTTCAATCTATAGATATCCCGATTAATTATTATTATCCTTATATTTTCAAAATATTAACTCAAGATTTATTATTACCTAATGCGATTGATTTATTTAATACATATATTGTATTAGTGAATAAATTATATAAAAAGGATAATATCACGGAACAACAACACAATGGAATCATCCCCTTAACAACTAAATACAATAGGGTCAATCGGTTCTATCAAATCATAAAATTTCCTGAGATTAAATTAATCAGTATTTTAATATTCTTAATTAAATTAAGTTCAATAACAACCAAACATACATCACTATTCACTTATCAGATTAATTTTAAACATTGGTATAACAATCTTACGAAATTTGAATCAAATAATGAATATAAGAATTATGTTGAAACTTCTAATGTTAATGATTTAATTAATTGGTCTGATGATAAAATTGATAAATATTGTGATTGGGTTTATGATCAATTAATCCCGAAAAAGAATAAGACCTATATAACCGAACAAGATAATAATGGAGAAAAGGATACTAATGAAGAAGAATTAACTATAATGGAGAAGAGATTATTTCAAATCTTTAATATTGATATGACTAGTTCCGGATCCGAATCAGAAACGTCATCACCTGAACCATCCACAGCGGCTCAAAAACGGAGAAAAAGAAATGACGGGTCTAACACAATCGTTACAATGAAAGATGTGTTGAGAAGTGGAGTCCCTAGTCATATAAATACTAATGGTGACATTAGTAATCATCAAAAGAAGAAATCCAAGTCGGAAGATATGATTGATTTAAATAATAAATTGGTTAATAAATTCACCATCTTATTAGGAATAACTAATGAAACTTTAACGAAATCAATATTAGATGCTGAATCTGATATTCAAAAAGCTTTAATGAATTAATGAGTAGTAATATAATTTGTACATTATAAATACCCTATAGATTAATAATAACAACAATAATAATTAGACAATTTTGCAACAATGTAGTAAAAGTAATTTCTAGCTTAATCCAATCCGTAAAATCCAAAAACGTATATACGACAAAGGCTTCATCGCCGCCATTAAGCAAAAATTAAATTTCCAGATTTTTAGCGCTCAGTTTCACAAAGTCAAAATCTTGAAAGCCCTGAAATTTAAGAAAAGTGACGTGTATATGTATGTGTATTTAAAGCAGTTATGACCCCTATTGAAGAGGAATTAAGAACAGTACAGATCATACCATACCATAAATGGATTTTAAACGATACTAATCAAATTAGTTTTAAATCGGAAAAAATACACATATCTAGAAAAGGAAATATGATAAATTGATTGGAAATGTAAAATTTATTAACGCTTAATTGACACATTATCAACCGGTGATAGGACATGATTAGACATTATTAATTTTAAAGTAATATTTTCTATTATTGATAATCTTAGATGTAATCGAAGTCAATACGAAGATATGACGGTTGATTATTGTTAGTTTCTATCTTCCTTCAGTCCTCGCTTTTCATGGGGCCGTCCTTATAGACCCTAGTTTTCTCTATATCTCTCAGTTTCTCTCTCCTCCACTGTTGATTACAACAATGGACAGCACACTGTCAATCTTTGTGATGACGAACGTCAGTCTAATGTCAGGTTATACTACGTAATGGTGATTCAATCAGTTGTATTTTACGAATGATACCAAGTAAAAATTTCAAAAACATTTTTGGTGACGACAACGGAGTTCGAGAGAGAGACAAACAAATGGACTTTAGAACCATTTAAGGTTAACGGCGGCAGAAAAACATTAATCACCGACCCCGGGTTTGCATATAAGCCTATTCACATTCAATTTTGCGCACTATAAAGGAATAATAAAAATAAAAAATTATTTTATTTTCTTGGGCTCATCTTTTTTTTTTTTGTTTTTACACTTTATGGCTAACCCCCTTTTGAAGAGGTTAAATTTTTCTTTTAAACGCCAATTATCATCTCTGACTCTGTGGAATTGGAATGGACAATGTTTTTTTTATTAGAGTTTTCCAACAATTTGTAATAGGATACTTCAACAAAAATAAGTTAAGCAATATATCCAATTATGTGGGATTAAGAACTGTAATTACCAATGATTTGTATATCACTGTCTCTACATACTCAATTCGATCAGTGTAATTATGATCCCATTTTTTAGTTACGACACGCTAATCACCCATTTTATAATAATAATAATGATACATTAAACTTTTACAAGGATGATTTGTCAGTTATTTCACTGTTATGTGATTCTCTGTTACAATTCTTTTTTATTTTTGGTTTGGCTATTTATTTTAATAGTTATACCCCACAATTTTACCCCCACCTACAATTTATTTCCCAACTATTTTTAATATACCCTAATTATTCAATGTCTCTCACCCCCCATTATAGCTGGATTTAAGTAACTACTATAATTGAAATCTATAAATATAATCCAATTCCCCTTTTATAAATTTACTAATTCAAATTGTTATTTTTCTTTTCTTTAATCCATCTGTACTTTGTTTCAATCTTAAAACAACAGACAACATCAAATAAATCCCTAAATTATCTCAATCATCATGCTGAAAGCTTTACCTTTAAGTGTTCCAATCACTTTACCAAACGGTATTATTTATGAACAACCAACTGGTTTATTCATTAATAATGAATTTGTCTATCCAAAACAACACAAAACCTTTGCTGTGTTATCTCCATCCACTGAAGAAGAAATCACTCAAGTTTATGAAGCCTTTAAAGAAGATGTCGATACTGCTGTTGATGCTGCCAATGCTGCTTTCCATTCAAAATGGTCAACTTCAGATCCATCCACCAGAACCAGAGTGTTATATAAATTGGCTGATTTAGTGGAAGAAAATGCCGAAACTTTAGCTTATATTGAAGCTCTTGATAATGGTAAATCATTACAATGTTCAAGAGGAGATGTTGCTTTAACTGCTGCTTATTTCAGATCTTGTGCTGGTTGGGCTGATAAAATTAAAGGTTCTGTGATTGAAACTGGTGATACTCATTTCAATTATACTAGAAGAGAACCAATTGGAGTTTGTGGACAAATTATTCCATGGAATTTCCCTCTTTTAATGGCTTCTTGGAAATTAGGTCCTGTTTTAGCCACTGGTTGTACTACGGTTTTAAAAACTGCTGAATCAACTCCATTATCAGCTTTATTTTTAGCTACTTTAATTAAAAAAGCTGGTGTTCCAGCTGGTGTGGTTAATGTTATATCTGGTTTTGGTCCAACTGCCGGTGCTGCAGTTGCATCTCATCCAAAGATTAAAAAGGTTGCCTTTACTGGTTCAACCAATATTGGTAGAGTTATTATGAAAGCTGCTGCTGATTCAAATTTAAAGAAAGTTACATTAGAATTAGGAGGTAAATCTCCCAATATTGTTTTTAATGATGCTGATGTTAAATCAACCATTCAACATTTAGTTACTGGTATTTTTTATAATACCGGTGAAGTTTGTTGTGCTGGTTCAAGAATTTATGTTCAATCTGGTATTTATAATGATATTGTAGCTGAATTTAAAAGAGCTGCTGAAACTTTAAAGATTGGTAATCCATTTGATGAAGAAACTTTTATGGGAGCTCAAGCATCTCAACAACAATTGGATAAGATTTTAAGATATATTGATTTAGGTAAAAAGGAAGGAGCTACTGTTATTACTGGAGGTGAAAGATTAGGATCAAAAGGTTATTTTGTTAAACCAACTATTTTTGGTGATGTTAGAGAAGATCATCAAATTGTTAGAGATGAAATTTTTGGACCAGTTGTTACAATTACAAAATTTGAAACTATTGAAGAAGTTATTGCATTAGCTAATAATTCTGATTATGGTTTAGCAGCTGGTGTTCATACTGATGATCTTAATAAAGCTATTACCGTGGCTAATAAGATTAATTCCGGTACTATTTGGGTTAATACTTATAATGATTTCCATCCAATGGTTCCATTTGGAGGATACTCTCAATCTGGTATTGGTAGAGAAATGGGTGAAGAAGCTTTAGATAATTATACTCAAGTTAAAGCTGTTAGAATTGGTCTTAAACAATAAGTTTAATAGGATCTTTCTAATTATGATTGATATGAATATTATTATTATTTAGTTTTAGTTTAAGTTTTAGTTTATGAAAGCAAATAAAAAAAAATACAAATCTTTATGAAAATGAGTTTAAAGACCGTAGCGGTTAATAAAAGGGTAAATATGGTTTGAATTTAGTTTTCGCAGTCAAAAATAAAATCTAAGCCAAATAAGTAGAGTGGAGAACAATTAATGATAGATGAGGAGTAACCCCCTATTTTTACAAACATAGAGTTAAAGATGAAGGCAACAGAGTTAAAAATAAACGAAAGAGATTTGATGAAGTGGGTCAAAGGGATAATTAACGGGTGGGAGGCGGTTATGATAGACAGTTTAATTAATAAGCCTATTAACCGAACAAAGCGATTATTAAAAAGAAAAGAAATGGGGTAAAGTAAAAATAAATGGGGGACCACTTAATGTAATAGTAATAGCAAAACAGTAACTAGATATCATTTAATTTAATAATAAATCAAAAATTTGAATGATCTAATCATTGTAATAAGGTAGAGTAAGTTAAAGGGATGGAAACAAGGAACCTTATAAGTTGTAGTTTATTATGTAGAGGTAGCTGCAACTATATAAGGTAAAAACATCCATACCTCCACACATCCATTACGCCAAAACATCTTTACCTCTGCTTTTGGGGGAAATTAGATCACCTCCTGTATATAACTTCACAGTTCCCATTTTGGAAATGGAGAGAGAAGACTGAGAACACTCCACGTGACGTGTGACTGTTTTTCCCTCTAGGGCAAAATTAAACTGCGAACTGAGCTTAACTATGTGGAAGTTACATACAGGACAAAAAGATGGTCTTTGCTAACAAAAATTTTCACATAGTAAAGCTTTAGTGAGGAGGAACAAACACCAAACAGTCGTCCTTTGAGGAAACAGAGAAAAAAAAAAATTTATTGAAATTTTGAAAGTTTTAATTATTGTTAACTAGTCATAACTAAATAATAGGAAATATCATCAATATGGTATGTAATAATCGATAATCGATAATAGATAATTAGAGGAGAGGATATAACCAATATGTTAATATGGTCAATAATCATTTCAAATGAGTAAATGTTCAATCTTGAACGAGTAAAGTTATCCAGTCCATCCATCCATCAATGAAAAATTAAACATCAATCAATCAATCAAGTAATCCCAAGGTAGGATCCATATTCGACTTAAAAGTTAAACAATCAATCTAGTTCCATGTCATGTCATGAGAATGTATTAAGAAGATCTATTTCAATCCATCCATCGAAGTCCATCAGTATAATAATATTTGTAGTTTTTCAATCATATGATGAGAGAATATCCAATCACCAATTATATGTAACAACTATCATCATTCATTAGAATCAGAACAGAGTCATCCATCTACAGTATTAATCAAATGAATGCATCCCAGTACTAAGATCACATCCCATCCATCCATCCATCCATCCATTCATTCATCATAAACAAGGATTCTCCTATAATCAACAATATCATCTCATTAAGTCAACTCATATCAAATCAAACCACCATTCATTCCCAGACTATTATTAAACAAGGTTATACCCTCCGCCATAAACACTTGAACCATTACTAACTTTAATTCCTTATAGAGTGACGCTGTTACTATCAGAACTAGAAAGGTTATCTCTAACCCATTATTAGCAAGAAGACAATTTGTTATTGATGTTTTACATCCAAACAAAGCTAATGTTTCTAAAGATGAATTAAGAGAAAAATTAGCTGAAATTTATAAAGCTGAAAAAGATGCTGTTTCAGTTTTCGGTTTCAGAACTCAATTTGGTGGAGGTAAATCAACTGGTTTCGGTCTTATTTATCAATCTGTTGCTGATGCTAAAAAATTCGAACCAGCTTATAGATTAGTTAGATATGGTTTAGCTACTAAAGTTGAAAAAGCTTCAAGACAACAAAGAAAACAAAAGAAGAATAGAGATAAGAAAATCTTTGGTACTGCTGCTAAATTCGCTAAGAAAGCTGCTAAAAGAAATGCTGATAACTAGGTTCTTTAGTACCATCCTAATGTATACTTCATCCCATCTTTCATCCATCCCACCCCATCCAAAACTACATACAATATATATAATTCTTGTTACATAGAGAATAAAAACAATGGTATAAAACGTTATTATTATATTTTATTATTGTTCATATTTTGCATTAACATCTACTATGTTTTTAATCTCATTATGGTTTCATTAGTTATATATATTTTAAGTATTATAATCATCCCAAATCTATATAATAAAATAAATAAAAATTCGTTTATCAATATTAGTTAATTGTAGTTTATTATAGGTAAGTCAATATCCTGTATATAATTCTCCAAATATCCAAAACAAAATTGCAACTCCTACAATGAAAGTAATATATAGTTAATAAGGACAAAGTACCACCACCACCACCATGTCAGAAAGGAAAGCGATTAATAAATACTATCCCCCTGACTATGATCCCTCCAAGATCAAACCAAAGAAGAAATCAAAAACAAATGGAGGTCATGAAATCATAAAGATCAGAATGATGGCACCTTATTCGATGCGATGTTTGAAATGTAATGAATATATTGCTGAACGTCGTTCATTCAATGCTAGGAAAGAGACTACTGATGAGAAGTATCTCAATACTAAGATCATACGATTCCATATCACTTGTCCTCGATGTAATAATCATATTAGTTTTAAGACAAATCCTCAAATTGCAGGGTATACACCTGAAGAAGGTGCCGTTAGGAATTATGAATCTAAAAAGGTGAAACTGAATGAAACTGAAGATGAACTCTTGACAAGGTTGGAGAAGGAAGATATTGAAGATGAAAAGTTTAAATTATTACAAGAAAAGAGGAAAAAGAATCCCTTTTATAATCCTAATGATGATAGTAATGGAGATACGATGGAGAATTTTGAAAAGAGATTGATTGAACAAAAGAAACAACAAGAGATTGATCAACATTTGGAAGAATTACAATTTAAAAATGATCAATTACAAGCTTTAGGAGGTGAAAGTGAGTTATTATCAGAAGCTAGTGAGAATTTATCGAATCGGATTAATCAATTTAAACAAATTCAACACCAATTGAATGAAGAAGAAGATGAAAAGTTGATTCAACAAGCGTTTAATAAAAGTAATGATCTAAAGAGGAAAATTGAACATGATCAATCTCTGGAAGTGACTCCAATAGAGTCAGTACCACTATCAAATCCACCTGTGAAGAAAATATTGGTGGCTTCGAAAATAACCCTTAAGAAGAAAGTTAAACCAACAGAAGAACCTAAACCTATTGACAATTTAGCTTCAGCCATCGGAGGCTATTCATCATCTGATGATGATGAAGATTAACGAATTTTATGAAAACTAATATGTATTAATACTTATAGAATATACACAAAACTACTAATCCTTAAATGTAAAATCATTCAACGTAGCAATCGGCATGGATGGAGGTTCAACTTTAGATTGGTAATCCTTTTGAATAATTTCCAATTGTTCACATAATTGATTAACTTGACGTTTATCCATATCCTTACGACATAAACATAACCCTCTCACATATTCAATCGGACAATAATAAAATAATGGTAAAATATCATGTTCCCAAATTTGTGGTATGATAGTCATAGGTTCATCACACATCCCTAAATCACCCAACAATTCAATTGCTTGTAAACTCATTAAATAGGCCGTATCTTTTCTGGTAAATAATGGTTGTAATTTACCATAGATAAGAGTGACATCTCTATTAATTCCTTCTGAAAATGATTTATATTTCTTAACTGCCTTAGGATCAATCTTTTTCCCATCACCATGTAAGATATTTTCATATCCAATTCGAATATAATCTGATATAAATGAATCCAATAAAATATTAAACGTTAAAGAATAAATATCATAGGTGGTATAACTTCTTAATTCTCCCATATATTCCGCAATAGTTTCCGCAATTCTAGCTGCTCCAGTAGTTTGATCCAGAGTAAGGTTTTGTCCATCTTCATACCATGATTTTGTAAATAATTTCGATAATTCAGGATATAAATCATTAACAATAATATCAACTATAGCTCGTAAAATTTGGGCATTTAATTCTGTACTTGGATTATTAGTTTCTTCAATAGCTTGAATTAATCGATTTTGATAGGCACTATGAACTTTTTCTTGATATTCAGGTAAGAATTTATCTGATAATCGATCTGTATTAATCTCAAATGTATTCCCTAAGGCAGCAAGATATTCAATAAGGGCCGGTTGCGAAATTTGGGCTAATTCTTCAGGTGTCATATTTTCGAAATCTTGAGGTGTCTTAGATGTATTTGATTTCCCCGATCTGAATAATCTCTTAGCTTTACTTTCTTTAATTAAACATCCTTCATTACTATAGATCGACATATATTTTTCAATTTCATCTTCAATTAATTTTTGAAAATTTATAATTCGTTTAATATAACATTTGGAAAAATTTTCTAATACCCCAGCTAAAATCTTAGAATATCCTGAATCAGCCGCCACATCAGCTTGACCCTTTAACATTGTCAAGGCAGAATTGAAATCAGGTAATACATAGACATCACTTGTAATATCCACGGTGATTAATTGATCATTAACATCTTCATCCTCAATTTGTTGACTATAATGATAAGTGTCAGGAGGAATCAGTCTTTGAACGAAATTCTCCGATTCCATTTTAATTAAATTATCGGTCCATTCATCCAGTTTACTAGTAATGACTTTCAAATAATCTTCTAATACACTATTCTTTAATTCTTCTCCAATAATCGATTTTTGCTCTTTCTTTATAACTGATTTTCTCTTTGATTTATCATCATCAGTATCAAGGTTTTGTAAAGCAACAAGGAATTTACCATAATAAGTATCATAATTCAAAATCTTCATTAAATCTTCTGCTGGTGGATCAGTATTAATTACATCCATAGTATATTTATGTAATCTATTATAATAAACATTTTGAAAAAACGAATCAACATCCCAATTAGAAGGTAACATTGGATTTAATCGTTGAAATACAAATCTTAATTCATCTTCTAACCAATCTAACCCCCCTTCATAAACTTGCATGGGATCACTGGAATAATGTTTAATACAATCATTAAATGTATCATCAAGACATTCTTCTAATTTAATATAAAAGAATTTCTTATAATTCCGTTTTGAACCTCTGAAATTAACATAATCAATGGTTTTGAAATCACCATTACCTTGATTAATTCCAAGATTTTCCATTAAGGTGAATTTTAAATCTTCATTAGCTTCAAATTCAATAATCTTCACTAATTTATAAACCAATTGAACATTATCATCCTTAACTGCTTCTGTCAAACTAATAATCATTTCTTTCAACAATTCATCGAATAATCGGATCGTAGTCTTAGTCATCTTAATAACTTTATTCACAAAGGCCTTTAAATCATCAGATAATTGGTTTGAAAAAGTTTCTAAATAATCCAGAAAATTCCGAACTCGATTATATTCAAAATGTATAGATATGATATTAGGTAAAGGATATGAAAGATCTTCATTCAATTGTTGATATTCCGCTTCAATCTTCTTATTCAATTTAGCCAATATATTCGAATATGATCTAATATCTTGATATAAATTCTCCACTTGATTCAAATATTGATTAACACTTGACATCTTCTTAATGGTGGCATAATCCTTGATATTGGTGATTGATTCATCATAAATCTGATTGATTCGAGTGATGTTCCCCTTGATGGAATTGATCCTACTTGAAGCATCATTCAATTTCGATATATTCGTCATTAATGAATCGATTTGTTGTTGTGTTGTTGAACTTAATTTAACATCAATCGATGCCTTTTCTCGAATGAATTGTTGTCGTAATTCAGGAATCTTCACGAGATCATCCTCCACTTTAAGCAAATGTGCTATCCTAGAGAGGGCTATATCACTCATGTTACTTAATTGATGATAGTTTGTTGCTGATGTTGGTGTTGGTGTTGTTCTTTTATCGTGTAGCATATAAATTATTCACATTTTGTTTGATCTCGATATTTTGCGCACTATGCCTAACTTTTTAAAAACTACTATATGCAACTATAATTAATATTTACTGCTGGGAAAAAGTATTTACATTTCACTATCTACAAGAGATAATAATATAAAAGTTAATTTAAATACTAATTAAAACGTCATCACATCTTCTTCTTCGTCTTCCGCTTTATTAATGCTTTCTTAACCCTTTTCACCCATCGATCTTCGTACTATATACTCTTTATTATTATGATTATCATTTATTGCCATTTATGTATTATCCATTATAATCATTCATTATATTAGACTAATTATTATGACCACCTCTCTTGGAATATCTTCTCCCACTGGAATGATGATGATTATTATAATGACCACCACCATTATTATTATTTGGATTATAGTTAGGATTCAATATAAGATTCCCATTAACTGGACTACCACCCGAAACATATCCTCCAGGAGGAGGCATGAAACTACCAGGAGGTAAGAATGTTGGATCAGCACCAGGATATAACATCGGCATTTGTCCTGGTGCCATGTATGGTTGTTGATACATCAAATATTGTTGTTGTTGTTGTTGAAGTTGTTGTTGTTGGATTTGTTGTTGGAATTGAGCCATAGCAACTTGTTGCTGTTGTTGTTGTTGTTGTTGAGCAGATAATGGATACTTTGAATTAACCGGACTTGGATAACCTGTCGGTATTATACCAGGATTACCCATCATTGGACTTGGCATGAATTGTGATCCAGCATTAGATGGCACACCCATATTTGGAGGTAATGAGCTTTTATTAAATGCATTTGGAGGAGGGAATAATTTATCATAAGTATCATCCACAGTCGAATCCCAAGTTGGAGGAGTTTGAAAAGCCTTTTCATAAAAGATTGGAGGTTGCGGTTTACCTGATGATGATTCATCAGATTCTTCAGAAGCTTTCTTTTCTTCATACTTCTTTTTAGTTGTTACAAATAAATTAAAGTAAACTTGGAAATTCTTTTCTTTAGTTTGTTGACTTTCTTTAGTTGGAATCTTATTAACCCCTCCGAAAAAATCAGCTGGTGATATTTGATGATATCTTTTAAGACCAGGTATACCACCACTACTACCATTAGATGTAGAATAAGCTCTTGAATTGACCATTCTTGGGGATGGACCATTAGGTGATCTGTGATAAACAACCTTTTGAGGTGGAGGTGATATTTGAGTGTTATGCTTAGCAGATGGAGTGAACACAGCAGCTTTTGGATTTAATTTAAATGGTGGTTTAGTTGGATCCATCTTCTTCTTTGGAGCAGCATCTGCAACAGGAGCTGGAGTAGTAGTTGTTGTAGAATTAGTACTAGCTTGAACTTGTTGTTCTTCCTTTTCTTTCTTTTGATTTTGAGCTACTTCAGCTTGTTTTTGTAAGATTTCATCTTGTTTAGCTTTATCCTTAGCTAAAATAGGTAATAAATCAGTAGGCATCTTATGACGAACTTTGAAATTAGCACTAAAATCTTTTAAGGAATTGATTTCACTTTGAGCATTTAATCTAAATGCTTCATTTGGATGTTGAGGAGTTGGAACTTGAGGTTTTGGAGGAATAGAGACTGGTTTAGCAGTAGATTTAGCAGATGATTTAGCTTGTTCATGTGATTGATCAACAGTGGTGGATGGTGGTGGAGTTTGAATTGGATTATTTTCAATACCAGGTACAGGTGAACCAATTGGACCTGGACTTGCACCTTTGACAACTTTATTAGTAGCAGAACTTGAGATAATAGCAGGATCATTATGATAATGAGCAGCTCTTTGTCTTGGAGGAAGATATTTATCTGGCCCTGAAATAGATGAAGATGATTTATTAAACAAGGAAGCAGTAGTAGCGGCTGAAGTATTAACACTTTCATTGGAAATACTGGTATTTCTTAAAGCAGCCATTAATTCATCACCTCTTCTATCAACACCAGAATATTTATCTTCTTCATCAACGCCACTATCATCAACTTGAATACCTCTTTCTTCTAATATATGACTATTAGTAGTTGATTGACCTTCGATTTCACGAGCAATTTGTTCAGCTTTTTTAACTTTTTCATGATAATCATGGGCAGATTTATCAATTCTAGTAGTATATAAATGTTCATCATAAGTTGATTCAACTCCGAATTTTTCTTCATTAACTTTGAATTGATCCCAACTTCCTGATTTATGATTGATATCATCGGAAGTTAATGATAAACTTGGATTATGAGAGATATCTTCATCAGGAACCCATCTTTCTAATTCACGTTCTCTTAAATTTAACCGACCTGAAATATCGGCATCAGTTCTGAATTTTGATGATGATGATAATTCATCTGAATTAGTAGTATTGTTATTAGTTGGGGTTGAAGTTGAAGTTGAAGTTGGAGTTGGGGTTGGGGTTGGGGTTGCCGTTGGGGTTGGAGTTGATTTTTTATGGAATGATTGATTATCATTAAGATCCTTAATTTCAATATCAATTAAATCGCCTGATTTTATAATCAACTTATCGGGAATATCATTAATATTATCGATATTGCTCTTTTCATCAATTAAACTTTTAGATATAAGTACTGGTTTATTTAAAACAACAGATAAAGCAGATTCACCATTAGCAGATAAATCACCATTAAGTAATAAACCTTGATAACGAGATCCATTAGTTAAAGTGGCTATAACTTTCTTACCGATAGATTTTGATATCAAGTATAAAAGGCGATCATTTCCTGCTTGATCATCGACATTAAGGGATTGATTTGAATTCAGTTGAGGAATTGAATTACCATTTCCATTTCCGTTACCATTGGTAGCAGAAGCAGTTATACCAGAACCATTAGTTGAACTAGGACTAATACTACTATTGCTTACGCGTGAATTCGACCTACGATGGCCATTCTTTTGAGAATTGGAACGATTTGGATTCTGACCTTTCATAATGGGGAGTGATTGATTAGGATATGTTTTTGTTGTTTTTTAAGCTTTTGAAACCAAAAAAAAAAAGGCTGATATAAAAATAAAAATAAAGGGTAAAAAGACAAGCAACAACCAACGAAATCGGATGAAATATTATGTTATCAACGATAAAAGTTCAAGACGTGATGGATGGATTGAATTTCTGAGATATTAAACCAATGGGAATATGGAAAAGGTCAAAGATAAGGGTGAATTTTCCAAATATTGTGTGGTTGGGGAGGATCAGTTGTCGTGAGTGGGAGTGAGTGTAGTGGAGGAGGGGAACGATTGCGTACTTTGTTCTGCTCAGACGATACAAGACGAATCAATTACTGATGGGTATGATGAAGGATGATTTTGATGGGAATACTATCCTTATGAAACTAGGAATGTATAAGTTGTAAGATTAAGCAGAAGAATTGTTTATACCAATAAGGAAACTGGTCGATTTGGGTGTTTTTTTTTTTGGTTTTGGTTTGAGTTTGGTGTGAGTTTTGTTTTTGTCTGTCTGAATTGTCTGTTTTAAGCTTTTTTTTATGGCTCTGTTTTTTTTGTCTGTCTGTCTGATTATTTTTATTTCGTTAGACGTTATTTATATCTACATCTTGTGATTCAATTGAAGTAGTAGTATGAATATGATATAGTACTGGTTCATAGGTATACATAGTTACTATATAAGTTATATCTAATAATAAGGGTTATTACCTAATGGTAACATACTAATACCAGACATAAAATTACCATAACATAAAAACTCGGTCGGTGGCTCGGTGTTGTTGCTGTTAGTAGTGGCGACGGTGGGGGGGGGGGACAGTTAACTATCAGTTAGACCATCAAATTATCAGATTGAAGTCGGGGTTTCATTCCGAATACGATCTCTATACTTCTTCAATATGACCCAATCATATTATCCACCATTAACAGTTAATGGGTCATCCTACTTAAACAGTTAAAGTCCGTCTCTTTTCTCATTTAGTGTACTATTTATTATTATTTTATTATGACGAGTGGCTTGCTCGTGAGGAGATTCAATTCTGAATGCAAATTATTTTGCCTAATTGGGAACTACACTATAAAAAAACACTACTACAACACATATTATTAACTTTTTAAAACCTAATGTCATAACAAATAAACAAATAAACCTATTCTATATAGAAATATACTCTCGCTCTCTCTAACAACAAATACTGGTAATACCAATACCAATATCAACTCTTTCAACTTTAGATCCCCAATATAATAATACAAAATCTTTAACAAATTGTAAATCATTCTCAGAATATGGATCTAATTCCATTTCTACAATATCTTGATATGTCAATTCAATCACTATTTTCACATCATCATTATTATTATTCCCATCCAATAATGGATCTTCACTATCATTTGCACTAGGTTCTTGATCAATGATATTAAGATGCGATTCAGCAGTATGATTAAAATCTTTCAATTGTTCAAATTGATCCATCACAATCTCATCCACTAAATAAAACCATTTCTTGGTCAATTTATGGAAATAACCAATGATTTGAATCAATTTCATTAAATCAATATGATCGGGTTTAATTACCACTTTTTTATTTTTATTTCCCCCAGTTTTATCCACATCTTGACCTTGTTTTAAATTATCTTCACTATCATTAACTTGACCCGCAGTAGCAAACCATGAAAATGCCGACCAAATCGATTCTCGCCATGATATGGATTCTGTCCCATATTTTAACCACCATTCTGGTTCAATATCTAATTTCAAATCATTATAATTATGTAATTCAATATTAGCAGTAATATCTCCTATAATAACGTCATCATCGGTGGTTTTGGGAGTGATGGCTGTATGAGGACCCGATGTGGTTGAATTATTAGTCATGATGGAATTTAAATCATCAGTAGACATATTGGTAAGATTAGTGAATATTTTATTCTTGGGGAATAATTTAGATGATGTTGAATGACTTCTATGAGTATGATTAATAGGTTCAACAATATCATGATTTACTTCTTCATCTTCATGTTCTGGTACGTCACTCTTCTTAACATTGAATAATTCTCGATATATAAGTTTAAATCGTTGATAATCTTTTAATGTAGCTTTAATTCTCTTATTAGTATTTGAACTATCACCACCATTAATATCATCATATTTGAAAACCCAAACATTATCATCAATATTACGATTTATAATGATCCCAATATCATATAAATTCTTTTGATATAATAAAATATCATCATTAGTTGAGGCTACGATTGCTTTTAAATCAAGTAAATGTTTTTCTTTATCGTTATCTTTTGATGATTTCGAACGATTTAAATCATTCAATCCAATATTATAAATCGGTTGTGAATAATAATTATCCTTATCTCCCTTTGAAATCGGTTTAATGTCTTGCGGTATGATCGATAATAATGAAATTAAATAATTGAATGAGTTTATAATATAATTTTGATCATCTTCATCCTCGTGATCTTCTTCATCGTCATCTTCTTCATAACCTGCTTGTTTATGTAATTGATTAAATACCACAATTCTCTTTCTTAATAATGCTTGTTTATAAATAATGAAAATTAAGGGTCCTAAAGTTTGAAATAAATCAGGTAATTTAGTTAATAAATGATGATTGATATTAGGGACAATTAAAGAATTGGATGAAGATGAAGATGGATGATTGACACTATTTGATGATATTAAACTTGAATTACTGAATAAGGAAGTAGAATGAATCACCAATTTGTCATATAATTTATCAAATATATCAAAATCATCATCACCACTTTGATTATGTAAATAATTCAATAACGTTGAATCTAAAATATCAATATATTCCCATCCATTATTAATGAATTCATTAGGTTTCCAAGATCCATTAGACTTCACTTTAGGATCACATAATATCCCAAGAGAATACATTTGAACATCATTCCGATCAATACTATGACCATTGCCACTTGATTGATTGGAGGATTGATTTAGTATAATTTGACGATAACATCCTAATCCATAATATAACTCCCCCCCTGAGTAATGACTGATAAGAATATTTGATTTGTCAAGATTTTGAATGGAACTAGGTAAGATCTTATAATCTAATCCATCAAAATTGAATGATGATTGATTTGATTTATGCCATACTAATTTATACCCTTCTTTAACATCAAATTTGGTTAAGAATATCGATACGATATTCGATGGCTTATAAGTATGACTATTCTCCATGATGTATGATACGTTGTAGTATAAATTATCACTATCGATTGAAATGCTAAACTTTATGATGGTTTATAATAATCAATGCTGTTTATAACCCCATATGGTTTAAGCTTTAAATTTAGACCTCTCAAAAAAAAGAAAGACAAAGTTGATCATGTGACCAATTTGTGTATTTCATAGTTACACCTGACTTAAATTATTTAAATTAATAGTATGTCCTTTCTTTTTCCACCTATTAGTTTTGCAACTACAGGGCAACTATGGTATGGCTACCAACTCCCGTAAGAAAAGATGAAAATTAGTTTATTTAACATGATGAAAGAAATCAGTTATATTGAAGAAGTATATATGATGATTCTTATCGTGATATTAATACCAAAAGATTTAGCATAACAGTTCTATCTAGGATGATATAAATACTACTAACATTTACATTATATTTGTAGAAATATATGTAATACATGATATATGATTAATATATTTAATCAGATCTTACTTATTCTTCTAGGTTACTTTACTAACTGTTTATAGGTAATTGAATGTCCTAGGAAATCGATTTCTTTACGAAAAAATTCACATTTCGGTTTTTTTGCTATTAAACTATATTCTAAATATACATTATTATAATAATATTAAATCTTTCATATTGTAACCCATGTATCTACTCTAAATCTGGTTTACTATTATCTTATCTGAAAATGTTAAATTCGATCACATGACCACATTTCTGGAGATTATTTTATCTTTAGTTTTAATATTAATATTTTGATTTTAGTATTATAACTTCTTCTTTAGAGTGTGTTATGGAACAGTTCTATTAGATTATTAGTAATATCTCATGATATTTGTGTTTTAACCAAACCAATAACGCTTAAATTCTATTTAGTACAATATTAACAATTTATAGAGCATCTATTTCTATTTCGATTTCTATGTCACTAGTAAGTTTCCAAGTTAATAAAGCTTAAACGATTGATTAATATTGGATATATCACTTACAGCAATGTCCTGTGATCAAACAAATATAGTTATAACTAAAAAATATTAACTATTTGATTTCAATATAGGATAGTATAACTGAATAGGTTTGAAAAAGTATACTATTATTACAATGGTCTTTAAGAGAACGTATTATGCCCGCATATCAAGGTCATTGCTTTACTTTGATAATGCATTACTTACTTGATTATATTATATTTAGGTGAATTACTAACAACAAGGAAGTTGGTAATTTTCTATTGCTGAATTTTAATTCGAATTTGTTAAGGAATGGATCTTTGTTTAGTTCAAACCTCCAAAACGTTATACTTTATTTCTATTGGAATTCTTATTTTTAATAAACAATTTATATTAATGTTGTTGATTTTGTAGTAAATAACTGAATTGTCGATTTGTATTTCATCAAATGAGAAACTTTTACGTAGTAGTAATAACGATCATTAAACTTTATCATCAACCATCAATATCAAAGCATATAGTAATCTTAAATAATTGATTTACTCCACACTGAAAAAAATAAAAAAAATTGAATCTAAAAATCATCAAATGATCTTTTTATGCCATAACTCCTTTATGGTTTTCAATAAGTGCAGTTATGTTTTGAGGAAGAATATCAATTGAAAGAATGATTTTTCTGTGAAGAATGGTAATATTTAATCTTCTATATCCTAACTGTTTATAATTATCTTCTAGGTTCTTTACTAACTATAAATAGGGCGCCATAGAGAAGCCTACCGAATACGACAGCATGAAAGTTGCGTCGTGTGAGTAACAACTAACACATTTCATTTAGGTTTAATACTAACAATATAGCATAACGATTCTCCTAGAGAATTGATAATTTTGATAGGGCAAACACAATTCTCCTTGACGATAAGGACATATGAAACGACTTAGATGAAGTTAAAGACTAGTCTTACAACATCTGGTATTGTTAATTCAATTGGTGAAATAAATGTACATATATTTTATTATTCATTCTGTAATTATTGTAAGATCTCTTTAATATTCTCTTTAAGTTGATTAAACATCTTCTATCCTTTGATAGAGATATCTCTAATCTAATCTGATTTAGAAAATCAATCATGTGATCGATTTTAGCCCCCTTTTTCTTATCAAAAGATCTATTAATTGAACCCCTGAAGTTTTTATTATAATGTTAATAACCTTTGCTTTTCAACAATGTCCATTACCGATCGACTCAAAGGCGTGGAGAATCTTTCGATTTTGTAAAGGTTGTTTTCTGAGATCATTTGTGTACGAGATTATTACTACTAACTATTCTATATCCATATTTATAGGATCTATCCTAACTATAGCGAATTGCCTAATAAATTATGTGATCACGTGACTTATTTTAGCCCCAACAAATCTCTTTCCATTTAATAAACAATTATCATTTATATCTTTTAAAGTCTTTTATCGACGTTCAAGCACTGATGATCGGTATAGGCGATTACTTTATTTCCTAATAGGTAGTGTCTGAATTTGGTCAAGGCATGACTACACTTATTACTAACCTGATTTATAGGATATGATTTAATAACAATACTTTTAGGGAATTAATTTCTTTATGTATTAAGTTCATTTGCAGTCCACTGTCTATCTGGCTTGATAACATGAATGCTATAGGAATCCTTTACCCGTTGTGTGGTTTTTAACTATCATGGAGTTACTTACATTAAATATTTATAGGTTGAATCGATACTAATATTATAAGAAATATTGTGGTTGATATGTCATGAGATATTATTAATTGCGGATATTTTGATGATATTTTTTTCATTTCCATTTCCATTTAATATATATTTATTATTTTTAAATTTATTAAGTTATATTGTAAAGATTTCTCTGTTTAAACTTAAGATTGAATTGATCAAGATATTATTCAATGTAATGGGAATCACCGAAATGAATGCGTAAATTACAACTATACGGTAGTATCCAATTGACTAACTCTTTTATCCAATTGACATAACTTCTTTATGAAAAGAGTTAGTCAATTCATTCTACAACTACATCGATTAATCAATTCAATATTTGTTTATTAGATAGGGCTATAAAAAAGAACATATGAACAACCATTTCGGTTTGTAATCCATACTAATAATGGTAAATTTTTTTATGTATAGAAGTATGTGATGAATGATGACAATGAGATAGAATCTACAAGTAGATTAAGAACATATTCGTTGGATGATATATTAAAAAGGATAAAAAGGTGTGTTTTAACGTCTAAAAAATGGTTTATTTTATGATAGCTGATAGGAAGGGGGGAGATTAAGATCTTATTCTTAAGACGAAATTGATAACAACAGCAATCAATAAGAAGAAACATAACATGGTTGGACCGAATCTATCATCATAAGGACCAGAACCTCTTAATCTAATAGCTTTAGCTCTCCAATGATAAGTAATTAAAGCATAAATCATAGTTAACATAGCGATAAAAGTGAATAAACCAGCAGAAATTCTACCTACTGAATCACCAAAATTTAATAATCCAACTCCTAAAGAACCTAAGATAACGGTGAAGTTTAACCATGAAAGGAAGGTTCTTTCATTGGCAAAGAAGACTTTTGGTTCAACTCTAGCTGGTAAGGCAATTCTTTTATTAGTGGAAGACATTATGATTAGAATATATTATGACAATTGATGGGATGAGGTAGTAAGTGGAGGGGTGAGGTAGATTAATGTGATGGGATGGGATGGAATGGAATGAAACAATTGAGATGATATGAAGATTAACCAACAATTGAATTCAAAGAATGAAAGAAACAAGATGATGATGATGATGAGATGATGGATGGAAATTTTGAATTCCCAATAAGCTTCTTCTGTTTCTGTCTATGCTTAAACAGGGAAGAGAGAAATAAAATTAGTTAGCAGATAGGACCTGTATATAAATAACATATAACTTTAATTTTTTATACTGAGTCAACACACGTGGGGCGTAGTACTACAAAGAATTTATCTATTGCGGTGATGATGTTTTCAGTTTTGCGGTATAAATTTCTCTATAGTAACACATTTATTACTACTAATTAACCTAGCCTATAGAAAGAAACACGATGAGAAGAGAGAGGGTGAAGAGCTAAGTAATTGTATATATACTAATTGTATAAATTTAGTTCATCTCGTATAAATTATGATGTCAAACTTGTACATATAGCTAAGTAGTATGAGTGTTATAATTTCTACCACATCATCATCATCTATGAGTGAATGAATGAACTAGTTAAGCATATATTGACTTCAGAATATACTACAAGTATGATTCAATGAATACCTTCATTCATGACTGTTACTTCCAGCGATGAACTAACAATTGCATAAACGATACTCGAACTACTTGTATTGTCTCGTATATTTAATACAAGAAATATAACTTATGTCACAAAAAATTCATAACATTTTATGACATAACTATTTTTGGACATAAACATTTCTAAATTTACGACATTTGTTTTTCTTTTCTCCGAGGATGTAAATAACGGAAATTTCAATAGACATTAAATTGTAATTAGAACTATCTGAAATAGAACCTGAAATTGTAACGTAATGTTTATTGTTTTGGTGGTTCTATAATATAACGTTCAATCGTATTTAATACCTAGTTGATCATTAGTTTATCAACTTTACATTTAGAATGTATAATCAATAGGATAATCTCACTTGTTAATGGGCATAATCATATGTAATTATAAGTTGCAAAAAGAGAAATAGTATAGAACATCAACAAATGTAATGAATACTGTGAACAAGATAGATATAACAATTAATGATTTCAAATTACGTAGTTTAACAGTGGCTGTCTCACTTTACATAATCAAAATCCTTATTGTAGTTTAACGGTATAGTTATAATTAAACAGTTAATATAAATATTCCTTACAAGCGAGGGGAAAACTTAAAATATTTTATTTTACATTTGTAGTTACACTAAAAGTCATAAGAAGAAAGATTTTCAAGCCATAAATAAATAAATAAAAGATAACAAACCACAAATTATAACTCATCCAATTAGAATTTGATATACTTTCTTCCTTCTTAACTGATATCATCATCATCATCATCATATAAAACACGTAATGATATATCAAGCATATTCATTTGATTCTATACAATCAAATCATACTCCTATATCAAATCCCCGCAATTCATCATCATATCCCACAATTGCAACCCTTTCTGACCAATCAAATTCAGGCCAACATAATCAATCTCAATCATCATATCAATCCCATTTCCATCCTCAAGTCCCTTCTCAACCTCAGAATCAAAACCAATCTCCTTCCATACAGAATCAACGTCCTCCCTTACCAACCACTTTACCTCCATGTTATAGACCTCAATATGTTCCGAGGTATTACCCTTATCCACCTCCTCAAAATATGCCTCCTAGATATAAATTATAGAATTGATTAATTCAATACTGCTTATTTATTACTGTTATTTATTAAAATGATTATTTATTACATCGATTAGTTTCATCAAATCATACAGCATATACATCCATATCATTACTATTTATTTACTTATTTATTTTTCACTCAAAAGGAGGTTAGAGTGTAAAAAGGGTTTTCTATTCATGCTTTTTATTGGTTTTCATTTTGTTATATCCTGCTTTTTTTATTCAATCAATCCCACTTCCACTTCCACTTCCATTATATATACATATAGTTATCTAGTCATATATATGTTTTAATATAGTTTCATTTCATACCCCGTATAAAATTTTAGTGCTGCCAAAAAAAACATTTTTCTTTTTCTGGCTCACTCAAATCTTGGCTCTAAAATTAATTTACCCATGGGAATATCAGAATGACCTTTACCAAAGGCAAATACTGAATTACCTAATACTAAAGTTTCCATAACTCGACCTTTAAACTTCATACCATTATAAGCCGTCAATTTATTTTTAAAATAAGTTTCGTGATTCTTAATCTCATATTCATCATTAGGATCAAAAATTAATAAATCAGCATCATACCCAATCGAGATCTTTCCCTTACAATGACTTAATCCAACTTGTTTAGCAGTATTTATCGAACACCATTTATTAATCTCAGTCATAGTGATGGGTGGGGATAATTTTAATCCTTCAGTATATAAAATCGGTAATCCAAATCCAACAGATGAAATCCCACCCCAAGCTTCAAAGAAATCCCCTTTTTCTAATCCTTTTAATTCAGGCGTACATGGTGAATGATCTGATACAACCGTAGTTATAATATCATTTCGTAATGCTCTCCATAATAATTTCTTATTCTCTTCTGTACGGATTGGTGGACAACATTTAAAATGAGTTGAACAATTACTGATTTTTTCAGCATATAATGATAAATAATGAAAACAAGTTTCTGCCGTGATAGGTAATCCTTTAGCTTTAGCAGCTCTGATTAAAGGTACAGCTTCATGAGTAGCTAAATGAACAATATGTAACGGGACAGTAGGGATTTTAGTTGAACAATTGATTATTTCAGCAATAGCAGTAGTTTCAAAATTATCGGGTCTTGAAGCTAAAAATGATGCATAAGAAGTAGCATCAATATGAGCCAATGGTTCATCTGATTCTTCTTCCATAGCTTGAATAAACGGAGATTCATGTTCATAAACATCATCTAATTCCTTATGATAATGATGATTGGCCATTTTGGCATATTTACCAAAGGTAGGTTCGACGGTAGCTAATAAAGGAGATTTGGCTAATGCTAAAGCTTGTTCATCAGATAATACTGAATGATCAATTGATCCAGCATGATTATGAGGTAAATGACAATTCTCATGTTCTTCATGATGAGATGCGAAATCAGATGATAATAATTGAACTACTGGTTTAGGAGCTCGATTTATAAATGATGCTGACATACCTAAATTAAAATCTTCAATATCCTTCGATAATTTAATTAACCCATTTTGACTATTATTCTTTGAGATTGGTTGAGAATTAGTAGGAGTTGGATCATCATCTTCATCATCTTCTTCTTGTAAATAAAATTTCTTATCTTCAGCTAATTTTTGATGATTTTCATGAGGTTGCATCTCAGCATGAAACATCAAGATCGTTTTTTTATCTTTAACTTGATTCATAGCTTTTAAAATATATGTTGGATCAATAGCAGGGAATTCATCAACTCCACTTTCAATCATAAATCCTTTAAAACCACGTACTCCCATTGAAATCAATGGATTTAAATGTAATAAATTATCAGGCACTAATCCACCCCAAAATCCGACATTAACCCAAGTTTGACCCTTAGCAGCATCAATCTTTAAATTAAAATTGGCAATAGTAGTAGTAGGGGGTATAGCATTTAACGGCATATCAATCACCGTAGTGACTCCACCAGCGGCAGCAGCTTGAGTACCAGTTGCAAATCCTTCCCATTCAGTTCTACCGGGTTCATTAAGATGAACATGAGCATCAACTAATCCCGGCATAATAATTAAAGGACTTACATCTCTATAATCATTAGGTAAGACGTTATATAATTTTAGTATGGGATCATCATGGGGTATGATTTTATGTGACTCGAGATAAAGAATCTTACCTGATTCAATGGAGAATATTATGGTGGCAGGGATTAAATCTTCATTGATCAATACGTGTGTTGATGATAAGGCACGAGACATATTGTACGTATATGTGTGATTATTTGATAATGGATCAATGAAAGAATGAAACACAGGAATGAACCAATGAGATATAAGACCAGAAGAAGAAGAAGAAGAGTTATGAATCTTCAAATCAGAAATTGAAAAATCCCAGTAGTGGTGACAGTCAGAGAAGTTTTAAAATGGTTGGCGATTCCGGCGGGAAATTTACAGCGGGCCTTCACAGACTTATCTTATCAGAAAAATTAGAGACAATGGAGATTCAATTTTTAGCAGCCTACGAAATCTTATTACTGTGAAATTTATAAACACTTAATATATGAATCCTGTAACACATAACTACCACTATTGTTATATGGGGTAGATAAGATCAGATTAGTAGATACCATTATTCGATTCACATTGATAATTTGTATATAGAAGTTGGTGTAAATTAAGGTCCTTTATAATTCGGACAAATCCGAATTAAATTCTTGGTTTTGAGCGCGAATTTGACTGGTTGTAAATTGGATCAGATTCATCTTAGAGTACACAAAGATTATAACTAGAGTTATTAACAACGGTCAAGCGTTTTACGGTTGTTATGACATTGAGTTGATGTGTAGAATGAATGTTTAATTGTTTGTTGCCCGATATACTGCCAGTTAAAAAATTTACAGTATAAGTATGTAGGGCTGCAAAAAAATTGCTTAAATATTTTTATTTATTACGTTTATGTATAACTTATTTTCTTATTTAAAAAGTTATCAATTGTTTACCTTGCTTTGAATTAATCACTGCTTCTTGATATAACTCATGTAAAGGTTTATCACCATTTGGATCGAATTTAGTTTGTAAAGAAGGAGCATCAATTAATTTTTCATCTTCATACCATTCCACAATTTGATTTAAAGTTTCCACTTTTAATTCTGGATTTTGTTTTAATAATTGGGTAACCCAAAATCCTGCACTAGTAATATTTTTAAAAATATGTAATGAAGTTGGTAAAATCACTGGTTGAAATGACATTCCACCGTAGGTTAACATTAATCCATTATTAGCTAATTTTCTAGCTACACCAGTTGAATTTTTCCCTCCTACACAATTAAGGGCTAATTTAATTTCACCTCCAGTTTCTTTAGTCCATCCTTTAATAGTTGGACCAAATTCTTTTGAACCATTTTCTTCTTCAGTTATAACTTTTGTGGCTCCTAATGAAGTTAATTCATCTTTTAATTCTTGTAAATTGGGTCTATCTCTGATCACTGAAAGAGAATTAAATCCTAATAATTTTGAAATTTGAATAGCATATTTCCCCACGGCGGAATTTCCCCCATTTTGAATAAACCAATCTTTACCTGGGATTAATTTAACATAATGAGTTAACATAAGTAAAGCAGTTGGAGGATTGACGGAAATAGTAGCCCCTTGATTAATAGTTAATCCAGTAGATTTCCCATTTGCTTTTGATTGAGATGGATTTGGAATTTTAAGAAATTCAGAATCATTAGCTAAAGCATGAGTTCTCCAAGTACCGAAATTAACTTGAGCTGGAATAGCCCAATCTCCAATGGAAAAATCAGTAACTTTAGATCCAACTTTAATAATTTCAAATAATCCTTCATTACCACATGGAGCACTTGCTTCAACAGTACCGAAATTAGTAGTTTTCTCAGGTTTAGAAGGATAAACTCCTTGGATTTGATTTATATCAGATGGATTCACTGGTGCAGCTAAAGTCTTGACGATTATTTCATTATCCCCAATATGAGAATCATCAATTTCATAACTATGAGTAGACAATACATCTGCTGGTTCTCCATGTTGAGAATATACGACGATTTGAGATGTAAGCATTCTTTTATTAATTAATAATGATCTCCGGGTATTATTGTGAATTGAGTGTTTAAGTAAAGTAGAAAACATTGACTAATGAATTGATATATGAGTTTTAAAGATCTGACTTGATTATAAAAGTTTCTTCACTATCAATTGAATAATGTGGGGGTGGGGGGGTTGTAAATTCGGAGTGTCTAGAAATTGTTTGTTTGAAAATTAATTGGTTAAAGCAATTTTGGTTTTTGAGGCACGACAATTGTTTTTAGTTAGTCAAGTTTAGTGCTTGGTATTTATCAGGATTGTTTTCTATGTTTCCAATGGTATCTATGATGGTCTATATATATGTAAATGATGTTCAATTTAACTTGATACTTCAATGGATGACAAATGAACGATGAATGTTAACTTTTCATTAACCGGTTTGGTTATGATTTGTAAGTGGGGAGTGGTAGTACACACTATTTTTTTTTCCATGGGTAATAATTTATTTATACCGGCTATCAACGACAACGATATGTCCAGATTACAATGAATAGAGGTTGCAAATTCCTAAATACCAGTTTCGGACTATTACTAAACGAGACAGTTAACATTAAAGCCTAATAATGAGATAGTTTACTTACAATTACAGTTTATGAATCGAAAACTTCATCTCGCGTATACTATATGTATAAAATAATATCTAATCTAGTAATATAATCTAATCTGATTTTTCTTTAGTTTCACTTGATTCTTCTTCTTTAGATTCAGTCTTCTCTTGTTCTAATCTTTGTTTCTTTTGTAATAATTTCAATTTAGTATTTTGATAAGTACCTAAGATAAAATAAATTACATTAAAGAATACCACCCATAATTCAGGAGGAACGAATTTTTGAGCCACGATTAATGAAAAGAATGAAGTTACTAATGAAGATTTTAACACAGTTGGATATCCTTTCTTTAATCCTAACTTAACAATATATAAAATCTTACTTAATTCTTTTGAAATTGAAGTATCTTTACATGATGATGGGAATTGATAATTATTAATAAGGGAAATCCATGAAGTATAACAAGCAGCTAATAACGGAGTAACAGTTGATAATGAAGTTAAAATCTTTAAAATTGATTGAATTCCCGATAATTTACCAACGAATAATTTTTTATTAATGATTTCATATAAATAATGAGCAATTGGTGTAGCAATAAAACTACCATAAATAATCATTGTGATTAATTTTGGAGTAAAGAAATGTTTAACTTTATAATCTTTAAAGATCACTTGTTCTTGTAATTCATCAGTTATAATCGATGAAAGGATTTCATTTAAAGCAGCAAAACTTCCAGCTGTAACTGCTTTAGTGAATAAAGGATATTTTGATAATGAAATTAAGTATTGAGTATTTAAACTCTTTAAGGTACTAACCGATGGCATTGGATTAGTTTGAATGACAAATTAAATATGATATGAAGAATACTAACAACCACTTGAATCAACAACAATTTATCAACCCAGTTAAATCAAACTTTCAATGTTACACTATATATATATATATATATATATATTTAAGATATATTTAGGATATACAAATTGGAGTTAATCGAAAGCGCGACACAAAAGTGAGGGGGTAAATTTCTTCGGATATATTAGACTAATTAGGATATTTCAATAATCACATTTAACTCTCAGTGTTTAATTTATGAAAGTACCATGTTTGACTGGTTAGATAGAATTATGACAAGATGCTATAAACATGGTCTGATACAATAAACTAAAATGAACCAATGAAAAACAAACTACGTACCATAGTTTAAACGCGTCTTTTACAATCTATATCCATAAAAAGACAGATATGTACGAAGCATCCCACAGGAACAAACAAAGAAATATAATAGCAACTCTCCCAAACTATGTGTAAGGCCGTGAATTGGGGTAGAGGATAAAGATTTTATGAAAAGTTTTAAATTCTACAGCTGTGGAGATTGCCGAGCGATGATTTCCAAAAAAAGTTATCGGAAATACTAATTTACTAACCCAAAAAATCATTGATCTAGATCTACATTAAATTTAGTTTAGGATTGGTTCCTTTTGGCTAGGAAATGATCTGTCCATAATGATGATAACTTTTATTTAAATCTATCAGGTTATAATTATATACAATATTACATCTTGGGTTACCTCAGTATCTAGCGCTTATCCAAATTAGGTATGTCTTGCCGTTTTGAATTGAATTTCGAGTCACGTGCATATTGGTGCGTGACTCACCTTTCAGTTTAGAATGTTTTGCAATCATAACTGCAAATTATATATATGTAACTCTACTCATGACATGTTTAGTGTAAATGTTTAAGTATATGTATAATGTCAATCAAAGTATCTCGACTAGTCTAAAAAATGTCATTGTACGGAAAAAAAAACAATAGGGACTCAAATTAAGCAACTATAACAGCATAACTTATTTCTGCACTTTTCTATTATACAGACTGAAACCAGATAAAGAAAAACTTTCAGAACGCTATTTTATCTAACTTGTAGATATTCTTATTTCATTTTCTTAGGCTATCTGCTAACTATGTTAGAAGATTTAATCAGGCTTAAATACGTTGAAAATTTTATAAATGATTTGATCAATGGATATAGTTTCGATATTTCAAAACAGGATGATGTGGTTAGGAAATATTATGCCTCAGAGGAATTAATATTAATTTATATAAGACAAGATACTGATGAAGTGAGGAATCGTATAGACTCCATCAATAAACTTTTGAATCCTAGAAAACGCATCAAAGATCGTACCAAAGTTGTACTTATGTTTAATAGATTGATCAGATTTGATGTCTTTGAACCACTTAATTTCAATGCAAGACACTTGAATATCGTAATGCCTAAATTTGAAATATATTTAGAAACAAGGTCTCGGCACTTCCCAAAAGTTTATAGAAAACTAGTACTTTCAGCCTTCTTTGCCATGGTTAATCTCTCTCTCAGTCCAAAGAATTTATGGAGATCAAGTAAAGCACTTCAAGCAACACATATTTTACAGAAAATTACTCATTTAAAAGATTCAGAATCGAGAGTCGTTAGTTACGAAAGTAGTGTTTTTCAAAATTACTTAAACCCACCAAACTATGATTTCTGGATGTCATGCAACTCGGATATTGTTTTAGGAATTGACTCTGAATGGAAATCAGGCAGAAATCATATTTATGAAACTTTTGGCCTTTTTCAACCCAAAATTTATGATATGAAAGAACTTTCTCTTTCTATAATCTTCACCTTACAAAAGTATAAATTTGTTACTGATGAGTTTTGGTTCAAGAATGTTGTTGGAAAAGGATCAAGTTTAAAATGTTTATATGATAATATTTGGTCAAGATGTGAAACGTATTTAAAAGAATTCATAGGTTGCAAATTGAAGGAGAAATCTCCTATATTTAAGTTTAATATTGGATCAGAAGAAATTTGGTTAATGACAAATTATACTATAACTTCAAAAAACGGTAAATACATTCCCCTAAAATTGAATAGAGATTTAAAGAATATGTATGAAGCCTTCAAATTATCAAGTTCGAATAATCCCCTGTGTGAATTCCAAAGACTACCGTTTATACATTTATTCACACAAATTTTCATCGAAAGTTTGGGATGTAATAGTCTGACTGCATTTATCACCGATGGTAGAACAATTATATACATAAAGTTCATCCCTAAAATTTGTGTTAAAAATGTAAGGTCAGACTATTGGGAAAATAGAATCATTCCTTGTGAAATATTTGAAGTACAACTGAACAAAGATTTTATTAATTGTGTAATAGATGGTATGTACAATTCAACAGAAGGGGCATCATTTCAAAAGTCAGCATTAGACCTTTGTACTCAAAAATCGTTAATAGATTATTATTATAGGATTTTGCAACAGGTTTTAATAAGTTTATCTTTCGAGCTCTCCAAATCAAAAAATGACGATGAAAAATTTGAAATGAAACTTGCAATGGATATCAGAGATGTTATTAGTAAACAATATTTAACGACAATTCTGATGATCAAACTTTGTTACGGTGACCGATTCATTAATCGATCAATAGAAAATATTCTTGAAACATTCACAGTAGTAGAAATATTTGGAAATGGTTTAAGGTATCATGATAATGGGACTGTCTTACGAGTAAAGTCGAAAGATGGAGATCACTATATTTTCAAAATATATGATCCAGTCTTCTCTAGATCCATCATTCGACACAATTTTCGATTCCATGAATCAGTACAAGATAGTATGACATCTTTTATAAACGAGTGTTGTGCATATTATCATTTGGAAGAACTAAACTTTGTCCCTAAAGTATTTCAAGTTGGTGTTTTGACTAGCAAGTCGGATTTTGTAATGAAAGAGTTAAATATTGATAAGATGAATTCAAAGGGATTTTATATACTTATGGAATATATTCCAGCCAAAAGACTCCTGATGCAATTATACCGAGATGTATATTCTCAACTTCTTAAACTGAAATTGGAACTCGTTCATGGCTTGGGAATTAGTCATGGTGATATTCTTTGGAAGAACATTTTAATTAAAGATGAAGATAACAGCGAGGAACCTGAAATCTTTTTTATTGATTTTGGAAATTGTAGAATATCTGATTCAAAGCTACAATTTTCAAGATTTACTTCGAAACCAAAGTTATTTAAATCAAGTGTTGTGGAAGATTCGAATTTACTTAAAAGATTGATAACTGCTTTAGGAGGTGTAATTTCTTAGTCAACATTTTCTCAATTTGCGATCATGTTGCTCCTACTGCAATTGTCATCATCGGTGTCCTAGTTTTCGCTTGGAAAGGTGAAACTGAGGATGAATATCTTTTTCAGGATACGCAGGGTTAAATTTAATCTTCTATGATAATGGTGTAGATTTACCATAAGAGATATTCTATAATGCTTAATTAATGAAATTACCATTGGCATTGATCTTGAAATTTAAAGGGATGTACGTTATAAATTACAATCTCCATAGTTGATGGTTCTGTTTTTAAAAAGTTATGGAAAATGTATGATATTAAAGTAGCTACTGATAATATATTTCATGGTAAAGCGGAAGTCTCAGATAAATAATGCGCTAAGGCTCTTCGAGAATTGGCTATTAAAGTCATTAGAGTCTGTCTATTAATTATTCAAAACTTGGATACCCAGATTGCCGAATTGATCCATTGAAAGAAGTTTCTATTACCTAACTTTTCGTCACTACTATTAGTCGTAGAGATGTTACTAGTATTCATTTTGACCAAATACTTGAAGAAACTATTGCTTTTGAAATTGGTTATCCTGTTATTGAAATTGTTATTGAGTGGACAAAATCCAATACTTTCTTCTGTAGTTAATATTAAATCCCAATTGATAGATATTTGACATGAATATGATCTTCACCTTATCTGATAAAGAGATTTAAAATGCGATGTTGTGATTTAACACTTGTTTTACAGTGATTATTCTCCAATCAATTTGTATACGCTTTATTTAAAGCTACTAAAGAAATACTACTTACTTGGTTAAATTAGCTACAATCGTCCATTTTATTAATTTTTTACCAAAACTTTTAGAGAAAACTGTGGTGAATTATCTTTTGGGTCGGTCAAATGTAAGATCAATCACTTCAATTAAAGATCAGACTGAATTCATTTATTGTGAAAGATCCTTTCATAGTTTACTAATACCAATGTTGTTCAAGACTCCTCCTTTATTATCAACATCTTTTTCTAGATATTTTTTAATATTTTGTCTGATTATGTGCTTCATTTTCTGTTTTATTCTTGTTTCAAGTTTTATAAAAAGAAATATTTTGTAGATATTTTTTTGCAGAGTTTGTATACGCACTCAAAACATAAAGCTTTAATATATTATTTCGCAACATATTGCCTTCAACAGAATGTGCTAACCTAAATATTGAGATAATAATATAGGCATACCAATTCTAAAGATAATGAAAAACCTGAAATTAAAACTGCAAATCCTCTAATATTTCTATATTGAACATATTGCCTTTATACATTTAGTTTAACCTACTATATACCGACAACTTTATTTGGTTTCAATTTAACATTGAAATACTATTGCAAGTATGATAATGAGCAATCTATTGGAATTCTTTTGTAGACAATATCGCAAATGTTATTGAGCTCCAGAAAAATTGAAAAATTATAGATCACGTGTAAATTTATATGTGATTTTCTTTCGCTTTAAGTGTTTACAAAATATCATGATGATTCATTAGTCATTATGATTCAACCAGACGTTAAAGGTTAAATCGATGACCTAAGCGGTATTCTAATGTTTGCGTTGTTTGTATTGTATTTTGTTTATCCTTACTTTCTGAGTATACCATAGGATTGAAAGTACGAAGTCAGAATTTGTATAATGCACACTACAGTTTCTAATTCTTGGGGGTATTGGTTCATACTTGAAAATTATAAGTAGACATAGATGAACTTGAATTTTGATCTTTCTCCCTTTACCACATCCATATTGATGTCTTGAATCCAATATTGATATCTAACACATTAAGCTATTAGGCAAGATTCGGAAGAAAAGTAGAAAACGATGAGTATACACACAGGCACAAGGTTTAAGACAAAGAGGTTGATAATAATAATTACGAACGAAATGTTGAGCAAAATTATAAATTAAACCTAGTAGATCTCGATCGATCCAGGTGGTTACTAATAAAAGTTTAAAATATTGTAATTTATTATTAATTGATTGATTGGTGAAGATACAAAAATAATACGAGAAGAGGAGTCCAAGTTGGAGTTAGAGACAATTAATTGAATCCCCCTTAAGTTTACCACCAAAAAGTATAATGAATCAATAGCTTAAAATAATAATCAATCGTAACAATTAAAAGAGAACATTACCCCAAACACTCCACATCCACGCATACAAAGTAATTATTAATGTAGATGTACCCCAATCAGACTTAAATGATTTGGGTTCCATTTTGCACCATAGTTCAACCGGCTCGAAATAAAAAAGGCAAACGGAAAGACATGCGCACTATAAAAATTTATCCGGAGAAATTAATGGTAAAACAGTATAAATAAATTTAAAACTATATTATTCCTGATTATATAAACTTTATAAATTTTATAACTATATCGGTGAAACAGTACATTAGTTTTTAATTAAGTGTGATTTAGTGTTGCCCATATTTTTTTCAAACTTACTGGTTTGATTTGTTCCTTTTGAGTTGTTTCTTTTTACTCCAGTTTTCTCCGTAATTAAGGGAAATTAAATCGGGGTACAGATTGTTGATTGACTTCTATGACAGACAATTCAGGTAAGTTTTGACGTGGAGGTGGATTAATTAATTCGAAGATTGATTATTATTTTTATTTTTGGTGTAGAAGAAGAAGAATTCGACCTGACATTAAATTATTTTTTTGTCTGATCTGAAAGGCTTGTATCAATATTTTTGTTTTTTGTCTGATTTCTTTATTTTCAATTCATCAATTACAGTTTGTATTGTCATAGTCTATACCGCCTTTGACTTGTATCGTTCGACACATATGGTTGTATATAGTTGTAACGACAAGATCCAACAAATTTGAATCTACATGTTTAATCGCAAAAAGAGGAGTAAACCAAGAATTTTTAGTTGCAATAAAAATTAAATCTTTTGGAATGGGTCTTTTTCACAACTAGATTTGATGTCTTCATAGTCGGGTTTATTTTGTATCAAAAATTTTCCAGAATACCTAGAAAATCATAGAATACTGGTTAATACCACTATCCGACTTGTATCTACATCTTAAATACTTCGTGTCACGTAAATGTTGTGTTCTATTTCTACCATTTTACCCGCCGCCCTTTAATATGTTATCTTTTTCTTTTTCAAAAGAGAGCGCAAAAACAAAAAAATGTCTGACAAAAATTGATTCAAAAAAATAAAAGTACAGTTCTACCGACAAAATTTTATTAGGGCTCACACGAAAGTTAGGGTTATTTGATTAACAAGTTCAGAAAGATTATCACAGTAGATTGGAACCATGGCTTGATAATTTCTTACTCTGCATAAAGTTAAATTTTACAAGAAACGCTTTCTAATGATGGGGTCAAATCTTTATTAATTGGAGTGATTCACCAATAGTATTGGAGAAAGATAGCGCCATGTATTCTGTTATCTCCAATTGACAACATAAAAACTATTAAAGTAAATCTCAAGTTGTTTAGGTTAAGGTACAATACATAAAAGTCCACGCTAATCGTTTAATACTGCGTCGGATAACATTAGTTGATGTTTACTTACAACGTCATTGCATTAATTATCATTTACAGTTGACGATTGCAAGTCACACTTTTTATTCAACTTTTATGACCTTGAAAGATTACCACCTTAGCCTTATAGCAAACTTCCAAAACAGTGCAAGAGTAAGGGTAAAATTTGTAGAAAGTGTTAAAAAAGAGCGAGGAATATATTACGTCATATTGCGCTCCTAAAAAAAAAAAAAGTTAAAGAGGCAAACTTAATTACTAATTAAATAATGTATACTTATAACTGGTCATTTTGTATAAGAATTACTGGATTGTTATACTGACTGGTGGATCTTATCGTAAACAAATCTATTTGTTCAATGACGTTGCCGTAGTTTCAATTAATCAATGAATGAAATCGAATGAATTGAGAATGGAAAAATATTACAAGTACCAAATGCGTGAGCGCGTTTATAATGGTTAATTATTGTTGCTATTTGCCATATTAAACAATAAAAAATAGGTAAGGATTAACAAAGGTTTTAAGAAACTATTATTAAATAAGCTTTATTACTGAGGACGATAAATATACCTTTATGGAAATGTAACTTTGGTACCTTAATTTTGCATTATAATGTCTGTCTTTTCTTTCTTTTGTAAGACAATTGTTGTTGTATTTTACTCCATATACTTTGATAAGGAAATAGTCATTCAAATGTTGACCCATACTTTTTTGAAGGAGGAGAATTTTAACATATACTCTTTGATACCTATTTGTTACATTACACTTTAACTAAATGTGGGATAAGATAACCATTAAACTTCCCAATCTTTCATGTGTTCTTTCCTACTTTGAACATTAAATTATTAGTTCGGAGAGAGGGGAATCATATACATATTCAAGTTGTTGAACCATTCCAATCCCATCAAAAAGTATAGTATTTCCATTTGATCAAAAACAAACCTCTTCACTACCACATCACGAAAGCCTTTGTTATACATCACATCTCCATCTTTTGGTATAGTTTTCCCGGAACCTAAAGCCATTATTGTCTTAATTATCAAAGGTGGGGTATCTCCAACCAATTTTTGTCTGACAGAACATAATTTTTGTATGGAAGAAATGGACGAACGCTGCATAACCTTGCCTACATACAGGACCAGACACTTTTTTATTTTTTAATTTCTTTTTTTATTTATTTATTCCATAATTCTAAAAGTATGGGGGAAAGATTACATTGTATGTGTGGAGGAAGGGTATTTCAAAACCTTTTGGAATAAAAAGAAACGTCTATAAAAGCAACCTAATTCCCTCTTGTAAACATGAAGAATTAGTTTAAGATCCTTATATATATATTAACTCAATCATTTATTGAATATAACTTTAATTATAAGCCAAATTTTTCATTCGTTTGAAAGATTTATAAAGACACATTCATTTTTTAAATAACTGAAAAATATATTCAAGAGATAGACGTTTACATTATGAGTATTGATAACGAAAAGGCAGATATCGTTGCCGATGAAGGATTATTTGAACATAGTTCATCCTCGAGCATTGGTGATAGAAAACATAAAAATCAATCTGATTTAGAATCATTACATTCCAAAGTTGCTGAACCAGGTAATGGTGAAAAAGGTAATATTTTATCTCAATATTCCGAAAAGCAAGTTATGCAAATGGGTAGAAATTATGCTTCTAAACATGACTTAGATGTTGAATTATTTGCTAAAGCTGCTGCTGTTGCAAGAGCTCCAACTGAATTTAATTCAATGCCATTTTTAACTGAAGAAGAAAAAGTTGGTTTAAATATGGAAGCTACTCATAAATGGCATATTCCAAGTAAATTAATTGCAGTTATTGCTTTAGGTTCTATGGCTGCTGCTGTCCAAGGTATGGATGAATCTGTTATTAATGGAGCTACTTTATTTTATCCAAAAGCTTTTGGTGTTACAGAAATGAAGAATTCTGATTTGATTGAAGGGTTAGTTAATAGTGCTCCTTATCTTTGTTGTGGGGTTATTTCTTGTTGGTTATCTGATTTTTTTAATAGCAGACTTGGTAGAAAATGGACTATTTTCTGGACTTGTTGTATTTCAGCTGTGACTTGTATTTGGCAAGGGTTTACTAATACTTGGTACCATTTATTCATTGCCAGATTTATGTTAGGTTTTGGTATTGGTATTAAATCTGCTACTGTTCCAGCTTATGCTGCTGAATGTACTCCAAAACATATTAGAGGTTCTTTAGTCATGTTATGGCAATTTTTCACTGCCGTTGGTATTATGTTTGGTTATGTTTTTACTTTAGCTTTCTATTATGTTCCTAAGTATTCATTTGGAACTGGATTGAATTGGAGATTAATGCTTGGTTCTGCTTGTATTCCTGCTATTTTTGTTTTAGCTCAAATTCCATTTGTTCCAGAATCTCCAAGATGGTTAATGGGTAAAGAAAGACACGTTGATGCCTTTGAGTCTTTGAAACAATTACGTAAAGAAGAAATTGCTGCTGCTAGAGATTGCTTCTATCAATACGTTTTATTACAAGAAGAAGGTTCTTATAAAATCCCAACTTGGAAAAGAGCTATTGAATTATTCAGTATTAGAAGAAATAGAAATGGTGCTCTTGGTGCTTGGATTGTTATGTTCATGCAACAATTCTGTGGTATTAACGTTATTGCTTATTATTCATCATCAATCTTTATTCAATCTGGTTTCTCTGAAGTCTCATCTTTAATTGCATCATGGGGTTTTGGTATGATCAATTTCACTTTTGCTATTCCTGCCTTCTTAACTATTGATAAATATGGTAGAAGAACTTTATTATTAATTACATTTCCATTAATGGCTATTTTCTTATTAGTGGCAGGTTTTGGTTTCCTTATTGATGAAGATTCTAATCCAAAAGGTAGATTAGGTATGATTATCATGGGTATTTATTTATTTTCATGTGTTTATTCATCAGGTGAAGGTCCAGTTCCATTCACTTATTCAGCAGAAGCTTTCCCATTATATATCAGAGATATTGGTATGAGTTGGGCTACTGCCACTTGTTGGTTCTTTAATTTCATCTTAGCTTTCACTTGGCCAAGATTAGTGAATGCTTTCAGTTCTACTGGTGCTTTTGGTTTCTATGCCGCTTGGAATATTGTTGGTTTCTTCTTAGTTCTTTGGTTCTTACCAGAAACTAAAGGTTTAACTTTAGAAGAATTAGATGAAGTGTTTGCTGTATCTGCCATGAAACATGCAAAATATCAAACTCAAAGTCTTTGGAATTCTATTCAAAGATATGTTTTACGTCGTAATATTCCAGAATTACCACCATTATATGATCATCAAAGATTAGCCATTACTAATCCAGAATGGAATGAAAAGACTGAAGTCTCTCACATTGAATAGGCTTGATTGTTTTTAAAAATAAAAAAATAAAATAATGAAGACCACATATATATATTCAGGAATATGTTATCATGATCTCTATTAATAATAACGCTAATAATAATACTTAATTTTCGATTCACTTCTAATTTGATTCAATTACATAAAAATAATATACAATTTATTTAAATAATGAAAATAATAAAATAAAAATATATTGTTGTTTATATATATATACGTATTATACAATTAGGATCTTTTTTTACATAAACAGAAAATAAAAAAAACAACAAACTAAATAATACTAAAGAATTGAAAACATCACGATCAAAAGAACCAGTGGTTGGCACTGATTATCGTAAGAAATCTCTCAAGTATGAACCTAATTTAGTAGCTCCATCTTCTAAAGCATCTTTCAATACGTCCAAATCTTGATTTGCATTCCCACTAAATCTAGAGGCAAATTCTCTAGCTGAAGCTTCAAGTTCACCCAATTGACCACTCATAGAAGCACTTCTTTGACCACGGGGACCCGAACCACCAGCACCACCTTGTTGCTCATCTTCTCCGAAATATGATGATGAAGAAATAGATTGAGCACCACTAAAAGATTGTAATTTAGCTTTAGCTTCATTGTTGGCTTGTTCATCAAATCTTGGTCCTCTACCAAAGTATTCATCAGATGAAATCCCCTTTTGACTACCATATTTATTAGTAACTTCTCCAGTATATTTAACTTCTTTATATTTCTTATTTGGTCCATTTGAAGCAATAACATTTTCACCTTGAGTCATACCAAACCCTAATTTCTGAAATTGAACAGTGGTTTCTTGAATTGGTTGTGGAGTGAAATTGTTTTCTTTTTTGATTGATGATGATGATGCTAATGATAAAGAAGTTTTTCTTGATCCACCAGTTGAAGTGGCAGCTTTTGAAGTTGTGGTTGAATCTTCAGTATTTGGATTATAACCTAATCTTTTAGCTTCTTCAGCTTCTTCTTTAGCTTTTCTTTCAATTTCATCAAAATCAATTTCTTCCCCTTCAGGTTTATTAACTTTTCTGGCAGCTCTTGTAGTTCTTGGTCCATTACCTTTTGATGATAAAATGGATTTTTTAGCGGCAGTACCATTATTCTTTAGTCTTGATGAAGCAATAGCTGAAGATGAAGTTCTAGTAGTGACAGCTTTCTTTTTGATAGTTAAATCATCAGTAGAAGCAGTTGGGGTAATATTTCTTGATGATAAAGGAGATGGAGTTGAATTGATTGGTTTATTCCAATTTGAAAAGAAATCATCAGTAGATGATTCACCATTAGAATCATTTAACGATAAATTATCGGTAATGTCATCTAATGTCACCACATCAGGATGTTTTTCAGCATCTTTAACTGCTCTTTGTTTTAACTTTTCTTTATATTTACTAGCTACTGGAGATGAATATTTAGCAGTAGCATCGATATGATTTTTATTATTAACATATTGAGATCCACCATTTTTAAGAAAGAATTCTTTAGCTTGTTGATTTCCACCAAACTTGAAGTTTCTTAATTGTATTCTTTGCCATGAATCCAAATTAGATGATTTAACAAATGAAATATGAACTCCTAAATTTCTATGAACAGCTGAACATTCCAAACATAAAAAGATCCCGAATGGAATCGATGTCCAAGTTGGATTCTTATTAGGACAATCAAAACATACTTGATTGGCTGGATCCTTCTTCAACCTGTCGAAGATCTTGGCAGCTTCCTCTTTCGTGGCAAAAGTATCAGACATTGTTGAATGATGATGGTATTGAAGTAGTTAAATAATAATGATTATCATCAGAAATCAAAAAATCTGTTTTCACTTTTCAAACAGCCAAAAAAATCAAAATTGAACTGACGTGTACGGATCAGATTATATACAGGATACAAATTAATAATTAGTATAATTACTATAGATTAGTATTAGATTAAATTATGTACAGATATGATATATATATAGAATGTAATATACTTGATTGATTGTTCTTAGGGTTATGGAAGACTAATGGAAAGGTCTGGAACCACCACGAGCAAATTCAATGATTTTCCATCCATCAGTAGTAGTGTTATCAAATTCTTCTGGAATTCGAGTAAATACCATAGCATAAGTACTTAATTGAATATGATCTTCAGTACCAGCAGCAATATCTCCAGTTTTGGCTTTTCTATATAAATGAACTTCTTGAGCTCTACAACTGACCACAATAACAGGAGTATCATTTGGTTGTAATTGTTTACAAGTAACCACTTCAACTCCTCTAATATCTAAGATTCTACCATCAGAAAACAATCCTTGTTGAGTGAATTGTTTATTATTGGCTTGCCAAACATTATATGGAGCTTCACTAAACCAATCTTTTAATACTTTATCATCATTCTTGATATAAGCATCTAAAACTTCAGGAACAATATAATTTGTTAAAGTCTTTTGAAATGTAGTAATACGGAAGGATGGATCCATTAATCTAAATTGTTTAACCACTTTAGCTTGTTCAGTTTCAGCGAAAAATCCGGTAATCTTTTCCACAATGGTTCTAATTACTGAAATTAATCCATTTTCAGATTCTTCCCATTTTTCTTGTAAATAACTAATACCACGACCAACTGGAGTTTTTAATTTATAATCTTCCCATTTTTCTCCCATTGATGGACCAGTAGATTTATGTTCAGTAGCAATTAAGGCACTTCCAGCATCTTCATTTTCTCTAACTGGACCTTTGGTACCATTTCTTAATTTTTCTTCAATTTCCTTTTGTCTTAATTGTTGTCTTTGTTCTTTAGTTAAAAACCCACCATAAGCAGTTGATGATCCATCATCAATAACATTAGAAACATCCTTATAAACTTGAGTTTGTCTAACAGGTTCAAAAGCTTTATCAGCAACTTCAGCACTAACTCTAACGGTAGTTCTAACCCCTTTACCAACAGGTGAATCCCAAGCTTTAACAGCTACATCTCCTACAGCTTCAGCTGATTTTTGAATCACTTTACCTGCAGCAGTAGTTCCCAATTGGGCTTTTTCATAAGCTTCTTTGGCTTTTTTAAATGCTTCAGATTCTGCAACTCTACCTGATTCATCTTGTAATGCTTTTATATTATCTTTTAATTCATTTGATTTTTTAACTTCATTCTTGAATGTATCAAAGAAAACCTTTAATGGTGATTGAGGAGGACTATTGAAATTACTTGATGATATATGGAATGAACGTATAAGACTTGCTTGAAGTAAATATGAAGTTGGTGAAGAGGTTGTCTTCACTATTTGGGAAGCTAAAGACGTACTTTTTATTCCAGTATTTCTCAACATGATGAAGTATGATTTATATATGATATTGATGATTATAATTAACTATTTAACAAGAATGCAAAATGGGCTTTTTTTATATTTTTATATATGTACACAGATGAGATGATGATCAGTTGTTGCAACACCTACCACTTTTTTTTAATGATTGAAATGGATATGAAATAAATAAGAAGACCTTCAAAGTATCCTTCAGAACACGGCCAACTATACTATGTACAATTAATCAAATTTAGAACAAATGATAAATAAATAAATCAAATTCTCCAGACCCATAAATTGAAGTCAAAAAAAAAAAATTTAAACAGTGATGAAAAATTTACATTTTTGCCACACACACACGACTACAATTTTTAGTATGACCAAATTATTATAAAAGTGCGCTACCGGTAAAACACTATAAAACATTAAACTTTATGTTATATTCATTATAATTATGTATGTACAGAGTCTTAATGACTTCATTAATGGTTTCTAGCATAGTAGTTGTGCCAGTAAGTAGCAGCTTTAACAGCAGCAAAAATACCAATAGCACCAATCGTACCATATTCAATTCTATTTAAAATACGAGCTTGTCTCTTTTCTATAGCAATGGCTTTTGCATAAGGAATATCATCTCTAAATGATATCATAGTATACAATGGAAGCCATTGAATTAAACGACCATTGAGATATCTTCCTAACGTATAATCCAACTTCTTTCTTAATAAGTACCAAACATTAGTTACTTTGGAAGACATTTCATAGTAATTATCTAAGGCTAATTTACAAATAGCATCTAAATCTTTCTTTCTAACATCAGAATATTGTTGGAATGTAGTGGTGACATTATTTTCATTCTTTTCTAATAATTCCATTAACACTCTAACATCTTCAAATCCACAATTCATTCCTTGACCATAGAATGGAACCATAGAATGAGCTGCATCACCAATTAAAAGTGATTTACCTAATGGATCACTATATGGATAAACATCAACTTGCATTAATGAACCACGAGGATTATTTTCAAAAACGGACTTCAATTGTTCTTCCCCAATTAATTTAAATGCATCAGGGAAATTCGAGGCAAAGAATGTAACAAATTCATCGGATGATTTAATTGATTCAATAACTGACCAAGGACTGAAAAAAGTTGACGTAAATGATCCATCCTTATTAGCTAAAGCAATCAACATGAAATTATGTCTAGGCCAAATATGAAGATGATTTGCATCAATGGAGAATTTAGATTGAGCTTCAGGGTCTTCATTAGGAGGGATATAAAGTTCTAAATATTGCATATCAATATATTTTTGAGAGAAATTCATTCTCATAGATGGTTGCATTTGATATCTAACTTGAGAATGAGCACCATCTGCTCCAATTAAATAATCAAACTTAGCAGTAATGAATTCATGATTATCATTTACAAATGATAATGTAATCAATTCATCTTGTCTACCTAATCCTGAAACTTTAGTTAATTTATGATTGAAATGAATATTAACCTTAGCTTCTTTCAATTCCTTAATAAGACATTCATTCAAGAATGATCTATCAATTGAATTAATACTTTCACCGAATAATCCATATAATTGAGATTCTTGTTTCGTACCCGTCTTATCATGAATCATTCTCCCTTTCATAGGAATGATATGTTGTAAGATTCTCTGTGCCATATCTTCATCAACATATTGTAAAGCTCGAATACCTCGATTACTAACAGCCAAATTAATCGACCGAAGATTCTTTCTTGATCTATCAGTGATAAGAGTTGGATCGGGTCTTAAATCATATAACGTAACATTATACCCTTTGGTTTGAAATGCAAGAGCTGCAAGACATCCAACTAACCCACCACCCACAATGGCAACGGTTTTTGGTTGTGGTATTGATCCTCTTCTTTCACTGTCAGTCATCCTATGTTATTTAACTAATTATAAAGAAGCAAAGTGGAGTGAAATAATATTTAGATATTTATTACAAATTATGACTATGACTATTTTGTAATTTTATGGTCTCACTCTTTTTTACGTTTTTTTTTTTACAGTAAGTTAAGCGAATTTAGCAATTTTTTTATTTATTTATGATCTGATTTTATTTTATTCATTCATTTTGCAATTATACGATTATAAACAGGGGTAAAGGCGGAAATGTGAGAGTGAGAGTAATGTATGGGTCTATTTACTTTATTTCACTATCTGACTGCAATAAATGTACTTCTGCATCAGCTTCTATATCAGTTTCCTTATCAACCGATACTGACTCTACATGAGTGTTAATAATGGGACCATCTCCAGAATTATCATGGGTGATTGGAGATGCAACAACACCAGGGACGGTGGTTGCACCGCCCAATTTAGCAAGTTTGAGTTTCTTTTTCTCTATGTCATTCTTTACTTGTTCTATTTGAGCTTCTAATTCATTATTTCTTTCTTCAAAATCTTTATTGGCTTGAATGGTATTATTTAAATTATCTTCCATGGTTAATTCTTTTATTTGAGTTTGTAAACCATTCATTTTCAGGGTTAATTCACTATTTATCCCTTTGGCTTCATCTAATTGAACATTGTATTCATCACTTTGTTGAGTGATTTCAGTATGGGTGGTTCGAAGATTTTCCAATTGACGATTCAATTCATTAATTTTAATTAAAAGATCATCATTGACTTCTTGTAGGTTAGTTAATTCATTTTGATTGTTATTTAATGAATTGGCATGGATTAAATGATACTCATTTTCATATTTAATGATTTGAGGTTGAGATTTAAGTATACTTGATAAGTTTAATTCATGATTTTCGAATAATTTTGAAGAATTTAAAAATTGACTTAATTCATCTCCTTCTAATTTCAATATATTGTCTTTATGTTGAATGAAAACTGATAAAATCAATCTTAATACGAAATCAAACCCTTCAAATATTATAAAATCTAAAATGACAAGTAATTGTTGTGGATCTGTAATCTTATGTTCGAAATAATTAAACAATATATCCTTGTAAAGATCATTAAGATATATTCCTTGGACACTGATATGTAAAAATACTTTATGAACCAAATCCTCTAATGATCTATTGATCTTATAATAGAATTCTTCTTTGATCAAACTATGGAAAAGCTTATCCACCTTCAATAAGACATAAAAGATTTCTTCAGGTTCCAAATGGGGAATCTTGGAAACAACTTTAGTTACAGATAGTATGAATGAACTAGGGGCGTTATATGATACAATCACATCAGGATTTAAATTCGTCTTGGAACTCACTTCATTGATATAATAATTATAAACTTCGACAATATCTTGGGTACTTGATTCAAGATTCAAACTCTTTATAAAACTTTCATGATCTTGATTATAAGTGGAATATTTCGCTTTCTTAATCAAACTATCAAATGATTCCTTATGATTAAGTTTATACCTTATCTGTAATGTCTTTAAATATACCAAAGCTCTTAAATCAGTAGGAATCCCTTTAATTAAATGAGTTTCAAACTCTTCAATCTTATCATTCGTCCTAATGAATTGATTACTATAATCTTGAATTATACTTATCCAATAATTAACATTATCATCTTCAATATCAACTTTATTCTTTATATCATCTAATCTTAATCTTAAATTATCATTACCAGTACTACTAGCATTGGTATTTTGATTGACAATTAAATCAGAAGTTTCATTTAATTGAGGTGATGAATATAATTCAATCTGTCTAATCACAGAGATAACACTTAAACTATCAGAAAATCCATAATGAATATGATTATCTGTTATAGTAGAAGTATCCGAATTGTTCCGTGGGGGTAAAGTTGGTATGGAAGGTTTATCTGTATCGTCTCTAAGTGGTAAAACTGGTGGTGTAGAGTCTGGCATGATGTGTGATGGTCTGTCTGAGTCGATCGAAGTAGTTGTGATCTGTTGATCTAGATAATCTAACTACAATTGATTAACTTATGATAACCAAATAGGTGTTGTTGTCTATTTTGGATTAGACATTTATATTTTTTTTTTTTGGGGTGGTGTGGTTTTGTATCACTTTTGAGGCTTTGCAATTATTATTTTGCCGACTACAATTGTTGCAACAACAACTATTTATATACTACAATATATATTAAAATATCGTTAATGTCAAAATGTACTTGATATAATCTAATCTTCAAAACTTGCCCAATCAAGATTTTCTCCATCTAATCTTTCCAACATTGCTCTCATGGCTGCATCTTCTTTCTTCTCCTTTTCTTCTTGTAATCGTTTAGCTTCAGCTTTCTTATTGGCTTGTGATTTCTTAGCTTCAGCTTCTTGTTCATGTTTCTGTCTTAACCATTCAATTCTACTTGGTTTCTTGGTAGTAGCAGGAGGAGTAGTAGGAGGCGTAGCTTTAGTTGCAGGTTTAGTATTCTTTTGAGTTTTCAAATTTGATGTTGGTTTATTAGATGTTGCCTTTTTAACGGTCTTCTTCGGTATTTGTTCAATCTCTTCATCCGTAGTAACAAATCCATCATCCTCATCTTCAGCTTCATCTTGTTTTCTTTGTTTATTAGATACTGGTCCTAATCTAGCAGCAAATGCCCTAGCAGCGGCTGACATAGGAGGTAATTCATCTTCTTCTTCGTCATCTTGTTCTTCTTCGTTGTCGTCTTCCCATTCATCTTCCTGTTCCTTGTGAACTGGTTGTGATTTAGTATTAACTTTATGGGAAGGTTTCTTATGATCAATTTTATCCTTTTTTACAGGTTGAGATTTTGATGATATACCAGCACCACCAGATAATCTAGCCGCAAAAGCTTTAGCTGCATCTGACATAGGAGGTAATGATTCATCCTCTTCATCATCCTCATCATCATCTACTTCTTGGACTTGCTCTTTATGATCTTCTTTTTCATATTTCAAATGTCTGTAATTAGCTTGATCTCGCGGTTGTTGTTGAGTTTTATATCTGTTATTATTATTATTGTTGTTGTTGTTGTTGTTGTTATATTTATGAGATTTATAATTATTATCATGAGCATCTCTAGAATGATTAGAATCTTGTGAATGATTATCTCTATATGCTCGAGGTCCTTTAGGAGGTGATTTAGCCGGTGACTTTTCGTGTTTAGAAATACTAGGTTTAGGAGTCTCTGAGGTTTGACTTGGAGCTTGAGCCCATTTACTTGCCAATTCTTCCTTTTTAGTAACAATTATTGGCTTTGCCCATTTACTTTCTAAATTCTTAGTCGAAGTAGTTGTAGTAGTAGTTGTGGTTGTTTTGGTAGGTGATTTTGGTTTAGGATGAGGATGATCATCTTGACGTTTGGCTTCAACCACCAATTTATCATCAGTAGCCCATTTAGATGCTAAGCCTGACATGATTTTGCAGTAATTGATATTTTAACAGGCAATGTTTGTGAGATTGTGGTTGTTGTTTAGATATGATAACACTAAGAGAAATATAGATATAAATGAATAGATAGATAATAGTAGTGAAAGAAGCTAATGTATAGATCAAGTAAGCAACAATGGTCTTTCTCTTAGCTAGAATAAGTTAAATACAGATATTGAATTGAATAAAACGGTTTTATAAATAGATGTATATATTTACCATGTTTAAAATGATATTTAATATTTTACGCTCTTTTTTTGATGTGTTTTTGTCTGTCTGTCTGCTTAAATTTTTATCTTATTTTTGTCTGTGTTTTGTGGTTCCATTTTTAAAACTGTCTGTCTGACTGCGAAATCAATTATAAACTGATTTTAGCAGAACATAAAATTTAATACAGGTCTTTTAATTGAATATTGTTAAATTTTCTTGGTATAGCTAACTTGTCATTATCAATATTAGGATTTCATAGCTGCTTGATTAAAATGAACTCTACACATATTAATCAAAGAGATCAGCAAATTGATTGCCGTTAAAACTCTAGTAGCAAGTATAAGTCTAGGATATGGGCTTTTGGAAGTTCTTTCTTTAGCAAAACAATGATTAATTGCAATGTTGATTATTATAGATATTAATAAATGACCAATGGTCCAGCATAATTCATCAATAAAAATTGTAGCCCTTTCTGGACGATATATAATTCTTGATGTGTTCAGAACAATAATATATACTTGAATTAGGAATTGAATAATCGCATCAACTTTTCTAACTCTTGTTATAAATAAACGTCTTTTTGCATAGGAAGTTTGTTCCTCATTGTATAGTGGTAGGATGGGTTTTTCATCTGTAGGTTCAGACATTTTTGAAAGAACAGTTTCAGTCATTCTTGGAAAATGATGTTGGTGATAAACAATGTTTAATAAAAAGGTTATTAAAATAAATTAGAGCTTAGTGGTATTTTAAAGTTATTCGTATTGGTTTTCTGCTAATTGCAAAGCAGTGTGCTCTTTTTAGGGAAGAATACTATTCTATCCCTAAAATGGTTTACATCGCATTTTATTTTAGAGAAAGATAGGACTATTCAAAATATACTTATTCTTATCATCACAGTTCTTACCAGCACAAAGGTTATCTTTCCTTTGGTTAACACAAATTAGCAACGAATAAATTAATATACAAATTAAAATCCAAAGAATATCTACATTTTGAGTCAAAAAAGGTACAAAATTAAGCATTCCCATTTCCTCTACTTAAATCTACATGATCAACGCATAAGCCTATTATTAATCAATTCAGTTGTTCAACTGGTTATCTCTTATAGATTGCAAAATTTCACAAATATCATCATTGACCGATAAAATTAGGGAATTTAATGATCCAGTATTTAGTAATAACTTAGGCTCTATTAATAATTTTCCGGTAAGAATGGCTGACCGATGTCGTTTTTATTGCAACATTGCATAATCAGGGAAAAAAGTAAGACATTTTTACCCTAACAGTATGACAAAGTATAGTAAATCTAGACTACATACCTTAATTATACCATTTGTTACTATCAAATACCTTCAATTCACTGCTTTTGATGTGTTCATTTCATTCCTACTTCATTATGAACAGCTAAATATTAAATGGCGTGAGAAATTTCTTATACTGAATAAGCATTAACCATCACCAGGTATGCCCTCCTCTCCCAGTAAGTACCAGGTGTAGTGAAGAAAAATGTCGCATAATTTCTCCTTAACCTTCTGGATCAGAATCGACCGCTCCCCCACCCCTCCTCTCTCTCTGTTAATGCAACTAACCACAAAAAATGTCGCACGTCATTAAATTTTTCATTCACCACGAAACCACCACCCACCATCCTCAGTGTGACCCGGCATGATAATTTAATTTTAATATATAAATTAATGATTTAACCATTTCAAAATATTTCATCAATTGTTTCAATTCTTGATTGTATCGATTAGTCAATTAAGTCAATTGAGTGTTAATTTCAACTTCTACTCCTCCCACAAACACGTACTACTACATCATGGCCTCATCATACTCTGATTTCAAATTAGCTTCTGATTTATCAGCTTGGAAAAAATTAGAACAAACTTATAAATCTGAAGGTTCTGAATTTAAAGTTAAAGAAGCCTTTGAAAAAGATCCAAAGAGATTTGAAAAGTTTTCTAAAACTTTTAAAAATTTCGATAATAGTCCAATTTTATTTGATTTCTCCAAGAATTTAATCAATGATGAAATTTTAGCTCAATTAATCGCTTTAGCTAAAGAAGCTAAGGTTGAAAGTTTAAGAGATGCAATGTTTAAAGGTTCAAGAATCAATTCCACCGAAGATAGAGCTGTTTATCATGTTGCTTTAAGAAACAGAGCTTTAAAAACTATGGAAGTTGATGGTAAAGATACTTCTAAGGAAGTTGATGATGTATTACAACATATGAAAGAATTCTCAGAAGAAATCAGATCTGGTAAATGGACTGGTTATACCGGTAAAGCCATTACTGATGTGGTTAACATTGGTATTGGTGGTTCTGATTTAGGTCCAGTTATGGTTACTGAAGCTTTAAAAGCTTATTCTAAACCAGGTTTAAATGTTCATTTTGTTTCTAATATTGATGGTACTCATTTAGCTGAAACTTTAAAAGGTTTAAATCAAGAAACTACTTTATTTTTAATTGCTTCTAAAACTTTCACTACTGCTGAAACCACTACTAATGCCAATTCTGCTAAGAAATGGTTCTTAGAAGGGGCTAAAGAAAATAAACATATTGCTAAACATTTTGCTGCTTTATCAACCAATGCTGAAGAAGTTTCTAAATTTGGTATTGATACTAAAAATATGTTTGGATTTGAAAATTGGGTTGGTGGTAGATATTCAGTTTGGTCTGCTATTGGATTATCTGTTGCTATTTTTATTGGATTTGAAAATTTTAATGATTTCTTAAAAGGTGCTGAAGCTTTTGATGCTCATTTTGTTGAAACTCCATTAGAAGATAATATTCCAGTTTTAGGTGGGTTATTAAGTGTTTGGTATAATAATTTCTTTGGAGCTCAAACTCATTTAGTAGCTCCATTTGATCAATATTTACATAGATTCCCAGCTTATTTACAACAATTATCAATGGAATCAAATGGTAAATCGGTTACTAGAGGTAATGTTTTCACTAATTATCAAACTGGTGTTATCTTATTTGGTGAACCAGCTACCAATGCTCAACATTCTTTCTTTCAATTAGTTCATCAAGGTACTAAATTAATTCCAACTGATTTTATTTTAGCTGCTCAATCTCATAATCCAATTGAAAATAATTTACATCAAAGAATGTTAGCATCTAATTTCTTTGCTCAATCTGAAGCTTTAATGGTTGGTAAAGATGAAGAAAAAGTTAAAGCTGAAGGTGCCACTGGTTCATTAGTTCCTCATAAAGTATTTGCTGGTAATAGACCAACCACTTCAATTTTAGCTCAAAAGATTACTCCAGCCACTTTAGGTGCTTTAATTGCTTATTATGAACATTTAACTTTTGTTGAAGGTGCTATTTGGAATATTAATTCTTTTGATCAATGGGGTGTTGAATTAGGTAAAGTTTTAGCTAAAGTTATTGGTAAAGAATTAGATAATTCCAATGAAATTGAATCTCATGATGGTTCAACTAATGGTTTAATTAATCAATTCAAAGCTTGGTCAAAATAACTATCCATAAACACTGATCATAATTCTAAATTATAATCTTTTATTAATCTTATCTCTTTGTGTGTTTTTATCATATATAAAGTAAATAAAGTTACCCTTTTAATTTTAACGTTGTTTTATCATCATATTGGTATGTATTTTTATATGCCGGAAATACGAAGAGCTCTCCAAATTTTTTTATTTTATTTTTTTTTCAAATATGTGTAGAAGCAATTAGTTAAGGTGAAGCTTTCATTAAAACGATAGAACTACAACAGTAGTGATTAACAGTGGATGGCACTGAGTCATTGAAGATAATAGAAAAAAGAACTAGACACAATATTCAAAAAAGAATACTTCTTTAGCAAACAAAACAACAATAATCATAGCAATAATAATAATAATTACCATATAATGTCAGATCAAGATGATTTCCCATCCTATTTGGATGAACAACAACAACAACAAGAAGATGGAGACTTAGATAATCCGTTAAGAGTGTTGGTAGTGATAAATGTACCTGAAGGAAGTGAGAAGGAAACTAGCAATAGTTCAATTCATGGAGAAATGGAAGAACGATTATTAGATAATGTTCAAAGTTTCAAAGCTATGAATGAATTCTTTGATGATTTCGATGATAAAATAGCGTATCCTAATGAAGGACATATTAAATATGAAGTTGGAAGTGATGGATTGGTGGTTATTGTGGTTGATAATATAGAATTAAGAAATAAGGTCTTACTGTTTATGGATAAATTTACCACCATTAAGCTGGAAGGTGATGATGAAGATGAGGAAGAAGAGGATAACAAGAGGAATAAGAAATCAAAGAAGAATGTTAAAGCTTAGACATCTTTGGTTGAATATGGAAGGATGATTCCATAATGTACATTAGAAATATATATACACACATAAATTAATACATACATTCATTAGTAATAGTTGATTGTTATATCGATCTGTAAGTTGTTGACTCCTATACTTTCTACATACTCCCTAAGATAGTAAAAGTAGAAGAAATGGTACAGTTTCTTAGCTAGTAGTTATATTGATAACTGATACTGGCGACACAAAATTAGTCTCACACTAAAAAAATGTCAGTGTCTCCTAAAACCACCAGCCCAAAAATCAAATTTACAACAATCAATCTTTATCAAATCAATCAGAGCTTAATCAACTTAATAAGAGCACACCTTCAATCAATCAATCAATCAACAGACATACATACAACAGACACATCACATAAACAATGGAAGACTGGAGAAGAATTGATATCGATGCATATGAACCTGAAAATCATTTATCCAAAGAAGAATTATTACCTAATTTACCTGCCACCAGTTTATCAGAGATTCAAACTGTTTCTAAACAAGTTAGAACCTTATTATCCCAGGGGAAATTCCTTGATGCTTTGAAATTGGGATTACAATATCCTCCATATATCGCTAGTGAAGATATTAAAAGTTTACATACTGAAACTATATTTGAAATCTTATGTCTGATTAAAAATAATCATAATTTAACTGAATTAAGTTCATTCATTAAACAATTAAGTTCAGATGAACAAGATATCTTGGTTAAATATTTATACAAGACTATGAATACTAGTTATGGACAAAAACAAGGAGGGTTAATATTAAGTTGGTATGAAAAAACAGTAGAAATCACTGGTTTAGGTCCTATAGTTAGATTCTTAAGTGATAGAAGAACTGTATAGGAAGGAATAACATAGTATATATGTCATTCATTACGTATTATTATTATAAAAGTTTTAGTATAAAAAAGAAACATTAATATATTGTAGGGATATATAAAAAGAAAAGGGGTATATATATATAAAAAGAGGGTATAATAATACAAAAATAATACAATGTAATCCTTAATTCATTTAGAATTGGGATTGAACTAAAGTTCCAAAGTTGTTGGTACTAACTTTAGGTGATTTGGTTGGAGAAGATTTCTTATGAGGTGAATTATTTGAAGTTGATGATTTCTTCTTAAATTGTTTACCAACGAGTGATTTATAATTACTTGAATTATGTAACACATTTCCATGATTATGATTCTTTTTCTTATGGGAAGCAGATTTGGTTGGTGAACTATTTAATCTTGGTGATGGTGTTAAATCTTCTAAACTACTTGCAACATCAGGAGTATTTTCTTTATCTTGAAACATTTCAGTAGTTGGATCAAAAGTAGTATTTGATTTCAAACTTGGGAATACAGACATCATAAGATTGTCGGAGTTGATTAATGGCACATCATATGAAGGAACTTGTTGAGCTTGTTCTTGTTGTTCCTTTTGTTGATGTTGTTCAACTTGTTGTTGTAATTTCAAAATCTCACCATCCTTAGATTCAATAACTTGTTTTAATTCTCTAATCTTTCCATCTTTATCATTAGTTAATGACGAAACTTGAGAATTCAATTGATTAATCAATTCATCTTTAAGAGTGACTTGAGCATTCAATTGATTAATCAAATCATCCTTGTTCCCATTCTCCCCATTCAATTGTTGATTCTTGTTGATTTGTTCATTAATGATAGATTGTTTATTCAACACATCTTGATTCAAAATGATATTTTGATGAGTCAATTGATCTATTTCAAGTTGTTTATCTAAATTGATTTGATTCAATTGATCAACTTGACTTGAATTATGATTCGAATCAGTTTCAAATTGAGTTATGATTGATTGTTTAGCTTTCAATTCTTGATTTAATTGATTGATGGAGTCTTGTTTCGATGAAAGGTCGGATTTCAATTGATTTATTAAATTACGTTTTTCATTCAATTTAACGGTTAATTGATCAATCTGAGTTTGTTTATCGGTATTGTCTTTGTTTAATTGTTCAATCTGGGTTTGTTTTACAGTAGTTTCTTGGTTCAATTGTTGAATCTTAATTTGATGTTGATTTGTTTCTGAGGTTAATTTCTCGATGCTTGTTTGTTTATCAATCACATCTTGATTCAATTGATTAATAACTTTTTGAGAATCATTATTTTCTAACTTCAATTGATCAATCATCTTAACCTTGTCCTCAGATTCTTCCTTCAATTGTTCAATCAGTTGTTGTTTCTCATCCACTTCACTTTTTAAACCATTAATCAGATTTAATTTATCATTCACATCACTTTTCAAAACATCAATTTGATGTTCATTCTCAGTAATAGATTGAGCTAAATCCTTCATACTTAATTCATAATCATTAATTTTCAATTGATGAGATTCAGAATCTTGATTATATTGAGCCATCAACTCTTCATAATGGATAGATTGAGAATTATTCAATTCAATTAAATGAGATACATTCCCCTTTAACAACTCAATACCATTACCATTCTGATCTTGTTCACCGAGTTGAACTAATTGATTCACAGCATGAACTTGAGTAGTTAAATTCTGATATTCATGTTTCAAAGATTGGAATGATTTCTTTAAATCTTCATAAGTCATAGCTTTAGCGAATTTAACTGGTGATTGACCGGGAAGTGCTTTACTTAATGCACGCTTTTTACGAATTGGACTTTGAGAACTCATGGTTGGTTGAGCATAATGAGGTAATTTTCTCTTCTTAACCATGGTGGTTTGTCCATCCTGTTGTTGTAATGGTTCTTCTTCTTTTATGGTATTGAATTTTTGAATCATTTGGAACATATTGTTCAAAGTTGATTTGATTAATTTTTCATTACCGTATAAATCTAAATGTAAGATAATATTCAAATTATGAGATTGTTTTTCATTATTATGATTGTGATGATGTTTCTTAAAGATAAAGTTAGTGATAAAATTAGATGATCTTCCAATAATAGATTTATTATTCCCACTTAAAATCAATTGACTTATAGAACTTATATTTGAATTTGCAAATACATTTGAATTAGTCAGAAACTCTTCATTTCCCATAAAATCAATAAAAGTATGTCTAACATTATTATAATACAAGGTAATGATCAACACTGATCTTGAAGAATTAACATTAAACGCAGTTCTCTTCGTCAACCTATTCTTAAAGACATTTTTCAATTGTAATTTCGTATCAAATCGATCTTTAATCAATTGATTTTCGAAATTAATTTGATTCGATCGAACTTTATTATGATCTCCCGCCATAAGATCAATGATATATTTTTTATTATTATCGATGATTTCAAACGCAGTCATAAAACAAACTGATTTAGTATCATTTATAATCCGTAATTTATCAATTAAAACATTATATAAATTAGTAGTTTTCCCACTATTGGTTGGACCCATGAATAACCAACATTGAGAAGTGGTATCTTCTTGATTGATTAATGATTTCAATTGATGATGAGTTTCAGATGTGAAGATTTGGTCGAATTCGTAAGTTTTATCATTTATATCGAGATTGGTATCCGATATGATATTAAATTTTGGATCTTGATCAGAAGATGGTTCTGATGAAGTGGACTTTCCCTTGATTTGAACATATAATGGTATAGTCATGGTTGATGCTAATATTATTAGTTAGAAGAAGAGAAGTAAACCCAATTTAATAAGATGAGATAAATGTATACGTTTTGTTTTGGTTACAATTAGAGAGTTGTAGATATGTTTAGTTTAGGGTATTTTGGTAAGGCTATTATTTGTTTTTATATATTCCCAATTAGGTAATTCATCTTTGTTGCGAAAATGATAGTGCGTGAGTTCGTCAAAAGAGTTATGTCGCGACAGAAGAAGTTGTCGAAAACGAAAGAAAATATGACAAAATGAAAAAGAAATTCGACATAAATCATGTGAACTGGATCACATGACCACTACATTCAAAAGCGATACAAAAATGGGGACAGAATAAGGATAATGACAAAGTTTAATAAAGATGATACATTAAGGGGGGGGGGGAGAGGACGTATGATATGATATGAATTGATAAAAGGCGGATCCAATAATCATCATCATTATCATTATACTGAAAATTTTTCATGATTAATTAATGTGAAATTGGAGTTGTTTGGTTGAATCGGTTATCAAAGGGAGGAAGGTGCAAAGGGTCAACCAAAATTAAAAAAAGAAAAAAAAAAAAATTAATTAAATTAAAATAAAAATAAAAAAAAAAGAAAAGGGAGAAATTGAATGTGTATAATTGATTAACACAAATAAGATGAAATGATCAATTTAACAGTTTAAAAAACGGGGGATATCTTTAATTGATGATGATGATCAAGTCATGATAATAATAATAATAATAACAATATGACTTATTAGTAAATTTAATGATCATTAAAATTGGAGTGTTGTGTTAATCCCAGTCTATCCTTAAAGGAAGAAAAAGACCTGGACCATACCAGTGATTATATACAGGTCATTAATTCCCACACACCCCTTTTAAATAAAAAAAGAAATTTAAATTTAAATAATTTTTGATCAATTGAACACGACCTTTTTTTTTTTGCTGCTGCTGCTGCTGCTGCTCCTTCTGCTCCTCTTTTCTTTTTTTTATAATATCTGTATACTGCATATAAAGTCATATCACACAAAATTAAAATATTTTTGTTGAACATATTTTGCTACCACATAGTTAAGCGCTTTAATTAAAATAAATGTTTATTTCTTGACAATGATATAAATCAGCACCAGTTTTAGTAATTAGTTGATTGCTTGAATGATATGTCATCATCATTCATTCATTCATCAGTTAAGTTTATAGAAAATAACTACTTGTTGAGCAATGATACAATTCAATGAATGAAACATCAGATTTTATAACACACCGTAAATGTAAATAAAACAACAACAACAACAACAACAACAACAACAAGTATGTTGTTAGTGATTTTTATGTTATTTTATTTTTATTTTAAACGTCAGTTGATTTGTCTTAATTGATATAACTAAAATTTAATTAACTTTGTGTTAAATTTGACTTAATTCGTCTATTAGACTTTTAAAGATTTAATTTTAATTTTGAAATGATGACAATTATTAACTATGGGGGTAGTAAAGAGAAATAAAGAGTCACAGACACATATCTAAGTAACATAAACTAATGTAATATAAGCATGTGGCTATGATAAGTCTCATGAGAGTTGGAGTCAGTTCATAGCAAGAAACATGTTATTGTTATTGTTATTATCATTTGCTATTATGAATATTTTATAAAAACTACTTAACCTGACTACACGATAATAAGTTATCGTCACCTTATAAACTATTTCTTGTTATGAATAAGTGGTAAGCAATAAGTAGTAATGGTTGTTATTATGGTTTGTCATAAATTACCAGTAAATTGTTTATTATTTTCTAAATGAGTAAGAAAAGAAAATTTTTTTTTGTGATTGTTTTTTTTTTTTTTTTTTTTTAATTTGACTTTTCGACACGACTTTTAAAAATTAAAAATTTTTATTTTTTTTTTTCTAATTTTGGTGAAAGGGAAAAATACGAACATAACAAATAACTAAAAGTGAATATCCATATTTAATGCAAACTTTTCCCATTTACTTCTTCTTCTTTCTTGTTTAGACAGAAAACTCATCCCTTCCCTTCCCTATTCCTTAGTTAGAACATTCTTCATTGATAGAATATTCGTATAAGGAAGAAGAAACCTCCTCCAACTCACTCACTCACTCATTCTAAATTTAATATTAGAATCTTCCCCCTTCTCCTAATTTTAGTTAGTCAGAAGAGAAAAGAAAGTGAAGAAAGAAAGAAAGAAATAGATTATAAGTCCTTATTTATATCATCATTAGTGGTTCGAATCAAAAGCATATCATAAGGTAATACCCAAGTATTATCAACTGTATCCAACTTTCATTCATTCCATCAACTGTTTTCTTCATAATTTTATGGGAAAGTATAAATAATAATAATAATATAATATTCCTCAATCATTAATTTCTTTTGTGGATATTTTTATCAACGTATCATATCATCTAAGTCTAGACTACTTCTATCAAGCAAGCAGCCTTGATTATTACGATTATTACTACCACTACGAGCTTTTAATTAAGTTTTCGTTTCTGTCTATTAATAACAAATTACCTTTTTTTGGTGAGAAAAATTCAACCAATATAAAAATAATATATAACATAACAAGAATGTATCAAATACAGCCTCCTCCTCCACCACCACCACAACAACAACAACAACAATTCTACCATCATCATCAATCAGGATCCATCTCCATGGTTGCCCCACCTCCTTATCATAGACCAAGTTCTTCATTTGGTATCAATGGAAATACATCAAATCAACCACCACAACCACAAACTCATTATTCAACTCCTCCTCCCCCTCCTCCAAATGCGTATTACCCTCAACCTTTAAGACATTCAAGATCATTCTATAATACAAACACCAATACAAATCCAATTCCTCATCCTTTCAATTCCGGTTTTATTCCCCCTCCTCCTCAACAACAACAACCTTTACATCAACATCATCAATCAATCATAGCGTCTATGGCTTCGGCTCCTCCTTATATGTCATCTCCCCCTCTCATGCTTAAAATGCAAGATGTTCCTGCTCCTGCTGCTGTACAAGTACCCGCACCAGTTCAAGATGAACAAGTTAATGGTGGAATCAATTCTGTATTAGAATATGATTTAAATACTATGGCTGCATTTTTAAGTTGGTGTTCATTTGGAATGTTAAAACAAGATAAAAACCCTACTAAGGATTTTGAAAGTTTGATTGTATCTGTTTTATTCGCTACTAGATTACCTAAATCAACCATTATTATCGCTTTGGAATATATGAATCAACGATTCTCAAATGTGAATAATAACAATAGCAATGTTAGTTCTTCTGTGGGTGATTTAACTGAACATCAGATTTTCATTCAATTGATTGTTAGTTTAATCTTGGCTAATAAATTTAATGATGATAATACTTTCACTAACAAATCATGGCATGGAGCTACTGGTTTAAAATTGGAATTATTAAATAAAGAAGAAAAAGATTGGTTGGATGAATGTAAATGGAGTTTAAATGTGGTTAATTTCGAATCTAATATCGTTACATTACAAGAATGTTGGATTACATGGTTGGATAAATATGGTGATAAACATAAAATTAAAGATTTAATTACATCTTCTCCACCACCAATATCTCAAATTCAACAAGTTCAAGTTCAACATCATCAACATTTTAATTCTTTATCCTCGAAAAATTCTTTTTCAAGTATACCGTCTTCACCTATCTATTCAGATCATCCAAATCATTATTATTACCCTTCATCATCTTCTCCTCTGATTACTCCTCCTACAAAGTATAGTGATGGTAATTCATTATGGTTTGATCAACAACAAGGTGTCCAACCTCAACCACAACAACAAATTAATAATCAATCAATTTGGAATAATTTCAATAATACAACTCCAAGTATCGCCTTTCAACCAAATGTTCAAATGCAACCTCCATCTCAACAACATCAACATTCTCAAAGTGGTCATTTCCAACCTCCTCCATTAATGGCATTACCATTACCTTCCAATCCATCTACTTCAAATTCATCCTATCCATTCCATCATAATCCGATTTTAAATCATGGTGGGTTTGTGGGATATGCTAATCCTTATTACATGGCATCATGTTAAATCAATCAATCAAATCATACACAGTGTACATTAGTCCCCTTCCGTTATAGAATTGTTCTTCAATCCGTTATTTTACATTTTTTTTTCTTTTTTTTCTTTTTTTTTCATCTTTTCTTATATTACTTTGGTTTTTATTTGGGTTTTTTTAAAAAATTTATATTATATTGACAATTCATAACGATAACTATTATTATTACAACAATGACAATTCAACAGGTTATTACTACTTGTTCAAAACTTTTTAAAAAAAGATAAAAACTATATATATATAAACAAAACCAAAAAAAAAAAATCTCACACAATTAATAATAATACATTCATTCAGTCGTCTTATTCGTTCTATCCTTTTTTACGTTTTTTTTTTTGATTCATAATAGCTTTTATATTTATAATAATAATAATAATATACAATCTTTATAATAATCGTTTAACTATTGTTTACTATAATTGTAGTAGTGAATGGAGGCAGGTATCAGACGCGTTTAACTTTCTTCAAAATCAGCTTCTTCTTCTTCTTCTTCACCTTCTTCATCATCTTCATTGATCACTCCTTGTTCTTTATCTAATTCCGCAGCAGCTTTAGCGAAATCAATCACTTTACCTCTGGTTCTTCTCCCGGTAGTTATGATATTTGAGGCATCAATTTCATCAAATTCATTATCTTCTTCATCATCATCATCTTCATCTTCATCACCCTTGAAATCATCCCCTTCTTCATCATCATCTTCGTCGTCTTCATCAAGGACAGACTTCTTGGTATCAACTTCTTCTTCTTCTTCTTCCTTTGGTAAATCATCATCATATTGTCTTCTTCTTTTCTTTTTATGTTTCTTATCATCAGATTTGGAACTTCTCTTCTTGGTTTCTTCAACTTCTTCTTCTTCGTCCTTTTCAACGTCTTTGACGTCTTCTTCCTTAGACTCAATTGTCTTCTTATCTTCTTCAGACATGTCTGTTTTGTATGTGTGGATGTATGGTGGGTATGATTATGATTATGATTGTGATGGTAGTGGGGATTTGTTTATGATTGTTGAAATATTTCTAAAATAACCCACAATTTTTCGTCTCTCTCTCGCTCAAATTTTTACGATAAAAATCACACACGTGACTTACTTGAGATTTTAAATTACGGTTAATGATGTGTGTTTGTATGACTTAATAGAATGGCTATAGTTGAATAATTAACGTGTTTTAAACTTGTACTTCGGGTAGATGACTGTGGATAACTCGTTATATTATTGGTTACGGCAATTGCCTACATAATGAGGTGTTTACTCTAAGTCGAAAGTATATAAAGGTGTAAGTACATACAAGAACAAATATATTCAACAGCTTAAATTGACATAGACGTGTCATGAATTATATCAAAGCTATTTAAAATTAATTAATATCAAAGGTGTAACTAACTTTATTCGAATTTGTAATAATTATTATTTTTAAAATAGAATGTTTAAATTTGCGCTGCGCATTATGTGCAATTAACCACCTTAAACCTGAACTATAACCACTATGAGAATTATAAATTGATTCTTTGAGCCGTGCATTTGGTGGCAGTTCCCAGGTCGAGTAACTTAAGCTATATTCTGTTGATAAGGTTTTATTAACCTTTTTTTGCATGACTTTGTTTACATTTATGACCTTGAAGCATTATTTAAACATGCTATGACACGTATCATGTACCATGTGATAAGGGCTATGATAAGACATCATGTAAATTGTAATATATATGGTTAGATATCTTTTGGTTTGGCTTGTTGTAGTAGTATGAGTATAAGTTATACAGTAATCAACTATGAGTAGTAGAAGAAGAGCTTATCCTCAACCTCAAAATGGTACAGATATTTTATCTCGATTACTTGCTCCTCCACTTCCAGGAAATCAATTCCATGATCAGACGACATCATTAGATATTGATAGCACTACTGAAAAACTTCAACATACCAATCTTGATGCTGTAAATCAATTCCGGCTGTATCAATCGACGGACAATTCACCGTATGTATCAGTAAATCAACTGCTTCCTTTGAATCAATTATATACCACTGATCTTGCAAGAGAATTACCCCCAGCTATTTCTGATTTATCATTACCACAACCACCTATAGTTTTACCACAACGTACCACATTGATTCCAAATGTCGCGACTGCAAATGCTTCCCCTGATTATTTTCGATCAACTTTGAACGTTATTCCTAATAGTTCATCTTTATTAAAGAAATCAAAATTACCATTAGCTTTAATTGTTAATCCTTATAATGCTTTAAAGTATGAAGATGAAAATGTCCCTATTACATCAGATTCAACAGTGAGTAGATGTCGCCGATGTAAAGGGTATATTAATCCATTCATAACCTTGGTTGAAAATGGAAGAAGATGGAGATGTAATTTTTGTAATTTATTAAATGATATACCTCATGCTTTCGAATATGATGAAATTAATGGACAGAGGAAGAATAAATTTGAAAGAGTTGAATTGAATCATGCCGTGGTTGAATTTAATGCTCCTAGAGAATATATGCTGAAACCTCCTCAACCTATTGTTTACACATTTATAATTGATGTTTCTGTTAATGCTATCAGATCAGGTTTGACAAGGACTATTACCAGAACAATTTTGGAAAGTTTAGATCGAATTCCAAATGTGCATCAAACTGTAAGAGTGGCGTTCATTGGAGTCGATTCAAGTTTACATTTTTTTAAATTGAATCATGATTTAGATCATCCGTTTGAAACTTTGGTGATTTCTGATATCGAAGACCCATTCTTACCGTCACCTTAAGGATTACTTACATGAATATAGACAAGCAATTGAAAAATTATTAATTGATTTCCCATCTTTATTCCAAAAAACAGCTATACAAGAATTCGGTTTGGGACCCGCTTTAAAATCAGGACATAAGTTAATCAATCATATTGGTGGAAAATTAATTTGTTTCGCAGCCAGTTTGCCTAATATTGGAGAAGGGAAATTAACCAACAGGGATGAAATTGGTAAGACATTACTTTCATGTGCTGATAATTTTTATAAATCATTTGTAGCTGAATGTAATTCTTGTCAAATAACAGTGGACTTGTTCCTTTCTTCTTCTGGTTATCAAGATGTAGCAACGTTGTCGAATTTACCTCGTTATACCGCCGGACAAACTCATTATTATCCGGCTTGGACTAGTGCTGAATTTGAAGATGTGACTAAATTATCTGAAGAAGTTAGTGATCATTTAAGTCAAGATATTGGATTAGAAGCTGTGTTAAGAGTTAGAGGTTCAACTGGATTTAGAATGAATTCATTCTATGGGAATTTTTTCAATCGATCTTCTGATTTATGTTCTTTTCCAACATTCCCAAGAGATCAAAGTTATACCATTGAAATATCAATTGAAGACAATATTACCAAACCAGTCGTTTACTTCCAAGCTGCCATTCTTCATTCAACATCGACTGGAGAAAGAAGAATCAGAGTATTGAATTTAGCCCTTCCAAGTTCAAATAAGTTGAATGATATCTATCCTTCTGCAGATCAATTGGCTATCACTAATTTCTTCACTCATAAAGCATTTGAAAAGGCACTATCAAATTCATTACAAGATGCAACCGATTTCTTGAAAGCCAAAGTAGTTGAAATTTTGAACGTTTATAAGAAGGAATTGGTACGTGGTGGTTCATCTGGATTACAATTATCCACCAATTTAAGAATGCTACCATTGTTATTATTCTCGTTAACTAAAACTTTAGTATTCCGATCTGAGAGAGTTCCATCTGATCATCGTGCTTCAGCACTTAATAGTCTTGGATCTGTTCCTGTTGATCTATTAGTGAAGTCTATTTACCCCACGGTATACTCATTACATGATATGCCAGATGAATGTGGATTACCACAACAAAATGAAAAAACCATCTTATTACCAGAGCCCCTAAATACTTCTAAATCATCATGGGAAAATTATGGATTATATTTGATTGATAACTCAAATGAATTATTCTTATGGGTATCAGGTAATGTAGTTCCAAGTTTAGTTGAAGATTTATTCGCTACAGGTAATTTATATACCATTCCAACAGGTAAGACTGAATTACCTGAATTAAGAGATAATGCGACTGATTTCAATTATAGAGTTCGACAAATCATAGCTAAATTAAGATACCAAAAAGATTCTATCATTTGGAAGAATTTATATGTGGTTTTAGGAGGTTCAATCAATGAACCAATTGAAATATCCCAACAACGAGAATTAATGGCTTTAAGAATGTGGGCTAATTCATGTTTGGTTGAAGATAAGACTGGAAGCGAGCCTTCATATCGAGATTTTTTAACATCTTTAAAATCCAAAGTTAGTCAATAGAGTGTGTAGTAGTACTAAATATACTAGTAAAATGTAAAAAGATATGATCCTTTTATGTAGTTACTGATATTTTAGATGCAAATATGAATTTAAGTAATAGTTGTAAAGTTATGTCGCAAATTTTAAGACACAAAAAATATGACAAACCAAAATATCAATTTTGAAAAAGACGAAAAAAAAATACTTACAGCCATCAGAAAGTTATGATAGATATCACATAGATACATAGATATAACAAGAACAACAACAACAACAACGATGCTGAGTATAGCTACACCTATAACGAAATCAACTAAGCTTTCCAATCTCATAAATTATAGACTTCGAATCATATCTAAGGATTCCCGAAATAATCGAAATTATATTGGAACCTTGTTAGCATTTGATAATCATTTAAATCTTGTTTTAAGTGATGTTGAAGAAATTAGAATCACCAATAAATCATTACAACAATTAAGATCAGCCAATCCTAGTGGGGACAGTGATGGTAAGAGTAATGTGACATATGATAAACGATCACTTGGATTGATCATCTTAAGAGGTGAACAAATTGTAAGTTTAAGTATTGAAAGTCCACCATCCACTGATTTAAAATCAAGATTAGGTTTAAATAGAGGGGCAAAGTTAAAGAAAGGTAAGGGTGTTATCAAACCATTGAAGACTCCTGTTAGTGTCAAATCAAAAGTGGCAGCTTCGACTACTACGAACAAAGGTACTATTCTGAAATAGATATCTTTATGTATTATAAGTTATATTTATATATATATTTGTATGTATTATGGTAATATAAGCTAATTATTATTATGTTTAACAACAATTGGAGTTATTCTTTGATGGTTTATCTTTTGGTTTAGGAGTTAAACTAATGGTTGGACCACCTGTAGAAGGTTTATTATTATTATTTGAACCATCACCACCATCTAATTGATGTTTACTAATCATTTCATAAATATTTTTTAATAATTGTAAGAAAGATAAATCAACATTATCTGAATTTAAAGCTGAAGCTTCAGTAAATAATAAATTATTTTCATTAGCAAAATTTCTTGCTTCATCAGTTGGTACAGCTCTTAAATGATCTAAATCAGATTTATTCCCTACTAATTCAATAACAATATTTGCATCAGCATATTCTTTTAATTCTTTTAACCATCTTGATACACTTTCATAACTTTCAGTCTTAGCAATATCATATACAATTAAAGCACCAACAGCACCACGATAATAAGCACTTGTAATAGCACGATATCTTTCTTGACCTGCCGTATCCCAAATTTGAGCTTTAATTCTTTTACCATCGATATCTAAAGTACGAGTAGCAAATTCAACTCCAATAGTGGATCTTAATTCTAAATTGAATTGATCTCTGGTGAATCGAGATAACAAGTTTGATTTACCAACACCTGAATCTCCAATAAGAACGATTTTATATAAATATTCATAATCGTATGAATAATCATCAGTATTTGTGGACATGATGTGTATTTAGTTATATGTATATGTGTGGGGGTATGAGACTATTATATTATAATTCTATGGTATGATATGATACGATCAACGCGTTTGATTGATTGATTCTATGTTGTTGATGTGATAATTCTATGAATGTAACCAGATTGATTGATTGACTTGATTGTTGTCGTTTATTGATACGATATGGGCTGTGAATAATACGATAAAAAATAGTATGATACAAATTGTGATTTATCGATGTTTTGTCGTAGTGGTTACAGTACTTGAATGAGTTGGTTAGATGAGTTGTGATGTGATTGATTGATTGATTGATGTGATTGGTTGCTTATGGTCAATTATGGTTTGGCTGTCTTTTCTTTTTGTTCTGTTACGAAATTGTTTCGTTCAACTTTCTTCCTCTAAAAAAAAGAAATGTTTATTTTTAGACAGCCCTTCCTAATTGGGTCTTTGTGTCACCTTGTACAGAATGTATATGGGTGCAATTATAGTTACAAATTACAACTACAATAGTCAAGATATAAAGATAATGAATTTATAAACTATTTATAAAGAAACGAAATGATTAGAAAGTACTAGATACCAAAAGCCTACTGACAAAATGCATTGAAAAGCATGAAAAATATGAAAACTATATGAATAGGAAATGAAAAGAATTAAAAATTAAGGAAACAGTGTCTGTCAAAGATAACATTAGAACTAAAAGGAAAGGAAAGGAAAGGATTAAGTTGATTAACAAAACTGAAACGAAACCGAAAAATACATTAAACAAAATCAAACAACAACAACAACAACAATAGCAACAATCATGCAACTTTCATAATATTAAAATCACGATTTAAAAATCCTGATTCTTGTAAACTACTCAAATCAACTTCAACCTCAATTGATATATCATCATCATTAATCGTACTACTTGGCATTGGAGTATTCATCATAGAAGGCAACGTTAATGGGGTTTGAGCAGAAATACCATCAATGGCTATACCATCATCTTTTCTAATGAATGACTTTTCATTAGGATTTATAACACGAGGATAATTCTCTAATTTAATATAATGTTTTAAAAATGATTTAATTGGTACTTCATGTAATCCAATAAAATCATTAAATTTAATTCGAGTTTCTTCAATATTAGTAATAGAATCCCTCCATACTTTAACATCATCAATTGGGAATTCCTTCTTAGCAATTTCTTCATATACAGTTGAACGATATAGTAAATTAAATCGAACTTGTAAAAATGTAATGATTCGAATTAAATAGGATGAAATTGATTTTAATTCATGTGTCAATGGAGCATAATCTTCTTCATCTAAACAATTATTAATCGGATTATCTAATTGATATAAGAAAATATCAACATCACGATTAATCACAAATAAATCTAAGATTAATGGACTATCAAAATCTCTTAAGAAGAAATATTTAGTTTGAGGAAATAGAGCAATCAATGATTTTTTCCAAACCTTATAAAACAAATATAAGATCTTTTCTAATGGATCTGATGACTCAGTTATAACTAATAATCTTGAAGGGTAAAATCTAACCCAACTATAAAGCATATCATATAAGACTTGTTGTTGAATCTTAATATCGGTTAAATTATTTAATAAAATCGGAAAATATTTCTCAATCGAATCATCAACAATATTGATTAAATTATTATATTTTGAATCAATGAATTCTAAAGTTGATGGATTATTGGAAGTATGTTTCAATTTAATGATTGGCTTTAATATTTGTCCAAATTGTAATAATATAGTTCTGAATTCATATATAAAACTTGGATCATAACCCGGTAAATAAATTGATCTCATAATATTCTTCATAAATTTTAAATGAACCCAAATCATAATTGGAACATGGCCTGTCCTTTTCATTAAAAGATTAAAATTATAATTTAAAATACTAAATAATCCATCTCTGAAACAATTGGTTGAATTTAATGTAGATTCAGGATCGTAAATCGACATTAATGAAAGTAAATATGATGCTTGGGCACAAAGATCAGGATCATCATTGTTATTAAGATATGTTCTTAAATCTTTAATAACTTTAGCATAATGTTTAATTGATTTAACTAAAGCGAAATTTCTTAATTTAGTCTTATCAATTAATTTTTCAATTTCAATCTTCTTAGTTTGACTACCAATCTTTAAATTATCACTAAATTCTTTATAACTTTCATAATTATTAAAAATAGTTGAAATTACAAAATTAGTAGTTAAATTAACCAAACAACTAAACATTAATTCAGTTCGGAATGATCGAGAAATAAATGATTTCAACCATACATGATAAACATTTCTAATCTCAGGTAAGGGACAAGTACCATTATCAATCGATGGACCTAATAATTTTAATAAGTCCACTAAGGCTTTTTCATAATCGATATCATCATGCTTCTTATAAGAAAAGACATTATTAATCAAACTATCTTCATTATTGATTAGAATTGCCCCTGGTAAACTTGAGGTAGTCGATTTGCCGTTATGGTGGTAAAATATGGATCCTCTTGAACCTGGTGTGGCTTGTTGTTGTTGTTGATAAGATTGGGGTTCTGATGATGGTTGACCACCTGGTGAAAATATTGAGCCTGGCTGGGAATGTAATTGTTGATGTTGTTGAAATTGAAATGATTGCTGTTGTTGAGGTGATGATTGGTCATGAGATTGTTTATGTTGGAATAATTGTTGTGATGGTTGCTGCTGTTGATGAAATTGAGGTTGTTGTTGAGGTTGACGTTGTAATAAGGATTGATGGGGAAATTGGGATTGGGATGGTTGATGTTGGAATACTGATAATGGAGTGCCGGCTCCACTTGGGGCGCCGGAGGTAAAGGGTTGAAATACTCTAGGGGAGCTGATATTAAAGGGGGCGGTACGATTACTCGCATTGTGAGTTGAGCCACTAGTATTAGCAGCAAAAAATTGACCTCCTTCAGCACCACTATTACTATTCCAATCCATATCATCACCCGATTGAGGTTGAGTTGATGCTGGTTGTGAAATATCATATAAATCTATACTTTCAAACGTATCATAATTAATGGTTGATTCCAAAGTATTATCCAAACTTTGATGATGATGATGAGGTTGAGATTCCGCAATTTGAGAATTATTATCATGATAGGTTTGAGAATCAGATTGAAAACTAGTATGACTTTGATGATTGAATTGATGAAGTTGAGGAGCAGAAGAAGATATTATATGCAGCAGATCTTGTTGTAACTGTTGATGAACATTCAAATCTTGTTCACTCAGTTGTTGTTGTTGTTGTTGTTGTTGTTGATTTCCACTAAGGGCATAAATTGGATAAATAATCTGTTGATGATGTTCGGAATCCGATCCATCAGATGTATTTAAAATATTATTGAAACCTTGAGTAACGACATTAGTTTGGAAATCCATTAGTTGATGAAAAGTTGAATCATTAAGATTAAAATTATTACCCCCACTATTATCTGAGTCATCTAATATACCTAAATCTTCATCTTCAAATTCTTCTTCTTCGTCATCATCTTCTTCCTCTTCTTCATCGTCGTCTCTTAAGTAAGTAGTTGAAGCTGTAGAATTCGTATCCGATACATTTGACGATATAGAATGTTGTTTAATCAGGGATGGAGGATTAGCCGAAAAGGATGTTCTAGCCGATGATGTCATAGTATTAGTTGAAGTTGATGATATCGATGTTGAGGAAGTTTTCTTTCTTGAACTTGCTAATTCATGACCATCACTTATACTAGCACTCTTACCTTTCTTAGTAGAAGTATTAGTGGTACTGATATTGGTGGTTAATTCATCAAATTGATCGGTTAATTTAGCTTGTCTTAATTCATTCAATTGTTCTTCACTATAATCAAGATAACCACATTTTACTTTATGTTTTACACAATTCAAACATTGAGGTAAATCTTCCGTACATTTAACTCTTCTCTTTTTACAATTTGAGCAACCTAATTTTGAATTCTTATGCTTTTTTCTCTTTTTAATTTGTTGAAGTTTAAGTTGATCAATATTTGGTTGTAATGAAGATGATGATGATAATATATAACTTGATTGAGATGGTAACTGTATACCTTGAGTTGAATTAAATGAATTATTTGATTGATTATTGATATTACCACTACTTTCATTGTTTTCGTCATTACCAGTTCTTGAATTAGTGGGATCACTCAAAATACTATTAGGACTATCAGATGCGGCGGAACTCATTGGTGACATAATAGAATATGGAAAGTTAAGGTAAGGAGATGTGAAATAAAGTTAAATGATGATTCTTGGTATGATTTGATAGTTGATGATTATGGGAATAGTATATAGAAACACTAAGCTTAGATGGCAATGATAATGGACCCACACAGTTTTTGTAATTGAGAATCACAATGAAATCTAAAACTTGGTTGTAAAAAGCACAAAAATAAAATAAAATAAAAAAAAATAAAAAAAAATAAAAAAGCCGATTTTTGATTTTGTCGTTTTACAAAAATAAATTTAGACTTTTTTCAAAATTTATGTCTGTCTGTTTTACTGACTGATTTTCTGTCACTGTCTGTCTGTGTGTCTGAAAAAAAAAGATTTTTTTTTAGGTTGTCAAAAGTAAAGGGATGGAATGTACCAGAAATTAGCGATTGGAAGGTATGAATCAAATAATACTTGCTAAAGTAAAATGATTTGATTTGGTTGTTTGTTGTGGAGATGTATATCTATTTATATATCTTTAATTGAAATATGGTTCTCTATAATAAAAAGTGTTAGTAAGTTAAATCAGTAAAACCAAAATTAAAATAAACTCAAAAATAAATTTCTTTTTTTTTTTTTGTTCAAGGCTTTTTTTTTTATTCTTTTTTTAGATAGAGATTGCACTTTTATTATCCCCTCTCTCCCCACTGTCCACCACAATAAACAGACAGACACTAAAAATAAAAATAGTTAAGCAAATCAAAATAAATCAAATGATCATAAAATTCTGAAAAGGGTAAAAGCAAAAAGGCAAAAGTGAATAAAAATAAAAAAATTAGAAAATAAAATAGAATAGAATTGATTTAACCTGTGTCAGTGTTAGAAACTGTCAGAATGTGGATGTTCTGTAAGTGTCAATGTCTGTCTCTAATTAAGAAATAAACTCACCTCAATTCAAGTCATAATTTTATTATTATTTGTGGAGTAACGCTAAAATACTGTAAGTAAAGGGAATAAAAAATATTATTATTAGCCCAGAAAAAATTGCTTTACCATTGTTCCTAGCGACATGATATAGCCATGAATTAAACCCAGCCCAGTCTAAATGATCACCTATGGACTGATAAAATGAAATTTATTTATGTTTTTATTGTTAATTATAATGATGATGTAATTTGGAATATACGTACCTTGTGCCGTACCTTTTTGTTTTTTGGCCTTTCAAATATTTATCAGATATAGATATTTTTGGATATAAGTTATTTATAGATAGTCTAGATTTATCAAATCTTGAATCATTAAAGATTGTTATTCTTTATTTCTTTAAGTATCTGGATTAAAATATTCCGAAAATTATCAAATTAAGTAACCACCACTGATTAAAAATACTTTGATCACCCACTTTTTCTTTTTGTTCTCTGTGTGGTCCCCGTAAATCAAAACTTATAAAATAAAATAAAATTTTACTTTATTTTTATTCTAATTAGATCAATTTGATTTGTTTGATTAGAAAACTATGGAGGTGATAGATATACTTATAGTAGTAATAGTAGTAGTAATAAAACAACCGTACCTTACTTTATATGAAACTTGCTTGCTTGTACTGGAATTTACGTAATTTAGTAACTATGTCTATTTTGTGTTTTGTTACCGTACCTGTAATTTACCTGTAAAAAATTAAATGCTTGCACCCTCCCCAGAATTTAAATTTTTAGTCACTAAAAACGAAACCGAAGAAGATTCAAAATCTTTCACTATTTTTCGTTTCTCTCACCAAACCAAAATAAATTTTTACTGAGCTAAATAAAATTAGATGAACTCCGTTAAAATATTTATGATGATGATTCGCTTTGGTCTTAGCCTAGCCTCCACTAAAATTTTTATATTTTTTTGTCACTATTATCAAATAGTGGAGATGATACTTAACTATTAATAGTTGGTATCAATATTACTCAATGATTGATGCTTGAATATATATAATCAATTGACTTGATAGATTTGATTAATTATCAAGATTGAACATGGAAGGAGGGGGGGGAGGGAAATCATATTTGGGATAATTTAAGTTATATTTATATATTTCGAAATCAAATGGTGATAAAGAGATTGGAGATACCCATAATCATAATCACATACGTGAAAAATAAAAATAAAAATAAATAGTGTTAAAATGTGAAGAAGATTATTTTTTTTTTTTTGATTTTTGGTTTGTGATATCAAATCCGTTAAAGGAGAAAAAAAAATAACAAAAAAAAGATAAAAAAAAAGATAATAATTAATTTTTTTTTTAATTTTTTTTTTTTTTTTTATTTATTTTAATCAAACCAAAACAAACGAGTATCACTAAATGCAAATAGAAATAGATTGCACTTACGTTAAACTAAAAACAATGGGAATTCAATCGTACCCTGATGCATTCCTTACTTTTTGGAATTAAGTTAAATTAACGAATAGATTTCAATTGTCCCCTCTCTCTTTTTAACTAGTTCGTAATTCTATCATTATCTTTGATGATGATTATGAAATTACGATTCAAATTGAAATTGAGTTTTTAAAATCCAAATTGCTTTAATTATTCTATTTTGTTAAAGTTGCAACTTCCTTGAATGACAACATCAAAGTTTAAACCAAAATGCCTTATAGAATCAAACAAAAAATAAATATGTGATTGTTGTTTTATCCATAATCGAATGTCATACAACTCAATACAGTAAATCAAAAATTATTATTATTATTATGATTATTATTTCAAATTTAGCTTCTTTTACATCGTAGTAATGTATAATAATAATTTATTATTAATCGATTTCAATCGTATACACCTCAATATCGGACCACCTATCATTGACTCCATATCCTATCATACCCTCCTTCCATCTATCTCCTCTTCTATAACCATAGTGTAGTGTTTAAAAATAAAATTGCCCTACTTTTGTGACCAATTTTTTAATTATTATTTTTAAGGGTTATGATATGGTAGGTATGATGGTTTTTAAACCGTTTTTGTATCCCAATGAAGAAACTTATATACTGCTTTTACGTTATTCGTTTTAACGATGATAATTTCCGAAATTGGTTGATTCACTCCAATTGTGCGGTATCCTTTCTAATCTTTACTTATCATATGTAATACTTGTAGCATTTAAATTTACGAGTATTGGTTAATACTTGCTCAATTGAAATTAAATTAAATCATTAAACGTTAAACTGTTGGCTTATTGATGATAACGGTAGAATAAACCAATTAATCAAACCTAAAATGAGATCAGACAGACATAATAGACAAAACACAGAACTGAAAAAAACATTTAAAAAAAAAAGATTAAAAATAAAAAAAAAGATTTAAAAAATAAAAAATCGAAAGGCATTTTTCACTTTTTTCAGATTTTGATCAATTGTGTCTTTTTTTTTCCACTATCAATCCACATCAAGACCAAAATCTATAACCTCATAAAATCCAACCAATTCTATGTCTCTAAGCCTGAATAATATCTACGTTTTGACACTTACATCGTAACACATTGCAACGGATAAGTGGAGATGATAATTAGGAGTAAATTGTATTTACTTGACCTCATACAGGGTACTTTTTAGAGTAAGTTAATTATTATTTTGTGGGTTGAGGTTATTCCGATATATGGTTAAAAGTTGACAATTTTTGATTGGAATAAATGGTTAGATAAATAGGAGTTAACGTAAATTTATAAATTATTTTTTTGAAATTTGATACAATTGATAGGATTCCAGAAGCATCTTGGTAAAAGGTTATTAATGTGAAAGAATTCCCAACTATGATTATGTGATTATTTTTTAATCTTGAACAATGAACATCATCGTGTTTTTTTATTTATTAGAATAGTTTTTGTTCTATGAATGTTGTTCTATTTCATAAAATTCGTTCGATCCTTTTTAAGGTAAACCTCCTTTTTGTTATGATTGTTTTACTTGTACGATTGTTATTGTTTATATTCTCCATGCTTTTATTTAAACTATAATATCGTATCGTTTCGTAAATTATCAATCATTATAAAACCAAAACAAAAAACATCAGGCTGGTTAATGCATTACCCTTTTATTTTAGCTTGTGATGGTATGTTAATATCAAACAATGTAGAACAATGTGTATCTAGGTAAGTCTGTCTGTATCTCTGTATCTATCGTGATGGTTAAAATTTCAAAAAGGAGAAAAATCGTTTAAACGAATGTTAATGTGGTAATAATTCTAAGCCATCATGAGTCTACTATCTTTACTATAAACAACTTCAGCTACACATTTGAATGCTAAGAAGCACACCGCAACTGGATGGCTCAAAATACAGTAATCGTACACAATAGAACCAAGTTTTTTAAACGTTTTTTTAAAAATAAATAAAAAAAAAATTAAAGTTAAAAATTAAAATTAAAATTAATTTAATCTAAATTTAAAAAAAAAAAAAAAAAAATGAGTCTTTTGCTCTAAAAAAGAAGTTGGCTTTTTATTTTTTATCACTACCACATTTAAAAATTGCATAAATGAAAAATTTTTCCTCTCTGGCTGATTGTATAGCACCAATTGATTGAAGATGATTTATCATGAACACAATTGATTTTATGTTATAGTGTGATGTGTATGTATCGAGAGGTCTGGATTGTGTTGATCTGATCTCTTTCAATTGAGCATAATTGAGTGAAATTCAACTTTATATCATCATTTGTAGTTGTATAATTTAGTGTGGTTTTAATCACTTTACCCCAATTTTTTTACCTGAAAAGATAAAATCAGAAAAAAAATAAAAAATAATAAAAAAAAAAAAAAGAATTAAAAATTAAATAAATAAAAAAAAAAAAAAAACCGTTACCGGTTTGAAAAGTTTTTTTTTTCTCTGTCTTTCTTTATCTTCTCCTCCTCCACATTTCAAAAATAAATTTTTCACACATACATAAACAAAAAGTGAAAAATTTTTCACTTTATCTGAAAAACTAATTTAAAACGTTTTGATAGATAATCATGTACATACTTCTTATCAACCGGGGTGGATTGATTGGTTGGAAACCGTACCATATCACCACCACACCTTCTAACCCTTGCTATCTGGCCAATCATTTCGACGTTCGTAATTCGAATATGATTTGTAATTATAATTGGGTTAATTGAATTTGTCTACTTTAATTTTATTGTCTGTCTGTCTGTCTGTCTGTCTGATTTTCGCTTTTGTTTTATTTAATTTCGTTTCTTAATCGAGTATGCGTTTTTGCGTTTGCGGTTTTTTGTCTATTTTCGTTTTTCTTGACGGTCAGGTATCCTGTGCTCCACGATTCAATTTAATCATGGATTGCTATCTTATCTCTTTACCAATTCCACCGAAAGATGACATATTAGTCATAGCTAAATAATGCTTTGTTTTGTCTTGCCGTCCCCCTATAAATTCAATTAGCTCAACTTTGGTTACATATTTCTTATTGCATGAATTTTTTATACACTTTATTTAAACGCATACTATTTATTGTATACTAAATTTTTGCAGTTATTTTTAAACTACAACTATAAATCCCAACGAGTTAATGCTTTTCCTCCCATTAATATAATAACAACTGATGATTGCTTCCCAGAATGTATGTTCATGTAGGTAATATAGCTATATACATTCATCGTTATACTTATGACAATCTTAACCTGCTTTCCACCGCCTCATATTAATCATTTCTCCCCTAACTATTTTTAATAACGACTTAATGCATTATCAATCAAGTCTAGGCCTTAATACTTTATGCAATCAGATTTTAATCCTTAAAAATATATGAAAATGCATTTATATTAACCAATAGGGATGAATGGTAAATAGATGACTCGTCTTTCATTATCTTGATTAAAAGGAATTATTTAAAAATGCCTTTCGGCTGGATATATTTCTAATATAATGATGGCTATTTTTAGGTTTTTTATCCTATTTTTATCATTTTTAATAGTGAATTTATTTCGTTTGGTTCAATTGATTTATTTTCTAATCTTTCAGCCATACTGTTGTTCTTTTTATCTATTCTCTAATCTTTCATTTTGTTCTTTCGCCGTATGTCAAACATGTGGGGTGGGGAGGGGACTTGGCATTTGGTATCCCCTTGACAATCATTATTTTATTCCATTTTATTTTAATTTATTTTATTCCACTTTAATTATTTTAATTTATTTTATTTTAAGAACGTTTTAATCTTGGAAATAATATCTATATTATTTAAACCAACTGGTCATGATTATTATTTATCAAAGTTTAGATTGGGTACGTGCTATTTTGTGAACAGTGTATAGAAAAGTTCTGTACATACTTAAATTTTGTTCCTTAACTCTAAAATATTTACGATGAGGGAGTCAGTGATTTGTTCTTTGTTCTCTTCCTGTACGCTGATATCATTGCGCTTTTTATCAATCGACACGCAAATTTTAGAGAGGTCAAAACTTTTCTCATGAGGGGAGGAAACATAACAACAACTCATGTCATATTTTCTGTCTAATTCGTTTGGAATAGCTTGGCAAAAGTGATTGTTGTGTAAAGTACTTTATCTTATGCGTTTCTCCTCCTCCTCCTACTCTAGCCGAAATTATTCAAACATTTTGAACCGTATTTTACCTCGTTTATTTCTAAATATACATAACTGTGCCTTGTTCTTCTTATGATTATTTCTTGTCCTTCGATCCCGTATATTTAGATTTTTGATCATTTGAAGTATAAGTTTTGATTATTTTATTTGCAGTTTGTTCATTCTTAAAAAATTCTTGACAATTGGTCTAAGTTTTAATTTACGTATTTATTCTAGATAATATTCTTATTTAAGTATTTTCTACAAACGATCATTACATCATTTGATCCAGATCTCCTTAGAATTACTCTAGGACATCTAAATTTAGACATGTTACTCAATAAATCTAGATCTTGTCTCACACCCCTCAACTCATGACGTAATTGTTGAAATTGTTATTCCTCGCATATACCAAATTTTTGCGCTCCCATATACGAAGAGTCTATTTTTTTTCTTGTACTCTCTCATACTAACAAATTTCATAAATCTATTTTTATTCTTATATTTAATATATCTAATGTAATCTCGTAATCAAGATAAACCAAGTAGAATAGAACAATCTATAGAAAACAAAAAAAAAAAAATCTAAAAAAAAACTAAAAAAGTCCAAAAAACGAAAAGTTGTGGGAGTGAATTCGAAAATAGAATAATGCAAGAAAATGGGGAAGAAGAAAACCGGGAAAAGAACATGGGAAGAAGAAAACAGTAAGCTAAGAAAACAATATATTGACAAAATGACATTCAAGGTCGTTCATAAATTGAAGTAACCTTGATTTAAATCATCATAAAATTCGTCATCTTCACTTTCATTATTAATTAATTCTGTCAAACGTTTATTCCTAAGATTATAAAATTCCATTATGATATCATATATCTCTTGATTATGTTGAGATAAGTTTTGTAATTTCCGGGTATAGATTTGAACATGACTTGAAGCTGTAGTGGAAGGGGAAGATGAAGATGTGCTGGAAGAAATGGAATTAGAAGTTACAGTAGATGGAGTTGATGATGTGGTGGTTGGTGTTTTGAAATCAGATTTAATATCAGATGTGTCGGATCCAGTTCCAGTTCCAGATCCAGATCCATTTTCAGTACCTGTTGATTCATTCGATGAACGAAGTTCTTCTTCTTTAGCTAGATCAAGAATGAAATGTAAGGGTTCTTTATCATTAACCAATAACCCTGTTTTATAATCCATATTGAAATTAATATATTCCAAAGGTTGATCATCATCTAAACTTTGAGGAAGAGATGAATCATCTTGCTTTTTGATTAATTTCAATAATAAAGTTTCATAATCCTTAGTTAAAGCTGATGCGAAAATATGACTGAAATGAGGGGCAATAAAATGATCATAATTAAACCAATCATCACCATTTTCATTAAGATTCTTATGGAATAAATCTTCATCATTATCATCATCATCTTCATGACTATGATTACTATTACTACTACTACTGATGGATTGATTTCGTTGCTGTTGCTGTTGTACGTATGTATGATGAAGGAATTCATCTTCAGTATCAATTGATGGATGATCATATTCTAAAGTAGTATGAGATAATAATCGGTAATCAAACTCATCATTAGGAGATCTGTTCTGTCTTGGAGTGGTTATTGAAGAAGATGATGATGGTGAGGATTGAGGAGCTAACATTGGTGTAGCATTTGAAATGGTAGAGTTGGTATTGTTGGAAGTTATAAGATTACTCATATGGAATCGAATTATGGGATCCATGGTATTTGTTTTCAATTTTTTAATTCGAGTATGAGAATTTATCTTAAAATGATTTAAATGATGGGGATTATAATAATAAAGTGAAGCTAATGGATCAATCAACATTCGATTTGATTTCTTTTTTAATAAATTGATTAATCTTTGATTTGATAAATTAATCACATTAGGTAAATGCATATAATTATAATATTGGATTGGATTCAGATTCCAGAATTTATGAATCATAACTTCATTAAGATTTGATCTTACTCTTTCGGGACTTATGATATTTGATTTTTGTTGATCACCAAAAAATATCGAAAGGATATTATAACGTTTCTTTAAAAATGTAATGATTCTAATACAATATTTATTAATTTCATTCAATTCGAAATGATTATTAGATTTATTATGAATGAAATTGACTAAATCGATATTATAATGAAATGGTTCATACCATAATTTAATTCCATTCCCACTGAAATTTTGTAAAAAGAAGAAATTAACTTGAGGGAATATATTATCTAAAATATGAGTTAAAGTCTTGAATAAGTACATGAGACATATCTCAAATTGATTAATTAAATTCTCCACGATGAATATTTTAGATGGTAAGATGATTAACCAATGTCTTAATAATTTATATAAGATTATAGGACTTATATCTGTGGTGGAAGGAGTTGTAGCTAGAATCTGTAATAATTGATTCAAATAATTATACAAATGATTAAAATTGAATATGATCAATGTCCATGATTCTAATGGGATAACTCCATGTGATGATAACATGTTTTGAGTTAAGATTTGTTTAAATTTATCCAACACTTGTTTAAACTCTAATAACAATTTAGGATTATAAGGGGGGAAATATATTGTTTTTGAAGCAAAGATTAAAAAATTAACAATCCAAGTAAGATTATTATTATTATCTATAGCCATATTTTGTTCAGCATTATCATCATTAGAAGATAATAAATCATTGAATATACTTATAAACCCCTTTGAAAACGTTATCAGATGATTTAAATTTGAATATTGATAAATGGAGGTTTTATTTAATAATGAAGAACAAATTAATCCAATAGTGATATTATGAGTATAATAATAATAATGATGATTCTTTAAAGTTAATAATTTCCGTAGTTTATTAATTGCCAATCCATAATATTTCGAAGCTAAATTAAATAATTCATTTCTAAATTGCATTATATCATTAGTTTGATGAGGTTGAAAAATAGAAAAATTCTTAATACAATTAGCTCGTAAATAATAAGTTATCAAAGCTAGGATAGTATTAATGATAAGGGATGTGGTTAATTCTTCATTTTTTCGATTTAAAGCGTTCTTCTTTAGAAGTATCTTTGATTTATGACTTCCATTAAGATGAGTAGTTTTTGAAGTTTTATAGATTAATTGATAAAATAATTCTTGTTCAATGATGTCTAAGGAATTAGCATATTCATCATTAATGATCATTTTTGAACCTTCAATGTCATCATGATTGGATCGATTTCGATTTCGTTTATGATGTTTACTATTAGCTTCAAGAATGCTTTCATAAGGTAATAATGAAAATTTAATGGCATGATTTAATCGAATACAATTGACAAGGGGTTTACCCTGTCGTGAAGACGATCGTGATTTCTGGTGAGGATTATTCATCATTTTCATACTTGATATTAAGGTTGAGATTGAATCAAATTACAACATCCAATGTGGGGAGAAGGCGACTAGATACTAGGAAGGATGTGAGGGAGGGGGGACAAGAAGGCAAGTAACTAAAGGGATGTGGAGAAGCAATGACGAGGATCGGCTTTGGAATGATACAATCTGATTAGGGTGAGTGAGTGAGGGTGACTTTAGCTGTATATACAGAAGTCTTAGTTGGATAGTATGAGATAGATGATAGATGGTTTGATGAAATGGTTCAAAGTAGAAATTTACGGTCAAAGGAAGTTAAAAATTTATCGCTCATAATCGTCCTTTGTTTTGTCAGGTCTATAGTTAACTTTTTGTCTGTCTGACTGACTGACCGATTGTCTGCTTATTTTGTCTGGGTCATCTCACTGTCTGGTTTTTTTAAACTGTAAATTTTTAATGTGTTTTTTTTGACTTCCGGATATTATAAGCCGAGTCAGGCGCCTGATAATCACCGAAAATCGTAAATCTTTGAGTGAGAATGTCTTGTTCCCGTATTTATTTATCTCACAACTCCTTTATTCGATAGTTACACCGTAATTAAACCATATCATACATAAAAGAAATAACTCCACTATAGAAAAGATAATATATAGTGTGATTCATATGTACGTACATAAACTCGATCGTTCCTGCACTAATATATACCCAGTTTTGTTTTAGTTCCATTAGTACGCTATCGACTTGCGTTTTGGTCGACAGTTTAAGATCTAGGTCCCGATGTTAATTATTTTTAATTCAAATTTTAATTAAATTCACCCTCTCGTACCGTGAAAATTTTTCTCTCTCTCTCTTTCTCTTTCTGTTTAGATCGGTTGGTCGGTCGATAATGTTTAGTTATACCCCATTTTTAACTGGTTGGAATTACATGTACGTTTTTCATCTCTAATTGGGATTAAACTAAATTTCATGTTTTATGATGAATATCATCTGACGTTTATGTGTAGATTAGGACTGAAATTAATCGTCCTTACTCATCTATTACAATTAGCTGTTTTTAAATTTGATAATTTATTCGATTTCCATTTTGCGCTTTTAAAAATAATTCCAAACTTTAAATATACGACAAACCGATAAAACAAAGCTTATATAAACTATTATTATTTATTGAAGTTAAGTTAATGTACAAAATATAAAAACCTTATATACACACAAACGCCATACCATGCCATATCCCACTTTATTTGGCCCATTTTAAAACTTCCAAACTAGTAACCACTATAAAAATAGTAGTTGGGAAAGTTAATATCACATATCCCCAGAATAAGACCCCTGCCATTTCCTTTTGATAAATATTATTCAATTGACTAATTTGAGATAATTGAATGGCAGGAGGTGAAATCGTCAATATGAATGCTACAATTAAGAAAATTGGATCATCCAAGATTGAAATCTTTAAGAATTTGACACAAGTTGCAATGATAGGTAATAAAATAATCGAAGGTAAGATCATTCTTGATAATAATGATCCAAATACAATTCGTTTATAATGTTTGGATGCAGGGGGGATATCTCTTTGAGGATATAAGTTTGATCCTAATACAATTAAAATAAGAGGGATTGAAACTGAACCTAATTGAGTTATGGAATTTGTGATGGTATTATGAACGAATGAATCTTGATCTACAAAGAATATATTTTGTAAAAATGGTATTGATGCAACAATGATTGAAATTATCATGGCATATAAGGGAGGATTCATGAATTTTAAAAAGTTTTGAACAATGGATGATTGATAAATGGATTTAAAGAATTGAATTATAATGAATTGTTTTGGTTCAGTAGGAGTACTTGTTGGATGAGGATTTGATGAATTTGATGAATTAATAGTTAATGGTTGAGAATCATCATCTTCCGATTCGTCACTAACAGTTATAATTGGAGTAGTTGATGAAGATTGATTTTCCACATCATCAGTATATCTAGTAACCACATCACCTTCTAATAACATAGCTGATCTTTCATCATCATCATCTTGAGATGAATTACTACTATTACTACTTTGTAATCTTGTAGTTATAATTTGTAAAGTTCCATCTTTATTATAATAAGTATTTAATTCTTCCATTGATCTTTTTCTTAATAATTTATTGAAACCCCAAGACCATCTTAAAATTTGTCCCAATTGTTGAAAAATTAATAAATAAAGAATACCTCTTGAAGCCACTTGATCATTATTATCATTATCAATATCTTCCCATAATAAATCTGGTAAAGTAAAAGCTAATGATAAAGTTAAACTTACGGGTAAACTATTTGAATTACCAAATACTGCCATGGCAGTTACGAAATCAGATTCAGGTTCATTTAATTGAAAATATTTTGAAACTAATTTTGAACAAATAAAACTAATACCGGTACTTATAGCATAAAAGATGGGAATAATGATGATATCAATCATTTTTTGGAAATTTAATGAAGGAGCTAATTTAATAAATACTAAACATGGAGTAAAGAGATCAACATTTAATTGACTTAAAACTTTTTGACCTGAAGAATTTAATAACCCAGTTTTAGCAGAGATGAAACCAGCAAAACATATTATAACCACTTCTAACACGGCTTCAAAGGTGAGTAAAGCGATGGCTTGGAAAGAAAGATCGGGATTGGTTGATGATAAGTCTGAAAGAGTGGTGATGGTTGGATTTGAAGTGATTGAAGAAAGTAAAGATAGAATCATTAATTAGTAATTGAGAGGAGGAGGAGGAGGAGGAGGTAGGGGTGAGGGGTGAGCAGATCTATAAGTTTGAGATTGGAAGGGTTAGAACCAATGAACAAAGGGTAGTAGAAGGTAGAAGTAGAAGAACTTGAAGGGAGAAAGGAGAAGAAAGCAAGAGAAATTGAAAAGTTTTTAAATGATGATGATGATTATTGTTTATTTGAAGTTTCGTTTGTGTTTTGGTGTAAAAAAAAAGATTCTCCGCCACAAATTGAATCATTCAAAATCTTTATTAGTACTGTTAACTATGACAGAATGAATGCGCTTTATACTACTAAATTTGACTACTAAAGATGACTACTACTAACTAACTAACTAAAAGCTACCACATGCTGTTATTACTTACTCTGACCATTTTACAGTGGTTAATTACCAGTTAATTAAACAGTTAATTAAACAGTTAAATTAATTAATTAGAGATAAGAGAATTGTCAGTCTTTGTGTAAATGTCTCCCCTCTCTTTGTTAGTTAGTTAATTCTTTGGTCTGTTTGATCTATTAGCAATCTCCACCTCTAATCTAATTTAACTAATTAAATTAAATTAGCTCATCTCTCTCCCATCTCCTCCTCTTCCCCTGTTCTTCATTTGATCCCTGTCATAAATTGTTTTGTCAATTTGACATACCGGGTCTAATCCCCTAATTCGTTTTAACTAATTAATAGTAGTGTGATGCTTAAAAAAATGTACTGATAAGCCACGTGGATAAGAATATTTTAATCAATTAAAATTTATGAGAGGCGTGGGGGTAAAAGATGAGTTATGGATGTTTTGTGTTTATCATTAAATCATATGACCCAAGTCATATGATTCATCATGTGATCAATTCATTTAACACAAAATCAGTAGCACACAAATAGAGTGACAACCAAAACAAACCTAAAAAGAATCACATTAAAATGTAAACAATCCACATATGATACTTATTCAACATTATTTACCATATAACTATAGACAATCATAATAATCAATATGGAAACTAATCGACAGAGTAACAATCTACTATCTTCATCAACTGTACCCAATCTACAACCTCCGCCACCACCACCACCCATTCAATCATCATCATCTGCATCTACATCTGCATCTACATCTAATTGGTTTAATAGTCATCATCATATGAATTCATCTTTCGATCAGAATACAGATAGTGATAATGATCATACCGATCATCATCATCATCATCATCATCAGTATACTCCATCTCCTAAACGAAGAGTCATTCATCAAGGTTTCAATGATGTTTCTACTCCTTTAAATTATGGTAATCATCATCCATCTTCATCCAATACCAATAATATTTCATTCTCTTCTCCTATGAATAAATTAAATGACTTACATTTGAATGATTCAGATATACTATTAAGTGATGAACAAATTCATAAACCTATCAATAATGATAATATCATTCTTGAAGAAGATGAAATTGAAGATGATGATTTCAATCTTGGTAATAAAACTATCATGAATGATAGTGATTACGATGATGATGAGGAAGATGATGATGAAAATTACGATAGTTACGATAATAATCATGATAATAACGACCATATAGATGATATCCAACCAAATCTGGATATTTCATTAATACCAGCTGCTGCTCCGAAATATATTAATATTCGAAAACGTCATCATGTTGAAACACCAATTTCAAATTCTTCATCATTATCATCCATTCCTAATCATAATCATACTGCCATGTCAATCTGTACTGATGATACATCTATGGAAAATCATAATAATTTACATTCTCAATCGAATCAAAATTCAAAATTAAGTTTTATAACTAGTGATTCAACTCCATGTCCACCTCAACCTAAACGAAAGAAATTAAAATTTAAATCAAGTAGTAGTACTAATACTAATGAAAAGAAATCAATTTTAAATTTATCTAATTCAAGAAAGACATCGATAAATAATCACCCTCAAATACAGATTAATAATCAAGATATAGATGATGATGAAGATGATGAAAATGATAGTGAGATTGAAGATTTAAAATCGGCAGCTATACCGATTTCCCAATCTACTCCTTCAAATTCACGAGCTTCAACTCCTCCTTTACAACAATCACAATCACAATCACAATCACAACCACAATTACAACCACAACCACAACCACAGCAGCAGAATTCGATCAAATCAAAGGATCAGATGTTTGAAGAGTATGGTGATTCCATTAATGGATTTAAGTTTGTAAAATCTACAAAATCTACCACCACAACTACCACCACACAGACGAAATATAAATATAATTATGAAACTCCAATCAATAACAATCGATATTATTATAATTATCAACCTCCATCCACCGAACTCAAACCTCAACCTCAACCAAAGGGGAAATATCAAATCGTGGGTGAATTCCCTACCACATCAGCAGGAATGATGAATGAAAGTGATGAAGACGTTCATATTGGAGATAAACGAATCAATGACCCCTATTTGAAACCCATCATGTCCATCACTACAACTCCCTATAATGATCAATGGCATAAAATAAAACAATGTTACGTTGGAGAAGATGAAAATAAACGATATTTACCATTATCTTTACCTTATTTCTATACTCAATTCACCATGACGACATCAGAATTATTAACCATCATCAATGATTCTCACACCGTTGAGAATTTCTATAAATCATTATTAGAGTATGATGATGAAGGTGGATTAATAGCATTATTAAGGAGAGAACGTATAAAATGGCATCCTGATAAATGGATGAGTTCCCACCATATGAAGTATCATTTCGATGGGGATGTTTTGAATGGGTTGTCGAAAGTTATAAATAGTTTAATTAACGGATTAGAATAGAATAGACATTAATATAGATTACGGCTTTTTTTAAAAAAAATTTATGTATGAAGATAATTTTAGTTTATTATAATATAATGTACAGGGGTCGGGTGGGTAAATTCTATAAAGGGAAGAGAGATTATTAGGTTACGTGCTTTGAACTTTATCAATGGGGGTTTCACTACCATTGAGTTTTTCAGTTCCATCTTCTTGATCATCATCTTGTTGTTCATCTTCTTCAAGATCTTTAAGATCTTCTTCTCCTTCTTCTTCGCCAAGATCTTCTTCTATATCTTCTTCTTCTTCGATATCTATTTCTTCTTCATCTTCGTCGTCCTCAAGTTTTCTTTTCTTTTTATTTATCGTAGTTGATGATGATGATGATGCTTCTTCTTCTTCTTCTTCCTCCTCTTCTTCCTCGTCTTCTTCCTCTTTCTTTTCGTTTCCTTCTTGTTCTTCCTCTTCCTCCTCTTCATTCTCCTCCTCCTCTTCATCTTCTTCGTCTTCCTCTTCTTCCTCTACTTGTTGTTCAGGAGGATATTCATCAGCATTACCATCTTCATTATCCCACACAATATTAAATCTGGTAACTCTAGGTTTCTCCGCCAAGATATTTCTAATCACATGCTCAACTTGAACTTTAGCAGGAGGATTCTCTCGTAATTCTTCAGAATCATATTCATTATTAACATAATATCCCACTCTAACGAATTCTCGATCATTATAAGAACAACTTAATAATATAACAGTAACACTGACTAATTCATTAGCAGGGATCAATTCCGCACTTGGAGGATCAGCTTGGAATAAGAATTTATTAATCCCCACAGGGACAGGACCCACTAAGATCGAATCTAATTCTTGATCATGATCTAATGATCGTGATGATCCTACATAAGTTAATTTCCATTCTAAATCTTCCTTTAATGGTTCTAAACATTCAAAAGTGATTTCAAATTCATAGGGATCGTTGAACTTGGCTGGATTGTTTAATACCTCTATACCTAGTAATGATACAATTGACATTGTTGAATGTAGTTATGTATGTTGCTTTCGAATGGAGTTGTCTTGATGGAAACTGTATCTAACTATATAGTAAATACAACGATGATTAAGGAAAGTGGCTCAGGATATACTCTGGTGGGTAGTTGATCGACTTGGTTAATGACGATAATTGAGTTCAATTCAATGATAACTTAAGGAATGATGATGATGTTGTTGTTGTTGATGTTGATGACGGTTTGGCTTAAAATTTCAAATTTGAAAAAAATGTAAAAGACGCGTTTGGTATAAAGAAGAACTTGGTATGAAAACGACATTACCAAATTATAGTTGAAATCCAAAGAGAGACATTTCACATGAAGTGCGACATGCCATATCATTTTTGGTCGATCAAATATCAAATGGTGAAATGTTATGCTATGTACAACAAGAAGTTGACATTGGCCAATAGTAACAACAACAAAGATCATGTCAGTAGATGATAAACCTATAAAAGTAGAAGAATCTACTGAAAATGAAGATGATAAAGTGATAGAAGAAGAAGAAGTACCACCAACAGCCACAGAAGAAACCAGGACGACAGAAGTACGAGAGGAAGATGATGATCAGAAGGAGGCATCTGAACCAGTGGAAGAAACCACCGCAAATGAATCAATCATAACCAAAGACTCAACTTCAACTTCAAACTCATCCACATCTAAGAATTACCCTAAATTATATCAAAAATATCTTGAAAAATTCAAAAAAGTATATACGATATCCCAACATTTATATGAAATGGAACGAGATCAACGACAAGCTTTACATTATTATAAAAGAAGAAATAATATCTTGTTGGATATGCTTCAAGAATTCGAATCAGCTGGTGAGCATAAACCTATACCTTCTTCTGAAGAGATACTCTCAGGAAAGGATCTTGGGAAACTTGATAATATCATTAAGATATCGCCTAAATTAGGTGCAAACATACAAGCTATTCAAGACTTATTACAAAATGATGAAGAAACAGAAGAGAACGTTGAAGTAGATCGTAATAGTCTCCTTAATTTATATCTTACAGAACAAATTCCTGATTTAATCCAAGATGATTTAATCAGTTTAGAATCAAATCCTCAGCAAAGTGAAAATTGGTCAAAACGTCATTATCCTCATTTACAATCAAATAAATTCAAACCTTTGGATATCCCTGCTAAAGGTATAATTGATGAATATGTCGGTATCAATTATAAATTTGGGGCTGATGATATTTCTAATAATGATAAAACTGATAAGAAAAGTTTAATGTTATCCTTTAATGCTTCTACTGGTAGTTCTGGAAAGAGGAAGAAAGGTGAAACTTCCCATTCTACAAATAAAAGAGGGAAAAGATAAAATAATGATGTACTATCTATATATCTATATACAAGACTATACTTTCATAGAGTTCTTCCGTTCACGTTTAAGTAAAGTTTCTAATACTTTTGTATCAAGAAATAAATCAAATATAAATTTCCTCTTTTCAAATTTATAAATATCTTTATCAATAAGTTTTATAACTTCAAGGAATAATTGTAAATTATCAAATATTTCCGGTGATGTTCTCTTTAATTTAATTAATTCTTTAGTGGCTTTCCTTTCGAGTTTACCAATCACAGCATTCAATCGTTGCAATAAGTAAATAATTCTATTATTAATGATTTCATTCGTATCAAAAAGGATAATATTTTCTCTTGATGCATTAGGTGAACCAGGTTCATTATTATTATCGTCATTATTGTTGACAGATGATGTAGCTAATGCATTGCCAGTGACTGATCCATTACCATTCACACTACTAGCAATAGCATTTTCATTCAATAATACATCCACTGAAACAGATCCATTTCGACTTGAAATCCATAGATCATTAGCATTAATCCCAGCAAATGTACTATTATTGATGGCATAATATGCATTAGTTCGATAAGGATTTGATATTTCAATGTTAAATACACTTAAAATATCATCCTTTGGATAACATAAACTTTTACTCTGAGAATATTGATCAAATACGGTAATCCAATTCAATTCATCTAAAATTTCAATTCCTTCTTCTGTAGATGATATCATTCCTAATACATAAAAACTAATACTTCTAATTTGCCAAATAGGACAAAATTTAAATAAGTTTAAGATAGTAGTAATGATTGAAGTATCGATTTCACCAGTATACATGGCATTATTTAATAATAATTGAATCCCAAATGTTCCACTAGCTATATTTCCAATGATCCATAAATTCTGCTTTAAAGTATTTAATAATACTAGATTTTTATCTTGGTCTTGTTTATCATTGAAATTGTTTTCAAAATTATCGACGAATTCATCATCATCAATTAATTTATGAGCGATGAATTCAGTTTCTTGAATTAATTGATTGATGAAATTCTTATGATTAAAACTAGTGAAATAATTCAATCCCTCTTCGGTAGATAATAAGTACTTAAAGAAATTAATCGAATAATAATCATCATCTTGAGTTGTTATCGACACATAAGGGAATAAATTACCATAGATTAACATTTCAATCTTATAAAGATATTTAAAATCATCCATCTTAATCCATTTTAAAAATTCATTATCAATAAACCCAAATTCTTCTAAATATCTAAATCCACTTGATGTCTTTAAACAATTCGATAATAATCGTTTCCCACTAACATATGAATTCAATATTAAGATCGAAGGTCTTAATCGAATGAAATAATTTAAATTATCTAAATTTTCTAAATCATTGAAATAATTATTTAAAAGATTGATCGATTCAAATATAATTGATTCATTCTCTTCATAAATTTCATTATCGTCATATAAATTATTCACTAATAACTTCAACACAAATAAATGACATTCTTTAATCTTTAATAAATTAGGGATTAAATGAGATAAATAATAATGTTTGATTTTAAAATTTGATACTTTAAAACTTTGTAAAAGTAAGATTCTAAATTGATTATCCTTGGAGAAATCGATATATTTAAATAATGTCACAATAAGATTATTATTTTGTTCTGAATGTGATGAAGTTTCAATGATATTCAAGATTAAATTGAAAAACTGCCATTGTTCTAATAATTTAACTCCAATTGGCTTCGAACTTAACATTCCAATGAATTTAAGATATCCTAAACTACAAGTAGTTTCCAATCGAGTTTTAGATAAAATAGGATCTTTACTTTCAATTCCACTATAGGGATCGATTTGAGCAAAGATTTCTGATAATTGAGGTAAGATTTTTGAACTGGATAAATATTTGATCCCACTATCCAAACTTAATAATAATTCAAATAACTGGACTCCAACATTAATATATATTGAACTTTGTTTTCCTCCAATAGGGATATTACAAAACCGGAACTTAAATGGTCGATAAAATGAAATCAATCTCTTTAAAAACTTAGGATTCTTTTCAAGAATTTCATCAAATCTTTTGGGATTTAATAATGGTCCTTGCATTAAATTCGATAAGATTTTCCAATTCCATTCTTCAAATTCTTTGATATTCAACACTTTAGTATTATTAATTAAAGTTTTGAATTCAGAATCATCAATATTATATCGAGATTTAAGATTGATCGATTTAATATAACTCTTTAACCCCTGATTATATTTAGTAGAAGGTTGGAATTTAATTCTAGTATACTTTTCAAATTCAAATGATGATGATAAACTGGAGAATTTAGGTAACATTAAATCTTTATTGATTAATTCAGAAGGTAATAAATTATTGGCCATAGCATAGATATTGGTTAATAATATAGCAGCTTTTGATGAATTATTGGCGTCTAAGTTTTGTTCAATGATTTCAATTAAATATTGGAATATATTAGTTTTAATTAAAATTAAAGTTAATAATCCTCGATAATGATTAATTAAATTATATTCAAATTCATTAACTGATTTATTCAATTCTTGATATTGGAAACTAGTTTCTTTACTTTCATTCGTGATAGGATTAATATAACTATTAAATCGTTTAATATTTTCTCCTATACTTGTAGAAGCTAACCAAGGTAAACTCTTGATTCTTAAAACATCAAATAAAATATCTAAAATATAACCTCTTACTTTTGAATCTTTCTTTCGAAGATTTATAATTAAATCATGTAAAGCTTCGAAATCATTTATTGAAAATGCCATTAATCCATTGAAATTCTTTAATAACAACGTTATTAAAAATGAAATCTTTTGTAATTTAGAATTATTCAATTTCTTCTGCTTTATCGCTGATGCCAAATTTGCATTATTCCCTGAATTAACCGGAGCCTCGCCCGCTAATTCATTTGAAAATATTGATATCATGGAATTCAAATCAAATCCATTTCTTAAAAACTTTCGATTATTCTTATAATCCAACGTCTTGAACAATATAATAAGACATGCGGTTGACATTTCAAAATTCCCTTCGATAATAGTATGTAATATGATTTTAAATCCACCACTATGAAACACCAATTCAGGATTCAATAAAGTTATTTCACAAATAGTTTCAATACAAACGTTTTTAAACCCATCTGGGATGAATTGAGGTGATTGATAATAATCATTAGTTTCTAAACTTATGCCTGGGCCATTATTGTTGTTGTTGTTGGCGTTATTATTATCATTCGCCATGAAATTTACTTCATTCTTATCAGGATTGGTCAATTGATTCAAATGTTCATTATTACATTCAATAATCCCAATCAAAGCTTTAATAACTCCAATTGATAATAATTCGCTTCCTCTTTCTATAGCTAAGAATTCACGAATTAATTTTAAAGCTTGTTCTTTTTCAATTATGGATGATCTAGTAGTTGATAAAGTCACAATAATAAAGATTAATATTTTAGATTGAACTAAAGTTAATAAACTTTCAAAATTAGTGATTACATATCGAAGGATTTTATATCCAATACTTCTAATCTCACTTACTTTATGATAAAACATGAATTGAATCTTATTAATTAAATTCTTAAGCAATACATCATTCTTTAAGTTGGGGTATGTTTTTAATAATAAGATAAGATCATTCCCTTGAGATACAATATGATACTCATCTCTATCTCTATTTGAACCCAATCCTATTAAAAGTTCACTGAAATTCCAAGTTGGACTTTCAGGATTATGATGATCAAACTCATGATCATCATAGTCATTGTCATCATCATCATCAGTTGTTCGATTATTCCCCTTTGTGGATCGGAAAATATCATTCCTACCATTTGAATTTGTATTAGTTGAAGATGTCGACGATAATGGTGGTCGTTTAGGTGAATTGACAGCACTATGTTTAGGATCTTCATCATGATCTTCATTTGTCCTTCTCCTTGATAATTGGAAAACAGACATCGGTATATAATGTTGATCAGGTACCATTGATGTAGTGGCACTTCTATGACGTTTTAAATCTTGATTTATTAAAGCTTGATCAACAGCTGGAGGTACCAATATAGGAGAAAAATCAAGTGGGAAATTTGAACTTGTATTTGAACTTAATCCATCTGGATAATCAAAATGATGATGATGATCATCATCTCCTATAATGATATCATTCGAAGTATTATAAGTTCGATGATGATCTGATGATTTATGTTCATGTTCATTATCATGTTCTTGAATATCATTATTATCATCACTATCCAGAGATGAAAATAAATTAGTATTATTCCTTATACTTTCGAAATTCAATGAATCAATCGATGTGAAAGTGGAGCTCCTATCTCTTGAATCAGGACTTAAAACAGGTTTGATTGATTTAAATCGGGGCGGAGCCAATGTTTGAGGTAATGGAGGTTGTAATACCTGTTGTGATTGTTGTTGTGGTGGTAATGAAGGTTGAATCAGTTGCTGTCGTTTTTGAAGCAATTTTTGATTCAAATCTTCGAGATTTGAATACGATTTACTATTGGATGCAGCTGTCATATTCGATCATTCATTTGTCTTGATTGATTAAGTAGAAATGGGTATATACCTTTAATTTTAAGAATTGGCAGTCAATTCGATTTGTTAAACTAAGAAAGTGTAAAGGGAAATAATGGAGTAGAAAGAATGTGTTTGTATACAGGATATAGTTTTGTAAAACAATTTTGATCACATGATTGATCACATGATATTATATCCTGCATGTAGTGTTGACAGGAACAAATATCATATGTCCTTCATAATCTGAAGTCATAGATAAGGTATACTCCTTCAACATAGTTCAATCAATGTAAATGACTAAGTTTATGGTCCGCTTCTTAACGAATGACGTATTGATGAACTAATTGTTCACGAAACATTATTATAATAAATTAAGGTTAAGTTCTATAAACTGAATAGTCGTAATAATTTCGTCACAATGCGCAGAAACATTACCTTCTTCAAACCAAAAACCTTAAAATTTATGATAATGACGATAAATGAATTCAGTTGAACTATAGGTTTAGAGTTGATTAGAACTAAAAGCAAGAGTGATACTTTTTTAAAGTGTACGATTACGAATAAAGAATAACGAATAATAATATGGAATTTCGGATTTTACTGCCATTTTATGCATAAACTCTACAATAATTCACCTAAATAGGATAAGAAAATCGATCGAAGTGATAATTCGATTTGGTTACATTATTTAAAGCTTAAAGGATAAACTGTCACTTGAATGAATTAAATTAAATTGAGCGGAATTAATGAGGAGAGAAAGGCGGAATGATTATAATATATGGAAGAATTCAATTCAAATTTTACAGGGATAAATTGTGAAAAAATGGGTGGATATATGTAAAGTATAATGCAGCCTTAATTCAACATATACGACATTTATCCATTGGATGTAATGGTAGTAGTTTAGATTTTGTAAAGGGCAGTTCTATACATTTATAGCTTAATGAATTGTCTGAATGGAAAACTTACATATATACATACATACATAATATGCAAAGTTACTTAATTATTGGATGATTTTAAAGTCATAATACTCCTCCTTTGATTAAATGTTCTTATCAATAGAAGAGAGAGAGGGGTTTATTGTAGATTTAAACGTAATTAACTAAAATTTTTCAATTTATCGATTAAAGGTAATTGATGATGGATAATAATGATCCTTGTGAATAATTCCGATATTAACAAACAGTTTTAGAGAAGAAAAGTTTAAAATTATTACAGGTAAAGGTCATTCAATTAATATAACAATTTTGCTATGAAAGGATAAGGATAAACTACGAATTAATTGATTAATTGATTATGAGCACTAAAAAGAGATGAGCATTTCCTATTAAAGGTAATTGGAACAGTTTTAAAGAAGAAGTGGAGAGGAGATTTAAAGGATTTAGCCAAAAATAAAAACTGTTGGATTGAATAGAAATAGAACAAAAGAATCAGACAGACACACATTAAAAATAAGACATAAAACTGAAAAAGAATAAAAAAAAATGACTGCATAAATAAAGAAGACAAACGACATTTTACATGACAAAAATAATAAACTATTTTGACTGACTCCAAGTGGAGAAAAGTGGGGGTGTGGGAAAACAAAAAGATAAAACAAAAAAATGTCTGTAAAAATTTATAACGGAAAAGGAAAAGGAAAAGGTCGTGTCTGTGGCTCCGTCAAGGGGAACAACCAAAAATAAATGAATTACTATTATTTATCAATTAATTAATGATTATGAAAGACTTCTAATGAATCAATTAGATGAATGAATGAAAGATATGGATAGTTAGATGAAGAGGTAGATTACATCATACCAACGAATAAGAATGAAGATAATACAAGAAGCGAATCAAAGTATGATGTAACCTACTCCTTTAATGTGTAGTGTGAAAAATAAGACATTATATAGATACACCCAATCAAGAAAAAAAACTGATTAACCGATAATAATTGAGTTTGAAAAATGGATTGGTCCAAGAAATTTTTTATCCCATATAGTATCATATCTTAATTGTGATAATAACCACACACATTAGACAAGTTATGTGTGAAGATGTGGATGTGTTTGTTTATATTTTGGTTATATAATATGAGCCAGCCTTTAATAATATTTTGAACAATGGGAAAGAAAACTGTTAAAGTTACTGTTAAACTGAACTGTGTATGGGTTATAAGCGAAATCCAGATAATCCCGATTGACAACCAACGACATTGAATCGAATTTTGAACGACATTGACGACATGTCCCCCCCCCTCCCTCTCTTCTGTGATCAAGGGAGGGAGAGCCAATCAATTAAATGGTTACACAAATTACATCCTCGTGGTTATATACAGGACAAAGGTCTAAAATTAAACTTAAAACCCATTAATCTTGTCATCATTACATCAGTTTACTTTATCTAGGTTAACAACATCAGGGTCATGGTCATTCATCCATCTCTTCAATAGTAATAGTATGACTACCTACTTGATGACCACTGCGGATAAGTGAGAGTTTCATCAATCATTAACTAATTAATTAATTAACATGTTTATGTTTACATGTCTTTAAAATTATTTCTAATAATAAATGTCTAATCTATAAATATTTCAGACAAAATTTTATTTATTTGATAGATAGATAGAAATAATTTTTACAAATTTTGAAAAATGAGTGATCAAAAAAAAACCTCCCAAAGAGGGGGTGTAAATGTCGCATTATCACCCTCTACCGATAATCCTCACTCACTAAAAAATATATAGTGTAAATTTAATTTTTTATTTTTTATTAACTAAGGGAAGGGTGGCTTACCCCAATTGGTAATAGCTTCCTGCTTTTTATTTTACATACCCTATAACCGCTATGAAAATTAAAAACAAAATGTCGCGGAAGATAAAACTTAGTAAGTGCTGGTAAGTTTTTGTGTAATTATTTTCAGACATTTTATTTTTATGCATTAAAGATAAATATTTGTAAGGCATTTTTTACTTTGGCTCTATCTTAGTTTACACGATTAGTTAGTTAGTTAGTAGTAATCAGTGACAGACATTTTTTATTATTATGCATTTAAATTCCCTTTTTTGTCAATATCTTTTTATGTCTGATTGTCTCCCTCCTCGTTTTATTTTTTTTTTTTTTTGTCTCTTTTTTTAAAATAAAATGTCCTCCTCAAAACTGTCAGTGTCTGTCTGCCTTTTGTTCACTCCTGATTACAATTTATTTATATATATAAAATTTAAAATAATCAACAATTTTTTTAATCAATTTTACTTAGCTCTTTGAAGTTAATCAATTTAATCATTTCATCCTATAATTTATCTCAGATTCAACTCATCACCAATCACCAATCAATCTTATCTAATCCATACTATACATAGCCATTTAGTAAACTCACTCGTCCATTACTAAATCTAAATAATAATTACTATCAAAAAAAAAGAAATTTTTGATCATAATAAATTATTAATCCCATTTTATACTTTCCTCATTTTGTTTCATCTCATATATCTATCTACCTTGACTACTTTGATCATTCGAATCATCCCAGTCACTCTCGATCCATCCCACCATTTAATATAATACTAGTTACATTTCCATCTATACATTATTAATCATTTATGAAATAAATCCCCCTGTTCTAATCTAAATCCTATATACTTACAGCTCTTTCTCGTTGCCCCCATTTCCTCCCTACCTTTATATGACTGCTACTTCTGTTAAAACATCCACTAGCTCATCTAGTTCAAACTCAAACCAAGGTGTCGTCACCTCTAATGGTGCTGGTACCAAGAAACGTTTATCGTTATTTTCATTTGGTTCATCAAGTTCAACTGATTCAAAGGATATTCAACCAAAAGATTCAACTCCTCATTTAAGTACTTCTCCAACTGATAAATCTGATAGCACTAATACTGTGGTTTCAAGTTCATTTGATAATTTCCCAACTCTTGATGAAGAACATGAATTACACCCTGATTTAATTGATAATCCTGAATGTTCAATTTTTGAAAGATCAGTTCAAGATTCTTGTTGTGTGTTTGAACCTCAAGCTTTAAATCGTCAACATTCTAATTCTATCATTTCCACCAACTCTATCAGATCAAAAAGAAGTCAACAACAAGGTCCAGTAAGATCTTATAATTCTTCGATTTCGTTAAATCATTTCAAATCGGAAGATTTTATCCCCCCAGCTTTGGATGCTACTACTTCTCTTTTAAGTGATAAGAATACTGATTTAGATGATGTCGAATTGATTTATACTAATCGTCGTAATTCATCTGTGATTGGATTAAATATGGCTTTAGGTAGACCATTAAGTCCATCTCGTAAGAATTCAGTCTATTCTTTAAATCAACTGAATCAATTACCAAATTTACAAACTGATTTCACTTCGGGAAGTAATCAAACTAGTCCAAGTCAAATTCAATCTCCAATCTCCCCACCAAAATTAACTCCTTCTAAATCTTCAGTTAATTTCTATAGTTATGCTGATATGCTTAATAATGATGAATTTGCTAGAAGACCATCTATAAAAACATCTTTAAGTCAAGGTGTGGTACCAACAACTAATTTCACTAGAAATTCTTCCTTTATAAAACATAGAAATCCATCCACTTCTTCTCAATTATCATCTCAATTACATAAAGAAAAGAAACATATGGTTCATAATAGAAGTCCAAGCATTAAACCTGCCAGTTCAAATTCAATGAATAACACTAATTCAATCACAACTTCATTGAATAAATTTTTAATCTCCCCTGAATCATCAGATGAAGAAAATGAATATACCAAGGATAAACTTTCCAATGCGGTGGTGAATCAACCTCCAAAGATTTCTAATAAAAGAAAATCAATTTCTTCAACCACAAGTTCAAATCATAGTTTTAATCCTGCTTTCAATGATAATGAAAGTTTAATCTCAACTTCAATTGGAGATTGTATAAGACAATCAACTACTGAAATCAATGGTCATTAAAAAAGAACTAAATAAATTGTAAAAAGGACATACCTTCCCCTTTCAGTTCATCACCTAAAATAAAAAAAGAAAGTATGTTAGAGTTTTTTTATTTTATTTAATTTATCAATCAAGTCATGTTCTTGTGTTTGTTTGTCGTTTTAAGACTGTGTTTATTTTTATGTTGTTGTTGTTTGTTTGCTTCTTTTCAATTCCAGGATAGTTTGTGGCTCTGTGATGTATGTCGTGGGTATTAAAGTATATAATAGTATCCTCCTCATTCATCTTACTTCCTTTTTGTTTCTTGGCTTATCTTGTTATTTGTTTGCCTTTTACTTTATCTCAAAATTATCTTTATCTTAGCAAATTGTTTGGTCTTTTCTTTTTTAACTTTTTCCTAAATCTTTTCCCCTTTCCTTCACCCTGCTTATTATTAGTCGTATTACTTTTATATCTTAATATCAATAATCTTTTATAAATCTGTATCAGCGAATCATCATCATCATTATCATTGTCATTGTCAAATCAATAAATGATTAGATGTTCGCTTTCAAACCAATGAAACCCTTACTTGTTTCAATATTTATTTATATTGCAAGTATATAGTTTTACTGATAACGAAAATGACAGATAAATTTTTGTGTTATATATTTGTTAAGTTAACCCTCGGGATATGAGGTCAAGCACTAGCACCATTCCCCCATACGCTCATTCATTGAAGAATAAGGTACCCTTTTGACCTGATCTACGACTGTACCGTGACCTTACATAAAGGTAATAATATAATACTGTTTTATTAATCATAGTATAGGTTATCATATCTGTAATATATATGATCCCTTAACTAATGATAATTCTATACTATGATTAATAAGACTATGAAGAAAAAAAAACAGTGATTCACCAATAACGACATTCATCAAAATTATAAATGTCTCGATGCGACATCTCCATCTTGTCTAAAGAAAAAAAAAATTTAGACAGATGAGATATCGCTAACCCATAAAAATTATAAGCAATATAACCTAATTCTAACTTATCACATAAAACATATACCTACATCACAATATGATTAGGAAACAAGCTAGAGAAAGAAGAGAATATCTATATAGAAAGTCATTAGAACTTCAAGAGTCTACCCTTTCTGAAAAAAGACAACAATTAAAAGCAGCTCTTGCATCAGGTAAACCATTATCCAAAGAAATAGCAGAAGATGAAGCTTTACAACGAGATTTCATCTATGATGAAAGTGAACAAACTGAAATTGATGATGAATACTCTGCTTTAAGTGGGATAGCTGATCCTAAATTAGTCATTACAACTTCCAGAGATCCAAGTGTTAAATTATTACAATTCTCCAAGGAAATCAAATTAATGTTTCCAAATAGTTTAAAATTAAATCGTGGTAATTACGTTATACCAGATTTAATTCAAACTTGTAATAGAGTCAATATCACTGATTTAGTTATCTTACATGAACATAGAGGGGTTCCAACTTCCATCACCATAAGTCATTTCCCTCATGGTCCCACTGCCATCTTCACTTTACATAATGTTAAATTAAGACATGATTTGCCAAATTTAGGAAATATTTCTGAATCTTATCCTCATTTAATCTTTGAAAATTTTAATTCAAAATTAGGTAAGAGAGTTGAACAAATCTTAAAACATCTTTTCCCACCCGGTGTAAAGAAAGATCAAGGTAATAGAGCTATCACCTTTATAAATAATGATGATTTCATAAGTGTTAGACATCATGTATTTGTCAAGACTAAAGATGGAGTTGAATTAAGTGAAATCGGTCCAAGATTCGAAATGAGATTGTTTGAATTAAGATTAGGTTTACCTGATAATAAAGATGCTGATGTAGAATGGCAATTAAGAAGATTTATAAGAACTGCAAATAGAAAAAATTACTTATAAATATAATAAATATTTTGTATATTAGATTAATTAAATATTAATGGCATTTATAACTAAATAACAATGAAATGCATCTTTTGTAATGAACTAACTAGTAGTGATTGGCTTTAAATTATCCAATTCATGTTCAGATTCTATGACATAACTTGGGACATGAGTATGAATGACTTCTGAATTAACATGAATATGAGGTACCACCGGTGGTGATGATTGAGCTGAAAGTGATTGATTACGACGAATATGAGTATGAGAATTACGTCTTGAAGAATGAGCACTATTTAAAGAAGTTCTTCTTCTAAATATATTCTCAGTACCAGTAACTACTCTTCTTAAAAGATTATCATTCATACTTCCACCCATCAGATTAAATGTTCCCAATGTATTTGCATGTTCCATGGTAGCATGTCTTCTTAATGCATGGTGTTCTTGAACTCGATCTCTTAATTTCATATTTTGATCAGGTAACATAATAGCTCTATCTAATGAATATGGTAAACCTCTATGTCTACCTCTAATCATCATAGCAATAATAACTAATTTTGAAATGGTTGAAAATTCAGCTGATAATGATGCATTTATACCAGGATAACCTAATGATAATCCAACTGTACCATAAGCACTTATAATTTCAAATAAAATCGTAAACACAGTGAAACTAATATTACCCTCATTTAATTTCCCCCCTTCAGCAATACAAATAATAAAAAGTCCTAAAAAGATAAACCATAAATCAAATGATAATTGATTTCTTAAATGAGTACCGACAAATGTAGTTGGAGTCTTTTCTAAATCTTCTTGAGCATTGTTCTTTTCATCTTTTAAATAAACACCCAAGGATTGTTCTTCATAAACATTAGTTCTTCTAATCGAAATGGCTAACGGTAACACTGAAATATACATCATAATCATATAACTGACTTGAACGGCTGGATGTAATTGAGCAAGATTAACCACGGAAAACCCTGCAGTTCTGGTACTGAATGCTTGGAATAATCCATCCAAAACTCTGTAACCAACAGGGATTTCTTCTAAGTAAGGATTATTCAAATCAAGAACGATGAATAACACTAAATCGACCGAATTTAATACCACAAGAATAACGAATAACCACCATGTAGGGACCGAGGGGAACAAAAGAGTAAAACATCTTCGAGGATGATCCAATAAGAAACCCAAGGATTCCTTATATGTGGATAAAGGTTTTGCGAATTTAAATAGAATCCAGATTAAAAATCTTAAAAATACAGGGAAACCAGTATTACCAATGACAATGAAAAAACAAGATATAATCATGACATAAGTTGATTGACTGAAATTTGACATTGAATTATTGGTTAATGTTATACCTAAATCATTGAAGGTGGATTGAGCTGTAAAAAATGCCCACCAGGTAGGTGAAATACCTTGTTCTCGAAGTCCTGCCAGATATCCTGGTCGATTTAATATAAATGGCAAGAAACATACTATAGCAATGATATGGAAACCAACATAATAATAAATTAAAATCTTAATTAATAATTTAACAGCACGATATTCAACCCCACCTAATTCTTCCTTTTGTTGTTCACTTAATTTCACAAATGTAGAATTTCTACCCACAGTTGGAGTCCAGGATAAATAATTTGTACTCATAACTTTTCTTAAGCTATTATCGTTATCACCATCATATTCACCCGGATAATATGAAGCTTCTTCATCTTCATCACCATCTTCATTTGAAGTATTATCATCATCGAAGGAAGTATGAGTGAATGTATTATTTGCCGTAGTGGAATCACCACCAAAAAGACTTGAATTCCGTCTATAAGGAGTTTTAACTCGATTTAATCTCTTTTTACGCCTAGTTTCTTTAGCATGTTTCATTTTCATCATTCTTTCGAATGTAGGTGATTTCACAAATGATGATTTATTTTTTCCAGATATATCTAACGTGTTAAGTGTTTTCAGATGTTTCTTACCTGATTTATGTTCCTCATTTTCTTCGTCATCATCATCATCACCATCATCATCATCATCCATGACTGCTTCATCTCCTTCATCATCGTCATTAACATCAGTAGTCATGGCTTCTTCTTCATTTTCAGAATCAATCGATCCTTCTTCATCTTCATCTTCTTCATCCTCGTCATCATCATTGTCATCATCACCCTCATCATTATCGTCCCCATCTTCATCATCTATAAATCGTTTTCGATTCGGATTAGGACTAGCTAAGGGTGTATTTGAAAATGTCTTTCTTAATCTTGATTTCAATCCCCATTTGGAAGATGATGATCTTCTTCGTATAGGACCTCCTGGTCTTAATAAATGTTTAGATTTGATTTTCTTTATGAAAATTGGAATCGACGTATCACTATTTTCAATCTCGGTAGGAGATTTAATAATCAATTCACTATCATCATCATCATCATCTCCATGATGAGGACTATTATTATTACCTCTATGACGCTGAGGACTTTCAAGATCAACAAATTGGATGTTGGTAGGAGCACTGTTGTAATTATTGGTATTATTGATGTTGTCATTATTAATTGAATTTTGAGATTGTTGTTGTTGCTTTTCTTGTAACATGGCAATAGACATGTACATTTGAGAAGGATCTATATCTCTATTACGTCTCTTTGTAGGTGGCTCAGGTAAATTACCAAACTTAACATCATTAGTTTGAGAACTTAGGATTGGAATTGGAGTTGGAGATGGAGAATGATCACGAGGATGAGGTACATGTTCATCAGGTTCTGAATCGGATGGTTCACTCATATGAGTGACATCTCCATTTGCATTTTTTGGCATTGAAGTTGAAGATGGTGGTGATGAATTAGTATCAACTTCTTTATCATTTACATCCACATGATTTGATTTATTCTTATGATGATCATCATGCTCAAGATCTTGATCATGAGTATGTTGTTGTTGTTCTTGACCTTGTTGAGTTGCAGTATTATATCCTAATCCTTGATTATTATAAGTATTCCTTTGAGTTGGATCCAATGCTAAAGAATGAGTTCTCAGATGAGCTATACTTGCTAAAGTCATTGATCTTCTCATTTTTGAATTTTGTTTAGATATTTCCTTTATGTTATCAAAATGTCTTTCAAAATAATATAATCTAATAAATAATAATGAACCATGAATGAAGATTGGAGTAGCAAAAAAGGTTAAGCAATAGATAGTGATTTGTTGATATAATTTTAAAAGATTGGTATCAACTGTATTCAACCCCGCTTGAGTAGCTGCTCCACTGGAGAAAAATAAAATGTCAATATAATGGAGGTTTCTTTCAGGGAACATTATGAAAGTTCCTAAGAACGTTAAGAATATGATATAGACATAATGTGCGATTCTGAAGTTGGGGATGAGTGTTGATACATATGGATAAAGAAAATTAGTTAATTTATGAATTTTATTTCGTATTCTTAATCCTATTTGTAATTCCAAACGTCTTTCTTCGATACTTCTAAGTATTCGACGGACAGGATTGGTATTGGTAGATGTAGTAGATGGAGGCATGGTTGTTAAAGCATTACTAGATGTTATGTATGTGATGATGCAGATGATATATTATATGAGATGAAAATTAATGGTGGAACCGTACGGCCAAGAATGAGATGTGGCTGGTGATAAAATAAAGGGAGTAGAACTGAAGAATGGAATATGAATGAATGCAATGGATAGTAAATATGAATTGAAAGGCGATATATATTGTAACTTGTAATGGTTAAACAGTATAGATGTAATTACAGCCTCTATCTGCTGCTTATACAGTTTTAGCCAAGCAATTCAAATAATCATCAAAAAATCGTATTTTTTTTTTTAATTTTCTTTTTTTTTTTTTGGATGTCAAAAAACTTTTTTTAACGACAAATTATATATGCAGGAATGAATCTCTCTCATGAGGAGTAAGGGAGTAAGATGAAGAACCCTTTTATTTAGGTTTAGCCGCTAAGAGCTAAGATATAATGATGTTAATTAAATTAAGCGGATAGTTCAGTCATATACATATATTCATAGAGGATTTAATTGGTCTTACTATACTATAATTTGATACTTTACCATGATTACATAGTTGAAATTATTGATTTTTGGTTAAATTTCACTATTAACTTTGGCAATTATATTTTGCATCATCAATTTTTTTTCTAATTGAGTAGCATTTATTAAGTATCTAAAAAGTAGATGAAGTATGTAAAGAAAAGATTTGTAAGAAATGAGTGTGATAGAGAATAGATTGGTTTCATTACAAACTATGATAGACAATAAATGATTTTAATATCTAAATAGTTTCCATTTATTTATACAAATGGAAGAATTAAGTTCATAATTTAACTTATTAACTACAATCTGATAAGTGGAAGCTATATTTGAAACTTTAAATTGTAAATATTCAGCAAATTATTCAAGACGGAAGATAATAATATTAGTTAAGTTCTGCTTATAGATCTTTTATACACATCCATGCCTCTTTATATTTTCTCTTACACACACGACCTAAATTGTCGTAGAATGCACATCTATACAGGAGTGCACTATACAACTTATGTCGTACTTATGATATAAGAGCTACTTTGACATGTTAGTGTAAATATATGTGATAATTAACTTACGTATTCTTCCGTTCTTTATAAAAGAGTCTCACAGATTTATAAAATGAGAAAGTAGATATATATATAGTAAGGTAACTAATGTAAAGTAGCATAGAAATGCATACAAGCAACGTTATGTAGGTCATATGACGGAAAATGGGTACATTATCCGATAAAATTTATCATCAGAACAAAATTATAATTTCCCCTTCTTTTTCCACCTTTTTTCCTCGACCATGTTAAAAATCAAATCACCAGCACATCCCTACTAAAAAGACCCTTCTACATCGGGACACTAGAGTAGTATCATCCGTTGCTAATATCCCAAGTTAAAGCTATTCCCTAATGTCGGTGTTAATTCTGGCTATTGGTTAATTCCCCAGACTATGCTTATGTTTCAATGTTAAAGTTGCTTTTATTTAATTTTATGTGGTCATAATGTACTCGATAATATGCTATATTGCAGTTAACAGCCTAAGTTTTTGTTATAAATTATTCGAGGTTACAAAAAACACTACAGAAAGTCAGGCGCCTATTTATGGTATCTCAACCCTTGGTTTAATGATAGGAAAATTCTTTCAAAATTTAAACAATTTATTTGAAGGTATAGAGATTTTTATTTTCTTATTGTTAGAGAAGTTACTTGGTAATCTTCTCATTTGGGACTAGGTTATTAATGGAAGTAGAGATGAATTATTATATTCCAGTTGTTGTTCTACTTTTGGTGGATGATTTGTTTTACTGATATCCATCTTAGATTTCTTTGCTGAAATGTTAGGCTTATTTTTAAATTCCCATTCAACTACCTTTCATCATCATTTTAGTCCAAAAATCCTTATACTATAGTTGTGACATTATAACAAGAATAATTTTTTTTTATTTTCTATTTACTTAATCTTATTGATTGCTATATGAAGAAGGAAAAAAATTAGTAGCTATTTTCTATTTACTTAATCAAGAATTATTGGTTATAATTACCATCATTACCATCATTATCATCAGTTTCACTATAAGTATCATTATCGAAATTTTGATCCTTTCTTACAGTATAATTACCATCATTATCATCAGTTTCACTATAAGTATCATTATCGAAATTTTGATCCTTTCTTATAGGACTGTAATTACCATCATAATCATCAGTTTCACTATAAGTATCATTATCGAAATTTTGTTCCTTTCTTACAGTATAATTACCCTTACCATAATCATCAATAGAAACTAACGTGATTATTGATTTATCAAACTTTGTTTTATTAAAATAATCATCTAGAGAAAAGGTTGTATTGATTTCAGGTGTAGAATCCTTACCAGGTTCAACATGAAGTGGACTTGTGGCCAAATCCTGTAATTGTGAATTGCTAAACCTCCAAATAATAATTGCCCCCGTTAAAAAGAAAAGCAGAGCTATGAAAGCTCTTAAGCAACGATGAATACCTGAAAACCTTCCATTTATATAATTGCCTCCATCAGCTTTTAAAGTAAGCAAAACGGTTGTAAAAGAAATCAAAAAACCAATAATGTTTAGGATAATTGTAGTTATCCATAACCCTGGTGCTTTATTCTGGCGACGATTGATGTAGCTGAATACATCCAATAGAGTGAATATAGTAGCAGCAGCGAAGTAGCCTACTCCCCATCTTGTAACTTTCATTAAATTAGGTCCATCAGGCCCATCACCTATTTTGATAGTGTAATTCCAAATACTCATTAAATGACTAGCGCAAGTTCTTTGGTTATTAACTGTCGACATTGACAGTATCATTACCAGGTGATGCTGTTACGAATGAATCATCGTTCGGTGTATGATCCATTGATCCTAATTCAATGGGCAATTCACTCATGATTGAATTGTTGATAGACTTATAGTAGAAGAATTATAGTAGAAGAGTATATATTGTTGTGCTGCCAAAAGTTCTCATTAAAAAAAAAAGAGACAACAAAATGAACTCTAACTCTAACTCTAAAATCTTAAATCTAATCAAAATCAAAAGAGCACTTCCTGCTAGTTGATTAACAGTTTTATATTAATTTGATAATGATCTGTAAACTTGAATAAATTTGATTATGAAATATATTTTAGCATTAGTTTATCATTTATTTGAACCAATTAAAGTTGGCAATAGTCTGTTCTCAGTTATTGAAACTTGTCTTATGCACCAAATTACTTACTTTCAACACATTGTATCATTAAATCATTGCATGATACACTTTGCATTTACAATTAGCTATCTCATTCACCTAAGATCTCAGTCGGTCCCAAAAGATTCATATGTGAAAATAAATTCATTGATTCCGAATTTGTGAAACTAATCGATGAATACAACTTTCAAGCCCAAATCATCAAGAATCAATCACGGCACTAAATAACAGTTTGAAAAGCAATTATAGTTCAAATATAACCATTGACAGAATCAATCTTTGTCATTAGTTAAAGTTTTCCTTGTTCATTGATCTACTTCAATAAACAATTCTAATTTAAAGCTTATAACACCAATTCAAAAAATAAAATGAATATAAAAAGTCATTTATTCAAGTCAAATATATAGTTAAATAAATAGATGAAAATATAAATCACTAAAATATTCTTTCTTTTCTAATAATCACTGAAATATACAGCTAATAGAAAAGACAGGAACAGAAATAAACAACCTACTGCAACGAATAACATTAAAAAGGTTATCATCTCACATTCTCTGCAATGAGTAACCACTCCTTTTAAATCTTTTAAATCTCTTTTCTTAATATGATGTTTTAACATTCTAAGAGTTGTTTGAATATGTTTAATCCTTTGACGTAATTCTGATAATTTGTGTTGTTGATTAATAAAAGCAGATGTAGTTTTATTTGAATCCATTGATTTCATTTCAATTTCAATTGATTTCATCATATTACCAAAAGTCCTAGTTGCATTGTAGATTATACTGAATTTTCATTATCGAATTAGTAGCCTGGTTAGGGCAATTTAAATATAAATTGTAATTTCATAAACAGGTCATTTATTGCAAAAGCAAGTTACTTGATTTTACCTCTTTTTGCAGTTGAATTTTTATTATAAAAGAAGCATTGCTTCATGAATTTTTTTATTTCAATCTAATTATAGAAATCACATTAGTATGGATGATCCTGAAGTTAAACCAAGTTCCAATTCCAATACTGGAATTGATGATGCTGAAATAATTGATATAAATGATATCACCAAAAGAATAGAACACATTACCAAAGACTTTGAATTTGTAAAAGACAATCTCAAAAGACAAAAAAATAGAAAGAACCCTAACTTTTCTTGTGACTGTAATTACAAATATTTATTCTTGTCATTGTCCATATTACCTTTAATTCAACTATCCCTCCTTTTATATTTATGGCGGGAATCATATGACAGTGTTCAATAGTAAGGATGATTTTATTATTTACATTTCATAGTTATACATAGAAATAAAAGCGTATCCTTTGAGATAAATAAAGATTGTAGTCTAGAATTTGATGTTTCTATGATTATTTTGATTAAAGTAAGGAAAGGTACATATATGCACCAGTTGGCAACGAGTGAATCAAGAATTGAAACAATAAGGTTTTACTTGCTTAAGAGTGAATGACTTCTTTTTCTGTCAAAATATAATAAAAGTGGTTGATTTATAGACACGAGAGTTGAAAAGTTTCCAGTTAACTCAGGTACAGGTTCATGTTTCAGTATAAAGAAGCTATTTTACTTATTAAAAGACTTAAATTTAACTCAGATACACCACCTTCTAGTCCGATGAATCAGACAGATTACATATCACGATTAGACCATAAATTGAGTATAATAGATAAAAAGCTTGAACACATAAAGTTTAAACTTGGATATCGAAGTTGGTCCCAATTCTTTGCCCATATTTATATTCAGTATGCAATTTTAAATTTGTTGATTCTGGTGGTTGGTACTGTATATTTTTGGATATGGGTATTTTAGTTGTTTCAAATGGTAGTAGTTTGATATATTTATTCTTATATAGAATTGATGAATACATGACTTAATCAGAGGAAAAGTTTATACTACAAAATGTGAGGCAAAATATATTAAAAAGCTAAGAATTGAATAATCATCTTGAGTACCTAACTAAAGGTAATAATGCTAATCCAGGCCTTCTTATAACTAAATATATATCAAATTGATTTATACTATCCATAACCAAAGAAAACCAAAAAGACAAAACTTCTGAGCCCTTGCTGTGTACCAGAGTAATCAGAATTCAGAAACTTAATAAAATCAGTACCTATCATTAACAAGAAGAAACCTAATGAAAACACAAATCCTATGAAATTTAAAATTACAGTAATTGCTGTTAATAATGAGTTGTTACTGTAAAAGTTAAGTCTATTCAACAGATGCATAAAAATGAAAACCAAAACATAGAAAGCAGCCCAACGAATCACTTTCATGCGTTCAGGGCCACCGTGAATTGATTCTGTATAATCACACTAGGGAATTTCATTTTCAATTACATTAACACCCAATCCATCTCTAGTGAGGCTCATTGTCTCGTTGTGATTGATGTTATTTGATGTATCAAACATGTTTAATTTAGTTATGACCTTTGATTTAAATAAAAGCGTAAGGTTGCCATATTTTCTATCCCTTTAACAAAAACTTATATCTTCAAAAGCAGAAAAGGAGTGTGTATAGTGTACCAAAAATAGGGAAAGAATAAGGGTTTACATACATAAGAGTGAATATTTCAGACCAAATTCAAAAGCCAAGTTCATTCTACTATTTAATGATACTAATTTGCTCTTATAATCAAATAAGTTCATTCCATTAGTATGCAAGATGAGTCAATATCAAGTGATTCAGGTTCTGCTTCAAGCTCCAACACACGCTCGAGTCGTGGTTCACGTTCCTATTCACGTCAGAGCCAACGTTCAAGTTCAAGTCCAAGATTACAACCAAGTTCTGGTTCTGGTTCAATTTTCAGCATGACGAGGTTTACTTTAGGTATTAGAAGACGTTTAGTTATTTCAGGTTCTCCATCATCACCACCACCACCACCTCCTCCATATACTCCATTAAATCAGACAGATCGCATAGCTGTATTAGAATCTAGATTGAAGAACATGGAGAAAGAACTTAAAGAATTAAAAACTAAAGTTGAAAATAATCGAAGTTGGTCTACATTTTTTTCTCAATTTGGTATTACTTTATAGTTGAATGGGGGTATAAAACTTATAAAAGAGGCTATATTTCATCTTATATAGATAATTAATATATGCGATTTTTTTTGCATCAATTGCTTTCATTGTAAATAAAGCCACATAATTTCCCATAAAGCATTAAAAGAGAGGAAGTTAGCGAGATGAGAGATGAGAGATGAGATTTGTAATAGAGTTACAAAAAGGATGTATTAATTAATAGGATATTACCCTAGAACTATTATAAGGTCTTGTGCTAATAAAACAATTTGATGTGAAATGCCGAATCAAAAAAATTTTCATGTTAAATAGTACAAAATGGGTATATTCCGAGGGCGTAATTATCTCTATATACAGGTCTCAAGTGTGTTAACTATGTATGCACCAAACATGACATAATGCTGAATCATGTGTGTCACATAGTTAACCCATCCGGAAGTGACCCTCGTAACTCATTTAGATGATCTTCTCACTAAAAAAATTTTTTTATTCTAAACTGTTGTCAGTAAAATATAAATAAAGTCAGAATTAACTACAATTTTTAAATTTATAGTTATAACTTATTCTTTTATTCATTATTTTATTTTATTTCTTTCTTCCTTCTTCTCTCTTCTCTTCTTCTTTCTTTCAACAGTTGATCAATTGCTCATCCATTCCATACCACCATACCATCCCCTTCCCCCAACAACCAGCTTGATTTGCTAATCTTTGGTTTTTGATTTGTTGCAATAAAAAAGCATAAAAGTAAGTATTTACCATAAGATCTAGCTTTGTCGTGAAAGGGGTTTGTCTGTTGTTTAATTGTTGAAAGAAAGTTAACGTATCCCTCCTGTAAATGATTGATTGATATTTCAGAGTCTTGATTGATTGATTGATGTCTAACAACATCAATCATCTTAATCTTAATCGTCATCATCATCTTGAATTTATCCATTTTTGGCTGCCATTTTTTTTTTTTCACTCATCCCACTCATCAACTTTTTTTCTTTTAAGAAAAATCGAAACGGTGAACTCATCTGAAAATTTACTGTACTCCAGATCCTTTATTTCAATTGACATTCAAATCAAAAACCCTTTTCCTCTAAAGCTTTAATCTCACCATCCGCTTAAGTCGATTGGCTCGATTTACTAACTTTTAATTTAGCTATCTCATATTATATTTACATATTCTTATATTTAAAGTATACCCTTATTGTTTAACCTTCCCCCAGTTAACAAGCTTTTAAATACTTAAAAAAACACGTCTATATTCATTTCATAGATTCAATTAAGAACATATAAATTATAAAATTACTTACTTCAAAATGGCTAAATTATCTGCTCCAATTACTCCACCAATGAAATCAACCGGTGATGTCTTAATGACTTTAGAAACTCATGATGGTATTGCTTTACAAGGTTATTCATTTGGTGCTGAAGTCCCAGCTGCTGGTGAAGTCGTATTCCAAACTGGTATGGTTGGATACCCAGAATCAATTACTGATCCATCTTATGAAGGTCAAATCTTAGTTATTACTTATCCTTTAGTTGGTAATTATGGGGTTCCAGATCGTAAATTATTAGATGATGATTATTTCCCTGCTTTACCAAAATATTTTGAATCAAACAAAATTCATATTGCTGGTTTAGTTGTCGCTCATTATACTGAAGAATATTCTCATTTCTTAGCTAAATCATCTTTAAGTCAATGGTTAAAAGAACAAGGTATTCCTGCTATTTATGGGGTTGACACTAGATCTTTAACTAAAAGATTAAGAGAAGAAGGATCAACTTTAGGTAGATTAGCTCTTCAAAAATCATCATTCTCATCTGAATCTATCTTAGCTGATACATCATCAAATTGGGAAAATTATTTTGAAATTCCTGAATGGGATGATCCAAATGTTAAAAATTTAGTTGCTAAAGTTTCTATTAAAGAACCAACTGTTTTCACTCCAAAGGATTCCCTTAAATTAGGTAAAAATGTTAAACCAATTAGAATCATTGCCGTTGATGTTGGTATGAAATATAACCAAATCCGTTGTTTCGTTAGACGTGGTGTTGAATTAAAAGTAGTTCCATGGGATTATGATTATACTACTGAAGAATATGATGGTTTATTCATTTCAAATGGTCCTGGTGATCCATCAGTTATGACTGATGCTGTCCAAAGATTAAAAACTGTTATTGATGAGGCTAAAACTCCAGTCTTTGGTATTTGTTTAGGTCATCAATTAATGGCAAGAGCAACTGGTGCTTCAACTTTAAAATTGAAATTCGGTAATAGAGGTCACAATATTCCTTGTACTTCCACTATTTCTGGTAGATGTTATATTACATCTCAAAATCATGGTTATGCCGTTGATACTACTACTTTAACTCCAGGTTGGAAAGAATTATTTGTTAATTCAAATGATGGTTCTAATGAAGGTATTTATCATGAATCAAAACCTTTCTTCTCAGTTCAATTCCATCCTGAATCAACCCCAGGTCCAAGAGATACTGAATTCTTATTTGATGTTTTCATTCAATCTGTTATTGATTACAATCAAACTGGTATCTATAAACAAGTTGCCTTCCCAGGTGGTAAAATTGAAGAAAACAGAGCTGCTCATCCAAGAGTTGAAGTTAAAAAAGTTTTGGTCTTGGGTTCCGGTGGTTTATCCATTGGTCAAGCTGGTGAATTCGATTATTCCGGTTCTCAAGCTATTAAAGCTTTAAAAGAAGAAGGTATTTATACTATTTTAATTAATCCAAATATCGCCACTATTCAAACTTCTAAAGGTTTAGCTGATAAAGTTTATTTCTTACCAGTTAATCCTGAATTCGTTAGAAAAGTTATTGAACACGAACGTCCTGATGGTATTTACTGTACTTTTGGTGGTCAAACTGCCTTAAGTGTTGGTATCAGCTTAAAGGATGAATTCGAAGGTTTAGGTGTTAAAGTTTTAGGTACTCAAATTGAATCTGTTATTACTACTGAAGATAGAGAATTATTCGCTAATGCCATGTCTGAAATTGGTGAAAAATGTGCTCGTTCCGAAGCTGTTAATACCGTCGAAGAAGCTGTTGATGCTGCCAATGCTATTGGTTATCCATTAATTATCAGAGCTGCTTATGCCTTAGGTGGTTTAGGTTCTGGTTTTGCTGATAACGAAGAAGAATTAGTTGAATTATGTTCAAAAGCTTTTGCTATTTCTCCTCAAGTTTTAGTTGAGAGATCCATGAAAGGTTGGAAAGAAGTTGAATATGAAGTTGTTCGTGATGCTTTTGATAACTGTATTACTGTTTGTAATATGGAAAATTTCGATCCATTAGGTATTCATACTGGTGATTCCATTGTGGTGGCTCCATCTCAAACTTTATCTGATGAAGATTATAATATGTTAAGAACTACTGCTGTTAATGTTATTAGACATTTAGGTGTTGTTGGTGAATGTAACATTCAATATGCTTTAAATCCATTCTCCAAAGAATATTGTATTATCGAAGTTAATGCCAGATTATCTCGTTCTTCAGCTTTAGCTTCTAAAGCTACTGGTTATCCATTAGCTTATACTGCTGCTAAATTAGGTTTAAACATCCCATTAAATGAAATTAAAAACTCAGTTACTAAATCTACTTGTGCCTGTTTCGAACCATCATTAGATTATGTTGTTGTTAAGATTCCAAGATGGGATTTAAAGAAATTCACCAGAGTTTCATCTTTATTATCATCATCTATGAAATCCGTTGGTGAAGTTATGTCTATTGGTAGAACTTTCGAAGAAGCTATTCAAAAAGCTATTAGATCTACTGATTATCACAACTTAGGTTTCAACGATACGGCTGCTTTAATGTCTATTGATATCGACAGTGAATTACAAACTCCTTCTGATCAACGTTTATTCGCTATTGCTAACGCTTTAGCTGATGGTTATACTGTTGAAAGAGTTTGGGAATTAACTAATATTGATAAATGGTTCTTAAACAAATTAGATGGTTTAATTAAATTCGGTAGTAAGATTGCTTCATTCGGTACTAAAGAAGAATTACCTGCTTCTGTTTTAAGACAAGCCAAACAATTAGGTTTCGAAGATAGACAAATTGCTAAATTCTTAAACTCTAATGAAGTTGCTATCAGAAGATTAAGAAAAGAAGCTGGTATCATTCCATTTGTTAAACAAATCGATACTGTTGCCGCTGAATTCCCAGCTTTCACCAATTATTTATATATTACTTATAATGCTGATTCTAATGATGTTACCTTCGATGAACATGGTGTTATTGTCTTAGGTTCCGGTGTTTATAGAATTGGTTCTTCAGTTGAATTCGATTGGTGTGCAGTTAGAGCTATTAGAACCTTAAGAGAAGGTAAGATCAAAACCATTATGATCAATTATAATCCAGAAACTGTTTCTACCGATTATGATGAAGCTGATAGATTATATTTCGAAACTATTAATTTAGAAAGAGTTTTAGATATTTATGAATTAGAACAATCATCAGGGGTTATTATTTCTATGGGTGGTCAAACTTCAAATAATATTGCTTTACCATTACATCGTCAAAATGTTAAGATTTTAGGTACTTCGCCAGAAATGATTGATTCCGCTGAAAATAGATATAAATTCTCCAGAATGTTAGATAAAATTGGTGTTGATCAACCAGCTTGGAAAGAATTAACTTCTTTTGCCGAAGCTGAAGAGTTCGCTGATAAGGTTACTTATCCAGTTTTAGTTCGTCCATCTTATGTGTTATCTGGTGCTGCTATGAATACTGTTTACTCTAGAGATGATTTAGAATCTTACTTAAGTCAAGCTGTTGATGTTTCTCCAGATTATCCAGTTGTTATCACCAAATATATTGAAAACGCTAAGGAAATTGAAATGGATGCCGTTGCTAAAGATGGTAAAATGATCATGCATGTTGTTTCTGAACATGTTGAAAATGCCGGGGTTCATTCTGGTGATGCCACTTTAATAGTCCCACCACAAGATTTAGATCCAAAGACTGTTGAAAGAATTGTTGAAGCTACCGCTAAAATTGGTAAAGCTTTAGATATTACTGGTCCTTATAATATTCAATTCATTGCTAAGGATAATGATATTAAGGTTATTGAATGTAATGTTCGTGCTTCTCGTTCTTTCCCATTCATTTCCAAAGTTGTTGGTACTGATTTAATTGAATTAGCCACTAAAGCTATTATGGATTTACCAGTTGTTCCTTACCCAGGTGAAAAATTACCAGAAGATTATTGTGCTGTTAAAGTTCCACAATTCTCATTCTCTCGTTTAGCTGGTGCTGATCCAGTGTTAGGTGTTGAAATGGCTTCTACTGGTGAAGTTGCTACTTTTGGTAGAAATAAATATGAAGCTTACTTGAAATCCTTAATTTCAACTGGTTTCAAATTACCAAAAAAGAATATCTTATTCTCCATTGGTTCTTATAAAGAAAAATTAGAATTATTACCTTCAATTGCCAAATTACATGAATTAAACTATAAAATCTTTGCTACTGCAGGTACTGCTGATTTCATTAAGGAACATAATATTCCAGTTCAATACTTAGAAGTCTTAAGTAAAGATGAGGATCAAAAATCTGAATATAATTTAACTCAACATTTAGCCAACAATTTAATTGATTTATATATTAATTTACCATCTGCTAATAGATTCAGACGTCCAGCTTCTTATATGTCTAAAGGTTACGAATCTCGTCGTTTAGCTGTTGATTATTCCGTTCCATTAGTTACCAATGTTAAATGTGCTAAGTTATTAGTTGAAGCTATTTCTAGAAACATTTCTTTAGATGTTACCAACAGAGATTTCCAAACTTCTCACAACACTGCTGTCTTGCCAGGTTTAATTAATATTACCTCATTCGTTACTTCATTTGATGATTTTGAAGCTACCACCAAAGCTTCATTAGCTGCTGGTTTCACTTTCAATACTTTCTTACCACAAACCTTAGATGGTTCATCAGTATCTGATTTCGATTCATTATTAGAGGCTATTGATGTTGCTGGTGCTTCTGCTTATACTGATTACTCAGTATCCATTGCTGCTAATGCTTCCAATGCTGCTGATGTTTCAGAAGCTTCTCAAAACAGTGGTTCATTATTCTTACCATTCAATGAATTTGCTAATTCTAAGGTGTCTGCTATTTCATCTCATTTTGCTTCATGGCCTGAAAACAAACCAATCATTACTGATGCCAAAACTACTGATTTAGCTTCCGTTTTATTATTAGCATCATTATATAATAGATCTATTCACATTACTGGTGTTTCATCCAAAGAAGATTTAGATTTAATTAAAATGGCTAAAGATAAAGAATTAAGAGTTACTTGTGATGTTGCTGTCTTTTCATTATTCTTATCAAAGGATGAATTAAATGTTCCATTCTTACCAACTAAAGAAGATCAAACTTACTTATGGGAAAATATTGCTAATGTTGACTGTTTCTCAGTTGGTGTTTTACCATACTTAGTTGCTAAAGCCACTGGTCAAGCCATTGTTCCAGGTTTAGGTATTAACGAAACTATTCCATTATTATTAACTGCTGTTAAAGATGGTCGTATTACTGTTGATGATATCATTAAACGTTTCCATGATGAACCAGTTAGAATCTTCAACATTCCAAAACAAGATGCTGCTGTTGAAATCGATTTAGATAGATTCATCTTAGCCACCAACAGGACTTCAATCTTTGCCAATAAGAAATTACTTGGTTCAGTTGATAGAGTTTCTTTCCATAGTGAAACTGTTGTTTTAGATGGTTCTGTTGTTGCTTCATCGGCTGTTGGTAAGAATGAAGTTGAACCAAGAAATAGATTCAGTTCTATTACTTCTATTCCACAATCCCCATCTGTCGGTAGAAAACAAAGAATTTCTTTCACTAGTGATCTCCGTCGTCCATCTCTTGCTAGAGAACTTGCACAACCATTACCAACTGAATTTGAAAGATTTGGTTCAGAATTAGTTTCTCAACCACCTGGTGCTTTAAGTGAAGGTAATGCTTTAGCCAACTATATCAGACATAATAACACTTTCTTAAGAAACTCAGTCTTATCAGTTAAACATGTTAGTAGAGCCGATTTACATTCATTATTTACTGTTGCTCAAGAAATGAGATTAGCTGTTGAAAGACAAGGTGTATTAGATATCTTAAAGGGTAGAGTCTTAGCTACTATGTTCTATGAACCATCAACTAGAACCTCATCATCATTCGATGCTGCTATGCAAAGATTAGGTGGTAGAGTTGTTGCTGTGGCCGCTGGTTCTTCATCAGTTAAGAAAGGTGAAACTTTACAAGATACCATTAGATCATTAGCTTGTTATGCTGATGCTGTTGTCTTAAGACATCCATCTGAAGAATCTGCTGATATTGCTGCTAAATATTCTCCAGTTCCAATTATCAATGGTGGTAATGGTACTAAAGAACATCCAACTCAAGCTTTCTTAGATTTATTCACTATTAGAGAAGAATTAGGTACTGTGAATGGTATTACTGTTACCTTTATGGGAGATTTAAAATTCGGTAGACCAGTTCATTCATTAGTTCATTTATTACGTCATTATCAAGTTAGAGTTCAATTAGTTGCTCCAAAGGAATTAGCTATGCCAGAAGAAATTAGAAAGATCTTAATTGAAAACAAAATGTTAGCCGTTGAATCTGAAGTCTTAACTAAAGAAATCATTGCTAGATCTGATATTTTATATTGTACTAGAGTTCAAGAAGAAAGATTTGAAGATAAAGAACAATACTTAAGATTGAAAGATACTTATATTGTTGATAACAAGATCTTATCCTATGCTAAACAACATATGGCTGTTATGCATCCATTACCAAGAACCAATGAAATTCGTGAAGAAGTTGATTTCGATCAAAGAGCTGCTTATTTCAGACAAATGAGATATGGATTATTTGTTAGAATGGCTTTATTGGCTATGGTTATTGGTGTTGATTTTTAATCAAATCAAATCAACTCAAATCGGGGAATTTAAAAAATATATAAAAAGGATTTTTGGTTATTAAACCTTTTTATTAGACGATATATATTAATTATTGTTTTTGGCTTTATTTTCTATTGTTTTATTATTTTTATATCATAGAAAGTTACAAGTTTTAAAGAAAAGAAAACAAAAAAAAAATTAGATAGGAGGAGTTGTCATCTATTTATACACTTTAGATAGTTAGGAAAAGTTTATTATTATTCGGGGGAATCAATGTTAAACATCATTTCTAATTTATTTTTTGTCTCTATTTATATTTTACATCCCTCTCATCTCTGTACATTTACATATTATAAATAAAATTCATATTCATTCATATACATATTATACATATATTATTAACAAGCTAGTCTTACTGTACATTACTAATTTACAATTTATTCTTCACGTTCTTTAATGAACATGTTTGCTTCATCTTCATTCTGGGCTCTATGTTCATGTTGTCGATGATTATTATCATCTTGAACATCTTCATTGGCTTGAATTAAAGCTCGAGCAATTTCAATCTCATCTCCTCCTGTTTGATGATCATAAGATTCCACATCGGGATCAACTGGGATATCATTACTATTTCTTCTTCCTTTTGAGTCTTGATAATCATCATCGTCATTTTGATAATCATTATCATAGTCATCATAATGACCTGAATTCCCACTTACAGCTGAAGCAGCGGCCGCAGCATATGATTGATGTTGACTATGAGAATGAGGTTGTCTTCTTTGGGGCTGTTGTTGGTGATGTTGCTGCTGTTGCTGTTGTTGTTGGTTTCTTTGTGCTTCCTCTACCACCGCAATAAGATTATCATCTAATCCTGCTAATTCATGACTTAATAATGCATCGGCATCATGTCTTGTGCTTGGAAGATTATGTAATTGAGCAGCGGCAACAATGGCCTCTACATCATCAGCAGTAGTTGGACCTTGTCTACTTCTAATTAAATTACGAGAATTTGGATTATTAGGTTGAGATTGATAAATTTTTGTTCTTGGTCTAGCAAGATTTTGATTAATTGATGATGATTTCTTTTGATTAATAACACCAATTCCACCAGCAACACCGGCAACTCTTTTCAAATTTGATTCATCCCGAGTTGGATCTCTACATTCAGGACAATTCTTTATAGCTTGTGCTACTGTATCTTTAATTCTTGTCCAATGATATTTTTCAGTGACGATTGATGTGGTTTTATTTATACCACCATGATTTTGTAAATGAACTTCAGTACAAATTTGTAATTGTCTAGCAGGATCACTTACAACTTCTCTACCTTTTAATAATAATTTTCCATCGATTAATCTATAATGAGATGCTGAAGATCTTAATCGAGATTTTTCTTGTCTATCAGCCATAGCAGGATATCTTCCAGTTTCCAAATAGAATTTAATCTTATCGAATCTATAAGCCCCAACAGCCGGATCACTTGAATTAACTAATTCTCTTCCGTACATTATAGCATCAACAGCTTGATCATGACCTTTTAAAATCCCAGCTGATTTAACTCTACCAACCCTTTTGAAATTTAATGATTCCCAAATCCTACGAGCAGCCACATTACTTTCAAATACTAAATTAAACATCGAATAAGTATATCCTAATCTTGGAGCCCATTGTAAATAACAATCAGTTAAAGTTCTTCCAATCCCTTTACCTCTAATCCCAGCATTAACTAAGAAATTAGCCGTACAAATATGAGAACAACGACCAGGATAATTTGGTTTAATACAGAATGTTCCTAAACATTCCTTTTCCCATTGTCTTGCTCCTTCCAATACAGGTGAATCTCCTAATACCATTACTGCTGCAAATGATCCAAACCAATAATTTTGAAATTGTTCAATATGTAAGGTATCAAAAAATGATGAAGTTTCACCTCTTTCAATTTCCATATTGAATTCATCACATAAGAAAGCTAAAAGACCAGGGGGTAATTCATTAGGAGAATGAATAGGATAAATGGTTGCAGTGGTTTCACCATCTTTTAATAACACTGTATATCGATGAATAACATTAACAGGATCATAATCTAATTGAGGTCTGAAGTGAGGAGGTTGGATAACATCCTCAAACTCCGGCATTGTTTTGGCTAATTCTATTCTGGTTTAGTGAAGTTTCCTCCTTAGTATTCAATTATTGCAAAAATATATATCACTAATCTTAAAGTGTGTAGATATTGTACTGCTATGGGTATATTTTGGAATGTAAACATCTTCTGGTTCGATTACAAAAAAAAATAAGATGGGAAAAAGTCGCGTGTTTGGGTAAATGTCGTATATCTAAAAGTATATCTATCTATCTAAAGATCTTTACCAAACATTATAGCTCCAACTAATTTATCTTCACCTTTTAAAACAGCTACGTTTTTAACATAACCGATTCTTTCAAAGCCAAGATTATCCCATATTTTAAGACTAGCCACATTGGTTTCAAATACTAAATTGAATACGGAATATACATAACCTAATTTGGGAGCCCATAAAAGATATTTCTTACCTAATTCTTTACCTAACCCTAATCCTCTCTTTTGATGATTGACAATGAATCCAGCATTACAAACATGGGAACATCTTCCAATGTAATTTGGTTTAACGTAGAAATTACCTAAGAATAGCTTTTCCCAATCTTCAACTGATGTATGTTTGTGTTGGTCATTTAATTGGTCAATTGATGTATATTCTCCTTCCACTAATACAGCCACAAAGGCATGGAACCAATATTTAATGAATTCCTCGTCAATCATGACATTATGATGAGGATAAGTTCTCCCTTCTTCCACCACGAAATTGAATTCATTTTGAATTACCTTTATAAGATTGGATGGTAAAGTCTTATAATCATGAATAGGGAAAATAGTGACTTTGAGAGATGAATCCTTATCTAATGTGAATGTTATAGGATCATGGATCTTACCTGTAGTTTCGAATGTTCCATCAGCAAATGGTAAACTTTTCAAACTTTCAAATTTTGTTGCTTCAACTGTCATACTGGTGATTGTGTTTTCTATGTCAACTTTTTATAATACAAATTTCAAATTTCAAACGAATGCAAATGCAAATGTCAATAATCACTATTTAGTGCCTCTATATAGATACAACACCTCCTACCTCTTCAAATCAAAATCAAAATGAGTCAAATCTAATCGAAGTAATAGAAAGTTTACAATATTCTCGTCTTAACTGACTGAACCGGGATAATCCTCCCGCTTTTCGGTGAGAGATGCAAAATTTAAATTTTTATTACATGCAGTACACTGTATTTATATACAGGTGATTAAATTTACCCGGATTTTAAAAATGAGAAGGAGGAGGAGGAGGAGGAGGAGGAGACACCAATCAGAGTTTATTTCATATTTATGATTGATTGGATAACAACCATATCAAGTTCAAAAGTAGTAGTTTTACAAGTTATATCATTCATTCATAGACATAACTGGTCTATCATATCATTAGAATATCAACAGCATCATTAGTTTAGTGGAAAAAGGACAAATAATAACAATGGAAGAACAACGAAGGGCTGGTGTGATTTCAGAGTGTATGTATATACCTTGTTATATTATATATAAATCCAACTTACTTAGAACAATACTAACTTATAATTTCTAGCCGTTAGTAAACGAGACAAGAAACGTCAACTAATAGGAACCAGATTAACTCGATTAGATTCGATGTTTAAGAATGATCGAGATAATTTTTATCGAAATCTGTTACATGAATTACAAGGTAAATTATCAACTTTACAACAAGGTGTAAATGAAGAATTTTTAAATAAGAAGAATCAATTTGAAGAAATTAGAGATTATGAATTAACTAAATTACGATTATGGGAAGAATATCAAGTTAAACGAATTGAAACTGAATATAAGGAAGATTTATTTAAAGCTAAAGAAAATCATGATAAAATGATTACTTTAATTAAAGAGAAATTATATGATAAATTACAAAATCAAATCAAACAACTTAAAGAAGATAAATTATTATTAAATTTGGTTAATGGAAATCTGTGGAGTCAAGCTCCTACTAATGATAAGAGTTCCAGTACTAGTTCAAATACTGCTGCTTTAAATGCAGTTGCTTCATCATTAAATTTAACTGATAGAAGATCATTAAGAAAAAGAGAATTAAGTTCAAGATTCACTACTGGTGAAGCTGATGATTTATCAGATGGTGGCTTATCCACTACCAACGCATCCTCCATAGCGAACAATACTAATAATAATGGATATACATCAGCCACGGGGAAAAGACGAAGATTATATTCCACTCGATATTCTTCAAATGATGAAATGTCAAGTGGTATTACTAGTGGAGTCAATAACGTCAATGGAAATCATAATGATCATACCAATGGATCCACCTCCAATAATAATCAAAATGGAAGTTCCAATAACTTTCTTAAACCAAATTCAAATAATAATAATCATCAGCATGGAGCAAATGGTACCAGTGGGATCAGTAGTGGTAATGATTCGAATCTAAGTGATAAAGATTATGATGCTTTGAATTCATTAATTATGGAAAATGATGATGGAGGTGCATCCCTTGTGTTATTAGATAAATCAAATTCAAATAAACCCAATACAAGAGGTTCTCATAAACAATTTACCGGTCTTCAAGGATTAAAAGTTGAAGAATTAAATGAAGATTTGAATTTATTAAGAAATGCCATCATTAAAAAGGATTAACGAATAGTTTGTATAGGTCATTGTTGTATAGTAGTTATTGTATAGTAGTTAGAGTTTAGTTCATTTGTAATATTAGAATTCATCTGTCTTTTTTGAAATTAGCCTTAAGTAAAATACTGCAAACACAAAAATGGATTAACCGCTGAAAAAAATAAAAAAAAATAATTAATCGCAGCCAACAGATAGTGAAAGTTACCAGAATCATCTTGATAGGATAGGTTAGATATCAATCAAGAAGTTGGATCAAGAAGTCTAGATCAATTGGATTGCGGAGTCTAGTGGTTGAAGAAGATAGTATCCACAATCTTAATAGACATGTCATATCGTCATCAATCATCGCCTAGGAAATCTAAATCAAATCAGAATCAGAATCACCATCAATTGAATCAAGACCAATTCGCCATACCATATGACGATATAGGACTTCCCTCATCGATTTCACGACAGGTGGATGATGATATATATGAGTATTTAGATGGTGTGGAAGATGAGTTGGAAGAATATGAGTTGGTCCAGTATCCATCATCACGTCGTCATTTAAAGATCAAACCCCAGCAATCATCATCAGGATTACCCATCAGAAGTAGGAAAAATATTAGGAGATGGCTGTTCATCATCATACTATGTGGGATACTACTATTCACTATCTATTCCATCCGATCCTATATCAAGAGTCAACAATTTGATCGATTCTGGGTTGATGAAGTTTCCAATCATGAATATAATTATAATGATGATATTGAATTAATCAATGTTCAAGATTCAAATAAAGATTTAAGAATGAGTGAACGAATCATATCATCAAAGATTGATGCTCCTTTTCAATTAGGATGTAAGGCCCCTGATTCATCTCAATCTAGAGCTAATGCTGGATTTGTGGTGTTAGCTCGAAATTCAGAATTAAATGATGTCATAAAATCAATCAAATCAATGGAAAGACATTTCAATCAATGGTATAATTATCCTTGGATATTTTTAAATGATGAAGAATTTAATGATGATTTTAAAACTACCGTTCAACAATATACCAATGCTAAAGTTGAATTTGGAAAGATCCCGATTGAAGAATGGAATTTTAAATCAAATGTTGATAAACAAGAATTTAATGAATATATTCATGGTCAAGGAGATCGTGGAATAATGTATGGGAATCTAGAATCGTATCATAAGATGTGTCGATTTTATTCTGGTTTTTTTTATAAACATGAATTAGTTTCAAAATTAGATTGGTATTGGAGAGTTGAACCTGATGTTGAATTTTATTGTGATTTAACTTATGATCCATTCATTGAAATGGAAAAAAGAGGAAAGAAATATGGGTTTACAGTATTGATTCATGAATTATATTATACTATTCCCGGATTATTTCGAGAAACCAGATCATTTATCAATAAACATAATATAAAAGTGGGAAGTGCTTGGAATTTATTTATTCATGATTCAAAATATACTAATGGGATTAATCAAAATGATTATGATAATATTAATAATAAATTTGAAATTTTAAAGGAATTAGAAGAGAATATTAATCTTGAAATCTTTTTAAAATTAAAAAAGAAGAAAGAAAAACATCTTAAACGATTTAATCCTGATTTATTAAAGAAATTAACTAGATTAAGTACTAAGAAACCATCTTTATATGAAGATAGAATTGATCGAGAAGAATATAATCTTTGTCATTTTTGGTCAAATTTTGAAATTGCTCGAACTGATTTATTTACATCACCTGAATATCAAAATTTTTTTAATCATCTTGAACAAAGTGGTGGTTTTTATAAGGAAAGATGGGGTGATGCACCAATTCATTCATTAGCAGTAGGGATGATGTTGGATTTAAAAGATATTCATTATTTTAGAGATATTGGCTATAGACATTCTACCATAAAGCATTGTCCTAGTAATTCCAAAATAAATCAATTAAGATATAAATCAAGTGAAAGTTATCCCTCATATAACGAAGATCAATATTGGTTAACACCCGATAAACCTACAGATGTTGGAGTTGGATGTCGATGTCGATGTCCTTCTAATCATCGAGATATTGAAGATAGTTCATCTACATGTATGAATAAATGGAAAGAATTAACTAGTGATACATTTTCACCTTTTGAACCGATTGATTTAGAATATTGGGAGAAAGAGATTACGAAAAGAGTTGAGATATATTTAGCTAATGGAGGAGATTTTGGGTATAGTAATATTGTAGAAACATTATATGAACAAGGAAAGTTATAATAATGATATAGAAAATTTTTACAGTAATAATAATATAATAATATAATAATAATATATTTTGCTAATATACACTTTAAACTAGTAGAATACAATGAGAATGAATGAATAAAACAATTCTTTCAATGGGTTTAACCACCGAAACCATATAAGGTTCTACCTTGTCTCTTTAAGGCATAAACAACATCTAAAGAAGTAACAGTCTTTCTCTTAGCATGTTCAGTATAAGTAACAGCATCTCTAATAACGTTTTCTAAGAAAGATTTCAAGACAACTCTAACTTCTTCATAGATTAAAGCAGAGATACGTTTGACACCCCCTCTTCTGGCTAATCTTCTGATAGCTGGTTTTGTAATACCTTGAATGTTATCTCTCAAGATCTTTCTGTGTCTTTTGGCACCACCTTTTCCTAAACCTTTTCCTCCTTTTCCTCTACCGGACATATTGTATTAATGATATTTATTTAATTGATTAATAGATAAGGAAAGGGAAAAAAAGAAGAAGTAAAAATGGTATAATTATGATTTCAGTTATGGGGATTGATTGATATATTTATAATGTTTTTACAGTAGGGAGAGTTGTTAGTGACGATTTTGGTGATAGTTTGTGTGCAGGTCAACTATTTGTTTTGATTCAATTTTCAGTCACGCGCCTTAAATTGAAATTTGTCTTTTGTTAGTGATTAAATTTACACATTGTAATGTGTAAATTCTAGTATTCAAATCAGATATCTTTTATCGCTACTTGATATAAACAATATAATTAAGGTAAGTAAATATGAGTACGTGTTTTGTGTAATCCACCATAGTTAAGTCATTGTTCTGCATCGGTAATTCTGAGACTGTTTCACTAAATCATATATGAAACGAAGAGGAAGACACGCTTTAACTAGTTTTAGGTGTATCTTTTACACTCTTCTCCCCATCTTCTGTTGATAAAGATACGCTAAGTTGTAAATCAGTTACTGACACAAATATGATGTAAATAAACAAATAGTGATAAACTATAAACAACAACAAATCACCCATGATCCAACCTTCAATATAAATATTTATCTAATTCCCTTTCAATTAAATTATTTTTAATTACAATTCTTTCTTTCTTATTATCATCATCAATAATTAATCATGGCTAGAACTAAACAAACAGCTAGAAAATCTACTGGTGGTAAAGCCCCAAGAAAACAATTAGCTTCTAAAGCTGCTAGAAAATCAGCTCCATCAACTGGTGGTGTTAAAAAGCCTCATAGATATAAGCCAGGTACTGTTGCCTTAAGAGAAATTAGAAGATTTCAAAAATCTACTGAATTATTAATTAGAAAATTACCTTTCCAAAGATTAGTTCGTGAAATTGCTCAAGATTTCAAAACTGATTTAAGATTTCAATCTTCTGCTATTGGTGCTTTACAAGAATCTGTTGAAGCTTATTTAGTTTCTTTATTCGAAGATACTAATTTATGTGCTATTCATGCTAAGAGAGTTACTATTCAAAAGAAAGATATTCAATTAGCTAGAAGATTAAGAGGTGAAAGATCTTAGATCGGTTATCTTCTATCTATCTGTGTATATTAGATTATTATTATTACTATTTTTGAATAAATGAATTAGTTGTATATTAGATTTATTATTTACCCCTAAACCATTGATAATTAGTGAGTGCAAAATATATTACCCTAAACAGACAGATCATTTTGCCCCTAACGGGTCATCAAATTTAAGCGACCTTAGCAGATAAAAATCCAACAAATTTTAAATTTTTAGTGGGGAAAAGATCACTAACTCCTTTTAGTTCCCCCTAAAATCTAAACCATCTGAAATTTTTACCTCACCACCCACTCGGAGTGCAACCTTACACATTTATATATATATAAAACAGAAAACAGCAACCTCTGATTTTATAGACATTATCAACTATCAACAACTAACTACTAACATATTCAACTATGTCAACCGATAACACTGTGGCCAACACCTTCAATCATCCATCCACCAAAACCATCAATGATTCAATCTATGAATTAGGTTCATCACCTTATCCTGCTATCGCATTAGGATCATCATTATTATTTAGAGGTATCACTTATAAACCTCAATTAAAAGCATCAGCCAATACCAATGTCTATAAACAAGTAGCTTTGGCCATGTCAAGACCTACCAAGAAGACATGTTTCACTTTCGGAGCTGTTAATCTCTTAGGGGCTTGGTTAATCTATGATGGTGATGAAGTTAATGGTGCTGAATTTAATGCGGTTTGGTCTTCGATTTATTTACTTATTAATGGTAAATCAAGTATTACCAGTCTTATTCGAGGTCGTCATGTTTCACCCCTTGTGTTAAGTTCATTGGCATTGTTCAATACTACCATTTATGGTCATTATATCATTTCCTCCTGGAGAGGGTTAAATAATAATTCTAGATTTTATGATTAACTTTTGAAGTTATATCGGAGTTTGATTTTTTTCATTTTTGGTGTCTACAGTTTCATTTGAGTTTATTTATCTATATTCGTTTAATTATATTCATTTAATATACATCTCATCTTTATTTAAGTCAATCCCATTTTATCGGTAGTAACCTATTTTGTTCAGCAAAATTTATAATTTCAGTTTCATCATATAATTCAATAAATTGTTGATCCATAGGTCTTTCCTTTGGAGCAGCAAACTTTCTATATTCATCAAATATAATTGTTAATGACCATTTTTGCAATCTTCTTAATACCCCTACCAAACACCCAGTTCTATGTTTCCCTCTATTACAATGGATTAAAATAGGTTGATTATCAGGATTTATAACGATTTTAATCGCTTCGGTAATTAAATCATGATTAATTTTCACAAATGGTTCTTTATTACCTGACATCCCTAATTGAAATAATTTTATATTCTCTTGATGTAAGAATTCTAATTGTAATTGAGGATAATCTTCAGGAATCAAACATAATATAGATTTTAATTTCAACGTTTTTAAAAATGTGAAATTTAAAGGTTGAGGAAATGATGATCGATATATTTGATTAACCACAGTTGAGAAATTCTCGGGTGGAGTCAAAGGTTGATCCTTTTCCTTTTTCTTTAATTCTTCATATTCTAATTTTAATTTATCTTGTAATTTATAATCTAATTTATCATCCAAATCTTCTTCATAGGCATTCTCTTGTTGACTTTCATCTTCAGTAGTGTTTGTACCACCTGTCTCATCCATTTTAAATTGATCCAATTTCAATCGTATCAATTTATTGTCTCCATATATTGAATTTGGTTCTTCATAAGTCTTATGAATATCATTTTCAACCGTGTTGGTGGTGGTGGTGGTAGTAGATGATGAAGGTAAGGGTAAAGATTGACTTGTATTGGTTGAATTGAAATCAGACATGCCGAATTCTTCATCCATTTGAAATGGATCATCGGAATAATCAGTCATACCTTGAAAGTTGATAATATAACTCAAATGAATATAGATCTGATTGATTTGATTAATTGATTGTAATTGTCTTTGTAAAGCTAATAATTTAAGAAAGAAAAGTGGTCTCTGATTATTATATTATCATAGTGGTCGTTATGTGGTTATTTATTCTATTTGAATGATCGTATCTGGTTTAGTTACTCTATAAAGTTACTATAGATTGATATAATTATCCTTCCAGTTTCCTATTTCAATTCGTTGGTTGATACCTCATTTTAAAAAAAAAGCATGATTGATTTCCTGTATATAAGTCCCACCATTTCAATCATACCATTTTTGTGTCGTTATATGATAATTACTATACATTTTGCAACTTATAAACTATCTCACTGATGAATGAAGGATAGTAAAGGTATAAGTCATTTAAAGGGATAGATATTCTTAGAAATGAATTTCATATGAGATAATTACTTTACTGAACTAATGAATTAAATTATTCACACATCCCATTCAACACCATGTAAGATTAAGTAACTTTATTTATGATAACCGTTATAGTTTCCCTCTTTTTAATTATCACAAATAGATATAATTCAGTAGAAGAATACGGTTAGAAAAGGGATAAGTAAAGACGGTAACGTTAAGAAACAAACTCATTTACATAGACAAAATTACCACATTCTAAATCCATTTTTGTGGAGACCATCCCTTTATTATCCGTTTATAAAACTATCTCCTATGGAAATATTTCAATACAATTGAGCCATTTGATTGATTGGATTGAATTGAATTAACCAAAACTATTTGTAACCATCTAAAACTTTAACTAAAAATAATGGAGAGAACTCCAAAAGAAAGAAAAAATCAAAAACCACGTTATATTTTTATTTTTTTATATTTATGATTATACTGCTTCGGTTAGCAACGGTATTCCCATAGTGATAATCGATCGATCGTATACTCCTTAATTCATCATAATACAGGTTGATTATAAATATCAAATGTAGGTGCCTGATCTTCATAGTGAATCACCTATACGAAAATGCCGTTGGTGCCATAGTATATATACCTCAGAGACAAAAGCCTGTAATAAGCTCTTTATAACCGACTGTACGCCTCCCCCAAACTACAATAACCAATCCCTAGAGCCATTTAATTGGCATGTCCGAACCGTGTCTAGGTAAGCATGAGAGTGGAGAGACAAGTTGGTGGTGTAAGCCTTTAAAAATCATCAATTTTTCTTATTTTCTGGGGATTGCCGCCCATAGCCGCTTTTTTTGTTTTGTTTATTAGGCTTAAAACTTTATACACACCACTTTCAACTTTCCTAGTCATACTCAATTTATAGGGTTCAAAGTGTTAGAGTTGTATCCTTTCAGAGGGGAAGTGTTCAATAACCAATTAGTAGGAGTTGTAGTTGTATAAATAAGTCATGGATTTTCCTCTATGGATTTTCTAATTATAATTATATAATTATAGTATAGACAAAAATATAAATAGTTGCTACCAATTACAGCGATACATACACACATACATACAATTTCATTATGGCTCCAGTTAAAGAAGAATTAAGTTCAGGAAGTATTACACCTACTTTACCTGACTCCATTCCATTAGGAGAATATTTATTCCTTAGAATTCTTCAATCAAATCCAAAATTAAAATCAATCTTTGGTATTCCAGGAGATTTTAATGTCGATTTATTAGAACATTTATATACTGATTCCATTACTAACCAAAAGGTTAAATTCATTGGATTATGTAATGAATTGAATTCAGCTTATGTGGTTGACGGATATTCTAGAATCATTCAAGGTTTAACCGTATTGATTACCACATTTGGAGTGGGTGAATTAAGTGCATTAAATGGTATTGCCGGTTCATTTGCAGAATATTCTCCAATTTTACATATTGTGGGTACCACTTCATTAAAACAAAGTTCTCAAGCTCATGATGGAGTTTATGATGTTGATGTTAAGAATCATCATCATTTAATTCAATCTAAAAATTCCTTGAATCATGCTAATCATGATGTTTATAAACAAATGGCAGAACCTGTTTCGGTTATTCAACAATCTTTAGATGAAAATTTATCCACTAATTTAGATAAGATTGATAAAGTTTTAACTACTATTATTCAAGAACGTAGACCAGGTTATTTATATATCCCTTGTGATATAACTAATATGTTGGTCCCTACACAAAGATTATTTGAAACTCCTTTAAAGACAAATTATTCTATGACATCTAAATCTATTGAAGTTATGGATGATGTGGTTGATACTATTCTTGATAAATTATATAAAAGTACCAATCCCTCTATCTTTGGTGATTGTTTGGTTTCAAGATTTGGTTTAGATGATAAATTCAATCAATTCATAACTTCATTACCTTCAAATTTAGTTAAATTATTTTCATCAAATTTAAGTAGAAGTATCGATGAAGATTTACCTAATTATCTTGGATTATATTTCGCTAATGGATCATCCTCAGCTATAATCAAACATGAATTTGAATTAAATACTGATGTGTTATTAAATTTTGGATTCTTCAATTCTGAAACTACAACAGGTGGGTATCATTGGGATTTAACTCATATTCATGATTATATTGAAATCCATCCTGATTATATTAAAATCAATGGGAAATTAATCATGATTAAAGATTTCACCACTAATGATAGATTATTCTCTATGGGTGATTTATTAGATGAATTATTAAAAAGATTAGATACGACAAAATTCATCAATATTAATCGTGATAATATTGGACATAAGAAATTTTATCCAGAAACTCAATGTATCCCTCCCACTGATGATCTTTATATTCCTCAAACTAAATTAATCGATCATTTAAATCAAAATTTACAACCAAATGATGTATTAATAATGGATACCATGTCATTTTCATTTGCATTACCTGATATTAAATTCCCATCGGGAGTTAAAATGGTTACCCAAAATTATTATGGATCAATTGGATATGCTTTACCAAGTACATTTGGAGTAACTATGGCCATTAATGATTTAGAATTATATGATAGAAGAATCATTCTTATTGAAGGGGATGGAGCTGCTCAAATGACTATTCAAGAATTATCCACGTTTGTCAAATATCATGAGTACATTAAGAATTATCCAAAGATTTTCTTAATTAATAATGATGGATACACGATTGAAAGAATGATTAAAGGTCCAACTAGATCTTATAATGATATCAATGGACAATGGGATTGGTCTAATATCTTGAAAGTTTATGGAGATCCTCATGAAAAGTACCATAAAGGTTATAAACTTCATAATTTAAAAGAATTCAATCAATTCTTTAAAGGTCAACAAAATTATGGCACAAGATTTGATAATTCGAAATTGGAATTCTTTGAATTAACCATGGGTAAATTCGATGCTCCTGAAAGATTCAGAAGTTTATTCCTTAATAAGTAGATTATAAGAGTAGTTACATAGATTAGTTAGTGATGATTATGGTATTGAATATATTAGTTATAGTTATACAATTTTTGCAATTAATTGGCAGCCACTGGCTCATATATAATTTCCTGTATATAATATTCAGGTCATAAATTTTTCTGAATCAAAAACAAAAATGGAAAGAGTTCTGTTAACAGCCATCTACTTCAAAGGAACCAAGACATCATCGATAATGGTAAGTATCATCATCCATCTATCAATTCAACTGATCAATTACTAACCCAAACAACATCTAGAGTGCTTTATTCAACTTTCAATCATTATTACAAGTCATTTTATTATTGATTTGTACCTGTACTTATGTTCATGCCACCGCACCTGCTATATTAGATAATAGAAAATCAGGAATATTAAGTGTATTCTGGAAATGTGCTAGAGTTGGGGAAAGAATGAGTCCATATGTTGCTATTGGATGTTTCATAATGGCCTTCAGAACTTTAAGTACTTGATTGTATCCGTAAAGACCACCATGAATCATCGGTATACGCAAACACATACACATACATCATATTTGGGAAACAGGGTTTTGAATTCATATACATGTATATATGACTGTACATTAGAAATTATTAATATATACTTATACATCTAACTTATCTAAATTCATACATTTCATTAGGAGAGTTTGCTAACACTGGAGCTCTATCATTACCAATAACTCTTTCTAATAATTGACCATCCCATTTAGAAAACATAGTCTTAACAAACACTAAATTCAAATCACACACTTCTTTGAAGATAGACTTGGCTAAGAATTTAACTAATTCTTTATAAAATACAGGATTGGAAGGTAATTGATAAATTAAAATCGTTTTAACTCCATTCAATTCATATCTTCTAAAATAATGTAATCTTTCAGTATATAATAAAATCTTTATTTTACCCGATTGGAAATTTTGTCTTATCTTAGTTAATTTAGATTGAGCAGTATATTCATCAATACCATCAAATAAGAACTTTGTATTTGATTTCATATGATTTTTAATTCGAATATAATCGAAATATGAAGGGATATAAATCAAAATCCCATCAGAATATGATGATGATTTAATTAAGGATGGTAATACTGAATTTATAAAGAATTTAAATCTAGCATCAGGATCTTCCATAGGATTTGAACTTTCAAATCGCTGAAAAATTTGTTTGATTTTAATCCCAATCGAATTCATAATACAATTCTGTTGACTTATAATCGGTTTGAATTTTAATTTCCCACTCAAATTTAATGATTTTGTAGTAGTTAAATTATTAATATTGGGAGTTAAATATTCACTAAAGATAAGATTTTGTCTTAATAATTTACTTTGATCATTTATTGACCACATTCTAATTCTTGAAAAATCAGCATCATGAAAATCTTTAGGAATTTTATTTAAATATTTTAAAATGGTAGTGATATGATCCCAATTTTGCATTTCAATTTGATTAGCTTTATCGACAATTAAGACTTCAATAGATGATATGAAATCATATTGTCTTTTCTTTTTATCATCATTTTCTAAAATCATTGATAATCCAATGGGTGATGCTAATATTATATCAGATGAATAAAACGATGAATATAATTTAATGGTTTTTCTAGTGAATTTCAATCCCATACAAAAGAAATCATTATTATTTCCTTTGAAAGTATCAATAAAATCTGCAGGTTTAGATGATGGTGGTTGATCTTTGGAATGGAATTGTCCTGTAAATTTCTTTTTATTTTCTTGTTGTTCAGATCCGGAATATTTAATTAACATTTCAACTATTTCATGACATGCTTGTCTTGTAGGTAATAATATAAGAACTTTTGGTCTGGTAAACCCTTGATCTCTAAATTCAGGTTCTTCATTATCATCATTAGACTTTTCCCCATTCTTTATGGCTTCTCTATATGTATGTAATTTAGTGGTATTTTTAATAATTCTATCTCTGGTTTTAAAAATATGATTTAATGCATGTAAAGTGTATAATTTTCTATAAGATGTGTTTTTAAATGATTGATAAGGGAAATTAATATCTTTATAATTGATCATATTAGATAATAAAATCTCATCTAAATCAGAAAGATTTTCTTTGTAATCAAATGCATCTATTAATCTCTTTTTGATGGATAATTCATTAATATCATTAAATGATTTCTTTTCATTAATTAAGGTGATAGGTTTTCCAGGTGGAATTTGTGTTATTGATGAATAATTATCATATTTATCCTTTCCATCTATTATCCATTTTTGTTTTTCTTTAATGATGATCTTTTCTTGGGATTCCATATATGATTCAGTTACTTGATTGAAATGAACTTCAAATGGATCACTTGCAAGACCTGATGTAACTTCTTCTTCATCATCAGAGTCTACTTCATCATCATCTTCCTCATCAACATCATTCTCATCTATATTGACTCCCACAATTTCATTTTCATCTTCATCTTCATCTTCATCTTCCAATTCATCATCATTAACATCATCAGTGATATCTTTGTCAAACTTTTTTGATTTCGATATTTTTGGTTCCTTATGATCTGATTTTAATAAGGTTAAAAGAGCATCATAAGCCTTTCCACGATCTTCATCAAAATCTTCATCATTACCAGCTTCTTCTTCACTCTCTTCTTCTTCTTCTACTTCTTTCCCTTCTTCATTTTCATTCTGTTCATTATCTTCATTATAACCATAACCTCTTCTCGCAGTTCTAGTTACATTTCTTACTTCATTTCTACCATGTTTTAATTTTGGTCTTTTATGTTCAGAATCATCATTGTTAGAATGGTTAGATGAAGAAGAGGTATGATGAGATTTGGAATGACTCTTCCTTTTCACTTGTCTTGCCATACTCTATAATTTAATTGATATTCAACTATTATTTGCAACAACGAGAGATGCTCTTCTTAAATCACAGATTTTTTTCATATTTAGTTTAAAGAAGAAGAAGAAGAAGTTCTTATGTATGTGACTGCATATAACTTAAGAAGGTCGTGTAGAATTGTTAGTAAAAAATATGTTTATTGTTGCGGTATGGATCTGTTTCCTAATTGGGATAAATTGACAGTCAATTTCTGTTTTTAGCTGCATTTTATCAATTTGGTTTTAGAAGAAGGTATTGATAGGGTTAGTTGATATGACTATCTTGATCAATCAATCAATCAGATTGATTGATGAAATCTGTGTAGCCTCATACAACTTCATGCCTTTTTAAACTACTAAAATTGATATTATATACCCCAAAATATGAATCACCACAGCATAAGTTTTGGTCGTCTGACCTAAAACAGATTTGGTTGTAAATGGCAACAGCAGACCAATTGAATCTAATTAGTATTACACACTTTTTGTCAACCCCACATCTAACCAACCAATCAATCAATCAATCAATCAACATGTTTGTTTGATCTGGTGATACTTTGATTGATTGACCTGCTTCATCCAATCATATCAAACACAACTACTTAACAAGAAGAAGAAGAAGTTAAAAATTGTGGTGGTAAAAAAAAAGTGCTGTAAAAAAAAAGTTAAATTAAAAAAAAAAAATTATTTTGGAATTCTCACTTTAAAAAAAAAAGGGGAATTTTTTTTGTAAAGATGTAAACTATCACCAAACACCAATCCAATCCAATCCAATCCAGCCCATTCCTCCACCAATCGTCTATCAATTCATTTCCATCCATCCTGTCCCTCAGCGTGTTTTCTAGTAAGGTGTCTTTTATATGTACAAGGTCTACTGATATCAACTATCTGTAAACTCCAATCCCCCTCCCTCATCATTGTACTGGTTTATTTTATTATAACCTCCTTTTTCTGTTTGTTTAAAAAGATTTAAAGGAAAGAGTGTTTGTGATAAGAATTATCTAGAACATCCCCAGCAAATCACCTACAACATCAATAGCTTCACTACCAGAATCATCATTCACCGTAAAATCAAAGTTAGAAATTCACCTGGATCATATTCATAGGACTTTTCCTATAGTTATACCTCATCAATTCCTTTGTTTTCAACAACGTATATATATAATAACCATCATAGCTTTGCTTTTTAATAGAACTTATATTTCAACCTATTTATTCTAATCCTATTCCGGCGTGTTTTCTCCCCATTCAATTCTTGTCCCCAAAGTTTTCGTGATTCATTATATACAATTTTTTACCCTGATATCCCATATATTTATTCCTTCATAAAGTATAGAATTTCATAATATCCATCATACCTTATCATATCATATCATATCATCACAATGTCAATAGAGAGAAGAATAATACAGTTCATAAGAGCCCTCCTATCTACCCTATATCTTGTCCTAATGATTTTAACCATTCCATTGGCTTTCGATATAGGGGGAGTAAAATGTGGTTTAGCATATTCTTTAACTACATTCTTAGTATATTTTGTTTTAACAACAATACGATTAACTACCAGAAAATCAAAATATTTGAGATGGGTATCAATCTTATATTATTTACAACATTTCTTTATCCCAAGTTTATTAACTTTCTTTTTATCATATTATAGTACTCCTCATGATCCAATTATGAATTATATTAATCCAGTTGAAATTTGGAGATTAATCTTAATCAATTCAACTCCAGTATTCACCATATTAGAAGGGTTTTGTTCATTATTATTAATTCAAGCCATTGGTCAAACTATAAATTGGTTAACCGTTTATAAATCAGATTCTTGGTTAATTGTTTCATTGGTTGGTAGTGGATCTATTATTACAGCCGCATTATATTTCTTATACAGAATTTATGTGTTCCCATTCACTATTGATATTATAAGTGCATCTTTATTAGGATCATTATTAACTTTAACCCTTGGGTTAGGATTATTTGGAATTGTATCTTCAAAAGGCTCCATCATTGAAAGTTCATTAATGTTTGCTTATATTGTTAGATGTATTTATGAAATTTTCCCAATCTTATCAGAAGGAGCAACAGCCACATTAACTTCATTATTAACTCATGCAACAAATAATTTAAAAAATGAAATTCCAAAATTACCTCCTCAAATTTTAAATCCTATAAGTCAATTATTACCATTCTTAGCATCAAATTTACCAATTTCTATCAAGACCATTTGGGAATTTTTAATTATGGCTATTCAAAGATTAACTTTACCATTATTATTAAATTTAGCTTATAGAATTGGAGTATTTTATGCTGCTACAAAGATTATCCCTTCATTATATAATAATGTATCATATCCTACCACTCCACCACCATCAAGAACTCCACCTCAATTAACCACATCTCGTTCGGCTTCACATACATCAGTATCATCAATACCGTCGAATGATAAATCCAATAATAATACCGATCATATTTCATCTGGTGATATTGGATCAAATGATTCATCCGATAAGAACATCACTCCATCATCATCATCTATATCATCTCAAAGCCTTTTACGAAAGAAATCTTTCCGTCTTAAACCTCCTCATCATCAACCACCTTCAGTAATCATTAAATTAATCTATGCATATTCCCCATGTATTATAATCGCAGTATACACACATTTAATGTTATCATATAATGGAGAATTAGGAACTGAATTAAAATTATGGGGATTTTTCGATAATGCATCCACCTCATTTAAAATTACAGTTCATCCTTGGCAGTTTTGGCATTGGATTAATATGGCTACTACTTTATTATTATATGCTGCTGAATTAATGAGTAATGATAGTCAATCGGGTGCTGCTACTTTAACTTCACATTGGAAAGTTGAATAATAATTTAAGTGTAAATCTAGTAATACTATTATAAATTAATAGGTTTTTTTAATAATAATAAATGTATCATTATTTATATATATATATATATATATTTTAATTCCAATTTCCTCTTATGAATCCTCCTCATTTTCAGGATCAAGTGTAGCTAAATGTTCATAATTAGCTAATTTAAATCCAAATTTACGGACGATAGATAACTCATATAATTTTTCATCGAGTTTAAATTTCCAAGTTTGATTAAAATGCATGAAATTAAACAGTTTAAACCATTCAATATAATCAATCCACATATTTGAATCATTAAACAATTGAAATCGAATCATAAGACATAAATGACTGAAAATATTCATTAATCTTAATGCCATAAGATTCTGTTTATAAATTAATTGATGAAAGAATGGATTGGCCGTGATTAATATCCATCGGAATATAGGTTTAGGAAAGTTGATAAATATACATTTTTTAACTGCTTTATTTAACATTTTTAACGTTTGGGATATAGTCATATATTCTAATGGTTTTAAATCATGATCAGTATGAAATGATTGATCTAGATCACGTTTGAAACTTGCTATGATCGGAACATCGTAATCATGTTGACATGGTGGAGTTGGAGGTTGTTGAAGTTCAGTATCGGCATCATTAAAGATTACAGTAAGGATTTTACAATCATTTTCAATTAAAGTTGGTAAACAATAGATTACGGTTGATTTAATCCCATTACAAATGGATAAGAAATCATTATGACCTCTACTGTGATTACCATTGAAATCTACCAATGGCATTAAATTATGAGGATGAATGGCTAAAAATGTAAATATCAAAATGTTTGAAATGACTAATTCTTTAGCTAGGTTAGGAGGATCAATAAATATGTTATCATGATTTAAACTAGCTAATTGTTGATTGGTTTGATTAATGGCTTGATTAAAATAACCACATGTCTTATTGAATAATTGATGGTTATGAAGAAGATTAGTGTCATATTTCGCTGGTCTTCCAAATCGTTTGAATGGTGAAGCATGATGAATTCGATTTGGATCAGTTCCTTCTTCTTGGATTATGGAAAATAAATTTAATGATGAAAATGAACAAATACTATTTCGAACTATTTCACTTTGAAAGAACATTTGGGGTATTAAACCTGACCAATTTTCAGTTTTAGTGGCTGAATTTCCATAAACATTTCCAAATCCATTTACATTGGCATTATCTCTATGTGATTTCAATCCAAATGTAAATAAGAATAAACAATTCTTCCTAAAAAAATCTAATAATTCCATTTCATAACTTTTAACATTTAAATAATTTATGCTATTAATCAATCGATTGTTAATAGTGATCCCAATAGTGGGAGGTGCCCACAACTTCACCAATCTTGATTCTTCTTCATCGTAATCTTTATCGTTGAATGCCTTAATGGGAGTATTATCATTGATTGGAGTCAACACCGGTGAAGGAGAAATTGGTGATGAAACATAACTACATTGACGATTTGTATCAAGACAATATTCACAACTTGGTTTCTTTTCATCACATTTGATTTTCAATCGTTTACAACTTAAACAACCATTCTTTGATCTTCTTCGACTGCGAGTAGCTTTATTCTTCTTATTCTTATTGACCCCGCTAACTTTAGTTAGACTGGTGATTCTTGTTATAGTTTTGACTGCCATTTTTAATAAAACCTCCAACCAACAGTAAATAAAAAGCAAAAAATGAACGAAAATGTCGCTAATGAACGTACTAGTAACAATGTGTTAAAATATGCTAAGGCTAATAATCCGACTATTCAACCACTATTTACACATTCTGGTCTCATCTCATAAAATATTCGTCTAGAGTTCATAGAATATATATATGCTGATAGGAAGTATGGAGAAAGATATTTACGACACAGCCATTTTTGCTAAATAATTGTTAAAAAAGAGCGCTTATATAAGCGCATAAAAGTTCTGCTTAATTAATGCGGTATGGATGTTTGGTACGAAACTACTATAAACAGATTAAATGAATGATTTAATGATATAAATAATACTATTTTCAATATTATTATTGATCATTCAAGATTTCACAACGATAACAATTTCAAATTCACACGTTAATAGAGATTACCTTATTTAATATTTTATCAGAAATATTTGCAGATCTAATCCTTATAATTGACTTTGTCAAATTACACTCAGAGCTTGACTCTATGTTGCTTGATTGTTTCATCATTAAAATAAAAGGTCTCCTGTGAATTATCATTGATATATTTGAATCCTGATTGATACAATAAATAAGTGGAGAAAATAATATCAAACCTCTCCTGAAGTTGATATATCAATCATCATATCATCAAAGTTTAGAAAAAAACTGAAGCTTGGCATATTTGACTATGCGGTAATATCTTAATCTAAACCAATCAAACCAATCAATCAACTTAGACCAAATAAAACAAGCTTTTGAAAGAGAGTTGTATGGGGTGACGTCCATGAATCAAAAATAAGCTCCATTGGGTTAATCAATGCTGTAAAACATTGATCATTTGTTATGACTATCGTTTAGGAATATAATATTCCCATTGCCGAAAACATTGTCAAAATAAATCGACATACACCAATCATGGAATAAATACCAAATTGGGCCTTGTATGAAATCAAATAAATGACCTGAATTAAATCAATACTTTCAGTTAAAATTTAATGAAAGCTAAATTGATAAAACTCAAATGAATGGATGAGATTCATTACGTTTCCGCATAGATGGCAGGAGACTTTCCCCAAAGCATTTTCTGAATTGAATGACAAGCATTCCTTTTGTAAGCTTCGATAACAAATCTTTGACCATGAACGTAAAGAAGAGAAGAAGAAGGAAGAAGTAGTATGTTTAAACTTATAAATGAAAATTTTTTGTTGGTGACGATGAATTGAGAAAAACTAAAAAATCTGGTGGTCGTGTGCTGGCTACAAAAATCATCATTGCAAATTTTATAATTAGGGTTATTTATTTATTATTATTTGTATTCTCTATTTACACATTATTTTAACTATCGTAAGATCCATTCAATCCAAGATTCAGGTATCAATCCCGATATAATATCGTACGATCTAGCTCCTGTTCCACAATACACTATCGATGGATTCCTACGATTAGGTGGGGTATATATCAAATCAAATAATATATGATATAATTCTCGAAGACTAGTCCCTTTACCACCTCCACTTGATTTTATAGGGTTTGATTTATATTGAGATTTGGAGAAATTATCGGCATATAACGATTTGATATCTTCATTCCAATTTTTAATTTCTGAATTGATTAATGCTGTAGTTCTCTGGGATGTATTTGATCTTTGATTTGATATATTTAAATTCCCTAATTTAACTTGAGTTACAGATAAATTATGTTGAGATACTTCTCGAGTTAAGATCGTGAATAGACTTTTCAATTGAGTTTGGAAAAGTGTTTCTGGTGAATGATAAGGAATCGATAATGAACTTATGATATTAGGATAAATTAAAATAATCTTACTCAGTTGTAATCTTGCTAAATTTATTAATCCGGATGAAAACAATTTTAAATAGATAAACATCTTATCTTGTAATTTTGACCAAGTTGAAATCATAACATTCTCAATAGGACCAATGGGGAAATATAGTTGAGGAGAGAATACAATGGCTTTTAATGTTAAATTATGAGATTCAGCTCCTGGGAACGGTATAACTGCCAATTCTAATAATTGTTGGAATTTAATCAATTGACTTTCAAAACTAACTGATTCATTCAAATTTAAATAATTAATATCATCAGTGATAGGATTTGATTCAACGTATTTAAAATCTTTCTCATCAAGGATAGTTAAATATACGATAAATCCTCTCTTTTCAAAATCCAACGCAATCAATCTCGTTAATGGTTCAGTAGGTGATCCAATAATCAACACCACATCCCCTCTTGCTCCATTCGATAACTTTGGAACCCTCCTCTTTAATTTATTATTGTTGTTATTGGCATTCTCTATCAATAACACTGGTTTATAAACTTGCTGATAAAACACATACGTCCCCACTCCAAGTCCCACAGTAAGGATAGATATATACTTCCATTTATGTTCGACAAAACTCTGAGCAAACTTCTCTTTGATAGGACTTGTGATTTTCCGATTATGATTGGTATTTTGATGAATGGTAATGGTAAGATCATGATTAAACGGATTATACAGCGTTATTTGATCGTACAAATCTGAAATTGAGACGTTTCCATGTTGAGTATTTATGAAGTCATTAGTTTTGTTATATAGATATGACAACGTTTCAATAGTTGCTTGTACTGGTTCAGCTACCATTGAATCGTTTGGTTGTAGATGTGTATTGGTTGTAAAGATAGGATAAAGAAGGATCACAATTTTTATTTTTTGTTTTTGTTTGGGGTGAGAGTTTTTTTTTAGTTAGTGTGTTGATTTTGTGGCATGTAAGAATTATATAGTTGCAAATATTGCCACCATCGCCACTACTAACTATGAGTTATAGATATGAGTTATTACGTATTAAATTGAAAGTACAGATAACATATATTTTAATAATTAAACAAAATTGATACAAACAGAAAAAGAAAGGAAGAGAGAACAGTAAAGGAAAGGAAAGGAGGAACTTTTATAGAGTCTAAACATTAATATTATGTTTTGTAACAGCTCTTAATTCATCATCACTAATATTATTCAAATAATGATCGATATTACTAGTTTGTTCTTCGTGAGTTACACTTGACTCTTGAGAACCTGGAGTATTGATAGTTTGATGTTGATTACTGAAACTGATTTCATCGTCATCATTTTCATTTAAAATTTCAGCTAATTCTGGTGGTAATTGATTTCTAAATGCAGTAGTATGGGAATTTGGAGTCATACCAACTTGAGTTTCAGATGAACCATTAGATGAACCAGAATGATATTTGGATAATTTCTCTGGGAACATGGAATAAACCGTACTTCCGATCATAGTATCATTATCATTATCGGAAGAAGAACTTGAACCATTAGTTGAGAATCTAGCTAAGAAACTTAATGAATCCTTAGGTAATTGTAATGGTAAATTTGATTTATTATTAGCTGAACTGGCCCATAATGAAGTAACAGGTAATGATAAAACCACTAATAATAATCCAATTAATAATAATAATGAACTTGAACTTTCACCTAAACCATAATGAACAAAGACTAAAATAGTTGGAATAATTAAAGTTTGCGATGACATGATTAATAATACATGGAAGGAATCAAATTGTTTTAAACCTAAGTATCTTCTTGTTTTAATAGCCATGACTAATTTAAATACTAAGATTAATGAAGTGACATTTATAACAGTATAAAATAAAATTCGAGGTAAATCATTAACAAGCATACCATTAATAACCGTTTCCAGAGTGATTGAATCAGTAAAGATTTGATGATACATTTGATTATTTCTAATGGTTGAATTCATATATAATCCGATAGTAGCTAAACTTAAACCAGCAGAAATAGCAATGGAGATAAATTTCATGATTTTAACTTCAGGAGATTTGAAAATAATATAAATTTGATAATTAATTGATAATAAAATAAACACCACTAAAATAACTTCAGAAGAATTAGCCACGGTTGAAATTGTATAAGAAGAAGTTTCAGGATTTAATAAACCAGTGAATGAAAAACTAGGTGAATTCAAAGGACTTAAAATAAAGGCGATATTCAATCCAGCTCTAATAATCATCCAAATCAAAGACATTAAATTCATATAAAACATAGGATTATTCTTATGTTTATTAGGAAAGATTAATAATGTAATGATAAGGACCACACATGCACCAATAGAAACACCATGAACGATGGTTTGTTGTAAAATACGATGGAAATAAGCATCAACCAATCCAAATGGTAATTCAAATACTTGTTGACTTGGATCTTGAGGTAATGTGAAATTTAAAAATATTGATTGAGAATCAACATTAGGACTAACAAAGATATTCATAATGAGTGAGTGAATTGTTGTTTGATTGATTAGAGAAGAAGAGAGTTGTTCATTTTTAATTTTACAAAAGGTTGACAATTATAGGTTTATATAGAGTAAATACATTCTAGTTAAATTGGATGTGAAAAAATTGTTTCATAGTTAAGATCAAGTTTTGCAATTTGATTAAATATTTCCTAATTAGGTTGCGACAATGGTAAATTTCGTCACTGGGGGAGTGCACATAAGATAAAAATAAGGGTAAATGAATGATGATGAAAGATTTGTAAAAGGATAATGAATATAGTTTTAATGCGACATCATTAGAGGGTTAGAAGATGAGATTTGACGTAAGAATAAGATTTGTAGATTTGAAGATTTGTAGAAATTATCAAGTTAAGTTAGTTGAGAGATAGTAATTAGAAGTAGACCAAAAAGGATTTATTCAATTACGATGAAGGAGGGGTGGGATTTATATTGAGTTGAAAATATGTGGAGGAACTTGACAGGAAATAAAGTGAGAAAAGTGGAGGGAGGGAGAGAGTGTCTTGGTAAAAATAGAATTAATTTTCATTCCACACGACCTTTTTCAAAATGAGTTATTTTGTGGTGGTTGCAATAGTAACAGTAACACTAAATTAAAGATACAGATATTGGGTAACAAAGTGAAAATGTCACCACCACCGGAGGGGATGGAAAGATTGAAAAATACAATTACAAAAGGTTTGTGTATCTGTAGATGAATGATATTTTTAAATCATTATTGGTCAAAACATGGGGAATGAAAAGACACATTCATTATTTGATTTGTAATGAGGAGAGATGGGGATAGAGGGGGGTAAGGGCAGATATTGATTATGAGTTTAGTTCGAATATATAAAATATATCATTCAAAACAAAGGATATGAAAGAAGGGAAGGGAGGAATGAAAATAAGATAATAAAAATTGCTTTTTAAAATAAGAGTGTGAATTATTTTCTTGGTACTGCGATATGATCAAATGTGTGGATAGAGTGAAGAGAGGAGGCAGATGAGGAGGAGGAGGACGAGGAGGAGTCAAAATTTGATTGAGGGACAATTCATTCATTCATTCAAAATTTTCAGAACAATGGAACTTGATCAATAAAACAATCTAAGTCGGTGTGTCACTATGTCCCCTTTATTTCTTTTTTTTTTTTATAATGGTTCGTTGAACATTACAACCATAATAATAGAATGGTTTTTTGTTATACCGTTGCTCATCTTATGATTTAAATTATTAACCCAGTAAATGGGGTGTACCACCCCTACTCATCATCATCCTTATTAGTTACTCCTACTACTATTACTATCCTGGGATGGTTATAATCATGTCATATTATATAAGCTTTCTTTTCCATAGTAATAGTAGTTGATAAGCTTGTCAATCCGTAAAAATAAACAAAAAAACCATTCAATTTTATTAGAAAAAAACTCTAAAATAATTAATCTTTCTTATCAAAAAAAATTAAATTAATAAGAGAGGTGTGGATTTTATTGGTGGAGGGCTAAACCTGTAAAAAAAAATATAGATCACATAATAAAAAAAAGCAATTTTAAAAAATAAATTACTTAAACCAGTAACAAACAGTATCAGTTACAGTAAAAGTTATAAATAATAATAATTATTATATTGTTAATTTACCGATCGGTCAATCAAAGTTAGTTAGTGTGTAAATAAATCAATCAATCAATGTTTAAAATTGTAACACCACAACTATTCGTATAAATCATTATTTAGTAGATCATCATCTATGATTGATGTATTATGATGTGATAATTTATGTAATGTTTCTAATAGTACGACCTTGCTATAATTAAGTTAATTGAATGATGATTATCCAACCAACCGATTTGAAGATCAAACGACTGAATGATTGAATGAATGAATTAACCCTGAACGCTAATTAATTAATGGGTCTAATCTAAAGTCGGTAAAAGTTGTAACGAAACGAATGCAATCAACGCAATTTGAAACAGTTTAATGTATGTCGTGCGCAAGGGCTAGAAAATAATCCTATTCATTATCTAATTTTTAAGGATGGTTAAGTCTTTTAACTATGGGAAGTTAAACGTGTGGTCGCGCGAGAGTGGTATAAAAGTTACCCACAATCAAATATTTTTTAAAGTTTTGTGTGAATGGTGCATTGTCTATTTTATTTTTAACCTCTCTTAAACAAATAATTCACCTCTGTCACACACATAAATAAATAAAACGGTTTTTTTTTATTTGTTTGTTACTGATTATGAGGGGAGGAGGGGATCCACAGCTTTTTTTCACTATACAATTCATACATTGTCATTATAAAAAATTTGATATATATATAATAAAAGTGGAGGTACATTTTTTAATTTCAATTTTTATATAACTAGTTATTTTTATCAGAATATCAACTTTTAAATGGACTAGAATATTATCTTACTATATCATCATATAATAAAACATATACATAACATATAGATATGACATTATCACCTACTAATACTACTACAGGTCGTGGTAGTGGTAGTGTTACTAATGTCAATATCAAAGATAATGGTATACCCACTAGTCATTTCTTTAATTATAGTTTAGAAAATACATCGACATCATCAGACCAAATCAAATCATTTCATCCTCATCATAAACATACCCATAGTCATAGTCATACTCGAGTCATAATCATTCCAACTCTCGATGATCTTATTCTGGGTGATCGTAATGAAGATGAAAATAATGGTGATGATTATTATAGTGAAGGTGAATTTATCAAATATCTTGAATCGATTCATTGTATTGAGAATTATCAATTTATAATCGATATCAATAAACTCATTGAACAATATCATGAGATGAAATTATTGGAATGGCAGGTTTTCTTTAATCAATTTTTAAATATGAATAGTATTCAAGAGATTAATATTGGATGTAATTTAAAATCGAAATTTAATTATTTTGAAATTCCAACTTTACATTTACTTGTACATATTAAAAAGATAATTATGGATGAAATTTTGATTAATTTATTTAATGAATTTATAAAATTTAAGAATTATCATATTAAATTGATTAATAAGAATGGTGGTGATGAACATGATCAATTAATTATTTATAGAAGAAAATCAGAATTAGTCTCACCAATCGATAAAACTAGTCATATTCCATATCCTGATGAACCAATCTTGGGACAACTTGATGAAGAAGAAAGCTTATCAAATCAAATTGATAATAAATTATTTATTTCAAAATCAACCATTAAACAAATTGAATTAAATGATATTGATGATAATTCGTCATCAAACTCATCCAATGATTCATCATTAGATAATGATAGTTATTTAATATCAAGTCGCAATAATTCATCAGCATCAACCACTACCACCGTATCAAACTCTGGTGTTCCAGGATCAAGAGGTTCATCGATTGGATCTATAATTGATTCAATTGAGAAATTTAAAAAGGTTAAAAAACAATTTAAATTTAGAAGATTTAGTAATGAAGAGTAGATGATATTTCTACCATAATGTTTCAATTCATTTGTATTATTACAACAATTACAGTTACTAGTACTACTACTAGTTCATTTTATTTATTAAGGGGTTCAGGTTAAACATTTATTTTATTATTCATATAACGGTTTTTTTATGATTATAATAGTTTATACTTTATAGATTAATACATTTACAATTATACACAGTAAGTTCATTTTAGATATGTAGGAGATGTGATTATTTGATGATGATAATTTTAGGTTAAACAGAGAAGAGGAGGGGGATGAAAATGTGGAGATGAAAAATAGTTTTGATTGATTGATGGAGATGTTTGAATAGAGGGGATGGATGGGATAAGTGGGGGAAGTTGATGAAAGTTGTTTTGAAGTTGAATGGTTAAAGTTTTAAGGAGGGGGGGGAGGCATGGTTGGTTGTCGTCCAAATTGATTGGTAGTAGTGGCTCATTAAAAAAAGGATGATGGTTTTTAATTCAGTCGTTTCTTTTTTTCAGATTAACGTCTTTTCCCCTCCCACTCCCTTTAATCTCATAGTTAACTCCTAGTTAACTTAGTACTGCTCTGCCTCCAAGGACAATGAAGATAACTCCTCATTTTTTAAACCGTTTATTTATTACTTAAAAAAGTTAATAGTTTAAAACGGTATAGTTTATAATTAGTAATGATCACTAGTTATCATATGTAATTACGGTTTCATAGTTAATTAATTAATTACGTTAACTATGTGTGAGGGGTGGAATAAACGGAGAGTTGTTATCTTTTAGTAAATTTATTACTATACACTACTCCTTTTGTGATCCTAATGGGAAGATCTTTTATCATTCGCATTTATAAAAAAACGTTCTCACCCTCTCGCCCCGCCGTAAATTAGTATTTTTGGTGTTTTATATGCAGGTAAGATGGGTGTACCCCAATTAAAAATTACTGATAACATAACATAACCCATACGTAAAACGTTATATATCTAAATCTCAAAGTTTAACCTTTACGTAAAGTTTGTTTATTTAGTTGTTTGTAGTCGTTTGTTTTTTCTTTCGTTTGAATGTTTATTTACTTGGATGTTTGTTTACTTGGATGTTTTGTTTATTTACTTATTATCCCTATTTATCATTACTATATATTAAAATTTTTTGGTTGCGAAATTTTAATAGTTTTGTGTAATTATACCCATTTATTGACCATAGCTTTTACTTGAATTGTTTCATTTAGAGATCTATAGATCTTAGAGATTCGATAGAACATACCTTTGAAGTCACTCTTTTCTAGTAAAATAAAGATTTGTATCACTGTACTTACCTTAGTTTCATTATCATTGGAGTTACCCTTTTTTTCGCACATCTTTAAAATTACCTATTTTATTACCTATCAAATAAGCATAACATGAATATTTAATCTGGGGTAAAATTTAAAAATATATAGGAAAAACAATCAATCAACTTGTTCATTTCAATTTTTTTTTATCTACTTCTTTTCTCCATCAACTAATCATACCATCATGTCTACATCTATACCAAAAAATATTCAAGAATTATTAGATAGAATCGAATCAAATCAAAAACATATTGATGATTTACAAAAAATGTTAGAATCAGAATGTAAAGCCAATAATGAAAATGATATTTTAATTCAACAATTGGAATTAACCATTGAATCAATTAAATCTAAAGTTGAAACTTTATCAAATAATAGTAAAGTTCATAATCAACAAATTAAATTTATCAAATCTCAACAAAATAAAACAACATCAACATCTTCATCTTCATTCATTACAAGTTCAACAATTCCAAGGCCAGTTAGAGTCCCACCTTTATCCGAATCTATTTCGTTCTTACCTCCTTATACTCCACCTCAACCAGAATCTTAATCAAGGTAGTTTTCATTCTACACTTTAATCTTCTTCAAGTGGAAATAATTACATTTGAAGTGCTTTAAGAAGTTATCTCTGCAGAAAATATCTTAATACCCATAGTGAGTTTAATATGAATCTTTACTACAATGGTATTGAAAGGGCTAATTATTGTACGAATTGGTGGTTGCTATGCTTTTGTTGATTTTGTGAGTAATTGCTTATTTTTCGGTTTGTGGCGCTATTAGTATAACATATAATTAAATAGTATATACACTGTTAAAAGGGTCGCTAATCATACATAAAATTAAATAATATAAATAAACCTTTAAAATATATAAATTTCTAAAGTTTATATTCTATAGATTTTAAAACTCTTCACAATATCGAAGCACGTTATAAATCAAATAAAATATGGACAAAACTACCATAATTAGAGATTCTACTCCAGAAGAATTAAGAAAAATCATAACTTTACAAGATCAACAAATCAAAAATCTTGAACAATGTGAAATAGATCAACATTGTAGAAGTCGTCTTCAATTTTGTTTGTCAGACGTCTGTTGTTTCTAAGAGTTTCAACGTTTTATTATGCAAGTTATATTTTACATAAATTCTAGGCAAAATAAGCTTAACATATAAATTTATCTCTATATTATTTAAATGTAAATAAAATATCAATATTTCAACCATTTATCTTTCAATGTCAATAAACTTCATTCAACATGAGTAGTTAAAATATTCCAGAAGTCACAATTTCTTGGTCTACATGCTCACACCAACAGCGACTTGAACTTCTTCAATGCTCTGTAAAAAGATCTATTAAAGTTTAATCTTATCTTACAAGAAAACTACAAAACATTAATCCTGGACTCTTAAAAATTCAAAATGATTTAAATATTTTAACCACCATCTTCTAAACATCTTACCAAATTATTATATTAAGGTCAACCTCCTCCAATCCAAAATTTGATTAATAAAAGAGGTGGTCATAATTTATAATCAGCAATATATTCACTTCATGATAAATTGATAAATCAATGTCACTACATCAATAAATCATCCAAAAACTTATGAAATAATAATCTTAGTTTAATAATTCCCGTTATTACCATTGCCATTCCCAATATGGTTGCAGATCTGGAGAAGTTACTATATTTGTTTTCTATTGTTATATGCAGTTATTTAATTATTCTTTCCTCCTAGATGAATCTATATAGTTGTTGTATTCTTTTATATACAAATATGCTTCTAACATGAAATGAGCATAACATAAAATAAACTACTGTATGTTAATCCACTTATGAATCTTAAAACTTTTAATTGTTGAATATTAAACTTTTCATCAAATCATTATAATTCAGATTAAATATGACGTCCACAACTATAACTACAACTTCTATTCCAAATGAAGAACAATTAAAAAAGATCTTAGAATCACAACATCAAAAACTTGAAACTCTTCAAAAATCATTAGAGTCTCAAAAACGTATCGTTAGAATTCAGCTGAGTGCATATTCAAGTTTAAAAGATTCCCTTGATTTTATCAAACTGGAGCTTTCTCATATTAAAACGCATAATAAATATGGTTTTACTATTAATAAATTAATATGGAGCAGTAAGCCTCCACCAGAATATACAGAACATCATCTGCCATCTATTCATTTGCTATTCAATATCAAAAAGAATTCATCCAAGAAGGCTGCAAGAAAAATTCGAGGTACTATAAAGTGCAAAAGTGAATCCATGGAAAGAATTCGACTTGAAATGTTCGACGAGCTTTTTCAGTGGCATATAAAATCACCGGATCGTCAAAAAGTTGAATTCATGGATAAAACACTTGCAGAAATTGAAAATGATTTAAATATTTTAACTAAAACTGATTCAAAATATTCTGAAAAGCTTTCAAGATTAATAAATCAAGGTCAACCTCCTCCAAAATATTTTTTGGTTGCAGGAGGAAAACATAATGTTTTAGTTCTGAGATAGAACAAACGTAGATTGTGATCAATAATTGGGTAGGAATGACTTTATATTCTAATAAAGTAGAGTAAAATATACAAGAGGATTTCAGAGTTAATATATAGTAAATTAGAGAAAGGGACATATCCTGAACTGACAAGTCGGATGCAGATTATAGCAGGAATAAGGATCATTATAAGATACCTTATAACACATAAATTAAAATCAGCTATTTTAACTGCATAATAATCTGTTTGCTGTTTCAATAGTGAGTCGTTTGGATGCAAAACTTAAGCCAAATGTAATGTTAAGATAGACTAATAAACACTATATTGATTACTTCTTGATATTGTATATAATTAAAATTAATTTCACTCCTGTTATGTGCAATTTGTGTTTTATTATATTTTCTTCGTTTGATAGATCTCAATAGCTGCCATATTCTGCATTTATCACCAAATTAGCATAACAGATTAAATAGTAGGTGTACGTCACCGAAATGTATGTTAATTTAAAATATTTATAAAGTTTAAAACTTTTAATTGTTGAATATTAAACTTTTCATCAAAGTGATTAAATATGACGACCACAACTATAACTACAACTTCTATTCCAAATGAAGAAGAATTAAAAAAGATCATAGAATCACAACTCCAAAATATTGAAAATCTAGAACAATTGTTAGACGAGCAAGATTGTATCGATAACTTTCAACTGAATGAATATTCAAGTTTACAAGCTTCTCTTGATACTATTATGATGTATATTACTGATTATGGATCCACTATTAATGAGCTAGAATTGGGCACTATACCTCCACCAGAATATATGGAACAATGTTTGCCATTCCAAAATTTAATAAGTAAGTTATCATTCATTGATCACCTTCATAGGAATTAATCGATTGTCTATAATTTTCTTTTCTTAACGGTGTGGAAATTTTATATTGTTTTTTGTATTTTGAAATCTTCAAATTTCCCTTATTGGATTTACTAGATCTTTAAAGTTTCCATTTCTTATATAAGCATAACATAACTATATTTCAATATAATATATAAACTATTTAAATATCCAATCATTTATTCGGTCATTCATTCATTTGTTCATTTGGTCATTTATTCGTTTGCCATTCAACTTCGAAAAGACCTAAAAAATATGGTTACTGAAAATACTCATAAGTGTCATAGTGTTATATTAGAAAACATTCGAATTGGAATGTTCGAGCCGAATTTGGGGTGGAGTTTTCATGAATTGGATTATGAAAAAGTAACCCGCATTGATAAAACACTAGCAGAAATTGAAAATAATTTAAATTTTTTGACTAAAACTGATTCAACTTATTCTGAAAAGCTTTCAAAATTAATAAATCAAGGTCAACTTCCTCCAAAGAGTAATTGGGTTGCTCGAAATGGATACAAATTAAAATCTGCTGTTTCAGCTACGATGTATTCACTTCATAATAAGCTGACTTCAAACTTACTGTTTCAAACAAATGGATTGGATCGTTTAGATGTACAACCTAAGTTGTAAAAATTAATGATAAGATAAAACAATCAACAAAATTCATGAAATCCTTTGTCAAATCTAAGATGATGCAAAGGACACACACGCATTTTGATTTAATTTTCTTGTCTTGAAAGTCCGTTTAGAATCCAGTATCAAAGACTAGTTAACATGAAAAATAATACCACTGAGTTGATTGAGATTATTTAAATTCAACAACAAAAACTTATTAAGATGAACAAACTTTACGGTGTCAAAATAAAGCAATTAAAGTATGATACAGTTAGTATACATGTAATAATATTCTAATCATATAAATTCTTTCTGCAGTTCTCTTTTCACCTAATTATTGGTCATGTGACTGTGCACGTTTTCGCGTTTTCAAAGCACACACTAAAAATAAGGCAAGGGCAAAATTATTTTAGGTCATTTAAATTTAGAGTTATAAATTTAGTTAATTTCAATCAAATCAACTACAAATCTTAATCAGTTGACATCAAAATACATCACATCATGCCATCAAAGGATCCATTAGACGATTATCCACCTACTTCGACAACAGCAGGAGCTCCTCCACCAGCTTATAACTCACCCTTGTTTGAAGAAGAAGAAGGAACAAGCAATCAACCAAGAACTTTTGGTGATAATATCCCTGATGATTTTAAATATTCTGTCAACGTTGCAAGTTGTGAATTACCCATACGTCAAATGTTCATTAGAAAAGTCTACGCATTATTAACAGCTCAAATAACACTTAGTTTAATTGTTGGTACAATCATTCATTATTCATCAGATGGATTTAAAGAATTTATGTTCAATCATTTGTGGATCTTTTATGTTAATTTATTTGCTACATTTGGTTTCCTTGGTGTCTGTTTCTTTAAGGCAAGATCATATCCTATTAATTTGGTATTGTTGGGATTATTCACTGTTTCTGAAGCTTTCTCCGTTGGTATTGCAACTTTATTCATTGATAGTAGTGTGTTATTAAACGCTATTTTATTAACACTTGTTATTTTTATTGGGTTGACAATTTTCACATTCCAAACCAAATATGATTTCACAAGTTGGGAAAGTTACGCTGGAATGTTTATCTGGATATTAATTAGTTGGAGTTTCCTATTAATGTTCTTTCCTGGATTTAATACAAGCTTCACTGAGAACATTTACGGCTTATTTGGTGCTATATTATTTTCGGTTTATATCATAATTGATACCCAAAAGATTATGACTGTTAATCATTTAGATGATGAGGTTATGAGTTGTATTCAATTATATTTAGATATCATCAATCTTTTCCTTTTTATTGTAAGATTATTGAATAATAATCGTAATGATTAGTTGGTGATTTTTTGATTTGTTATTTTTATATATAATAGTTATAAATAAATATATATATATTAGTTAGTTTATTAGCAAATTTATTAAATGTAATTCAATTTTTAACTCAGATATCTCGAAATTTTATATCACTTTTATTGTTATCAAAATCAAGGGTTTATAATAAAAAATAATCGCAAAAATATATTTTCTCCTATTTGGAAGGGGTTGACCCTTTTAGAACAAAATCTAGTAAGAGAGTATATTCTAAATTAGGAAAATTGACAGTTGATTACAATAGTTATAGACATTTAATTTGATAGTCTGTTGTAGTGTGAATATGTTTATATTGGAATTTGAATTTTTTTCATCATAAATATTAAATAATAAACTATAACATAAAAGTTTCATTTGTGTTTTACATTGGACCAAAGTGTTATATACTTTCTTCCCTTAAAAATGAACGCTAACACAACATAGTTTGTGTACATCAATATGAATATGTTGAATTAAAGGTTAAGATTATTTTCAGTCAATTTGATTCAGTACTTTCTCTAAGTTATAAGTTTGCAATTCCATTATTATAACATTCCTACAGCTGAAAATGATAAACTTAATTGAGGAACACCCCTAATAATCAATTGGAGGAGGTTGACCTTGATAGACTAATTTTGTAAGATTTTTGGAAAATGTTGAATCATTGCTAGTTAATAATTTTAAATCATTTGAATTTGGTAGTGTTGAATTACTGATTTGTATACTTCTTCTATTATTATCTGTACGTTTTATAAGTCCCTGTAAAGACAATTCAAGTAATTGAAATCGGAATTCCTGAAAGCTAGCACGATAACAAATCAGGAAGTCTGTAATCTTTCCAGTACTCATCTTGAATCAAGTGTTTATGATATTAAAAAAAAAGAATGAAAAGATAAATTAATTAAATTTAAGGTATTTAGCTTAAATTTGACTTACATCAAGATAAATTTACATGTTTTGCTTGTTTAGTCAAAAAACGAGTTTCTAACATACAAAAAATGAATTATGAAGAGTTAAAGGACATAGAAACTTGGTAAAACCGTACTAACTCACAGACAATCTGATATAAATAATTTTAAGTAATTCACCATTGAAGTTTTGTAATGCGAAATATCGTTATGTATAATCTGGTGGAGGTATACTTGATGACATTAACGTCTTGATTCTTCGTTCATAATCGATATTATTCAGCTTTAAATCAGTAATTTGCAGTTGAATAGGACTAAGAGAAAGTATCAAAATAAAGTATTTATGAGATTGGTTCTTATTTATTTTAGTTCGATCACATATAGACTGTTGAAGATTTTCAATTTGTTGGTTTTGTAACTCCATGATCTGTTTTAATTCTTCATCAGTTGGGATCGAATCTGTAGGTATGGTAGTTATTTGCATATTTAATATGTTTTATAATGTTTTACAAAGTTTTGGATGGGAAGCTGTTATAATTATAGAATAATTGTAGACTAGAAATTTATTAGAAAGTCCGATTGTCCCAATTCGGTCTTTTTGAATAAAGTTAGAGCAGAAAATAAAAAAAGTAAATGCTTTACTATCGGTACATCCCAGAATAGTATATAAATTATAAAGAGAAAAGCATTCTTTTAAACTCAAAACTCTCCTTGAGTAGTACAAGGCAGTTATTTTGTAAGATTTAATTAATAATTTATTAAAAGATATCTATTAAAACTATATAAAAAAAAAGCTATAAAAAACAATTAAGGAGGTTTCTTTCCCAACAAATAACTCTCAATAAAACGATAACAATTGGTTGTTGGCAACAGAATTATGGAGATGATGAGCAGTAATAAGTATTTGGAAATATCTTTCTTGGTTGGTAAAACCATTGACAATGACATGACTATGATTATAAAACTATAACTGTAAGTATTGATATTACGAACCTTGATACCAATTATATTAGCTTTATCCATAAATAAAAAGATTATATTCAAAATGAACAAGGTGAGTAGAAGCATATGTATGATGAGCCATGTATCCTTTTCATTGATAGTGACAATACAATCGGAAAAATAATATAAGTAATCCACAATTGTTTTTAGGTAGTAGACAATTGTTTTTAGGCAGTTGGTTGACTTATTGAACATGAATAAAGTGAAATCGGATAAATGTTTGAAAAAATTGCTCCACATTTCAGCAATCCATCCAAATACAGTTAATTTATCTTTTTTTGGATATGGTGGTGAGATGGGAACTTCAGGTGGAGGTGGATTAACATTTTGTAATTCTATTCCTTCTTGGATAGTAGTTGGATGTGAGTGGATTGATTGATCTTCACTAGGTACGCTTCTCATCGATTCACTAGAAGATCTGTTTTTTAAACGCCTCATATTTCTGGAGGAGGATCTAGACATGATGAATGATATAATTGAAAATATAAAAAATGGGTGCCAGAAAAGTAGTGGATTTTAGCTTATGTATTGTTTATTTATACATTTCCATATTGTCAAAGGATAGTTTTCAACATATCAGTGTACTATCAACCCTGGTCTCTAAGAATTGCTGTTCCTATCTTGACTAAACAAATCCAAAACAATTATAAATAGCTTAACCATATTGAGCTTATGATTTATATAGTTTTCTTGGTGCTTAATATAATTATAGACTACTTTAGAAGTTAGAATCTGTTTGTACTTTGTTTCGTATGTTAAATACTGCCAAACAGGTAATCGTCTGTGTAAATCTATCTTCTTACCTACATTAGTGTCCCTAGTTTCACGAGATCTCTGTAGAGGGCGGTGCAATAGGATTATTTTTGACGCAGAAAAGTCTACACTCGTAAGTGAGATAAAATTAAGTTTCACTTTTGTAACAGAATCTGCAGAGTTTATAGAGGATCAATATAATGCTTTCTACAATTTGAAATATTTTACTTATTTAAAGTTAAAATTAGTGAAATTGTCAATACAAATGTAAGGAAAATATTTGAAATTTATTATTTATTCATCAAGCTGAAACAGAGTTGATACTATAAGGTGTCAATTCTCTACTCGAATGATTTAAATAAATTTTCACTGAACAAATTCGTCTTCAATAGGGGCAATCGCTCAGTATCTTCCTTATTATTCTCTTCTAAAATGTGTAACTGCCCCTTAGCGGTGCTTAACAAGCAAAACCTGTCACAAAATTAACGCAATCTTATCTCGCATACGAGGTTTACCGGATTGTTGTAAGGGCTGCATTATAACCACAACTTTTTTTAGAGTATGCTTAAAAAATAATATTAAGCATATGTGATCTATTAATAGTAAAATTTACTCATTTATGATTAAGTGAAAAGATAAGAAAGGAGTTAATTCTGTATTACAATACTAGAATACTAGTATCTAGTATCTACTTTCGACAGATACATCACTCATTGGAAAAAAATATAGAGTCATTGCGTATCATCGTATAATTGAGCTCAATGAATAGATAAACTTTACTAAGATCTTGATAGAAGGAAATTGATATGCATGCAGATTAAAGAAGTTATACGTAACCACTTTGATTAATCACAGAGATTACCGAATTTATTTTTTAATGATATTTTTTTATTTTATATTAATCTTATTTATTTTCTATTGAATTGTTGGAATGTGTAGTATTCAATGGGGTTACTCCTATTAATACGACCATTGTGGTAAGGCTAGAAGGTAATACAGATCAATTGAATGACTGATTATTGCTTAGAAAATATTGACCAACTTTATTATCATAAAAGCTTACAAATAATAATACAAATGAGCGTTTCACTTTCGGTGATTAATGTTACAAGTTTCCTCCACATTACATCCTCCACAATACAAAGAAAATAAAGGGATAATGTGTTCTGATTATTAGTAATGTAATATATTGGGGAGACTAATTATGTATTATTTTCATGGATATTTGTTGGAAAATGGGTATTATTGTTTTCACAATCGGCGGATATTTTTTAGCAAATGGTCAACTGTAAAAAATAATAAGTTAAGGAAAGTCCTAAATAATATATTTAAACGCAAAGTAAATGAAAATAATGATGGAATTACTTGGCATCATTAGCTGTTCTTATCCCTAGTGAAACAAATCCTAAACAATTCTAAATAGATTACTCATAAAAATTGTATAAATACTAAATTGACTGTGTAAAGGAGGCTATGATTTGTACGAACTTATTGGTAATCAATTTAAGTATTCTAGACTTCTTTGATATCTCCGTAGAAAATAAGCTATTCCAATTAGAGTAAAATTAGTTATTTATTACTTAAAATTTTGATTAAATATTATGTGGCATTGATGAAACAAGTATATAAAACTGTTATCAAGACAATCCGAAATTAATGTTACAAAAAATTATATAGCTTGCCGCAATGTTTTTTTCTTTTTAATTAAAAATAGGAAGACTTTCGGTCTTAGACTGAAAAACCTACTAAATCAGGGACATTGACAGTTGAACAAATAAGAATATTACAATTGTTATAAAGATTTGATTTGATAGTCTGTTGTAGTGTGAATATGTTTATATTGGAATTTGAATTTTTTCATCATAAATAATAAATAATAATCTATAACATAACAGATTCATTTGTCATTCACATGAGACCAAAGTGTAATTTACTTTCTTCCCTTAAAAATGAAAGGTAACACAACATCAATGGTGAATTAAAGGTTATGAGTATCTTTGATCAATATGATCTCGAAGTTATAAGTTTGTGATTTCTTTATTATAATATTCCTACAGCTGAAAATGATAAACTTAATTGAGGAACACCCCTAATAATCAATTGGAGGAGGTTGACCTTGATAGACTAATTTTGTAAGATTTTTGGAAAATGTTGAATCATTCCTAGTTAATAATTTTAAATCATTTTGAATTTCGTCTAGTTGTGAATTACAGATTTGTATACTTCTTCTATTATCATCTGTCCATTTTATAATTCCCTGTAAATACAGTTCAAGATATTGAAGTCGAGATTCCTGAAAGCTAGCACGATAACAAATCAGGATGTCTTTAATCTTTCCATTGCTCATCTTGAATCAAGTGTTTATGATATTAAAAAAAAAGAATGAAAGGATAAATAAATTAAATTTAAGAAGATATTTAGCTTAGATTTGACTTACATCAAGATAAATTTACATGTTATGCTTATTTTATCAAAAAACGATTTAAATTTAACAGGGTAACTTTAAGATTCTAATATACAAAAAAACTAAATATGAAGCGTTAAAGGACCTAGCTTGTCAAAACTGTTCTAACTTACAGATCTGATATAAATAAATTTAAGTAATTCACTATTGAAGTTTTGTAATTGGAAATATCGTTATGTATAATCTGGTGGAGGTATACTTAATGACATTAACGTCTTTATGCTTCGTTCATAATCGATATTATTCAGCTTTAAATCAGTAATTTTCCATTGAATAGAACTAATAGAATGTAGCAAATCAAAGTATTTTTGAGATTGGTTCCTATTTATTCTAGTTCGATCATGTATAGACTGTTGAAGATTTCCAATTTGTTGGTTTTGTAATTCCATGATCTGTTTTAATTCTTCAACAGTTGGAATCGAATCTGTAGGTATGGCAGTTATTTGCATATTTAATCTGTTTTATAATATTTTATAACGTTTTGGATGGGAAGCTGTTATAATTATAGAATAATTGTAGACTAGAAATTTATTTGAAAGTTTTTATTTATGCTATTTAATGTTAGAGCGCTCCCAGATTTATTATTTTTAATCCCCAAAAACGATGAGGCAACTCCAAAGATTCGAAATATTTTAACGGGGTAATTCTTGACATCAATCAACTCTGTAGTTTATCAAGACAATTAATACAGCCATTGACAATGAAGAAATTCATATCGTGAATTGCGTATATTAGAATATATAATGATTAATTTTACAACTTGGATTTTGCATCCAAATGATTCACGTCTTTACTTGTGAGTTTGCTGTTGGCTTATTATGATGTGAATCAATCATATTTGAAACAGCAGATTTTAGTTTGTGTCCACCTTGAGCAACCCAATTATATTTTGGAGGAGGTTGACCTTGTTCTAATAATTTTTTAAGCTGTTGAGAATATATTAAATCAGTCGCAGCTAAGATATTTAAATCATTTTGAATATCTGTTAATCAATTGATTGTGCTCTGAGTTTATTGGTACGAGGCATAAGTACTCTCCACTCTGCAACTTCATCAGGCAGTCCAAGTCGAAGGTGTTGTAAAATACCGTACCAACAATACAGTAATTCTTCGTCACTGCCTGTAATCATCTTGAATCAAGTTTGTATGATATTATTAAACAAAAGAATAAATTGTACAACAAATAAATAAATGAATTAGTAGATAAAACTTTGATATTATAGAGATAGATTTGCATGTTATTGTTGTTTTGATTATAGTCTTTTTTACTGTATTTTAATAAATTATAGTTGCCTTGAGAAACTAGCAAACACAAAATTCAAGATTGAAAAGAAATTTCCCAATCAATTAAATGTAAAAAGTAGGCAACTATTATTTCTTATGGGTGATATCTTATTCATTGATGAGATACAACGTACTGTATAATCTGGTGGAGGTTTACTCTTCGATATGAGCTTATTCATACGGCGTCTATACTTAACATTATTCATCTTGATGCAAGATGCTTCCCGTTTAATAGAATCAATCGAAGCTTCTAAAAATGAATATTTTTCATGTTGAAATTCACATTTATGATCTTGTTCATCTAAAGATTTTCCAAGATTTGCTATTTTTTGACATTGTGATTCTATGATCTTTTTTAATTCTTCTTCAGTGGGAATAGGGTATGTATCTGTAGAAGTTGTTTGCATATTTAATCTTTATTATAATGAGGTTTGATAAGACTGAAAGTTTCTATAACTGCAGAATAAATGTAGACTTCAGAAATCTATTTAATTGCAAGATTTATTCATATTATAATATTTTATGTTATGCTAATCATACAACATACATTTGGACCTAAGAAACCATACAATACCTAACAACCATCCATACCAACCACAAGACTATTACCATTTCCATATAGTTTATACCCCACTATTAATATTAAGGTAGTTTCGGAAACAACCGATAGTTTAATCAGTGTAATTAGTAATTCCTTGATGAAAATCATGTACATTAGACCAAAAGTGTTTCAGGATAATTTATTTTCTTCTCTTAACAATGATTGATGAACACATTTAATGAAATAAAATATAGAGCACAATGATGCTACATACAGCAATTAAAGAATAAATAATATAATCTGATTTCAGAAGTTGATTTTCTTTTAATAAATCAATTTCAAAATATTCTGCTAAACCATTTACCAATCTATCAAAACTAAGCACTAAAAATACTCCACTAACAATAATTGAAAATTCTCTGATGGATTTACCAATTGGAACTTCTTTATACATGATATGAAAGACGATACTTGAGATAGAAAGAATCACAAGAAAAGCTATGATTAAAATTTCTAATGTAGTTATCCATTTAGTTTTAGATTCAGTTTCATTTTCTTGTCTTTCTTCATTTTGAATTTCATGTCTAATTATGGTGGTGTTATGTAATGGTAGTAAACGTTGACGTTCTTCAATTGTAGATTCTTCTGCAAAAAAGTCTGAGATTTTATAATGTTGTAATCTTAAACGTTGATTCATTTTGATGTATATTTGGTATAATTGACTTAAGAAGAATTAGTAAATAAAAATAATTCTATACCAAAGGGGCTCTAAAAATGCTAACAAAATTTTAAAATTGTTATGCTAGCCGCAAAAAAGAACTTTGCGCTTCCTATTTTGGAACATTTTGTGTTAAGCCTACAAAACTTTTCACTATCTAAGATTGATGAAAAAAAACATGTAAAATAAAATACATCCATTTAAAGTTTCCCAATTTAGAAGTATCATATATTTTTGCTGCCATTGTGCAACAAACATAACAAGAAATTATATAAAGTCAAACATAATTATCTCTTTTAACTTTATATACCTTTTTAATAAACAAATAAGCATTACCACTACCAAAATGAATCTAAAAGACCTTTATGATGAAGATATTATTAACAAGTCGACAAGACTTGTGATTGATCATTTGATCAATGATCCAGACTACAATTATTTTAACAATCCTATTCAAAATGAAGAACAAGAAAGGGTTTGGGAGGAATTAAATAAAAGTCCTAAAGTGAATGATGATAATTTTGGCTTTGATTTAACTCTTGAAAGAAGAAAATTAATATTCTTAGTATTCAGCTTTCATAATATTTCTACTTCGAATCATTATCGTTACTTTGATAAGAAATATATTAGTAGTTTTATATTCTTGGATGATATTGAGGAAGTATTTAAAACAGGTTTTCTGATCTGTGAGGAAGTCTTGCTTGATATAAAACAAGAAAGAAATCAAAATGGAAACCCAATTCCAAAATCAATTCTAAGGACTACATCTTACCTTTTTGGAGTATCCTGGTCTTTGAAATTACCCATGTCTTTGAGAATTCCTCTTGAACCTGATCCTAATGACAAATCATACCCTGCATTTTATTACAATTCTATACTGTCATCAGATAATTTGGTTCCTGAAATATTGGAAGATTATTTCCAAGTTGCACCAAAAAATAATGATGAAATATCTGATACTTTCTTTGAAGATTTAATTGATAACTTTAGAATTGACATCGATTTATTACAGCGTATTGGACTTTTAGGCTTTCAAGATTCGCCGGGACCTGTGAGGAATAAAGCAACGGTATCATCTTATATTAAAAATTTTATTTTCTCTCCTACTAAGAACATATTGAATGGGATTTTCAGCAAGTCTGAAAATGAAAATAATACTATACTTCTTTCACAACATGATGGTTTGCATCCAGATGTACCATCAGACTTTCTCTTTATAGATTCTAAAACTAAATCTAAAATAATTCCTGTTGAAATCAGAATTAGAGGAGTATCTGATGCATATGAATCTAGAAATGATCAAAATCAAACCTTTTGTGAAATTTTTAATCAAGTTGCTTATCTGATGATTACCAATAATTCTAAATTTGGATTTGTAATGGATATGGAATGTATATTGATTATTCAATTTGAAGATATCAGAAATTTATCCAGAAGAAAATGTTTTAGGGGTAATCTGTTTTACATAAATTGTCGTATGAGATGTATAAAGTATCTTGATTCAGATTATAGCATAACTCTTCTTTTGACATTATTAACAAGTCATTATTTTGCCAACATACCTAGAAATCAACTTACACATATGATAAATTTATTGCAAACTTTGGAAATGACGGTTGAAGATAAATTGGCTATTAGAGCTAATTATTACGATGAGATTAGATATGGAATTTAATAATGGCTAGCTCGAATTTGAGCACTCTTGTTTTTTCCGCACCACAAAAAATTTTAGTGACATACATCAAATGTTTCCCAATTTGGAAATCTGAAACATGTTGCTACAATTAGGTAACAACTTGAAACATAGCTATGAACTATATAAAATCAACTGAAATCCAACGTAAGTTTATTTATCTTCTCTGATGAACAAAAATATATACCATATTATCACTATAGTCCAAATGAAGCTCGAAGACTATTATTAACAAATCAACAAGATTTGTGATTGATCATTTGATCAATGATCCAGACTACAATTATTTTAACAATCCTATTCAAAATGAAGAACAAGAAAGGGTTTGGAAGGAACTCACGAAATTATATTCTGTGGAATCTGAAGCAAAAAAGTCCAAGACGTTTGATTTGAAAAATCTAACGATTGTAGAAACTATATAAACTATGTAGCCCATGAACTGACCAATTATCAAAACTAAATAAGGGATACAACTTTAAAACTAATCAAATGAGATAAGAAGGTAAGTCTATCAGATCTATATATCCAAGTTGGTTTTCTTGAATAAATGCCAAAGTATTGAGTTAAATGATGAAGTAATCGATCAATAGTGAGCAATAAAATAATATTAGAAACCAGAACTAAATCAGAACTCATCTCTTGAGGTATGTTACTATTTGGATTGACAACAAATACATAAAATACAAGGGAAAAGAAAATTAAATATGAATCGATTATTAAATCAGCAAGGAATTCACAAATACTGATTTTCCCCTGATTTGATTTAATTTCATGATGGGGGATTAATGTATCTGATTTCACTTGTAACTCAGTAGTTCCTTTTGATGTTTCTAATTCAACAGTTTGATCCATGGTTGATAATATAGTAGGAAATGATTTCATGAAGATAATTAAGCATTTTTGAATTAATTCTGAATCAAATCTTTATAAAGTGCAAAAACATTTGTTATGCTTGTACCAAAAACTTTCATGGCGCTTGTAATCAGTTTTGTGGTTTTCCTTATAGATTCCTATTACGATTAACCTGTATCTAATTCAACGTGTGTGTATGTATCTTTCGGTTCACTTCTATGAATTCCGATCCATACTTTGTGAATATTCTCAATATTCAAACTACCATTATAAACCTGAATTTAATCATAATAATGAACTTGAATTTAAAATTTTAACTAGACTTAGAACTTAATAGAGACTATTTACATATGTTCATTCATTTGAAAAATTAAATGAACTAAGAAGGGCTTGGGATAGTAGTATATACATTGAAAGGGCTGTGTTTTTAAAATCATAGTTAAATAACAAGAATGATTTGATAAGGTTTAACCCTGTTTCGGCATTCAAAAGTTTATAACATTATCAACTAAAGATTATGATAAGTTACTAAAAATAAAATTATGACTACTATAGCCTAGCAATCATACTCGGGAAGTAACAAAACTGACAATTTTATCAAAAGAAAAAAAAAGTGTCTGACTGACTGTCTGACCGTGGCTTATGAATAAAACAATTCGGTTACCACACAATAACAAAAAAAAAAGACAAAAAGACAAATTTTTTTTCTCTTTTGTAAAAAAGTCTTGGCAACGCTTTTTTAAATGCTTAGAACACCTTACAGACAAAGCAGCTTTTTAGTTTCTACTCAACGTTAATTCAATTATAGATTCAATCTGTACCACATCGCATTCAATTAGATAAGATCATATTCTATACGAATAAATAGAGAGATGAAATTAAACCTAATGAGCTGATAATAACAGGTTAGAGAGGATGATATTATTCCCGAAAGGGGGTATTTGTGTTACTATTAATAAAAATTGACTTTTTTTGTTTTTTTATTTCTGGTTGTTGTTATTTCAAATTCAACCAATTAAACGATGATAAGCATCAATTGTACTAGAGTATATCACTTTAAACATCATTAATAGTATGGATTTTAATACTATTTATGGGCACTACATGAGCGATTTTATTGTCTCAAGTGGGGAAAGAAATTTTTGAATTTTTAACTTTCTTTTTTTTTTTCTTTTTCTTTCTTTTTTTTATTTTTTGGTATCGATCCGAAATCATAAAATGTCTTTTTTTGAAATTGATTAGTGTTAGGACTTTGATATGATATGAATAAACTTATCATCCAGACTATTCCTGAGATAGTTGTGTGGTATTAATGTCTCGTGTTTGTTGTTGTTCCGTAGTGCAGATACTAAACAACAATCAACCATTTTCATCCATGACCCATCCCATCCATTGCCGCTTGCTATTACCGTATTCAAATAACTATGACAAATTCAGTTTTAATCGTTTCATTTACCATTGTTAATAATTCTTCTTCTTCTTCTTCTTCTTCTTGTTCTTCTTCTTCTTCTTCAATTATACCTAATCAATGTAATATCAAGTACTATCATACACATAAACGTCTGACAAAAAGTGTGTTGTTGTTATTCATTTTAAGCCATTTTTTTGAGATAATTAATTTTTGGATTGTGCTGTCCTTTTTTTTCTTGTCCTTCAAAGTTAAGCCAGAACGAACCCCTGCCAAGAAAACAAAAAAATTTAGATAACTAACGAGAGAAAAAGAATAAAATTATATATCGATATACTTTGGTTTTCGATTATATTCGGAGTTTTATTATCGATTTATTCATCTGGCTTTATATAGATTGGTCATATATATATAAATAAATAAAATTCATTAGTGTCTAAATAGATTGGTAAATGATACGATTATGAGGATAAATTTCATGTGAGAGGGTGTGGGAGGTGCCCACCCACAACGAGGACCAGACAAAAAAAAAAATAATTGAATTAAAAAAAAAAAAAAAATTCATATGTACACCACAATTATGTCTGACTGATTGACTATACATACAGGTTTAGAATATTCTCTATTTGATTCTGTGAATATCCGTATTCTAATATCTATAAGAACAGACCATCTTTTACTTTACTGAAACTATGCTATCTATAACGTTACAATCGGATAAGAAGTACCCCTCCCCCGATTGAGCCGCGTATCTCCAAGCCATAAACTACGTAATTGGCTTATTGTTATACGCTTAACTGAAATTAAGTTCTAGATGTGAGGAGTAAGTAAGCTTAGAAAGTAGGCTAAGCAGTAGTATCATTCAGTTTCTTTTTTTTTTACTTTACTAATCCCGTAGGATGAAAGCCTTGCCGGAATCTCGTATAGTTAACGCTATCCGAATACAAACTAATTATTATCTTCATCATCCTCATCAACACACAAACCTTTGGCGTCTGGTGGTATTAAGTTTTGTGATTCGTCATCATCATTGATTTATGTCTATTTATAGGTCATAAACCTATGATATCATGCTGAAGTGGTTATTACATATTATTTTTATTTTTTATCAAAAAACACGATCGGACCGACTAAAAAATATCTTTTTTTTTTTTTTTAATTTTTAGTTCTTTTTTTTTTTTGTCTGTCTGTCTGTTTTAACTTTTACAATTACAAAAAACAACAAAATTAATTAGAAATTTTATTTGTAAATAATCTTAAAGGATATATATATATATATGGAATTGATAGTTGGGGATAAATTTATATCAATTTAAACTATATCAAACCAGTCTTCTGTTATCCTATATTGAATCTTGACAGATATACATCTCCCTTCAGATCCAACACCGCCTATTTATTGCCCACGAACAGACCAGACACTATCTACAAGAGAAAATTACGAATAAGCAAACCCCCAAAAAAAATATACATCCATAATTCCCATTCGACAACAAAACTATTTTAAAAACCTCCAGTTTGACATTACTTATATATACCAGTTCATTGGTCTAATCCATTCCCATAGACCCTTTCAATCCTCAATTTGTTAGAATCCCTATACCTTCTAGAATAGTTCAATAATTATTATTATTAACTATTTTTAACCTTCAATTGTTTTATTTTTTCTTGGCTAAGATCCCTTAAATTCAACTTTTTGACACTTTGGGGGTATTAAAACAATATCGTCATCAATAGTTATAAAATAAGTTGTATTTCATTCATTATATTTTAAATCAATCAACTAACTAAATAAATCAATAAAACTACTATAAATGTCAATCATAATGTCAACCCAGAATAACTATAATAACCACGATTATTTATCGTCCAATCCAATCTCATCTTCGACTTCAACCACAACGTCCAATCAATCTGGTTCTTCGGCTACCATACCTTCCTTATTACCTATGCCAACTTCATATTCAATGGACCCTTCAAAATCAATCATACAAAATAGTACAAGCCCTCATGCTGGTAATGCTAATACCGTCAACAACCCTTCAAATCAACCTCTTCCTTCAATATATATGATGAATAGTAGTAATACAACCTCGAGTCCAACCACCACAAACAGTTATAATCAAGCAATCCAACCTCCACAACAACAACAACAACAACAACCTCCACAACAGCAACAACAACAACAATATCTTCATTATCCCGCTAGAAATTATTTACAACCTCCAAATCCAAATGATTATTATTATACTTCTTATTATTATCCTGGAACTCCAGCTAATGCTGCTGTCGTAGCTAATCCAAATAGTTCTAATCCAGTTAATAATACTGCTAATAATTCTTCTAATAGATTGGTTTATAATACTTTACAAACATTCTCTACTACTCATCCTCCTCCACCAGTATCAACTTCAGCTCCAACTGCTTCAACCCATTATACAACTGGTTCAAATAGTTATTTACCAATCTTACCTTCTACTACAGCAAAACTTTCTAATGGTACTAATTCATCATATCCTATAAGTCCAATATCAATTCAAGAAATAAATAGAGATCATTCCGCTTCAGCTTCTTCGTCATTATCTTCAGCTTCATTAAATCATCTTCACCATCAACAACAACAGCAACAACATCATCTTCATCATCAAACGTACCTTCAAAGCTATCAACATTCAACCAGTAATTCAAGTTTCACATACCATCCTCCGGAATCTCATCATGATTTACCGATCGATTATTCATCAATCGTTTCATATACAATCTCACCATCTTTAAAGAGAAAGAGAAGAAAGAGAAAGGATGAAAGCCCCAATGGTACCACCACCAATTCTAATTCTGAATCAATAAATTCAGAAATAGTGGAATCATATCCTTGTGAAATATGTTCTAAAGTATTTCAAAAGCCTTATAATTTAAAATCTCATATGAAAACTCATTCAACTGAAAAACCATTCAAATGTTTACATTGTTCTAAGACATTTGCTAGATCTCATGATAAAAAGAGACATGAATTATTACATAATGGGGTAAAGAATTTTAAATGTGAAGGTTATTTACAAGATGGAGTTACCAAATGGGGATGTGGGAAGAAATTTGCTCGTAGTGATGCCTTATCAAGACATTTCAGAACTGAAACTGGATGGTTATGTATTAGACCATTAATGGATGAAGCTAAACGATTAGAAGAATTGAATAAAGGAAATGATAATCATTCAAGTCATGTGGTGATTAATAATGGTCTTCCTCCTAATGTAACTCTTCCTCATCATAGTAATCTTCCTCAACTCCATCAAGCTTTGGCTCCTATAAACTCAAGTAGTACTACATCTTCGTCGTCTCAACAAACCCAACCACCACAACAACAATCTCAATCACAACTGCAATCAAATGAAGATTCTAATGATTTTGATAATTCAAGCTTTGTAAGAAAGTTAATCCAAAGTAAATAAGTCAAGATAGATATAATCTTCTTAGACTTGATTAACTTTCATTTTATTTTGTATATTAGTTCACATTTAGTTCATCGTTCCATTCTTTATACGGTATAATTGGGAACTCAGTTTTTATAATTCTCTATTATTACGTCTTTTGATATATAATATGTATATTAATATTACACTTCAATCTTTGGTATACGCTTAATTAAGTTAATCTTGTAGTCAACACATCTAAAAGTATACTAAGTCGCCAGATATACTTACAATTCAATGGGATTGATATTATACCCTTCAGCACGTGCACTCGTGCACCTGACCCAATTTTTGTTTTTTAATTTGTCTTGGAAGCGCCCCCAGAACTTTCTCGAACAAAAATTTTTTCGTTCAAATTCTCACCGATCACTAATTAATAATTTTTCAGTTAGCTAACCATTCCAAGATCATTTTCAATATCAATTGAAAAACATAGTATAGATATCATCATATTAAGTCATGTTGAGAGCCGGTTCTGTTTCAAGACAATTCGTTCGTCATTTACATAAAGAATTAAAATTCGGTGTTGAAGGTAGAGCAGCTTTATTAAAAGGTGTTAATACTTTAGCTGATGCTGTTAGTGTTACTTTAGGTCCAAAAGGTCGTAATGTTTTAATTGAACAACAATTCGGTAGTCCAAAGATCACCAAGGATGGTGTAACTGTGGCCAGATCAATTGTCTTACAAGATAAATTCGAAGATATGGGTGCTAAATTATTACAAGAAGTTGCTTCTAAAACTAATGAAAGTGCTGGTGATGGTACTACTACCGCTACTGTTTTAGGTAGATCCATCTTCACTGAATCAGTTAAGAACGTTGCTGCCGGTTGTAACCCAATGGATTTAAGAAGAGGTTCTCAAGCTGCTGTTGAAGCTGTTGTTGCCTTTTTACAAGCTAATAAAAAAGATATTACTACTAGTGAAGAAATTGCTCAAGTTGCAACTATCTCTGCTAATGGTGATGCTCATATTGGTAATCTTTTAGCTTCTGCCATGGAAAAAGTTGGTAAGGAAGGTGTTATCACTGTTAAAGAAGGTAAAACTTTAGAAGATGAATTAGAAGTTACTGAAGGTATGAAATTCGATAGAGGTTTTATTTCTCCATATTTCATCACTAATACTAAATCTGGTAAAGTTGAATTTGAAAATCCTTTAATCTTATTAAGTGAAAAGAAAATTAGTTCTATTCAAGATATCTTACCTTCTTTAGAATTATCAAATCAACAAAGAAGACCATTATTAATCATTGCTGAAGACATCGATGGTGAAGCTTTAGCTGCTTGTATTTTAAATAAATTAAGAGGTCAAGTTCAAGTTTGTGCCGTTAAAGCTCCAGGTTTTGGTGATAATAGAAAAAATACTTTAGGCGATATTGCTATCTTATCAGGTGGTACTGTTTTCACTGAAGAATTAGATATTAAACCAGAAAATGCTACTGTTGATTTATTAGGTTCTGCTGGTTCAATAACCATTACTAAAGAAGATACTGTTATCCTTAATGGTGAAGGTCAAAAAGAAAACATCAATTTAAGATGTGAACAAATTAGAACTACTATGGATGATCATTTAACCACTGAATATGAAAAGGAAAAATTACAAGAAAGATTAGCTAAATTAAGTGGTGGTGTTGCCGTTATTAGAGTTGGTGGTTCTTCCGAAGTTGAAGTTGGTGAAAAGAAAGACAGATATGATGATGCTCTTAATGCTACTAGAGCTGCTGTCCAAGAAGGTATCTTACCAGGTGGTGGTACTGCTTTAATCAAAGCTTCAAGAGTTTTAGATGAAGTTAAAGAAAAAGCTGAAAACTTTGATCAAAAATTAGGGGTTGAAATCATTAAATCTGCTATTAGTAAACCAGCCAGAAGAATTATTGAAAATGCTGGTGAAGAAGGTGCTGTTATTGTTGGTAAGATTTATGATAATGCTGAATTCAACCAAGGTTATGATTCAGCCAAGGGTGTCTTCACTGATATGATTGCTGCTGGTATCATTGATCCATTCAAAGTTGTTAAGAATGGTTTAGTTGATGCTAGTGGTGTTGCTTCATTATTAGCCACTACTGAATGTACTGTTGTTGATGCTCCAGAACCAAAGGGTGCTGCTCCAGCTCCTGCTGCTCCAGGTATGGGCGGAATGGGAGGTATGTTCTAAACAACCTAAACCCATTGACCTTGTCCTCTTAAATTGAACATGTTTATAAAGTGATGATCTTGATTATCATCATTCTCTCTATATTTATATATATATAACTATTCCTCCTCCCTCTCTGAACATTATTTCTTTTTCTCTTTTTCTTGATTTAAGTTGTAAATAGTCATTCTCCTCCCATTTCACTTTATTTGCTTTATTTAAAAACTAAATAAATTGTATTAAATCTTGAATAATTATGGTTTCTTTAAATATTGTAGATATCAATCACATCGCGTATATAACACAAAAAAAAAATTCTGAGATCAAAAAAATTTCAAATATCTGATAAACAACAATAACAAGTAACTAGTATAACATACCACACGACAAAGTTAAATGATAAGGATATAGCATCAGGCCGAGGAATTTTGAAGAAGAGACAGGAATAATTATGTTTGAGGAAATCATACAGCGACGAGAGCAAAATAGAGTCGCTAAGAAACGAATCAAACTATTGTTATCCAAATATTTAACCTTAAAGAGATATCAAGAATTACAATTACAAAAGCAACAAGAGAATGGTAAAGTCAAGAAGAGGAAAGGAGGAGAAATAGTCAATGCCAAATTATTAGAATACATCCATACCGAGTTAGAACGTCATTTAAAACCAGATGAGACCTATGAAATATGGCATGAATTAAGCAGTGTAAATGTAAACTTAAAGAAACAACAAGGAGAAGGTAAATTTGACAAAAAACAACCAGTAGACACTGACATTGAAGTATCTACAGATGGGGAAAGTGATATTAAAGTGAATGATCTCATTAAAGATTTATTTCAAACTTTTGATTCATCTAAAAATCATGTTAAAGCAAATATACTTTTAACCATAAATGGATTAGAAGTATTACCATTACCTAAGAAGAATGAAGGTCAAATTCATAATCACATTAATAACTTAAAGACGTTATTGCAATTGAATATCTTAAGGAAAAACTGGAATTTGGCGTATAAGATATATTGTACATTAATCAGATTCCCTATAGTTGATATCAAAGCTATTTGGTCGATTGGGATTGAAATATTGGTCCAACAACGTAAACTTGAAGAAAAAGCTCAAGTTGATGAAGAGAATAAACTCACACAAAAGTCAACACTATTCAAAGATGAAAGATTCTTTGAATGGTTGATAACATTTTTCCCTTTGAATCGATTTGATGCTTCGAAATATGATGGTAAGGGAAGTCTTAGAGTTGAGCTGGCTCCAGTATGGAGAATGGGTACATTAACTAATTCACCATTATATCTTATCACAGCACTTTGGAATTTATTGATTAATAAGAAATATTCGAGTTTGAAATCAAAATTATTAGAATTAATGTTGGAACCACCATATAATGATGATGGAACGATTTATTTCTTAATGTGTTTAACATTAATATTTGAATCGTTTGAATTAGTAAAAGACAATGACGCTAATGGTGGAGATAAACTGTTCTTGATAAGTGACTTGGCAGCTGCAAAAGTACAGATATTAAAGTATTTAGAGAAATGTGATCAATTAAATTTCAAATATCCTTCTGTCGTCAGAGAACAACTCTTTATTCTCTCTCGATATGTTGAAGGAGAGACAGATAGTAAGATTGGAATCTTAACAGATAGTAGTGAAGATTATGACAACGACCAAGATAGTAAAGCTAACGGAGCTAAGAATAATTCAGAAATAGTATTCTTTAATTCAGATCAAGAAGACCTGGATGATGATAATGATGAGGCACAAGCAGCATCTAATAGCTCAGATAACAATAATAGCAATAATGACTACACCCAAAATTATAATGATAATAATGACTTAAACAAATCACCAAAAGCAATTAAAATCCAAAACGATATGGATTTCGACTTTGATTTTGAATAAATAAATAAATAAACAAATTAGCATTAATAGACATTTCATAGATTTATATATATAGAAACTTATTTAATATATACACGGCATATTTAACCTTCATCTTTTCCTGATCGTTAATTTCCCTTGAGCAGTTCTTGAAAATGAAACTATAAATTTATCTTCATCTGCTTTTTCAATAGGCAACACTGTCCAACCTGGAGGGGCTAATGAATCTTTCGGTATTTCAATATGAAATTGATTTGATGGGGAAATTTTTCGATTATGAAGATCGGACTCTCCACTCGATGTACTACCTGTAGTATTATCTTCACTATCAACTTCATGGTTCTCGTTGGTATGGATGTTATTATTATTGTCATTATTAGTATTAGTATTATTAGTATTATTATTATCGTCATCATCATTGAGGGTACCTAACCTTCTATTAATTACCTGGGCGAATTCAGCCAACCTTACCCCGATGTCTTGATTTGGATTATTTACAGGTTCTGCTGCTGCTGCTGCTTGTGGAGCTGGTGCAGCTCCTTGGTCCTGTACTGCAGCTTGTTGTGGTGGCTGTGCTTGTCCTTCCGGTACAGTAGGTGTTGGTGCTGGTATAGGACCATCAAATACATTTTGTCTACATAAAGGACAATTGTCTGATCTTTCTAACCAATCTTTTAAACAACCCATATGTAAAATATGACCACATTTTAATTTCTTAGGGTATCTTCTTGATGGTAAATGATTTTTTGGATGAGATCTATTATATTCATCAACTGAATACATATCATCACGACATATAATACAAACATTTTCTGTCTCTAAATTTTCTTTAGTTGCATCCGGTAATTGAGTTTCTAATCGTTTAGAAGATTGAATGAACTTAATTAATTGAGTGACTTCTTTATAAGTATCTTTAACTGATGCTAAAGTTCCTTGAATCATTGAAAATGGGAAAGCAATACCAGATCCAATAGTTAATAAATAAATGAATCCTAAATGAGCCCCAGCTTGTAAAAGGGATGATATTATATCAATTGATTTACTATAATAAGGTTTTAATTCCCATATATTCTCTGCTTCATCATTATCAATATCATCATCTTCATCTTGTTCAGCGATATAAAAGATAACTTCATAAAGATTGACTAATAATTTACAGAAATAAGTTAAATTCTCCACTCCTTGAATAGCAAATTGAAATCCAAATAATAAACAAACCACCGAATTAATGCCTTGGAATACATCATATACTAAAACTTTAGCAATGGAGAAATCAGTGATGATGAATATAATATTTAACCATACAAAATGATTAAACAAGTATTGTCTTAATACTGCCAATCGGGAAGTGACGGATATGCTATCATTATTAGTGATTTTAAATGTTAAATAATTCAATCTTTCGAATAAAACAATATGAAGGAACTTGTTTAAAGCTGAAAAACAGAATAAGAAACAATTCAAGATTGAATCATCAAACGTAGTTAAATTCAATAATAAATTGAATAAGAACATAGGTAAATAATCAAACAATTTCTCCACTTCAATGACTCGTAACTCACCAAAGATGATCATTTGCGATACCTTTCCTATCACGAGAAACACCACCACGATATAATTCAATAAGATCTTTAAATGGATATCAGAAGTTAGATTCATTAATAATATTTCATTGTTGAAGGACGTTGTATAGTTTTGGAACAATGACCATCCCATACCCATTGTTGAAGCTAGAACATACACCGCCACAGCGATTACATTCTTAGTGAACTTCATCTCAGCACTTCTCCCATATGATGATGATGATGATGATGAACTGGTACAATTGATATGATTGTTATGATGTGTAATTAGAGTGATTTGCTGTTAAATTTCAAAAGGGTGAGTTTATTTTTGCTATGCGTAAATTGTCAGTTTTGTGTCATGTTCGATTTTTTTCTACACAATTCTAAACCCGTAATCTATACCGATCTATTATGTATGTTATGTTATGCTATAATTATCTATATGTATAGAGAAGATAAGGAAAGAAGTTAAATAATACGGGAATAATGGAATTGAAAGTGTAATTGAAGTAATAATAAGATTAATGGTTTATTGGGTGGAGTATTTTCCTCTTTTTCTGGGGAGGAGGTAAATCAGTATTAACTAATTTAGGAATCTTTGATGAAATTAATTTCATATTTTCTTTAGTAGGTGATGATATTGATTTTTGATTATTATTATTACTTGGTTGTGAATTTTTTGGTGATGATTGTTTTGTAATTCTCGCAGGACTTAAACTTGACCGAGCATTCCTTGAAGTGGATGTAGATGTAGATGTGGAGGTATATCCCATTGAAGATTTATCAATATTCTTAATGGTGGTTAAATTCTTATTAACATCAACAATAACATTCTTAAGATTATCATTACTTAATAACATTGAATTGTTAAACTTGGTTAAATTCATAATCTCCTTGGAGATAGAATCATCATGATTCTTATCATCTTTATTAAGTAAATGCATTACTTTATTTAAATCTTGAATATTATGATCTTGTAATTTAATAATACTATTGATCTTAGAATCTTCAATCAATGATCGATGATCAATTTTGGATGATATCAATTTATAATCCTCTTGTAAATGATTGATGGAATTTATTGAATCATTAAACCAATTAGTAGATGTAGTTAATAATTTCTTATTCTCATTCTCAATCACTTGTTGATTAATAGTCTTGATTGAATCATTCAAGAATGAATCATATGATTTATGATGATCATTCATCAAACTGATTAAATTTGTTTTAAAATCATGTTGAAGTTGACTTAATTGACCCGAAACTTTCTCTTTAATCAATTGTTCAATCTGAGTATCAATACCACTACGATCATAAGAACTATCTTTAATATAACTTAATAATTGATGATTGTTTTGTTTCAATTGAGTGATATTCCGTTCGAAATGAGTGGCATACAGCACAAATGTTTCATTCAATGATTTAAATAATTGTTTGAATTCAATTAGTATCAGAGGTAAATCAGTAGTTGATAATTCATTTAAATTTAATTTAATCGTGGTTAATTTCTCAATAAGATTTAATTTAAAATTTTGAAACGATTTTAATAATTGATTAGATGTAGTTGAGTCCTTTCTATCGTTGAAATTAGTTAAGATTGGTTCGATTGAATTAAACGATAATGATAAATTCTCATTTAAAATATTCATGAATTGACTAAACGAATCATTAAATTGATTTAATTTCGAAGTATTACTATGCAATCTAGTTTGTAATTGAGTATTCTCTAATGATAATTGATTATTTGATTTCTTTAATTCATCAATCTCTTGCGATAAGGATTTAATTGATTTTTGATTATTTAAAGTTATAGCATCGAATTTCTTTAATTTTAATTTTAATAAGATATTTTCATCTTTAATTTCTTTAATATTAGCCAGTAAATTATTTGAATTTTCAATTAATTCATGATAATTCTCTTCATTAAGAAAAATCCCATTCTTACTTCGAGTAGATTGAAGATCTAAATTAACTCGGATTAATTCATTAGATAAATTCTTTACTAAAATCTTTTTCATAATTAAATCAGAATCTTGACCATTAATAGGTAAATTCTTAATATTTTTAGCTTTACAAGCATAATCCAAAGTTGATAATGTTTCTTCTAAATTAATCTTAGCCGGTGAGATGGTTGCAATTAATGTAGTTTTAGTTGATCCTCCTATTGAATCTTGTAATAATCGAGTTAATTTCGATTCTCTATACGGTATATGATTGAGATTGTTATTGTTGGTATTAGAATTACCTCCAAATTCACTTAAAATATTAATGACTCTTCCTAAAGTCAATAAACTTTGATTAATAGATCCAGCTTCTTTAGCACGTTGATTTATAGCTCCCGATTTATTGATATTTTCTGACCCAGCTAAATCAACAAGATTCATCTTTGAAATTTTAAATAATTCTCCGTTTACTTTGGATTTTTTAAATAAATTAATAGTGAATATAGTATGAGATCTAGATGAGAAATTATTTAACTTTGTAGATGCTGTTTTCCTTTTCTTTAAACCTCGTTTTAATATTTTAAATCCTTGATTGAAATTATTAATATATTCTTCATTCAAATTTTGAATCATAATACTCTTTTTATTAGTATTACCACTTTCATTATTAACTTCATATATGCGTAATTTCCTTTTAAGATTCTTTAAATTATCTTCTGAATCATCATCTAATAAATCTCGAAGATCTTCATTATATAATTCTAGAAATGAACATTTAACTAAAAAATCATCATCATTATCTTCAAAGTCTTTATTTCGATTTAATTTCTTAAATAATTCCACTAATACTCTAGGTATAATCCCAACATTATCATTAAATTCAAGTCCACCATCTTCAAATTCTTCATTATAATTTTGATTCAATTCTTCAGGATTCCCACACATGGTATAAGTTTTACCAGTCCCAGTTTGACCATAGGCCAATACCGTGACATTATACCCCATTAAGAAATCATTGAATAATGGTGATACTACTTTTTCAAACACAAGATCTTGATCAGCTTGAGGACCATAGATTTGATCTACTTTGAAAGTTTTATAATTATTGAATTCATCTAGTAGAGACGATGAATTGGAAATGCTGGTGTTATGGGGACTATTGGATGGATTGATGGTAATATAGGGATCGATGATGGAATATCTATCATTAGGCAAATCGATGACAATGGGAGATTTGGCAGCTACTTCTTTTTCATTTCTACCTCTACATCGCACTACCACTTGAATATTAGATGATGATGATGAGCCAATTGAATTGGTGGATGATGACGGCGATATAGACCGTGATACGGGTTGTCTCTGTGATGATGACATATGATGGGTGATTGAACAAATAAGAATGCAAAATGATCTGTTCAAATGAATCGGTTGATTTGTTTACAATTTGTTGTTGTTGTTTTTGTTTTACAGATGGTCTGGTTAAAACACAAAAAAAATTACGTGTATTATGCAGGATTTTTAACTATGTAAAAAGTATGAATTATGATTAACAGTTAATCAATCATATTCAAAGATAGATAAAGGATATGAAATGAATGGAGATGAAATGATGAGTTAAATCAAACCAAAGAATGAAATGGAATTAGGAAAATACATATTATACAAAATATTAGTTAGTAGTGTAGCCACACTACTAATCAAAGAAATCATCATCATCATCATCAACATTAGTAGTATTACTCTTTTTAGCACTAGTACTAGTTTTAACATGATCATCTTCACTATCAAGATCATCATCATCTAAATCAAGATCATCTGAATGTTTTCTATTATATACAATCTTAGTAGCTTGCTTTTGATGAGAATCACGACTTAAACCATCTAAGATTTGGACAATATCTTGTTCACCTAATTTTCTAGTGATGGCTCCATTACGATATAATTGGAAAATGTATTGTTCAACTTGTTGAGCTCTATCCGGTCTTACGATTCTAACTCTACTTAATCTTTCTCTAGCACTTGTTTCTAAAATTTGAGAAAGTACACTTTCAAGGGCACTATTAGCATTATTAGTTGATCCACCAGTTGTTGACGATGAAGATGCAGATGGATTGGCCGCATTCTTTTGCAACTCTGCTAATCTAGCTTGTCTGATAGCATTCAACTCTGAATCATCCATGGTAAATTATGATATCGAATCCAAAGATTGTGTGTTAAATATATAGTAATTGTAATATTGAAATTTTCTCTATATTAATTTGTCACACTCTCAATGTTCAAAAAAAAAACGATTACATAAGCGCTTAGTCATCCTTTTTAAAAAAAAGTTTTGATGAAACAAATCAAATGATACCAACCAACAACAACCTCAAAAAAAGGCAACTTAATCTAAAATCACCTTAGATCACACATCGATTAAATCAGAATCATCGATCCATCAATCAATTCATACCTCATCCATAGAGAGTCAATTCGATTGCAATTCGAACAAGACCCATATTAATCCAGAATTATCAAGACACTACCACATTAGGGTCTATTCTATTAGCGAGGCTGTCTTATTTTTTTTTCATATACACATATCACCATTTGGTTAGACTTTCCCTATATCACCTATAGTCATTATTGTCATTATTATTACGCTAACATTGAGAAAACATTATTTCAAACAAAGTTTTTAATCATAAAAAATTATCTATCATTATTCATTCAATTATCATCATATTCAAATTATTAGATATTGCATAATTTAACCAATCCTATCTTAGAAACAATATTACAAATCAATAGAAACAATCCCGTATTATAAACTTATATAAAAATTCACTCCCCCATTACACACACATTAAAATAAAACAGAACAAAACATAATTATATAAATTTTTGCATAATGTCACAAACTAATAATAAAACTAATGGTTCTTCAACCAACACTAATAATACCACCAGCACCACCACCACTAATAATAACAATAATAATAATGATAAAATCAATATATTGAGAAAGTATAAGATTGTATTTTTAGGTGATCAAAGTGTGGGAAAAACTTCATTAATTACAAGATTCATGTATGATACCTTTGATGAGACTTATGCTGCCACGATTGGAATTGATTTCTTAAGTAAAACCATGTATCTTGATGATAATAAAACCACCATTCGATTACAATTATGGGATACTGCCGGACAAGAACGATTCAGATCTTTAATACCATCATATATTAGAGATAGTCATGTGGCTGTTATATGTTATGATATAACCAATAAAAAATCATTTAATAATTTAGATAAATGGATTAAAGATGTTAAATTAGAAAGAGGAGATGATGTTATAATAGTATTGGTGGGTAATAAACTGGATCTTTCCAATGATAAAAGACAAGTTACCATTGATGATGTTGAAAAATTACATCGAACTATTGGATCTAAATTTTATATTGAAACCAGTACTAAAGCAAATCATAATGTTAAATTATTATTTAAAAAGATTGCTCAATCATTACCTGAATTTGAACAACAACAACAAAATCAAGATGGTGAGAATAATCAAAATAACCCGGAAACCATTGATATTAGTATTGATAATAATCCTGCTGTTTCAACCAGTAGTAGTTGTTGTTAGTGATATCGGCAGAAGCAGCAGCAGCATCATCATCATAGATTAAATGTCAATCTCATCGATCAATGGTTGTAAGATAATGATTTATAAAATATTTTATTATTATTATATTTATACATACATATATAAATATTTCAAATTATTATAGTACAAAGTAATAGATTATTATCTTTAATAAAATTTCATAATAATAATAAATAATATATAATAACTTAAATAATATTAATCTAGGAGTTGTAGCTATATTCCATAATATTTTACAATCTAAAATGTTTTATAGGATAGGAATCCGCCCCTCACTTTGATTTCAAACCCCCTAATTAAATATTAAAGATGTGTTAATTGTCGAAATATACGAATTCGAAAAAGGAGTTATCAATTAAGATTAAACCCCCTATTCCCCCCATATGATGAGATTGAAGAGCAAAAGGATCTGACATAACTGGGGGTTGATATAATGAAGCCTTTAAGGTGTACATTTTTTCTTTTGGCTAATGAGGTTTCCTTTCCTTACACAAGATCAAAATTTATGTTTAGGCTAAAATTCTCCCCCATAAACAGTTAACATCCGCATTCCGAAGAATCACCCACCACCACCACCACACTAAATTTTTGATCTAGATTGATTTACAAATTTTATTATGATTAATTACTATTATTATTATTATTAAACTTTTTATTATTATTATTATTATTATTATTATTTGTTGTTAATTAATAACATAATATTACTTCCTTTTCATAATTAAAAATAATTACAAAACTGGCTGGACAGTAGCCGGAAGCAAGCTAAGGCTAAGGCAATCCAAGGCAAGCCAGTCAAAGAATGAAAATAGTGAAGGAATGTGAAATAATATTTTTTACTGAGCAGCATAAAAAAAAAAAGACGTTGCGGCGCATCTTGCCGCTAAGTAATCGAAATCGCGGAAGTTAAATTTTTGAAAGTTATGTAAAAATATCCACAAACAGAAATAGAAAGAGAAAGAGAGAGATCTAAAGGCGGTAGCAACTATAGATAGCTAATAAGAGTTAAAGTGAGGGTAGATGAGTTGTTGTTGGTTTATAGTAAGTAGTACAAAAGTCCTATAACAATGGAGAACATTGAATTACAAGCCTTGATTTGATAGATCTATCAGAGCTGGATGTGAGAAGTGGGGAGCAAAGTGAGTGAGTTGGTTGGTATAGGAAACGAAGGAAGGAGTTCCATAGTTAGATTTAGAATTGCCTGAAGTAGTTTTTGACCACAACAATAAGAACAATGACAACTTGTAATCATTTCTTATTCTTTTTGTGCCCCATACTTCACTTCTCCCTCTCCCCAATGGCATGACCACTTGACGATACGATACGATATGATATGATATGATATGATATATGATTTTTGATATTAATATTTCCCAATCACAATAACAAAATGCAATAGTAAACAAATCATTAATTAAACCTTCATTGTAACCAAAACGATTCTAAATATAATAATTGGATAGGTGCCCGTATTTAACACCTATCAAAATTATTAATTACAAAGTTTAAATTATGAAATTTTTATAATAATAATCATCATCATTGTTATAGTTAATACTGATAAATAGAAAAATAAAAAGGTTAAACTCAACTTAAGTCAAGTCAAGCCAAGCCAAGCCATTTCTCGTATCTAGTTCCAATTGATAGATCTTCGCTGGTTGAATCACTCGCTATTTCGTAATAGTACATAGTTTGTTTGTTTGTTTGTTTGTTTGTTCGTCGTAGGATATGTATAAACTCTAGCCTGCTCCTAATGGGGGAGAAGGGAGGGAGGGGGAGACAGATTGTAGATCTAAGTTTAATGTATCTTGACAATAGAACAGACAATCTCACAAAAGTAAAAAAAACGGATGATTTTTTGCCTTCTTTTTTTGTGTTACACCAAATTGGTTTTTTTTTTTTTCTTTTCTTTTTTGATTATTATAATAATATAATAACAATATAATAATAATACAATAGAAATATGCTCTTAATACGAAATGAAACGGAACAAAATCAAAATTATCTTCAATTAATTGCATAACCAAACTTACAACGGAATGATAAACCATGTTCAAGGCGACACCTTTTATTGTGTGAAGGCGAGTGATCAGTTTATATATATTTCCGTTTTGTATCTCTTGATAGTTAGATATTGTTGCCATAGTATTTTTCACTCAGATCACTATAATAAAAGTTTGGGGTAAAGCAAATTATTTCGATTTGTGGTATTATTTGGTTACGTACAGTATGTACTGTATGTATCTGTATGTAAGTAAATTCTTTTTTTTTTTTTATTTTATTTTTTCGATTTTATTTTTTTCGTGATTTAAATTTAAATTGTCTTTTTTTTTTATTTTCTTTTTCAATCATAAAAATTTCTATTTATTTTTTTTCACCTTCCATTGTTCTCGTTATACGAAGTTTTCGAATTTTGAACCTATAGATGAGAATTATTATCAATTATGGTAATCTTACATTACAACCTTAAATAATATTACTATATGAAAGATTCATAACAATGGCAAGGACGTATTCTTACGTCCCCGTATTCAAATGTCAGAATCCAAAATCTTACCAATAATAGCCTGCAATATAATGTCTATATTGGTTAGATAAACAATGTAAATGAAGGCCAAGCCAAACTTATAGTAGTTAACTTGTTTTTTTTATTTTTGGAGGACTTATTTATTAATGTATGTATGTATAGTTATTGTTGATTTAAACGAACTGACTCTATTATAGAAAATAAATTCTAATTAATCCATACGTTATAACATTTATTATACTGATAAGTTTAACATTTTCTAAAAATACAATCCAATACATAAAACCTTAATAATAATACTTCAATTATTAAAAATTAATAAAATTAGAAATGAAATTTTAACCTCCTTACTTAAGTAAGTAACAGATAGGTACTTCGTACCTGGTGTTAGTTACTGCTGCTATATAACTGACATCGATGTGGAACTGAAAAAAAAAAAGATCTGTGGCCACGTCCCATAAATTTAGGCTGCTTTTGCTTTTTTTTCTCGGTGCTTTTGCTCCTTAGAACGAACCTAAAAAAATATATATGTAAATACATCTATAAAATTTTTAAGGGGATATCTCTAACCAAAAAAAAGACTCGAAAAAAAAAAGCCATAAAAAATAATAAATGAAAACATCAAAAGAGAGGCATAAAAAATATCATAAACAGCCAAAAAAAAAAAGAAATTTAAAATTTTTGGTTGTCGTCCCTATTAGGAAGGATATGAAGATTTCAACGAATTAAAAAAAAAAAAGTTCAAAGTTCGTAGATTTAATGTGTGTGTGTGTGTGTGTGTTAATATGACAACAACAACTCTATTTGATTGATATACGAGACATTCCACAATAGAGATCGAAATCGAAGTCGAAGTAGAAGTAGAACGTATTCGAAAACGTATGAGGGAAAATAATAATAAAAGTTTATCTTAATGTGTCACCACATTCAGTAAATCTAGGTGGGTAATTAATTTAAACTTTGTTTAGTGTTAAGTCAGGCGCTGCTTAGCAACAAGAAAGAAGTAAGGTGGTAAAGATCATATTAAAGCTACATACGTTTTATAAAAAATTAAGCAAGAACATGTAGAACTACCGCAAGGTAATGTAAGACTGAAAAATTAAAGGAGAAGGGGGAATGGGCGAGTGAGGTGAATTGAAGTGAAGGGGAAGGGCATGGCAGGGTAGTGAGAAAAAATTTTTAGTGACTGACAGATATATCAGGACCAGGTCAAGTCAATAGATGATAGAAATCATCGAATATGAACAATGAAAGGCGGGCGGTTCTATAAGTTCGCTTCTATTGAAAAGCCCAATCAATCCTAATTATAGAAAATTACCAAGGGTATTGTTGCTATCCACGGAATTATTCACTTGTGTTTATGATTGATTGTTTAATTATACTATGAAATAGAAAGAAAAATAAAAGAAGAAGAAACGATCGGGGACATAACAAATAGTGCCCTTTATGCAAGAGGATATGTAAATCGTGAACCTAGTGGCATGATTTGTAAAACATAACAAAGAAGTAGAAGTCTATTGTATGTCAAATCCAGACAAAGAAGAAGACTAATTGGAATGGATTTGGCCTAATAAATAATTTAGGGAAGGGAAAGAAAAAAAAAAGACGTTTTATTTTTATTCCCACTATTTTTTAATAGAACGGAAAAGAACAAAGGGAAAAAATTACTGTGCATCCTCTTTGCCTGCTCACTCACATACATTACAATATAAGTTAGTCTATAATATACTCTAATCTATTCTATGTCATTGTATCTTTCTTTATACATCCTTCTTTTTGTTCTACATGACATGACCACGATATCTCATCCCTAGATTTAAGGCGGATAAAGTGATCACTATAATTGATATTTAATTCTCTACGTTGTCATAACCTTTTGCAAGAATTCCATTGTAATTTTTTCTTTTTATGTACGCTAATGATAGAGGTGGATAAACAGAATAATATTCCGCTAAGTGAATATTAATATCCCTCCATTGTTTTCAATTTTCGTAAGCGTATCGGTAAAAAATTAGAAGTGAAAACTGATGTTTAATTATAGATACGCCGTTTCTCTATGTTACTGTCAATTAAAATAAACTATGTTCCTTGTTGCCTAGTTCTATCGCCCTCGATCTCCTCAAAAAAAGTTTAACTTTATCCCCTCATTTCATTATAAATCTGATCATATTAAACCGTAACTAGTAAATCCCTTAATTGAACAATGTCATTAAAACAATAAAAATATTACTACAACCTTATTACGATACGAACGATAGTTAATTATGATCATCTAAATAGTGAATAGGAAACAATAAACCATTCCCAATTTTTGGACCGCCCTGAACTAAAAAAAAGCAAAAAATAAAACAAGGGAGTAAATTTGTTTGTGTAGAGGAGGAACCATGACGATAAACGAAAACGAAAACAAAAGAATGAAAGAAAACCCCACTATTCGAAATGAAATTTGGTTGATCTAGATGGTAAGATATAAATTCTAGTGTATTGGTAGGTAGGTAGGTAAGTGCTAGATGTCGAACCTATACGTTTTTAGTAAATTAATTTTTAGTCTAAATTAATTTTAATTATAATACGAACATTTATTATTAAAAAATAATGATTAAAAAACACAAGGTTTTTTTTATTCAGTTACTAGCTATTGATTAGGCTTTCTGGATAGGATAATTTTAATAATGATCGTTTATTCCTGACAAAATACCCCAATTAAGATATATGAAGTATTTTTATTTTTCATAAAATTGTAACCACATCATACGAAAGTATGTAGGTTTTTAGTAATAAGAAACTTCGTTTCGAAATAGAAATAAAAATAAAAAAAAATAATAATAAAAAAAATAATAATAATAATAATAAACTACTACTAATAAATTGCTCTTTGTTCTGCTTCGAATATCACTTACGAACTTTTACAAAAACTTCTGAATCATGTAAACTGCTATAGAGAATTCATTGTTGTAGTTTGTTATTTTATTTATGTAGTGCATTAAATTATACATTTTGATGGAAGTTATTGTTTAGGCTATAATTGAGGAAAGTTCCGTGCCCCATTGTATACCCGATGTCAAAAATCTTCATTCATGATATATTGATCTGACACGTATATAAACTACTTCTCTTCCCTGTCATTTCAATTCAATCCCATTCAATTTGATCTACTAATTACATATCTTTCTTGCATCTTTTTCCCACCTCCTGCTCCCTACGCTAAAAAATATATTTTTCAAGTCAGAAAAAAAAACACATACATAGAACGTATCTTCCAAATCTTGTGGACAGACACATATACTTACATATCCTATCATACATATCTCATTCCTTTCTTAATTTGTGATATTAATAAGATTTTAGCTTCTCGCTAGATTTAGCCTGCCCTCGTTCAAATTTTACTCATTAATTATAGAAGGTGAGCAAGAAAGAGATTCCCTGGATAACTATCTTTTTTTTTTCTTATTCTATTTGAGGCTTCCAATTCCGCGTCTTTTGTCATATAAGTTCAAAAGCTAATAATAAGAATTATTAAAAGAAAGAAAGCTTTTAATTCAAAAATCAAACTATCGTGTAACATAATTTTAGCTGTACCTTGTCGTCCTCGAGTTGTCAACTTTAAATTTTTGCTGGCACAATTGTACTCACAAAATCTTATTTTTGTGACATTCATAGTTTAGCACACATTAAAAAAAAAAGGTTTGATTTAAAATTTAACATATTATTTTTACTTGGATTCTGGCTTTACATAAATAAATACTGGAAAATAAGATAAACATATCACATACGTACATACCCGGCAGACGTTAACATTTGCTCATCATAAATTTTATCAAATCAAATTAGGTGTTCGTTCGTTCGGTAAACGTTTGATATATCCTCAATTTCAATTCAAATCACTAGACTTTTCATTTCCATATATTTTAATTTTGGTTTGTGTTTGATTTGCTTTGATTCTGATTCCGTTGTCCTAACTTCACTTCACTTCGCTTCACTTCATTTAGTTAAGTCTTTTTCATCGCTAACTTTTAGTACTTTGAAGTATTTCTACATTTCCGCCAAGAGAAACGGTCGAGGTTCTTAATATTATTAAGCACTTTATAATAATAACACTCCCTGTTTTTATTTTCTGGTGCTTTTTTGGCTTCCCCTTTTTGCAAGAGAGACAAGAAGGAATTTTACAAAATTTCTTTTTTTGTTCAATTCAAAAAAATAATTTAAATTTTAATTTATTTTTAATTTTTTAATTATTTTTTTTATTTTATTTTTTTTTTAATTTATTTTTTTTTTTTTGGTTTAAAAAAATAAATTGTTTTTTTTTGTGAGTGGTGGTGCCTTTTTTTTGATTATTTTTTTTTTTGGTAAAACAGGAACCAGAAATTTTTTAATCCAAAATATAAAAAAATAAATATTTCTGTCGTTTTCATTTTCTACCAAAACTTTTGTTTTTTTTCTGGTGTTATTCTTCATTTATACAACATTTGTTTTTAGTTGTTGTTAAGTCAGTCTAATTTCCAGTTTTAAGAAGAAATAATCTCATAAGAAATCATCTAGTGATAGATTGCAGTCCCCTTACGTCAAAATCGAACTAGTCTAAATCGAATCGCTCCCACCAATAGCCCAAAAAAAAGGTTTTGAGGAGATTCTGTCATTCAGGAAAATTTGAAACTGTCAACAAATATTTAACAATATTATAAGAGAAACAACCATATTCCCCACCAATTAATCCAATCATTCACTCATTCATTCATACTTTTACTGTCGTCTATTCATTACCATATATCAAAAATAAAAAAATCCAGTTCAAATGTTTACTATGATTGATCGAACTTCAGATATTTTACAAAATTCGGCATCTAAATTACAAGATTCCCCTCCTCAACAACAATCACTGCCACTTCCAGGTGCACCATTATCATCCAATACCAATCATATTCAGTATCAACGTCTGATTCATCATCAACATCAAGATGAAGAACAACATCAACATCAACAGCAGCAACAAGCCTCAATGAAACCAAAATCAAAACGATCTTCAAAGGGAAGAGTATTCCAATGTACAGGTTACCCTGGATGTAATATGTCCTTTACAAGATCAGAACATTTAGCCAGACATAAAAGAAAACATACTGGTGAAAGACCATTTACTTGTCCTTATTGTTCAAAGAATTTCTCCAGATTGGATAATTTAAGACAACATAAACAAACTGTTCATGCTTATGAATCTTACGTTAAAAAAGATGATGATTTAAATGATAATAATAATAATGGTAATGGTATATCTAACCCAATTACCCCAAATAATCCATTATTTAATCAACCTGGTGGTTCATCTTCACCTCAGCACTTACATCCACATCATCATCTTGCTCATCATCATTTACTCCATTCTCATCATCCTCATCATGTTTCTAATATATCGTCTGCATCTAATTCAACTGGAGCTTCTACTTCATCTTCATCATCATCTCCTTCATCGTTAATATCACCTCCAAATCTGCAATCCCCTCATTATCAATTACAAGGATCCATCCAATCTTATGACATAAATGGTAGTTCAAGTCATAATAGTAGTACTACATCTGGAAATAATAGTTTATTAAAATTACCTACTCATGAATTCAAACCAAAAAGAAGACCAAGACCATTATCTTTACTGCATTCATTTGTCACTAATTCATCAAGTATGAAAGGAATATCATCACCTATTATATTAAGTGGAGATTTAAAATCTGCTCCACCAATCAGTGGGTTAAATCCAAATTCATCAATGTTAAGTGCATCATTATCATCAGCTTCTCCATCTTATTCATATCCAGTACCTCCATTATCGGCTGGAGCTCATATACCAAAATCATCATTAATTTCATTAACTCCAAATTTAGTAAGTCCATTATCACCATTATTCCATCAATCATTTAGTCAAACCACCATAAAGAATAATAGTAGTAGTTCACCTTCTATTCCTCATCATTTACATCCACATCATCCTCATCATCATCATGTATATCATCAAGTTCCACCTCCTCAACCTCAAAATGGTAATGGACCTCATAAAATGTTACCACCAATTGTTCAAATCAGACAACTACTGCAACTGCAACAACAAAATGAATCTACTAAAGTATGGTTAAAGGGAGTTTTAAATGATGAAAATAATGCTAGTAATATAACAACTACAACCTTACCCATAATAAAGAATGAAGGAATTAATTCATCGTCATCTTCATCATCATCAATTTCATCCGCATCATCAGCCTCATCTATACTACATGGAGGAGAAAATGGACATAGTAATGGTGATACTATTATGAATGATTCTACAAATGGTGAAGAAAATGAAGAAGGTAAGACTTCCAAGAAGCCAACTATTAATAGCTTATTATCACCAAATTAATGATAGAGTAAAAGGGTCTGCTCTGCCAAGTAAAGTCCAACTTAAGGAAGAAAAATCAGGGGATTGATAGTGTTGATGGAAAGCTTATTAATATTTGACTTTGTTAAGACCCACCACCTCCTGGTGCTTAATAATTTAGACTACAGCTGAATTTTCGATTGTTTTCTTATTTTTTATGAATTGGAGGTTATTTTGGAGGAGGAAGAAGAAGGAAAAAAAAATAAAAATAAAATTAAAAATAAAGAAATAAAAAAAAGAGAGAGAAAGCACAAGAAAAAAAAAATAAAAATAAAATTTTTTTGTCGTTTGTCGTTAAACAAAAATTAAAAAAAAAAAATAAATAAATTATCATCAAAAATTTATTATTATTACTACTATTACTATTACAAGTTAAAATACTACTTAGTTTGAGTAGGTTCTAGTTTCAAAAAAAGGATTATACAACTAAATAAGTTAATCAAATTGTCATTTTTTATTATTATTTTCATTCTAACTGTCATCATCATTTCATTCAATGATTCATTCATTCATTCATTCATTATTTTCATTCATTCTAGGTTCAATGGATTGAAAGCATTCCATTCTGTTCTGTATAAACTTATCAATTACGTTTAATTATAGGGTATTCTATTTTACTGGTGTTTAAATTCTGTATATATATATATATATATATTTATATCTTATAAGGGGTATTTTTTTTCTTTTCTTGATATAATTTATTTTTATTTTTATTTTTTATATTTTAGCTTTTTAATTCTTTTTTTTTTGTTTTGTTAGAGAGTAATTGAATTTTTATATATTTATTATTATTATTATTATTTTTTATTGGGCAAGATTTTCGTACAGGTCTACGTTTCGTTTGTCTTTCTAATAAATACACCATTTCTTTTATATATCATTGTATTATATATTTTACTATATATTCTGAGTAATTCTTTTGTGTAATGGTGAGAGATAAGTTTGCTATGTTAGATTTGTAGGCATATTTCTCTTTATAAATAAGGCTTAAAATGAGCTTTGGATGAATGATTTAGTATGGAAGCATCTCAAATGTAAAAATAAATTATTTTTATCACCAGTGCATGACGCTGTATACAGTACCAGCATTAAAAAAATGGTCTATTTTTGGAACGTTTTTAAGAACGATAATACGTAAGTGTGTCAGTAATGATGAAAAGGGGGAAGAATAAAAAAAAAAAATAGCTTACGAATAAGCAGAAGAAAAGGGGGACAAGGAAGTGAAAAAGTGAGAGAAAAGGCCCACTAAATCGAGGAGACGACGAGAGGCGAAAAGGGGGAATACGACGGGGAGAAGGCCATTGAATAAATTAGGTTACATTGATATATAAACCCTAATGATGCGATATTCGTTAGATAGGTAATCTTAAAAGGAACCCCTTTTAGATATCACTAACCATGGTGATCTCATGAACATCCACAATAGAAATGATCGAATTAGAATATAAAGAATGTTAAAAAAGAAATGAAATGAAAAAAAAAAACCTAATATAGAACAAATCTAGTCGAACGACCGTCAAAATTTTGGTTCTTTTAATTTTTTCTTTCAGGTTACTTTCATTTTTTTTTTTTACTGAGGTTTTTTTTTTTTTTTTTTTTTTTACTGTAAATCTTTTTTTTTTTGGTTAACGTCAAAAATAAAAAATGAATTTGAAGTTGTTGTAACTGTGCGTTAAAATTGTGTTTTATTTATCTAATCAAAGGTGCATAATTAGACCCAAAAATTATTTGGATAGTTCTACCCAGAAAACTTTCCATAAATCATCAATGTAAATGTAACCCACTCAAACTCTACTTGAAATCGATATATCCATGGAATAAAAAGATTTACAGTTACGTACCCAGTGGAGGATCTCTGTTCTCCCTCACCTTCTTTAAAAATGGTTCTTCTTCCTCCACTTTAAACCTCACAAAAATAAAAATAAAAATAAAATTGAAAAGTCCAAAATCGTGTAAATAAAATTTAAATGATGACGTTATTATACATATGAGCCAAGTTTTTATAAAATATTTCAATTCAATACTTACTTCATTCTCTTTAAAAGTACGGCGCTTAATAGAGGAGGTTCAATACAGTTAAGCCTAGCGTTGAAAGCCTATACATAATAGGAAATAACAGAAATCTTTCACTATATAGCAAGTGTAACCTTCTAGTAATAGAGTGGCTTTTTTTTGTCAATGTAATCAAACCCAAATAAAAAAAAAAAAATGGAAGATTTAATCGCTAATAGATACACTATTTGATAAATCTGTTCCTTATAAGTTTAAACGTTTATTGCCCCCAACGTTTGAAGAGCGGTTATTTCTCTGTTTCTGTTATCAATAACTTAAATTATGAAGATATGGGATATTGGTATCGGGTTTATAGTTCATGATAAATTTAAACTTTAACTATAGGTATCAACTTGCAGATTTTGGAGGTGGACCTATGAATATTTGAAAGCATGGCTTGAATCATTCGATCCTATAATCTAGACGGCACCATTCCCTATCGATCCATCCACCCACACAACACAACACAACAACACGAATTTCGTATTTACTACAGCTTTCAAATAGACCACACCCCTAAATATGTATAATACATATATTTAAACTAATATGTATGTACAAAATTCAAATTCATTTCTGTGTAATGGAATGTATCCGCGAACATCCCGCATCCTCCTTGTTTCAAATTATCATAGCACCCTGGGGAAGATCCTATCCTATTGAAAGGGCTAGATCATTAATTCATCCTTTAAATTTTGAAGTATCTCTAATTGATATATTATATAATGAGATTTATTATCTTGTTGAATTAAAAGATTAATTAAATTGTTTAATAAATTATTAATAGTAACAAATTTAATTATAATAGCATTATATCGTTTATATATCACATCAATTTTGGAAAATTTCTTATTGATCATAGCTTGAATTGAAGTATCATTATCATTATCGTTGTCGTTATTATCATTAGCATTATCATTATGTTTATCATTACTATGTTTGATGGACAATTTATCCAGTCGTAAATTAGGTAAAATCATTTCAATTATAAAAGTTTCATAATCATTGATTATCTTAAATAAATTTTGATTCTGATCCTTTTTAAATTGAACTAATTTTGAAAGATATTGATTATCATTAATTAATTGTTCAATTCTTCTCTTACTCTTATCTATATTTATATTTGAACTATCATCATAATTAGTTGGTAGATCATATTTCTTAATCAATAAGTATCGCAATGAATCAACATCGTCATATTGTGATTTATTAATCTGTTCTCTTCTTAATTTATCTGCTTCTTCATCATCATCTTCTTCTTCTACTTCCTCTGGTGACAGTCTTCTCTCTTCCTTTTCCATTCGTATACCATCTTTAATTTCATCATCATTCATCACGTCTCCAATCTCCTTTACACCTTCATCATATTCATCTAAATGAGGGAGTTTCAATTGATGATCAATCAAATGATTCAATCGACTTAATAATGTTTCATTCTGTTTAATTTGATTATTCAATTGTTGACTTAAATCAATCAATGGTTTGATATTCTCGGTCTTTAATAAGAAGTAATTCGTTTGTAATAACATATTGGAACTACCGCCTCCATTGTTGATGGAAGTAGATCCATTCATCGATATATCTCCCATCTTATAATTGATCCTATCTGACTATCTATCTATCTACTTATGTTGTAAAAGTTTGTTGGCTTGTTGGTCTGTTTTGTTTTGTCTCGTCCGTTTTTTTCTGACGTTTATTTTTGACACAAAATAATTCACGACAAATTGATTTTTTGACAAAACTCTTTTTTCGAAATTTGATTTATATTTAATATAAAAAAAAGTAATAACCATAAAATAAACTGTATAAATAAATACATATATATAAAGTAGAAACGAATATAAGGAAGTAAAGAAAATAATATGCTAAATGAATCGAATCATAAATCTGAATTTGAATATATATATGAAAATGATGTTTGGGGTATAGTTGATATCTATTGTATTACTATGGCTGGGGACTATACACTATTATAAACTAGCATTCTATCTTGATGATTGTTGTTCTTGTTGACGTTGTAATTGAGCAGATTTCCGTTCTTGTTTACCCTTTTTCATAACTTGTTTTAACCCAACACTATCTAATGGATCTAATAATTCAAATGAACATAATAATTCTTCACTAACACTCATAACTGCTCCCCAATTATCAAATTCACCACAATAATTTGGAGCTGAAAATACCGTTACCAATGTACGATCATTAAAGAATTCATAACCATCTTCAACCACCATATGAGCTCGACAAACTAAATCAAATCCAAATTTAGATAGAAATTTATTAATAGCAACTTTTGAAAATACATATGAAACCCCTCTTTCATTATCTTCCCATTCATTAAACGTATCCGCCGGATCTGACCATAATAAATCATTTAATAATCCATAATCAGGTACATCAGTTGGTCTAGCTATATTTCTAATTTCATCCATGGAATGTAATACAGGAGATAAACCACCATGAACACAAAATATCTTTCCCGCTACAATAGCAGCTATAGGTAAAGTATTAAATGTATCAATGAATAATTTCCAAGTTTTAATATTACATCTTCTTTTACATTCATCATAAAATCCATAAACTCTAGTAACATTGGCACATTCATGATTTCCTCTTAAAAGGAAGAAATTTTCCGGATATTTGATTTTATAACATAATAATAATAAGATAGTTTCTAATGATTGTTTACCTCTATCAACATAATCCCCCAAGAATAAATAATTGGTCAGCGGTGGGAATCCACATTTAGTGAAAATACGAATCAAATCTCCATATTGACCATGAACATCACCCACTACTTTCACAGGAGGGGATAATTCTAATAATGAAGGTTGACTTAAGAATATTTCTCTAGCAGTTGAACAAATTAATTGAATCTCATCGTTTTTAAGACATACATTTTTAGTTCTTTTCCCACTATATCCCGCATCTAATAATCGTTGAATTAAATCTTCAATATCAATGGTATTAGTGGTATTCATGGAGAATGATGTGCTTGTGGTGGTTTTGGATAATTTATAACTATTATTGCTGGTACTTATATTTGAATTTGTTCTTGATACGATGGTTGCTCCACCACCATTATTATTATTATTGTTGTTATTGCTGTTTGAATTGCTATGTATGGAAGCTGCGCTATTACTTACTTCTCGGGAAAGTTTTTCATTATCATTACTGTTATTATTATTATTGTTATTATTATTATTATTGTCATTGAGGGAAAGTGATTCGATATTACCATCTAAATCATCAGCATCACTATTGATACTATTGCTTAGACTATGTATACTTTTTGTATCATCTATACCTAAAATACTATTACGAGCAGAAGTATTTTGCGGTGATAATGCTATGGAATGATTGGTTGAAGTTCTTGATAAAGCGTTATTATGAATGGAGATGGGAGTATCGATACTATCATTGGTATTTCTTCTTAATAATATAGGTTCTTTTGGTTCTACTTGTATCATGGATGGAGGCAATGTAATATTTGATGATGATAAGTTTGTATGTTGATTATTAAGTATAGTAGGATTATTATTGTCATTGTCATTATTGGTTATAGTACTATTATTGGTAATACCAGACGGTATATCTTTTAAATCAGCCAGTGAATTTTTTCGGGATAATATTTTAGGAGATTTAGGACCTAATTTGGGTGAATCTGTAATATTATTAGCGGTAGAGTCTTCTCTTTGTAAGGATATTCTTGAACGTACTGATCTTGATGATTTTGTGGAACCCGAAGTGTCCGTCCTTGTTAAGGGAGTACCTGGTCTTGAACTATTATTACCCATGATTTATGTGAATTTTAAAAGTGATGATGATGATAATCAATGTAAGCAATTTTTATAATACTAAGTGTGATAAGATGATTGTACTTGTATATAATCAAATAAATGTATCTAATGTAATCTAATCAAATGGTGATGACGGCTTCTGTCTGTAAGTAATGAAGACAATAAGATATGATATGTAATGCAATGATGAATGGATGGGATGGATTGGGAATGAAAGGCAAATGAATCAATGAATGAATCAATCAATCAATCTATGAAACGATAGGAATGGATGGGATTGGAATAGGTCTAATCAAATGCTAAGCCAGATATGATGATCTATATATGTGTTCTGGTATAGATTGATAGAATACAATGGATTTGTAATTGTAATTGTCACCTCTTCTGCTTGTGCGGGTGAGTGAGTGAGTGAGTGAGTGAGTGATAGGCTATTTGATTTATCTCACAACTTATATACAACAAATGACAATAGATAGAAAGGATATACAAGTTAAGGTGAGACTTAATCCTTCAAACTCTAATTAATGATTAATAATAAATAATTATTTGATTATAATTGACGAACGATATAAAATCTTGTGCTGGCACCTTGGGGTTTAAGTTTTTCTTTTTCAGTTCAAATTTTGTTGAAACTATGATGATAAAATGTCGCACTGGTGGTGATGTCGTCGTTACTATATAATAATTCTAGCCTCCCTTTCTTTTTCTTTCTTTCCCCATAGGAAAGGCGGGAACACCTATTTCTAAATATACGAATCAATCAAATACCAGCACGACATTTTACTCTAATGATGAATAGCAGCCATAACACTAACTTCATCATACATGAACAAGAATAATTATAGAACCCCTATTCAACTTTAAAGTCTAGAATTTAATTGATCTCTCAAATCTGGTTAAACCTAAACTTGGAAATTTAGTTCGATACCATAACTTTATTAAGTTAGTTAAGTTAGTTAGTTGGTTAGTTGGTTATTAACTATCTACATTTACGATTTATTCTAGTACATTATAAGTATTGTACTGACCAATTGATCAATAACTTCAGCCTCCTAAGTCCACTCGCACATATATACAAATGATAAACAAACTAAGATAAACACACTGTATTATAAAAAATTTTTACATTTTGTAACTTATTCTTATCTATTTCTCTAAAAAAGGACCAAGTCTTATGATGGATGAAATTCTGTATGTATTGCGGCATGGGTGTTTATTGAAAGGAGATTGGAAATCATCAAAAGGTAAATCAATCAATCAAACTATAAAGTAGACCATATGCATATACTATTAACTGTAATGGTTAGGTCTAACTAATGGAGTTTGCATTAACGTTGAAAAGGTTATGAACGATTAATAATCATATTACATAATTATCTGTTGTAAGCCATCACTAAAGGGTTATCTTTTAATTTTTCCTTATTAGGATAAATTTACAAATTTTATTCTTTATTACTCCTACTAATTTCTCCTATTTCAATTTCAATTTCAATTTCATACCAATATACACAAAGAAGAAATGATATATAGTTGAAATCTTACTATATTTAATTATTCGTGTTGAGTTCGGAAATATACCCCGAAAACAATGAAGATCCTGTATAAAGCAGTTATTAGATCTATCCAATAACTTCTAAGTTATCAATGATAATGATATCTAGTTAGAATTCAAGTTAAGTTGTTACATTTAAACCCTTTTAGGTTTGATTCTACGGTCCTTCTTTAGTTAGTAAATATCATCATACCCATAAACACTTCGATTAGCTTAACAAAGAACTTATATCACAACTTACAATAGATTTGCCATTCGGTCGTATACAAAGTTACCGACGTAAGATGAGCCCCACCGTAAATGACCTAACAAACAAACAAGAACAAGAAGAATGGATGAAATGGAATTGATTACTATAAACAGATTTGATTGTTGTCGATATTATGCAGGATAGATGGCGGTTACAAATAATTTTATTATTTACCGCTCTCGAAACCATCCTACCTTCCCAATTAGGCAAGGTGTGAGCGCATCTTCATTAACTGATAACTGATCTAACATATAAAGATCAATTCCCACTTTAAATTCTATAAATAATTATCTATAACTGTTTCTTTCTTCCTTTCTTCCTTTCTTTTGATTCCTTTTCTCCCTCTCTAACTTATTAATCCAACTAGTTAATACTGTTAATATAAATTCATTACAGATGAATAATAATGTTTGCCCTCATTTCAGAAGATTACCATGAATCAAACCAAAAGGGTAAACCACGACTGCCTAAGTCTCAGGGGGTTACTTTAAACTCAAATCGTACTATATCATCTCCATCCTTATTATCATCTACTACCAGAGCTTCTAGTTTAAGTTCTAGTTCATCATCATCATCATCATCCACCCCACGATCATTCACTCCACCAACAACATCAACATCAACACATTTGAGTTTAAATTTATCTGATAACTTTGTTATCGCCAATGATAATGACAATCTTACTAATAGTGGTATTAAGGTCACTAGTGGTTCGGGTATTTTACAAAATACTAAACCATTAAGCCTTACTAGTTCTATTGATAATTTTGACATTGTTAATGGTAACCTCCTGAGACTGACAGCTTCAACCATAACCCCTTTGATTCAATCTTCTACTACTCCTCCAAATAATAATAATAATAAAAATAATAATAAAAATAATAATAATATCTTAATTAATAACGATAAAATCTTAGAAAAGAATAATAATGAAGTCAATTCCCATATAATTATTCCTCCTCAAACTGAAATTAGAACCAATGTTACAACTGCTACTGTTACTACTTCTTCATCTGCTGCTTCTACTTATAGTGTTGAAAAGAGAAGAAATACTGAATCAAGTATTACTTCCAGATCAATTGAATCTTCCTTCTCCATTAGGAGTGATTTGAATATCTCTATTGAAAAAGCTTCCGTTAAAGATTATAGAAGAGTTGCTAAAACTTTGGTTATTGCTTTTGAAGATGATCCATTTATGAATTATATCTTAAATACCGCTAATATTACTAAAGAAAATACTAATAAAGCTAGTTATAAAAAGAAAAAATTAGATTTGATGCAAGCTTATTTTGAATATGATTCTTATGAATGTATTTCTTTAGGTGGTACTATCTTTATCATTAAAGATAATAATTTAGAACAATCTTTAGATGATTTAGGGGTTAAAAAGGATAAGTTTCCTTATCTTGGATGTGCCCTTTGGAATCAAATCTATGGATCTAATTTAGATTCATCATCATCAGGAAGTTCGGATGATGATTATGATGATGAAGATTATTTTGATCCTGGTTCTTTAACATTTAGAGATAATTTCCATCCATCATCATTAAAATTTAATTTTAGAACAATTATGGGTCATTGTAGATCCAAAATTTTAAAAGATAAATTACCATTCTTGTATAAGGTTCGTAAAGATGTTTTGATTAAACAATTGATTAAAAAACAATCAGTTAATCAAAATAATTCAATGGATATTTGGTATTTAAATGATATTTCAACTTTACCATCAATGAGAGGTAAAGGATTAGGTAAATTATTAATTGAATATGCTTTAAATAAATTTACTGAACAAAATTCAAATTCATTTGCTTATTTAGAAAGTTCAAATCCAAAAAATCGAAAATTTTATACAAAATTAGGCTTTAAAACAATGACAAGTTTTTCAATCAGACATAATAAGATTGTTGATTCTAATAAAATTAATCAAAATGATCCAACTAATGAAGGTATTAATATGGATTCTATGGTTTTCTTTCCAGAACCAAGAGAATAGTTGATTTTCAATTGTCATTTTTATCTTTTAATAATATCTATCCAAGTTTCAAATTATATGGTTTCTTTTCAAATTTTATCGTTTCGTGTTGATACTTACTCCCGTAAGTAACTACTATTTCCTTTTTTCAATTCTTCAACTTAAATTAATAAAAATCAAAAAAAAAGTACTTATCTTTTACTTTATCTTGCTGTTTGTTTGTTGGTTGCAAGTAATTTAATTGTTCACTTCATTGTTGCAATGATTAAATCAACTAATAAAACACCCCCTTTTTTATACTTCTTTCACCTTAAACCATAGTTTTTTTTGTATAATTTCTGTTATACTTATATAGCTTCCAGAAATATATTCATTTTCTATTAAATTAAAGTTGTAATAGTCTGTTCTGTAGTTAGTATAATTTATACTTGGAGGAAATCAACGAGATTGAAAAACGAGATTGAAAAAAAAAAGTATCATGAAAAATAAAATAAATTTTACAACTTCTTTTGATAGCAACCAAGTCATGTTAAGGAGTCTTATACGATCCAACCGTACACTCATACCGTCCAGTTCGTTGAGGTCTTTTCATTCGGTTCCTTCATTACTCAATAAACAAAAAGAGTTCAATTCCAACCCTGATTCAGCTAATTCACCAACTATAGATGAAAATGGATTATATTATGGAAAATTTACCAAACAAGAATATGAAGATGCAACTAAGGTAGTTAAACAACAAATTGAAAAATTGGAAGGTGATATTAAAGGTGATTTCAATGTTAGAGATAATTTAGGTAAAGTTCTTCAATTTCCTCAAAGAGATATCACTGGATCAACCAAAGTGGAGAATTTAACTGATTTATTCGTACAAACTATTCAAACAACAGGTCCAATCACTTTATCAGCTTACATACGTCAATGCTTAACTCATCCTGATTTTGGATATTATACTACTAGAAACCCTCTTGATTCAAGACTGGGTGATTTTATAACTTCACCCGAAATATCGTTTATGTTTGGAGAAATGATTGGTATTTGGTTATTTACTGTTTGGCAACAACAAAATTATCCTACATCGATTAAATTTATTGAATTTGGTCCTGGAAGAGGTACTTTGATGCATGATGTTTTAAAATCATTCAATTTATTTGCTACAAAAGTTAATAAACCAGTCAATATTGAAATTAATTTAATTGAAGCTTCTAAAATCTTAAGACAAGAACAATGGAAATTGTTATGTGAAGAAGAAGTAGAATTCAAAACTACTGAAGAAGGATTTAATACATCTACTTCAAAATGGGGTAATCAGATCAAATGGTTGGATACAGAAAAAGATATCATTAATGATGAAAATATTGCAAATTATATAATAGCTCATGAATTCTTTGATGCATTACCAGTTAAAAGTTTTCAAAAAACTGAACATGGTTGGAGAGAATTAATGGTTGAACATTCATCTTCGGTAAATAATACTCAACCTAAACTACCTTCAAATTCAAATGAAGAAGAAATTAATATTGAAAATAAAGAATTACTTGATACAGAATTTCATTTAACTTTATCCCAAAAGGAAACTCCATCCTCTATAATTCCATCATTAAGTTCAAGATATAAAGATTTACCCATTGATACCAGAATTGAAATATGTACAGAAGCAGAATTATACTTAATGAAAATGATTCAATTATTGAATAATACAAAAAACTTAGGTACAGCTTTGATTATAGATTATGGGGTAGTCAATACTATTCCAGAAGCTTCATTAAGAGGAATTTATAAACATAAGTTCGTATCTCCATTCATAAAACCAGGTGAAGTAGATTTATCCATCGATGTTGATTTTACAAACTTAACTAATTTAAGTTCAAAGTTTTGTTCGTCATTTGGTCCTATAGATCAAGGTGATTGGTTACATAATTTAGGTATTGGTCATAGAGTAGATCAATTAATTAAAAAGAATACTCATGATGAAGAAAAGCAAGATAAAATTTATAATAGTTATAGAAGGTTAACTGATAAAAATGATAAATCATTAGGAAGTTATAAATTCTTATCCTTATTACCATTAAATGCAAAACCACCAATTGGTTTTGAAACACCAGCACCACCAGCACCACCACTATAGTATCATCCTTGTAAATATATATATAAAAATAGATGTTTCATTATCAATTAAATTATGCTAAATGTAGTACCCTTATTCTATCCATCATATTTGCAACTATTTAAAAAAAATAATTAAACAAAAAAGAAAATTTCCGATACCGGGAGTCGAACCCGGGTCTGCTCGGTGAAAGCGAACCGTGCTAGCCGTTACACTATATCGGACTTTTTATATCAAAAAACTTCTTAGGTTTAACCGGTTTTCTTTCTACCACGTGCAAAATTGCACGTGTAAACTTTTTTAAAAAATCTGTTATCTTGTCTATTCAATTTCCCTTATATTCATCTATATATCTATAAAAGGTTAATTATTTGATAGTCAGGTGAAGATAAATGATTGATTTTATCTTCCATTGACTAAAATAGGAAATCCTAATACAAATTTGTTAAGTATACTTGTTGTTATCCAGATTTGTTTTTCTAAATATCCAGTATATCTATAGTTCAAGCAACAGACTTCTAAATAGTGCTCATCTTTCTTTTAAAGACTGGAATAGAAGTCTCTAATCATCTCCTAGTTCATATATATTAATTCGAGACAAGATTTAGCCTATAATTAAGAATTTTCTTTCATTGCAATTTCTTTTATCATTTTTAACAATTTCGCAACCATACAAACAAAAACTAAGATTTTACTATAGTTAAATATATTTAAAATTACAAAATATATAAGTCAATGACACTTTACTGCTTCCTGATGCTATTCTGACCACACGATATCTATTCATTGTCTTTAAGTTATTCCTACGACGACAAAATCTGGAGGTTAACACTGCTTTAACCCCCGCCCGTTTGAATCACTGGATATCGTACCTAACTTTTGCTTAAATAAATCTTACTGATTTATTAATATAACGGTCTTGTTTGACCTTCTATTCCTTCTAATCTATAAATAGAGTTTTTACATTATGTTTCTCTATTCCACTCCATTTATATTTCTAAATTTATAGAATATTAAATAAATGTATATTTCGAAAAAAAAAAACTTATTCCACAGATTCCAACCAATTCCATCTGTCTATACCTACTAACTTTTTGTTGCTTTCACTATACTCTGCATAACAAAGACAATAATGCTGTAATAGAAGTCTGATCTCTTCAACCTCATCAATTAGCTCAATATGATTTATTCTATAAATTTCTTGAACATCCACCCATGACTCTTTATGATTATTCTTTTTAATACCATAACCAGCAATTTCACTTAAATCTGTAAGACGAACTCTTTGAAATCCACAAGTTTCATGTAAATATTTTGACTTTTCTTGTAAATCTGAATATTCATTAAAGGTTAATAAATTGATTCCTCTATCAGCTAAATTCTTGGCCATAGTAGTACCAAATGCATCATGTAAAGACATAGGCTCATATATGAAAACAGAAACATATTCTTTACAAAAATCTTTCCAGAATTTCAACACGTTGGTATTTTCTGCTGGATTCATATAACATAAAACACATTCACTTAACACCAAAGTTGGTAAATTAACATCAAATCCTTCAAGTTTTTGATTGAATTGAGTTGGATCATCTTTTAGATCTCTTAAATCATACGCAATGAGATGATATTTACTTGTATGTATATTTCCATCCATGAGATCAAATTCTTCTCTATTATTAATGTTGACGCTTAACTTTTCCTTAAAATCAATTATCTTTTTAATTTCATCTGATTGTAGGATAGCCAATTTCTTTATTTTAACAGATTCAGGAAAATCTATCTCATAATAGTTTACCAATTGATGTTTATTTAAGATTCTGTATGCTCTTGTATCAGATCCACCTCCAAGTGATACTATTTGACTTTGAGGAAATTCTTTTATGAATTGTTCAATCACAACATCTATGGCTCTGGTTCTGAAATAAGTTCCTCTATTAATTAAAGGGAATTTCTTATCTCCAAACGATTGTCTTAATGTTCTACCTGAAGAAAGACCAGTATATCCTTGACAGTATTGTAAATATTTTTGATAAGATTGAATTAAAACATCAGTGTAACTATCTGGGGGAACAAAATATGACAATCTATTTGCACTTGAACGACAACTCAACGCATCAATGTCAGTTGATCGTATAACCTTATCCTTCTTCTCTTGTGGTGATAACATTTGGACTAATGATACCTGTATTTGGAGCAGTTGCTACGTTTTGACAACGATAAATTTATATACATATATTTTTTTTAAGCGCTATTGAAAAAAAAAGATTTGATAACGTATATACATTACAGTTAATATTATATCTTCTTAACTATGACCCACCAATTATCCTTTTCATAACCATCTTCCACTATAGTACAGTGGTTTGTTTTAAGAGCATTTTCTATCAATTCCCCCTTTTTATATAGATGATAATATCTATATTTGGTTTGCAGTTGTTTGGCTTCTTCTTCTAATTGTTCTTTAGCTACTACTTCAACTTCAGCAACTTCAGGAGTCGATTCTTCTAGTTCAACTTGTTCATTATTGTTAGTATTTTCTCCTCTTCTTTTCCTTTTTGGTTGCTTTGGTTTCTTTTCTTGCTTCTTAGCAAGCACCCATGGGATCAAAATATCTTGCTCATCTCCTTCTTTATACCCTCTTCTCGAATTTTCTTGTTCAAGAGCCCAACAATAGATCAAAAACTCACCTCCAATTTTTAATTTTGAAAGAACATGTGATATAGCTTCTATTCTTCTTTCTTCTGTAGCAAAATGATGAATAACAGCGATGGAGATAGCAAAATCAAGTGAATCATTTGGATGTGGTAGATTTAAACCATCTGCTACGCCAACATTATAACTATTTTTTGATAACTCTTGGGCACAACTGATTAATCCATCTGATCTATCAGTACCAATCATGAATAACTTGTCATTGATTCCTAAATATTTACCATTCCCACATCCAACATCTATACCTACAGAATAATCTTCTCTTGATTTAAGAAATTTTTCTACTATAGGCCATGGTTTATAACGAGTTTGTGAAAAATGAGGCGCTATTTCATTATAGACATTATGAACAAAATCTTCTTCTTGACTTTTAGGATCCAATCCCTTACTTATAGTTAATGAAGGAACTGACATTGTTAGCAATCTTGTAGATATACTAGATTCTTCTTGTTTAGCGCAAAATAAAAATTTATAAATTTAAGATGCTCTTTTTTTCTCCACTGAATTTTTGGATTGAAACATGTTTATTCATAGTATAATAGTCATGAGTTATGGCATCCGTTGATCAAAAATATACTTCTTACTTGTTTGTACTAGTTGCATTCATAGTGCCTGTCTTAATTAATATATTCAATGGTTCTAATGGGCTCACTGATTTAGAAAAAGTAGCTTACTATCTTGAAAATGAGTTAATAATTACCATTCCTATAGTATTGAGATTTGGAGATGAAGGTTTCAATTTCCCAGATTTGGCAAAGGCGGTACAGATTCAATTAGATGAGGAATTGAACAATACTTATACTAGATTGAAGATAGACCTAATCGACGAATTAGAATATTCTAAAACTGCAAAGAATGAGACTCCTATTGCGGATCAATATACAGTAGAGCTCATTCATTCGGAAGAAGACTTTATCGGAATTGACTCCGAAGAATCAAAATGTTACATATTTTACACTCTAGATGCAGTTCATTCCAATGATTTACCGTATTACATAGTACAAGGTATTGTTCATCATCTATTATTGCCAGAAATATGGACGTTTAAACAGAACAAAGTTCCAAAGAAATTGATACAGTCTAATTCCAGTTATGATATATTGATCATGGCCAACAGTCAAGAAGATGGTGAAGTAATTGAAAAAGAGCTAAATGGCTATTTTAAAGCCGATGGTCTATGGGACATTAATATCTCTTTAGAAAACGATACAAGTTCCAATAGAAGTAATGAATTTAAGGTCGTTTTACAAAGTAATTCTGATAAAGAAGATTCAAGTAATAAGCTAGCTTATTTGAGTATTGAAGATGAAAACAGTTTGTCTAGTGTTAAAAAGGAAATAATCAAATATCTTGGTATATCAGAGCATCCTTCAAATAATTTCAAAATAAAACTACAAACTCTATACAGATTCTTTGCAATAAAGCTTCTAGGGTTGCTGATTGAGAAGCTTACTAACTTAGAAAATACTACTTCACCACACCTTGATAAAGTTGTACACAGCGTTTTTGATTTAGCCGCCGAATTTGAAACTTCAAAATCAGCTTCATGGGTACCATTATTCACTAAATCAAAGCGGATTTTGCAACAGATAGAATCATTTGATAATCAAACTACATGATAGGGATTTTAATCATAAGAAAGTAAAAAAAATCGGGCGCCAATGGGTTATGAATAGTAAGTATAAGGCTATATAGTTGTAAAATAAAAAGTTTCCTGCATATTATAAAATTTATTATTTTTAAATTTGAAGAATTCTATACAAGAGAATCAATGTTTATTCTTATCATGTCAACAGCCATGCAAAGTGAAATACGACCTGAAGATGATGCCAGTTTTTCAGATGATAACCTAAGCGATGTCAGTCTTGATGAAGATGACGAAGAATTGATCGGAAGAGTGTTCTATGGAGATTCAGAGAATGACCTGGGAGCAAGTGACAATGAAGATTATGATTCAGAAGAATCTTCAGATGAGATTGATGGTTTATCAGATATAGATGATGTGGAGCTTGTAAATAAATATAAGACCTTGAAGGCAGATAAAATTGATAAAGATTTGAATGAAGAAGAAAAGAAACGATTGTTAATAAACAATTTCACTGAAGACCAAATGGATAGATTTATTGCCTATAGGCGTATGAGAGTAAATAAACCTGGGGTTAAAAAGGTTTGTAATGGGGTTATTGGTCACCCTATCCCAAATAATATAGCAGTGGTTCTTGCTGGTATCTCAAAGCTGTTTTTGGGTGATATAATTACAAAAGCAATAGAAATACAGGAAAAGGATTATAAATCAAAACTTATCCTTGATATAGAGGATAAGAAGAAGCAAAAGCGAGAAATATTAAAAAGTCTAGAGAAAGGAAAAGAAATTGAAGTTGATGATAGGCGATTGCAATATGAAGGTGATTATGCAAAGCCTTTACAACCTCATCATGTTAGAGAGGCATGGAGAATATATAAACTTGAAAACAGTGGAACGTTTAATCCGCAATGGAGGAGACAAGGTGATGCTGACGGGAAGTTTTTTAGATAGTATTAATCATTATTTTCTACTTGCAATGTATAATTATTGATATCTGTTGATATTTAAAGTGATGTTAAGTCCTGTTTTATTCACTGAGGAGATAAACAAATTTAACACCGCGTATAATCCTTTTCTTCCTTTTATGTCCGTATATAACCAGAAAAACTCAAAAATGAACTAAGCAAGATAGTCCGAAATATCTAATACACACACTTCTTCTTAGAAAGCTATAATTAACCATGTCTGAACAAGCTAAAAAGAGGAAAAGAATCGCATTAAGTTGTGACAATTGTCGAAGAAAGAAGACAAAATGTGATAGAGGTTTACCCTGTTCTAATTGTGTCAAGTTAAGTATCTCACATACTTGCAGCTATAGTTCTCCATCTCATATTAATCATAATAGATCAAATGAAGTACAACCACAAATTAAAGAAGAAAATTTAAGTATCCAACAGGAGTTGGTCTACCTCAAAGGTAGACTCCGTCAATTGGAATCCTCGGTCACTACCAATACCGATGCAATACAACTATCCGTGGAACCGTTCGATGGTACTCAACAGCTCAGGCAAGGTCAAGTACTAGTTGATAGCAACAATGTTATTATGGATAGGAACAAAGACCTATTGATAGGAATTTTACCACATAGAAAGGAAGAAGCCCAAATCAATCTTCATTTTACTGATGAGACATCCAACCGACTCACAAAACCTCCATTACCATTTATGCATTTGCTGAAGAGAGATCCTGGAGTAAAGTTATTTTGGCTGTTCGAGAATCTGCCAAGGTATGCAGAATATACTTTCAAAGATATTTTTTTTAGCAGTAGAAGGAAAGATAAGAGGTTAGATGCATACAAACAAATGGCTAAGGAGAAGTTTGGAAATAAGTACATAAAGGAATTAGAAGATGGATACAGTTTGAGTGAAGTTAAAGCTTCTATTTCAAACCATGGTAAATCAGTTGGAATTGTTTTTCATCCCATTGATATGAAACTCTTTACGTTAAACCAGAAGATTCTAAGCTTAATTCCTAATCAAAAGATCATTTCTAGATTTTTGAATGCTTTTTTCGAATATTTATATCCTTTCTTTCCTGTATTAGATGAACTGTCTTTTCGGAGTGACTTGTCAAGAATAATGGGTGCAGCTGATGAGTTTTCAGGTAGAATTACTGAAATTAAAATGGAGAAGAAGTCCGATTATGCGATTTTGGCCACATTTTTCTATATTATAAGGTTGACATCTCTTATATGGTTTACAAATGACATTGAAACAAATTATCAATTTCTTCTGGATAACTCACCATCGCTGGAGAAAGAAAGAGAGATGATAATGGAACTGCCAATTCCTCTTGATTTAATCGATGTGGCTGAAGAATGTATTAAATTATTCAACTTATTTAAAGTGCAAGATCTTACTGTTTTACAAGCTCTAATATTTGGAAGAGCTTACAACAAGTTTGCACCTGAAATGGGTGATAAATTCACTGGTCCAGAGACTCAAGTATCGGATGGAATCGTGATACAAGTAGCGATTTCTTTAAGGCTCAATAGAGATCCTGATTTCTACCTTGAAGCAAATGTTACGGATAAAGTCAAAAATTTAAAGAGAAAGATTTGGCACTATTTGGTAGGATTGGATGTTGAAGATACTTTGATGTTTGGAACGACGCTAACAATAGATAGCAAGCTGAATTATGATACTAAGTTACCATTTTATAAAGAAGGAGCATCAAACATAGTGGATACCGAACTAGAAAAAGATGTGTTGAAGAGTATAGTTTTATCGCGTCCCATTATCTACACGATGTCGTTATTGGCTACTACCGTCAGTAATATTAAGGCAAAGGTTGATGTTACCCAGTTTTTAGAAGAGTTACAGGACATGGAGTTGCTTTGTTCAAGAATTTTTGGTAGATTAAAGTCTTTGATTAGCGAAGACCTCATGTCTTCAGAATCCTTCAGGATCAAGAGAATTTACTATTATTTGCAACTAAAACTATTCTTGTGTCAAATGTATTTCTTTTGCCATATTTACTATAGTGATTTGGGTGAAAGAGATTTAGAGCAATTTTATCATAAGAAAGTGTTTACCATTCTCTTTAATGAATTGGCAGAACTTGGTCAGATTGATAAAAACGCCCGGAATTTCGGAAGAGCATTTACTGTGATGCTTACACCATTGATAAATTCTTATAATCACATCTTATACATGGTTTGTGCCAGTTTTAGTGTTAGACTATCTGCTACGTTGAGAGAAGATTTAGAAAGTGAATTTGAAGGAAGTCTGAAAGATTTGCTTCAAGAAATTTTAAATATGGCTTTAGCATGTACAAAAACTACTATTAAGAGAATGTCTATAATAGCAAACAGGTACTTTTTTGCATGGAAGATTAATAAAGCACATCTTTATGGAATTAAGCTAATGAATGAAGTTCCTATATACGAGAGTAACACTTCGATGACGTTGAAAGCTAGGCTAAAATATTCAAAGGAACAATTACGTGATTTTGAGAGGCTATTAAGGTATTACACTGTTATGTTTGGTATAAAGGTCGATGGGTCTGTTAGCAGCCCACTCAATGATGTATCTGATTCTCTAAATGTATTGTTACCTGGTTCATTAAATAATATTGTTAAAGACAGTGAAACTGTTGTTAATGATTTACAAACTGACAACTTTTGGTGCCAATTGCGAAAAATATGCCTGGAAGCGGAAATTGAAGATTGCTTAAATCCTGATCCTTCAACTAAACCTGGTAGAATTAATCTAAATTTAGGTCCTACTAATGTTGATGAAACTCAATTCAATTATAATAACATCCAGACTCAGTTTGACTTCTTCAACGACACTGCTTTTTTCGAACTTTTTAAAGTTGCCAAACTAGATTAGAAATTAAAGACAGATTTTCTTAACATATCAACGTTCAAAATTATTGTTTAAGTGTAGATCCCTTTTTTTTTCAAATTTGTTATATATTCTTACTCTAAAACACTATAAAACTATAGAATCTATATAAAGAGAAAGTATATAACTAGTTGAGGGAGAGAAAGGTTAAAAATAAGAATTATTTAAAACTTAAAACTCTCTTGATTAGATGATAAAGTAATGATTTTGTAAGATTTAATTGAAGATCAATCTAATGATTTATTTATAGAAATATATGATTTGAAATCTATCCTAACGTAAATAAGCCACAAGATCCCTATAAATTTGAAGAATTACATAGAGTAGGATACATCAATCTACAGACGAGAAATGAATATATAACTTTTTTTTTGTTATATATTATTTGTCGACAACACTTTAATAATATAATATACATATATTAGAATTTAGATTTTGCTAACTTTTTCAAAGATAACTACGAATCGTTTGATGGAAAAATTAAATACAACAGATTCAAAGAACTTAGAAAAGACTCCATTGCAGGAATTCGTCATTTTATTTGATCGATTATCCATGCTGAAGCTTTTAAATAAAACTCATAGATAGAAGTTAGTGAAATTCAGTCCTAAATATGTATTGTTTCGTTAGTAATACCTAGATTGATTAGTAAGTTGTTATCCTAAATAAACACATTGTTATACCATCTGAGATGGCAGAGTAAGCAAGAAGTATTTCACAATATGTATTCTCTAAAGGCGATCATCGATAGTATCCAACAACATGACCAACTATCAAAGTATGAATCGATTGTAATGATTGATTTTGCTAAAGCTTTTGATTCTTTCAATCATGTTTACCTCGAAAAAGTTCTCGAAAAAATCAAAATAGGACCAAGGATGCGAAGAGCAATTATGCCACTCACCACTAATCAGGAGGCAAAGATGTTTATCAATGATTCCTATAGTGAAAAATTTCCACTAAAAAAAGGTACCCGCCAAGGTAGCGCGATACTGCCTATATTGTTTATCGATAAGATTTACGAATGCTGCACCAAGTAGACGTAACCCTTACGGCTCTGGATAACGTTCCAACCGTCCAACCTAACCACTCTCCTCCGGTTCCAGAACCTGACCCTCCAAATGAGACTCAAACTACGCAATCATCGCAAGGTGGAAATTTTGAAAATTTTCATCAACACCAATCTACAGAAGACAATAATACAGCCTCTGTAGCAGGAAACAGGCTCAATAATGAACATACTGATATTACTCATGCCACTACCTCATCTGATACTAGTATGAATCAAGACCTGCCTCCCCCATTGATTTCCCAACATGCACCACCACCACCTGTCAGTTGGGGAGTTGAACAAATTTTTAGAAATGGTAGAGACACGACCAATAAATCCGCGCCTAGCACTAACAAACCAGCTGCGAAAAATCAGTTGGTTGAAAATGATCCTCCAGATTTATGGGAGATAGAATTAGATCAGCTATTATCCAACTTAAATGAGAGGGAATTAACTAAGGATGAACAAGAAAGATATTGTAAAAATATCCTCTTAAGTAGTTACAAGGAAAGTCTCCCAAAAACTATCTGGCAAAAGGAAAAGACCATGCTCCAGAATGTCCCAAAAGAATTGTTAGATCATTATTACAAGCTTCAAGGTGAACAAGCCTTTTCAGAAGGGAGGTTATTAGTTGAGATATTAGACCCTCCTGATGATTTAGAGATTAATACTATTCACCAATATGTCAACAAATTCTATACACAAGAATTAGTTCATAAAGTGAATGAGGAAATAGAAGATATTATTGATCATTTAGATAGTATCCAGTTAGAAATTGATCTTACCGACGAAGGTCTCTCAGAATTTAATCCAGAAACTGATTTAGAAGATATAAAAAATTTAAAAAACAATAAAAAACAATTAGAAAATGAAAAAAACAATACTGAAAATTTATTAATTAAAAAAAAAACTTATTTGCTGGTTTAAAATGTATTAAAAATCATGTCAATATCAAAACCCTTGGTAAAAATACATTTGTTTTTACTGCCAGTCCATTAATGGATCAAGAATATTATAATCTTCGTAAAGCTGGTAAAGTTGATGATATACTCCTTTATATAGAAGATGTTGTATCTAACTATCCTCTGATTCAGGTTCCTAATTATATAGAACCTCTTCAACTTAGAATAAAAGATTTCTCGAAATCCAAGATTGTCGTATTAGAACATATCGTTCCAAATGATATATCAACTTTTACTACTATCTTGGAAGATTTCTTTATCCAAAACTACCATGATAAATCACAAGCTCTTAAGGACAATATCGATAAAAGATACGATCATTCGTGGAACTTGGTCCAGGAGGCACAAAAACCCAACTATGATAAAACTCAATATTTCAACATTTTGATGGAATCCAATGGTTCTTCAGGCCCAACCTATAAACCAAGCTATCAAATGGATCATAAATTCTATATTGTCGAATTATTAACAGACAAGACACCGGACGGCTCACGGTTCTATTTTAAAGACCAGAGACTCTTAACCAAGTCATATATCAGTGCATGCAGCAATTGCCACACCACAGTACACAACAACTACCGATGTGAAGTCAAATGCAGGACCTGTAGAGTATTAGGCCACTCAGCAGCAAATCACAAACGATGGAAATCGGAACAAAAGGCTGCTGAATTAAGAGAAGCAAATGAATGGATTGAAAACATTAAATCTAAACCTATTAGGAATAGAAAAAATCCCTCTCCAAAAAAGATCAACAACAATACTACTCAAATATTCAACCCAATCTCCAAGAATAAGGATCTTCAAGTCAACCTGTTTAATGTGTTCGATACTTTAAATGAACAAAATGAATCAACTGGGGATGTTGTTTCATCCAATGAATCTTTAATTGAAATTGATGATGAGGAGTCACATTTCACAACTACCAAATCTACCACCAAACCAACTCAACAAACTGTAACCGAACCTACTACTCCAACTGCAAAGAGTTCTAACAAACGTCCAATATCCAAATCTCCGGAAAACTCATCTTCCAGTTCAATTAACGTTGGACGTCCTCAACAAGCTACTCCTTCCAAAACTTTTAAATCTTTCCATAACGAAACACCAAAAAATCCCATCAAATATTCACCCCGAAAAATAGCATCCTTACCAACCACAAGAGCGGGTAGATCTACATCAACAACACCAATTCCTATATTAGGGGCTCTCATGAATCCATTTGCTGCAGTTCTTGCTAAGCGAGATAATCCTCCTACTCCACCAACTAACCAGGGGGTGGAATTGAATAATCAACCTGATGATAAACCTAATCCGCTTATAGATCAGGAACAGAACCAAATGCAACTTGAAAATGTTCAAACAGCCATAACTAATCCAGATTCATCAAATATGGATCCCTCAAACGAGGTTCTGCTACTTCCAATAAATATCCAATCTTCGGTTGACCTTCAAAACATCACTGATGGTTATCATCCAAATAATAATATTAATGAGTAATATAATTAATAATATTCCACATACAAGATCATTAATCCAAATAATAACTAATAACAATAATAATGATCCTAATACATTAAAAATAACTTCAAAAAATATTCAGAAAACCAAAAATATAAAAAAAATATCAACTTTCATACAGCGGTATGATATCAATGGATTACAGGAATTACCCATCGTTAATGAGGTGGACCACATTCATCATCAATCTATTTTCCAAAAATTTAATCACCACCTTAATTTGATAGGCTATCATTTCTATTACGGTAACCACAAATCTAGATCAGGAATAATAATCAAAAAAGATTCCTCAAAATTTACTATAATTTCATCCAATTCTATCACCTCATCCCTCCCGGACGACGATCAACCTTTCCTGTCTGATGTACTTATAAAGCTTAATCAGACAAATGAACACATTGCAATTATTAGCTTGTACCCCCCTACCAATCAATACGTTCAACAAGCGAATTTGTTTCGTAATTTGAATCACTCATTACAGATGAGAGCAGAATCTCACCTTACCACTTTCAAAATTATGATAATCGGGGACTTCAACAACACCTTCATGGATCCATTCTACGATCAAACGTCCCTTACTCCACAATTAGAAAATGCCCTGCTTCAAATGCAAAGTCTAATGGATTCAAATACTCTATTAGATGTGGCCCAGACGCTAAATGAAGAACATTGGATCACTAATCACCATCATAGTGTCAATAACAGACTAGATAAAATCTGGATATCCAATTCCATACTTAATCGGATCATCAACTATAAGCAAATAGAAAATGATGTAATAAAATCCACACACGAGACTATCTCAATCGACATGCTCATATCACATACTCCAAAGATCACGGTTGGACCAAAAAGGTTCATCCTCCAAGATAAATTTATTGACTCCAATGATTTCATTGATCATATCAAAAATTATAATTTTATCGATATTAATCAACTACTATCATTAATGCCAACTTTATCAAGAAGATTAAAAATCAAACATCAACCAATATTGGAAGAATCAAATATATTCTTAGACATGAGGGAAGGGTTTAAACCTATTAAATCATATGATCCTATTATATATCAATTAACTTCACCCAATGATCCAACTATTACAGCAACAACAACTCATGACATACTCAATCTTTCGAAAGATTTCTTTGAAGATGTCTACTCCGAGCCAGATACTGATATTCTAATAATTAATGATTATCTTAATGACTTTCCAAAATATTTTTCAGTTGAAGAAACCCGAGCTATGGAAGAACCAATCACGTTAGATGAAATATCTCTGGTAATTGCCCAATCATCTAATCAAGCAGCTCCGGGGGAAGACGGCATACCATATAGATTTTATAAAACTTGTCATGAAGTATTGGGCCCACTACTAGTTAAACAAGCTGAAAAACTCATGACGGAAGATGCTCTGAATTTGATACCGCATGAAATCCTAATCAAACTCATTCCTAAACAATTTAATTCCAATAATGTTAATGACTTCCGACCAATACTGTTAATAGATACTGTTGATCGTTTGCTTGCTAATGTTTTGAATCATCGGATCTTGAAATTTGCTGATAAAATAATAGGTATGGATCAATCAGGATTTATGCCTAACAGACAAATTGATAATCAAATCCAAAAACTAAAGACGATCATCGATAGTATCCAACAACATGACCAACTATCAAAGTATGAATCGATTGTAATGATTGATTTTGCTAAAGCCTTTGATTCTTTCAATCATGTTTACCTCGAAAAAGTTCTCGAAAAAATCAAAATAGGACCAAGGATGCGAAGAGCAATTATGTCACTCACCACTAATCAGGAGGCAAGGATGTTTATCAATGATTCCTATAGTGAAAAATTTCCACTAAAAAAAGGTACCCGCCAAGGTAGCGCGATACTGCCTATATTGTTTAATTTAGCTTTAGAACCACTATTATCCAAATTAGAAAGATCTTTGGAGGGTATTAGTCTCAAACTAAACAATGGAAGGACCAAACCAATTAAATACTTAGCTTTTGCCGATGATGTCACAGTATTTCTCAAAAAAGAGGAAGATTATGTCATATTAAATCAAGAATTAAAGGATTTTGCAGCAGCTTCAAGTTCACATATCAATACAACTAAATCCAAAATATATTACTTTCAAGAAGACCACATGGATGACATAAAGGATATACTCAATTTTCCACTACACGATGTTAATGAAGCTGATTTAAAATACTTAGGAATCAAAATTCATAATTTCAGTTGGTCAGAATATTTTCAATCACTAAGAATTCAACTTTCCAAGCACACCATAGATCAACTACCTATTCACTTAAAAGCAAGAGGCATTTCACAATATGTATTCTCTAAAATCTACTATAGAGATTATCACTGTCCAATGAATCAAGAGGAAATCGCCCAACTACTGCAATTAGTAAAAAACTATTTCCGATATATATCCTCTGAAAACCTAACCGCCTTGGGAAACCAGGGTGGGTATGGGCTTCAAGATATAGGAGTTCAACTTTCTGGTAGAAGAGCAAAATCCATCTATCTAATGCTAACGGATTCTCATCATTTAATGAATGTGGTCTTAAGAGATAAACTACAAAAATATATCAACGACCTGATAGAAGTACCTCATGTCTCTCATCACCAATCAGGTAAGCGATATATTATTCCATGGTATCGAGTGCTAATAGGTAATAATATTCAACACAAGAATCGAGGTTCACTCAAGAATCACCTCACCAAAGATGAATATTTCAGTCCAGGGGAAAGAGCTAGATTTGCTGCATGGTTTGAAATTACAAAGCCTAAGAATCGGAGACTCCAAGAAAAGCCAATATTGGTAACCGAAGATGAAGAAAGGCAATTAATACATAATCCTCCTCCAATTAATAATTGGTCCGATGCTATGATGAAAATCAATCTAAATACATTCAAAAGTAGAAAAGTAATTTTTTTTTTTCCAAATTTGTTATATATTCTTACTCTAAAATACTATAAAACTATAGAATTTATATAAAGAGAAAGTATATAACTAGTTGAGGGAGAGAAAGGTTAAAAAATAAGAATTATTTTAAACTTAAAACTCTCTTGATTAGATGATAAAGTAGATATTTTGTAAGATTTGATTGAAAATTGAAGATCAATCTAATGATTTATTTAAAGATTATGAATGTAGAACGAGTAAGAATATATAACAAATTTGGAAAAAAAAAAAGAACGATACCCATGATGAAATAAAAGAAGAGTTGAGCGGTAAAGCTGAACCTTCTTTTTGTAGGATGTATCGTCGACGTCCTCGTAATTTATGAACAGCAAAGAGGTATCGATTGAGAGAGATTAATTGGTTTTTATCCAATTCTGGATTGGCTATTATAATTTCCCAGGGCTAATGGAAGTGTGATTCCCATTTTGGTCCATATTTGGCAACTTATGGAACATTCCAAGTATATTCAAAGCTCGATTAGTTGCCAAAGGTTTTTCTCAGGTTATAGATTTATAGTGTTTAGGAGTAAGAATATATAACAAACTTGGAAAAAAAAAAAAATCTCAGGTTGAGAATGTGGACTATTTCCATACCTTTGCTCCAGTTGTTAGATACGAATCAGTGCGTTTGGTATTAGCCATCCTGGCCCAATTAGATTTAATCATCCATCAAATGTTAAAACAGCATTTCTTAATGCTGATTTGGAGGAAGACCTTTATCTCATGCAACCTCCGGGATATGAAAATGATTCCAAACAGGTTCTTAAGCTTAATAAGTCCATCTATGGCCTTAAACAATCTGCTTATCAATGGAATCAAACTTTTAATTGAACATTACAACTGCTTCGATTCAAACGATTAGAATCTGAGTATGGTCTCTATATTCGCCATTCTGTTGCTGGCATTATCATAATTGCATTATATGTTGATGATCTCCTCATCAGTGGAACCAGTATAGATGAAATTGAACAAGTCAAAGCTGTGTTGCTGAGACATTACCAAATGAAGGACTTAGGTGCTTGTTCCAAATTTTTAGGTCTCAATATTACTCAATTTCCAGATGGTTCAAAGGCTCTTGCTGCTACTGACATCCAAGTCTATTTTTGCTTCATATGATCTTGTGCCTGAAAATCTTAATCCAGTGCAAACCCAATTACTTCCTAACCAACATCTTCAAGATATTCCTGATGGTGCTACACCAGCTGATAATCGAGAATATCGTAGTCTCATTGGCAAATTGCTAAATACTGTTCGCGTTGACATTAGTTTTGCTGTTTCCAATTTGTCGCAGTTCCTCAACAATCCTACGAGCTACCATCTCAAAGCTGCGAAAAGACTTCTTAGATATCTTAGTGGATCACTCGAATTTGGCCTATTTTATCGTAAAACACCCAAATTTGATATCCTTGGATATTGTGATGCTGATTGGTGCGGTGACGTTACAAATAGTCGTTCTACTTCAGGACATATTATCAAAATAGCCCAATCTCCTGTCATTTGGAAATCCAAGAAGCAACAAGTTGTTGCAATGTCCACTGCTGAATCTGAATATTACAGTTTGGGTCTTGTTGGTAAACTTTTATGGTTAAAAGAGATGTTCGAGGAATTACAATTAGATTTAGATTCCATTCTTTTTTTTTTTTCCAAATTTGTTATATATTCTTACTCTAAAATACTATAAAACTATAGAATTTATATAAAGAGAAAGTATATAACTAGTTGAGGGAGAGAAAGGTTAAAAATAAGAATTATTTTAAACTTAAAACTCTCTTGATTTGATGATAAAGTAGCTATTTTGTAAGATTTGATTGAAAATTGAAGATCAATCTAGTGATTTATTTAAAGATTATGAATGTAGAACGATACCCATGATGAAATAAAAGAAGAGTTGAGCGGTAAAGCTGAACCTTCTTTTTGTAGGATGTATCGTCGACGTCCTCGTAATTTATGAACAGCAAAGAGGTATCGATTGAGAGAGATTAATTGGTTTTTATCCAATTCTGGATTGGCTATTATAATTTCCCAGGCTAATGGAAGTGTGATTCCCATTTTGGTCCATATTTGGCGACTTATGGAACATTCCAAGTATAGATGATCTGAGTAAGTAATCGATACCGGTTGATCACAAAGTTCACAATTACCTGATGATGGTAGTTGTAGATGTATTCGGTGTCCTAGATTCACTCTATGTATCTCTTCAAACCTGTAGGGGTCTTGTGCTTTAAATGAAGATAGTTTAGACCAAAATTCTACCCATTCTTCTTCATTTATTTGTATCTTTTGTGTCCAGGTAGTTGGTTGTAAGCATTTCCTTTTTGCCAACTGGCTCTTCTTACTTCTACTCTTGAATGTATTTAGATTGATTTTCATCATAGCATCGGACCAATTATTAATTGGAGGAGGATTATGTATTAATTGCCTTTCTTCATCTTCGGTTACCAATATTGGCTTTTCTTGGAGTCTCCGATTCTTAGGCTTTGTAATTTCAAACCATGCAGCAAATCTAGCTCTTTCCCCTGGACTGAAATATTCATCTTTGGTGAGGTGATTCTTGAGTGAACCTCGATTCTTGTGTTGAATATTATTACCTATTAGCACTCGATACCATGGAATAATATATCGCTTACCTGATTGGTGATGAGGGACATGAGGTACTTCTATCAGGTCGTTGATATATTTTTGTAGTTTATCTCTTAAGACCACATTCATTAAATGATGAGAATCCGTTAGCATTAGATAGATGGATTTTGCTCTTCTACCAGAAAGTTGAACTCCTATATCTTGAAGCCCATACCCACCCTGGTTTCCCAAGGCGGTTAGGTTTTCAGAGGATATATATCGGAAATAGTTTTTTACTAATTGCAGTAGTTGGGCGATTTCCTCTTGATTCATTGGACAGTGATAATCTCTATAGTAGATTTTAGAGAATACATATTGTGAAATGCCTCTTGCTTTTAAGTGAATAGGTAGTTGATCTATGGTGTGCTTGGAAAGTTGAATTCTTAGTGATTGAAAATATTCTGACCAACTGAAATTATGAATTTTGATTCCTAAGTATTTTAAATCAGCTTCATTAACATCGTGTAGTGGAAAATTGAGTATATCCTTTATGTCATCCATGTGGTCTTCTTGAAAGTAATATATTTTGGATTTAGTTGTATTGATATGTGAACTTGAAGCTGCTGCAAAATCCTTTAATTCTTGATTTAATATGACATAATCTTCCTCTTTTTTGAGAAATACTGTGACATCATCGGCAAAAGCTAAGTATTTAATTGGTTTGGTCCTTCCATTGTTTAGTTTGAGACTAATACCCTCCAAAGATCTTTCTAATTTGGATAATAGTGGTTCTAAAGCTAAATTAAACAATATAGGCAGTATCGCGCTACCTTGGCGGGTACCTTTTTTTAGTGGAAATTTTTCACTATAGGAATCATTGATAAACATCCTTGCCTCCTGATTAGTTGTGAGTGACATAATTGCTCTTCGCGTAAGCTGTGTTGCTGAATCATTATAAGATGAAAGACCTTGGCTTATGCCAACGGTTTCTTGGTTTAAACATCTTTCAATATCCTGATGGTTCTAAAGCTATTTCTGCCGCTGATTATACCAAATCTATTTTTGCTTCATATTCACTAGACCCTGACGCACACAATCCGTTACAAATCCCATTAGTTGCTCAACAACATTTAGAAGATATTCCTACTACTGCCACTACTACAGACAACCATGAATATCGCTCCATAGTGGGCAAACTCTAGTTTCTTGCTAACACTGTCCGTCTTGATATTAGTTTCGACGTATCTAACTTGTCTCAATTTCTAACAAATTTGGAAAAAAAAAAAATAAACAAGCCAACCACTTACCATCTTCGTGCTGCTAAAAGACTACTCCGCTATCTTAGTGGTAGTCTCGATTTAAGTATCCAATTAATCGCTCTCAATCGATACCTCTTTGCAGTTCATAAATTACGAGGACGTCGACGATACATCTTACAAGAAGAAGGTTCAGCTTTACCGCTCAACTCTTCCATTCCAAGTATAAATGATCTGAGTAAGTAATCGATATCGGTTGATCACAGAGTTCACAATTACCTGATGATGGTAGCTGTAGGTGTATTCGGTGTCCTAGATTCACTCTATGTATCTCTTCAAACCTGTAGGGATCTTGTGCTTTAAATGAAGATAGTTTAGACCAAAATTCTACCCATTCTTCTTCATTTATTTGTATAGTGTTATATATTCTTACTCTAAAACACTCCCTCAACTAGTTATATACTTTCTCTTTATATAAATTCTATAGTTTTATAGTATTTTAGAGTAAGAATATATAACAAATTTGGAAAAAAAAAAAAAAATAGAAATTTGGAAAAAGAAAAAATAGTCGCTGAGATATATATATATTAGAGTGTTTTGAAATCTATCTAAAATAGTTATCTTCTGTATTTAAGGATATAAGCTTCTCGTCGTCAATTCCCAAATACTGAGAATAAATTCTGAGATCTTGAGCATCATGATATTGTAATTGCGAAATATTAACCCCATTATCAAAATTTTCTCCTGTTTGATTAGAGTTGGAGACTAAATTACAATAAAAATTGTAAATGTCGCTATCATTTGAAGTTGGATAAAACGAAAACGCATCAGTGTTAACCTTTTCTTCGTCATAATCATAGCTTATCTTGGGTTGGAAACTTGGCTGAGCTTTGTAAAGTAGATAATCTTCTTCTCTTATCGTAGGCTTGGTTAATTCATTATGGTAATGGTCGCTGAAAGTATAATAGCCATAGGTTGAGTCTTCTTCACGCAGGTCTTGGGAATCAGCACAGGTACTCGAATTGTCATTTATATCACCTCGCAATGAATCATTATTGTATGCAAATCTTTCTATTTTGTTGGCTAAGAACTTTTTGATCTTATTTGGATGGGTCATGTGTAGATAATGCTTATTATTACGCATATCATATCTTTGAACTTCTTCAGAATTCTCGATCCGTTTTCTGCTTGTATCAGTTAATTCTCCCGCAGCACATTTATCTAAATATCTCAAGTTTGATTCACCATTTAAAGCTTCTTTGTTGGCGCTTTCATCACCATTCTTAGGAAGACGAGGTTCAAATGGACTGTAATCGAAAGACTCAAGACTCAAATTTGTAGGGAAATATCTAGCATTCGAATTCATCTTAAATTGCAATACATCAGCAAACGACGTGAATTTTCTTGGTACGTAACATTCATTAAACCAGTTATCATTATAATCTGGGAAAGGTTCAAGCTTCCAACTTTCATCCCAATATATATTTGGAGAAGGATTAGGTGATTCAATATATTTGAACCTTTGGTCAGAAAGATATTTTTTATTGAACCATTGGATATAACTTACCTTTTTCCTTATATTATCAATTGACATATCATTATGTAAATAGAAATCATTTTGTAATTCCCATAATTTGGGCTTATCAGGCGAATAGATATAATTTCCAAGAAAAAGGTTAATAGCCTCTTGTCTTATCAGATCCATAAAAGAGTTTGAATATATTCTCTTAACACTGTTTAAAATATCTCTCGTATGAGATGACCATTGATTGATACGACGATATGAATCCATTGTATTAACCAAATTTGAACCACCATATTGTACAGCGATTGTATCACCATGATCATGAAATATTTCTGTAAGGATATTTATCAAATCTGAATCATATTCTAAAGTTTTATCTTGAGGAATCAAGTCTAAACTCCTTAATTGATATGTAAGCGCCTCTTTACAAGTAATGAATTGAGCGGCATTAGTTCTATCCAAGCAATCAATACAATTTGTCCTTATTATACCTGTCTGAAGTTTAGTTGATTCTAGATCATGCCCGTTATGAAAAAATCCAATAGTTTTGATGGATTCAGCAGCTATTGATTGTAAAGGCGTTATGACATCTAAATTTTTCTTTGAGTTCTTTGACATATCGAAACTATAATAACGAAGTTTGTTTTCGGCAGGTAAAAATTGATTCAAGTATTTGATACAATTAACAAAATGTTGATTTAATTTCAGTTCTCGTGGTTGTTTTTCCTTTTGCTTTATTAAATTCAATATTATAACTGGCAGTCCATATCTTTCAAATAGATTATTAAAATGAATGGCTGAACTTTGATAGAATGGATCTGAAAGATTAATCTCTATAGGTGGTTTTGGTAAACGATTCAAATCTTGAGTCCAGTATAATGGGATAGATCCACGATGTTGTACAAAACTAGAATATCGGGGACTATTATAAAAGCCATATTTTGGATCATGAAATGAAGATAATAACATATCTGATACAATCTGTTCAGTTTCTATTTCGTTGGCCACATTTCCCTTATCATTTACACCTCTTTTTAAAAATCTAGCCCCAGCAAAATGATGTGAACGTCTGGCAATGATTGTTATATAGAAACATTTCCCATAAACTGATATTTTCGCTTGATCAATAAAACCATGAATTATTGGTTGGAACCATTCATATGTGGCTATATCTTGATTTTCAAGGACTGGTTTAAGTAAGACATTATTCCACACAAATCTCTCATTATGATCAAATGTTTTAAAATTTTCATTAATGTTAGAAGCTGGTTGATTTAAATTATACTCTGTTGCTGCTTGTTTATGTCTCATGAAATTGGTTTGTAAAGAATTGGTAACATCATAAGCATAACTGAAATAAAATGTCTTTCCAAGATCTAAGTATTTGAAAATTGAAAGTAATCTTTCTTCATCACTATATTTTGCTGGTCTCTTATAATTAATTTCCAAGGGAATCAATTTAGTTTCATCAATATGGTAGATTAAATGACCTCCTAGTATAGCCACTTGACTACACTTTGTAATTATACTTAAATAGTAATCTTTAGTGAATCTTATAAATCCAAGAAGACCATATCCTTGAGCAATTTTATGAACCCCACCTTCAATTGATTCGTCTAATCCATTTAAAAGTTCCACCATATCTTTCCTTGTATAAAAATAACTCTTATCTTCTAGAATCATTAATTCATCTTCATTTACTGTATCTTTACTGATCTCCAAGATTCTAAACAAAGTTTCTTTAGCATTACTCCCCACAATATACATAGTAGTTAACGAATTGTATACGGTATATCTTTGTAAAATGATTCTCTTGTTATTGAACTCAGGTGTTGATTGGGAATGTTCATCACCTTCATTACTACTGACATCATCACCATGATTTATACTTTTAGGGGGTGAATCAAGGTGTGGATCTTCGTTATCATCATTAGTAAATTGATTTGGTTCATTCTCGTTCAGTGTGTCGTTAGGTTGATGTTCGTTATTTATAGCATTGATGTTGTTGACATTCTGTTGGTTCGTTTCCTCAGAATCTATATCAGGCATTGGTGATATATAGTTAATAGTGTATACCTATTCTTATATCTTTGATTTGATAACAGAGAAATTTGTTTACATTCAAATCAATTTTATATTTTTCTTTAGTGAAAGTATATTTATTGCGAAAAAATGCTAAAAAATTATTTAGAGTTCACCAACTATAGGAATTCTCCATTTTAATCCTTGTTTATCATAACTACATATTCTTTTGAATTTCTTCTTAATTTGATTGGTAGAAGTAGAATCACTCTTCCAATCTATTTCGAAATCTCCAAATCGATTAATGAATTGCCTCTTTTGATATACGGTTTGGAATTTAAAATATAGGTTCCTAAAGTCATTATTGAAATAGAAATCAGCATATTTCATAAGACTAACTTCATCATAGATAAATGATGAATATTCTTTAATCTCCTTCTTTTCATCTTCATCATTATAATCATCTGGGTTTGAGTAGATGGATAAAAATGTTGTATCAAATTGATCACTAATATCATTAGGATCTCCTTCCCCATATGATTGTATAGCCCTTTGAAAACTCCAATTATTCAGTGATCCACCACCATTTTGAACATAATTTAATGCTTTATAAACATTCTTTAAGGGAATATTTATAAAATATCGGTAATCAGATTCCTTAGCGGTATAATACAATAAATCATAATCATTAAAAAGCATAGAAGGCTGAGCAATATCTATGAAGAAAATCCTGAATCCTGATTTTAAATAAAGACCTATTTCTTCCATAACAAAATCCACTTTATATAATTTACTATGAGAACCAGTTTGACTACCTTCTACTCTAACACTTTCCTTTTGAGGTAGATTTATTTCTCCAAGTTTTAAAAGACAAAATTGTTGTTTTGGTAAGATATCATTAATATTTGTTTGAGGATAAAAAGTTTGAATAACAGGATCACTATCTTCACTTTGATATTTGATTTCGAATTTAGTAGTTCCAAGTCCACTTCCATGTTTAACTACTAAACCAATATTTAAATTATAAGTTCCTGGTGCTAACCATAAAGTTTTAGTATATGATAATAAATAAGTACGATTAATTTCAACGAAATGATTATAAATATAATTAGAAGGTTCATCTATTTTGTAATCTGAATATTCAGCAAATAATCTTTTATTTTTTAATATGGAATAGATGTACTTCCATGAATCTTTTATATAAATAGAATGCAATGGATTTGAATCATCATCATTATTTTTATCTTGATCTGATATAGAATGGGATGATGGTCCATCATCTAAATGTAACCTTGATGCAATTATGGTTCTTGAAACTCTTCTAAATGAATCCAAGCTCTTAATATATTCCTTCAACCATGGTAAAATCTTTATAAGAACTCTTAAAATATCATCACCAAAGGTTGCTATAATCTTATCATAATAAAGATTATTATAAAGAATGTAAAAATGAGAATTGATATGTTTAAGAGACGAGCTTGGAGCTAGTCGTAATAGTTCAACTTGTAACTCTAATGGCAACTTATCTATCATGAAAAGCTCTCTATATCTTAAGTTAACAAATTAAAAACAAAATCTGTATTCGAATCATTAATGGTAAATTTTAAGTTATTGTAGTTTTATTAGTTTGCTATGCTTTGCTTTGTTTGTTCTATTTTTACTCCAGTTTTGATAGAGCTATATACAGTACTTTAGTCCCGACCAATTATTCCTGCATGATAACAGAACAATTAACTAACAATTATTATACTATCATTATGCTGCAATCATAACCGGAATCCTCACCTCTTCCCTCGGATATGTCATAATTTTCTCCTTTAGATAACGAAACACACTTTAAGGGGGACACCATTTTAAAACCACAATTTTTATTTCACAATTAATAATTATTTCGGAACCCACTATCAATTGAGTAATTATAATCATGAATTATAACTTAGACTTGAAAGGGATGGATAATTCCACTGCTAAAGGATCTAGAAAACCTCATTTCTTGAGTTTATTCTCGGGTATTAGTATAGTTCTCCTCGTTGTATACTATTATACTCAATTCACAGATAGCCAAATTCAACCATTTTTCAATCATAAGATTTCCCCTGAATTATTAGATAGATGTCCACTGTATGAATATGCTAGACCTAAATCTTACTTACAAGATAATTCTACTGTGGTTAAGATTATTCTGGATGTAACTTTTAGAAATCAATCAGCTGAGAAATTAGCAGGTTCAGTTCGAGTTAAAACTGATGTATTTGATGATAGTCCATTGGTTGAAGATGATCCAAAATTTTGGGAAGATAAATTTAAACCATTCCATGCTTATTTAAAAGAAACTTTCCCTCTTGTATTTAAACATTTTAAAATTGAAACGGCTAATTCTTGGGGTTTAATTATAACTTGGGAAGGGTCAGAAAATCTCAAACCCGTGCTCTTAACTGCTCATCAAGATGTGGTTCCAACTCAAGATAATACCATTAAAGATTGGACTTATCCTCCTTATGATGGTGTATTTGATGGTGATAAAGTTTGGGGTCGTGGAGCTGCTGATTGTAAGAATTTATTAATTGGATTATTAGAAGCAGCTGAAGAACTTTATAAATCAGGATTTAAACCTAAAAGAACTATTATTTATGGGTTTGGATTTGATGAAGAAATTGGAGGTCCACGAGGTGCTGCCGCCATTGCTGATGTTCTTATTGATAGATATGGAAAGGATTCATTTTATTCTGTAGTTGATGAAGGGGGTCAAAGTTTAGCTTATGAAAATGATGTTCTTTTAGCTTTACCTGGTACCGGTGAAAAGGGTTCAACTGATGTAATTATTGGATTAAATACTCCTGGAGGTCATTCATCAGTTCCACCTGATCATACATCAATTGGAATTATTTCTCAACTTATTGAAGAAATTGAAAATAATCCCTTTGAAGCATTTTTCACTCCAATTAATCCTACATTCCATGAATATCAATGTATTGCTGTTCATTCTAAAAGTTTAGATCCCAGAGTTAGAGTGGCTATCTTAAGAGCTGAATTCGATACATTTTCAAAGAATCAAGCTATTAAATATCTTCATGATAAATCATTATTAAGTAGATATCTTATTACCACTACTCAAGCCATTGATATTATTCATGGAGGTGCTAAATCAAATGCTTTACCCGAATATGTTGAGATTGATATTAATCATAGAGTTGCTATTGAAAGTAATACTGATGATGTGGTTCAAAGAGATTTAGATCATGTTAAACTGATTGCAACTAAATTTGATCTTGGAATAGTTTATAATGGAGAAGAAATCAAACCAAAGACTCTCAAGGGTCACTTTACAGTTGAAAAAGTATCAGAATTAGAACCTGCCCCAATCACTCCAACTACAGGAAAGACTTGGGAATTATTTGCTGGTACTATTAGACATGTTTATGAAGAAATTGCGTTTAATGATCCAAAATCTGAACATCATGGAAAAGAAATTGTGGTTGCTCCTGGTATTGCCACTGGTAATACTGATACTAGATATTATTGGGATTTAACCAAACATATCTTTAGATATAGACCAGGAGCTTCTACTACAGTTGAAGCTCATGCTCATGGTGTTAATGAAGTGATTCCAATTGATTCGCACTTGCAGTTAATTGCGTTCTACTATGAATATTTACAACTTATTGACGATGTAGAAGATTGATTTACTTTATTTCTTTATTTATTTAGTTATACAACTTGTCTGTTTGTTAGAGTTTAAAATATATAAAAGTTTTATCAGTACGTATTAATTCCTTTGTTGTCGCTATAAATATGGTTCGCCCCCCGCACGTTCCACTAAATTTACTGCGAAGTTTAACTTTATTTCTCACTAAAGACATCAGTAGAAAATTCTCGAACCACCAAACTTCAACATCAACCGCCAACTGAAAATTTCTCCATATTATTTTTAGAGAGAGAGAGAGAGAGAGGAAAAACTGAAATTAAATATTTGTTGAAAAACATTTCTAAATTTGATTTAATTTGAATTTTATAATAGCAATTGAAAACCATTGAACAATCATTATTAAATCAAATCAAAATGGCTACTACCGTCACTCCAAATGTGTTATGGGCTCAACGTTCAAGTGAATCTGATGAATCCAAAAATGTTCTTTATGTTACCATTGAAGTTCTTGATCCAACTAATATTAAATTAGATTTAACTTCAACTCATTTAAAATTAACCGCTGATTCACAAGATAATAGTAATCATTATAACTTGGATATCGAATTCTTTGATGAAGTTGATCCTGAAAAGTCTCATAAAAATACTGAAAGTGGTTCTCATATCTATTTAGTTATTAGAAAGAAGACTGCTCAAGAAGAATTTTGGCCAAGATTAACTAAACAAAAATTAAAATATCATTATATTAAAACTGATTTTGATAAATGGGTAGATGAAGATGAACAAAATGAAGTTCCTGAACAAGAAGATGAAACTGCTAATATGATGAACTTTGGTGGTCCAGGTGGTCCAGGTGGTCCAGGAGGTCCAGGAGGTCCAGGAGGTGCTCCAGGTGGTTTAGATTTTTCACAATTAATGGCCGGTGCTGGTGGCGCTGGTGGTGCCGGTGGATTTGATTTCTCACAATTAATGGGAGGTGCTGGAGGTGCTGGAGGTCCAGGTGGTTTACCAGGAAACTTTGATATTAGTGCTTTAGCAAGTCAATTAGGTCAAGCTGGTGGTGCTAAACTTGGTGAAGATGATGAAGAAGATGACGATGAAGATGAAGATGAAGATGAAGATGATGATGATGAAGAAGAAGTTGAAGAAGTTACTGAATAAGCATATTGCTTATCTCACTTGTTACTCTTCTAAATCAATAATTTGTATAAAATTTTTCATGTTTGATTTAATTTTCTTACATTATTTACATATATGTATACATATTTATAGCTAAAGTTTTCTTTTTAATTATTCTTATTTATTGATTGAAAGGGGATCTTGTATCCATTTTCTAATTACTAAAGATAATGGGATCATCTTAACCGATGAATCATTAATATTGGACAATTTCTTTTCTTCAATAGGAATAAAACATTCATTATTATTTAATATATCTTGATTTCCAAACATAAATATTTTACAATATTGATAACTTTGGAGATTAAATAATAGATTACACGCGTAATCTAAACTTCTAGAGGTATATAACGATGATGATAAAAACTCACTATCATCAACATTTGAACCTTCATTTAAAAACTCATCAATTACGCCAAATAATGATAATACACCAAGACTAGCTAATTTTCCATTAAAGCAATTCCGGATAATTTCAATCAATTCCGTAAATGATTCAATATGAACAATTTGAATCCTTTCTATGATATTAATATTTTGATATGAAAGGATTGATTTATTATATGATAAATTATCATACAATTGACGATTGGCAATTACAATAATCGCAGTGGAATCTTCAACCTTTGATAATTTCAATTCATTTATAGTACATAATATACAATCTTCTAATGATTTCTTCTCATAACATAGCATTAATCAGCATTAATCCATTGATCATATATGATAAGTTGTTGCTTAATTCAAACAGTTAAATGTATTTTGATACTAGTTGGTTTTATGCAGGAAAACCAACCGAGGTCGTGCACAAAACTATTTTTTTCTGATTTTTGGTATAGTGAAAAATTTACCAAAGAAGATTTTGAAAATTATTGAAATCAAATATTTAAATTTATCGTACGAAGATATCAATCAACCCCAATAGGCTGACAATGTTGAAATTCAGTAGAACAGGGTTGCCTATAAAGAGAGTCTTAACCAGGTCCTCACCTTCTTGGAATGGTAGTATAAGATTTAATTCTATTACTACTACGGCCACTACTACTGGTGAAGTTGATATTTCTCAATTATCTCAAAAGGAATTACGTGAAAAGGTTATTGCAGATGCTTTAGCTAAAGATGAAGAAGAAATAGCAAGAGCTAAAGCTCTTAGAGAATTAAACAGAGAAACCACTGATTTAATCACATCATTAAATAAAATCCCATCTGATTTAATCAATTCAAGATTACAAAAACTTCAACAAGATTTAAAAAATTTACCTCAAGATAAAGTAAAACAATTAGATCAAGAATTAGAAGAATTTATGATAAATAATATGAATTTACCTTATAGTGAAATCTTTAATAGACCATGGGCCATTAAACCAAATAATTTTATTGAAAGTGGTGAAACATCTAAACCTAGTAATGATAATTCAGAAATTTCTCAAAAACTTTCTTCAACTGCCACATCATCTTATATGACTCAATTTCCAAATTTAAAACCAACAGCTGATCATAAAGCTTATTCAGAACAAGAACTTTATTTAAGACAACTTGCTCATTCTCGTCAATCAGGTAATTTAGGGTCTAAATTATCCAATATATATAAACCAAGAGATGATATAACCAACCCAAAACAAATCAAAGAAACCACTATTGCATCATTAATGGCTGCTGGATGTCATTTGGGTCATTCCAAAGCTATGTGGAGACCAAGTACTCAACCATTTATTTATGGAGAATATGATGGTATTCATATTATTGATTTAAATGAAACTATAGTTGCACTTAAAAGAGCTTGTAATGTTATTAAAGGTGTATCTAAAAAAGGGGGTATTATTTTATTTGTTGGAACTACTAAGAATTGGGTTCAACATCGTGCTTTAGAAGAAGCCGCCAATAGATCAAAAGGTTATTATGTATCTAAAAGATGGATTCCAGGTATGATAACAAATTATACTGAAGTAACTAAACAAATTCAAGGAGAAAATAAAATGGAAATAGATATGTCTAATAAACCAACTGGGAGATATTTAGGAGTTGAAGCTGAAAAATTAATTAAACCTGATTTAGTGGTTATTTTAAATCCAGTTGAAAATAGAAATTGTATTAATGAATGTCTGTTACTGAGAGTTCCAACTATAGGTTTATGTGATACTGATATGGAACCATCATTATTAACTTATCCAATCCCATGTAATGATGATTCAATCAGATCATCAACTTTAATGCTTGGTATATTATCTAAATCTGCTGAAGAAGGTTTAAATGATAGATTAGAAACGATTAAATTTTATGATGAATCAAAGACTAAAACTACAAATTCATTTGTTAAGAATGTTAAAGCTCCAAAATCGGAACAAGAAGCACCAATACCTGTTAGTGCTTAAATTGTATACTTACGATAATAAATAATCTGTACATAGGACAAATAGAGTCAATGTAAATAAGTAAATAAATAAATATGCATTTGATTGCTCTATAATATTACCAATATACCTAATAATTAAGTACTTTCCTAGTAGATTCTGATTTTTGACCTTGTTGAGGAGGATTATGTTTAAGTGATAAACCTTTATGTTTAATTTCAGCTAAGAAATCAGCCTTGTGAATTCGTTGTGATTCTATAAAACTTTGAACTTCTTCATTCTTAAGGATTTCATTTCGATTTGAATTGAAGTATTCATCAAGTGTTTCTGGATCTACTGTTAGATTAGATAAATTGGGTTTGAATTGTGGTTCTGAATTATTTGGATTTCGTAGTATATTTTTGTTATTCGTTATATAGTCTGTTATTTCCGATATTGGGATGGATGGATTGAATATATTTGCATGATATTCTAACAATTCCTTCTCAGTTATTTGAATCATACCTTCGAATTGTCCTAAATGTATAATCAAAGGGAGCTGAAAAGTATAAGTAGAAGAGTATAATAATTTAAATTTATAATTGATCTGTTTTTGGAAGTTTGATATTCTTTACATCCATGCCGCGAGCTGCAAGTTGTAAAAAAAAATCACTACCAGTTTTATGTAAATAATTATTTTATAAATATGGAAACATGAAACATTATATTAAGATTAGATATTGAAAGATTAAATATTAAGAATGAGAAGTCTTGAATTATGATAATTATTATTATAAGACTTTATTTAGAGGAGGTTAAATGAATATTATATATGTTAGTTATTGTAGCCCTTTAATAGAGGCATTTTTCTACTTTACTATAAGTTGAAGTTAACAAAAAACGACAGAATGAAAACAAAATCTATTGAACTTTCTTTGATTCTTCTTCGTTACTTTCATCAGATTCAGTGTCTGATTCAGATTCATCGTCACTTCTTTCATCTTGTGGACCACCATCAACTGAAACATATCTCCATAAGATACGGAAAATAAGGAATAACCAATATATATTAACCAATTGTAAAGCAGCAATTAAAAAGAATACAATTGGTTGAGAAATATAACATTTATATTGTTGAGTTTCCCAATTTAATTCCCATTCACCAACAGTTTTAAAGGTAGTTAAGACTGAATACAAGATTTTTAAGTTAACATAATGTCTAAGATAAATCCAAATAAAGACAAACATTAAGAAATATGGACCTGTATAAGGGAAATTAACATAATTCAAACTCTTTGATGAAGCTAAGAAGAAATCAGAAACATCCATGGTAATGAAAATTTCAAGACCCATCCAAGTAAAATGAAATCTATAAGAATTCCAAATTAATGCAATAGTGACAATATGATGGAAAACTAATTCATAGAAATCCTTTCTTGGTTTTTCTAATTGTAACACTAATACAATAGATTGTTGAACCCAAAATGCAGCTTGACCCAAATAATAAATTTTGAAATAAATATCATGAGTAAAATGAGGATAAGTTTCATAAATTGGAGTTGTTTCAAATAACCAAATAGGTAATTTAGACATAATCCAAATACCAAATGGACCTGAACAAGCATTATAACAACTTACATAAGTTTGTTCCATAAATCTTTTAAGTTTGGCTTCCTTTTTAAGACCAAAGTAAAGACCAAGTGGTCTTAAGATACAACACATAAAGAATTCTCTGGTGAAAGTAAAAAAGATAGAATAGAAACCAACAAAGTAAAAATCATTTACCCCTTTTCCATATTGATCAGTTCCTTCAATCTTATAGGATGGAATCATCAACTTTGCTAAGAATTGATGAGTTTCACTTTCGGGAGATGATAAATAAAAAGTTGCCAATGAAAGAGCTAATACTATGAATGGAACAATCCAAGTATGTCTATAAGCAAGTTCTGTGAATGCAACATAGATTTTCTTAACGATGGCAGCATCGGATTTAGATTCTTCACTTAATTCCAATATTCTAGCTTCAGATTTCTTTCTTTGAACTTTTGAAGTATGCATAGTTGAAAATGATGGAGATCCAGTATCACCCACATTAATCTTTCCAATCGACGAACCTCTACGACGATGGGTGGTGGCGGAGTCTGGATGAAGCGATTGTGAATCCTTATCTTCCTTTGATGACATGGTGACGGTTATTACAAAGTCTTGACCTCTAGTGAAAGGAAGTTATCAAAGTTTCAATCCAAATTTGGTGCCAATGTTTACCTTTTTATAATTTCTTTCAACAAAATAAATTTGTGATGATTCTTACTCATTCAAAATCAGAAAAAATAGAGAATAAATGTCGCACACCTCTTCTATATGAATATTTAATAAGTGAAAAGGGTATTCATTAGGGACTAGACCATTTCTGATAATAGGGTCATTTCAAAATGATCAATCATGATTGGTTGTCACTTTGAATATTCATCTAAACCATAATTTTTGTATTTAGAGCTCATGTTTGTTTTGGTATCATGAAATGTAAACATTGTCACCGGGGATGTTCGCTCAATTTTATCATACTAAATTTATAGTTGCCGACTTTACCATTATTTACTGCTAGTGCGACTTCTAAACTTAACAAAGGTGCGATATTCTTATAGGGTATTTTGAAATAGGGGTAAGTATAATCTATTGTATTTAGATCCATTATAGTTAAAAGTCAACCAAATTGACGTAATTTCGTAATTGAAATCTTAAAAACCGTTTAACTATAGTGCGATGATTATTTTTATTGCTCCACGAGTGGTACATAAGACCTTACAAATATGTCTTTGAGTTTTCTTTGTATATCTCTCTCTCTTATTTGACTATATATTACTATTTCCAAAATTCATCTAGGTTACCTCCAGCTCCATTAAATGCTAATAAGTTTGGTGAATCTGATTTCAATCCATTAAGAACTCCTTTGGTGGCATACTTGAGTACCCTATTCTTTAATTCTTTTGGTAACAATAATTTTGTAGAATATTCAGACTCTAATTCAGGTTGAAGTGATAAAAAGTAAGATAAAAGACCAGTAACATGAGGAGCTGCCATTGAAGTACCTGACATAACTTCAGAGAAACCTTCATTGAAAGTAGATTCAATATCAAGCCCGGGTGCAAAAATATCAACACCTTTACCAAAATTAGAAAACCATGCCATGGTATTATTCACATCACTGGCACCAACTGTAATAGGTTCTGATGCTCTACCTGGAGAAAATTTTGATGCTTCATCAGCTGCATTACCAGCAGCAAGTGATACATGTAATCCTGCCTTACTAAGAGCATTAGCAGATGCATCCAAAGCTTTGGAGTCGTCTCCACCAATAGAAACATTGACAGTAGAACCTTTGAATCCTTTCTTCTTCCGCTCAAGATTTTTTCTAAAATCTGCAACAGTAAACTCAAACCCTTTGATCGTATCAGATACAGTAACGAATGCATCAGGACGTGTCACACCCACGGCTACTAACTCAACCTGCTTAGCAATACCAAAGGTCTTGGACCCAATTATTCCAGCACAATGGGTACCATGACCAAAGAAGTCCTTCTCTTGGTAGGGTGCAACCAAGGCCTTTCCCCATCTTGCCCGCCCTTCGAAATCTTCATGTTCGATCTTAATTCCAGTATCCACAACATACGCAACTACACCCTTACCTCCTTGATCATCATAATGGTATTCTTGCTTTGGATGTGGTTCTCTGTGACTTCCTGCAGCCAAACCCCAAGTAGCATTTTCCTGAACTACATAGTTCCAGATATTAAGGGTTGAATCTGGTTCAATGTATTGTATAGCTGGGTCTAATTGGATCAATTGTAAGAGCGATTCAGGAAAATATCCAAAGTAGCCCGAGAATATATCTCTATTCTTATCATCGTTACCAAAATTGAAGAAGTCTAATTTGGAATTAGAATCATCCAGAGCAACCAAAAAATCATATTTCTCTTGAATCCATGTTTGATGAATCATTCTCTCTTCAGCATTCAATCCTTCCTTATACACTATAATATAGTTATTTGGAATAACATTCGCACCAGAAGCTGGATCAGCATAGAGTATTGGAGCCATATGACTTTCAATCTCTTGAAGTTGATCATCTTCTGGGATAGTCTTTACAGTCAGTTTATCAAAACTAAAGATAGTTTGAATATTTGGGATGACTAGCCCTTGAACCAAATTAATATATATTGTAAAGTATACGAGACCTCTGGCTAACATTATCCGTTTCTTACTATAATTAAGCGCCTTTATATTGATTTAAAGGACAAATCAACTATACTTATATCAATCTTTAACTTAAGGGGTAAATCCCTAGGAATAATATTTTTGACCCCTAATCTCAGTAGCTGACAAATAGTATATCTGCCCCTTATCAGCAAAGTTGAAATCTAGATTACATGTGAGAGGAGTATTTAGCACCGAATTTTACAATTTATGTCGGTATTATCCTTTTCTTGGCTTTGATGCATTTAACAAACATGTATAGAAAGCATTCTATACAAACCTGAAGCCGTTGCCTTAAACTTTAATTACAAAAATTGCTCTTTTTTTAACAACCAATTAATTAATTACTGTAATTGAGTCCAATAGGCCGCGCGGCTACAAAAATTAGTCTGCAAAAAAACGCCTGGAATATTCTACATTATGAAATAGAAGGGAATCATTTATATTTATTGAATTTTAAGGTTTAGAGTTTTAGTTCATATACTATCTATAAAAAAAACTTAAATTAGAAGTGGTTCAGAATGAATAATTTCAAAATGGAAAAACATTTAAGTCTGAATGGTTCCACACTATTAAATTCAATAACATTAAGGCCGCAGATAGTTTGTCATCAATGTTATTAAAACCTCTCATATATTTCTGTTTCTTTGTTAAATCTATTCATGGATTAGTCATCCCAAATATTCAAACTATCTTTAGTTTTGATAAACTGATTCTAAAGACTATCTCAGAGGATGATCAGCTTCAAGGGATTGAAAGTCATATGGCTCCTATTCTCTATGGTAAGAATATTATTCCAAACAACTATATTATAGTGTATAAGGAAGGATTGACAATAGAACAGAGAATGATTCATCAAATGTGGATACAGCAGAAATATGCCTTCATGGTTAGTCTGGATGATACAAATTCGAAGTTAGATTTCTTCAATTTTGGTAACGATGACGAGAATAGAGACATATTTTCAGGATACTTTGGATACTTTCCTGATTCACTCTTACAATTGATTCAATTAGACCCAGCTATACAATATATTGAATCCGATTCGGAGGTCCATCTCAATGATTATAGAGTCCAAGAAGGTGCTTCATATGGACTTTCGGCAATTAGTCACAGAAACCATGATCATAAACCTGAATACCTTTACGATGATCAAGGAGGCAAAGGTGTAGTTGCATATCTTATTGATAGTGGAATAATGGTTGAACATGAAGACTTTGACGGACGGGCAAGATGGGGAAAAGCCATATGCCCTCCGTATTTAGAGATAGATATTTTTGGACATGGAACCCATTGTGCTGGTATTATAGGTTCTAAGACCTTTGGTATCGCAAAGCAAGTTGAGTTGGTGGCGGTGAATGTAGGTTATCTTCCCGGAACTGTGTTCACATCTAATGTTATTAAAGGGTTCGAATTTGCGGCATTGGATCACCGACAAACTATTGAAAATAAGAAGAAAGGATTCAAGGGTTCTACCGTCAATGTTTCTATTGGTGGAGGTGATTCAAAGGCCATGGATTCAGCTGCAAATGCCCTTACGAAAGCAGGATTACATGTATCTGTTGCGGCTGGGAACAGTGGGAAAGATGCGTCAAAATATTCCCCCGCTAGAGCTTCTGGTCCTATTACTGTTGGAGCTGTTGATCTAAATAATACTATGGCTGAGTTTTCAAATTATGGCTCCAGTGTTGATATATTCGCTCCAGGAGTTCAGGTAGAATCAACTTATATAATAGGATTTTCTGCTAATATGACAGGTACTTCAATGGCAGCTCCACATGTTACTGGTCTTTTGTCATACTTTTTATCACTTCAACCTGATTCAAATTCAGAATATGCTAAAGAGCTATTGTTACCAAAAGAATTAAAGAATAGAGTAATTAAGTACGCCACAAAAGGCGTTCTCAATGGATTGATCTCAGATTCACCAAATTTATTGGCGTTCAATGGAGCTGGAGGCAACCTTGATGAATTTTGGAAATAGGAAACTTACCGTACAACCGTAGAAATTAAAGTTTATTCTGTAATTTATAGCCATATTTTTAATAAAATTTGGGGTAGGTTTGCAGCGCAATTTACTGACTCAAAAGTCTAAATTATTTAGTCAGCTTTCTTTCATATGTTAAAGCTTTGTAGTTTGGGAAACTAAAACATTTAATAAAACATTTAATAAAACATTTAATAGAACTTGATAGCCACATGGCCCTCAAGGAATAACTAGAAAGGTTATTTTCATGACTTGATAAAAAAGCGCTTATAGAATACTGAACGCAAATTTCCTATCAGAGACAAATGCTTTAAAACGCTCTAAATTGAACGGCTCCAAATTTAAAAATAAGGTTTTAACAATTATTGCACAGCCAAACTGATATCAAATAGAACAGATAAGTCAATCCTTAAACCTTAAACTGTCCAAATAGGGTGAGTAATAGACTCTTGTTAGAGGATTCTAGCTCCACCTGGTATCATAATAGAAAAATACTTAAATGAGGATATTTTCTAATCATGTTACCCGATGGAAATAAATGTACTCTTTCCCAGTATACAATGTTCACAGCAAATCTTATATACTTCGCTTTAACTTTCACGTTGGCATATGGTTTAGTTATTCCAAATCTTCAGGACTTTTTCAGTTTTGAAAAAGCTACTGTTGATGCTAAGTTAGGACAACAGTACCAACAAATTGACAGTTCTATGGCTCCAATACTCTATTCTGACCCAGATTCTGGTAAGAATGTTATTCCAAATAACTATATTATAGTGTACAAGGAAGGATTGACTGCTGAAGAGAGAATGATTCATCAACTGTGGATACAGAAGAAATATGAGTTCATGGTTTCTCTGGATGATTCGAATTCCAAATTAGATTTCTTCAATTTTGGCAATGATAATGAGAATAGGGATATATTTTCAGGTTACTTTGGATACTTTCCTGAATCGCTCTTACAATTGATTCAATTAGACCCAGCTATACAATATATTGAACCCGATTCGGAAGTCTATCTCAATGAATTTAAAGTTCAACAGAATGCTATGTGGGGATTGGCTGCAGGTAGCCATAGAGAACCCCATCCAAAACAGGAATACCTTTATGACGATCAAGGTGGTAAAGGTGTAGTTGCGTATGTTGTAGATACTGGAATCATGATTGAACATGAAGATTTTGAAGGGCGGGCTAGATGGGGAAAAGCATTGGTTGAACCTCATCAAGAGAAAGACGTACATGGTCATGGGACGCATTGTGCTGGTGTTATTGGTTCGAAGACCTTTGGAATTGCAAAGAAAGTTGAGTTAGTAGCAGTGGGTGTGGTACCCCCTGTCCCCTTTATTAATATTTCTGATCTTTTAAAAGGGTTTGAATTTGCCGCATTAGATCATCAAAAAAATGTTAAAAATAAAAAAAAAGGATTTAAGGGATCTACTGTCAATGTTTCTCTTACTGAACCAGCATCCAAAGCTTTAGATTCTGGTGCAAATGCTCTCATTGAAGCAGGGTTACATGTATCTGTTGCTGCTGGGAATGGAGCTCAAGATGCTTCACATGTATCACCAGCTAGAACATCGGGGCCCATTACTGTTGGTGCTGTTGATGTGAATAATACCATGGGTTCATTCTCAAATTATGGCTCTTGTGTTGATATTTTTGCTCCAGGTGTTGAGATAGAATCTACTTTTAAAGATGGTTTCTCTTTAATTTTGTCAGGTACTTCAATGTCAAATCCACATGTGACAGGTCTTTTGTCATACTATTTATCACTTCAACCAGATTTGGAGTCGCAATATACTACAAAGTTGTTAGAACCAAAGGCTTTAAAGGATAGGGTACTCAAGTATGCCACAAAAGGAGTTCTTAAAGGATTGAAATCAGATTCACCAAATTTGTTGGCGTTTAATGGAGCAGGAGGTAATCTTGATGAATTTTGGAAGTAGAGTTTTATTTATTTAGAGAATTAAATATTATATTATCTATTTTATCTGTGTAGTTTCCTAAGTTAAGTCACTACTTCAATATCTCTAAGTGGTAAATATTATATAACTTTAAACACTCTATTATGGATAATGTTTGTATAATAAATTTGCAATTGTCCACACACACGACCATATCTAAAAAAAGGAGAACAAAGAAAGAAGGAGGAGAGGGAAGAAGGCTGATTGATTTTTTTTGGACTGGGGCAAAAATACACAACTTATTTTTAACACAGTGTAATGGGTTTGCCACAGAGAAGAAAGTATCCCATACATTCTAGACGACAACTTCATCCATCCATATCCACGATGTATAAACCGACATCCATACTGTTGGAAAATCTTATCAATAGAGCCACTGATGCGACATTAACTGCTGATAATTGGCAATATATTCTTGATGTATGCGATAAGATATCTGCTAATCCAGAAGAAGCTACAAAACAAGCCATTCGATTAATAACGATTAAATTATCCAGTAAGGATGCTAATGTGATCTTAAGAACATTGTCACTTTTGACATCGGTAGCTGAAAATTGTGGATCTCGTATGAAACAAGAGATTGCTTCCAGATCATTTTTACAAGATAATTTAATTAAGAAATTAAAAGGTGATTCTAGATTACATAAAACAGTTAAATATAAGATAGTGGAAGTGATTGATCAATTATATCATGAATTTAAGAATGATCCATCGTTAAAACCTATGACTGATGCTTATAATAAAGTGAAGACGGAATATTCTCAATATTTTAAATCGTCTTCAGCTCCCAGTAAACCAGAAAAGACTCAAATTACTAAGCAGGATAAATTAAAAGAAGATGAAGAGTTACAAAGAGTACTTAAGATGTCGTTACAAGAATATGAACAAGAACAACTGGTTAAAAAGTCGTACCTTAATTCAAAACCATTACCTGATACCAATAATAATAATCAATCTCAATCTCAACCTAATAGATCTCCACCCCCTGAAACTCAAACTATTGCTACAGTTTCAAAAGTAAGAGCTCTTTATGATTTGATTTCATATGAAGCAGATGAATTATCATTCAGGAAAGGTGATGTGATTACGGTTATTGAATCGGTTTATAGAGATTGGTGGAGAGGTTCATTACCCAATGGTAAGATTGGTATATTCCCGTTAAATTATGTTACACCTATAGTAAATAAATCACCTCAACAAGTTCAACAAGAATTAAATGAAGAAAATAAAGTGTTAAATGTTGATCAAAGGAAAATTGATAAATTATTAGCTATATTATCAACAGCATCAGCTAATCCAAGTTCAATTAATGAAGATGAAATAACGGAATTATATAATGAGATTATTCCATTAAGACCACAATTAGGGAAGTTTATTGATAAGTATAATATTAGAAAGGAAGAATTGGGAGTATTGAATAATCAATTGAATACAGAAGTGAAATATTATAATGAATTAATGGATTCCCTGATTTCAAAAAGAGCAGTTAGTAATAATACTGGTAATCCATTTCAAAATAGTTCAATCCCATATCCAGCTGCATACCCTACACAGTATGCACCACCACCACAACAACAACAACCATCATTCCCTCAATATCCTTCTAGTTATGGTCTTGGACCAGATTCACAGTTGCAGCAACAACCAACTAGTCATGGATTTGGGAATAATGTTTATCATACTGCACCACCACCTCCACAATCTCAACAACAACCACCACCACATCAGCAACAGCCACAACGAGTGGGTACTCAAGATTATCAACTGTTTCTGAACATTGATAGATTCCCCGATGTGAATAACTTGTAGTTGAGTTGAGTTGATCCTCTTTTTGCATTTTATATAATAATTATAATAAATATCATAGCCCTTAATATTTAGCGTACCTTAAATTTTGTATGCTCGCGCGTAACAGAACAACACACAAACAAACATCAATCAAAATAAAATAAAATAATTTTTTTGACAGTCAAACAGTCAAAGTTGTTGAACGATTGATTGAATCCAACTCATAATCTAATAGTATAAATCAGGGTTAGAGATGGGTGATGCGTTATATTCCCATAGAGAAGAGCAAAACAATGAAAGATTTGATCAATTAGCCAATACTCTTCATCAATTCAGAAACACGGTTAATAATGATATTCATGGTTCAATACAGCAAGAGAATTCAATTTTAGATTCTTTAAATGATAATTTTGGTCAATTGATGCAACTGGTGAAGAGAACCAGTGGAGAGTTAAGAACTGTGATGAATAGAAATGCTAGTTTGACTAGAATCGTTGGTATAATCTTGCTGATATTCTTCATTGTCTGGATGCTATATAAACTAAGATAGATTGATAAGTGATGGTTTTGTTTATTTATCAATGGTAGAGGGAGAGATCAAGATGAATCAGAAACTATTTAATGCTGTATAATAATAATAATAATAAAGTTTTTTAATGATATTTAATAAAAATAATAATAATACGTAAATAATAAAATAGATACTATTGTTTGTTAACCACATCAGAACCTAATCTATAATTACCAATGGCATTACCCCAATTGATCTTGGATCTGGTTATAGGTAACAATCTTCTTAAGTTCTTAAAATACTTTTGATTAAGTTGATTGAAATCATCCACGATTTGTAACGTGATTTTATTTTCAGCATTATTAATGACATTAACGATTTCAGATCCAGTGATTGATCCATTCAAACTTGTTGATACTTTTTCATCAAAGTTTAATCTCACATTCCCATCTTCATAATAATGGATATCAAGTTTAACGGTTCCCAGTACATTAGATCCATCAATTAAATAATTTGATTTCCATTGTCCAGTATAATAATTCTCATTATTCAATCTTTGACCTATTATTATGATTCTTACCGAACTAGAACTAACAGGTATGACAGTGAATGCATAACCTGATGGATAATGGTCTTCTCCATAAGTTTCTAAAGTCAGAACCACATCTTCAAAATATGGGGGATATGTTACTGATGGTACAAAGCTTTCAATATCAGTGACTCGATTCGATTGTAAATCAACATTGAATTTCTTCTTAGAAACATAATCAATATACTTAGTTGATGATTCATCTTTATTATACGATGAAGCAATATATTTTCCTGAAAATACAGCTCCATTCTTTTGAATATAACTTTCTAATGATTCATTGATAACAGCTGGAGAACTAACAAGACTGGATAATCCTTCTCCAACTTCTTTCAATTCCCCTGGTGGAGCACTTTCCACCAACTTATCAACCAATTGATCTAATTTAATCGATGCCATCTTTACTTGTTTGAAACACCACCTGTTGAAATCAGTTGTCCTCCTCTCACCTTTCAACCCTTTTCGCTCAAAAAGGTATCTACAAAATATCATATCTCTGTATACAGGAAAATTGTATTATTATGTACTTATACTATATATATATAAATAAACCATGTCTTAAGATAATAAGAATGCTCCAGCTCCTTCATTAATAGCTTGTAACAATCTCTCTTTCATTAATTCCTTAGACGAATACTTTGGTAATTTGAAATAATTGGCACATGTCATCACACTAGGTAAATAATCATCATCAGTTAATCCTCCTTCTCCATGTTTTCTAACTACCGTAAGTTCAGGTCTAAGAGCTTTGAATCCTCCAATTGGTAATTTAGGTGATCCAGTTAAAAATTGTAAAAACGCTCTTCTTTGATTATCAGTAAATGAAACAAGAATACTAATTAATGATTTAATAGATTCTGATTCTTTAGTATATCCATGATTAGCATTAACTGCTGAAGTTAAAGTATCTAATGACCAATCTTCTTCAGCATTACCAAATAATCCCACTAATTCATTAGGTGAAAATAAAATTAATGAATCAATAGGGAAAACTTTGGAAAATCCTTCCATAAATGCTTTGGTTTGATGAATAATACCAGTATAAAGTGTAGCTTCAATAACTTTACCCACATATAATTCAACATTTGAAGAATCAACTCTAATATCCTTACCACCTGACATCAAATCATATTCAGGATAACCAGGTAATTCAAAATAAATTTCTAAATCTTTTAAGGTAGCACCATCAACCATAATTGAATCTCTATCCTTTTGATTTACAGTGGGGAAAAGTTTAACATATTTTAAAAGATGTTCTAAAGAATTGGCCAATTCAGCATCAACTAATCGAAGACTAGCGAAATTAGCTAATTTCTTTAAATTTCGAGTTCCTGACTTTTGACTACCATAATTAAATGATTGCACTAATTTTAAGAAATTTGGATTAAAATTAAAGTCAATAATTCTTGAATCTAGTAATGCTCTGGCAATAAATTTCCCTAATGATGAGAAAAAGTATAATACTTTTTTACCATTATCACTATTCAATTGTGGTTTATCCATAGGTGCAGGGAATAATCCTAATTTATTAGATACATATTCCACATCTCTACTATTACCATCATCTCTCCATAATTTTAACATTTTCTTGGAAAATTCTTTGGAGATAGTAGCATAAAACTCTAAAGTAGGTCCTAAACCAGATCCAACTTCATCAAAATATTCAATTTCAAGAATACCCGGAGTAGATCCATAAAGTCCAAGCACTTTAACAGCACTTTGTAATATCATCTTTCTTGAAATTCTAACCTTATGTCTTGTTGGACGACCCAATTGAACATTTTGATTAGAACTACCACCATGACCATTATTATCTTCTATGGCTTGGTTTGTCTTTATTTGCCAATGATGAATTAATCTGGAATAACCAAATGAAGTAGATTGTAAAAAGAAGATACGAGTTTCTAATGGAAATATAAATGGAAATTGTTTCGTAACATGGATACTCCAACCTGGTAAAGTTCCACTAGCAACAACTAATGGTTCTTCAAGTTGTCTATTTAACTTCACTGTAAGTTTCCAATTCATAAAATCACTTTCTCTTATAACGTTTGCCTTTGGAATATTATTCCTAACAAATTGATTCATTTCAAAAAGTACCTTTAATAATTTCAAAACACTAATAGTAGTTTTATCATAGACATCTAGCTCATCTTCACTGACATTAAATTTATAACTGAATGATTTACTTTCTTTTGATACTTCAGAACTGACCTTCCTGTAAGTCACATTGTGAACTGTACTCCAAATTCTTGATGGATCAATAATCTCATCAGGACGAGTTTGAAGTGATCTATAAATTGCACCGTAAATAGTAATCTCATTAGGAATAACTTCTTCATTGATGAGGAATTCTAAATTTAATGGATTCTTTTTACTATCATCTTGAATAGCTTCTTCTCTGAATCCTAAAGGATCAACTCTACCAAGCTCGCTTAAATTCTCAACAAATTTAATTCTTTGCTTTAAGAATGAGTCAACAGACTTGAAAGTGGCAATTGCATGAACAGATAAAATCATGTTTTGCATATTAGTAGGAAGTTTCTTATCATTATTATCATCATCAGAAGTTAACTTTAATTTAATTTGCTTGGCCATCACTGTGGTTTGATTTTCACTATGATATACTGATCCGCCAGTACCACTTTGGTTGGCTCCAGAAGAAATGATATCAAATGATTCACAACGAGTTAAAACTTCTTGTAATTTAGAAACAAGGAATTGAACTGATGATCTTTCTCTGTCTCCAAAAAATACTGATATAAACGACCTGTAACAATCATTGAATTCAAATCCAAAATCAAAATTATCACTAGTGAAAATATAAGCTAAAGAATCAATTATTCCACATGAAATTAATTCAAAACTTGAAAGTTGATCAGCATCATCAAGAGCCGAACATAAGGTCTCCCAAAGTTCTTTCCAATGGCCCAAATCAAAACTCTTTATTAATTTATGATCATCAAGGGTTTTCATCACAGACTCCAAAATTTTCATGTGTTTTGGAATGTTATCATAATTGGCAGTCAATTTGGCATCACGATAAAGATTTTCAATAGTAGCAGATACTTGTTCTATATTAAAATATACTTTATCGCTAGTGATTTCAATCTCATAGTCTCTTGTAAATTCTGCATCAATGAACTTATTGGCATAACTTGATGAATATGAGTGCATTCTTGATCTTTCTGGTTTTTCATAAGCGACTTTACCTTTAAGACTTTGCAATACAATGAAGGCATCATTTAATAAACCTTCTCTTTCAAATGCTTGGATGAATACCACTGGATTTCTTTCTAATAAAGTTTTAGAAATATTTAATGACATCAATAATAAGACATTCGAATTTAATTTTGAATTATCTTGAGTGGAATTTTTTCTAATTGATTGTCTTGAAAAACTATTATTATTTGAGTTGCTTTCATCGATATCGTCTTCGTCTTCTTCAATAACATCCTCAATTTCTTCCTCATCATCTTCATCATCTTCATCGTCTTCTTCATCGTCATCATTATCTTCATCTTCCTCGTTATCTTCGTCATCCTCTTCGTCTTCTTCCATATGATCATCATTAAATGGAACCACCTCTTCTTCCACTTCATCACGATCACCAGCCTCACTGGCCATGTCAATATCTTCTTGAACTTCATTAATTTTAGATATCAATGCAAAATCATGAGCAATGGAACCCTTGGAATTGTTAACGACCGATGCTAACAAGTTTGAGATTGATTCCACTTGACTTGGATCGAAATTATTGGTATAACTAGAAGTTATGATTCTATACAAGTTAATAAATACTTTTCTTCTAATTTCAAAATCCATACTAGATTGGAAACTAACGATTAAAAATGAATAAACATCATTAACAAATCTTTCATAATCTTGAGGAATGATATCTCGGCAAAGTTCTATACGTAATGCATTAACTTTTGATTTCTCTTCAAAAAATTCATACCCTTCATTTAAAAATGGAGTTTCTGAAGGAGCATAAGTGATGGGTAAAAGGTATCCTATTAAATTTAAAAATTGTGAAACTATTTCTTTTGGAGCTGCCATTACAGCTTCAATTGAAATCAGGGAAATGTTTTCCATAAAAGAATCATCACCATTTACCGGTGACTCTCTTTGCTTTGTTTTTGAATATTTGTTAACTGATTTGACTATAATTTCTCCTATGGAACATTCAGTAAATAACACATTTGAGATTCCAACACTTACACTACTTAATATAATTAATGATTTTATAAGACTTAGACATGAACTGTAGTTTAAGGCAACTTTTGAAGAATCAGAATCCGCTGCTGAATTCAGTGATTTATTACAACTGGAATATATGGTTTGAGTTAAACTTTTTAATAAAACCGCCTTTTGCAGGAATAATTCTTCTAATAATTCAGGTTTTGATTTAAAACTGATGATTATTCTTGAAATAGTTAACCATGCATTTTCCACCACCACTGTATCATTATGATTTTGAACTACTTCTGAAATATTATCTATTATGTCCTTTACTTTCAGAAAGTTTGATACTGATATATTAGTACATGAATTTGAAACAATGGCTAAACATTTTCTTTGAGCATGAATTGTTAAAAAGTCCAAATAAAGAAGACAAGCTCTTAAACCATCATTGGCAATAATACTATTATGAGCAATGGTATCACGAGATATCATTTCAAGAGTTTGTAATGCTTGTTCAGTTAAATCAATATAACTGATTTCTAAAAGCTTTCCACATAAAGCTTCTATAGCATGACTATTTAATGCTTCATGAATGAAATCTTGATTAACTTCTAGAAAGTTATATAAGCAACGACATGCCACTAAATGTAATTCCAATTCATCCGATAATGCAGGATCAACCATTAAGTTGACTAAACTTTTAGCTAATTTATTGGCTGGAATTAATCTTTCGGCAGTAATACCATTCATCATTAATAATCTTTCCGATAACTCATTAAGAGTTTCTAGTATAATATAGGTATCATCTCTTTGGTTCAAATTATTAATTAAAGCTTCCATTTCTTGAGTGTCTCTTTGCATTGTACCACCAAACATGATTCCACCTCCCATTAAACGTTGAACAGCATCCACAAAACCTTGTGCTCTATCAGAACCAGCTGCTGTAGCGGCACCACTACCACCACCTCTTGGAATAGCACCAATAGCTCTTAAGAATTCACTTCTTGGATCTGAATTATGATTGGAATGATCGTCATCTTCTTCATCTTCATCGTCTTCTTCTTCTTCATCTTCATTATCATCATTACTATTGCCACCACTATTACCATGACCTCTTGAACTATGGGCCACACTAGCATCCATGATCCTTCTTAAGAATTCAGCTGGTTCGATTTCTTCATCATCATCATCATCATCATCTTCCTCTTCGACATATTGGATGTCGTCATCTCCATCATTTGTGGTATCATAGACGCTGTCATCACTTGGACGCAGACTTCCTCTTCTTCTTTGAGCTTGATGGGATAATCTTCTTAATGATTCATCATCATCTTCGTAGTTGGCATCATCATGCTCATGCATAACACTAGAAGCATCAACCATATCATCATCATTCAGATCATGATGATGTGACTCGGACGAGTTACTTTTAGGATTTGCCATCACTATGTAAAGACTTTCCTTGACTTTCCTTGACTTTCCTTGAAAAATTCCTTGTTTAAATGTTCAAATTATTCTATTTTTCAATATATGAATATGAAACTGAAATCTGATTTATAATGACCACTATACCCACTGTTTTTCAAGATACTTAATACTTTGAAATAACCATATATTACTTGAGATATGGAACTTTTAAGTATGCAAAAAGATTTGATTTCAAAGACACAAATGTGAGGAATTAAACGTAAAACTATCAAATTAAACTCAACCTTTCTGTGTGATCTTCAATTCTCAACTATATCTAGATAGATATACGTATATATTCGTAAGGTTGATCAAATAAGACTATGATTTCCAGTTATGACTTGATTAACCTTCTTGTATTTGTAAACCTCTAAGATAGACCTTACAAAAAAGTTTTGAGGGTTTAGATAAAATGTCGTAATTGTGGGTTACTGATGTCGTCTGTGTCCACTGCGACTTTTTGCATAATTTCTTTTACAGTCATAAAATTTATTACTATACAAACAATAATATATATATATAAATAAATACCAATTCATATGATGATGATCAATCTAGAATAAGAATCTGAAGTCAGAATTTATCTTGGAAGAATCATTACCATGACCTAATTCCTTTTGCCAATTGATGGTACCTGTGGCAATTCTCTTGTTTAAGGTGACTAATCTGATTCTTAAAATTACTGCAAAAACAATAGCACATAAGATGAAAACACAATTACATACGAAAGCAGTAAGATATCTTGGAGCAGAACTTGAAGGATATAAATAAGCATTCCAGATTGATGTTGAATTAGAAATACAATTCATTAAGGCAAGAGCAACTGCTCTTTTGGCTGGTGGTCTTGGACAACAATTTGACATCCATGATAAAATAATCGTAAATGAACAATATAATGATGGAATCATTAAACACATGGCAAAATATCTTGCCCCGGTATTTAATGTTGATGCAGAAATTATGAATGCTATTAAAGCTCCAACTAATGGTATAGTTACATGTAAGAATCTTTCTCCTGTTTTATCAGCATGTCTTGCCCAAAGATAAGTTGCAACCACTGCAATACAATATGGAGGAGCAGTTAAACATAACGTAACGGTATCATTGAAATTTAAAGTTTGAACTACTGATGGGAAGAAATTAGTAACACCACAAGCGGCCACTAAGAAAGTTAAAATAAGGGTTACTAACCAAACTTTTAAATCTTTAACGGCTAAGAAAAGACCAGTAACGGTTGATTCTTGAGCTTCTTCATCAGAATCAGATGTACCAATATCTCTTTTCATTTTCCATTGAATAATATCTTTTTCTTGTTGATTTAAGAATTTAGTATTTGAAGGATTATCAGGTAAGACAAAATAAGCAAATGGGACTGATACCACCGTAATAGCTCCTTCAATAAAGAATAAATATCTCCAAGCTCTTAAACCACCCAAACCATCCATATTATCTAAGATCCCAGCAGCAATTAAACCACTCCAAGCACTACTCATTAAAGAACCAGAATAAAGAATCGAATTACGGAATGAAAGACTCTTTTTATCATACCAATTTGAAAGAGTTGCCAAAGCAGCACTGAAAAAACCAGATTCAATTATACCTAATAAGATTCTAACTGTTAATAATCCTTTAAAATTCTTTACAGCACCAGTACAAGTTGAAAGAACCCCCCAAAGAGTCATTAAAGTTGAGATATATAACGAAGGTCTTCCTAATTTATTTAATAACATATTAGAAGGAATTTGGAAAATAATATAACCAACAAATAAAATTGAAATACATGTTTGATATTGAGTACCAACTAATCCTAAATCTTCTTCTAATCCACCTAATCTTGCCGAAGCAATATTATTTCTATCTAAATAATTTAAGATATAAATATAAATTAACATGGGCATTAATCTTAAATCGATTTTTCTAGTGGTTTTCCTATCTAATTCACGTAATTCATCTTGAGTCAAATGTTGAAGAGATTCAGGAAGATCATAATATTCAAGATCTTGATCTTGTCCTTTTGAAGAATCTAAATTGGTAATGTCATGATCATCAACTAATTTTGAATCATTGACATCTTGGATTTCTATATGAGAAATATCAGCTTTAGCTGATTTAATATCTGGAGAGGACATTATTGTTTAATTGTAACAAATGAATATCAATAATATTAGAGAAGGAATAGGAAAAACTTACAAAAGAAAGCAAGAAGGACTTTAAGGTCGATATTTATAAGGTAAACTTTTTAAACATACGAAGGTGGTAAAATTGGAGAAATCTGGAGAGATGTGGAGTATAGTACAGATCTTTAATTACAATGGAATAAAGTGATTTGTGGGAATTTTTTTAAGGTGAAATGCCAATACGGAATATCATATAAAGTTTGTATTTTTGTGTATTTACTTTGCGTTTCACAGCAAACTATATACTAAACTTTGTTAAAAAGTATATTAATTTATTTAATTTATATTAATAATGAGTTGTTTCATCGTCCGATATAGTTAAATTGCTTAGTTCAGGCGGTCCTTTACAAATTTCTCCACATTAAACATTCTAAGTCAAGTCATTTTTATTGAGCCTTTAAATTTAACAGTAATTACTGCTTGTTTTTTTTTCTGTTCTCACTATTTTCCTTGCAACAAAAAACAAGGCTTAATTTCGCAGGGGGTAAATCGAATTAGAAGTTGATTGATATGATACGATTACAATTTAATGTGAGGGATAAATGGTTAATAATAGTAAGTGGGGTACTCCCATCAGAAGTAGTAATGATGCCGGATACATTTATCCACAACATACTCAACAAAAAATGGCATTAAGATATGGGAATCAATTTAGCGGGCAATTGACCCTAACAAGAAAAAGTGTAATTCTGCCGTGCGCGTCAAAGAATAATTGTCAGTAACAGTTGCAGAGAATATTTTCTTGAGTGGGGGAGATTTCCATTCTATTAATTTGGGGGATCCCATTCAATCATCAATTAATTAACCCTCCCCACTCGACTCATATGGTATTCATCAGATTTCTTAAATCCCAAGATCATAATCTTATACGGTCCATTGTTCAATGTACTCCTTCCAGTCCCCGTTTTTAAAGATTGTTGAGAGATTTAAAGTTATCAAAATTGTGTTTAAGTATAAGTCAAACTAGAGTCAAACTAGACATTATTATTAATATGAAGAAAGTTTTTCCGAGTTGACATTAATTTTTTTTCTGGCTGCCCCACCCCCACTTTTTATTTTAATTTTTAATTATAACCTATTGTAACGTAGTAATAATTACAGACTTTTTAGTGTCATTTAAGAAAAGTAGTAATTATCCTCCTGACAATAATAACAAACAACAATAGCTTCTAGCTTCCTTCGAATATAAGTTCCCGTACTCTTGGCCTCGTTTCTCGTCAAAACTTTAATCCATTCTACTTCGGTATTCATATACTTCAATTCCCTCCCCACCTCTGATCATTTTGATAAATATGATAATCAGGTCCCTTAATTATTGAAAATCTTTGAATAAGTGAAGTCTATTTGTTTCTCTTTTGTGGCTATATCTGCAAAAAGGATAAGCTTTCTTGGTTTAAGTTTAGGTTTCGGTTTCGTGGTAAAAGTTTATTTTTCATTAAATGAAACATTCTACAATTTATACATATGTATATATATGTAAGAATTAATGATTTAGTAATAGGTGTAGTTTATTATAGAATTTGTAAGCGAAGTTAACTAAGGACAGTTTCACAATTAGCTTTTTAAGATTACAATTTATCTTTTTAGAAGTTAGAATGTGGTATTTTATCAAAATCAGATCTTGTTTTTAATTCATTGGTTATGTATTTTGTCACTCGTTTCTTATTTTCTACTTAATAGAGTCAAAGTAGACTAGATGGTAGTGCTTCCATAAGCATTAATCCGAATTAACCCCTTTGAATCACCATCCACAGCAATATCATTGGAACCTAGGCCGTTGAAGTTTGAAGTTTCAAAAAACTCAGTTAAGCCTGTCACATCATCATCATCATCATCATTACTATCATCATTCCATACTTTGATACTATTATACCAATCTTCGACCCCGAATTCATGCTCATCATTATCATATTCCCAGTTATATGATATCCAAGTCGGTTTTTCATCTCTCATAGATGATTCACCAAAATTCATAACAAAGCCATGTAAATTATCTAACAGAATATTATTAGCCCCTAATATCACATGATTAAATTGTTTCGAAGTTAGGAATATTATTGGATTTGACAAGGTACTTCCATTGTATGTTGATCTTATATAACCATGAGCTATTAAATGATGATCGCCTTTACCCAATGCTTGATATCCATTGATATAGCCAGTTAAAGTCGATGTTGGTGAGAAATTATATTCACATTGTCCAAAATTAATCATCCCACTTATGGTTGAATCATCATTAACAATAAAATCATTGTCTAATTTGATTTGTAACTTGTTCATGGTTGATAGTTGAATATATTGCTGCTTATCCATATCAGCAGATTTGTATATAGCAAAAATAGTTAACAGAAAGTTAGTAATTATACATAAAAGAAACATTCCCACACTTGCAGAAGGAGTTGTTAAACTGGCTATTGTTGCAATTGTACCACTGATTATCCCATACGCAATTATTAAAATCCCAAACCTACTCATGGCAGTTGGTCTTTTACTTTCTTCATTTACGAAATTATTAATCTTAACATTATCATCATTGTTAATTATTTTCTGTAAATAACTACTAGAAACTATGAATGCGACCAATGACATGATTATTGTAGAATCAATTTCGTTTCAAATATACCCTCAAATATAATGAAGCACTTATTAAATACTTGTCGATACTGGTAAGTTAAAATATAGATATTTCAAGGGATATTTAAGTAACAAATGAAATTAAAAGTGCGGACTTTAAAGCCAAAATTTTGCAGGGGGGATAGTTACACATGCGTTTTTCGAAAAGTTGAAAGTAGCCCCATTTAAAAAAAATCCATGAACATCTCTATAATCGAAACACTTCCATCCAAAATTGGACCTGGCAGAAAGTTAAGTAAGATAATAATGGTTTTTTGAATGTAATTAGTCCTTTGAGTTTTGGTGGCTTTGCGCAAAACGAGACTAGGCTAAACGAGGATATGTTCGTCTGACTTAGTTATAAAAATTGCTAACATTATTGAACTGTGAATTCACATTCACTAAACTCTTTATAAATTGACAGCTTAATAATATGATGAACACGAATATTTAGATATCGTTTCTATAAATAAACCTATTAGATAAACTTTAAATTTATGACAGATGATTTGTGGATTTGCGTTTGAAATAATAATTTTGCGCTTTTTACCCCATTGAAAATAATGCCAGTCTATCACAAGGACGCTATATCGTTCTAATTAGATTTAAACAAGTGTATGTCAGGTAGATTTTTGCGTCCAATCTTGACAATATCATAAGACAGGGGCTGTTGGTACGTGCTAATAATCTTAAACTGTACATAGTCTATATGCAAGATGATAAAATCCAAACGATATAAATACGTCATGATCTTCTGGTGTGTTTAAGGATATTTTTATAGACTAACTCTGAAGTACTCCTATTCTACTATGTTAACTTTGACATTGATACTCTGTATCAAATCTTGCTGTGCATTTCATATTGAATTTAATTCGGACTCAACCACAGCCATTCTAAATGTCAGTCAAGTTAACCCATATGGAGCATGTTTAGAAGCCATATTGCCTAAGGGTTGGTCTTACCATATTTCAAGCAATATAATCGCTCAGGACGACGTCATTTGCTTGTCGGCTTATTTATCAGGAAGATCGTTACTGGAAAACCAAGTTGGATATATACTTGCGGCGTCATCACATATTGGACTTCATGACACTACACTAATGATGCGGAATGATACTTTGATTGATTATATGGCCAAGGATTATATTGACGAAGTGTTTGATGAATTATCAGACGAACAGAAATAATTGTGCATTGAAGACAGATCTGTAACTCTGTCATTACTGATTAGTGAAGTCGGCAGCTTTACAACGATTAACAATCAAACTACTGATCATTTTATCCATCCCTTTTTAAATTTTGGTTCTTAGGTACTTCTAGACTCCTTCTAATACCTGAAATACTTATAAAACTGAATTTACGTACTTTTGATTATTTAATTATATACTTACTTATCCTTATATAATTCAGTTTAACTGCCTGTATACAAAATTGATCATATGACTAAACATGTGACGATTTATGCCTGTATATAACCCTTCCCAATTAGGGATTTTCCATTCTAAAAAAAAAATAAAAAAAAAAAAATTCAACTTATCTAAAGAAGTAAATAGTGAGAAAGAACTTAATTGGCATTTCATAATATCATCAGTTATCAAATCATCCATTTATTGCTAAGAACAACTTGTTATAAGGAAGATAGTCATCATACAGTCAACATTAACTCATCATTTACAGTGTTGGCCCCTTTTCAACCATCTGTTTTGCACTAGTATTCATTTAATTACATACTATTTTTAAGGATTGTGTGGTTTTTAGAATAACCTGATTTTGATTTCATATTCTCCCCAAATTTTACCTTAAGTCGATATATAATGAGAGGAAGTACGACTACTTCCAACACTAATAATAGTGCCAACAACAACGGCAATGTCAATCAACTACAGTTTAAGGATGGCGTTGGTGGTGGTGGTGGTACCGGTGGTGGTACTGGCTCCAATCCCATAGGGTCCAATAGATCAAATCTTAAATCAAATGATAATCTACACAATTCTAATGATATTAATGATAAGCATAATGATAATAGCAAATACAATAGCAACAATAATAGCAGCAACAAGGGATATACTAATAATAATAGAGGAGATTTTCCCAATTCAAATCATAACTTGGAAGCAAGAAATATAAATAGTTTAGAAGGCAATTCGAATAATAATACTCATGATTTTGATCATCAATCTCCTAATTATTTAGATTCAAATTGGGCTTCTAATCTATTCATGGATTCAGGTGGAACTGATTTATTATATAGTGTTAATTTGGATTCAAATTCTATAACTCCTGCTTCAAATCAAATTATGCAAAATATTCAATATCAAAATAATATTCATGGTGATACAAATAATTCTAATAACAATCAAATGCCAAATATTCCTAATAATCAACTGCTCCAACATTTACAACCTCAATCACAATCTCATCTGGAAGGCTCATTTAACTCTAATCAATTTACCCCCCTCATCTTCAAATTCAACCGCAGTTCCCACAAAGTCAACTAAACAACGACGTCCATGTGATCATTGTAGAAGAAAGAAAACTAAATGTGTGATTATCCCTGATACCAATAATTGTGTTCAATGTGAATCAAAATCTTTAACTTGTACTTATACCAGTCCCTCCATTAAAAGAAAAGCAACTGATCTTGATAGTGGTCCCCCTCAAAAAAAGAAAAATGAAAAGGGTCTTGATATAAATCAACCTGGTTTAACTTCAATTCATAATGATCAATCGATTATAGTGGCTCCGGATGTTCCTATAAGAGATGTTGCTCCTATTCATGATTATTCCGTTATAAATAATTCATTATTGAAAAAGACTTTATCATTACAATTCCCAAGATCAAGTTTTTATGTGGGTCCCACATCTTATTTATATGATATTAATTTATTAAATTTAATCATTGATTCTCAAAATAATTCAAAAAGTGGACTGGATAGTAATAAACCATCTCCAAATTCTTCAATGGGAAAAATTGAACAAATTAATTTAAGTAATTCTATATCATTAAGAAAAGTTAGTGATAAAGCTCAATTTGTCCTTAAAGATGATCAATCACCTCAATCTTATCAAACCATGTCAAATGATGTCGATACCATTGAAAAATTCATTGCTCCTCATGGTCAAATTTTAATTGATTTATATTTTAGAATTATTCATCCTTCTTATCCAATCTTACATAAAAAAGTGTTCCTTGAAAAATATTCTCGTACTCATAGAGAATTTAGTGCTCCATTATTAGCCGCAGTATATGTATTGGCTATTCAATGGTGGGATTATGATCCTCAATTAAATCGATTCCCAAAGCCAAATGTGGAATTAATTTTAAAAATTGGGTTAAATAATTATTTCTTGGAAATCTTGAAAAGACCAAAATTAAGTGCAGTCCAAGCTGGATTATTATTATTACAATGTAAACATATTATTCAACACGTTAGAGCTGTTAATAATAGTACTAATAATAATAACGGTGATCCAAATCTGCCACCTACTAATAATGGTAATCTCGGTTTAGGTGATACAGATTATAGTGAATGGGTATTATGTTCACAAGTGATTGCCTTAGCTGAAGAATTAGGATTAGGATTAGATTGTAATAATTGGAAATTACCAAAATGGGAAAGAGGATTAAGGAAAAGATTGGCATGGGCGGTATATATGGAAGATAAATGGCTTTCATTAAAACATGCTCGTCCTACTCATATTAATGAAAGAAATTGGGTGGTGGTATCATTAGTAGAAGAAGATTTTCCTGAAAAACATGGCGATGGAGATTTAAAAGAAGGTTCATCTGATATTGATAATGGTAAGAAAATATTCATGAATTTAATTGATTTATCGATGATTCTTTCTGATTTATTAGATCAATTCTATTCCATGAAAGCTATGAATGAAATAACGAATGTTAGTGATGTGTTAAAGATTGCTAAACCATTACAATTGAGATTAAGAACTTGGTATCATTCTTTACCGATTGAATTACAAATGAGTTCAGTTCAACCTCGAAAATTATGTTCAAATGGTTATTTACAACTAGCTTATTTTGCCACTGAATTAACACTTCATCGTAAGATTGCTTCTGTTATTTATCAACAATCATTAGCCGGTAACGCCCCTCCAAAAGAATTGGTTACGGTTTGTCGTGCTGCTGCTAGAACAAGATTATTAGCATCAATTGAATTTGTAAGAGATTTAAAACCAGAACATATTCATTCATTTTGGCATTCATCTTCATCATCAAATTTCACTTTAATAGGAACGTTTGCTGCTATTTTATTCATGTCATCGCCTAATAAAGAAGAAGCTGATTTTTATCGTGATCAAATATTTAATTATAGATGGATTTTGAAAATCTCTTCCAAAGGATTTGATCAAGTTGGTGAAGCTCTTATGCAATTAGATCTTGTTTTAAGTCATATTCCAGGTTTATTAAGTGATGGAGCTGATTTACCTATGGTATTACCTAATGTTCCAAACTTTGATTTCCAAAGAGCTGCCAATCCTCCTGTTCCTGCCCCATCCCAAACACAACCACAAGCAAAACCTCAACCTCAACCGCAACCTCAACCGCAACCCCAAAATCGTCCTCAATCAAATCAGAATGGCATCACTAATACTTATGGTGGACCAAGTCCAATGGCTTATCCTGGTAATTCGAATTCTAATAATCCATCAGTGGCACAGAATAGAGGTCCATTAGGTAATCAAAGAGGTAGAATCTCTCAACAACAACAGCAACAACAACAACAATCATTCCGTGATTCACCTTATGCATCACCTCAGAATTTTTCTACTCCACCAGTTTCTCAAGGTCCAACTGGTGTAGCCAATTCACCTTCTATGCAACAAACCATGTCAAGAGGAGGACAATTTATGATTAATTCCCCTCAATCATCTCAAGGGTTATCACCTAAAGAAGTTAAACAACAACCACGAGTATCAGTTGCATCTCGAAACAATAGTCGAGTCAATGAACCGATTGAATCTCATACCAATACTCATAACTCACCAGTTAATCATAGAGGAAGTGCGGGAGGGAATTCCAATTCTAATTCAAAAGCTAACAGTCCAGTTTTAATTCGATCACCAAATAATATAACTACCACATCAATAATTTCCCGAGCTGATCTGAATTATGGACGAGAGTAAAAGGTGTAGTAATAGTAATAGTTTATAATTTTATTTCGTTTTGTATGTAAGTAATTTAATTTTAATCATATCTTTTAATTCATCATTATATAATATTTTATTTTTTATATTTCAATTCATGTATAATATGTGTATGTATATATTACAAAATAGACCTAAGTTAATCAAATGGAGTTAAATAAGCTTCAGCGATAACTCTTGCTCTAGCATTTAAGAATAATTTCATTTCACTAATTTCTTTATCCACATCTTCCATAAACTCTATAATGAAATCAACTAATTTATCCTTTAACATTTGTTCAGTATGAAAATTTGTGATTAAAAATGAAATATCATACCCTTTTATAGGGACTCTTCTTAAAATAAAGAAATTCTCTGCTCTCGAAGTTAAGAATCGAGTGAATTTATGAACCAAGATTTGTTCTATTTCATCAGCTTGTTTAATCTTAATCGAAACTCTTACTGAATTAATCGATGGTTCAATTAAGATCTTTTCATTTTCATTTCTAGCAATCACCATGGGATTCAATATTAATTCAGGATTATGAGTATTATCAACCTCTATTTCAGGTCTATTGTGTCTTTCCACCAATTGGGATGAGAAATCCTCAACACATATGGCTGCCGTTAATGACGATCTCACGGCCGTCAAGTATGGTTTTAAAGATTGTGACTAGATAGAAATCAGTTAGTATATCAAATTGTTCCATCAATTGGAATTGATCACTCCAACTATAATCAAGTACGTACCATTGCTGATGATGTATTAAACTATGATAGAATATGATTGATGGTAACTCTTTCATTCAGTGTAGGCTTGGGGCCCTCCTTTTTGAGTATTCACAATTGGAGTTGGTGTAAATTTGGATTTTTTGGGCAAAAGTACACGCCCGCTATTTTTGCTTCATTATCATTACTATGTATTACATATACAATACACACTATGTACTTAATAATTTAATACAATCTTCTTTTCCTTCTTATCTTCTGTTTTGACTCGTTTAGAATATGTAGTGGTAGTGGCGCTGGATGACTCTATACTTCTCTTCCTTGATTTTTTTACCGATTTATTAAACACTTTGATCAATTCTTCAAGCACATCTCTAGCAATATTATTTTCATTTGATTTCTTTAAAGCTAATATATCATTGAATAAGGGGAATTCCTTAAATTTAGTTAAGATACTACTGATATCATTATCTGAAGCTAAGTAATATGTCTTGGCGCTATCAGTTTTAACCTTGATGAGTCCATTTGATTCATTTATGGTAATGATATTTTGATCATCTTTATGGGTATAAAGAGATTCAGCAAACTTATGAATCTCTTCATAGTAAAGATTAACTGTGACATAATTCAATTTTAAATCGTCATAGATCTTTGTGAATTGTTTTGATTCAAAATCAATATCATCTATTCGAGGATCTTTTGATTTGTTTAAACTTGCAATGAATGATTGTTGTGATTCCAATTGCTTTTTAAATGAACCTGAAGAAGGATCAGATTTATTTGATTTTTTCAAAATCTCTTCAAGGGTTTGTTTCATTGATTTGAAACTGGATTTTTTATCTTCAATATAATCTATAAATAATTCCAATGGATTTGACCCTTTTCTACCTAATAATTCAAAAAATGAATCTTCATTTTCAAGTAAACTGAATGCATCTTTAAATGAACTACTAACTTCAATATCAAGTTTGATTAAGATTTGTTTAAATGCTAATCGAGCTTTTCTATCGGATATATGATTTAATTTTTCATGATTTTCAATTTCTTTATTTATATTAGTAATGATTTGAGGATAAAGTTTGGATTGATATAGATTTAAGATATCTAATTTTGATAAATTTTGGAAATGATTATTGGCTTTAAATCTAGTATCAGTTAATAAACTTTCATATAATGATTCCCAAGTTTTATTAATAGATAAGATTTGAGGGTTTATTTGGGTTAAATAAGATTCTAATTCAATTAAAGCTTGATCTTTCTTTTCTTTTAAAGTTTGATCATGTGTTGTTTTCAATTCTTGTCTGAATTTATAATATAATTCGGCAATTTTAACATCAGGTAATACTGATAATTGAAAAATTGAATTTTCATCATTAATTAAATAATTCTTTACGGTTAACCATCTTGTATTATGATTTATTTTCCCATTAGATTGATATTCTCTTAACACTTGAAGGAAATTCTTTTCAAAATTCTCGATTAATAAAGTTTTATTATTTAATTCTTGTTCAAATCGTTTAACTAAATAATCATCATATAATTTTTTACGATGTAATGCATCAGGTATAACCCAATATAATGGTTGTTTAATTAATTTCGACATAACTGATTTGAATGACCAAGTTGAATCAACATTATGATCCTTTAATAAACCAATGAATTGATTTTCAGCTTCAGAATATGATTCAAAAGTAGGTGGATAAACTAATTTATCAATCACTGGTTCCTTTTCACTTAATGCTTTATCCAATGATGTTAACTCAGTAGATGAGGAGGAGGAATCTCCATCCATTGTTTGATCTATATCTTCTGGTTTCTCCCAAGTGGTTTCTCCAGTAGTTTCATTATAATAATATGTCTTACCATCATCAGTTTTATATTCTTGCCAATGACTTGAAGTTGAAGAAGCTATAATAGTAGTTAATTTTTCATTTGGATTTCCTTCATCATCTTCATCTGTCGGGATATAATCAGTTGGTTTATCCCAACTTGTTTCATCGGTGGTGGAATTGAAGTAGTAGGTTCTACCTTCTTCATCCACTGTTTTTACCCAATCACTCATATGATGAATCTCATCTAATCAAGAGTTAATAGTATCTGATACTGATAATCAACTCTCTGTTATAGCTCTTTTTGCGGTGTAGCACAAAAATGTCGTGACAAAAAATCTTGATTCTTTCTTTTTGTTACGACATCTTTTATAATTATTTTTTTGTCTGTCTGAAGACATTTGTCTGATTTATTTTATTCAAAATTGATGCATTTACAGGATTTTATTTTGAGACAATAAAAATTGAAAAATTCCCTGTAATCGCATAATCCAATTATTTTTGCAATAATTAAATATAAATTTAGTTAAGGGTTGTATAATGAAGTTTGCTGAACTCACAATTAATAAGAGTCAATTGTAAAGATCTAAGCAAACATCGTATGAATTGCATCCATCTTGCATTGAATGAATGAGCTGTTTCTATTATAACGAGAAAATTTTTTAAATTACAATAAAAAGTGGTTAAATTCCCAACCATACCGTTTTTGAAAGTTGTTCATTTATTTATTCATCAAATTATACCAATTAGGATTTTATTCAATATTTCAAAATATGAGTACTTCATATTTGGAAAAATCCAACGCTCAAGCATCGATTGCAAGTGGAGCAAACACTGAAGATAAAGAGTTTTCCGATACCAATAGTGAAGATTATGATATTGCATTTAAATTCCTTCAACAAAATGAAGGTCAAGATACAATAATTAAAAATCAAGAATTACCTCCAAAAGTATTAAAGAAATTGGATTTAATCATCTTACCTTTATTATGTGCCATTTATTTCCTTCAATTCTTAGATAAAACTTTATTAAATTATGCTGCTTCAATGGGTATTAAAGATCATTTAGTTGGAAATCAATATGCTAATTTATCAACTATTTTTTATGCCGCTTATATATTTGGAGTCCCTTTCGTTAGTTATTTCTTACAAAAATTCCCCTTATCGAAAACATTAGGGTTTTTCATTATTTTATGGGGAATTGTTGTAGCTTGTCATGCTGCTTGTAAAACTTATGCTTCATTAATGATTGTGAGAACTTTATTAGGGATTTTTGAATCATCTTCAGCCGTGGCCTTAATTATGATTAGTGGGATGTATTATACTAGATCTCAACAAGTTGCTAGAATGGGTTATTGGTCAGTGATGTCAGGTGCGGCCACTATTGTTGGAGGTTTATTATCATTTGGATTCCAACATGTTCATTCAACAAAATTTGTATCTTGGCAAATATTATTCTTATTCATGGGGATTATAACTTCATTATTTGGGATTTTTGTTGCATTTTATTTACCTGATACTGTTACCACTGCCTGGTTTTTAAATGATGAAGAAAAATTATTAGTTTTAGAATCAATTAGATCAAATCAAACTGGTACAAAAACTAGTAAATTTAAAAAGGAACAATTATATGAATTATTATTTAAAGATAAATTAACTTGGCCTTTATTTATTTTAACTATTGCTTCTCAAATCGTTACTGGTGCCATTGGAACTTTTAGTGTTACTATTACTCTTTCATTTGGATTCTCCAATTATGAATCAGCTTTATTACAATTACCAGTTGGTGCACTTATTATTATCATCATTATAACTGCCACTCAATTAGTATCAAGATATGGTCATATTACTTATATTGCAGCATCAATGTTTATTCCAACCATAATTGGAGCTATTGTTTTATTATCAACTCAACTTCAAAAACAAAAAATTGGTAATTTATTAGCCATGTATTTATTATATAGTGGTTCTTGTGTTATTACTTTGATTTATGCTTGGATTAGTGCTAATACTGCGGGTACAAGTAAAAGATATTTTAGAAGTGCTATGACCATGATTGCTTTTTCAATTGCAAGTATTATTGGTCCTCAATTATTTCAAGCTTATTCATATCCTGATTATCATCCGGCAAAGATCACTATTTTAGTAACTCAAATTGCTTGTATTCCATTAACATTCTTAGTAGGTTACCTTTCTAAAATTGAAAATGAAATGAGAGATCAAGAAGCAATTGTTGAAACAATTGCAAATCATGAATTTTTAGATTTAACTGATATTCAAAATAAAAAGTTCAGATATACCTTTTAAATCCAATCTTTGGTTATTAACTTCTTTATACTGTATATACCTTTATAATAACTTTTGCATTTATACATGCCTTAATATATTAATTTTAATAATAATCATTTATATAACTTACATTTCTAGGAAAGTTCTATGTTCTAAAGTATACTACCATCAAGAAATCCAAGATCAGCTTGTTGTTTGACACTAGGACGTTCTTGAACTTTTTTATACCACGCTAATAAAGCCTTTAAATCAGATGGAACTTCGATATTCATAACCGACACAAAGAGCATACCTCCAATTAGAGCAATATCAGCCATAGAGAATTCATCTCCTGCAACATATGGTTGGTTTTGTAAAACATCATCAAAATGTCTTAATCCTCTTAATCCTTTCTCAAGTTGATAAATTCCCCATTCTTTGTTTTGATAGATCTCAACTTGGGGTCCTAATCCTGGAGTTGAATTGTGAAAATAAGTACTAATAGCTTCTTGGACTTCTAATTCAGCTCTTCTAGTCATGTTAAGAATAACACCCTTTTGAGCAGCAGTACGACCAGTAAGAAATTGATTATCATCAAGATTATCAAGATAAGTAATGATAGCATTTACTTCAGCAATAATAGTACCATCTTCTAATTCAAGAACAGGAACCGTACCTGAATAATTGAACTTTTGTTTAAATTCAGCAGATTTATGTTCAGCTTTCCAAAGATTAACTCGTTCAAATTCAACTTTTGAAAGTAATCCTTTCTCTGCTAATGCAATTCTAACTCTAGCAGGAAATGGTCCAGTTGGCCAATCATAAATTTTCAACGACATATCTAAGTTATTGTTTATTTTTAAAAAGAGTCGTATAAACTACAGTAGCTATAAGTAGATTCCATGATATTATATTTATACTAATTGGAAAATTTAGGTCGGTATAAATCTTGGGACTTTCCCAATTAAGCCACTTTTACGGTGTTATCAAATTGAGAAGCTTACTAATTTTTTGACGTATATTTACTACAAATTTATTTGGTAGCCTTCAAACTATAACAATGGGGATTTTATAATTTTCTCCTCCGGTTATTCGGAAAACATGACAATCCATACATACATACCATTGGAAACGATCAATGGTGATTTGAGGTAAATAAATTTGCAATTGAAAATCTCATTACCACTAAGGGTATACCAATGATCATATACATATTCTAGGGTGATGACTTAATGAAAAAATTGGGTCGTGTGTAGCTCACATCACGTGCTCGAATATCATGTGACACACACTTCTTTGTACAAACCGAGCCATTTTTTCGTCAAAACAGTTAGCCTGGCTAGCTCAATGGCTAGAGCGTTTGACTTTTAAGAAGATCCTCGCATCAATGCTTAAGAGGCATCAAAAGGCTGCGGGTTCGAGTCCCGCGTCGGGCTTTATTTTTTTTGATTATGTTTTGTTGCAAATTTCTTGCCTACTGCAAAAAGTTATAAAGTTCTATTAGTTTACAAAATTAAAATCTATTATTAGAATATTATTAAATGCATATATTAACTTGTGTTTTCTAGAATACTAACTAAACTGGTGATATTTATTGAACTTAATAACGTGTTTATCTTGGCTGTTAGTAGAACCCCATAACACAACTTAAATAAACATTAATCATATCAATAGAAGCATTTATTCCTGTTATTATATCATAAAGACTTTCGATTGCTTTATTTTGACACAGTAAAGTTTGTTACATCTTAAGAAGTTTTTACAACTTATTATTTGATCCTAACCGATAAGCTATTATCATGTCGAGATAGTATGAAGTGAATTAATTATAGTTGAAACACTTGATTTTAATTTGTATCCACTTCGAACAACCCAATTACTCTTTGGAGGAGGTTGACCTTGCTTTATTAATGTTGAAAGCTTTTGAGAATATTTTGAATCAGTTAAAGTTAAACTTTTTAAATCATTTTCAATTTGGGCAAGTGTTCTATCAATGCGTCTCATTTTTACATGATCCAAATCATTCAAACGAGTGTAAGGGTGATGTATTCCAAGTCGAATGGTTTCTAAGCTATCACTATGACACCTCCAAATGTTTTCAGTAGCCATCTTTTTTATGTATTTTTGACGTTGAACGGCAAATGAATAAATAAATAAATAAATGAATGGACATTTAAGTTTTAAATAGTTTATATATATATATAATATTGAAATATAATTAAATGTTATGCTTACATAAGAAATGGTAAACTTTAAAGATCTAGTAAATCAAATACGGGAAACTTGAAGATTTAAACAACCACAAAACAATATAAAATTTCCCCACCTTTAAGCACAGATAATTATAGATAATCGAATAACCATTAATTCCTATGAAAGTAGTCAATGATTTTTTAACTTATTTATTAAAGCTTGGAATGGCAAACATTGTTCCATATATTCTGGTGGAGGTTGAGTGCTTAATTCCTTAATAGTGGATCTATAATCAGTATTATCCATATTGATATGAGAAATCACCAGCTGAATACAATCAAGAGAAGCTTGAAAACTTGAATATTGACTCAGTTGAGAGTAATAGATACGATCTTCAGCATCTAACAAGTGTTCTAGATTTTTAATCTTTTGCTGCTGAGATTCAATGATCGTTTTTAATTCTTCTTCAGTTGGAATTGAAGTTGTAGTTATAGTTGTGGTCGTCATATTTAGTCTCAATTATAATCACTTTGATGAAAAGGTTAATAGTCAACCATTAAAAGTTTTAAAGTTTATAAACTTAATGGATTAACATACGTACATATACAATTTAATCTGTTATGCTAATTTGGTGATGCATGCGTTTTGTGGTAGTTTAAATCTTCAAGTTTCCCATATTTGATTTACCAGATCTTTAAAGTTTATCTTATATTAGCATAACATTTAATTATATTTAACTATTATATATATAAACTATTTAAAACTCGGGAATTGCAAACTTATGACTTTGAGAAAGTACTTAATCAAATTGACCGAAAATACTTTTATCATTTAATTCACCATTGATATGTTTGTGTTATTGTTCATTGTTAAGGGAAGAAAGTATATTACACTTTGATCTAATGCAACCGACTATTGAATCTGTTATGTTATTGATTATTATTTATTATTTTTACACTAGAACAGACTATATACTTAAATTTGTATAACAATTGTAATACAGTTAATATGATAAACAATGAATATTAATTAATGAATTAGGTTGTTTATTTACGATAATATTTATATCTATATATGTATGGATAATTAATTATGATTAGATTAAATTCAAATCTCTTAAAGCTTGACAATTTGGCATTGGTAAAGATTCCGCTTGTTTTAATTTTTCAAAATCAGTTGAAAACCAACCTTGAGCTTCTTCAATCATTTCATTTTTATATATTTGTTCTCGTGAACATCTTGATCGTTTATCTTGAACATAAATATTTTCAACTTTTGAATCAAAATTTTTTAATTGTTTATCCAGTAATTTCTTAGTGGTATCAAAATTATTCGATACATAATATGGAATATTATATCTTGGAGTTTGTCTTTGTACATTGAATTGATTTGATTTAATGAATGAATAATCGGGTACTGATGATGATGAATCAGAAAATAATGCTGATAAAAGGGGTACTAATATAATTAAAAGTATAGGGAATAATTGTCTTAAAGTTTCCATTAATGATGGTTCAGCCTGAGGTTGTTGTGCTTGTTGTCGTTGTTGTTGCTGTTGTTGCTGTTGATTTCTAGGTCTACGTTGTTGAAATTGTTGTTGACCACCAAATGGTGAATCTCCAAATGATTGGAAAGTAAATCCATTACCTCCAAATGAAAATGTTGGACCTCCAGCACCACGTCCTGGACCTCCAAAGAATAAATTAAATATATCATCTTCAAATGGATGAGCACCTCCACCACCTTGGAATCCACCAAATCCATTTCCAAACGGACTAGCTCCAGATGTTGTAGCACTACTACCACTACTATTACCATATCCTGAAAATCTTGAATCAGGATCAGAACCAGTTTGATCAAAGATTTTCTTTTTGGAAGGATCACTTAATATCCCCCATGCTTTATTAACATATTTAAAAGCTTCATCAGCTCTAGGATGAGAATTTTTATCAGGATGTAATTTAATAGCTAATTTTCGATATGATTTTTTGATTTCAGTTTCATCAGATGATTTGGTAACTTGTAAGATTTCATAATATTGATGAGGTTTATAAGCAAGAATCTTCAAAACTATTGTTTCTTGATCTTTTGTGAATGATGTATTTGCCATATTATTATATATGATATATCTATCTATATTTGGGGCAAAGTAGGCATAAAACTTGTATAAAATCTATGGATATAAAATCAATCAAACGATGATACCAACACAATGATCAACGGACTAGATGTTCAAACAACTCAATATGATATTCCCTAATCTCTTTCAAACGATAGAGACAGACTTTTTGACCTTTACTGATTTGTTGATAAGGGTTGGCTGTACGATCAAAAAATGGATAATTTTAAATTTTCACAGTATGTGTGTGTACTAACTAAAAAAAAAGAAATCAGAACAAATTCTCCATTTTCACACGACCTGTCTGCCATAGAAGCGAATGGAACAAATCTTTAGAAATGCTGCAAATTTGTTGGATTGAGGTTAATTCTAGAAATATTGATAAAGATTATATTGATAGTAAATGATATGATGAGTAGGAGTTTTTATTTAGTGAATGGTCAATGGTCTTGGTAGAAGATAGTTGATCGACTTATGATTCTGAACTATTTCAATGTTACCAATTTCAAATATTTTCTTATCTTTTTACGCCAAATTTAGTACAAATTATTATTAAAAATATCAATCCATTAATCTTCAATATCTATAAAACGTCTTCATATCTTCTACTTACTCTAACTTTATTCTTTTCCTAGATGTTTCATTTTCAATCTTAACTTCCTTTTTCACCTCTACTGTATCTACAATATTTGTCCCATTTTTAAGATCATTCAAATCAGATGCAAATAACACTGATTGTGCCCAACCGGCATAGGGGCCATATAATTGTTTGAAAAACTCTCCAATAGCACCATAAGTTACTTTATTCATTGTTTTCAAATCCTTTTTACCTTTGAATTTATAATCTCTAATGGCAATCTGATAAACATGAGTATCAACCGGGACAACATCATGTTTATCTAACGCCATAAGACATATACAATCAGCCACTTTAGGTCCTACTCCTGTCAATTGTAAAAGAAAATCATGACTCGTTTCATAATCTAATTGTCGTAATTCATTAAGTTTATCGATGGTTAAATCTGGGAATTTTGAATCATCAGTTAACTTTTTAGCAGTATCATAAATATATTTAGCTCTATACCCAAATCCTAAATCTCTTAACTTTTGTTCAGTTTTAGAATCTTGAGCTAATTTATGAGCACTAGGGAATGAATAATATTTTATCCCATTATATTCATTGATATAATCTCCAAATTCCGAACATAAATTATCACACATTTTAGAAATCCTTTTCACATTGTTATTAGATGAACATATGAAACTTATAAGACATTCCCATGGATCTTGTCTGATAATCCTTATCCCAGTGAATTCTGTAAATGCACTAATTTTTGATTTTTTAGAAAATGGTTCATGATATTTAATCCAACTCTTATAGAGATTTTCAATATTGATATCTAAATTGAAATAATCATGAATGAAAGTATAAGTTTCCTTCTCCAACACATGTCTTGGTTTCTCATCCTCCTCATGATCTTCTTTTAATATATGGGAATATTCAATCGATTCTTCATATTGTTTAAGTAAGATGATTCTATCTTTTATAGCGAAAGACCATACATTATTAACGTTTTTCCATCTGAAGGTTTGACCACATCTTAATACTTTCGCTAAACTAAGTTCCACCTCTCTAAGAGGTATCTTTCTCCATATAATATCAACTGTCATAGCTATATATATCGAAAAAATTCAACAACTGATAGATGAAATATATTTCTGATAACTTTTTTGATCTCCACCAAAAGAAAAAAAAAATGAGATCGCGTCTGTCAAAATAATTCCCAAAATGGAAATCTTATTACTTACATAAACATAATTTTGAATAATTGGAAACTTTTAATGTAAAATTTTATACAAATACAGAAAAACATAGAATAATAGTATAGTACATATGATAGAGAGCAAGTAGGATCTAATCTTCTTTCATTTCAATATCTTCTTCAGCCTCAGGTTTTGTGGCTTCTGGTTCAGCTTCGGCTTCGGCTTCGGCTTCTTTAGATTCATCGACAGTTTCAGAACCAGCTGAAGTAGCAACAGTAGCTTCATCAGCTGCTGTAGTGGTTGGAACAGTGCTTGCGGTGGATGCTTCTGTAGCAGCTTCTTCTACTTCTGCTTCCTTTTGTTCTTCTTCTTCTTCTGCTTCCTCTTCCTCTTCTTCATCTTCCTCCTCTTCCTCTTCTTCTTCTACTGGTAACGTCTTTGGTTGCCATATTTCAAGTAAATTATCATCACCAACTGAACCATATAAATTCTTAATGGTTGGATGTAATCCAATATCATTTATACGATTAGTATGACCAGCATGAATGAATTTTAAACATGGATCAACTTTATTATTATTATTATTACTTGATCTTTTCTTTGATCCTTCATTACCATTTTCTGAAGTTGGATAAATGAATTCTTCTTCTAAATTCTTTAAATCCCAAGTTATAACTCTTTTATCTAAACTCCAAGATGTGAAAGTTGTTGAATCATCTATATTCCAATTTAATCCTATAATACTATCATTATGACCAAAGAATTTACGGAATGGTAATGTTGGATTTCTTAAATCATATAAACTAATCACATTATCTTTACCAGCTGTGATATAAACCGTTTCTAAACTTGGATGGAATTTAATTGAATTTTGAATATATTTATTTTGAATTTTTACTACAGTTGAATCTTCAGAAGTGATGGATACTCTTGAATCATGAATTTGAGTAGTATAATCATCCGATACTGATCCAAAGATTTGAGGTATTTTTGAATTAACTGATAAATCATTAACTGCACCAAAATGATCTTTAAATAATTGAATTGGAGTTGATGGTTTATTTATATTCCATAAAGCAATTTGTGAATCATTTGAACCGGAAATGAATTCTTCATTGGTGATCCATTCTAAGGCAAATCCTTCTTGTTTATGATATTTATAATCAATCACATCATCATTATCTAAATTATAAGAACGAACAATCCCATCACTATTAAAACTTAATATTTTAGATGCATCAGGACTTAAACTTAATTTATCGATTTCTGAACTTTGTTTCCAACCAATATTAAATATGAAATTTGATGTTGAAAAATCACTATTTGAAGTTGATGGTTTTGAAATTGGTTTTGAAAAATCAGGTGCTAAACTACTTGGTAAATTAATTGACCCAATCTTTAAATAATTCAGATTATTAGTATTTGAATTTTCAACCACATTAGTTCCAATCAAGAACTTGGCAGTTATCGTATCTTTATTATTGGAATAAGTATAACTTGGTAACCATTTAAATACTAACGATGGACTATCCAAAGCAATGGAATGGATAGTATCATATAATAAAGGAACGGTTTTCTTCCATATTTTGAATTCTTCATTAACAATTTTTTCATGGATTCTATGATCTTCAAGAATCTCCACTTCAGCCTTAGCCAACTCCTTACTTGTATAAGCCATGATAAATAATCTTATCGGTTCAATCGTTACTTGTTTCTTAGTTGGGTGGTTAAAGTTCTGCTTGCTCGTTGCTGCTGCTAATCCAAAATTTACTTTTTGAGACCAATCCAAAAAAAAAAAAAGAGGGTGTTGATAATTCTCAAATTTACTATTAGTTAAGGGTAAACTTGAGTATTGATACTAAATATAACTATGGATAAACTAATACATTTCACTATATATATATATTAATCATAAACATAAAGAACTAATTAGATAGTGTAAATATATATCAATATGCAAATTAGCCGTAACCATTAAAAACCAATAACTTAATTACGTTGGATTAGATTAGATTACGCCACCTCCAAGGTCTGGTATTTCATCTTCATCTTCATGATCATTAAAGAACAGACTAAATGTATAAACAGTACCATAGATTAACCCACCACCTACGATAGTCAATACCATGGCAGTTCTGGTTAATATCAATGAATGATGTAAGATGACAGGTAAATAGAATCCAGACACTAATAAAAAAGCTGAAAGGAATTGACCAAATTCTTTTACCACATTTGTGGAGGAAGAAGTTGTAGGATCGAAATTAAAATCATAATCGGACGAATTGGATATAGCTTGAGTTATAACCACTGGCAAGTGAGCCACAGCAAACAATATTCCTATTATTATGGGAAACCAATTCCCATATATACCTGCTAGAATGACCAATAAGAATCCCATTGATAAGATTATAGAAAGTCCTATAATCTTATTTAAAGGATTAGATTTGAATGATGATGTCGAATTCATAATGGGATTTTAAATCAGAGATATGCAATGGAACTATATCTATTATGATGGATTGAACAGTCCTTTCTATCCCTCTTATCTTCTATCCAATTGATCACTGTTGTAATCTATCAGACTTGAACTTCAACAGTATCATCGTCTCCTTTTTTTGACATCCATTTTTGCTGAACTGGGGCTGGTGGACTAACTATTGCGGTTAGGATGTTTTATTTTTCCACACACTCAAAAAATCATAATCCCAACGTACAAATTAGTGGAAAGAGGACTATAAGACAACCATTGGATATATTAAACCAAATAATCACTATCAAACATGGGTAAATACGATGAATTGATACATCCAAAGATACTAAGTACCCCCAAATCAACTAAAAAGACTTTAAAATCACCACCTGGGTTTGCTTATGAATCTAAATCAACTAACTCCAAGACCAAGAAATCAACCACCATAAGTAGTGCTATTAGTGATGATGAAAAATTAGAAGAATTAAAGATTAAAAAGGCTTGGGAAGTTTCAATGGGCCCAGCTAAGAGTATACCTATGAATGCAATCATGAGTTATATGACTGGGAACTCTTTACAAATCATTCCTGTTACTATGACTTTAATGCTTTTATGGAATCCTTTAAAGGCAATTTTTAATGAAACAAATTCCCATTTCGTTAATTTAACTACTAAGAAGAATGAATCAACGATATTATTAGCTAAGTTAGTATTTGTATTATTCCAAGTATTGAATATGACCATTGGGGTTTATAAATTATATAAAATGGGTCTTATCCCTCATTCTGAAGCAGATTGGATAGCTTGGAAAGAATTAAAAGATATCAAAGAAAGATTATCTTATAATTGATATACTAAATATACATTAACTTTTTATAAACTATGTACATGCATGATTGTATTTAATTTTCAGTATCCTGTTGTTTGTTGTCTTCAGACTTATCCTTGTTATCTGATTGACTTTTATCATCCTGTTTATTAATAACTTTTGAATTACCATTAGTATCTTTAACTCTACTTGAAGAAGTATCATCCGATAAATTCTTTTCAAAGATTTGTTGTAAATTGAACTTTTCATATTTTAAATAATTATCCACCACACTCATACCAACATTGGTTTTATAACATTCTACCATAATCAATTTATCATATTGTTTTAAATCAACCTTATGACCATGATCTCGACCAACACTTTCTGCCACTGCTTTAATGATGGTATCTTTCGGAATAGCATTGAAGTTTCTTTTCCCTATTTGGATAGCGAATTTAAGTGGTTTTTGTATATCAGTTGGTTGATGGAAATGTTTAGCTAATACTCTTTTAGCTAATTTTTTAATTTCTTCTATAGTTGGACTCACTGAAAATGTAACAGGGGATAACTTTTGAGTATATCTTGTAGTTTTAATATTTGATTCAAAACTTTCTTGACATATTCTACTTACTAAGATTTCGGGATCAATCGTTCTTCTTGTCTTGATGAATATAAGACATTCACAACCTAATTCAATTGGGTGCAATAATGATTTCTTTGATTTCTTCTCCTCCTTCATATCATTAAGTTCTTGTTTGATTTGATCTTCAATAGATAATTCCTTTACTTCTTCCTTCTCTTCCTCATCCTCTTCATCATCATCAGATACTTCTTTATCTAAATCGAAATACTCTTCGATCTTTTCTGAAAATAAATTCATTAATTCTTTTCTACATTGTTGTTCTCTCCCACGATTACAAGTAGCATAAACCCCACTAGTATTTGGATCAACAAACCCAGTAGCCTTAAACTTCTTCTTCTTACCGCCATCACCAGAATGACCTCCTTTTCTTTTACCCATTATTCCAGTTGCAAATGGTTTAACTGTTCTAGATCTTGTTTGTCTTGTTCCCCATTTAAACCTCTGCTAAAAAAAAATAATTTTCTCTCATGGTAGATGACCAGCCGATAAACAAAGATAAACAAAAAAGTGGGATCAAAATGGAATCGAAGGCCAAAACATACACTTTAAATCTATCACCACACACCGCTTTGAAAGTATGCCTAACTAGATATTAGTCACCATGAAGTTGGAAGATCTACCTAGTGATATCTTGTATCGAATAACCACATACGGTGGTTTGGATATACGATCTATTATCAATCTTTCCCTTACCAATAAACAACTATTTGGCAACATAACTAATGATGATCAATTATGGAGGTATGTTTATTATCATAATTGGGGATCTACAAGTGAGGATTATCAGATTAGTCATGTTCTAAGTAGTGATAAGACTTACTTTGATAATGTCATGCACTTTTATAAACTTTCAAAAGAGTTAGAGGCTGATTTAAAACGATATGAACCATGGGGCAATATTAATGTGGGTTATTATCTTAACAAATATACCCATGAAGATGTTTATATCCCTATTATTGTCCAACATTTGAATAAGAAACATCAGAATTTATTATCTAGTCTTCGAAAATTCCATGATACTGAATTAACTCAACTATCATTACTTAGTAATATCAATAATTGTCAGAATTTTAGAATTGGATTAAATTATTTGAATGATCCTGATGATTCCGATTTGGAATATGCTTGGTTTATGACTAGTGTGATGAACAATGGATCTCATAAGTTGATTCATAATAGATTAAACAAATTACAATTGATTAGAACCAAGTTATATGATATCATTTATAGAGACGACTTACAATCACATAACCTCACCAAAGTCAATTTGAGTGCAAGTAATGATTTATCATTTAATGATGAATCAGCTTACTACAATTTCATACAAAAAGCTATTAATGAGATTTATTCTTGTTTATCAATTGAAAAATTGAGAAAAGAAATGGTAAAACTTGATATTAGTTATTATCATGATACATTTATTGAAGATTTCGATATTTTAAGAGTTTACAGCGATCTTAGTAAAGGTCATCCCTATGTTATAGTGTCTATTATTCAAAAGGCATTATATGAATTTATGAACAAGTTTAATTCAATATCGGTAGCTGGTCAACCCATCACTTTTACAGCTGACATTACGAAAGTATTTTTAAAAGTTAATAATTTTTATGTATTTCCCGAACTTAATCATAGTGGTTCTGGTCATCCTTATAGATTACGAAATTTTACAGGTAGTGAAGTATTTGATTATTTACGAAGTTTAAATATGAATCATATGACGGTGGAGAATTTTTTGAAACCATTCCAACAATCAGAATATAAAGAAATGGTTATTAATCTTGAACAATTAAGTTCAATTCATTCAGCAAGAGAATGTGTCATATATGAACGGAGACCTACTGAATTCTTGAATCCCGACGAGTTAGAATTTAAAGAATTCATTGGTAAATTTCTATTTTATAAGAGTAATGGTGGATACTCTGATTTTTCAATTTGTTCTGATTTTGAACGATATTTAATGGATCTGAATAATTTAATTCATTTCAATACACTTTATCAAATCTTAAAAAAAAATAATAATCAATCAATTCGAATGCTTACCCAATATTTTAAATTACCGGTTGATATAGAATATAATGAGTTTTATGGTAAGCATTTCAATTTATTAGATGAAAAAAGTCCTATATCGTTTCAAAGAGTTATAGAATCGAAGATTAGATACACCCAGAGAGGATGGTCAACTCCATTCACAGATAAAACTGCCAGGGGTCAACTAGTCAAGCATTCAAGATTTGATACAATTGGGGTTGTTCTTGGACCAGTTCGTGAAAGTGATGTCACTAACGGTGCCAACAAATATTATTATGTCCACACCATGAATAAGTCAATCGAAGTGTATGATATAAGCGCTTTGATTCCTATAAATGATCCAGTTGGTGATAAAGATTTAGTGATAAATTTTATAGAGAGGGCAGGTATTGAAATCATTGGCCTATTTTATTTCTCAGAGATCCAGTATTTGGATGGTACACCATTTTTCATTGATATTAAGGTGTAAGGTAGTAGTAGTGTTTAGTTTTTAAGGGTTAGGAGATTTTGGTTTCGGTTTTGGTTTCGGTTAATTTGCCTATTTAGTCATTTGTTTTTCATACATACATACATGTTAATCTTAATAATTAATAATTATTCTTTATATGGTATATTGCAGAATATGGTAGCATCTCTCATAGTTAAAATTTTTTTTTGTTTGCGCCATTGATTTTGTGATCAAAAGATCAGTCAAATATATATTAATCAGATTTAAATTGACTGGAAATGATATTTCAGATATTTACAAGAAAGTAACTCAAGAACATGCTAGGAAGAAGTATAAGGAGATCAATTCATAATCCAAGTAGAATACTTCGGAGATTTCAACATACCGTTATTGGAATTGACTTAGGTACTACTAATTCAGCAGTTGCCATAGTTCAAAATAAAGAAGCTAGAATCTTAGAAAATGAAGAAGGAGGTAGAACTACACCATCAATAGTGGCATTCACCAATAACGATAAGGAAACGTTAGTAGGATTACCCGCCAAGAGACAAGCCATTATAAATCCCGAGAATACATTCTTTGCCACCAAAAGATTGATAGGCCGAAAATTCGAAGATGCCGAAGTTCAACGAGATGTACATCATGTTCCATATAAATTAGTACCTAATACCAATGGGGATGCCTGGTTGGAGACTTCAAAGGGTAAGAAAATATCACCATCTGAAATTAGTGCCCTTATATTACAAAAAATGAAAAATATTGCTGAAAATAACTTATCTAAAGAACAATTACCTATAAGACATGCTGTTGTGACAGTTCCTGCTTATTTCAATGATTCTCAAAGACTGGCCACTAAAAACTCGGGGAAATTAGTTGGACTTGAAGTTTTACGAGTGGTAAATGAACCAACAGCTGCAGCTTTGGCGTATGGTATCAATAATAAACAAAAAGATGGTATAGTTGCAGTATTTGATTTAGGTGGAGGGACTTTCGATATTTCAATCTTAGATATCGAAGATGGTGTGTTCGAAGTTAGAGCAACTAATGGTAATACTCACCTTGGAGGTGAAGATTTTGATATCTTATTATTAAACTTTATTCTTGATACATTTAAAAATGAAAGTGGTATTGATTTACTGAAGGATAGATTAGCAGTTCAAAGAATAAGAGAAGCTGCTGAAAAATGTAAAATAGAATTATCTCATGTAAAGGAAACAGAGATTAATATCCCATTCATTACTAAAGAAAAGCATATTAAAATAAAGTTAACTGAAGATGAATTAGATGAAATGTCATTACATTTGATCAATCAAACGATTGATCCTGTTAAAAGATGTATAAGGGATGCTGAATTATCCATTAATGAAATTGATGAAGTTATTCTAGTAGGAGGTATGACAAGAATGCCAAAAATTAGAAAGATTGTTGAAGATCTCTTTAAAAAGAAACCTAATACCAGTGTTAATCCTGATGAAGCCGTTGCCCTTGGTGCTGCTATTCAAGGTGCTGTCTTATCGGGACAAATTAAAGATGTTGTATTACTTGATGTCACACCATTGTCATTAGGAATAGAAACATATGGTGGTATTTTCAGTCCTTTAATTCCAAGGAATTCAGCAGTCCCTATTAAGAAGGAACAAATATTTTCAACTGCTGTAGATAATCAAACCGGGGTTGAAATCAGAGTCTATCAAGGGGAAAGATCATTAGTCAAAGATAACAAATTGATTGGAAATTTCCAATTATCAAATATTCCAGTTGGACCAAAAGGTTCACCACAAATTGGAGTCACATTCGAAATTGACGCTGATGGTATTATAAATGTTTCAGCTACTGATAAAACCAAATATCCTAAAGAACTGGAATTTTATGGTAAACCAAATAGTGTTTCAATTCAAGTATCAGGTGAAACTGGATTATCTGAAGAAGAAGTGAAGAAGATTCTTGATGAAAGTGCCAAAAATAAAGAAGCTGACGCTGAACTTCGTAAGTATTTTGAACATGCATCTAGAGCAGATATTATCTGTACTGATACTGAGAGTGCTTTATTGCAGTTCGGACAATTGATGGAAGAAGCTGAACTCAAATCAATTAACGCTGCGGTAGAGTCAATCAGAAAGAAGATTAATGATATCAGAGACAATAAGGAATTACATGATCCAACCAAGCTCAATACTGAGGTTACTTCTATGCAAGAAGAGTGCTTACTGGCAATTAGAAAAGTTGCTCAGAAGCAACAACAAGAACAGAAACAATAAGAGAAATAAAATACATCGCTTGTAAATATATAAAAAGTCATTTTTTTTAGTTTAAATGCATTGAACTATTAATATACAGACACTCTATTATTTAGTATTAGTGAATTATTCGTCGGTTTCCATTCTATCTTCAGCAGGAGCATCAGTTGCTTCATTAGCATTATCATCATTGGAAGCTTCTTCTGTGGTGGCAGCTTCTGTAGTAGTGGTAGTTTCTTCTGTGGTTTCTTGATTTTCATTATTATCATCAGCATCATCATCACCAGCTCTATTTCTAGCATTTGAAACTGAATCCAATTTATCTAACCATTGTTGTACTTCTTCATCATCATATATTTTGAAATCTGAATCTTTACCCACAACACTGACACTTGTATTTTTAAAAGTTAATTCAACATCTTGGGATAAGGTATCTCTTAAAGCGTTTAAACCATGAACTATTAATTCTTCAACTGAATCTGTTTCAAGAATAGTATCCAAATTTCTTTCTAAATATGTTCTACCAGCTTGAGATCTTGCCCCAATGGCAGCACCATAATATTCCAATACTGAACCAGATGGTTGAAATTCATATAAATGAGCACCAGTCTCGTCATATCCAGCAATCAACAATCCAACACCATAGGGCCTTGAACCATAAGATTGAGTATTTTCTTGAGCTTTATCAGCTATGGATAAAACTGCTTTTGAAGTCAGTAATGGTCTATTATAGATCATTTTAGAACTCATAGCTTGTTTTCTTAAGAAATTGGATAAAACTCTGGCATCAGGAGCTAAACCAGCTAAGGCAACACCCATATGATCATCAATCTTTATGATTTTCTTTTGATATGAACCCAATTCCTCAGCATTACGTTTCAATGCTGCCAATACAACATGACTCTTGGATACTAATCCAACAGCTGCACTTCCTTGTTTAATGGCTTCCAACGCATATTCAACTTGGAATAATCTCCCTGTTGGAGAATATGTGACAGAGTCATTATCATAATTGTTTCTAAACATGCTTGCTTGTTAGTTGTATCTAATTATAACTGCAATTGGTGAACTTTGCAATATAAAATCAATTTGGTTAAATTCTGATTGCCACCAAAAAATTATCGTTCTGATAATTTCCAGTTTGACCAACCCACAAAAAAAAAATCAACAAAACATCCACGCCTCAAAGATAGGCTTGTTTTTTGCAGTATAAAGGATAAAATTGCAACTTCTACAAAACTAAGGTATAATAATTACTGATTAAATTTATTCAGAGGTAGACTAAATTAAAGTCTTTAACTTATCTATGCTATATTCATCGTTCAAAGTCATCAATTGATTGAAATCAGAGTCCAGTAGTTGTGATTTCAATTGAATGATCGAGTCCTTTAAAAACGATTTAAGATTGACTTTATAAACTGGATCAGATCTTTCAATCAAAACTTCAAATCTGATCTTTTCACCGTGGGGTTTAATGTCTGTGTCGAGGTAGGAATATTCATCAAGATCTTCATATGTGAAGTCTTGCTTATATGCATCACATATTCCTTCGGTGGTTTCATTCACCTCTTCCAAAAATAAGAATGTTTTTCTGATAACTTCAGAATAGATTTCTAAAACTATGGCTATGTTTTTGGGTATACCGTAAGTAATTAACGATAATAATGCTAATAAGTTGATCTTCTTATTACGAGGATTTCCAATGGATTTGAAATATTGTAACCAAACTTTTAACAATTGACTTATATCAATTGATGGATAATATTCCAATAACTTGAAAAATACTTCAGGGGAAGCATGGCCCAATCTCGAAAGTATAATAAATAACTTTGAAGCTGATATAATAGATTGATTATCGTCTAATACATACAGAATCATCAGGGAAAATAATCCACTGTTAACTAAATTTGTAATAAATTGTTCTGATTGAGCATTTTCTAATACTAAAATGTCCATTAATGAAATGAATATTTGAAATGCATCGTCCCTCATGGTTGGTAAATACTCTCCAAGAATCTTTAAGATTCCTTGTCCTACTTCAGAATAAAATAATGAAGGAGAATATAATGAATAACTTCTAATAATGGAAAGAATGGTAGGTAAGATTTCAGTTGAATTGGTAAGACCAATTGAAATCAGTTCAAATAATCCTAATATTTGAGGATCATTAAGATTAGTTTGAGGACAATACTGTAATAATGCCATCCATAATTCATATCCATCTTCCGATAATAAGGTGTATAAATCATTTGAATCTGAACCACAACAATTACGAATTAATGGAATTGAAATATTATGAGTCTCAATTGAATTTTCATTTAATGATATGGTTAAACTCTTTAATACTCTTAATAAGGAATTCTTTAAGATTTGTTCATTATTTACTGTACTGAATTCCCAATATTTTGGAACCACCATTAAGATACTTATCAAAGTTTGATGATCTACCAATGGATTACATCTTTGAATCAATACGGCAAGAGTATTGAAGATATAAAGTTTTGATTCTGTTAACGTCAATTCATCTAATAAACTTAATAAAAGATTAACAAATGAATTTAAAAATGGTTGGAAATCATTCTTATTGAAATCCCAATCATCAACAATAGTTCTGAGAGTTTGTATAGCTGAGAATTTAACAACTCTATCATTACTTGATTGAACAAAGTTAAGTAATAGTTTATAAATCTCCACTCTACTTTCACGAGAACATTGAATACCAACCCATTCATTTATAATTAGACATATTCTTCTTTTTAAAATCTTATTTTCAACCAAATCAGATTTTAAACCTTCCGGTATGAATACATCCACTAATAATTTATCAAAATTGACATTATTAGCAATGGAGAATGAGGATAATTGGAAAGTACATAGTATAGAATCCTTAATGAGAATCTTATCTACTGAATCATTTTCCATTAATCCATTTGAAATTTTATTTAAGATGAATTCAGTTAAATCATCTTTAAAGTATTTAATCAAATCTTGAAAGAAATTCTCTGCACATGGTCTGATTTGATATTCCCATTGACTTGATAATTCTTCATTACACCATTCTTCAGGTTCAAGTGACCAACTTTCTAAATCAGATGGTTTTAATCGAAGATACCATGTTATAATCAAATCACAGAATTGTTTAATGAAATCTGGAGTGAAGAATTCGGACGTTAATTTACCCAAACTATTACTGACTTCAAATTTATCATTCTTTTGCTTTAAAGTTACAGCACCCTTTTTATAGATATATCCAATAAGATGTTTATATATGCTAAATGCCTTTAAGGCCAATATTTCCCAGAAATCATTCTCTTCTGAACTATTATAGATATATTCTGCCTTTTGATACAACAAGGAAGTGAATGTAGTTAATATCTTTTGACATCCTGGTAATAGTATGAAACTAGTTGGATTAATGGTAATTAATGAAACATATAATTTACAATAACATTTGACATATCTTTCTAAGAGATCTGATGAATATTTATCATGATTATCAATTAATAATTGTAAATGATCCACTGTTATGCCCAAAAACTCCACTACATCTTGATTTTTATGAGGTTGTTCATAACCTTCTGGTATGATTCTTCTTAAACATTTCAAACAAAGATAACATACTTCCATTAAGGAAAGATCCATGGTTTGAGTCCAGGTTTGAAAGAACTTTTGATATAATTTGATTAAAATATTAGTGATTAATGGAGCTTTTGATTGTAATGCATGCCTTGATCTACCAATTCTAACCATTGAGATGGTTTTAATAGTTCTGTTTAAAATGATTAACATATTATTTGTAGAAATTAAATCATTGGATTTGAACACAAATTCTTCCAAGCTCTTAGCCATATCATCGAATAATGTTGGCCAATCACTAGGGAAATCAAATCTGGCAATTCTACCTATAGAATGAGCATTTTGGATAGTTAATTGATTATTCTGTTCACTTAATAAATGAAACACTCGAGATTTAATCTGTTCCTTTTCTTGTTTTGAAATAGAATATTGTCGGGAGGCTCTCCAATATTTATCAATCCCATTCTTAAAGCAAATGATAGCCAACCATCTAATCTGTAAAGGTATATCTACTTTAAGATAGATTTCTTGTAATGAATGATGGTAGCCTGGTTGGATTTCCCAAGCTTTTAATTGATCTTCACCATTTTTTTGACCTAGATTTCTTTCTGAACCACTAGCAATAGTTAGTACGGTCAATAGATTATCATACGATAACTCCATACTGCACTATTGTTGAAGCAATGGTTGATAATGGGCTATATTATAGTTTGATTATACCAAGATTGAATCGTCTCATAGTTTAAATTTTTGTTCAATGACCTTTGCAATTTGATCAGGTTTACACGACCCCACCCACCTACCTTTAAATTTATTGCAATTACATGGATTAAGATATATAGTAATATAATTAAATAAATAAATAAATAAATAGTTTCTTCTATTTCCATCTTTTAGATTCATCCCCTTCAGACCATGATCTCTCTTCATAACCTAACACTCTTTTAACGCTAGCAACAACTTCAGGATTACCCATATTTTTACCTAAATTATCACTGATTTTAATACTATCATTACCCCCAGCTGCTTTTAACTTTATAACGATATTAAGAGGTTGGGATTTGATTTGTGGATCCTTGGCAGATTTGAAATCATTAGTGAAGAATGTACCTATACCAAAAGTAGCTTTTAAACCTAAGGTATCTGCTTTATGTTTATATTTTATACACTTTTCAATGTTTAACGAATCACTAAAACAAATAACTTTAGAGAATTTCTCATAACCTAAACTATTATAATGATTAGCAATCTTCTCCGCATATAGTTCAGGATCTCCACTATCTTGCCTCACACCACTATAATGATCACTATAAGGTTTTATGAATGCCTTTAAATAAGAATCAGTTCCGAAAGTATCAGTTAAAGCTAATCCAGCATATCGAGGTCCGAAAGTTTCAAGCCAATAATCCATGGATAATTTATTAGCATTCACATAATCTTGAGTTATAGATGCAACACCCATAAACCATTCATGAGCAACAGTACCAATGGGGGCTAAATCATACTTCATTGCTAATAAGACATTTGAAGTACCAGCTAAGTACTTGGCTTGATGAGGGTTGGATAATGCATAATCTTTTAAAGCCTTAACCACAGTATCTTGAGTTTTAAATGATCTTCTTCGTCTTGTACCAAATTCACTAAAACTACATTCATTATCAAATAATTGTTTACATTTATGTTGAGCCAATTCAATTTGACCATTGTAGTTCCAATCTGAATCCACGAATTTGAAATAAGCTTCTGATATTAATGCAAGGACAGGGATTTCATATAAAATTGTATCATTCCAATTACCTTCAATTTCTAATTGGAATTTATCAAAATCTTTAGTATCATTAGAGTATTTCACTTGAGCGGATGGATTTAATTTGAACGTCTTTAAATAGGTGATATACGATTCAGGCATTTGAGGTAATGCTTTCTTAATATATTCAATTTCATGGTCGGTGAAAGATAAATTAGCTAATAAACTTATTTGACGTTTTAACCAATTTATAGCTTCTTCAGTAAGAACCATCAATGGAGTACGATTAGTATACTTGTAGACCACTTTAACATCGGGGAAATGTTGATTCACAGCCGCATGCATAAACAATTTATACAAATCAGTATCCAATAGCGATGTTATAACTTGATCTTCTGATGTCATTATAGCAACAATGTTATTGAATGATAGGAGGAAAAGATATCAATGGCAAATTAAAACTATCTAAATATACGATTGAACCTGATTTATATATCCAATTTCAATTAGTGATTATTAATTAAACTTCGTATCAAACCCTTTATTAAACCATAAACCATGACTCTTCAAATAACATAACTCTCGTATATTTGGTCTAGTCTAGATACTGTAACCGCATTATCTTCCTGCGTGTAAATTGGAGACTGCTAATTACTATGACAATCACAGTAAATTTGAGTCCTTCAAAAGGTCGTGTCAATCAGGTCAAAACAGTTTCAAAAAAAGTCGTGTGAAATCCGAAAAACTAAAAAAATTTTTTTTTTTCAATTTTGCAAAGAGGTATAACGATACTTCAAAAAAATTTTCAGTATAAAGATTTTACTTCATTTTTACTTTCTTGTTAAATCAACTAAATCGATTCAAAATGGTCTTTAAAAAACACGCTAAGAACTCATCTTACCACTCCCGTTTCCAAACTCCTTTCCGTAGAAGACAAGAAGGTAAAACCGACTACTACCAAAGAAAGAGATTAGTCACTCAACACAAGGCTAAATACAACACTCCAAAATATAGATTAGTTGTTAGATTCACCAACAAGGATATCATTGCTCAAATTATCTCCTCTACCATCACCGGTGATATTGTCTTAACTGCTGCTTATGCTCATGAATTACCTCAATATGGTATTGAACATGGTTTAACTAACTGGGCTGCCGGTTACGCTGTTGGTTTATTAGTTGCCAGAAGAGCTTTACAAAAATTAGGTTTAGATGAAACTTATCAAGGTGTTGAAGAAGTTGAAGGTGAATTCGAATTAACCGAAGCTGTTGAAGATGGTCCAAGACCATTCAAAGTCTTTTTAGATATTGGTTTACAAAGAACTACCACTGGTGCCAGAATCTTTGGTGTCTTAAAAGGTGCTTCTGATGGTGGTTTATACGTTCCACATTCTCCAAACAGATTCCCAGGTTGGGATATCGAATCTGAAGAATTAGATGCTGAATTATTAAGAAAATATATCTTTGGTGGTCATGTTGCTGAATATATTGAAGAATTAATGGATGATGATGAAGAAAAATACAGAAGTTTATTCAAAGGTTATATTGCTGATGAAATTGAAGCTGAAGATATTGAAGAAATCTATACTGAAGCTCATGCTAAAATTAGAGAAGATCCAACCTTCAAACCAACTGAAAAGAAATTCACCAAGGAACAATATGCTGCTGAATCTAAGAAATTTAGACAAGTTAAATTAACCAGAGAAGAAAGACAAGCTAAGATCTCTAAGAGAATTATTGAATTCCAAGCTGCTTCTGATTAATTTATTTAGTCTTGTAACTTGTAATTATCTTAATTCTTTTGTTTAATAGTAGTTTCTAGTATATCTTTTTTATTTAACTAGGATTCACCAAATCTAATAAATCTTTTTGGATATATCTAAATCATTATCATTTAATTGTAGTTTTATTGTAGTTTAACCATGATATCTTGAACTGATATCTACATCTACTCTAAATTAACAGTAGTAGTTACATTCTAACAAAGATGACCTCCAAACATCCATACAGCACTACTTAACCAATGATATTGTCTAATCTAAATTTAACCACCTTAAACCTTATAATGAATCAATACATGCTTAATTAATTATACTTGAAAATATATTTACAATTGTTAATTAATATCTATATAAGAATGTAATCCAACTTATTTTAATAGTTACCTCCAATGTGTTAACTATTGGTGAAAATTTAGAGTTATCTTTTTTAAAGATCAGTAGTAACCACCGCAGCCCTGGTCCAGGGGGCTTTTCTAATGGCTCTAAGTTTAATCATATCAAATGATTTGGCGTCTGGTTTAACTTGGGGATGAAATAACTTATCATATAACCATGTATTGATATCAGATCTTTTAATCACCTTCTGTTTTTCAAAATCCTCATGAATCTGTTGTTGAACCGCATTTAAAACCCTTTGTCTTCTTGATTTCTTGTTCTGAAGTACTTGAGCTGGAGATAAGCTAATGGATCTTTTCTTTTCAATGACACGAATTGATTCTTGTTGGGTTAAAGATGTAGTTTTAAATTGTTCTTGTTGAATTGATTGAGTGTCAAAGTTGATATCGCCAATGGGTTGAATTGGATCCAGAGAGTTATAATGAAGAGCTTCAATTTCAGGGTCAACAATATCTTGAGCTTTAACAAATTTAGTAGGACTAAACAAACGTCTTATTTTATCCTTTAATGATTTTTTAGTTTCATTTGGAATCGTTATTTCTTCTTCAGCTTCAATAATTTCAACATTATCATCTTCCCGTTCAAATCTCTCATCAAACAACTGAAGTTGTCGATATTTCTGATAATCACCATTATAAAACTGTAATAAGATTTGATCAAAATGACCCCAAGGATATTGACTTTTAGAAGGTTTATAATTTTCTTCACTTTGTTCTGATCTTTTATTTAATGTTTCAGTATGTAATTGTTGTAATAAAGTAGGTGATTGTCTTGAGAATGAGGATGATGGGGTTTCATGACATGATTCATCTTCATCATCTGAATCAGAATGTAATGGTTTCATAGAAAACATGGTTGATTATTGAAATCAGTCAAGATAAAAAAGAGTTCATATATATATTCAGCGGTTAAATAATTATATTTAATTAGTTGTTATCTTTTTTGCAGCTGGTAGCGCCAAAATTCTTCTTAAAATATCCTAATTTCGTTATATATTATTAATATGAAAGCATTAAAGCCAACATAAATGTGCTATATATATATATATAAATATGTATTTGTTTTATATGTTTATTTGTTTCCCTATTAGTCCTGTTTATTCAGCCTTACCCTTTGGGCATCATTTAATAATTTATCATAAACCTCATTAACAACGGCATTAACCTGTTGACCTCCATTTACACCATCTTCTTCATCCCCATCATCGACTTCAAATGAATCGATGGATACATTATCATCATCATGAATTCCTTCCTTTTGAACTTCAACAAGTTTCTTTTCAATGGGAAGTTTTGTATCTCTATTTTTGTGATCTTGAATAATTTGATTCACAGTAGTTTTATCAATGGGTAATTTATAAATATTATCAATACTAACATAATTATTATTAATTTTATTGATTAATTCATTAACACTTTCAATACCTTTGGCTTTTATAATAGCATCTCTTAACTCTGGACCTGATGGTAAAACATTAAGAGTTGGAATTTCCGTTTTAGGTTGTTGTTTATTAACATTATTACCAACTTCTTCATCATCATCATGTTGTTGCATAAAGAAACCAAATCTATGGAATTCTCCTTCTTCTTGTTCTTGTTCCTTAGCATGAGTTGAAGTTTGACTAATTGATCTCATTAAAATTGGTCTACCAGTGAAATTATCAATTGGAACACTCTTACCATCGGAAGATGAATCAATCACAACTTGATGAGGTTGGAAAGTTTGTTCCAATCCTAAGAATTGATCAAATGCATCAGAATGACGTGGAGTTAAAATAGGTCCTGCTGTAATTAATTCTGTAGAACTTTGATGTAATGTATCATGAGGAGATAATTTAATGGCAGTGGGTGGTAAAATAGATGGTGATTTTCTACTATTAGGATTAATCAAAGTTGATTCCTTTTCTTTGGTAGTAGAAGCTTTTTCTTCAGTTTGAGGTTTCTTATCAGCTGCTTCAACCGGTAAATTGAATCCAATTTGTTCTGCTGATGGAGATGGAGTTAAACCTTCATGATAATTATTACTATATTTTGATCTTTCTTCAAACATATGAACCAATTTTTCTAATGATGAATCCAATAAACAAAATCTTAATAAACTTTCTTTACCTTCAAATGATAAAGTACCTTGATTTCTCTTTTCAAATAAAGTATCAATAATTTTATGAATATCTTTTCTTGCCGCTCTCGTTCTTTCTATAAATGCATTAGTAACAATTCTTTGAATCTTAGCATCTTCCTTTTTATTATCATCACTTTCCTTTAATAATTTTTCGGCAGTTTGCATTAATAAAGTTCCATCAAAGATTAAATCTTCTTCTTGATCATCTTGATTATTCTTATTATCTTTATTAAATTCTGGTTTCAAAACTCTATCCATATTTCTCATTAAATAAAATGCAATTCGTTGGGATAAATCATCATCAATCAAATCATAATCTAAATCAAGATTGAAAATTGTGGATGATGCTTTCACAGCCGCATATAATGTAGCAGCAGCCGAATGATTTAAAGCTCGATTACCTAATAATGAAAGATGGAAAATAGATTTCATTTTAGGAATGATTTCCGCAATAGCACCAATAGCATGTGGAGTTAAATCATTTAAATCAAAATGAACTCTTCGAAGATCTTCAAATTGAGGGAAAATCTTATTTAATTTTGATATGATACCAGGAAATAAATCAGGTAATGAACTTAAATCTAAGAATCGTAAGCTTTTAACATTAACCAATGATTTAATTAATTCAGCAGTTTCATCGATATTAGTTAAATGAGTTGAATGTAATGAAAAAAATAATAATTTTGAATAAGTTGAATTAGCAAGTTTATTAAACGCATGAATAAATGGTTGTAATTGACCTTGACTTAAATCATTAAATGCAATATCAACTCCGACACATTTTGAATCCTTTTCAGTGATCCAATTCGCCACGATTTGAGATTTAAATAAATTCAATTCCATCGATGCTATACCTAATCTATGAGTGGAGATCTTAACTGCATTTTCAATTAAATGTTTGAAAGTATCATCGGATAATTTACACCCATTAATAACTAATTCTTCAATACCATTTCTTAAAATCAATGATTGAATGAATAAATCCCAATTCATATTGGCTCGAATTAAATTCGATTTGGTATCACTTTTAATTCGTTGTTGAGATATATCTAATTTCTTAATGGTGGAATTTCGGGATAAAAATTTACATAAATATTTCCATCCAATTTCATCAATCGCCACATTTCGTAATGATAATTTCTCTAATGATTTATTATAAACTAAGGATGATAAAAAGTGTTTTAACATTTCGGTCGTCATAGTTACATTATCGAAAATAACTGTATTGATAGGAGTTATAGCAATGAAATCACTGAATGATAATACATCAATTAATGTAGGTTTTGGATTAAGTAATTTTAAAACTTGTAATGGTTTAGATTTCCCCTTTAATTGTTTTAAAGTAGCTGGGATAGGCAAGATTTCTCTTAAATGACAACATCTAGTATATATAGTTTCCAACGATAAATCATCAACAGAAACTTGTTGTTCTTCATCTTCAAAATGATTTTCATGAACATGTAAAGGTTTATCAATTTCGAATTTTTCAAAACTAGCATCAACAACTTCATTAGATTCTTCTTCGTCATCGTCGTCACCTTCTCCATCTACTTCTTCATTATCATTTTGTTCTTTGATTTGAGATTGACTTAAATTAAATTTATTTCCCCCTCCTCCTCCTTTATAAGTTAAAACTTCAGTTGCTAATCTCTTAGCGGTTAAATGAGCTTCCTGAGCATGTTTTTCAGCTTCATGTAAAGCTCTTCTTTGTGCTTCAATAGCTAGACTGATTTCCTTTTCAGTATATTGAGAAGTAGCATTAGCCGAAGTCGTAGTGATATTTCCAGCAGCAGCAGCAGCAGCAGCAGCATTATTACCATCATTCAATGATATCCCCTGGGATAATCTTGGAGGTGGAGCCATGATATCTTGGGGAATAATGACATTTCCCTTTTTAGGACGTCTGGAAGGGATTTGTTGTTGAGGATCATAAATCAATTTATCCAAGGCAAATGTAACTCTTCTTAATTTAATTCCATTTAATTCCTTCAAAGGGATTTCTTCCCGATTAGGATTTTTATTTAAAATAACTCTTGATGGAGTTGTAGTTGAGGTGATTGATTTTTTATCTAATGCAGGTAGAGCTACGGATGATCTTCTTCTTCCAAAGAATTTACCTGCTGTAGAAGTAGAAGTAGAACTATCACTTCCGGCACTAATTCCAACTGTAGTGGGGAGTTGACCACCAATGATATTCCCATTCCCATTCACGGTGGATATAGCAGATGTATCACCGGGTGAAGAAGAAAGAATCGAACTGAAGGATGATTTCCGTTGTTTTGGAGTAGGGATAATCCCTGTCCCCGCAGGAGGTTTATTAATAATAGTTTCATTATTTATAGGGGGTATAATTGATGAAGTTAAAGGGGATGAAGATAATTTTGATGCTGATGGAGTTGGAACTTGAGATGATACCACCGGTGATATATTAGCACTACTGGTTGCACTTGAATTTGCACTTGAATCAACTAAAGATGGATTCCCACTTATAGCAGGAGAAGCAGGAGATGATGATGATGAAGATTTAAATTTAGATGAGAATGAACTGAAAAGGGATCGTTTTTGAGATGAATTATTTCTCGATACAGTGGCAGAAGGAGGGGATGATGAAATTATGGGTATATCATTAGCATTATTAACAGCCAAATCAGAATTAGTTAATGAATTACTAAGAATATTTAAACTTCCTCTTCGTTTTGGTTCTTCTTGTTGTTGTTGTTGTTGTTGAATTTTTTGAATTTGAGGTTGAGCCACTGAAGCTGAACTTGATCTTGATCTTCCAAGTTTAAATTTTGAAGTGGTTGGTGGTGTTCCACCACTAGTTGAAGTAGTGGGTATTGATTTATTTACAGATGGAGGAGGTATTTGAATAGATGGAGTGATAGGAGGATGAGAATGAGATGTATTCATTGCCGTAGTTAAATTATTAGTGGTGGATGTATTGGGAGAGGGTATAGTGGAAGATTTTAACATTTGAGATGAAACACGATTCAGTTTGGGAGATGATGGATTAGATGATTTATTCGGTACAGTGGTTGAATCATTATTAGTGGCAACATTATTTGAATTATTAGTACTATTAGTTGTATTTATAGTTGAATTAGTATCAATACTGGGATTATTATTCATCTTTTTAGTTAATTTCTTTGATTTACCTCTAAATAACCAATCGACATCACCATTTGAAACTCCAGTGATATAATCTAAACTTGAACTTAGATTAGATCCATTATCAGGATTTGAATTATTGCTACCATTTGAACCTGGGATTGGTTTGGCTAGGGTAGGTGATGAAGTGGTGATTTGATCTGACATAATATAAAGGGATAGAAATCGACAACAAATGAATTGATTAAGAAATTAGAGTGATTGTTGTGATTGTTGTTGTGGATGTCGTCGTCGTCACCTTGATGAATGCATTAATTTCCGTATGACAAAGATCTACTTGAGATTGTAGATGGTAATTGATAGGATGAATTGATGTAGATTAAATGGATATATGAATGCAAATATGATTGATGATCCAGATATGATTGAAAGGTGGATAAAAGTGGCAAAGGAATAGATGTGATTGAATGAATCACTGGTTGATGGGTTGGTTGTAAATTGTTTAAAATTAGAGTTTTGGTTAGAGCCTTTTTTTTTTTTTTTTTTATTTTTTTTTTTCTTCTTCAGATTTATTTTGAGAATTTTACGGTAAAATGAAATTTCTAGTTATAGTTATAATTCGTTAGTTAATAGTGTAGGTAATTAATAGATATGAATTAGAAGGTTATTTAGAGGTTAAATGATTGGGTTAATTAATTAATTAATTAAAGTAGTTATATTTACAAGTTAATTACTGGCAGAGTTAAATGGTTCCATTATTTTCACGTGATCGTATGAATGTATGTATGTATAGTTAATGATTGGTATAATCCGTTTTGGATTTTGAAAATCAAGAGTCTACCAATGATACTAATTACGATGATATTTTTCTAATTATTAGTTAATTACTAAAAATCAAATCAATTGATAGATAACTAATTCATAATAATTAGTATATCTATCTATCTATTTAGAGATTAACATTTTTTTTTAAATGTCGTTATCTAATGGTACTGTATATAAGTCAAGTGAATCACCCATAATAGTTAACGAGTAGTTCTTCTTTCTCCTTAAAGAAGAAGGAGGAGGAGGGGAGTGTGGAGATCATTCATTCCTTTAATTTAATTTAATTTAATTTAATTTAATTGGGATAATTTACACGACCCTCTTTAGAAAGAAAGAGAGGGGAGTCTGCTTATGTAATTAATTACGTAATTAATTACGTGAATAAACGGTGATTAAATGGAGATAAATATCCGTTAACCGGTTCCGAAAAGGGCGAACAAAAATCTGATAAAATTGTTAACTATGGGATAATCTAGAATTAAACAGCCAATGACAAACAAATGAGCGTGTCGTGTACTTTTGCCCAATTTGTCTGTCTCTCTTCTCCTCACTCACAGTTAATTACTACTGTAAATACAATAGAGCCTTAATCTTAATCATCTAAAAAATTTTAATATATAACAAAATTATATTGACGTCAAAAACGAAATTACCCACCACCACCACCACCCACCATTAATTTGTAATTGTAATTATATCATATACCTTTTTCTTTCTTTCTTTCTATTTATTCATTATCTTTAAAGGATTCAATATCATTAGTTTATTATATCCCATCCATAGAATCAATCAATTAATCATTAGCTTATAAATAATATTATATCACTACCATGTTTTCCAGATCATTATTAAGAACTGCCACCAGATTACCAACCACCACCACCACCAGAATCATCAATTCATCTATAATCAGACCAACCATCATCAATCAATCATCTTTACTCATCTCCAATAAAAGATCTTATCATGCTAAAGTTATAGATCATTATGAAAATCCTAGAAATGTCGGAACTTTAAATAAAAATGATGTTGATGTTGGAACTGGATTAGTTGGAGCTCCAGCTTGTGGGGATGTTATGAGATTACAAATTAAAGTTAATCCTGAATCAGGTATAATAGAAGATGTTAAATTTAAAACCTTTGGTTGTGGATCTGCTATTGCTTCTTCTTCTTATGTAACTGAATTAGTTAAAGGTAAAACTTTAGATGAAGCTTTAAAAATTAAAAATACCATTATTGCAAAAGAATTAAGTTTACCTCCTGTTAAATTACATTGTTCAATGTTAGCTGAAGATGCTATTAAATCGGCCGTTAAAGATTATAAATCAAAAAGATTAGTTAAACAACCAACTTTAGGTCCTGAATCCATGGTTGAAGAAGTTGCCACCACTAATTAAACTTAATTGCTTCATCATATCTGTCTTCTTCTTCTTATTTATTTATTCTGACTAATGATTACAAGTTTAATCATTACGTTTTTCATTCTTTTGGGGTGTTCAGTTTTAGTTTTAGTTTAGTTTATATACATATACATACATTTATTATTCAATCATTTAATAAATTTACTCATCATTTAGATTAAACTCATTTGTATATTCATTTAATCATCTACTCTCTCATTATATATATCCCCAGGTTAAATACTTTAAAAAATTCTTACCAAAGAAATCATTCGGATTAATTTTATCATGACTATTATTATACTTAAAATTATAAATAACAATCAACCCAATTAAACTTCCTCCATTAACAAAACTAAATCCAATCTTTTTCCAAGTTGGTGAAAATTTCTTAAAGTATTTGCATAATCCATTTATAAAATGATATATCCCAATATAGGTTAATAATGATAATCCCAATATATTCACATATGGTTGAACATATTCAATATTCTCCACATTAAGATAATACATTATATAATTGAGATTAATTAAACTTGAATCATTATCAATCATAAGTGGGATTAAACGGAATTTATACATATGATATAATAAATGGGGGATTAAAAGGTATCCTGAAAAATTTAATGGTGATATACCTAATGTTTTAGAAACCCATGATTTCTTATATCCTAATCCTAAAAAATTGGTAATCCCTCCTAATCCAATATCATCTCTCGTATCATCGATGATATGGAACTCATCATTATTACTGATCACCTTATTCTTCTTGATGATTTTGGGTCTTGATCTCATTCTTAAAAGTCGAATCGTTATACCTGATAAAACATGAACTATACTGGATCCAAAGATAACGATATTTTCAAATTGTGGAATCCCATGATATATGTTTCTCCCCATTTCAAATATCTCTTGTTTAATATCATGATCAATCGGTAAGATAGGAACAATTATAACTGATGTTAAATGTATTCCAACAAACGTTCCAAATGTATATGCACTATATTTTTGAACTTTACCTAAGATTGATATGACATGGTTTCTTCGTTTTCGATAATTGCGTTCGGAATTGATATGATCTAATTCTTCTTCATCAGATGGATTATCAATCGGTATTGGAATCACCTGTTCTAACTGTGATGTATCGTGGTTCATACTTGATTGCTGAATAATGATAGTTTTGATAGTTATAATTGGTTGTAAAAAAAAATGAAGAAGTTATAATCTTTTTTTTTTTTTTTTTTTTCTGTGCTGTCAAAATAAAAATAAACATAAAAATAATCACCAACTTTAAAGTTGATTGCTTGATTTGCCATTATACATTATCAGGGGAAGTACGTACCCATACTTAATCAAGGTAATCTATCGATATGTCATCATCATCATTCACCCAAACTAGATCACAGGCATTGAATCTAGAAAAACAAACGGAAACTTTATTATCGAAATATTCCGAATTCCAAAATGAACAATCAAATATAATAGATAAATCAAATGATGAATCAAGTTTAGAATCTCAAATATCATCGATATTAGAGAAGAGAGAAACTTTATTATCGAAATTGAATCGAATTAGTGATTCGATGGATAATTTATCCACGTCAAAATTACAACAATTAACTCGTCATAAAGAAATCTTAAATGATCATAAATCATCCTATTTAAAAATCAAATCAAACATAAATGATGAAAGAAATAGAAATAATCTTTTATTCTCTATAAGATCAGATATAAATGCCCATCATCAAAGTGAAAATGAATCATCATCTGCTGCTCAAAATCAAGAAATAAATGCCAATGATTATATTCTCGATGAAAGATCAAGAGTTGATAATGCCAATTCTTTCGCCGATAGATTATTACAACAAGCTTTCCAAACTAGAGATGAATTATATCAACAACGTCAATATTTGGAAAATGCTCAACTGAGAATGCTTTCAATCTTACTGAGTATACCAGGGATAAATGTATTAATATCTCAAATTAATACGAGAAGAAAGAGAGATACTTTGATTTTAGCAGGTGTGATATCAGTCTGTATATTGTTGTTGTTCTTCGTGTGATATAGATATCTATTTGATATCCCTATTTATTACATTTGCATTAATATTGAAGTTATGATAATAGTTTACACTGCCTCAAACCTACCTCCTCCCCACAAATACTTACTTGAGAAATTTTGTATGGAACAAGTGATACTCACTAACTAATTATATAGTATCATTCTTCAATATATATACCCACACATAATACACACAAACTAATGATATAAGCCTCTTAACCTCATAATGTTTTAGATTCCCCTATATGGTAATATCAAATATATTCCACCCATAGTTAAGATATTTTTTAATAAAATAATTTGTATCAGATTTGGCTGTGTGCAGGAAAAGTGACATAAGCTTGTTACGAAGGGAAAGGGGGCATCATCACCACTTCATTTAAAGTGATAATTATAAAACATTTTGAGTTCGATATTGACTGTGATTCTTGAAGTGTCTCAAGTAAGTTCTCACGGGTGAGTTTTTGTTAATATGGATCATAGTTATAATAATAATAATGGTGGTGGTGGTGCAGTTATAAGTGCTAGTGGTGGTGGAAGTCAATTTGCAACTAATTCTGCAGGTTCAAATGTGATATCGAATAGAATAGCGGTGATTAAATTAAAAAGAATTGAAGAGTTGAATAATCGATTAAAAGAAACTTTAAGACGAGAAAGAATACCGGCTTCTAATTCATGTTTATTATTGATTAATCATATGCAAGAAACTCCTGATTATCTTATACCTTATATGTATAAATTACCTATAGAACAGAATAAATTTTTAAAATATCAAAATTTAAAAAAAGTTTAATGGTAATGGTGGAAGTGGACGCGGTAAATCAGGAGGTGGAGATGCTGGGTGTTGTACTATAATGTAAGAATTAATGTTTAATAATATTGCACAAATACACAGACAAGGCGTAAAGTCAATAAAATTATATAGATTTATTTATATATACACACATAGTTATGTTATAATGTAAGAAATGCCTTCACATTAGCATTTATTTGATTTAAAATTGTTGTTTTAATAATAATTATTGTCCTTCCGATCAACCTCCTAATTGACCATCAGCTTCAACTTCATCAAGTTTAATCTTTTTTAAATGATCAATTGATTCTCCTCCTAAAGTAATATCAGCTTCTAATTCATCAGCTCCACATCCACAATCATAATCTTCAAGTATAGTAGTACAATCATAAATGTCCTTACCTAATTTTTCATTAACTTTATTATGAATATCACAACCCCATAAAGCAGCTGTTTTTCTTGATTTAGTTTGAGGAGGATACTTCTTTAATAATTTTTGAAAATGACGAGCACAATCTCCACATGGATAAACTTGACCGAATAATTGAATATATTGACTTAAAGTAGTTCTTTCTTGTTTGGTTGGATCATCAGGATATCTTGCTAAAATAGTATGAAATAATTTCCATGCTGCATTACCTAATTGAGCTTTTAAAGTTTCATTAGCCATCTTTGGCATGAATGGAGTTTCAGTGATTTCATTAGATAATGAAATTTGCTCTTTCTTTTCAGTTTTAACAATAGTTACATCATCAATATCTGATGCTTTGTTATTACTAATCTTTCCTAATTTAGATTTGGTTCCAGTTGAACTTTCATCATCTTCTTCATATTTATCAGGTTTTTCTTCATCTTTCTTGGAATCTCCATAATCATTAGTTAAATCAGCTATGGATTCTTCTTCTTGATTGACAATCTTTTCTTCTTGAATTGATATTGGTGGAGGTTTTGGAGTTTCATTTTCTGCTTCCCCTTTATATTCACCAAAATTATTAAATTTAGGCATACTGTTCTTTAACATATTCATAGGAGAACTCAGTCCTAAACTCTTTTCAATACTTCCATCACTAGATGTCATGAAATATACCGTACATATTATAAAAAATAACGCAATGGTAGCTACCAAAGGTTTACGAATAACCTTTATCATCATATTGGATCTGTTGGTTGTTAACTTATTTTGAATTGTTTAAAGTTTGACTAAAGTTTCTAAATCTAAATTTTGAATCTCACAATGACCCTTTAAAACCCTTTGAACACACCTGTTGTCCTCTTTATATAATATGAATTTGAATTTGAATTTGAATGTATAATTTCAAAGATTCCTTGATAACACATATTTAATTTTTCTGGTGCCATCCATCATTCGATTACCCTTTTTTCTTCCTCCTTATAACATTTCCCAAATAGGAAAGTGTTTGGGAACTGAATTAAAAGCTACGATTATTACAAGATTAAAGGGCTTTTGTATATATTTTAAAGATAAGATGTAGAATGATGAAAAATACTAAAGAAATGTCAATGGTAGTAACAATCTATTAAAAAAGAAGAAATAAAAAACTAACAAAAGGGATGGTAAACCACCAACTTTATAAATAAAACTATCCACTCAAAGTGACTTCTTTGGAGCTGCAACAGCATCCAAAACTCCAGGTAATGGTTCATTTCCAACACTTATAAGTAATTGAATACCTCCTATTAATACTGCCAATAATGCAACACTTGACCAAAGGAAAAGATTGGCTTGAGCACTTATATCTTGTTTACCACAATTATAACCGGTCCAAACCGTGGTCTTTTGAGCTTCTTTATTGAAAGTTGAAGAACATGAACATAACCAATTGTTTGAAGATTTACTGTTTTGAGTACATTTACCATGACCTGAACAATTGTTGGTATTGACTTCACATGCTTCTTCAGAAGCGTAAAACACTTGACCTGAACCTGATTCTCTCTTCTTTTGAATAGAGAATAATTTATTTAATTCATAATTTCTCTTATATAAATTTTGATTAAATTTAGTTGAATCTTTATAATTTGATGAAACTGATGGAACAAAAATTGAAACATTAAATTTAGTTGATAAAATCTTTAAATAATCTTTCAAGATTTTACCACTAAATTTAAAAGTTTGAGAATCTTGACCAATCTTTTTAGAAATTGAAATTAATGAATTTAATTCCACAAATAAAATATCTTTATCATCAACTTTAACTTCATTTAAATGAATCAATTGGGATAATTCATTAATGAACATCTTATCATTGATTAAATTCAATTGATTGTTTCTCTTTGAATTTAAAATGATTTGATTGCCATTGTCGTTGTTACCTCCTCTTGAAAATGATTTCCAAATTTGAATTAATTGATCATTAAAGAATTTAAAATGATTAATTAAAGATGCTTTATCTTCAGGATTAGCACTAACTAATTTGATTTCATTAGTTAATTCAATCACTTTACTATCTTGATCATGATGTTTATCATGATGTTTATGTTGTTTATGTTGATGATGAGTGAATTTTTTAAGTAATTTTGGTAATTTATTAAATATTAAATGATAAGAATCTTTAAATGATCCACTTATTTCAAAAGTTGGTATTAAATCAGTTATGAATTCTTCATTAAGTTCAGAACCTCTAACTAAAACCATTAAATTAGGTTTAGTTTGAGATTGGTCTGATGAATGTTGATTATCAATAAATTTAATTAATTCTTCATTTTTATGTAAATCACCTAATTTGAAATGATCAGAAATATCAAATTTATCAACCAAGTATAATAAAGATTCATGTTGATTGAACACAGGAGCTGATGATGACGATGATGATGATGAACTAGATCCTAATTCATATACAGTTAAACCAACCTTTTTAGATGTACTAGCAGTCGCAGAAGTAACAGATAAAACTGTCAATAAAGACACCAGTAAAGAAGACAAGAATTTCATGATACTCTATCAGACTTCGAAACCTTCTATATAGTCACTGAATTGATTGAATATATCTATGAAACTGAATTGAATTGAATTGAATTGAAAACTATCCAATTTAAACCTCATTATATTATCTTGTAATTTTAAATTAATTTTACAGATGGAACTTTGGACGAGGGTGTGAGTGGTCAAGGGGTCGTGCGAAAATGGCCAAAAGAGGTATGGATGTTTTCAGTTTAACTTGCAATCAGTTGCAAACACCTACAATTACCTACAATACCTTTATTTCTTCATAATAAGTTATATATATAACGGAATATTAAATAAGAGTATACTATATCAGAAACATATCTAAGATGGTGGTGGTGCATCTAACGTTATAGTTGGACTCATGGCACCTCCTCTACTTATTTTATCAGCTGTAGCTTCATTTTTATTTTCATTATCATCATCATCATTATTATCGTTATTCAAGTTACTTGTTTTAATTGGAGTTGGTCTAAACAAGGTCTTAGTCAAAGAACGATGTCTTTCTAATGGGGCTCTTGAAGGAGTTGGACTTTCTGAATCACTTAACTCCTTGAATTGTTCTTCATTATTATATTGACTTACATCAATACCTAATTTGGAAAGATCCTGTACAACTTTGAAATCATAAGGTTTTGGTTCTTCATAATCATTCATTTGATCTTGGGGACTATTATGAAATGATCTAAACTTACGTAATTCTTCAATACTATTTAAATTCTTATCATGAGTTGGATTAATTAATGAATCGAATGATTTTGATTTTGATAATAAATTCTCTTGTAATGATACTTTTATATAAGGGAATTTGTCTGCAAGAGTTGAAGAAAGGTGACTATAGACTTTTAAAGCTGATACTTCATCTTTTAAAAGGATGATGGTTCGATTTAAAAATGGTAAATTTGACCAATATTCAATATGATTTATACAATAATCATTTTCTTCATGATCTTCATCTTCTAAATTCAAAATTGATAATTTAATTTGATCAACAAGGGGTAAAGTTCTACTATTCTTTTCATAATAAGTGGTTGATTTTTCATCAACAATAAAATCATTTCTTTGTAAATTATTGATAATTACTGATGTCTTGGGATAAATGGTTAAAGATGATTGTGAACTAACCGATGGTGACCTTGGTTTGCTTGGTTCTTCGAAAAGATTTGGAACTGTTGATCTGCCACTCATATTAATATGTATATATGATAAGATGTATGATTTGGAGTAAAGGAAGGAAAGGGATGCTAGTTGGGATTTAAGGAATAGATGGAACGTAGATGAATAAGTTAATCAGTACAATCCGAATGAGACCACTGAAGCTTTTCAAACAACTTAAGAAACTCAATTGATTGAACAATAATGAATTCGAAACCTATCAGATAACTATATATACCAAATTAAACTCTAACTATCAACTTTTATCATAAAATGTTTCTTTTTTTAACTATCTTGCTCTAAAATTAGCTCATTAAAAGATTTGTGGGTATTTGATCATGTGCATGCAAAAATTAGCGTGTGTGTGCGTGGTGATGGAAGATGGACGAGAACAGAGTTAGTGAGCGTCAGTAGGGGTGGTGAAACATATATTATTTTTATATTACCAAATCTATGATACTATAAGTTAATTGAAGATCTTGTGGTCATAAATAGAGAATTATGAAACAATTTCAAATCCTTTGAAGTCATGGTAACTCATCTTTGTATAGCCACGCCTACTTTTGGAACTAAGCATTAAATGCTTAGCGGTATGATTCTAATGACCCTTTACAAGAAAAAAGTTCTAGCGTCACCTTTATTTTACTGAAGATCCTTTTCCTGTTTAGTGAGAACATCGTAATTTTTACTGAGAGTTGAAACCAAAAAAACAAAAAAGAAACGAACTTATTGACTGGCTGTACCTTTGCCGTGCCTTTCGTTTCGTTTAGTTTAGCTTAGCTTCGATTCCCCTACATGTGTAACGATTTGGAGTTTAACCAAGCTTTATCTATTCCTGTGAGTGATCTATAAAATAAATGCAGCAATTGGATTCAAGAAAAGTTTCAATTATTTAATAACATATAAGCAAGAAAAAGTTAGCTGCCCTGATTATCATGCTTTATGTAAATGTGATTTGTCTTGTTTCAGCCAGACTCTTCTCACTGTAAATCGAAATATAATTCATAATGTAATGAACAATTTGGATTGAATTGACTATTACACTTTATACAAGTTTGAATATAACAAATATCTTCATTTTCCAGAATTGACGACTTCACTTTCGCTTCAGAATACTCTTTAAATGTTAATTCACTATAACAATTCCCACATAGTACAACTTTTTCCCCCATGGCTAAATCTGTCACATTAAATTTTTCAACATTGTGGTCAATGAGCTCTAAATGACATTGAAAACAGGGATAATATACCCGACAACATTTATACTTCAACGCTATTATATCCAACTTTGAATAATAATGTTGGCATCTAGTATGCTTATCTATTAGTTTACCCTTCAAGGATATATTGTTATTAATCAATTGTTGAGTTGAAATAACATTGGGTGGCGGTGTTGAGTTATGTTCCATTGGACTTTTATATTATTATTTTTCAATGTTTTTTTGATTCTATTGTTTCGTTAATTTTTCAAATTGCTTGTTTTCTCTCGAGAGTTTTATCAAAACTATCAATTATTCGTTTATTACTACTATTCTAACTTTAATTTACCTTGACAGCGATTGATTACGAACTTGGTTGAAAAAAAATATTATGTATGTAAAATCTAGATTAAGTTTCATGAGTTTCAAGCGAGCGATTCAATTTTTCAAATTAGGCAACAAAAAAAAGTCGTGTACTGGAGTTACGATAAGGCATCAAATATCTATGAATACCCCAGATGAGGAGAAGAAGAAGGGGAAGGAGAAGGAAGGACAAGAAAAGGAGAATATACGATAGAGAAAAGGGGCCATTTAGTAACGGGAGAATATGTAATGGATATAGGTTAACCCTCCTCAGGTAACGCGTCTTTTTGATTATATGGAAATAGAAAACTTATCAAAAAACAATAGATCATTCGACATAGAAGCTTAAAGTGAATTCACAACAATATGTTTAATTCAAGACAGAATGTGTAACAGAAGGCAAAGCCTCTTATAATTAATGCTAGTGAATGAAGTAAGGAAATAATCACCTATACAGTAATATTTGATAGATGTTGTTTTGAGTTATTTATTAACAATCACAAAATTCCATGAATTTTAAAAGGGGAAACTAATGACATAATAAACAATCAAAAAAAAATAAACTTAAGCTTCAAGGAAATATAGGTGGGGAATTCTTACTGATAATAATAATAATTATGTAAAATTGAATTTTAATACTGAATTAGAATGGTTCGAGATTGAAAAGCAGATTTTAGGTTTTACATAGATGGTTATGATTCGTTTGACTGTAAGGTATCTAAATTTCGTAAGCGATATAAACTTTATTATATTTGTGGCAAGTTGACCAGGATACCCTTAATTAAAAGTTATTGTTTTAAACATAAACTATTAGTGTTTTTAATAAGCCTTCCCTATTACACATTAATTGTATCTATCTGATAAAGTTAATTATTACGTTTTTAGTCTTTTATTATAATGCACTACACAGTTCGGACCAACAAGATAAGGAGAAGTAATGCTGTAGGAAGAAGAGATTTGATTAAAAATACCACATTAATGCAGATCTCTCTCCACAAATTTAACCAAATTTGGTCAATTAAAAACCTCTCAACCACATCTTTTGAATAGAGTTTTACACAGTTAGATATTTAACAGATCCAAAAAAATATGTGTTTTCAATGCAATGCAATACAGAATACAATGTAATTAAAATTCAGCATCAAATGTGTGATAAATAAGTATAAGCGATTGAACTCGTAGAACATTAATTCCATTCAACAGGCTTTTTTTGTTGTAAGATTACAATATGCGATCTAGAATGAACAAAAGGATAAAGGAGAAACTCAAATAAACAATGATTCATTTTTGATTTATTTTTCCAGTTGTTGTCTTACTGCTTCATTTTTATTATTGTTAGGAATTATTATTATTATAATTATTATTTGGCTTTGTTTTACAATATTATTTTATGGGGAATAATGATAATTATTTTCTTGTATAGTGTGATCCCTATAGTATTAAATGATGAGGCAGTAGTTAACAAACAAAGAAAATAAAATAATACGTAAGATAATACATAAGTTATTAATGGAGAGAGAAACTAAATCAAAAGATTAATCTACAGACTTTAGAAATTTGGGGCAACATATACTGTAGATTCTTTTTATTTTTAATTATCGCAACTAGTATTTTTTATTTGTTTTTTGATAAAATGCTTTTTTGTCTTTATAAGGGGGGTGGGGAGTGGTTATACGAGATATATTTTTACCCTCTTCTGTTTATGTTTTTTTGGTTTTTAAGATTTATTTTTCTTCATCCAGAGAATAATAGCGGGTAAATCGAAAACAAAGAGAAGTTTAGAATTACAAGTACGAAAAACCATACCCCCCGAAGAATGACATTAGCTTATAGTATAATATAGAGTTCAAATCAATTGATCATAGTTTAAATCCTTATTGCAATTGTAGCTTAATATCCTTGAAATCAAAAACATGTTTATCTACCCTCGTGCCCTTATAGAACTTATTCATTTACACATTAACATTAACATACAGAAAGTGTCAAACATCGTCTAGCAGTACTGATATTACACATTAGCTTCGTAAAAGGTAAAAGTAAATTATGTGAATTAAATTTACGTAAGACATTTTTTGAAGGAAAGGAAATGTGTAATTGGGTTTCGTAAAATTTACAGAACAAAATTTCAAAATAAATATGTAAAGAAATGCTAGGCAAAATCACGTAAAAGCATTTAATTCTGACAGCGGCAGTTAAACCCACTTGGCGGTTTGAAAGTTAACCACAAAATGAATTGTCTTTTTACCTTGATATATACCTAACTTGAATTATAAAGTTGAATGAAGCGTGTTGAAGCGTGGTTAAACAACTCAAATTTTAAAACCAAAAAAAAAGTCAAAAAAAAAATAATTAATTTTTTTTCTGGAACATACATAAATTTTTAGATTCCTACATATCTCACTTAGCGCTACAGATGTAGAGGTATATCTCAATTTTGAAATGAAATAGGCTAAACCAAAACCAAATTCCTGGGTCGTGTAGTGTTGTTTTACCCAAAGTCATTTCCTAATATCGATATAGGTCTCACTATGTTGTAATTTCATTTCAAAAATTAACTATAATAGATAATGACGTTAATAAATGATAATTAGAAGAGACATAATGACCACACAGGCTATACCATGACGGCTAAAAGCTTCCTCATCTCCTTTTTTTTAGTCTATATCAATATTTTTAATACATTATTTTTCCCTTACAGTTAATATTATATTCGAACTGCTTTTTAAAAAGTCGGTATATGGATTTAAACTATAGAGATCTTCAATTACACTTCTCAATTAGGTAACTCACACACAATTTTTTAAAATGATTTAAAAAAATGATTAGAAAATATTTATGATATTTTTTTATTTGATACTTGTGGGACATGCATGATTAGAAAAATAATAAATTATTTTTTATCATGCATATAATTTACAAATTTAAACTTTTCTGCAAAAGAATGGTAACATGCAGTCCATAGTTCTTCATTTCTGTTTGTCTCTTTTTCTAAAAAAAAGTCTAAAATATCTCATCTTCCACCTCTCCTCTCCTCTTCCTCCTTTGTTCAGAACAAAATAAAATATATCTAAAACAAAATACTGACACTTAACCTAAAATTGATACGACTACGTGGTAATGGTTGTTGATGGTTAAGGGATTGTCGACAACCACGTTATGCAAACATGTTTACCAATTAAACACATCTATATCTACACATACTCACACACACACACACACACCCCTCACACTTGGTAGGTTCTTTTAACCTTTCTCTGCCTGTCTGTCCGTCTATACAAACGTAAAACTGTCGATATTGCAGATTGATCCTGCTTCATCAGCATATCCCTATTTTTGTTTTATGGACTTATTTTTATTTATTTTTTATTTCTTTTACTGTTGCATTTATAGAGATGTATGTAAATTATGTAAGTTTTAATTTATAATTTTTATCTTTTTATAGTTTTTTTTATTTTTTATTTTTTTATTTTTTATTTTTTTATTTTTTTTTTTTTTACCACAAACTCACTATCGATCTCATTCATTCCCATTCTATCCATCTATCAGTAAGTTTCCTTTTTTTAATTATTTTTTTGCATGATTGTGGGATTAGAACTATGCGTACAAAATTGTATATATTTAGACCATTTCTCCTTTCGTTTCGTTCAATTTGATGTTAATAGGTTTGTCCTATTCTTATTCTTAGTTTAGTTCTTTTTAATTTTTGTTAGAGGGAGCTTTACTTTTTTAGACATCCCTTATTTCTATTTATAAATTAGTAATGCATAACATATAACTGATTCCCATCCTTTACAGAGATAAGTTTTAAGTTTGAAGATACATTATACAGAACTCCATCCTATCCCCCCCTATTACCCAATCTTGCTCCTCATTTTAAAAGAATAGATCGATATAAATCATAGATATACACTAATTATTCCTATTACTACTACGACTACTATTAAATATATTCATGATGACTAGTTTACAGTCCCCATTCTCATTTAGCTTCCCAAATTCATACCCCAACAATACCGATACTCCTCATAAATCAACCTCCTTACCTAATGCCAATTATTTACCAACTCCAAGCTCATCCAAAGCTCACAATAATATAAATTCTAATGACTCTATCAATATCAATTCTAATGACAATGACACTATCAATACCAATCTTAATGACAATAACAATGACGATATCAATCCTGAAAATAATTCTAATAATTACGATTTATTAATTGGTAAATTAAATATTATGAAATCTAAATTAAATAAATTAGATTCTAATAATATTGTGGGAGAATTGAAACAATTAATTGAAGAATCTTATCAATTAATTAAAAGTAATGATAATTTAACTAATGACATCAATGATAACGGTAATCCAACCAATTATATTAATAATGGGTTTACATTCACACCAGTAAGGAATAACAATAATCGTAGTGTTCCAGATGCAACTATGAGTTATAGTACTCCTCCACCAAGTTCAACTAATGACGATATATTTTATCAGACTCCAATCAATAAAATCATAAATAGTGAAAACTTATTTAAGAGACAAAGACATCAAGCCGATCTTGATGATATGATTGATTGGGGTAAAGATGATCTTGATCATTTCAAATATGTGGCCAATGATCCTCGTCATATTAAAGATATTTTAAGGACATCTACTTCAACTGATAATTATACCACTTCAATTACAACCGATCTGAATTTAGAACATCAATTTGAAATTAATTTTGAATTAAATTAAATTAAATAAGATCAGTATTATTATATCAAAATGTGTTCAAATCTCGCTTATATTTATGGATTTTTCTTGGGCTTTTAATTCTTCGCTATTTTATTAACTACTACTACTTTATTTATATATATCTATTCTCGTTCATTGGTTTTTATTATTAATATTGTGATATTTGGTATCACCATTTACTTCCTTATTTTTTTTTTCTATATTTCTTATTTCTTATTTTTTGGTTTTGTATTATTAGGATACCATTTATATTTTTTAAATCTGATAATGCTATATTGCTTTATAATTAATTATTTAACGAAGATTAGAATGTAGTTATCTTTCGCAGCATGTTTACCACGTTCCGTAAAGGAATGGAAAAATATAAATATTAAGTGGCGGCGTTTAACTATAATTGCTTTGGTGGATATTGATTGCAACTTTAAAAACAGCAAAACAGTAGTGATCAAATAATAAGCTTTAAAAGGACATTGTCAGCAGTATTAAGCAAGGTAGCCTAACCTACTTTAGATACTACCAATGACAACCTCCGCGTAATGTTGCAGATCGTCGCGAAGATACATAGATTAACACCATATTGCTCCCCATTTTTCATATAGAGCATACTTACCACTAACTACGTAGAACCTAACCATAATGAGATGAAAGACGAAGAGATAAATGAGACCATTTGTAACCTGTCCTGCAAAGGTTAAGGACCGGGGACCTTTATTCCTACACCTATCTGTAGAAGGGGTTCGGATAGATCGTCATTGTCAGTGGAAAAATAGAAATTGTATTAAGGTGCTCTTCCCCCAAAAATTATGCACCATCGATTTTTTTTGGATTGTGCTATCTCTATAGCGCTAATTATTACCACCACGTAATGGCCCTTATTGTTCAGATTTACTAAAAAAGTGAATAGAAAGACGTCAAAAGACTGATAAGCAAAGCTATTTAACCTTGTTTGCACTTATCTCCTTATTATTTTTTGAATGATTTAGATCTTCAGTCTTGTCTATTGTTTTAATTCAATTATCATTTTCAATAACAATTCATCACATATCAATGAAAGGAAAATCGTTCCCGCAAATAATAATTTATTTATTGGCAAGCAACCAAAAATTCACACATTTACACACTTACACACACACACACACACAGAGACACACATGCTATCAGGAAAAAAAAAGACAGAGATCTGTCAATTTTAAAAAAAACCAGGGCGGAATAAAAGGCGGTATGTAACATAATGAAATCTGTATGTTTCTATCGTAGTTTTGATTTTAAGGAGGTTACAATGAGTTGATTCAATTTTATTACTTAAGCTGATCCAATCAATTGGAGACAACTTTTTTCTTTTTCTTGTTAAGGTTATAACAGAGATATGTTTTACGATGCACGTTAATGTAAGTATCTAGATTTACTACTATACCCGTACCCTCCTCCCTTGGAAATGAAATTTTTAAATTGAGGCGAGTGTTTTAGACATAAGACTATTAATTATTTTATATAATTTTAATTTATTTTATTAAGAAATCGTTTCTAATGCAAGAACACAAAGTAGTAATAACTGAATTTTTGACCATTTTTTTAATACTACTTGTAAAACTTAATTATGAAATATAGTTTTTATGATGTGATCGTCTACTGGATAATGAGATACAGTATTTTTGTCGGATAACGTACACGATACACCGTTATAGGAACTAAATTGCAACTAGCAACCAAAAATAAGTTTGATGAAAACAATGTAAATCCGTAACATTCTTCTTCGAATTCAATATAACCGTAGAAAATTCAATGTAGGCTAATTGCATTCACCTTTCAGGAGGAGGAATGGAATAGTCAATCAAATATACCTTCTCATATTTACGAACTACGACACTGAAATTGAACAAAGTTATAATTTTACAAAGCCAAAGATCATCATGAAACTAACTTAACGGATTATTATGAGAAGGAGTGCCTCAAATTCACTATAATATAGCCTCAACTCCTTTTGAGGCAAGTTATTTCATGCATTGATTTTCTTAACCGTCTTCTGAAATAATTCTAAATTAAATAAATAATAATAAATGCTAACTAAAACCATAAACTGTAAATGTCAATCCTGTTTCTGACCAGAAACTGTAAAAATGCCATTATTTACATGTTACCTTAAAAATTTGCAGATTAAGTTTGCGTTTGTTTACATTTTGTTTGTTGGTAAATAACGCGTGGATAAAACAAACAAATTTTAATTTTGCAATTCTTGTTAAAATTTCATTTCAGTTAAGTTCAAGTTCATGTTAACAGTTGATGGTGATTGATGTCATTCATGTAAAAGTACCCTTCCTACTCTCCCCTCTCGCTATGTATTGTCCTCTGAAACCAGGATTTCAAAAGAGAAAAGTTACTGAAATACTACTTCTTTATACATAGCGTTGCACCTTTTCACCACCACCACCAATCACATTAATGATGATATCTATAATTTGAATTATATTTTACACCTCTGAATAAAAATAGAATGTATCTAATGAATATCATTCAATCAGTATATAGTTAATCAAACTTCACTATCCCACATGACACGCTAAAAATTATTTATTATTTGTTTACTGTTGTTCTAAGTTAAATCTCAAATGGATATACCACAAAATCAGGTACCATAATATATATGGCTCATGAACAATAGCGAAGAAGATTTTGAAGGTTTTGAATTGGGTTATACCTGTATAGAACAAACGCCTCCTTTGTTGTTGTTTTTGTTTATATTTACGTGCTTGACATATATTTTCAACCATAACACTATCAAATGTTTTAGTTGTAGATCCAAACTTTGTTAGTTAGTTTAGCTATTTGAACTGATTTGTTTTCTTTCTTTCTTTCATCCTTCTCTTCTTCTTCAGCACTATCCTCCTCCTCTCTATCCATATCAATATAGTTTACCACTATACCCTTGGCATCACATCATCAACCAACTCAGGTATAACTAGGATATAAACCAAACAAACTCCAAAATAAAACAGCCATAACAACAAAGTAAAGATCAGTTCTTGCTACAACAAAAAATAACTAACTTTTATACATTCGTTTAATCCAAAACCAACTACAGCACTTTACCTACCATTCGTTTAGGTAACCTCGCTATTCATTCGCTTTATAACTTCCATCTTCCTCCTCTTTATAGTGAAGATTCAAAGGTTTGAGAAATTGTTTACTGTAAAAAAAAAACATTCTCACCAAAAACCACAAACAAAAAATAAACCACAAAAAAAAAATCATAACAAAACAAACAACAGCAACATCATCAAGACGATCATCACCAGTATCATCCAACCATACACCAGCATTACCATTCAATACCATCCAGATCGTTGTTCATATAAGGGAAGGTTATTATAATAGTGCATTGGGTTTTGATTGATTAAGATCCATCTTCAATTGGGAAAACATTTAGCCTCACAGATTTATAGTGTCCATTATATAATAGATTTGATTCAAATATGAGGTCATTCAAGCCAAAGTCCATCACTGATGAGAATGTAACCAAAAACACCACCACTAGAGTGAAACCAACCACATCAACATCATCTTCATCATCTACATTATTGAATCTTAGTGGTCCTGCTCCTATCAAATCTAAATCAATTGATCATCAACGTCCTTCAAGCGGTACTTATCAACGTGAAGTATTAGGTGAATTAAATCATAATACCTTGAACAATAACATTAACAATACATCTAAGGTTAAACTGGTAACACCTCAAGTTGGTACAAGTTCCACTGCATCAAGAATTCAAATATATAAACAATATCATCAACAATTCAAAAAACCAAGATTAGAAAAGATCAGAAAGAATCAACAACTGCAAACACAACCATCAAATATTGATCTTGATGCTGATGTGACGGATTATGATGAAAATGAAGAAGAAGAGGATAACGAAGATGCAGATAAAGAAAATAAATATTTCATTGAAGAAGAGGATGATGATGAAGAATTGGATTTATTATTAATAAATGAAAATGAAGGTAAAGAAACTTCTACAGCTGGACACAAACATGACATACCTCATCAAATAGAGCATCCTTCTTCATTGGTTGAACATTCAGATGATATTCCTCATCATTTTGATAAATTAAATGAAGAAGATGAAATAGTGGATCTTCTGCAAGATGATGACGAAGATGATGTTGAAGAAGAAGAAGAAAGACAACAACAACAACAACAAATACGTAATACACATATCCCAATGGAACCAATATGGAATGCCCGTATTTCACAAGAATTACATACTATAATGAGAAAATTTGCTCATACCGTATTGGATGAAAATGATGAAGATACTTTTGATGTTACTATGGTAGCTGAATATTCTCCTGAAATATTTAATTATTTAAGAGAATTGGAGAATAAGTTATCTCCAGATCCAATGTATATGGAAAATCAAGATGAATTAAAATGGGAAATGAGAAGTGTTTTAATTGATTGGGTGGTTCAAGTTCATAATAGATTTAATTTATTACCAGAGACGTTATATTTAACTGTTAATTATATTGATAGATTTTTATCTAAACGAAAAGTTTCATTATCAAGATTTCAATTGGTTGGAGCTGTTGCATTATTTATAGCTGCTAAATATGAAGAAATCAATTGTCCAACTGTTCAAGAAGTGGCATATATGGCTGATAATGCTTATTCCATAGAAGATTTCTTAAAAGCAGAAAGATTCATGATTGATGTATTAGAATTTGATATGGGATGGCCTGGTCCAATGTCATTTTTAAGAAGAACTTCCAAAGCTGATGATTATGATTATGAAACTAGAACTTTAGCCAAATATTTCTTAGAAATTACCATCATGGATTCCAAATTCGTTGCATCACCACCATCTTGGTTAGCTGCTGGATCTCATTATTTATCAAGAAAACTCTTGAATAGAGGTGATTGGACTGAAGCACATATATTCTATAGTGGATATACTGAAATACAGTTAAAACCATTAGCTGAAATATTATTAGAAAGTTGTCGAGATGCTGAAACTCATCATAAGGCAATTTTTGAAAAATATCAAGAAAGAAGGTATAGAAGAAGTTCAACCTTTGTTCAAGAATATTTTACATCCTTACAAGAAGATTAACTTCTTTTAAAAATTTATTCCTAGCATAAATAGGTCACTGCATATCATATCATATCATATCATTTATTTGTACATTACTATCATAAACTTTGAAATGGGAATAAAAAAAGTATTAGATTGAATATTACAACAATCCATCATGTTTGTATATTTATCACTTTCATTCTTAACATTGTTATTTTCCATTTTTCAAAGTTTCAAAATTCATATTCCGTTTCATTTTTTAATATTATTTTATTTTAGTTTAAGTTTAATTTCCAGTTTAATTTTCATTTTGATTGTCATTCTGACCTTTATTATGATACAGTCATATTATTAAATTATATTGATTATCATTTAAAACCATCATCGTATTGCATTCAGTTTTTTCAAAATATTTTTCGTTACTCACCCCCATAATTCATCATATATTCTATATATCTATACGTATATAAAAATGAACAATTCCTTTTATTCCACGTTTAAAATAAGTTTAATGAATTGATGTAGATGTAGTCCTAGTAGATGCAAACTAACTATGTCTTCTTTTTTTGCAATTTATAACTATCCCCCACGGTTATGATGGTAACTTTAATTTCTGTGGTCGTGTACTTTTGCTCAATTGGTTTTTTTAACACACTTTTTTTTTCCAGTTGGTTGCATCATCCCCTTTTTGAACTAGTAGTGAAATATATCAATCAATCAATCAATTGAATTATCAATTATCATACTTCAACTTCTCGATTTAACATACAAATTACAATGTTGTCATCAAAAGTATTATCATCAGCTTTAAGAGCTCAATCCCGAAACTTAATTAAAAGAGTCAATGTCAGAACTATTACTCCAAGTTTATTAAACATTAACTATAGTAATGTTAGAAACTTCCAATCCAGTATGGTTAAATTCAATGCTAAAGAAGATTTAACTAATGTTTTACAATCTGAATTGAAGGTTACTAATACTATTCCAAATACTTTAGATTCTATATATGAGGGGTTTTTAGTTGAAAATAAATGGGATTTAATTGAAAAGGATGGACAATCAGTTATTGAATTAAAGAAAACTTTAGAAGATGGTAAAATCATTAGAGTATTTTTTGATATTGAACAAATCACTGATACTCCATATTCTGAATTTGATGGTGAAGATGGTGAATTTGATGGTGAAAATGGTTCAAGTGCTGAACTTGAAGAAAATGAACATGATTTTGATCAAGTTAGAAGTGAAGTTGATGAATTAGATAAATTAATGTGTAATGTTAGAGTTTTAATTGAAAATCCAACTTCTGATACTGGAGTATTTTTCAATTTAATCTTACATTCTCTTGAAAATTCCTTCATTATTGATTTTGTTTCAAATCAACCAAAAGCTTCTAAATTCTTACAAGAATTAGTTTATGCTCAAGGTGAATTCTCCGATCAATTATCTTATCAAGGTCCAAGATTCTCTGATTTAGATGAATCCTTACAAACTCAATTCGAAACTTATTTATCATCCCAAGGTATTGATGATCAATTAGCTGAATTCATTGTATCTTATAGTGAAGTTAAAGAAGAAGATGAATATAGAAAATGGTTATCTGATTTAGTTACCTTTTTCAAATAAGTCAATCAATAATGATAACTCTTGTACATAAACTACTTTTTATAAATTTGCCCCTTTTTAGTTACGTTCTAGTGTTTATGTTATAATTATTAATTGATTATAATCATAGATCTGTATGTTAATATCATGTAAATACACACATACCCTCCCATACCCATATATCACATTTAGCGTATTACCCTCAGATATTCGATCACGCGCATAACAAACATCGTTAGGGCTTCTTCCCTTGATCCTGCATATATACTATCACCAAAAAAACTCCAAAACCAAAAAAAATCAAATTTCGCTCACACACAAAAAAATAGTTGAAAATTATATATATATAATATCAAATTGATACTAAGGAATTTTAGATACTATTAATCCATAATAACTATAACAATGTCTGCCGAAGCTTCTGTTTCATACGCTGCCTTAATCTTAGCTGACGCTGAACAAGAAATCTCTTCTGAAAAATTATTAGCCATCACCAAAGCTGCTGGTGCTAATGTTGAAGATGTCTGGGCTTCAGTTTACGCTAAAGCTTTAGAAGGTAAAAACTTAAAGGAATTATTATTCTCCTTTGCTGCTTCTGCTCCAGCTTCCGCTGGTGGTGCTGCTGCTGCTTCTGGTGCCGCTGCCGGTGGTGCTGAAGCTGCTGCTGAAGAAGAAGTTGAAGAAGAAAAGGAAGAATCTGATGACGATATGGGTTTCGGTTTATTCGATTAAACAAATCAATTAATTTAATTAACCTTTGCATTAAAAGAATCAAATTATTTTCAATTATCAAAATCTAATCAAATCAAATACACCTTATCATTCAATATGATTTACGATCAATTATAAATCAAAATCAATCAAGAAATTTCAAACTTCAACCCTCCCCTCCCCTCATATATATACTTTAAAAGGGAAAAATCATTATTTACGACACATATTTTAAAGGTCTTGTACTTTATATTTTTCTTGATTTAAGTAGTCATGTATCATATCATATAATACAACCAATCAAATATATAAAACATAAAAGATATTAAAACCTTGTTAAATCAATTATATCATAACCTATGTCTAATGGGTATGGTGTAATTCTGTAGAGAGATAAAGATGTTATAATTATTTCAACAATATATATTAGACATATTTAAAGTGGAAATGTTATAAAAAAAAGGAATATAAAATATAAATAAACAAATGGCATAAAAGAAAGCAATCAATAAAACAAACAAAGAAACAAATAATCATAAGCGAAAGTATTTATTAATTTGAAGAATTGGCACTGTAGATTGTGGATCAAGGAATTGAGCTTATCATGAGGACAAAAAGAGATAACGGTGACATTTCACCAAATTGAAAGTAACATTCAAAAGATTGAGCTAAAATGGGCATTTTAAAATTTGTAGTTTTTGCATTTTTTTGTTCTTTTTAAACATTTTTTAGGAAAAGACATATCATAATGGAATAATCAACAACATAGGGTTGAAAGACGGGATATAAAGATAAGAAATATTGTGGTTCACAAATAATAGAGGGAAATCCAACAATCTGAAACGAAACAATTATATGAATGAATGAATGAATAAAATGAAATGAAATGAATGTACACATCCGATAAATCATGATATAAAATAAAAGCTCTTTCTCTTGAGCGATTGTAGTAGCATTAACAAAACGATTAATGACTAAACACTAACAATCAAACCACACTCAACAGTGGAAATAAAACTGAATGCCTTATTTTCTTCATAAAATCATTAAAATAAAGTAAAGTAAAGCAATCAATAACAAAAATAACTTAGGAAACACTAAAAGATACGAAAGTAATAATAAACAGCAGATTGCTGAATCAGTTTAACCGACTTCTTGTACCTAATAGTTCCATACATGTCTTAACCTCTTACCTTAAACTACTATTTCAACCTTAATTAGCCTATTGCAAAAAATCATTGCCGATTGATTGTATATAGCCGGCTACTTAAAATCTAAAAATAGCAATATAATCCAAAAAGGCGACACAAAACAAAATTAGGCAAAAAAAAGATTTGTTGCCACAGACACTGACGCAGACACATAAAAAAATCTCACAGACAGACTGACACAATCAGACAGACACAAAATACACTGCAAAATGACAAAAAACTTTTGAGGGTTTTATTTTTAAGGTAAAGTGGGGTGAGTGAAAGTGAAGTGTAATCGAGGCTAAGTGTAAAGGTGTAGAACAAACATACCATTATGGGACCTAATTTTCTAGCATTGTGTGAATTTGTTAGACAATTATCAAAAATAATAACAAAAACAATAATTGAAGCAAAAAATAATAATAAAATAAATAAGGTGTAAAAAAAGGCTTTGCCGGAATTGAAAAAATTATAAACCATCAATCAAGTGGTTTAGTAAGGATTTTTAAGCAAAACATTTATCTAACATAAGTAATGCTAGAGCATCGTTTGAGTTGATACGATCATCAAAATAATTTGATCTAAACGTAGTAACTGGAGGTGGTAAAATATGTTTACCATCAGTCATAATACTAGTCGAAGTTGCAGGACTATTAGGAATAGCCTGATTAAACATTGTAGTTCTAGTAATAGTATTAGAACTAGAACTTACAGAATCCTTGAGAGAAATCAAGGAACCAACACTAGTTCTTGGAGAACTAATAGTTGTAATTGGAGTTCTTGAGAAATTTGTAGAAACCAATGAAGGTGCACCTGAAGAAGTGGTAGAACTAGAAGCTGAATTTGTAAGTGAACTTGAATTAGATGAATGATGATGACTATGATCAGATATGATCACATTTGTAGAACTGGAAGATCCTTTCATAGAATATAATGATACATCCTTTAAAAAGTTAATAGGATAAACATCATCAGTAATAGTTAAATCCTTGAATAAAGGATCTTTTGAAGGAATTTTACCATGTAATCCATGATGAACCGAAACTGAATAACCATCATCATCACTTTGCAGACTAATATCAGTATCGATATCCATATCCATAGCTTGAGCCATTTCTTCTTCCTCAGTATGATTATTAAACCAGTTTTTCTTTTTTCTTCTTCTATCATTTCTCAAACTTTGTAATTGATCTCTTTTAAAATAATAAATTAAATGATATTTTTCATTATTTCTTGTAGTTAATGATAAACTTTGTTTAACTAAACGATTAGCTTTATCTTTAGAATTACTTGAATTAACCTTTTCATGATAAATTAAAAAGTGATTATTAAAGAGTTTTGAATCACTCCAAAACTTACCATCAGTCCATCTTCTAATATTACTTGTTCTTTCATTCCAAATAAATATATTATCTGGTTTAATTGATTTTTGTCTTTCAAAAGTAGTTAATCTTCGTTTAATAGTTGGTAATTTATTTAATCTTGCAGCCTCAATTAAAAGTAATGCATCATAGAGACTTCTAATTTGACCATGATAACTTATCATGGGGGAAGTGGAATGACCACCGACACCAGAATTATAATCAATTGAATGATCTAAAGAATGGGACATTTCAGATTGAGTTGTTGCTTGATCAAACTCAGAAGTTGACTCAGAATCAGATGAAGAAGTTGAAGATATCAACGAATTGAATTCCGAAATAAACAGCATTTAGATTCGACCAATTGACTTGAATTAAACATTAAACGATTACTAGTTAAATATCAAGAAAGATAAAAAAAAATAAAAAGTAAAAAGAAGTAGAATTATCGTATATAAAATTTAGAAATCTATGCCATATTTAAATAATAAAAAATGTCAGTTCAGTTGAATTTAAGTCAGTCAAAATGAATAAATAAAAAAAGGATAATAATTAACTCAATTAATTTTGTGTCTGTCTGGAAAAGCAAAATTAAAAAAAAAAAAAATAAAAAAAGTTTAAAAATAAATTAAAAAAAAAAAAAAAAGATAATAATTAAAATAAAAACTTATGATCACAATAGATACAAAATTTAATTACCACTTTGATGATTAATATAACTCTTTATACCCGCGATTATTATGTACGAAATCGTACATGAAATCATTCTGTTTTTCAATTTCCTTCTGCAACTCATAGAAAGTGTTATGAAACAATTTAACCTCGGTTTCTTATCATTGAATTGGATTGAATTGAATTGAATTGACTTAAACAGAGGTGGTTAACCTAAACTTAAAAAAAGGTTAATAAAAAGCCAGGAGAGAAAAAAAAAAGGTTCCTAAAACACTCCTTAATTTTTAATTATTACCGCTCAACCACAAACCAAAAAATAAGACAAGACAAAAATTATTGAAGTTCTTCACGCAGTGTTAAAATTTTGTAATTACAGTGGATAAAAATTCCCGACTCAAAATGTGTGGGGAAGCGGATCGAGTTGCAAAAATTTTTAGCTTTTACTAGAAACACCATTAATCAAAGCCCAGAAGTAGTATTGGCTGTTTGAACCAACAGTTGTTGCAATCAATAAATAAATCAAATGTAAACAAAAATAATAGAAAGTCATTTAACAGAGAAATTTCTAGGAACGCAAATAATATTATATTATTATTATTTTTGGTTCTACCTTACAACTGTTAAGGCACCCACATATGATAACTATTGTTTATATTTAATTATGTAGTTTATTAACTGTCCCACCTTCCCTATTAATCATGCTAATGTTGGGAGGGGTATGCCGTGTGAATCAGAATACATAAAAACCGTTTTTTTTTATTTCAATGACTTACATTCACTTATATTGTCATTAAGTTAAAAATGATTGTCGTAAACGATGATATGCGGGTTTAGAGACCAGAACCCGATTTGCTTGACGTGACTCTTATATTTATATTCTTTCGGATCGTTTCTTTTTCTACAAAAGGTTTACTTTTTAATTACTAGATTTTTATAATTAATATTTCTATTTTTGTTTGTTTGTTTGTTTGTTTGTTTTATGAGTATAACTTTGCAGTTGTAAAAAGTGTCTTAGCCGCTCATTTTTAAATGCTATAATGTTGGGCTAAATTGGTATACACAACAAATTACCCCCTGCTTGTAAAATTAACAAATGTAACTATCCCTTAACTAAGCTGATCTCATCAAACTCATAATTCAAAATAAGTTATATTATTATGTTATATATTATTGCTGTTATAAAATAATGGAGTTTATATTTTAAAGTTTCCTTAGCCGTTATGCACAATTTAATTGGTTCACTCTCAAAAAATCATTTACTATGAAAATTTATCTTTTCAATATTTACAATCTAAACCCGTTTTGAGAATAGTTATGTTATGTTATTTTTTGTTACGCATGGCTCTACCCGCCATTTATTAATATGCAAAATAAAAGAATTGACATTATTATTTAGTTCACTTTAACTCAGATCATATCATTCATGTACTATATCATTCGAGAAAGCTGTCTGACTTATTCTTTTAAAGTGTCTGCTTCAGACAAAAAAAAGAAATTTTCTAAACCATAAAAAAATAAAAAAAAATAAAAAAATAAAAAAAAAAAACCGAGACAATTTATTTTGTTTCAATTCCCTCTCTGTTCCGGGGAGATAGTTGACAAAAAAAAATGAGTGACAATTTTTGTTTGTAATTTGTTTTGTGGTTTTTGCAAAAGTAGATTTGTTAAACAGATATACTATTAATTTTTAGTTCTAGCGGCTACTGACTACTGCTATATCCTTTTCTTGCAATTAACTAACCAATTTAAAATGTTATCTCCCCTAGGATTCTTACGGAAGTTTATTTTGTATTGTTAATGACTTTTTTTTTTCTACTAATAATTTCAGTCATCGTTTTGAAGCCGTTTCAATTGGTTTCTTCTTATTTGTTGTTTAGTTTATGATCTACATTTCATATAATATTCGTACCCTCTATGGAGATACAGATATGTGTATACGTTAATTCAATCACTACGATATTATTATGCTCTCTTTTTTTTTATTATAGGTTTTGGGGAGTAAAAAAAAAAATCTTCACCAAAAAATTACACTATATTTAATCGCTCATTATCCAGTACATATTCCATGGAATAGAATATATATAAAACATATACTTTACATTTTTAAAACTATAAACATATTTCATATAAATAGTTTCATTAATTCTAAATAATTTATCCGAGCATTTCCTACACGGTGGGGAAGAACGTTCAAAATCGCTATAGCTGCTTTTTAATTTGAACCTTTTCTTACCCCTTAACTATGAGAACAGAAATCATTTGATCCAATTTATTTAACAACAACTAATTCAATATGAAACAACCTGAATCACCATTATCCAATCTAAGCTTCACTCAAACTTATGTGTTGGCTTCGAAAGTTAAACAAAAATTACAAAAAGATGCTATTAAACAAGATTCAAATTTAAGAATGATAATTCTTCAAGCGAATATGTTAGATAAGATGGTCAGTTATTTACATACTGAAGTTAATAAGAAAATGATGAGTACTTCAATGCCATTGGTTACTGCTAGTATGAATTCCGTATCCCATTTACCTGTTACGGTACATGATAGAGAAGTTGCTGCTCAAAATAGTGTTCTTGAAATTGTCGATGAACAATGGGAAAGTGATCAAGGTGATGAAAATGATAACTATTCTGAAGTAGTTGCTACTTCTCATCGTGTCATTCAACATGATGAAAATGTTAATTATACCCATATTGAATCCACTGCTGTTTATGATGATGATTCAGATGAGAATAATTATGCCTACAATGAATCAGAAATTTCTGATTCTGATTCTGAAAGTTACGTTGATGCAAACAGTGATTATGACGATGACGATGATGACGATGATAGCGATGATAGCGATGATAGCGATGACTGCTACTATGAATCAGATGAAACTCATTCAGATTCAGAATTAGATTCAGATTTAGATATTCATGAAAATGCAATGAATGCTCCAGTCACTTTATCTCATTCCCATTCAAAACCAATTCCTCAATTATATCGGTGTCTGTCATACTTCTATGACGATTAGAGTGATATATTTAGAGATGAATAATTATTATTGATTATTGGATAAAGAGAATACGCTTTGTTTTCTTTATTGTAACATTTACATATTCATTTTCTGTTCATGTATTTATTAGACTTAAAAAGATTCCATTGAACAGAATCTATTATTTATTCAAGTTGCTTCCATTTACGGACTTCAATAAGTTGACGCTGAAACTAATTTTATCGATATATTATCATATTCCTTAGTCTTTAATTGAAGACGAAAGATTGCATCTTAGTTATCCAATTTTTTTTCCAGCGTCTTACCATAAGGAAAGCAAATTCCAATCTACCTTAGTTTGAGAAATAGAAGTTAGAGGTGAAAGATTATGAAAACTTATCATCCGAAAAGGCGATGGATAATCGAGTTTTGTCTAATTCAAGTATATCCAGTTATTCACTCGCTTACGTGTTACAATTTCTTAACTAGTATATATTTCCATAGAGTTTAGTTTAGCTTTAACCTCATAAAATAGAACGTTTTTGTTATATCCATTATTTCCCGAATATGTCTTGTGTAACGAACACTGAAGCAATAGTTTAGTTAAATAATTTACCAGCTGGTTTAGCCGTGGATGCTAATAAGTCGTACCAGAAACTCAAAAAAAAATAAGATTCAGTAAAAAACAAAAAGAAAAAAAAAAGTCGCAAATAAAATTTCCAAATCCGAGATATTTTGTGTTGCAGACGCATCTGACCTAATTGGGAAATATCTCTGATTTTATTTTTTGTCATATTTTTTTTGTCGTAGTAACTATTTTTAGATTCGGGCCGCTCAACGAAAAAGACAGCTTTTGCTATGATTTAGGGGTTTGAGCCATCAATTTTTCATTTTGCAATTATCGATCCGATATAGCAATCGACTGATTCTTAATACTAAGCCAGAGTCCTATCTATTAATTATATAAAAATAATTGCTTAATTAAAAAATAATCAACTTATTATTAATAACTATACACCTTCAAGACTATAGATAAAAAAAATAAAGAAGATAAACTAGTCATAAAACGAAAATATTTAAATTAAGTATCGAACTTGGATGAAGAATGGAAAATTTGGAATTTGGAATTGAAAACAAACAATGAACAACGTATGATTATTAAACTTTTGCAATGTAAAAATCAATTAAAAAAATATAAAAAGCAACAATTAATCACCTAATTAGCATTAACAGGGAATTCTTCAATTAAAGTGGCTTGACCAGTAAGTTCAATTTGGAAAGTAGTCTTAACATCAACATCAACAGTGAAGTTGTAAGTACCTGGATAGATATATCTATTACCTTGAGTATCAACAGTAGATAATGAACCTAAAGTAACTGGCAATACAGCAGTTTGTCTTGCACCTGGGAAAAGATTATGTAATCTACTGTAAGAAACTAATGATTTATTCTTATAAGGACCTGGACCATTTTGACTTTGAACAAATAATAAAGTTGAGTAATCGGATGTGACTTTACCGGTATTAGCAACTTCAACAGCAAATTCAGTAACAACTGCTTGATCAGCAAATTGGTAATGGAATTTTGAGGCTTGAATCAAAGTTCCAATATTAAATTGTTGTTTATTTGGGCTTAAAAGTTGAGCGGTGAAATTAGTGTAATGTAAACCATAACCAAATTCATAAACTGGAGTACCAGTATACCACATATAAGTTCTACCTGGGTTAGTAGCACTTGGTCTAAGAGTCATATCGGTCATTGGAACTTGGTTTACGTAATCAGCAGGATATTGAGTTGAAGGTAATCTACCAGCTGGTGCAACGTTACCACGAAGAATATCAAAAATAGCCTTACCACCACTTTGACCTGGATAACCACCCCAAAGAAGAGAATTGACATTGTTATTGGTCTTCAAAGCAGTATCATCAACTTGACCACCACCCATTTGTAAGACTACTAATGGTTTACCAAGAGCAGATAATTGAGAAATTAAATCTAATTGATTACCTGGCCAGACAATAGTTTCTCTATCCATAGCTTCAGCTTCAATAGTTTCATCAATACCACCAATATAAACAATAGCATCAGCATCTTTAGCATTAGCAAGAGCAGCAGCATATCCATCTGTAGAAGTAGTATTAATTTGAGTACCAATAGTGTAAGTGACTTCATAACCAGCTTGTTGAGCACCTTGAACTGGAGAAATTAAATATGGAGCTACACCAGCATAATTACCTTGCATTTGAGTGGTAGCATTAGCCCATGGACCAATTAAAGCTAATTTTTTAACTGATTTAGCAAATGGTAAAGTACCATCATTCTTTAAAAGAGTGATACCTTCAACAGCAGCTTGATAAGCTAAGGTTTCAGCATATGGAGTGCTAACATCATTCCATCCTAAGTATCTGTATGGTTGAGTTTGAGCAGGATCGAAATAACCTAATCTAATCAAAGTAGCATATTGATGAGTTAAAGCGGTTTGTAATTCTTGTTCAGTAACAGTACCATTACTATAAGCTTCACCTAAGTATAATTGATAAGTGTTACCACAATTAACATCAACACCGGCTTTTAAAGCGGCAGCGGCAGCACCAGCTGGTGTATCAGCATAATAATGAGGATTCCAAATATTGTAAATAGCATCACAATCAGAAACGATAACACCTTCACCTAAACCATAATAATCTCTAATAACATTTTGTAAGAATGGTTGATTGGCACAAGATGGAACACCATTAACAGCATTATAAGAACACATAGTACTGGCAACATTTGCATCTCTAACACAACTTTGGAATGGAACAAGATAGAAATCAGCAATATCTTGATCAGGAATAATAGCATCATAACCCAATCTTGAATGACCTTCCCAACTTTCAATATCATAACCGAAGAAATGTTTACAAGTAGCAGCAACTTTAAGACTTTGTTGACCAATTCCACCTTGTAAACCATTAATTAAATTATAGACATATTGAGCAATTCTATAAGGATCTTCACCTGGAGTTTCTTGTCCTCTACCCCATCTTTGATCTCTGAATGGATTAATATTTGGAGTCCAATAATCTAAACCTGATCTACCATGGTTATTAAAAGCTCTACCTTCAGTTGAAATAGTACTGGCAACTTGATAAATTAATGGATCATCAAAACCAGCACTCATTAAAATTGGTTGAGGGAAAGAAGTTGAATAAATAAATTCACCATTTGCAGCATATTGAAGACCTGGAGAAGACGCAATACCATGAAGACCTTCAGTCCACCATTGATAAGCTGGAATACCTAATCTTGGAACCCCTGGGGAAGTATTACCAGTATTATTATATAATTCTTCAACGGTAAATTCACTAATTAAAGCTTTAGCACGATCTAAATAATTAGCAGCAGGGTTACACACTAAATTATTCTTTAATGGACCATTTTGACAATCTGGGAAAGTATAATTAACAGGTTGGAAAGTTATAGCTGGTAATTGAGGATTGGCATCAGTAGTATAATCTGGAGAAGCAGGGAATGCTTCAGCATTAACTAATGCAATTATAATTGAAATCGCAGTCAAAAGATCAAAAATCATTTTTTCTTTTGTTTGTTTTTTGCAGTAATAAAAAAGAAGTATAATAACTTTTAAAAATTCTTCAACATGTCGGAGAAGTTACATGCTTTATATATTAAACTTTTTTTAAAAAAACAATAGTGGTGCCCTATGGTTATGATTATCGACTGGGTAATTATTGTTTTCATCAGATGTTTCATTGTTGAAGATAATTTACGGGATCGAGTTTATCAATTGATGAATGAAAATTAGACAAAGAGAACTTGGTGCCTAAGGAGTATCCGACAAGAGTGGAGTAAAATCGAATATGTAATTGTTTCAGTTTTATTGACCCAACAACAATGAAAGAAGAAAGATCATGTTGATGGTTGAGACGGAAATGGAAAGTAGAGTGTGTTTTATTAGTAATATGATCAGTGGTTTAACCAATAGAAAGTATTACCGTATATTCGAGTCTACAACAATAGGTGCAAAAATACATAACAAGATGAAAAATAAAAGTGAATAAGAACCCCATGATTAATTTTGAAAATTTTTCCGTTATTTACCAACTTGATAGTAACCTTACAAGTTAATATGTGTAAATAAATATTATTACACCCCACAAAATTCTGCATTGTTACAGAAAGAATGTTGTGAATTCTACAGTTATTACATTTATTCTAAGGGTACAGTAAGGGCGGACCAATAACAAAAAAAGGAGTACTTTCAAAATCAAAGCATGATAGTGTTATTAAAGCTCAACAATAAGCGCAATGTTATACCCATATAAAATCAGACACCACATAAAAAATATTGAAACTAAAGATGGGGTAATGAGTGTACAAAAACGCACAGTAACCAACTTTCCCAGATTCTTTTCCATATTGATATTTTGTTAACTAACTGTTTTCTATTGCAAAGATTACTTAATTTTCCATTCCTATTGTTCCAAATACCTAATATACATTCTACACCAAAAAATTTAGCCTCGAGCTTCCGCGCAATTGAATAAGCCAATTCCGCGATATTCTGTATTTTGAATATAGCGACAAATAACAACAACAACAACATTTATTATTATTATTATTATCATGTTCAATTCGGGTTAGAAGTTATTGTTATGAGTTATTATTATTGCTATGGTTGAACGTTTTTGGCCATATTTATAATGGTTCGAGGTTTTAAAGCGTACCTTGGTTGATAAAAGCCATCTTGATAATAGGCAAAAATTTGGTTTTAGTTAAAAAATATGAATAATTATTTTAACCTGATCATAGTGTGATTGTAAGGATCTGTCCATATTGTATGATATTGATTAAAATGAATGTAAAACTTCAGCCATGAACTAGAATGTTTCTGTTATTATTAATATGAGTGAAAAAAATAAGGTACAGAATTAGTGTCAAAAAGTAAAGTAAGGGGAAAAAATAATTAAAATTAAAGCCAGACAAATAAAACAAAGCAATTAATTAATTAATTAATTAATTAACTTTAGTGGGGGATCATTTCTAGTCATTCATTCTATAATCATTCCATCAATTGACAATTGGTCATACTCTTACAATCAAGTGGCAACATTACATACGGTAACCAATTAAATGAAGATATATATACAAATACACCCCAGGAATAAAAAGGGGGCGTGTCTTTAGGTACGGAGAAATAAACTAAACTAAACTAAACCAAAAGAAGTCATTCCTTCCCTTCTCGAAGCTAAATTCAGAATAGACACATACTTGACTAAGTGTAATTATTATGATGGGTAAATATGTCAATTTCGATTTTTCCACGACCGGACAAAACATAATAAATACCCACCAAATCAATTCTTGTTCCCCCACCATTCGCAAAAAAGGGATTTGAAAAATAAACAAGAGGGGGGAGTGGAGATAGGTTTGATGTACATAATTAGACCATAAAGGTTATTAACATTTATTTGTCATATAAATTTGTCTAAATTATTAACAAGCAAGGAAGGTCGAATTCAATAATTCAATAATTCTTCATGCATAGTTAGGAGTGAAAAGAGTTTTTTTATTCCAGCTTTTGGTTTCAGCTTATTTATGACCTAATTAGAAATTTGTCTTGGGTTAACATTACGACATAGCAATAATATTTGATATTATAGTAGATGTCAATTAATCTAATTAACCCCATTTTTTCGGACCGTAATCGTTGTCGGTGTTATTAACAATCTTGTCGAAAATATATGACAATTGAATTTTGTTGATTTAATTATTGCGGAAATTACATTCAACGAATAGACTTATATAGTTTAAAGTTTAAAGATATATAGATTTTGATAATATTTTTTTGAAAAGTTATACCAAGAAGATTACTAATCGTTGAGGAAAGTCTATCCCAATTTACTGTTGTCAATTTGAGTGTACTATTAATGAAGAGTTTATTCGCCATATTATTAATTTTAACGCAAATTTGCTTATTCTTGAAAAGTATCACCTTATAATAATCAATTGACTGGAACTGCAACCTTTTAACCATTCAAATATGTTAGAAAATAACTATCAACTTATGTTTATGGTGTTTTATAAACTCTGATAGGTTGCTGCAAAAATTGATTCAAAATAGATTGATCAGACAAATCTGGCGCCCAGAAAAAACATGACAGACAAAAAGTGTCAAAAAAGGCTAGACACAAATAGACACAGATATTTATATATTGAACCATCCTCTTAAACGCATACATAGTCTACTTAATGATACACATATGATAATCATGGAACTATGATTTATCGATGTGGTTTAATTTATCTTCATATTTAACGGTTCTACCATGATCGGGAACAATTTGTGCCGACATTAAACACTTTATATCGTGAATCTTACATTATGTTTTCTTTATTTTGATTTTCAACTCATTGAAAACTTATGTAGTAAAGAATAACTATATATGAAAATCTCTGTATATCATAAACACCTTTAGCTTTGCACCGATATTAGCAATCTATTTTGATCGAATATAAGTCGGCCAGAAAATCGCGGCACATAAAACTCTACATTTTTTTGTGTGAGGTAGTGAAAGCGGTTATTAACGGTAATGTGAAGTAGATCAAATTATTGAGGTTTATCATATTTTAATACCAAATTTGGCAAACCACCTAACCATTAGTGAGATATTTTCTTATGATAACTTCTGTTCTGATCCGGCAAGTTGTGTTCATGACTTGCTGAGTAGGTTATGTGATTTATAAGTTTTTGTCTCGTACGTCTTGGCCTAGAACCTTCATGCGATGTAGCAAGTGAGTAAAAATATAATGTATGTATGTATGTACAAACATTTACGTAAAAGCAAGAAAGCAATGAATGAATGAAGTTGCTAAAATTGCATTAACTTCGATGAAGCCCATTCGGGTTATTCTGTCAAGAAATAGAAGTCATAGAGAGAAATTTATACCTCATATTGTAATAACCTGTAATTATATATTATTTTTAGAAAGTTTTGACGAATAATGTATGAAATGGTATGGATGGAAATTAGCCGTGTAGAATAAATTAGAAATAAATTAGACAAACTATACATTTTCTTGGTACCCGTTAGCTCCAGTGCATAAGGATAGATATGATGATGATGATGATAGCCTTTCCAAAAGTGGACCAGGCCGAAATTGAAATTAAAAAATGTGGTTCATTTCCCAAAGCAAGCAAGTGAACGAAAGAAGCAAATTAATAGAAGGGTGAGTGATATTGGTTAGATTGCTTCTTTCATCGAATCCCTATCTCATGTCCTGTTTAATCGGTTTTAAATAAATATCAAAGAAGGTGTATTTGTAATTGAATTATTAATTAAACGATTAATAATAATTAGAACAAGGGAGAAAGTTGTGTGCAAAAAAAGAAACTTTTATGGAAGTTACGCATCCATCAAAATTCAGAAATAAAAATATTATCTACAAAGACCGTTGAGAGAAAGAAAGAACTAAAGAAAGAAAGAAAAAGAAAAGGTTAACCTTCTTAAATTGGTAATTGATACTGATAGGTAATTGAAAAAAATCACCGATAATAAGGAGAGGGTTTATACAGTATTCAATCATTACAGTTTATGGTTCCGGGGAATACACTGAGTGAGTTCTTTTTTTGGATATATACACTCCTCCAGTGATTATCTTAAAAATCGCGGTTAATAAAACAATTTAAAATGCGAGATTCAATTCAAAGTCCATTCTGTCCTGCATAATAAATATGATAGGGCTTTCAAAAAATGAAGTATGGAGAATTAGTGTGGGATGCATGAGGTACCATTCATGAATTAAAACTCTCCATCCTTCAATACCCGTGATCATACTCCTATTCATATTGTTTTAGCCAATCTCATCTTATACAATACCCTTTACCTCCTACATATGATTGAATGAACAATAACATTAAGATTTTCAAAAATGGTTTTACAGTTTACGTTCCAGCCGTAAAGTAAACTCAATTACAAAAAAAGAAATTTTTAAGCTATGTCTGAAAGGCTGTAACAAATTTTATTAAGTTACGCTTATGTAATCGCTAGTTAAACTAAACCAAGACCACCAAAAAAAAAAGAATGAGGAATGGAGTTTATGGAGATAAAAAAGCCGATTTCCTAATTAGGAACCTACGGCCGTCCGCATACCCTCACGGACGAGAAGGGACATAGATGGATTCAAAATTAAATAGTTTGTTTGATACAGGGCTGTATCTATCTAATTAGGGTATGGCTGGGTTATATACTATTCTAGGCTATGAAATTGAAATTGAAATTGGAAGGGCGAAGTTGGTAAACAACATTATTACGAAAGAGGAGATTTCTATGATTAGTTTGATGTTTACATATTGGTATAGCCCAATATAGTACGTCCACCTCCTATGTTTTAAGTAAGACCATATGATTATTATTATTTGATTGCTGATATAATCGCATGTTTAACCAAATTGGAAGTAACTTATTCAAAGCCATAGTGGAATAGTATAAGTCGAAACTTTAACATACCAGAGTGGCTGATGAAAAGGGAATAGAAATTAATCGGATCGAGAAAAGAACAAGAACTAAAATAGGAAAAAAAAAAAGGTAATTAAAAAATGAATCGGGTGTAATTAAAGAGTAAAATAAATTTATATCTTCCATAACCGAAAAAAAGTTGATTTTACGTAAAAGTGGTAATTAATAGTTAAATAATATTTTTATAAACATATGTTGTTTAGAAATTAAATAGGATGGTTTTTATGTAAGTGAATAAAGTGAGTGTCTTATATGATATGATATAGAGGGGGGAAATGATATGATATGATATGTGGGTAGAGTAGTATGGGGAGGGGGGTAGAAGTAGATACTATCAATATCAACAATTATCGTAACATAACATATGTATGTTGTTATGTTATGATACCTAACAGTTAACGTACAAGGTATATATTAAAAAAATCCGGGGTATGAGTGGTTGTACTTAATTAGCGCTTAGTCATAAAATCAGAAAAAGAAATTTTTAGTGATGGTTAGTAAAATATTATTTTTTTTTTTAGTGAGAGAACTCACCCTTTACCGACTTTTTCTTTGTTCCCTTTAAGCTGATGAGTAATAAATAAATTGATGATGATGATTAATTAATTTTGGTTTGTCATAAAATTCTAATTAGTCAGAGAAAGAAAGTATATAGTGAATTTTAATGTATTGTTTGTTTTAATGGACATGTGTAAACCTGTGGAGATTACATTTGTGGAGTTGATACTTTCAAGGGGTAAGTAAACCTATAGTATAGTATAGTATGATATGATATGATATGATATGATATTAACTAAGTGTGGTATGGATATTATGGAAACAAACATCTGATTTCATTTCCCTCAGTTCAGTTAATGCAATAGAACAACACAAACTGTAAATTAACCAAACTGTAACAACGTAGAAACTGTAAAAAAACCATAAAAAATAAAATAAAAAATAAAAAATAAATTGCTTTATTACCGGCCGAGAGAATTGTTGAAAGTCCGATTTATTTTATGGTTTGAAATGTGATTATTAACAGGCGCGGGAATGACAAATTGGTTCAAAAACTTTAAAAAAACGGTTTATGACTATTATTCCAAAAAAAGAATATAAATATATCATGAAATAACTTTTATTTTCATCAATCCCATTTTCATATTTATTTATTTTATCTTATCAATAACAACTAATAACTTCTCATAGTATCTCATTACTACTAACAACTACTACTACTACACAATGTCTACTTTAACCTTTGCTCAAAGTTATATACTTGCTTCTAAAGTAAGATCAAAGTTAACTAAAGAAGCTGCTAATCCAAAATCGTCATTAAGAAATTTAGTGATTCAAGCTAATATGTTGGATAATCTTATGGATTATATCACTGAAGAAACTGAAAAAAGATCAAAAACTTCTACTGTTAAATTTGATGTTTCAAAACCAAGAACTATTAATACTACTACTTCTCGTCAGGCAAGTACTTTAGTTAAAGAAATTGAACTTGATGAAGATGATTCAGATGAAGATGTCGATGATGATGATTATGATGAAGTTAGTTCATCTGATGATGATTACTATTACTATTCTGATGAAGAAGAACCAGAAGAAGAATTAAAAGCTCTTGCCACAGAAGTTGTTATTTCAAATTCATCATCATATAAACAATTACCATATATTAATTTATCATTATCAAATATTCCAGAAGAAGATCAAGAAGATCAAGATTATACTTATCAATCCCATGAAGTTCCAGAATTATCCCATTCAAGAAGTTTAAGTGAAAGTGAAGAAAGTGAAGATAGTGAATCTGATGAAGAACATCCTCATTTCTTATTAGAACCAAGATTTAATCTTGATTCTAAAAAATCTAAACAACATCAACAACAACAACCTTCTCAAGTTTCAATCTTTACTTTCAATCATCCTACAAGTCATCAAAGAACTCCAGCTATTTACTCTATAGAGTCTGTCTTTTAAACAGTTTATGACTTTTGTTGATGATTTTACGATAATTTATTTTCTTTGGGGGTTTGGGTTTTTTACTTGTATATACTATTATTCTAGAGTTTCATTCATTTTATTTCAGTTCTTTACATTATTTATTAAATATAGATTATAATACATTAATTTAACAATTATAAAACAGAATAACTTGTAAAACATCTTGTAAACATCGATACTTGTAAACATCGATATAAACAACGTAGAAGCGTGTAGTACGTTAAACTTAAAATCTGGAGTTATTTCCATATTATTTCCATCGGTTATAAGACGCAGAAAAGAAAAACAGAAAAAATTTATAAGCGCACTTTGATTTCGCAGCAAAGCAAATTTTCGGTGAATATTTTCGGATCGGTAATTATTATTATAATTTGTCATAACTATTTTTTTTGACATATATCCAGACTTTCACTTTCACTATCACTTTCAACTTCCCTTTTTATACCGACCGATCAACGGCTAACTTTTGAGGAAAGAGGGAGTTAACTTGCTTATGCTTTTTCTTTTGCTACTTGCTACCGTTGCTTTATTCCTATTTAAGGTTAGACCTATATGTATGTAGGGGAGATCTTAACTTGCTTACACGGTTCGGTCATAATTCTGTTTATGAATAGTTCTGGAGGATTTATTTTCTAATTATTTCCTTTGCTTTCCTTTCCTAACGATCCCTAAGTTTAAAAGCCTAGTCATGCTTTATTGAAGTTTTTCGGTGACAGATTTAATTTTATTATTTTATTTTATGATCGTTTTATACATTAGTGGGGTACGTGACAATTTTTTTACACTTTACCTTTTGAATTTGAATGGTGGAGTAAGAGGAAGGTATATGACGTCTCGGAGTTTTTACATATTTAGTAATCATAAATGATCGAATCGATCGATCGATCGATTTTAATCGATTAAAAAGTTCTATTAATTTATTAAATGTAAGTTAAACTGTATATACATATGATGCTGTTACCCCGGACAAATATTTTCATTTCACAATTGATTTATACCATTTTTAACTTCTTCAACTTCTTCATCATCATCATTATCAACGACTTCACCTTCAACTTCCACATCATCAGTTTCATTAGCTAAACCTTGTTCAAAGATTTGTTTACCACTTAATTTCCCATTATGCATTTTATCAAATTTTAATTGATATAAATTATCAATTTTCATTTCTTTTCTAAATTTTAATCTCCATTCATTAAAATTTTCAGGTGTTAATTTGGTACCTTGGAATTTTTGTTGTTCAATTTTTTCAATTTCTAATTGTTTTAATTCATATTGATTCGTTTTTAATTGTAATTTTTCTTGCCATTTAAGTTCAATATCTTCTTTTAATTGAGATACTAATGAGAAAACCATTGGAATTCCAATTTGTTCTTCAGAAAATTCCACTAATGAAGCTTTTAAACTTGAAAGATCATCTCTGGTGAATTCAATCGTTTCAGCAAAATCAATCAATTTCTCTTCTCCATCATCACTATCATCACTATCATATCCTCCTTCTTCTTCTTCATCATCACTATCATCCTGCGGTATTTCAAGACTAATAAGGGGAATCTCATTAGGATATTCTGATGGATACTCTATGGTAATTAAAATTCGATAATGTCGAGTCTTACTTGTAGTATCTAAATTTATAAGTATGGAGAATTTAGTAGTAGGATCTTCATTGATTAAAGTTAATTCATCAGGATAAATCGATTGTAACACTTCGATCTCTTGTATTTGTTCTTCTAATGGATCCATTTTGTCGTATATAAGGTTCTATGAGTATTGATCTGATTGATTTATAACTAAATGGGTTTCTCTTCGATGAATGTAAAAATAATTTTTCTTTTTTTTATCGTTGGTACAGGGTAGAAAATGTCGCATCAACATATAAAAGATGTCGTGTACTTTATATATGTCTAAATCTATTTTAAGGCACGCGACATTACTTAGAGAGAGAGGAAAAAAAAAAGGGAATAAACCCAAACAAATATCGTAAATACATAGAATGTTATAATAAATAGTCTAATAATTTATCCAACCAAAGACTTTCACGTCTTTACCTTATTACATTACGGTCTACACCATACACCAGACCAACACAGTAGAAGAAGAAGATCAGACATACCTTAGGAGAATGGAAGGGGATCAACCGACTAAATTGGATGATTATCTGATAACTTCTGATTTAAATGATAATAAACAATCACTTGAACAAGATCCAGAAAATATCATAACATCATCAATCATACCTACAACTTCAACTATCAAGAAGAAAACGATAGGGAGGAAACAGTTAAAGAAAGCTAGGAAATATAAAAGTTATTATTTACTTAGTTCTAATATTAAAGATTTTGGATATGAGAATTCTCATCCTTTACATACTGCTGATTTTGAGAATTATATTCCAAATTATATACCCAATGATGATCCTTATGATTATGATTATGATTACACCCATGCTGAAGATGATGATGATGATGACGACGACGATGATGACGACGACGATGACGATGATGATGAGGATGATGGCGATTTTTATGACGCGGAATATATCAATGATGGAAGTATAAGGCGACATCCCGATAATGATGAAGATGGAGACGAAGATGAACAACAAAATGAAGGAACGGTTCAATCTACTCCTGATGAAATCAATTGTAAAGCGAGAGCATTATTCAATTTTGATCCTGAAAATGATAATGAAATTAAATTAATTGAAGGACAAATCATTTGGATAAGTTATCGACATGGTCATGGATGGTTAGTAGCTGAAGATCCATCCAGTGGTGAGAATGGATTGGTTCCAGAAGAGTATGTTGAATTATTATTAGAAGAGGAAGATGAACCAAAGAGATTTTTACCTGATATTTTAAATAATTTACATGAAGAAGTAGAAGTAGAAGGAGATGAAGAATGGGTTGATACAGAAGATGATGATGAGGAAGTAGAAGGTGAAGTGAATGAGCATGACTTGACTCAACCTATGAAAGATGTTTCTCTTTCATAAAAATCATAATGTATAATACTTAATAGTTAACAAAATTATTTATTGTAGATACTTCAGTAAAAAAAATACTAGTTTAGTGAGAAATAATGATCTTCACTACAAAAAAAAAATAAACTATCAAAAGCAGCCAAAACTAAAAGCAACAAACTACTCCATTTAAGTCAGTAATCACCCACCACAGAATATACAGATGAATGACGATGAAGGAAATGAATCAATCATATCAATTCCACAAAGTGATAATATAACCCGTCCCAAATCTCAAGCTTTAACGCGTTCATTCCAAGGTAATCCTCGTTATATAAATTTTTACAATCGATTTGTGATTGAAACATTCCAATCGGATGGGAATTATATAGAGACGAATTTAGAAGGTTCATACATTACTAATGATTCTCAAGTATATTATTATCCTGATGTGCAGGGTGTCGATCATAATGTTGATGTTAATATCCCGGGTTCATATTGGTCACCATCTGAAAAGGAACAATTTTTTAATTTATTAAGTAAATATCTGATTCATAATATTGATATAATAGTTGAAGGAATAACTACCAAGAATAAATTTGAAATTTTGAATTATTATGAATTATTAAAATCAAAATTGAATGATTTGAAAAGAGGAAATCATAAACATAATCATGATGAAAGAATAATGCTTAAATCTTATAAAGTGACGAAAATAATCGATCGATCCACAACAAGATCGAATAATAAACAAACCATAAAGACTTATAAGGTTCATTTCCCACAAGTACCGACTAGAAGACTCATATCGTATCATCTGATCCCAAGTGCTTATGAAGTAAGTGAGGATTTGATTAAATTTGAAGAGAATCAAAGTTTATTAATAAATATCAAAGAGAAGAAGAAAATCAATGATGAGAATAGAAGATATAAGAGGAATTTCAACATGTATGTTGATTCAGAAGAAGAAGAAGAAGAAGGAGGATTATTCAATATTGAAATGATGAATCAAATATTTGATAAAATTTATCGAAATCAAACTATACTTGAGACGTCTAATGATAAAGTTTCATTAGGGTTCACATCCTATGTTTTATTAGAAGAGATTATCAAGACTTTAATAAGGAAGATTATGATTAATATTATTAATAGTAGTGGCCATGAAAGGGAAATCACGGTTAACGATGTATTTGAATCGATAATAAAACTTAATATTGCTGATGAAAAGATTAATAAATTCCATTATTGGCAAGGGATTATTGAAAGATTATTACCGATTGTATCTGTGAATGAACCAGGTATAAAGGGAGACTTCTGGAATCAATACCCGGATGAAATAGTATCATCGTTCTTAATTTATGGTATGTCTCATCAAACTTATTTCGAATCATTTATGAATAAAGATACCGGAGATATCTTCACTTCAACGAACCCTATAGATAAATTCCTAGAGAAGAAACCCATCGCTAAGATTAATCATAATAAAATCAACGTTAAGGATGAAAATGATCCTGATGAAAGTTTTCATATTTCGGAATTAAACCAATCCAATTTCAAACGAAGGAGATTAAATAAACGAAATCATAAGGGGATAACTGATCAATTAATTGATCAATATGATAAAGAAATTGAAAAATTTGATTATTATGAAAGTAAAATGTATGAACGAGGATTAATTAGTTATTTAACGGGTAAGAAAGAGAAATCATTAAGTCAAGTTAAAAGTCAATCACAAAGTCAAAGTGTGGATGATGATGAAGAGGAGGTAGTTGACGATGAGGGTTTATTAATTTTACAAGAATGGGAATTACAAGATAGTGAACAGAAGGAAGAAGAAGAATATTTGAATTCATTAAAATTCAAAGGCGGTCCGACTAATATCGAAGAAGAGATAATTGAAAGTAATAAGGAGGCTGAGGCTGAAGAAGTTCCTAATGAAAATGAAAATGAAATTCAACTAGGTGCATCAGAGGGTGTTACAACAGAGGGTGATGGTCAAATCCCATCTAACTCATTATTATATCAAATCCCAATATCATTAAGTAATCGATTTAAATTTGAATTTGCCAATTATACTTATGAAGAAGAGTAAAGACATGAACTTAATTACAAACCATATTTCTAATTAAATGGGGCAAACAATAGCATAAATAGAGCCGTAGGATAGGATAAACACATATATAATGTTTTACTTAATTCAAATATAAAATAGCAAACTATAAACAAATGACAATAATAAGGAAAGTTATGAATGATTAAATTTGTGTAATGAGCGAAATTAAATATGGCTTATCTCAATCCAAGGTATACTACTATATTTAGATATCGTGTGAGATTAAATTAACCCTTTCTGTCGGTTTGACCCCCCTATGACAAAGGTAAGTTAAGGTAAGGTAAGTGACAATAAGTTCATTTTAAATCCCGCTTTACCTACATATCATTCATCTCAATTCCCCACTCTTCACATACATAGCGTTTTCATCTCATTGTATTTTAATTTATTAAAATAATTCGTATTAATTAGGTAAAAATTACACTACATACGATATGTCAATAACCGATGATCTCGAAATAGTGAAAAAAAAAAAGCTTGTCCATATTTGAAACTTAAGTAAAGCCATTTAACTCAATATATGGGGATTGAACAAAGGGTTACAATCCAATGCAAATACTTCTAAATATAATTTAAACTATTTCACAAAAATTAGCAATATTCACTCATTCGTTTTAAATTTCCGTTTTAAGATGATGGGGGAAGAAGAGAAGAAGGAAGAAAAAAAAAAAAATTATATTTTTTACAGCCATACTAATTTATGTTTTGACATAAAATTTCAATTTCACTTTTTATTAAAATTACTTTTTGATGTTACACACATTTTTGTCTATATTTTACCACTTGTTGTTAAATATAATGAAATTGTTATAAATAATAAATCTATCAAGGTTATGATGGAACATGTTGTGATCATAAGATGATTTGACCACTTTTCAAATGAATTAGTCGTAGTAGTAGATACTTGTTGTTGCTCTTTCTCTGTAATCGCTTCCCTTTGAGGTTTATAAAATACTGAATAATCATTAATATTAATCTTATTAAATAATATCATTATAATTTCATACAAGATGAATTTATAAATGATATAAAATTTGAATGAAAAGGATGCAATTTTAAAAATAAAGATTAAATTTGATTTAAGACATGTAAATAATGGATGATTTGATGATAATAATATCAAAGGGAAATTATAATTTATGAATAGAAAGGAATGACTTATGAAAATAGGTAAATAATTATTATTACAATCTGATAAAAATGAATGAATACTTCCTTCTGAATGTTTATAATCAAAGATATTAATGATAAGGATTATATAAGGAAAGATTATTTGAATGATGAGGAATATTTTTAAAGATGTAAAGAATATACTATCGATACTATTCCAATTTAAAAGGGATAAAATATTAAAATTATTATTGAATAAAAGGTTTAAACAAATGATATTTTGAGTAATGAATAAAATGATTTCACAAATCAAGGGGAATCTTATAAAGTATTGGAATCTTATGATGAATAAGATATTAATAAGATTGGAGATGATATCAAAGATATAATCATCAATGAATACAAATGATTGATTGGAAGTAGTAGTGATTAATTGGGAGATTTGAAAGGATTGAATTAATGAGATTGAGATTAAAATGATTAATGAAGTGATGATGGGATTATGAATCGTTTTACAAAGCACTGAATCAATGAATTTGATGTATTTGTTATATATATGACCATGTTGTTGTTGTTGTTCAAGTAAGGATGATTTCTCCAGTATGATGAGATCATGGCCCTCGTGGTTTATTATAGGGATCATATTTGTAGTATTAAATGTAGATGTAGGTATATGTTTGAAGGAATGAATGAAGGAAGGAAATATATATATATATATATATAAATGATCAAGATGAATGGGGGAGTGAATGATTTATATAAAGTTGAAAGAAAGAAAGAAAGATGAAATAGATGAAAATGCCGCTGTAAATTAAACTAAATTAAATAAATAAACTTTAGAGCTTGGGCTTGGCTTTTCAAATAAAATGGTTTGTTAATTTGTGTCTTCAAATTATAGTTTGGGATGAATGGCTGTCTGTCTGTCTGTCTGTCTGTCTGTCTTGAGTTATTTTTAGTAACTGTAACGAGTAAGATGAATCGATGTTACCTAAGCTATATCAAAATATCATAAACGAAGAAGAAAAAGAAGAAGAAGAAGAAGAAGAAGATATTGAATTGTTTATATATACATAGTATGTGTCATAGTGTATGGTAGTTAACTACAACTGAGTGATGAAATCCCACACGTTTATGATGTTACAAACTATAGACAATATTAACTATGACTTTTAACTATATAATTATCACACTATATTAACTATGGGTTATATACAGGAAACAATAACACACACGTTTATTCTAATTATGAAATCATGAGATTTACAATATTAACTAAAAGTCATGTGATGTATCATGTGAATTCATTCATGTGACTTGAGATCATTTACCATTCAACATCCATCCATACCTCAAACATCCATACCTAGAAAATACCTACACCCCTTCCCCTTTCAACTCCATCCATCCATTCACTCCACTCCACCCTCATCCATCCAACCCAACTTTACTAATTAAACATATAAATTCATATATTTGTAAAACTTATTTAAATAACTAATCTTTTTTTGTAACTTTATCATTATAATAAATCAATTCAAAAAAAATCAAACTACATAAATCAATTGATACCAATTGAATGAATCAAAATTAATTAATCAAAATTAATTAATTTATAATTCACCAGAAGCTTCAATAACAATTTTAGCACTAGTAGCACCACTGTTAGAACCATAAGATTCAACCTTCTTGACAACATCGTAACCTTCAACAACTTCACCAAAGACAACATGTTTACCATCTAACCATGGAGTAGCAACAGTAGTAATGAAAAATTGTGATCCATTAGTATTTGGACCAGCATTAGCCATTGATAATAAACCAGGTTTTTCATGTCTCTTGACAAAGTTTTCATCAGCAAATTTTTCACCATAGATGGATTTACCTCCAGTACCATTACCTCTAGTGAAATCACCACCTTGTAACATGAATTGAGGAATAACTCTATGGAATGAAGATCCAGCGAAACCAAAACCTTTTTCACCAGTAGCTAAAGCTCTGAAATTTTCAGTAGTCTTTGGAACAACATCATTATATAATTTAAAGGTAACTCTACCTAATTTTTGGCCATTGGCAGCAATATCAAAATAAACTTTAGACATATTGGAAAGATAATAAGATCAATTGATGAACTAAGTAAATAAAACAAAAGAATGGCAAATGTAAAACTCAACAAATCAGTGGAAATTGCCAATTATATATATATACGTAATAAATTTTTTTTTCTTACTTAGTTAGCAGTGGTTCAACAACGTTTAATTTTGTGTCATTTTTAGATGGCCATGCCTTTAATTAAATTGATCACAGGGACACGACTGGCTTTGGGGGGTTAAGTAACAGAATAGAACTTTATAGAACTTTACACAAAATAAAGGTTACACACAGGAGTCTAGAATTCAGTGTATATACTATATACTATATGATAAATACTACTATATATATCTATGGAATAACTCTATAATCTAGAGGATAATACAGCATCTAATCCACTATACTTAACTCCTCTTTCAACTTCAACTCCAACATATTCCACCGTTTGACTCGTTTGATCAATGATTAAGGCATATCTTTGAGTTCTACCCGTTTCAGTATTTAACAATCCAATTGATTTACTGAAAGTACCATCACTAACAAAATAAACATGAGGAATCTCAGGTTCATCTTTATTAGTAATATTTTGTTGTAATAATAATTTCCCCCAAGCATTTAAAACAAAAGCATCATTAAAGGCAACAATTAATAAATTAGTAATTCCTAATTTGGTTTTTAATTCTTTTAAATTCTTTAAATATGGTGGAATATGATTCTCAGTACAAGTTGGTGTGAAAGCTCCTGGAACAGCAACAATTAGAACTTTCCCCTTTGATTCAAATAATTTATTTAATTTTAAACTAATTGGTCTTTGACAACTTAACGCACTTAATGTTTCTAATTGAGAAATATCAATAGGAATATATTGGAATTCAATATCTTGAGGGATTTTATCCCCTTTAGCAATTTGTGACATGTCTGTTAGTAGTTGTTAATAGTAGTATTGACTGACAATTGATCAACAGAAGAAAGAAAGAAAAAGTTGTAGTTATATAATTGTTGATAAAATATTTATAAAATGGAAATTACCGAACAAAATTAAATTTCAAATTGTGGAGTCTTTTTAAATCATTTTATTTTATTTGTAGTCATGTGACATGTCATGTGATTAATTAAAGTTGCGAAAAAATGAGATTTTGTAACTTTCTATGAAATTCAAAAATTAATTAAAGATATTTTTAAAATAATACTTATAACTTTACTTTTCATCAAGACTCTTGCACGAGAAGAAGGAAATAGTTTTGTGAATTCGAATTGACAATTTAGACTAACATTTCCAATCATATTTAGGTATCTTACTTACTTCAAATTGACAAAAAACATGAAGTGTCCAAAAAATTTAATCATCTGTTTATATTTAGGAATCAAATGCTAACTAGTCAACCTTAATCCGTCTCTAATTTTAATTGTACTCTCTTAATAACAAATGTATAAAATTTAAATCTTTTAAGTTTTTAAATTGTTCTTGTAGTTTGTAATATATGATCATTTAAATTTTAACCGCTATAATAAATTTAAAATGATATAAATTGAAATAAAATGGTTAAGTATATTTAAATTTAATATTCTTTCTTTCTTTGTTATTGAAGCTGTATACATATACCAGAATTATTATGTATTTATCTACATAACATTAGACCTATTTAAGAATCAAAATACTAATCAATGTCTAGGAATTAGTATGATTGTAACTTTACCTCTGTTGACAGGAATGAGAATTTAATGTATTAAACTTTTGTATATTCTTTGAATTTTACAAGATTGTAGATTGTAGTGGTTTTTAAATTTTTAACCGCCAATATCTAAAGATTAACATATCTATTTAGGGGTGTCTTATTGATTTTTGCAGTAGCTTTTAAGTTTAATAACTGTGTGGTAGCCGATAGCTAAAGAAGGAATAATTTGAAAGTATTTTCCAGTTTAATAAAGATTTATATCTATTTAGGAATCAAATATTAACTACACATTAATGAAAGTATTTCAATTCATTAAATAAAATACCTGCTTATCATGGAATAAATAGTATATTGAATTTGTATATCATAAACGTTTTAAAATCTTATAGTATGTAATTATAAAATGTAAATATATTAAAAGTTTAAAAAAGGTTAACCGCCCTGTAAACACGATATAAATTGAAAAAAGATATTTCAACTTTCAAACATTTAAATATATATCTTCCTTTCCTTTCTTTTCTTTTCAACAGACCATTCAATTTGATTCTTTGGAATCAGATTTTAACATATCTATTTAGGAATCTTATTGATATCGATACTTACAAAGGTTTAGAGAGGATAAAAGATTTAAAAACAAAGGAACATTGAATGAAAATTAAAGATTACTAAGTTGGATTGGTATTTTTTTTATATTTTTTTCAAGCTTGACAAACGATTAATAACTATCTAGGAATTATATTTATTTATGAATCAAATTATGCTGATAATAAATGATGAATGCAATCATATCGTGGTGTTATAATATTGAATATATTTGTTTTTTGTATATGTTAAATTCTTAAGAAATATTGTAGAATGTAAATATATAACCGCCAGCCCCAATTATTCATAACTAGATTTAAATTTAAATTGAAAAATAAAATTTTAATTTAATTATTTATCTTCTTTTCATATTATCATGTATTCATTGATATAGATCGTGACAACTAAGATGTGATAAAAATCATTTCTATTTAGGAATATCATTCAGATAACTACTTACAAAATATATAGAAATTATTCTTGAAGGGAGTACCCAGTTCATTGTCGTTTTAATTAAATTTAATAAAAGACTAATTAATATTAAGCTATCAGGCTTAACAAACTTTTCTATTTAGGAATCAAATATTAATAGGTAATAGTTTTGGTTAGGATTAGCTTCTCTTAAATTGACTTCCCCAAATGTACAGAATTATGTATATCTTTAAACTTTTAACACTCTTGTAGAATGTAGTCTTTTAAACTATTCAATTATAATTCTTTCAATTATAAAAAGTTTAGCCGCCATCCATAAATATGATTTAAATTGAAAAATATGTTTGAAATTTTAACACATCTTTCTTTCTTTCTTTTTAGTTATTGACTTCTTTATGGATCTTTTTATTATTATTCGAGTTAACTTGTTTAAGATTTATTTAAGATTTATTTATACTAACTTTATGATTGAAAATGTATCATTCAATTCTAAATCACAGCTTTAACCATCTATTAAATTTATTTTATTGTGCTTAACATCAGTATTAATTGATTAATATTTAAAGTTATTTAGGTCATCATTACTTACCAATAGCTAGTTTTATCACTGTTCACGTAAGACAAGTCAAATATCGTAGGGATGTTGAATGTATATGAATTTTGTTATATTTAAAATTATATATATAATCTTTGTAAATTTATATTAACCACTATAAAATCTAATAAAATATATTTAAAGAAATTAATCTTTTAATACATCTTTCTTCCTTAAGTAGGAGTGTTAATCTGTTAATTAATTGTTTATGATTACTTTTATCATATATTAAACTATTTAGGATATTTACTAACCATGTCTAGAAAGTCTAATTGATATCACCTTTTAAATTAAAAAAGCTATCAACGCCTGAGAAAATGGGAGACTTGTATTGAATTGAATGTATATTACTTGAGTATATTTTATATAATTAATATTTAATTTGTAGAATTATATAATTTAACCGCTATTAAAAAATATAAAATAATATTTTAATTTAATTTAATTATATATATATATATTCTTTCTTCTTATTATGGATCTTAGGACCTCCCTGATTGATATTGTTTTCATTTTCAAACTTTATTTAGGTTATCATCATTACTTACCTATAGCTAATTTCGTTCCTGATAGGTCTAAATTGGTGATAATACTATTAAATGTATAAGAATTTTGTTATATTTAAAACTTATTCTTTCTTCTGTAAGGATTTTTCACGAAACTTTTATTCTTAATTGTGATGTCTTTATGCTTTATTTTTATTTAGGTATTTGATTATTACTTACAAACAGGATGTTGAAAATTGAAGATTTTTTGAAACAATGCTAATTTAGTTCTATTTAGGTATTCCGTTTGTACTAATTTTTAGTTCAATCTTTAGAAGTCATTAGAATAAACCAATGTTCTGTTAAATGTATAACACTTTTTGTATATTATAAATTTATCTATTATTTAATATAGTTTTGTAAAAAACAGTTGTTCTATCCCTTGAAATTATTTAATTCATAAAAGAAAATTTATAATATATTTAACTTCTACTTAAGCAGGTTCCTCTACGCTGGATACATAATATCACACATCCTTATTATTATTCTATTTAGGTACTTTTACTAACCACTTCTAGAATGATAATGAACTTAATAAGTATGAAGATAATGAACTTTGCTTATACATTTATTTAGGCGTTAAATCGATTATTAACTTTAGAGCTTTGACACTGTTATGACTGAAGTACTTTTCTTTTATGTTCAATCATTTTATAATATAAATTGTTTAATATTTACTAAAGAGTTTATTGTAGTTTGATTAAATATGTAATATTAGAAATTACCCGCTTTAAAATCGGTTGGTTATAAAATGATTTAAATTTGAATATATATATATAACGTACTATGGTATACTCTTTCTTTCTTATCAATTTAAGATTTGTTGATTTTTTATGTCTATTTAGGAACTACTTAACTATTGCATCTGTCATGGTCATTGAATAGGAATTAATGTCTCTACATTCTGTCACAGATTAGAATCAGCAGCAATGTTTCAATAATTCTATTTCTTATGTAGGTTTTTACTTTAATTAACTTGGTTATTATTTAGCCTATTAATTTACTATGTTATAAGTGGTATTCATTTCCAAACATTTTATACTGTAATATACCCCTTTTATAAATTGTAACTGTTTAATGTAGAGATTGTAAAATGTTTTGATGTTTGACCCTCAGGGATAAATAATATTTAAAATAAATTATTTCTACAAATTAATCCAACTTTTCTTCACTTCAATCTGAATGCAACTAACATCATATAGATATTATTTAGGATAATTGTTCATTATTACTTACGAATCGTATGGTTGAATTTGATTTTATTAATTTGATTAGGAGACTTTTTCTACTTTAGTTTATCCAAGTAGAAGTCTCATTTAATGTATATAAAGCTTCATTTAATTATCTTACTTTTTGTAGTACAGTTAACCGCCTTGTAATAAATACATTTGAAATATAAATATTAATCAACCAAAATAGAAATTATTTTATTAAAACTTCTTCTTTCTTGTTTAGCTATTGTTCTAGTAAATTGAAAGAAGCAAATAACCATCAGTCTAGTTTAATATCTATTTAGGTATCCTATTTTACTAACTTTAGATATGAAGTCGTCAGACAATCACAATGGGGTCTTTTATTATTCAGGAAATGTATAAACTAATTTGTATATTATAAGTTATATAATACTTTATGTAGATTTTGTAAAATAACGTATATTTGAATTAGCCGCTAGATATTGATTTAAATACAAAGAAAAAAACAGTAAATTAAAAATTTTACAATTATATCTATCTTCTTTCTTTCTACAAATGTGTTTAATGTATTATTATTAATTTTCAATTTTTTTAGTGTTGGGTATAACATTCTATTTAGGTACTTTCTTTATTAATACTAGCAATTCGTCCATCTATTATATAGTCTAAATGGTTAAAACAAAGTCAGTTTGTTTAATAACATCAAAAGTTATTTAGGTATTAAAATTGATTATTAACTTTAGCATAAATCCCTGATCTTTCTGATCTAATAGCAGCATAAATAATAAAAATGATTGATTGTTAATGTACAGACCGTTTAATGTTTAATATCTTTATTGTAGTCTATTCCATAAAAATTTAACCGCTTTTAAACTCTTGTTTATAAAATGATC